CTTGGCGGCGACGGTCCTGACTCGAGCATGGGTGGTGGCGATGATGGTGGTTTCGGCGGCGGCGATGGCGATGGCTGGGGTAGCTTCGGCGACGATGGTTTTGGCAACATGGGCGGTGATGATGGCTTCGGCAGCTTTGGCGACGATGGCTTCGGCAGCTTCGGCGACGATGGTTTCGGCGACTTTGATGCGTGGAGCCAGCGCCAACTTGCTCACAAGCACCCGAAGAACAAGCAACATCGTAATGTTACGAACCACCGGCGCTTCCTGCACCAGATGAACGACGTTCGTATCATTTAATGTACATAGTGAATGCACGTCCGCTGGTCGGGTGTGTTGGTATCTACGTTTGTCTCTGTCCCTTTTGCTAGCTTTTCCTGTTTTCTATAGAAAAATCAATAATGCCATTTCATATACATCAACACGACCAACGGCACGTGGCTATGAGCACGAGTCAACCTCATGGATTGGCAAGGTACCATGGACCTTCTCGCTCTGATGGGAGCTGCAAGGGCCGATATACACACTGGCATGCATAATGTGCAATGTCCTCCCCTGAAAATTTCTCCGACAATCTCGTGTCGAGCCCTGTTTATTTGCTTGGCAGCGTATAGTAGGAACGCTGATTCTTGGCTTCGGTTGGCATGCCAAGTCGGAACTGATTTGGCCCCGCACACCCGCATATATCAATTGCAGATGTCCACATGAATTTACGCGCCTGGGCACACCGTGCGGCGAGCAAACGCGCATGTCTTCTTGGTATATACATCAGATGACTAAACAAACAGCGAAAAGTAGGACAAACTAGGGGGAGGGTTGCAGATTGCTGCACGCCTATTACCAAGCAGGCTGCATCTCCTCTCTAGGTGCTGCACTGCGACAGAGTCTTATATATGCTAGGTCTTTGACATCCGCCCGAGGTCCCCATCACCTACGCTCTATCAAGAACGATGCAGCTGCCTGTGAAGTTTGTTCTGGGCCTTCTGGCTGCCTCGGGCCTTGCCATGGCCAGCACGGATGATGCTTCGGTCGTAAACCTGGAGCGCCGCACTCGCAACCAGTACATCTCTGTGGACAATGTGCTTGACCTGAAGGCAATCTCGCGTCACTTTAAGGTCGTGAACGGCAAGTACGCGGAGGCCATGCGCAACTACAAGCGCAACACAGGTGAGGATCACCCTCTGCTGCGTTTCATTGCCGACCTGTTTGACAAGCGCGCCAACACCGGCGAAATTGGTCTGGAGGATGTGAACCAGGAGCAGCTGTGGGCTGGTCAGGTCTCGTACGGTGGTCAGAAGATGTACGTGGACTTTGACACGGGTTCGGCGGACACGCTTGTGAACCCTGCCGCGTACAGCCCCAGCAAGTCGTCGACGTCGAAGAACACCCACCACTCTTTCCGCACTGCGTACGGTGATGGTACGACCGCGGCTGGTACGATCTACACGGACCACTTCTCCATTGGTGGTGTCTCGGCCAACAACGTGGCCATCGGCCGCTCGACGCAGACTTTTATCAAGGGTGAGGACCCGAACCAGGGTATTGCTGGTATGGCGTTCCCGTCGATTCAGGCGTTCCCGAAGGAGAACCCGCCCTTCTTTGTGTCGCTCATGCAGCAGAAGAAGGTGGCGCAGGGTGTGTTCCAGTTCACCATCAAGGCCGGCTCTGGCTCGACACTGCACCTTGGCGGTGTAGACAAGTCGAAGTTCTCGGGCGACTTGGTGTACTCGGGTGTGAACCCCCAGCAGGGCTTCTGGGCCACGCAGGCCAAGGTCAACGGTCAGTCGATCAACGCCATTATGGACACGGGCTCGACCATCATTACTGGTCCGACCGACCAGGTGCGCCGCCTGTTTTCGTCGATCCCTGGCCTCTCGTCCTTCACGCAAGAGGGCCAGCTCTTTGCCTCGTACGACTGCAGCAAGACGCCCTCGGTGACGTTCAACATTGCTGGCAAGGACTTTAAGCTGGGCCGGGACCAAACGCGCTACGGTACCGTGAACGGCCGCTGTGTGTTTACTGTGGTTGGCCAGAACGATCTTCCGATGAACGCCTGGATCATTGGTGACTCGTTCTTCCAGGTGGCTTCGGTGGTGTTTGATATGGACAAAAACCGAATGGGCTTTGCTCAGCAGGCCTGAGTACCTATGAACGCGGTGTGATGTTAATTTGCCAAAGGCCCACCACTGCAGGTGGCTGACTCGCAAAAAGCTTAGTGCAGGGAGCTATGGTGAACATCAATCTGCCTTTGTGTTATGTTGTATAATGACGCATCAATAGAAGGATTCGCTTTAATTGTATGTATTATTCTTCATCCTTTCAACTAGACCGAGGGTAGAATGGCAGGTGGTGAGAGCGTTACGGGGCGTCGCTCTCATCGGTCATGCTCTGCGACAGGGCTTGAATCATGGCATCCTCGTCCCCCAAGCCCAGGCGCTGCGAGCGTAGCACCTGGCTGATCATGAAGGCAATGTCCAGCGACTGTTCGTAGTTCAAACGAGGGTCACAATGTGTGCGGTAGCACCGCATCAAGTCATCATCAGAGAGCTCCATGCTACCACCCACACACTCTGTAACACCTTCGTCGCCGGTGAGCTCCAAATGCACACCGCCAAGACGGCTCCCCATCGATGCATGGAGCCGCATCGCGGCAGAGAGCTCCGCGACCACGTCACTAAAGATACGTGTCTTCACAGAAGGATTCGCTGTAGACGCAATCGTATTGCCATGCATGGGATCGCAGCACCAAATCACATGGTCCTGATGGCGCGAGTTTTTCACAGCTTGAATGTGCTTCGGCAAATACTCGTGAATTTTCGAAGCGCCGTACCGTGAAATGAGCGTCACGCGGCCTTTCTCTAGCCATGGGTTCACGGCATCGAGCATATCCACCAGCTCTTGTGCGTCCATGCTAGGCCCCACTTTGATGCCAATCGGGTTTTGGATGTGCTTTACAAACTCCACGTGCGCGCCATCCAGCTGCCGTGTCCGGTCACCCAGCCAGATGGTATGCGCACTCAGGTCGTAGGAGCGCTGGTGGGTGTCGTCATGGGTCAAAGCATGTTCGTATTCCAGCATGAGGCCTTCATGCGAAGTGAAGTAGTCCACTGTGTTCAGCACGTTGCTCGTGCCGCCCGGATCCGCTCCTACCGTCTTCATAAAGTCCAAGGAGTCTGTAATAGAGTCGGCGATGCGCTCAAACTCGTGCTGCAGATACTTGTTTTGCACATGGTGGAAGCTCCAGGCATGTGGCGCATGCAAATCCGCCATGCCGCTGCTCAAGCAGCCTCGCACATGGTTGAGCGTCGCAGCGGAATGGAAGTACGCCTTGAGCAAGCGCTGCGGATCCGGCGTGCGCTCGTCGACACCAAGTCCATTCACATTATCACCACGGAAACTCAGCACCTCCTTGGTCTCGTCATTCGCCAGCGTCACTTTTTCCGTAGGCTTGCTGCGGGGCTTGGCGTACTGCCCAGCAATGCGGCCCACACGAACGACAGGCAGACGCGCGCCATGGATAATGATGAGCGACATCAAAAGGGTCAGCTTGATCTTGGCTTCAATCTGCTTCGGGTTGCAGTAGGAAAAAAGCTCGGCACAGTCGCCACATTGAAGCAGGAAAGCCTGTCCATCAGCTACGCGCCCCAGCTGCGAACGCAAACGATCGATTTCCACAGGTGTCACAAGGCCAGGCAGGTCTTGGAGCTGTGTAAGAACCTCTTTCAAGGCCGCAGGGTCAGGGTACGGCACATCCTGCGCAATGGGCTTGGCTCGCCAGGTATCAGTCGGCATCGAGGCTACGCAAGACAAAGCGAAGAAGTGGGTTGCGTGTAGGTGCAGCAGCCCAAGTGGAGTCACAGACCTGTCGGCGTCACAGGCCACGTGCTGGAGCGAGGTACGTGCGAGCTCGCCCCTTGGCTTCGCGACTGGTTCGCGTAGTGGATGCAGCGAGCATGACGACCACATCAACGACATCGGCGCCTCTGTCTTTAGACGATTGGTGTACACAGTATGCACCGCTCTCAGAAGCGCAGAAATTGTCGGTAAGCCGTCTAAGTACATGGGTCTCGCCGACCGATACCAACACAGCCCTACCCACGCCAGAAAGGCCCCCCTCAGATCCGATGCACGCGAACCTCACCTATCACTTGTCGCAGATTAGCGACGAGCTTGTGCAGGCATCACAGCCAAGGTACGACACAGATCTCGCGTCTCTGCAAACGAGCCTCCAACAACTCGACGAACTCGTGGCCTTGGTCACGCAAGCGCAAACGCACATGGGCGATCTCCAAGCGGGGCTGACGTACATCGATGACAGTGCCTCCGAGTTGATGACACAGGCGACATCGCTCCTGCATACGCAGGCGCAGCTCACGTCGCTCCATGAAGCGCTAACGCTGCGTCTTTCGTACTTTGGCGTGCTAGCGCAGGCGACACAGATGTTGTCCGATACCTCGACCGACGTTCATGCGCCTGCTTTCCGGTCCATTGTACACCGCCTATTTCTGGCCCTTGAGTTCATGGAGACGCATGGTCAGTACAAAGATGCCGCTGTATACCAACTGCGTTTGGAAAACGCTCTTCAACGTGCTATGACATTAATCAAGCAAGCCTTTGTACACCAAGGCACAGAGCATGCACAGGCAGCGCGTACACGGCTGCACGAGGAGTACCAGAAGCAGGACACGGCCTCTGTCGTAGACGTTACCGCGCCAGCGGTGCGGGAAGCTTTGTACGAGAGCGTGCAAGCATGGCTCCCTATGTATACGGCGTACCTAGCGCCGCTAGAGACGTGGGCGCCACGTCGCCCGGCGATGGCTACGATGCTCGCCGAGTTTCATACAGTATTGCAGCGCTGGCGTACCCCCCTGGTCCAGCAGGGCATGGAATACAGTAGGGCCAGGGACAGCGATCCTAGTGTGCCATGGGTCCAGCGCCTGGAACAGGCCTTAGCAAGTGCGCAGCGTGTCTACGAAGCGGAAACAGCGTTGTATGCAGGACTTTTCAAGGATACGAAGGCTCTGCAGCCCATCGCACAGGCCGTCGGTGAAAGTGTCAAGGCATGGCTAGCGCCGCAGCTAGCAACGTCGCCCTCGCTCGAGACCCTCAGCGAGGTCGCACGCTTGGTCTCGGCATGTCAGGAAACCTGGTGTGCGCCCTTGTGGTTGAGTGTGCAAACGCATCTTCAGCAGCAATCCAACGCCTTTCTGAAGTCGTGGCGCGCGTACAAACCGACCGCCTCGGACCTGGCGTACCCCACCTGCGCAGAAGAAGCGCCAGGACTGCCTACGCCTGCGTCGTGGTACCCGCCTGTGCGTGCCATGTGGCAGCTGCAGCGGTGGATTTCGCCGTGTATGCCGCCAGGCCTTTTGCAAGAGCTTCTGCTACAGGCGTATGACGTGTGCGATACGAAACTCCAGGACGCGGGGAAGCAGCTGCGCGAAAACAAGCTCGGTGGTGAAGAAGGGGATGCAGCGGATGCACTCTTATTCCAGCTGCGCCATATCCAGGTGGTCTTGCATATGTGGGACGAGGTGAATGCGCAATGTGAGACGACGTCACACACCATGGAGCCATCCACTCCTACGCGACCATCGCGCTGGCAGGCCATCGGTCGGAAACAGGCCGGCGCCTCAGAGGCATGGCGAGCAACGCAGCAGCGCTGGCAGACATGGCAGGCCACGACGCAAGCGGAGCTCAGTACGTTTATTGCGTCCAGCCTGGCGCTGCCCCTGCAGATCTTCCTGCGTCAGCAAGAGCCGAATGCCAGCAAAGCATGGGCCGCCTACACGACATTCCAGCAAAGTCTGGATGTGAATGCCGACGAAGAAGCCAAAAAGCTCTATATATACCTGCCCACCGACACGGTAGCGCCGGTGGTGAATGAGATCCTGGTGCGTATAAGACCAAACTAACCCTAGACGGCGCTGCGTACAACGTATTCCGAGTTTCGGGAATGCTGTGAGAAGATCCCAGCGGAAGACCCTACCGTACTAGATGATATGATCTCACTAGAGGCCCTGCATGCGTGCTTGGCGGCATGCTTGGCAGCGCCATCGTCGTAACATCGTTTACGTTAGCTATAGAAAGGAATGTACATTTACACAGACGAGGCTTCTTGCTTTACATCGAGTTTTTTGGTGGAGGGCGCCTCGGACGGGGGCGACGCTTTGCGTTTGAGCGACAGATCGTGCGCTTCCTCCGCCTTCACCTCGCTACTGGCCGCAGGGGGCGCCGAGGTCGTAGCGGCTGCGACACTGTCCGACATGGATTTGGCCGAATAGTAGCAGCTGGCATGGTAGTACACTTGATCCACTTGGACAGCATTCCGCCAAATCCATTCTTCGTCGTCTTCACTCCATTCACTGTGGAAAGGCTCTTTGCAAATCCGGCATGGACGTGCAGCCACGTCGGCATCATGTGGAACGGGCACATGCGCATGCTCAATTTTCTCGCGGAGCGCCTGGTTCGTCGATGGATCGCCCAGTAAGCCGTCGTCGTCGTCTGTCGACATAGGCATGACATCATCAAAGCCACTACGGATCCATCGGACCACAGGATCGAGCCAGGCCCGACTCTGGCCACGCGCCACACTGGCGCGGGCACGTCGGTTTTGTGTAAAGTGCCAGTCCAAGTGGTCGTCCAAAGCATGCTTGCCCGCCTCGCCCTCGGGGTATCGGTTTGCACACTGACGGCAGGGCAACGGCAGATGCTCCTGAAGTAGCAGCTCCAACTCCGGCGCAGGCTGGGCTAGATTCAGCGTCGTCATGCGCAGATCCAAGCTCATAATGTAGTCCGTGTAGGCCTTGTCTTGGCTGTGCACACTTGGCTTGGCGGCCGGCGTGGTCGAGGCAGTGGAGGTGGATGGGAGGAGACCCGCCTTCATGAGATTGGCGATCAGTTCGGACGCACTGGCAGGCGCCGCAGAGACAGGGGCAGACGGCGTCGTGCCGCGACTGCTTGGCGGCGCAGTTCCTGACGCTGAGGGGGCCAGAGCTTGCGCTGCCACAGCCAGCGCGGCAGCTACATCCGGCGTAGAGCCGCTGCCGGTAGACTCGGTGACTTTGCCAGGGCGAGACATGGCATCGAGCTGCTTTTGCACATCCTGGAGTAGCGCTGGGGACGGCTCCGCATGCAGAACCTGCTCCTTCAATTGCTGCAGTGTGTCCTGCTGCCGCTGCGCTTCTTCGTCTTGCGGCCGATGCGCGAGCGCTTGCGTTTGCAAGGCCAGTAAACGCTCGATGTTGGCGACAACCTGCGGCTTGGTCGGCCCGGCAGCCGCCTTGGCGGTCGCGCCCTGACTGCCAAACAATGACCGCTCGATCGTCTGCTGGGCCGTGTCGCCGTACAACGCTCGACCGCCTGGGCCAGCATTCCGCCATGTAGCCAAAAGCTCTTCCATGCGTCGGCGTGTAGGCTGATCCACGACACGGTACGACTCCATGAACAGAGCCACCACGCGCGGTGCCCATAACTCCGTATAGGGAGAGCCAATGTTCTTCGAGATGGAATCCATCAAGTAGAGCGCCGGCAGTCGATAGGGGGGAGGGGCCTGGCGTATAAGCGCCATTCTATCAACTGAATATACGTACCATAGCAATATGATTGTCCACGACTTTGGCCACAATGGTCGACATCTGATGCACATGCTCCTGTGCAATCAAGGTAAGATTCGTAATAATGGGCTTGGAATTGAACGTAAGTTGGGCTAGCTGACTGCGATACATGTGCTCAAAGGCCGCCGGATTCTGATATGCTGGAGGTAGAGCATGGATGGCGCCAGACGCAACAGCAGGCGCTCCGTACTGACCATATGCACCTCCATAACCTCCATAGCCTCCAGCGTAATTGTCAGCATCCATGGGCGGCACACCGCCATACGAATACGGATGGGAATACATGGCAAAAACAAAACCACACTCACAGAGGAAACTGGACACAACAATGGATGCAGTATGAGGAACTGTAAACTATGTGGAAGGAGACACGAAAGGGCACACGCAGTTCACTGTCTCACCGGCCAAGTCAATGTGCAGTCGAGTACTTCCACCGATCAAAGCCTCGTGTCAATGCGACGACCTACGCTCGTGCGACGCCCGTCGAAGGTCGCGACACCCGCTCGGACCCTATGGAGACCACGTGGCTTGACACGTGCAGTGTAGGAAGAAAACTATGAAATATCACGTGATAATGCGCCCAGCGCACGCTACGACTTGCAATCGAGCTGGCTACTCCTTCTCCTACCCATCTCGGCGCCAGTACCAGGTGTGTATAACGGCGGCTTCCTCGCCATTGCAGAGCAGCTTTCTGACACCAGAAAGAATAATCCGCGATGCTGACGATCTACAAGGACTTGGATCTTAACATCCCGGCTGACGTGACCATTGAGATCAGCTCCCGTGTCGTGAAGGTCAAGGGCCCGCGTGGTGAGCTCGAGAAGGTATGTACTCAGAAACGGGGCCAAAGAACACGTACTAACATAGCAGAACCTCCGCCACCTTGCCATGGACATGCGCCTTGTGAGCGACGCCAAGGGCAACAAGATCAAGTTCATTGTCTGGCACGGTGCCCGCAAGCACCTTGCTTGCCTCCGTACTGCTAAGGCTGCTGTTGCCAACATGATCAAGGGTGTGACTATCGGCTTCCAGTACAAGATGCGTGCCGTGTATGCCCATTTCCCGATCAACATGATCATCGCCGGTGACAACAAGAGCGTTGAGATCCGCAACTTCTTGGGTGAGAAGCGTGTCCGTAAGGTCATCATGCAGGAGGGTGTGACGATCAAGGAGGACAAGGCCCAGAAGGACCAGGTTCTCGTTGAGGGTGTATGTATCATCTTTGCGTTTGTGACTGACACTTTCAGAACGACATTGACGCCGTCTCGCAGAGCGCTGCTCTCCTCCACGGTGTGACGCTAGTGCGCAACAAGGATATCCGCAAGTTGTATGTATCTTTCATGAGGACGATCCACTAACATAACAGCCTTGACGGTATCTACTGCACTGAGAAGACCTCGATCGTCCAGGTTGAGGCTTAAAAAAAGAACCCTGTGTAGAGGGTCGCATGACACGCTGTATACAGGAATGTATCTTGTTCACTCAAAATTCTTCGAGCGACGTATATACGAGACCGATATGTGTAGTGTGTGAGTTTTCATCCAGCAGCAAGGTGTACACCTTGACGCTGTGTCTGAGGCAGTCGTGAGACCTTTGGTTACACCTTCTTGCTGGTGTTGGGCATTCGTCCCTGCTTTAGTAGTTGGGCCGACTTGTGGCTAGACAGCCAGAGCCTAGAGAAAGTCCACCTACTACCACAGTGATACGAGGCGTGCATATGAACGTCGCAACCGCTCATGAAAAATGCTTTCTACAGCAAAACACTCGACAAACATACGGTATGGATGTACTTTTTTGGTCATGCTGGGAATATCCCGCGTCTACAAAGGACCTCGGAAGGTAGTATAGCATACGGGTACAACCGCAAATAGAGCACATGAGACACATGCAGTGTGTAATCGTACGACCACATACATGATCTTCATAGATCCACGTTATATATCCCTCTCGACTCCCAACATTTTGGGCTTACCATTTTTGTCAAATGGCAAGCTATACCAAAGACTTTCGAAGTCTAATAGGAAGAGTATATTGAAAGGCTTTAAGCCGAAGCAGCCACGGCGGTACCAGTGCGGAAACCGTTCTTAGCACGGCGCGGCACCGACTTGAGGTGACGCATGCGACCAGAACCAGTGGTCTTCCGGCGGATAGCCTTCTGACCCCACTGGTAGTTGCGAGTCTTGGCCGACGGGTAACCGCAAGCAGCGCAAGCTACCATTGTTAGTACATCTGTTACAACAGTCAAAAAAACGTACTCTTCTTCTGACGGTGGAAAGCACGACGGTTGCAGCGACGGCAAATCGTGTGCGTCTTAGTGCTGATATAGGTTAGTACCCGATCCATATTTCCAAGTGATGAATAGAACATCGTCGAGCGTACATCAATATGATAGCGTCGACAAGGTCCTGACCATCTTTTCCTGAGATACTTACTGACGCTTACCCATAGACGTCGTACCCTTCGTCATCTAAAAGTTGTTAGTACACCATTCTTAGACACGGGAGATGTAGAGTGCATTATGCCACGATTCTGGCAAGATGCCTCTACGCCATAACAACATACCTTCGGTTATAGACACTTGATGGTGAGGAAAGCAGATTCGACCGACCGATGGCCTTGGCCTAGCGTCGCCCGTGTGGCTACCTAGCAAAACTATATCGGATCACGTGTACTAAATGACCAAGTGTTTGACTCGGCCGAAATCGCTACCCATTGTGGGCCCAACTGGCAAGGCTACGGCAAAAGAATACTCGTTAGCTCTTCTACTCGTCAAGCCACGAACGCTAGAATGTACGTGCCAGAGTATAGGCCACCTTGGAGCATTGTCGAAAAATGTCGCGATGTTGCATAGGAGCCTATGTAGTGAAACTGTGAACAGAAACTAACGCAAATACAGACCATGGCTCCTCAGTCGAAGACCAAGAAGTCCAGCCAGGACAACATCAACTCGAAGCTTCAGCTCGTCATGAAGTCGGGTAAGGTGTCGCTCGGTCTGAAGAGCGCCCTCAAGAACATGCGCAGCGGCAAGGCCAAGCTCATCCTCATTTCGGCTAACACTCCTCCTCTGCGCAAGTCGGAGGTCGAGTACTACGCCATGCTCTCGAAGACTGCTGTGCACCACTACCAGGGTTCGAACATTGCCCTCGGTACTGCTGCCGGTAAGCTCTTCCGTGTTGGGTACGTATGATAATAACATGGTCGTTTCGCGGCATTTGGTATGTTGTATCGTGCCTCTCAACGAAGCCGGAACATATCTCGACATGCCATGAAGGATCCATGTGTTTGAGAAAACGGAACAGTATGCTAACCTTTTAGTGTTCTCACGGTGATCGACGCTGGTGACAGTGACCTGCTCACCTCGATGTCGGCTTAAAAAGTGGCTTGTATACGACCATCTCTCTCTGGCTGAAGATGTCGTCGGACTGCCATATCTTGCTGCTGTCCTAGTCCACATATTGTGCTTTATATGCAGTTGACAGGTACTAGATGGCTACTTGCAATATACTTATGATCACCGATATCCTGTGTGTGTCTGTGTGTGTGTGTAGAAACTGGAACTTCAGGCGATATGACAGAATGGGGCACAACTTGTCAGTCAAGCAGCACTCATTTAAGGGTGGATAAAGGCTACATGGCCTGGTCGTATTCATAGTTCGAAAAAGAAGGTGACATCATGCCTATGAACAATTGCAAATTCATATATACGAGTAGTTGGGGTCGTTAATCACACGTCCACTCAAGTTGTCTTTTCCTCCATATGGACATCCATGTCCATGCGGGCCATTTTGTGCTTGGCAACAGGTCGAAGCTGCACCAATGACATCCAGGAGGAGGAGGACTTGTTGGAATCAGGCAGAACGTTTCGGTTGCCGAGGGAGTTGGTATAAACAAAACGTGAGGGTGGATGGGTGCCATAAGAGCTGTTAAACGAAGTATCCTGGACAGAGTGCAGTGACATGGGCGTCACTGGCATGCTCTCATCATCATCATCATCGCGTGTCATGGAGCGAGAAGGCGTGGAAAAGACAGAACCAGCAGATTCAGTGGAATGCATCGAGTCTGCCTCATCATCGCTGGAATGCGTCTCCATACGATAGGCTGGCTTTGGAGTAACTGCCTTCTTGATTTCCGCACGCTTCTTGAACCAATCCATGGCAAGTGTCGAAGCCTCCGCATAGTACGAGTACGAGTACTTCTTGATCAGAATGGAGGAAATATCACTCTGGTGATCTAGAACGAATTGGTAGATTTGGTTGGCTGCCTGCGTGGCAACAGCACCAAGAGGGTGCGGCTGAAGACGTGGGTCACGGCAGATATGTCGCGCCAATAGCATAGCACCTGCAGCTAGTGTGGAAGGAAGCATCGGAATAAAGCTTTCGTGGAACAGCGTCACTTCCAGCAAGAAGCGGGCAACACTGTGGGTGCTGGGCACAGATGGCGGGGCACAAGAGTACTCGTACCGAAGCCATGATTCAGCCGTCGGGTGACCCAGGCACCAGCCTAACGTTGAAAGGACATGCCCTTCCATTTGGGTAAAAGCACCCGGATCATAGGCATTGCAGCACATCTGACTAAGTTCCTGGACAGTGGGAACACGATCCTTCGAATCTTCAAATTTGGCTGCAATGAGTAGTGCAGCGCATCCCACAAGCTGGTAATGGCGCTTGTACACAATACGCCTTGACACGTAGCGGTCCACCAGATTCATCGTGAGGTATAGAGTCTCAGGGCGGAGACGGAAAGACTGGTGGATCTCAATCAAAAAATCAACCAGGTATGGACGCATAAACCAGTGTAGTTCTGGCTGCACGCTCATAAGTTCAATGTTGGGCATGGTTTGCTTCTCCATAACGTGCATGTACTCAAAGATCTCCTGTTGGTATTCAGCTTCAAATAGAATACTGCTCGGGCTGGATCGCACATGCCGTGCAGCAGGCTTTTGCGACGCCTTGGCGAAAAGATTTTGCGACGACGTCAAGATGGTAGAGTGACGCTGCTGCGCTTTGTAACCCAGTGTTGCCTGCGTCCGTACAGATGAGGCATTGGGAGCAGCCACCGGGGCTGCCGTTTCCGATGCTCCTTGATTCATGGGCCATCCATAAAAACTGTGACGATTGGGGCGGGGATGGAAGCCCGAGGAAACGTGGGTGTGGGTGTGAGACATCGTTGAGACTTGGATGAGGGGGGCACGGTCCGATGATACCCAACTAAATGACACTCAAAGACTGAGTGTAGCTAGGCACAGTCAAAGACCTAGAGCAATATGCAAGGAAACAGGGTAATATCCAGCAAAAAGGATAACAACCTGTCGTTACAATCCCCAAGGAGAGGGAAGAGGTGGCTAGGCAAGATGAACCAGGTGCCCTGAGCACTTCTATTTCAACGATGAAGGCAAGGTTCAGACACAAGTTTCCAAAGAATGCGGAGGCTTAGGCGTGCAAAACAGCAAGGGAACCAGTAGTGCGCATGATCAGACACACACACATGCCCAAGCAAGCGCCTATGTCATATCCCACCTTGCCCCTAGTCCATTGACTGCATGCATGCCACACCCTTTTTAGCGTGAATTTAAAATAAAATAGGACACATAAATTGATATGCATGCCTGAAAAAGCATCGATAGGGCTATGGCTGATAAATTCAGTCACGCCCATGCAGCCCCAGCCAAGAATGCAGATTAGGGTCGAAACTGTTGACCTACTTAGGTCAAATTGATGAACAGAAATTGCGAAAGACCGAGAATGCACCTCTGTCCGCAGTGCATCACGCCAAAAATAGGGTGCAGGGCCATTCTGGGGACTAGTACGTAATGCCTAGCTGCAAGGAGCAGGAATTGCACATTTGCTCAATCTAGCGATATATAATTTGTGGAGGGGACGTAAGCGAAATGATCCACGTGGTGACTCCAGATTTTTTTTTGCAGACAACGCTTTGGACAACTACTGGTGTCGCGTGCCGAAGCAAGATGGTCAGTTTCGTGTGCGATGGGTGTGGCGATGTTGTGAAGAAGCCTAAGCTTCAACAGCACTATAACAGGTGTTATTCTCCCTTCACTTGTTTGGACTGCAGTGTGCAATTCCTCACACCGAAAGATGCCCACTCTTCTTGTATTACAGAAGACGAAAAATACCAGAAAAGGTGCGTAAGATTTATGTTGCCTAACGCTAGCAGTCTGTACAAGGGGAAGAAGAACGTTTGTATCGAACGCCTAGTATATATACTAACAGAGTAGGATGGGAAGCAGCAGAGAGAGCAGCCCAAGACTCAGAGTCAACCAGCCAAGGAAACAATCACCAGCACTCAAAAGCGCAAGTTTGATGATGACTGCGACACTAAGACGGAGGAAAAGACTTCAGACAAGCGTGTCAAGAGCACTTCGAAAGACGAAAAAGATACCCTTAAGGAGAGTACGAAGCCCAAGAACAGCAAGGAACTTTCAGTAAGAACCATCCAGAACATGGCCCAACAACTTTCCAACTCCAAAAAGAGCCTGACGCTTCATAATATCATCAAGCACACAGCGAAGGAATTGGACGTTGACACGAAGAAGGTTAAGTCCTTTGTGCTGAAGAAGGCTGGAATCACTGTAAAATCGCAAGGAGAAATGGCATTCATAGAGCATTGATTCACCAATGTAGCATAAAGAATTGACTGCATGCAAAGTGGAGGTCCACACACCTTGGCCTGTGGAGACGATTGAAACTACACATGGCGGAGGGCAGTAGGGGTCGACCAAAGCCAGACTCAAGGAAAGGAAAAGGACATGCGTATTTATCGTCATCCATAGGAAACCATGCATCTAAAAGCAGACGTGAAGCGCAATCGAAGAAACCCGTGAATCCCATGGAATTGCTAACAAGCCCATCACGCGGCATAGACGATGCTGTGTCGACAAGTATGCTGAGTACACATGAAAGCAAGAACTCTATTAAGTATGTATATCTTGAAATATCTTACGATAAGTCTCACCCAAAAAGAAACACAGGACAAATATTGGGAGTATTTATGCAACAAAGTATGCACCTGCCCAGGCTAACAATGTCTAGGTTCGACATCATGCACATCACTATCCACCCGTACAAAGCATACTGCAGACAGATGATACAGGGACACTGCAGGGTATACCTGATCAGTTTTCTATTAAGAAAGAGGACAGGAACGAAGAGCGGGACAGCTTGCAAGACATACTCCTTGGGCTTCGGAAACTCAGAGAGGGTTTAGTCTCAATCGATCGAATGGATACTTTGACAGTACATGGTAAGGTTAGGATGGGAATTCTCACAGTGCAGTATATCAGACCTCGATACTGGTTTCTATTTTGTGCAGTGACGGTGCGCAGATGCAATCCTCTATCACGAGACTCATTCAAGAAGTGTATCCATGTCAAAGGGTGAAAGATTGTGAATCTAAAATATTAACAACTACATCTGAATTGATGCAGTGTCTTTTTCATTCTCATGAATTAAGTGATGACAGTGGGGTAAACTATGCGCCATTATTTGCATGTTTATGGCTACTTGAACCGCTGTGCGCTGGTCGCCCTGAACAGAAGCAAGAATATATACAGCGTCGTATGAGTTTATTGGATCAGACGAATAGTACAGATGGCCTTTGTTCAGACCAATACTTGAAGTTCGCGCACAAAATATACCACGCTTGGACGTATGGGCATTCTAAAGAGATGGAATCACTGCTCACGCTACCCGAAGCTTCTATGCAAGAAGGATCCCTATATTGGCCGATGGCATTTGCTCGTACACTTCTGCCTCGGATGCGTCATAAAGTGAGCAATGTCCTTCGTCGTGCATATGTACAGATCCCACTCCGATCCCACCTGGTAGCCATGGTGCGCCCTGATGAGAATGTGGAATCTTCGCAAGTTCCACGAAACCAAAAGACTATTGAATGGTTAGAAGATGCGCTACTGATGCCCCTGCACGAAAAAGAACATATAAAAAGTGTTCGTTTGCTTGTGTCGATCGGTGCCATGATCGGATCGAATGTGTGGGAGGATATTGTGGGCTTTGTATCTCCGCGCATCATTGGCAATGCAGAAGCATATGCGCTGAAATGGAAAATATGAAGGGACTTCGATCATGCGTGCGAAAGATCTATCGAGCCTGACATTTGTCTTGCTAATATGTAGGATGGCATTGTACTTTACGAGCTGTACACGTCTTTCACAACGCGTCGTGCCTGGCCCCTACCATTGTGGAGGTGGACCAAGCGCAAAGCAACTAACAACTTCATGGAAAGGGACAGAAGGACATCCACGTGGCAGCCCAGCGGCCTAGACCTCTCCACAGTACGAACACACTTGTCTTCTAGATACGAAACACCAAATCAATATGTCGGCTTGGGATCAAACTGTGGTAATTGGACGCAAGGCTCGTCCTTCGGGCTCTGGCACCAGCGCTCCACGCGGCCCTACGGCTCTGGAGCGGGCCAAGCAGGTGGGTGCTGTGACAGCCAACGATCGTAAGAGTATGTGTTATAAATGGGTGCCGAAGTCTAACCTATGAAGTTGCTGCAGGTCATAACAAGGGCCATCAGGGCACGGATCACCAGCGCATTGCTAAGCTGGACCGTGAGGATGATGTGGCTCCGCCCAGCAAAGTGCCTCCCACGGTCGGAAAGGCAATTGGCCAGACGCGCCAGGCCAAAGGTATGACTCAGAAGGACCTTGCGGTGAAGATCAACGAGAAGCCTTCGGTGATTCAGGACTACGAGAGTGGCAAAGCCATTCCCAACCCGCAGATTCTGGGCAAGATGGAGCGCATCCTCGGCGTGAAGTTGCGTGGTATGTACTGTGGCAAATGTGGTAAGAGCTAACCCTCCAGGCAAGGACATTGGTGCACCTGTATGTGTAATGAGACATTGTGCGTACTAACACAGACAGCTTGGTGGCCCGAAGAAGTCATGATTATATAGGAGAGTATACCTATCCTACAAAATGAATATATGTGATTGCACCAAATGAGCGAAATTACATAGCATGATGAGGGGGATGAGGGAAGAAAAGAATGCAGAAAGAAAGATTGGATACATGCTGGCCAAGTTTAAGGGGACCCTGAGTAGACGAAGCCTGTCGTCATCGTGGGAGATGCGCTAAGCATTGTGCCACCCGCATTATCGACCGTGGTCGAGTTCGACTCCTTGTCCAGTTCGTCTGCGGGGATATCCAAGGTTGTCTGTGGAGAGGAGACAAGTGGCGCACGAGTGTTGTTGGCACCATTGTGGGTCTGCGCTGGTAGGGAGTAAATGGCGAGCACCTGAGAAATCGAGGGATTTTGGGCACTGCCTATGGCGCGCGGGCTCTGCGTGCGTCCCGGTGATACAGGATTCGAATTGTCGCTGCTATCACTGCAGCTCGCCAAACTATTGTGGCGAGATCCAGCGCGCTTGAATTTGGATACAGCGCGAGCCACGTGGAACATACTAGATATACGACACACAGCGCATTGTAGATCTTCTTCAGTAATATCGTTCACAGCAAAAGCCTTATCGATTTCGGAGAGGGTAGGCATAGGCTTGTTGCCATGATCTGTGACCCAGGGATGCGTATAGATCTCGGGGATGGTGATGCGAGAAGACACGGATTTGTCCAGCATACGAGACAGTAAGTCCTGACATGCTGGGCTGACATGCCCGTCAAATGTGACATCGCTGTGGATGATCTCGTGATACAAATCCAGGAGGCCTTCTTTGTAAAATGGCAAGCGGCCCATGACCATGCAATACAGGGTCACGCCGAACGCCCATACATCATCGGGACACGCATGGGTTTCACCTGCTTCCAGTTCACAAAGTTCCGGGCTCATGAACGCCGGGGATCCAGCTGCACCCTTCACGGTATCGTTGCCTGGCTTGTAGAACATTTCCGAGACACCAAAATCCACAATTTTGCACGTATCGTTGTCGTCTGTAAGCAAGATGTTTTCGGGCTTGATATCACGATGCACAACGCCATTCTGATGAAGATAGTCAATGCCACTCAGGACTTGGCGGAAATAGTGCCGTGCCTTTTCTTCTGGCAGAGGCTCAACCTGCTCGCCGGGTACGACGTTGAAAATAGGACCTCCAGGACAGTATTCAAAGACAAGGAAAAGGTGGCCTTGCTCGGCATCGTCCAGGGCCTCAAACAGACGTAACACGTGAGGATGGTGTAGCTTCTTCATGATCGCGACTTCAGAGCGTACCAAATAAAGAGGATCTTCGCTGCTTTCGCGGAGTGCATGGCGGATGGGCTTGTGTGCATTCATCAGGCGCTTGCGTCGCAGGCGTCGCTTGTCGAATTCCTTGATAGCAACAAATTTATGATCTCCATCTTCTTGGACCTCTCCAATATGAACGATGGCAAAAGCACCGAACCCAATTTCCTTCAGAATATGATACTGGTTGATTTTGCGCGATCCATCTTTTAGCTCCTGGGACATGGCGTGGAGGGATTCGCGTACATGCCAGCCTATATTGCCAGGATCTTTATGATGATGATGCGCATTGTGGTCTGTTCTGGTGTCATTGTCCACCTTGTCTGCTAACTCCCTCCATCGTTCGATGGTAGACATGCCGTCCTTCGAGAGAGATGCGTGTATTGAAGAAGGCTGGCCTTTCGTGTGTTAAAAAACACACATGCACGAAAATGGGCAAATTGCGCACATTGCAGTGAAACGCAGATGCGAGATGCACGCCTCCACATGCTCGGCTCCATAGCAGCTGGAGAGCTTCATGACACCATGCCTTCGCGGAGGGCGAGTCGAGCGGTACAGACTGCTTGCAGGGTAAGCTGATCAACAACCTGATTCTCCAGCTCAACACACCAACGCTACAGACATGGGCAGATGAACTTGAGAGGACCAGCGAAAGAGGGTGTGTGCCGACTTACACTGACAGGGAGGGAAGACGTAGTAGTGGTGGTAGCACGGGCTACAGAACTGTCTCAGAACATGCATGACCAGATTTTTGCCCTGTTTCAAGCCAATATGGAAGAGATGTACGAGGCCAATGGCATATGGGATGTGCGGTCCAAGCGGGCTGAGCTTCAACACGCGTCCTCACGATACCTCTTGGCGTTGCCTGCCTCTGACGCTGAGCCGGCCTCTGTAGCAAGAGTCTGTCGCCGCTCGGCACGGCACATGAAGGGAGCACCTGACACACCTACGCCTCTCTATGGATTTATCATGTGGCGCTTTGATACGGACGACACCGTAGACGGTGACCCATGTGCTGATCCCGGTGACGATGAAGTCGAGGTATCTTATTGGTATGCACAACACGACTGACAAGAAAGTTACGAACTGCAGGTGGATGCAGCGTACCGCGGACGTCATATTGGTACGCGACTTCTGACCACTCTTGAGCATGTGTCGTGGCGCGCTCACATGCGAAAAGTAGCGCTGACAGTGTTTCACATGAACCAAGGTGCGCGCGCATTTTACAAGCAGCGCGGATACACAGCCGATGTCACATCGCCCACGGCTGACACAAACAAGGAAGACGAGGTGGATGAAGTCCACTACATGATATTAAGTACATGCAATCCCTCCATCAAGCATTCATAGCCATTACGACAGTGGGCTCAAGATTCTACAGGGTTAGAACACAATCGCATTCACGTACTTGAAAAGGTTCGGGCGCTGCTGGCTGCTGACGAAGCCCACGTAGATCACGAAAGGCACCCTGTTAAGGTTAGCAAGTGGCAACATCAAAGGCCCAACATACCAGCCGTAGTGCACCACAGTCTTGGCGATATCCACAACGCGGACGATCCGCTCCTATTTTGGTCAGCATGGGAACAAAGAGGGGGCACACACATACCTTAGTATCCTCCGACAGACCCATCTGGAAGTAGGAATGGAGAAGGTGGGCGACAGCTTCGACGGCTTACCGCAGCGGTGGACGCCACGTGGCTTGCCGAGAAAGAAAATGCGGCGGTCTCGCCTTTCTTCATCGACGACAGCATGGCTGGGCAGAACACGTTTTCTGCGTCGAGCGCTCTGCACTTGAGCTTCCCACCTGCCGCGTCGGGTGTGTTCCACTCACGTTCTATTACGGGTGTCAAGGTCCATCCGGTACGTACAGGTCGCCACCTCCCCCTCTTTTCTTGGACCGACTACTAACATGCCATAGGTGGTCCTTTTCTCTATTCTTGATCATTACCTGCGTCGCGATGCTTCGCAGCCGCGTGTCATCGGTACTCTTCTTGGTACTTGCAGCGAGGCAGAGGTCGAGATCCGTAACTGCTTCGCTGTGCCTCACAACGAAAGCCACGACCCGTGGCAGATTCATCTTGATGCCGAACACCACCGCCGCATGGTCGAACTGCACCAACGTGTGCGCCCCGAGGAAGTTGTCCTTGGCTGGTACTCTACTAATACGGAGCTGAACTCTAACAGTGCGCTGATTCAAGACCACTACTCGCGTGAGACGGCGCCTCATCAAGCGATTCACCTCACGCTTAATACCAACGTGGCCGACGAGAAGAATGGCCTTGGTGTCCAGTGCTATGTGAGTTCGCTCCTTGGCAGCACAGCGAAGCCCGAAGACTGCGCGTTCCTTTCTCTTCCCACGACGCTGCTTACGACAAGCCCCGAGCAGACAGCACTGCGACACTTGGCGTCGCCCAAGCCAGAGTCTTTGACGGACCTCGACGCTCTAAGGGCCTCGTTGGAGCAGGTTCAGACACAGCTGGAGCGTGTTCTTACATATGTGCGCAAGGTGCTTGCGGGTGAGATCGAGGGTGACAAGGCTGTGGGTCGCTACCTGAGTGATACCATTGGCGTTGTGCCTGCTGGCATGGACGACTCGGTGCTCGACTCGCTCTTCCAGTCGCACCTGCAAGACGTATTTATGGTGTCGTATCTTGCTAAGGTGATTAGTGCGCAGGCAGAGCTGTCATCGCGCCTAACGCTTCTCTCATAGGTGTAGCGTGTACAAAATGATGGTTCCCTTTCCTATGGTAGCTAGGGCTCCTGATCTACAGGCGGGTTGTCTAGACGCACAAAGGCGGCAAAGAACTTGTCGCCAGCATTGCGTTCCACCTTGCGTCCCTCTTCGGTACTGTACATAACAGCATCCACGCAAGGGTCCTCTTTCAGCATGGGATCATCGTCGGGTATGCGGCGGAAAAGAGGGAAGGCTGTCAAGTGCTTGACCATCCACTCGTGCAAGTCACGCACATCAGTCACAGTGTACACAATGCCGCCAGGGCGAAGCACATAGGCATACTCGGCCAAGAGCGTAGGGCTGGATACAGTTAGTTGCAGGTGACGTACGAAATAATGCGTGCTTTATGCTTCCGTGCTTTAAAGTGAGGGTCAGGGAACAAGAAGAAGATCTTGCTCAGCTGGCCTTCTTCAAAGAAGTTGGGAAGGAACTTCATTGCGTTGGATCGGATCACACTGATGTTCTGGTACCCGCCAGCAATACGGCCAGCTTCACGGACCATGCGCTCATTCTGCTGGCGTTCCTCGGTATCTTCGTCTGTACCCTCGTTGCTCGTGGTCGGCGCAGGTGTCGACTCGCTCTCCGGCGCCTCCTCCTGCTGGGACAGCGCCTGCTTATGAGCCAGTCGTAGAGCATGAATCTTATCATGCACATACTGTGTCACCTGCGTACGAATCTCCATGCCAAGCATGAGAGTGTCTGGGAACAGCGGCGCCAGACGCATAAGCAGCCCACCGAAGCCGCATCCCACGTCCGCAAATTCTACCTTTTTCTGAGGGGCACCAGGTGCGCATAGCTCCGGATAGTGAGCCGACCAATCCATCTCGCTGGGCTGCGCTGGGTAGGCCAGCGAGTGATCAGAGAATGGATTGGCATGTGCACGTTGGCGGTACCAGCGCTTCTGCGGGATCACAACACGGCCTGCAATAGCATTTGGATGCTGCGCCTCGTGCTCTTGCAAAATCTTCGTGCCCACATCGCGCGCTTGGCGTTTGCGTTTCCCCATGATGCACCTCGCGAAAGTGTTGCTTGAACAAACCTGTTCACCGATCAGCCAGCCGCCTTGCTGCTGCTGCTGCTCTTGGTGACAGTCGTTCGGCCGAGTAATTCTTGGACGCCGCCCGCGGTCGGTCGGTGAGAGCGACGACCTACGCTGACGCTATGAGCATGAAGGTGACGTCGGATGTTGCTGCTGGTACGTGGCTAAAGAAGGACTAGGACTAACACCAGTTAGCCAACAAGGAGCAGAACGAAGAGGCTATCCGCGAGGAGTGGATCAAGGTGATGCAGGTCCGTCTCGTGCACGACGAACTGCAGAAGTGCCACCGTGCTGAGGGCGAGAACCACTACCAGGTGTGCGCTCCGATTGCCAAGGTATACGCAGACTTGCTGAAGGAGGCCAAGGTACGTGGCAGCAAGGAAGCCCAACGGAATGACTAACAGTGCAGGTGAAGGGCTACCGCACGATTGATGTCTAAGCGTGCCTGCATTGCATAGAATGTATATCCCGCCCAAGCTGACTTCTTTTATGTGCGTACATATAGGATGTGTGTGTGTGTGTGTGTGTGTGTGTGCTTCCTATGCCTGTATGGATCGTGGTATCGCCGGCATTCGGTATCCATCTATATATGAAAGACATAATTGTTACTGGGTCGACTCGCGCTGCAGCGCTGTGAGCTCCTCTTCCTTCGTCTTGTACTGCTTAACAAGCTCGACAATGACCTTGGTGAACTGGGTATCAGTAGAGGCCATACATACGCCATCGAGTGTCGTCTGAAGCGTCTCCAGGACATCTTTCACGGTCCGTTCCACGAGAACCCCACCGATGAGGCGGAAACATGTACGTTCCGGTTCTTTTTCGTATACGTCGGCAAGTGTTTTGATAACAAGACTGTGGTCACGTTAGACAGCTTGAACAACTTACCGATGCTCATCTGCATCACTTTCAATCTCGCTGATCTTTTCCGCAATGGTTTGCAACTCGCTGCGACGTTTTTGGATTAGCATAGAGGGATCTTGTAGTAAGCGTCTACAATCAGCCGTACATACCGCCCTCAAGCCGAGCCTGTGTTGTGCCTGGCATCCGCGCTCCTACACAGCAAAGCAGCAAACAACTGTCTATGCCACGCGTGGGCGCCAGCGATCCGCGTGCTTCAACATAGGATTTAAACCGATCTGAGGTGAAAGCGTAATTCCACAATATTCTGGCGTGGTCAGCGAGGCGACAGCGGCGGGTGGCCGCGCGTCGTCTCGCATCGTGCGTCTACTGTCTACGTGTCCACAACAATGGTGTCATCCTTGACGTCTGTGGCCGGTGTGACGGCGCTCCTAGAGGAGCAAGATCCGAAACTGCAGGCTTACGCCCTGCAGAAACTGAACTCGCTAGTGGACCAATTTTGGGCCGAGCTGGCCGATTCGGTGGCGCGTATTGAAGAGCTGTACGAAGATGAATCGTTCCCTGAGCGTCAGCTGGCTGCGTTGGTCGCCTCCAAGGTATACTTCTATCTTGGAGAAATGGAAGATGCGCTTAGCTTTGCTTTGGGTGCGGAAGCCTTATTTGATGTTGAGCAGCGTACCGAGTATGTTGAGACTGTGGTCTCCAAGGCCATTGATCAATACATCGAACAGCGCAGTGCCAGTCCCAGCGACGGTTCTACTGGGAAAGGTGATACAAGTGCGCGTCTTGCTGCGATTGTAGACAAGATGGTCCAGCGTTGTATGACGGGCAAAGAGTACCGCCAAGTGTTGGGTATTGCGTTGGAGGCACGTCGCCTGGATATCATTCAGCAGGTCTTTGATTCAACGCAGGACCGTGAGTTATTGGTCTACGTGCTGGAAATGGTCATGAGTGTTGTGCACGCACGCGATGTGCGCCGTCAGGTCCTTGAGCTGCTTGTGCAACTTTTCCCCTCGCTAAGCGAGCCTGATTACTTCTCGACGGCGCAGTGTTACGTGTACCTCAATGAGCCGAAGCGTGTCTCAGAGCTTTTGCGCTCATTGCTAGACAAGGCCACCTCTGATGAACGCTCTTTGTTGATTGCGTACCAGACTGCCTTTGATCTCGTGGAAGGTGCCACGCAGGAGTTCTTGCATCATGTGCAGACTGATTTGCAGGCTACCGCTGGTAATATTGCCAATGCTGAGCAAGTGGTGCGTATCTTGCAGGGTGAAGAGTCGATCCGTCTCTTCCGTGCATTCCTGCACCGTGCGAATCACGCCGACTTGGCCATTTTGAAGTCGACCAAGGATGCGCTCGATGCCCACTACAGTGCATACCACTCTGCTGTGAGTTTGTCCAATGCCTTCATGCATGCAGGTACGGGCAGTGACCAGTTCCTGCGCGAGAATCTTGAATGGCTTGCGAAGGCCTCCAATTGGAGCAAGTTTACTGCCACAGCGGCGCTCGGTGTCCTGCACCGCGGAAGTCTGCAAGAAAGCATCTCGATTTTGCAGCCGTACCTCCCGCCCGAGGGTGGCGCAGCGTCTACGAGTATCTACTCCGAGGGCGGTAGCTTGTTCGCTCTGGGTCTTATCCATGCGAATCACGGTGCCCCGATTTTGGATTTGCTGACGAAGACTCTGCGCTCCAACAATGCGGAGGTCGTGCAGCATGGCGCTGCCCTTGGTCTGGGCGCTGCGGGCATGGCCACGGAAAATGAAGAAGTATACGAGGAGCTGCGGAATGTGCTGTACACTGACTCGGCTGTGAGTGGCGAGGCGGCTGGCTATGCGATGGGCATGGTATACCTAGGCACAGGCTCTGCGCAAGCGACCGAAGAGATGATGCAGTACGCACAGGAGACGCAACACGAAAAGATCCTGCGTGGTCTCGCGATTGGTATTGCGCTCTTGCATTATGGTCGTGAGTCCGCGGCGGATGCTACGATCGATGAGCTGCTATCACACAAGGATGCGATTTTGCGCTACGGTGGTGTGTATACCATGGCCCTAGCGTATGCTGGCACAGGCCACAATGCTGCTGTGCGTCGTCTCTTACACGTGGCCGTGTCGGATGGCAGCGACGATGTGCGTCGTGCCTCTGTGATTGCGCTAGGCTTTTTGCTATTCCGCTCACCTGAGCATATGCCGGAGATGGTCCAGCTTCTGAGTGAGAGCTACAACCCACACTTGCGGTACGGTGCTGCGCTTGCTCTTGGTATTGCTTGCGCTGGTACCGGTCTGGATGCGGCGTTGGATCTACTGGAGCCACTTACGAAGGACACGGTCGATTTCGTGCGTCAGGGTGCCTGCATTGCCATGGCCATGATCTTGGTCCAGCAGAACAATGTGCTGAACCCTCGTGGCGAAGCTGCTCGCACGACCTTTGACAAGATGATTCATGAAAAGCACGAAGAGGCGATGGCCAAGTTTGGTGCCGCGCTGGCGCAGGGTCTGATTGACGCTGGTGGCCGGAATGTGACCATTAGCTTGCAAGGCCGAGGCGGTAGTACCAATATGGCAGCCGTGGTGGGTATGGCCCTCTTTACCCAGTACTGGTACTGGTTCCCCATGGCGCACTTTGCGTCGCTCGCGTTGACGCCCACGGCGATTCTTGGTGTGACCAAGTCGCTGGAACTGCCAGCGTGGGACATTCTTTCGCATGCTCGTCCCAGCCTGTTTGCGTACCCTCCGCCTGTGCAGACACAGACAGAAAAGAAGCTGGAGAAGGTCGAGACAGCCGTGCTTAGTACGACGGCCAAGGCGCAGGCCCGTCAGCGCACCAAGGCGAAACAAAAAGCTCAAGCCGCCTCGGCAGGCGAGGCGGACATGGACGTGGATGCGCCCAAGCCCACAGGAGAGAAAGCTACTACCGATGAGGCAAACGCGGCAGAGGCTTCCGACAAGGAGAGCGCCAAGGCAGCGGCACCTAGCCACGCCGATGAGCCAAAGGAGGAGCGCATTCCCAACGGTTCGCGCGTGACAGTCTTCCAGCTCAAGTACCTCTCGTGCCCCGCTGAGGCACGCTACGTCCCTGTCCGCCCATGGACCACGTCATCGAGCTCGCAGGCTGCACCAGAGCCGGCCGCGGCGCGTCAACTGGATTTGTCAGTGACAGGGGGTCGTGGTGGTATCGTACTCCTATTGGACCGCGAACCTACCGCGCCGTTTGTGCCGGCTGTGCCGGATGACAGTGCGAATGATGCGAGTGCGACAGCCACCGCGGAGGAACATGCGCAGGCAGCGGCTACGTTGGCCTCGACGTCGGATGACGCGGATGCGCCTGCCGAGGCTACAGGTGTCGCATCGTCTGCTTCTGCCCAGGAGCCTGAGGATGCGCCGAAGCCCGTGGCTGATGAAGACGTCGATATGGACGAGCAGGCCAAATAGAGCGACGATCGACATTTCATATACTCAGCCCCCCTTTTACGTAGCTCTATATGATACTGCGTAGCAATGCGTCGAGACGAGCGGGTAGCGACGGGTCGGTTTGCCAATGGATCACCATCCGTCCTGTGCCTAGCGTGATCGGCGGGTCCAAGGCGGCGGCTTGTTGGACAAGGACCTTTTCGTCCAGGACGGAGGTGTCCCAACGGAAAAAGATCATATTGGTCTCCACAGGCACCAAAATCCGCGCGCCATGCGATTGTAGTACAGCGGCTACGCGCTGGGCCAGGGCATGGGTGGCTCGTAGCTTGGGCCACGTCTCATGCAGAGCCGCGTGAGCCGCCGCAGCTACGACACCTGTCTGGCGCATACCACCGCCCATCATTTTCCGGAGATAGTGGACAGTGCCTATCACTGTAGCGGGTCCTACTAGAATCGACCCGATCGGCGCTCCAATCCCTTTGCTCAGACACAGACTCACAGTATCAAACGGCTTACATAGATCACGTAGAGGCATCCCTGTCTCCGCCGCTGCATTCCAAAGTCGTGCGCCGTCCAAATGCAGTTGGATATCGTGAGCGCGAGCAAATGTAGCAATTCGCTTGATTTCATCCTGAGGAAAGATGGTACCGTGCAATGTGTTTTCCAGACTGATGATGCGTGTACGTGGCGCTGTGATGCTCAGCACTGTGTTCGCATGCTTCTTCACGTCGTCCAGTGTCAAATGATGCCCATTGGAAGGGACGACAGGCGTCGTAGAGGCATGTGAATTCGAGGCAATACCTCCAAGCTCGCTTGTATATATATGTGCACGGTGATCACACAGCACCGAGGAAGGCAAGGCATGCGAGCCTAGCAAGGCACGCAATGCGAGTTGGTTGGACTGGGTGCCACTGGGTAAAAAGATCGCACTTTCTTTCCCTGAAAGCTGGGCTACCAACGTCTCCAGCTGCATTGTAGGCACATCGTTACCAAGCACATTGTCTCCACACACAGCCGTTGCCATAGCCGCTCGCATGCGTTCGGAAGGCAGCGTCACGGTATCGCTCATGACATTGAACTTGATATGGTCATACGCCTGCTCTTCCTCCGCAGCGGACGGCGGCATGGGTGCCGGCACCAAAGGCAGCAAAGGCTCTGGTTCTGCTACGTCCACTTGGTAGCGCGGGATATGCGCCTGTTCCTCAGCCAGGTACATGGTGACAGCAAACAGGTACGAACGAGGGGCCGTGCATAGCTCTAAGCGTGGCGTAAAGGCCCTGCAGCAGCCTTGTCATTTCCTGCACGTGAGCCGGCCGAGCCCCCCAGGCTGGTTCAAATGGCGTGTTGGATGGCCAGCTTCCTTGGCGACACATGACGACACCCCGCGTGCTCGTGATCGGCGGCAATGGCTTTGTCGGTATGTTAGCACTCTTCTTATGTATACAGGCTCTGCGGTATGCAAGCAAGCCATTGCTCGTGGGTGGAATGTGGTGAGCATCAGTGGTAGTGGGCGCCCTTTCCGTACGCAGCGTGGCCACGCGCCAGCATGGACGGAATCGCCCCGCATGCAATGGCGTAAAGCGGATGCTTTTGATCCTGCTACATACCGTGATATTGCCGCTGAGTGTACAGCGGCCGTGCACACGATGGGCATTTTACTGGAGTCGGCGTACAAAGGGGAGAAAGGCTCGACAGGCGGTGCGCTTGCTGGGCTCGCCAAAGGATGGGGCTTGTCCAGCGGCGCCAACCCCTTGGCGGAAGATGGGCATGGTGGTAGCCTGACCTACGAACGCATGAACCGCGATGCTGCGCTGCTAGTAGCGCAGACCTTCAAAGACGTACAATCCCAGGCGCAACGTTCGCATGTCCCGTTTGTATACCTCTCTGCGGAAGACATTATGCGTCCCCTCATTTCGTCCCGCTATATTTCTACCAAGTATGAGGCGGAGCAATCTATCACCGCCATGGCTGACGATGTCCTTCGACCTATTCTCATGCGCCCTGGCCTCATGTATCACCCGCATCATCGCCCGTGGACCACTGTCCCGGCCACAATGCTGGACGCTTCCTGCCATCTACACAAACTGCGCACTAAGCTCAAGCTGCCCATCCCTCTGCCTGCGGACCTGCTGCAGAGCTCATGGGCACCGACAGCCCTACGTCCCTTGGCCGGCGCTCTGGTTACGCCACCGCTTCATGTGGATACTGTAGGTGTGGCCATCTGCGAGGCGATTGAGAACCCTGCTATCTATGGTGTGCAAGCTACCGCCTCGATTCGTCAGCTGGCCGGATGGCCCTCCGAGACGGAAGCGCCGTAGTCCTCCTCCTATAGGTTGTTGCTCCACGTCCACGCACCTATCAAGGTTGCATCTCCTTCGCACGGACAAACGTGGAGGGAAGAACCCCATGAATGCTTAGTCACATGCACGTGCCCATCAGGGGATAACGGACCTACCCCCGGTCGGCTCGGTCTCCTTGAGGTAGGAGCTTGGCGTAGATCATGTCGCTCTGGTCCGGATTTACACTGTACGTACGATACCTAGGTGAAGGAGGCAGCTAACACATGCAGTTATGTGTCGAAAGGTATGTTATTCACATTCGCCAGTTTTGTCTGGCTGAATGAGTGGGATGGACTGTGCTAACCTATAGACACCTACACGTTCGTGCCGAACAAGAGTGAGTCTGGTCGCAAAGCCCAGAAGCTTATTATCGATCGACGGAACGATGCTATTGAGCTGAAGCGTACGTATTCAACGCCTCTGTGCGCTTACCTATAGCGGTGATTATCGGTGGGGAGCCGCCGAAGCACGATAAGCAGTTTATTGTACACGGCATTCTCGGTATTGTGTCTCTTCACACGAGTGATTTCTTGGTCGTCATCACAAACCGTAAGCGTGTGGCGCATATCCTGAACTCGACCATCTACCTTGCGACGGACTTCCGTCTGTTGCCTGTGCGCAGTGATGCCAACCCGACGTTGCTCAGTCACCCGATTGAGCGTCGCTTGATTTCGCTCGTGAAGGAGTCGCTGTACTCTGGACCGCTGTACTTTAGCTACGAATTTGATCTGACCAGCAGTATGCAGCGTCAGATGCAGCAGGGCGCCGGCTTGTCTAGCGCCTCTGTGCCGCTGTGGAAGCGTGCGGACGAACGTTTCTTCTGGAACTTCCATTTGCAAGAACGTTTCATTCAGCATGCTCAGCAGAACCCGGATGAAGACATGTCTGCGTTCATTATGCCGGCCATGTTTGGTTTCCTCGAAGTGAAGCTGGTGACGATCCAAAACCGCTCGTTCGTGTTGGGTCTGATTGCCCGTCGTTCGCGCCATCGTGCAGGTACGCGCTACTTCTCGCGTGGCTTGGACAAGGACGGTAACGTGTCCAACTACAACGAGACGGAGCAGTTTGTGCTGCTGGACCCGCCGAGTCTGCACCAGCCGAAGGACATGGAGGATGTGGAAGGCCGGATCCGTATGAGCTTTATCCAGACGCGTGGTAGTGTGCCTGTGTACTGGGCAGAGATCAACAACCTGCGTTACAAGCCGGATATGATTATTCCTGACAACCCGCTTCTTGATGCGTCGTTTGAGAAGCACTTTACGAACCAGGTTGCCGTTTACGGCAAGAACTACCTGGTGAACTTGGTGAACCAAAAGGGATACGAGAAGCCGATCAAAGATGCCTTTGAGAAGGCGGTACGACACTTGGATCATCCGTTGGTGAACTACACATACTTTGACTTCCACCACGAGTGCAAGGGTATGAAGTTTGAAAATGTGTCCGTGCTTGTGGACCATCTCCAACGGGAAGGTCTTTCGTGCCACGACTACTTCTCGCTTGACACGACGGGTGCTCCGCGTCTGCAGCTGCAAAAGTCGGTGGTTCGTACGAACTGCATGGACTGCTTGGACCGTACCAATGTGGTGCAAACGACACTGGCTCGGTGGGTGCTGAATGACCAGCTGCGCTCTGTGGGGATCTTGACTGAGATGGACCGTGTGGAAAACCACCCGAAGTTCCTGCATGTTTTCCGTAATGTGTGGTCGGACCATGCCGATGTCATCAGCAAGGCCTACTCGGGCACCGGTGCGCTGAAGACCGACTTTACGCGTCTCGGCAAGCGTACAGCAGAGGGTGTGTTGCAGGACGGTCTCAACTCGCTTACACGGTATATGAAGAACAACTTCTTTGACGGCAAGCGTCAAGATGCGTACGACCTTATTACGGGTGCCTGGGATCCCAAGACCAACGTGCCGTACACGGATACACGTACATGGTGTGTGCGATTGATGCCGTGGCTTCTGTACTTGAGCTTGTTCTTTATTATTGCTGCGCTGTGCCTGCCAGAGGGAGAGCCTCTGCGCCCGTACCGTGTGGACACGGGTATGGTCCCGATGTTTGTGCTTGTGTGGGTGCTGGTCTTGCTCTTTGCGCTGCGCTTCATTTGGCAGCACGGTGTGGAGTATGTGGGATGGCCGACGCTCAACCGCCCTGAGAAGCTCATGTACTTCACTGGCCCTGGCTACATTTCAGGGTTGCGTGGCCACAAAGGTGCACCGAATGATCCCAAGGTGCTCAAGAAGGCCCAGGCGGCCGCGAAGAAGCAGCAGTAGATAGTGTGTAGTGGGCCGCCCCAGTCGTGGTTGTATCGGTCGCAGGCCAGAGAGTGCATCACGTGACACAAAAGTCTGCGTCGTCGTAGGCGACGCAGTCGTGCGGCGGCGAGGGGCGCGCCTGGGTTGACCAGCGCGATGTTTTGTGCGAGTACGTGGGGGTGTGGCTAACGTATAGTCTCTGGTGAGGCGCCGAAAGAGCCTGTGGTCTCGAAAAAGAGTGGCCACTTGTACGAAAAGCGGCTCATTGAGCAGTATGTGGCAGAGCATGGTAAGGATCCTGTCACAGGCGAACCGTTGACAGAGGATGACCTTATCCCTTTGCAGTCGTGTACGTACGCGCGACCACGTTCGCTAACTCAACCAGCTCCTCGAACGGCATTTCCACGCCCTCCGACGCATTCGTCGGTACCTTCGCTGCTGACAGCGCTGCAGAATGAGTACGATGCTATGGTGTTTGAGACGCTGGCGCTGCGGAAGCAGTATGAAGCGGCTCGGCAGGATCTGGCGAATGCGCTGTACACCAACGATGCAAGTATGCGCGTGATCGCGCGCCTGATGAAAGAACGAGATGATGCGCGGGAAGCGCTGGCGAGTGTGCACCAGTCGCTGGGCCTGCCGGCGCAGACGGCCGAGGCGACGACCACGGACGATGTGGATATGGATGCGGCAGCTGATGCGCCTCACACGGCTTTCCCTTCGGACATGCTTGCACAGATTGACGAGACGGCATCGCGTCTCTCGTCCGAGCGTCGGGCGCGTATCAAGCGCGGAGCGTCGGACGCGTCGTACCCTACGACAGAGAGTGTATCGTCGTTGCATGAAACAGCGTCGATCCCATCGCTGCATGGCGCCTCCTCGCCTGGCATCACGGCGCTGGATGTGAGTGCGAATGGACAGTGGCTACTTACGGGCGGCAAGGACAAGCATGTGCTGGTGATCGACCGTGAGAGTGAAAAAGTGCTCTCGACGCTCAAGGGGCACACCAAGCCTGTGACGGCCGTGGCCTTCTCTGGCCGCAGCAACCCCTTGGTGGGGCACGAGGCAGCGGACGCGGCGCCGGCGCCTGCCTACGCTGTGAGTGCGAGTGCGGATAAGACCGTGCGTGTGTGGCGCCATGAGGCGGAGGGGACGTTCCGCCTGGCGCATACGTGGAAAAGCCACACGGCCGAGGTGACAGGCGTGGACGTGCACCCCACGGATGCGTTGGTCGGCAGTGCTTCGCGCGATGGATCGTGGGCGCTCCACTCTCTTGAGACGGGCGAGCGCTTGTTGCATGTGACGCAGCCCTCTACCTCGGACGACGAGGCTGGGTACGAGTACGAATCGTTTGCGTTCCATCCCGATGGTCAGCTGGCTGCGACGGGTACCGCCGATGGCGTGATTCGCGTGTGGGACATCAAGCAGGGCCGGCAATCGGCGCTCTTCCGGACGGATGCCGGGCGCGTGCACGCCTTGCACTTTTCGCAGAATGGCTACCTTCTCGCAGCAGCCTCGGACCAGGCAGCCGAGGTGCAGATTTGGGACTTGCGGAAGTTGGCGCTCGCGCGGCGTGTGGAGGCCGCCTCGGCGCCCGCCCAAGTGCGCTTTGATCCTACGGCGCAGTTCCTCGCGGTGGTCGGCGCGGCTGTGCGTGTGTACGGCGGGAAGACGCTCACGCTGTGCGCTACGATGGACGTAGGCGACGCCCGCATGACCAGTGTGCAATGGAGTCCCCGCGACGGCGCGCTCCTTGTGGCTGGCATGGACCGTACCGTGCATATGTACACGCCCTAACCTATGTAGTTGACATGCGTATTTATTTCCTTCTAGGCTAGCGTGGCCCGCGCCGCCTCTACGTACGCGCGAATTTTCGCCGGGTCTTTCTGCCCGTCCGTTTCGACGCCTGAGCTGGTATCGACGCCCCATGCATGGGACGTAGCGATGGCCTCTGCGACGTTCGCGGGGGTAAGTCCGCCAGCAAGGAGAAAGGGCAGCGGCTCATCGCTGGTCGCCAGCGCCTGTGCATGCTCCCATTCGAATGCGATGCCAGAGCCGCCATGACCTGTCGGCGCCGCGGTATCGAGGAGGATCACATGGTGGTAGCCGGGCCGTGTCGCTTCGCGCAGCGCTCGCTGTGCCTCGTCGGGCTTCGTGCCTGGCGCGACGTGGAACACACGCACGACAAACACGCCGGGCAAGTAGCGCGTCCAGTCCAGCGGCTCAGTACGGCCATGCAGCTGGACAACATCCAACTGCAGGGCCGTGGTCATCGTGACGATCTCGTCCAGCGGCTGATCGCGGAACACACCGACGGCCAGGGGCCGGCGTTGCGCGGCCTCCTGCAGTCGTCGCGCATGCCACGTAAACCACGTCTCGCCCAGCGGCGGCGTAGGTGCCAGGCATGATGCGGACACGGCACTGCTACGGGCGTGCACACGCGACACCATGGCGTGCGCTTCGTCGAGCGACACCGTTCGTTTGGTCCCAGGCGCGAGAATCATCCCTAGCAAGTCTGCGCCGGCATCGATCGCAACGTCGACCGCCTCTGGCGTGCGCAGACCACATACCTTGACCACAGGACGCAACGCCGTCGGTGACGGCGGCGTCCGGCCTTGCAATTCGGCCATAAAGGCGCTCTTGTTGGCGGCCCGCATAAACGCTTCGCCGACCAGGATGGCCTGCACACCCTGCGCGAGGTACTGCTCCACATCTGCCCGGCCCGCAATGCCACTGAGCGCGACCAGGATGACGCCCCGCTCCAGCGCGGCCTGGGCTAGTCGTGTGGTCGTGCCCATATCGACGTGGAAGTTGTGCAAGTTGCGATTGTTCACACCCACGACCTTGGGGTTGAGCGCCAAGGCACGCTGCATCTCTGCGGCATTGTTTACTTCGACCAACGGATCCATACCCAGCTGCATACTGTAGTCGTACAGCCGACGAAGCGTCGCATCGTCCAGCATGGCCACAATCAGCAGCACGGTATCGGCGCCAGCCAGACGAGCCTCGGCAATTTGGTATTCGTCCACAATGAAATCCTTGCGCAGGATCGCTGGGCGATGCGGCAGACGCTCAACGGCACGTCGCGCCCACGCCAAGTCTTCCAGCGTGCCTTTGAACCACGTCGGCTCGGTAAGCACACTAATGACATTTGCGCCGCCACGCGCATACGCCAACGCCTGCTCGCCCGCATGCGCCTCAGGAGCGATATCGCCCTTGCTCGGCGACGCACGCTTCATTTCCGCCATGACACCAGGCGCGCTGGGCGATGTATTGTACAACAGACGCTCGGGGAACGATACTTGCGGCGGATCGATTTGCAGCGCCAACGACCGCTCCAACTCGGCCATGCCGCGGCCCGGCACCGCCTTGGCCGCGGCGACATCCAACTTGCGCTGGCGGTAGATGCGCTGCAGGATCGTCTCTGAGGACGTGCTTGCTCGCGCCGTTGCTGCCGCGGCGGGCGCGGCCAGCGCGGAGGGGTTCTCTTTCCAGGTACCGCCACGCCATTGCAAAAAGTTCTTCATCATCTCGTGGCCATGCTCACTCATAACACTCTCCGGATGGTACTGCACCGCCTCCACCGTGTACTCCTTATGACGCACACCCATGAGCACATGCGTCTCGGTCCACGACGTCGCTTCCAAGCACGACGGCATCGCGATGATGTCCGCCGCCAAGCTATGGTAGCGTGTCCCGACAATTGGCTCTGTACCTAGACCGGCAAACAGACCACGCCCATCGTGCTGGATCATCGACGTCTTGCCATGGAAAATCTCGCCAGCGGAGCCGACCTTGCCTCCGTTGGCCACGACCGTGCACTGCAGACCCATGCAAATGCCCAGGATCGGAATGCGGCCCTGGAACCGCTCAATACAGGCCAGCGAAATGCCCGCATCCGTCGTGGGATGACCAGGGCCCGGGCTGATGACCAGGTTCACGGGGTCCAGCGCCTCAATCGCCTCGAGTGTGACTTGGTCATTACGGAAAATCACCAAGTTCGCACCGCACTCTACGAGGAATTGAACGACGTTGAACGTAAAACTGTCATAGTTATCAATCATAACCGTGATCCCCTGACCCGCGCGAGGCGGGCTCGGAATGCAGATACGGCCATCGGTGCCTTCCTCGAATGCCGACATGGACGATGACAGGCCTGCGCTGGGCTGCGCACCTCCACTGCCTGCTCGCCTGGTCGCTCGCTGGCTGACTCAGGCCAGTCGTTCGCCATCACGTGGCCACCCGCGGCCGTGCATCTCGTCGTGGGTCAGCGTCGCGCGCCGCTGCGACGCTCGGTCGTCGGTCTTCTACGCCTGCACTGGGGACGGGGGCTCATTATGTCGCGCGAGGCTCATACACTGATTCTCGTGCATGATGCGCATCATATTTATGCCGGCATCGGGATTCACGACCCGTTTGCGCGACCGGATGTTGTACGTACTCCCCATCGACTCACGTCCAGGTGATCGATACGCGTGTAGGTCGACAGTGCGATGGCACGTATATCACCTACGACCAAACAGTACACCCCACAGCGGTAAGTGATGTGTTATGGGAGTACCCGATTGAGAATGGCGTCGTGCGCGACTGGAAGGCCGTGGAGACATTGTGGTACGTTACGGCATAGCTTACCGCAGGCGCTATGTGCTGGAAACCAAACTTCATATCAAGCCAGCGGAAAACACATACTATCTCATGCTCGCTCTCCCATCGCCCGTGTCTCGCGATGTGTACGAGGAAAGTGCACGTCTTCTTTTTGAGCAGTTCAATGTGCCTGCGCTGTCCATGAGCGAGATTCCCCTTATGGCAGCGTACGCGGTAGGTGTGCTCAATGGTCTCATGATCGATGTGGGCTTCAATGATACGCGTGTCAGCGCGGTGAGCGACTGCATGGCCGTCCCTAGTGCCTCGTTGGTCACCAAGCTTGGCTTAATTCACTGTGCGTGGTGGCTTGCGTACCTGCTCAAGCAAGAGACGGACGTCGTGCAGGCCGTGGAGCCTGTTGCGCGTGGCCAGTTGGATGCAGCCCTGTGGGAATTGGCCCAGGACCTGATCGCGAACAAGCACGTGTATGTAGACGCGGAGGCGGCGCCCGTGGTCGACGAGGACGAAGGCGTGTTGGACGTGGCGCAGGCCTTGGTCGAAGGGCGAGAGCACGATGTCGTCGAAGAGCGGGAGCGACAGAAAAAGATGCCGGCCAAGCCAGCTGCCGCGACGTCGACGTCAAATGCCACTTCATCAAGTGTCGTGACAGTGACCTTCCGTGACGTCGCTGTGCCGGTGGGCACGGTCCGAACGCGCTTCCATGAGCCGCTTTTGCGGCCTGCGTTGCTGGACCGTGTAGTGCTGGATGTGCCTATGCCATACTCTGTGCGTGATGCGCAGCGTGCACGCCGTATTGGCGGTGAGCCGGCGTGCCTCTCTATCAGCGATGCGGCCGCATGGGCTGCCAACAATGTCCACCCCATGGAGCGAAGGCCAGCGTTGTGGGAGAACATAATTTTCACAGGTGAAGGCTCGATGATCAAAGGCCTGCCGAACGAGCTGATGCAGAGTTTCTCGTCGCACATGACGACCGAGTCAACGGAGCTCTCGCAGGTGATCGGAGAGCCGCATCCATGGCAGCCGCACAATGCACGTCTACTGCGCATTCCCGACTACTTTTCGGCGTTCAAAGAGCGCATGGACTTGGCGCCGTACCTGGGTGCTACGATCTTTGCCAAGCTTGTGTTTGGTGACTTGTCGGGCCGCAACTATATCACGAAGAAGCAATACAATGAAGGCGGGCCTTCTGTCGCGTTCGCGATGGGCAGTGTGTAGGAGGGATCGTAGTCGTACATGGCATCATGTGTTTGCATAGACACAAGAGACTGCGACTGAGACGCGCCAGGGTAGAGTTTGTGGGTTGTTACATACATCTATACGCCATCACTTACACAGCCGACTTCACCAGATCACACACCGAGTTGAGAAGCGCCTCGACGTCATCGGGCGTCCTGGCCTCGGCATAAATACGGACCACATCCTCTGTGCCACTCGGACGCACAAAGGCACGGCCATTCGGCGTCCTCTTGACCACGGCATCGATCTTGTCTTGCAGACCGTGCGGCTGATCCAAGCGACGCTCTGCATCGCTCGTCTGGAACACAAAGCGATCGGGCACTTGGATCTTGGCCAAGCGGTTCGGTAGATCCTCGTAGCAGCTGTCCCACAAGTATGCATCCCAGCCATTCATCGTAAGGATATAGAGCACCAGCAGCAAGTCGGAAATGGCGTCACCCACCGCCTGGTTGATCAGAATCGGCAGCGTGCGCAGCTTGTGCAGCGAGTCCTGGCAGCCTTCCTTCGCAAGGCGGTTCGCCATATCGATCATGACCATGGTGTACGGCGAGAAGAGGACCGTACCGTGGCCATTCGCCTCAAAGTACACACCGATATCGTGCCGCTCAGCTGCATGGTGGAGGTGCTTCACACCGGTCTTGGTGCACGTAATGGGCACGCGCTTGGCCAGGTACTCTGTCGAGGCGCCATTCGCGTACGCCGTCTGCACACAGCCCAGTTTGATATCGAGCTTAGCTGCCTTGCAAAGCGTCGCGAGGTAGTCGGTCGCCAACGTAGCAATCTTGTCACCGTCGAGCAGATGGAAGCTCTCTGGCTTGCTGGCTGGGCCCGTCAGGTAATAGAACACAATACGGTCCGCATCGCCATCAAACGAGCACAGCAGCGTGTCTTCCTTGACACTCGGCTCGTTCTCGTAGCCCAGCGGCATGCGCTGGTTCGTCTTGACAAAGTCGGCACCGCATCCGTTGTTCAATGCGCCCGTTTTGCCGACGTCCGTACGCAAGAGTGTGACGTCTACAAGGTCTTTTGGAAGCAGATCAAGCAGGCCCTGCATGGCCTTGGCGCCTACACCGTTGGCACAGTCCACAACGACCGGGAGCTTGACTTTCTGGCCGCCAAGCAGTTCCTGGAAGGCGCCCGCCAGCTTCTTGTAGTAGCCCATCTCATCAGGGTGGCCGTACGGGTGATCCGTCGCTTGGGTGTTGTGTGCCAGCACAAGATAGTGCAGCTGCGGCGTAGTCAGCATACCGCCGTCAACGATCTCAGCGTGCATGGCATGCAGACCATCAAGCATCGCCTTCACAAGCCTCGACGAGGAGGGACGTGTGTCGTAGCCAAATACAATACGGGGCGTCATCGACGTATCCAGGCGGTGCTCGTGCACGATCTTCGTCAGCTCCAGCACCACTGCCTCATCACTCGGCGCATTGGCGACTTGCGAGCAGATGCCTTCCCACTCGGGTGCGAGCATTTCGCCACGTGTGTCGACAATCTTCACACCGTTGTCCTCCTCAGGGTTATGCGATGCGGTAATCATTACACCGATGAAGCGCCCTTCCTTCACCAGACTACGAAGGGCCGCGACCAGTCCGATACGGAAACAGGTACTGTCGAGAATATCGGCCCTGCACTCGGTTAGTATGCTTCGCCTCTCGTTCCACGTACTTTGTCCGGAAACCAGCCGTACCATATGTATACTTAATGTCCGGTTTAGGGTGCGCCTTCGACGCCGCGATAATGTCCTTCTCGTGCAGCATGGTAGTGCAAGGGAAGTGTCGGGGACCGCCCATCCACGTGACGCGTTGGCGTATCGGCCAGAAGCGCACGTACCTCCGCCGTGGTTGTTCTCTAGGAACATGCAGGCTGTATTACAAAAAGTGACGCGATCTTTGCCTTGGTTCGTGTTGGAGCCGGCCAAGTACATTCTCGGCGATACGTGTTACCAGAGCTTGGTGTGGGATGTAAACTATACGGATGTCGCCTGCCTACGACTTGGCCTATCCAAAGGCTTGGGCCTCGGCATTGTGGTGTTTGGCAGCATCATCAAGTTCCCCCAGATTTACAAGATCGTGCATGCCCGCAGTGCCGAAGGCATTAGTCTCGCCATGTACATTCTCGAAGTCATTGCGTACACGATTAGCTTGGTGTATGCCATTCGTCTTCGCATTCCTTTTAGTACCTATGGTGAAAATGCCAGCTTGACAGTGCAAAGTACGTCGACCCTGCATGCAGCTTACCACAGATATGGTCATTACTCTGCTCATTATTGCGTACTCACCTATGGACTCGGTCTCGCGCCGCGTCACGACGTTTTGCCGGGCTCACGGGATCTCGACCAATGCCTTGTATGTCGCAATCGGTGCTGTCCTCATGGTCGTCGGCTCTCTCGCGCTGATCAGCGAGCGAACGGTCGCGCCGCCATTGCTTCAGTTCTTGCAGGGCCTCACGATCCCTGTGTCGCTTGCATCGAAAGTACCTCAGATGTTGGAGCTGCATCGTTCTAAGGCCACTGGGGAGCTAAGTATCCTTGTCGTGTTTGCACAGCTTCTCGGCACGATGGCCCGTGTGTTTACGACGCTCACCGAGACCAACGACCGCCTTCTCTTCTGGGGCTTTGCCCTCGCGACGATTTTCAATGCGGTGATTGCTGTACAAGTGATTCTCTACTGGAACGGCAACGCAACCAAGGCTGCGCGCTTGCACGAGAACCGGTGGTTCGAATCGCCCAGCACGCCCAATTCACGCCGCTTGTCGGAGCTGCCGCTGGTCGCCCCACGCTCTGTGTCTTCGAATACCAAGCGCGATTAATGACGAAGATAGAGTGCCATCCCCGTACATATGACGAATACCAACATACTCATGTAGACAGGCGCCATGTCATCGCCGGGTAACAAGGCACTGGCCAGCACAGGCGCTAGGATCCCCGCAGCGCGGCCCAAGGCACTGGCTATCGCACAGGCTGTGCCACGCACCTGTGTCGGAAACATTTCGGGCGTGGTCCCGTACAAAATCGCATAGGCTGTATTCGCCGTAAACGAGACGCTGATCCCAGCTATGCGAATCGCCAGTGAGGAGCGTGCGCACGCGAACAACAGCAGGCTCAGCGACGTCGCACCGAGCATGCATGGCATCGCATACGTAGCGCCTGTGCGGAGCCACGCAGCGGCGCACAGACTGGCAGGTACCGAGCTCACAGCGTACCAAAGCACGTCATGACTTACATCCGCCTGTTTGCGCTGTAGGAGAAGGGGGTATAGAGCGTTAAACATTGTGAAGCCTAGCGACATGTTCGCCCACAGAAGCCATACCATGTACGTGGTTCGACGGCATGGACGCGAGACGAGATGGCCGACTTGTTCACGCCATGGCGCTGGATCTGGCTCGTCGTGGATCCATGCCTCGTCTTCATCGAGTGTCGAGGTAGCCTCTAGGACAAGGGCCATATCATCCCAACGGCCTTGCGCTGCTAGGAACCTTGGGCTTTCGTATGTCGTCGACCCCCACCGCCGAGCGATGGCGGCGGCCAAGGTCAGTCCGCTGAGCACCAATACCAGGTGTCGCCACGCTTGTGCACACGATGCATCGTTGCAGGCGGGGAGGATTGTGTAGGCGAGGCCCGCGCAAATGACAGAGCCTAGGGCAAAGCACACCGACAGCCCTGTGAGCCAATGGTGCAAAGCGTGCGGCAACGACTCTAGCAACAGCGTCCCATCGATAGGCATGCTTCCCCCGATCCCTGTGCCAAGAACGATACTGAAAAAGCAAGCCATCAAGTACGTCGGCGCCATCGAGAGCCCAAGACCACCGAAGGCGGCAACAAGAAGGGTGGAGCGGTACACGCCATGCCGGCCTTGCTGGTCTGCCCACACGCCCCATCCCAGCGCGCCGATCATCATGCCAGTAAACATACTCGCTGTCATGAGCCCAATACGCGCATCGGGAATGTGCCAGGTGGCTCCGCATAAGTCGGATCGGTCGACATACCTTGCAGCGACGGCAGGCTCATCGCTACGCCTTGGAGCCACATCTGCGTAAGTTATGCACGATCGCGTACATTATCAGCGGCCCATCCCAGTCCACATAGCACCTACTGTGAGTGGCACCGCACTTCACGTACCCACAAGCGCACATGGTACCCGCGCGCGTTCCCCCACGCACCACGACGCCCGAGTGCGGGGGTCATGGTGTCAGTGGGGAAGCGGCGTTTCCTATCACGTGATGGAAGAAAAGAAAAGGGAGACTCAGGGCTCGTGGCTGGCAGCTACGACGACGACGAAGATGAGCCACGCTGACAGTGCTGCATCGGTAGCGCGCCGTGACGAAGCGAGCAAAGAGGCGGAGGAGGCCGAGCGCATGCAGATGACGGAGGCCGACCAGGAAATGCTGAACATGGACTCGGACGTCATTGAAGAAGTGCAGCTGGATGGTCTTGTGCTGATGAAGATCATTAAGCACTGCAAGGACAACCATGCTGCGAATGGCAGCAATGCGTGGGGTGCGTTGCTTGGTATGGATGTGGGCGGTACGTTGGAGGTGTCGAATGTGTTTGGTCTCCCTGGCGCACGCAGCGAGCGTAGTGAGGAAGAGGAGCGCAACACGCGTTCGACGATGCAGTACATCGGCGAGATGCTCCGTCTTCTGCGCCAGGTGAACACGGAGGTCAACCCGGTGGGTCTGTACCAGGGCGCCTTCCTGGGCCCCTTCCTGAACACAGCCGTGGTCGATGGCCTGAACACACTCTCGGTGCTCATGGAGCGCGAGGGCAACCATGGCTGCGGCAAGGCCGTGCTGCTCGTGCACGACTACGCCCAACTCGCGGAGGGCAACACAGTGATCAAGGCGTACCGTATGGCGCCTGCATTTGTCGAGGCGTACCGCAAGGGCAAGTTTACCGTGCAGAGTCTGAGTGAGCACCGTTTGACGTTCTCGAACATACTAGAGGAGATTCCTGTGCACATCCACAACACGGCCCTTCTGAATGCGTTCTTGGCTACAATTACGACAGAGAATGCCCCAGCGCCGCGTATTGTGCCGCGGACTTCGAAGGAAAAGCTGATGCAACCAGCTGATATGCAGGTGCCGTCGAGTTTCATGGACTTGAACTTGGCGCTGGAGCCTGTGCTTGTGTCCACCGCTGAGTCGACGTTGGACGCGGCCGAAGCGTACGCGGCGGAAGCTGGTACCGTCGGCTACCAGGCGCGCCAAGTCGCGCGTGAAAAGGCCAAGGCGGAGGCGTTTGTGACGCGTCGCAAGGCCGAGAACGCGACGCGCGAGGCGGCGGGTCTCGCGCCTTTGCCACTCGACGAAGTGCACAAACTCTTCAAGATCCCTGCAGAGCCGAACCGTTTGGAGAGCTTGTTGCTGCTGAACCAACTGGACCAGGCGGCGCACCGCCTCACGGATACCGCTGCGCTCGGCGCTGTGCAACTGGAGGCGGCTCGCACTGGTACAGCGTAATTTTCTATATGTATGGTATTTATTTACGTAGCATCCGCGCCTCGGCGGCACGAGCCCGTTTTTCACGCTCAATGCGACGTCGCATCTCGTCCGACAGACCGGCCTCGGACATGGTGGCCATGCCCTGATCGCCCAGTCGCCGTGGGCCATGGGTGGTCGAGGCGGGCGTCGAGGCGGATGTCGCTGCGGCAGCGGCGGCAGCCGCTTCCGCCTGTGCCTTCTCTTCCAGCTTGGCGTCGCGCTCCCGCAACTTTTCGCGCATCGCCGCACGACGAGAGCGTGCTTTCGACGCTTGTGCTTCCTCCATATCTGCCGTAAGAGCCGAGGGCACACGCGCACCACCCGGTCCCATCTCATCCCACTTCCACCACGTCGGCTGCTCGGCCATCACCCGACGAAAGACAGCACGCGTAGCCTTGGCATTGCAAAGATCATACGCTGTTCGATGTGCCGTACTGCCCTCGTCTTTGAGCACAGGCAACGTAGGATCTGCGTGGCGCTCTGTGAGCAAGTACTGCACCATATCCGCCTGATCCGCAGCGGCAGCGGCCTGCAAAAGCGTAGTAGGCACTTGCCCGGTGGACTTGGCTTCGGCCTGCCGCCACCACGCCGGCAACGGTGTGTCAATCCCTGTGGCATCTGCGTACGCGGCCGGCTTGGAGTTCACGGAGGAAAGCAGCGAGGCATGCCGCTCAAGGAAATGCTCAAGCGGGCCAATCTTGCCTTTCCGCACCATGGAAATCATACGAATCCATCGCTCACGCTCACGCTGCTCTTGCACATCTTTTTGCATCTTTTTCGGGCGTGGCGGGGGTGGCGTAGGCGTGTGTTTCGCCGCATTCGCACGCAGCGCTGCCGTGACCGACGCCTGATGCGCCGCGTCGTCTTGCGCCGCGAGTTCTTCCGGCGTAAGGTGGGCCACTTTGACACGCGTGAGCTCCAGGAAGCACCGCACAATTTCTGAGAGCGTAGGACGCTGCGTAGCGATCGGGATATGAGAAAGTGTGCCTTGCGCTTGCTTGGCGTCCAACGGACTCGTTTCATGGCCAGTCCAGTGCCATAGCACACCGTTGGCGGCCCGCATGGAAGTGCGGACCCATACATGCTCTGAGCGTTCAATCAACGTTCGCCAGCCACGCCGCTGCAATAGTGTATGGATATCTGTGCGTAGCTGCTGCTCGCCGTACCGACGCAAATTCGCACCTGCACTCTTGGCATGCTTGCCCGCGGCGTCTTGCGCGGACTGCGAGCCACCTTGCTTCCGTCGCGTAGTGTATCGATGGAAGGTCTTGTGGGCCAAGACGACAATGGAGCGAGGCGCTTTTGCTCCGCGTGCTTCAGCACGTGCGGATAAGGGTGGGACATGCAAATTGAGGGCCATGGTCGCGATGGCAAAATGGCCGCCGCCCATCATGACAAACGTCCAGAGACGAAGAGGCGGAAGAGGGATCGACGCAGGAAGACTCTCTGCGTCCGAGGCCGCGCTGTTCTCCGACAGCGTGGCTTCGTCGTCGTCGTCGCCGCTGGAGGTGTCACTCACATCGCTGCTGCTGACGCCGGCCAAGTCACTGGGATGCAGCCAGGGCACGAGACCCTGGCCGTCCAGCACATGCATTTGCATGGCGCGACCTACCTGGTGCGTCCCTTGTAAATGCTTACCTGACCAGCCCTGTGTGCCAGGACGAATAGTGATACGTGGCGTAGTAAGGGAAGCGAGGAACGACGAAGGCTGCGTCTCGCCACTCGACGCCAGCAACACGTCACGGTACAAGCCCAGCTGCGTCTGCTCGACGTGCATGGGCGAGCCAGGTCGTGTCTCGTACCACAGGAGCGGCGACCGAAGTGCGTCGGGTAGCGCAGCGACGGAACGTGCTGCATGCGCTTCACCCTCGTCCGCGGGCGTTGTGAGTGTCAGTCGTCCCACGAGCGCAGAGAGATCGTCCTGTGTGGCGCCGTCGTCGCTCTCGTCATCGGAGCCAGTATGAAGAGAGGCGAGTTGCTCGTCTAGCATGTCGCGAGTGACAAGCGCCGGTGTCGACGCCGTATCACGCGCGCCATACTGCTTTAGGACAAGGTTGTACCGATGCCATAGACTCTGGAAATGCGAACGCTGCGCCCGAACGCTCGCGAACGGTTCACATCCAGGACACAGTGTACATGGTGGCGCACCCTGCGTAGGTTTGGCGGGGGCCGTATCAGCCGGTGCCGCTGGATCTGTCGAGGTAGGCCGGTCTTCTTGCTCGCCTTCGGCGGTGCGCAAGACCAGCGACGAGGCTAAGCCAGGGGGCAAGTCAAACACGTACATCGGTGGTCCGGGGAGACTAGGACGCCCCTGTGCCATGGTATGCGGTGTTGTCGTGCGTGGGAGTGGTAACGACATACGACGTCCACGCCACCGAATGCGCACGCGTATGGTGAAAACGGAGATCGTTCGACAGTGGAGGGACCGCCGTTCGGCCTCCTCTCCCACGCCGCCCTCTTGTCCCACAAAAAAATTCCATCGATGTACAGACCTAATAGAATGCTACAGTGTGCAGCAGAGGGTACACGTAGCGCTGCTGCTGCTCCTCTAAGATAGTATCCATATCCTCGTCGAGATCATGCGCGCGTTCAATCTAGCACGTCAGGGACACAGGCAACAAAGGACGTACCTGATCAGCCAGCTCCAGGATGGCTTTGGCGGCTTTTTGTGCCTCTTCATGGTTGTCTTTGATTTCGACATTGATGACATGCACAGGTCGATTGAGTTCGTGCCGTCGGCTCAGCAGGTCTGATGTAAGTGGATAGGCACGTACCTTCACACACGCTATCAAAGCACCGCTCTTCGCATGTAATGACCACATCGGCCACACGACGACTTTCATGCCATCGTTCTGGGGCCGTTTTGATTTTGCGGTTCCGATCCAGCATAGGTAAGAGGCCATTGGCCTCGTACAGTTTTGGATCTTTTTTCAACAAATCTTGGAACATAACTTCGTACGGTGTACCGAACGAATAGATATTGGGCTTGTCAATGGAAGGGCCAGGCAATCGTACCGCGGAGCCTGTCCCTGCCGATGTCACTTGAAAGCCAGCGTTCCTGGGGTGAGTGGACGCGAGCCACGTACTTTAATGAGTTGTGGGCCGACATGGACCGATTCTAGGCATGAGTGACACCTACACCTATACATACCTGATTGCTGGCGCATACAACGCAAAAGGCGACGTGCCCACGCGGCTCCGACTCGGACGCCATACGCACCAACGAGATGAACGTGAAACGGCTCGCTCGCGGCCGACCAGCGCGTCGGCGAGGACGTGTGGAGGGGGAAGGGGGGCAAGCTGGCCAAAAAAAAAAGAGGTGAATCGTCATCGGCCCGGGTTGTCAGGCGACGCGATGAGTCGCGGAAAGCAGTGAAGACGTTGCGCATGGATCCCTCAACACCGGCACATGTCCCCCCGGACGTGTCTGTCACGGAAGACGATGCCGAGGCTGTAGCCTCCAAATACATGGACGAGCTTGCTGCGAGGCTCTTGGCGCCCACCGAGCCCACGCGCTCGGAAGCTTCCCCACCCATGCCCGAGCCTGATTTGGACTCGACGACCGCGGCCAGCTTGGAAAAGTTCATGGCCAACCTAAAAGAGCATTTGCAGCTGGATCCAGAGGACTGGTCTGCAACAACAGGGATGGCCCCTGCGTCGTCCAGCGCGTCGACAGGTGCCATGCCGAGCACCTCAACCTCGGCCTCAGCGTCCCCCATTCCTACCTCGACCACCGTTCTACAACACACACCTCGTGAACGCGCTCATACACGCACACCCGCGGAGCATGAACGCCGGATCGCGCACGTCGTGCGTGAATACATGCGGCAAGAAGCGCATGGTGTCCCGCCAGGCGTGTCGCCTATGATGACCAAGATCAAGTGTCTTCATGCCAGTGTCGCACAGAAATCCTACGGCTCAGAGAAACGGTTTTTATGCCCACCACCTGTCGTACATATCACGGGCTCGTTGCGGTACACGCCCAACGCGCCGCTTCTTCTCATGCAGGTGCAAGGCGAAGATAGCGATAGCTTCTCGGGCGAGCAGGTGTCGCCGTTGGACGACACACAGCATGCGCGCTTTACGGAGCTCCATGTCACAGGGACAGGCAAGGCCAAGAGTTTCCGGCTGCAATTGCATTTACTCGCACCGCACGACGGCCCGGAGCCTACGAAGCGTATGCGACTGGGCCACGGTGAAACCGCGGCGGTGCGCAGTACCAGCTGGGCCAGCTTTGACTCGGCGCCCATTGGCATCATCTCCAAACCGTCCAAACGCATCGCCAAGGCCCGCAATGTGTCTGCACATATTACCAAGGACACGTCTGTGTCGCTATTCAACCGAATCAATTCCCAGACCTACCGAACCAAATACCTCTGTGCGCAAGACGGGCGTCTTTCAGCGCAAAGTCGTACATGGACGGCCTTCCGGCTGGTACTCCTCTCACGTCGGGAGGCCGCTGCGCCACGTGATACGGCCGATGAAAGTGTGCTGACCTACGGCTCGGTGATTGTGCTGATCGACCCTGCGTCTGGGGCTGCGACCGATCCCCTCATTGTATGCAAGGTCGATCGTGGGCGTATTTTGCCGCCGATCGATGGCGGTGGAGACGAAGGGCAGGAAGACGATGAGCTGAGTGCGTGGGGGGCTGTGACCCAAATGCAAAAGGTAGCCTTGCTGCGCTACATGCCCTCGGATCGCGGTGCGTGGATCTTGGATGCGCATATGCCCCGCACCTATCTGTGCGCAGGCACGCCGACACACGACACAACAGTGCGAGTAGGGGAGACGACCGATGATGCGCATTCCCTGCCTCTGACATTTGCATCCACCCAGGCCACGTCGTTGCCCTCGGGAGCGCCTGTGGACGAGGCTGAAGATGCGTTTTGTTGGACCCTGGTCGGCATTTCCCACTTTGAATACGCGTATATTGACGTGGACATGCTCGATATGCCGACTTCGTCCCCGAGTGTTGGACTTTCCCTTACCCCCTTCCCCCTTGTGACGACTATGCCCTACTATGATGCACCGACCCACAAACTCGCGATGACTGTGCAGAACTTTTTCTATGTCCGCGACTCGGCGGCCTTGCAAACGCCGCGTGAGGCGTATGCAGCCGCGCGGGCCCCCGGCGCGGCCCTGGCCCCGCTGGAGGTGTGGCTCGGTCCGCTGGGCCCTCTGATCCTTGCCTTTGCTCCGCTGCCGGACAGCGACGAAGCCGAAGTGGCTGTGCAGTTGCCCAGCCTGAAATCCATCATTGAGGCACGCGTGGATCAGGATAGCGATGCTCCGCCATCGCAATGTACATTGCCACTGCTTTTCGTGCGTGGCTATGATAGCACGATATACCATTCTGGCCGCCATGTGCTGTGCCAGGACCTTGTCGCGGTAGTTCGTGCGGCTGGCGATATTGGCGCCGCCAACGCACTACAAAAACTCAACGTCGGCTTGGGCGAGCAGGCAGGCGCTCATGAATTGCCTGCAGGGAGTGTATGGACGCTCCGTGTGATATAATAGTACATTCCACAGACTACGAAACAAAGAAGCTTGCGTACGTCGGCCTGTTATTGGATCCCGTTAGCATAGTAAGCTGGGCCGCTCGCCGGCCAAGCACCCGATAGGCGTGGGCACGTACGCCGACGCACGATGCCATCCGCCCGGCGCCGCCGCCTCCTCCTCCTCCTTTTCTGTGGCCATGGCCGTCACCACGGGCAGCGACGGCTGCGACGACGTGGACGCACGCGCCTCCATCTCGGCCAAACAGGCGTCTGGGGCCATAGTCGTCACCTCGTCCACGTGGCGCAGAGCACACAGTTGGGCAACGCGCTCTTTTAAAACGGGGTCGCTCGCGCTGAGTGATTGGGCTAGGACATGCCAATCTTCGCTGTCGGCTTCCAATGCATACTGGACTACGAGCCGACGTAGGGGGACACGTTGGGCGCCCCGGGACGAAAAAGTTGTCAGGACCGTGTCTTCGCCCTCGCGCCATCGCGGGACACCGAGTGGGACAGTCATTTCGCGTGCGGCCAACCATGCTACCCATGCATGGGCGACAGACTGGTAGGTAGGCGATGCTATGAGCGCATCCACCAACATGGGAAAAAAGAAAGGCACTTCTGCTTGTAGGCGATCCAGCAGGGCGTCCCAAAGCGGTGCCCAGTCGTCCAGCGATACAGACCCGACGGATTGGCGTTTCTTGGTATCGGCCGGAAACAGCGCCCCTGGCACGAGTAGCTGTGTAATCAACAAGGTCACGACAGGCAGCACAGCCGCTGGCATGTCGTCTTCTGCCTCTTCCAGATCGGCATGCATCGCTCCTACACTCAAACGTTCCGCTGTATCAAATCGCACGGCAAGTTGGGCATAGCGTCCCGCCTCGTCGTGCAGCCAGGCCACCACGTCCGCCAAGGCCTTTTCATGAGGTGGTGACGATCGCTGTGCTAAGCTGACATCGCGACGTACAGCCTGTGCGCAGTTTCGATATGTGAGCAGCAGCTGCGCAGCGCGATCGCAGGCAGCCGTGTGCCATGCCTGCTCTGCCTCGTCGGCTGTCGCACCGTCGTGTGTGCCGCCATCGCCGTCGGTCTCCAAGGAGGTATGCAATGTCGGTTGCCAGTAATGCTGATCCAGCCATCCTAGCGCAATGGCACTAGCATCGCGGCATACTTCCAAACTAGGAAGCTCTTCATGGGTCGCAGAGTGACGCACTTGCACAAGCCATTGAGGCAGGCCGATCCGTTCGGCAATGGCACCGATGCTTTGCGCATACATGCCTGTCTGGAACGAGTCCGCAACACTATTCACAAAGCGCGTAAGAGCCATGGCATACGTAGCACGCACACCATAGGTGGGTGCGTGCGCTTGATCCAGTCGAATGCTTTCGACGAGCAGGGCCGTGGATTCCACAGCTTGAGGGCATGCACCACGATGCATCCACAACCGCACGACGCCCAGCGCCGCGTCTACGCCTTTTGCGTCCGATCTGTCGCCGTACAAATGGCTATGCACATAGGTGAGCTCATCGGTAGCCGCTGCATAATACGGCGTCCGACGCGGTAAACGCATCCGCCCAAAAAGAAAAAAAAAACGTTGGCGTACGGCGTGGAGGCAAGAGGCAGGAGGCGCGTGGCCTCCACTTCCATTCGTCCGAGGCCCGTGCGGACAGCGGAGCGTGTTCGCCCCATACTTCCATCTAGATGTCTCTGCCTCTGTCTTTGAAATCGCTGGCTCTTGGCTCCGCGTTGGCGCCTCATACACTGGAGATCTACGTACGTATAATCCTGACGACTGACTCGCGCAGGTGGACTATCTTTGTATGTGGTACCATGACAACGCAACTAACCCTAGGCCCCTTCTCGGCGAAGATCCTGATCAATTTCCATGAGCAAGTGCGTCCCTTGCTGTTTGGCGAGGACGCGCCATTCAAAAACAAGGTGCGCGTCGTCTTGCGACCTGTGCCGCAGCCATGGCATGCGTCCTCGACCTATTTGCATGAGACGGCCTTGGCCATCGCTCGTTTGGCGCCCACCGATCCGGACGTGCTGGCGAACCCCGAGACGAATCCGTTCTACCAGTACTCTGTGGCGCTCATGCGGGAGAGCTCACGGTGGTACTCGTCCAAGGCTCATGACAAGACCGCGGACCAGATCCGCTCCGAGCTGGCGGCCTTGGCTGTGGATGTGCTGAGTGAGCAGCCACGCAAGGCGGGCACTACGCCTACGCTGTCTGTGCCGTCCGGGGAGGCGCTAGGCCAGGAGATCCGTAAGCTGACGCGTGACTCGGACGATGGCAACACGGGCACAGAGGTGGTGCCGGACCTGAAGTACTGTGTACGTATCCATGGCGTGGCTTACCTATATAGATCAAGCTCGGCCGCCAAACGGGCGTGCATGTCACGCCGACGGTGCTGTGGAATGGCATTATTGAGCCGTCGGTCTCGAGCTCGTTCAGTGCGAGTGAATGGCGCTCGTTCTTTGACGAGCGTATCCCGAAAGCCAACATGTAGTGGTTGAAGAGGTAGAGAAATAGGACACACGATCGTCTATCTCTTAGCAGGGCAAAGCAGGAAGCCCAGCCCAGCCCAGCCCAGCCCAGCCAAGCGCCCGCCGCCCCACTGACCTCCACGTGGAGGCTGGCCTGCCTGCCTCGTGGTTCGTGACTACCATGGCGTTGACCAAGACCTCCTTGCCGCTGCCGCTGATGGCGCGTGGCAAAGTGCGCGATGTGTACGATTCGCAGTTGACGGAAGGCCAGTTTGCCGGTGCGATTTTGTTTATCGCGACTGATCGCATTTCCGCGTTTGACGTGATTCTGGAGAATGGCATTCCTGACAAGGGCCGCCTGTTGCATGCGCTCTCTGAGTTCTGGTTCGATCTGCTTACGCCTTCGATTATTGGCTCGCATGTGCTGGCGACCAAGTGGGTCGACTTCCCCACGGAGCTGCAGGAGCGTTTGAAGGATGTGCGAGACCAGGTCGATGGCCGCGCCATGCTGGTTCGCCGTGCCAAGGTGCTGCCGATTGAAGCGATTGTGCGTGGCTACATTACCGGCAGCGGCTGGTCAGAGTACAAGCGTACGGGCACGGTGCATGGCCTTCAGCTGCCAGCGGGCCTGGTGGAGAGTCAGCAGATCCCTGACGGCCCGCTGTACACGCCGTCGACCAAGGCCGAGCAGGGGGCGCATGACGAGAACATCCATCCGGAGAAGGTGTACGACCTGATCGGCCAGGACCTGGCCGACAAGACGGCGGGTGTGGCCAAGGCCTTGTACACGAAAGCGGCGGAGCACGCACGTACGCGTGGCATCATCTTGGCGGACACCAAGTTTGAGTTCGGTTTGCTGCCGCCTGACACGCCGAACTGGGACGGCGAGCTGATCCTTGTGGATGAAGTGCTGACGCCAGACTCGTCGCGCTTCTGGGCCGCGGACGCGTACAAAGAAGGCAAGCCGCAAGCGAGCTTCGATAAGCAGTACGTCCGTGACTGGATGAAGGCGAATGGCCTCGAAGCGGCTGCACGTACGTTCACGCCTGTCACGCTGCCGGACGAGGTCGTGGCGCAGACGGCGGCCAAGTACCGCGAAGCGTACGAGCGCATTACCGGCAAGACGTTTGTGTAGACTAGGTAGGGCTACTACGTGCGTGGTGTGGACGTGGGCGGCATGCCGCGTCGTGTGTTGGGTACATGGGTGCGTGGGGCGATCGGTCCTTTGCGCAGACTAGGCTGCGTGGCCGTGCGTGTGGGTGTCTTGACAGGCGTCGACGATGCCGGTGACGGCGATGACGCGGACGATGCGATGTTCGGCTGTCGCTCCTGGAGGGGCGTCACTGCTCCCTGCGCTCGGTCCCACCAGCTCAGGGCCTCTTGGCGGTTCGGCGGCACCGTGCCCCATGTCGGGAGACGCGCAGGCGGTCTACGCTGCGGTGTCTCGCCCGTCGAGGCCAGCGCAGGCGCAGCCAACGGCACAAACGCACGCTCCAGCTCCGCCATACTAGACGCGGCCGCTTGCATACGTTGGTGTGCGTGCGTCGCATCGGAGACGACGTCCGCCGCCGCCGAGGTCACGTCCATAGCCGCAAGGGCTTGCTGGACATGCTCGGCCATGTGCGACGCAGCCTCGGCGGCATTGTACGCTGTATCGTACTGTGCCTGGACAGGCGCCAACGCTTCGTCCAGCGCATGGTGCATATGCTTGGACGTCGATGGCACGGTCGTCTCCAGCACGTCATGATGCGACGCCAGCGCACGATGCGAAGACGCCGCGCTGGCGTGCACGGCGTGCCATGCATCGTCCCATGCTTGGTACGGCGTCGCCATAGCTGTGCGTGCTTGCGAGAGCAGCTGCGTATGCACGTCGTCCGCATACGCCATCGAGGCGTGCCATGCCTCAGTACTGGCCTCGTCGTGGAGCTTCGACGCAAGCGTACGTGACTGCTGCGCATGTGTGTCGACAAACGTCGACAACGCACGCTGGACAGCCTCGGCTTGGGCGGCCATCGCCGCTTCGTACGCGTGCCATGCCTCTTTCTGGGTGGCCTGTGTAGACGCCCAAGTCTCGGCATTGCGACGCTGTCGGCATGCCATGCTCTCGTAGCCCTGCTCCATGGCGCGCAGATGCTGCGACCATGCCTGCGTAGCCGCCTCGTACGCGTTCTCGAGAGATGTGAGATCCGCCGCTTGCGTCTCAGCCGCCTGCACGAGCGCATGAAGCGATGCACTGTGCTGTTCGTGCAGGCTCTGCATGTGCGACGTGATCATGGAATGCAGCGACGTACGTACATCTGTGAGCATCGCCGCATCCAAGCTCGGCGTCAACGAAAGCAGACGTTCCTGCAGCGCCTGCTCCAAAGCCCCCTGCTCTTCGCCCCATGTCTGCATCATGCGTGTCAGCGCACGGGGGATGTCGGTCTTGGCACTGGCATCCACACGCTGCCGCGCCTCGCGAAGCTGCTGCGAAAAGTGCGCTAGCGCTTGGTGGGTATGCTGATCCGCATTCGTGCGCCGTTCCAGCTTCGCAAAGAGGCCATGCACATCGGCGGTCGCCTGCTCTGCCAACTGCCGCAGCTCATGCGCGACGTGGTTGAGCTGCTTCTCGCTCGCGGCATGCGCATGGTGCAGCTTGGTCTCCTCCTGCAACTGCTCTGACAAGTGCGCCGCATGACTCAGTGCCTGCTCGAGGTCTTGCAGCCGCGTAGCATGGGCGGCCTCCATCTGCGCAGCGTCGGCGTCCCGCTTCGCCAGCACCCGCGTGTTCTGCTCGAGCTGCTCCTGAAGACTCGCCAGCTGACTCGCAGCCACATCCGCAGCACGTTTCTGCTCGTCGATATGCCGATGCAAGGCGGCTTTCTCTTTCTCCATACGCGCCCAGTTCTCTTCGCTAATATAGATCCCCTGCTTCGTGCGTGTCGCGGCGAGATCGCTGCGTAGCTGATCGATCTCCTGCACGTACTCACGCAGCAACGCCGCCCGCGTTACGCGCTGATTCGCTTCAGGGCGGTTCTTGATCGACTTGGCCCGCGACGCGTAGTCCAACGTCGAGAGCGTTTCTTCCAAGTTCGCACGGTCGTCGCTCACCGTAGCGATAATGCATGTCTTTGCTCGACCGCCCAACGAGTCTTGAAGCATGCGCGTGAGTCGAGACTCGCGATAGGGAATATGCGCACTGCCGTCGACCAAGGCATTGATCACACGGCCCAGCGTAAGAAGACTTTGGTTGATATGCCCAGCCTCTCGAGCGCGCTTGTTCTCCGCGCCACTGCGGCCAATGCTCTCGCTGCCGGCCAAGTCGACTAGGTTCATTTTGCCCGTACGCATAAGCTCTTCGCCATGCAAGCCCGTCTCTTTGACTTGCACAGTAAAGGTCACGACACAGTGAGAACGACTGGACACATCGTTGCAGCGCGTAGAGGCCGTATGCCGCCGCATACTGCCTTGCTGCAGGAGGCGAAGGCCATGCTCTGCACTGACCAGCGGCACTTCTTCCAGCCCCTGCAGCACAACGCCACGACCTCGGGTATCATCAAACATGCGCAGCTGTGAGTGCGACGAGGACGAGGCTTCATCGCGCAGCAAGTCACGCAGCTCTTCATTGTACAGCTCGACCAACGACATTTTCACAGCAAAGTCGTCGCCACGCACATCCAGGACATGGAAAAGACGATACAGTGTCCGTGGAATCACACCAGCCTCAGGAGCAAACGTTTCCATGTACGACGACAAATCGCCCTCCATCGTATGCGTCTTGCCGGTCCCGGTTTGGCCATACGCAAAAACAGTGCAATTGTAGCCTAAAAGTACATCGTTCAGCATCACACTCATGGCGTCAGTGTACACCATATTCTGATCGGCCTCGGCACTGAACACACGATCAAACGAGTACGTCTTCGACCGTGGCACAGCACGAGAGGTAGACGTGGCAGGGGTCTCTGAGACAACAGTGAGACACGTCCCCTGCGTGCCTTCTGTCTCAAATACGCTCTCCTCCCGTGGCGCCGTGCCACGCACACGCACGAGCACACGCATGGAGGCTTCCACACCTCGCTTGCGTTCGTCGGCCATATGCGATGCCGACACGGATCGCCCTTGCGGTGCAGGCCGCGACATCGTACTCGGCGGTGCACCGGCCGATACTGTCCGACCAGGTGCACGCACGCCTACCTGCGTACGCCGGACAGACGCCATCGGTCGTCGTCGTCGTGCTCGCGATCCCTGGGGCCTCGCGTCGAGGCGCGACGCGCTACGACCCTATCACGTGACTATATTCACCCAGACTTTCGCGCTCGCGTCCTGCGCGAGACTGGCGGAGGCGAGGAGCGGAAGCGTAGGATGTGCCTAGGTGTGAGCAGGCTTAGGTACACGTACTGAAAGAGAGATCACAGTATCACGGTGGCCAGGGATCGTCGCGACGACTTGCTTTGTCTGCACATCCCATAGGTATATTTTGCGGTCCTCACTGCCGCAGGCGACCCACACCTGCAGTTGGTCGCCGACGCGTTGGTACACAAAGATCGCCGTGCTGGCATACTGCTTATTCACATGAGAGGTATATGTTTTGAGAACACGAGCATTCGCAATATCCCATAGACGCACAGCGCTGTCAAGACTGGACACAAGGAGTTGCAAGGACGACGGTGAGAATTGCACAGATGCCACGGGGGCTTTGTCGTCATGCTGTAACGTTCGAAGACATATGCCTGCATTGGTGTCCCAGATACGACTGACTGTTAGTATGTATGCACGTACATAAGGCCATCATTGGAGCATGTAGCGATCATCGTGCCGTCACCACAGAAATCCACATCTGTCACAGCTTCTGAATGCGCAGCAATCGTTCGATGGCACGTCCCACGCTGGAGATCCCATAGCCGAATGGTCTCGTCAAAGCCACCGCTTACCAGCATAGTGCTAAGAGGATGGCATGCGAGGCACATGACATACGAGGTATGGCCTTGGAACGTGCGAAACAAGGTGCCCTGTCGTCAGCGAGTTATACACGTACCTCGTGGGCATCCCACAGACGCACACTTCGATCGTCAGAAGCGCTCGCAACATAGCGCGAGTCACGCGTCCAGCATAGATCGTTCACACCGTCTGTGTGACCACGCAAGGTATGCAATACACGGCCTGTCCGCGTCTCCCAAATCTGCACAAGGTGATCAGACCCACACGTAGCCACCATAGAGCCATCGTACGAGAATGACACAGCCGTCACACTACTTGCATGACCATACAATCCATACAGCCAAGTATACTGAGGCCCTTCGTCGACCTCCATCGTCGTGGCCGACGTAGATGGGCCACCCTGCTGCGACGACGCCATCGTACGCGTCGAGTCGAGATGTGGAGAGAAGCCGTCATGCGAGCCCAAGCCATGTCCGCAAAGTGGAGGTTGTGGCTGGCGCCGTCGCGACAGCGACCAGCACCACGACGTCCTCGTTCCTTTGAGACGCTATGGCCGTGCCTGCATTCCAACGACTGCACCGCGGCTACTCTGAAGTCGAGGACGCGAGCGTAGGCAAATTGGGCCCTGGTATGTGATCACATACTAACGCGAAACAGAATTTCAGGATGCCGGTTGTCTGCTAATCTCCGAAGTGCATTTGTTCTTTTCGCGTCCAGGCGAAGTGTCTGATCGTGAGACGGGTCAGTCTGCGTGCGTATATCATGCTCCTAACGAAAGTGTCACGCAAAAAACCAAGGAATATGCGGAAGAGTTTAGCCGCTTCAAGGATCAGTCGACCATCCGTGAAGTTCGCGCGTATGTATGCCTTGCTGTACTAATGATAGTCTCCTTATCAAGCATGCTGCGCAGCCAGATATGGAGGACCATGAAGAAAAAGGATTGCAACTGTCCCAGTTCGAGATGGCGCAGCTGGCAAATCTCTCGATCACAGACGTAGATGAGGCCCGCACATTGATTCCCACGTACGTGCACACAATGGCTTACCAAACCAGTCTCGCTAGCAAGGATGATACACAGCTCGAGTCTCTTCTACATGAGTTGGCTGCTATCCAGAAGTTCGCGTGAGGGCAACGAAGCGGCCCAGTTTTTGCATGCAGTCCATACTTGCGTGCCCACCATATAGTACCCCACACCATACATAGCCCCACTTACATGGGCCACATGATCAAACATGCGCCAACCGCGCAGTACACCGATGATGTCCATCAGGACCAGCCTGTGTGTGAATAGAGAGACAACATACCCTCCTACGCCCCATTGGATCGGGACCGTGAGCATCGGAAGAAATATCAAGCTGCCGTGTGAGTAAACAGGCGACGTACCTGACCTGGACATGCGGCATGGCACACGCACAAAGTGCAAACGCCGCATATATGGCACCACTGGCCCCCAGGCTGCTTCGTACAGCTAGCTCTGTCAGACGGGGACGAACTCGAAGCCCGGCGGCCATCCGCCATTGCCAGGCTGTCACAAGATGACTGGCCAATGAGGCAAAGAGGCCAGCCGAAAGGTAGAACGAAAGGAACTGAGGAAAGGAGCCAGCGTCAGGGTAGGCATCCAGCTGCCGTGCTTGAAGCACCTGAATCGCCCAGCTACCCACCGAATATAGCGCGACGTTGTTGAGCACAAAATGCGGTATGGATCGGTGGCTAAACACTGAGGTAAGTAATGTCACAAGGCGTCCAGAGGTAGGCCGATGAGTAAAATAGCGTCGCATCCATACCAGTCGACCGAAACGAGGCGCGGCCAGCCAAGCAAGAAACACGCCAGTATTCACAGCAATAATGGGAATGGCTGCTTGCTTGTAACTTGGCAAGTTCAAGTAAGTTTCCGCGCATGATACATAGAGCGACAGAAATGGACGCGCGACCGTAGAAGGAAGAAAACTTGTCGCGTCACGTAGCCAGTGCAAACCTTGGCCCAATGTGAGAGCTTTTTCATCCTGTACAGCCATCTCCATATCCTTTTGTACGCCTAACAGCGCAGAAAGAGACAGAAAGGCACCGTCCTGTTTCTTGAGCTCTTCCGCATGTCGTACACTCCAGTGCGCGCAGCCGAGATAGGCGACGGCAGAGACAGTACTGACCATGCCTATGGCAGCCCATACGGGTGGCGCACGTGCTTCGAGGATCGACAAGGGTGTGCTGCGTCCCCTGGAGGTACCACGAGGTGCGCGTGTGATCCTTGAGGCTGGCTGACGCCATGTCTGTGCCGCTGTGAAAAAGGAGCGACTTGCCCCGGAAGCCTGCACGCCGCTGCGTGCATGCCACAAGCCGTGCGCCCAGACCATGCTGGTGGAGGCCACACCTGGAGAAGGTAGGTCGCACGAGTGCATAGCCCGATGATCGGGGCTGGATAATCCGTGGGCCCTCGCAATGACGTGCTTGCACGACGTGCAGATGATAGAACGGAACGCCCATAGGCGGCGCCCCACAGGGCCGATATGACTCTTCCCTGTTGACCAATATGGCAAATGTACCGACGCGATTTTTGAAGCAATATGGGTCGCGCATGAAGGACGAGTTGGGGCGTGGCGCCGATGTATGGACATTCTTTAGCCCTATGGTCTTTCCCCACGCTGTGAATCTCGGCCAGGGCTTTATGAACTGGCAGCCGCCCAAAGCGATCTTGGAGAAGATGGCCGAAGATGTGCAGAAGCGTGTGGACGTGCATCACTATTCACCAGCGCGTGGCCGTCCGAGATTGCTGGAGGCGATCAGTGAGATGTACTCGGCGAGCTTCCGCAAGCCTGCGCCAGAGAGCACGGACGTCGCGGAGGGTGTGGTGGAGCGTGATGCCCAGGGATGGCCTGTACAGCGCCCGGATCTAGGCATCAAGCTGGACACCAAGTCGGAAATCGCCGTGACGGCAGGTGCAAACGAAGGCATGTACTCGATCTTGACAGCTTTCTTGGAGCCAGGAGACGAGGTGATTCTGATCGAGCCTTTCTTCGATCAGTACGTGTGTGAGACGACATTCAACGGCGGAACACCTGTATATATTCCTATGATCCCTCCGCCTGCAGGCAAGCGCGTGACGACGGGTAACGATTGGCAGTTTGATTGGGATGCGCTTGAACAGGCAATGTCGAGCAAGAAAGTCAAGGCGATGTTCTTCAACACGCCCTACAACCCGATTGGCAAAGTCTGTACGCTGGAGGAGCTACAGCGTCTGGCCGATCTCTGTATCAAGTACGATATCCTGGTGATTGCCGACGAAGTATACGATTGCTTGACGTACGATGGTCATGAGCACATCCGCATGGCGTCCATCTCTGGTATGTGGGAGCGTACCATCACAGTTGGCAGTGCCGGCAAGTCGTTCGCCTGCACAGGCTGGCGTGTTGGCTGGCTCATGGGTCCGGCTCATTTGGTGACCCCAGCTTTCACGGCGCACCTGCGCATTACCTTTACAGTCAACTCGCTCGCCGCCGAGGGCGCGGCAATGGGGCTAGAGTTGGCCAAGACCAGTGACTTTTTCAAAAAGCAGGTGGATGAGTACGATGTGCGTCGACATGAGCTATTGGCTGTGCTCGACGAGGTGGGCCTGCCATACTCGGTGCCGTTTGGCAGCTACTTTGTGCTCGTCGACGCGTCGCGCATCCAGATTCCCGCAGACTTTGAGCTTCCGCCGGAAGTGAAACGCAAGCCGCGTGACTACCATGTGTGCTGGTTTATTGCAAAGACGTGTGATGTGGTCGTGCTACCTGCTACCGCTTTCTACTCCGAGCAGCATGCCCACATCGGTGAGCGTTTCATTCGGTTTGCCTTTTGCAAAGACAATCAAATGGAGGAAGCGTCGAAGCGCTTGCGCCAGGTATGTATCCCATCTCCACTTTCCTGCTAACCAATCTAGTTGCAGCCGTTCCTGTCGACGGACGATCGTACTCCGTAGATTACGTAGCCTGCATGCATATGCCCTCCCCAAGCTGCGCGTACCCCACACTCGCAGGCGCATGCAGTATGTGGGTGGAAGACAAGAGGGAGAAATGAGACCGATCGTAGCGTTTCTGGAGCGACCACGGTCATGTCCGACGTGATACGATCGTCCTCGCGACACGGAAGGCGTCCTCGTCGTGTGCTCGAGGACGCTTTCAATGAAGTCGAAGCCAAGCACACATCGTCGCATCGTCGACGGTCGAGTTCTCGTGCTAGCAGCCGCCGTCATGGACGATCTTCACGTGCTTCGTCTGTGCAGAGCGAGTTTTACGATCTGAGTGGCTCCGATGTGGCATCATACATGACTGGTTCGCAGCTAAGTGTAGCCACAATGGAGACGGATCCAGCCTATGCTAGCCACCAGCGCGGTGCGGCGGATGAGGCCGTGGGCCTGAGTGGTATCGAGCCACCGATGTCCTCCAGCAAGGAGCGCAGCTCGCGCCGTCGCAAAAGCCGTTCGCACCGTACGGCGGAGGAGGGAGAGCGACCCCGCTCGCGCACGCACCGTTCGCGACGATCACATGGGGACGAAGCTTCGACGAGCCGTCCTCGCTCGCAGCACCGTCGCTCGCGGCGTAGCAGTGAGGAGGAGCAGGCGCAGCGCCGTGCCGAACGCAAGGAACGCAAAGAACGCAAAGAACGCCGAGAACGCCGACGTGAGAGCGGAAGCAGGTACGCCGAGAGCCAAACGGGGTCGGAATGGTCGGACGACGTGGGCTCTGTGGTGTCCAGCCAGGCGCACTCGGAATCGTCTCGTCGGCATCGCCGTCGTAACAGCCGCTCGGTGGCATCTGGGCTGTCGGAAGAGCGAAGCGAGGCAGGTGATTCGACACGTCGTCGCCACCGACGCCGTAGCGGCTCGTCGCAGGGCAGTGACAGTGGGCGGTCACGTCGCCGCTCTCTACGTCGTTCACGGACGCGCGACTCGACGCGCCATGCACATGCCAGGTCGGGTCGGGCTGGGCTGGATGCGCTGGAAGAAGAGCATGCATCGATTTTGGAGCGTGATTTGCAGGACCAGGATCCGTATGCATCGCCTGTGCCTGGCTCTACGACGGCCAGCACGGACGCGGCGCGATCGCGACGCTTGCTGGGCCTGGGTGGACTTGCGAAGCTACCAAGTCTACGACGAAGCAGCCAAAAAGGCCTGGGAATTAGCGTGAAAGACGACTCAGCCTCGGAGGCCCGCATGGCTGAGCAGCGGGCCAAGGCGGATGCCAAGACGGAAGCGGCGCTGCGCAAGCTGGACGAGGCCGAGCAGAAGCGACTCGCTGTGCTGCAGAAGAAGAAGGAGCGCGCAGAGCAGAAAGAAGAAGAAGCACGACGCAAAGCCCTGGTCACGCAGCGCAAGAAAGAGCTGGCGTACACCGCGAAGCAGGAGAAGCTGGGAGAAAAGGAGCGACGGCGTCAGGAGAAAGAGGAGGCGAAGAAGGCAGCTGAGGCCGCGAAGCAAGCGCGTGCATCGGAGGCGCTGATCGAAGTGCAGCGACGTGAGCGTGAGCGTGAGCTGGCCGAGATGGATCGTAAGCAGCGGCGCTTGATGTCGATTACGCCCTTCCGACGTCGTCACCCGAAGTTGGAGCTAAGCATGATGACGCCGATGCAGCGCCATATGTTGGTCAAAGTGCTTGTTATGCTGCAAGTGCAGGAGGAGTGGATGGGATTGGGCCAGCATGGTATGATGGGATTGTATGGCTTCCCCTTTAGCACAGAGCGTCAGCCTGTAAGCGAGCGTCGTGCCAAGCTGCTTCTCTTTAAGAAGGAACACAAGCCAGTGCCTGCGTCCTTGGCGCCGCCTGATGAGCCGCTCATTTTGCGCCATATGTTCCAAGTGCACCTTCGTCAGCTGCCGGGCCTGCGTGATGCGCCGCTGGAGTACTGGCGCAAGCGTGTGCAGCGCATCAACGAAGTGTACTGTGACGATGCGATGTCGACGTCGCGGGAGCAGACGCAGTTGGTCTTGTCGCATATGCTGTCGCTGGTCGGTACGCAGTACTTGGGTCTCTTCTTTGCGCGTGGTGTGGGTGTTCGTGGCACGGATGAGCTGCGTGGCCCTGGCATTGGCGACCCAGGCACAGAAGAATGGGGCGTCGGCAAAGGCTGGGGGGCAGGTACAGTGAAACGTGGCCTGGCGCGGCCGTATGTGTTGACGGACCGCGACTATGACCTCATTGACTCGCTCTTTGAGGACACAGAGCGCGATGTGTGGCAAGCCGCTGGGCGTGAATCGGAGCGTGTGCAGGGCGACTTTAATGCGTTCAAGGAGAAGATCATCGAGCAGGAAACGGGTCTGGAGGAGATCACGTCGTACCTCACAGTGAGCCAAGTGGCCAACTTGCCGATCGAGCTGCAGAATGCCGAAGAGTGGGTCCGAATCCACGTCGCGTTGGTCTGCCGCTGGCTGCTGGTCGAGTCGCCGGCCGCTGATGCGCTATTCAACTTTGTGCGTATTGCGCACTCGCTCTTCCCGTACTGGGCTGTTCGACAGGCGCTGATGGTGGCGAATGCACAGACGATGATCCAAGTCGTGCTCTCCATTTTGCTGGTGCAGCCGATGGGAGCTGATTCGCTGTTCCAGCGGATTATCGGCTACGCGATTGGGCGCGAAGCTACGACGATGCAGAAAGAGGTGATTGAGCCTCTGCGTCGCGAAGTGGCTGAATCGATGCTGATCAACAAGGTCGACGCGTACGTGCGTCAGCGCACCGCGTCGGGCGTGGCGCATCTCGAAGCCGAGTCGATCAAGACAGGCAACGATTTGTTGACGACCATTCTGCTCACACCCACAGAGCCGCTCCTGGACTCGGGCCTCAAATCGCACGTGTTGTCGATGCAGGCGGCGTACGCGGCATCGCCGTATCGTACGCAGCCCGACTTGGCCTACCCGGCGTCGACACCGCAAGGCAAGAATGCCAAGCCGATACCCAGTTGGGGCGCGCCGCCGGGCGACGTGAACAAGGCGCGCGAATTTGCGCTGCTGAAGCTGTACCTCCGCTCACTCCTAGAGAAGCATGATCGGCAGCGCCTGGCCAAGCTGCTGAGCTCCAGTCTGTTTGTCAACTTTATCAAGGACTCGCTGCAGCATGTGTTTTACGATGCAGTGCGGCAAGTGTCCAAGTCGGCCGATCTCAGCGGACGGCTGGCCGACTTGCAAAAGCTGCTGGACGATGCGATCGACGTGCGGAAGAACTCGGACAACTCGCTCGAGGCATGGATTGCATTGGCCACCAAGCACCATGAATTCATCTACTTTTTCGTGCACGAAATGGCCCCGATCCTCGATCCCATTTGGCAATGGTGCCAGTACGGCTTGGACTACATGTCGCTCTCAACCACTGATCCCCAGCGTCCTGACGACCGACGTGCGCAGGACATTGAAGTCAACCTCGACGAAATGCTGCAGGACGAGCGCTTGTCCGACAAGGACGTCGATCGCATCCTCCAGGAAATGGACCAGTTGATTGAGTACAGTCGCTGGAGCAAAATCCGTCGTGAGCTGCAGTTCCGTCGTCTGTTCTTGCTCTCGCATACGCCGTCGTCGTCTGGCCTGTGGCACGAAAGCATCCCCAGCGACGAGATGCGCAAGGAACTCCGCGACGTGGATGGACTCCTCGCCGAACTCCTGCGCAAAGAAGGCAAGGCTATGGACGATGGCGCGTGCGATGACATTCGCGGCGGCGAGCGCAAAGACGTGCCATGGGCCTTTTTCGATGCCGCGGATCCCCTGGGCCAGGCGATTCGGGCCGAACCCGCGTCGAAGCAGCATCGATTGCTGCGCGTACGCCCCGGCCTTCGGCCGCCCACGCTAGAGGCGACACGCAAACTCCAGCCGCTCTTCCGCGAGTTGCTCGTCGCCGAGCTCCCAGATTGGCTGGATCAGGACCTCAATGGCGAGCCACGTGTAGCGCCGAAATCGCTGGCGCAGGCGTCTTCCAAGCTGCTCCGCAAGACGCGGCGTGGTGAGGCGGCCTAACGACGTACATAGACCATAGCGATCACCTTTTCACATGAATAAGCGTAGAGTGACTATGCGGTGGGGGGTATAGGCGAACATGTCCGCCGGTCGAAGCCATGCTTTGGCCTGGCGGTAGCCCACTCCCAATCTACAAGGTATCACGGCGCCGCCGGTGCGGTGGTCGACGTCGCGCTGCTGCGGTCCCCTTTCGCGTCATGCGACTTGGCGCCCGAAGCGTCGCTGCCCTTCGCCGGCTTCGCATCGTCGGCCGCCGAGGCAGGCCCACGACCACGCCCTCCGCGGCCACGACGTCCACTGCGCGACCGCTGCGACACAGGCCGTGATTCGTCGGGGTGGCTCGCGGTCGTTGCATTTGCGTTCGCGTTCGTGGCGGGCGCGGTCGGCGAGGACGACGCGCCAGCGGCCGCGTTGGTCTCTTTTGTGCCGCGTGGCTTCGCACGCGAGCGTTCCAATCGCTCCAACGTAGGGACCACCGAGGTCTCTTTGATCGTACGTCCGCGGCACTGCAAGGCCTCTGTCGCAGCGACGTCCGATTGGAAGACGACGTGGACAAAGTTGCGCATACGCGGCGTGTCCTTGTCGTCCTTCGCACGACGATCTCGATCGGCCGGGAAGAAGACGACATGTTCAATGGTCTTGGCGTACTCGCCAAAGTACGCACGTACATCGTCTTCGGACACGGGATGCGCCTCGCCCAGGTGGCCCAAGAACAGCGTCGTAGTCGACTGCGTCGCGGACGGCGTAGTAGACGTCGAAGAGGTAGGCGCCGCGGCCGTGGCCGTAGACGTAGACGTAGACGTAGACGTAGACGTAGACGTAGACGTAGACGTCGACGTCGACGAAGCCTGCGACGGAGGAGCCCGCTCACGTGGCGCGGCTGGCAAAGCCACCTTCGGCATAGGTCCGTTGAGGCGGTTCCGTCGCGAGGCGAAACTCATACCGGCGCTCTTCATCTCCGTCCCGATACGGCCATGCGACACGTCCAAGACCAGGGAGCCCAGCGTCGCATCCGGTAGGTTCCAGTGCCACATGTGCTTGAACGCATCATCACGCGACGCGCCCATCGTCAGTGGCTGCGGCACACGCAGCGCCACGTTCAGTGCGTGGCTCAGGAGCGGGCGCTGCGAGGGATCAATCGCTGCCTCGACCTGCGGACGCACCGAGTCCCAAATCTCCTGGAACTCTTCAGCCGCCTGCGCGATACGAGCACGGTACTGCTCCAGCGAGCCGGACACGCCAAAGTCATTGTAGCTCGTCACATAGCGCCAATGCAGACCACCACTCAGAGTCAGATCTGCACGCAGCGCATGCGCCAGCTGCGCAAGAAGGCCATCACGACCTGGCGACGCGTACGATACCAACATACGCACCTCCGAAGGATCGTACACATGCTGCGCCGTCTCGACCAACTCGCCGATCTGAAGCATGGTCGTCCACATAGCACCTTGGCCACCGGCCATAGTGCCATGCGCAGCGCCCCTGTCAAAGAGCTTGTGCGGTACCACCGCACCGCCCAGACCCAGCAGACGAAGTCGCAGACCACCAACCTCAACGGCATGTGTCGTAGCCTCGTCAAGAAGGAACAGGTTCGGCACTTGGTACTCCCCTGACCGCAATCGCTCCAGCACGTCCACGTCCTCACAGGCACCGTACGTGGTAAACACCGGTACGTCCAATGTCAGCTGCTGGGTGAGTAGTTGGGGAAACTCCGACAAGGTGACTTGCGGGTGCTCGTCCAGCGCCTGCCGCAACGTCGAAGGCGCGCGTGACTGACCCAGCGAGGGCCGAGCGTCTCGCGGCTCATGACTATCCAAGAGCACCGAGCGAAGCTTGCCAGAGATCAGCGGCGAGTACTGCACAACATGGGCCAGCGTGCGGTCGCTCATACGCGAGACACTGTCGCGTGTGTAGAAACCAAAATCGCCCGTGTGCACGATGGCCGAAGCCTTGGTCTCCGCGGCAATGCGGTTGAACTGCGCGACATGTCCACGAATGTCAGCCACACATGCAATACGGCCCATGGAGCCATGAATAACATGCACAGGCCCGTGACGATGGTGCGACGTAGCGCCAGAATGCGCACCGGGCGCTGGGGTGGCTCCACCGTCAGCCGCCAGCGGCCCGGCCTCTGTGTATTCATGACGACGGGCATTATGACTACCCTGTGCGCCTAACGAAAACTTTTTTCCAGTACCATACGTGCGTGTGTGTGGTCCTGCTCCTGCGTCCATCGTACTTCGGAGCGTAGAATACGAAGCGTCCTTCGAGCCAGCGCCACGCACACTGTCGACCCCTCTCCCTTTCTCTCGTCGCCCCAGCTGTCTCGGTGCCACTTCGGCCGTGAATCACGTGAATGCGAAAAGTCGGTGCGCGTCCTTCGACGTTGTCCCCTCGCCACGATGGGGAAGAAAAAGGGCAATCGCCGTGATGACGATGATCCCTTTGCGGATCTTGGCGAAGATGTCTCGCAGAACAATGTGAACGAGGCACCCGAAGATGTGGATGCCGAGAAACAGGCTGCGGAGGCAGAAGCAGCCGCCAATAAAGCGTACGTACTTCCACCCCACTGACGTCCACAGCGAGGCTGAGCAAGCCAAGGTGGAGAAGGAAGCGGCCGAGGCAGTCCCGGAGCCGCCTCGTCTCCTGACGAAGAAGGAGAAAGAGCGTCTTAAGAAAGAGCGTGAGAAGGAAAAGAAAAAGGCGCAGGCCGCGCAGAAGAAGGCCGCGCAGCAGCAGAACCAGCCAGCTTCGACAGAGAAGGACAACCAAGGCGCCAAGCCAGCCGAGCCGGAGCCGGACGCCGAGCCTAAGACAGACGCGGCGCAGGCTGGTGGAGACAATGACGATGACGACGACGATGGCCAAGAAGCCACCAGCTCCGCTGCCGACAAGAAGAAGAAGAAGAAGAAGAAGAAGGCTGCGGCGGAGCCGGCTGCGGCCCCTCGTAAGGCCCCCAGTGCGGCGATTGCTGCCTTGCAGGCCCGTATTGCGGCACAGAAGAAGGCCGAAGAGGAGGCTCGTGCGGCTGAGGAGGAAGAACGTCGGCGCATTGAAGAGGAAGAGCGCAAAGAGCGCGAAGAGGAAGAGCGCAAAGAAGCAGAACGCCTGCGTCGCAAGGAAAAGGAGAAGGCCAAGCGCGAGCAGCTGCGTAAGGAAGGTAAGCTTCTTACTGCCAAGCAAAAGGCTGAGTTGAAGCTGGCCGAGCAGCGCAAGGCTGCACTCCTGGCGAGTGGTAACATCACTGTGGCAGCAATGCAGAATGAAAAGCCAGCAGCGGAGAAGCCACGTCGTGTCGTGTACGACTCGAAGAAGAAGAAGAAGCAGACGCCGAAGAGCGAGCCGGAGGCGCCCAAGGAAGAGTCTGTCGAGGCGCCCAAAGAGGAGCCCAAGGAAGAGCCCAAGGCGGCGCCTGTAGAAGAACCCAAGGACGCGCCAAAGGACGATTGGGAGGCTGAGTCGGACGAGGATGTGAAGGACGACTGGGAAGCCGAGTCGGAAGAGGACGTGAAGGACGATTGGGAGGCGGAATCGGACGACGAGAAGCCGGCAGCCAAGGCAGAGAAGGCGCCGGCGACTAAGCCTGAAGCGAAGACGGCCAAGCCCGTCGAAGAGGAGTCGGACGACTCGGACGAAGACGAAGACGACGATTCGGACGAAGACGAGCAGCTTACTTCGACGCAGCGCATGGCGTTGGAGCGTCGTCAGGCCGCAGAGCAGCGCCGCAAGGAGCGTACGGAAAAGGCAATGAAGGAGCGTAGCGAAGACAACTTGCGCAGCCCGATTTGCTGTATTCTGGGTCACGTCGATACTGGTAAGACCAAGCTGCTGGACAAGGTCCGTCAGACGAGTGTGCAGGAAGGCGAAGCGGGTGGTATTACGCAGCAGATTGGTGCTACCTACTTCCCTTTGGAAGCGCTGCGTGAAAAGACCATGGTCCTCAATCATGGCGACTTTGACTTTAAGATCCCTGGTCTGTTGATTATCGATACGCCAGGTCACGAGTCGTTCACGAATCTCCGTTCGCGTGGTAGCTCGCTGTGTAACATTGCGATTCTCGTGGTGGATATCATGCACGGTCTCGAGGCGCAGACGCTGGAGAGTATTCGCCTCTTGCGTGACCGCAAGACGCCATTCATTGTGGCACTGAACAAGATTGACCGTCTGTACGACTGGAAAGCGACGCCGAACAATGCCTTCCGTGACTCGCTTGCGCAGCAGAGCCGCGGTACACAGAACGAGTTCGAGGAGCGTGTGGCGAAGACCAAGCTGTTGTTTGCCGAGCAGGGTCTCAATGCCGAGCTGTACTACGACAACAAAAACATGGGCCGCTACGTCTCGTTGGTGCCGACGTCGGCTATTACCGGTGAAGGTGTGCCAGACCTGCTGCAGCTCCTGGTCACACTTACGCAGACACGTATGAGCCAGAACCTGATGTATCTCTCGGAACTAGAGTGTACGGTGCTGGAAGTCAAGGTCATCGAGGGTCTCGGTACGACGATCGATGTGGTATTATCCAACGGTGTCTTGCATGAAGGCGATAAGATTGTTGTATGTGGTCTCAATGGCCCTATTGTCACACAAATCCGTGCGCTACTTACGCCGCAGCCACTGAAGGAGCTGCGTGTGCGTGGTGCGTACGTGCACCACAAAGAAGTGAAGGCCGCGTTGGGTGTCAAGATTGCTGCGCCGGATCTCGACAAAGCTGTGGCCGGTTCACGCTTGTTGGTGTGCACAGACGACGACGACGAGGAGAACCTGCGTGAGGAGGTGATGAGTGACCTTACATCCCTGCTCAACTCGGTCGACAAGTCCGGCAAGGGTGTGTGTGTGCAGGCCTCGACGCTGGGCTCGCTGGAGGCGCTGCTGGAGTTCTTGCGTGTGAGCAAGATTCCTGTGAGTGGCATCAACATTGGCCCTGTATATAAGCGTGATGTGATGCGCTGTGCGACGATGCTGGAGAAGGCGAAGGAACTGGCATGCATTCTTTGTTTCGATGTGCCTGTCGACAAGGAGGCCGAAAAGTTGGCCGAGGAGCTTGGTGTGAAGCTGTTCACGGCCGACATTATCTACCACCTGTTTGACAGCTTTATGGCGTACAGCTCCGAGATCACAGAGAACAAGAAGAAGGACGCGGCCAGCACTGCCGTGTGGCCATGCCGTCTGCGCACGATTGCTGCCTTTGCGAAGCGTGACCCGATTATTCTTGGATGTGATATTATTGATGGCTCCCTGCGTGTGGGCACGCCGCTGTGTGTTGTCAAAGCTGATCCACAGACACGCAAGAAGGAAATTATTAGTATCGGCCGCGTGACGTCGCTGGAGATCAACCACAAACCACGCGATGTCGTGCAGAAGAAGGATGTCGGTGGTGGTGTCGCTGTGCGTATTGAGCCAGACCTCAACGACACGCCGAAGATGTTCGGCCGTCACCTCGACGAGAAAGATGAGATTTACTCCATGATCAGCCGTGCGTCCATTGATGCGCTCAAGGAACACTTCTGGGATGGCGTCTCGATTGAGGAGAAGCGTCTGATCAAGAATCTCAAGACGCTCTTGGACATTCCATAGATGCACGTACAAGTTCATGACTAGTGCTTAGTCAGCTTTGTAGGGATTGGGCCGAGATAAAGGCCTAGAGAGCGAGTCATACATGTGCATGCATAGCAGCTAGCCTCCGATAATAATTCCTAGCCGGAACGAGCGCTGAGTGCACTTTGTACAATTAGTTATGAGGTTTCCAACGCAGCGTGGCTCTGTGCGGTGCTTTTCGAGCGCAGTTCAGGGCTCGCTGAGCCGAAATGCGACACTATCTGCTGCAGCGATGGCTAGGCAGCCTAGAGTGCAGTGGGCGCTTCGTCGGTGGACTCACAGCTCTGTGCCATACTACAGCCCGGCTCCTACCGAGCCGACTATGGCCACGGAGGCGACGGGCGCTGCTGGCATTGAGCGCTGGCGTAAATTCCTGCCGCATATGCCCAAGGCAGATGTCAAAAAGGTGCTTCTTATCGGCTCTGGTGGTCTGAGCATTGGCCAGGCTGGTGAGTTTGACTACAGTGGCTCGCAGGCGATCAAGGCGCTGCGGGAGAGTGGCATTGAGACCATCCTGATCAACCCTAACATTGCTACGATCCAGACAAGTCAGGAACTCGCTTCGCGGATCTATTTCCTACCGATTTCGCCGGACTACGTTGCCTACGTCCTGGAGCGTGAGCGCCCCGATGGTGTGTTCCTCAACTTTGGTGGTCAGAGCGCGCTGAATGTCGGTGTGAAGCTCGATGAAATGGGCGTGTTTGAACGCTTGGGTGTGCAGGTGCTAGGCTCGCAGCCAGACGTGCTGCGCATGTGTGAGGACCGTGACTTGTTCGTGCAGGCACTGGATGAAATCGATATCCCCGTGGCTCGTAGCGAGGCGGTATCGAACGTAAGCGAGGCCTTGCGCGCTGCGAAGGAGATTGGCTACCCAGTCATTGTTCGTGCAGCGTATGCGCTGGGTGGTTTGGGCTCCGGCTTTGCTGACAATGAGGAAGAGCTGCGGGATCTGAGCGCTCGCTCGTTGAGTCTATCGCCGCAGATCCTAGTCGAGAAGAGTCTGCGCGGCTGGAAAGAGAGTGAGTACGAAGTGCTGCGTGATCAGCAGGACAATGCGTTGATCTGCTGCAACATGGAGAACTTTGATCCGCTGGGTATTCACACAGGTGACTCGATCGTCGTGGCGCCCAGTCAGACGCTCTCAGATGACAACTACCACATGCTGCGTACGGCAGCACTGAAGGTCATTCGTCATCTGGGTATCGTCGGTGAATGCAACATCCAGTATGCCCTCAGCCCCGATAGCCGCGAGTATCGCGTGATTGAGGTCAACCCCCGTCTCTCGCGTTCCTCCGCGCTGGCCTCCAAAGCGACAGGCTATCCCTTGGCGTACACCGCTGCGAAACTGGCGCTCGGTCACACCCTTCCTGAGCTCCCGAACTCTGTGACCAAGACAACGACGGCCTGCTTCGAGCCGGCACTCGACTACATTGTGACGAAGATCCCGAAGTGGGATCTGTCCAAGTTCCAGCATGTGAACCGCGAGACAGGCTCAAGTATGAAGAGTGTTGGTGAAGTCATGGCGATTGGACGTACGTTTGAAGAGTCGCTGCAGAAGGCCGTACGTCAAGTGGCGCCAAACTACGACGGCTTCGATGCGTACGTGCGTCCGGATGACTTGGACCATGCATTGTCTGTACCGACCGACACGCGCTTGTTTGCGATTGCCTATGCGATGCTGGAGAAGAATTACTCGGTGGAGCGCCTGCATGAGCTGACCAAGATCGACCGCTGGTTCCTGTTCAAGCTAGAGAACATTGTGACGACGCACCGTGAACTGCAGCAGCTGGGTGCCCTGGACCAGGTGCCATCGGAGCTCATGCGCACGGCGAAGCAGCGTGGCTTCTCGGATGTGCAGATCGCTCGCCTGGTCAACGCGACAGAGGCTGATGTGCGTGCGGCCCGTAAGGCGATGGGTATCACGCCGTTTGTGAAGCGTATCGACACTGTGGCGGCAGAGTACCCTGCGCAGACCAACTATTTGTACACGACGTACAATGCTAGTACGCACGATGTGGAATTTGACGACAATGGCACGATGGTATTGGGCTCGGGTGTGTACCGTATTGGCTCCTCGGTTGAGTTTGACTGGTGTGCTGTGACATGTGTGCGTCGCATCAAGGAGATGGGCCACAAGACGGTGATGATCAACTACAACCCGGAGACTGTTTCGACAGACTACGACGAGGCCGACCGTTTGTACTTTGAGGAACTGGGCTTTGAGCGTGTGATGGACATTTACGAGATGGAAGGCGCTACCGGTGCTGTTGTCTCGGTCGGTGGTCAGCTTCCGCAGAACATTGCGCTGCGTCTTAAGAATGCGCACGTGAATGTGTTGGGTACCGACCCGAAAAACATTGACTCGGCAGAAGACCGTCACAAGTTCTCCCAGATCCTGGACTCGATTGGTGTAGACCAGCCTGCGTGGGTCGAGGTGACCGATGTCGCAAAGGCCAAGGAGTTTGCCGAAGAGGTGGGCTACCCCGTTCTCGTGCGTCCGTCGTACGTGCTCAGTGGTGCTGCGATGAACGTGATTTGGGATGCCTCTACGTTGGAGCACAACTTGACCATGGCCGCCGAGGTCAACACAGAGCACCCTGTCGTACTGACCAAGTTTATTCCTAATGCGCAGGAAATTGATGTGGATGCCGTCGCGCACAAGGGCAAGCTCCTTGTCCACGCTGTTTCGCAGCACGTGGAGAACGCTGGTGTGCACTCGGGTGATGCCACCTTGGTCCTTCCTCCCTTCTCGCTGCCTCAGGAGGACATGACGCGTTTGAAGGACATTGCGGAGCGTGTGGCCAAGGCTTTTGATATTAGTGGCCCCTTCAACATGCAGATTATTCGCAAGGAGGATCAGGCGGCGAACCAGTCGGAACTCAAGGTCATTGAATGCAACCTGCGTGCCAGTCGCTCCTTCCCCTTCGTCAGCAAGGTCTTGGGTGTGAACTTTATCGATGTCGCTACGGCTGCGATCATGAACGAGAACGTTCCAGAGCCTGTGGACTTGATGGCAAAGCAGTACGACTACGTGGCCATCAAGGTGCCTCAATTCTCTTGGACGCGTCTCGCTGGTGCGGATCCGTTCCTGGGTGTGGAGATGGCAAGTACCGGTGAAGTAGCCTCGTTTGGTCAGGATATTCATGAGGCTTACTGGGCTTCCATCGCTTCCACTACTGGTTTCCGTATCCCTCAGGCCCAAAAGGGTGTGCTATTAGGCGGTGATTTGTCTACACCGGAACTGTCAGTGATTGCGAAGAAGCTGTACAACCTCGGCTTCAAGCTGTACTGCTCTAACCCTGATGTCGAGGCTGCGCTGAACCGTCTCCCGCATGTCTCTGCCAAGCGTATTTGGTTCCCTCTCAAGGATAAGAGGAAGCTCCGCGAAGTGTTTGACGAGTACGAGATCCAGTTCGTAATCAACTTGGCCAAGTACCGCGCGGGCAGCACCACGGATGAGAACTACGTCGCTCGTCGCAATGCCGTCGACTTTGGCCTGCCGTTGCTGAATGAGCCCAAGACAGCACTGCTGTTTGTGGAGACGCTAGAGAAGAAGATGCCGCAAGGTTGCTTGCTGCCCTATGAAGAAGGCTCGATCCCATTGGAAGTCAAAGCATGGAGTGAGTTTGTGAAAACAGATGCATAAATGTCAACTTGATAGACCAATGCAAAAAGGTTTGCACGTAGCGCCCAAAAAAAAAATGTTTAAACTACAGATAGGGCGTTCCGACATATCAGGCCTTGTGCGCCCAAGTAAGCTGTTGCATCATGGATATGATCGGCAAAAAGGGGAGATGGAGAATATGGGAATTGAACCCATGGCCTCATGCAAACTGATGAACAGTGCTAAGCAAGCGCTCTACCACTGAGCTAATTCCCCCAAGGGATGTGGAGAATATGGGAATTGAACCCATGGCCTCATGCAGACTAAAGTGCTAAGCAAGCGCTCTACCACTGAGCTAATTCCCCGTAAACCGTTGTGGAGAATATGGGAATTGAACCCATGGCCTCATGCAAACAGACATGCTAAGCAAGCGCTCTACCACTGAGCTAATTCCCCAAAAGGCTACGGACAGCGTGGGGCTATGTTTACATAACTGAAACGACAAAGGCAATCCTCACACCGATTATTATGACTCCCTTGTCATTCTAATGTCCTCTAGATGTGTCAGTGTGAAATCTCAGAACATACCCAGAATATCGTGGAAGCACCATTCCACTGCATCAGCAGCCCAGTAGTGATCACAGTGCTAGGGAGGTGAGCTATAGGGCATAGACATACCTCTGCGCCAGCTTGAATCTTTTCTCTGATGACTCGCGTCTTGGGTTCGTGCTCGTTGAAGTGATCCAAAACAGGTTTGGGAAGCACTAAATGATCCTCGCTACCACCATACAAACTGACAGGTGGGAATCGCTCATCATACCATGTCTCATTAGGATCAAAAAGACAACCACGTTGCGCAAAGCCATTCTTGCCCGCCCACCAATACATGAGACGCGAAGAGACGGGCATGGGCGTAAAGCGGAACATTTTAGCTTTTCGGCGTTGAAGCCAGTGGGTATCATTCCACTCAAACAGGAAGGCGAACATTTGATAGCCCAGCGCTGCATAGGGGGTGGCAGGCGTCCAGTCGTACGAGAGTTTCATCAGCGGCACAAAGTCCATCACACCAAAGAGACGGCGCCATGCAGGCCAGTCAAGTCTGCTAAGATGGACTAAAGGGAATCTTCGCCCAAGGGGGCCCACAAACATGGCGGGGGCCAAAGCACAGAAATAGGAAAGCTTCGTACCATAGTCAGGTCGGTACCAACGCGAAAGCGCCATGAATGCTGTGGCATTGCCTTGTGAATGGCCAATGTAGGCAATTTTCTTATAGCCAGTTCGCGCACAAACATAGTCGATCATGGCAGGGATATCATACATGGCCAGATCACCCACATCAAAGTCCCAGAAAGCAGGGCTATAGCGACTGTATTTCCGATGTCCCATATCAAAAACAGCGCGGTTGTTACCCAGATATACATCATATCCACGTTGAGCAAGCCAGAAGGCAATACTACGCTCTTCTGATGTAATAAAAGAGCCAGACGATTGGAAAAGACCGTGCATGATTAGAATAGGGTACCCATTGCCAATTTTTTGCAGCTCTGGCTCAGGGTGTAAACATTTGACGTGGTGAATACGTAGGTAATAGCCATCTTCTGTTTCAGCGGTTTCATCAATGATATCAAAGCCACAGTTTCGCGCATAATACTGTGGATCCTTGACAAGGCGCTCCTTCTTCCATTTTTCACGGTTATCCCAGGATGGTTGCCTGCGAGGTGGCCGGCGAAGCCAACGGGGAATAAAGCCAACCAACCGAATGACCAGTCCCACAGCAACGACAAACAGCAGCAGTGCAGAGGACACCACAGCAGCTGTTATCTGCGCCACCACAAACGAAGGATTGTGCCAAACTTCAGCGCTGCGGGGTTTTTCGTGCTTGTGCATCAATGGCGTTATCTCGTCGAGACGAGGTCCAGATCTGGCGTCCTTGCTCGAGGAGGATGTTACGCGGCGAGTAGATGGTTGCGTTTCATGTGGATCAGGGCCAAGGGAGGAACTCGGACGAAGGGAAATCATAGAACCAAAAGAATGGATGTGGCACAGAGCACAGACCCGGGGTGATGTGCCTTTTTAAAAAAGTGCAGATTCGGCCTATGAAATGTATATCCGCGCATTTTACACCACCCAAGCCATTCGCGAGCCCCTCTCAACAAGACTTGGACAAAACCATGGATCGGAGCAAGAAGAACCATAGACATGATACATTGTATGTACGCTCTATCCGACGTAGTATATGAGAAATTTAGTTGCGCTTCTTGTCATAAGACGTGTTACGCGAAACTGTGCCGAGACGGTCGGGTGCCTGTGTCGAGCTGATCATATTCACGGCAATCACTGTGCAGAAGAGCAAGAAGGCAACAACAAGCAAAGAAAGCACAGTAGCCGGGGAGAAGATCTGGTAGCGCTCCAGGAACTTGGCGGGCTTCGAGCCGTGGGACTTGCCCGATGGCACAGAGCGCTTCGACACGCGATGCGGTGGAGTGCTTGAGATAATCACGACGTGCTCTGGGTATGCAGTGTCGATAACAGAGAGCTGTGACACAAGGCTAGACTCGTGGGCTGTAAGGTCAGGGAAATGGAGCGACATGACACGGTCCTTAACAGAGCGCGCCGATCCGCAAAGCGACTCGATAGCCCGAACGAGTTCCTCCGAAAAGCTAGACGACGTCTGATCCATCATGGGGAATACCAGTTGCTGTGGAGCAGTGAGCACGCGCTTCTTGAGCGAGTGCGACGAGCTTGAAGAAGAAAGTGACGCAAAGCTCTTGTCATGCAGCGAGTCAACCTGCACATGCACAATCTTTTCAAGACCACAAAGATCTGGCACGCCCTCCGAGTCACGTTGGTGCGTCAGACGAGAGATGGCGTCACGCACAGCAACGATGGGGCCAGGCGAAGCAAAGCCCTCCTCGGACTCGGGCGCACGAAGCAGCGAGCTGGAAGAACGAGGAGAAAGGAAAGCCATCATGGGAGCGGGGACTGTTGCTGCAACCCATGCCGGTGCACACAAAAAGGCGAGGAGTAGGACCCACTCAAAGCCACGCATGGTATGGTAGATAGCGGCAAACGTAGGCGAGGTAGACGTCCAAGACGCTGGAGCCACACTGTTTCAGCAGGGACGCGCCACGGGCACACTGCGATGACTAAGCCAAACCACGTGTGAAGAAATGGAAACGTTGGTGGTGGCGAGGTGACGAGGCCACGACAGGGCGGCAGTCCTTGCTTTGGCCTTACCAACGAGAATGTCGACTGCTTCGCTGCGTGTCGCAACCCGCATGAATGCGCTCTTGCGCGTCCCTGTGTCGGTGCGTGCTGCTGTGCGTATGCCACAGGCGATGATCATGCGTGTGCCGCAGATGCCGCGCACCTTTGCATCGTCTGTGCGCCGCTTTGGCCAGGGCGAGACGGATGCCGATCTTGTTGCCAGTCTTCAACAGGAGATTACCTACGAGATGGAATCAGCTGAGTCGGCAGGTGGTATGGATGTGGAGCCGGAGTGGCTCGCGCAGTTCCGTTCCGAGGGTGTGTGGCACATTGAAGACAAGGTCGGCTCGGACGAAATTGCGCTTACGCGTAGCTTCGGCAATGAGACCATCCGTGTGTTGTTCAGTATCGGTGAAATCGATACAACGGAGCCCTCGGATGACCTGGAGGCTGACGAAGCAGACCAGCTCGGTGCCAATGGCGAAGAAGAGTTTGAGGGCAGCTTCCCAGTGCGCTGTGCCATCAACATTACCAAGGCCGGTCGTGGCTCGCTGAACATTGATGCGCAGGCGCAGGATGGTCAGTTCATGATTGAGAACGTGACATTCTACCGTGACGACAAGCTCGCTACCGCTCTGACGGCTGAGGCGGACTGGGCGCGTCGTGGTCTGTACATTGGACCTCAGTTTGAAACGCTCGACGAGAACTTGCAGGCGCAGTTTGAGAGCTACCTGGCTGAGCGTGGTATTTCCACGAACTTGGCTCTTTTCATCCCGAACTATGCCGAGTACAAGGAGCAGCGCGAGTATTGCGGCTGGCTCGAGGGCGTCAAGTCGTTCATTGAGGTATAACGTTTATAGCGTCTATACAATTTTTCGGTAGCCTTGCGATGCGCCCGACTTGCGCCACACAGAGCGACGCACACGGGGAAACAACAGTAATACGCCTACAAAGACCAGGAGCGTGAGGGAGGGGTGTGTGCGGACAACCGATGGGCTGGAAGTGCGAACGTTGGTCATCGTTCGCGAGAGCACTGTGCCGAAGGGCTTTCCATGCGCTCGACCTTGGCTTATATCGTCCAACCATTGGATGCCATTCTTTGTCTCCAGCCAAGACCCACTATGGTCTTCAGGGTACATGTACATCATGCTCGTAGATCGCGCCATAGCGAACAGGGCAGGTGTGTGGTCGAGTCTGATGTGGTACTTGTCCGCTAGGAGCGACGGGAAGCGATCCACATCGAGCCACAAGAACCGGAAAGGTCGATGAGATAGATCGCTCGATGTACGCCATGACATGGACAAATCATGCAGGGACTGAATCAAGGCATCGAGTATGTCGGCTTGAGAAGAGCTGCTAAACACACCCAAGACAATCGCTGGGGCCTCTTGCATCGTATCTTGCAACGCAGAGCCGCTCACCTCTGTCAGGACAGGCTGGCTTTGCACGCTCAGCCACTGCGCCATTGCTGCAGACGCCGTATCCTCGTGGAACCCACGCACGGAAGTCAGAGGGAGCTGGGCCATAGGCACGCGGGCATTCCCTGCAAACACAAGCAGGGCGGACCCTGCAAGTCCATAGCGACGTGCGACCGTCGCATCGGTCGATACATAGAATGGAGTGCTGGACGATAGCTGGAAGCTCGCCTGTTCTACCATGCGCCGCTCTACGTCGGACGCAGGCATCACGTACAACACAGCGGAGGGATCCTTCTGAAGCGTAGCGTCAAGCTGCGAAGCATCCACGCGTGGGAAAAGCGTATACACGCCCTGCTCAGCAAGCCAGCTGAGAAATAGACCCTTAGTCCGCTTGGCGTGAATATCATAGGTGCTCTTGGTCCCATTCCGGAATAGTTGCAAGGTCGGCCAAGCATCCACAGCGAACTGAGTGCATACGTCCATGTACTTTTGGCAGTTGATAGCTAGTGGATTGACTTGGCCTAGCATCGCTGCCGCGGCTTCCTCGTATGCCTGTGCCATAGCACGGCAATGTGGGCAGGAGGGTGAGTAAAACTTGACGAACGAAGGGCCCTGGCCACGGTCGGCGCCTAGGAAGGCCGTCAGTTGGTCCACCGTCTCGATAGGCGCTTCTCCAAACTCAGTGAGACGCTGGACATGCGCGAGAGGCGCGCTGGAAGGAGTGGCCTCTTCCAACGTCGTAGTACTCGCACCGATAGCGCCAGGTTTGGTCGTTGTTGCTGTGGTTGTCGTTCTCGTCGGCTCGACCGCGGTGGTCGTGATCGGCACGCCCAGTTTGCGCGCTTTGTACGCTTGCGCCTCGGTCTTGACAAAGTCAATAAGCTTCTCGGCATTCTGCCCAGGACTTCCCTCCTTGTCGCCTAGCACATCCTTGTTGACCAGCTGGCCGTCCACATACAGCTTGCCATCCGGGAAGAAGGGAACTTCTTGCTGGCTGCACAGATCCATCCATTCGTAGCAGTTGACACGCGCGAGCGTAAACGGGGCCTCCGGGTCCTGGCTAAGATCGTCTACATTCTGCACAACTTGGTGCCATTTCGGCGCAAAGTTGCGGCAGTGGAAACACCGTGGCGAATAAAACTCGACCAGCCACGCCCCTGATTGTGTCAGACTAAAGTTGGAAGGTGTGAGGGCCCGCTCGACTCCGAACGGATCCTCGACAGGAGCGGCTACGGCGCTCAGTGCAGAGAGGAGGAGTACGGCCCATGCTAGGACCGCAGTGTATCGCATAGTCGTCCAACAACCAGTCCTCATGCACAGATGCCTGAGGGTGGCGCTGCTAGGCCCTGGGGGCGCAGCAGTGGCGCGTGCGAGCGCGCGCGTCATCACGTGGAGAAGGGACGTTCGCCCACGACCTTCTCCATACCGACCACGCACTCGCCCTGGCGCTCGCTCCGCCGTGCAGCTTGTGGTGGTGGTCGGCTATGGATGCACTACAGACCGAGGTATGTTCCGCTGTGCTGATCCCAAGCTATCAGATGTGGTCTCTCGACTGGAACTGGAGCGCCGTATCTGTGATGGGGCACGCAATATGCTGCAATTGCTGGACCAGAGCAGTGCGAATGAGGCCATGCGTCGCTCCATTGAGCATGAGCTAGCCCTGGCAGAAGAGCATGTAAAGGCGTTGGAGACCAAGCAGTTTGAGCTAGAACAAGCGCGGCCGCCGCCCTCGATCATGCAGGTGCCCGCTGCGCCCATGTCGTTCTTACATCCACGTGCGATTCGGCCTGTGCACAACCTCGATGGCCTGGGGCCCAGTAGTCTCGATTCGGGGCGATCTTCTCCTACAGAGCCTCTGTATTTGCCAGAAAGCCGCGCCTTCCCTTTGCCTGTGCCGGACCATCACCGCGATGTCCATTTGGAGCGCTCTCGACAGCGTGTGTTGGCCCTGACCGAGGTCCTGCATCGTATGCTCGCCACGTCGCCGCCTTCCCAGGACTGGAGCGTGCTCTTCTCGCTGCTATCGACCATGCTACGTGATTCTCCCACGTTGGCATCCGAGCTAGATACACACAGTTTGCTACAGAGCGCCCTCCAAGGCATAGCACTCGGCCCGACGTCGTCGACGCGGGCGTATGCGATGCGGCTCCTTCGATACCTGCTGCAGGACGACGTGCTGCCCATGCTTCTTCCTCATTCCTGTGTGCTTACTCTGTTCCTCTCGCGTGCGTTGCTGCGGGAGGACGACCTGGCGCTGGAGCGCGAGCAAGCGCTCAAACTCATTCGTGCTTTGATGGCCACGGCCCAGGACACGCCGATGCATGTCCTCATCCCTGAGGGGCTTGTACGTACCATGGCAGCCATTGCGTTTGAGCCCAGTGATCCGCTGTACCATGCGTGTGTCGAGACGTTGGTCGAGTTGGCCTTGCTGGACCCGGCGCTCACCGCGCGGGCCGCTGGGTTCCCGCCCCTTTGGCAGGCGCTAAGCACGGCTCCGGCGCCTGTAGCGACGGCTCTCGTTGAGAATATCGTAGTGCTCCTTGATCGCCCCGCGACGCGGCGCTACATAAGTGCAGGCACTGATTTGGAAGCTGCCTTGGCAGGGTTTACAAGCGTGCCTATGCATCGGACCTCGGACGAGCTGGCCTCGTTGCAAACGACACGGCATGTCGTGGTGAGCCTGCTGCTCTCCTGGCAAGGACTGGTGTACCTGTGCATGCAGGAGCAACGAGCGCTGCGTACGTTGTTCGCAGCGATGTACATGGACGACGTGGCGCTGCAAGTGGCCCTCCTGGATACCCTGTCGGATGTGATGACTTATGCGGAGCCTCTTCCTACGCTGCATGAACGTTGGGCGCCATACCCAGGCATCCCGCTCTTTCGCCACTACATGACCTTGGTCGTGTTGCTGTGCATTGAAGCGGGCCTCTTGCCGGCGCTCGCGCATTTGCTACAGCACGCCACGCCCATGGTCTGCGCCAAGGCGAGTGCTTTCACAGGTCGTCTATTGGCATTGGTCCGTGATATGTGCCCCCACAAAAGTGCGGAATGGCATGCATTCCCGGTGCTGGTGCAATCGATTTGTCGGCCAGCCTCGCCGCTGGACGGCATGCGCGCGACCAATGCCCTCACGGCCATTGCCAAGGCGGAAGACGCCTACGTTCCCCATGTAGCCCACTCGACCACGGCGCGGGTCTTGGTGGACGACCATGTGTTTCGTGCGATGCTACGTGACTCGATGGTCACAGCGACGAAGGAGTATACGCAGTGGCATGTGCCTGTGATACATGAGCTATTGCAGGGCCCTCTACGCGACCCACGCCGCTTGGAAGAGGCGTTGACGGGATCAAAATGGATTCGCCGACTGCTGGCCCTCTTTCGTCCGCTCGGCCCACGCTTCGTGCTACTGCAGCCACGCGACGTAGGCACGGTATGGATCGAGGTGGGTGTGCAGCTCTTTCGTGTGCTGGTGTCGCAGGCCGATGGCCTGCGGGTCTTGTCGGAAGACCGATTCTTGTCGGAGCTGCATGATGTGCTCGACCAACTGGCCACGGGTCACTTACATCCCGTTCTTTCTCACGCGCGGTGGCAGGAGACGGCCGTACGTGGCCTCTTTGCCCTGGTCCAAGTCCTGAGCGAGCATACCTATGGCGCAGAGCTCCTTGTCCAAGCGCATGTATACACGCCGCTACTTTCGCTGTGTGCGCGCGATGATGACGTGAGTGTGCATATAGTCGACCAGGCCCTGCATGCCCTCGATATGTCACACGCGTCGATCGCACGGACCCTGCTGGAGCATGCGCTCACAGGCGGCTCGGAGGCGGTGCGATGTAGGGCGACGTCCTGCGTCGCAGAGAGGCTATGGATTCACCAGGAGCCGCAGGGGTGGGCTGCCGCTCTGCTCTCGGCGCAGCTGTACGATATCGCGCCTGACGTGCGTACGTTGGCCATGCAGCGGTTGCGCGAGGCGTGTGCGCATCCCCTGATGGTCGACTGCGTCATGGCCCAAGGGCCGCCATGGGATCTGCTGGCGTCGGACGATACATTGGCCCTGCGCAGCTTGGGTGTCCGCGATGGGTTTGTAGCGCTACGTCGTGCTGGATGGCTCACATCCATCACGCATGCATGGCAGGCGCATACGTGGTACACATACGTAGCTGACGTCGAGTCGTGCCTCGCGCCAGCGCGACGAACAGCCGTGGTGCCGCCTCACTTGTACGGCCAGTTGGCCAAGACCGAGGAAGGGTGTGCCTACCTGGAAGAGCAGCAGATTCTGCCTGGCTTGCTGGCCGTTTTGCAGGCACATGCAACAGAAGCACACAATGCTACGGCGCTCTTGCACGTCAAAGCGGTGCTTTGGGCATGTGGGCATATAGGCGGCGCTTCCGAGCAGGGGATGCACATGCTTCAGGCGCAGGGATGGACGCCGCTGTGGCAGCGGGCGCTGCAGTCGCCGGTCGTGTCGGTGCGTGGCACATGCTTTTACGCGGCGGCCTTGCTGGCGGCTAGCGCAGCAGGACGTGCTGCCCTCGCCAAGACACAGTGGCTAGGCGACGTCGCATGCCTACCGAAAGACGTGCTATCGTTTGTGTTTCTCCCCGCTACGCCTACCGTATCCAACGATGCGTACGCGTCGCGCATGGCGCCAGCAGACGACGAAGAGGAGGAGCAAGCAGCGACCATGCTCTCGCGCCTAGGCAATGGCATCGTCGCCGGGTCAGCCTGGCGCGCTCTCCTACGGATGCGGCAGCAGCGGCCAGCGCTGTTCACACGCATGTCCCTGTTGGCCAGGGCCTTGCATTTACTCGACCATTTCGCCTTCCGACTCGCTGCTCGACGGCATGTATGGACCCTATTTGATGCCTATCCTCTCACGCTCGACACGGCGTACGCCCTGCAGAAATGGCGCGTGACGCATGTGAAGCAAGCACCGGCTGTGCCAGCCCGTCGCGTCCCCGTGCAGGACGTAAGCGCGTCGAGCGTGGCAACACGGACACCGCATCAGTACAGGGTACCGCCGTACAGGATGCCCAAGGCATCCACGTCGGATGATGACGGTGAACCTGACCGGACAACGACGGCTGATGTACATACCTCGCCGACGAAGCACACCACGACCACTGTGGCTGCTGCCATGACCACAACACGCCCACACCGCGGCAGTGTGCAGCGACATGCATGGCCGTTGCAAGTCCATGGCTTTGTATAACACATGGCATATTTGTATAGCTAGTATGACTACCCTTCCAACAGCTCGTTCTCAATACCGTGGCCGAGAAGCGAGATCGCACGACTCGAGTCGCCAGCAGGCACGACAAGGAACCGCAGAAGCTCGAACGGCTCCGTCTTTTGCTTGCGTACCGACGTAAAGTACACGGTGGCGACACCGCGTGGGCCCTCAATTTCGAAACTCATATCGACCTTGCCCTTGAGTGGGTTGATAATGCCCTCGATCCATGGATCACCGAACACATTGCGCTTGAGGAAGACAGGCTCGCCAAGCAAGTCGTGGACATCCGGCTCGCTGCGGACACGTTGAGACACCATGCGGAGAACAGAAGAGCCAAGGCGCTCCTTGTTTGTCAGGTACGAGGAGAAAAGGTACCAGAACACAACGAGGGAGGCACCGCCAATGATATAGTAGGGTTTGTTGTTCTGCATTCGGTTAGCCTATACAAAAGAGCATACATACAGGAAGCTTGGGCAGCGGCTTCTTGACCTGCGTAACGTGCGGCTCCCAGCGTCCAGGTTGGCGCGTAGAGTACATGCGCCATGACTGGATCTGCGGCTTCGTCCACGTACGTGCACGTCCAAAGATGCGCGCCACTCGCTCCATGGTCGACCTCGGCAGCGTAGACCTCCACAGCGAAGAACGACGTGGGCTGCCTAGCGGTCGGACCAGGCCGGTGCAGCTGGCCCACGTGGTCGGTTCCGAGGGAATGAGGCAAAACGACCCCCATAAAGCACCCAGGGTTTAATGGAAGATGAATGGCATTCTAGGCACAGTAAGGCACAAAATGGGCACAAGCGGTACACAGTTCAGTGCTATGTACATAGTAAGAAAGAGCAATACTACATCCCAGCAGCAATAAGATATAGGACGTTGGAGGGGTTGGATTCTTGCTTCACGATAGGAGAAAATGGAACAAATAAAACACATCACAAGATTACATGGCAAAGGCAGCAACCAGACCGGCAGCAGCCATCAAAATCGAACCCAGCGAGTACGAGACAGCGTTAGCACCGCTGCTGGAGCCGCCACCCGAACCACTGCCCGAGTTGCTCTTCGAGCTGCTGTTCGAGTCGCTGTTGCTGTCCGAGCCAGAGCTCTTCTTGCCCGAGGACGGGGCAGCCGACGAAGTGGCAGGCTGGATCGAGGCAATGCCGTTCATGATCGAGCTTGTGGTCATACAGTTCGACGACTTCGGCAGCGACTGGGCAATCTGAGGAGTCGACTGGCCAGACTTGCCGTTCGTGTAAGTCATGCGCTGTCCGTTCAGGGTCCAGAGACCAGTACCGTACTGCTCGAACGACGAAGTCGAGCCGTTCTCAATAAAGATACCCGGCGGGTAGGCAGGGTCAGCATCGCAAGTATCGAAAACACCTGAGGTGTAGTCACCGGGCATGACCCACTGGCAGCCCATTTCGTCCAGCGTGTGCTGGCACTCTGTCGCAGGCGTAGCCTGGTCCGAACCGGCAATGCAGACACGGAAGCACATAATGTCGTGGCCGATGTAGTTCATCCACTCCTGGTAGAACACGTCCTTGCCACTGACGTTCGAGGTAACGTTGCCACCAGCGGGGTTACCCGTACCGAACTGACCGTGTGGGTCCAGCTCACCACCAGTATCACCCGGCTGGACACCGATCTTGGTAAAGTCACCAAGGGCCATAACCTGAACGTACAGAGGGGTCTTCACGAAGTGAGCACCCATGACAGTGCCATCAGGAATCACGCGAGCGTTGTTACGCGGCTTGGTGCACCACGCCACGACACGCTCCTCCTGATTGGCAACCTTCGTACCCATGTCAAGCGGGCCGAATGTGCACCAGTCATCGATGCTGTTGATCGAAGCCAGACGAGCAGTCGAGGTCTGGTTGATCGGAGTGTTGACAGTTGGCTTGTCGGGGTTGGTCGGGCCGTTCGGGTTAGTCGCAACAACGCCAGGGTAGTCAGGCGAGGGGTTGCCGTACTGGAAAGGCGGCGAGGGAGTCGACGAGCTAGCCTGAGCAGCCTGCGCGCTAACCGAGGCAGCGACGTCACCAGCAACGGAGGTAGGACCCGCAGCGGCCGAAGAGGCCTGACGGCGGTAGTTACCGTTAGCAGGGCGGTAAACAAGGGCATTAGCCGCCGAAGCGAGCGAAATAGCACACAAAAGGGAGCGTGCAGAAATGAACATGGTTAAGGGTCGTGACGGAGAGGGCGAGAGGGAAGGGCGAGGAGCCTATAGCACTTATGTCAAGAGTCGGTTGATTTTCTCTCTGCGCATTCCAATCACCGGGTCCTACATTTAAGCCACCTCATCTGTGGGCTGTGTCAGATTGCTGCGTTCATGGGAAATTCTACAAGGTCCCGAGCAAATCAGATCGTAGCTTATGAAATATAAGACATGGAAGAACGATGCGTATACAACGCGATCACGTGGATGGGTAGGATGCCAAGCTCTTGGCTTCACGTGAGGCCGAGCGAACATTCGTCGTCGTCGTCGTCTTTGTCTGTGGATCATGGTGGTACGCCTGCGCTTGGCAAGGCACGGCACGCGTAACAACCCATTCTATCATATTGTTGCTATCCAGAATACCAAGGCTCGAGATGCTCGTCCTATCGAGAAGCTAGGTGAATATGACCCTGTCCCTCGGCCTGTGCGCCCAGCGGTAGCAACACCTTCGCGTGTACGATCAGAAAATCGGCCCGGATATAATGGCGAGGTTATCTCGTCGGGTATTGTACGGGAAGTTAAGCTGGAGAAGCGCTTGGAGTGGAACGAGGAGCGTATCAAGTACTGGCTGGGGACTGGCGCGCAGCCCAGCAAGCCTGTGGCTCGTCTTCTTGACAGGGTATGTTGTATGCTATGTATTTTCTAACACGTGTAGGCAGGCCTGATTCCGCCAGAAAAACGTGCCCTGTACAAGGGCCTGTATCGTCCACCTGTTGAGTCAGATCTTGCAACTGATAGTGTAGCGTCGACCTGATGCATTAGCACGATGGGCCCAAAGCTTCTTGGACCGATCAAGCCGTGCAAGATGTGTACACGATCGGCGACGGGGAATTATGCCGTATATACCAATTGAGCCCTGCGTCATTATCGCTGATAGGCTACTCTATATTTGGTGCAATAGTGCTTGCATGTGATGTGCCAAATAGAACCCGTACTTGTCCATTTTCGCCCTTTTTGACGAAATTACGCCCAAATTTTGTTACGTTACCGAGAAATGGACCGTATCTGGGAAGGGCGCTTGTTATCAGACTACTTTTATAAAAAGGTGCACACGTTTGTATCTTGGACCTACATCTATATTATGAAGCTTTTCACGATCCTCGGTACTGCTCTCGCTGGTATTGTTGCTGCGCAAAACGTGACCAAGCCGAACATTGGCACGAAAGAGAACATCACGCACATCACCCCTGATGGATTCTACATCCCTGGCCCTGCCAACCTGTACTCGCAAATCGTCACGTACCCTGCGAATGCCCAGCGCTACGAGCTGGCGGGAATTTCGCCGTACTGGACAAATGGCACTATGCCCGAGAAGATTGAGGACCAGGCTGTCGTTGTGATGCAGAACATCAACCAGACCCTCACGTACGCCAACTTGACCGCTGCAAACGTGGTCCGCATCCGTATTTACACACCGCTCATGGACAAGTTCATCATGAGTGATGCGCTTAACACCGTATACAGCTTCTTCGGTGACCTGCGCCCAACGTCGACGCTGATCGGCGTGCAGCGTCTCGCACGCGAAAACATGTACTTGGAGATCGACATGTCGGCTGTGAAGGTCAACTAAATATGCACGATGACTATTGCAATCGATATAGTTTAAAGGTTGAGATGCCTACTCAACACAAGTCATCCTTAGCACAATCATAGATATGCAGATTCGCAGATATGGGTATCATTTTCTTACACTATGGGGGAGAGTAGTAAATGTGCACCTCCAAGATTTATCTCACATACAATGCGAGGCCCACTGGAGACCACATCTCCACTGCCTATGAAGACCGTGTGTGACGTCCAGAGCGACGAGCACGTCCACCCCCGTTACCACCCCGACTTCGACCTGTCTCTGCGGGCGGCGGACGTGACGACTCCACAGGCCCTGCGTTTTGGTGAAGGGCCGCATCGGGTGGAGGAAACGGGAACGGCCACATTGGCATCGGGCCACCCCAGGGCGGCATGGGCGGTATGGGGGGGGCGGAGGACGAGGAGGGCATGTCATTCATGGGCGCAGACTGCGTATACTTGGCAAGGGGCGTATGAGGCGGGAGGGGCGCATCCGGTGTTGGCTCGCTTGGAGGGGCGTTCGTGCTCGGCGTCGGCCGATTGACCGTATCCTTCGCCAGCTGGTCCAGCATTGTGGCCAACGTGGCTGGCAGCCCTGGCCCTGCGGCACCCTTTGAAGTCCCGACAGCGTCAGCAGCAAACGGTCGTAGGTGGGGCCCCATCGTCATGATATGCGGCTCGCTTCCCACAGATGCAAATGCCGTTACGTAGTTGTTAGGCGCTGGTGCCGAGTCAGGGATTTCGCTGGCATCAGCGTACTCCACCGCCGGAGTCTCACTATCATACTCGTCTTGAAGTACTTTGGCTTGGCTTTTCGATCCACGCATATCGGCTACCTTTGCGACGCGTGGTTCCAGTGCCAACGCCGGTGGGGTATACCAATCGATCATTTCTTCCATTTCGGCATGGGCCAAGCGGAACATTCCGCCTTCTTCCATATCGAGCTGCCCAACAGTGGCTATCGTACCGTGTTCATCTTCATCATACACGGCCGGTTCAATCATTTTCACGGCCACAAGTGGTAACCCGTCATGATCTTTCCAACGCACACCTTTTTTGGGCTTTTTGCGTTCTGGCCTGACCTCCGGTTCGGGCGTAGCAGTGCTTGTTGCAGACGACGGCGCCACACCTTGCGATACTGACGAAGCTGGCGTAGCTTGCTGGTCAATGAGAGACATGAAGCTAGCTAGATCCTTGTTGGCACTGGACTGCGTGGTCGTGGTCGTACGTCGTGCTGCACTTGTAGACTTGGTATCCGACAGCTGTGGTGACCCCTTTCGTTCAGACTGGGCCGCCAGGCGCGTCCGCGTTGTTGCGCCTGTACCGAGAAGGCTTGAGGCAGGGCGCACCGTCGTGGACGATACAGGGGCTGTCGTTGTGCTGCGCACCCTTTTGGTTGACGCCTCCGTCGCGGCATTGGCGGAGGCAGGGCGCTTGGCGGTAGTGGCTGTCGATGCTGGGATGGATGGCGACTGGGCACGTACCGCCGAGCTGGAAGGGACCAGGGCACTCCATTTGTCCTTCACAGCATCAGCCTTCTTTCGAGCAGCCTCAGAGCGCAGTCGCTTTTGCGCACCGGTAATGAGCTTCCCCAGACCTACATGGTCCTTTAGATGCTCCAACTGAATCGGCAAACGTAGTAATAAATCTAACAAAGGTCCCACAAGGGCCGCATAGCGCTCACTTACATCTTCCATATCCGCTTTGCGTGGCGGCGTAGCATCACTTAACCACTGCGCCAGAATCTCGCGGCCTCGCAGATCATTCACAAAGTATTTGAGGTACGATGAGGTACCGTAATCCAACATGCCGCGTGTGATCTGAAACCGGTCCTCCGGCGTAGTAGGCCGCAATGTAGCCTTGTCCGGCGGACCTTCTGTTAGAAGTGTGATCAACGCGCCAGCGGCCTGCGCTGGGTTTTGCTCAATGAGGCTAGACGTCACCAAAACGGGAATGGCACGAGAAATATCATGCACTGACGCGCCGGGCGCTACAGTACGCCGCTGTGTGCTCATGCTTGGCGCACTACTGTCGGTGTTAGCCATCCTGGAACTTGTTGCTGGCACGGCATTCTGCAGCGACGTACGGTCTGTGGACGCTGACATAGACCGAACGTGCACCGCCGAGCATCGGTGCCAAGGCAATACGCACTCTTCTGGTTGCGACATCGACACACAACACAAACACTAGAGGTGTCTAGATTCTCACACGAGAAGTGTCAGGGGAAATGACCGTGACTAGTTTTTTTGTTTTTTTCTCGTGTAGCAATGCAATGGATAAAGTACCCCTGTAACTCTACAAGGGCACGTAGACTATGACAGGGAAAAAGGTAAACAGGCGACTACACCGTACTCGGTGCTACTGCACAATGAGATGAACGCCAGAACAACGTCCCAGTCGTAGGTGGTGGAGAGGGGATGAGGTTTGAGACAGTTTTGTGCCTGCAGGATTTATGCGAAAATTCCACGACCGCTTCGACGCTTACGAAAGCCCGCGACTGCCGTGCACGCTGTCATGGCCGCCCAGACCCATTCTCGTATGTTGGTTCAGAGTCAGGTTGGTCACCTTTCGTACTGTTCATAGATCTATCATTAGGAGCGGATCTGTAAAAGGCTTATGTAGAAAGGACAATATAGTGGGAAGTCGTTTCCTCAGCGGATGCCCTGGCACGGCCACTGCCGACTCATAGCGCGGCCTCCACGCACTTGGCTTCTTTTCGATTGACAACACGCGAATGCCATGCCCTCTGACGTGCCATGCACGTATGATTCGTGCGGGGTCTAGCGTAGTCTTATCTACGCTACGACGTCCCTGTATAGAGCCTGTGCAGTGGTTGTCGAGAAGCTCGTATGCGACTCATCCACCTGCCTCTTCCAGGGCCCAACGTGAACCTGAGCACCGCGTGCAGTACAACTACGATGTGTTTGAGCTGCATCCTGAGCAGGAGCACTACACCCTGCCGCTTGTCACAGCAAGTGATCTAGCGAAGAACAAGACACGGCCACGGTCCGTCCGGATGCTTGCTCGTGATTTCATTCACGACAGTCTGTATCATCCTCACTATGGCTATTTCAGTCGTCAAGCCGTCCTTTTACCGCCCACGAAGAGCACGACCAAGTCCCAGGACGCCCCATCCACGTCGTCTGCCGTGTTTCCTTTCCACGATATCAAGAACGAGACGGAGTTCATGCGTCTTGTCCAATTGCGGTACATGGAGTTTGAGAACCAATTCCAGGAGGCTAATAAGGCACGCGAGCGTGCACGACGAAAGCAACAATCGGAGCCGACACTGCAAGAGCGAATCGAAGCTTTGCAACTACAACAGCGGCGTGCCTCCTGGGGCACAGCGGCATACATGGACCTCGCTCGGGAAATTGGGCGCCTGCAAAAAGAGCAAAGTCAAGACCAAGTCTCCGATGCCGAAGTGGATGCGATGGCTGCCGGGCAGGTATGGCACACTCCCACGCAGCTTTTTAGTCCGTACTATGGCCGAGCTCTCGCACGATACCTCGTGGCCGAGTATAAACTGCATCTGTTCCCTTACCACGACCTCATTCTCTATGAATTGGGTGGTGGTGCAGGAACACTAGCACGCGATATACTCGACTACATCGAAGAATGCGAACCGGATGTGTACGCACGTACACGCTATCACATCGTTGAAATTAGTGCACGACTTGCCGCACAGCAGCGTGAGCGCCTTGCCACGCACGCGCAGCATGGCGTTGTGCACGTGGTGCATCGCGACTTTTTGCAGTGGAAAGAGCGTGTGAATGATCCCTGCTTTGTCATTGCGTTGGAAGTGCTGGACAATCTAACGCACGATGTGGTTCGCTACTCTACGGACGATTTGCAGCCATACCAGGGCCTGGTATCCATTGACCACACAGGCGACTTTGTCGAGTTGTGGGAGCCCGTCAAGGACCCCCTTATTCTTTCGTACCTACAGATGTTGCGCCACGTGCGTCCTACAGTGCTTCCGCCTGGTGCGCCTTTCTACCTGGGCTGGATTCCACAGTCTGTGCGCCGCTATCTCCATGACAATGCGCCTTTTTACCCGAACTTGACGCAGCCCCATTATATCCCCACTGGCGCCTTGCAAATGCTGGAGGTGCTGCGCAAGCACTTCCCGCTGCACCGACTTGTTCTCTCGGACTTTTCGTCCTTGCCGGATGCATGTGCCGGAGTGAATGCGCCTGTGGTGCAAACAAGGCACAACGGCGCGATGATTCCCGTGACGACCTACTGTGTTCTACAAGGCTTCTTCGACATTTTCTTCCCTACAGACTTTGAGCTGCTGCGCGATATGTACCTGCACTATATGAGCACACCTACGCCTCCTCCCATGTCTGCGCTAAACGCAGGCATTGACGAAGGCAATATCGATGTGAGCCAGGAGCACCGCGCGCAATTTCCACCCTCCTTCTTCTCCCCCTCTGATCTACCAGAGCGCCCGTCATTGTACGAGAACTTTTCCTCGCCAATGCCACGCTTTTTCGCGTCGTCGGACATTATTCCTCCTCCGCTGCTCTCGGACTCACGTGAAGCACGAATCATGTCGCATGCGGAATTCCTTACACGGTACGCTGAAGCCCAAGGCACAGAGCTACGTGATGGCTCGAATCCCATGATTGCATGGTATGCCAATGCATGCTGGCTTCTTACATAGTGGCCTCACCGTAGCTAGCTATCGAGCGTCCATGGGCCCATGGCCTCTCGCTTTGTCAGCAAATTGCAGCAGCGGCGTCGTCGTAGCCCCCACCGCAGCTCGTTCTGTCGTGACGATTATGAGCGCACCCGTCAAAGAACGCCCGTCTACAGCGGGGCGTATTACGCTGGGTGTGGGCATTGGTATGTATATCGCTTGCGATGTCTAATCTTTAGTTTTGTTTTTACACGCAGCGTTTTCGACCTATGAATGTATGTGGCACCTATGCTAATGATTAGTCCTGTCGCAAGGCAAGAGCTTGGATCTAGGTACAGGTTCGACAAAGTACGAGAGCGCAATCCCTAGTGATATGATGGCCGAGTTGTTGATCTCGTTTGCTGTGTTAGTCGTCGGTTGTGCTATGACAACACCTGCCTTGCGTCCCATCTCGTGGTCTACGCGGATGCGTGAGACGTACGTATGCACACAAAGCCTAACCCTGGCAGCTCGATTGATCGTGTGGATGGGCGGTCTAGTTTCGCCAACGTCCGGCATCGTGGTGCCCATCTATTTGGCACCCGCACGTAATGCAACCTATGTATTATTCTTCCGTACTGAAATAATATTTGACCTCATTGACAGCGTCGGTTCTGTCACCAGTGCTACTACATACGATGCAGCTATAAACTGGTACATACCGCGAAAGCTCTGTACTACGCAATTGTTGCAACATTCTCGCCGCAGGCTTAGAAGCACTTGCGGTGCACGATCGAGGGGCCGGCTTCGTCGTACTCCTGTTTCGAGATCCACATCTGCTGGAAGGTCGAGAGCGAAGCGAGAATCGAACCACCGATCCAGACCGAGTACTTGCGCTCCGGCGGGGCCACAATCTTCACCTTCATGCTGCTCGGGGCCAGAGCCGTGATCTCCTTCTGCATACGGTCCGAGATACCCGGGTACATCGTGGTACCACCCGAGAGCACAATGTTGCCGTAGAGATCCTTACGGATATCCAGGTCACACTTCATGATCGAGTTGTAGGTCGTCTCGTGGATACCAGCAGCCTCCAGACCCAGGAACGAGGGCTGGAAGAGGGCCTCAGGGCAACGGAAGCGTTCGTTGCCGATGGTGATCACCTGACCGTCAGGCAGCTCGTAGCTCTTCTCCAGGGCCGAGCTCTGGGCCGCAGTGAGCATCTCCTGCTCAAAGTCCAGGGCGACGTAGCAGAGCTTCTCCTTGATGTCACGCACAATCTCGCGCTCGGCCGTGGTCGTGAAGGGGTAGCCACGCTCCATGAGGATCTTCACGAGGTGCTCCGTCAGGTCACGACCAGCCAAGTCCAGACGCAGGATAGCGTGGGGCATCGAGTAACCTTCGTAAATCGGTACTGTGTGGGTAACACCGTCACCCGAGTCGAGCACAATACCAGTGGTACGACCCGAGGCGTACAGCGAAAGCACGGCCTGGATGGCCACGTAGAAGGCCGGGGCGTTGAAGGTCTCGAACATGATCTGCGTCATCTTCTCACGGTTCGCCTTCGGGTTGAGCGGGGCCTCAGTCAGCAGAACAGGGTGCTCCTCCGGAGCGACACGCAGCTCGTTGTAGAAGGTGTGGTGCCAGATCTTCTCCATGTCGTCCCAGTTGGTCACGATACCGTGCTCAATTGGGTACTTGAGCGTAAGGATACCACGCTTCGACTGGGCCTCGTCACCAACGTACGAGTCCTTCTGACCCATACCGACCATCACACCCGTGTGGCGGGGGCGACCGACGATCGAGCTATAATGTTAGACCCACCATGTGCGTACGTACGGGAACACAGCGCGGGGCGCATCGTCACCGGCGAAACCGGCCTTGCACATACCCGAGCCATTGTCAATGACAAGCTAGTATATTAGTACACATTGTCATCGTAATATACATACAGCAGCCACCTCGTCTAATGTTCAAAGCAACACCCATGTACGAACAGACGCTCGTGTCAGCATTTTGTCCCAATAAAGCGGCAGCCTCAGGCAAGTGGCCGCCTTCTTACACCATACGTACCTTCCATAGTGATAGTTTTTATTCAAGTGTGTGTTAAGGGCAACTAGTCGAACTATCGGGATCGCTGGCAATCAACTCGCCAACGGTGGATTGTAGTTGGGGGCCAATCAACAGCAGAACGCGAACGTGACTACCAACTCTCCCGTGGACCAGGCGCGTGCTTTCATTGTTTTTTGGCCCGAACCATCACAGCCTCTGTAAGCTTATAGGCCCTGTTTTTTGTTGCCGCGGCATGCATAAGGTCCAAACGGAGGTTCGGCCGACACCCATGCTGTGCTGGCAGCATGTGTCCACCTCGATCACATGCACAAGCCCACCTGGCCTGAGCGGCCCTCGGCAGCATGTGTGCTATTTTAGCAACAATGCTGAAATAGGCTAGGACAGCCAGGCGCTGATAGAGGAGAGAAACGATATACTTGTACAGAGGGTGTAGGGCACTATGAACGTAGGAATGGTATAAGGCAATCCTTACGCATCCTTCTTCTTCTTTTTGTCCTTGCCTTCCTTGGCAGCCTTCTTGGCAGCCTTCTTCGCCGCCTTCTCTACATCGCTGGCCTTCGATTTGGACTTGGAGGACTTTTTCTCCTTCTCCTTCTTTTCCTTCTTGGACGCCTTGCTCATCTCCTTCTTTTTGATGGGTTCAGCAGACTCCTCGTCCTCTTCATCCTCTGCGTCATCGTCCTCCACCGCATCCACATCCATCAAGTCACCTGCCGCCTCTTCCAACGCGGCAATGGCCTTGCGCATAGCGTCGCTATTCTTTGTCGTTGGCTTGCCAGTCTCGTAGAAGGCCAGACGCTCTTCCACCTGCTGGTGCAAGACTTCACCAAACTTGGTCGATGGTGCATCCGAGAAGCAGTCAATGCGGCATGCAATGCTGATCTTGTTCGCAAGGAAGCGCGACATGCGACCCTTGTTCTTTGGCGCCGCGCGCGAGATAGCCGAGGCATGGTAAATCAGACCATACTTGGGCGTGTTGCCCTTCGTCTTGAGGGCGCGGAACAGTGCCTTTTCAGCACCAAGAATCTGCACGGTCGAGGCCGGGTATTTGGCCAGGTTGGTCAATGAGCCAGCATGCGAAATCAAACGCGCGCCAATCACCTCACCCAACAGGGCCGAAAGCTGTTTGTTAGTGCATAGTAGGCTATACATACGTTTGGCGCCACGAGATGCATCTTCTCCACGAGGTATTCATGCATGTTCTTGCGGTAGTCCGCCAATTGAACCACGCGATCAGCAAAGTTCTCAATGTTAATCATGTCGAGCTCGCCAATCTCGGTACCCATACTAGCACGAGCCGCATCGAGAATGTTACGCGCCATGGTCTCGTCACTGCCGACAATGTCTGTGAGCTCATCGAGGTGTTCTTCGCTGAGGTTCTCCTTGGCCTTCACAAAGCGGGCCACGCGTGCATAGGTAATATTATCCGGAACAATGCGCACAAGCTCAGGGAAGTGCCAGCCGTACCACTCACGCACACGCATCGCGAAGGTGTTCACATCCTTGTCAAGCGTGTCAAGGAGGGCAATAGCCTGGATGATCATGTTATCACTGCGGTTGACGTTGAACTTCACTTTGGAGCGCGAGTACGAATGACCCAGACCGAGCTGAGCGCGTTCCAAGTCGCCTTCTGTCATACCCTTCAGCAGCTTCTCGGCATGCAGACGAATACCACGAATGAGCTCTTGCGACGTCTCGCCGGTGTCGCAGGGAACGCTCAGCTCACCGACAATGGAGCTGGCCAAGTTACGGTCGCACACACCCAGCTCGACGCCCTTGACCTTCTTGCCCTCAGGGGACAGATTCTGCGTGAGAAGCGAGCGCAAGTGATCGTTCACCACACCTTCCGAGATGTCCAGCGCACCCTGGAGCGCTTCCGGTGCACTCTTGAACGGGCTGAAGCTGACCAACTTGACCATCTTGCCGAACGAGGGCAAGTCGGTCATAGCTTCCTGAACCTGCTTTGTTTGGGAGCCAATGCTCTCGACCTGCTCGACCTTGAACAGAGCAAGGCCGGCGGCGCATTCGAATAGCACATGCGTCGGCGTGCCCGGCATCGCGACGTGCTGCAATGAGAAAAGCTCTTGCCGAGCCATGCCTCACGGGGCCGTGGTTTTTTTTTTGTGCGGCAGAGCGGGCGCACGTGACTATCGGCCGATCTAGCGAGGGCCAGGCGCTGCGTACCCTTTCAAGCAGGGTGGGCACGTCAGACCTGGCCTGGCGGGGCGAGGCGTGGGTTGCGTAAGCAGACGTTGTCGCTGTGCAGGCCCAAGGGACGCGTCAGTGCTTGGTTCAGTTCACCATGTCGCGCAGTTCTTACGACCGGCATCTGACGATCTTTTCGCCGGAAGGCCGTCTGTATCAGGTCGAATATGCCTTCAAGGCGATCAATACGGGCGGTATTACCGCTGTGGCTGTCCGTGGCAAAGACACCGCTGTCGTGGCGACACAGAAGAAGCTGCCGGACAAGTTGATCGATGCGTCGACTGTGACGCATATTTTCGGCATTACGCCTGAGATTGGATGTGTTGTGACAGGCCGCACACCAGATGCGCGTGCGCAGGTGCAGCGTGCACGCTCTGAGGCTGCTGAGTTCAAGTACAAGTACGGATACCCCATCACACCCGATCTGTTGGCCAAGCGCCTAGCAAACATCAATCAGGTGTACACGCAAAAAGCAGCGATGCGCCCGCTGGGTATCTCCATGATCCTGGTAGGCTTGGATGATGAGCTGGGGCTTGCGCCGCAGATCTTCAAGCTCGATCCAGCTGGGCACTATGTCGGCTACCGCGCGACGGCCAGTGGCGCCAAGGAGACGGAGGCCATCAACTTCCTGGAGAAGCAGTTCAAGCGTGTGCCCACGGCCATGGCACCAGAAGCCGCGCTGGCCGAGGCTGAATCGATTGCGAAGCAGCTGACGCATGAAGAAGTCCTGGATATGGCCGTGAATGCGCTCAACACCGTGCTGGCGACGGAGCTCAAGCCCAGCGAAATCGAGGTCGGCGTGGTCGGTGGGCCGGCGGTCCACGACGTGACGTCGCAGCGGAGATTCTCGATGCTGACCGAGGCGGAGATCGGCCAGATTCTCGAGCGCTTGGCGGAGCGTGATTAGCCATGTCATACGTAGAAGAAGACGTGTCTGTCTACCTTGTAGTGCCTACTTATTCCTCTACGACTTTGGCCTTTTTCGAGGCACGTCGACTGGCCTTGTCGCCATGGCGTTTCTTTGTACTTGACGACGACTCCTCCGAGCCGTTCTGGTTCGCTTGGCGCTGCTTGCGTTCGCGCGCTAGCGCCTCCAGCCGAGCCCGCATCGAGTTGGGCGCTGGCGCCGACGACGCTTCGTCGCCCGACGAAGCGCCCATATCGTCCTCTGGCCCGGCCGCTGGCTGCGTCTCCCCTTCCTCGTCCGCTTCCTCGTCCATGGGCACCGGTGCTTCCTGGTCGTCGTCCTCGTCGCTGCTCTCTTCAAAGAGGGCCTCGTCGTCGCGCGCCACAAAGTCGTCCTCCGCCGGCGCAGCCTTCTTCTTGCGTGAGCCGCCGCCGCCGCCGCCGCCTGCACTACGTTTCCGTGGCTCCGGCGAGGGTTCGCGAAGGTACTCAATCTGACTCGCCTCTTCTCGCGCCCGACGACGCGACTCGGCCAACGCCTCGGCCCGGCGACGGTGCTCTTCCTCTTTCTCACGACGGAGCTGCGCGAGGTGTGCCTCCTTCTCCTTCTGCTTTTCATCGAGGCGCGCAAGGTGCTCACGCTGCTCTGTCTCGTACGCACGTACTTCGTCCAAGTGCTGCGAGGCCTGCCGCAAGAGCGACATGTCCGCGTACTTAGCACGTTGCTCCACCACATCGGCTGTGATGTACAAGAGCTGACCTTGCTGCGCGGCCTCCCTGAGGCCAGGGAGTATGCGCTGGGCAGCCTCGACCCATCCAATGGCCTCGGCGAGCTCCTCTGATACGCGCTGTTTCACAGGGAGATCGTAGAGCATCTGCAGTGCTTTCTGCGCCATCACAGCGCGGTTGTATGCCACCTGCTTGGCCTCCGCCGCAGCGGAGCTTTGGGGTCCCGCGGTCTGCGCGCGTGCTTCTAGCACGTCCTGCGCCTCGCTCAACTGCGCCATAGCTTGTTGCAGCTGTGCAAACTGCTTGTCCCGCAAACCGAGGGCATAGAGCGCGCGCGCCGAGTACTGCAGCACTGTTGGATCGCGTGCGTGCCCGAACCGTGTGAGCGCCAATTCGTAGACGTGTGCGGCGCGTTCCAATGCACCACAGATCATAAATGCATGGCCTTGGCAGACATACACACTGGCGTCATCACGTACGTCACGCAGCTTGCCAAACAGCGCAGCCGCGTCCTCGGCCGCCTGCTTGCGGCGCGTCTCGATCACGTCCGGCGCCGCCGTCGGATCGCCCAGCGCATCGTCGGCCAGCAAGATCGCCAGGCCTTGCGCTGCAAAGACGTTTTGGTGGTGCGCAGCGAGGGCCTTGTCGAACAGATCCGCTGCACGGACCATGCTCTTGGTTCGCTCTGCGCGCTGTTGCGGACCGGCGGGTGTATGCAGTCCAAGCTGATAGTACGCCCAGCCCAGCGTGCCAAGAATGTAGGCATCCTGCCGTGCCTCGTCGGCTACGCGGCGTGCGACACTCGCACTGCCAAACACGCTTTTCCCCGCCTCGGCGCCCAAGAACAGCTGAGCGGCAGTGTCTTTCAGCGCGCCCCATGCTGCCTGGCGGTTCGCCGGGTACGCCCCCGCAAGGAACCGCATGTACTCGGCACGCACACTCAGATCGCCCGGATCGCTCGACAGCGCTTCCTTGAACTTGGCGTTCGCCGTGTCACGTGCAGAGCGAGTGACGCCGTGCTCGGTGACGTCCACATGCTGGGGGGTCTGCGCGGCCATGATCGCGAGGCGCACGCGCGCGTCGACGTACTCGGGGTGCGCGGCCAGCAGGGCATGGTACGCCTCACGCGCCTGCTCCGTTTGGCCCAGCGCCTCAAACGTGCGGCCCATATTGTAGTTTGCCAAGACCTTGACGGCCACGGACGCCTCGTCCTGGTCGTCTGGCGCTTGCAGCGCTGCTTGCAAGTGCGTGAGCGCCTTGTGCAGCGCATGTGTATCGGACTCGTGCGCCAGCAACGCCCCGATATTCAGTTCCAAGGCGTACTGCAGCGCCCCTTGCGGCTGCGTTTGCAGCGCGGCTTCGTACTGCTCAATCGCACGGCCATGCGCCGACTTGGCCCACAGCTGCGCTAGCAGAGCACGTACACGCGCATCCTCACCGAGGCGCGCAAGCGCTTGCCATGCCAGCGGTGCCAACTTCTCCGCCTCCAGGGTACTGCCTTCCACAGCGCCAGGCTGCGTAAGAAGCGTATGTGCTTCGACGGCGACGCGCATCGTCCGATCAAGCCAGTGGCGTGCACGTCGTCGATCTGCCGCCGCTTCCGCGGGCGGCGCGCCGGGCGCAGGCGTCGCAAGCAACAAACCAGCCATCAACGCCAACTCACTCACGTACGCAGCCGAGCCGGCCGGGCGCGACAACACCGATTCCAACGTCTTGACCGCACCTTGCGTATCGCCCGTCGTCGCCTGCCACTGCGCCAAGCCCAGCGCGGCCAACGCATGGCCGTGCGCTAGCGGGTGCACCATATGCTCTTCGCCCTGCGTCGTACGCGCGAGAATCTCCAAGGCTTGGCCATAGTAGCGCTGCGACGTTTGACGCAAGGCATGGTCCGCGCTGTGCTTCGGCATATGCGAGGCCAATTGCAAAGCGTACGCATACTGCAGCCAGGCATGCACCACCACCGAGCGCGCATCCGCGTACTGCACAGCATGCTCACTCAGCTTGAGTGCACGCTGCAAAATAGGCTCGATGTGGTCCGCCTTCTCTGGCGTAAGCGGCGTCATGGGCGTGGTCATATCGTGCGCCGCGGGCATCGCAGGGGCCAACGCATGTGCCGCCTGGGATGCAATGTGCGAGGCCAAGGCCACGGCGGCCATGGCACACGTCTTATCGCGCTGCCAGGCCGCTTGCAAATGCACTATGCCGTCGGCGTAGGCGGCGCGGCGTGCCTCGTCTTCTGGGCGCTGTGTATGCGCGCCGTACCAGCCTGTGGGCAGCGGGCTGGCCTCCTTCGCGACGTCCAAGAGCGACAGACCCAGCAGCAACCGAGGCGCCGAGGCCTGCTCGTCCCACGCTGCCGCACGCTGCCATGCACGACGGGCCGCCTCGTGGCGGCCCAGGCCCCATAGACACAAGCCCATACCGATGCGAGGATCCGGGCCACGCCAACGTAGTGAGGGATCGTTGTGCTTCTCGGCGAGTTGATGTCGACGCAGGACCTGACGCAGGACTTGCTGGTAGGTCTGTAGCGCGGCCGTGTAGTGCCGTGCTCGCAGCTGTGTGCATGCGCGTCCCAGCAGGGCTACCGGGTGCGTCGGCGTGCGGGAGAGCAGCACGTCAAACAGGCGCGACGCCAACGCATTGTCACCCGTGTTGAGCGCAAACACAGCACGCGCCTGAATCATCATAGGGTGCTGTGGATTGAGGCTCTGTGCACGTCCCAGCGCCTCAGACGCCTGACGGAAGTAGTGCTGCTTGGCCTGCTTCTCGTGCAGCGGTTGGTACCGTGCTTCTTCCATCACCTGCTTCGGCGCGGTACGTGCGTCGGCCAGCGCAAACGCCGCTTGCAAGGCAAACACAGCGATACTTTCTTCAGGTCGGTGCACTGGAAGGATACTACAGCCGCGTGCCACGATCAGTTCCGCTTCGGCACGACGGCCTTCGTTCCAGCATCGCGACGCAAGCGCTGTCCAGAAGTGAGCCGGCGGCTTTTCTTCCGCGAGCATTTCCATCACGACCTCCAGTTCTTCGGGCGGCGGCAATGGATCCAGCTCAATGGTGATCGACTCATTCGTCGCCAGCACGAGCTCCAAGCTCTTGAGCGGTGCCGACGACGTACTGGCCATGTGCGTCGTCTCCATTCCACCCGTCGCCGTCTATCGTAGGCTCCGTCCGCGCGACACGGCGCCGCGTGCTAGCATAGCGACTCCACACAACATCACGTGATAAAGGGCGAGGCCACCGGTTTTTTTTTTGGTAAAGCTCGGCAGCGAACGAGGAGGTTGCGTGTCGCGTGTGGCACACGTACGTCACCTTACTTCTCACCGTTTCTTTGTCCGGTGGTGGCGCGGGCGCTCGCCATTGGGAAGTCGTGTGACACAGGATGAGTCACGAAACGGTTACGATTGGTGTCCTGGCTATACAAGGTGCGTTTCAGGAGCACATTGCTCGCTTTGCCTCCCTGAACGCCTCGTCGAGTGGAACTACCGTTCGTGCTCTGGCCATTCGACGGCCTGAGCAGTTGGCACAGTGCCATGGATTGGTCCTTCCTGGCGGCGAATCGACGTCGATCGTTTTGGGCCTTCGCAATGCCGACCTACTTGAGCCTTTGCGTGTGTGGATTCGCGAGGGCAAGCCTGTTTGGGGCACGTGTGCTGGTATGATCATGCTTGCCAGCGTAGCGACGGGCGGCAAACGTGGCGGCCAAGAGCTTCTGGGCGGCATGGACGTGCAGGTCGGTCGGAATGGATTCGGATCGCAGGTCTATTCTTTTGAATGCGATCTCCCTTGCCCTGCGTTGGGCGAAGCGCCCTTCCCCGGTGTCTTTATTCGTGCGCCTGTCGTGGAGAAGCTACTGACAAGCCGGGCCGAGGAACAGGAAGCTGTGACATCCCACGAGCAAAAGGGTTTGACCGTGGCCTACTGCCCACCAGACATGCGCTGCCTGCAAGAAGGGGTGGCGGTGGAGCCTCTTGTTTGGCTCCCGCTCGATGGCCCCAGCCATGCCGAGGCTACAGATGCGTCTCGCATCGTGGCGTACCGCCAGGGCGCTTTGCTGGCTACCAGCTTCCACCCTGAGCTGACGTCGGATACGCGCTTGCACAGCTACTTTGTGCGTGCGTTTGTGTTGCCTGCTATGCACTCGTAGATCTCATACATACCCTTTCTTTCTATCGGATCTGTGTTGCGTCGTCGTCATCGTGGCCAGGCCTTATATTGCCCAGCACCGCCTCCTTCCCGATACTCACATGCAGTGTGGTCCCTTGGGATACATGGCGTGCAAACAACTCAACATACGCTCCTCGCCGCTGCGAGAGCAAGTCGCCGACATACGGCTTCACACTGTGCGCCAGGGGTATACTGGCCAGAATCTGGCGCCGTGGGCCATGGAACATCGAGGCATGCTTCGCACCGATCCATAAGAGCTCGTACGGCTTCCGCACACGTCCATCGCCTAGTGGTACGACCATGTCTGGCGCCTGGCCCTTGGTCGGCGCTGTGACTTTGAGCCAGGCCCATACCGCGACAGTCACCAGGCCCAGCCCGGGAAACAGTTTGTCGCGTACAAACTTTTGCACTTTGGGCTGCGGTGAGATTCGCTATGACGTACATGATTCGTGACCCATACCGCGACCAAGGGATCGTCCGGCAGGAGCGTTTCCATCACTGGCCGAATGCGCCACACATCGTACAAATCCGGCATCGTTTGGTAGCCATGCCGACGTCGATACCGATGGACACGCGCTGCACTCTGGTTCGGCCATGGTGGATCAAGGAGAACCACATCCGCACCACCGACCGACTGGACTATTTCATAAGCTCATCACCACGTACCTAGGGACTGAATCGCTTCCCAGCCATGCGGTCGACGAGGACGCGGTGTAGCGGGGGGCAGCAAGTCCGTAAGAAGCGCCGCACTGCGTGGTGGCATTTGTAGAAGAAATGTACGTTGCGAGATGGGATCGTGCCAGGTCATTTCTTGTGCCTGGTCTTGCCGATGGACGCAGGGTTGATGCACCAATGGCGTATCGCTGGGCGAGGTAGCCTCTTCGGCCTGGTCGACACACTTCGCAAGCTGCGGCGTAGGACTTGGTCCCTGGACGTGAACCACCTCCAGCTGGCGTTCCCACCATACCGCATTAGCGTGCCAATCTGCTTGAAGACAGGCTAGCGTATCGCTCCATAACTGGGCATCCCAGTACGCGTCTGTGTCCGAGATCTGTGACGGCGTTGGGCGCTGCGACGTGGCCGACGAGGCAGGCGGCCATGGATCACGCACCATCTCCTTCTCGACTCGGAGCGGCGTGCCCCGTCCCGCATCAATGTCCAGCAGCTGGATCGGAATCCCATGCACTTCGCCTACGCAGCGTGGCATGCATCGTCGTCGTGCACGCGTCGTTGGGTGGAGGGGTCACGGACGAGGACACTTAGGTGACCTACTAGGCCCATGTTATCAAAGGCCACGCGTCGCCTTTCCTCGCGCGAAAAAGCGGTGGTGATACCGTCTCACCCCGTCATGTCGGCCCCGATTTTTGCGCAGGAGGCGACGCAAGAGCGCGCTGAGAATGCGCGTCTGTCCTCGTTTGTGGGTGCCCTCGCTCTGGGTGACCTGGTGAAGAGCACCCTAGGCCCGAAGGGTATGAACAAGATCCTTCAGTCTGTGGGTTCTAGTGATATTGTTGTGACGAACGACGGTGCGACGATTCTCAAGTCTATTTATCTCGATAACCCAGCTGCCAAGATCCTTGTGAATATCTCAAAGGTGCAGGACGATGAAGTGGGTGATGGCACCACCTCCGTTTGTGTTCTGGCCTCGGAGCTGCTGCGTGAGGCGGAGCGCCTTGTGCAGGGCCACATGCATCCGCAGGTGATCGTGGATGGTTTCCGCATTGCTAGCCAAGCTGCGCTACGTGCTCTTACTGCTTCGGCCAAGGACCATGCGTCGGATCAAGCTGCTTTCCGCAACGATCTACTGAACATTGCGCGTACGACGCTGTCGTCTAAGGTCTTGTCGCAGGACAAGGACTACTTTGCGAAGTTGGCCGTGGACGCTGTCCTGCGTCTGAAGGGATCGACGAACCTTGAAAACATTCAGATTATCAAAAAGCTAGGTGGCAAGTTGACTGACAGCTACCTGGACGAAGGGTTCATCCTCGACAAGAAGCTAGCGCCGAACTCGATCAAGCGCCTGGAAAACGCCAAAATCATGATTGCCAACACATCCATGGATACCGATAAAATTAAGGTGTTTGGTGCGCGTGTCCGTGTCGAAGGCACGAGTAAGCTGGCTGAGATTGAGCGCGCAGAGCGCGAGAAGATGAAGGCCAAAGTGGAGCGCATCAAGGCCCATGGGATTACGTGCTTTGTGAACCGCCAGCTGATTTACAACTACCCTGAGAGCCTATTGACGGATGCAGGCATTATGTGCATTGAGCATGCCGACTTTGAGGGCGTTGAGCGTCTTGCGTTGGTCACTGGCGGCGAGATCGCCAGCACGTTTGATCGCCCTGACTTGGTCCGTCTCGGTGAGTGTGGGCTTATTGAGGAGGTGATGATTGGCGAGGACAAGCTGATCAAGTTCTCTGGCGTCAAGGCTGGTGAGGCATGCACAGTGGTGCTGCGTGGTGCCACCTCGCAAATGATCGACGAGGCGGAGCGCTCGTTGCATGACGCGTTGAGTGTGCTCAGTCAGACAGTCAAAGAGACGCGCGTGACGTATGGCGGTGGCTGTGCCGAGATGGTCATGAGCAATGCCGTGGATGAGGAGGCGCGGCGGACACCTGGCAAGAAGGCACTGGCCGTCGAAGCGTTTGCGCATGCGCTGCGTCAGCTGCCCACCATCCTTGCCGACAATGCCGGCTTGGACTCGAGTGACCTGGTAGCGAAGTTGCGTGCTGCGCATATCGAGGGCCAAAACGATATGGGTCTGGACCTTGACGCTGGTACGCTCGTGTCTATGGCAGAGCGTGGTGTCACGGAGAGCTACAAGCTGAAGCGCCAAGTCGTGATCTCAGCCAGTGAGGCGGCGGAAATGATTTTGCGCGTCGACGATATTCTGAAAGCGACGCCACGCCGGCGCGACGCGCACTAAGTCTCCATAGCGGCATCATAGTTAGACAGAACTATGGTCCCCATTTCTATGAAAATAGGGCTTCGAGAGGTGCATGCTACACGAAGGGGTCTGTCACAGCAAGGTGTCCTAGAGGCTCGGGAAATTAGACAACATGGCCCTTGCCCTTGTAGCCCTCGCTGGCAATACCCGTAATTGGGTTCTGCTTGGTCTCCTTAGCACGTTCGTTCATCTGCTCCTGGTACTCCTTGGTCAGGGACTTGGGCGCGGGAGCGGCTGAGAGAGTTAGTCGAAGGGCGGGTCATCTGATACATACCGATCGAGCGGACGGCGTAGAAGCCCGTGACACCGAGAGCCACGGCGAACAGGGTACCGATGAACACCTTGGTGCTCTGGCCCGGCGGCGTAGTGGGCCTGCGCGGGCCGTGCAGGCCGTACGACACAAAGTAGGCTGAGTGTGAGTCTTTGCGGACGCGCTTTATACGTACCACCCTTCTTCTCGTCCACAGTCAGTTCCTTCCAGTCCTTGCGCTGGACCTCCTCCAGGAGCTTGTACACCGAGTACTGCTCCTCACGGGCCATCTTCGGCCACATGGCCTCAATGTTCGGCAGAACTTTGTTCAGCTCCAGAGCGTTAGGGCCCTCCAGCACCTGCTGAGCATCGCGAGCGACAGCCGGCGTCCAGCGGTCACCCTTGGTAGCGATGCTACGCGCCAGAGGAGCGCTACGAGGAATCACACGGGGCACAGCAACACGAACACTACCAAGCATTCTTCAATCAAATTGCTCAACCTAGAGTCGTAAATCCAAGAGTGGTACGGCCACTTCGCCCGTTGCAAATAACGGAACCAAACGGGACCTGCTGATTCGCAATACAAATTTATCGGCCGAGAGAGCAACTGGCCCCGATACGCTTGCCCACGCGTGACTAGGGCCTCCACTAGGGTTGTGGCTCTCCGTACGAATGGTCAAGGCGTGATTCTATGTATATACGATGTACATACACGGTTAGCATTCGCTCTTGAGGACGGCAAAGGCCTGCTCAAAGTCGGCCTTGATATCGTCGATGTGCTCACAGCCCACCGACACGCGGATCAGGTCCCTTGTCACACCCGACGCCTGCTGCTCGGCATCATTGAGCTGCTGGTGCGTCGTCGAGGCAGGATGAATAATGAGTGTCTTCATATCGCCCACGTTGGCGAGCATAGAAGCGAGCTTCAAGGAGTCCACAAACGTGCGTGCCTGATCCTCGCCGCCCTTCAGACCAAACGACAAGACACCACCGAAGCCTTTCTTCAGGTACTGCTTCGCCAGGTCATGCGAAGGGTGCGATGACAGGCCTGGGTACAGGACCCAAGACACATACTCATGTTGCTCCAGCCATTGCGCCAGATGCAGGGCGTTGGCACAGTGGCGCTCCGCGCGCAGCGACAGTGTCTCGACACCCTGAAGAAGCATGAAGCTTGCAAACGGATTCATGCACGAGCCGAGGTCACGGAGCATGACGACGCGCACGTACACAGCAAACGTCTTCGGCCCAAAGTTCTCCCAAAGGCGCAGGCCATGGTAGCCTTCCGACGGCTCCGTGAACTGCGGGAAACGTCCGCTCTTGGCCCAGTCGAATCGGCCCGAGTCAATCACGACACCGCCAATAGTCGTGCCGTGGCCGCCGATCCATTTGGTTGCGGAATGCACGACAATGTCCACGCCATGGTCCATAGGGCGCACGACATAGCCACCCATACCGAACGTGTTGTCCACGACGACAGGCACACCATGCTTGTGCGCTACCTCGCAGATCTTTTCCAAGTCCGGGACCGTGTAGCGTGGGTTGGAGATGGTCTCCAAGTACACAGCCTTTGTACGGCTGTCAATGGCCTTCTCAATCTCCTCCGGTGTGCCTGTCTTGACAAACTTGGTCGTCACACCCATCTTCGGGAAGAGCACCTTGAATTGGTTGTACGTGCCGCCATAGAGGAACGACGAGGAGACAATGTTGTCACCTTGCTGCGCGAGCGATAGCACCGCCATGGCCTGCGCTGACTGGCCCGAGGACGCGGCAATTGCAGCCACACCGCCTTCAAGAGCAGCCATACGCTGCTCAAACACGTCGACGGTGGGGTTGCCGATACGCGAGTAAATGTTGCCCGCTTCACGCAGGCCGAAGAGGTCGGCACCGTGTGCGGTATCGTTAAACACGAACGAACTGGCCGGTAAGTCTACAGCATCGTCACGTACGTCGTAGCATAGATCGGTGGGGCGCGAGCATTGGTCGCGGGATCAGGCTGCTGCCCGGCATGCAACTAGCTGGTCAGCTACCACGACACTTACCTGGAGAGTCTCAAAATGGGTCATGCTGATGGTGTAAGGAAAGAAGGAGGTTGACAATGGTCTATGGAGGTCTATGGCACCAAGATGCACCTTTATGCATGTAGCACGCCTCGATGGCGCGACAAGACGGGGTCGCACACGCCACCCCGGGGTTCGTTGCTTACGCATAAATCCACGTGCCTGAAGCCTGGTCCCATGCATGACTGTCCGTAGTCTGGAGCGCCTCCAGATCGGGCGCGGTGTCGGAGGGGTGTACCAAGAGGCCCACGCCGTTGCCACCCACCTCTGTTTCGTAGGTAGCAAATCCTCGGGCATGTAGCGTATCTGTCAGCGAGTGAACGTCTTTCTCAGAAAGCTGGTCGTGCAGGAGCGTAATCGCGCAGCCACCGCCGCCAGCGCCCGTGAGCTTGGAGCGCAGGCCCTGCGCCCAGGTCGCCTTCCGCACATCTTCCAACGCCGCATGGCCTACACGCAACTGCACAAGCTGGAGATGGTTGAGGTCCATCAGCATGCCCAAGCGCTCGACCAGCTCCTTGCGCGGCATCGTACTCGACAGAAGCGCCTGCGCTTGGTCGGCCAGCATCTGAATCGTCGCAAAGGCCGCTTCCACACGCACAGGGTCCTCCGCTTTCTGCTGGGTAACACTCGCCACCAGTTCCTTGGTATTCCGCACAACCTTGGTATCGGTAATCAGCAAACGCACAGCATCGAAACTGATCGGTACCAAGCGATTTTCCGAGAGGCCATTGCTAGGTACAGCACGTGTGAAGGCCACAGCGCCGCCGAGCGTCGCCACCGTGTTGTCCACACCCGAAGGCTCGCCATGAATCACCTTCTCCGCCATAAATGCCCACGCATTAATACGTGCCGTATGCTCTTTCGGCATCGGCTCTGTGGGCGACGGCAGCGGCAGGTGGCCGTGCGTGTAGAGCATCAGCGTGGCAAGGCATGTAGACACCGCGGCACTGCTGCCGAGCCCAGCACTGATCGGTAGCTTGGATCGTAGCTCGAAAATCTGGCCATGACTCGATTCCTGCGCCAGGTGCATGTACAGGTACAAAAAGGCCATGGAGGCGTTGTGCCGACGGTCGCCTTCCGGGTACGCCACCGAGACAATCGCACTAAGAGCGCTTAGAAGCTGCATATCCAGCTCCTTCGCTTCTGTGCTGTTGGAGCAGAGGAGCCATGGCAGCGCCAAAATGTCCCAATGGTGCACCAGGTCAATATCGGGCAGACTCAGCGTCACTTGTGTCGTCTTCGACGGCTTCACGTGGCCGTAGCAGCGCAACGCCGTCGCAGCCGCAATGGCCGTCACACCATGCACCACAGCATGCTCGCCAAACAGAATGACCTTGCCAGGCGCACTCACGGTCAGGGTCGTTGGCGCCGCCGGTGGCTTCGCCAGCTCAGGCGCCAACTGACGACGCAGCACCTCCATCTCGTCATCCACTGGGACACGCACAAACGTGCCGCTACCAGCCGGCTCCTCGCGGATGGCACCGGCTGTGAGCAGCGCTTGATGCAGATCCCGAAGCAGGTCGTTCACGTCCTCAATGCCCAAGCACAGACGAATCAGGTTCTCCGGCAAACCTCGTTCAGCGCGAACACGCGGGTCGATACTGGCGTGGGACATTTGGCACGGCATCGTGATCAGACTGTTCACACATCCGAAACTCACACTCACACCCCACAATCGCGCGGCTGCCACCACTTTCTCAGAGAGCTGCACATTACCGGTCTCAAAACTAAGCACACCGCCCGCGCCCTTCGCTTGACGTGCATGCACATCATGGCCTGGATGCGAGCGCAGACCTGGGTAGCGAACTTTGAAGCCTAGGCGGTTGAGATAGTTCGCAATCTCTTGTGCTGACGCTTGCTGCCTATCCATACGCAGCGCCAGCGTTTTGACGCCTCGCAACAGAAGGAAACAATCCAGCGGCGACAAACCATTGCCCACCGACTTGATGGTAAAGTGGATCTTGGCAGAGAGATCGTCACTATTGCATGCCAAAATACCAGCCAAGACGTCATGGTGACCACACAGATACTTCGTAGCCGAGTCATACACGATATCTACGCCAAAGTCCAAGGGACGCATGAGGTAAGGCGACATCATCGTGTTGTCCACAACAACCAGGGCCTCTGGCGCATATTGGCGTACCAAGCTTGTGCAGCGAGGCAGATCGGCAATCTTGATCATGGGGTTGGTCGGCGACTCCAGCAGCGCCAGCGCGACACGAGGGCCATTGCCTTCCGCATGTTCCTTGGCTCGTCGAGCAAGCACTTCTTCGACCGCCGATAGGTCAGTCGTATCGACATTGTCAACGCGGATACCCATCTGCTTCTTGTACAGCTCCAGCAGACGGTCCGATCCACCGTACAGATCATCACCAGCCAGCACAATATCGCCTGGGCGGATCATACGCATGATGATATCAAGGCAGGCCATACCGCTGCTCACTGCATGTGTATGTTTGCAGCCTTGGATTTGCGAGAGATGGTGCTCTAGCACATCGCGCGATGGATTGCTTACACGCGAATAATCGTACTCTGCGCCAGGTAAACCTTTGAATGTCGCCGTGAGGTAAACAGGCGTCGACGAAGCACCGTACTGATCTACATGCTTAGGATCATAGACCGCTGTGCATTTTGTGGCAAACGCACATTCACTTGGGTCCAACGGCATTCTCGTTGTACAAATGAACGGAGAGAGACAAGGGAGAGTGGGGTCCTGGTCGACTCACTCGCACGCGCATGTGCACGCGCCAGCGCGCTTACAGGGGGGCTGACTGGCCTGGACTGGCTGCGTTTTTTCTTTCGAGGCCATGCATGCATGGCCTCCACTATGATACAACAATATAGGGCGTCTATGCCATTGGCGCCATGGGGCCTTGTGTCGCACGCTCTTCAGTTCACTTTGCGGTACCCGCGGAATCCCACGCCCACGCAAGACACAAGGACATTGTCACTTTCGTCAACACGTCGTAGTTTAAACACAACGCCCAAGGTATCTCGGATATCGCGGAGGCACTGAATGGCAGCAGGCGTAAGGGCGCTCATACGGCACTTGGCTACATCTTCCGGGCCCAAGGCCATAAGGAGCAGGACCATAGGCTGATGACTTGCATCGACACAGCCAGACCCCTCGATCCCTTGGAGGAGCATTCGTGCCGCCTCCAAGCCCACGTCTTCTGGGGTCTTGCCTGGCGTCGATGTGGCTTCGGAGGCATGCAGTGCGCCCGTGGTCGACGTAGCGACCAGGGACATAGCAAACCCGGGCGACTTACCCGACTCATCACCTCGGTATACATCAGAGAATAGGTACAAGTCAGGAATGTAGCGATTCAACACACTTCGTGCTGCATCGATCATACGATTGCTCATTTGCGGGTTTACACGAACAGCGCTCGCAATGCCACGGATCTTGCGAATACGACCCGGCTCCACAAAGTTCAACGGACGCAAAGTAGCGACCAGCGGCGCCCGGAAGAACACTTCACCACCGCCCAGCGGCGCAGCACCACGTTTCACGATTCGCATTTCCATAGCGGATGCGAGCATAGATACGGTATCCAGTGGTAGGAAGAGCGCCAAGTGAGGTAGAGTCACTGTACGAATGGTATCTGCGCCCATATCGCCTTGCCCACTAGTGATGCCACGCAGCGTTAGGGCCATTTCCTGCTTGGCAAACGGCGCTAAGAGCACCATCCATTCCAAAAAGTAGCCAATGCCACGCTTCAGTCCACAGTCATGCGTCACAGTACCGCCGAACACAATGCCCGGCTGGTAGTACACTGAAGTACCAGTATAGTTGATCTCCACAGCACTACCGTTGGTCACTTTTTCCAGCAGGCGCAAAAACGAGGCCTCAAAGTCCCGCAGACCTGGCTCTTCATCGTCTGGCCGAATCTGGTCAATGCGTACAGGACGTCCAGATAATGTGGCTAAAATCAGACGCTGCCGGAAGTAGGCATGCCCGCTGAATCGCAGCAAGCGACTGGAATCTACCGACATGGTCGTAGCGCTGTCGATCGAGGTCAGCCTTTTTTTTTTAAAAAAAGAAAATGGGCGGCTTCACCACGGCTGACAAATCGAGTTGGGGCCAGGCGAGCTAACTTGGCCCTTGGCACGGACAGGCACCATGAAGGTCGAGGTACATGGCCTCTTTGTGGCAGAGTGCGTGGCACGTTTGCATTGACACCAGGTTCCATGTCCGAAATGGGAATACCATTGTATACAAAGATCCACCAGGTACGTCTTTGACCTTGCTTACCTGTATCAGACTTGCAAGTCGATGGTCTCGAGTGGAAAGTCCTGCCGAGTGGCGCTCATACTGTAAGCCGCGATATCATGTACGTATGGGATCGCTGACCCTTAGCTTCTTTGAACATACCAATGGTCTTATGGGCATTGCTGCGTACTGTGCTCGTCGCCTATCGGAGGAGGAAGGCGGCGCCGCACAGCGTGGCGCTCGCTGTGTGAGTGTGGGCCTGTTGCTTCCTCATCAGTATACGCCGAGCAACCAACTCAGAGCACTTCTTCCACACTGTGCTGCACTTGAATCCATAGCCGCGGATCTGGTGATGGGTGGCACGCCGCCCAGTTTGGCGTCGTACGGAAAGCAAAGTGAGTCTCCGGAACTGGGACTCTCTCTTCCTCAGCTGGCGTACGATCCAGCGACGTATATGAGCTCTGTGCACCGGTTCCTTGGTCCTTTACTTCTTCCGCTCATCAAGATGCTGCAACTTCCTCAGCGTCTGTTGCTGTATGCACCGGCGCCTGTCGAACGGTCAGCGATCCTCGCCTTTAATCTGGCAGAATTGGTACATGCTGCGTTTGTGCATGCATCGCATGTGCCAGGCCAAGTTCGTGTTCGCGGTATGATTACATTGCATGACTTGATGGCGCTGCAAGCAGAAGCGCCCACGACCACGGCCTGGATCGCATGGACATCCGATCGTCTTTTGCTGGACAAGACGGACTTGTACGATGCGTGCCTGGATGTATCTTCGTTGATGTTCCCAGACGGCCCAGCGCATCTTTTCCCGACCAAGCCGCTTGCCCGCTTTGTGAAGCGATCGACGCTGCAGCCTATGCCTCTCACTTGGAATGCACGCGAACTGAGCCTGTTCTTAGAGTTGGCCGATCAGGAACACCGCTTTGAGGAGCTGCTTACGCACGAAGGCCGGCCTACCTTTGAGGCATGGCGCGAGGCGGAGGCCATTTCGTCTGCCTGCTCGCTGCATGTCTCCACCATTCCCTCGTGGAAGTACCGACAACAGGATGCGCGTATGAAGCTGTTAGGCTACCTTGTGGTCTGGGTCGCCTCGTTACGTTTCTGGCTCGCAGAATGGTGGCTGGTCCGTTCGCAGCTTCATGTCGCTGTGCCTGCCTCGTTGGTCGTACCTTTGGGGCTGCGTGGAGATGGTGGGCTCAGTACGGGCATTGTGGATTTGTCGGAAGGCGATGACGACGACGGACTGGACGACGAAATATTGTCTGACGTGGCCTCGAAGACCAGCCGTCGATCTATCCGGTCGGAAGGTCTGTCTACCTCGGTCGAGTCTGTGGATCCTCTGTTGGCGGCTTGTGGCATGGTCCACCTCTCTGCGCCCCACCGACGTACGACCTCGGTGGCGAGCATTCGCTCGCCTTCGCGTACGCCGCCCAGCGCGATGGAGCGAACCATTACGCCCGCCCACCCACGCTACGATCCCAAGTACGAGCCGCACTTGCCGCTGGAGTCCATGACAGGGCTGTACCTCTTCACGCTATGGAGTAGCTATGTGCGTGCAATGCATATTCAGGTGACGACGTACCTGAAAGATCGCGTAGCGCTTCTTCCGCCGCTGGACGAATCGTCCTCGTTGCTGAACACTCGTGTGGTGACGGTCTCTCGGGCCGACTTTTGTCAGTTTGGCCTGGATGCGAGCTCGGAGATCGATGTGGCGTTGATGCGCAGTTGGCTCGCGCCGTATTCGTGTACGCTGCACGTCTCAGGCTGGTTCTTCTGCTGCTTGTTTTAATAGGCCGTCCCTTTCCATCCCTGCTTTCTGCCCACCGACGTGGGAGAGGACGGCGGGGGGGAGGCCTTGTTCATACCCTCCACTTTTTGTTCGTATATAGTGCCAATCGCTTCGTTCGTCGCTCTTGCCTGCACGATGAGCCAGCGCGTAGCGCGCCCTGTCGCGCGGTACCGCCCAGGCCAGGCGCCGGCAGCTGCACAGGATGTGGACTCGTCAGACGAAGAGACCGTGCCGTCATCGAAGCCCGTAGAGCGTGTGCGTCTCCCTAGCCGCGTGACATCCGCGCCGAAAGTCGCCGCGGCGGTGCCGGTCGCTCCTACCGCGCCTCGGCCAGCAGCTGCGCCGGTGGATATGGACGAATATGGTATGTAGCCTTGATCTAACCCACAGAAACCGACTCCGAGGAGGATGTCAAGCCGACCCGCCCTGGTCCCTCAACACACACGCCGCCTGCGCGGACGCAGCCGCCGCCCCCTCGCCCCCTGAATAAGCAAGCGCTGCCGCCAGCGGCGGTACAGCTCCATGCCCCGCCCATCCAAGATGCATCTTCGTCATCCGAGTACGATTCAGAGTCGGAGGACGAGAGTGAGGATGAGGCGCCTGCGCCGTTGCTCAAACCTGTGTTTGTGTCCAAGTACGTATCGATGCTGCTTACGGTAGACGCGATCGCGCCGCTCCTAAGCCGGAACATGTGGAAACGACGAAGCGCTCGGCAGAAGCCTTACAAGCCGAAAAGAAAGCGGCGCATGATCTTGCTGCAGAGCGTGTCGTACGTGCCTTGAAAGAGAAGCAGCATGACGAGGAAACGATGGAGATTGATGATACTGATGGCCTGGATCCCGACGCGGAGTTCGCCGCATGGCGCGTACGTGAGCTTGCGCGGCTGGAGCGCGTTCGGCAGGCGGAGCGTGCACGCCAGCTGGAAGAAGAAGAGGTGGCGCGCCGCCGTGCCTTGCCGGAGGATGTGCGTCTCCGAGAAGATATGGCGCATGCGCGGCAGACGCGGGCAGAGAAGCAGCGTGGCCAGCAAGGGTTCATGCAAAAATACTATCACAAAGGTGCCTTTTTCCAGGATATGGACATTCTCCAGCGCGACTACTCGCAGAGTACGGGCGATGCTGTGGATAAGAGCCAGCTGCCGCAGATCATGCAGAAACGCAGCTTTGGCAAGCGCAGCCAGAGCAAATGGACGCACCTCGCCGCAGAAGATACGACAAAACAGGGTCTTCCTGACCTGCGTACACAGGGCGCGACGCGCCGTACCTAAATAGATGTATACTATGTCTTGTTCGACAAGGTCGTCGCGAGCCAATCGAGGCCGGCTGTGAGTCTGCGAGGGGGTGAGTCGGTTGTCCACGTACCCTTTGCCTGTCAACGCCGAGCCTGTGGGTCAGTGTCGTATGGTACGCACAGCCAAAGATCTGCCATGTCCGGTCACGGAACGACGACAAGTTGAGGGCGTCGGAGATTTCCGAGGGCGACATGGATCCACGCACGTCCTGCTTGTTGGCCCATACGAGGATCGGCGCCCGCGTCAAGTTCTCATCGGCAGCGACGCGATGCAGCTCTGCGCGGGCGAGCGCTACACGCTCCCGGTCGTTGCTGTCCACGACAAAGATCAGCTGGGGGTCAGTCGTGGCCGCAGTACGTACTGCATCAGTCGAAGTCAAGTACTGCGCCCAGCTTGTACGCAGCGATGTCTGCCCGCCTACATCCCAGAGCACAAACTTGAGGTTCTTATATTCAAACGTTTCTGTGGGATGAGTACTTTGCACACGGCCGTACCTGTATTGGACCCAATCGTCGGCGCCGTGGCTACGACGGACCCTAGCGTCATCTTGTACATCAGCGTCGTTTTGCCTGCATTATCAAGACTGCTGTGAGCCTATCGCCGCGACGTACCCTAGAATACATATTTTGAGCTCTCGTTGCCCAAACAACGAGTTCCATAGGCTGCTAAACGCGACGCCCATGCTGCTGGCGGACGGTGGGGCCACCCACGCGCTCGTGCGTGTAGGCGCGCGATTGCTTACGTAGCCTACAAGGCCATTCATGCGTGTTGCCAACATGTCTTCGCACGACCGAGGCGCCGTTCGCCGCGAGGGGCGACCGGCGGTTTTTGGCCTTCGCGGCGATGCTGCTACGACGTGTGACATCTCCCTTGTGAATGAGCGAGCCGTTGTCGGAGCCTCGTGAAGCGCCTGAGCCTGTTTCGCAGCCAGAAGCCAAGGCGTCAGCGTCGACATCCGCGCATGATCGACGCCGACGCCGTCTCGACCGCGAGCTGGGCTTCTCGGCGCCAGGCCCCGCGTTCCAAATGCAAGTGTCTGGCGCTAGCCCAGCGTCGGCGTCGGACGATACAACACAACCTGAGACGTCCTCATCGCCCTCGCAGCATACACGTCACTCGCGCCGTATTGCGCGTCCCTCGCAAGCGGCGCTGGAGAGCGGTATGCTACGCATGTGGCAGGCCAAACCGGACGGCGCCTTGGATGTGGTGACCAATACCAAACAGCTCTTACAGCAGTGCATCGCCCTCCAAGAGCGGCTGGTGCATGCCACGGACGAAGCTCGGTCGCATGAGCACGCCACGCTGGTCCGTGAACTATACCATATGATGAAGTTTGTGAATAAAGTACCGTACGATCCATCGATCGCACAGAAACCTACGCACGATGTATGGACGGCCTTTGTCGCGCAGTGTGAGCTGGCTTCTCATTTGTGGGTTGTCGACGAGCCTGTGGAAACGCCCCGTCGTCGTCCAAGCGATACGGCGCGAGCACGATCGAGTCCACGGCCTCGTATGTCACCTGCCTTGACGCCCCCAGCGAAACGTGCTCGCGTCATGTCACGAGGTATAAAGCGCAGCTCACCGCCGTCGCCACCCGGCACGCTGGCCCTGGTGCCGTTGTCAAGTGCAGAGGTGGATCCGTCCGACGTGCCGCCCCTCACGTACATGGCGCCACATCAATGCCCATGGCCGCCAAGCGTGCCAGGTGGCGATCTCCGTGCGATGCTAGCTTCTATGCACATGTGGGGCGATGAGTTTGTGACGGAGGCGGTACGCGAGCAGCGCCTCGCGCGCGAGACAGCGCTGTACTGCCGCTTGGATGCTATGCGACGTGCTGGACATACGCTGGAGCCGGATGGCACTACGTCGCTCATCAAAATGAAGCCGCAAGAGGCGCCACGAGCCAAGGCTCATTGGGACCATGTATTGGACGGGGTCGTGCACCGTTCGCAACGTATGCGGCAACACCATCGCAGCCGCATGCAGCTGGCCAAAAAAGTGTCGCGTATGATTACGGCTCACTGGGACCGTGAGCTGCACAGTGACGAACGGGAGCAGAAGCTGGCATGGCGTCGGCAGCGTGCACTGGCCAAGTGGACTATGAAAGAAGTCCAGCGGCAATGGAAATTGGCCGTGACTGTGATCCGTGGGCGTAAGCAGGAAGCGGAGCGCGCTGAGCGTGAAAAGCTCGGGAAGAAGCAGTTGCAGGCGATTATTGAGCAAAGTACGCAGATGCTTGAGACGCAGCATGCCGAGTTGGCTCTCGAGGAGGCGACGGAGGACGAAGATGACGAAGACGAAGAACAGGATGACGAAGTCGATGAAGACCAGGACGAAGAGTCCTCGATGAAGACGGCCTCGGAAGCGTCTGTGTCGTCCTCGGACGACACAGAAGATGACGCGTTGGAGCAGGCCATGTGGGAGGAAGACGAAGAAGACGAGGACGAAGACGACGACTTGAGAGCTGATGCAGACTTGCCGCTGGAGGAGCTTATGAAGAAGTATGGCTATGGCGCGCATGAGCGTTCTTCCGCTGCTGCATCGCCCTCTCGATCAGCGTCGGATCGGGCGGATGACGACCGGATGGAAGACGATGAGGCGTCGCACGACGACGCCCAAGACGAAGAGTCTGACGACGATGCGCATGACAAGGAAGAAGAGTCCGACGACGACGGCCAAGACGAGGAAGAGGCTGAGGCGTCCGTATCACTCCAGGCCCTGATCGATACCAAGGACGAGGCGGATACGGCCCTGCCGAAAGTCCGACCCCCGTTCCTACTGCGTGGCACGTTGCGTCCCTACCAGCAAATGGGCATGGAATGGCTCATTAGTTTGTACAGCAACCAAATGAATGGCATCCTCGCCGATGAAATGGGCCTTGGCAAGACCATTCAAACGATCTCGCTGCTAGCGCATCTTGCATGTGATCGTGGCGTATGGGGTCCTCATCTCATCGTTGCGCCTACGAGTGTCATGCTTAATTGGGAGATGGAATTTAAAAAGTTCTTACCAGGCTTCAAGATCTTGTCGTACTATGGCACACAGAAGCAGCGCAAGGCGAAGCGTGTGGGATGGAATACGCCCAACAGCTTCAATGTATGCATTACGTCGTACCAGCTCGTCTTGGCTGATCAGCATATCTTCCGACGCAAGCCATGGGTGTATCTTGTTCTCGATGAGGCGCACCATATCAAGAACTTCCGGTCTCAGCGATGGCAGACACTGCTAGGCTTCAATTCCGAGCGCCGGTTGCTCTTGACAGGGACACCGCTGCAGAACAACCTGATGGACTTGTGGAGTCTTATGTATTTCCTCATGCCCCAAGGCCTGGAAAAAGTCGCTGCTGCTACGGGTGCGTTTACCAATATGAAGGACTTCCAGGAGTGGTTCTCCAATCCCCTCGGCAAAGCCGCGGAAAGTACGCAGGCCATGGACGAAGAAACGCAGGCGACGGTGGCGAAACTGCACATGGTCCTTCGGCCTTATGTTCTGCGCCGACTCAAGTCGGATGTCGAGCGCGAGATGCCAAAGAAGTACGAACATGTGGTGCCTTGCCGCTTATCCAAGCGCCAGCGCTTTTTGTACAATGACTTCATGTCGCGGGCCAAGACGCGAGAGAGTTTGGCGAGTGGCAACTACATGAGCATCATCAACTGTCTTATGCAGCTGCGCAAAGTGTGCAATCATCCTGACCTGTTCGAACCGCGGCCCATTGTCACACCCTTTGTCACACGGGCCGTGGCGGCCGACTACGAAATCGAGGCCTTGCTTGTGCGTCGTCGTTTGTTGCAGCAGGATCCATGGGCCCATGTGAATTTGGACTTTTTGCATTTACGCTTTGCGGAGCGCGAGCCCCTTCTTACGCCCCTTGCGACGCGCCGCTACGCGACATTGGATGCTTCAGAACAGCTTCTTCATCACGTTCCGCCCCCTGGCCCTCCGCCAAGTATGGATACCCGCTCTTTGTCTGCCTTCCACAAGGCCCTGGAGCACCATCGGGCTCTGGCACGCTACGAACAAGCCCATCATGCAGCGTATGTTAATCATATGCGGTGCCAGGCGCAGCCCGTGTACGGTCGTAATTTGTTGCGCATGCTCCAAACAGCGACAGCACCGCTTGTGGTGCCCACGGAGAATGGGGCGTCGCATTCTCTGTGCTTTTCGCAATGCGATGCACTACGTCATGCGTCGTTATCGCATTGTGAACGAGCCGATCAAATGCGCCCTGTGCTTACGCGCTTCTCTTTTGCGACACCACCAGCCATCGCGCCGGCCTTGCCGCCTGTGTTGTGGGAGCACGCAGAGGTCTCGCCCTCGTTACGAGCTCGACCAGATCCACTGCATCAAGCGGCGGTGTCGCTCAACATTGCCTTTCCGGATGCTTCGCTACTCCAGTACGACTGCGGCAAGCTGCAGAAACTTGACGAACTCATGCGCCGATTGGTCGACGGAGGCCATCGCGTGCTCATCTTCACGCAGATGACCAAGGTGCTAGACATCCTCGAAAAGTTCTTTAATTATCATGGCTATCGTTACTTGCGTCTCGATGGCGCGACCAAGGTGGAGCAGCGCCAAGCCCTGACGGAACGTTTCAATCGCGATTCACGTATCTCTGCCTTTATCCTGAGCACGCGGTCAGGTGGTCTCGGTATCAACTTGGTCGGAGCGGATACGGTCATCTTTTACGATCTTGATTGGAATGCTGCGATCGAGGCACAGTGTATGGATCGTGCACACCGCATTGGCCAAACGCGTGATGTGCACATTTATCGATTCGTTAGCGAGCATACCATTGAAGAGAACATGCTGCGCAAGGCAAATCAGAAGCGACGCCTGGACAGTATGGTGATCCAGCAGGGCGAGTTCACGACCGAGCACCTCATGCGCAACGACTGGCGTGACATGCTGGATGAAGGTGGAAAGACGCTAGGCGGTATTAAAGTGGGGGAAGACCTGGCAGGCGATGAAAAGGACGTGGAAAAGGCGTTCCGTGCAGCGGAAGACGTGGAAGATGCAGCTGCTGTGCATGTTGCTGATGAAGAAATGCAAATGGATCACGCAGACTTTGAAGGCGATGTACAGGCCGCTTCCTCCAGTCACGATGCGGACAAGGAGGAGACGCGCGCGAGGTCCACGTCGGCGGTGCCTACCAACACTGACGACCCTGACGACGCTGTCCTGGACGAAGAGGAAGGCGACGAAGACGATGACCTCACAGGCACCATCGACGACTACATGCTTCGGTACGTACTTATTGCCGCACACCGCTAACCTCTCAGCACCGTCGAAGCCGACTGGGCCTTCTTTGGCGCATAGACGCGTCCACGGCTTCGACAAGCTCTCATGAACACTATAAATAGGCAACAGCCTAGACACACACACATAGAAGATACCTACACTCCTTGCACAAGGAGGCAGCATTCGCATCGAGTCTGGCTAGGCAGCTAGCCGTTACACTAAGCCAGAGACAGGTGTTGAAAGCATCTATCCCCTATACGAAGTGTAGACAAAGTCCACTTACTTCTCCTTCGGCGCCAGGTTGATCTATTGGTTAGCGTACTCCGTGCAGATTCCACATACATGCTCGCTGCTCTGGCCGTTCTTCCACTCCTGGTAGCGCAGAGCCTGGAACGCACGACGGTCAGCGTCGACACGCTCCGCCTCCTTCAGGCTCGCACGCACAGCGCGAGTCACGACAGTGGTGTACTTGCTGTACCTGTATCATGTGTAAGCATGCCATGGATCACAATCGTACGTACGAAAAGAATTCCCTCCAAGTAGCAGTCATGGATACGGTGGACGTGGTGACGAACGGAAGCCCCGGCGATGCCCGTAAGATGTTGAAGTCACGTGATCGAATGAGGGGCTGGCGGGTACGCACGGCCGGCTGCCACATTCGCTTGCGTGGAGCGGCTCCGTGCATGATCCGTGCGGGGAAGGGGGGAGGCGAAGTACTATAGGTGACTAGAACAGAACACAAAGTAGGCACTACAGCGTTACGGGGACGCGAGCGTACGCCAGCGCCAGCCATCCTGCAATGAATGACAGGCCACCCAGCGGCGTCGCAGGGCCCAGCAGCTTGCGCAGGCCGTGACCGGCCGGAAGCAGGCAGAGACCGTAGATGGAACCGCTGAACAGCACAATGCCGGTGGCAAAAGCGTAGGCCGCAAACTTGTTAGCGCCACGGAGTGGGCGAACCGAGGTGATAAACAGGAGTACCGCCGTATGGATCAGCTGGTACTTGGTCGCCGTCGACCACGAGGTCGTCTCTACGCATGTTAGGGAGGGTAGTATGATACATACGGTGCGCGTTCAGTTTGTCCTTCAGAGCGTGCGCACCAAAAGCACTGACGTGTCAATATAGAAAGTGTGTACCTACCCTAGAGCCACAGCGGAAGCGCCAGAAAGACCAGTAAAAGTACCGAGCCACGTCATGATACAGAGACAAGAGTTCGACAGCTAGATCGATGGTGCGCTCCCCCCCCTCTCTCAAGGCCAGCTGGGTTCGCATGGGGCCACGTGACCAAGCCCCTCAGCCGAGCGCGTCGACGTCCTCCATCGCTTTTGCTTGTCTGTCTGGGCCTTGTGGACGTACCAGCCGAGAGGCCGGGGATCTACTAGGACGTGTATATACATTCGCACACCTATTTGTATTCTCTCTTTGGTGTGTCGAAACATATCATGTCGAACGACGCGCCTTCCAGCTCAACACGAATGGATGGCATGACGTCGTCGCGAGAGCCATCACAACCGCCTCGCGAAGGATTGTTGCACAGCCTGGGCAGTGTTCTTTCTCGTACGCTGCCTTGGTGGTCCAAATCACAGACAGGTGAGTCTGTTACAGGGCATGATGCCTCCACGGCGCACGGGTCTATCATGGCTGCCTCGCCATCGCATTTGCCCTCGCGGCATGCACGTGCTTTGCCACGGCCTATGCTCTCGTCGACCCACGCGGAGACAAATGGACCGACACGCAAGGCCATGCACTCCATGCCGTCGTCACTGCGGCCTACCGCGCCCACATCCTCGCTCTTATCGTCTCGGAGCAAATGGGGCAGTTTAAATTTGGCGCCAGCGCCATCTTTGTCGCTGGCTTCTGAGATGCCTGCGACGCTGCAGAAGAGCACTTCAGCAGCTCAACCATCCGTGTTGGGCAAGCGTGATGAGCCGATGCATGAGTCCGACATGGAGATGGACAATGACTCGCACTACGTGCCATCGTCGCGGAAGCGTCGCATGGTATGGGACCCAGAGATGGGCTTTGTGGATGCTGAGGACTTGGCCGCTCGTCGCCCGCCGCCGCCGCCGCCACAAAACGAGGCTGAGCGCATTCTTCGTGCGCTGGAAACCATGCGTACGCCGTTAGGTGATGCACGCCGTGAGCGACTTATCAAGTCGCGCTCGCGTTCATCATGGCACTTGACGTCGATTCCTGTCCCGCTGCCTACGCCGGAGCGCGAAGGTGTCTTGTCTTCGTCACGTCTACGTGCACCGGCTTTCCGCAGCATTGCACCGCATTCCCGCGCTCTGCAACGGTCGCAACAGCTGCGTCAGTCGCAAGTGGGTCTGCAGCCCAGTATGCGCTCCAAGCTTCGGCAGACTATGATGACCAAAGATACCCTGCATGACCAAATGGAAGAGGCACGCATTGATCACGAGTTGGGCTTGGCTGACGATGATGAGGCAGAACCTGTGCGCCACTCGAAGCGTGGTGCAGCCAAGGCCAAATTGAGCCCTAAGGCATCGCGAACGAAGATGCCCAAGACGGAGGAGCACAATGCAAAGCCGACCACGCAGGCATCGTGTGTGGCAGAGGCCGCGGCGCCGGCGCCTCCTACCGCCCCAGCGAAGCGTGATAAGTTTGAAGTGCGGCCCAATGACAAGCCGTTGGAGAAGCGGTCTGTTCTGCGTCAGGGCGCTGCAAAGACGTCTCGTCGTCATGCTCCTACAGGTCGCATTACCGCTTTTGATGACGAGGACGACGAGGACGACGAGGAGCCGATGCCCAGTGGCGAGGAATTGGCCAAGATCAAGTTGCCGCAGACCATGTTCCCTTCTGATTTCCGATTCGATACGGCGCCTTCGGACGCTACGCCAGCGCCGAAGCCTATATCGACACCAGCACCAGAAACGAGTAAGAAAGACACGACTCTGTTGGATCGTCTTGCGCCATCGACTCATACGGTCACAACGACGCCGATGAAGGAGCCCGCCCCGGGTGCCGTCCGCTTCGATGCCAAACCGGCCACGGAGCCTGTGCAGCCCGCCCCGTCGTCGTTCTTTGCCACTGCACCGACCAAGACCACTTTGGATACGGAGAAAAAGTCGGGACCGATGCCCGACTTTTTCGGTGCAGCCAAGGCCATCGAGTCGAAGTCCACTGGGCTGGGCCTCGCTGGTGCGTTCAGTGCGGCGCCCAAGCCTACATCGGAGACCAAGCCTGCGTCGAGCTTCTCGTTCAGTCAGCCGACCACCGAGACGGCGAGCGACAAGAAACGTGACCGCGACGAGGACGAACCTGCAGCCAAGCGCCCTGCGTCGCAATTGAATGCGGCAGCTGCGCCATTCTCGTTTAGCAAGCCATCGTTGAACGCCGACGCATCGTCATCCACGCCATCGTTCTCTTTCGGCGCTCGCTCGTCGTCCGGCGACAAGTCAGACGATACGCCGGCGACGAAGAAACCAGCTTTTTCGTTTGGCGCTCCGCCCGCGGAGAAAGACAAGTCGACGACCAGCAGCGAGAAGGATGCACCAAAAGCAGCTCCCTTCTCGTTTGGAACAACGAGTAGTGGATCGTCCAAAGAGAGCGAGAAGCCTGCGCCGTCCTTTTCGTTCGGTCCGCCAGCCACTAGCGATACGTCAACGGCTGCGCCAACGAGCCAGCCACCTGCCTTTGCGTTGGGCAGCACGGCCGCCGGTGAGAAGAAAGAGACGCCGACGTTGAGTTTTGCGCCGCCTAAGGCGGACGAGGCGGCGAAAGACAAGCCATCGTTTTCGTTTGCATCGTCGTCAGAGAAGAAAGAGGACAAGCCCACTTTCTCGTTTGGCGCACCGCCCGCCAAAAAAAACGAGGATGCAAAGCCTGCGCTTTCGTTTGGCTCGGCGCTAGAGAAGAAGGACAAGCCTGCGTTCTCGTTTGGATCCGCTTCTGACAAGAAAGCGGAGAGTACGCCTGCGGAATCGACGCCGGCCTTGTCGTTTGGACAGCCCACGGCGAAGATCGACGACAAGCCGACGGGGGGCGCGACGACAGAAGCCAAAGCGATGCCCTCGTTCAGCTTCGGTGCCGCGGAGAAGAAGGACGAGAAGCCGTCGTTCGGTTTTGGCACAGCAGAGAAGAAAGACGACAAACCTGCGTTTAGCTTTGGTCAGCCTACCGACAAGAAGGACGACAAACCGGCGTTTAGTTTCGGGACGTCTACGGACAAGAAGGACGACAAACCTGCATTTGGTTTTGGCGCGCCAGCAGAAAAGAAGGACGACAAGCCGGCATTCAGCTTTGGTGCGGCGAGCGACAAGAAAGACGACAGGCCTGCTTTTGCGTTTGGCGCTGCGCCCTCTGCCGAGAAGGCCTCGTCGCCTGTCACGTTTGGCCCGCCTTCTTCGACGTCCACGTCAACGCCGACAGAGCCGGCGGCGGCCAAGCCCCCTACGTTTTCGTTTGGGCCACCGTCTACGCCTTCGGCGACCCCGGCGTTTGGCAGCACTTCGACGACGGCGCCCACGACAGGCTTTGGCTTTGGCAAGCCGGAGACCTCCACACCCAGTGCTCCGACATTCTCGTTCGGCGCTCCAGGAGCATCAACGGCACCTGCGCCTGCTGCCCCAGCGGCCACGACGTCGTTCTCGTTCGGCGCTCCATCGACGCCCGCGCCCAACTCGATTCCCGCACCGACCACGACGTTCTCGTTTGGCGCGCCAGCGCCGGCGCCGGCACCGGCACCTGCGCCCGCCCCTGCAGCGCCTGCATCGACAACGAGCTTCTCGTTTGGTGCTCCTGCAGCTGCACCCGCGCCTACGACGAGCTTCTCGTTCGGAAGTGCAGCGCCTACTGGTGTCTTTCAATTCGGCGCTGGGGCTCCTGCTACGTCGGCACCAAGCTCGCCAGCGCCTACGACCACCTTCTCGTTTGGCGCGCCTAGCGCCGGGGCTGCAGCGCCGGCTGCGGCGCCTGGGGCAGCCACGCCTTTCACGTTCGGTGCAGGCAACCACTCCCCGGCCCCCGGCTCGCCAGCACCTTTCACGTTTGGCACGCCGCCGCCGCAGACGTCAAATGATAGCAATCCCGGCGGCTTCTTTACTATGGGCACATCGCCCGCGCCCAGTGGCCGTCAGATCAAACCACTGCGACAGCCACGTCGTCGTAACTAATATATAGACATCACTGTGGTATCTATGATGACGTGCGACCGTCTGTTGTGTGCGTACGAGGGACAGGAGGAAGAGGGCGAGGTGGGTGCGTAGAGTACAAGTGGGACGAGCGACGAGAGCCTGTCTCTGACGAAGAGTGGCGCGACGAGATGGAAGCGTCACTGGCTTGCGAGGGTGTACGCCGAGCCCGCATCGGCGCAGATCGGCGTATGGGTAACTTGTCCTGCGATGCAAACACAGGCGTGCTAGCCACGTCAGGGCTCGCGGTGGGCAGCAGGCCAAGACGAGCAGCGGTATGTAGACTCGGCAAGGAGAACGAGGCGGAGTCGTCAATGTCATTGCGCAGTGATGGCATCGGCGAAATGCGTACGGTGTCAGGCGAGTAGCGCGTCGTGGAAGAAGACCGAGTCGAGGGCGCAAACTGATCGCGGTCATCAGGACTATCCACCACAACAGGCATCGGCAAGTCAGGCACTGTCGGCGCCGACGGCGGCCTGGGCGAGGTGGTCGAACGTATACGCTCCGGCGTGGTCCATGGATCCGTCGAAGGCTTGCGCCATGCCAATGCTTTTGCCGCCAGATTGGTACCGGCCTTGGAGACACTTGCAATGGTATCCGAGTCCTGAATGGCATGAGAGTATCGCTGCAAAATCTGCGATGCTGGCGAGCGTCCGGAGGAAACGCGACGTGTAGGCGTAGAATCTGCCGCCTCGTCCACGCGCGTCTGTGAAGCGTCCGATGATACATCCGAGGCAGGGCCAGATAGGGAGCGCTGCGAAGGAGACTGCAGACCACGCTGCACACTAGCGGCCAAACGTTCTTGCAAGCGGGAGGCACGACGTTGCGCTTCTGTGGGCACAGGCGGCAACGACGCGTGTCTCTGCTCACGAAGCTGCAACGCCATGGAAATGATCGGACGCGCAGAGTGGATAGGGTACGAACGCAAAAGAGCCATGCCTCGGGCATGCAAATCCATCGAGGTAGCGCGAGGATCCGTCTCTGCCTCGGCTAGAAGCAAATGCAAAAGCTCGTCGCGCACCACCATCAGCATAGCACAGCATAGATCAACTAGCATATCAATGTGCACGTTCGTCGACGAAGACATCGTTACACTGCTCTCCGCAAAAAGGACATCCCAGATCTCCAGTACCATGGGCTCAGGAAGGTATCCTGCAAACAGCGTGAGCACCCAGTCGTACGAGTACCATGGCCATTGAGGATCCAAGGAATGCTCGGCTAAGAATGTCCATAGTGTCGGATCCACATCGCGAAGTGTGGCACTGCATTGCTGCAGGGTAACACAAAGGCCACTAGAAAGCCACGACGGAGGCAAGGCGTACTCATCCTCCTTATCGCGCCAATCGGATACAGACGTCGTGTCCATCATGCCCAAGTCGTAGACCTCACGGAAGTCGCCCATAAGCAGCGAAAAGCACCAGAAGGCATCTGCTTCCGTGGCAAATGGGTGCCCCATCGCAAGCACCTCGGCTTCCCAGGCCTTGGTCCCATGTGTAGGCGCATCGCGTGTACTACACAACGTATGGAAAAGCATGCATGCCACTTGGACCATACGCGGTACAAACCCTACGCGGGGATTCAGAATCGCATACATGTACAGAATGCGAAGAAGAGAGTGCCAGTGCCGGTCCACGTACGCTGTCATAGATCGATCATCGGAGAGTGCATAGCCACAAGCCAGTCGGTCCAAACGCTGGAGGATTTGGTGCCGAAGACGTAGGCCGTCCGCCGCATACACCTCGTCGTCCTCCCGCCACGCCACAGACGTTGTCAAAAAATCAGACTGCTTGGATGCATCACAAAGCTCGTCATAAATGCGGCGCAGTAATGTATCGCGATCTGCTGTGACCTGCGTGCCTGGCACACAATCGAGCGAGAGATCTTCTAGGCATCGCTGTCATAAGCAACGCACGAGGTACGTACCTGATAATCGTTCCTCTTTGTGCACAGATAGTCGTACCAGGCAGCTTTGTCGGTAGGCAAGTAGCCTATAAATACTTTCCACGCCTGTGTACGAACCCAAGGTGGCAAGTGACGTAGTTCGCCTTGCACACATGCATCTCTCAAAAAAGCCTTAGACACAGCTTCATCGCCTACATAGGCAGGAAAGAGAATCCGCACAAGCTGCAAATGCAGATCACTCTCACTGCTTCTGCGCGTGTATGGGTGAGTCGCGCTGCTCATGAGCGCACAGGCACGAAACGCACGAACCACCACCACGGTAGTGAGAGCACGACCTGGACTGTCACGTGCCTGCCTGGCACACAGAAGCAAGCTGGGTCCACGAGCGAGGTGTTTATGAGCCTACCATGCTGAACCTGTCGCTTGGCAAGAAAACGGCCAAGGATATTTCTAAATCAGAAGACGAGGAGGGGGAGGACGAAGACGCTATCGATAAGACGAAAAATAGTAAGGAGCCAAAAAAGCCATATGCGTTGCAGCGTCCTCCCAATACAGCGTTGCGTCAACAGCGACTGAAGGCTTGGCACCCCATTCTCTCTCATTCTACCGTTCTCCCCCTGTTCTTCGGGCTGGGGATCTTCTTCGCTGTGCTTGGTGGTGTCATGTATTCGGCGTCACTGCATGTCAATGAAATGACAATTCAATACTCCAAATGCCAGACGGAGGCACCTCGGGATGGCTCATTCGCTGTACTGCCTCCTAAATACTACAGTTATCACTTCAAAGACCAGAACAAGATTCCCGAAGACCAGCGTCCTCAATGGACCGTAGCAGAGATTCCGCATTTGCCGGGCCATGAAAACAATCCAGCACGGTTCCGATGTACGCTGCACTTCACAGTCCCACAAGATTTAGAGCCGGGCGTGTTTTTGTACTACAAACTGACGAACTTTTACCAAAACCATCGCCGCTACATGAAAAGCATGGATTTCCCTCAGCTTCTGGGCAACGTGCGCACAGCGAAAGAATTGCAAGATAGCACTTGCAAGCCTCTAGGGCAAGACCCAGTGACCGGCAAGGCTGTGTACCCTTGTGGCCTTGTGGCCAACAGTGTGTTCAACGATACATTTCAGTCCCCTCAGCTGTTGGGGCCAGATCAGCAAGCCATATCGACGTACAATATGAGCGAAAAGAACATTGTCTGGCCCGATGAATGGAAGCATTATAAGCCGACACAGATGAATGCTAGTGATATCGTTCCCCCGCCCTTTTGGCAAGGTGCAGAGGGGTCGCAGTTTGGTTACCCGACTGGCAGGTATGAAGAGGGCAACATTTTCGACCCGACGAAAAGCGAGCATTTCCAGGTGTGGATGCGCACCGCTGCTTTCCCGACGTTCCGCAAGCTGTACATGCGTAACGACACGGCGGTCATGACAGCAGGTCGCTACGCTATTGAGATTGAAGATAACTATCCAGTGGAGATGTTCGGTGGGACCAAGTCCATTATTATCAGCACGGCCTCCTGGGTTGGTGGACGGAGCTTCTTCATTGGCGGCTCACATATTGGACTGGCAGCCCTTTGTTTCCTTATGGGAATCATTTTAACGATCAAGCAGATTGTCCGTCCTCGCCGTGTTGGTGACTCGAGCTACTTGAGCTGGAACAACCCTCGTGCGCAGCGATAATTAGTTACGACGAGGACGAAAAGACATTTCGTTAGTATTTCATTGTGTAGAAGCTATTATATTCGTACAGTACACTCCGTCGTTGTCCCATAGTTGCCTTGGTGTCAAGGCTCTTTGCCATGTCCCAGTCGCGAAAAAAATCGCTAGGCCTGGATGCCCAAGCGCTCGAAATGTCGAGCCAAGCGTCGCTGCTATACCACTCCACACGCACACGGCGTCGCAACTCCCCCGCCGCCGCTTTCGAGCAAGATGAGCGCGCGTGCAGCTAGCAGTTCAAACTCAGAGACAGCCTCAACCATCCATGTTCACCAGTTAACGCCGCCCCCTTCGTTTTCGTACGTCTGCCCTTACATATTCCGCTCTGCCGATCCGACAAAAAACCCAGACTCGCTGGCCTTCCTCGAAACACTGGGTCTGCGAAGTGTCGTTTTGTTGTCCATCGAATATCCTTCCAAACAACTAAAGCAATTTTGTGAAGGTAAGCATATTCAACTGCATCATTTTGGAATTGAGAGACGATGGCCTGCGCCGTTTGGCTCTGGTATAAGCAAATCATCAAGATCCAGCACACTATTTTTGTCGCCGCATGAAATGAACTCTTTGAGCGTGATTGAGTCCATTGTGAAGGATGCACTGGAATTGTTGCTTGACGTGAGAAACCATCCAGTGTTGGTAACAGATACGTACGCATAGAGTGTACTCATTGTAGGGCTGGCATCTTCGAAACAGGGCTTCTGCTGGGATGCCTGCGTAAAATTCAAGGCTGGAACTTGAATGCGATCCTAGTTGAAGTACGTGAACCTATATTGGCTGACAATAGTATCGAACGTTTGCTGGCGCGTTATCACGAAGTGCCAATGAACGCTTTATTGAAGTACGTGACATGGAAAACCACTAACAGCAGATGTTTGATACGGATTTGGTCACACTACCACCCACGGAGTTTGTACCTGACTGGCTTCTACCGCCTCAACAGTTCTTTGTGGATGATTCAGAAAGAAGCGATAGTGCAAGCTTAAGCGCTAGTACTTCAGAATGACGTATACCTATCTGAACTGGGACGTATGGACGTAATATGCAATGTCACGCAAGTAGGACTAATGTCATGGGCAAATAGGAATCCTTATGTCGCCTTCGTGAGCTCGTTAGCGAAATACTGCTGAGCCGCAGGAGGGCAGTACATTTCCGGCAGGGCAGACATGTTCGGGATGAATCGGTCACCATGGACAATGAAGAAGCGAGGCTGCCACGCCTGGCCTGTAGTCTGGCGTTGACGAGCAGCCTCACGCTGAGCCTCCTCAATCTCTGTCTTATACTGCGTCGCCTTCTCCATGTTCTTTTCCTTAATACCCTCTGTAACCTTAGCCCACAGCCTCTGCGATTCGTTCGGCTCTTGTTCGTTCAAGGGCACAGTATCCTTCCTGACAGCCTGGAGAGTCTTGGAGTTGAACAGAACTCGTGTAGAGCCTGTCTTCGAGTCTTTGTACTCCACAGACTCGTTCCACTTGCCTGAGAGTTCACCCACAGTCTGGCCACGGTGAACCACCTTAGCGCCGATAGCGTTATACGTGCCCGTGAAGTAGCCTTTCACCTTGAACTCAACTGTGCTGGAGATGTCATTCGCCACGTTGGTAACCTCGCTATGGTCACCCAACTCCAACACCATTTTACCGAAGAGAATACCTCGGGCGTACATATTGGGCATGCTAATAAGGTACTCACCATCCTCAGGGCGGTTAAGCATTACAATGTGACTGGTTCCACCCATGAGAGTAGCGGCAGAGTTACCCAGGAACTTGCTCTTAGGGCGAAGATCACCGTAGATCAAGACATTGTTTTGAGGCGACACGTAGTAATAAGCGCTAATAGGCGGGTGATGCGAGACTTGCTCGGCAATGTACACACCCACAGTGCCGTCAGGGTAGGTATAGCTGCAGCGGAAGAACTCGCCCAGAATGGGGTTGTACGGCTTTTTCACGCCCTTCGGCTTGATGTGCCAGCCGGACATGTAGTACGTCATGATAGCGATGAAGCGCTCTTCAGGGTTATCCAGCTTGTCCGCACCAAATATCAGATCGGGGTGGCTCAAAAAGTCCGTGACACGCTCCAGCATACTGCGCGGCTCGAGCACGAACGTAGGGAGAGTCACTTTGGAGAGATCCATACCAATCCGCAACTGGCTAATAAGACTCATCAGGATATTGCCCGACTCCTCATCAAGCTCTTCCATGTCGTCTGCATGTGCGCCCTCCGGAGGAGCGTCTTCCTTCGAGTGCTTGAAGCCGTGAGGCACCTTGTTCACGGCCGAACTAACTTGGCCGAGCAACCCCATGGTCGTTTGATGTGCAACAAGATTGTGTGAGCGCGATGGGGTTTGACTGACTATAGCCACAGTGTCAAAGCGGGCTGGATCCCCCTATGCATGCTGAGATAAGGAATGGGTGCCAAAGCCACCACGTGTACTTGAAGACCTCGTTGTAGATCGGACCCGCCCGAGAAACGCGTGCGCACGGTGAGAAAGGTCAGTGACGATGCAAGGGTCCATAGTACAATCCAATAGAGATGGCTATGGGATGGAGAATAGAATACTAGAATGGATTGATATCTAAGAGCATGGATAGATATACATCTAGCACTTAATCTTGGTCATCATTTCGACGACGCTTCACATCGGTGAAAGGTCGGTTTGGCTCCCCAGAACGTTTCGGGCGGCCTGGAGACATTTTATTTTCTCCATGTTGACGGTTCCATGCATTTGCCTCATAGGCCGAAGCGGCTGCGCCAGCTAGACCCATAAGTGCACTGGCAGCACCTTCGTCATAGTCTTCATCAATCTCACGACTCGATGACACTGGCATGGCGCTACGAGGCGGCGGTCCCTCTGCCTCCCTTTCTGACGAGTATCCCGTCATGGTGCGCACGTCAGAGCTTGTCGAGCGAAGGGAGGCAGTGCTGCGCAAGTTCGGAATGTCACGCTTACGACGCAGCATAGGATCTGACTCATGATCCTGTCGTTCCATGTCCCTGATCGGAGATGTAGGTCCACGGCGCGCCATGGAAGGGTGACTACTAGGCCCCGCATAGGGATGCGTATCACGATACGACTCATAACGACCACTTCGGCCCTCATAAGCGTAGCGAGAAGGAGGAGGGCCACGGCTGGGATAAGCACCCATACGGTCATCAGCATAGGACGAGGCAGATTGACGATCCCATTCGGAAGGGGCAGTGTAGGGCTTGGCCATAGAGGGAGTGTCTCGACTTTGCTCATTATGCGTTGAAGCATAAGAAGGGAGCGAAACCGGCCCTGCTGGGCCGTCATTGTACATGCGATGACTGGGAGAGTGTGCTCGTGCAACAGTTCGCTCATCCTCCATCACGGCGTCACGCGGGTGAACAGCTGGCGGTTCGCCAGACCACGACGGCTCTTCGCCTTCCACACCCGGAGCCGAGGGAGAACCTGCTGGATTCAGAACCGCCGAAGCATAAGCAGCAATGGGAACATCCTTCGGCGCAGGAATGTTGGGCACAGCCTTCCCCAGCGGCTCGGCTTTTTGAAGAAGCGGTAGCCGCTTTTGCACCAGCGAGTTTTCGGGATCAAGCTCAAGCGTGCGTCGATAGGCGTCAATCGCATCAGATATTTGGTTGTTGCAAGACTCGTACAAGGCGCCAAGATTAAACCAGATCTCAGGGATGTAAGGGTTTAGACGTATAGACCTGGAAAAGGCGCCAAGTGCATCATGGAACTGGCTGATTTGGAAATACAGAATACCAATCGAGCACCATAATGCAGGATTTTTGCCGTCCACGTACACGGCTTGTTGATACGCATCGTAGGCCTTGCTGTATTCTTGGGCATTCATATAGCAGCGGCCCATCAAGTACCAAGTTTGGGGATCATTGGAGTCAGATTCAAGACTGTGGCGCAAGAGCTCCATAGCCTTATCATGATCGTAAAAGCCAGAAGATGGCTGCATGTACAGCCCACCTAGCTGCTGTAGTACCTTGGCATGGTTGGTATTCTCTGATAAAACACGTTCGTAGGCCTCCTTGGCCAAATTGAATTCTTGCTGTTGTTCATATACATGCCCAATTTGGAACCAAATATCCATCTCAGTGAGGGGTTTGGGTGGGTTGTTAAGAATATGGCGGAAACAATCAAGACTGGACGAATATTGACCCAGTTGCTTGTAGATGATACCGAGACGGAAGTAAATTTCATTGGCCTTCTCATAGTCCGGGTTCATACGGACTACACTCGAAAACGTTTCTTCTGCGTGCTCAAGACTGCCATATCGATCATATAGGATACCGATACCGTACCAGAGCTTGGGCTCTTTCGGATTGGGCAAAAAGCATAGCGCTTGGTGATAGGCGGAATATGCCTTTTCCAGCTCATCCATCATGAGATAGCAGTGTCCCATAGCGCCCCAAACCTCGCCATTTTCTCGATCAATGTCAAGTACACGCTGAAAGTACTCAACTGCTAGGTCAAAGTGATCCATAGATCGATACACGCTGGCCATTGCACTCAAGGCAGGCACAGAGTAAGGGTTATGGAGCAAGGCAGAGTCGTAAGCTGCCAAGGCTCGCGTAGGATCGTTCATCGCTTCAGCGGCAGAACCGATAGAGAGCCATGTCTGCTCATTGCCTGCGCTGAGTTTGTTTAGCGACGCTACAACTCGGTCTACACCAGGAGGCGGCATAGCAGCTGATGTAGGATCAGAACCCAGCATCATGCGAGGAGAACGTTGCATAGCCTCGTTCGAGACAGAAGGAGGCGTTTGGCGGACATCCATATACATCACGGGGACGTTCCCCTGTGCAACAGGGACAGGAACAAGTTCCATGGCAGCAGGCAGACGACCACCTGCGGCACTCGATGGAGTGTGAGAAGAAGTATTTGGTGGGGATGTGTACAAAGGAGCGCGTGCTGGGGCTCCAAGGTCACGGGATACCATGCGTCTGGTTACGACGACAGTAGTTGCAATGGGCTGCTAACAAACAATGAAGATCGCTTGCCCTAACCCATCTAATCGGGCATCAACGGCTTTTCATTGGCACCACTGATTGGGGCCTTCCACGTGGGTCTGATGTGTCCAACCTATTTATTCCATAAACACTAAATCAGACGAGGAAGTGTGGGGATAGATTCATGCCTGTTGAAAGGAATACAGATACCTATCTTACCAGCCGCGGGACGCAAGCTTGCCACCCTTCATATTGTCGGAGATAGTAATACCGACCATAGCCTCACCTAGGTTCGTGGATACCTCAGCAAGCTTAGCAGGGTCGTTGTAGTGCGCCACAGCCTGCACAATGGCCTTGGCACGCTCCGCCTGGTTCTCCCCCTTGAAAATGCCAGAACCCACAAACACACCATCGCTACCCAGCTGCATCATTAAAGCAGCATCAGCAGGTGTAGCAACACCACCAGCAGCAAAGTTCACCACAGGCAGGCGCTTCAGACGGGCAGTTTCCTTCAGCAGGTGGAACGGCGCCTGAATCTCACGAGCGTACGAGTACAGCTCGTCATCGCTCATGTGGGCCACACGACGAATCTCAGCCTGAACAGTACGCTGGTGACGCACAGCCTCCACGACATTGCCGGTGCCAGCCTCACCTTTTGTGCGAATCATAGCAGCGCCTTCACTGATGCGGCGCAAAGCCTCGCCAAGGTTTCGGCAGCCACACACAAAAGGCACCTTGAAGTTGTGCTTGTTAATATGGTGCTCTTCATCCGCAGGTGTCAGAACCTCACTCTCATCAATGTAGTCCACATTGATAGCTTGCAGGATCTGTGCCTCGACAAAGTGTCCAATACGGCACTTGGCCATCACAGGAATGGTCACAGCGTCGATGATTTCCTGAATCATGGCAGGATCCGACATACGAGCCACGCCACCGTCGGCACGAATGTCTGCAGGCACACGCTCCAGTGCCATAACAGCGCACGCACCAGCTTCTTCGGCGATACGCGCCTGTTCAGCGTTTACGACGTCCATAATGACACCTCCCTTCAACATCTGAGCAAGACCACTCTTCACGCCAAAAGTGCCCAGGTTGCTGGAGCTGCCCTCACCCTTCACGTTGCGCATAGCACTACGAGGACCCGAAGTAGGCTTCTCCGTAGAGTTTGAGCTGGTCACAATCTTGGGATTCTCAGTCGACATGGCTGCTCAGTTGAGAATAAGCAAATGACTCGCGGGGACTTCTTGGAACTTTGACACTCGCTGGCACGAGTCCGCATATCATACGTGAGGCTCGTGCTCGTGGAGGTCACGTGATTTAGAAAACAGCGACCGGGTATGGCCGGGTTGCAGCGCTGGGAATTAGAATTGCTCCCGTCGTAGTTGGACCTTTTGTCGAACTCCGATTTCCACACGTAGACCACCAGCCAGGGTTGTATATCCGTGTGTGAGTCGTCATGTCTGCCACTTTCTGCCGGAACATTGTGTCGCGCCGGGCCGTGAATGTGCCGTATGTATATCTATAAGTCAATAAGAACATGGACTGACCTTGTGTTACAGTACTACCGTGAAGAGCGTTGCCAACGGCACTCCTATTGTGCCGGGTCTCAACCTTCGCGCTGCTGCGCCTGCTGACCCGCACAGCCACGATGAGCATGCCCCTGCTGGCCCTCGTGCCGATATCGGTTTTGTGCCGTCGTGGACCTCGAAGGCTGTGACTCGCCGTCACTCGCTCTTCTCGCACTCGGCCATCAACGGTACGTCTACATGCATAGCTCAACTAACGCATGCAGCTAAGGTGTCTACGCACCAGGTTCGCGCCTTTTCGTCGTCGACTCGCGCTCTCGACGCCCCTGACTTCAGCGCTAACCGTGTGAAGAACCCGGATGTGCACCGTGCTTTTTCGTACTTCCTGATCGGCAGCTTTGGTGCTGTGTCGGCCGCTAGCGCGCGCTCGACTGTGACGAACTTCCTGTCGACCATGAGCGCTTCGAGCGATGTGCTTGCGCTGGCTAAGGTTGAGGTTGATATGGCCAACATCCCCGAGGGCAAGAATGCCATCATTAAGTGGCGTGGTAAGCCCGTTTTTGTTCGCCACCGCACTCAGTCTGAGATTGACGAGGCGAACGATGTGGACCTGAGCTCTCTCCGTGACCCGGAGGCGGATTCGGACCGCGCTAAGCGCCCAGAGTGGCTGGTCATGCTGGGTGTGTGCACCCACCTGGGTTGTGTGCCGATTGGTGAGGCTGGTGAGTACGGCGGCTGGTTCTGCCCCTGCCACGGTAGCCACTACGACATCAGTGGCCGTATCCGCAAGGGTCCGGCGCCGCTGAACCTCGAGGTGCCTGCGTACGACTTTAACGATGCCGAGAACAAGCTTATCATCGGTTAAATAGAGATCTGCTCTTATATCACAATGTTAGATGCAGCGTCTGGCTATATGTTTGTGTGTGCAAGGTCCATGTAGTTATGTGGCTTAGACGCTACAGAGAAAGGACCAACATCCCATGTCTTACAATTTGTTGAATCCACCCTTGCTCTTCTTCGCGCGCGGCTTTACATCGTCGTCGTCACTGCCACTACCGTCGCCTCCACGCTCGCGGCGCTTCTTTTGGTCTTCTCGTGCAGCCTTAGCTTCCAATTCATCCCAATCCTCGCCCTCATCTTCACTGTCATCGTATGCTTCAGAGCCGCTATCTTCGGATTCACCGAAATCAGACCCACTCTCCGAATATTCCGTCGACTCTTGATCGCCGTCGTCCAGGTCCGAATCGAATTCGGAACCAGACTCACTTTCCGAGTCTTCGGATACGTCGCTACCATCCGCTTGAAGGAAACCCCAGCCACCTTCCTGGAAGAAGGCGTACGGGTCTTCGTTGATAGTCTTCATAATGGCGCCCCAGTTCAAGTTCACAGCACCCTCTGTAACGCAGACATCGACCGAGTCCAGCCATTGCTTAACATCGTCCAAAGAGCTGCTGGGGACGCTGCTCACATGCAGCGGTGCACGGGAAAAGTCGCTGAACACGAAGACCATATCGAACGACGAAAGACCGTACTGTACGCGCTCCAAATGGACAATCTCGATCTCAGACAAAGTCACCACGAGGAACGGAGGATCAGTGAGATGCACCAAGCAGTCCGTTGTGGGCTGAAGCAGCACACTGGCACGCGATGGCACGCCATTGAAGCCAAGATCACGGTAGGGGATATCCACCTGAACACGGCCGTCCGAAGCATCAGCAATCCGTTGAGCAAAGTGCTTGAACTCCTTGTTCAACAAATGACGGCGACGACGCTCTTCTTGCTCAAGTTCGATTTCATCTTCGTCACCAGTGCGGTAGCGACGCTTACGGTTACCCGTTTCATCAAACTGGACATCCGAAGCCTCACGATAGAACTGGATGTCCCGCGTCTTGCGCTTGCCCACCATGACAGGTGCTTTCAGGTGGAAGTGGATCAGAACAATAAGCTCCTTGTCACATGGCTGATAAAAGAGATGTTTGACATTGCTGAAGGGAATATCGATTTTTTGATCTTGACGAAGAGGCGACACAAACCGTACACCATTTTGGTGAATCGTAAGGTTCCCTGGCACACGTTTTCCTTCCAATGCGGGGCGAGGGAATACCTCAGGAAGTGTGAGAGGACGCTGCTTGTTTAGAACGAGCTGATCTTGCTCAACCACGTCTGCCATTTCCTTCTGCTCTGCCTCCCGCTTAGAAGCCACACGACGCATCTCTGTAATTTCATTGTATAGTTCATCAAAGTGACGCGCATCTGTAGAGCGGTAGCTGATGTTTCGGATAAATGTCGCATCGGGATCATCAAACGGAACGTCCTCCTTCTTGCCTGAAAGTTGACCAGGCGTCACGAAATTGATGCGAAGATATGTGAATTCGCCTTCATCAGACTTGCTAATATTCTTCAGTGTCTTGATATGGAAAGGTACGGCAAATTGGTTAATAGGAAGGATAATAGATTGGGCACGGTGGTCCACCATAATCTAACGTTTGTCAGCCTTCGAAACCTTAACGTACACGTAAGTCCTCAACCTTGGTAGGCAGCTGATTTTCACGGCGGTAACTCTCAAACTTCTTGAACACCTGTACATTCGAGTGCTTTTTGCCATTGTCCTCGCCTGCAAACCGCTTCAGCCCCTCGTCTTGCTTCTGCTTTACAAGCTCCTTTTGGTGCTCTTTAATCTTGTTCGCCACGCTCTCATCTAAGGTGGCAGTGCGTGCGCGACTACGCAGCATCTTGCCGCCGGCCATTCGAGACTGTGGAATTAGGACTGCTTCAAACAACTATACGTACATCCGACTCGCGCTTTACCATGGCACCGATTGCGTCGCAGCTACGCGTCACACGCGTCGCGCCGCCGAAAGAGACCGACGCAGGCATGATCACGTGCAATGCCCACCGGTGCTATGCGAACCCCGCAATGACAGTGGAAACTTGTCAGGCCACTTGAAAGACATGCGATCAGCATTCAAAAAAGAACATACTTTCGGTGGGTAGTACACGTTCTAACAAAGAGAACAACGAAAGCAAGAGTCGGAGAGGATCCGCGAGAAATACTCGGATAGGATTCCTGTTATTTGCGAAAAGGCCGAAAAGACAGATATCCCTACGATCAGTAAGAAGAAATACCTTGTCCCAAATGTGCGTGTATTGACGTTATTTAACACAGCAGGACTTGACGGTGGGCCAATTTGTATATGTGATCCGGAAACGAATCAAGCTGGCGCCTGAAAAGGCGATCTTTATATTTGTCGGCGATATTTTACCTGCTACCGCGGCACTAATGAGCGATATCTATAATGAGTACAAAGATGAGGATGGCTTTCTATATGTGAGGTACGACATGCATTTATTCTAACATCGTAGCTACTCAGGAGAGAACACGTTGTATGTAATGGAAAGAAAGGCTTGAGCTGACTTACAGTGGCTAATTTCGACATAACTGTACTACCAAGTTCATAGGCTACATGCCCTTTTCATATATGGAAAGAAGTTCTGCAACGATGACAGTGAATGCCACGCGTCTAAGCACAGCGATAAAGCTGCGCCGTGGCCAGAAAACTCTCCCCCGCTAATCACAACGTTGCGTTGAGCCAAGTGGAGGCGTCACGCGGGAATTCGATTGTTGGCTCGATTTTTCTTTCGTGGCCGAACGGTTCTGCACAACATATAGTTTACCACGAGCAGCCGTTGTAGGCTAGCGGTCTGACTGTATCAGGCACAAGCTTGTGGGCCAAGCTCATCCTGTGTTTCATCTAAATTCCATCTACTTTGTGAGAATTTTGTGTGAATCTCTCGCTGCCTTCTTTTGAGAAGGCCGATAGCAGAAACGCATGACGCGTAACGGGACTGGTACGTTGCTTCCCAAGCATGGCAGATGCACTAATACAATAGCAACTGATTCTAGCTCTAAAGATGAGGCTTCATCAAGCCCGTCTTTAGAGTCCAACGTGGCTCGAAGCAGCTCGGAGCCCATCCCCATCCGCCGAGAGCACACGTTGGATGGTACATTGACGAGCCGATCGCCAAACAAATACGAATATTCGGCCTCCCCTCCATCGTTGTCAGTATCGCCGAGTAACAAGCTCCGTGGATCGTTACCGCACAGCCCTCAGCACATAATGTCGCAGGGATCCGTCCCTATTCCTCTTCGGCGCAAGTCCAGCCAGGGCACGTCCATGCACATTCAGCTTCCCCTCAATTCGCCTCCCGCAGGAGGCTGGCATCATTCTGGACTGTGGCCCGATGGCCAATTCAGTGCGTCGAGTACGGCTCGCATAACGTCCCCCCTGTCTGAACTACATGAATACCCATTGGAACATAATGGACCAGCCGCTGTTCCGCCCCTTACTGGCCCGGATGTGATTGATTCCGTATGGCTTAACCCTAAGGATGCCAGTCCGGATGTGAGTCAGGACGCAGAGCACCAGCCTCCTACGCTCCCAGAGGGACTCAGCCCGCCCACTTTTACCGTGGAAGGCACCTCCCCGGGCGATAAATTCAACTTGACCATACCTCGTTTGTCGACATTGTTTCTGGGTGGCGATGAATCTCGGACTTTAGATGAACAGGCCAAATCTGACTCTTCAGGCTCGCCGCAGATGACCCCGGATAGTCCGCCCAAAACGCGAAGCCATATTGCGCTTCCGCCACGTTCAGGCTATGCCATGAGCGATGATTCGGATAGTCTTCGATCGGATGGAGAGAGTTCTGTGGATTCGGGGCGAAGCAGCACCGACTCGGGCTCGGACAACGAGACAGAAGATGTGGATGAAAACGAAGAAGAAGATGTGGATGAAAGCGAAGATCGAATCCGCAAATGGCAAATGGCACGCACTATGCAGCGTGGTGAGCTTGAAGGTGCCCTTTCGTCGCCGTCAAGTCATTCCTTTGGGGGTGTCGAAGATACCTTGAACGACTCCGATTCCGAAGATGACCATGAGGAGCAGAAGAAGACTGACTTATCGCTACGACCCTCGTTCACCGGTGATGATGATGGCCAGGAGAACAGTGGATCGGATGATGGCTCCGCTGATGGCGATGATGGTGATGAGCTGGAAGATGGACTCAGTTCGCTGGAGCGTATTTTCCTTTTTGCCAAAAGCGATCTGGCCTATCACCGTGTGTTGGTATCGCGCTGCTTGGCCGAGTGGATTAAAGACGTGGATTTGACAGACGCTGTTGAATATGTGATACCCCTTCTGAATGGACTGGCGACAGATGAACTGGAAGTGAGCGCCGTATTTGCTCCCGAGCTGGGTCGCCTTATGTGGTTCTTTTTCCGTAACTGTCCTCTGGCTGAGCTGAGTGAGGAAGGGACTACGAAAGCCTGCGAGAATGAGGAGAACGACAATGAAGAAGAAGAACGCATGCCACGTCCTAAATTGCCTGTACAAACATTCACATCGTTACTGTGCACACTCTTGCTGAATCCGAACAGCGCTGTGTCTGGCGCTACGCAAGCCTCTATTGTGGAATATTTCCTTCGCAGTAAACAGTACGACGAGATCCTTAAAGGCGAGGATGCTGCCCTATCTGAGGAAATGCGCACGGCTGACCTGGTCGTGACCGGTATGGCGCGGGAGAGGCAAGTGCCGCTGGTCCCCTACGAGTTTGGCGAAAAAGCACGACATGCTGTGCTTGACGAGCTGTTTGAGCATGTGGCGATTGCGATTTCGCGGGTGGAGACATCGGAAGAGGCCGACAACAAGTCGGATCTGGGTGAGAATGATCGTGATTCCTTTGACGAGGAGTCAGCGGTGGGCCGTATGATGTCGGTCAACTTGCTGGCTGCCATTACCGTCGAGGGAGGATTCTCACAAGAGCAGTTGGTGCAGCGAGTCGTGCCTGAAATTACCAGTTGGCCCTCGGACCCTGCCTTTTTCGTGCGGAAAGAAGTAGCAGCAGCGATTGGTATTATCGGCAAGGCCTTGGTGAACGAGCATACCAGCCTGAAAGATCTGCACTTGGGCGATGCGCCGCAGCGTCTCTTTGAAGCCATCAATAGAGTCCTACTGGACCATGTATGGCAAGTGCGGCAGGCTGCCTGCTATTCTTTGCCGGGTGTGTTTGGGACACAAGCGCACAACCAAGCCCGGCGAGAGAACCTGGTATTGATCATGAAAGCGCTAAAGCAAGATATCTCGCCCAACGTGCAACTAGCTGCTTTTGAAATGATCGGGGAGATTATCTACCTGTTCCATGAAGACAACCATGGGACGCCCGCAGAGTTGGTACATCTGTTCCTGGGACAGCCCATGGATGGTGCAGACGCAGACGCGTCGTCCACGAATGAGCTGCTGAACAATCCTGACCTGTCGCTGATTGTGGCCTTTAATTTCCCTGCGGTGCTATTGACGCTGGGCGCGAAGGAATGGCCCAAGCTGCGGGAGATGTACATGGAGCTGAGCCAGCATGTGTACGAAAATGTACGCAATACCCTAGCGGCCTCAATCCATGAGGTTGCCAAGATCTTGGGCCCCGATGTGACAAGTGAGGACCTGCTCCCTGTGGCAGAACGCTTCCTGCATGACTCGTGTACCGACGTAACAGCGACGTTACTCGAGCATATTGATGAGTTCTGGCTGATTCTCCCGCCGGCCTTGACGAAAGAGCAACTGCGTCAGATACCCGCACTATGGCTCGCCCCCTATGTACAGGACTGGCGTCTACGCAGGAGTATCGCCTCGCATATTCCTGCCCTTGTACCTGCCCTTCTTTTGACGGATGAAGATGGGTGCCTTGTGACGCTATTGCTCCTCGCGCTGAATGACTCTGTGAGTGCCATGCGTGAACTGGGTATTCAAGCGACGCCGATCATCTACACTACCTTTGCCAAGCACGACCAAACCATTGCGGACGGGTTCCTGTCCATGCTGTGTGACCTAGCGAAAGCATCGTCGTATCGACAGCGTGTGACTTTCCTGCACATTGTGTCGGCGTTGCTGCAGGAGGACGTGGAAAACGATCGGTTTGAGCAGATCTTGCTCCCCTACATGGTGATATTGGCCACGGACGACGTGCTGGATGTGGCCATTGCGCTCGCGCAAACGTGCGAGAAGGCATGGCAATGCTGCAAGAGTGTGGAAGACACAGTGCCACAACCGCCTTTTGCGTTGGTCCAGATCACAGCGACATTGCTAGCCAGTACGTCGCCGTCTGTACGTGCGCCACTCCTCCCCTTCGCACCACAGGTGCGCGACACGGAGGTGCTGCCTGTGCCGCCACGTGAAGCTCGACAACTACGGTTGGGTCCTGCGCCATCCGTCCTGGACTCGGCCAGCATACCCACAACTGATATGAAAAGTGGCAATGGTCCCGCTATGGACGACACATATGCATAGAGATGGCATAGTGCCGGATCTAGGACCGTGCTATGGTTAACAGGCACATAGTGATGAAGTTGGGACGCACGATATGCAGGTCCTCTGCGATGATATGATAGGCGGCCCGCGGCCCCTGGCAGACTGGGGCGACCTACATGGCCTTTCATAAGCAGTCCTGCAATGTGGAGTGAGGAGCTCAAATACCTGTCTATTTCTTTTTCTCCTAGCAGCCAGGTGGTCTGTCGGCTGGGTGAGCATCTGTGGCGCAGATGCCGCAAAGCCAACATTCGCATTCGTATAGCAGCCAGTTTGAGTTTGCATGGCCTCACACGGCAAGACACCGTACAGGCCCGCGCCGACCTCAATCAGGCGCTGTGAGTGTACCTGAAGATGCGTCGTCAGTAGCGGGGGAGGAAGAAGATATGGAACTGCGGTCCAGCGACGACAGACGTGTGGAAGACTCGGATGACGACGATGATGATGTATTCGCATTTGTGGCATGTATGTATGTTTCCACCCATTCACACCCTCAGCTGGCCCCTCTCGAAATGTATCTGGGCCGACCACGACATCGCACCAAGCGCATCGTGAAGCGGCGATTGATATCCCACAGGACGAAATGGATGCCTGGTCCGATGAAAGTGCATCGTTGGAGTATGGGAAAGACCCTGTACACATGGGCGTGACAGACAGCCCGTATATGGATGACTACATGGACTTGTTTGGTGAGCGAGCTAGTGTGCGCCACTTTGACTCGTTGGCTCGTCGTGTGCCACAGCATTCCTTCGGCAGTATGCACTCGCGGGAAAAGTCCATATATGCAGCTTCGGATGTGCCTTCCACCGTGCATATGCTCGAAGAGGGCTACCTCGCGCCTGAGCATGGGCATCTGGAAAGAGATATGCATAATTCTATGCATACTTCTATGCGCATGGGGTCAAGCATGGCGTCGCATATGCCAGAAGCGGCCATACCTTTGCAGCGTGTGAACAAAGCTGATGAAACAGAAGAAGAGATGGTGGTAGACGACGATGAAGACTCGCCCTACCCGGAAGTATGTGCATCGGTATCGAACATGGACGACCCAACGATGCAGATTCTGACATTCCGCTCCATCTTCTTGGCGACCTTGATTCCCGTGGTGGTAGGAGCGATCAATTTGTACTTTACTCTGCGATACCCTGCACCCACTTTGTCACCGCTGATTGTGATCGTGATAGCGTACCCTATCGGGAAAATCATGGCCATTACGCTGCCAACGCGCGTATTTCAATTTCCCCAATGGCTTGGTGGATTCCAATTTTCGCTGAACCCTAGCCCCTTTAATATCAAGGAACACGCGCTGATCGGTATTGCAGCTTCAATATCGATTGTGCCGTCGTTTTTGTTCAACTTCCTTGTGGCGAACGATGTGAAGATCGAGTCATGGCAGGGCCAGGACGAGTGGTTCGATTTTGTGTTTATCATGTCGAGCGGGGTGCTTGGCTTTGCCTTTGCAGGACTGCTCTACCGACTTCTTGTCCAACCATCGTCCATGCTCTGGCCCCAAGCACTTGTCCTCTCCACGATTCTAAACACGCTGCATGCAGGCGAAGATATATTCGATAAGCGCATGACGCGTATGCGATGGCTTGTGATCATTGCTGTGCTGGCCTTTTTGTACAACTTCTTCCCTAACTACATCTTTTACGCATTGCAGCTTTTCTGCTGGGTCACTTGGATTCGGCCGCATGATGTCACGACGAATATTGTGACAGGGGCCAAGGGGATGGGCATGACCAGTCTCAGCTTCGATTGGAATCAAATTATCTACCATGGCTCCCCCCTCGTCATGCCATGGTGGGCCGAATGCAATTTCTTCTTTGGTTTTGTTTTATTCGCGTGGTTCGTTATGCCGATCCTGTACTTTACCAATACATGGCAGTCGGCCTATTTCCCCTTCAGTGGGGCCAACATGTATGACAAGTACGGCAAACTGTACCAGATCCAGAACGTCCTTGATATGCCCTCCATGCAATTCAACAGGGACAGGTACGAAGCCTACTCGCCTGTCTATCTCCCCTTGGGCTTCTTGGTATCCTATTTTGCTGGATTCGCCATCATCACGTCGATGATTGTCCACACTACAGTCAACCATGGACAAATCATCTTCCAGGTCTGGCACCGTGGGAAGAGAGAACAAGATGACATCCATGCAAAATTGATGCGGAACTACCCGTCTATTCCCTCATGGTGGTACTCGTGGCTTTTCATTATACCTTTTTTGACCATTGTGATTATCATCGACTACCTCAAGTTCGATTTCCACACGTCTAGCTTGGTAGTCGCCCTTCTATTGGCCTTCATCTACCTCCTGCCCAGTGGCTTTATTATGGCACTAACCGGTGTGCAGCTCGGCAACAATATCCTTTGTGATGTGATTGGAGGTTATTTGCTGCCTGGTCAGCCACAGGCCTTTATGTTGTTCAAGGGCCTCAGTGTACAAACTCTGGTATCGTGCCTGCTGTTTGTGGGCAACATGAAGCTGGGGCACTACATGAAAATCCCTCCGCGGATCACCTTTTGGGTGCAGATCGTGGCTACGGTCATTGTGAGCTGCGTTCAGATGGCCGTCAAGCGAGTCTTGTTTCTTACGGTCCCAGACATGTGTACTTATCACCAGAAATACAGCTTGACCTGCATCAGTGCCAACCTCTACTACAGCTCGGCACTGATGTGGAGCGCCATTGGGCCCAAGTACATTTTCAAGGACAAGGCGTTCCAATTTATGCTATGGGGCTTGCTTGCAGGTTTCCTGGCCCCTACGTTGCTTTGGATCATTCGCGCACGTTTCCGAGTGCGATGGCTGTATTATGTCAACTTCCCTGTGATCTTTTACAGTATTTCATTCTTTCCGATGTCAGGCAGCCTCAACTACACCATGTGGTTCTTGGTGGGAACCATATTCCAGTACTATTTGCGCAAGTACCACTTCCGTTGGTGGTCGAAGTACAACTTTACGACCTCGAACGCATTGGACCTAGGCACCGTCATATCGCAGTTGGTCATTCTCCTTACCATTCTCATCCCGTTAGGCGACCGTTCTATGATCAACTGGTGGGGAAACACGGTGGTACGCTCCACCGCGGACTTCAACAATGTGCCCTTAAAGGAAGTCCCGCCCGGTGGCATCAAGCCAGTCGTGTTTGGTTAAAACGGGTCTCAGTCCCGTAGTGTACATACGAGAAAATGTCTGTCCATAGTACAATACAAAATATCGAAGATTGTCTATAATTTTAGGGTGCCTAGGGAGACAAGAGACTTGCTCAGCCTCGGGTGCAGCATAGTATACAACGGAGCACGTTTCATCAACATTCGATACGCTGGCCACGTCGGGCGACAATGAATTCCACGCCAAGACGGCCCTGGGCTTCAAGGTCGGCCAGTTCTTGTTCAATGACAGACTCCAAATGAAGGGGCAATTGCATAGAGGTGGGACGTTTTTTGGGACGAGGGACATAGCAGTACGACTTGAGATCACCGGAAAGAGTCATACCTTTGATATGAATAACGATACATTTTACACCACGCAGAATTTGATCGGTAGACGAAATCTTTCGCTCTGCGCAAACGCATTGAGCAAGGGCCTGTAGCTCGCGGTACAGGTGGACAGGCGTCATATGACCAAACAAAAGATGGTCAGGCTGCTCCGACGAGAAGCTGCACTCCAAAAAGATGGCGTTAAGCTTGCCCTGGGCCGCCCTCGGAGCCACCTGCTTCCACAGCCGGAAGTTGGCACTGGCGCCGCTCACCTGGTCGGGCTCGACGTCGCCCATAAAAAGCACGTCGCGATCACGGCGATGGTTGGTAAACAGGAACGCCGTGGATACCACGGTGCTCATATCGCCGTCCATGTGGCACGGCAGCGGGCCGATAGGAGGCCCATCCAAAACCGATTGGAAAACAGAGGTGCCTACAGCCAGACGTGTATTGCCATGAGAGATGGGAAGCGCAGTGACGTCGATGTCCGTGTCGATCGACAGGACTTGTCCAGTGCGCATGCAACGTAAATGATAAAAGGCCATGGGATCTGTTTCATCGTAGGAAGCCAGGCGTGGCCAGATCCGGCCATTGAACACTTGCAGCAGTGTATCCAAGGTATCTTGTAAGCCATACACAGGCCGTTGGGCGCGGTTGTTCGCCGAAGCCAAGACAAGGCCGTAAATGTGGTCCAGATGGCCATGTGAGAGGAATACCTGTGAGATCCACGAGTTGAAGATTTCTGTCCGGCCCTCTGCGTTTACACCCTCTGGAAATTCCACGTCAGGGAAGACTTTGTCTGGGTGCTCGAGGCATTCCATCAACGAGCCCAAGAACGAGCCTCCTTCGACGAGCACTGTGCCATCGTGCCACGCGCGATCAGCTGGCTTCATGAGGTAGCACGAGCAGTTGTTGTCAAAAGGTCCGCCACCGACACCCAAGCATACGAACGAAAAGGCCGTAGATGACGACGACAATGGAGATTCGGAGTCAAGACAGCCCACGGATTCTTTTTGCAGTGCGAGGGAATCAGGAGCTAAATCCATAGGTGCAGCCGGATCCACGTCTGGCATGCTATGAGGCACGATAGGCGCCGGCCAGCGTCCAAAAAGTGTGGAAGAAAACGACCTATTTCGTGCCGCAGGAAAAAGTGGCGTGCGGCGGTATCGGTGACGAGCGTAGCGTAAGACAGGGCTTTACGCTGGCGCAGCACTTCCGCGGTGGAGAGATTTGGAAATATCTTGACGCGACCCACCCTTCCACTGGCCGGCTCATGTGACCAGGCACGCGGCGTAGGACGACGGTGCTGGGCGTGCCCTGGTGGGCCCCCTGCCTGCGCGCCGGAGCCACGGACATGCAGCACGGCTTGATGGGCGACGACATGCCGCAGCCGGCGACATAGAAACGGAAAAAATACGCGTTCAGATACACAAACGACTACGAAGAAGAAACAAACCATGAAGTAGAGTTTCCCAAAGCATGGCATGCTTGGCCTCTTAGACAGCCTGCGATACTGACGGGGCCGGCACGGCCTCTGGGACGTGGATACGCTTGGGGATGCTACCCGCCCACGGCAGCGACGAGCTCAACATGAGGTCCGTGTCGACCTGCGCAGCACAAGCGCGGCCCTCTTGGATACCCCAAACGATCAGCGACTGACCGCGACGGCAGTCGCCGGCGGCGTACACGCGATCGACCGACGTCTTGTACGGGTTCGGGCCCTTGTTGGTGTCCGCGAGAATGTTGCTGCGGGCGTCCTGCTTGATCTGCAGCGACTCGATCGCGGCGTTCTCCGGGCCAAGGAAACCGAGCGAAAGGAAGCACAAGTCGCAAGGGAAGCGCTGCTCGCTGCCCGGAATCTTGGTCATCTGCCACTTGCCGCTCGCGTCCAGGTCCCACGACACACGCACCGTGTTGAGCGCGATGAGCTTGCCCGACTCGTCCTTCTCGAACGAGGTCGTGGAGATGCAGTACTCACGCGGGTCCTCACCCCAGCGTGCCTTGACTTCCGAGTGACCGTAGTCGGTACGGAAGATACGCGGCCACTGCGGCCATGGGTTGTTCGCCGCACGCGCCGCCGGGGGCTGCGGCAGCAGCTCAAAGTTGACCACCGATGCCGCGCCGTGACGCACAGCAGTACCGATACAGTCGTTACCCGTGTCACCACCACCGATCACAATCACGTTCTTGCCCTTGGCGCTGAGGTAGGTGCCCTCCTGCAGCTGGGTGTCGAGAAGCGACGCGGTCGTCGACTTGAGGTACTCCATTGCAAAGTGCACGCCATCCGCATCGCGGCCGGGGATGTTGAGATCACGTGGCCACGTCGCACCCGTCGCAAACACCACGGCGTCATTCTGGCGGTGAAGGTCCGCAGCGTCGATGTCCTTACCGACCTCGGTGTTGGTGACGAACTGTACGCCCTCCGCGGCCATGAGACCCACACGACGGTCGACGACGTGCTTGTCGAGCTTCATGTTCGGGATACCGTACATGAGCAGACCACCCACGCGGTCCGCACGCTCGTACACTGTGACCGAGTGACCGGCGCGGTTCAGCTGGTCGGCGCACGCCAGACCGGCGGGGCCCGAACCGATGATCGCCACCGTCTTGCCGGTGCGCTGCGGCGGGGGACGAGGCACCATCCAGCCCTGCTCCCAGGCGTGATCGATGATTGCACACTCCACCGACTTGATACCGACGGGCGACTCGGTGATGCCCAAGACACACGCGCCCTCGCAGGGCGCGGGGCACACACGACCGGTGAACTCGGGGAAGTTGTTGGTCATGAGCAGACGGTTGAGCGCATCGCGCCACTGGCCCTTGAACACGAGATCGTTCCACTTGGGAATGATGTTCGAGATCGGGCAACCATTGTCCGACTGGCAGAACGGCACACCGCAGTCCATGCAGCGCGCGGTCTGGAGCTTGAGCTCGTGCTCAGGGAGACGCGTCGAGAGTTCCTTGAAGTCCTGTACACGAGCCGTGGGGTTGCGGTACTTTTCGGTGCGGCGGTGGTACTTCATGAAGCCACGCATCTTGTCGAGCTTCGAGGTGCGCGCAAGCTGCAGCTCCTCGTCGAGCATGGCCTCTTCCATGTCCACGACCGCCGGCTCTGGCTTGTGCGGCACGGCATCGGTCGGCTCCTCAGCGACGCTCACGTCCACCTGGCTGCCGCGGCGCGAAAGCGTGCCGAGCAGGTCCACGTGACTTGAGCGCTTCTTCTCCTCGGCGGCCTTGGCGGCCTCCTGCTCCAGGACGCGCTTGTAGTCCGTGGGCATCACACGCACAAAGCGTGGGAGGAGGTGGTGGAACTCGTGGATGACGTGCTCGGCAATGAGCGAGCCTGTGTAGTGGCGGTGGTCCTCAATGAGCGTGCGCAGCTCGGCGATTTCGCTCGTGTCGGTGACCGGGCCCAGCTCGACCATCTCCATGTTGCACTTGCTCGCAAAGTCGCGGTTCATGTCGAGGACGTACGCAATGCCACCGCTCATGCCTGCGGCGAAGTTGCGGCCCGTGTTACCGAGCACGACCACACGACCGCCCGTCATGTACTCACAGCCGTGGTCACCCACGCCTTCCACGACGGCGTGCGCACCCGAGTTGCGCACCGCGAAACGCTCCGCGGCGATGCCGGCCAAGTAGGCGTGACCGCGCGTCGCGCCGTACAGACACGTGTTGCCGACCAGCACGTTCTCCGCGGCCTTGAAGATCGACGACTTGGGCGGGTAGACGATCAGCCGACCACCCGAGAGACCCTTGCCGACGTAGTCGTTCGCATCGCCCTCCAGCTCGAACGTGATACCCGGCGCGAGGAACGCACCGCACGACTGGCCGGCACTGCCCTTCGCGGAGATGTGGATCGTGTCGCGCGGCAGGCCGTCCATGCCAAAGAGCCTCGAAACGTGGTAGCTCAGCGTCGTACCCAACGCACGGTCGGTGTTCACCACCTCGCACTCGATCTGCACAGGGAGACCACGCGAGAGCGCCGGCTCGGCCTCGTCGATGAACTTGTTGTCCATACGCACGTACAGCTTGTGGTCCTGCTGACGCACCTTGTACGTCGCAGCGCCTGGCCGCATCTCGAACGCCGGCTTGAGCAGCGCGCTCAGGTTGATGTTCGACGTCTTGGGCGTGCGCGCCGCCTCGTTCATCTTCAGCAAGTCCGTACGGCCGACCATTTCGTTGATCGTGCGCAGACCAAGCTTGGCCATGATCGCACGCAGCTCCTCCGCCAGGTAGTAGAAGAAGTTGATGACGTGCTCCGGCTGGCCAGCAAACTTCTCACGCAGCTTCGGGTCCTGCGTCGCGATACCCACCGGGCACGTGTTCAGGTGGCACTTGCGCATCATAATGCAGCCCATCGAGATCAGCGGCGCGGTAGAGAAACCGAACTCCTCGGCACCGAGCAAGCACGCCATCGCGACATCGCGACCGGTGCGCAGCTGACCGTCCGTCTGGACAGTCACACGGCCACGCAGATCGTTGAGCACGAGCGTCTGGTGCGTCTCAGCGAGACCCAGCTCCCAGGGGAGACCCGCGTACTTGATACTCGTCCAGCGCGCGGCACCCGTACCACCGTCGTGGCCCGAGATGAGGATATGGTCGGCCTTGGCCTTCGCCACACCCGAGGCAATCACACCGACACCGACCTCCGACACGAGCTTCACACTCACACGCGAGCGTGGGTTCGAGCACTTGAGATCGTAGATCAGCTGCTTCAAGTCCTCGATCGAGTAAATGTCGTGGTGCGGCGGCGGGGAGATCAGACCGACACCAGCCGTGGAGTGACGCGTACGCGCGATCGACTCCGACACCTTGTGGCCCGGCAACTCACCACCCTCACCGGGCTTGGCACCCTGCGCGAGCTTGATCTGCAGCTCGTCCGAGTCGGCCAGGTAGTGCGACGTGACACCGAAACGACCCGAGGCAATCTGCTTGATCTTCGAGCGCAGCGAGTCGCCGTTCGGCAGGGGAATCGAACGCTCAGGGTCTTCACCACCCTCGCCCGTGTTCGACTTGCCGCCCAGACGGTTGAGCGCAATGGCCAGCGCCGAGTGGGCCTCCATCGAGATGGAGCCGTACGACATGGCACCCGTGCAGAAACGCGGCGCAATCTCCGTCCACGGCTCGACCTGGTCCACAGGGATCGGGCGCGCACCCGCGTAGTTGAACTCCAGCAGACCACGCAGCGTCGTCGCCTTGACCATATCCTGCGTCGCCTTGGAGTACGCGTCCCACGCCGCTTGGTTCTTCGAGCGCGTCGCCTCCTGCAGCGAGGCAATGCAGTTCGGGTCGTTGATATGCGCCTCGCCACCGTCGCGCCAGTGGTACTCACCACTCTCAGGCAGCCCCGCAAACGCCATAGTCTGGCGGTGTGGGTACGCACGCTCATGCATCTCCAGCGCATCGGCCGCCAGCATCTCGAACGTGGCGCCGCGGATACGCGAGGCGGTGCCCGCAAAGCAGCGGTCAATCACCTTCGTGTCGAGACCGAGCGCCTCGAAGATCTGCGCACCCTTGTACGACTGCAGCGTCGAGATACCCATCTTCGACATGACCTTCAGGATACCGCTGTCCACCGCATGCCGCCAGTTGGCCGTCAGCTCGGCGACCGGGACATCGACCTTCGAAAGACCTTCCCGGCCGACCTTCATCACAGCCTCCTGCGCAAGCCACGGGCAAATGGCATCCGCACCGTAGCCGAGCAGCACACATACATGGTGCACTTCACGTGCCTCGGCCGTCTCCACGACCAGCGCAATACGGCCACGGCGCTTCTGGCGGATCAGGTGGTGGTGCACACCACCGCACGCAATCAGCGAGCTAATCGCCACGCGGTGCGGATTCACGTTGCGGTCCGACAGCACCACGATACGGTAGTCGTTCTCAATCGCCTCCGACACCTGCGCACACACGCGGTCCAGCGTCGCTTCGTAGCCCTTCGAGCCCAGCGCATGGTCGTACGTAATGTCGATCGTGATGGTCTGCCAGTCTGGGCGCGTAAGGTTCATCTGCTTCAAAGCCCCCATCTCCTCGAGACTCAGCACGGGGCTCTTCAGGTGGATACGTCCACACTGCAGCTCGTTCATCTCCAGCAGGTTGCCCTCCGGACCAATGTACTGGTCCAGCGACATGACGACCGCCTCACGGATCGGGTCAATCGGCGGGTTCGTCACCTGCGCAAAGAGCTGGCGGAAGTATTCGTAGAGCAGACGCGGCGACTGCGACAGGCACGCCAGCGGCGCATCGTTGCCCATACTACCAAGCGCCTCCTTGGAATCGCTCAGCATAGGCAGCATAAGCAAGTTGATCTGGTCCACCGTGTAGCCGAACGCACGCAGACGCGGGTCCGTGCTCAGCGTCGTGTCGTCCAGCTTGGGCGTCAGCGCGCCCTGCAGCGCATGGCCGACGCGCTGCGTAATGTCGCCAAGGTGCAGCATGTTGTGCTCGACCCACGCCGCAAAGTCCGCCAGGTGCGCCGTGCTCGACTTGAGCTCACGGTCATCGACAATGCGGCCTTCCACCGTGTCGACAAGCAGCATACGACCCGGGCGCAGACGACCCTTAGCCGTGATCGTCTCCGGCGCAATCTTGATCGTACCGACCTCCGAGGCACACACCATAATGTCGTCCGTCGTAGTGACCCAACGGCAGGGACGCAATCCGTTCCGGTCCAGGTTCGCACCACAGTAACGGCCATCGCAGAACGTGAACAGCGCAGGGCCGTCCCACGGCTCCATCAAGCAGCCAGCCCACTGGTAGAACGCAATCTTCGCAGGGTCCGTCTCACGGCCCTGCCACGCCTCCGGCACCATCATCATAACGGCCTGCGGCAGCGTCAGCACCTTGTTGACGACCAACAGCTCGAGCACATTGTCGAACGCCGCCGAGTCGGAACCGCCACTCTCAATGATCGGGTACAGCAGATCCATTTCCTCGCCAAACACCTCCGAGCGCAGATGGCCCTCACGCGCATGCATCCAGTTCTTGTTGCCGCGGATCGTGTTGATCTCACCGTTGTGCGCAGCCCAGCGGAGCGGCTGAGCACGGTCCCACGACGGGAACGTGTTCGTCGAGAAACGCGAGTGCACGAGCGCAAAGTGCGCGCTGTACCACGAGTTGTTCAGGTCGTGGTAGTAGTTGTACACTTGCACAGGCGCCAGTTGACCCTTGTACACAATGTTCGAGGGGCTCAGCGAACAGATGTAGAACCAGTTCGCGAGGCCAATGCGGTGCGTAGCGTGCTTGCGCAGCACGTACAGCTGACGGCCAAAGTGGCTCTCGTCAAACGCACCATTGCCTTCGGACGCCTTCGAGGTCCAGCCGTAGTGGTCACCCAGCACGACGAACGGCTGCATGACCTTCGGCTCACGGCTACGCGAGGCGGGGCCAAGGATCGAGCTGTCCACAGGCACCTCACGCCAGCCCAAGACACGCAGCTGCAACTTCTCGGCAATCTGCTCAAAGAGCTTCATATGGTTCGCACGCATCATCGCATCCTTCGACGTGAAGAACACGTTACCGCACGCATACTGCCCGACAGGCGGCAGCTCAAAGTCAAAGTCGACACGCACCTCGCGGCGCAGGAACGCGTCCGGCATACCGGTCATCACACCAGCACCGTCACCGTCACGTGTATCCGCACCGACGGCACCACGGTGGGTCATGTTGCACAGCAACAGACGGGCATCCGACACAATTTTGTGCGTGGCGCTGCCCTTGATATGACAAATGAAACCGACACCACAGGCGTCCTTCTCATATTGCGAGTCGTATAGACCCTGTGATGCGGGCTGCGAGCCGGCCCACGATCCACTGTCACGCTGGACAGACTCGTAGCCACTGTCGTTCAGCGCCTCGGTCGTCGCATACTCCGAGACATACTCGGTATCTTGCTTTGGCATAGGATACATATCCTTCTTCAGAGTCTCTGTCATCATCATATTGATTGGTTTGTTGAAATAAAAAGTCAATTTACTAGGAATATCTAGGACGTCAGCCGGCATGATCCACGTACCGTCTTAAGCTCGTCACTTGCCTGAGTCGCTGCTGATCAGCAGCGGCGCGGGTTACTGAGAATAACAGGGATTGAAAGGGAGTAGCTGTTTGTCAAAGGCTTTGTACAGAAAGCAGATGGGTATGACAGGCGCCAACGAGCAAAGTTGGTGGAACAAAAACGAGCTGTGGGTCCAGAAAGACTCGTTATCTATCGGGGGACCGCTCTTTATGCCGGCTGCCTCCGGCTGGCTGCGCTTACTTCAAGATCTCCGCAGACTCTCTTCATCGGCCAATCGAATACGCGGGCTTACGAGAATGACTCGAAGTCCATTCGGCTGAAACGATGAAATGCGAATCTCTTATCTCTCATTATGCAATATCACGTGGTTATCTATGACTTGCTTCGGCCAGCGTGTGGAGCTGGCTAAACCACAAGTGCTCACGTAAGGCAGGAAAAGGGCCGATCACGTCCCTCATAGGCACGCACGCCACGCGCCCAGCGACCCTCTCACGTCATGGCCAGTCTCGCAGATGAACTCCTAAGTGATCTACAGGACGAGGCGTCGCAACCCACGGAAAAAACCCAGCTCGCAGACACTACGACAGGACCGGCCCCTGTGCAAGATGTAGGAACATCGTCGCTTGCCAGCGCCTTGGATCTCGAATTGGACGAGGCATCAGCAACACACGATGCGCACGGGGCAAGCACACCACCAGAGGCCATGGACACCGAGCAGGTCAATGCGATGGATATGCGGGCACAGAACGTTGAGAGCGCCCGCTCCGTCTCCAAACTGCACGGCAACCCTGCGTTGGAGGAACTGTTGCAGTCCATCGACAAGCATACTGCGCAACCATTACCGCCCGTAGCTGGGGCACTCGAAAGCACAGGCGAATACCAGCTGATTCTGCGCGCGAACAATATGGCCGTAGAAGTGGACAACGAAATCCTTGTCCTGCACAAATTCATTCGGCAACGCTATGCGCCACGCTTCCCCGAGTTGGAGACGTTGGTGTTGGACCCATGGGACTTTATTCGCGCAGTGCGTGCGCTAGGCAATGGCCAGACCTTGGAGAGAAAGGGACTAGAAGGGATCGTCCCTGCTGGCACCATTGTCGTCATTAGTATGACAGCCTCCACGACGACAGGCAAGCCACTGCCGGCGGTGGAGTGGTCGCGCATTCTGGAGGCGTGTGATATGGTACAATACCTCGAAGAGACACGGCATAAAATCTTGTCGTACGTGGAGTCACGCATGACTTTGCTAGCCCCCAACTTGTCCGCTCTGGTCGGCACACGTGTGGCGACGAAAATGGTAGGCGTAGCTGGCGGCTTGGCCGCCTTTGCGAAGATTCCTGCGTGCAATGTGCACCTATTGGGCGCCTCGAAGAAGCAGGATCTGGGTCTTTCGTCGATTCATGGCAATGATACACGATACTCTGGCTACCTGGCCCAGTGCGACTTGGTCATGCAAACGCCGGAAGACTACCGGAAGCAGGCGCTGCGCATGGTCGCTGCCAAGGCGTCGCTTGCTGCGCGTATGGATGTGGGTGGATCGAGCAGCACACGGTCTGGTCACTATGGCTCGTCACTGCATGAAGAGATTGCCCGCAAAATCGATAAACTCATGGAGCCACCACCTGCGAAGCTCGTCAAAGCGTTGCCAGTCCCCAGTGAGGGGGGGCGCAAACAGCGGCGCGGTGGTCGACGAGCCCGAAAATTCCGTGAAATGTACGGTCAAACGGAGCTACAAAAGATGCAGAACCGAGTCGAGTTTGGCAAGGAAGAAGCCGAGGCGGGTGCGTTTGACGAGACTGTAGGTCTCGGTATGATCGGCTCGCAAGCGACTGGCAAGATCCGCGCAGCGATGGCGAGTGCCTCATCCAAGGCACGCATGTCCAAGGCCAACAAGGAGCGCTTGGCTACGCTTAATCGGCCTACCCTGTCCTTGCAGTCTACCTCACCTGGCATGGCATCAACAAGTGGTACTGCGTCGTCGCTCTCATTCACGCCTGTCCAAGGCATTGAGTTGGTCGATCCGTCGCGCCAGAAAAAGGTGGATGAGGCCAAATCTAAGTGGTTCCGGGAAGGCCAGTTCTCGCTGGTGCCACAGGACACGAAAACGTCGATGCTGCCACCACCACCACCATCTCGCTCGCAAACCTAATGCGGAGCCCATGTACTTTAGACAGAATCATAGATGGGGCATGCTTCTTATGTGCACAATGTATAGACTATCATATCTACGCATTCGCCGGACGACGGTGAATCATCGCGTGGCGGCCAGGACCGACACCGATCCACTCAATGTGGACACCGATAAAGTCTTCGATGAACTCCACATAGTTGCGACAGGCTTCGGGCAGCTCCTCGTAGGTCTTGCAGCCAGCAATGGAGCCCTCCCAGCCAGGGAAAGACTTGTACTGCACCTCGACCTTGGCAAGGATGTTGAGGTCGGCAGGGAAGCTCGAAAGGTCCTTGCCTCCCACCACGTAGTTGGTAGCCACCTTGATTTCCTTCAAGCCGTCCAACACATCGAGCTTGGTCAAGTTGAGGCACGTGTAGCCATTGATCAGGCACGAGTAGCGCATCATGACCAGGTCAAGCCAACCGCAGCGACGTCGGCGGCCCGTGGTCGTGCCGTACTCCGCACCAACCTCCTGCAGATGCCTGCCGACTTCGTCGTTGAGCTCGGTCGGGAATGGACCAGCGCCCACACGCGACGTGTACGCTTTCATCACACCAATCACAGTACCAATGCACTGCGGCGGAATACCAAGACCGGTGCACACACCACCGATACCCGTCGACGACGAGGTGACGAACGGATACGTACCGTAGTCCAGGTCGAGCATGAGTGCGTTGGCGCCCTCAACTAGGATGCGGCGGTTCGACGAGAGCATCGAGTGGATGAATGTCACACCGTCGACAACGAAAGGACGAAGACGCTCGGCAAACGCACGGTAACGAGCGATTTCGCCCTCTGTGTCGTACTCAAAGTTGCCGTAGCGCTTGAAACGGCCTTCCACCAACTTGCGGAACTTGGCAGCGAACGTGTCAAAGTCATACAGGTGGTGCACACGGAGACCCGAGCGAGAGGCCTTGGACGAGTATGCTGGGCCAATGCCCTTCTTGGTGGTACCGATACTGCTACCACCAAGCTCCACCTCCTTCAGACCATCCACGACCTGGTGGAAATCAAAAACAAGGTGCGCACGGTCCGACACAAACAGGCGGTTGTCACATTTAAGACCTTTCTTTTCAATCGTGTCCAGCTCGCTAAAGAAGGAAGGTACATGGACCACCACGCCAGAGCCGATAAAACCAATGCACTTGGGGTTCACAAGACCAGACGGAAGCAGATGGAAATCAAACTTGGTCTCGACATTGTCGGGACCAACGTTCGCGACGATCGTGTGACCGGCGTTGTTACCGCCAGCACAGCGAGCGCAGATATCCATCTCTCCCGCTAGCATATCGGAGAGCTTGCCTGCAAGTGTGTTAGCTATCCATCCATCATCATGCATTACGCACCTTTGCCCTCGTCACCCCATTGGGATCCGAGGACCACAGTCACTCGCCCTTGCGAGGACTGGTTCGGTTTTGGCAACGTCGCCATCGCGGAAGCGAAGGATGCCAATTCAGCGATGCGTAGACCTACAAAAAGCAGCGCCTGTGTTCCCTCTCTACCTCGTGCGCGTGGGCCGTCGGAACTACCTTCGGTCATTTACTGCCTCTTGATTCGTTGGATTAGCCAGCAAGCCGGGTTCCATTTAAAAGGGCATCTACCAGCACTCCAAGCAACTGACTAAACGCCCTGTGCCCTCCTCCCCCAAGCCCCAGAGGACGTCCCCCCCCCTATGTCACAATAGGCGCCCAACACGATTGGCCCATTGTGCTAGACTAGGCATGCGTAGACTCCGCGATAGCGAAGACACGACGAGCTCGCCCACTAGGCGCGCAGGATAGGACAGCCTACATACATCAGAAACTGTAACACCATGACAATGATGAGCTACAGGCGTACTCCATACATAGACACGTCGAGTCTATAGACGTTAAGCGACCCACGCCCGGGCAACCAGCTCAGTCAGGCCTGTTGCGTTAGTCCGGACACCATGCGAAGTACATACCAATATCGTCTGTACAGAAAATATGGCACATCGTCGCGCACACACATGTCAGTTCTCTGCTCATACCAGCCCAATCCTGCTTGCGTACAGGCAGGAAAGGGCGTCCAGGAATACGTACTCGTGTTGAACTCTACCATATGTTAGCCAATGTCTGTCACATAGAAATACGTACCATAAAGACCCACAGCAGCGCCCACAGTAGCAGCACGGATGATCCATTTAGCCAGAGGACCAGTGAAGGGGTACTTGCGCTTGTCCAGGTAGTCCGTCAAGCAAGCATCGAAACCGATGTGCGAGTGCAGAATGAGCGTAGCACTCAGGGTGGCATCCAAGACACCGCAAGCACCGTGCTTCACAGTCGCCACAGCGAACATGGGAATGATCGAGGCAGCAATCAGACGCTCAAAGGCCCAGTGGATCGAGCCGTGCATGGCGCTCGGCTTCGGGTATTCCGTAGGCTCATTGACAGTGTCCTTGATGTACGCTGAAAGTTAGACGATGATAGTGAGATTATACATACAGCCACCCGGGTGGATCAACGGACCACCGAACGAGCGCGGGTTGCTCTTCGACACAGCAAGAGGGGCAGCTATGCGGTGTCAGTACAATTCATGCCAAACACTGAAAGACGTACCAGCGTGGAAACCACGAGCGCCTGTGGCGAGCATGCGAGTCACGCTCTGGCTAGCAAGGCTCTTGTTCAGACCAACAACGGAACGCATCATCGACATGGTTAGCAGTCGAATCGAGTAAGCAGTCGGTTCGCAACCGCTCCCAAGGGCGGGCTCGCTGGCTTCGATTTCATTTGCGCGAGCCCTCATTGGTCTGATGAATTTTTTAACCTAGTAGGCCCTTTGGTTGCAAGACCGCCGGAAAGACCCGGCTGATGCATCTCGCACATGGCAGTGGAGCATGGTGCTACGACGCGGTGCGCGGCGGCAGCGAAGAGCGCGCCATGCGCTGGGCTGGGGGCGCTCTCTGCCTTTCTAGAAAGCAGCCTAGTAGGAGAGAATGCGTAGAGAAGACAAGTGGGATCAGAATATAGAATGGGACGTTTTATGGGCCTACAGATAGCCATTCTTTGATTTGTACGGCAGTCGTAAAACCATATACCGTGTCAAGGGATTATATAGAAATACAATGAGGTGTCTCTGACGATATAGGACATTATTCTGTTTCCTCCGGCGGCCTCTCGAGTGGGTCATCGCGGAAGAGATGGTTGCAGTAGCAACACACGTAGAAGAAGATCATTTCTGGCTGTTAGTCGCCGTGCCTCTAGTGTAGAAAACGCACTGTTAAGATCACGCTTGCTCTGATCTTGGAACATGACAGCCCTGGATGGTCAGAGAAACACGGCAGGCGTATACATACTCGGTATGTCCGCAGTTTGGGCACGTAAGATCCTGCGTTCGTCGTAGCGTTGGATCGGTCATCAGTTCATCGATCACACCGGGTTGCTCCTACATGTGTGCATAAGTATACTTTGAGCGCTGCATACGTACCTTGGAGATGAGCTTCAAGTCATTTCGGAAAACGAGGGGGTTGGACGCCTCAGTGCGGTAGGGACAGTTGCGGCACGCGTACAACAGGACATGGTTTGTTCGGTCCGCCTACACTGTGTTAGTACGTGAACTAGTCGGAACGTGTCCGCATGCATGGTTTTGCAAGCAGATCGAAGAAGGACCTACCTCGGGGTATAGCAAATTGTTGCTGGTGATGTCAGCACGCAGATCCTGTTGCACAACACATACCACTCTGCACAGAATTTAAGGGATGCCATAGCGGATACGTGTGCTTCGTTTCGATCGTATGTACGTAGGCAAGCGTCCGTACGTACGTATGCACGATCGCAAGCAACCAACCTGCCTGTACTGTCGTCGCACGCTGCCAATGTCGTCGTCGCGCTGGTCACGTGTTCATCCATCACGACTCGTTGCCCATAGGGCGCTATCGCAGACTACTCTATCGTCGGCATCATTTAAAGGTAGAAGTTCTCACCGCGCTCACGGCCACGGAGGAAGGACGGGCCAGTGCCCTTCTGGCTGTGGGTGTTAGTGGGTCACAGCAAGCAAAATACGTACTAAACATCCAAGAAGATCTCATCGTCCTTCGGCAGCTCAGCGGCCTTGGCGATCTCCACCTCCTTGTCGACTTCCTCCTTAGCAGCCTTGTCGATCTTCTTGAGCTCAGACTCTTCCAGGATACCCCAGCGGAGAATCTGCGTCTTAAGACCCTGGATCGAGTCGGAAGAGCTGCGCATCTTCTGGATTTCCTCACGGGTACGGTAGGTCGTGCCTGGGTCCGAGAGCGAGTGACCACCGTAGCGGTACGTCACAAGCTCCATCAGGATCGGACCCTTGCCCGACACGGTATACTCGCGCGTGAACTCAGTGGCGCGCTTGACAGCAAGCACGTCCATGGCGTTCACCTGGATACCGGGAATAACGTCACCGCGCTTGTAGAATTCAGTGTTCATCGAGCTGCGCTCGGCACTGGTGCCCATACCGTACTTGTTGTTTTCACAGATGAACACACAGGGGAGGTTCCAAAGCTTGGCCATGTTGAAAGCCTCAAACACTTGGCCCTGGTTGGAGGCGCCGTCACCGTAGAGCGTGAACGTGGCGTGGTCCGACTTGTTGTACTTCTGAGCGAAGGCAAGGCCGGCACCGAGCGGCACCTGCGCGCCGACAATACCGTTGCCGCCGAAGAAGTTCGGCTGGTAAATGTGCATCGAGCCACCCTTACCCTTCGAGTGACCGAGCTCGCGACCTGATGGTTAGCATAAGGCGTACATACCGTACAGCTCGGCCATAAGTCCACGGATGGTACCGCCGCGCTGCACAACAAACGTGTGGCAGCGGTAAGCAGTGATGACGTTGTCATCGGACTTCATAGCAGACTCCATACCCACAGCCACGGCCTCCTGACCGATAGCAAGGTGGCAGAAACCACGGATCAGCTTGTGCTTGTACGACTGGTCCGCCGCCATTTCCATGCGGCGCATCTTCACCATCTCACTGTAGAGGCGGATAAGCTCCTCCTTTGTGACAGTAAGATTGTGCGAGGGCAGGTCGATGCGGTAGCTGTGGAACGACTCGTCACCCAAGTTGATCGTGAACGGCTCCTGCATCGATTCGGGCACAGTGCCTTCTGGGTTGGCGTTGTCAGCAAGCAAATGCAGCTGACGGGCACCAGCCATCGGCATGGCGGAACGCACAGCGCGCGGGGTCTGCGCGTGTCAGATGACATAGGTATACGATACGTACTTGGCGCGGCAGTGCCGAGAGGCCTGCGAAAATCCTAGACGAAATCAGCCGGCTCATGTAGAGATGGCAGAGGGTTGAGACAGCTTGTGCTGAGAACCAGGGCGGGCAAGGTTTCGGGGACTAATAAATCCCAGTCCCCAACAGTGGTGGCCTCCACTTACGCCAGCAGGTCCGAAAAAAAATGTCAAGCCCGAAGGCACTGCCGCAAGGCCACACATCATGGCTGCAATGTCTCTTTGGCAGGGCGTGCGGTTCTGTGTGTCTGGTACAGTGAGCTTGTGTTCTTTGTGTGTTTTTCTACGTGCGTCGCTATCGGACGTAGCAATGAGCTTGGATGCCCTGTTTCGATAGGGAATGATGGCGCACAGTACTCCACCACCCCAGGCGTTAGTGCCGCATAACTCCTAGGTCTACACAGGTAATTTTTGTTGACGCCCAAAAGGGCAGAAAAAAAAAGACGCATATCTCAGCGAACTTGTGACGGACCAGGGCACTGGGTGCCGAGCAAGAAAAAAAAGTAAGCATTGGTTATCTACACCTGCGCCGCCGATTTCGTAACGAATTAGGCCCAATTTCGACAAGGAGCGACGACCACCTTTTTTTATTATTGTTTCACAAACAACACTTTCGTGGATAGCAGCATGACTACGGGCACGTCAGAACTCCCGGCTGCATATGTACAGGCTGGCCTACCTGATGACCACTGGCGCCCTACGTACGAGGACATCCATATTATGATCCGGGATATCTCTGTGAAAGTACGAGAGGAGTTCAACCCGGATTTGATGGTGGCTATTGGCGGCGGTGGTTTCTTCCCTGCGCGTGTGCTTCGTACGTTCTTGAAAAAGCGCGACGAAAAGAACCCATCCAAGCTGCGCAACGTGCCGATCCAAGCGATTGGGCTGAGTCTTTACGAGGAGGTCGAGGGAGAGTCGGCAGAGAAGATTGGCACGGAAGTCATCCGTACGCAATGGCTCGACACAGGCCGCGTTGACCCTGAGGCGAAGAAGCGCAACGATGCTGGCGGCCTTCTGGGCAAGAACATTCTGATTGTGGACGAGGTCGACGACTCACGCACTACGTTGCACTATGCATACCATGAACTATTAAAGGACGTGCGCAAGGCGCTGGAGTCGTACACGCCTGAAGAGCGCCAACAGCTGCGCCCTACGCGATTCGCTATTTTTGTGGTGCACAACAAGTTGGGGCCCAAGCGGGCTGAGCTGCCGGTGCTTGAGGGACCGGCGATGGAAGAAATTGTCGACGGTGTGAGCACCGGCGTATATTACTATGCAGCAGAAACAACGCCGCCTGTGTGGATTGAATTTCCCTGGGAAATGACAGACATCCAAGAGCACAACCGGCTAGCTGCGATCGCCAAAGCCCATGGCCTCGGTGCACCTGGCAAAGCCTGACTAAACATAGTCTTTGGCAAAATCTGGGGCGGGGACGCGGCTGATCATAGGGCATAATAATAAGTACGGGGCACGACACCTCGACACGTAGCTCCATTCACACTACCAATATGCTTTCTGCGAACCCATTTAGCCTGAAGCAGCAGCTCGCGTTCTACGGCGCGTACCACACGAACAAAGTGAATGTCGGCATCCACATGGTGTGCGTGCCGCTGATTTGGATGTATGTACGAATTGTGCTCACGTTGCAGGGCTAGCTTGGCCATGGTGCTTTCGACGGACTCGTCGCTTGCGACACTCGCAAGCAAGCTGCCCGATTCGCTCTCGGTCCCTGCGACCAAGGCGCTGGTGCAGCTTGCGGCGGCTCTGCCGTCGTGGGCGGCGCCGCACCTCAACTTGGCTGCGGTGTCTGCGCTTAGCTACCTGCTGTACTACTTTATCCTTGACCCGATCTCCGCCACACTGATTACGCCGCTGTGGTTTGCATACTACCGCATCAGCTGGTACATTGCGCACGACGTGGAGGGTGGTTTCCGCCTCGCGCTCATCTGCTTCACTGTGAGCTGGATCCTCCAGTTCTACGGCCACGGCGTTCACGAGGGTCGTGCGCCTGCGCTGCTGGACAACCTGCTGGGCGCCGTTGTGCTGGCCCCACTGTTTGTCTTTATCGAGACGCTCTTCCTCTTTGGCTACCGCCCGGAGCTCCAGAAGTGGCTTAAGAACGAGACCGCGCGTCTGATTGTCAAGTTCCGTGCGGAGAACCCTTCGAAGCGCGCGTAAGTGCGTCATTGTGTCGTGTTGTCTACACATAGTCTCATCAAGTACTTTGATTTAATGTACCGCCTCTTGTATCGTTTGCAACGACCATGCGTCACGGCACTGACACTTCCCACACACAGGGCCAGGACTGCACAAGATGCCGCGTGGATGTCGCTGCGTCGCGTAGGTATAACGAAGCGCCGCCCGTCTTGACGACGCCTCGGCGGCATGGCACGATCGTCCAGGTCAGGTCCCATACCACGGGCTCTGTCGTGTCGTGTGACTTTACGGTATACGAGTGTGTTTGTTCGCCGACATAGTACGTTTCTTTCCCTGCATCGTCTGCGACCAAGTCCCACGTACAGGGCGTCTCCGTCGAGGCGATGGGCCATAGCGATACACGGAGCGGCAGCGTACATGGCTCGTCCACACGCCACGGCAGGTCCGTAGGCTGTACATACAGCTCCGCGTACCAGCCCTGCACCGGGCGTGGGAGGCGCGTGCGGCGTACGATCGGCCCAATACGCAGCCGGCCAGGCTCGGCGCCAGGCACCCGCCAGGCGATCCGGATCTGGCCTAGCGGCCACGCGGCCGGGACTGTGGCGTCGGCGGACGTGGCCTCGGTCGATCGCAAGGCATGTGGCACAATGGGCTGCGTCGGCGTGAGCTCCAGCAAGGCCTGGTGCAGATCCTGGGGCATCAGCAAGATGGGGGTGTCGGTGGGCGGCGCCGCCCAGGTCCACGGCGCGGTGGTCTCGACGTGGAGCGACTCGATGTGCACGGGGCGAGCGGACGTATTGCGTAGCTGGAGTCGGATCCATGTACGTTCCCGCTCACGTACGTCCGGGTGTCGGGTTACGCGGAGCCCTGAGCTGACCTGCACGGCCGAGCTCATGACAAACGGCGGCGGCGACACAGCAAAGCGGTACTGCCTGCCGGGTCAGTAAGATCGACGAGGGAACGAACGTACTTGGCCAGCCAATGTTCTTTGAGGCCCTGCGCGGTAGGCTGATCGCTGCGGATGCGGCACACGAGTGCATGGGTCGCTAGGGCCTCGATGCCATGCCGAACGACCGCCGTGACCTGCGCGCCAGGCGCCAGCGCGACCGGCCCTGGCACGTCGGCCAACTGGAACGAGGTCGGGGCGAATTTCTCGGTGCCTTCCGAATGCAGCTCGACGCGGATACGCACGCCTGTGAGCGGACGTGTGGACGTGTTTGTCGCGCTGATCACTGCATGAAACGTCTCGCCTACAGCTACGAGGCGTAAGTGTTGAAGAAGCGTATACGTACCCACTGTGCCAAACGAGGCAGGGAGCAGCACCTGGTCGGTGTACGAGGAATCGCGCATACTTACTGGGGCCTGCACAAAAGCTGCATCGGAGCCTTGCGCCATGGACGCTTGCGCTGCGTCCCATACACTGGCCTCCATCGTAGCGACACTGTGCGGCGCAGGCAGCACAGGCGCGCCTTCTGCTACTGTCTCAAAGGCCGGTACCAGGCGAGGGGCCAAGGTCGGGGCCGAGACCCGCATCACCTTGACGGCGATCGGCGGTATGTACGGCGCACTGGCCTGCGACGCCTCCATCGTCCCCAAGCCGCCTATCGCTGTCCAAACGCAACCTGCCTGGCCGCCGCTGCCGCCGCGTCGGCGGCGTACATGTGGAGGCGTTGGCCACGCACGACGACCATGGCGTCGAGCGCGTCGCCTGTAGCTGCGCTTGCGCAGCTTGTGCTAGCGCCGCCGAGCGCGAGCGCTCTAGAAGAATGCGCGCTGGCCTGCTTTGACGAGATCGAGGCAACGCCCACGGCTTGGGACACGGCGGAGGTCGTGGTAGCCGTGGCCAAGTTCGTGCCGGTGTGGACGCTGTCGTCGATTGGCGCGTACCCTCTCACGCCATGGATCGACGTACGACGTGTGCAAGAGCCATGGATGTCGTCCTCACGCACAGCGCGTCGTGCGCAAGGTACGTACATAGGACACTGACGCCAGCGCTGCTAGATACCCTGCCTGTGACGCCGGACGTCTGCATGGCCATCTTGACCGACTACCTTCGTCCTCTCTTTCAACGGGGCCATGCGCGTGTACACAGTGAGACAGGGCGCGCGATCCATGCGAGGACGTCCGCTGGCGCTGGCGCTGCTGCCTGGGACGATACGATGCCTGCCTGGCAAAGCACGGCACTCGATGGACATGGTCGCCTACCGTTGGGATGCGTGTACGTGTTGGGATGGATCCTCACTCATCTCCAGGAGGCGCCGATGTCTGTATGGGACCGAGCCTGGCCACTGGTCCTACCGCCGACCATGGTCCTCCTTGACGCGCCTTCTGTGCCTACGAAGATCCAGGGCGCTTGCGTAGCCCGTCTTGTATGGCGTTGCGCGCCCTCGGCGTTGCTGCATCGTACAGGTGTGGCGTCGTTGCTACGTGAGACCCTTACGTCGATGCTCTCGTTCATGTCGGAGCCGACGTACGGCCCGCCTCTTTTCTCAGCCGTGCTGGACGCGCAGCTTGCGTCCCTCTCGTCGCAGCCTAGCGATGCCCAGTACGAGCAGGTGGTGGGGCTGCTATCGCACGGCGTTTTCACCGCGCTGTCGTACTGTGCGCCGGCATCGGCGTCGGTGCATGTGCTAGCGCCGAGTGCGCCTGATCATACGTCGACCTTGCACCATGCGCGGCTGCAACAGGTACTCGCTGGCACAGCGCTTACATGGGCGTCTGTGCTGTATACCCGCCTGGGCGAGGCTTCGTTGCGGTTCTGGCATGCACATATGGACTGGGCTGTAGCATGGCTGGAGCATGCGTTCCAAGCATGTACACCACCTTTTCCGTTCCGTGGACTTCCACGTCGTCCCGTCTCGGAGATGGTCGACGATCTTGTGGAGCAAGGCACGTTGCGCGAGAGGGACGCGACACCCGACGAGGCCTGGGACGACGCCGCGGCGGCGCTGCTTGCGAGTGTGTGTGCCTGCCTCGAGGCGACATGCACGCTCGTCGATATCGCCGTGCATGCCCCCGCGAGCACGTCGTCGCCCCCCTGGCCGGCGTACGCGCCTGGCCTGGCTACATGGGGTCCTCGGCTGGTCAGTGCGTCGTGCATGTGCCTGGTCCGCTGGCGCGATTTGCATGTCACGCAGCCGCCCTCCATTGTCGCGCAGGGCGAGACTCTATGTGCGCATCTACAATCCCTCGTACGTACATTGAGCGCGAGTCCTGTGCCGGCCATAGCCGAGAGTATCCAGGCCCTAGCCAAGGTCGTGCCTGCGCAGGTAGCGTACCTCACCGCGGCGCCCTCCGCCACGTGATGAGCGTGTGGGCAGTGGAGGGCGAGGCGTTGAGTCTGGCCGTAGGGGTAAAAAAGGGCGAGGGGACGTTCGCGTGTGACTTTTGAGCGCCTAGGTAGTCTCTTTCACGGGATGGCACGCGATACGCAAAACACGGCGCCCCAGCGCGGCAAGGCGCGGGGGCGTGGTGGGCACTCTTCTCGTGGTGGTGGGCGTGGCGGTAGCAAGGCGCATGGTACACAGACGCGTGCGCCTGCAACGTCGAACGACGTGGTGGCTGTGACGGACGCGGCATCGAATGCGTCTACAGCCACGTCGACGCAGGTCGCCGCAGCGAAGGCAGCCGCAGCCGCGGCAGCTGCAGCTGCAAGCCAGACCGACGATGACGACGAGGCCGAGATCTGTTTCATCTGTGCCGAGCCTGTGCGTCTATTTAGTCTGCCGCCCTGCAATCACCGTGTATGCCATATCTGCTCGATGCGTCTTCGCGCGCTATGGAAGAAACGCGAGTGCACATTCTGCAAGGCCGAAGCCACGCGTGTGATTTTCACGGCCAATGCGACCAAGGCGTTCGGTGCGTATACGCCTGACGAGTTGCCGTATGTCGACGAGAAGCTAGCCATCTACTTTGAAACGGAGCAGGACTACCAAGACACGATCTCCCTCCTGCGCTTCAACTGTCCTAACCCGAAATGCGAGGCCATGTGTGCTGGATGGGCCGATTTGAAGACGCATGTAAAGCGGGAGCACTCGCGCCTGTTGTGTGATCTCTGCATCAAGCACAAAAAGATCTTTTCGCATGAGCATACTCTCTACACTGCAGCCTCGTTGCAAGCGCACCTGACGAACGAGCATCACTACTGTGAGTACTGTCGTCAGCACTTTTACAGCGACGACGAACTGTGGGTCCACATGCGCGACAACCACGAACAGTGCCATATTTGCAAGCATCGCAGTGAAGAGGAACGTTGGCGGTACTATAAGGACTATCGCATGCTCGAGCAGCATTTCAAGAAAGAGCACTACTTGTGCCCAGCCCGCGAGTGCCTTGAGAAAAAGTTCGTCGTGTTTGAGAACCAAATGGAGTTCCAAGTGCACCAGGTCCAAGAGCATGGACATACACTCTCGAGCCGGGAAAAACGCGATGCCTTGCGCGTCGATGCAAGTTTCATGTACACTGAGGAACCTTCCTCGTCATCTACACGTCGTCCCGCGAAGAACCGCGAGCGTGGCGCTGCGAATGCCCCGACGTCGTCACGACGTGCGCAATTCGGCAGCACTTTGTCGTCGTCAGGCGCCTCGGCGTCGGCTAACACCGGCGAGAACGATCCTTTCTGGTCGACGGTGCTCACTGTCTTGAACGACTCGACCAACAAGCTGACCGCTTGCAAGGCGGCCCTGCAGTCGTACGCCGCCTCGGAAATGACCGCGCAAGACGTCCTGCAAACTGTCATGAACGTCACAGGCGAGGGGGCTCATTCCTTCGACGTGGGTACCGCCGACTTGGTCCTGCAAAGCATGTCGGAGATTCTACAGAACAACGAAAAGAAAGAGGAGCTGCGTCGGGCGTGGGCCAGCGTCAAAGCCCAGCATACACAGGCCGAGCCTTTCCCTACCCTAGCCGCTGCTCAAAACTCACACTCGGTGCGATCTCTGAAAAGCGCTGCGTCCGGCAATGCCCGCGTGTGGGACAATGTAGCTCGCGCTGCGTCGTCCAAAGCACCTGCGCGCACACCTGACCAATTCCCGTCCTTACGCGCTGCGTCTTCGCGTGTTCCTGGCTCAGCGGCGCACAGTGCGGGGTCCTTGCAACGTGTTCGCGCGAATGCTGGGCACTCGTCCTGGGGCGCTGCGGCGCCTCCACCTTCGTCGTCAAACGCGTTCCCGGCGCTCGGCACACCTGCGCCTTCGTCTACGCCGCGCCCTGCTAGTGTGCGTGTGGGCGGCGCAAGTGCCAGCGGGAAGAGCGCTGCGTTGTCCTCCAACCACTTCCCGAGCTTGCCGACCTCGTCGGCGCATGCTGAGCGACAAGCGCAAAAACGCGAATTGTTCGGTACACCACGCACGGCCAACCCCCTTGTGCCCACTGCACCGGCCTCGCGCTGGGGCGCCTCTTCCTCCTCCGCATCCACCTCGCTGTCCGCCGAGGCCTTCCCATCGCTGCAGTCCATGTCGGGGGCCTTGCCCAGAGACGATCCGGTGGCTTCGGCGGCGGCTGCTACACCGACTTCCGGCAAGCAGCGACGACGCAAAGGTGTGCTGTTGTCTTCGGTAGGCTCGATGCATCATGTATAGACATAGCTTGTCACGTCCTTTCGTCGGCCTGCGTTGTGGGTTCATAGGCATCCCTCTGCCCCACGACCGATGTATCTGTGTCCGTCTCCATGTCCGCTGCATGAGTCGGTGGCATACCAGCTTGCACCATGAGCTCCGAAAACTGGCCCCATAGCGCGGAAATCGAGTCAAAGCCTTTCCCCACCGAGATCTGCTCTTCCAATTTGCGATTCACGGCATTGCTATTCGCAATGATCACTTCTAAGCTCTGTGGGTAAGTCATGCGTATACAAACACTCGTAATGTCTGCCATCAAACGCTCACGTTCGCGTTCGTAGAAACTGCCGTCCAAGTCCTGGGTGTAAGTACGGCCTCGACCTACATTCGCGCCCGCGACCATGATGAGGGTAGGAAATGGCCGGTCTCTTCCTCGGCGCGTACGCGTCGCGATGGTCTCTCACGTGATACAAAAGCACTGGGCCGCACAGATCTTCCTATCGTGTGGAACTGTCTACGAAGACGTGGCCGGGGGCGGCGTAAATAGCTATACGGTTAGCATATAAGCCACGTACGCGATTGCGGAATTCGTCTGGTTTCTCATTCGCGAGCATGCGTCGAGGCACGGCCATGCGATCGTAGCTGGATGGCATCGTGCTCTGTGCCGCGTCGTCCTTTTTCTGCATGGTAATCAACTGCATGTTAGTGTCGCATGCCACGTACGCGACGGCCCCATCGGCCAAAGTCTTGCAGACTGTGCGCGACCAGCACAAAGTGTTTATGCTCCGGGATCGTAGTCTCTACGTCGTCCTCCGTCATGGTCGGCAGCCAGAACACCAGGCGGCCGCCTGGCCTGAGCAATGCGCTGGCATATGCCAGCAAATCGGCGATTAGCTCCGAGAGGTGGTACGGCTTGGTCGGCGGGATATAGTCAGGCAGGCTAGCGGGTGAGTCCGGGAGCCGTGTTGCACGTACGTATGAGCAGCGCGGCCATCGGCCATAATGAACGGCTCGTCACGCTGGTGTTCGATATTCCTTCGGCCTTGTCGTTTGGCGCCTGCACGTACGCCATAGGGAGCTGGTATGGTTAGATCACAAATACGTACGATCTGTCACAATCGCATCAAACAGGCCTACCTCACCACGGAAGGGCACACGCCACGGCGACTGCGTCATATCAAATACGGCTGTATCGACCACGCGCCCCCGCAATCCATACTGCTGGGCACTGCGTGTAATACCCGACGGGCCTTGCCGATCTTTGCCGCGCAGCATACGCCCATCGATATCGCTGCCGAACGTAAAGGCGCCCAGCATAGAGCACGCATAGAGCATCGAGCCCGTCCCTGCAAACGGATCGTAAATAAACTGGCCGGGACCAGCCAGGGCCATCGTCGCCATAATCACACTCATTTCGCTCTCCATACTGGTATTCCCGATGTAGGTACGCTTTTTCAGGTCGAGCGCATCGATCAAGTCTCGCGCAGGCATCGCGCCCGTTCGATCCTTGATCTTGCGGCCCAAAAAGAGCTGGACGAGACGTGGATCACGATCGCCCAACTCGGCATGGCCACGCGCTTCTACGTCTTGTGGGTCGGTAGGCCGGCGGTACTCTTCCAAGACGCCCCACGTCACGTCAGAGCCTCGCATCTGTGTGGGCCCCTTAAAGTCCATGTACGAAAACGACTCGATCAAGGCAATACGTCGCTTGCTGCCCATGGCCACGTTGAATCCTTGCATCAGGGCCTTCCATGTGTACTGCGGCGCGAGCCATGGCTCATACGCCCGCCGTGCCTGATTTCGTGCATGCAAGTCGACATACGTATCCGCACAGGCCCACAGCTCCCAAATGCCACGGAGACACGAGCATCTACGTAGCATCTGGCGCGCTGCCTCGTCGTCCTCTAACCTACACAGCATAAACGGACGTGAGACATCGCCGAGTAGGCCGTCTGGGCACTCGCGCGATGGCGTAGGCAGCAATTCATGACGCAAGCCCAGGTACTCTGCACTCGCCACGATCTCTGGGATCCGGAAATCAGTATGAGAGTGCGCGCAGTGCAGGACGTACACGCGTCCCCATGGCGCGTCCTTCTCGCGCAGTGCCGTCATGACGGAGCCAGGCGAAGAAAAAGCCTGGTTATTCTCTCCACATGTGGAGTTCGCGCGCACATCCATGAGGGGATGGTGCCGTAGGCGCATGCGGGCGGCGTGGGCCTTGTGCCGTGGGCCGTGCCATGTCGTGGCCCGCTGGGTCAGTACTTCGACGTCGTCCTACCCTCTTCAGCAGCTGCAGCGGATGCAGTCTCTCATTTCGCAATGTGGCCAAGCGCCTACCTCCGATGCCAAGCAACAAGTTTTACGACAGTTTCATGATATGGAGCCCCTCTTGCATACGTACGTACGATGTTTGTTGCTCATCCTAGGCTGTATATCCAAGCGCGTCCCTTCCATATGACCTCTGAGTCACTACTCAAGTACCTAACGAACCCTGCACGGCCCTTGTTACCTCCTACGAGCGCGATACCCCCGTCGATCGAGGCATTGCTGGATACCCTAGCTCGCGGCGAGGTACGTGGCCATGCAGCCAAGCAATTGGTGCATACGTTTCTGGATCGCCATGGCATTGCTATTTGTACCTCAGTGCCAGACCCTCTTTCGACCTTTGATGTGTTCCTGCGATGCCTGGATCGGCGACTTCGTATGGGCGTATCCGCGTCCACACTACGTCGTGTATGGACCACCGAGGATCGGTCGAGTACAGCTCTTCTACAAGCGTTGGATACTGACCAGCGTGTCTCGTGGCCACTGCCTATCGCGCTGGCGCAGACATGGACCGGTCCTGGCCTCCCACCTACGTCGACGCACTGGTACGCCAGCCGCAAGCACGACGGCGTACGTTGCTTGGCGTTGGTCCGCCTCACGCACGGTGTCGTGACGCATGTGGACTTGGTATCTCGTACTGGCCGTGTCCTTACTACCCTGTCTGCGGTGGCCACATCGCTGCAACAAGATCTGCAACAGGCCGGTGTGGCGGCCTGGGGCGAGGAACGTGCGTTCGTCCTGGATGGAGAGCTTTGTGCGTTGGACGATGCAGGGCAGGAAAGCTTTGTGTTAGCCGCCTCGCAAGTCCAGCGGCCCACCGAGCTTGCTACGCTGGTCTACTACCCCTTTGATCTGCTACCGCTGGAGGCATGGCTGGCGTGGCGGACCTCGCCTACGCCGCCATTTGCTGAGCGGTACGCGCGCCTTCAACAGATGCTCGAGGCTGTGTCAAAAGCCTGTCCAACGACATGCCTTCGGCGCTTGCCACACGTGCGTCTTACGTCGGAGGGCGATTGGACCTCGATCCAACACCGCGCGGCGGTGGAGGGCTGGGAAGGCCTTATGTTGCGAGACGACGTGCCGTTTCAAGGCCGACGTACGCCGTCGCTGCGCAAAGTGCGGCGGCGTGAAGAGGCCGAGTTTGTGGTGGAAGACATTGACGTGACTACGATGCGGCTCCCTGTCGACGGCACGTACGCGGACCGCGTAGCACTAGCTAGTAGGTACTACGACCACTCACGACGCAGGCATTCTGATTTCGCACCATGGCCGACGTGTGCATGTCGGTTCTGGGTTCCGCGTGGCGCAGCGTTTGTACTATGCGGCACACCCTGACGACATTGTAGGGCACACCGTGACGGTATCATGTACGTTCGCTTGCACTTACACCAGACTTTGAAGAGGCGGCCAACCTGGATGGCGCGTTGCCAAGCTTGCGGTTCCCTGTCGTAAAGTATGTCTACGACCGCGGCGCACGCCCCTTTTAACCGAGATCGCCGCTCATCCACGCAAACACGATAAACCCACACGCGTACGGCGTCAGCAAACGACTTCGAAGCCACTGCCATCGGGAAGGCCGCGGGGCCGCCGAGGCTGTGAGCATCGGGGTAGGAGGCGTCCACAACGTACGTCCGCGCCACGTAGGCGAGGCGACCAGCGCCGCGTGACGGACAGGTGGCGCGGTGCCCCACGGCCGCGGCGCGGAGGCCTTGCAGAGAGCGGGGTGTGTAAAGGGACGTACGAGGTAGGTATGCACAAACAAACGCATAGGCGACGTGAGCAGCGTCGGCGGTGCTGTCATGCGGGCAAACCGCATCAATTTGCGGACGGTCGTTTGGCCCCACCAGCCGTGCGACGGGGTCCGACGACGCAAGGTGGTGGCGCGCGACCAGGGCGTCTGAGTCCAGGTATACAGCCAACGAGGGATACGTCGTCGCTGGGTCCGCAAATGACGGTGCGCTTGTATGTAGCTAATACGCGGTACCGGCTGACGTACACGCACCGCCCGAACATTGTGAATCGCGGCCAATTTGCGGTGCGGTGCGATGTGCGCGACATGGCGCTGTGTCGTATCGGCCGCGGGGGCATGCGGTTTGGTTTGGGGGACATAGAGTCGATGCCATAGCACGACACGGACGTACTCAATGGGCCTGCAAACCCAGCTGTAGAGCAAAGCGCCCACAGCGCCGCCTGTCACGAGCAAGAGTGCGGCGACCATGCGGCCGCCGACTGTCCGACTTGCGCCAAAGCTCTGGTCCAACGGGCCTTGCTGGGCATCGATCGGTACGTTACGACGACGAGCCCAGTGCCATACTTGGTCGGCGTACAGGGAGGCACGGAAGGCGACTCGTCGGGCCCACTCAAACGTCACAAAGAAGCACGAAAACCCGGCGGCATCGCGAACGAGGGACAGCAGCAAACTGACGCCATGCTTTCGTCGCGCGAGCAGGCGCAGATCCCGAGGTAGGTACCGGAAGATCGTCGAGGTTTTCGGCTCAATGGAGCGGCCAGCGCGCTCCATGCGTTTCAGGACGAGGCGGTACCAACGCTCTGGCAAGAATGGCAGGAAGGCTGCCTCGACCATCGCCGACCAAGCGTGGAATGGCGATTTGGGCAGCGTGGCCAGCAGGCTTTTGCGTGTCGCATCCTGCACGAGCCATGGCTGAATGACGAGGCGCACATTGTCGAGTGGCGCGGAAATAATGCACTGTGCCGCCCCCGCCGCCGCGCCTGCGACGGCGACCGTCCATGTGGGCTTGAACATATCACTGGTATGCGAAACAGGTGTGCACGCCTTCTCGGTCAGGGTATACGTCTGGAACAAGGTGAATCCAATCGCAAGATTCGCCACTGCGTGTTAGCTTCTATGCGTACGTACGCATGGGCGGCGCAATGAGCGCTAGCAACACTGCGGGCTTTTCTTGGCGAACGAGGCGGCGAAGGAAGGGGACACCGAGTTTCTTGCCTTCTCGACGCGCGAGCATATCCAGCAGCGAAAGGGAAGAGACTGCGTCATCAGTGGCCTTCGCAATACGTACAGTGCATAGGGCGAAACAAACGGACAGGCCGCTGGAAGAGCACGGCCAACGAACTGACCAACACACGCACCGCCGCGCCGGCCGCCGACTCTCGCCGGCTCACACCGGTCTGCGTGTTCGCATGGCCTTCGCTCTCGTCGTCGTCCTCGTCGTCCGTAGCCCAAGGCCACCAGTTCACCAGCGCATGCGCCCCGAGACTCAGTGGATCGCTCTCGGACGCCGGCATCGCGCGAAGCGAACGTGCGTTCCCTGTGGAGGGGCGCGGATGGGGCGCGCACGCGCGCGGGCGCCAGGGTCTGTCTACAAATATGGCTTGGGTCCTTGGCTACTTATCGCCAGCTGGCCGATACCAACTTGGCGAGGGTCTGTAGAGCTTGGTGCTTGACATTCGGATCGGGATGCTCGATCAGCTCCATAATCGCTGTCTTGGCGCCAAGCGAGGTGACGCGACGACGGCCGCCTTCCGTGTGCTGCACAAACTTGTCCAAGTCCGAGCACGCAGCAGCGAGTGTATCGGGCGTCGAGCTCTTGGACGACAGCAGCGAAATGAGCTGCTTCAGGTCCTTGTTATCGTTCTCTGTCATCTTCTCGGCATTCTCTTTCCAGAACTCTTCCAGCTGGTGCGCCGGGTTATCAAAGCTCAGGTGGCCACTGTACAGCTCCGAGACGTACTGATCGTAGGAGCTCATCTGCTCCATACGGTGGCTGAGCACCGACTTGACGTACTCCAAGTCGTCCTGCAGCTCCGTGTCTGGGTACCGACGCTCCTGCAATGTGTCACACAACGGCAGCACCTTGGCGCCGAGCAGTCGCGTCGCATTCGCTTCCTTCGACGCACTCAGCATGTTACGCCAAATCGAGACGATCAGGCGCACAATCTTGTGCTTCAGCGCTAGCTGGGCCACATGCACCAACACCGTCGCCACACCAAAGTACGTATCAATGTCCTTCGCCGCTGCCTCGTCAAACGTTAGTACCCACAAGCCAAAGAGAGCCAAGTAGTGCAGTTGCGGCACACCCGTGTTGCCACTCGCACGGCCGGACGAGTTTGTCCCACTCGCCCCCGAGCCCTTGAACGACAGGCCCAGCACCGCGACCAGCTGGCCCACGAGCGTCGTATCGTCGTTTGCCTGCTTCTCCTCGACGTCCTTCGCCCAGATCGCCGAGCGGAAACGCGGCGTGCGCAGCAGCTCGCCCGCCAGGCACAGCGCAATCGGTGCCACATTGCCCTTCGCGCCGTCCGACGGCGCCTCGGTGCTGTTCAAGCTCGACAGCGCTCGGTGGATGTACGCCAGCAGCGACTCGAGTGCGGCGTGCGGCGGCGTGCTGTCCGACGACTCGGCGTGCGCACAGAGGCACAGCGTAAGGAACTGGGCGGCTTTGATCGAGACAAAGGCATCGTCCATCTTCATGAGCTTGGTCAGCGCCGCATACGGCTCGGCCTGCACGAACCAGGCCAAGTGCTCCGGCGCGGCTTGGACGAGGTCGTCGGTGAGGAGCAGCACCGCCTGAATCGTATCTGTGCGATTCAGCTTGTCCAGCAGCTGCATATACAAGCCCGCATAGGTCGAGCCCTTCTCCTTGATGGGCGCCATCTCGCCCTTTTTGCCTGCCTGCTCTGCGTCGCGCAACAGCGGCACTTGGTCTGCGGAGATGAGCTGGGCCCGTTGATAGCCCTCCCACGCCGTCTGCTTCCCACGAAGATGTTCTGTCATCTCCTTGAGCCAGACATTCGACAAAGGAAGCAACGGCGATGTGGAAAACACCACACCTGGTCCGTCACTCTGTGTGTCTTCTCCCATTGTCGGTCGTGCACGAACGGAGCCCGTGACGCAACCCGCGCGGTGGGCTGGGCCTCGCCTGCCTGGCCCCGCCGCCGCGGTGGGCGCACGTGGGCGCACGTGGAGAAAAGACGATCGTCTGCCTGGCTTCGTGGTCGACCTCTTTTCTGTTCAGTGCCTCACGATGCTCTTGCGTGGTGCTGGTGCGCCGTTCATGGCGCCTGTGCCGCGAATGAACCGCATGGACCGCTTGCTCTGTGCTACGTTCATGTCCAGTGCTATGGCTGCGATGACTCCCACACCCTCCACGCGCGCCGCCGCTACGCCGTTGCAGTCGGCGCTGCTCGTGACACGCGCTCCTGTTTTGCAGGCCTCGCCGTCCAAGTTCGAGCAGGAGTACTACCGCTTCAATGTAGCGCTCTCTAACAAGCTGCAGCAGCCGTTCCCACGTGATATGTACTTCAAGAAAGGCTCCGCGGCGGAATCGCGCTTCGATGCGTACTACGCCCAGCTGCAGTCGACGTGGGATATCACGACAGAGTCCAAGACTCGTGCTGAGCTCGAGAACAAGTCGATGAGCACCGGCAGCGAATCGGATGCCGAGCTCTACGCGACGCTCCCACGCACAACGGAGGCAGATGCCCAGAACGACCAACAGAGCTTGGAACGTGCCTTGGATCAGACATTGTACCTTGTCGTCAAGATGCCCGCAGGTGACAAGAGCGAAGGACCGACATGGCGCTTGCCGACCAAGGCGCTGCCGACGTCGCGCTCTGCGTCCGACTCGCTGCATGACACCGCGACGGAGGCCGTCGAGGACGCCCTGGGGTCCGAGATGGATATCTGGCTAGTGAGCAAGCTGCCTATCGCTGTGATCCCTGCCTCCCAGCGCGCCAAGACATACATTCTCAAAGCCCATATCCTCGCTGGGGAGCCTGTGCCCGCCAACGGCGTGGAGTATGCATGGCTCACTCGAGATGAGCTTGCGCAGCGTTGGAGCGATGATCCCAACGCACAAAAGTACTGGGCTGTGGTCCAAGACCTGCTCGATGCCTAAATAGGTTCATACCATGTACCCTTCTTCGCCCCCTCGTCTCTTTACTGCCGCCTTGCGGCTCTGGCGGCAGGCGGCTCGGTGGGTGGCCTCCACATGCAGGGCCTTCCCCAAGACGGCCTGCGCGCGAGCGCCAGAGCGCCAGCCAGCCTGCGAGGGGTCACGAGCCCGTGGAGTGTGCTCCACTTGCTTGCTTGCCTGCCGCCATGTCGACGACCCCCGTGGACTCGAGTGAACCGCCGTCCCAACCGCCTGACGTGGTGGCAGTCACGGTGTCAGAGGGTGTGCCAGCCGCTGGGACGAGCCAAGGCGAGAGCAACGGGATGAATCCTGCGACCCGGCGTGTCGACCGACGCCTCGCGAAGCTTAAAAATCATCATTTGCATGCCTTGCATGCCATTCGTCACTTTTTACGCACCCACAGCAGCTACGATGTACTTCCTGTATCCTTTCGACTTGTGGTCCTAGACATTAAGCTGTCGGTCAAGTCTGCGCTGGATGTCATGTTTCAATCTGGCGTAGTGTCTGCGCCGCTATGGCGCTCGACCATCGACGAAGACGACGCCGACCATACCTCCTCGCCGCCCATTCGCCCTGGGTTTGCGGGTATGATCACTGTCAACGATATTATCCATTTGATTCAGTACTACTACCAGACGGCCGTGAACTACGACTCGGTGACTCTGGACGTCGAGACGCTGCGCCTCGAGCGTTTGCGCGAGATTGAGCAGGCGCTCCATGTACCCCCACCGCCGCTGCTATGGATCGCACCCCTTCGATCCCTAGCTGAGGCTGGAGAGTTGCTGGTGCGTACACACGCGCGGCGTATCCCGCTCCTTCAATACGACGAAGATCTAAAGATCTTTACAGTGCTGAGTGTATTGACACAGTACCGCCTGCTCAAGTTTATCGCGATGAATTGCCGCGAAGTCACAGGCTTGAAGGCGACGATCGGCTCGCTGGGCATCGGGACGTATACCTATGCGCACCAACTCGAGCGCCAGAAACGTACGCCCCATGCGCGTTTGCGAATGACGGCGGGCCCCCCACCCAAAGACGCCGGGCCGTACTGGCCAATGCTCACAGCGACACTCGACACGTCGGTGTTTGATGTCGTGCATCTGTTTAGCGAGAACGAAATCAGTGCCGTCCCGATTATCGATGAACAGGGCGACGTGGTGGATATCTACGAGTCGGTGGACGTCATTACTTTGCTGCGCACTGGCGTGTACAGCCAGCTGGACTTGACGATCCGGCAAGCGCTGGACCGGCGGCCTGCCGACTACACGGGCGTCGCCTGCTGTACATCCAACGACTCGCTTGCGAGTGTCTTTGCCGTGCTCAAGCACCGCCGCATGCACCGTATGCTGGTCGTTGAGCCGATGGCCGATGCTGACGAAGAGCGGGCGTTGCCCAAGGCGCCCAATGCTTCGTTCTTGGACGATGCCGACATATCGTTCCCACTGCGACCCAAGTGCAAGTTGGTCGGTATGCTAAGTCTCAGTGATGTGCTGCGGTACATTATCGGCAAGCCTACCGCGCCTGCGCCTACGCCAGGCGAGCCTTCGAGCACGATACCCTCCCCTACGTCTGCGACGCCCGGGACGCCTGTGACGCCTAGGACACCGGAGACCCCGGCATCCTAGACTCTGTAGCTTAGTATGTACAACGTTCTTTTGGCCGCGGTCTGTATCGAGTCCCCGTTGGTTGTCCCACTAAATACGTGTATACGCTGATACGACCACCGCCTTGGATGTCGCTGGCGAAGGCTCTGGCGCTGTCGCGGTGGACGCGGTCGGAGGGCCGACCACGTCGCCTGCGACGGCACGGGGCGCGTACACATCGCCATCCATGACGACCTCGTCAGGCAAGTGGCCTAGGCGGTACACTTCACGCCGCAGCCACCGTGTGACGCGCTCCAAGTGCTGCGGGAAAAGTAGCTCTGCACGGGCAGCACGATCTTCCTCCGTCTCCTGCGACGCGCTCAACATAGGTACCTCCTTGTCCAGAGCCAGATCCGGTGTGCCCTCCAGGTTGGGATCCTCCCCCTTGGACGTGCGGTCAATCTTGGGCAGCTTACGTTTCACGCCGCCAATCACGCCCCAGCCGCCGCCCCACACATTGCGCCAGACCGCCGCCGAGAGACGTACGTCGTCAGTGGCGAGGCCCTCTTCGTATGCTACGACAGAGCCTCGGTGCTGCTGATGCAGATCCTTCATATACCCCTTGACCAGGCGCGACGTCTGCACGCCAAAACGCTCGCGCATACGCGACTCGGTATCGATGAAAAAGTGGTTGATCAGCTCTTGCGCATACGTCTGTGCTTCCTTTGACGGGAGCGCACGGAACCGACTTAAAAGGAGAAACACATGCAAGTTCGTCAACTGGAACCACGTCTGAAACGAGGCTGGAAGTGCACATTCTTTGTACCAGAAATGCGCCTCCGCCTGCGCCCGCATCGCCGCGCGATCGTACAGATCACCTGTGACTTTGATGGCTTTGCTGCGCACAAAGTTGTAGCCCAGCAATCGCCCTGCTCCCTTGACCAGGGCCACCGTAAGCGGGTTGTATTCCACTTTGCGTGGCGGCGGCGTCGGCGGCGAAAGCGGTGCCAAGTTGCGGCGCAACAGCGACTCACGCGGCCGACGCTTATCACCACCTGCTGCACTTGAGTTCATGCGCACGCCAAGCAGCGGCCCTGCTAGGCGACGCACCATGTGCCGTCCTTGGTACAGCGTTAGCGTCATCTGGCAAAGCCTTCGTTCGCTCTTCGACGCGCTGGATCGCTCGCACCGCGCTGCTGCGTGGAGGCTCTCGCTCCCTTCGCACGTGACGCCAGTGGAGGGCCAAGATTTCCAACGTGCGCGCTGCGCTCGTGCCTCTTCTACGAGATGGTGATGGCGCCTCGACGTCAGAGCGTGTTTCGTCCGTGCATTGACTTGCATCATGGCAGTGTCAAGCAGATTGTAGGCGGTTCGCTTCGTGATGCGAAGGATGGCCAGGGCGACGATACAGAGGCGCTGCGTACCAACTTTGTAGCTGAGCATCCACCTTCGTACTATGCGAAGCTCTATGCGCAGCACGACTTGCGTGGTGGGCATGTCATCAAGCTGGGCCCCGGCAACGATGATGCGGCTACAGAGGCACTACAGGCATGGCCGAACAGGCTACATGTTGGCGGTGGCATCACGTCGGAGAATGCTATGACATGGATCGAGCGTGGCGCAGAAAAGGTCGTTGTCACGTCGTACTTATTCCCCGCTTGCCAGTTCTCCCTAGAGCGTTTGCTGGATTTAGAGGCGCGTGTCGGTCGTGAGCGTCTGGTTGTGGACATAAGCTGCCGTCGACGTGGCGATGAGTGGGTCGTGGCGATGAACCGTTGGCAGGATCTCACAGATATGGTTCTATCGAAAGAGTCGCTGGATCTCGTTTCGGCGCATTGCAGGTACGGCACATGCGGTCTGACATATGTAGCGAACTACTCATCCATGCGGCGGATGTAGAAGGTCTGTGCCGTGGCATTGACCAGGATCTCGTGCAGCGTACGTGAAGGTGTTGCTGACAATAGGCTTGGGCGAATGGACGACCATTCCTACGACCTATGCAGGTGGCGCGCGACGTACGTATCGCATGGCTGACGTGGCAGATCTGGAGGATATGAAGTTGGTGGACACACTTTCGCAGGGACGTGTGGATCTCACGTTCGGCAGTGCGCTGGACATTTTCGGAGGTACGGGCGTTACGCTGGCGGAGCTCGTAGCGTGGAACGAGAGCGCACACGCCTTGCGTCTACGTGTTTGATAGCCTTGTAGCATGCCAGGGGCCAGCTAGGCAGGACAGCCTAAGGGCATGGGGGACGAGCCCTATCACGTGAGCAACACACCTGCGCGTGTGCCGCGGTGCGTGGCCTGGTCGACATCCACCGTCCCCCTTTTCCAGCGAGCTTGGGATGGACCCTCTTCACGCCTCTATGGGCGCGACATCGCAGCCCGGCATGTCCTTATCGGACATTCTCCAACAGTCACGCAAGCTGACGAACCAGCTTGGCCGTGACTCGGACTTGCCGTCCATCCAGCTGGGCATTGATCAGATTGAGAGCCAAAGCCGCAAGCTGGTCAGCAAGAGTGTGCGCAGTGGCCATCATCCTTCGGCAGATGCGCGAGCGTACGTATGAAACATGACTTACATAAAAGGCACTACCTCTTAGCAAGTGGCGGTATCGATGCTGCTCAGCTCTCCAATGCCATTCAACATACCAACATTGCGAATACGTTCGAGCCTTTGCAGCCTGTGTACGATACTGACTTGGAAGGGTACATCCGTCATGAGCATGAGCAAGTGATCCTAAGTATGATCGAGGAAGGCCGGCGTAGTGCGCTGGACGATTTCCACACGGGGCTAGGCCGCAGTTTGCATCGCGATTGGCAAGCGCAAAAGCAGCGTATCTTGGATGAGCTCGGGCAGCACCGCGGCTCGGAGGACGCTGCGTCGTCGTCTACAGCGACGCTGCGCCGCTCTGTTTCGCATGTGTCCGGCGCTAGTACCAGTGTGGCGGCGCCGTCCAGTGAGGCGAGCCTTGCTCAGCATAGCCGCATGATTCGCTACGATGCCGTGATTGCGCGTTTGAATCGGGCGCGTTTGGACGGTGAATCACTGCCGCTTATCCATGCCTTCATGGAGACCGTCGAGTCGTTTACGCAGGAGCCGTCGCGGCAGCGTGCGTTGCTGGATGCCTGGACGGCGCTCAAGTATATGGTACATGAAATGCCTTCCGACGCGTCCAGTCGCCCTACGCCTGTGCAGGCGCGCGAATACGCAGCGACCTATTTGGATGTAACACACTTTGAAGGCGCGCAGGGTGTGGCGCTGCGCCAAAAGTGGGTGCGTGGCGCGCGTGCCTACCTGGAGCGGCAGTTTGCCGAGTATATGGAGCAGGTCATTGCCGCCAACCCCGTGCAAGCGCAGCGTGGTGGTGTGCCGACGGTCCGCGCGATGGTCGCGGCGTTTTTGCGTGTGCATTTGCGAACGAAGGAAGGCACATGGCCTGCGGATCTGTCCTCGCCGCTGGATCAAGCGACGCAGGCGCCGTTGTGGGCGATGCTCTTCTTCCTGGTGCGCATTGGCCATGTCCAGGAAGCGTTGGTCTGTGTACAGGAGAACGAGGCGGCTCTCCAGCGCACCGATATGGCGTTCCATGCGCACTTTAAGGCGTGGGCCGATGCGCCCGACCGCCAACTGCCTCGTGGCATGCGCGATCACTGGATGAGCGAATACGTGACGCGCTTCCGGCATACGACGCCCGACGATCCGTACCGCTATGCACTGTACCGCCTGCTTGGGCGCTTTGACATCTCGAAAAAGTTCCCTGCGGCGCTTGTGCAGAGCACGGAGAACTGGCTATGGCTGCAGCTAAGTTTGGTCAGTGAGAAGGACGAGGCCAGGGCTACAGCGACGCAAGCGCCTACGCTGCAGTCGTACACGCTGCAGGATCTTGGGGCGAAGCTGGAAAAGTACGGCGAGGCGCACTTTGATCCGAAGGGCCAGCGGCCATTGCACTACTTCCAGCTGCTGTTGCTCGTCGGCCGCTTTGAGAAGGCTGTGGCGTTCTTGCAGAGCCGCGCTGCGTACGAAGTCGACGCTGTGCATTTTGCCATTGCGTTGGCGTACTATGGCCTGCTTCGCGTGCCGGCCGCAAAGGATGCGTCGCAATTCGACTGCGGTGTGGTTGTGCAGGGCGTGGCGTACGTCGATATGGCACGTATGATCCGGCGGTACACACGCCAGCTGGCGTCGACATCGCGACGCGATGCGTTGGCGTACATGTCTTTGCTATGCCTCAATGCGGACAGCCCTGCGCCGGTGGGCGAGGAGCAGGTACAGCGATGCCATGAGCTGGTCCAATCGCTGCTTCTCGATGCGCCTACGTCGGCGCTGCATGAGCTGCTGGGCGATATGCAGGCGGATGGCATGCCTACGCCGGGCCTGATTGAGCAGCAAAGTGCACTGCTGCACCTGGGCGATCGGCGTGCCTTCCTGCGCTCGATCGTGCATGCGGTGGCCGTGCAGTGCGATCGTGCGCAGCGCGTGACGGAGGCCATTCTTCTGTACAACTATGGCCAGGAGCGCGATACGGTGCTGGGTGTGCTGAGCCGCGAGCTGGGGACGAATCTCATGGAGCCGGCGCAGCTGGCCGATTGGGACGCTACGTTGGCGCCTGGCATGACGCCATCCGCCTCGTCGTCGAGCTTGGTGGTGCTTACGCGTGCGATTCTCGCGAGCTACGAGCAGCAAGGGCACGCCAGTGCGAAGATGGACACGTGCCGGACTCTTCTGCAGCTCAAGCGCGCTGCGACGCTGTACCGCGACGAGCAGTGGGCGCCGGCGCTACAGACGCTCGAGTCGCTCCACCTGCTGCCGCTCGATGCGGAGGCGCGCGCGGATGTCGTGTCGATTACGCGCAAAGCGGAGGCGTTCAAGAGTTACGACGATAACATTACCAAGAACTTTTCGGAGATTGTGTTGATGGCTATGAATGTGTTGTTTAAACTACATGAGGTGCTCCAGAACTCTGTCACCCGTGCCGACTCGACGGTGCTCTTCGAGTACCGCTCTCAAGCTCGTGCACTGATGATGTGGGCCGGTATGCTGCGTTTCCGCATGAGCAATGAGACCTACAGCCAACTTACACGGTTGGACGTATACGTGCGTATGAGGATGCGAAGGCCACTAACACCGCCAGATCCACTAAGTAGCGCACTGTACTTAGGGCGCGCCAGGCGACAGCTTGGTGGTCGATAGTTGCGTCTGCAGAACGTGGGTCGCCATATCCCCGCCCCCCTTCCAGCCAGGCGGCACCACGCCGCTGTGACTGCCTGGGCTGCCAGACAGCGGCGAGGAGGCGCCAGAGCCAATGGGCTTCAGCGCATCCTCCGCGTCCAATTCATCGCGCGTAGGCACGTGCACGCCGCCCGCCTCGGCGGCGCGGCGCTGCTGCTCGAGCACAATATCAATCTCGCCCTGCGTAATGATGCCTTGGAGCCACTCATGCGAGAGCATGTCTTGCGCCGTCGCCCGCTCCGCCGGGTTCAGACGGAGCATCGGGAGAAGGAAGTTGGAGAGCTCTTCGGCGTGCTCGGGTGTAAGCAGGTACTTTTCCTTCAGCACATTCACGAGCGGCCAGTACCGTAGCTTGTGGATATGACGTGGCTCGCCCTTGCGGTTGAAGATCTCGGCACTATACCGCCCTGTAAACGCAATGCTCTTGGGAAAGTCGCCTAATAGCTCAATGATCTGTGCAATGTGATCATCGTCCTTGTTGTACTTGCTGCCAGCCGCCGGATCAAACAGATAGTCGCCAGTAAGCAGCTCAAAGAACATCGCACTGGTACTCCACAAATCCGCCGTCGGACCCCACTTGGCGCCGAGAATCGCCTCCGGGCAGCGATACTGCCGCGTCTGGATATCGTTGGTGAAATGATGGTCGACCCAGCAGGCATTGCCCAGGTCGGCAATTTTGACAGTAATGCGTTCCAGCGTCGAAGGGTCGTACGGCGGCGGCGGCGGCAGCGTCGTGGGATCCCCTGCCGCAGGCGCAGGACGCAGCGGATCAGGCGACGTGCTCACCGGCGGCGAGAGACCCGTCGAGGTGCTCGAGAACGACTTGGCCATATCCAACGGCAACGTCTCGTCACGGCCTTGCGCCGTGCGCGCCTGCTGCGACAGCAGCGAGGGGCCAGGCCCACCACGCGGCACACCCACAGGCATCTTGCTGCCAAACGGCGCACCGGGCGCGCCCGTCTCTGACGACGACGCCGTCATCGTAGGCGTCCCGTACGAACTAGTTGCCGTCACAGGGCTCATCAACGGCGACTCAAACTGATTCGACTTGTCGCCGATCTTCGACATGGCGAACGCAAGCTTGTCCAGCATCGGACTTGAGCCGAGACTGCTGCTGGGACTCGGCAACGGGCGCGAGCCTGTAATAAACACCGACTCACGACGAGGCGTTTGCGTGCCACCGCGGCCCTGGCTGGGCGGCACACCCACCAGCTTGGTCGGCACGGCCTTGGGATTGGTTCGTAGTTCAGCTTCAACTACTTTCTCGACATCATCAATGCAAATGAGCACATTTTCCGGCTTCAAATCCGTATGGATAATCCCACACGACCGATGCATATAGTCCAGACCAAGTAGCACTTGTTTCGCGATCTGCTTGACAATGTGGACAGGCACACCGCGGTGTTGGTATCGCTTAATTAGACCGAGCAAGTTCTCGCCCAGTACCTCAAACACCATGCATACATGGGAGCCGTTGGGGCCATTGTGTCGAAAGTGGTCGAGCAGGGACACGCAGTGTCGTCGGCCAGGATGGTCGTGGTCCGCCGAGACCAGGCGCTGAAGCAGCTTGATCTCGTCCTGGGCCGTTTCTGTGTAGTGCGGTGCCGACTTGACCACTTTGAGCGCGACGTGGCGATTCGCCACTCGGTCCTTTGCAAGCCACACCGTCGAAAAGTGGCCCCAGCCCAGTTTCCGCACAATCACGTACCGTCCATTGGAGAAGATATCACCGACATTCACGGGGTGGTACCCACCACGACAGTAGTCCTCTTCATCCTCCTCGTCCTCGGTCAGCACTGAGCCAACCTCGTCGTCCGGCGAATCAAGCCCCCGCGCAATAATGTCGCCATCGCTCACATGCACGGTAGGCTCCTCCGTCGGCGTCGCAGGCCCTGACGGTGTGGCGCCCATAGCAATGGGAATCGTTTGCACTGATGTACGAGAGCCAGCAGGTGTCGTCGACGCGTCCGACACGTCGGACGAAGGCGTCGTGCTGCCTGCCTGCGTCGTGGCATTCGTTCGTGATACACTCGCTTGCGGATTCGAACTGGTCTTCGGCCAAAATAGTCGAGTAAATCTACAAGGGCCATGTTAGCACCGTATCAGTACGTATACATACGAAGAACCCTCCTTTGGAGGGGTAGACGTCGTCCCCATAGCGATCGCTATCGCTAGGTTGGTGGTAGTGCAACGGCCGTGCAAGGTCGCACAGATGCCCGATCGTATCCGGTCTGAATAAACCTGCTGGTGATAACGCACCGCGAACCACAAAGGTCCGTTCTGATTGGCTTATTCATCCCTCGTAAGCCTACCATACTCACGCGATAGGCAAGGCCTGCATGACATCGTATCGAGAGGGGCCTAGGTCCACTTCATGTCATTGGCATCAGTCATGGCGAGCCAGTCTACGATCACCTCGATGGCCCCGACCCGCTGGGATGCCAAAGTGATCGGCCGTCAGCGGCTGCAGCGCCAGCTGTAGGTAGCCATCCCAGCGCTCGCTAACCTGCAGGGCCTGCCTCCAAGCGCCTCATCGATGCCCAGAAGGCGTGTACCTACGCCCTGATGCTCAGGATGCCTTTCGTACGTCGCTGACCGTCCTACTTACCTGCAGGTTTCCATGGCGTCGTATTTGTTCGCACAGGCAGCTATGCACCAGGGGTATTTCGCTTTAGTATCCAGTTCACGATGGTCGATGAGCAGCTGGCCTTGCCTACCGTTTTCTTCCCGCCGATCCTTATGCACCCCATTGTGGAAGTACGTATCACTCTCGACCCTTCTCACGCCCATGTAGCCAGCTACAGGCCGACTCAATTTACTTCCCTATCTTGCTACCACGTCTGACAAGCCTGGCGCTGCGGATCCTGATCACCCTCACTTTGTCCAGCATCTCTTGACATTCTTGCACGACTGCTTTCAGCCGGCCTTGTTGGCCGAGCTGCAGCAGCAATGGGTTCTTAACGACCGCATGTTTCAGTACGTTGGTGGATCTTTGCTCACCACAGCCTCTTCTCGGCGGACCCCTCGCTTTTCGATCGGCTCGCGAAGCAGTCCGCGACGCTCTCCACATCGCCGCTAGCCCTGTACGATACGCAGTCGGGCAGCGGCGTGCCTGGCGACATGGATGTCACGGTCGCATCCTCCGAAGACCAACCTCGTCTTGACTCTGTTATGCCCTTTGAGCCTCTGCGTCCCTCGGACGTGGCACGTATCCGCGATAGCCTTGTATTGTAACTTGCTTGTATTCTACTAGGACTTGGGTCCCTCCACACAAATGCGCCACGCCCGTCCAGTTTTTTTTCGACGTGGTCTCCATGGCGCCTACCGACCCATCTACGCGGCGTCCTAAGCGGAAGCGTTCCCGCAAGGCACGTACCGCCATCTCGTCTTCCGAAGAGAGTGCGTCTGAGGCAGAGAAGCCTACCGTAATTCAGCCTGCGTCTGTGCACAGTGACAGTGCCTCGGATGACGACGACTACGACGACGCTGCGCCTTCGACCATGGAAGCCGAGAGCGACTTTGACCAAGAATACCCAGATACAGCTGCGCTAGATATACACGATGACGAGGGCGTTGACGACGCGTTGCAGCCGCCGTCCTTGTTGCTACCACGCAGCGGTCCGACCGACGTGTCCACGCCATCCAAAACGATGATGCATGCACGCCTGACTTCCATGACCGATGCGCAGATCTCGCAAGAACTGACTGAGAAGCAACGTGATGCATTCCATGCCCTGTATATGCAGGCGCTCACGGACGAGTTCGGGGATGAGCTGGACGAGATTCGTCAGGTACGTTGCTACTTTCTCACACACAGAACGACCCCTTGCTGGGCGAGGACACGAATACGAGTCAAGCGACGGCACGCATGCCGTTGCTAATTGACGCCTTGTCGTTTGGCACAGAGGTGTTTACGAGCGGCCGCGATGCCTCTGCTGGCGGCTTGGATCAAGTAGCATTGGCGTTACCGTCCTAAGATCTATGTACTCTTCTACGATTCTATTTCACATGTATTACACGGAAAAGTCAGTACGCGTATAGTGGGTCTTCTTTGTAGCCGCATCGTCTGCAAAGAACAGGACCTCGCCAGGGGCGAACGGGCGAACCAAGCTGGCGGGCAGGCCGAGGTGCGGCTCGTCCAGCACCTTGGCAAGCATATCCTGCTTGTTCTCGCCGGACAAAACAAAGGCACAGTGGTGGGCGTGGTTCAGAACCGAGTAGGTGAACGTGATACGACGAGGCGGCGGCTTGGGCGAGTCCTCAATGGACGCGATCCAGCGGTCCTGCTCGTGCAGCAGCTCATGGTCCGGAAACAAGCTGCATGTGTGGCCGTCCGGGCCCATACCCAAAAGAATCAGGTCGAACACGGGGTTGCGCACTGTGTCCTTACCGACAAAGGCCTGCACCAACTTCTTCTCGTACTCGTCCGCCACTTCGTCTGCATCGTCCAAGAGCGTGTCGTCAATAGCATACACTTGGTCGCGCGGGAGCTGCGGCACCTTTGAAAAGAGCTCATCCTCTGCCAGCTTGAAGTTGGAGTCGGCGTGGCTCAGCGGGACCAAGCGCTCATCCGCAAAGAATACGTGCCTGGCGTAAGAAAGATAGGCATACATACCACTTGTCCCACCGCACCGCGTTGTCTGTACGGTTCACGAGGTACTTTGCCAGCATCTTTGGCAGTGAGCCACCCGATAACGCAATGAAAAACTTGTCGCGACGCCCAATGGCAGCGTCTTGAGCCTGCAGAGTTAGATGGCATGAGCCCACGTACCTTGATCACAAAGTCAGCCAGGCGCTGGCTCAGCTCATCGCTCGTCGGGAACGAGTACAGAACCGGGGCTGCCTTTTCGTGCTTTAAGACTTGCTGATCAGTCACCATGGGACAATACGGAAGGTGGTAGACAGACTCACGATCGCGCGATCTCACGCACGCACTTCAGGGCGGTGGGCGCTGCCGCCGCCCCGACGGTCCACTCCGCTTGTCGGCCGTAGCCACGTGCGAGCGACCACTGTTTCTTGGCTTGGTCCCTTGATGCTGCTGCTGGCGTTAGCACGGTCTCGTGGCTCCCTTGCGCATGGATGGCCCAGCGCAGGACGGTTGTGGGCCCTTCGTACCGCGTCGTTACGTACAGGGACGGTCGCCTTCGCCGATCCACGAACGGTGCGTCTCTCTACGGCGTACCAAGGCCGTACGTCCGTGGCGCAGATCCTGAATGACGCATGCTCCAACGAGGCCGGCGCCTACGTCGTTGCGCGTGATGACCAGGGTCGGCCTGTATCGCTTGGTGCGACGTTAGAGCAGCTGCCGTCTACATTGACGTTCTTGCCGTTCGAGTCAGACGACAAGTTGGCGCAGCATACGTTCTGGCTCTCCTCTGCCTACGTCTTGGTCGCCGCGCTGCAGCAGGTATGTGGTACTACCGCTTGTGCTGCGCCAAGCGTAACAGAGAGCGTAGGTACGTTGGCCGATGGCACATCCGGGTTCGCTGTGGAATGTCTGCGCTGTGAATCGTTGGCACCTGTGCCTTGCAGCGCCGATCTCGTCGAGGCACGTCGGCATGTCCAAGAGGCGCTGACGCGTCTCGTGGATCACACTCGTACGCATGGACCGCCCAAGCTTTCGTCGGAAGAGATGAGTGCCGTTGAGCAATGCATGAAGCAGCTGTGCACGAAATCGCGCGAATTGCGTGTCGAGACCATGGCATGGCCGGACGCGTTCCAGCGCTTGGCGCACCATCCCTTTGCCCTTCGTACGGTGGTGGAACGCGCCGAGCAAGGTCAGGCGGTGGATGTCGTCTACGTAGGCGAGACTGCTGTCGGTGTCCTGCCGAAGGACGCTACGCTCTTGCGTCGTACCAAACCGATCAAGGCCATCAAGCTGCTGGGCTGGTCGACGGCCTCGCTGCCTGCCTACCTGGCCAAAGACGCTACCCAGCCCCTCCTTCGCTTGCGTGGCATTGCATTCCCGTCCTCGTCCGAGCTGCAGCAGTACACAGCACGCGTCGCGGAGTCGGAAAAGTCGGATCATCGCTTCATCGGGACGCAGCAAAGTCTGTTTTTCGCACATGACTCGTCACCGGGCAGTCCGTTTGTGATGCCGCATGGTATGCGACTGCAGCGGCGTGTCGAGCGCGTAATTCGGGATTTGTACGATGCGTTTGGGTACGAAGAAGTGCAATCGCCGCAACTGTACCGCAGCGCATTGTGGAAGCAGAGTGGGCATTGGGACAAGTACCGCGACGACATGTTTAGTGCGCAAGGGTTTGCGTGCTGCGATGCGCACGACGACGTGTTTGGGCTCAAGCCTATGAACTGTCCAGGCCACTGTGTCATGTTTGCGCATCAGCCGCGCTCGTACCGCGAACTGCCGATGCGACTGGCCGAGTTCAGCCCGCTGCATCGCAATGAGGCGTCGGGTGCGTTGACAGGCCTCACACGCGTTCGGCGCTTCCATCAGGACGATGCGCATGTGTTTTGCACAGCGAGTCAGGTCGGGCAGGAGATCCACTCGATGCTGCATATGCTATCGCTGGCGTACCGCGTCTTTGGCTTTGGCGACCGATTTGAATTGGTATTGTCGACGCGCCCAGAAAACTACTTGGGCCAGATCGATGTATGGGAGCATGCAGAGGCTAGCTTGAAGCAGGCCTTGGATGCGACAGGCAAGCCATGGTCGCTCAACGAGGGCGATGGCGCCTTTTACGGCCCCAAAATTGATATCCGACTGGTGGATGCGATGGGCCGCAAGCACCAAACAGCGACGATCCAGCTGGATTTCCAGCTGCCGGAGCGATTCCAGCTCGAGTATGCCCAGGCAGCCAACGAGCCGACCAACGTGCAAATCCGGCCAGGGTATGCACGCCCGGTGATGATTCACCGTGCGATTCTAGGCAGTTTCGAGCGATTCATGGCCATTCTCATCGAGCAGTGCAAAGGTTGGTGGCCCTTCTGGTTGAATCCTCGTCAGGCTGTGGTGATCCCTGCCTTTAGCGGCGATGCTGCTATGCACGATTCGGTCGTGGCTTACGCGCAGCACGTCCAGCATGTCCTTGCTGGCTCGCCCTTCGACGCTCACGAAGCACGCAACCCCTTCTTGTCGGCGCGCATGGCGCATCACACGTTGGAAGTGCCCCCGCGAGCGCGTTTCCATGTAGAGTTGCCGCCTCACTACCTGTCTCCGACCGGCGATACCCTCGGCAAAAAGGTGCGGCACTCGCAACTAAGCCGCTACAACTTCCTGCTGATTGTCGGCCCCCACGAAGCACAGACGGGCACGGTCAACGTGCGTCTGCGGGACGAAAAGGCGGCGCCCGCGTGGCATGCAGGCTCAGACGCCGCGGAAACGACGCCGTGCAAGGTGCAAGATATGATCGGGGCCGTGGTACGTGCGACGTTCCCCGACCGCTTCCCGCCAGATACGCCCTTGTCGATCGACTTGGGCGCGTGGACGTTGCCGGACGTGCAGCGTCTGTTTAGAGTCTTGGACGCTTTGCACGTGTAATCGCTACTCAACTATACCAACCCGAGCTCGATGGCAGCGACGTGGAGACGGTGCGTGTGGGTATCATAGGCTCCTGGATATCGTACAACTGCAGTAGATCACGCCAGAGCGGCATATCCAACTCGAAAACAATCTGGCGGCGTGTTAGGCCCGCTTGGCGGTCTTCGTCGGTGGGCTCCTCCGAGAGTACTGTGTAAGTCATAGGGCCACGTACATAGCATGGGATCGCTGTCCTCCTCGTCGATGATCGCCGCTTTGCCATCGCGAATGAGAAAGCTTATATAAAACAGATTCTCCACCGAGTCGGAAAAGCTGTGGGGATTCAAAGCAAAGGGGAAGAGCGGCACCCCGTTCTCCCCTGAACACTCTTCAAGACGCCGCGCAATGGCCAGCACAAGACGCGACGTTTCGTTTTCCGATTCTGTCATATCCTCGCGATCCAACTGGCCATGAGCCACATGCATACATACCTGCTGCGGTGCCACTTGCTCGCCCTCCGGCACCAATCGCGAGGTCCGCGCGACTTTGCGCTGCCTTGGCATCGCCTGCAAGGGGCCCAATCTAAGGTAAGTGCAAAGGTACGTACAAATGCTCCGATACAGGCGCGCGATGCGTATGCCGCGCAGCCAGCCGACCGAGCTTTTCCCAATTCCATTGCTCGACGTCGCCAACGAGGAACTGCGTTTCTTCATCATCGCGATGCGCACGCGACTGCGTATGCGATACATGTCCACCAATATAACGCGCAATGGTATGAAGGTATTCATCCATATCGAATGCGTCAGTCTCGACACGCATTTGCCGAATCATCTCCGCTCCCATATCAGAAAGATTCAGCAAGAACCGCGAATCCAAAAGACCATCTGTCGGCGCTTTCACTGCATTGTGAGGCTGCTGTATACGTACCCTTGTTGTACAGCTCATCGCCTACGCGCACCATATCATTGAGGTCGGACAGGGAGCTTTCCGGCAAATGTCGACGCGTGTCTATGTCAGCACACAAATACGTACTCTGCGCCGTAGCGAGCAACGCACGGTACTCGCGACGAAGCTCACGTTGCTCCCCTACGTCAGGATGTGGATCGTATGTGAACACGGCATGGCCTTCCTGCGTCTCTGGTTCAGGCATGGGGACGCAGCGACGCGTCGTCGGCCTCGTCGTTGACACGCGCCGTCGTACACGTCCTCTGCCTGCTGGCCACGTGACAATGGGCCTGGCGCACGAGCCAGGTATAATACAAGGTCGGTCTACGAGGAGTATGGAAGAAAAACGCTTAGCGGTGGATCAAGCGCGATACCATCTCACGCTCACGCAGGCACTTGTTGGCATACTCAACCTTGCCAGGTTGCTTGGCATAATACGCGACCATTTTCTCAAGAATTGCGGCCACTTTGATCGGCTGCGCTTGCGGGAATCTAAAGGTCAGTCATACTCCATACATACTTTTGGTTACGTGCCAACGGCGACAATGCAAATTCCGACACGGACTCGGACAGAATCACACCTAGCGTCTGACGAATCTGCCCAAAAACACCATCAATGCCTTCCACCTGGAGCGACTTGGCATACTGGTACAAAAACGTAACATCCATATCGAGATTCGTGAGACCGGCCAAACTGACCATCTTCAAGTCCCGGTCCAGAAGCGCCGAGTTGAGAAGGCGGTTGGTCACATGCATGAAGCACGACGAGAACGTAGCCTCCTTGGCGTCCTTCGGCAATAGAACCAGGGCGCTGTCCATCATGGTAGATAGCCAATCGACCAAGTCACGCAAGTAGCCCGACGCTTGGTGCTGTGCTCCTTGTCGCGGCTGCAATGGCGTCCAGTCGTACTCCAGCAAGTCCAAGAATTGATCCAGCTTGACAAACAATGCTGTATCGATGCGCTTCTGAGCAATTTCCATCGTCGTGGCCAAGTGATGCGACGCATCGAGCGCCAGTCGGCTACCTGGATTGGGTTTCCGCGAATCGCTGAGCCATGCTTCCAATTCCTTGCAGGCCAATTGAAAGTGCTCAATGTTGACGATAATTTGCGCAATTTGACTGAGGTTGTGCGATTGCTCCACAGTCTCGCGAATGTTTACACTAATTTGCTGCACCAGAAGCTCGTCCAGCGACTGCGTTAAAATGCTGTCAATATCCCGCATACGTTGCGAAGCTCCGCCCGAAAAGTTGTAGTACTGCTCCACCAAGCTGCGGATATCCATACAGCACAAGGGATATGTTTGTGAAAAGGGCAGCGACAGAGGGAACGGCTGCTTTTGCAATTGCTCGGCTTCGCCAGGTTTGAGCCAACAAACGCTGAGTACTTTGGCCAGCTCGCCTTCGTTGTTGACGATCATCGGCAGGTGCTGTGCTTCGCGGATTGCCTGCTGGAAATCGGCCGCGAATCGTTCCCGCAAAAGCTGCGCAAACCGACGGAACAACATAAGCACCAAACCATTTAATCGCGTCACGGAAAGTTCCATGCTTTCCAGAGTGCGAATAAAGGTCTGAAGGGCTGCCTTGGTCTCAATATAGGCCTTGGTGTCCTTGCAATCGCGCAAGCCCAACGTTACCATATCCACAATTCGTTCACACATGGTCTCCCATACATCTTCCACTTCGGCAATGGGACGGAAACCAGGTGGGGAGGTGTGCGCTACATGTCGCTCCACCACAAAGTAGCCGACAACCGCCTCTAGCAGCGCCATGAGCTCCTGCGTACCACTCTCCATTTTCAGGTCACGAGAGAGAAGAAGACTAGCTTGGGCTTTTCGATCTTCCTGGTAGTTCATTTGCAGCTGCTCACGTTGATCCAGCACTTCATAAATGTGGATACATTGGTACAGAGGCTTAAAGTCCACTTTCACTTTCTCGTTATCGAGGAAATTGACCTCAATTCGCTCGTTCACAAGCTGTTCAATCGGACTGTTGATAGAAGACATACGAAGCATAGGGTCTTTCTGGCTACGATGCCGCCAGCGCTGTTGCCGCGCTTCCATTGTCTCCAGAGCGATGCGGCCAACAGCCCCACTCTTCTCACGCACGTCAAACATCCAGCCTGTCAGCTCCTTGGTCACCTCGGCACGAATCCGTTCACGAATATCTGGTATATTGTCTCGCACGAGTTGCGCAAGCTCATGGTGCATGAGCGGTTTCAAGTGTGTATTCATGATATCGTCCAAGCGGCGAAGAGCAGAGTAGTACTTCTTTTGCGAGATCAGGTTCTCGACCAACACCGTCATCTCCAGCACCTGCTGGAATTCTTGCAAGAGATCAATGGCCTCGTCCACGTTCTGCGCTGTACGCTGTTTATCGATCAAGTCCTTTTTCTTGGAGAAGAGCGCTTGACCGCTGCTTTGAACCTCTTGATTCAGTTCATTAATACGTGTCTTTAAATTCACCGTGCCCGACCGTACAATTAGTAACTCGTCCACAGCTGACACAAAGTCTTGGTGGTTCTCGTTGCACACCTGCTCGATCTCTTCATCCTTCTTCTTGACAAGCTCGCGGAGTTGGAACAAAAACTCGTCCTGTTGGTGTGATTCGTCAAGACTTTTGATAATGGGGCCCAGCTGCTCAAAATTTTCTGTCGATTCCACATCGCTGAACAGTGTCAGCTGCTGGATCTGTGCCTCCAAAGAGACGTGAGGCGCTCGTGCCTTGCGCACCACCATGCTCGTTGACAGGGAGAGCCTGCGAATGTGGCCCCGCCGCGTCCGACACTCGTGCGTAATCACGTGGCATGTGGAGACGCCATGCACTTCGTGACGACCGACCATGTCGGCGGACGCGTCGCCAGTCGATGCAGACGCTAGACTGTACGCCTATGAAGACGAAGACTATGTGCCGTATGTACCACTGAAAAAACGGCGACAGGAAACCAAAGACCGGCTGCATCTGCGTGCGCGCGGGGTGCTTCCCCATGACGATCCCAGGGACGCCTCGGCGTCTCCACCACGTCGCGCGCCTACGCTAATGGAAGAGGCACGGAAGTTGCAGGAAGAACAAATGCAACATACGCGAAAAACCGATGCGGAGATTTTAGCCGAGGAAGAAGCGCGGATCTTGGAAGCACACACGACCCGTAAGAAATTGCGAAGCCATGCAGAGCTCGCACATGGCATTCAGTATACAGAGCCCATTCGACGGTCCTGGCGTCCACCAGCATTCGTACGCACGCAGTCGGAGCGTGAACAAGAAAGGGTGCGCAAAAAATATCACATTCGCGTCGAAGGCGTGCATGTTCCGCCTATTATTACGAATTTCAGAGTACGTCTTGCTTCGCGACTGACCCCAGGATATGAAAGTGCCCTCATGTATTATGGCGTATTTGCGTGAGAAACACATCGAAACACCCTCGCCTATTCAAATGCAAGGGCTCCCCGCGGCGTTTAGTGGACGCGATATGATTGGAATTGCGTCTACTGGCAGCGGTAAGACATTGACATTTAGTTTGCCATTGCTTCTTTTCGCCGTGGAAGCCGAGCACCGTCTCGCATATACGGGCGACGATGGCCCTGTAGGGCTGATTGTGTGTCCCTCGCGGGAATTGGCGCGCCAGACATGTGATTCCATTGAGGCTATGGCGACAGTCATGGAGCAAGATGGGTATGCGTCCATCCGCACATTGTTGTGCATTGGCGGCATATCTATGGCGGATCAGGCGCACAAACTACGTCAGGGTATTCACATTGTTGTTGCTACGCCTGGACGCCTCCAAGATATGCTGCAACACAAACGATTTCATCTGGCGAATTGCACGTATTTGTGTCTGGACGAGGCCGATCGAATGATTGATATGGGCTTTGAAGAAGATATGCGCAACATCATGAGCTTTTTTACGCAGCAGCGTCAGACTCTTCTTTTTTCGGCGACCATGCCCAAGAAGATTTTGGATTTTGCGGAGCAGTCGTTGATTCAGCCAGTGGTGGTGCATGTCGGTCGTGCCGGCGCAGCTAGTTTGGATGTGATTCAAGAAGTGGAATACGTCCCGAAAGAAGCGAAAATGATGCACTTGCTGGAAACGTTGCAGAAGACAGCGCCCCCTGTGATTATCTTTAGCGATAACAAGCACGAGGTGGACGATATCTATGAATTTCTGCTGCGAAAGGGCGTAGAAGCGGTGGCCATTCATGGATCCAAGACACAAGACGAACGAGAGTTTGCGATTCAGAGCTTCAAAGAAGGTCGCAAGGATGTGATGGTCGCCAGTGGTGTGGCCAGTAAAGGTCTCGATTTCCAGGCTATCCAGCATGTCATTAATTTCTCCATGCCCAAAGAGATTGAAGACTATGTACATCAAATTGGGCGTACAGGTCGTAGCGGCAAGACAGGTGTGGCCACGACATTTGTCAATACACATATCCCTGAACAGACACTTTTGGACCTCAAGTACTTGTTGATGGAAGCCAAGCAATCAATCCCCTCGTTCTTGGCATCGCTGCAGGATCCACGCGCTGATCATGGTACGACACGCATTAGTTGTGCCGTATGTGGCGGTTTGGGCCACAGCGTAACGCAATGTCCCAAGCTCGAAGACCATCAACGTCGTCATGCAGCGCAGTTCACGCGCGGGGATGGCGATAGTGGCTTTTAATATGTAGCTGAGGTCCCCACATACATAGATACCCTGGGCTTTCGCCCACCTTACATGCGAGTATCAGGAATATTCTGACTGAGCCATTGCAGACCAGCTGCCAGGCCCTCACCACTAGTAGCGCAACTGGGGTGCACATACCAGGGCCGATCTTGGAGCATGTTCAGTCCAAGGTGATCTGTCAATTCCGATGGCGACATGGCTGCTGTGTGAGTGACGGCCTACGTACCTCCAGCCAAATCCTGCTTGTTGGCAAACACGAGGAGGACACAATGACGCATTTCCCGGTCAGATAAGATACGATGAAGCTCTTCACGCGCTTCAGGCATCCGCCCACGGTCACGACTGTCGACCACGTAAATGAGGCCTTGTGTTCCGGTATAATAGTGACGCCAAAGCGGACGAATCTTGTCTTGACCACCCACATCCTGCATGTAAGAAGAAATGTACTTACCCAAACATTGAATTTGACGTTTCGGAATCGGATCGTTTCCACATTGAAGCCCACAGTCGGTAGTGTCTTGACACTCTGCCGCAGCTTCAGCTTGTATAGGATCGCTGTCATTAGTGCATGTGTATGCTACGTACTGGTCTTGCCAGCGTTGTCTAGACCCAGCATAAGCACACGCATCTCGCGTGTGCCAAACAGCTTGCCCTTCAACCGCGAGAAATAGGCTCCCATACCTGGTGTGTCACGAGCAATCGAGGCGCTTGCGAAGCCAAACCATGTCATGCACGCAGCAGGCCCAAGCCAACACCCCACGCGTCGTCTCACGTGATACCATCGCGTCGTGTGGAGAGATGACGCTTGGCTGGGTGGCAGGCGTCACGACGAACGTGCTCAGCGACGCCGTCCGCTATCGGCGACGATGTCTGCCTCGGCACCGCTCACGTTACGGGCACGATGCCGTGTTACCAACCTAGGGCTGGGCGAGATTTTGTTTGTCGGTCAAACGTCTTTCGCTGCTGGCACATGGGTCGGCGTGTACCTGGACGAGCCACGCGGGAAGAACGATGGGAGTGTTCAAGGCAAGCGCTACTTTAGCTGCGAGCCCTACTATGGCGTCTTTGTACGGCCCAGCCAAGTTCATATGATGGACGAGGACGGGATGCTTGAGCCGTCCGCAGCTGTGAGCACGCCGCGGTCCGCCGCCCCCCTCCAGACGCCGGTGCGTTCGACACAGCGTAGTGCATTGTCGACACCTAGATCTATGCACACGACCGATCGACGGTCCCCTGTACGATCAGCACCACGAATGAGCTTGATGCATGCACAAGCACGACTCGGTACGAAACCTACATCCACAACACCTGTACGAACGCCGCCAGCGGCCAAGACGCTTCCGGAGGCGACGTGGGCGTCGATGAAGAAGAAAAATCCGTCCCCGGAGCCTGTGTTACCACAACATACCCCATCGCCGGAGCCAGATTTATCCACAAGCCTCTTGCCTACGATGCCTGTCTGTCCTCCTACGCCACAGCGTACAAAAGCGTCAGAGCCTGTGGCGCCCCCAGCGAGCCAGAAGGCACAAGATACCCAACGTGAGCAAGCCCTGGAGGCGCGCGTGCAAGAGCTGACAGAGGCATTGGAGAGTGCACAAACTCGGATATCGACGTTGGAGTCTGATAGCACGACCAAAACCGACCTCACAACGGCCCTTGAGGCGGCGAAGGCACAGGTGGCTGAGCTGCAACAAGCCAAAGAGGAGGGACAAACACGTATGGAGGAGCTCACAGAAGCCCTGGAAATGGCCACACTTGATCGAGAGATGGCCGAAGAGCGTACAGAATCGCTGCAGCACGAACTGCAAAGCGTACAAGCCACGCTGACTTCCCTCCAAGAAGAGAAGGAAGCGCAGCAAGCAGCGGATCGTGCGCAGATTCCAGACGAAGAGCTGTCTCTCCTCGAGCAAAATGAGCGTCTGAAAGAGGCGCTATTGCGGCTGCGCGATGCCACTCAAGAAACGGAAGCGGCGCAACGCCGTGAACTTGCTTCACTTCGCGCTGATTTGGCCGCGCATGAAACGTTGGTTAGTGAGCATGCATCTTTGCAAGAGCAGTGGCAGCGGTCGGAGGTGCTTATTCAAGAGCTACGTATGCAAGCGGAGATGGCGAGTGGCGCCGAAGACATGCTGGAGACGCTTACGGAGCGGAATATGGCCTTGGAAGAACGTGTGGAACAGTTGACCGATGACATCCAGGAATTGGAGACGTTGCGGGATGTGCACGAAGAGTTGGAAGCGACGCACCTCGAAACGGAATCACAACTTCAACAGACGCTCCAAGAGCGAGAAGATCGGATTGCGCAGTTGATGGACGAGCGACAAGGGATGGAAGCGTCCATATCGTCGCATAATTCGACGCTGGAGCAATTCCGTGCGCTGGTCGCCGAGCTGGCGCGGGATCGTGATGAATGGCGAGCCAAGTGCCATGCTCCTGTGGCCCAAGCGCCGGCCATGCCTGTGAGTATGCCGACGCCCAGCGCGCCGACATTGGTACCGTCGATGCGGCAGCTTGAGCAAGCGCAGCTCACGCAGCATGTAGCCTTCTTGCGGGCCTACGTCCCTGCATCGGTGGCCGACGAGGCCGAGCGTTCGTTTTTGGGTGTGTTGGCATACGAGCGCCTCGCGCGGTATGCGGACTTGGCCTCCCATGCCATGGCCTATGATATCCCGGCTCTGGTCGTCGAGCGGGCCTTGGAGGAGTCGGTCCTTCGACGGTGCCAAGCACGCGAGCGTGTGGCCTCGGTAGGCGCGCGGGCTTTGTACATTGCGGCTGTGCTGCGTACAGCGCCTGTGGACACGTTCCTAGCACACGCGACAGACCAGGCTCTTCTTATGCCCCAGATCCAAGCATGGGACAAGGCGCTGCAGGGCTGGGATGACGACGATACTACGCTGCCGATTGAGGACACACGTACGATGTTGGACCAGATCATCACGTCGCTCCCATCGGTCACGTCGGTACGCATCGACGCTGCACAGATGCTTGCGCAGGCGTGGCATACGAGTGCTACGGCCGATACGCTTCTGGCGCATGCGGGGTATGCCCAGCAGCATACGTCGACTACGTCTGTGCGCGAATGCGTCGCTGTCGCCACGCGCATTCGAACCGCATGCTGGCGCTGGTACCGCCGTGTATCGCGCCTCTTTGACGAACATGCGATGCTGCTATGGCCAGAAGATCTGGCTACGAGTGTATCGACAATGGCTTCCCGCTTGCATGACGAGCTCGCTACCTTTTCGCCCACGCGCGTCGATGCGTCCAGGTCCGCGCTGGCCACGCTGCGTACGTTGGCCGATGATGTGGAGGCCCTTGTGTCCTACGCGCATCGCGCTGAGGCTGTGCAGGCCTGGGACGCCGCGCCTGAGGGCCCATGGACCGCGCATGCAACGGTGACGCTCGCTGCGTACGTGGAAACGGCCATGGAGGCCGAGAAAGCGAGCTGGGAAGCGGCGATGACGAGCTTGCGTGAGACGGCGCATGCGCAGGCCGCGCAAGCGGACGCTGCCGGTATCAAGTTGGAGCGTTTGTATGTGCAACTTGCGCAGGCGCAAACGCAGGCCGCGCAGGCCGCGGATTGGCATCAGCAAGTGGAGACCTTGCAAGCGCAACTCGCTTCGACGACCCCGACGACGGCTATGCCTTCGTCGGACAAGCACGCCACGCCGCCGTCTGTCCCGACCGAGTACGGCGAGGATACCCTCGCGTTAAAGCAAGCGCTGCAAGCTGTGCAGACAGAAAACTGCCGCCTAAAAGCCTCCCACTGGCTTGCGCCTCTTGCGCATTTGCCGCCGTTGCCCCATGCACGTCGGAGTGTGGCCCACGTGGCCGCTCAGGCTTCGCCCATGTATAGACCGCCCGGGCTCGCTGTGTCGATGCCTCGCGTGATTGAGTTGTAGAAGTATGTCCGATACGATATTTTTTATAAACGGCTATTCCACTCGAGCTCCTGCAAACGATGCTTGCCTTCGTCGCTGCCGTACAACGTTGAGATCTGCGCCTCCAGACTCGCACCAAATACGGCCTGCAATGCTTCCTGGATCGTGCGTACAAACACCACATCAATGTTACGACGAACGGCGGCTGGCACATCGGCCTCCCATTCTCGCTGGTTGCGCATCGGCAGTATGATTTTGTGAATGCCGGCGCGGTGCGCGCCGAGGACCTTTTCCTTGATGCCGCCTACAGGCGCAACGTGGCCACGCAATGTCATCTCCCCTGTCATCGCGACGCGCGTATGCAGCGAGACGCGCAAGTACATCGAGACAAGAGCACATACAAACGCCACACCGGCACTGGGGCCATCTTTCGGCGTGGCGCCGGACGGCATATGCAAGTGCACATCGTTGCGAGGAAAGTCGGCCTCACGCGACGCTGTAATGCCCAGCGCAAACGCATGGGCCTTGACCCATGCAAACGCCAATTCAGCCGACTCGCGAATGACATCACCCAGCGAGCCAGTGAGGTGCAAGGCCGCCTTGCCGGGAGGGAGGAACGCACACTCGATATGCAAGATCCCGCCGTTCCCCGAGCCCTGGTAGGCGAGGCCCGTGGCGACGCCCGGCACGCCGACCTCGTCGGCGACCTCTGGTTCGTACGTAGGGTGGCCCAGGTAGTGCTCTAAATCCGCGAGGCGAATGTGTGGATCGAAGGGCGACGTACGGCGGCCCTGCGTCGCCTCGGCATACTCCACGGCCTTCGCACGGACCATATCGCCGATCCGTCGCTCCATCGTACGCACACCCGCCTCACGGGTGTACGACATGGCCACAGTAAGAAGCACGTCTTCGTCGATGATGCATTGCGACGGCTGCAATCCGTTCGCCTCAATCTGCTTCGGCACGAGATGGCGCTGCGCAATGGCGACTTTTTCGTCGTGCGTGTACCCGGCAATCTGCACCGTATCGACGCGATCCAAGAGCGGCTCCGGAATGGTGTCCAAGGAGTTGGCTGTCGCAATAAAGATCACGCGACTCAGGTCCACAGGTACATTCAGGTAGTGATCCTTGAATGTATGATTCTGCTCGGGATCCAGCACTTCCAGCATCGCTGCCGTGGGATCGCCATGCACGCCCATCCCACTACTGAGCTTGTCGAGCTCATCCAAGAGCATCACACAGTCCGAGGCTCGAGCGCGACGAAGAGACGCGACAATGGAGCCTGGCAACGCGCCCACATACGTACGACGGTGCCCGCGGATTTCCGCCTCGTCACGCACACCGCCCAGCGACAGCCGCACAAAGGGGCGCTGCATTGCCGCAGCCAACGAACGAGCAATGGACGTCTTGCCCGTACCTGGAGGACCCACTAGCAACAGAATCGGGCCCTTGTACTGCACACGCGACGACGTATCGCCTGCCTGTGTCGTTTTGAGCTCCCACACGGCGAGGTACTCAAGAATGCGCTTCTTCACCTTGTCCAAGCCATAGTGATCCGCTTCCAGGACTTCTCGCGCCCGCGCAACCAACGGCAACGTGCCATCCACGGACGCTTGCGAGGTTGGCACCAACGGCGCCAACTCATCGTGCGACAAGTCCGCACTCACGCGATCCCACGGCAAGTCCAGCATCGTATCGAGGTAGTTGATCAATACGCCACGTTCCATGCTTTGCGACGGCATGCGCTTCAAACGACGTAGTTCTTGCTCACACACACGACGTGCCTCATCGCTCAGCATTGCTGTGGCCATGCGCTTTTCCAAGGCCTTCACTTCATCGTGGTCGTCGTCATCGTCGTGCATAGGCCCTGCCATATCGTCGTTGTCATCGCCACTGCTGTGCCTTGCTTCGCTACCATTCGGCAAACGGCGTCGAAGGATCGAGGGACCGCCGCTTTTGCGGGGCACCAAAGCTCGCGACGTGGGCGAAGAATCAATCAGCCGCAGGGACAGCCCGGACGGCGCTGCATGGGCCAGCTGCCCCACCATCGCCTCAATTTGGGCGCGGATGAGTGCATTTCGATGCTGCTCTTGAAGTGCATACGGCGTGTTGGCAAGGAGATCACGTAGGATCTGTACACGCTGCATTCCCTCGCGCAACATAGCTACAGTCTGCTCGATGCGCTGCGCAGGGTCGACGAGGGCCAAGTGCGAGACACGGCCATCCCACGTACACGCCCCACCCAACAGACCGATCAGCAGGTCTGCCAGCATGGCAGAGGTCATGGCGTCTGGCGTATCCAGGAGCGCCGTCAGTCGCTTCATGAGACTCGGCGGCAGGAGCGGCACACCCGCCAGCATCGATGGAGTGTGTGACGACAACGTAGGGACCACCTCACTCATAGACGTCATAAGCTGCAAGGCGGCGCCTTTAAGCTCGGCGGTAGCGCTCGATGCATCTTGCGATAGTGGCGTCAAATCGGACGGATCGTGGAAGACCTCGACCTGCGCCACCGGCGCAAGGACCACCGACGTGATCGACGCACTAGCGGGATCAGGCCGTGCTGCGCGTGTGGATGTCACATGCACACGCACAATGCCAGACAAGAGCAGACGACATTGATCCGTCGAAGGCATGTTGATCAAGCGCAGGACACGCGCCGCACAGCCCCACTTTGCGAAGCCAGGCACCGCATCGCGGGTCACAGTGGGCTCCGTGTGGGGTTGCTTTACAGGAAGGCACGCTACAATCATGGGCTTTTGCTTCGCGGAGGCCGACGACGACGATTCGCTGTCCTTGGCCATCGTCCGCTCCCATGCTTGGCGCTCTGTCAGCGCTGTACGCAAGAGGCCCAGGCACTGGGCCTGCGACAACGTCACAGTGAGCACGAGGCCAGGGTGCAAAATAAGTGGGTATGGCAAGCCTAATACGGCCTGCGTAGGTGGGATCCACGCAGGATCAGCAAGAGACATGGTCGTCAGAGGCGAAGGACGGTGCCACCGCCACGTTGATAAGCGGAGATCCTCGCTGGTTCTCCACGTTTCGCTCGCAGGGGCCGCCACCCTCCACATCGGCCGAGGGGTGCAATGCTAGGAAGCCTCTCGCGCTTTCCTCTGAACGTGCATGGATGAGCGGCCGTCGGACGTTGCTGCGTGGAGGCTGGGCCGTCCGTGCCTTTTCATCGATACCATCGCGCACGCCGGTCCGTGTCCGCTTTGCTCCCTCGCCGACAGGGTTCTTGCATGTAGGCGGGCTACGCACGGCGCTTCTCAACCATTTGCTCGCACGGCATACCGGAGGCACATGGGTACTCCGCATTGAAGATACCGATCAATCGCGCTTGGTCCCAGGCGCGACACAAGCTCTCCAAGAGTCTCTCGCATGGGCCGGCTTACACTATGATGAAGGCCCTGATCGTGAAGGCGCCTACGGACCGTACGTGCAATCCCAGCGCCTCGCGCTGTACCGTGCGTACGCCGACCGACTCCTAGCGGAGGGCAAGGCCTACCGCGACTTCCGGCCACCTGTGCCACGCGACATGAACGCACGCACGTCGGCACTCCTTCGCGAAGCGTACCTCCCACCGTCCAACGAAGAGGCACAGGCCCGTTTAGCACGGGGCGAGACGTGTGTCATTCGTCTGCGTATGGATGCTGCGCGCACATATACCTACGAAGATGCCGTGTACGGCACGATGACGTTCAAGCCTGATGTGATGGCAGGCGTGACGGACGACCCCATCATCGTCAAAAGCGATGGATGGCCGACGTACCACCTCGCGAGCGTTGTAGACGATACCGAAATGCGCATTACACATGTGCTGCGTGGCGAAGAATGGATCCCTTCCATGCCCAAGCACTTGGCGCTCTACGAAGCCTTTGAGACGCCGCCACCCGTGTTTGCTCACTTGCCTCTCTTAATCAATGCAGATGGCACAAAGCTCTCGAAACGATCCGGCGACGTACGTGTGGAAGATTACAAGCAGCGTGGATGGGAACCAGAAACGCTCGTCAACCTCGTCGCGTTGACTGGCTACCACCATCGCGATACAACATCGCCAGATCACGACGTGAAGACCATGACACAGCTGGTGGAGCATTTTGACATTACGCACATTGCGCACGCACGCGCCACGTTGCCCCTGGATAAACTGGCCTACCTGAACCGCCATCATATGGCACGCAAAATTGAGGCGGCCACCACAGCCTCCGACGCTGGCGTACGTGACGAGGTAGTGACACGCTTGCGGGCGGCGCTCACACGTGACGTGCCAGACGCGCTGCCGGTATCGGAGGCCTACCTCCTGGAGGCCGCGCGGCTCGGGCAGCAGCGTGTCGATACGCTGGACGCAATTCCCGCCCAGACAGCCTACCTATTCCGCGAACCGGATTGGAGTTCGCCCGCATGCCAGGCCTTCCGGGCCTCTGTCCCTACGCCCACGTTCCGCCACGTCGTGCAAGCCGCATATACCTTCTTTTGTACTACCAAGAGCGCTCGAAACGACTGGGCCACATGGATGAAGGACCAAGTCGCACACCTCCCTGGATCAGGTGGGAAAGCTGCCGTCCAAAAGAGCGTACGTATTGCACTGACAGGGGAACGAGCAGGCCCACCTGTCGCAGAAATTGCCGATGTCCTGGGCCTAGATCGTGCTGCTGAGCGTATGGAGGCCGCTCTTGCATGGGATGAGACACATGCACCATCATGATTGTTTTTGAAGTAGATCGACCATATCACGAAACTACCATGAGTACAATACTCTCACATACCTGTCCGATAATTTCCGCTTCTTTGCGGGCACGGTCCTCAGCGCGCTGCTTGAGTTGGGAGTGACGATCTTCGGCGGAGAGCACTTGAGACTCTTTGCGTGTGCGAACGGCATTCATACGCTCGTGCCGCGAGCCGCTCATGACGAAGCCCGCACGTTCGTACTCTTCGATTTTGGACGCGTCAAGCCCAATTTCACCCCGCCGGGGGATCCGTTTGCCCTCCTGGACAAAGTTGGCCATGGCAGATCCTTCCCCGGGCAGCAAGTGATGGCCATACGACCGAGCCTCCGTGACGGAAGTAAAGGAGAGTGGGAGTGGCCCAATGATTTCGTCGGCCACATTCTCCTTCTTCGGTAACGGAGGTGATCGATGTCTTGGCGACGCAGATCGTGAGGATGTGCGCTCATGAGATCTATGCCGATGCGATCGGTGATGATGTCGATGCCGAGAATGATCAGTGTCACTGGTTCTGGACCGATGAGATCGATCGCGGTGCGATCGGTGGCGGTGGGTATGCTCACGCCGCTCGTCTACGTACGGCTCTGTGGGTGACGATGGCCATATTGTGTAGGAAGCAGCCTCGCGGATCGCATGTCGCTCACGCGCACGCTCCAGCAGGGGATCTGACGTGCTAGGGCCGGCGCTGCGCGTCGTCATGCAAGTGGTCAGTGGATGTGGAGGGATCGCGTCTCGTCTCGCTTCGCTCGGCGCAACGAGATGCACGCCACGTGACAAGAAAGAAGAGACGAAACGAGATGACCGGGCGGAGCGAGGGACCAGCGGCGAACGACACCTTTTGCCACTTTGTCGTGACGACACTTGACATACATCCCCACCTCTTTGCCCGCCATAGTTTGTGCAAAGGGTGCGTTTGATGATATCTCGATCTACCACATCTCGAGCGATTGTTTTTTGCATACACGTACCCACCCTGCCGGCCTAGGTTGCTGTGTGCTATACACTTCTTTTTCTTCTTTCGTGCTACTGTGATCCACTTACGTACGTTTCTATCCACTTACACAGGCAGATTATGACCATTGTCAACATCCGCCGTGACGTCGACGATAAGTTCTACCGTTACCGTATGCCTCTGCTGGAGACCAAGATTGAAGGCAAGGGCAATGGTATCAAGACGGTCATTCCCAATATGTCGGACATTGCGCGTGCGCTGAGCCGACCGCCTTCGTGTACGTTTTCTGCGACTAACTGTAGACCCTACGAAATTCTTTGGTTCTGAATTGGGCGCACAAACGATTCTCGATGAGAAGAACGACCGATACATTGTGAACGGTGCGCATGATGCGACGCGTCTGCGTGAGCTTCTTGATGGGTTTATCGACAAGTTTGTGCTCTGCGGGGAGTGCAAGAACCCTGAGACGGACCTGAAGATCCGTAATGGCGAGATTATCCGTGACTGCAAGGCGTGCGGTAAGCGCACGTATGTCGACATGCGTCACAAGCTGACGACGTTCATTCTGAAAAACCCGCCTCCGAAGCGCGTGAAGGGTGCGAAGGGCGCAGGCGCCGCAAGTGGCCAGACGGTGCAAGCGGATGCCGGCGATGCCGACGAGAATGCGGGTAGTGATGATGAGCTGACGCGCCGCATTAACGCCGAGGCGAAGTCGATTCCCACGGCTGAGCAGCGAGAGAAGGACGTGGACGCCGACGAAGACTGGTCGGTGGACACGTCTGAGGCGGCTGTGGCTGCGCGTGTCAAGGCGCTTGAAGGTGCGATGAATGTGCTGGGCGTGGGTGACGACGATGAGGGGGAGGAGGATGAGTCGAGCCCGTACGCGCAGTTCGGTACATGGATCCTGGAAGAGCGCGAGAAGGGCAAGGCGCCTGGCGCTGCGGATGTGTACCGCAAGGCGCAGGAGCTGGGCATTGAGAAGAAGCACAAGAGCCTGCAGGTGCTCTTCCAGGCGCTCTTTAGCGAGAATGCGCCGGCGGAAGTCGAGCGGTATGCGCCGCTGCTGCTCAAGATGGTCACCTCGGAGAAGCACCAAAAGGCCATGCTGGGTGGTATTGAGCGTTTGGCCGGCTTAGAGCACACTAGCTTGGTCCCGAACGGTGTACCGAAGCTGCTTATGGCGCTGTACCAGATCGATGTGCTGGATGAGGATGTCGTGTCACAGTGGGGTACGCATGTGTCGAAGAAGTACGTCGACAAGGAGACGTCGAAGCGTGTGCGCAAAGCCGCTGCGCCGTTCCTTGAGTGGCTGGAGCAGGCAGAAAGTGATGACGAAGACGACGAGGACGAGGACGAGGACGACGAGGCGGAGGAGGAGACGCAAGACAACGCCACGGCATACCAGGAGGGCGATAGTGACTTGGACGACTTGTAGAAGGCCCCCACGAACGTAGTCTTAGTAAACGCAGGTCACTGAAGGTGGAGGAGGGCCGTGGGCGACGACGCAGGTGGTGAGGGAGCGTCCCCTGGCTCTTGTGTGCGTGGCTGAGCGACGATGGCGACGCCGTTTTCTGCGACGTACTCCCTCCAGCCGCCGCCTGCGTCGGCCGCGATGAGCGCGGCATCCAAAGAAGGGAGTCGGCGCTCGTCGCTGGCACCTACGGCGTCGGTCCCTGATGTGCTGGATCGACCGCGCGATAAAACACGCAGTGTCGACGTCAGCCGCAGTGCGCTGCAGTACCTGTTTGCCGAGATGGTCTCGTATACACAAGGCCGTGTCTCTGGGATCTCTGATTTTGAGCGTTTGCTGAGTACGATGGGCCGTCGTGTCGGTGTGCGTTTCCTTGCGATGACAGCGCATCGTACGCAACTCGCGAGCAACCCCAAGAAGCCGCAGCGTGAGACGCGGCTGCTCAAGACGTTGTTGTGGCTGCAGTCTACGTTTTGGAAAGCTGTGTTTGGGGCTCAGGCCGACAGCCTGGAGCGCAGTACAGAGAGCGATCGCTCTGATGAATGTAGGTGGAACTTGGCACGACTGACAGGAAGATATGATATCGACCAATACGCCCTTGCTCTCGCAAGGCCTCTCTGTCCCGAAAGAGATGGAGCAGCTGAGTGTCGAGGCCTTTACGGCCGGCATCATGGAAGGCGCGCTGGACGCGCTTGGCTTTGTACGTATCCCTCTAGACTTACTCGCAGCCTGCGCGGGTCACAGCGCACTCTGTGCCGACGGAGGCGTATCCGTACCGCACGACGATCCTCATCAAGCTCGATGCCTCTGTGATGGAGCGCGAGGCGGCCCTGGGCGGGCCATAGGTCTCGTAGGTAGGAATACACAGGAGGGCTCTATGGCACTACGTGTCGTCCTGGTAGTACGCACGGAACGTGGGCTCCTGACGCAGGACCGGCAATTGCTCCATGACTTGGTATACATGCATAAACAGCGCGGGAAATCGGTGCGTGAAATAGTGTAGGAACCCTTCGGGCATAAGGCTGAGCTGCTTGCGAAGCGCGAGCGGCAGGTCTTGCGCATGGTGTTTCTTGTTGCGGATCACACGCAGCAAATCCTGCACACTGGATGCATTGTAGGTCCTAAACTTCCCGAGATCGTCCAGGAAGGCCTTGTCAAAGCGCGTCCGCCAATCGGTCCCGACAATCTCCACGGCCTGACGCTCCAGCAGTTCCAAGGCCGGCGCAGGCGGATCGCGTTCCAACGACTCGAATCGATCACTCACATCCTGCAAGAACGCCAGGCGTTTCTGCGCGGCCCAGAAAAACGGATGCCGCGCTACTTCGTCGGCGGTCGGCCGTGCGGACGGCGTAGGCGCGATCATGCGCTGCAGCAACGCAGTAGCTTCCACGGTATCTTCGCCCAGCGACGCCAAGGCGGAGAGGTCGGCATCCTGCTGCACAATGTGCATTTCGCGCTCGTACTGCGCGCCAAACGGATGACCGCCATGCGTCAGCATATAGAACGCGACGCAGCCAAGGGAGAAAATATCAACGGCACGCGACACACGCGATGCATCCTTCCATGGCCGCAACAGCTCAGGCGCACGCCAGCCGACAGTGCCTGCGGCATGCGTCGACTGCGTCAGTGTGCTGGGCGCCATGCCGTCGATACGCTTGGAAATGCCAAAGTCGGAGAGCAGGAAACGCAGTTTCTGCTGCGACGTAAGCGTCACCAGAATGTTGCCTGGCTTGATATCGCGATGCACAATCGAGAGAGAGTGAAGATGCTGCAGCCCCGCCGTCACTTGCCGGAACGCCTGGCGTGGCTCGAACAGCGGCGCCAACGTAGGGTGATCCATGGGCCGCTCAATCAAGTCGGCTAGGCTGGCCGGACACTCTTCCAGTGCGATAAAGAGGAAATGCGGCGTAAGTTCCTGGCAGTAGTACCGAATCACGTTGGGGTGGTTGTCGGCACTCTGCAAAAGCGACACTTCCTTCGAGGCCATCTGCACAAAGTCACGCAGGAGTCGCTTCACGGCCACGGCACGCCCTTGGAACGTCCCACGAAACACGACCGTGCCGGACGAGCCGTAGCCAAGCACGTCGTCGGAGATCTGCAGCGACGTAGGCAGCGCGTCCGTCTCCACGGCCGGCACACTGCTGGCCTCCGGCGTAGCCTCACTGGACGACGCGTCACGACGCGCCTGCCTCGCTTGTACCGCAGCGCCAGCGCGCTTCCCACGCCGCCGCCGCTTGCGTTTGGTCCCGTCGGCGTCAGGCAACGGCTCTGTACGTCCCTCATCGTCATCCAGGCCATCAGCACTGGTGTCGGCCAGGGCTGGCGCTGGCACAGCAGCCGGCGCTGCTGGGGACGCTGACACGATCGACGCTCGGCTCGTCGTCTCGGCCCCAATCTCGTTCTCGTCCTGCCACACATCCGTGGAGTCAAACGACAGCGTGTCCCATGCAATACGAGGCGGCTTGGCATCGCGCCAGATCAGGTAGGCACCTCGTACAATCAGGGCCAGAAGGCATCCGAACCCTAGAAGCTGCGCGGTTAGGCGCCGCGTAAGCCATGTGTCCGATGCAGGCGCGGCACTCAGTTGCGGAATCGGCCTGGGCGCGCCAAGTTGGGGTATCGAAGAAGAAGGTGGTATCGTGGCGGGCACTTGGTAGCTCCCCGTCCAGGCACGCAAGAGGTTCGTTGGCGAGCCAGTGGTAGGTAAATGCGTGAGCTCGTTGCCCTCCTGAAGAACGGATGCGATGGAGGCCATGTCGACCAGCGGGACATGCTCGTGGCCCAAGGCGTACAAGCTGCCATCAGGCGCTAAGCCCACGTACGTAGCCATGTCAGACGTGGGGCGGCGGTGCGCCTGCTCCAGTAGCGCAGGGAGCGCCCCGGTACGGTGCGGTACCAGCACAGGCCGAAGAAGCGGAGCATGCAAAGACGTCGTCGTAGGCGGTGCAAACACCACATCAAACACATCCAACGCGGGCGACGACAGGTCGCGCGTCCATACCACGGGCGGTAAGCCTTGCGCCGACGCACGGCGGCTAGACGAGAGATGATGCACGTCGTAGCATAGCACCGTCGCATTCTCAGGCGATACCAGCACAGCCCGTGCATCTACAGGCTGCGACGTCTGCTCCCAGAGCTGGACGATATCGCGGTCCGCCATGTTAGGACCAAAGACACGGTACCGCAACGTCTGTGCAGCGTCTGGGGCGCCGCGTGTATGCACACGCAGCGTATAGTCCGTTCGGCCCATATAGACCCATGGCGACTCAAGCGCATCGTCGTCCAGCGGCATATCGGCACTCGCGCCATGGTCGGTGTACACAAACGCACTCGCCGACGTATCGGGCGCAGCAGGATTGGCTTGCGGGTACGCATCGCGATCGCGGCTATGATATGTCGCGCGTATTTTACCGGTAAACACGTTGAGCTCGACCAACGACGTATGCTTGTCAGCCACAAAGATGCGCGTATCGTCGGTACTCAGCGAAAAGGGGCTCATAGATACGAGCTGCGGTAGCGAGAACGGCAATTTCTCCAAGTGGGGTTTCGAGGCACCGATCGGTACACGCAGCAGGTACAAATCACCGCCGGACGATGGCTCGACGATGTACAAACCCTCGCCCTGCAATAGGCGGACCAACGTAGGGTCGCCTTGAGTCATAGCATCGTGAGCTAGCTGCGCCATCGTACGTGTACCAATCGTCGAGGAGACAATGGGGTACCCTTCGTCAGACTGTGCATCACTACGCAGCGACCACAATGTATGCCCTGACGTGCGATCCAGGCCATGCAAGCTGCCGTCCAGGGTCGTCAGCACCAGGACATTCGACAACTCCAAATCATGCAACACAATGGGATCCGTTGGAAGGACCGCATAAGGAAAGCGTGTATCCACGTCAGCTCGTGCAATCTCGCGCGAGCTTGCATAGACCAGGGGCACTGCGCACACGACCAACAGGCACAGCACCCCCAGCCGCCGTGCCCAGGCACCAAGACGCGCCATCGCGGTGGGTGGACAACGTAGCCACGTGGCTGGTCGGCCACGTAAGCCCCGCGCCCGCACACGACGACTAGAGCCCATCGAAACGACACGCGTGGGTACGACGTTCGCTTCGCTCCTGAACCATGGCTACGATCGTCGAAGATGCTATGCCTGCGACACTGCAGAGCATCCTGGACCAAAAGTCGCTCAAGTGGGTGTTCTGCGGTGGTAAGGGCGGTGTAGGCAAGACCACCACGTCGTGTGCGTTGGCCATCCAGCTGGCCAAGGTGCGCGAAAGTGTGCTGCTGATTTCGACCGATCCCGCACACAACTTGTCTGATGCCTTTGGCCAGAAATTCGGTAAGGAGGCTGTCAAGGTCAACGGCTTCGACAACCTCAGCGCGATGGAAATTGATCCGACGAGCAGCATGCAGGAAATGATCGAGCAGTGTACGTATGCGTCCTTCCATTCACGCCTCAGCTGAGCAGCAGGGCGGCGGTGCTCTTGCGCCCTTCATGCAGGACTTGGCGTTCGCCATTCCCGGTGTCGATGAGGCGATGGGCTTCGCAGAAATCATGAAGCTAGTCAAGTCGATGGAGTACAGTGTCGTGGTGTTTGACACGGCGCCCACCGGCCACACTCTGCGTTTCCTGAGCTTCCCTAGCGTCCTGGAAAAGGCGCTCGCGAAGTTCAGTACGTTTGGACGCAGCCTCGGCCCGATGTTCCAGCAGATGCAGAGCATGATGGGCGGCGGCGGCGGCTCGCAGGACGATATGTTTGCTAAGCTCGAAGGCATGCGCCAGGTGATCACCGAGGTCAATTCGCAGTTCAAGGACGAGACGAAGACGACATTCGTGTGTGTGTGCATTGCCGAATTCCTGTCGCTCTACGAGACGGAGCGCCTGATCCAGGAGCTTACCCAGTACGGCATCGATACACATGCGATTGTATGCAATCAGCTGCTGTACCCGCCGGCCAACTCGAACTGTGAGCACTGCCGCGTTCGTAAGGCCATGCAGGACAAGTACGTGAACGAGATGATGGATTTGTATGCGGAAGACTTTAATGTCGTCAAGGTGCCGCTGTTGACAGAAGAAGTTCGTGGCCCCGAAAAACTCACGGCCCTATCGGTATGTACAAAGAACACCACTGACACGCCCAGGACTACCTGGTCCACCCGTACCAGCCGCCCAAGTAGATATACAACGATAGCCAACTACTTACTCAAATGCCTTTGTGCACATACGGATCAAACAATGTCGCTCTGTCGCATGTAAGTGAGGATGGAAACGTACTGTGGCTGGACCACGACACTTCGGCCGTTGCTGCGCACGGTCTGCCGATCCACGTCGCGAGGCAGGGATTTGCGCATATCTGCGGCTGTCAGCACGTTTCATGGACCTACCATATCCGTCCTCCGTAGGTTGCGTGCCAGCACCGCGGTAGTAGCGGTGGACGCGGCGGTATACGGAATACCCGCGCTTTTCATACATATGGATGGCCTTTTCGTTCGAGGGGCGGACAAACAGATCGACAAAGAAGCCCTGGTATACTTGCTCAGACACCTGCTCGAAAAAGTCCATGAGCATCTGCGCCACGCCCAGCCGTCGGTACTCAGGCGCGACCGTGACAGCTGTGACGTGGCCATGCAACGTAATCTCTTCGCGCTTCTTCCGCGGCTCACGTCCTTCCGCCTTGCCTAGGACGTAGCCCATAATGGTATCGGTATGCGCAGCGCACGCTGTCAACGTCATGTCAGGCCATTGTGCGAGGTAACCAAGGTAGAAACCATTGCTATACGTTTCGGTCCAGTGATCCATGTTCACATTGTTGAACACAAAAAGATCCCGCGCACGAAACGGCCGCACCGTTGTCATGGTGGAGGAGGCGCGTAGTACCCACGAAGGAGGCTGCAGGACTTTTTCCTCGAAAAAGGGCCCAATCGAGCAATGTGGGGGCTTCCTAGCTGACGCCAAGGCTCGCTTGGCAGGCAGGCAGGCAAGCAGGCAGCCCCTGACCCCCGGCCGAGGCCCGCGCGCGTCGCTCGTTCCTCCACACACCTGCACCATGGCCGCGGCGCATCGGCGTTTGGGTCGGATCGTTGCGATCCATGCACGATATGCGACCCAGGACAGGGACACAGCTTGCGTCGTTGTGCTACGACGTAAGAATGAGCCGCCCTTTTTTGTGACATCGCCACAGACGGGACCTAGCGGCGTATGGGGCGAGTATACCAGTGTACCTATCCACCCGGAGGAGGCGTTTGCGCCTTGGCTGTGCCAAGAGGGCGGGCTGGACACACGGCGTGTGCTGGTATCGTTATGGCAGGAAACCATGCCCCCCCACAGCGACGAAGGGGCGAGTCGGGCGTGGTCGTGTGTTTGGGAACGCACCCTGGATCTCCGGCGCGCTACGTCTGTGGACGCGGAGACGTTCTCGAGCGACGGGGCTGAGCCTCGTGTCTACCTAGCTGTGCGGACGGACGAGGATAGGTACGAGTACCTGCCTGTGTCGACACCGCTTTCGGAGGCGACACCTATGTCGGACTCGGACGCTGGGCGGCGCAGCTATACCTGGGCGGAACTGCAATCGTATGTACGCTTGATTCTCACCCACAGCCTTGTGCACCTGCAAGCCGAGCTGCATAGTGCTACATGCGAGCGCGTACGACTTCTAGATCGATGCGCTCCTGCGCTCCAAGATTCTGAGGGACTCGTCCGGAAACGCACCAAACTGGAGTGGCGGCAGGATTTGCAAGGGTTACGAGCCCAGCAACGTGACCGAATGCGTGCCATCGCCTCTTGTACGTACCGCGCGACTGACCTTCAGTACGAGACACTCTGCATGCACGGCACGAAGCGCTACGACAACGGCAACAGCGCCTGGACGAGGCACAAGCGCTTCTTCAGCGGCTGCGCGATGCGCACGATCAAGGACAACAACACACACGCGACCTCCGTGAGACACATACCCACATTCAGCAGCGCCTGGCGGAGCGACGAGCTGAGCTTCTTCGTGAGCTGGAAGTTATCTACCCTATCCAGCTGGTGGATGCGCGCGATCTGCTGTACTCCATTGTAGGCCTGCCGTTGCCCAATGGCGTCGCTACCACGACACGGCATGCCTCGTCGCTTGTATACAAGACACATTTGGACGAATATGCCACAGCCCTATCCATGGTGGTCCAGCTTGTGCTGCTTCTCAGCACGTATCTACATACCCATATACCCTACCCCCTCACGGCGTACGGCAGCCGCGCTGTGGCTCGTGATGGCATTAGTATTATGAGCGGCCCACGCGCGTACGTATACTTTGTTCTCACATTCCAGGTTCGTTCTCCATGGCCATGGCACAGAGCCGTATCGCTACGAATACGCCGTGTTTCTCCTCAACAAGGACATTGAGCAGCTCATGAACCAACACGGCGTGCCTGTCCTCGACCTGCGAAACACGCTGCCGAACGTCAAGAACCTCCTCGTGACATTGTCTGCGGGGTATTCAGCCCCCTCCTAGGCCCGCATACATAGAAACCTAATAGGGCCACTATAACATGTCCGTGGAGCCAACGCGCACGCGCGCGCGTCTTCCTAGGAGAGCCGACTCTTCGCGTCGCGCGTCGTGTGTGTGCGTGGATGATTGTCTACCGACCGCGTGAGACGGGGGACGAGGTGCTCCCCGTTGCACGCGATCGTAAAGATTATGCCTATGCCTACAAAGAAATATGCCGCTCTGCGCGGCGGCGTGTGCTGAGAGACGAGGCGGCCTCTGATACCCCTGCGGCGTTGGGCGGTGCGGCTGTCCTGCTGCTGGTCACGCCTCATGTGGATTCGCTGGCGGCCACACGCATCCTTACCCAGCTCCTTGCGCAGGACGAAATCGCGTTCCGCGTTGCGCCTGTCAACGGCTACCGCGCTCTCCAGCAGATCCTTGCGCAGGACGTGCATGATCACGTCGAACTACATACCCTCATCTTTGTAAACCTAGGCTCGCTCTTGCCATTGCCAACGACTGTGCCACTACCACCGCACTGTACTCTGCATGTGATTGACTCACACCGCCCATGGAACCTGGACAATCTCTTTGCTACGTCGCAGATGAACGACCGAATCTGGGTGTGGGACGATGGCGATATTGACGAGCGCCTCCTCAAGGAAAAAGAAGCCTACGAAATGCTGGAATTTGACTTTGATTCCGCGTCTGAATCCGAGTCGGACAACGAGTCTGTGCCCCCTTCGGACGACGAGGGCGAGGCGGCGAGCGACGAGGATGCGGCGGCGTCGGGTCGTCGCCCCAAGCGCCCTCACAGCACAAGCCCTGATCGGCCGCCCAAGCGCACAAGGCTCGACGGGGCACAGCGGCAAGCGTACCGTGCGGTGCTCGCGAAGTACTACGCACGTGGAAGCTGGACAGGTATGAGCGCAGCGCAGATGATGTACATGCTGGCGATTGCGCTGGGCCGTGGCGATCAAGATACGCTCTGGTATGCCATCCTAGGATTGACTGCCCAGTACCTATCCAACGCTATTCACTCCAGTATGTATGCCGGCTACGCGTCGGCGTTGGCGTCTGATGTCGTTGCTATGAATGCCACCGACGAGCCAGCATCCACCTCGACGGGGCAGGCACATGGTGCCGACGATGCCTCGGTTCGTGTCGTGAGCGAGGAACTGCGGTTTACGCTGTACCGACACTGGAGTCTGGAGATGAGCATGTACCATACGAGCTACGTGGCGGCCAAGCTTGGAATCTGGCGTGAAAAAGGCATCCATAAACTCCGCGGCTTGCTGGCAAAAATGGGTCTGTCGCTGGTCAACTCGCGACAATCGTACGAGCACATGGAGTTGGATCTGCGGCAGTCGCTGGTCCAGCGTATGGAATCCATTGCGCCAGAGTATGGCCTGGTCGACCTGACCTTTCGCTCGTTTACACGGTCCTACGGTTTCCGCTCCATGCCACTCAGTGCTTCGGATGCCGTGGAAGGTATCGCTGCGCTATTGCAGGCGGCGCATGGCGTTCGTATTGAGGTGGACGGCGTGCAGATTGTACGCACCGACTCCCTTCATACAGGTACGCGGCCTGTGGATCAAGCGGTAGGCTCGTACGGTGGGCGAACGCTGTGGTCCTTGGCAGAGAATGGCGTGGAGACAGGTGTGCGTTCTCACACGTCACGCCGTCCTGCCGACGCGGAGGAAGGGGACGAGGACGAGGACGATCTCGAGAACTCGACGTCGGCTGTGTGGGTAAAGAACTTTTTCGAGGCGTATCGTGCGATGGATGCACGGCAGCCTTCGAGCATTGCCTTGCTGCAGTCATCGCTGCAACTGGCCAAGTCCTTGCATCAGGCTATTGTGGCGCAGGGCGTAAGCATCATTATCAAGCAATCCATCAAAACGCTGCGTTCGTTCCGCTTGGCCATTCTCCAGGATGGCCCTTCCCTGCATCTGTTCGTGCACCCTGATACACTTACACGCCTGGGTTTCTGGCTCATCGATGCACTGCGTGATATCGTGGGCGAGCAGCATATGCGTCGCGCTGAAGCGAAGCGGGCGCGGCGCCGCAGCAAGGGTGATGAGCTCGATAGTTCAGCCTCCTCGTCGCCGCATCCTGCAGCGCTGCCCCACTTACCCTTTGTGCTCGCAGCCCTCGACACGTCGCGCGATGTGTTTGTCGTCGTTGGCATTGTAGGTGCGTCGGACTTTGGCGATGTGAGCAAAAACCGCTTTGGTCTGGCCTTCCAAGAAGCGGCAGAGACCAGCGGTGCACGTATGCGCAACGATCGGTTTGAGTCAACGGTGCTGGAAGTGCGGCGGAATGATCTCATGCCGTTTGTCGAGGCATTGCATCTGAAAGCATAGTTCTTTTCTTCTGTTCTATAGCATGTACCTATTTCTAGCGAGAGAGATCTGCGCGTGACGTGACGCGATGCACGCAGCCCAACGCGTCGCGGCCGCAGGGCCAGCGCGGCGTGGTAGGGCACGTGAGGCGATTCGTGTCGGGACCCACGTGGTGGTAGGAGGCGGTACCATGATTGGCCTATCTATTCTCCGGCCGAGCTGCGGCAGGGGGTCGGACAGCGCACCCGGGTGGGCCCACCCAGTTCGTATCGAACGCCAGTCGCATTACGCGCCCAGAGCGTTACGCGACCCGTTTTTACTTTTGGAGCAGCGCGTGTCGACGCGTCGTGGACGAACGAGTCCAACACAGCCTGGTCTATACCCCTAGGGACGCTTTCCCTATATTATTTTGATACACGGCGTACGTGGTCCCCCACTCCTAGGCTCTTAGGTGTCCACTACGTCTCTGCTTGTGGCTCCTACACCCACAGGATCGATGGTGGAGGGTGGAACGCCCAACGCGCAGCCTGCCGTCGCTGCCGCCCCTGGCGCAGTGCCTAGCATGCCCCAGCCGGTCATCCCGCCTGCATCCACGGATGCGACGGGGGCCGCTCCCACGGCGACACCCGCGCAGCTTTTTGCGCAGCTCCCGCCGCATATTCAGCAGCAGCTTTCGGGCATGACCAAAGAGCGACTCCAACAAATTGTGGCTGTACGTTTTTCTATATACACTGACCTTTCTAGCGTATGCAGCAGCTCAAGGCAGCTGGGCAAACCGAGCAATCAAGTCCCGAGTTTGCGGCACTCGCCCAAACGCTCAAAGCCTTTCAATACTTACAGCAGCTGCGCATGCAGCAACTAGCCGCTGTGCAAACACGAACGCAGCCTAGTCCTGGCGCGGCGACACCTACGCCACAGCCTGCCGCGCAGGATACGACACCTACGCCTGATACCATGCCTCGGCCGGCCGCAGCCTCGACGAGCGCTGCACCGTCCACGGCTGCTACACCGGCTGCTACGACGCTCGCTGCGTCCGCGCAAGAGTCATCGGCCCTGACACCCGACCAGTTGACAGCGTTGCGTTCTCAGGTATCGGCGTACAAGCAATTGGCCCGCAACCAGCCCATGGCCGCACAGATGCCGACGCACGTCACCGATTTGGCTACGTCGAACCCGGCTGCTGCTTCCTCTGTGGCCCAAAAAGTGGTCGACGCGGCTGCGGATGCACATGCGGCACATGTAGCGGCGCATGGCCCCGACGCGCTAGCGTCGGCCCAGCCCTCGTCGACGTGGAGCGAGACGGACTTGGCCCGTCTTCCTACCGACGATCCCTCGAGCAAAGTGTACCCCTACAATGCGTACGTGCACCCCTTTACGTTGCTAGGCAAGCCTAGTCTGCCGGGGGGCGACGACTTGGCGACGCTGCACCAGCGCTTGTTGCTTCCTAGTCTGTCGCCGGCCGGTGTGGATGCCCGTCTGCTCCTGGAAGAGCGAGAACGGTTTATCCAGACACGGATCCAGCAACGCATCCGCGAGCTAGAGTCGTTCCCGGCCATCATGGCGCAGGTGCCTACGTCGTCCGACGCTGCGGCATCGGACGCGCCCCTGGACGAGCAAATTGCGCAAGGGCTGGGTGCCTCGCGCACGTCGAATGCCAAGGTGAAAGCACTGATTGAGCTCAAGTCGCTCCATCTGCTCGAGCGCCAAAAACAAATGCGTGAGAAAATTCTGGCGAGTATGCATTTGGCGACATCGTTGGGTCTGGACCGCTCTGCCTTCCGACGTGTGCGCAAGCAGGCTTTGCGTGATGCGCGTGTGACAGAGCAGCTTGAGCGCAAGCAGCGTGCCGAGCGTGAGCGCAAAGTCAAGCAGCGTCACACGGACTACTTGTCTATGATCTGCACGCACGGCAAAGATCTGCTGGCTGCGCACAGCAAGGCATCGGACCAAGCGAAGAAAATTGGTCGTATGGTCCTCAAGCTTCATACGGATACCGAGCGCGAAGAGCAGAAGCGTATTGAGCGTGTGGCGAAGGAGCGTCTGAATGCGCTGAAGGCTGACGATGAAGAGGCGTACCTCAAGCTCATTGATACGGCGAAGGACACGCGTATTACGCACCTGCTGCAGCAGACCGATGCGTACCTTGACAGCTTAGCACAGGCCGTGCGTGCGCAGCAAGCGGACGATGCGCATGCGGACTGGCATGCGGCCGACTTGCCGGAAGGCGGTGCGGTGGACGAGACGACGTTTGGTGCGTCACGGCAAGAGGATGGGGACGATGCGGGTCGCTCTGACTACTACTCTGTGGCGCATCGGATCCAGGAGAAGATTACCGAGCAGCCTTCGATTCTTGTGGGCGGTAAGTTGAAGGAGTACCAAATGAAGGGCCTGCAGTGGATGGTGTCGCTGTACAACAACCGCCTGAACGGTATCCTCGCCGACGAGATGGGTCTCGGTAAGACGATCCAAACGATTTCGCTGATCACGTTCCTCATCGAGAACAAGAAGCAGAACGGACCGTACTTGGTGATTGTACCGCTCTCGACGCTGACCAACTGGGTCAACGAGTTCAACAAGTGGGCGCCGTCCGTGTCGACGTTGGTATACAAAGGCACACCTACCGTGCGCAAGCAGCTTGCACAGCAGCTTAAGATGGGCACTTTCCAGGTACTGCTGACGACGTACGAGTACATTATCAAGGAAAAGAACTTGCTGGGCAAGATCAAGTGGACACACATGATCATTGACGAGGGTCATCGTATGAAGAATACACAGAGCAAGCTTACTATCACACTCACGCAGTCGTACACCAGTCGCTACCGACTGCTGTTGACAGGTACGCCCCTGCAAAACAACCTGCCAGAACTTTGGGCGCTGCTGAACTTCGTGCTGCCCAAGATCTTCAACTCGATCAAGAGCTTTGATGAGTGGTTCAACACGCCCTTTGTCAACACGGGCACGGGCGACAACAGTATGCAGCTCAACGAAGAAGAGGCCCTGCTGATTATCAAGCGTCTACACAAGGTTCTTCGTCCCTTCCTCTTGCGTCGTCTCAAGAAAGATGTCGAAGCGGAGCTGCCCGACAAGGTCGAGAAGGTCATCAAGTGCCGTATGAGTGCGCTCCAGGCGAAGCTGTACCAGCAGATGAAGCGCCACAAGGTCATTCTGGGCGGCGACGCAGGCGCCAAGGGCTCGAAGCCTATGGGCATTCGGGGCCTGCAAAATGCCATTATGCAGCTGCGAAAGATTTGCAACCATCCGTATGCCTTCGAGCAGGTGGAGGCCACTATCAATCCTACCAAGGAAAATGGTCCCGACTTGTACCGAGTAGCCGGCAAGTTTGAGTTGCTTGATCGTATCCTGCCGAAACTCTTCGCGACAGGCCATCGCGTGCTGATCTTCTTCCAGATGACAGCGATTATGGATATCATGGAAGACTTTTTACGTTTCCGTGGCATCAAGTACTTGCGTTTGGACGGCTCAACAAAGCCCGACGACCGTTCTCTCCTTCTCAAGCAGTTCAACGAGCCCGGGTCGGAGTACGATGTGTTCATTCTCTCGACACGTGCAGGTGGTCTGGGTCTGAATTTGCAGTCTGCAGACACGGTCATTATTTACGACTCTGACTGGAACCCGCATCAAGACTTGCAGGCACAGGACCGTGCTCACCGTATCGGCCAAAAGGTCGAGGTGCGTATTTTGCGACTCGTCACAGAAAAGTCTGTGGAAGAGACGATCTTGGCCCGTGCGCAGTCGAAATTGGAGATCAACGGTAAGGTGATCCAGGCCGGTAAGTTCGACAACCAGGCCACAGCGGATGAACGTGAACTGCTTCTTCGTGCTATGCTTGAGGCCGACAATGAAGAAGAAGACGAGATGGAACGTGGTGAACTCAATGACGACGAGCTGAACGAGCTCTTGGCTCGTAGCGAAGAAGAAGTGGCCAAGTTCCAGGAAGTCGACCGTGAACGTCGTGCTGACGAAGAGCTGGAATGGCAAGCCAGTGGTCATACAGGTCCCCTGCCAGAGCGTCTGATCCAGGAAAGTGAGCTACCTGAGATTTATCAGCGTGACTTTGATACCGAGGCGATTGATGGCACAGCGAGTGAGCAACCGACCTCGCGTCGTCGTCAAGTCGTGCATTACGATGATGGACTGACGGAGGACCAGTTCTTGCGTGCGTTGGAAGGCGAGGAGGACCTGAATCAAGTTGTGGAGCGTAAGCGTGAACGGGCTGAGAGGCGTCGTCTCAAGCAGCTTGCACAGGCTGAGGCCGAGTCGGCAGATACGTCGATGGACACAGCAGAGCGCAAGCGCAAGCTGACCGACGACGACGTGGACAGCGAGGCAGATACGTCTATGACGCTGAGCACATCTGATTCCACGTCAAAGCGTCGGAAGGTGGACGAGATGGCTGAGACGATCAAGGCAGCGCTGTTGCAGTGCTATGAAGCGGTAGAGGCGTGTGAAGAGCCAGAGACGGGTCGTCTGCGTTGTGGGCTATTTATGGACATTCCGAAGCGCAGCGAGTATCCTGACTACCATGTTCTGATCGCGCATCCCATCGCATTGAAACAGATCAAACGCCGTATTGATACGCGCGCGTACAAGTCGCTCGATGCGTGCAAGGCGGACTTTGATCTTATGTTCAGCAACGCGCGTACCTACAACCAGGAAGGTTCGCTTGTATGGCTCGATGCGGAAGCACTAGAACAGACGTTTAACGAGACGCTGGCCAAGGTGCGGCCGCAGGTGGAGCAGCAAGCGGACTCCTCGGAGGGTGTCAAGGCGGAGTCAGACACGATGGACCCTGAAGGCACGCCGGACCCCACACCCCGACCCAAGGTCGGTATGAAGATTAAGCTCTCTATGGCTGGACGCCGTTCCAAATAAGTGTGTCTACCCAGCCGGATGTAGCCAGCCTAGGTGGCTCCCAACTCTGGTGACCACGCTGCGATATTACGTAGTTCGTTGCTCCTTTCAGCGTGCACTAATCCATGTATTATGTCAACTCTCTGCCTCCTCTCCGAGTGATCGGAAGGGCCCTCCATACGTCCAGAGAGGGCCAGCGCTGGCGATCAATCCCATGCCACTTGACCTGCCCCGTCCACCCATTTTTAGTCAACAACCCATGTGGCCCCTGTAAATCACCTAAGCTGGGTCGAAGGGCGCAAACGAACTTGGTGGAAACCCTGCGGCGAGAGGGGGACATATGGACAATTATAGCGCGGGCCGTGCCCCTGGCCCTGATTCTTACCATCTCACTATCATGTCGAGTGACAACACGCAACAACAAGGCTTCTTCGGTGTGGAGCACCAGACCTCGGGCTCGGGCACCATTACCCCGGGCGCTCCGTACGTATAAGGCATTCTAGGGACTGTACTTACACCATACAGGGTGACGGAGATCTCCCAGACGCCGGCACTCGAGGCCGGTAACCCCTTCGACAAGATGTCCATTCCGCAAGAGGCCCGCAACCAGCACATTGTGGGTCATACCGGTGAAAAGGTGGGCGATAAAAAGTACAAGATCTTGCTTGCCATGGACGGCACGGAGGCCAGTGACCTTGCCTTCAAGTACGTGATGGAGAAGAAGGTGTTCAACCCTGAGAGCCACATCTTCTTGACCACTGTTCTCCCGGCGAACGTTCTTGGTGGCCCGTGGGTGTCTGGCCCGCTCTCGATCGATGCCCGCAAGCAGAACGAGCTGCTTAAGCAGCTGCGTCAGCAGGCGGTGGAGCGTATGAACCCGTACCGCAAGGATCTCCAGAAACAGGGCTTCTCGGTGACGATGCACGTTCTCCACGGTGACGTTCGTGCCTCGCTCCTGAAGGTGTGTGACTTCCACAAGGTCGACATTATTGTGGTCGGCAAGCGCAACCTGGGCTGGAAGCGTGCTCTGAGCAGCGGTACCATCTCGTCGTACCTCGTCAACCACTCGCCGGTGCCTGTGCACGTTGTGAAGTAAAGTTCTCCTTTAGTGACAATGATTTTTTCTGAATGTCGGTAGTTCTCTTAATCTATCTACCCATTCTTTTGTCGCGCTAGCTAGCTCTATTGCTTTTCATTTAGATCCGATCCCGTGGTCACGCGCTGGTGCTACATACGCTTAGGCCACATATGCGCCATCTCGAACCTACATTTTCTATCTCTCCCTCTCTCGTAACAAAAGTAGCATCGAAGCATTTTCCATTTTGAGGTGCAGATATCTCTATCTACGCCAAGCCAGTATCGAATGAGTATGGAGATAGATCTACAAGGCGTATGTCATGAACCCATAGATACATCTGTGGTCCATACGTCAGACACTTAGTAGTACACCACCGGAGGCTTCTTCGGGCCCTCGAACGCCTCACGCTCAGCAGCGGTCTGGAAGTTACCGTGGCCAAACTTGGACGAGGTGTCAATGAACTTGAGCGTAACCTTCTCAAGGTCACGGCGCGAGGTGTGGATCTGGTGCGACTTACGGATGGTAAGAACACGCTTCTTCACACCCGGGCAGCAACCCTTGATCATGATAAAGTCGTTCTTCACAACACCGTAGTGCGGGAAGCCACCCATCGGGGTGATCGACTTCTCCGTCGTGTCAAACTCCGTCGAGGCCGAGGCCTTGTCAGCACCGTTACCAATGCGGTAGATCTTCTTGTTCAACTCAGTACGGTGGTGGTAACCATCCTGACCCGAGCGAGCCACCGTGAACATAACGTTGGCCGGGTGCCAGGCACCGATACAGGCGACCTTGCGGAGACCCTTGTGGGTCTTGCGCGGCAGCTTCTTGGTACCCCAACGGGCAGTCACACCCTCGTAACCCTTACCCTTGGTAACACCAATAATGTCGACGTTCTCGTCCTGCGTGAACAGGCTGCCAACATCCACAGTCTTCTCAAAGAGACCGTGGGCAAAGTCCACCTTCTCCGAGACCGAGCCACCGTTGACCTGGATCTCCATAAGGTGGGCCTTCTTCTGCTTCAGGCTCGTGTTGCGCAGCTGGGTGTGCGCAAGGACACGGACAACAGTGCAGTACTTGCGGATACGCTCGAGCTCACGGGTGATCGACTGACCGCCGTTCTCCGAGTGCTTCTTAGCGTACTTGGTGAAAGCCTTCTTCTTGCTGCGGTACCAGTTCTTGTAGAAGCGGCGCTTAACCTCATCCGAGAGGTGCTCGGCCCAGACAGTGGTGAGCGAGCGGAGGCCACGGGGGGTCTCGACGTAACCAACCACACCGACAACCACCATAGGCGGGGTCTCGATGATCGTAGTAGCCTCAACGATCTCGCGCTTGTGCAGCTTCGAACCGGGACGGTCGAGGTCACGAACGATGTGAGTCATACCAGCCTTGTAACCCATGAAGGCAGTCAGGTGGACTGGCTTCTTGGGGTCGTCCTTCGGGAACGACTTAACCTTGCCGCGGTGGCTCGCAGCACGCTTGCGGGGCAGGAAACCAAGCGAGCCGTGACGGGGGTGCTCGTACTGTTATGGTTAGCGTCGTTCTTTTCTTCCATAGCAAGCGATACACACCTTGCAGTGAGACATTGCTGTTGCCGTCGAGGTAACGAGTCGAAGAAAACGCCGCGCGCAGCAGTTCACCTAGACGCTCGCCGTTCAGCCCACGTATTTTACACGTGACAAAATATATCTATACACGTGACCAACCTGCCTTGCCTGCTGCATAACCCTCCTCTTTACCTTGCTTGTGCAGTGGAGGCCCCACACCTTCGCCAGCTTGTCTGCAGGTCGTGCATCTTGTTGATTTCATTTCCTTGCACCTACTCTATAGCAATATCAGTCTGGCACAAAGTAGATCTACATATATTGCAGCATACATCCTTGGTAGAAGGGAGGGGCCACCATATCGGCGACCAGTCCGTATGACATTGTATGCATGTCACTGGTTTGTCCTCGGTAGGGACCAACGCATCTTTGTCATCTTGCTCCATAGGCATCTCTGACTCTTTGCCTTTCATGGGTATCAGGTGTCCGTTCTCGACGTATCCTCCCGCTCCTCCACAGACCTGAATAATCGCATCTAGTTTCTTGGCACGGCGGAGTAATGCATGGGTTGACTCGATCAGCGCCATGTTCCGATGTGAAGTGGACGGTACTTGCTTGTGCGTGAGAGCATAGGCCTGTAGCGCCGTAAGCTTGAGTTTGCTGTCCATCTCAAAAAGGTCATAAGTTTTCTTCGTTTTTGCCACATGCAAGTGTTCTTTGCACCAAATTTGAGCGACCATATGTCCTGATTCTGACTTGAATTTAAGTGTGTGTACAGAATCACGACGGGACGTTTTGACAGGAAAGATCTCAAAGCCTAAAGCACAATGGGGTTGTGCCAAATAAGCACAGGATACATGGAATTGTGTGCGGCATGTCGGCTCCGCACATGATACACAAGCGCCTTTGACTTCATCACATAGCGAACATCGCGCCTCCAACCGCGCAACGGGTAGGCTGCCAGCGCCTTCCACAGGCTGCATGGCGGAGCTGTTCGCATACAAAATCTCAGGAATCCACGTTGAACACAACAAATGGGCCCAGTTGTTGCATTCCGTAGGCTTGTATACATCCAAGGCGGTGAAGGTTTTCGGGTCGACCTCCTGTGTACCATTCTTGCGTCGGCGCGACACGGATGTAACACGATCTGTGGGTGTTTCTCCACACAAGACACAAAATGGTAGAATGGAAGCGTTGAGCTCTTTGTCATTCATACACAGATCACAGAGCCAGGCGTTCTTCTCCATGGCATTCTCATCGATGCCAATGCAGCCTTGGTGTCCAGCCATGCCACACTCTACACAGCTTTTCAGTAGTTTTCTAGGCTCCATACGACGGCACACGACACACTTTCCCCCTTCGGCTGTGACTGGCGCTAACGATGGTAAATCGCTGGGAGGAAGGGCAGGGAGATCGGCACTTGATGCACCTACTTTGGGTACGATCAATCCCAATCCTGCTTCTTCAGAGCCACGGTCCAGAGCGGCTTGGCGCTTCACATCCGTAATGTAGGCACTTGCCGTTTCGGCAGCATATTTTCGCCAGTACTGTCCGCAATATACACAGAGAACACGCCCCGTCCAGTTGATGAAGCCGCGATACCAAAAAGGACTGGTATTCGTGGAGCAAAAAGAACAGACGAGCTTGACAGAGGGTTTTTGTTCTTGCATCACGGCTAGCTCTTTTAGAGATAAGACAGACCGACTTGGCGACAGTTCGGTTTTTTGGTCCGACTTTCTTATGCGTGGGCCTCGGAGTGTGACTTTGGTATTTTCCTTGCCACGCCATCGTTCTCCAAGTCGTTTCAACTTCCATTCATAGACGCCTTGAATAATTTCTGATGGTGTCCTATTAGGCAAGGCCGGCTTCAAGCTGCTCAGATCTCCAGATTGCTCCATGATCGTTTTTTCTAGAATTTGAACTTCTTTGGGCGTTAGAGGGAAGTATTTCACGTCGCTATCGCGTGTCCTGGCGAATGCCTCAGCTGCTTTGTGATAGTCAAAATTCATGGCGCAGAGTAGTGATAATGCTCGATTGTAAAATGGATAGGCATATCTGGGAATATGCAAGTGAGGGGCCTGTACATTTGCCAGGTATTGATCCACTGCTTGTAAGCACGATTGAAACATACCTTTCTCCCAATCTTGGTCCGGCGGTGGGATACAAATCACGTCCACGTTGCCATCGTCACCCCGTTCTGTCTTGTCAGTATCTAGGGCCATATCCTCGTCCTCCACAGCCGTGCTTTGTTTCTCATCTTCTCGCTTTCGCTTGGATGTGATGCCTCGTCGCTTCAGTCGCGGGGTTATTCTTTTTGCCTCTTTCGATGAAGAAGCCCCATCCATTGGAATATCTGCTTGAGTCGTATCCATCGACAAACTGCTTTCTTCCCATGAAGGAACGGTCACTTGGTATTTGGGACCAATCCGTGTAACAGCACGAGGATAAATAGAATCATGGGAATCTAAAACGTCCATAGCGTTGGAATGCTCACCAAAGTAGCGATAGGGCCACCCTTGATAGCACCGCAATCCTTCACGATCCATAGCTGTTAGAAGCACCTTTTCGTGCTCTGGCTCCAGTACATCGCCAAATAAGTGGGCTTTGTTCGTCCTTCGAGTGCTTGAGTTTTTAGAGCGAGGGCCTCGTACGGCCGTGCTTAGATCTGAATCCAGCCCCCCTCCGCCAACACCCTGTTCATCCACTATATCATCGTGTTTCTTAGCACAGGGCGCACAAGTCCAGCTGTAGCCTTTGGCAGGTTTGGATAGCAATGGGGGTGACAGGCAGTGCATATGAAAAAACTTGCGGCAGGTATCACAGCGTACTGACTCACTTGACGAGGCCCATTGCCGACAAATAGCACATCCTCTTAATGCGTCACATAGATCGGCGGACACAGATAGCTCAGCCACAATGAAGGAGTATCGTTCTCTCAATGTCTCAAGCACTTCTTCAGGTGCGTTCTTTATTTTCCATGTGGGTACCACATCGAAAAAGCGGTGGATGTACCTGTCAAAAAGCTGATAGAAGTAGAAATGATCATCACGACGCTTCCAGGTGGCGAGGTCTGGCGGCGTCCCATTCCCAATGAGATCTCGATGTTTCACACGACATTTCCCTCGAAGACAGGACGTGGGAAATACTTCCGTATGCATAGTAGCCACAAGGAGACGAGAGTCATTGTTGGACCGGTGGGTAAGATCTCGCATCCTGAAAAACAAGTTGGCTCTAATATGCTTAGATTTATCGTCATCCTTCTCAACGATGTCCATAACACGTCCAATGGTATATGGTTCGCCTAGACCTGCGGCCCATGGCGCAGATATGTAGACATAATCTAGATATCAGGAATAGAATGCCATACATACCGTTTATCCCAATATTCAAGTTGTTTCTCAATGATATACGCTCTGCCTTCCCCTTCTCTTTCGCCGGCGGCATGGCGTGGGTCAAGCATGGATCCTCCACGCTGAAGCCATGCCGCCCACGTGAAGATGTGGAGTACTTTCACGTAGAAAACTGGCTACCACGTAACGTCATTTATATCTACAGAATCCATAATGTGTAATCTCAGCTATTTACTGATAGGTATGCCATTGTTGAGGCAACGAGTTGGTGGTCATTACGTCGTGAGAGGGAAATTGATGCACCATGGGCATTGTCCAAGGACTTTGACTCGAGCTTGGCGCTCCATCTGGTAGCGATGACAATGAATGCAGAGGCTGTTCTGGCAAGGCAAACGAACCATTTACATGCCCATCCGGATATACGGGGTTGGACACAATGAATGGCATCGTACCCGCTTGCTCTACGCTTGTCATGGCCGGAATCCCATAAGGATAACCTGCCGCCAGTCGGTAATACTCCAATACCAAGGGCGACGTCAAATGGAAAGAAGAGTCTGGGATCATCGGGGTAAGCTGTGGGTGGCTAGGCCATAATAGCTCCATATCACATGCAGGCTTATTAAAGGCAGCGTTGACATTGGAGGAATCATCCAGGACCATATTCGGCAAAGAGCAGAGTCCATTCCACACGGTCGGTTGCCAGGCCGGTTGCATTTGCTCCAATGATACTGGGCTGAGGCTTCGTAACATATTGCTTGCATATGCCACGTTGGGCGTTGTGGTTTCAATAGGAGATGACATGAACCGCACAGGCTGTTGACTCTCTGATTCCATTGTATGCCAGCTTCGTTTACGTTTCGAGGCGGCTTCATCAGGTGCAGGGAGCACAGAGACTGGCTGCGGCGGGGTATACGTAGGATTCGGGAGGGGCATGTTCGAGAGAGGGGACTTGTTAAGAGGGCTTACCATAGCGACAGGAGAAGAAGAGCAGTCCTTGGTTACTTCTTCGCGCCAGCTCAACCACTGAACATCAATATCTCGTTGGCGTTGCAATTTCTTCAGCATGTTGCACCAATCCGCATAAGCTGTTGGGCTAATATATGCTGTGGTCCCTAGACCACTCAATAATTGCATCTCCATCTTCGTAATCTCCTTCAGCGATGTCCGCGATACATCCGACCATGTTTTGTTTGTATACGTGTAATCATCCAGAAATTTGTTTGCAAGAATCAGTGATGTAAGGAACAGCCGATATTCGCTTCCGCTCTGTCCTTGCAAATTATTGTGCCGAGTCTTTAACTGACTGATATAATAAAGTGCCAAGTTAATAACCGATTGAGACACTTGTGTTGTCTTTAGCACCCTTTGAACAAACGCTTGGAATTGCTCTGTCGGAAAGAGCTGGTTCTTTTGGGGTATGGAATGAAAAGAGGTCGTTGCGCTCATGGGAAGCGCGACGGAAGCGGATGCTTTATGTGTGCGTACAGGGGCAGCAAAAGAGTCAGTGCGTTTACGCTTCATGCTTGCATGGTTCTCTTGTTTCGGAAGAGCACTAGTTTTTGAAAACCAGATGTAGCACACCATGTTGGCGCACCACTCTGACTTCCGTGCTACATGTGCACTTGGTTGCGATTTGGTCACTTGTGTGTTTGTTGTCTTGCTGTCTTTCACTTTTTCAGGTTGAATATTGCAAGCCTCGGCTTGATCGTTTTTCGCCGTACGACCGTCCGTTGCCCAGCCTGTGGTATTCGTTATGGTAACCACAGGTGGGCACGTCATTCGTGTCGACGATGTCCCTACTAGCCCATCTACCATATATTGATATGGGCTGCTCCACGACCGGTAGTCTAATGCTTCAATCGTTCGGATGCTTGTTTGTACTGTGGCAACCATGAAGCATAAATTAAACTCCGCAGCACGGCATGCGTATATTGTATGAAACGTACACGTACGTTCTCTTTAAGTGGCAATTGTCAGCCAAGTTGTGTCCCAAGATTTTTTTGAAACGTGTTGACTCGTCAATTTCGAATTTAAAGTGTCCGAATCACCGTGGCAACCCAGGCTATGGATTTGGTCGCACAGACACGCATTCATTTGTCTAATCTGACCCTACCGTGGTATAGTTTTGTCCGTGCACTCGGCGCAATCTGCATTCCAGGTTGGGCTGCAGATGCCATTAACATCATCACCCCGTTCTTTCTTTAATACAGCCCAATCGTATTGCATTATTTTTTTTGGGATAAATGGCTATGCTGCTTTGTCTATTCTGTATTCATGTGAAAGGGTCAATCCACCTAGACATTTCCTAAGTGGATAAATTCTTTTGTTTGTTGCTCGTTATCTGCAATCAAGTGGCTTATTGCGTCATTTTCCTGACGCATTTTCAGGGTAGCTCCTCGTGCGTAGGTACAATTCCTTTTCGGCTTGGCAAGCGGGAATACTTGAGATTATGCGCATAGGTGTACATTTGCCAGTGTTTGGCCCAATCGTTTATGATTATACCCTACACCACGTTTGCCCTCGAGCGAAATCCGCGGATTTTAAAAAAGGCGCTGAAGAAACCCTGGCTGTTTTTGTAAATTCCAGCATCAGCACATGCTAAGTTGTCCAATTGATTGCATTGCTTTCAATTTTAAAGCGGGGAATTGATTGTCAAGACAGGGCAAGTGAAGGGGGTGCCTCCAGGAACGTTTTGTTGTCGCAAGCCAAGGGCCCTGTTGCGGCTAGAGTTCCTGGGTACCTGTCTCCCAAGATTTTAATCAGTAACCATCATCACCACTCTTTCACTCTCCTACAAGCATACCGCATCGTATGCCTAAAATAAAGGGAGCACAAACCGGTCGCGGTTCTGAAAAGAAATGGTCTTCGAATGGATCAAATGGCACAGCTGTGTTCCAATGCCATGGTTTTGGTGACTGTCGCATGGTGTTTACCAGGAGCGAACATTTAGCTCGTCATATACGCAAGCATACGGGCGAGCGTCCCTTCCAGTGTCATTGTATGAAGTCATTTTCTCGCCTCGATAATTTGCGACAGCACTGTCAGACCGTGCATTCCGATACACCTGAGCGGAACGAAGAGGTCTTACGCAAGCTTACTGTTCTTCACGCTAATCTAGCCGCATCAGCTGCGAAGAACCAGAAGGCTCAAGTAAAAAACATTCCAGACACTGCAAGCAAACAAGGCGATGATGCTGCAGATGGTCGTAAATCAATGTCATCTGCGAGCATGGGTACTGATTTGGGGGCCTCGGAATCAACTCGTATTCCTATCCAGAACTACCCTAAAACAAGTGAGAAGCTTTCATATCCTGACTATTCTCTACCTGATATCCCACGCAGGGCTAGCCAAGGCACACCTACTGCCTTGCCTATGATTCCCTATCATAGGTCTCGACCTGCGTCCAAATTGGGTAGCCGGGGTCATCCGTACTTGCTTTTGCCTGAACGAGTTTCTCCAACGAGCACATCTCCTACTTTCTCACGTACAGGAAACGGATACTCTATGGATCCTAGCTCTTATCGCTCATCCTCCCCTACATTTAATTCTAGCCGTTTCCGATTACCGTCTGACAAAATTTCGCCAACGTCACGTTTGCCCCCTCTACCGACGATTTCCTATGCTGAAGCATCATCGTGTCCTGACTCGATGTATTATACACGATGGTCTCCTACATCCTCGGAGAGTCAATCTGAACGTTTTTTGCGGCTTCCGTCCACATCGATGCGTCGGTATTCTGAGGGCAGCGAAATGACCCGTCATTTCCCGAGCACTTCAAGTCGTTCCCCGTATTCTGCATCGCCAACTTCTCCCGTGCCACTTGTAGATGGCGAACCTGTTACTCCTTCTACCCCCTGGGCTTCGTCGGATCGACTATTTCCGCCGCATTCGTTGCCGTCACCTAACGGGAATGATTACCCAACAAAAAACACTCGACCTTCCATTCCGTCACCTAATGTATATTTCCCCAGTCGGAGTGAGTCGTCTATGAAATATGAAAGCAAATATGACACCTACGCAGCATTGGATGATTATCATCAGATACACACCTCATTGCCTCCGCGTGGAGCTACGCATTACCGCATGGTCGATATATCACCAACTGGTATTGGTCTCCCGCCACCATTGTCTTTATCTGGTCGACAAGGCTATTCCAGGGCATATGAAGGCGATAAAGCTCGGTCCTCAACTGCGCCGACTTCTGCAGAAAAATCGCCTCGTCAACGTGCCTCTGTGCCGGATTATTCACGTCCGTATGCATTCTCCGGAGGGCATTCTCCTTACTCTATGGCGACATATCGCAACGCATACGTACACACGGGGTCGTACGATCGAAGAACTAGAACGATTGACATGGACTGATTTATTCATATATAGATATACCCACCTTTACTACTCTATGTAAAATGTATTTTACCGGGCAAATAACGAAGGGTTTTATTTATATACGCCACAATCAACATATTGACCCCATTGCAAGGCACAAACAAATTTATTAAATATCACAAGTGGTAACTTTGCATGAATTTAGGCTTCCGCGTACTCCGTAGTGCCCAGAGTTACATTGTTGCTTTTTTCGCGGTGCACCGTCTCAAGGTGCGGCTGAAGTTCGGACAGTTCCTTGGCAACTTCACGTCGGCTTGTGTAGCCAGGAGGAACCCACTTGCGCGAATTCCAGGGCTTTACCTTGGGGTCCATGTACATAACCTGCACATTCTCTAAATCCAGGTTCGAAGTCTCGTACAAGAATAAATACACAATAATGAAGTTAGCAATGCAACAACCGAAGAAGACATAACCGTAGTAGTAATGAATGTTCCTTGTAATCGGGGTGGTGAAGAAGGCGAGAAGGAAGTTCCACGTCCAGTTGCTCATGGTGGCAATAGCCATCTGCTTGGCACGTAGCTCAGGGACCGTGATCTCGGTAATAGCCGCCCAAATACCAGGACCCCAGGTGCTAGCGAAACCGAGAATGAAGAAGCACGTACAGCAAATCATAAGAATGCCAATCTGGCTGTCGTGGATATTACCGTTCGGGCCACTGTAAACTGCACCGACTGATGCGAAAATCAACAGCCATAGGGCCATCCAGGCAGCACCCCACAAAAGGCAGAAACGACGACCAAGACGGTCCAAAGCAATCAGACCAGGGATGGTGCAGAACACATTTACAACACCAAGAATGATCTGCGAAATGTACGAGTTCATAACTGGGTCATCACCCATAACATGCACGGGCTTGAACACAGTGGCACCAAAGTAGAAGAAGTAGTTCGCACCCGTAAGTTGCTGACCCATCTGCAAGACGTATCCAAGCAAAGTACGGTTGAGAGCCTTCTGCTCCATCTTGAAACAGTCCAGCCAGCCAAGTTTCCTCATAGCCAGCTCTTCCTCAACCTCCTGCTTGATCTCATAGTACTCTGTGACAACGAAGCTATCACTTTCATCAACACCACGCATCTTGGCCAAGACTTTGCGCATTTCGTCGTAGCGACCACGCTTGGCCAACCAACGAGGGGATTCAGGGCAGAACATAATACCTACACCAAGAATCAAGCCCCACGCGAAACCGATAGCAATGGGAATACGCCATTGGGCCGTCTGGTAGTAGTTACGAGTACCATAGCAGGCACAGTATGAAAGAAGGATACCAATTGTAATAAAGAACTGGTAGGTGCCGACCAACGCACCACGAACTTGACGGGGCACAGTCTCAGCCTGGTACGTCGGGACAGCCGAACTGAGCCAGCCGACCGAGAAACCAACAATACAACGACCGACACCCATTTGTACCCATCCATGCTGGGAGGCAACTTGAACAATAATGCCGATAGTGAAAACAATGCAACCCAGGACAATGCTAATACGGCGGCCGAAACGGTCATTGAACGGAGCACCAAAAATTGCGCCCGCGATAGCACCAGCACTAAACAGAGCGACCACTAGACCATTGATCCACGAGTTCCACAGTTTGCCTGGGCCTTCCGGGTCAGGGTACTGAGCGAAGCGTTGCGTAAAGTCAGTCATGATCATCAAGTCCGAAATTTGACCAGTATCCCAACCAAAAAGGAAACCACCCATAGAGGCGAGGCATGCCACATAGTAAGTGAAGAAACCCACTGGGGCTCCTGACACCTTGTGTCCCTTTATCATCTAGAAAAGTATAACAGGTGGGTGGCGTAAATGCTTGATCGCTAGCTTTTTCTTCTTACATTCTGTTTTGCTGTATTTCGCAACTTCTTATCTCCTCACTTGAGTCCGAAAAAATTATACTCCCCACATTTTCCGATATTTTTTATTGGATAGCAGGTGTGGTGGGGCTCCGTCTATTTGTCAATTGGAATTGATTTGGCGTAGCCATGCTGCGGCACACCAGAGTCAATTGAAAGCGACAAATATTTGCGATTGTCCTACCTAATAAAGGAAATCCTATAGGTAGCGGTCATTTCAGTATTAATGTTGACATTCTTCATTGTAATAAAAATTTCACCTCCTTCCTGATCTAGCGAGTTGCGAAAATTATTTCTCTACCTGCTCCATCGGGCCCTAATTCAGGCGTCCCCTGAGGCTTCGGTTATGGCCGTAATTGGGGAAGGGAAGCTGCGCCTTCGTATTCATTTGTTGAGCTCAATACCCTCATACGTTCGATGACATCAAGGTTGCAGAATTTTGGGGATAAGTTGGAATGCATCTCCATAGTTTATATATTCTTAGAGCATTGATTTGCTTAACGTAACAAGTCGTATTAACTTTCTACCGAGAATATGAATTGGCTGTTGTTATACACCTGCATAAGGTCAGTTCCTTGTTCAAATTTTACTCTGCCTCCTATCGATGCAGATTGGCTCAGAGATGAAGAATCTGTTTGGCTGTACTTCGATGGTCGATCATCAATATAATTACAGTTTGGGGCGACACTGTTGCACATCCTTGCCGAAGAGGCAGTCGTTCTTCCTAGCTGAAAGCCGGGAAAGAAACCTGCCTTGCACCAATACGAGGCAGACCATTGTACATACCTGTCCCATGTAGCAAAGCTTTTGTAGATATGTTGATCCGCGCTCATTCTCACAATTTGCATTGCAAGCTAGCCGAAGCATTTCATGATCACAGACCCAGCTAAACACATGAAGGGGCGCCCGTCAACTTATGCCGTCGCTCAATCCCGAGGGAGAGCGGCTGGCACAAGGAAGACACACACTCCATGTGCATAACTGCTTGTCGCTAGCGACAAGTGTCAATATCGAAGACGGGAACGCGAAGCAACGGCACTGCAACAAGCCGGGCTCGAACTAATATGTCTGAGATTAGTTAACTAGGGCCATCTGGGGGTTGCATACCTTCTTGGAATTTGTTCAAGAGAAAAGAGGATTTTCTGTGCGATTGTTTTTTTGTCGGTCCAAGGGGCTTAGTCAGCACTTGGTTGCTGTGCCTTCTCTTTTCCTCGTCTACGTTGGTTGGTTCGTGTGATGTCGAGAGATTTGGAACGGAATCAAGAAGCTACTTGCTACATTGGTAATTTGGATGAGCGAGTTACTGATGAGATCGTTTGGGAACTCATGCTACAAGCAGGGCCTCTAGCACATGTATATTTACCGAAAGACCGTGTTTCTCAAATGCACCAAGGATACGCGTTTGCCGAATATCGAACAGAAGCAGATGCCGAGTATGCCTGCCGTATTATGAACGGCATCAAGCTTTATGGAAAGCCGATCCGTGTCAACATGTCGTCAACAGAAAAGCAGGAAGTGGATATTGGCGCGAACCTATTTATCGGCAATCTGGACTCGGGCGTGGATGAGCGACAGCTTTACGATACCTTTGCAACCTTTGGCAACATTGTAGGAACGCCGAAGGTAGCGCGTGATCCAACGACAAACGAGTCCAAGAACTATGGGTTTGTGTCCTTTGACTCCTTTGATGCTGCTGACAAGGCCATTGAGTCGTTGAATGGCCAATTCCTTCTCAACCGCCCTATCACAGTAATGTATGCTCTACGTAAAGATGGCAAAAATGGCGAACGCCATGGTTCTGAAGCTGAGCGTCTTGTTGCGGCGCAGGCACGCAAGAACCATGTTCTGCCCAATCGAGACGCTTATGGTGTCCCCATCGCCTAATGTGGTAGTATGTACCAATTTCATATAGTAAGATACCCTGATTTCCTCGCCCGATCGCACGCGCAAATTACCAAACATTCCGGGCCTGGCAAGTCGCTGCAGCCAAACTCGAATCCTTCCGTGTGTGGAGGGTTCACTCGTCACAACGGAGGGCAACTCCTAGTAGGTTTTGCATTGCCAGTTTTGGCTCGCCCTGGAGCTGGGCCTTGGTACTTTTCACGATGGTGCGCGTACGTGCAGTGCTATGGTCATTTGTATTCCTTTGTACCAGTTCTACACTCTGCGTGTTGGCCTCTGTGGGCGATCGGTCATTAAAGTTTGCTCATTGTGTCGAATCTTGTGAGCTGGATACGTGCCGTGATCACCGGCCCGTCTCTCGATCCGACGATACAATCGTAGCGCCTGATCCTCTTCCTTGGTATCTTATTCTCACAGGGTGGTCGTGTGAATCGAATTGTGAATATCATTGCACACATCGAATCACAAATGAAGCACGCAAACGCGTGCATGATATTCGTTCTAAGGCGTACGATGATGCAATGCGTATGCGTACCATGTCGATGTCTATGAATGAACACTGGAAGGAGCAGCTCGCATGGGAGAAAGGTGGCGAAGATCTCAAGAGCGTATGTGGCGAGGACAGTTTCCTAGGCGAGTCAGGTGTGTGTTTACCATTGATGCTTTCGCCTCCGCCTCCCGTGCCTTCCGAGGCCGACATGCGGCGTGCTGTAGAACTTGATGTGTCCCATCAACTTTCTCTTCTTCCTGTGATCGACAAGGAGACGGTGCAATTCTTCGGCAAGTGGCCTCATCTTCGCGTACTCGGCATGCAGGAGCCCATGTCTGTGGTGTTTTCGCTGATGAACTTGGCCGTGCAAGTGCACGCCATTCAATATGTGTTCCGTGATTTGCTACCATCTACCTTTCCGCTACGTTCTGTGTATCTGACGCACGCGAAAATCGCATCGGTGGCCTGGTGTGCCAGTAGCGTATTCCATACGCGTGACTTGTGGTGGACCGAGCGCTTCGACTACTTCAGTGCTGCTGCGGTGCTTGTGTCTGGGTTCTTCCTTGCAATGTGCCGTATATTGTCGATCCGTCCGGGCACACCGCTGTATTATCGTATTCGCGCTGGGTGCATTTTGGCATGGGTGCTTCATGTCTTGTACCTCTTGTCGCGCTGGCGTTTGGACTACTCGTACAATATGGCAGCCTGTCTTGTTTTGGGCGTCATGCACAACGTTTTCTGGCTGCTCTATGCGCATATGCCGAACTTGTGCCTGCGTCTTCGGGCATCCCTCGGGTCTATGGACAGTGTCAACGCATCGATTCCTTTGGCGCCAACGAAGGGCAGCAGCTCCGAACGGCCAAGTCCTGCCATGCTTACGCCGCAGCCTATGAAGTTATCCAATCCACAGCGACGCCGTTTGGAGCTCCTGATCTTAGCGATGTTTGCCGCTCCAGCGCTGGAGCTCTTTGACTTCCCGCCCCTCTTCCGGTTGCTAGATGCTCACGCTCTTTGGCACTTGGTCACTGTGCCGCTCACGATGCTTTGGTACCACTGGCTCGCTGACGATGCACGTGAATGCGTCACAGCTCATGGGTGGCATGCTGACCACCATGATGTGGAACTGACAGATGTCGATGAGCTTGCGGCCGAGCCATCCTCCTCCTCTAGCCGTCTCGAGACGGCCTCGATGCTTGCGTTACCTGTATCCATGGCACCTCCGTCCCTGGATGCACAGCCTCAACACCCCACTACGGCTGCTCCCACCCTCTCTGTGCCTGGGGCCGTACAGCCCTTGGTAGGCCAAGCGTATGCTATGCTGACTACCCTGGGCTTGTGGGGCTGGCAAGTTATTCGCCTCATGCGCGGCCTTCTTATTTCTTCCTAAGACATTGTACTAGTGTAACATCATGTATGTAGTTATGCGCTACATGAACTCGAGATCATCATCCAATGCCTCGTCGCCGTAGGCCTTCAAGTCGATACTGTGACATGAGTGATACATATACGTACGTGTTCTTAGCACTGGCCGTGCCGACCTGTTTCGGCTTTGTGACGGGAGCGCGCTTGTTACCGCCTGCCTTCTTGGCCTCTTTGTCAGCCTTCACTTTGGCCTCTGCCAGCTCACGCAGCTTGGTCGATCCCTTGCGCATATCGACATCACGCAGGCCGTGGGTCGTAAGGAGCGTAAGAAGTGCCGGGAAGAAGTGCTTATCGAAGCCAGGACGGCTCGACTTGGGCTGGATCAGTGTCGAGTAAAGATCCTTCGCAAAGGCATCCCATTCCTCCTTGCTGCTAGGCTTGGCATTAGCGAGCGATGACGAGGCAGCGTCAGACGCGAGCTGCTTCTTCTTGTCATCCAACGTCGTGCTGCCCAGCAATGCCTCCGCATTCGCCAAATCCGAGCGCATCTGTGCTTCCTTTTCCCGGCGACGACGCTCATCCTGGTCTTCTTCTTCCTCGCCGCCCAAGTCCCAGTCGTCAAAGTCGTTGCCCTACATGTCAGCGATGCGCAAGGCTGCAACGTACCGAGTTCTGTTGGCGCATAGCCTCCTTCTCCGCAATCTTCTGTTTCACTGAGAGGCGCTTCTTTGGCTCCGGTGCCGCGACAGGCTTCGGCGCTGGCTCCTCATCTTCTTCCTCCCAGTCATCCTAGTGAGTATGAGCCAGCTGTAGATCGTGTCCATACCTTAATATCATCTTCCTCAACATCCTCATCCTCAAAGCGGCGGCGGCCCACGAATGGCATGGGCTTCTGCTGGACTTCCTCGTCGTTTTCTGCATGATAAGCAGCGCACCGTACATACCCCAGTCGCTCATTCTAGCGCACGTTACAAAGACAATGGCAAGAAGGAGAAAAAGACTGGCCTGGTGGAGGGAGGAAAGGCACACCGTCGTCCTCCGCTGACTAACCCACGCACGACCTTCGCTAGGCTGTCAAGCGCGATTGCGAACGTTCATGGACGTGCCACGCCGCATGATGCGTCTTCGCTGGCTTAGTCGCCGTACTGAGGCGCTCTATATTTCCCCACTACGAACTCTAGGCGCCTCATACGCCACTGCTGCGAAAAAAGGCGGCAAGAAGGAGCAGGGTAAGTACCAGGCGACGTTGCGTCTTCCTCAAACGCCATTCAGTCTACGCGCGTTTGCGAAAGATCGCGAGCCTCGCTTTCGCAAAGCCACGACAGAGAATCTGTACGAATGGCAACGTCGCCATCTAGGTGGTGATCAGCGCGATTTCGTGCTGCATGATGGCCCACCGTATGCGAACGGGAGTCTGCATATGGGTATGTACAACCTTGTGCACTGACACCAGGCCATGCCCTCAACAAAATTCTCAAAGATATTATCTTGCGTTTCCAGGTTTTGCAAGGCCGACGTGTCCAGTACGTAACCTACATGACTTACGCCTCTAGCTACATGCCTGGCTGGGACTGCCATGGTTTGCCGATTGAAATCAAAGCTGTGGCTGAAGCGCGCGCACAAGGGCAGACCTCCATGACACCGACACAAATCCGCGATACAGCGCGCAAGGTGGCATTGAGAGAGTTGGATAACCAACGTGAGATGTTCAAGCAATTCGGTATCATGACCGATTGGTCGGATAGCAACTGCTACCGCACGCTTTCGTTTTCCTACGAACTGGCCCAGCTCCGCCTGTTTGCTAAGTGCGTCGAGCGTGGCTTAATCTACGAGCGTTTCCGGCCTGTGTACTGGTCTCCATCTACGCAGACAGCCCTGGCCGAGGCGGAGATTGAATACGATGAGCATGTGAGTCACAGTGTGTACTTGCGTTTCCGTCTTGAGCCATCTACTTCGCTACGTACATTGCTGGGCACTCTCGCTGAGGAACCTATTTCTATGGTGGTGTGGACTACGACGCCATGGTCCCTATTTGGCAATATGGCCCTGACCATCAAGGCCGATGCTGTGTATTCGATTGTGCGTACGTCGACCAATGAGCTCTTGCTGGTTGCACAGGATCTTGTTTCTTCTCTTTCAAGTGTTTCGTTAGGCCGCGATACCAAGGCGCCACGTACTCACCTTGGTGCCTTGGACGAGGTACTGACGCTGCCTGGCACAGCGCTTGTTGGATCTACGTATCGCTATCCTTTCATGGCGCCCGACGCTGTGCGATATATTACAGCGGCTGATTTTGTCACCACAGAGTCCGGTACCGGTATTGTTCACAGTGCACCAGCGCATGGCCAGGAAGATTATGAGGCATGGCGTGACTCTGGATGCCTTGAGTCTTATGGGATTACATCGCCTGTGGACCACCGCGGAGCCTTTGCCTTTGACAGTAAGCATGGCGCTACGCCTGCTATTCAAGACGACATTCAATCACTCGAGGGACTTCTAGCTTTGGAGGAAGGTACAAAGAAGGTGCTAGAGCTCCTGGACAAGTACGGCATTCTGCTTGGCGAGCAATTGTATACACACAGTTACCCCATTGATTGGCGGACCAAGAAGCCTATTCTCACTCGAGCTACAGCACAGTGGTTTGCTGATTTGAGTCAGACACTCCCCGATACAAATGCGGCGTTGCGTGACGTACACTTTGTGCCACCCACAGGTGAGCATCGGCTACACAGCCTGGTCTCGCGTCGCTCCGAATGGTGCATCTCGCGTCAGCGTGCATGGGGCGTCCCTATACCTGTGGTGTACGACGCAGAAACGCATACGCCTCTGGTGAGCGTGGACAATGTAGAGCACATCATCGATGTGATGGCATCGCATGGCTCGACCGATGCATGGTGGACTCTGGACGCCGAAGCCTTTGTTGCACCCGCTCATCGTGTCCCGGGAAAATCATGGTATATCAAGGGCGATACACTTGATGTATGGTTTGATAGTGGCTCTTCCTGGGCTGTGTTGCAGCAGGCACTAGGAGAACCACTCTGCACGTCCGAACCGTGTGCGGACGTGTACTTGGAAGGCTCTGATCAACATCGTGGATGGTTTCAGTCCTCGTTACTTACGCGTGTCGCTGTTTGTGGACACGGCACCAAAGCACCATATGCCAACCTTGTTACACATGGGTTTGTGGTGGATGAGTCAGGACGAAAAATGTCCAAATCGATTGGCAATGTGATTGCTCCGGAGGCGTTCTTGCAAGGGGACCCCAAGAAGCCGAAAGAATTCCCCGCGTTAGGTACCGATGTCTTGCGTTGGTGGGTTGCCAAGGCAGACTACACCAAAGACATTCCTATTAGCACCCTCATCATGAAGCATGTGAGCGATGAAGTGCGCAAGCTTAGGAACACGGCCCGGTTCATGCTGGCTAACCTGAATGACCTCCCACGTGAATCCATCCCACCACTTTCCCCGTCGACAGCCAGTTTGGTATGTAGCGTACGACTAACCGCAGATGGACCGATACACCATGCATGAGCTGTACAAATTGGAGCGCACGTGTCGTGAAGCGTATCGCCAGTTCGATTTTGCTCAAGGTATGTCGATCACTGTCTCATCCTAGTCACCCGCAGTCTGCTGGAATTTGCGACCAAGACGCTATCGTCGCTCTATCTGGATATCGTCAAGGATCCGTTGTATGCTGGCTCTGAGGCCGATAGGCAAGGTATCCTTTACGTCCTTGACCATGTGCTGCATACTATGACGACCCTCTTAGCCCCTATCTTGCCACACTTGGCCGAAGACATTGCATGGTACCGACGTGGGGCGCAGGCCGATCCTACGCCGGCGGAGATGGAAACTATGCCCTCCTTTTTCCAGCAAGGATGGCGCCCTGTTGATGTCGTATGGCACGACCCTGCGTTGGAAGCCCAAGCCCAAGCGCTTTTACGTATGCGTTCTGACATCTTTGTCCTCATGACGCATTGTCAGAAAGCTGGTCACATAAAGGCATCGTCTGAGACGGCTGTGGATATTTATCTTCCTTCTTCGCACCCACTGTGGGCTGTGTGTGAAGCACATCAGGCGCAGTTGCCGGATCTTTTCCAGGTCTCCCATGTCCGTCTCTTTCCCGAGGAGGCTGCGTTCCACGCACATTTGCGCGCTGACAGATGGTCCCAAAGCTTGACAATTCACAACACGCCCATCCAACTACGTATGCAAGCATCGCCACAGCACAAGTGCCCACGGTGCTGGAAGTACCACAGTGATCAACCGGAGACATTATGTGCTCGTTGCGATGCTGTGCTCTCACCCTAAGGATCATCATCCGTCACGATCCTTTCAAAGGCAAAGCCTAGGTACAATGCTGTCGAGTCAGTATCCATGTACATACTGCAGGCTTCCCACATGGCAGGCGGCATAGCGGGCGTGACAATACCTGCTGCTGCCATGTTGGGGTCAATGACTTGCATTCGCTCAAGTAGCTGTCGTAGGTTTTTGTTCGCATACCCATCACTTAAAATTTGGTCGAAGCGTGCCTTATAGATGAGCTGCATGCCGTATTCTTTCGCGAGTCTGCCTGTCAGTCATGTCCTTCCTTACCTCTCAAACGTTGCCCAATCTACGACGTACTCAGGCACATCATCCACAGCATCTTCGAGCCAGAAGCGGTACTTGTTGCCAAACGGTTTCTCACCCGACTCATGCCGCTCCTCAAATTCGATGCGATAATTTTCGTTCCCAAAAGACAAATCTGTGACTTCTGGCTGCGCGTCCAAGCGTGCAAAAAGCGTTTCCTCGTCAGGGATGGTACCAATAAATGTACCACCTGGGCGAAGCCATTTGGATACATTGGAGAGCATGGTACGTGCGCTTTCCTCGGTATCCCAACCGTAATGAAGGCAAAATTGCATGGTGACTGTATCGAATTTAGGCTCTAGGAGCGCCATCGGCACCACGTCTTGGAGGGGTCGCTAAGGTGAGAGAGCACGTTGTACGTACGCGGAAGCAATCGAAGGTGAAGAAATCGGCAGGCCAGCGGTAGTTCCCTTCTTTGTAGCGATCTTGGGCTTGTTCGACCGAAATCGTAGCCAAATCGATCATGACCATATGAGCCGGTCGCTGACGATCCCATTTGCGCAGATCGCCGCCTTTCCCACACCCCAAATCCAGGACCCGCCCACCTTTTCCTCGTGTACCTGAGGAGTGTGCATACATAGCAATGAGGGCCGACTTGATCCAGTTGTTAAAGCGTTTCAGGGGAATGATCGGCGAGTACTCACGCGCGTCGCGGCCCACTTCGCGACGCTGATTGTAGTGCATGGCTACCATGCTTGAGTCACCTGTTTCCGAGTCCTGGCGCTTACGACGTACAGGGAGCTGAAATTCCTGCGTATCATCACGTAGAGGGTTGCGCGAGCGTCGCTTGAACTGCTCGATCTCGTCAGAGGTAATGGGGACGGCGACGCTCTTAGGCTCTGAGACGCGCCATGTTGGTGCATACGGGCGTGGTTTGGAGGATGAGGAAGCCTCGCTAGCATGCTCAGCCTGCGATATAAGTCGCCTTTCCACGTACCTGATCCTTATGCACGTCGAAGGACTTGAACGTATCAGGGTCCTTCAAGGGGTCGTAAGCCATGCTGGACGTTGCGTGTCAAGCCCGATCGACTTGCCCGCCCGATGCACTCACTACTTGACACATCTCCCCCTCTCGCATTGTGGGGCTTGAGTGTGCCTGACAGATGGATGAGTTGGAAGACCACACAGCGTTGTTTTGGGCGTCATGCAAGGGTATGTATTGTGAATTCTCACCATGTAGCTCTATCTCCGTCGCCGTTTGCTATGGCGGAGGGGTACAGCCTCACGCATCTTATGAATGCCCTGGCTGTGATGGATCCTATGATGGACGCAGGTATGGACTATCCACACCACCGCCTCCCTGCGAAGGAAATGTCCACAAAGGTGTTTATGTCCTACCCGAATGAGCTCTCTGTGAAAGACTTGTGTTGGATATTCGACCGACTGATGGCGTGTGAGGTATGTCGTGCGCCGTTTCGCTGATCCGCAGATGGAATGGTTACGTGGTGCTGCGCTTGGGCAGACTATATATACATGTACCTACTTTCATGATCACGTATTCCCTGGAACGACACCCTCGAATCACTGGAGCTACCAAGTCCTATCGACCTACGTCCTCGCCTCCGTGAAATGCTGCGCCATGCAATGGCACGAATTGTCGCATGGCCGTGTGCTCGACGTACGTATACTTAGCACTGACCACAGGGTGAGGACTATTCTGGTGATCTGGGTGGCATTGACTTGCCTGACGGCGTGGATGTCTATGCATTGGCGTCCCAGCTGGACAAGGCTTGTGCCGTCGTTCAAGCTCATACCGACGGCGCCGATGTTTCTCTTTTCACGCGTCTGCTCTTCCGGAAAGTATGTGTATGCACTCTCTAACCACAGAACTGGCTTTTGTGTCTGCATGCGTTTATGCAGGAGGTCTGCGATCCTGTGGAAGCAGGGACTTTCTTAGATGAATGTGCCAAGCAGTGGCGATCCCTGCACCACGCGGAAGCACCGAACCTTTTGCCACTGCAGGAGCCCGCATTGCAGGAGGCGCCAACGCACTTGCATTACTTTTTCCACATCACTCTCAGCCGCAAGTTTTCCTCGCACATCCCGCTGCGTCCCCTCCCGCTTCCTGAGGCGGCGCCAGTTTGGGAATGGTGGAATCACATCCTTCTTACGCAGATGCCGCTTCTGCTTCGGTTCCTGGCCAGCTCGAATGTCATGACATGGAACGTACGTCCAGGTTCTACTAACGCAGACCTTCTTGGCTTGCACGTTTGGGCTGTACCAATCGCATGAAAAAATTCCCTTGGTGCGCTCCCTGTTGCAGGTATGTGTTGTATGTGCTTACCGCAGGGCTTTATATCGAATGGCCACACCTCAGCTGGCGGCACTCGGCCGCTGGAGCACCTATCGCACTGCCTCGTGGAAGAGCTAAGTGGCATTTGCGTGGAAGATATGCTTGTTCAACTCGAATGGTATCAGCAAAAGTACGTCGACTCTGACTTACCGTAGGCATACATCGTCTCGTGTGGCCACCGACACAACACGCTTCCTCTATCGTTTTGCTGGTGTATGTTTACCATGTCGCTCACTGCAGCTCTTTGCACAATCCCTTTCGATCATGGGCAGCAATCATCCGCGCCAAAAACGTCAGCTCAGTAAAGGCTATGCAATCTGGGCGGACTTGATGGACGATGTACGTCGTATGGCACTAACATTCCTAGGCTGCGAATCTCGGTGGAGCCGTCGCCCAAGCGCTTCCGGTACGTGGAATGTGATCTTACGCAGGGTGTGCCTCCGCATGTCTTTCTGGCACCAGTCCAGTTCGTTATGTTGTCCAACATGTGGCGCTCCATCGGAATGGGCTTTGATTTGGCATTGTATCATGACGAAGAGAAAGCCGTGATGTACTGGCTTCTCGCGCAGGTATACGAAGAGCACCGCATTTTGGCCGACAAGTTCGTCGAGTCACCAGGCCTTGTGTGTATGCGTCACTTTGTGCAAGCGCGTAAACATATCTGCCTAGCATACTCTTTGCTTTTCCTGTTGAAGCATGATGGAGGCGATACCGATTATGCGCGGGCCGTGTTCCGCAGTCGTGTAAAGTGGCTCAAACGTCCAGCATGGTGCGCCAAAGCGCGACTTCGTCTTGTGTCGACCCAGGAAGCCCAGGATGTGCACCAACTGTGGCAGGATTGGCGCACGTTTGCCTCCCTGTCAGCGGTACGTACTAGCACGAGCCACGAGTCCGTGGACCTCCACACCGACACGACTACGCTGCGCGTTTTGCTCTTGCAGCAGCTTCAGGCAGCTACACGGCATTCTCGCGAGTTGATCAAGCTTCGTGTCCACGATCCATGGATCGCCTTATCTCGTCGCGAGCAGTGTGCTTTGGACCAAGAGCTGTTCAATATCAGCGTCTCACTGAGCGCATGGATTCGACAACATACGTCGTTGCCTTCGCTGTCCACGTGGACACCTACCAAGCATCCATGGTTCCCCGCGCCTATGGAACTATCGCTGTACCACGGTACGGACGTAGCCTAACGACCCTTTTTTCTGTGTGGATCGCTCCTGCTCCCAACGATCACGGCCCCAGGCCCATGCACTGTCCAGGAGCAAACTCCCGATACCCAAGCCATGGACCAGGTCGATGGCATAGTAAAAGTTGGCATTCGCTGAGCCCGCATAGAGCCATAGATAATGGAAAGCAGGGAAAAGCAGTGTCGTGTAGGCGAACAGCAAGCTTGTCACCATGGGGTATCGAAGGTCTGCGGTGGTGAGTCGATGTGTACGTACAGTCCGAGAGGCGTGGATAGAGCAAACTCCATAGAGCCAAGTACGCGGCTGTATCGCCGACCGATGGGTACATCGAGAACAAGCTCGCAATGCCCGCCAGGAACGTCGTGGCAAAGAGAGGGTCTGATCGGTACTTCATGGTAATCGGGATCATGTACGTCCACATGTGAATGTTGACGACCGCGAGGAAGAACGGCCGGAAATGCGTGAACATCTCCACGAAAAAGTACCATGTCAATCCCGTCGTAGGAAGCAAGTCATCTGCTATGACACTGCGATATGAGTCTTCGTATACGTACCGGCTTCCATACACGCTTCGCACGAACGTCAAACTAGCGTCGCCAGCCAGCATGGCAGCGAGGATCAATCCTGCGATACTCGTCCACACAAATGTGCGAAGAGAGGCGCGCATGCCGTTCCACTACAGGTAAGTCACCTCGTACGTACCCATGCATCACTTTGCCGCAGCCCAAAGGTCGAGCGCCAAGCTCCAAATGCTGCATACGTATCACATCCCAACAACCACAAAGCAGGGGTAAGGAGAAGAGGCGTCGTAAATAACAAGCAGTTAAGTGTATGCACAAATGCCATCCAACGTGGCGATGCCTCTACAGCTTTCAGAACCGAGAGCACGGTAAGGCATGTACGCAGTGAGCTCATTGTCTTCGCCACACACGCACTGATGGCATAGGGATTGAACAAGAAGCTGCGGTTAGCAGAAAACGAGACGTACCAAGCCATCACACCCAGTGGAAACCACGCGGAGTAGGCATGCGTAGCATGCCGAGATAGCGCCATGGCAATTCGTCCCAGTGCGAAGCCTGTCACACCATCCATCACAGCCCACAAGAAGGCCGAGCGGATAGGATCATCAATGCAGGACCGAGGGATCAAGAAGAGCAGCGGTGCATGGTGATAATTCAAAGAGCTCCATATATGCGCGGCATCAATGTCCAAATCATACAACAAATGCCATTGTTCACGCACTGGCCATGTGAGTGAGTGTTCGTGTACGTACACAGAGACAAACGATCCATCGGGGTAGCCAGTTCAGTGCGATTCACAAGCATTTCGCCCCAACCACTGTACCAGGACGCACATAGACGCACAGCTATGCCCACAAGAAGCAGGGCCACACATCCTTGGCCTACACGCTTCGTCATCAACGCCGTGGGGTTCGCAGCCGCGTAGGAGACAGTGTGTATGTGTGTGCGCACGCGTGGCACGTGTAAGATGTGGAGGGTATGCACCCCGCTCTGCGCTCGAGGCCGCGGTTGATCCATCGTTCCCAGCGTGTGTTCGTGCTGCTGACCGTGGCTGCGATGAATTTCTTGTTCAAGCATAAGCCACGGACACCTACGGACATTGCCAGGATCCTCAAAGAGCTATGTGTACGGCTCGGTGCCAGTGAATCGCCGGACCGGACGTGGACCTTGGTCGAACCTGCCCTGAGCATGGACCAGAAGCGCAAGGTACGTACGTGGCTGCTTCTAACACGATCAGATTCTTGATGAATTCTGGTCCGCACTTCAGCAAGCGAAGATTGTATTGTATGGGGAAGAAGGTACGAGGGCCTCCTACTTATCTAGATCATGATCCCGTTCCAGAGCATGTTGCCCAATTCGCTCAAGAAGTATACCAGCTGCAGCTCATGATGTGCCTCCTTGTTGTGCTGCCACGTCTTGAGTTTGAGGTACGTGCTAGTTCTCTTACCCAAGACACGCAAAGACATTGTCCAGGTGTTCATTGCGCTGCTGCAGCGAACGATCGGCGCTCGGCGGCCGACGGTAGAATATATCCGCTCGAATCCTATCATTGTGCATATGGCTTTCCATGGGTGGGTATGATGCCTGTCTGACTGGCAGCTATGACTCGCAGGATGTTGCATTGAATACTGGTATGATCCTGCATGAAATGGTACAACATGAGACGCTAGCCAAAATTCTTCTGTATTCAGACGAGTACGTTGATTCCGACTCACCTTAGCCTCTCTCTCTTTCCTATTTACATCGAAACGACGCCTTTCAGTGTCTCCTGTGATGCGTTTAAAAACCTCCGTGATGCACTGATTTTGCATCGGACTATGGCCGCTGAGTTTCTTCAGCACAATTATGACCGCTTCTTCACGATGTACACGCAACTTCTCCGCTCGGAGAATTACGTGACACGACGACAATCTCTGAAGCTTCTCAGCGACATCTTAGTCGACCGTGTGCATTATGCGACGATGATTCGATATGTCTCCGACGAAGAGAATCTCAAGAGTACGATGAATGCCCTGCGTGATCGCAGCAAAAATATCCAGCTGGAAGCGTTCCATGTTTTCAAGGTACGTCGCCAGGCCACCTCTTACCGCAGGTTTTTGTGGCCAATCCGAAAAAGACACCCGCCGTCGAAGCGATTCTACGGCGAAATCGTGATCGGCTTTTGAGTTTCCTTCAAGGCTTTCTCCAGGATCGCACAGGTACGCTGCTACTTTCTCCTCACACCAGACGAGTCGTTCATCGACGAACGTCAGTACATTATTCAAATCATCAGGTTGGTATGCTACTGTATGGACAGTCCCTGGCTAACTACGACAGTGCCATGCCAAGCAAATAGAGGCCGTGCATCTTACATATGCGTCCAATCCACTTGGTCTCGTACTTGCTCGCCATGGACCGTAAACGCAATACGAATACGCAATCGCAATGCTGCCGCGCCGACACCTGAGATGCGCATGTCTTGCGTCGCGACGTCGCCAGGCTGCACTGTCGCACTCGATAGCGCAAACATCTGTAGTTGTTGTGATTTCGGGACGGCCGCTTGCAATGACAGCCCTTCCACCGCAGCCCCATCCGTGGCCGTAAATCGAGCTTGCACTTGCACACTATCGCCTGTTTTCTCGACCGTAAAGGCGAGCCGCAGGCCGTGCCGGTGGTACGCCTCGCTCTCTGGCTGCGAAGCCTGCTGCGGTGCCGGCTCCTCGCTAAACAAGTCCAAGTTTTGCATCGCCTTGGTCGTCTTGGAAACGTCTGTGCTGGTCGACGCGGGCGTGTCAAACAAGCCCAGGATATCGCTGTGACTAGCTTTCGACCTCGACGCGGGCTTGGCTGGTACGCTGGCCGTCGTGCTGCTCTCTCCACCAAATAGATCCGCTAGCAAATCATTGGTGCTCTGCTTGGGCGCGGCTGCCTCCTCCACTGTGCCCTGCATATCAAGCAGGGCCGAACTGGCTGCCGGCGCCGAGCTCTTTGCATCGGTCACTGTCTCTACGACCAGAGGCCGCAACTCTGGGAGTGGCATGACTTCCAGCACACCATCGCGAATCGAGGCGCGCTTGAGCAGCGCGGTATATTCAAGCGCACGTTTTTGCACTTCCACATCGATGCTCTTCTCGTAGTGCTGCAAAATCGACACAATACGAGCTTGCTGCACCTTGTCATGCATTCGCGTGTGCAACTTCGCTAGCGTTGTCAACACATACTCACGCGTATTCTCAGTGGCATACACGGAATCGAGCAACGATGCCAACAAATCCACCACCGCTTCCGGTGATACGTCATGCGTCACACCATCAACGGTAATACGGCCCATCTCCAGCAGCACGTCACTGTATTCACCCATGACCCATACGGCCGCCAACGTCTGACTCGCTTGAGACATGTCCGCATGTAGCGCAGCATACAGATGCTTGACGGCATACTCTTGCAGCTCTGGCGTATGGCATACCAAGAGGAGGAAAGAGGCCAGCACATCTTCCCGGATATAGTTGCCGGCAAGACGCAGCACTTGCAACATGGTGTCCATGTGCCACTGCTTGTTCGGTGCGTATCGTTCTGCTGCGATGCAGATACGAGTCGTCAATGTCAACTTGAACTCATTGTCTGCCACTTCGAGGAACTGCAAGAGCTCGCGCATTAGCGCTTGCACTGTCGACTCGTTGATCAGTGTATAGGTTAGTTCTAGCGCACGTCGGCGGATAGAGATGTCTGCATCACGCAAGCACTCCAAAATCGTGGAGCGATGACGCTGCACGGCATTGGTATCAATCGATACCACCTTGTTAAGTGTATTGAGCGCCACGTAGCGAATGTTGTTGTCATGATTGCCCAGGAACTTGCCCAGGATATTAATCGCCATTACACGTAGCGCCGAATCCGCGCGAATCTCCAGAATGGTGAGGACACACTCATACAAGATGCTGTTGCCCACAGTCTTGCTTGAGTCGGTGTTCGTGGCTACCTGGGCAAGGATATCATTGATCGATTCCGAGACTTCCACGCTGTCTCGACCCAGCAAGCGCAGGAAACGAAGGATCTTGGTCTGCAGGAAAGGATCCGTGACACCGGCCACGTCGTGTTCAGGCGAAAAACTGGTCGTCAACAGATTTCGCAGCATGGCAACCAAAGCGGAAGTGGCCTGACGTTAGTAGCGATGTACGTACTCGGCGGAACAACGGGATGACATTCGAGTCCGTCTCACAGATCTGAATCGCTAAGCTCAAAGCACACAAGAGCACACCATGGCTCTTGTCACTCAGCAGCTGCAAAGTACGTTTCTGGAAATGGTCTACCAGGTCAGGCACTTTGCGAATGATGCGCTTGGCACAGAGCGCTGCTTTCTTGCGGATATACGAGTTGGAGCTGCCCATGAGCTTCTCGACTTCATTGCACAAATCGCGGGACATTTCTTCCGAGGCAATGTTGGCGAAAGTACACAAGGCCAAACCCACGACAAACATATTGGAGTGATTCATATCACTGCTGTTAGACCGCATATTGCACGTACTTCTTTAAACCATTGGTAATCAGCATGAGCACCTGCGCATTCTCGTCTAGGAGAAGCATAATGCCTAGGTACCCAAGGCGCTTGTCTGTAAAACGTGGCGATGCAACGAGTTTCAGGCACTCCATCTGGCCAAAGTGCGCCGGGTAGCCAAGCATATGAATATACAAGAGTTTCGAGAGGTTGTTGTACCGCATGTACGCATCATCATCCTTGAAGGATGTACGAATTGCCGCGCTCTCTTTCTGCAGAAGCGACCGCTCATCTGCGAGCGTTTTGCATGCACGCACGCCTTTAATGAGCGCGCGCAGGTTATAGAGACCCGCACTCGCCATCAGGCTGCCGAGACGCGGGTCCAGCGCAGCAACCTGCTGCTGCTTTTGGAAAAACGTCGACATGATGTGTCCGTTAACACAGCTCGATCGCGTGGATGTGTACCAAAGCAACAGCGCCCGCGCCTGGGGCGTCCTTCCACCGGTGGTTCATCACGTGATACAGTACAGGGTCAGGCGCTACGCGAGACACTATAGAGGGTCCGTGCCATTGCTGCCGAGCGGATGGGCCACAGGAGAAGGACGTGGGGCTAGTCCGTCTAGCGATTCGTACTTGCGGAGGTGTACATTGAACAAGCACAGAATCACAATGGCTTGAAGTAGAGCTACCACGTAGAACACGAGGTACGGCGCCGTAGATACATAATAACTGAACACCAGCGAGAACAAAAAGGGACCGACAATGGATCCAGCCAATGTGCTCAGGACGGCCCATGCACCGAAAAGGCGGCCTGCTCCATCCGTTCGGGGGTTCACGGCCATGCCCAGCGAGCTGATGGCCGAGCCGATACCGCCGCCCAGTGATGTGAGCACAACGCCCAACAGGAACACAGTAGTGGTGGTCGCATGGGCCGTGATAATCGCAGCAAAGGCTGTCAGCGCAGCTGAGCCCAGAGCTATGCGCATATCCATCTGGCTATCGTGAATAAGCCGAAGCTGCTTTTCGCGCTCGCGCCACTTCTTTTCCAGCTTGACATCGGCCGCCGACCATTGCGACGGCAAAGGCGCATCACGCGAGCATCCGCGGTCGTCCAGAAGGTCATGGATATTTTCTGACGCAAGGTAAGCGCTGTCTTGTGGAAGAACAATGGATTTGGGCATGTGATGCAGCAGCTTTACCAACAAAGGCATCACCAACGTGAGTGTAAGCATGCGCGTCACAGCGGTGTAGCTTAAAAAGTAGCCAACCTCGCGGGAGTTCCATCCAAAGATCAACTGCACGTACTGTATTTTGAGTGGCACTACCGCAATGCATGCCGTCTCTGTAGCGTAAGCAATAGAAAGGAAGAACAAGTTGGTATCCCAGCCAGGCTGATAAGCTTGATCTCCCATGCGTTGTGTGGACTGCGATTCGACCAAGGAGTAGTCAGTGCGGCGTTTGGGTAGCAAGAAATACAAGCTTTGGAACGACGTGGAGAGGGCCGTCGAAACACGTTGTCGCCATCCAGAAAAGCCGGGCCCCGCTGCCTGCACGGCCGCTTCATGTTCTTCCACAGCTTGGCGGCGTACGTCTGGTCGCAGACTCTCGGGTATAATCGGCGAGACGACGATAATCAAGGCATATATACTTAGAGCAGAGAGCAGCGAAGTGACTAGCGAGCCTGTCACAGAGGTTAGGATACCACCCATGGTGGGCCCAATGGCAATACCAGCGAATAGTGATCCAGTCATGAGCGCAAACAGCTTGGAACGTGTGCCGGCAAACGTGACGTCTGTCAGGTAGGATTGCGCCATAGCGGTCACCGTACCTGTGGACCCAAACAATCCCTCAATGACGCTGCCAAAAATCAGCGTCTGCGGACCGAACGGCAGGCTTGTCACAGGCACAATGGCGACCAGCACAGTGAGGCCGCAATTGATTACGGCGCCGCTGATGGCCAGCGATAGGATGGTCTTGCGGCCATGTCGATCTGACAGACGCGACCAAAGACCTGTCGTAAGGGCCGAGCCAATACCTGCCGCCACAAGCATCTGCAATTGCAGCATAGCGAGCTGACTCTGTGCTGGCACAGAGCGGCGGCACTCGGTGGAGGGGACCTTGGCCAACGACAAGCTACCAGTGCTTCGCGGCGTCGTGCTCACGCCCATCGATTCGCACGTAATGGAAAGCATCAACTCCATACGTGGTGCGATAATAATACCTGTAGCCACAGAAAAGAAGAGCACTATCGGCAGCAACCACAATGGACGTGGACGTCGCCATGGTGGCAACGTGCGTAGCCATGCCAATTCATCCACTTCATACATGGCTTCTTCCGTGCCATGCTCAGCCTCCTCGCCCTCTGTCATATCCACAGGGACGTAATCAGCCCCAGGGAGTTGCGAGCTCATGTGCGGCATATGGGGCACGTCCTCGCCTTCATGCAGCCGGCCAGCCACACCATCCTCGCCCATGGTGGTGAGGCCCAACCTTGTTCGCACCTCCACATGGCACGTGGGTTGCGACTGTCTTACACCCATAGGCTCTTCGAGCACGCTTAGTTTTTATATCGACACCGATGGCCATGAAGGATGTCTCTCCGCTTCAGCATGAGGACGACATGGCAACGATCGTCAATGACATCCAACATATGCATGTATCCCCTGAAGGCGATGTGGACCCTGACCTCTCGTCGGACGATTATGAGTCATCGTCGGATGACGAAGCTCTGGAAGAGGTAGCGCCCTATGCTTGCGCCTACTGTGGCCTAGCGGACGTCAACTGTGTGGTGAAATGCCTGACATGCTCCAAATGGTACGTGTTCACCTGACTGATGGTAGGTTCTGTAATGGCCGTGGAAAGACGACCTCTTCTCATATTGTCACGCACCTGGTACGGGCGCGGCATAAAGCTGTGATGCTGCATCCTGAGTCACCACTGGGGGATACTGTGCCCGAGTGCTATACATGTGGCTCCAAGAACCCATTCCTTCTGGGCTTTATCCCTGCGAAGGGCGATGCTGTGGTGATGCTTTTATGCCGAAATCCATGCAATTATGCAGCGAATACCAAGGATGTGGACTGGGATGCGTCCCAATGGTCGCCCCTCATTGAGAACCGTTCTTTTCTCTCGTGGTTCGTGAGTATACCCTCTGCAAAACAGCAGAAGCAGGTTCGGCCTATCACCGCCCAGCAGATCAGCAAACTTGAAGAACTTTGGCGTGAGAATGAAAAGGCGACATTGAAAGACGTGGACAACCCCGACACGGAAGAAGAGCTACCCAAGACCCTGTTGCAGTATGATTCGCCGATGCAGTACAACTCGATTCTGCGATCTCTGCTTGCTGTGGAAGAAGCGTACGACCGCAAGCTCAAAGAAAGCCTTGTACAGCACGACATTAGTGTTCGTTGGGAGCCGGAGCGTGGCGGGAACTATCTAGTATGGCTCCGCATGCCGCAACTGGAGAGCGGCGAGATCCGTATTGCCATTGGTGATGAGCTTTTGCTGAAGGGTGCTGGTACGATGGGCCAGCCATGGCAAGCGCGTGTCATTGTCGTGCGGTTTGCGCCCACCAACTCCATGGAGGTGGCATGTGAGGTGCCTGGCCAACTGCGCCCGCCTACGGACAGTGTATCGAATTTCACGGTGGAGTTTGTATGGATTGGCGTGACGTACAAGCGCATGAAAACCGGTCTCAACAAAATGACCAAAGACGCCTCTTGCATGTCGCCCTATATCCAAAAGAAGCTGCTCGGCTTACCTGCTGGTCCTGAGACGCTGAAAAGCGAGCCGCCTCGGACGATTGTGGTACCTGGCCTTCCGTCTTTGAACCACAGTCAGGTAGCGGCGATCAAAGCTGTGCTTACGCGCCCTCTTAGCCTCATTCAAGGCCCCCCCGGCACGGGTAAAACTGTGACGAGTGCCACGATTGTATATCATCTGACGCAAATGAATCGCGGCAAAGTGCTTGTGTGTGCGCCCTCCAATGTGGCTGTAGACCAGCTGACGGAAAAGATTCACAAGACCGGCCTCAAGGTGGTTCGTTTGGTCTCTCGCATGCGCGAAACGATCAGTTCCAATGTACGATTCCTGGCTCTTCATGAGCAAGTATCGATCCTGTTGCAGGACTCGGAGATCTACCAAAAGCTGGACACCAAGAAACGCGCAGGCGAGGCCACCCTGAAGGACGAGGTGCAGATGAAAAAGATCATTTCGCGCATCGAGCGTGATCTGCTGGACGCTGCTGATGTCATTTGTACGACGTGCTCCAGCTCGGCTGACAACCGACTTCGCCATTACGAGTTCCAGTCCGTGCTGATCGACGAAGCGACGCAGGCCGTAGAGCCGGAGTGTCTGTTGCCGGTGGTGCATGGCTGCCGTCAGCTTGTGCTGGTGGGCGACCACCAACAGCTGGGCCCTGTCGTCATGCATCGCAAGGTGGCAAGTGCCGGTATGAACTTGAGTCTGTTTGAGCGGTTGGTGTTACTCGGCAACCAACCTCGCCGTCTGGAAGTGCAGTACCGTATGCACCCCTGCTTGTCGGAATTCCCTAGCAACATGTTCTACGAAGGCATGCTGCAAAATGGTGTCACGGCGCAGGAGCGACTGCGCAAGAGTGTGCCCATTCCGTGGCCTGTGCCTACCTTGCCGATGATGTTTTACCAGAACCTGGGCCAAGAGGAAATCTCGGCGAGCGGTACGTCGTACTTGAATCGTACGGAGGCGTCGACGGTGGAAAAAATTGTTACATTGCTGTTCAAGGCGGGCGTGCAGGCCGAGCAAGTGGGCGTGATTACGCCGTATGAAGGCCAGCGCAACTTTATTATCAATTACATGCAGATGCATGGCAGTATGAACAAGGACATGTACCGGAACATGGAAGTGGCCAGTGTCGATGCGTTCCAGGGCCGGGAGAAGGACTATATCATTGTGAGCTGTGTGCGGAGCAACGACCGGCTGGGCATTGGGTTCTTGAGCGATCCACGCCGTTTGAATGTCGCGCTTACACGTGCGCGCTATGGCCTAATTGTCGTCGGCAATCCACGTGTGCTTTGCAAGAATGCGTTGTGGTACCATTTGCTCGTCCACTTCAAAGAGCGGCAGCTGCTTGTCGAAGGTCCGCTGTCCAACCTGCAGCCTTCGATGATCCAGTTCGGCCCGCCACCGAAAGAGAGACGCCGCGAGACGCCCATGCAGCGTGCGTCGGAGGACACGCCGGGCATCAATGATTCGCTCGCGATGGACCCTGTGCGAGCTCCCTTCCGAGGGCCGGCCAAGGTGCCTGGGTCGATCCGCGGGGATTTGTGGGGCGAGTTGGGTCTCGATGCACGATCCTTGTCGTACAACCAAAGCGACCGATTCAGGAAAGCCCCACGAGGTGGGGATAGAGACGACGATCTGGATAGCCTGGACGGCTACGAAAGCCAGCCGTCTCTCGCCGATCCCTTGGACTTCCCCACGACCGATGCCTCCACGCAAGGCGGTCGCCCGTCGTTTACGCCGTTTACATAGCCGCCGCCCCGTAGCTCGTTTTCACATGGGTTTTCTTCCACCTCCACATTGAGAAACGCCGAGGACCATCAAGCTGGGGACGTAGCAACGTTCTTTGCCCCACTACAGTCATGGTCCAAAACAGTGCTAGCGAGAACAAAACCCTGTCGAATGCCCAAATTCTGACGTCCGAGTACCCTCCTTCGACGGCGAAAATGCCCTATACCGGCAAGTACGTATGCTAGGCAAGCTCACCTTCACAGTTTGTACAGCTGGGTCGTCTCGAACCCGTACGGTGTTTCCGAGGAAGAAGTCGCTTACTACCGCCTTGATGGAAAAGCGATCAAGTATGTACGAGTCTAACTGACATGAAGTCGCCGCCATGTACAAGAAATGGCCGGTGAAATTGCGTACTTCCTGCGCCATCGGCTGGGCTTGCAGCGCGGTGACCGCGTAGGCATTATTTCGCCCAATTCGACCCTGTACTGCCCTGTGGTGCTGGGTATCTTGCGTGCAGGTTTGACATGTGTGACGCTGAACCCCATCTACTCCTCAGAGGAGCTGCTGCATCCTTTGAGCGACTCGGACGTGAAGGCCCTTTTCGTGCACCCTGTGGCTTTGCCGACGGTGCAAAAGGCCTTTTCCACTTTGAAGCTTTCCAAAACCCTTCCGAATGGACAAAACCGGATTTGGATTATGGACGATGTGGACTGGAGCAACCCGCAGCCAACAGGCGAGCGTGACTTCCGTCCTGTACTGGAGGCGAAGGAGCTGCCTGTCGAGACTGTGTCGCCGACGGAAGACCTGGCTTTCATTGTGTACTCTAGTGGCACTAGTGGCAAGCCCAAAGGTGTGATGCTGACGCATGACAACCTCATTGCTGGTACAGATACATTCATGTTGGTCAATGAAGGCGAGTTTGGGCCGGGTCACACGGCCGTCGGCGTGCTTCCGTTCTTCCACATTTTCGGCCTAAACTTCTATACCATGACAACATTCCTGATTGGTGTACATGTCGTCGTGGTCCCGCGCTTTGATATCAATGTGTTCTGCGCGGTGGTGCAGCGTTTCCGATGCAGTATTGCGATGGTCGTCCCGCCCATGGTCCTTGCGTTGGCGCGCCACCCTGTGGTGGACAAGTATGATATGAGCACACTGCGTGTGTGCTTGTGTGGCGCAGCGCCGCTCGGTCCGGAGCTGTGTGATGAAGTACAGAGGCGCCTGCCGAATGTGTCCATGGCGCAAGGCTATGGCTTGAGTGAGACGTCGCCTGTGCTCCTGCGTGCCCCTGCCAAGGTCCATCGCAAGCACCCTGGTATGGCCGGTCGCATTGTGCCGCATATCGAGCTGCGCCTTGTCGCGGAGGATGGCCGCGACGTGGGCTTTGAGCAAGGTCATAACGGCCAGCCTGGTGAAGTGTGGGCGCGTGGCCGTCCGATCATGAAGGGCTACTTGAACAACCCGGAAGCTACGGCGGATTGCATGACGCCTGATGGTTGGTTCAAGACGGGTGATGTGGCGATTGTCAAGGATGGCAACTTCTACATTGTCGACCGTACCAAGGAGCTGATCAAGTACAAGGGCTTTCAGGTCTCCCCGGCTGAGCTGGAGGACCACTTGCTGGGCAACCCGAACGTGGCGGATTGTGCAGTGGTGGGCCTGTACGACAAGGGGCAAGCTACAGAGCTTCCACGTGCGTATGTCGTGCCGACCGCTAGCAAGTTTAATCTCAAGTCCAGCTCGCCCAGTGAGAAGGAGGCGTTTGCCAAGAGCATTGCCGACTGGCTCAACAACCAAGTGGCGAACCACAAGAAGCTGCGTGGTGGTGTAGAATTGATTGATGCCATTCCCAAGAGTGCGTCCGGTAAGATTCTTCGCCGATTCTTGCGTGACCGTGCCAATGGCAAATAAATAGTCACAATACGCACATCTTTCATGTCCTCCTCCATGTAGTGGTCCGTGCGCCCGTTCGGCGCTGCCGGCCGAGGACCTACGCCTCGTGTGGAGACGGCGCCCCAGTCTCCCTCGTAATCGCTTTCATGCTCCTGGGGTGGGCGCGGGTTTCTCGATCCATCCAACACACGCATCCCCGTTTCTTTAGGCCGTTTCATATCATGTCTCCTTCTATGAAGGACCTTCCATCGCTTTTTGAGCGGACCCCTGTCCCTACGTTCCCCAAAGCGGCAGCTTTTGTGCGCACGGCGGCGTACGTATCTCTTTTTGTGCTGACGTGCCTAGGTGCCTGATTATCGGTGATGAAGTGCTCAAGTGCGTGGCAAGGTGACTTACGCAGTGGCAAAACGCACGATACGAACAGCCATCGCGTACGTATTTGCATTTATACTGACAGCCAGATGGCGAAGTTGTGCTTTGAGCTGGGGTTGGACATGAAACGTGCGTAGACATGCGCTGACGCCAGGTGTGGAAGTGATCCCCGATGACGAAGACGATATGTACGTACGACTATACTGACAATAGCGTCGAAACAGCTCGTCGCTTGGTACGTGCCTCATGCGCTGACGTCAGTCTTCCAAGTACGACTGGGTTATTACCAGTGGCGGGTACGTCACTCATTCGCTGACGTCGCAGCATTGGACCCACGCCAGACGATATCACGTATGAAGCACTGGGTAAGGCATTTGGCGAGGCGCCTTTAGTCTACCATGAGGAAACGCTACGGCGAATGGACATCAGCGCGCAAAAGCTGGGCCGGGCTCCCGCCACAGGCGAAGCGCGGGAGGCCCAAAAACGCATGGCGCTCTTCCCCCAAAATGCCGAAGTCATTTTTCCTACGGAGCAGTTCTGGGTGCCTGTGGTACGCATGAATGGCAACGTATGCATCTTGCCTGGCATTCCCAGCTTGTTTGAAAATTTGCTACTGGCCATGCCGCCATACCTCAACCTCGATCCCTCGGCGCCGAAACCCATGCGCCGCTTGATCCATACCACGCTGCCGGAGAGTGTGCTTAGTCCGGTACGTGTGAATCATTGTCTCATAACAAGCTATTGCAGCGTTTGACTACAGCCGGCAAAAAAGATGGCATCCGCGTGGGCTCGTACCCCAAGGTGTGTACACTCTCTAAGAATGACTTACACGAAGTGGGCCGCTGGTGTGCATATCTCGCTCATTGGACACGATGCGAGCAAAATCCAAGAATACACGGACCAAGTGATCCACGAAACAGGGGGCCACGTCGTTGAGCTCTAGATAGGCTCCGTATAGTTCGATGGGAATCTGCTGTAAGTTTGGCACCTCTAGGCTCATACGTACTCGCCAGAAAGCGATGGCCCATCCGAGTAGTTAGCGACCAATTCGCCGGTCCACCAGTCGGTCGCGTTGTCTGTGCGATGCAGCACACGAATGATATCGCCTTTCTTGAACGACAGGTCAGAATCTTGCTGCGCGTCAAAGTCATGAATCGCCACCACGAGATCACCGTCTAGCAAGGATGGATCGACTAACTCAATGGCATGCACCGTATTCGAGGGCGGTGCGTCCGCCTCCACCAAGCGGTTCTGAGTTCGTACGGGCGATCGATGGCGTGGCTCATAGGCCGATGGAGCTGCCAAGGAGCGGGGCTGATACGTTGCCTCCTCGTCGTCCTCGTTGACTACAAGACGCGGCGCTCGGTGGGAAGGACGTGATGGCGAGGTGTCTTTCACCGCATGCTGATCGCTAAAGGGATCTGCCTCGGTCGTGGGGGAGGTAAATCTCCGACTACCACACCCTTTTCCAATCGAATCCAGCCGTCGTGGGCTGGCTCCCGGCGCCGAATGGAACGTAACACCTAGCGTGCCATCCTTGACAATCGTATTACGCGGTCGAGAGGGCGGTGACATTGGCTTATATCGAGATCCATCAAGACTCGACGACTGCAATTGCCTGTCGAGATCATCCATGGGATCCTGGCCCAGCTGTATAGACGAGCGGTAGCCACCACGAGGCACAGGCGGCTTTCGGCGTGGCTCATACCGGCTACTATAGGCGCCTGCACCCCCTTCGCCCACATCGAGATCACTAAAATCATCACTGTCAGCTAGGGACCATGCATCGTCCAGTCCACCGCCCGTCCCTGCCACTTCCTCAATCCGCATGAGCAGCGGCAAAGCAAATTGGGGGGGATCGACATTGCCCGCGAGGATGTCCATTGCTTTCACAGCACGGCCATACGCTTTTTGATTCACTTCATTTCGCTCGATCAGGACAGTGCCTTCAATCGTCACGCCACCGTATAACCCACGACTCACACTGTAGCTGTACATCGCGGAGAGCTCCATTTCCGCATTCAAAGCAGCACTGGCTTCGCCTGTACGCCCAAGTGGGCCTACAGCTAAACTTAGATTGCCACCGAGCTGGATCGAGCCTGCTGACATGAAGGATCGAACAGCCGCACTGGAATTGAGTACGATCAGGAAATCCACCATCTCTGCGCCGGCATTGAATCCTCCGCCGAGACCCCCGACACCAATAGCGGCCGGAGGAGACCACTCACCATTTGGAAGTTTGGCCACTACAACACCTGTCCCTGCACGCGCGCTCATAAGGAACCCAATGCGGTAGATCGTAAAGCTACTGTCAGTGCTTGCGTACGTACATGGCAAACCCCTTTGCCTTGCGAAGGACGCTAGGCGGGATCACTTTATCTAGGCCATGATTCTTTCCATGTGGGCAGAATGTATTGAGGATCTTTGCTCGTCAATAGGAGAAACCACGTACCTTTTTTGCACGCCGACAATCTCCCTCCATGGTTCTGACAAGGAGAACGTATCCTACGCGGGGAGCGCGTGGAGTGTGGAGATCCCACGTGGCGCACAGCACGGACGTCGTAGGTTGGCAAGGAGCGCTGTAGTTATACGATGTCCTTCTAGACCGTTTGGACTTCCAGGGCCTGGGGCCGATAGCCTATCGAAAGGTGTGTAGATAGTATATAGAGAGTGAAAGTAGATACGTTCGCAACACATGCCATGCCATGACGAATCTTGGCCACCACACACTGTGCCTCTTACCACCATGCCACAGTCGAGTGCGGCCAAGGTCCCTAGCCATGAGCTGGAGGAACTTCGCCGGACCGAGCTGGAGGCGATTGAGAGTATTCTCGGCTTAGATTTCCGGATTCTTACACCCAAAGCTTGGCATGGGGCGTCGACTTCGCACGTAGAAACGTACGAAGTCACGCTCCGCCCTGAAATTGATCGACAAAAAGCCCATGTTGCCGTCGTCGTGGAAATGTCTCTGACCAAGAACTACCCGAATGTAGCCCCAACGTGTCGTGTCAAAGTGAATGATTCACGTACCCGCGGTGTCTCACGCTCACAACTCTCGCGACTGGAAGACTGCATGAATGCGCAAGCGCGCTCCCTATGTGGGGCGGAAATGATTTGGGAGCTTGTCAGTTTTGGCCAAGAATTTATCAGTTCCAACAACCAGGCTCCAAAAGAGCACACAGGTACAAAACTGAGCCTGGAAGAGCGGATGCGACAGCGTGCGGATGCAGAAAAAGAAGTACGTATGTACGGGCACTTACGCAGGATGCACAACGTCGTACGATTATGGAGGAGCAGAAAAAGTCCAACGAAGAATCGCAGCGCTCAGCCTTGCTGGCATCGCAGATCGAGACAGAAACACAAAAGCAGCACCAAGCGATCAAGCATCAAATGAAACAGCTGCGTGATGAGCCTTTAGTGCCCCCGTCGCCTGCCGACGATGCTTCTTATGGCGAAGATATGCATGCCAAAGATGCATTGGCTCTCAGTATGCCTATTCTGACCTTTAATGAGCGTATCACTGTCGGTGATGTGACATTGCAGCATATCCAGCGTGGACCGTTGCTAGGCTCAATCTCCATCGGTCGCCTTTATATCGCCAATCCTATCACATCCAGTGGCGTGTCTGACAAACTATGGAGCATGGAATGGTACCCTATATCCTCCAGCTACTATACCACCACGACCGGCCTAAGAAAACTGGAGGAACTCGAGCGTGATTTGGACCAGATCTGTGCGTTGCAGCATCCCCACATTGTCCCTGTGCTGCAATGGGCACGTTTGCCGGTGCCTGATACCCATCCAGAAAGTTCTCTGTTGTGCATTGTGCATGATCATGCCAGCACCTTCCAGCTCAAGGCTATGCTTCAGCAAACAGGCACATTACCTTGGCATAGCGTTCGGAAAATGGCGCTGGCGCTCATGCAAGCGCTACGTATGATCCACCAAAAGGGAATAACACACCGCCGTATCGCCCTCGATGCCATTCTGTTTGACAAAGACTGTATACAGTTTTCTGGCACGCTGTATACCCAACGTATCGTGGACCTACACCGCTCCAATGCGCTCAATGCACTCTCCCCCATGGAGACAGAGATTCCTGTGGGCTGGCGTGCACCAGAGAGTATCAACAGCCCACTTGTGTATGCCCCCGCTCGCGATATTTGGGACCTTGGACGTGTTCTATGTCAGATGCTTTTCGGTGAGAATGTATTGCATCAATTTGCCTCGCCGGAGGACATGCTCTTATCATGTACGTGACAGAAACAAAACTCACCTTAGTGCAAATGCCATCATCGCCTCTCCGCTCTTTCTTGGAACGTATACTGCATCGATCTGAAAAGCAGCGTGGATCAGCCAGTACGCTGTGTTCCCTCTTGGAGTCGCTTCAGGACGATGCAATGGAAGTATCACCGTCCACTTCGATCACGGAGGAGACGCCTCGTGGGTCGTCTGCACCTATATTATCACTCTCGCCTTGTTTTCGCCCTCGCTCTTCCGACATGAAGGCAGCACAGAACCATTCGGTGACGAACGACCGTATTGGCTCCTTCTGGCAGCTACGAAACACAGCGCCACCGACATTCCAGCCTGTATCACGCTACTTGAGTGATTTTGAAGAGGTCGAATTCCTAGGGAAGGGTGCGTTTGGCGTCGTTGTCAAAGCACGCAACAAGCTAGATGAACGTTTCTACGCTGTGAAAAAGATTCGCCTGAGCAGTTCGGCCGCAGAGGAAGAGCGAACCATGCGCGAGATCATGGCATTATCTCGTCTGGATCATCCACATATCGTGCGCTATGTGACCTGCTGGATTGAAAGAACGGCTGTGCCGTCCTTGCCCACTGGGTTTGAGACCTCTGCCGAGACGGGCTGGGACTCTCATCCCATGACCACGAGTCAGCAGATGGACGCTAGTGCACTGCAAGCCCTGCAGCGGATTGGGCATGAGCCTATGGATGATTTCCTATCTACGGAGAAAGGCTCAGGGGATGATATGGACTTTATCGAGTTTGATCACGACTCTTCGAGGTCGGACTCTAGTGATGTGAGTGAAGACGATGAGTTCTCGTCTGAAGAGATTTCGCCCTTGTCCCACTCGGCGGAGCCCGCAATGGCCGACTCTTCCACGCGTGTGCTATACATCCAGATGGAATACGTCGAAAACCAGACGCTGGGTGATGCCATTGAGCGCGGTCTCAGTATTGAACAGGCATGGCATATTTTCCGACAAATGCTCGAGGCCCTGGCTCACATTGCTTCGCTGGGCATCATCCATCGTGACCTGAAACCAAGCAATGTGTTAATGGACTCGCATGGCGACATTAAAATTGGCGATTTTGGCTTGGCCACGACCAATTTGCATGTGATGGACTCCGGCATGCGTGAATCGATGATGGGCAGTGCGCCTGGTGAATCGACCGAGCTCACGTCAGGCCTCGGAACGTTTTCGTACATTGCGCCGGAGGTGTTATCGAAGCAGGGTATCAGCACGCGTTACAACCAAAAAGTTGATATGTTCTCACTTGGTATCATATTCTTCGAAATGCTGGCGTCACAGCGATGCTATACAACGACCATGGAGCGATATCAGCTTCTTCGAGACCTGCGACTACCCTCTATCATGTTCCCGAAAACCTGGGACGCGACCCAGCTTTCCGCACAGACGGAAATCATTCGCCAACTCCTCAACCACAATCCTGCCGAGCGTCCTACCCCGATGGCCATGTTACGATCACCGCTTCTCCCGCCCAAAATGGAAGACGAATTTGTACAGGAACTCGTCCGACTTGCGGCGAATCCTTCCAGTGTACATCGACATGAATTGATTCATGCGCTTTTCTCCCGCCCACAGACGGATGTATTGCGCGATTTTACGTTCGATACTGGGGCCCAAGGGGAGGAAGACGATGTCCTTGTCGGCGTCGTGACACGCCATTTGCGCGAATTATTCTACAGACGTGGTGCTGTGCCATTGCATCCGCCTTTGCTGTTTCCCGCCAACGATGTGTACAGCGCGGAGCGGCATCTGGTCAAAATGCTCGATAAGACCGGCAATGTCGTTTATCTTCCATACGATTTAACGGTTCCATTCGCACGTATTTGTGCGCGTAGTGGACATACACGATTCAAACGTTTCGACATCGGCGACGTGTATCGTGAAAATGTCTTGGCCGGTGGTCAGCCACGTGCGATCCTGGCAGCTAGTTACGACATTGTGTCGCAGGAAATGGAGCCTGCGTCGGAAGCTGAAATCTTGAGCATTATGGACGACCTCTTGAGAATGCCTGGTCTGGCGGGCGAGGCATGGGTCCTTGAGCTGAGTCACGAAACGCTTCTGCGTGCCTTTTTGGACCGGTTTCCAGCACGATTTCATGCCACATTGATATCTGCCCTGCCAGCCTTGCTGACTCGGAGCACAGAAAAGCGGGCTAAGCAACAACTTTCAGAGGCTGGACTTACATCCTCGCAGATCGACGAGATTGATGTATGGAAAGTACGTGGTGAACTCACGCCCACGTTAGAAAAGCTGGCCGCAATTTGGACCTCGAATGAGAGGGCCCTATTGTCAGAACCCATGGCGTACTTGACCCAGATTGTTCGTCTTGCTTCCCAATTTGGGGTACGGCATAAGATTCATCTTGTTCCGCTGCTGAGTCACAGTCATACACATTACAGAAACGGAGCTATGATGGCTGTATGCAAGCTCGTCAATGGTGGAAAGCATCGCGATGTACTTGCCATAGGTGGGCGGTACGATGAGTTGCTTCACCACTTCGCCTATCCTCGCACGGGTGGACATGAGGCTGTACATGCCGTGGGTATCCAGCTGGCTGTAGGCAAGCTTGTCAAAGCGATTGCCAAGTACCAAGAAATAAATATGCCACGCTTTCTTGGCCGTCCTGATGAAGAGCGGACGCTGGGTCCTTGGACACCCCGTCGTTGTGAGTGCTATATTGCCGCAAGTCAATCCGGTTTAATGGAGGCCAAGATTCAAATTTGTGCCAACCTATGGTCGCATGGCATTAGTGCCGATTTGCAGTATGAAAATGCGGCAGGTGAATCGCCTGAACATTCTGCTGCGATGTGCCGAGCGGAAGGGATTCTCTTCTTAGTCCTCGTGCGTGCACATTCGCCTATCCTTAAAGTCAAGGAAGTCATTTCGCGGGCAGAGCATGAAGTGGCCAAAGAGGATTTGCCTATATTCCTGCACGACCGTATTGCACGACAACGTCGGTTGGATCAGACTGCGACACACACACGCTCGCGTGACGTGGATGGAGGCAAGTCTGCTTCGGCCACAAAAGGATTGCCAAATTATACGGCGCCTATTTCTGCACGCTCGCATGCACATGACGTGCACTTAGTCCTACCGCATCGCACAGAGCGAGGGAGACGCAGTGAGCGTCGAATGAAGCCAACAGCGCGACACGCCATCTCCGATCGGGCTGGTGCGGATGTGATGCGCTTGGCCGATGCACTGCAATCAGGTTCCATGCCCATTGTCGCTGTGGAAATCTCGCCGTCCTTGCTAGACCGTTTTGCTCGCGTAGCCTTGGCACCGGATGATGTCCTCAAATCGTTCCTCAACGAAGAGAAGCTTTCGTCGGATGAACGGGAGTATTTGCGTATGATTCACTCTTATCTTCAAAATCTTATCCAAAACGACACTTCCCATACCCATTCGATTCCCCAAGCCAGCGGAGGGGCCCATGTTGGGGCGTCTTCCAATGCCATAACTGGCTCTGCTCCACGTGCGATTTTGTACGCTATTAAAGAAGGTCGTATTGCTTTTTGCTTATAGAGAATAGGGCGTTGTGAATATTTGTAGCACTAGTCAATCTATCATTACAAAACATCCATATGTGACACAGGCAAATAATATTGCGGCAGAGTCCAGTACTTGCGCTTCACGCCATCCCATGTCTCTTCGTCCAACTGGAGTGAGAGTGTCGACCACTTGGTCGAAAGGCCAATGTCTTTCAGATCCAGTTCAGACACCCTTGTGTACACATTGTATAGGAACTGGTTGGTTGCTGCAAGGCCGTGGAAAAACGAGAAACGCGCTTCCGGGCCAGAAAGGACATTGGGCAAGCACTCAAAGAATAAACGAAGATCTTGATAATCTTGGGAATAGGTATCAAAGTAGATGGCATCAAAATCGCCAAGAGCCATAGCAATAGAACCATCATCATCGTTCTCTGGCTTCATAAACTGCTCCCAAGTTCCTTTGAAGATCTCGACGCCAGGACGTTCATGCCAACCACGCTCTTCCATGAATGCAATAACATCCGGATGAGGCTCGATAATCACATGGCGGCCTGGCTTGTATGACTGAATAGCTTCATCAATAATGCCGAGACCAAATCCGACGTTGAGAATGGAAAAGCCTTCTGGTTGACCTTCACACAAAGCACGAGCAGACGCCAGCATGATTTCATTCTCCCATTCGGCCATGACCATATTTTTATCTTTGTCCAAGCAACGCCATTGACCACGCTCGTCCTTGACAAAGGTTAAACGACTCTGCAGGAAATCCGTGTTGGAGTATGTCACTTCATTGTGGGAGCCGGAGACCAAGGTAAGTTGCTCTTGCTCTCCTTCTTTGGTATGCACAGCATTGTCTTCCACCTCATTAGACTCCTGTTCTTGATCCTGGTGTACACGGCGAGAAAGAAGGTCCACAAGGAAGGACTGGCGCTCACCTTCCTGGAATAAGACCTCATAACACTTGACATGGTTCCTCGACCACGCCACATCCGCTGCAGTGTAGCCAAGGTGATCTACCGCATTCCATATAGCCCCATGTTTCAGTAGAAGTCGCACTACATCGACATGACCTGCATCTGCAGCATAGTGCAGCGCATCCCAGCCGATCATCTCATCATCCGCATACCAAACATCAGCGGATCCATCCCAATCTTTTCCTGGGTTTGTGACGGAAAGAAGGAGCTCGCACTGATCGACATTTCCTGACGCTGAGGCACGGTGTAGAGCCAGATTGCAGTTGACACGCTCTGCGCTCAGACCTTGCTGCTCTGCCATGACAGGGGAGAGAGAAAAACTACGAAGCCACGTGGCGATGATGTCGACACGCGCTGACCCACTGAGGCTTGCTATTTATCGGGCATGTCGCTGTTTGGCGCACCGACCTCCAACACAGCAGGCTCAAACCCTCTCACGCGCTCTGTGTCTTTCTCATCCATGAACACGGCCAAACCGTTCTCCTTTGGAGCGTCGTCCACTAACAATGCTCCAGCGACACAAGCTGGCAGTTTATTTAGCTCAGCGCCTACGAACGCGGCTACCAATACCACCACTACGTCTGGTGGTTTGTTCGGCGCAAGCACAGCCGGTACTACCAATACCAATACATCTTCGGGTGGATTGTTCGGAAAGCCAAACACTCAAGGCACATCCACAGGCCTATTTGGAACCCAGCAGCCCTCAACAAATACAACACAAAGTGGTGGGGGGCTTTTTGGCGCGCAACAACCCTCGACGAATACGGGATTTGGTGCCTCAGCGTCCAAGCCTGCTGCGCCAGGTGGTCTTTTCGGCGCACAGCCTTCGAATCCTGCGCCTAGTGGGGGCCTCTTTGGGAGCACAACGAATAACCAGGCGCCGTCTGGTGGGCTGTTTGGTACCCAAAACAACAATGCCAACCAAGGCACAAGCCTGTTTGGTGCGTCTGCGCCATCAACACAACAAAATGGCCCTTTCAGCACGACGCAAACCAACTCAGGTGGCTTGTTTGGTGCTTCGACCAATACCAACAACCAAGGTAGTACCTCCTTGTTTGGTGCGCCGAAGCCTATGAATGCATCGTTTGGCGCCTCGACAGCCACGTACGTACGCGCACTACTTACCTTTTAGTCCTGCCCAAAATGCATCGCCTCTACAACAGCATCCGTTTTACCAGCGCGAGCGGTACAATGACCTACCTGAAGCGCAGCGCTCATTGCTTGATACCATGGAGAAGTTTATCAACTCTCAGACCCAGATGAAGCATGAGCTGCGTTCACGTAGCTCGACGGATGAAATGCGGCAGCTTATGGCCGACGTTCATGAATTGACGTCGGTTCAGCAAGCGTTGGCTTCGACGTTGGAAGCGGATTCGATCCGACTGCAAACGGTCTCTGCCAAAGTGGAGCAAGATCGGAATGACAATGCGATGCTTCACCAAGTGGCAACGCATGCACGCGACAGGCTAAGTGATGGAAGTAGCTTTGTGGACTGGCTACGTCGCTTCTATGAACGAATTTCGGAAGAGGATGTCGCGCGAATCCAGCGGTACCGTCTCACCATGGAGGTATGTGACAAGCCTATTTACTAATCATAGCAATTGGAGCGGCATCTTCTCTCGCTGAATCAACGTGAGCAATTTGCCCCGCAAGGTATGCACCACCACCGATCTGACGACAGTGATTGCCGATATTATCCATGACCAAAATGCCTCTTTCATGGCGCTTACAGAACACGTGGCGACACTGCATGCTGAGATCGACACCTTAAAGAAAGACTATGTGAAATGGTACCAGAACCGTTTCCAGTCGGTTCGCGATCCCTTCGCGCCTGTGACAGCTGCAGCTGAGCATTAATATAGACAAACATTAGAGTTGAGCTTCCACAAGTTCAAAGTAGCGTCCTCGTTTTTGGAGCAGGGTTTCGTGTGTGCCCTGCTCGACAATCTGGCCATCTTCCACGACGCAAATCATGTCTGCGCTGCGGATGGTGGAGAGTCGATGCGCAATCGTTACCGTTGTGCAGTTCGCTGAGGCGTTGTCCAATGCCCGCTGAACTAGCACCTCCGATTCAGGATCCAAGGCAGATGTCGCCTCGTCCAGTAACAGAATCTTTGGGCGGCGCAGTAGGGCTCGAGCAATACATACACGTTGCCGCTGGCCACCACTCAGCATCGACCCTTTCAGCCCAATCATTGTATCTAGGCCTTCTGGTAGGGCCATCGCAAAGTCCCACACACAGGCTTTTCGACAGGCCTCTTCAATGTCTGCATCCGTAACGTTCTCTGGCTCCGTGGCACCCAGCAACAGATTCCAGCGCAAGGTACCTTCGTACAGAACGGGATCCTGCGAAACAAAGGCCATCTCTGCGCGCCATTGGTGCATCGGAATACTGCGCAAGTCCATGCCACCGTACGTAATTGTGCCTCGGGCTGGGTCATAGAATCGCTGCAAGAGGCTCAATGTCGAGCTCTTCCCACTGCCCGACGTACCGCAAAAGGCCACAGTCGAGTTTTCGGGGATGACCAAGTTCAGGTTTTGAATCGCTGCATGGTTCGGCCGCTGGGGGTAGCGAAGCTCCACGTCGCGGAACACAATATCCCGAGGTCCCGACGGTGGCCACACTGCGACGCTGTCGATGGCCGCCACACGAGGAGTGCGTGAAAGCCATCTGCGGACAACATGGAAGCTATATCGCGCCCGAGCGATATCAGGCGTGAACGTCGTCAGACGCACAGACGCAAACACAGCGACAAAAATGCCCTCAAACACCGCGAAGACATTGAACGCTTCCACATGCCCCTCTTTCAAGAGCGTGACACCCCAGTACATGAGCAGGGCGGCTAAGCCATACAGCGCAAACTGGGCATAGGAGAACGCAGCTGCAGCGATGGCCAGCGTCGCGCCGAAGGGCTTGACATTCTCGCTCTCCTTCTCAAAGTGATCCAGCACATCAGCTTCTCGGCCCAAAGAGTTGACCGTCCCGATGGCGTCAATCACTTCGGCAATGTATGTCGACGTACGATCAATCGGTTCCTGCACCACTGATTCGTATTTCTCCATGAGGCGCACATTGATGTAGCCAGCCACAAGCAGTGAAATCAGCGCTGGGAGCGTGACAATTGCCAAGAGCCAGCCCATGACCATAGCCATAATAAAGGAGCTCAGCAGGTTGCCGAGGGAAATAATAAGCTGGCATAGCACCACACCCATGGACGCGCCAATGTTCGAGGCATGATTAAAGATAGCTGCGCCTAGCGCACCACTAGAGTGCTCTTTCTGGTCAAAGAAAGCTACCTCCTGGCTCATCAATGCCTGGAGGGAGCGCACCTTGATATGGTCCGACAACCGCTCGGACGCCGTCTCCAAGAAGAACGAGGCGCCAAAGCCAAGGAAAATGTTGATAATCGAGATAATAAAGAACCAAAGCGACCATTTATCCGTATCGTGCCGCATGCGCTGTAGGTCGCTGAAACCAAGCGACTCAATCGCATAGCCAGACAGCCACGCAACAATGGGGAACGACACGGCAAGGCATGTCGCCAGAAGCGAGCCGATAACAATAAGCCACCACTGCTTGCGCAGAAGCGAGACGAAGTGAATGGTCTTTTTGCTCTCCGGGGGACCCACTTCGATATCCGGCATCGCTCGGGCCTTTTCTTCTTGCTCCAGCGCATACAGCTGCGATGGCTCGTTGCGTCGCTCACTCGCATCCCAGGACGCGGACATCAGGCCACTTCCGCCACGTGACGCCACATCGTGCTGAATGTGATTCGCATTCTGGACATACGACAGCATCGGTGACTCAGCCTCTTCGGTATAGTTCATACGCTTCACATGCTTGGGCCGCCAGGAACTGGCGAGGTCCATCGGCGCGTCATCGTCCTCCTCCTCGTCTGCAGTGAGGCCCGACGCAGCGCGATTATGCATCACCATCTTGTGATACGTGCCGTGACGAAGCTCAAGCAGCTGCGAATGCGTACCACGCTCCACGACTTGGCCATTTTTCATAACCACAATCTGGTCGGCATGCTGAATCGTAGATAAACGGTGTGCCACAATGATCGTCGTCATGCCACGTAGCTCCTGCTCGACCTTCAGGTTCTCCTTGATCTTCTCTTCTGTGGATGAATCCAGGGCAGACGTCGCTTCATCAAGACACAGCACCTGCGGTTCACGGACCAGCGCACGAGCAATAGCAATACGCTGGCGCTGCCCACCACTGAGATGCACATTGCGGCCACCGGAGATGTATGTATCCATTCCCTCTGGCAACTTACTCACAAAGTCCCATGCCTCTGCCTTCTTCAACGCGGCAATGACTTTCTCACGCACCTCCGGGTCCTCCATCGAAAACGACATGGCCAGGCCGGCCGACAAACCCATCGCCACATTCTCGGCAATGGTGCCACTGAACATTTGCGGGTTCTGACGAACCACCGAAATCTGGGAACGCATCCAACGCACATTGAGCTCACGCACATTGACGCCGCCAAAGAGGACACGGCCCTGACCTGGGACAATGTCTGTCTTCTCACTGGCCTCCAGCAACGCCTTTACCCTGTCCTCTGGCAAGTCCTGCACAGAGTCTGGATCGTACTCGCGGCTCAGCAGCGACGTAATTGTCGACTTACCACTGCCCGACGGACCGACCAAGGCTGTGACGGTACCCGGCTTGAAATCAATGCTAACATCCTTCAAGCTGGCAACGTACGGGCGCGATGGGTACGCAAACGTGACATGCTCCAATGCGAACGATGGCGTGTAGGTTGGCATATTGATGGGCAGTTCCTTGGTGCGTGGCATGCCAAGAATGCGGCCCTCGGTGCTGCGCACGTCAATACGGGGGTGCCGCTCAATCGTCAAGCGCATCTTGTGCAATGTTGTCAGGCTCTCTAGAATGCTTTGGAAATGCGAAATCACCATCGTCAAGCTGAAAAGCATGTTCAGGTAGTTGAAAAAGCTCGAAATTACTGAATCCATTCGCTCACGGCCCTCGTTGATCAAGATCGAGCCCCACCAGAACCCAAGAGCATAGAGGGCTGTCACAACAAAGTACATGGCCGACAAATCACCACCACGTACTAGCGAGCGGATGGTCACAACGCGAGCCAAAGGCTTGATATACAAGGAGCGCATCCGCTCAATCAGGGTCTGAGTAAGTTCGAAACTGTGGACCACGCGCACAGAGGCAATCACTTGCTCAATAAACGTTGACAGTCGACTGTCCACGGCCAACACGGTGGAAGTAACGCGGTCCGACAAGATGCCCAGCACGGTCAACACCAGGCACGAAAACACAAACATGGACAACAACACACCAGCATGCACAGGCGCACGTGAGAGCGCCATGATCAAGCAGGTAATAATGGTACCAATGGCATTTAAAAGGTAGCCGAGCTTCTCGCCAAACGATGCGCGCAGCAGGGTAATATCGCGATTCGCATGCGTCGCAATTGAACCAGGCCCATGCTCATCGTAATAGGTTGGATCCTGGACAAGAGCTGCAGCAAAGTAATGGTTGCGCAGACCTGTCGCAAGCTGGTGCGAACCATGTGACAAGAGCACCAAAAAAAGCCAGTTGGAGATGAACGAATAGGCACCAATGATGACCGATACCCAGGCCAACATGTCATTGTAGTGCATAGCAGGTTGCAAATTATCGACATGGTGTGTCGTATTTTGCGTCCAGTAGCCATACACAATATCAATAGCACCAATGCAAACACCAGACGACAAACCAAAGAAGATGCCCAGAACATAGCATGTATAAGGATGTTTGAGAAACTGCCATGGCTTCATCAATGGTGACGGCAGTGGGGGCGCAAACGATACATAGTATAGCAAATCAGGGAGAGATGATTTGTGTGGTGCAATGAGAGGGCGCCGAAATGGTGCCTCATATTGTTCCATGGTATCCCATAGAGTGATTGTGGCAACTGGAGAGTCCGCCTCGACGCAGAATTTTTCCTTTTTTGACACGACAATGTGGAGTACATCTCTATGCCAAGAAACGCTATGACTCAAAGTCCACTAAATAAGTACCGAATTTCCTGCTGACTCAGGTGATTGGGTTCTGTCGTTAATGAAAAATAAAGCACACGCACTCTTATGGGTGCTGTCGAGGGTGAGTGTACCATACGATACATACGATTGTCCTTCCAATGCCGCCTTAGCCAGCTGCCGTTTTTTCTCCTGCATGTGAGAAACGCATTGAACGTACCTGGAGAGCCAAAATCCTCTCTTCCACCGTGCCAGCAATGGACAGTTTGTAAATATAAACGCTTTTTGTTTGGCCCAGTCTATTGTGAGAGAGACTTCCACGTACCTATGCGCACGATCAAACGCTTGCTCTTCAATTTGTGGATTCCACCATAGATCGCATAATATAACACGATTGCAGCATGTCAAGTTCAAGCCTGTACTTCCTGCCTTGAACGAGATCAGGATCACTTTCACGCCAGGGTCCATTCGAATTCGTTGTAAGGCAGCTTCTCGCGCTGGCCGTCGCATTGCGCCATCATACCGCACGAAATCATACCCACGAGCCTCCAAAGCCGGCTCAATCAAGTCCAGGAATGTAGTGAACTGACTAAAGATAATCGTCTTGTCGTCTTTCGCTTGCTTGTCAAACGAGGCGAGCAGATCCATCATCATCGTCAGCTTGGTCGACATAATACCTGGTCCATCCCAGTGAATGCCGCCTTCTTGCTCGTGCTCCCTCTGCTTTGCACAGCCTGGGCACAATGCACTTACTTGCTCGGTCGAGGCTGCTTCCAGCTCCACTTGGCATCGCTCACAACGACGCGTTTTCACGGACAAGCCCGACAACAGCGCAGCCAGTTCATCGTCTTCGTCTTGGACAGATACCACAGGCTCAGGCTCTGCTTCTTCCGTCACTGGTACCGCCGCTTTTCCCGTGACAAGCACAGGGTGGTTGCAAGCCTGGCGCAAACGCAATAGCATCAAGAGAACGCCCATGTAATTCATCTTAGACTCGCCATTCTCTTTCAAATGCGTTTGAATGCGCTGCTCTAACTCCCGATAAAAGTCCCTTTCGTGGGTCGATGTAAAGTCATGCGAGACAATTTCAACATTCCTGGGCGGCAAATCCAGCAAGCGACGACCCTGGTACTCAGCATCCTTGGTCCTCCGAATCATGATCGATTGCAATACGACACCTAGACGACGCATACCGAGATCAATGCGCTCTTGTTTGTTGCTTTTCAGGGGATCACTTATTTTCTCCTGGAAATGCTTCAGATCATCAAAGGGCGGAATACGTAGGAAATGAATCAAGCTAAAGATCTCCAGAGCATTGTTTTGTAGCGGTGTGCCCGAGATGCACCATCGTGATGCGGCCCGAAGCGATAGTTGGAAGCATGCTAGCGAACTCTTCGCGCGATAATTCTTAATGTTTTGCGCCTCGTCAAGTACCACACGCAGCCAGTTCATTTCGAATAAGGGGTATCGTGGCTGTGCTGTGCCTTTCTTTTTTTCTGAGGCCGGTTTGAATTCAAGTTCTTCGACATCTGAGCTGTCCGAATCGAGCAATGCCTCCGATTTGGTTTTTTCTTTGCGACGACGCGTGGATGGGGCTTGGGGAAGAGCGCCTGTTGCTTTTAAAAAATTATCATGCTCGTTGGCGGCTGTGGCATACGATGTAATCACAACATCGGCCTTTTTCAACGTGTCCACAGTTTTTGCTCGCTGAGGGCCATGGTGAATATACACGCGGAGTGCATGGCCTGTCTTATCCTGGGCTTCCCGCTGCCACTGTTCAATCACAGCTACGGGTGCCACAATCAATGTTGTTTTGGTGTTAGATGACCAGACTTCTTTTTGGTACGACGCCAACAAATCATCTGGATCTACATCCGAGGCCTCCGCCTCTTCCTCCTCGATCGTAGTTTGGAGACGATCAAGTGATCGATGGTGCAGGATGAGCGCTAGCATTTGCACTGTCTTCCCAAGACCCATATCGTCGGCCAAGATACCGCCCTTTGCCTTCCCATGTTCACGCCTGCGCATCCAATCTACGCCTTGAATTTGATGCGGTAGCAACATGCATTTCATGCCAGGTACACGAGCCTTGTCCAAGTCCACTTTGTTCATCACTGTCACGATTCCAGAAAGCATCTTTTGTAGCTGCTTATCGCGCTCTGCTGCCGATATATGCGGCTGAGAGGCCAAGGGCGTCGTACTGCCAGGCGTATTGGTATAATACTTTCCAGATCGATCCGGAGTCGCAGGTCGCGGGGTTGGCGTTAAGAAGCCACGTCGGCTCATGGCTACGCGTGTAGGCGTACTTGTAGAAGCACCCCATTGGGGCCGAGCACGATCGGGTGTATGTACAGGGGTTGAAGTCTGAAAGGGCATCATTTTCACGCGAGGTTCCGTGCGCCATGGCTGGATGGATGGGATGGTTTTCCCTTGTTTCGGCGTTGCAGGTGTAGACGGTGTATCCTGCTTTTCCTCTGTCCTCTTTGCGCCTGAGGGGCTATTCAAGCCAAGCTGCTGCGCCAAGAGGCGCTGCCGCATGGCTTCCATGGCGGCGAGTGTTGGTGGTCGTAAGCGTGTTGCGTCCCACGCGTGGTCGTTACGGTGCACGTGATATGTGTCTATGGGCGCCTACGCACTGCGGAAGCTTTGGCCACTTTGGCTTGGGCCGCTGGCTTCACATCGTCGTCCAGGGGGGTATAAGAGCGCTTCTTGCTTGTGTAGTGGGTATCTAGACGTGGCTCTTTCTTTAGTGCATGCTCTCCAGATGGAAAGGTTGTGGGTAAGTACTTGTTCATAGAGGGAAGATCAGCATAAAACAGGACCTATACGTAAGCCGATCCATCACGTACCGAATGCGCCCAGCCAGCTCGGTGACCCCAGATGCGCCGAAGTTTCTCTGCGACCTCTTCATACTTTTTCGATCGGATGCCATACCAGCGCTCTGCGAATTGGAATACATGCCGGTCGACAGGGATACTGGACGCTTGGTCCAACGACATAAGTAGGATACAGCTACAGTCAGTGCCAACATATACATACTCGGCGACTTTGGGCCCGATACCGGGCAAGAGAAGTAATTTCTCGCGCGCTTCTTCATAAGACATGGAACGAAGGGAGTGTAGGTACGTATACACCTGTTCATCAAGGCGGGCCGGCTTTGGCTCGGTGTCTGGCAGTAGATGCTGCTGTGCCATCTCGACCAAGGCTTGGGCGGTCCCTGCCAGGAACTTTGCACGGTACCCAAATCCGAGAGCGCGCAAACGTGTTTCCACATCCGGCGCAGCGAGACGCGTAGGCGAAGGGAATGGATGGTATGGAATATGCAAGGGCTCAGTATCGATTTCACTTGCCATGTACACGTCGTCTGGATCCATCGATTTGCAAATTCGCGACCCCTTCGGGTATGTGTGGGTACAGAGGGGCTCGGAAAAATAATCGCACAGCTTATGCACCATCTGACTGATTCGCGCAATGTTGTTGTTCGAGCTGCAAATGAATCTGGATGTTAGTAGTACTATACATACGCGCATAAGCATTCCCATGGATCCTGGCGTAGCATATGAACTCCTGCAAAGCGACGTGCGTGTTTGGCAAAGATCGGATCGCGTGTGCACCAATCCTTGTACCATTCTTCAATGGGCACCGACAGGTTCAGGTAGTCACGTAGCCACTCTTCTGTGGTGATCTGAGTTTTTTGGTCTTGAGCATATACTGTGCGATGGTACAGGCAGTGCTGCACAGGGTCGTGAATAAGGAACACGACGCGGTGTGGCAAGCACAGCGACCATTCAATGTGGACCTGGCCATCGGGTAGGCATCGCGTAGCTACCGCACGCCATCGAAATGCCTGACCACACTGATGCCCCAGCATGAGCGGGAGCACCATCTGTGTAGAAGGGGCTAGACGTAGGCACTCGTACCCTGCCGGCGTCATGTTGGTGAAAGAGACACCGAGGCGGCAGGACTGCATCTTGTGGAGGTTTTGGGGGTCGCAGGTCGTCGACTCTCTCCACCGTGCGGCCAGGTATGGCAACGAGCGACAGGGGCCCACCGTCGCATTTGTCGGCTGTGGTACGCCCGCGGCCTACCGGACGCTACATTTACGAGTCGTCGTCCGACGAAGATGGCGAGGATGGCGAGGTATGGCCTCGGTCTAGTCGGCGTTTCCCGCTTTTGGACTCGGATGCCTCCAGTGACGAAGGAGGCGAGCCGACATCGCATGCCCGTCGCGATGTCGCTTCTATTCGCTTAGCGAATGAAATGGATCCATGGGATCAGTGGGAGCTTACATGTCGCGAGCGGGCGTGGAAACCCGTGCACCGCGCTCGATCGGTAGCGCCATCCACAGGACTTACGCCAGCGCCTGACGCTGGTGTGGACGAGATCAACACGATTCTCGCCAAGTTCCAATTACAGCAGCAGGCAACAGAGAAGAAGGAGCGTGAAGCGTTTGAGAAGCGAAATGCTACGCTATGGGAAGGCATTGAAGCGGCTATCCGGCAGGCCGAGCAGCGCGCGGCGCAGGAAGCCGAGCAGCTGGCCGAGGCGCGACGGAAGCAAGAACGAGCCGAAGCGGAGGCCAAGCGCGCACGCGAAGCTGAGCTGCAACGCATCGAAGACGAGAAGAAAGCGGCAGCCGCGCGTAAGCAGGCTGAAGAGGCTCGTCAGCGCGAAGCGGAGGCGGAGGCTGCGAAGGCAAAAGCACAGAATGTATTCCGCGGTGGTGAACATGTATGGGCCGCGGCCAAGGACGAATACGAGCATTGGCAAGCACGTATGGCCTATATCAAGACGGATATTCTACCTAGCATTGCGCAGCGGCCTGACTGGCGCAAACAGTGCTTTACTGCGAAACGGGCCATCACGCCCAAAGTCGGGCAGTTGACCAACTCTCGTGCGGAGATTGTGCGGATCACGGCGGCGATCGGTGCCGTGCTACAGCAGGCGCGTGACGTGCCTGATAAAGAGGCGTCTGAACGGCTGTACTACTGGTGCCTGAACCATCTAGCCAAGTGCCTTATCCGGCAGGCCGAGCAGGAAGTGGCCGCACGCCAAGAGACGGCGTTCCCCCTCGCGCGACTGGTTCTAGGTCTTTTCCTCCAGGGCCATACTGCTCTTGGTGATGTGCTTATGGCGCGTCTCGTGAAAAAATGTGTCTGGGTCCTAGCGTATCTTCCGCCACGTGGCTCGATGGACGAAGCCGAGCACCGACGTCGACTGGGTTTTAAGCCTTGGGACGAGTCGGCGCAGAGCTATGCGTCGCGGATGACGGGCATCTGTGCGCTGTACTTTGCATGTCTACAAACGCCGCTGGCATCTGTCGCGGATGCGAGTGGCTTGCCGGCTGGCCAGAGCTTGGCCGAGGCTGCGAAGCCCATCCCTTCGGTGTTCCGCCCGTTGCGGTTGTGGGTCTGGCAAGTGCGGGCGATGACGCCGCCCATGGCCGAGCAGGCGTTTATTGTGGGCGTATGGTGCACGTTCCTGGAAGTAGCTGGGCCATGTGTGTGTACGCGCTATGGACGCCAGGGGGCCAAGATGTGGTCGCTGCTCTTGGACGAAGGCGTTGCGCAGGCCAAGTTGGGGGCGCGAGAGAAGGACGATGCACAAAAAGCGGCGCTTGTACGTTTGCAGCTCATGCTGGAGACGTGGCGTACGACGCAGTCTCTGGGCGACCATGTGTCGCGGGGCCGCGAGATGGATCCCTAATGTATCATACATAACTAGCTAGCTCAACCACTACGGAGCGATTCTGTACAAAGAAGAAAGGAGGGTATAATGCATAGATACATACATGTCTGCCATATTTCGATATTTGGTATACATATACAACAATAACAACAACAGACGTATATATACTATATGGGAGGCGCGTCTCCTTACGGCGAAGCAGCAGGGAGAATCGTAAGCAAGATCCGCGCTACCAAGAGAGGCGTCGACTCGTCATGCACTGCCGGATTGGGCGTGTGACGTGTATTCTTGTGCTCGTCCAGGATCTCTGTGCCATTTTTCAGCAGGATATGGATCGGCAACTGCATCGGCAGACGCTGCGCATCGCCCAGGTCCATCGGCACACGACCTGCCAGCTCATGCGCATCATCGTACCAGCCGAGCCACTGCAGCCACGACGGCCAGTTTTGGTGCAAGTCGGGACGCGATGGCGCATAGAGCTCGGCGACGTACTCTGGCTTCTGTGTCGTATGCTGCAAGGCATCACGCAGATCGCGTGGGAACGACGCTTCCGAGGTCATCAGCGGGATCGAGATAGCTTCGCCTGGCCGGCCACTGACGAGCTGCAGTCGCGGTGGCTTGGCATGCGTAAACGTCACGGAACGCGTCTCGGCCATGTGAATCGAGGCCATGGTACTGGATTTCGGCATGGCGCGCTGCGTCGTCGCTGTGGACGACGTCTTTGTCTTCGCCGGGGCCCCGCCAGAGCTTATACGCACAGCCTTCGTCGGCATCGTAAACAAGCGCTGCTCGTCCGGGATGTGCAAGAGCGAGGCAAGGCCGCCTTCTGTGGCACGCACCTCGGCCAAGGGATCCGGCGATGGCGGCGGCGCTGTCTCTGTCGACGCGAGCTTCTCTGTGCGCTCCCACGCCAGTTCCTCTTCCTCCATCGGCGGCTGCTCCTGCGAGAGAATCGTGCCGTACGGGTACCAATCGAATGCCTCTGGATCGACATCCATTTCGCTCGCATCGTCGAACATGTGCTCTTGGTCGAGTAGCTGTGCACGAATTGGCGCTACGTCTTGCGGCTCGACTTTCATACTGCTCATTTTCTGGTGCCGCGATGCTTTTTGGACACGCGGCGTGTACGAAGGGACACGGCCTGTCTGGCGGCGCTGCGTCGATCGCGAGGCGGCAGAGGCAGGTCGTTTCTGGCTCTCTCGCGATGGTTTCCATGGCGCTGCGTCACTTGCGATCATCGGCGAAATGAGGCCACTTTCCACAGGTATGGTCAGGCGTGGTGGCTCACTCAGACCAGGCAGGAGCGGCGAATGCGTAAGCTCCGTCGACAATGGTGCGAGTTGCGGCGCTCGCTCCATGGGTTCTTCGTCCTCGAGCGTCGGCGAGGCAATTGCGCGATTCCATCGAGCCAGGCGTTCCAGCGATACATCCGAGTCGTCGTTCACCACGGGCGACGCGACGGACGGCAGCTGCGGCGGCGAGGCGGCCGCCGTCCCTTCTGGCTCTGCCTCCACATCCACCAGAATGGGCGACAATGCGCCGTCCAGCGGCGTATCCAGGCGCGGGGGCTTCATTGCTCCCGTGGCAGCTGCAGTCGAGGCCCGCGAGGCGGCGCGCGAACTGGCGCGCGTAGCCGGCGCTAAGCCGCGATCCGAGTGACGACGTGTGCGCGCCATGCCCATATGGGAGGCAGGCCGTTGCGAGGTACGCTCCGCCTTGGCACTCGCACTCACCGGCATGCTGCCCATTGACATGGGGCGGGGCGGACGATCAGAATGGCGGCGTGCACGTCGCGACGGGGCACGGTCAGCCACGATGTCACCACCTTGAGCGGAGCTGGCACGCGATACACCGCCGCCCAGACTGCTACCGCTCATGATGGAGATGGGGCGGGAGTGCGAGGCGCCCATGCGCATCGGCACAGGCTCTTCGTACCACAGATCTTCTTCCCAACTCTCGCGTGTGCTGCGACTGAGCGAGGGCGTAAAACCGTCCTCGTAGTACTCGCCCTCCATCTCAGGTGACGTCTCAAAGACGCCACGCATACCCAGCTCGTGCTCGTCGGCCTCCTCGTCGGAGACCTCTTCAACGGTAGGCCTAGGTGGCATCGATGCATCGGTATGCGAGGAGCCACGCAGACCGTCCAAGATATGCGCGGGACGTGGCACGTCGTCTCGATCTTTCTCTGCCTCGTACAACGTACCTTCTGCTGGCGCTGCCTGTGCGTCCTCCGCACGTGAGAGCGAGGTGTCGAGGAAGCTGTCCATGGTCACGGGCGGTGCAGCGACAGGGCTAGGGATGGAAGGAGCGGATTCCTTCGGCACCTCCGCCGCTGTGACAATATGAGGAGGCGCGGTCTCTTTCGGCACGTCAGCAGCTGTGATAATGGGCCGCGGAGCATCTCGTGGCGCCCTTGGCGGACTGGTCCACACAGCGCCTTGAATGGCAGGCGCCGCCGCGGACGTATCCGCCTCGTCCTGGTCTCCTGTCGCAGGCACGATCGGTGTCGTGTCGGTCATAGTCGACGTGTCAGCCGTCGTGTCGTACACCACAGGCGCCTCGGCAAACTTCACCGAGTTGGCCTTGAGTGACTTGTTCGCCATGGCATCATTCTCCCGCGCTGAGAGCACAATCGGCTCCACAATTTGCACCGACTTGCGCTTCTTGGAGGGAGGCGGCATTGCCTCCTCAGCCTCCGGCGCTGCCTTCGCAGACGCTGCATCGCCTGCTTCCAGGTCAGGTGTCGCGGTCGGCGAGCTTGTGCTCTTCAAGCCGGAGGCCGTAGCAATGTTGCTGATCAGACCGGCAATGCCACGTGCGCGCCAACTGTCACGCTTGGGCGCTGGCCCTTCCTTCTCCTGGTTGTACGTAGGATAAGTTTCTTCATAGTGACCGCCGTCTGGCTGATGTGTCTCGTAGGGTGCATCGTACGAGGCGTAGCCCATAGCATGCGAGGGGTACGGCTGCCATGTCGACTGCGAAAGGAAGGGAGTAATATCCACGTGGTCATTTTCACGCTGCCACGGCGGCTCGTCGGCCGGCAGAGTTTGTGTCACCATCTCTTCGGGCTGAGACGCGCGCATGGATGTAGGACGTGAACTGGCCGGGGTCCGCCGAATTGTCGACGCTGGATCATCGGCCGGCGTGGGTGCACGAGGTCCACTCGGCGTCTTCACGCGCGCCCCACTAAAGGTCGAGGAGGCACGGCGTTGCGACATGGAACGCCTGGCACCGGCCGCCATGGCTGCTGTGCCTGCTGCTCCAGCGCCGACGCCGGCAGCTGCAGCCGCGGCCGCCTCGGCAGGCGATGTAGCATTCGTGATAATGTCCGGCGTTGGCGCGTGCGCCGCCATCTCCTCTGTGTTGGGATGACTGTAGGGTACACGCACAATATCTTCTTCGACTGATGGGCCGGCAGCGGCGCCAGTGCCTGTAGCGGCTCCGAGACCAGCCACGTTCGAGGCGCCGCTGGATACAACCATGGGCGGCTCTTCCAACGACTCCATCGGCTGCATCGTTTCAGTGGGAGCCGTTGCCGCGAAGGCATCACCAGCAGATGCATCGGCAGACTCTGTGTGACGCATCGCACGACGACGTCGACGGCGCAAAAAGAAGCAGCATAAGCCAAACAATGCAGCGAGCACCGCAGCACCAAGAATAGAGCCGGCAATCGCGCCTTTCTCACCACCAGTCAAGCCATGATCTTGATGCACAGCTGCCGGCTCTGTCACATTGGGCTTGGCAGTTTGACTCACCAGCAACTGGAACTGATTTGCAATGGTCGGCATCACCCTGTTGGGCGCCGGGTTGTCCACCTGCATGTTGACCAACACTTGCTGGTTGTTCAAAGGCGCCGTACCCTTAATTGCGTTGAGCGCCGTGTCGTACTCGACCCAGCCAGGCGCCGCTCGACGCCCAATATGATGGTGATGTGCCCAGTCGGCCGGGAGAAGGGACCGCTTGGCCAGGACCGAGTCAAATGTGACATTGACAGGCGTCGTAGGGTCACGCAAGTACTTGTCCAGCGAGATATCAAAGTCTTTTCCACTCTGTACTGTGACATTGGGCAGCGTCGCCATGGTGAACGGCGATGGGTACACTGACAACGAGAGATTCACCGTCGTTGGCAACGCACCAGGATGCGACACCTCAATAGGCACAGTAAAGTTCTGAATCTGGGTCTGATTCTCCGTAAACGGCGCAGTGCCCACGAGAGATTGCGATGCCTCGTCATACGAAATCCACGGGGGCACGCCTTCGCCCATAGAAAAGGAGTAGTCTTGCGGACTCTGGCTAAAACCGTCGAGGATGAACAAGTCCTTTGGCATTGGGTACTGCAGTGGTGTGCCTTCTGTGACATTCGCCATGGGCAATGCACCTACCGTGTTGTTGATCGTGACAATGCCCTGGCCCAGCAAGATGGAGAATGTACTGGAGGGGCCACCCGTGTTGGGCCTGTTCGAGCCAAACAACACCACGTCAAAGCGTGTGCCATTCGGCCCCGCTTGAGTGGGTGCAATACCGGAATAGGTCATCTCCTCCTCATTAAACACAAGCCAGTTAGGAAGAGGAGTGGCACCCTGAAGATACGTGGAATAGTACACACGGTCGTCGTTCGGCAAGTAGAATGTTTCACCCGAAAAACCAATGCTGAACGACCAGCCCAATGGCATATGTAAAACATTGCCAGGAAGCATATTTCCGTAGCCCATAGAGGCTGCTTTGGGAAGCTGGTCAGATAACGAGACATTGAGCTTAGGCGCCGGCGCTGAGATCGTAGTCAGTGTGAAAGAAGAGCTTGCATCTGACGAGCCATCAGACGCTGTAATTGTCACATCGTTCGATTGATCTTGTCGGCCACTTTTGGTAGGTTTGCCGCTAATACGCCCTGTGGCCTTGTCGAACTTAGCCCAGCTCGGCAGGCCGTCTGCTTGGTATCGCAGCTTGCTGTCTGTATCAGACGTAAAAGTGTTGGGCAAAAATGTCCAGTCGTAGGCCTGGTCGACATGGGCTAGGGGAGGAAGCTGCTGCGCAAGATTCACAGTAACGCTGACATCCGCATAAACAGCTTGCAATAGGGAGAGCATGGCCAGCAGTCCCCATGCCGATACCAGTTTGGATCTCCACGCAGTGGATGAACACGTAGGCATATGAGAAGAATGATAAGGAGAAATGTAAATATGGGTGCCCTCGCTCCTGCACTTGATGAAGTTTAGGGTAATACAGGTACCAGATCGATCACACAAGCTATTCAGCAAACACTTGCGCAATCAAGATCAGGTAGCAACGAAACAACTACGCAGAAGCGTCGTGAGGACCTGCCTCAACGTTGATCAACAAGGATGTAGTTAGGGGATGAATGTCACCTACGCGTGTGTATGCCTCAGATGCAGGATAGTAGAATCTGACCCAATATGTCTGCCCCTCCCTATGACGCGTGCGCGACTGGGTATCTCGACCCATCATGTTGGCCTATGCTCTACATTTTCATGTTGATTCACACTCCACTCGTATACCTCCACATGTGGCCGCGCGCAGTCTCTCGGTGATCGCGCACTAGCGCCATGGCCTGGTATACTCGAATAAGACATGACGGCAATGACGTTGAGACTGCGATAACATCCCAGTCTATCGTCGCTACATAGAACATACTTGTATAATTCTTTCTTTTTGCTCTACACGCTCTATTTGCTTCAAGATATAGCAACGAAGCCATCACATGGACATACGCAACAATTCACCTGGTGTTCTTACCCTCGACATGGCCAGAGCTTTTGTACTGATACGTTTTCTAGCAGTGTATGTGAATGAACGGTGTTTAGTGTTGGTAAGGGAAGCCTTCGCATGGAGAGTCAAGATGGACTAGCGGTGCAAAATTGCTTACGTAGTACACTGCCGCCCTTGACACGTACGGCGCATCCAGCGTGCTTCATCGCTCATGTCCAACAAGCAGTACAAGACACTAGGCGAGGACCTGTGGCGTCAAGGGACACAGAAAGTGGTACGTCTTTTGTGTAACTCATATGTCAGAATGCTGAATTGTTTACATTGACATATGGCGCGTTGGTCGTCCAGCTCCTGAAAGACTATGAAGACTATGAACAGGTGAACACGCAATTGGACAAGATGTACGTTGAGCTATACTACTAACATGTAGGGGCTATAATATCGGAACACGCCTAATTGAAGAGTTTCTGGCGCGTAGTCAACTTCCTAAATGCACTGATCTCCGTGAAATGTCGGAGATTGTGAGCAAAGTGGGCTTTAAAATGTTCTTGAACATAACTCCGAACGTATCTTTCTCTAGTACGAGCGGGAATGGCAGTGCAACTACTTCAAATGCCAATCAGAGCTCAGCGTCTGCATCTGTTTCCCACTCCAATACCCCTGCTGTGTCCAGTGATACTGGTATGGACACCAGCGCAGGTCTCAAAGAGTTTACGTTGCAATTCCCAGAGAACCCGCTCGCGGAGTTTGTTGAGCTTCCAGAGGATGCGATTCGTGGCGGCCTATGGTACTCAAATGTGCTAGCTGGCGTGCTGCGTGGGGCTCTAGAAATGGTTCAGATCCAGACAGAGTGTGCCTTTGTATCGGACACCTTGCGAGGCGACGACACAACAGAGATTCGTGTCCGCCTGCAGAGGTTCTTGGAGGAAGAAGCCCCGCCTGCAGACGATTAGGCTGTTATTATTATTATTCTTTTGCTATCATCACCAACATGTAGTATGGAACCCAATATATCTCTATGACAAAAGACGTACATATACGATTTGTGTATTAAGCATATATGATTGTGGATAGGTGCCTAGGCGCAACTTAGTAGTTCGAGGGGTACAGGTGCGTCGACGGGTCAAGCATCGACTCCTTGATCGTACGTGGCGACACGAAACGGAAGAAGATGTTCATACTACCAGCCTTGTCGTTCGTACCCGAGCCACGCGCGCCACCGAAGGGCTGTTGGCCGACCACGGCACCAGTGCACTTGTCGTTGTAGTACATCATACCCGATGCGTTGCGCAGCAGGTTGCTGATGTGGATGAGAGCGTGACGGTCCGAGGCGAAAATCGAGCCAGTGAGAGCGTACTCGGTCGTAGAGTCGACCAACTCGCATGTCTCTTCAATCTGGTCGTCAGGGTAGGCGTATACGGTAATCACAGGGCCGAAAATCTCCTTGACCATAGTCACTGAGCGGGGGTCCTTGGTTTCGATGATCGTCGGCTGCACGTAGTAGCCCTTCGAGTCGTCACCCGTGCCACCCACCAGGACTTCACCACCAGCCTTCTTGCCCTCCTCAATCAAGCCCATAATCTTGTCGAACGAGTGCTTCGCAATGACAGGGCCCATAAAGTGCTGGAACTGCTCCACAGGGCCAAGCGTCAGCGACTTGGTACGCTCAACCAGCTTCTCCTTCAGACCGCCTTCCCACAGCGACTTGGGTACGTAAAGACGCGAAAGAGCACTGCACTTCTGACCCTGGTATTCGAACGCAGCACGGATGCACTGCGTCGTAACAACGTCAATGTTCGCCGACTTGTGGATAAAGTGGAAGTTCTTGCCACCAGTCTCACCAACAATGCGAGGGTAGCCACGGTACAGGTCCAAGTTCTGCGAAATCTGCTTCCAAAGCGACTTGAACACAAACGTCGAACCGGTGAAATGCAGACCCGCAAAGTCACGGTGGTTGATCGCAGCACCCACCACGGGCTCAGCCGGACCAGGGACGAACTGAATCACACCTGGGGGTACACCAGCCTCCTCAAAGATCTTGTACACAAGGTAGTTGGAGTAAATAGCCATAGGCGAAGGCTTCCACACCACGACGTTACCGACCATGGCAGGGGTCATCACGAGGTTACCAGCAATGGCGGTAAAGTTGAATGGCGAAACAGCCAACACGAAACCCTCAATGGGACGGTACTCCGTACGATTCCAGACACCAGGCGAGTTGCGTGGCGGCTGAATCTGGTACATATCATCGACGTACTTGACACCAAAGCGCAAAAAGTCGCAAATCTCAGCACCGGCATCAATTTCAGCCTGCCAAACGTTCTTACCCTGACCAACCATGGTAGCAGCAAGAAGTTTGTAGCGGTACTTATTCGCAATCAGGTCTGCAGCCTTCATACAGATAGCCGCACGCTCACTCCAGGGCATGTAAGACCATTGCTCCTTCGCCTTCAACGCGCCTTCAATGGCCGTCTGCACCATGTGCTCATCAGCCTCATGATAGTTGCAGAGAACTTGGGCATGATTGCCCGGATTCACCTGCTTGTTCATTTTGCCCGTCTTGAACTCTTGTCCATCAATAATGACAGGCACCTCGAAGGGGGCGCTTGTCAGAAGCTCATTGACAGCCTTCTGGAGCTCTTCACGGTCCTTCGAGCTAGGCTCGTAGTTGCGCTATCTTGTAAGTAAATGCTAAATGTACAAACCATAGGCTCATTGTCAATGTTGGGAAGCTTGAATTCACCGAGCGTTGGGGCAACTGGCAACATGGTTAAGGGGGTGAAGGAAAACGGACACCGCACGGCCATAAAAATATGGGTCTCGTCTGACACCCGATGCCCACCCCCTGATTGGCCTGTTTGTAGTCAACTGACACTCCGCATTTGCCAGCAAATCGTTCTTATGCGCTTGCCATCGTAGGTGCGCCAAACGGTATATATACATAGACTATCGTACTGGCGGACTTAGAAGGCACCTTCTTGAGAAAAAAACAAGAAGAAAAAGGCAAGAAGTAGAAAAAAAAAATAAGTCAAAAAAAGAAAGAAAAGAAAAAAAAAGGGAACATGCAGAAAGGTGTTCACACATTAGCAATAGTGGAAACTAAGTGTGTAGCGCCACACATTAATAGACAAAGCCGTCTTTGCCATCAACGTAAATTGGATAGGACAGGGAAGCGATCACCTTCTTCACTACTAGTGGCAGGGAAAGCTTCTGGTGCAGCTGTTGGTTTTGACAACATAGGCCCTGCCTTTGGTGGCAATGATGTTGGTAGGCTTTTAAATGATGATGATGTTGAAGTCATAGTCCTCCCACCAGACGAAAGCGAATATTTTGAAAGCGAGTGTGAGCTTTCAGATCGCGGCATTTCAAGGGACAAAAGCGAGGGTAAACTACCGCTGCGGTGCATTTGAAAGCTCTTGCGGCCCCCAGGCGAGAAATCGATATGCGGATCTGAGGGTATTCGATTCATCGGTGCAGGTTTAAATTCACGATAGCTTGTCTCTGGAGATTTAGGAAAACCAGAAATACGAGACATGGATGAATGGGAGGGAGGCTTGGTGGGGTATTGGTACATTCCAGCATCTTTAACATATCGACTTGGTTCATTAAGCAGTATTGGAGACATTTCAGTAGCAAGCATTTTCTTTGGGAATGTGTCCTCTAATTCAGACACTAGTCTTCCATCATGAACCATCTCTGGAGAGAAATGCCTTTTTCGGGAAGCAGCCATAACACCATGTCCTGGTAAAGGTTTGTCAGTATATATATAACCCGACGGGGGTGCATTTAAATTTGAATTTGGCATACCAGGGCATGGCATTTTGTCAGGGTTCCGAATATGAGAATCCGACGGTGTGTCCAGTGTACGAACATCACTTGCTTCGCGCCTGATAGACGGATCCTCTCTTTTTACCGCCATTGAATAGGGATTCTCCTGGTATCGATTTTTTCCCTGAGATTCATGTATAATCTCTTCGCGGTTTTGCGGATTGATATCATCAAAGGGGTCTTTCCTTTTAGGACTATTTTTATCTTGATCCTTAGATTTTGAGCGGCTCTTTTTCCCCTTCGAGGAAATGATATGCGTACGATAATGCTGGAGGCTATTATCGTAGCGCGAAAATTGGGCATTACATCCAGGGAAAGAACACCTATAAGGACGTTCGCCCGTATGTATACGACTGTGACGAGAAGAATGTCCGCTTGTGGAAAACGTCTTGTCACATCCAGGAAAAGGACAAGGGTATCTCTTCTTTCCATTTACATCAATGCAGTGACGAGGTTCTCTTGATCCTTTTCTTGGTTTAGAGGGGACTGTAGTTGCAGACGTTTGTTTACCTCCAATGTCTTCTGAACCACTTGTTTTCTTTAACTCAGCTTTAGAGGTTAAAGAAGCGTCACCCTGAGAAATGTCCATGGGAAAGTCCTTTTCAATATATGTATCAGAAATAGAGTTACTATCCTTCCGATTAATGACAGAAAGATCTGGTTCACTCGTACGGAGCCCATTCGGCATTGTCTCCGTCTCCGGATGAACGCCACTTTCCCCACTGATATGATTGTCAGTGTGGCTGATAGATCCTGATACCATATTGGATTGGATATTTGGAGAGAAAAGTGAGTCTTTAGCGTGTTGCAATTACGTTACGTGATATCTTGCAAGGACCCGTCCTGAGATGGAGTGGCCAACCCCCTATTGTGTATAAATCTGGCTGTTAGGATTTAAAGGTTGGTGAACTAAAAATCCCAAAAGATCAGAGGGAAGAGGCCAAATATACTCAGCAGTAAACTGAACGAGTCCTATTACGAACACAAGCAAACCAGAGGAAATGTAGCAAGGACCAGCCTGTGACCGCGGCAGATGAAGTTGTAGAGCTCTCCACAAACTGACACTGGCCTTGCTCTCCGTTCGTCAAATGCGCCACTCCTTGACGTAAGCCAGCATCACCAAGTCAATGGAAAATTCAATTTTCATATTCAGGTCCCAGCGAATCAGAAAAATCACATGTTTCGGTGTGTGGCCCTCAACATTTTCTAGCAAATGATCTACGCAATTGAATGCAACAAAGCCGAATAATTATGTATGGTCAATACAAATGGTAGGGTAGTCACGGGTAAAATTATGTGCATGGCAATGAAATATTTCACGACGACCAGCCCCGCGCTTTTCAGAAGAGAGTCGACGACCATTGGGGGAAGCAGCGTAAGGACCTGCTCTGGCATCTGCAAGAGAATTAAGAGAGAGCCTTCTCCTCATGCACACAATAGGGCAGGCTTGTATAAGCATAATATAAGGCCTATTGGACGTATAAACAGATTGATGCCTGTTACTCCATATTTGTGTTGATAGTGGTCCGGAGGAGCCTTGTTAAAGCCCTACCTGTTGTTGCCGTAACGCTTCACGACGAGCTGAACGCTCACGTTTCTCGCGCTTAGTTACCTTGCGCCCACGCTGTTCCACATTAGGTGAAACACTGGGTGGCATAGAACAGTCCATACCCAAGGGGCTGGCGTCTTCTGTTTCACTTTTTGGTGTGCTTCGGCCACGATGTTTGACAGGGCGAAGAACGGGAGACACCAAAAATGTACCTCCTACGACTGTGTGGTCGCCTGCCTTAAGCGAACTGCGTGGTAAAGAAGAAGAGCGACTCGAAGGCAGAGATGACCTGCGCGTACGTGAATTGGACATGATAGCAGGGTCCGATAATGTACGATCAAGCGGAGAGCTGGATGCTTTAGAGTCCAAGATCGCCGATAGATTGCGTCTGAAAGGGGTATTTGGACGCCTTGCGGCAGAAGAAGGGGTAGATGGATGATCGAATCCTCTACCACCTTGGAGCGCTTGAGTCAATAGATAGGTGCCAGAAGGACGCTGGTGTGTCAGGTAAGATTCAGTCATCGGCGAAGTAGTAGAAAGGCTACCATGCTCTTGAGCATTTCGGAATGCACCCATAGGAATACGATTCCATCGAGCGAAGGCTTGATCATGGCCGGATGAAGCAGAACGCGCTCGTCGTGAAGTAGGCTTGACCTCTGACGCTGGAGCTTCATCGCTGGATCCTTCACTCGAACCCATTCGCAAGAGTTCTTCATCGAGAACTTCACTTAAATCCATAACCTGATCGGAATCCGGCAAAGGCTGCAGTTCAGGCGAAGACTCCAACGTATCGGGCATCCTTGAGCCATAGGGTTCTGCAGTTTCCGGCTGATCAAAGGATGGTTCACGTTTGCGCTTTCGCCATGGTATTGGGCCGCTCACAGCCTGATCAAAAGACTCTTCACCGTGTTGTAAACGCGACCGCTTCCTTCGAAGATCACGTTGCATATTGTGGAGGGTATTGAAAGGTGAAGGTGCACGATGCGAGCCGTCGATGACAGCGCGATGGACAGATTTCGCCAAAGCAGGCATGAACTGACCCATGACGGGTTTAGACGTGCCTGTATCAGTTGCATTCGAAGTGGATGCAGTTGCTTGGCTAGCCATGTCATTGTCCTCGCCAGTCTTCTCGTGCGATGGTCCCGATTCTGATTCGGTTTCAGACGAATCAGAATCGAGAGTGATGACATTGGACAGAGTGCTGGGCTTCTTTTTCTGCGGGGAATTATCCATCGAAAATAAGCTGGGAGCAGGTGATCCTATGCGAGGTGAGGATTGACGGGACTGTGCCGCAATTTGGCGAGCCCGCCTTGCATTCCTTCCACCATGAGGTGCAATAGAACCAATCAGTAGGCGTGGGTATGGCATATCTTCATCAGGCAGTTCATCGGTAGTTTCACCATCATCCAGCTGGCCGTCGGCCTCCGACAAGCCTCCCTCTTGGTGACCCATGACATGCGAAGGAATAGCATGTCTTGATTTAGACAGATAAGTATCATCGTCCGTGCTCTCCTCATCACTCTCACCGGCAAACTCGAATTCGCCGTCAGAGCCAAATACAGCCTCGCCATCTCCAGCACGAGCATAGATCAGCCTGCCATCAAGATCCTCAATGACGAGAAGTGGAATAGCATTATCAAGAGCAGCAGCATCCGTGACGCCTTCTTCTCCCTCTGGATGTGATGCATTATCATCATACCCATTGGATCCAACATGCGCAATGAGGGGAACTGAGAGAGACTCCACATCGCTTATCGTAGAGCTACTATCACCGTCCGACAAGGAGTCTTCATCTGTAGTTAATTCTTCGTCGTCATTTTCATAATATCCCGACTGATTTGCTTCCATTTCATCTGATGAACCGAAAAAATCTGCAAACGATGGTTCGGGAGTTGAGGCAAACCCTCGTTGTGGCTTGAAAAGCTCGTTCGCAACCACATCTTGACCATTGTCCGATAGAGCCGCGGGAGATATAGAATCCCAAATATCGCGTTCCCCACCGAATACATCAACAGTCGAATTTGTACGAGGTTCATTGCTAAGCGAGCTTTGATGGCGCTGAAGTTCGTCTTGAATCATATACTGCTCCTCCTTCGACATATGCGCCTCATCACTGGAGTCATCAGATCCCAATAGAGATTCTCCTTCTCCAGCTGCTTCGATTTGATGTGCCATATCAGAGTCATCCGTATCTGATAGTGAAGAATCATCGCTTTGAATAAATGCATGACCATCGTCATTATGAACAGTTTCACCCAGGTCACTGCTTTCATCATCATCGTCCTCTTGTGTAGAGTTGTAACCAATTGGACTCGTTGTGCGTCCCCGCGAGGACAATTCGAGTCGTGTCCCCAAAGGGGAGGAAGGTGCCAATGTAGACACAGCTGATTCCATGGCTGATTCTTAAGACTAAGTAGCCACAGAAAGAGGGGGTATTTATTCCGGTTAAGATTGAATCAATTGCTTTAACTTGCAATTAGTAGGGCCCTAAAGCGCAGAAGTATTCTTGGTGATTACAGAGACGACAGTATATGGACGTGTGTTTGCAATAGAATTCGAGGAAAAAATGGCAGTACGCTGCAATACGGCTTCAACTGTAAAAAATATGCTTGGATAAGACTGTGAAGCACGATACAGCATGTTACGATGTCGCGTAAGGTCTTAGCGTTTCAACCAAATAGGCAAACGTAGTTTTTTTGCCGATGGAAGGTGATAGACAGGTAGTTCTGCTTGTTGCAAGAGATTTCCAGATAGATGTTGCCGCAGAGACTAAAGCCACTTGGAAAGGAATATTTTGCCCTTTCTGCTTTATCAAATTCAACAGATGATGGCACACGCCGCGCAAGAGCTACTAATAGCGATCGTAGGACAACCTCGCTGTGTCGCCCGGCAGCTTTGGCTTTTCTCGTGCGGCTGAGAGTCCAATTCACCCAACCGCTGCGAGGTAGCCCCTGGGGAGCCAATCGTCTCGCATCTGGCCGAAAAAAAAAATTTGAAGGTGCAGACCCAAGCAGCAATCCACAATAGATTACTAAAGCGTGAAGCAAAAAAATTTGCTTGAGGAAGCACACCTTGCTTGCCACTAGCGGTGTAGCCAACATGTCGGCTACTCTGAAGGCGTCTATCGCGCCAGTCCCAACGGCAAATGACTTTCTGGACATTGTCCTATCTAAAACTCAGAGAAAGACTCCTACAGTTATTCACCCTGGGTTCAAGATCACCCGTATCCGCTCATTTTACATGCGCAAAGTGATGTTCACCAAGGATGCCTTTACAGAAAAGCTTCAAGCGATTTTGAACGAATTTCCCGTTCTTGAGGTATGTGTACGATGTTTTCATATGCTTACATGTCCAGAATCTGCATCCCTTTACTTCTTCGCTTATGAAGTACGTATATTTACATTAGTCCTAACCAGCAAGTGTGTTGTACGATAAGAACCACTATAAACTTGCTCTGGGCCAGATCAACACTGCGCGCCATTTGATCGAGCAGGTGGCTAAAGACTATGTTCGTCTTATCAAGTTTGGTGATAGCTTGTTCCGCTGCAAGCAACTCAAGCGTGCTGCCCTAGGTCGTATGGCCACCATTATGCGTCGCAATAAGGATCCATTGGCGTATCTGGAGCAGGTGCGCCAGCATATTTCTCGTTTGCCCGCCATTGATCCTAATACTCGCACATTGGTACTTTGCGGATATCCAAATGTGGGTAAATCAAGCTTTTTGAATAAGGTGACTAGGGCTGATGTGGATGTTCAGCCGTATGCGTTCACGACCAAGTCTTTGTTCGTGGGTCATATGGATTACAGATATCTACGCTGGCAGGTTATCGATACACCTGGTATTTTAGACCATCCTCTGGAGGAGATGAATACCATTGAGATGCAAGCCATCACGGCTTTGGCCCATCTACGTTCGGCCGTCTTGTACTTTATGGATCTTTCGGAGCAGTGCGGCTATACAGTGGAAGCCCAAGTGCAGCTGTTTAACAGTATTAAACCTCTGTTTGCGAATAAGCCCACTTTCCTTGTGATCAATAAGATCGATGTGGCCAAATTGGAGGACTTGGATGACGCTAAAGCCGACTTGGTCCGCAGCATTATTGAAGAGTCCGATGGGAAGGTTCAAATGGCAGAGATCAGTACTTATACGGACCATGGAATTATGGAGCTGAAGCAGGATGCCTGTGAGACTCTTCTTGCCACTCGTGTTGAGAATAAGATCCGTGGCCCTAAGGCAGACTCCATCCTCAACCGCCTCCATGTGGCACAGCCTCAAAAGCGTGATGATGTTGAACGCACGCCATTTATTCCTGAGGCGGTTCGCAGCGGTAGCCGTAAGAAGTACGACAAGAACGACCCTGAGCGTCGTAAACTGGAGCGCGACATCCAGGAAGAGCAGGGTGGTGCTGGTGTTCACAACATTGACTTGAAGAAGAACTACATTTTGGCCAACGAGGAATGGAAGTACGACACCATTCCTGAGATTTACGAGGGCAAAAATGTGGCAGACTTTATTGACCCTGATATTCTGGATTCGCTAGAAAAGCTGGAACGTGAAGAGGAGAAGTTAGAGGCTGAAGGATTCTACGATGAAAGCGACGAAGAACTTGATGAAGAGGAAGAAGAGCTTCGTGATGTGGCCGAAGCTATCAAGCAACGACAGGACAAAGCCAAGTTGCTGGCTCAGAACAAGAAGGGTCTACAAGGCCGTGCCCAAATACCCCGAAAGCTTCAGCACCGTACACTCTCACAGCTCTCAGAAAATATGCGTGCTGCTGGTATTGACCCTAGCAGTATTGAGATGCGTGCAGAGCTTCTAGCGAAAGCAAAGGGTTTGGTAGGCAAACGCAAGGCCTCTCGCGATGACGAGGACGACGTTAGCATGAGCGATGCGGACAGCAACGATATGGACGACAGTATGTCGGTGGATGAGACTATGGAAGAGCAAGCACCCGCTCGTAAAAAGGCTCGCGCTGCTGCTTCCAAGCAGGCGCCCACATTGGTTCGTGGTAAGAGTTCCACTACGGCCACGACCAATAAGTCTGGTGGTGCCATCACTTCTCGTGCAGGTGCAGCTCGTATTCCTGCGCGGAACCGTCAATCGGAGGGTTTGCGTGGCAAAGAGCAAGAGCTGAAAGCGCGTAGCTTGCACGAAATGAGTATTCGTGACAGGAATCGCGAAGCTCGGGCTGGTGAATCCGACCGTCGCATCCAAGAAACGAAGCCGAAGTGGCTATTCGCGGGCAAGCGTAGCAATGGCACTACTCGTAGTCGTTAGATGGTATTGTAAGGATCGCACACCTATGTTATGATGGTCAGGTTTTTATCTGTACTGAATTGAGTGCATCGTATATCGGCGTATCTTCATGGCATATTGCAGTACTTTGCCGCCGATCTTGGCGGGTGCGATCAACGTCCTCTGGCGGGAACGCAAGCCAACCTTAATGCCAAGCCTTCCTACGTACCTTCTCGGTCCCTGCCGACAATGTCTACAGCGAGGAAACCTTTTGATTGGACCAGTTTTTACTAACGAGTCCGAGCAAGGTCCGGTTTAATAACAAACCATTTATCTTAAATGGCTATGTGCTTGCTTGCCAGTAGCATTGATGAGTTCTCCGCCTCGCCTTGGCGTGTTGATCATCTTCCTTTTTCTAGGCCTTTTCTGTGCCGCTAAAAATACTACAGGATTCGGATCCTTGAAAGAAGAAAGTAATGGGCATCAAAGCGTGCTTCAATCTCGACAGCTGCCCGTGGACCAGATGCAAACCTTGTCGGACCAAGCCGAAATGGCCCATGATACGATTTCGATAAAAAATGTGGTGCAGCAAGTGTTGAGTGCACCAAATATTAATCTCACATCAAATGATCCAAACGGTTTTACTTGGGCCCAACAGCAGTATGGACAAATTGTCGATGACAACGATGAAGTATTGCAAGTTCCTTGGTACAACAATGGCTCATTCCCCTTCAACCCACCAGCAAGTGTTCCTTATGTTCAGGACCCTACTACTGGTGAACTCTACTGGACAAAGCTCCCTGGTGCTCTGACTTGTTCTGTCGATGGTCATTTTGTTCCTAAAGGAAACAATACATTCGTGCTAAACTCCCAAGACCTTGTACCTACGAATGAAACCATGCCTGATGGCAGACCGATTGTCCAGCCTTATTATGTGACTAGCCCTGATTTGTATGAACCCATCAACGTGAAAAGGGCGATCATTGTTTTTCCCGGTAAACCACGAGACTCTTGGCGATATGCGAACTTAGTATATAACACGCTGGCCTATGCTATCTCGCAACCTGATACCTATCATATTAACCCAGGTGAAGTTATTATTCTTTCTCCAGCCGTTTTGAACGAAGATGACAAAAATAACGGTGGTGCTGAAGACAACTGGGTCGTGTATCAGCGCTCAAATTGGGAAATGGGTGGCATCTCACATTCTCCGCCTATGGACTCTTCAGTGACATTCTATTCTGTGATAGACCAATTGATTGAGCAACTAAATGATCGGACCAAGTACCCTAATTTGAATCAGGTCGTGGTGGTGGGACACTCATTAGGTGGCCAAGCCTCTTTGCGTTATGGTTTGGCGCGTAAACAGCGCCATTACGACTCCAATGTCCGCTTTTGGGTCGGCAACCCAGGTTCTTATACTTGGTTGACAACCGGAATAGAGACCAAGCCCAACCCCTCCCCGATCACACAGAACCAAGAAGATTGTTCGGGCACAGTGGACAAGTGGCCCTATGGCTTTGGCAACAGGTCAGCGCTGACAAAGTATGCTCGTACTCGCATCTTTGAAGATGTACCTGCTGCCATTAATCTTTTCCGCTGGCGAACTGTGCATTATGCTTTTGGATTGCTTGATAACGGTGGTGGTGACACACATTGCGAAGCGCAATACCAGGGGTACAACCATTTGCAACGTGGCTCTAACTTTGTCATGTCACTGGCGAATATGCCAGAAGGCTGGCCTACGAATCACTCGCTGAGCTACGTTGCTGGTGTGTCCCATCAAGACTATGAGATGTTGGCTGCCACGCAATCCATGAACTACATTCTTGTGTCAGATTATAATCTCAGGAATCCAGATCTATGGATTCCAGCTGGCACAGCCGCTGGAACACTTTCAACCGCCCCTCCTCAGAGCCCAGTGCCACAATCGGAACTACCACCTACACCTATGTCATTGCCGACACCCCCACCGGCTATCACTTCTCCTCCTCCTCCTTTAGCCCCTACTTCCCCATCAGGTACTCCTATATCTGCTGAGCCATCATAATCGCGAGCAGTGATTATATGGAATGACTTGGTTCGTGTATCACGCTCCAGAACCTATACCTGTGTGCGGATTATTAAAAGACGATTTCAATGACATATATAGGGTAGCACTATACACGATTTAAATTTTAGGTTTTAAGATCTATTGCAAAATGTCGGAGATGGCAGTACGAATTGTGAAGCGCATGCTACTATCCCCAGATAAATTAAAGTCAGAAAATGAGCATTCAAATTAAACTACTAAGATGGGGCCTTTTCGTCTACGTAGCTATCTCAATCAACTCATCGCCTCTCCCCCTTGAGGGCTGCATGAATCCCGATGGTATGTATTTTCATTATATGCATGCCTGACGCCGCCAAAGTCCTGCAAGGCAAAGATTTCACTGTTGTAAACTGCATTCCTCCTGTTTCAATGCAGGGTCCTCTTGTCGTCGATTTGTGCAATACTTTTTTTGCGAAACAACATTGGAAGCATGAATGTGATATGGCCATCGCTTGCACAGCCATTTGTTAGCGATTAGCTAAGCACGCATGAAGGGAACTTCAATGCACTTCAGAGGTTTGCGCGGTGAAGTATAAACATTAAATCCACAGATGTGGAAGTTGGGGGCGCGTTTGAAAGCCAAAGCCTCGGCCGCCGAAGTTTTCTCCCGACGAGCTTCTGCAGTTGCTCGGGCGTAATTGATGGTGGTATTAGCAATGCGGGTACACTTGAGTGCCCTAGCAATCATCATTTGCTGCACACTTCTATGTTCTGTATCCGGATCAGTAAACCATGGATCTACATTATCTCGTCAAAGGAGGGATGATGGAAAGCTAGCACCACGCCAATTACCTCCGGATCAGATGGAAAGCATTGCCGGTCAAGCTGAAAACGCACATGACACAGCGTCAATTAAGAATGTTGTACAACAAGTTCTCAACGCAAATAATCTGAATGTCTCCTCCTTTAATCCTGCGGCATATACTTGGGGTCAGCCACAGTTGGGGCAAATCATGTCAGACAACAATGATGTTCAACAAGTAAGCTGGTTCAACGGAGGTACATTCCCATTTAACCCTCCTGCAAATGTTCCTTATGTTCAAAATGGCTCTGATATGTATTGGAAGTGGATTCCCCCTAATCTTACATGTACTGTGGATGGTCACTGGGTCAGTAACGGTGCCATGACTTTTGTCTTAAACAGCCAAGATCTCGTCGTCACAAATGAGACCATGCCCGATGGCAGACCAATTGTCCAGCCTTACTATATTACGAGCCCTGACTTGTATGATCCGGCTAAAGTGAAGCGTGCGATTATTATTTTCCCCGGTAAGCCACGAGACTCGTGGAAGTACGCGAACTTAGTGTATAACGCGCTGGCCTATGCTATCTCGCAACCTGATACCTATCATATTAACCCAGGTGAAGTTATTATTCTTTCTCCAGCCGTTTTGAACGAAGATGACAAAAATAACGGTGGTGCTGAAGACAACTGGGTCGTGTATCAGCGCTCAAATTGGGAAATGGGTGGCATCTCACATGCCCCACCTATGAATTCTTCAGTGACATTCTATTCCGTCCTGGACAAAATGATTGGTCAACTTAACAACCGAACTTTATACCCCAATCTGAATCAGGTTGTTGTAGCGGGACACTCATTAGGTGGCCAAGCCTCTTTGCGCTATGGTATGACGCGTAAACAGCGCCATTACGACTCCAATGTCCGCTTTTGGGTCGGCAACCCAGGCTCTTATACTTGGTTGACAAACGACACCACTACCAAGCCCATCCCCTTCCCGATCACACAGAACCAAGAAGATTGTTCGGGCACAGTGGACAAGTGGCCCTATGGCTTTGGCAACAGGTCAGCGCTGACAAAGTATGCTCGTACTCGCATCTTTGAAGATGTACCTGCTGCCATTAATCTTTTCCGCTGGCGAACTGTGCATTATGCTTTTGGATTGCTTGATAACGGTGGTGGTGACACACATTGCGAAGCGCAATACCAGGGGTACAACCATTTGCAACGTGGCTCTAACTTTGTCATGTCACTGGCGAATATGCCAGAAGGCTGGCCTACGAATCACTCGCTGAGCTACGTTGCTGGTGTGTCCCATCAAGACTATGAGATGTTGGCTGCCACGCAATCCATGAATTATATCTTTACGTCGGACTATAATGTTCGATACCCGGATTTGTGGGATCCAAATGCGAAGAAATCCAAGCAACCAAAGCAACCTGCCACTACGGACCCCTACAATGATGAGCATGCGTGGGAGGGCCCTGTGTACCGCACTGTGGCATGGGTGATTCTCGTTGTGTACATCGTGCTCATCATTGCATGCCTGTTTGTTTGCCATCGCTTGTTTAAGGCAAACGCAAATGATTGGGACCGTGATTATTGGGAGTATGACAGTAAACGCCGTCTGTTATGATGGTCTGCATTGATTTTACATCCTTTCTCGCGTTATATGCTGTATATATATCCCCCACCTGTAGGACATTTTCCAATGGAAGGGCGTGTTTACATATTTGCATTCATTTCAACTGCAACCTCATGCCTAAAGCGTCTTCACCGTCAGCATAATATTTTTTCTCAACACCGTGGACTTGGAATCCAAGGGTCTGTGTGTAAAGAGCAATGGCAGCACGGTTCGATTGACGGACGTGAAGAGACACATAATGTGCGCCAAATACATCCCTCATAGCCGTTTCTAGTATAAACAAACTTTAACGGATACGTACGACTTAGTTTCATTAGTTTGTTGGCCAAGCCAAGACGGCGGTGCGAACGGAGGACTGAAATACTGGTAACGTGTCCATTAGGTATACCATTCTCAGGCTCCTCCTCCCTGATACGTAAGCGAAGTATCCTGTATACATACATCTTCCCCAAAATATACCCGACAATGTTCCCTTTCTCGTCTTCGGCAACATAGGAGAGCTGAGGCCAGGTCAATGCATGGTAGAAGTCTTTAGCATGAGTGAAATTTACACATACAGTAGCGCATGGTATAGTTCTCTGGTAGGTTATGAAGATTGCAATTTTGCATCCCGATAAGATCATCTGCCTTTGTTGTCAGTGTAGACATGCTTTACACACCGTTGCCTGCCTAATGTTCATGGTGCCGAACAGCGGTGTGGTGACGAGCAACCGTGCAGCGAAGGCTACAGAGGGCGTTATCACGTGACCTTCGGGCGTGCTTCCGTGCTCTCGTATTTCGCTGCTCATCACCACCCGAAGGCCGTGCCACCGATCTTTGGTTTCCTTGCACAACTCATACTCTTTTCAAGTAAGGGATATTCATTGTGCGTTTCTTGCAATAAAGCATCGGACTGAGTTTGTGCGAAATAGTAAGTGTTTGGAAGATTGCCGAGTACCTAACACGACAGTATTCATTCATTGACTCGAGAATCTGCGGCGATGCCACCTCATCATTCAAGTACCACACAGGACCCTCAAGCCGGTCGTCCTGGACATCTTACTCCAGGGCAGGAGCATATGGTTGAAAAGCTCCGTTTAGATGTACGTGTTGTATTCCCAAATAAGCTAACGAACTAGCTCAAACAAGCCGGCTATTATGCACCCGAACGACATGATGACGCTTGCTGTATGTACCATTTTTTTTTCACTGATTCCTAGTGTGCCGATTTCTTCGTGCTCGGAAATGGGACTATCAGGCTGCCAAGGACATGATGTTCGAAGCTGAAGTGTGGCGTCGCGAATTCAAGGTGGATGAGATGTATGAATCATTCACGTTCCCCGAGGCAGACGAAGTGGACAAGCTTTATCCCAAGTACTACCACAAGACTGACAAAGATGGACGGCCTGTCTATGTTGAACAACTTGGCCACCTAGACTTGCACAAGCTTTTCAAGATCACCTCACCGGAGCGACTTATCCAGCAGCTCGTGTTTGAGTACGAGAAATGCCAGCGCGAGCGGCTGCCCGTTTGTTCAGCGATGCAAGGACGACTCGTTGAGACCAGCTGCACTATCATGGACCTGAAGAACGTTGGTATCAGTCAATTTTGGAAGGTATCTTCGTATGTGCAGCAAGCGAGTCGAATTGGCCAGTATTACTACCCAGAGACGATGGGTCGCTTCTATATTATCAATGCGCCCTACATCTTCACGACAGTGTGGGCTGTCGTAAAGGGTTGGTTGGACCCTGTTACTCGTGAGAAGATTCAAATTCTTGGATCGCACTATTTGGGTGAGTTGGCAAAGCAGATCCCTATGGAGAGCATTCCTACAACGGTGGGCGGAAAGTGCCAGTGCCCTGCCGGATGCTCGCGATCAGATGCAGGTCCTTGGAATACACCTGAGGGCTTGGAAATCATCCAGAAGTCGAAGCAACATCGTGAACTCGTCAAGAAAGACTACCTCAATGGTATTGATGACAATGATCGTACTCAGAAGCAAGCGTTGCAAAGCGCGCCTACTGGCGTAGAAGCGTCAGAAACAAATGCGGTGGCAGCGCCTGGGCAATCAGCAAGCAGTGCTTCTACGCCAATGGTGGCTTCATCGACGGCTTTCCTGGATTCTAATACCGGTCTTGCTCCTCCGGTTACTATGCCTCAACCTGCTGGTCCTGTGGTTCCTCCCAAGTAATTGTCTATTACGTAGCATACTCTATATTGAACACTATTTTTGACTGTCGCCCGATCCGTTTTTTTTTTTTTTATTTCTTTGTGCGTGGACATGCATAAACGCATGTACACCCCGATTCACCACAAGATCGGGGCAACTAGTGTAGAGGCTAACGAACGTCGGACGACTAAGAAACGCTGCTCTCATGGTGGCAAGACCGTTCATGCACGGTTTTCCAAGCGTGCCTCTTTGTCTACTCCTTCTTGTATGCGTTACTCTGTGGGACAATTTATATGCCCGAGCGGATCTAGAATGGCATGGCTCGTTCATTTCAGACGACCCCTCTGACTATTTACGCCACAGCCAATTGGATGAAGATACCGACCAAATAGACCGTCTTACACGATGGCCTGGAAATAAGATTGTTGTACCTGCTGTGTATCAGTCGTATTCAATAAGACCTGCCGCTTTTGGCCCCGACAAAGTGGATGAGGATGGTTTATGGGGAACTCTATGGCCGATCCAGCGCTTTTTATCGAAGAACCAGGTCGACATCCACGGGAATACAGGCTGCCCTGGAATTCCAAGTGATGAAGATGGTATGGAAATTGAGTCCTCGAAGCATAAGCCCCCTTCTGACTGGATTGCGTTGATGGAACGCGGTGGATGTAGCTTTGATGCCAAAGTTCGCTTTGCCCAAAGTCTAGGCGCCAAAGCGGTGATCATGGGGGATTCGTTGCACCGTTTTGACGAAGAGAGTGTGGACCCTGTGCTGGAATCAGTTGGTCTCGCTGACTGGGACGATTCTACCGATGATTATTCGTCACTGCCCACCACAATGCTTCCTCATGGTGACACCAGCGATATTGTGATCCCCTCTTGTTTTGTTATACGGTCTAGTTACCTCGAGCTTTTGGAATTTACAAATCAGGCGAGACAGGGACTTCTCCCCGACCCTGACAGGAATGCCCTCCGTGTCGGCCTATTTTTGGATGCAAGTGTATTGGATACGCCATGGCTTGATTTGGGGCTGCTTTTCTGCTTAATTCCCTCGCTATGTATTTTATTTGTGGTGATTTCGCACCATGTTCGTCTCTGGGTTCAACAATTTCGTGAACGTGCCTCTGTGGAAGCAGTTCGATCTTTGCCTTGCTATGAATGGCATGCTGACGGCAAATGGGAACGGATACCTAGAGAAGCTGTACCGTACCGCGAAGCTTTGACATTTATGCTCAGACTTATGCAAGGATGGGATGCCATGTGGGAGAGGATCTCTTCGTTCTGGGGAGGCAGACAAGCAGAGACGGAATCTCTGATCAATAACTCTCGGCCTATACGTTATGACGACGTAGCCATGCGGGACACGCAAACAGAAGCTCACATCGATTCTAGTATACCACCCAATCCTCAAGCTATGAGCAGATACAACCAAGTGGAATGTGCTATTTGTTTGCTGGAGTTTGCTGAAGGGTACGCTACTCTCCCGTGAAACTAACAATGACAGAGACCGAGTACGAGTTTTGCCCTGCGGCCATATATACCATCAAGATGAAATGTATGTGTCCGTAATGCTAACAGCAGTGACGACTGGCTTACCAGCACAAGACGGTTGTGTCCGACTTGTAAACGTGATGTAACGGCACCCGCGTCATAGGCGTCTGTAGTCTTTTTTTTGTGCAGGCAGCGTGGAAATTTCATTGGTTTAGAGGGCCCGTGCACCCGTCTAGGTTATTTTCGGGGCGCTCGCACCAAAGTGTGGCTGGAGGGCAAACTTAGGTTTCCAACGTTCTGAATCATGTATACTGCAGTGCGTCAGGCAAAAACGGTCGTGGGCCGTCCGTCGTTCTCTACGATGTCTGTGCTGAGGAAGAATTTCCCCAACATGCCGAATGGCGTAGCGAATGGCGGTCAGGGACATCTTCAGGTACGTGTACCATGTAGGAGGCTCACACTCGTAGCTTAGCAACTCTGCTCTGTTGCAAACCAAGTCCTATATCAATGGTGAATGGGTGAATGCGCAGAGTGGTTCTGTGCTTCCTGTGTACAACAAAGCCACGGGTGATTTGCTTGCCGAAGTCGTTGACCAAAGTCGGGCCGATACCGAGGTGGCAATTGATGCGGCCAGTGAAGCTTTTAAGAGCTGGTCTCAGACTACGCCACATTACCGTCACGATATGCTGCTGGCTCTGCATGCCAAGCTGCGTGACAATGCAGATGATCTTGCACGTATCATTGTCGCAGAGAACGGCAAGTGCTTGACGGACGCTAAGGGCGAAGTCAACTACGCCAATTCCTTCATTCAATGGTTTGCCGAGCAAACTCTTCGCATTCAAGGATACACCACTCCGTCCCCTGTGCCAGGTGTGCGCACGGTAGTTATGCGTCAGCCCGTGGGTGTTGCAGGTCTCATTGCGCCCTGGAACTTTCCTCTTGCTATGATCACACGGAAAGTGGCACCGGCATTGGGTGCAGGCTGCACCGCGGTGGTCAAGGCGCCGCATGAAGCTCCTCTTAGTGCCTTGGCTATGGCACATCTGGCAGAGGAAATTGGATTGCCGCGTGGTGTACTGAACGTTCTGGTTTCATCGAAGGGCAAGAATGAAAACGATATGGGCCTGGCACTTTGTGAGAGTGAGAAGGTGGACAAGATTTCTTTCACGGGTAGTACTCGTGTTGGCAAGATTCTTGTGAGCCAATCGGCCGGTACGCTGAAGAAGCTGTCTATGGAGTTGGGCGGCAACGCGCCGTTCATTGTTTTCGATGATGCAGACCTGGACCAAGCTGTAGCAAATGCTGTGGCGTGCAAGTTCCGTTGCGCAGGTCAGACGTGCATTTCTGCGAACCGCCTCTACGTGCATGCGAAAGTGTATGACGAGTTTGCAGAGAAGTTTGCAGCCAAGGTGCGCGAGCTGCGCGTCGGCAACGGTATGGACCAGGGTGTGAACATTGGGCCTCTCGTGAACGAGGCCGGTCATGACAAGGCCGAGCATCATGTTAAGCAGATGTTGGAGGCTGGTTCCAAGTTGCTTATCGGTGGTCACAAGGGCGAGGGTCTCTTCTTCGAACCAACGGTGGTGTTGGCAAAGGAAGGTGTGCGCATGCCAACCGATGAAGAGGAGACATTCGGCCCTGTTGCCGTTCTCTACAAGTTTAACACGGAAGAGGAAGTGCTCCGTATGGCCAATGACGTGCGTGTCGGCCTGGCAGGCTACTTCTTCAGCCAGGATGTCCAGCGCTGCTTCCGTGTCGCCGAAGCACTGCACGTGGGTATGATTGGTGTCAACACAGGCATTATTTCATCGAGCACTATGCCATTTGGTGGTGTCCTTGAGAGTGGCTTTGGCCGTGAAGGTGGCCCTACGGGTATGGACGAGTACCTCTTCGAGAAGGCTGTGAGCTTTGGCGGTATGTAAGCATTATGCGGCAGTAGGGTCCTAGGGAGAATAAAAATGTGTGTCGATCGATCGCACTAGGGCGTACGACTCAGCGCTTCTGACTAAAAATGAAAGCACTGCCAATCACAGTGTGGGGAGAGTGCGGAGCCCCTTGCTCCCCAAGAAATACGCATTCACGTGATAACAACAAAAGGAGCTCAGATTTCATTTTCGACGATCGCTGTTGAGCGTCGATGTCTACCAGCCGACGGGAGGACCGTGTATGGCATAGACAGCCTGCAAAGACGCGTGAAGACAAGATTGAAAACTGGATTAGAGCTTCTAGTCCTCCAAATGATGCACGCAGAGTGGGAGCGCAACCTCGGCGCTCTTCTCGTCCTAAGATCCAAGAACGAAGGAGTGCAAGTGGTCGAATCCTTCAGGATGAAGAAAAGGAACTGTACCGAGTGAATCCACCGCCACGGGAACCAACAGCTCGTGTAAAGAAGGCTATGGCACATTTTGATGCCCAGGCACAGCCACGACAGGCGCGTTCTGCGGGGGCGAGTGAAGAGACCTCATTTAGCTCAGGTTCCATGTCGCCTCCCATGCTATCGTCCGAGTCGGAAGACGAGGACCAAGAACTCACTGATATTCAAGCTGCTGTGCTGGCGCAATTTTCAGGCCATCGTCTGAACGATCATACATGCACTGGCCCTGTACAGGCCTTGTTTATGGCAGCCGATTCGGACAAACAAGAAGGGCACACATGCTTTGCTCTGTATGGTGGCCCTCGGCATGTGATTAATGGTGTACAAGAGCTGAATGAGGCAGATCGCTCACCCCCTCATTTGGCCCGACGTGCCCCTCTTAAAGCGGCCGGCCTTTTGCGCCGTGCTGAACTGCGTGGAGTGATACTGGCCCTGCGTGACGTAGCGCAGGGGCCTATTCAGCCTACTTGTGTTCATATTTGTGTGAGCTCGTCCTATGTGGCCAAGGCATGGGGCACGTGGATTCCGCAGTGGGAAGCACATGGCTGGCCAGGCGAAGACGTCATGGATGGGAGAGTGAAGAGCCCCACACGACCACGTACGCCAACACGAACCACGGATCCATACTTGGATTCGCCGTCCAATGGGTACCGTATGCCACGTCGTATGCGTTCGACGCAGTGGGAGACGGACTCCTCGACAGACTACCTATCGTCAGAGACGAGTGGGCCTGCAACCATGACAGATTCGTCATCGGCCAGCACACGCCGATCCACGCGGCGCCTGGTTGATGAGGATATGCTACGTGAACTAGCAGAGCTTCGCTCAGACTTGGCAGAAATGTGTGCGCAGGGCGGACCGAGTGTGCATCTGTATCAAATTGAGCGCGTACACAATCCGGCTGATGCGCTGGTAGAGCAATATATGCAGGCGCGGCAAGGTCCCATGGATGCGGAGCGAACGCCACGACCTGGCGACGTCGAGTCACCGCCTCTGCCACCGCTGCCGCCCCCTGAACCACCTACGTCTCAGTTTCAGGCGATGGCGGTACAGCCTACAAGTCCTACTCGTACGCCGCCTGAGTCAGGACCTGTACGTGTACCGCGTCGTTCTCAAACTGTGTCGCCTATATCATCTACGTCGCCACGACCGCCAACATCCATTTTGCGATCACCGCCGACAAGTATCGAGCCTACACGCATATTTTCACCGCCGCGCCCACAAACAGGCACGCCAGTGCGTCAGGCCAGACCACGCTTGGCCTCGCCACTCCCTGAGGACGCACTGCTGGCCTCGCCTACAGAGACCCTCTCGCCCCGCAGCGCCATGCCATCGATGCACTCGCCTCGCACCCCTGGACATCCGCGTATCGGACCGGCCAAAGGGGGCGCGTCACACACGGCCTCGCCCTTGGACCCACGCACGGCCTCCTACCTGGCCAGCCCCACCTCGGCGTCCAAATCACCTCGGCGTCCGTCCCATACGATGCACATTTCGCCACGCCCATCCGTGGCGAGTCTGCAAGCGTCGTCCATGGCGCCTTTGGAGCCTTTCAATGGCCCCACACCAAAACTCACGTCCAAGTCCCTGCCGGACACATCACCCAGCAACAAGCTAACCACGGCGGCCCTTCAGGAACACGATCGCAAGACGATGACGCCGGAAAGCAGCAAAAAAGAAGAGCGCCGACGCGCGAAGAGTACACGGTCGAGTGTCAAGTCGGAAAGCACGCAGTCCCTGCTTCAGCGGTTTACCCCGCGATTCCTGCGCAGGGATAGTGCTAAGGAGGCGATCCCTGCTTTGCCTGATCGGCGTCCTAGCGCCCGAGATGAGGATCAGCAGTCAACGTCGCAGCATGGGACATCGGCCTCGTCCATCTCGGGCGTCAGCATTCCCGCACCGTCTTTCTGCTCCGAGTCGCTGCCCAAGTCGCAAAGTAGTGGTGGCCTCGCAGAGCGCCAGGCCGCATTGGCGAAGCGGGAACGCGAATTGGAACGACGTGAGCGAGAGATGGATCGGATAAAATGGGAGATGGGGCATTCTCGCTACCGCGCGACTGACCAAGGCTCGAGACCTATGCAGGGCATGCCATCCAAGCCGGCAACAGCAGGGCATGCGCGTGCCAACTCTGATACAAGTTCCTTTGATATACCACCGCCCGATGAAGAGTGGTTGTGGGAAAGCAATTTGCGTCGACCTACGCGCCTTCCAACGAACCCACCTGCCCTGGCTTCGCCTCGATCGCATGCCCAGCCTCGTCAGCCAGAGGAGCACGACGTGTTCCTCTCGACCGGACCGCGACGCATCGTTTCCAAAGAATTGCCGCCCAGTCCTGAAGACGAGGACGATAGCGAGGCGTACCATCTCTCTTCGAGGCGGACGGTAGGCGATCGCAGTTTCAGCAGCGCGGCTACGCTCTCCTCTTCGTCGCCGTACGCACGTCGTGTACGTGCAGGAGGGTATATACCTGACTCATCGCCCCAGGATACGTACGGCCGACGTACGCATCGTCCTTACGATTCTGATTCCGAAGATAGTCTTTTGTAATTCTAGCTGCTGTCCTTTTTTCTGGCATTTGACGACGCTCTCCACTTGCGGCCGCCGCTATGGCTGCTGCCGCTGCCGCTGCGTCTGTCCTACTACCACGTGGTCAGCAGCGAGCAACATGGTGCGTGGATACAATGTGCAAACACACTAACCCAGGTGCGCAGGACGATGAGACTACGCTCCTGATTAAATTCAGCAAAACAGTTCTCTTCTTGAGTCTGCCCCTAGCGTCAATGAGCGTGCGTCAGCTCAAAGAGCAGGTCTTGTCGGTATTACGCACATCGAAGCAGCCTACCGATGATGTGCTCGGCAAGCCCTTCAGCGACGCGACACCTGATGACTTGGAATTGTACGTGGCCCGTGAGGATGCGTACGTACCCTTGGCGGCACAAGCTGAATCGTCGCAGCGAGCCGACGATGGGACGCCTCTGTGTATGCACTGCCATCTCGAGGAAGGTATGGCGGTCTATGTGGGATTCCGCGCGCCAGAGCAAGGTATGTGAGCATGACTCTAATGGTAGATGCACCGGGCGATCCGATGGTACAAGAGCCGTCGTTGGACGACGATGTCGAGGACATGGATGCTATGCCGCCGTCGTCGCCGCCCTAGATACATCTACATACATCGCCGTAGCCATGTAAGATAGGTCATGAAGCCCCCTACAAAGAAAATGCAACTACTTCTGAAGTCGGGACACGACAGGGTTCGTCTTCTCGTGGATCTGGGGCTTGCCCTCTGGCGAGCCAGGGATCGACTTGACGAGGTTCTGCATGTGAGTCGTTCACCAATACATACAAGCTGCTCAAGAACACACTTGTTGAGCGGGCGCTCCAGCGACCTGCAGGGCATGTATTCCTACTGGTTAGCAGCACGCAAGGCACTGTGCATACCTGGTTGTTCTTCTCGAGACACTGCCAGTGGGCATCCCATTCCTTACCACACTTATCGCCAATCTTCTTGATCCTGGAAAGTGTAAGTGAGGTTATACGTACAAGTCCTGCGCACAGCGCGTCACTCTTCGGCCTTCCAGCAAGCAGTGCTCCGGGTCCCGGTTTTCGTTCTTGCAGAGCATAAAGTCTTCGGTATAGTCCTTGCAGTACTGGCCGAAAAAGAAGGCAATCGATTTCAAGGGCGCCGAGGTTGTGCCGACCTCCTCTACCTGCGGCACATCCTTCGGCCATGGCATCGGCTCGACGTACGAGAAAGTCGAGTTTTTCGCTTCACGGTGCGTCGCCATAGCGTCGTCGAATCACGGTAGAGAAAGAGAGGTTCGCTACGGCGCGAGACGGGGCCGTTCGCCCAGTCTCCCTATTAGTCAGCAAGTGGGCCTGGGTGGCTGTTGCGTCGCTGAAAAAAATAAGAAAGCGAGCCCTCTCCACGCGATCGTGCATGCTACGTGGACGATCACAGGGCTGGGCTTCGGCCGTTCCTGAGACGGTGCTACGATGCTGGTACTCGACAGGCCCAGTACGTCGTCGAGCGCCTGCACCGACCACCACCACACGCAAGGCCAAGCATGAGCCGCCCCAAAGTGTGATCAACTTCCGCAATATGCAGCGACGACGTGGTGATACCTTCCGCACAGATATCCGAGTGGAACGCAAGGCTAAACAGCCGCCATGGGAAAGTCTTCGGCAGCATATGTTTGCGACATCGCACAAGATTGCTAGTATCGCGTCAGCCACGGATAAAGATGCGCTCTCGGTGTACAAAGAAGCGGAGGCGCTCTTGCACGAACGTATGCTGGACTGGCGTGCTCTCTCTCGCCGCATACGCGCCCGCGAAAAGTCTCCTACACCGATCTCGCCACAGTACGGCGTACCTTCGTGGAACCATGTGATGCGTCTCGCCATCCGCGCAGCCAGCCCTACTGGTGCATGGCATCTGTACTGCGAGATGAAGCGGCAAGGTATGCGTCCTACGCCGCGTACCTACGCCGGATTCTTCCACGCCATGGTGTCAATGGTCCGGGACAAGAAGCTGGAGACGCTACGTACTCCCCTCTGGACCGACAGACTGGACAAGATGTACCAAGCCATGGAGCAGTTGCATACGACCATCGCCCGAGCCTCGCTCGAGAAGCACGGAGCGCCAAGCCATCAGGATCAGGACATGCATCCTTCCTCGCTCGCTACGGCCTACAAGGCGTATATTACATTGCTCTGCACGCTGGGTCGGTACCGCACTGCCCTGGAGGTCTTCCATGCGGTGTGCCCGGACGTGTACCCTGGCATGGCCCCCTTGACGGAAGAGGAACGTTTGCCTCGCCGGTGGTTCGCTACGGTGGATATGTACACGGCCATGGTACGTGACTTGGCCCTGTGTCGCATGCCCGTCGAAGAGCGCCAGGAACTCGTACGACAAGTGTGGCGGCAATGGCAGGACGAGGTGATGCAGGTCAGTCGACGCACCGGTGCAGCTTTGCTGGATACAACCGCGATAAAGACCCTCGTTTGGGCCTTAGGTATGGGCCGGCCACATGGTGATGTGCAGGACGTGTGTGCGATGCTGGGGCGGTACATGGGTGTGCGTTTCCCGTCTGTCCCTGGCATGACAGAATACGTCGCGACGGACATTGCGCCCCTGCATTTTGACGAAGCGCTGCTGATGGATGTGCTGGCATTCTTTGACCGACGTGAGGCGTATGGCTGCGTGATCGACGTCTATGCGCATGCGATGACCGAGGCGTCACGGTACGTCGATCCTAGGGCAGTGCCGGAAGCGCAAACGTTGAACGATAAAGCGCATGCACAACTACAGCGGCCACGACGATAACTTGTACAGTATGTCCTATAAAAGAAATAGAAGATACCCTACTTTTTTGGCATATGGGAAGAGGCAAGCGCGTGGCCTTGTTCGCGGACATGGTTGAATAGCTTGGACCGCGATGGGAAAGCGGCATGGCATACATTGCACACTTCAGACCCAGGGGGCGCCTTGGTCTTGCCCTTCGTCTTCCGCCGTGCCTTTTTCGAGGTATCAGGCGGTGGTGGCGGTGGTGACGACGACGACGGTAGCGGCTCTGGAGTGGTCGTCTCGTTTTTCGCTTGCAAGGCAAGCACCTTTTCTTCAAGTGTGAACAGATGAAAGTCTTCACTGTGAGGTGTCAATGTACGGACAGCTTCCGCCAGCCGTAAGAGGTATTCATAATTCGGTCCACTAGGGCCGTGGCACGATGCAATACGCTCGGCCAAGGCATCCAGCGGCGTAGGTCCGATAAACGCCTCGTTGCCAGGTAAGCCGACGTAGACGAGGGCTTGGGGCACAAGGACATGCGGCTTATCATCGTCGTCCTTGCCCTCTCGGAAGCCGTAAATAGGCTCCCAGATTGGTGTATACCCATTCTTTTCGCGGTGGTCCAAGTACGCACGAACCTCGTCCGCATAGGCAGGATCAATGGTATAGCTGATTCCCCATACAATATCGCCTTCCGGCGCCTCATCGGCATCTGGTAGACTATGCCAATGCTCAGACGAGACCAAGGTCACGACACGCCCAGGACGCTCAGGTGTGCCGCGGTGATCGACCGAGCTCTGAGCAAAGCGACGAACGAACCCCTTGATATAGCCGGGCGTGTACCCGATAACATGAGGCGGTGGCTTGAAGATCAGCGAGCCGTAGCCAAAGACGTCAAACGACCCTTCCGGGCGGTCCAGGAACGAAGGCAGCGTGGCCAGGTGAGGAAGTGTCTTGGCAATGCGTTGCGCCCGCTCGGTGTCCGACAACGGAGAGGCGGTGGTCATCGGCTCGGACGTCTCCAACCCCATCGCCACTCGCATTTTCTTTTCCTGCTTCTTGCGTTTCTTGTCTTTTTTTCGTGACGTCTCATCGTCAAGATGCAGCTCCTGCGTCTCCGATGCGATCTCGGCCACTGGATCTTCGCCGAGTGCGTCGAGCATTTCATCGTCTTCTAGCATCTCGCGTTTAAGACGCTGGACTTCCTTCTTGTGCTTCTTGCTGCGCTCATGATTGATCCAGGCCGCCTCCGATTGGAATCGTTTATTACACGCCACGCAATCCCACATAGGCTCCTCTTCGTCGTCCTCATCGCCTGCTGGGTCTTCTGCCTCTGACGCCTCGTCCAGGGAAGCGCCACTGCTAAAGTCATCAAAACCACCGTCGTCCGGCTCGCCGGCCATCTGCCAGCTTTGGGCCTGGAAGGACGCAGCCTGCTGACGCTTTGCATCCTGACGCTTGGCGGCTTCAACACGCCGCTTCTCGGCTAACTCGGCCTGTGCCTCTGCACTATGTGCCGCTTGCTGCTGTGCTTGGAACGCCTTGTACCGTGGATCTCGACGGCGAATAAACGCGGCAAGGCCACGGATCGCATCATTGTACTCACGTCGTGCCTGTTCGCGCGCCCGCTTGTTCTCTTTCTCCATCAACCGCTTTACACGACGGTCAGGCGCATCGCGCAGATCATGCTTGTCCTTCCATGCAAAGCTTTTGCGGCTAGAAAACTGCATCCAGAACTGGTAAAAGTCCCGTACAGACGTGCTAGCGGCCGGTGTATCAGTGTACGGCGTATCAGGATGACCAAACGATGGGTACATAGACGCCTGATCACGCCACGCGTCGCCCAAGTCGCCTGTATGGTCTTCGCCTGGGTAGGGCGCAGCAACGCGATCCTCTTCGGCCATTCGCTCAAAGAGGCGGCGGTATGTACCGTAGAACGAGGTATCGGTATCACGCAGATCTTTCGCCATGGATGGTGCGTAGAAGCGCAGGATATGTGGGACACCAATGCCGGCCGCCATAGACGTCGCCTTGGGCGCTGTGCCGCCCGACTTGAAGAACTGGAACTTGGCATCTACATCGTCTTCATCCTCATCTTCGTCGAGCCCTTGCATGAGACGCTCGCGATTCTGGTCGTACCAGGCTCGTTCCTGATCATCACTGAGCACATCGTAGGCTTCTTGCAACTTGATAAATTTCTTGTTCGCCTCCTCCTCACGTCCAGGGTTTTTATCGGGGTGAAGTCGCAAAGCTAGACGGCGATAGGATTTGCGGATGACATCGGCAGAGTCTGTTTGCTCGACTTCCAACAGCTCATAGTAATCGACAAAGGCATCCTCTGCCGGTGCCTCGGACGACTGTCGCGCGCCCATCGCGAACGGAGGCCAACCGCGAATTGCGCCCAAATTCACCCGTTCCTTCCCTCCACAACACATGGCTGCCACCGCTGGGCTGACCGCCGCGGCGTCGCTGTACCTGCAGTACGCGGCGCGGATCCCTCCCTTCTCCCCGCGGTTCCAATGGCCATGCCATCGAGACTTGCTTGCGTCCCAATCCACACTTGATGCAATTTTATTTGAACACTCACCACCTGGCGAGTCGACGGACGAATATGATCGCTCGTTTCTCAAGCATCTCGTAAAGCATATCGACACAGCTATCGAACATGGCACCGACGAAGATGCAGCGTGGCTCAATATAGCCAAGCAAGATTGGGCTGTAGACGATGCTCTGCTTGAAAGATACGTTGCTTTAGTCTCTATGCCCGACTCAACAGCGATCCTCGGCGCACCGGCACCCAAACCCATTCTTTCGCGTCATTATTTCCCCCTACCTACCACAGCCCAACCGCCTCATCCTCTCTTAGGGCCCTGTGGGTCGGTGGTGCTTCGCGAAGAGGGTATGGCGATTTCGCAGGGCACGACAGGCCTGAAAACATGGGAAGCGAGCCTACGTCTAGCCGCGTATCTTGTCTCGACAGGTCTGCTATCTGGCGAAACTGATGCTCGCATCCTTGAGCTTGGCAGCGGTGCTGGCTTCTTAGGGCTTGTATGTGCTCAACTTATATCCTGTCTCTCGCATGGATCGTTGTACTTGACCGACTTGGAAGGTCAAGTGCTGGATCGTCTGAGGGAAACCGCCTCGCTAAGTGCGTATACTGTTGGCTAACACCAGATCACATTGAGCCTATCGAGATTCTCCCTTTGGACTGGACAGAAGTGCAAGCCAAAGAGGACCAAGCGGTTTCTTTTCTGCAAACGATAAATGCCACATGCATTCTGGCCGCCGACGTGGTCTACGATCCATCCTTGGTCTCCAGCTTGGCATGTACATTACGCACGGCGCTACTAGGACGCGATCGGGATCCCTGTCCTGCCTATTTGGGCGATCGTTCTAAGCCGTTCGCCTTGGTCTCGAGTACAATACGCAACCCTGACACGTACTCACAGTTTTTGCAAGCGCTCACAGATCAAAAGCTGCAATGGCGACAGCTGGATCCTGTTAAGCCGAATTGGTCCTCTCTACCAGGTCTCCCTATCTTTCCATCGTCGCATGACCCGACTACCGAAGGACAGGTGACCATTATCGAAATTCAATTGGTATCACCGCGATAGCCAAAGCATACCCAATATTGTTCTCGGCTCTCTGAGCGACTGGCCTTCATTTTTTCTGAGCGTACAAAGGAAAAGTGTCGCTCTAGAACTTCATGCCGGAATTCGTCCGCTTCCTGGCTCATAAAATATTTACAAACAAATGCAGACAGAAGCTGCCGATCTGCTTCGGTCTTGGCTGGTCCAGGTGTAGGACGTAGCATGGATGTACAAAACTCAAATGCTGCCGTGCATAGGTCGAGCGACGCTTGTGAATCTCTCACAGGGTTTCCTGACGTATTGGCCATCATATCGCTTAGGACCACGTCGACTTTTCCATCGTGCGACGATGAAGTTTGCGTAATCAAATGAGCCAAGTGCTCTCGGACACTTGCGTCTGTAAAATCACCCTGCAGGGCTGTAATCCGCGGGTGGAGTATCTGCATAGGGAGCAAATCGAGCGCGTATACATGCGCTGTACGACACTGTTGTAGAACTGCCTGACTCCATCCACCTGGCGCAGCGCCTAAGTCCACGACAATGCGTCCAGGCTGGACTAATGTGTATTTTTGGAGTAGTTGCACGAGTTTGTAGGAGGAACGCGACAAAAACCCAGAACCATCCTCCTTTCGCTTTCGGACGAACTTCAAATTAGAAATGTTCCGCGTACCTCATCACTCCGTTGTCGAGCCAAATCTGAATATTAGGTCTGTATATGCACGTACATTTTGCCGATGATCCACCCCGTTTTGAGGCGTATTGCCGGACGCCTTGTGTATGAAAGCCTTTATGCGGGGTATGTAGACATGTCTTGCTTTGGCGTAATCCAATCCACATTAATTCAATACCAGAGGCCAGGGGACAATCGCCATCAATTGTCCTTACATAGGGCACTATTGGAATGTTACAGGAAGTTTATTCGCATGCGAGTGTTTTTCGGTAGGTTAATCAAGGCCAATTGTCGTTTCAGTTGGCGTAGTTTGTAAACTGCAATTGGCTTGTTTTTCTTTTACGCAGCAGCGATTTCTATTTGGCCATTCAGATTTACCCCGCATCAGCTGTTCAAAATGGGGTTTGTGGGGGATGCCGGGTCGTACGCGAAGAAACGAAAAAAACAAGAGAATTTATTAGGAAGGCGTGCCCAATTTGATTTCTTTACCTCTTTCTTCCCCATATGGCGGCGACAGTCTACCATAACGGGCTTAAGCCTGATATTCATGAGGAACATAAGCGTGCCGCCAATCCCGTACTTTTCCAGACCCGTGAGGCTGTTCTGGCCGATGCGGGTGAGGACGACAACGATGTTGTGAACGAAGCTTCTGCGGAAGTCCGTCTAAACAACCCCCTTCTGGGTTTGACGCACGAGCAAATTGAGAAGAACGTTCAAGTGTTCGTGACTGAAAAAGGTCTCGAGGACTACCACGACGAGTTCTTGAAGGGTGCTCTTTGTGCGCAAGCTCAGGCTACTAGGGATTACGAATCCATTACTATTTTGACCGAAGAAGACCGCCAAATTTTGCGCAACGAGCATGAAAAGAAGTGGCGCCAGCCCTTGATGCTCTATTGGCTCGCAATCTGCTGTAGTGTAGCTGCTGCGATTCAGGGTGCCGATGAGTCCGTTATTAACGGTGCCATCTTGTACTTCCCCAGCCAGTTTGGTCTTTACACGGATTACTGTGACTATTACACGAAGGACCCGCAGACGGGCGTGTGCAATGGTCAATTGAAGCCAAACCCTCGTTTTAACCCCAACTGGACGTACAGTGATGTGACTGCGCAGATCAGCCGAAACAACTGGCTGCTGGGTCTTGTTTCGTCGGCGCCATACTTGTGCTGTGCTTTCATGGGCTGCTGGCTTACCAGCCCACTTAACCAGTTCTTTGCTCGTCGTGGTACTATCTTTATTTGCTCATTTATCAGTTTCGCCACGTGTATTTGGCAGGCTGTTACCAGCACTTGGTGGCACATGTTCTTGGCTCGTTACTTCCTTGGTTTCGGTATTGGTCCCAAGTCGGCCACTGTGCCTGTTTATGCAGCCGAGTGTTCCCCCCCGTTGATTCGTGGTGCTCTTGTCATGCAGTGGCAGACATGGACTGCGTTCGGTATTATGCTTGGTAACGCAGCAGGTCTGGTTCTGTTCCAAGTTGGCGACACGAAGCATATCCATGGTCTGAACTGGCGTTTGATGATGGGCAGTGCTGCGATTCCTGCTCTGTTTGTCATGGTGCAAGTATACCTCTGCCCCGAGTCTCCTCGTTGGTTGATGAAGCGGAACCGCTACCGCCAGGCGCTGAACTCGTTCCTTCGTCTCCGCAACGCTCCCCTTTTGGCTGCCCGTGACATGTACTTTGCTCACTGCCTGATTGAGATTGAACATGAAGTTGAAGCGCAGAGCAGTGGCTCGAGCTTCTTGCAGCTGTTCACGGTGCCTCGTAACCTGCGTGCTACGTGGGCCACTTGTATTCTCATGTTCGGCCAGCAGTTCTGTGGTATTAACGTTATTGCGTACTACTCGAGTTCGATCATTAAGGAGATTGGTAGCGCCTCGAACCGTGATGCTTTGCTGGGCAGTTGGGGTTTCGGTATGGTGAACTTCTTGTTTGCCATCCCGGCCTGGTACACGATCGACACTTTCGGTCGTCGTAACCTGCTTCTATTCACGCTTCCCTTCATGGCTATTTTCCTTCTTATCACTGGTTTCGCGTTTTGGATTGACGAATCGAAGCAGGATGCTCGTCTCGGTGTAGTGCTTATGGGTATCTATGTCTACTCGGCATTCTATTCGCCTGGTTTCGGTCCCGTGCCTATGACCTATGGTGCAGAGGTTTTCCCTATCCGAGTCCGTGAGCTTGGTATGTCGTTCTCGACAGCTGTGCTGTGGTTCTTCAACGTCGTGCTTGGATTGACGTGGTTCCGTCTGAAGGAGGCTTTCAAGCCGCAGGGCGCCTTTGGCTGGTACGCGGCATGGTGTGCAATTCTCTGGGTCCTTGTCCTTCTGTTCTTGCCAGAGACCAAGGCATTGACGCTGGAAGAGCTGGATGTCGTGTTCAGTATCCCTACGACTAAGCACGCTAGCTACCAGTTGCGCCAGATTCCTTACTTCTTCCGCCGCTACATCTTCCGTCAGAAGGTGCGCAAGGAGCGTCTCCACAACCTTGATTCTAGCATTCGAAAAATCTAAGTAATCGCCTAGAGGCTACCTATCAGCGTCCCTCCCTAATATAGAATGGTATTCAGATGAAATGGAATTAATTCTCAGTTGTCATGTGGAGAAGAAACTGCCTCTACTCCACTCACGACGAATGTGCGGCCGTTTTGCTAATGGCTTGGGCCCCGAAGCCTTCCGTGAGGCCGTCTCCGATGTGTTCCCTGATGATTATGAAATAGATGAACCGATGGAGGACAATACCTACTTCCCGAGCTACAATGTAGCGCCCAACACACGATACCCTGTCCTATGTATGGCCGATGACCCTCATCATCTGCGCGTAGATATCATGCGCTGGGGTCTAAGGAACAGCGACTTGACATCACATCATAATCGACCGGCATGGGACCATTTTATCATCAATGCGCGTGATGACTCAATTAAGAAACCCTCGTCTATATGGCGCAATGTCGTGCAGTCGCAGCGGTGTATCTTATTCTGCCAAGGGTACTATGAGTGGCAAAGATCATCGCCGACGTCTCGTCCCATCCCCTATTTTGTCGGGATGTCCGTCAATGGGATTGGACGTCCCACAGTACAAGGTTCATCACGATGTCTGATGCCGATGGCTGGTGTCTGGACCGTATCTGAAGAGGGAGAAAACAAGTATGCAGTGGTAACGACGCATGCCAACAAGCAGCTACGTTTCCTGCATGACCGAATGCCTGTGATCCTAGGTGATGTGGACGCTATTGTGACATGGCTCGCTCCTTCTACCCCTATGCCCGACGTGCTACGTCTTCTTCAACCTTATGACGCGCCCTTAGACTGCTTCAAGGTACCTACCGAGGTGGGCACGGTTGGCATCTCGAACGAAAATATGATCCATCCCGTGGAAACACGCAAAGATGGTATTGTTGCCATGTTTACCCATGCACAAAAAAAAAAGACCGACGAAACATCTATCAAGAGAGAGGATACCAGTAACGACGCTGAGCCACATTCGTCGCGAATTTCGGTACAGCAGCGCGAGCTACCCACAACACCGTCTCGATCTACACAATCAGCCTCGTCGCCTCGCAAGCGATCGAAGGGTACGTCTCCGCATGTCACCAAGCGGCCCAAAGGGACGCCCAGCTTAGAGTCGTTTTGGCACTAGTACGAAACTGTTCACACTAACGTTGATGTAATCTATGAAGGGGCCAATTGCAGTGCGGGCAGTGTACATACACATTTAGAACAGCGGCGCAGGTGCTGTGACATAGTACGACTTGACGCGGCCTGAGCCCTTTGCCTTCTCGACACGCAGCTCAAACACAATCTCGTCCTTCTGCTCGTTGTATTCCGCTGCACACCAGTTGCGAGCACCGATGATGCTAAAGGTTAGCCATGTGGTCCATACGTACTATTTTTGCTTCAACTTCTCGTCGTCCAAGCCATATTCAAACATTGGGATCATACCCTCGCGTGTATGTGCGTACTGCAGACTGCGATGACGCTTCGCAGCCAGCTTGTTGAGTATGGCAATGACAGCCGGCGGCGGTGGGGCGTTCACAATCGCACTTGTAATGAGAGCCAAGTTGTACTTGTAGTCATTCTCAGGGCGTATGTTCGAGCTTGAGTAGAAGTAGCCACAGCCGCCTGCATGCACATCACCACTAATGAACGACACACGCACCCTGTTCTGCTGCGAGAACTTTTGCGTCTGTTCCACGAGGCGGTTACGTTCGTGCTTGTGTCCATGCGCACACCAATGGTCGTTCAAATCGTCCAGCAGTTCGACCTGACCATTGAAGTTGTTCGTAAATGCCGGCATGCACGCCTTCACCAGGTTCACAACCGGGTTGTACTTGCTAGCCAGCATCTTCTCCAGGAAGACCATGCGTGGGTACGAGATCGGTACACCCAACTGCACAATGAGGTGCTTGACAGACTTCGGCATAGCTTCCATGGCTTCACGGCAGCGGTCATATGTCTGCTGTGTGCAAATCTGATTGAGCTTACGCTGCGCACGACAGTCCAAAAGCAACATGTGCTGCTTAGGACCTAGCCAGACCAGGAAGCTGTGTGCAGGGAACGGAATGTACGCACCGGGGCCACCGATAATCAGCGACTTGAACTGCGATGGGTTCGGGTTGGTCGTGTTTTCGTTACTGATGCCATCCAGTTCATCGTTCATAAACTGCTGGAAAAGAAGGTAGAAGAAGTAGCCACGCGAACCAATACGGTTGAACAACGACGACTCCATTAGACTGTCAGGGTACGTGCCGAAACCATCGATCAAGTCATGGTCATCCAGCATGTTGACCATAGGGATACGTGCGGCAGCCCGAGCAAAGGCACCTTGGCCAAAGCACTGCGTCACATTAGTTATACCATACGAACCTGTTTGTAGTTCTGGAAAAAGAAGCGGTCGATAGCAAGGGCCGCTTCCATTGTCACACTGTTGTCTTCACCTTGCTTGATCTTGTCTGGGTCGAACAGATTCTTCAGCTCCGGCTGGTTGGCGATCTTGTCACTATATACCTGATCACCACCGCCCATCAAAATGTGAAACGGTTTGTTGTTCACATGCTCCAATAGCAAGTCGTTCCACAAGGGATCCGGACCGCCGTATTCCTCTGTGTCCACACTGGAGCTGAAACCACTGCATGAGTAGCCAGCCCAGCGGAAGTTTTCCTGGTGAGCGGGCACATGGAAATCATGGAGCTCCGTCGCATTGAGCACCGTGTACGCCACAACTTGAGGCACATCCATCATATGGATCTCGATTTTGAAACGCCAGAACACATGAGACTTGCGCGTCTCGTCGTTGTACACCCAAAGCTTCAGACCCTCCGCCTGCATAGGGGGGCTCGTATTTTGGTTGCCAGCGGTAGCGACGTACTGAAGCATGGGCGGCGCGCGAATTTGCTCATTGGCATCATGCTCAGTCACAATCAAAGCAAAGGCGTGGTAAACACCCTGAGCATCGACAGTATCATAGCGCAAAAGGGGACCTACGTCCACTTTCCAGGTGGACATGTTGGAGGAGCGGAAAGAGCCTATGACCCTGGATATGTCCACCAACCCTGACGGGATGCAAGCTGTCAACACAGCCAATCATTTACGAGGTGTTTCGCCATCTCTTGGCTTTCCTCCACCACAATCATGCCTTTGTGGCTCGAGCGTTGGGGCGCACAGGGCAAGGTGTGTAGATCTCCGGCTCATGTGGCAGGCGCCATATCACCCTGGCCCTTATGCTGTGTACCGAAATGTGAAAGACTACGGCGCGCGGGGTGATGGTGTGACGGACGATACCGAGGCCATCCAACGCGCGATCGCTTCTGGCGACCGTTGTGGATCACAGGCTGACAGCAGCACGACCTCTCCCGCGCTAGTCTACTTTCCACGTACGTTGTATGCTATCTAAACGATTCAGCTGGCACCTACCGCGTATCATCGCCCATCATCTCATATTACAATACACACCTCATGGGCCATCCTACGCATCGAGCCCATATCGTACCGCTCCCTACGTTTCACGGCATGTACGTTGCCTATCGACTTACGCAGCGCTGTGATCGATGAGAATCCATACGAACCTGGTGGAAAGAATTGGTATATTCCCCAAAACAATTTCTTCCGTTCCGTATCGAACTTGGTCCTCGACTTGACGCAGATGACGCATGCGTGGGGGACGGGCATGTACGTAATCGTAGCACTGACGTGCCGCAGACACCACCAGGTGAGCCAGTCCACAGGCTTGTACAATGTCCACTTTGAAATGAAAGTGGGGCCTACTTCGCAACAACAAGGGGTACGTTTGGCTGTGTCTCACCCAGATCTTTATGGAAAATGCGAGCGGCGGATTCATGTCAAATCTTACTTTTCACGGTGGAAAATTCGGCGCATGGCTCGGCAATCAGCAGTTCACAGTGCGTCATGTCCGCTTTTCTGAATGCCAAACGGCACTTTGCTTGCACTGGAATTGGGCATGGACGTTGTTGGATGTGCATATCCAAGACTGCCATGTCGGTCTTGAAATGATGGCTATGCTTCCCGACAAACAGGGCGTCGGTTCTCTCCTCCTATCCGATTGGCATGTTCAGCGTACACCCATAGCTGTCCAGCTTGAGAAGGCCGGAACAGGGCGTCTTGTATTGGATTATATGCTCCTGGACGACGTGGATGTGGTCGTGCAAGGCCCTGCCACACCACTTCTTACGCCGCCATCCAAGACGTACAAAGTCGTGTACTGGGTCAAGACCCCTGCTGTGCTGCCATCCCAAGCCCTTGCAGTAAAGCAAATCGACACACCAGAAGGTCCTACGTATGTGGGCGCCGTGAATGTACCGCCACGTCCTTCGTGTCTGGTGGATGCACAAGGATGTTGGTTCGGGCGTGAGAAGCCGCAGTGTACGTTAGTAACACTCTAACGACAGATGCCGATTTGCCGGACGACCAGTTTGTCAGTATGCACATGTACGGTGCTAAGGGCGATGGCATCGCAGACGATACAGCGGCGATGCAAGCTGTACTAGACAGGCACATTGGCGCTGTCATATACGTGCCTTATGGCGTCTATGTCTTGCATGATACGCTGCATATTCCTGTAGGTACGAGGTTGGTCGGTCAAGCACAACCGACTTTGCTCGGCACAGGCTCTGCCTTCCAGGACGCCCAGACCCCACGCCCTGTGATACGTGTCGGCCACCCTGGCGAGCGAGGGAGTGTGGAAATCTCTGACGTGATCTTCAGTACACGTGGACACTGTCCAGGTGCGATCGTTGTGGAATGGAATGTGCAGGAAGAAACGCAAGGCTCTGTAGCCATGTTTGACGCTCATATTCGTATCGGCGGCACGGCCGGTACAGAGCAAGAGCTGCGTCAATGTCCGAAAGATGCGCCTCTGGAGAGCCTTCCACGAGCAAATTGTCTCAGTTTGCATGTAACAAAGGAGGCGAGTGGGTACTTTCAAAATGTATGGATATGGACAGCGGATCATGAGCTGGATACAGGCGCGCCTGCCCAAATCAATGTCCTCACAGATCGCGGAGTGCTCATTGAATCTCAAGGTCCTGTGTGGATGTACGGCACCGCGAGCGAGCACGCCCTATTGTATCAATACTCCCTGGTTGGCGCATCGAATGTCCTACTAGCGATGATTCAGACCGAGTCGCCATATTTCCAAGGTCACGACTTTGCCTTGGCTTCACACAGTGTGCCTCGTCTTGCCAAGTTTCCTGATCCTGACCTATCGGTCCCTTATACAAAAACCGATAAGGTCCCTGCTTTACCTTCAGATGCCTGTATGGAAGATCGCGCTTTGGGACTGCATATATCGGCTTCCCAGAATATCTTTGTGCTGGGCGCCGGCCTCTACTCCTTCTTTGACTCGTATGGCCAGGCTACACTGAGCGAGCATGCATGCCAACGTCGTTTGTGTGTGATTGAGCAGAGTTCTAGGTCTTCGGTATGGCTAGTGCACACAGCGACTGTGGGAACACAGATCCTGGTGAGTATAGATGGCGAAGATCAGCTCCATGAATCAAGGCATCGTGAAGGCTTCTGCAGTACATTGTCCCTCTGTGCTGTGACGCCCAAGGGCAGGTATCTCTTGTAAGGGGTCATGAAGGACAAAGTGTATGCTATGAGCCTACCTCTGATGCCATGGCTATGCAAGAGTGATGGGACACTAGGACTGCTGCATCTTCGCCTGCACCTTGCCCATTCCTTCCTGCGAACAAAGTTTCTCCACATACTTCATCGGTACGCGGCATTGGTTGGTATCGATTTCCGGCGGTTCTTTAAGGGCTGGCAAACGAGCCAGCCATCCCATCGGACTAAAATCAGCAATGGTAGGGCGGTCGAGCACGAGCCAAGCCTTGTCCTCGCTATACTTGGCAGCCTGGGCCTTCAGCTGTGTCTCATCTACCTTGAACACGCGGTCCAGTTCCATTTTGAAGCGCTTAATATAGTTTGGAGGTCCATTTTCATCGTAGGTGTCATCCCAGTACACTTTGCTGAAGTACAAGTTGCCCTGGACTGGACTATGTCCAGATACCTGGAAGAAAAATCACTGGGAGATCGACGCCTTTTCCTCCGGTGTGGCGCCTGAGAACTTGTGCTCTGTGTCATAGGCATCAGCGAGGTATTCCAGAATGGCGCCTGACTCCCATACAGTGAAATTGTTGCGCTTGTGGTCAAAGCGTAGGTGTACGGCCATTAGCACAGATATCCAGGTAATCTTCTCCCTTCACGCCCGTGGCTTTGTCGCTAGAGCCAAATTCCATCCACTCCTTTCACATCATAATCGAGATGCATGCTCTCGAGAAATGCCGCTACTTTGATTGGGTTTGGACCCCAACGATCTTTAAGGATGTACAGTGTGAAATGAACCATGGAAAATAGAGGCAGGGATGCTGTACGGGATGTGCGCTTATACGCCCCACATCGACGACGTCCGAGACGTCACGTTGGGGAAGACGTTATGTAATGCATCGTAGTAGATTTATCCGTGAAGTGACCGTAGCCCTGCTTCGTTCGACATAGCGTCGTGGTCTCAGCATTCCTTGATACTCTACTTCACGTATACCCATACGGATTTAAATGTCTAGGATTCTCAATCGTCTACAACATTCTGTTACACGACTAATGCTGAAGCTTGGCAAACACCTTCGCCAGACCTTCCTGCGCACGGAGCTTCTCCACATACTTCATCAGCACGGGGTATTGCTCCGTGTTGACGCCCAGCTTGTCCTTAATATCCGGCAAAAGACCGAGCCAGCCCATGGCGCTAAAGTCTGCGGCTGTAGGACGGTCTAGCACGAGCCAGGCCTTGTCTTCACCATACTTAGCAAACTGAGCGCTCAGCTGCTTCTCATACACCTTGTACACGCGGTCGAGCTCCGTGCTGAAGCGCTTAATGACGGTTGGAGGCACTTCCTCTTGATAGGCGTTTTTCCAGTACACATTGCTGAAGTACAAGTTGCCCTGAACAGGACTGTGACCAGTGACCTGGAAGAAGAGCCACTGAGAAATAAGGGCCTTCTCCTCGGGCGTCTTACCAGAGAATTTGTGCTCCGTGTCGTACACGTCAAGAATGTACTCCAGGATCGCACCCGACTCCCACACGGTAAAGTCATTGCGCTTGTGGTCGATCAGCGTAGGGGTACGGCCATTGACACAAATGGCCAAGTAGTCCTCGCCCTTAACACCGGTAGCCTTGTCGCTAGAGCCAAACTCCAGCGCCTTGACATCGTAGTCAAGGTTCAGGCTCTCGAGGAGAGCAGCCACCTTGATGGGGTTGGGGCCCCAGAGACCCTTAAGGACGTACAGCGTGAAATGAGCCATGATGATAGTGAGAGAAGAACCTTACCAAACGCCGACGAACTTTATACGATGAGAGTCTGAGCATGTGACACAGCGGCTGATCTGATTGGCCTTGCTTATGAAAGTGGTGAAAATGCATGACCGTCGCCAATATACGGTTGGAGGCCCTCATCAGGTGAGCGAGGGCGTCAAAGTGGACCTCTATTTCGTAGACCATTTCGAAGCACAGTTTCTCCTATATGAAATGATATGAATACTCATGGCTTGCACCAACATCAGCGCATATTATACAGGCTAGGACATAGGGAGTCGTACCATTTCATTCCTGTACATAGATACCGACCATGGCCGTGTCGATAATTGCATCAATGTTCACCCACGCGTGCGTATTGAAAAACAGGCGCGTGCCATCTCGTCCTGCGACGCGCATCAGGGTATCTTGACCACCTGGGTGGAAACGTAAGTAGGGCGTAATATTGTACACCTTGCCTTGAAGAGCAGTCCACGCATCTTCTTTGGTATTGTGCTTCTTCAATTCGCTCGGCGTCACGCGTAGGAGTGTGGTCACACCGCCGCGCAGGTCGGTGGTGCTTTTCAACCGTGCCCAGTCCAATGGACTACACCCAGGCTCGAGAACGACCTTTTTCCGACCGGCGGGGGGATTGAGAGAGGCGCCAGCGGCCATGGGCATACGCAGACTACTCATACCCGTAGGCGCCAGCCGTGACGTGGCCGGTGGCCTAAGCGTCGAGGCGCCTTGTGGCGAAGCGTGGCGTTGCGCACTGTTCAGTGCGGGAAAGGCGGGAGGTGTATCATCCCCCTCTTCCTGCGCACTTGGGGTGGGGCCCGTGCCATCAATTACAATCGGTGTCTTCTGTGCTGACATAGTTGTGCCCAGCTGACTGAGCCGCGCAGCACTGGCGTAAAAATAGATTGGTTCGCGACGATGAGGACACGTGCCATTTATCGTTTCGATCCGATGCTCGCTTGACCTTTGTTTAGGTCAGCCGATCGATCGAGGCACCGGCCACGTTACTGCTGCGGGCAATAATTTTTTGACACCCCCAGAATTCCCCTGCAGGTGCGCCCTCACAACTGTATACCACCATGGAATTCCACTCGCACTTCCTGAAGAAGCCATCGACCGTGATGATCCCATTCCCTTTTAGCGGCGGTCAGCCGCGGAAGGGTGTGGAGATGGGCCCGGAGGCCATCAAGAAGGCTGGGCTCCAGCAGCAGCTCGAGTCGCTGGGCTGGGAGTACCAGGAAGACAACTCGATCTCGTGGGACCAGATCAACGAGATGCTCAACGGCGATGAAGCCATTGGCAAGATGCGCAACCCACGTTCGGTCTCGAAGGCTAGTGAAGTCCTTGCGGACGCCGTAGAAAAGCATGCTAAGGCTGGCCACTTGCCTCTGACGGTGGGTGGTGACCACAGTCTTGGCACAGGCACAATGATCGGTACAGCGCGTGCGTACCCGAATGTGGCCTGCATTTGGGTCGATGCTCATGCCGACATTAACACCCCTCTGACTACGCCGTCGGGTAACCTGCACGGCTGCCCTGTGGCGTTTGCTTTGGGTCTGGAGGGCGCATATGTCGAGCCTTACAAGAGCTGGCTGCCTAACCCGCCGATCAACGACACAAACCGTCTTGTGTACATTGGTCTGCGTGACATTGACGAGGGTGAGCGCAAGATCCTCAAGGAGCACAACATTAAGGCGTTCAGCATGCACCATGTCGACAAGTATGGCATTGGCAAGGTGGTGGAGATGGCGCTGGCTCACATCAATGGAAACACTTCGCGTCGTGACCGCCCTATCCACTTGTCGTTTGACGTTGATGCGATGGACCCCAGTGTGGCCCCGAGCACTGGTACGCCTGTGCGTGGCGGTCTGACGTTCCGTGAGGGTCACTACATCTGTGAGGCCATTGCCGAGACGGGTGCCTTGGTGGCTATGGATATGGTGGAAGTCAACCCCTCGCTCGAGTCGCATGCGGCTGAGCAGACGATTGCGGTGGGCTGCTCGCTGATCCGTGCGGCATTGGGCGAGACGCTGCTGTAAGCGTGGAGGAACTAAAGGCCTAGGTGTGAGCCGTCTTTATGTGGTCTTCTTGCTCTGCTGACCCTGTGATTTGTGTGCCGTATCCATGCATAGATACGCCGGGCGCTAAAGGTGAGTGGGCGGTACAAACGTACGGTATATTTCTGTCTTGAGTACTCGGCGAGCTTTGGCTTTGGGTTTCGGCGCTGGATATAAGTACATATCAAACAGTCATACATACCTTTCGTGTTTTCAGTCATATAGAATTGGCGTAATATCATGATAGCTTCTTCACGCAAGTACCCCCCGAGGGATTCGTAGGGAGGGTTGTAGACCAAGGCACAGCTGCATGTAAGTAGGTCCTAGCCAACTTACCTTGCGTGAATTGGAAGCACGGTGCCATTCCCTCCAAACCGTTCATTTCCTGCCCCAAATACGACACGCTGAATCCCAATTTGACGTAAGGCTGAGGCGCACATCAAACACGGCTCAATGGTGACATAAAGCGTCGTGTTCAGCATGGGATTGTCGCCAGGTGCACATGCATGGGGCGCAGTGCCAAACGTAGTCGATTGTGGTGGCCTATGCTGCAAAATTTCATCAATGGCTTCTAGTTCAGCATGTCGTGTGGCCTATGATCTGTAAGTAGCAGCGTACGTACATTCATAAGTTCATTTGTGCGATTCCGGCCTTTGGCAATCACAGTTCCATTCTGCACAAACACACAGCCTACAGGTACTTCATTGTGATCAAACGCTTCTTGCGCCATATCCAATGCTAAACGCATCCACCGAAGATCGGCTTCAGCCTGCGCTTCTTTGGGTACATATGTCGCACATCCGATCATGAAGGAAGTGGAGGTAGTAGGAGAGTGCTGCTGCACAAAAAAAAAAAGGCGGTTATTCGCTCCACACCTCTCGTCGTATTACGCAGACCCAACGTTGCTTCACCATGAACGCAGCGATCACGGGCGCGTGGTCTAAGCAACGTACACGTATATCGCTTAACACGGCCGTTCCTCCTGCCGGCTCAGCTGCAGCGGCTGCGCAAGCGCGTGCTGAGTCGAAAAAAGATGATGATACAGATACGGTTGTCGACAAACAAGAACGAGTTGGGAAACGTAAAGTTCGTGCATCCCGTACACCAGATCAGGTATCCAAACGTGGGAAGACCAAGAGTGTATCGAAAGAGGACAAATATGCAGCACCTATGACGCGTCTCCGGGATATCGGTGGTGCCTCAGCAGCGATTGAAAAGGCATTGGAACTGATTGCTATGCCACTATGCCATCCCGAAATCTATTTGCATACCGGTGTGACGCCGCCTCGTGGTGTATTATTTCACGGCCCACCTGGGTGTGGTAAAACAATGATGGCTGGTGCCTTGGCTGGTGAGCTAGGCGTGCCGTTCTTGTCGATTAGTGCCCCGTCGATTGTTTCAGGCACGTCGGGCGAGTCGGAAAAGGCACTGCGTGATACGTTTGAGGAGGCCCAAAAAATTGCACCGTGCATCTTGTTTGTGGATGAAATCGATGCAATTACACCGAAGCGTGAGACGGCCCAGCGTGAAATGGAACGTCGCATTGTCGCTCAACTTCTTACGTGTATGGACGAGTTGGCCTGGGAAAAAGGCGATGGACGGCCTGTGATGATTCTCGGCGCGACCAACCGACCTGACTCAATTGATCCCGCTTTGCGTCGTGCCGGCCGCTTTGATCACGAGATCGCGATGGGCGTGCCAGATGAGGAAGGTCGGGAGCACATTCTGCAAGTGCTCTGCAGCAAGCTTCGGCTTGCTGGCGACTTTGATTTCAAGTACCTAGCCAAGCGCACACCTGGTTTTGTCGGTGCGGATTTGACGTCGCTTACCGCTGCCGCTGGTATTATTGCTGTGAAGCGTATTTTCCAGCATCTGCAGGATATCCCTGCTCTGAACGAGGACATGCAGTGCGACGATACCCAAGAGGCAGCCGACATGGAGGCAGCCATGTCTGTGCCAGAAGTGACGGACGATGCAGAGGCGCCTGAGACTATTGGCGAGGTCGTCAAGACCCCCGTAGCCGAAGAGGAGATGCATGTGATTACGGGCCCCCAGTTTTTGGACACATTGCCAGACTCGGTGCGATCCACGTCGATTGCCACGTTTTTGCAGCGCTTCCCTCATCCGCTACCTGATGCTCAGTTGGAAAAGCTAGCCATTACGAACCAGGACTTTTTGGATGCACTCAAAGTTGTACAGCCCTCGTCGAAGCGTGAAGGCTTTGCCACGGTACCTGATGTCACCTGGGACGATATTGGCGCTTTGCATCAGATTCGCGAGGAGCTAAGTATGGCTGTTGTCCAGCCGATTCGTCGACCTGAGCTCTTCCGCGCATTGGGCGTGAGTGCTAGCTCGGGTGTGTTGCTATGGGGTCCACCTGGTTGTGGTAAGACACTGCTTGCCAAAGCAGTTGCGAACGAAAGTCGTGCGAACTTTATCAGTGTCAAAGGTCCAGAGTTGTTGAACAAGTATGTCGGTGAGAGTGAGAAGGCGGTGCGTCAGGTGTTTGCACGAGCGCGTGCCTCGTCGCCCTGTGTCATTTTCTTTGACGAGTTGGATGCGTTGGTCCCTCGTCGTGACGACACTCTATCGGAGTCGTCAGCGCGTGTTGTCAACACGCTACTCACCGAGCTCGACGGACTGGAATCGCGTGTACAAACCTATGTAATTGCCGCGACGAACCGTCCTGATATGATCGATCCAGCGATGTGCCGTCCAGGCCGTCTGGATCGTTTGCTGTACGTCGATTTGCCGACGTCAGATGAGCGGCTGGATATCCTACGTACGCTGACCAAGGTGTCGCCCCTGGCTACGGAAGACGAGGCGGATGGTGAGCGGCATGCTGTGCAGCTTGATCAGATTGCGCATGACCACCGCGCTGATGGGTACAGTGGTGCCGACTTGGCTGCGCTGGTCCGCGAAGCCGCTGTTACGGCGTTGCGGGAGAAGATTGCGTCGCCGCTGCAATACAATGACGATACAACTGCTGTCACGGAGCGTGTATGTATCTATCACCACCACTTTGTCCACGCCTTTGATCGGGTTCAGCCCAGTGTCTCTACAGAGCAGCGCCTCAAGTACGAGGCGCTGCGTGGCCACATTGCTTCAGGCGCTGGCCGTGCACGGTAGTCGTAACCTATATAGGACCTAGTAGGTCTATTTATTTATCACGTGTGGGCATTGCGTCGCCCGTGTCCGACGGCGAATGGCCCTACCGCAACGAGTGACGACGATGCCGGCGTATCATTCCTCGTACAATGATGAGCCGAATGTGCGGCAGATTGCGGGCGTGTCCATCCTTCCACTGAATGCGCGGAGCCGTGGACCGGCCCCAATACCAGGTACGTTGCCGACTGGCTGACATGGAGTGGATCCTTCGCGTCCGGATATTGTTGATGAGGCCATTGATCTGTTTCGTGCGAACTCGCTCTTCCGCAACTTTGAGATCAAGGGCGGGGCAGATCGTACGCTGATCTACCTAATTCTGTTCATTTCTGACTGTCTTAGCCGCATTGCTGCGGCGCCCACCACATGGACCAAGCATGAGGCGACCAAGCAGCTATCGTCGCATGCTGTCGATGCGTTTGCGCTTCCAGGGGACGCCAACTTCCCCTTGAGCTCTTTATACTCGGCGCCAGAGACGCGCGCTGATGCTGATACATTGCGTCAGTACCTTATACAAGCACGGCAGGAGACAGTGACGCGCCTGCTGGATAAAATATACATCGACGACGTTCCTAGCCGTTGGTGGCTCGCGTTTACCAAGCGCAAGTTGTATGTATTTACAGCGCGTACTGACCATCAGCATGGGCAAGAGCTTGTAAAACGCCTAGTGTTCATACAGCGATAGATGTGCTACATGCAAGTCTTTTTTCTTTCGTAAATGTCGGGGCTATATGTGACAAGGAAGCTTAGGCAGTGGCCTGGGCTTCGTCGGCCAGCGCCGTCGGCACCTGCGTAGGCGCTTGTGACATGGTCGTAAGTAGCTTTTGGATGCTGCTCTGCCACTGCGTCAGGCGCTGCTCGAGCAATTCCCATTGCGCCTTCTCAAAGGCACGATAGGTCGAGCGGTAGACACGGAACGACTGCGTGACTTGCGAGAGCTTGCCAGAGACGAGACCAGCACGAATCACATCAATGACCCATGACTCAACGTCGTCCACAGGCACATCGAGCACCTTGGCCATGTCCTCGTACGACACTTCCGACGACACGCTGCGCGCACACAGCGACGCCAGATCCAGCAAACGCATCTTACGACGAAGCTCGTCGTCACTGAGAGAGAGCTTTTGCAACGTCTGGCCCCCCTCACTAGACTTGGCCCACGCCTCGTAGTCCGCACGTGTGCCGCCCACGACAATCTTGAGCAGCGTCAGGATAGGCGAAGCACCCAGCTCTGTCGTGACAGGCACATGTAACACCTCTTCCATCTCGAACAGCTTCGGGAGACGCAAAATGTTGGCCAACGCCGTCTCCGCTGCCATAACACGGCGATCCTTGCTCAGCGACGACTCACCCGAAAGGAAGCGCAGGTGCAGCAATTCGTACTCGTATGCCTTATCGACGTACTCCGGGCCACACTCTTCTGTCTGGAGCGCCTCAGCGACACGCGCGAGGCACGCTTCCTTCTCTTCCATCGACACATCCCACTCTGTGAGCCATGTTGGGAGCGTCTGCAAGGCCGCCTCCATAAAGTCCATATCGCCGTTCGTCGAAGCCAGCGCCAGCAGCGTTTCAAACATCTCAAGACGCAGTGGGGAGTTGGTGGACAACGTATTGAACAGGTTGGCGAGAATACGGTACTTGACCACGCTGCGTTCGGACGCTGTAGGCGACGAAGCATCGCCAACCACGCGCGCCAAGTGGCGGAAGCACTTCGCATACGTTTCGTCGTCTTCCTGGATATACTTAGCCACGAGCGACATCAAAAGATTGAATAGGCCCTCCATTTCGCGGTCGGTGCCTTCCACGAGACCCGGCGTTGCTTGGACCAGTTTTACGACAATATCCCGAGCCTTGGCAGGCGCCTCCGCCTCGGGCGCTTCGTCGGCCTGCAGGGCCTCCTTGCTGAATGTCTCTACCCATTCAGGACGCTGCTCATCAGGGAAAGAGCGAGAAAGCAGCAAAGTGCATTCTTCCGTGTGGTCACGAAGTGAGCTGTCGCTCAGAACAGCCACGAGATCCGGTCGCATCGTCGCCAGAATCGCGAGCGAGTACTGCGAGCGTCGCAGAGAAACGAGTACTTTTCCTCTCACGTGATATGTAAGCCACGTGAAGCGCTAGGGACCACGATGGCCTCTTCGTGCGCTACTGTCCCCCCACACGCGTACGATGTCGTCGTTGTGGATCATCAACAAGGCAGGGGGACTCATCTTCCAAGCGGAGCATTTCCCGTATCCACACAAGCAAAACAATGAGCCGGATTTGACGTCCAATGATTATTTAATTTTGGCAGGTACACTGCATGGCATTCATGCTATTACTTCCCGTATCAATCCAACAGAGAGCAAAGCGAATCACGGCTTGGAAGTGTTGGAGGCGGACAATCTACTTCTCCATGTCAAGATGACGCAGACCGGTACTAAGCTGGTCCTTCTGACCGATGCCACACACCCCGACCCAGCAGGCATACTACAGCGAGCGTACGAGTCGTATGTGGAACACGTCATGAAGAACCCTTTCTATATCGCTGAAATGCCCATCCGTGTAGAAGCGTTTGATCGGGATATGCATCGCCTATTAATGTCGTCATGACAAGGATACCCCCTTAGCTACGTAGCAATGTACATTTCTTTAGAATCTGCGTCAAGCACTGCGATGAGAATCCGTGGTACGTACCGCCGGTTTGCGATTGGGCGCGATAGCAAGACAAGTAGGAACGTTCTCAGGCTGCTCGGTCCACAAGTAGTGCGTTGGCATGTCTGGCTCGGTGACGCCTCGCAGCTGCTCCGACAATGCTGTAAGAGTCACACCTTTGGGCGTTTGCAAGACAATCTTGTGCATATGGGGCAAATTGTCCGTGCTCACGTAGGCGCGTGTATTTTCATGCATCCATGACTCAGCTAGGGCCTAGCTGGGTCAGTACCCTATCATACGTACCGCCGTAGCTGCATGCGCAGCTTGGGCCATCAGAGGGCCTGTCGTCCATTCCGGTTGCTGCACGTAAGGAAGGATGACGTATACCTACTTTGACTAGGTCACGGTCTACAATGATCTGCATTACAAGGGGCTGTACATGTGTACTCATCGTTCGTACGCGGCACGTCCAAGTTCGTAAAGGGAGCCCTCGAACGCAGATGGACATGTGGAGGCAACGCTCGTGAGGGCGCTCGTTACGAGGACGGAGCGCGTCGCCGTGCGCGTGGAGGACGAAGGCGTGGGGACGTAGTAGTCGTCCGTTGTGCCTTGGATTTCGTCGGTGCCTTGGGCGAGGGTGGGCGCTTGAGGCGAGGGAGCTGCGAGGTTGGGCGGGTAGAGCGTGTGGCTGCTACTGCCTTGGCTGTGGGTATACGAGTGCGCTTCGAGCGCTGTGTTGGCCCTTCAGAGAGCGCCGTAGGGGGTATCGAACGTTTCGGACGTGGCGACTCGTTTGTGGTGGAAGGCATGGATGGCGACCAAGGCGGCGATACAAGGCGGGGCGCTGCCACCTGTGGAGTCGAGTGCCAAGGGATGGCGTGCAGCGAGAGATCGCCAACCTCTTCGTCGGACTTGTCGTCGCTGCTGCTGCGCGTCGTCGGCGAGAGACGCAGGCTCAGATCGACCTCTTCTTCGTCGGAGCGATCATGGTGTACTAGAGCTGGCTGCTTTTTCGGCGTAAGAAGCGTCAGCCAGCCGGGCATGTGGTACTCTACGACGTGGCTGGGCGTGGGCCAGAGCCAGGGACGTAGACCGTGCCAGACTCGATGCACGCCGCCCGCGCTAAACAAGTACAGGCCATGCACCCAGAGCCATGCTTCGTCAATGTACGACTCTTGCTCGCGAAGCCAAGGCTGGATGCTCACGTAGAGGAGGTATGTTGCCATGGATGGATTGGCCAGCATCCATAGCAACCACAGTGTGTGGATTGTCGATCCAAATGGAAGGAGCCAAAGTGCCCACGCAATCCATGAACGTAGAGATAGGTAGGTTCCCTGGTGTGAGGACATTGAGCTACGTACCCATACACAGGCTGTGCGTAATGCATCATGAAGAACAGCACGTCGATGGAGCGAGCCTACGCGGCGTACTGATCCACCAGACGAGGTGGTGGCAGAGGCATGGCCCCACACGCGCGATGATGTGCCCCGTGGTGTAGGTAGTGTTAGGAGAGCATGATAAGCACGTAAAAGAATCGAGAAAGTGCTACGATTAGCTGGCTGTATATACGTACATGACCACCTCGAGCCCGACCTGCAGCATGACCGCGCCAGGCACGCGGTGTGTAGTGTTGAGGCAAGTGGAGGAGGGTGACGCGGCTCCGCCTCCCTCCGCTATTCTCCACGATAATGTTTCGTTGGTCGGCCGTGCGTGCGCCTAGGGTGCGCCTAGGTGCGTCGCTGCGTACGTATGCGACTCGTCCGCAGGTCCTGTTGATGGATGACATTGAGCTGGCGAAGACCGACTTGGAGCGACTGGGCTCGCATGCGGAGATCTTGCGCAACAAGACCACCTCACGTGCGGAGCTGATCTCGGCGTTTGCGCCGGGGGGTCCGTACGCCCAGGTCCGTGGTCTGTACCGCCATTTTGGTGGTGCTCGCTCTATCCGTGTGTCTGGCCGTTTTGATGAAGAGCTCGTCGCTGCGTTGCCGTCGACACTCAAGTTCATTGTGCACAATGGTGCTGGCTATGATCAGTGTATGTATACGTATGACTCATGTGACAGTGGACATCAACGCACTTACGCGCCGTGGCATTCAGGCGGCGAATGTGCCTACGGTCGTGAACGAGGCGACAGCGGATACCGCGTTGTTCCTGCTGATCGGCGCACTGCGTCAGTTCCCGAAAGCCATGGCCGATTTGCACGCTGGCACGTTCAACAAGGCATTCTCGTTCCGGGGTGCAAGCGATCCGGAAGGCCTGACGCTCGGTATCGTTGGTGCTGGTGGCATTGGCCGTACGTTTGCGCGTAAAGCTGCGCATGCGCTGGGCATGCATATTGTGTACCACAACCGTACGCGTCTAAGTGAAGAGCAAGAGACACAGGGAATGCCGGAGGGCAAGCGCATGGAATATGCGCTCTCGCTGGACTCGCTGCTGGGCCAGAGCGATGTCGTGAGCTTGCACTGCCCTCTCACGCCCCAGACCAAGCACTTGATTGGCGAGGCGCAGTTGGCGCGAATGCCGCCCCACTCGGTGCTGATCAACACAGCTCGCGGTCCTGTGGTGGACGAGGCGGCGCTGGTCAAGGCGCTGGACGACGGTGTGATTGCAGGAGCTGGTCTGGATGTGTACGAAAACGAGCCTGAGATCCACCCAGGCCTGGTGCGCCTGTCGAAAACCAAGGCCTTGCTTCTGCCGCATGTCGGCACACTGAGCCTGCAAACCCAGACAGATATGGAGGCCGTGTGTGTCCGCAACCTGGAGCACGGCCTGGAAACAGGCAAGCTCATGTATACAGTCCGGGAGCAGGAGGGCCTGAACCTCAGTGCCAACTAAATAGCTACCTATTATACACGAAGACCGAAAAAGTGGCGCAAGCGCTGTGTCCACGACGGCGCGACCGATTGCCCACGTGCTATGCGGCTCATGGCTTCGACAAGTTGTGTATAGTGCGTAGGTGCGGATGCCGGCTGAAGAATTGTGCGTGGAGTGGGGTACTCACGGAGGCTCTCGCTACTGCGAATGCGTTCCAAGGCGGCGAGCGACTTGCGTGCTTCCGCCACGTGTTTCTTGGCCTGCGGCCCCGACAATTCCGACTCGGTAGCGCGACGGATCGCTTCACCAAAGTCCATGGTAGGACGCAAGGGGTCCTTGGGCCATGTCTGCGCGAGTTTCAATAGACTCTTGCGCACTTCCTGCACAGCACTGGACATGAGTCGCTGAAAGGAAAAAGAGAGCGAGTGAGCGTCCTTGCTCGAGCGATCTGCGCGGACGCTCAAGGGCGTGCGTGAATTAGTCAGCATTCGTGGCGGTCTATGAACAACGCCTAAGACTCTATCGTGAAGAGGGGAGCGCCTATGCCGAGGCTGGCGTAGCAGGCGCAGCGCCTTGCGGCGGTTCATGCGAGGGCGGGGGAGGTGGTGCACCTGTGAAAATGCGTGTGACGCCTTCCCATGCATTCAGCTTCATTTCTTGCAGCTGGCGTTCCTGCTCTTCTTGCATTTGCTTGCGCAGCGCTTCGCCATTCTCGCGCCAGAATTTTTGATCTTCCAAGTAGCCTTGCTGGAAACGCACACGCTCCTGCTCCAGGAATGTCTTGGGCGGCTCTTTGTTCGATGCCTGGCCCGACATGATACCGCCAAACAGGCCGGAAAGACCACCCAGGCGCTCCTTCTTGGCAAGCCATTCTTCCTCGTGGCGCTTCTTCACTTGTGCCTCGTTGATGGCATACTCGGTAGGGATGTGCTTGCCTTCGTACGCCTTCAGAGTTGTACGTACATCGCTCACGCCGTAAATGCCAATGGCATCGAGGAACGGAATCAGGCCCAGTAAGTCGCGATCGTTCTTGTCGCCCTTCCACGGCTCGAGCACAATAGCATTCTCAGGCTGCATCGAGACGTGCTCAGGGTTGATATCGAGAACAATCACCTTGCGGAGGTCACGGTTCAGATGACTAATATCCTTCACCAACTTGCCATTATGCGTACGGCAGCTCTCGCGGAACAGTTGGTAGGCAATGTAGCGGCGATCCGGATCGAGCTTCTCAATAACTTTCTCCACAATGTAGAACGGCTGCGTGGTGAACAGCACAATCTCGTACCACTGCGAGAGATAGCCCAGGAAGTAGTCCAGACCAGGACGCTTCGCCGTTCGCCAGCCATGCGACGTACTCCACGACGAGGCGACCAACAGTTGATCCAGGTCGACAACAAGCGTGTAAGGTCGCGAATACGGATACGGCAGTGGGTCTGGGAGCAGAACATCCCATACGGGCTTGTTCACACCCTCCCGCAGCGCCTGAATACGCAGCCACAAACGGCCAAAGAACGAGTTTACGCCCTCCTTGTCATGGAACACTTCATGCTCACGCTCGTCCAAGTCACGGCCGAGCATCCACACAGCGTAGCCACCCATAAGCGTCGCACCAATCAGCGTGCCACGCATAAGGATGTTGCGTGTACGATCTGACGGGCCACCATTGCGGTCGGAGCGTGCTTTGGCATTGGTGCGCTTGCCCGTCTCGCCTTCTTCACCTTCCGGCGCTTCCAGGGCCTGTGCATCGACCAGCGACGAAGCGTCAATGTCCAGCTGGATACCCTTGCGCGGCAAGGGAGTAGCAGTGTTTCCTGCTTCCGTCTCGTGAGCTTGTGAGGCAGCCGTATTGGCCTCCTGTGAAGCAGCAGCTTGGGTGGCTTTCTGTGCCTCGTCCTCCGAGGCAGGGGGCTTGGGGGCCGACGACGATGCCCAACGCGGCTGCACACGCATGCGAGTCGTCCGCATAGAAGCGTGCGGCATTGTACGCAGCATAGCTCGAGCGTTCATGGCGCTTCGCGCCGTCCAGGTAAGTGGGCCCAGGACCATGGAAAACAAGAGACCCTGGCGGAATGGGAGAGTGCAGGATCGATCGCAGGGTGGCGCCGCTGTCGCATTGCGAAGACGATTATGTCAGCGCGTAAGGAACGACCTCGTCCTCGAGCGACGCTCACACGTCTAGGACGGCTATGCAGGCAGCCGACGGCGATGTGCCGTTCCGTCCCTCGTTTGGGCGGCCTGGCAAGGTGTTCCAGTACCGTCCCAAATGCCTTGGTGAAACGATGCCAAGTCCTTCGTCGCCTGTGTTGCCGATCATGGTACCTGACACATCCATCTACATGCTTTTTGCGCACCGTCAATGGCGTGCAGGCATGCTCCTAGCAGATGCGCTGTACTCCGACGCGTTCGATATCCAGGATAAATTTGTCCTGGAGCTTGGGGCAGGGACAGGGCTGCCAGCCTTAACGGCGGCCTTGTGTGGTACACCTGCACGTGTGGTCGTGACAGACTACGATGACGAGGCGATCGTCGCTGCGTTGCAGGCTAACAAGCGCCGCACGCAAGAAGCCAACCCAGAGAGGAGTATGGCGCCTCTTTCTGTGATGGGGCACACATGGGGTCAGGCGATGGAGGACGTGTTGGATGTCCTGCCTGTGTCGCGTACGCAGCCAACGCCCAAGTACGACGTAATTCTGCTGGCAGATTGCATTTGGGAACGGTTCTCTCACCAGGTCCTTCTTCGCTCAATTGTGTACCTCCTAGGGCGAACGCCTACGGCACGGGTGCACATGGTGGCCGGCTTGCATACAGGACGGCCTACCCTGATCCAGTTTCTTCGCCGTGCGCTAGATGCCGGTCTCATGCTCGTCCCAGTACCACGGCGAGAACAATGGCCGTCCGCCAAGGAAGTGGGCAGCCCCATTGAGACTTTGCCTGGCGCCGAGCACATTCTTGAGCTGGAAGTAGGGGGCACATTGCCGGAAGAAGACACACTAAGTACCGAGTCGCTCATCGTGCCCACATTGACAGGCCAACAACGCACCTTTGTTTTATCGCGTGGCTCAGATGGAAACGACGATGAGTCAATTCAAGTACGCAATCACTGGCTCACGGTATCAAGCTTTGCATGGGCCTCGCTCTAAAGCTATGGACAATCGCGTGCACAGTCACAGCCCTCTTAGAGCCATTCCGCTGGAAAGTCGGCCTTGGTCGGGCGGGGTGTGCGGCCACCACGCGACGTGCGTTTCACGTATGGACGCACATCCAGCGGCACGTCCGCAAACGACGGCTCTGCCTGTATAGTTAGTCGGATCATACCCCCCACAGTACGTACGTTGGCCTCCGACACCATTTTGTCCAGCACATCACTGCACCACTTCATGTTTTGCGACTCGTTGGGGTACGTCTTCGACGCAATCTTCACCGTGCCGAGGTCCGACTCGGAAGCTAGAGCTTCCCAGGTCTTGTCACCCGACTGCTTTGCCGCATTCCAGCGCTCGACCAGCGACGCGGTAGGCGGCTGCCACCGTGGGCCGGCAAGCAGCAGGAACTTGTGCTTGGCAGCCATGGATGTCAGTGCCTTGGACTGGAACAGATCACGAACAGGCAACGTCAGCACGACTTTGCTAGCATCTGGGTGTTCTTCGCCTTGGTAGTGTGTAAACTTGAACGTAAGGAACGACGATGCAGCGGGCGGTTGAAACGGTTCATGCAAGTCTGCGTAAGTAGAGACGTACGTACCCTTCAACTTAGGGAACTCGTTAGCCATGAGTCGGTAGTATGCGAGCATTTCACGCTGCTTTTGCAGGCGCATATGACCGAACGTGGGGACATCGTCAAACTGGAACTGTCCCATCATGTTCAAGTCCAACGAGCGTTCCGGCGTGAGCTCACGCTCACGTCGATCACGTTGCAGGAGTCTGGAAGTAGTGTGCACACTGCGCGCACGCATAGAGCGTGGCGCTTGCGCTATAGCGGTACGTGCCCACATGAGAGAGATCGTACGAAGAATCGCCGAGACGAAACGAACGGTGAGCGACTGGCTGATTATGGAGGCGTGTATTTTGTAGGCGCCTACGTAATCCAAAAAAAAGTAGCAGGCTCGCCGCTACGTCCGCTTCACGACGACGACGAGCATGAGCCATCGTGACGTGCTACATGGGTTTGTAGCACTCCCGATTGCCTACGGCGGCAAGAAAGAGGGATACAAACCCGTTCATTACATGTATATACGTCGCCATACGGGGGCCGGAGACGATCCTGCACGCCCTGCTGGACGTACTATGTTTGTCGTGAATCTGCCTGTAGATGCGACACGAGGCACGCTGCGAGAGATGTTCCGCAAGGCTGGTGCTGTCGAGTCGGTGTCTATTCACAATGTGCACAGTGCGCATCGCGCGGAAGAAGATGAAAGTGAGGACGAGGAGGACGAGGGCCCAACGCCCTTGCCTACGACATCGAACGACAAGCGTGGGTCAAAGGCGCCGCCACCTGTTCAGCCTCTCCCATCGCTGGATCCCAATACCTTGCTAGGGTCATGCTCTAATGCCCATATTGTGTTCCTCGATGCCAGCTCGCTGGATCGTGCGATGCAATGGCCCGAAAAATGGGCCGCGAAGCCCTATGTGTGGCCGCATGCAGGCGCGCCGACCATGGACGAGGATGAGGATGACATGCCTGGATCCAAGCCACAACGACGTCGTGCTCCACGTGAAACTCGCTATACCGGATTAGCATACCTGCTTGATCGGTACCGCCGGCATCGCCCAGCGCATGAGAAAATCAAGCAGCATGTGGACTCGGCCATTGCGCGGTATACGTGGATCCGTGAGCACCCACAATGGCTCTTGGAGCAGCGGCAACAAGGTGATACAACGTCGAGTTTGGGTGTTGGAATCCAAGCTGCGAGTGTCGGTCCAAATGGCGAGTTGCTGGACGAGGACGGCTTTGTGATTGTGCAGAAAGGCAACAAATATGGCCGATCAGGTGGTGATGACAATACCTTTGCAGCGATTACGCCCGAGTTTGAAGAGATGCTGCGACAGAACCCGGATAAGAAGAAATCGAAGGAACTTTCCGACTTTTACCGCTTCCAGTTCCGTGAGAAGAAGCGGCAACGTACGTGTTTGCATGACTTACCCTGGCAGAATTTGCTACGCTGCGTGCGCAATTCGAGGCGGACAAACAAAAAGTGGCACAGCGCAAGGCGTCGTTCCGCTTTAAGCCGTATGTATACAGACGACTTACATGGCAGCTATTGATTTATGTACATTAGGTATGTGTCTCGTCATAGGTGGGTGGCGGCGGGACTAGTGCATCGATACCTGGCGGCGCATAGGGGGCTGTTGTGAGTCTCTTTCGTACATACGTAGACACTCGTCGTACCGTCGATCGATATCCCATTGTTGCTGTGCTTTGGTGAGCATACTATGAAACTGTGCGCCTCCCCCCTCGTGGAATTGTAGTTGGAGGTGTGTGAAGCGACGGTGGCCAACATGCTCAAGGAGCATCGTCGCTTGCCAGTAAGGCGCCCATAAGATCGGCATAGTGTACCGTCCATTGCTGAGGGAATGAAGCGGTACACTGAGGGATTTCATTTCACTTGTGGTGGGCACACGTGCGACAAAAAGGAGCTGCATGTAAGGAAGAAACACGACGTACACGCTGTGATGTGACCATGCATGTCCCCCGTGCGGTCCATGTGAGGGCCGAAGGCTGCGACGTGATAGATACGTTGCATCCGCTGCAGGAGAATAGCATACGCTCGGACTCCGGCAGAACGACAGACCCTGGGCGCTGCCCATAGGCCACCGTATTGATGGTCGCCATGACGTCCAATGGCCAGGCACCGCGTCAGGCCGACGTGACACCCAACGCCTGGGCCATCCAAGCTGGCTGACTAAGCTCTACGCTGCAAGAGCGTCATTCCCTCTATGGTCTATAGTACAAATGCGAGGCAGCAGCATGGCAAGTGATCCTTGCATCACTGCAAGCTGTCCACATCGACTTGGGGGTGCACCACCAAAAGTCGTGCAGGCCCATCCTCGTCACGCTCATTGTCGTCGACCGGCAAATCCACAAGGTACCCATCGCGAATCAGCCGCGAAATCACGCGGCCCACCAAGTCGCGCTCTTCCGCGAGTTGCTGCATGGACTCGATTTCCTCTTCATGCATTTCCAAGTACCATTGTGTCAAAGCATCACGAGACATGCCACGTGAGGTGTCTCGCTCCGAGGTGTGCACCCGTAAGACAAGCTGATTGACGAGCTCCATGTAGCGATCGTACGTGATGCTCTTGCGTGCTGCTCTGGAGGCGGCGCGCGAGGTCGATGGCGTCGGCTGGAGCGGCGTAGGTGCCTCTTCGTTGTCCACATCTTCGTCTTCCATGGCAATGTCATCCTTTTCCACATGGATAATCGATTGCCGAAGCAGGGCATACGCTTCGCGCACAAAGGCGGGCGTGATATCCGAGCGGCAATTGGCTCGGGCAATGGCTTCCGACAAGCGAATGATACTTTCCAGCTGACGCACCGTGATTCGGTACGAATTGCGGCCCACTGAGCCGCCCGCATCGTCCTGACGTAGCTGAAGGTACTTTTCGACCAACACATCGCTCGCTTCAGGCGTGAGTTTGGGTTGGTACGTCCGTGCATAGCGAATGTAGCGTTGCAATGCCTCCGTAGAAAATTCCGGGGCAATCGCTGCATCACGGAAACGATGGATATTGACAATGTGCTGGGCAATATTCCAATCCACCGTCTCGTTACACTCGTCCACAATGACAAAGAACATATCGAAACGCGACATGATGGGGGCACTCATAGCAACATTGGCGCGCAACGTCTGCTTACGGTTGTATCGACCGCCAATGGGGTTGGCCGCGGCCAGAATGGAGGTGCGTGCATTGAGCGTGGCCTGAATACCGGCCTTTGCGATGGAAATGGTCTGCTGCTCCATTGCTTCGTGAATCGCGACCTGGTCGGAGAGGTCCATCTTGTCAAACTCATCAATGGCACAAATGCCATTGTCCGCTAGCATGAGTGCGCCGGCTTCGATGGTGAATTCGCCTGTCTCCTCATCACGCACCACCGCCGCGGTAAGACCGGCTGCCGAGGAGGCCTTGCCAGACGTGTATACAGCTCGTGGCATGAAGCCACACACATACTTGAGGAACTGCGACTTGCTGGTACTGGGGTCGCCCACAATGCAAATGTTGATATCACCACGCAAATTGATGCCATCGTTCGTCTGCTTATGCACACCGCCCATCAGCTGCAAAAGAATGCCTTTCTTCACGATCTCATGGGCGTACATGGTAGGCGCCATGCTTTGCACAAGGCGTGAGTAAATGTCTGTGCTCATGACCATCGCTTCCAGTTCTTCACGCTCTTCTTCGGTGAAGCTGTCGAGGACAGTCTGTGCATCCTCTTCCAGGTCCGAAGCACCTGTCAACTTGTCCAGATGCGTCGTGCCACTTTGCACCATACATGCGAGGAACGCTGTACGATAGGTCAAGTCACGCACACCCAGTGTCTTGAGGCCACTTACGCCCTGGTTGGCCACCCCTTCCGTGGCCCGGCTCGTTTGGACTTGGCGCTGCATTTGTGCATTGACACCAGGCACACCCATCTGCGACACATCAGGCAAGACAATGAATGTACCCGTGAAGGTGCACTTGTCGCCTGCCTTGGCACGCTCCACAATATCCGAGCGCAAAATCACATCGAGACTGCGTGGCATGCTACCGGTAGGAATTTCATTCGCATTCTCTTGAATGCGCACTTTTTGCCAGTCGCAGAAACGGCTTTTTTCCACATCAAGTTCCCATTGCGTGCGGTTTTGGCACATGGGGTTACGGCACATGATCGGCTCCGTATAACGGAATTGCTGCTCGACATCACGCACGCTAGTTTTGCATTCCACACAAGTAAAAGTACCAAAGAGGAGTTCTGGACGAACTTCGGAGGTACGCGTCACAGTGCCACTGATTGAGACTAGCTTGCCGACCTTGTCTGTGTGCAAGGATCGGATGCCAGATATAATTGGTAGGTTGTAAAATGCCAAGGAGAAATCGCGCGTCATTAAACCGGACGAGGCTGTCGATGCCAAGTGCGCATTGGAATACAGATACCCAGGAATGTATGTATTCACGCAATTTACCACAGCACGATTGAGGTACGGCAGGAAACGATAATACTGTTCACTGATGGCGGTGGCTAGTGCTTCCTCGTATTCCAGCACATGGCGGTAGTCCACATATAGCGTCGTTGTATTGTATTCACGCATCGCATACAACTGCTCCACGTACGTACTATTCTGTGACACATCATCCCTGGCGCGGAAGTTTTCAATGAAGTCGGTAAATACGAAACACAAATTATCCGCTGTCTTGTCCACTACGATCGGGATCTCATCCATCTTGGGCGCCGCTGTAGGACGAGGGCGTCCGGAGGTTGTAGGTTCTGCCGTAGCGGCTTCCGCGGCAGCGGCCGTAGTGCTTGGAATATCTTGAGAGAAACTCCCTGATTCGGTATCCATATGAGGCGTACCTGCGTCAGAGGTAGCGCCGACACTCGACTGCGAATCCATGGCAAAAGCAGTCGAGGTTAGACGCTGTCGTCGTCGTCGAGACGGGCGCACCCCATGTCGCGCGCGCGTAAAATGTTCACGTGGCTCCACGTGGGGACATAAAAATGAACCAGCATTGTTTTGCATGCATATACATGCACCTACATGATGAACTCTCGCTTGAAAAATGACGCGGAACGTCATGATCGTATATACATGGATCTTAAGCGCCGTACGCCTCAGCATCCTCGAACCAGTCAATGTTAAGCCAGTCAGCGCCCTGCTGAAGAAGCATATTGAAGTCATCGTACTTGGCTGCGTTGGCAGGCAGAATACCGTAGAAGCGTGCTGTAGTCTGGTACTGGTGTGCCTGTGCAATCATATCGTGGTAGTGAATGACCGACTTGGGCGGCGGCGGCGTAAGACCCAGATTGGATTCCGGTACGTCAACGTAGCTGCGCGATGCAATCGGGCAAATTGTCGACGAGTACTGCGAGTTGCTGTCCAAACTGCCAAGAGGGCAGTCATAGAAGTAGTCACGCTTGGACTGCGAGATCATCTGGTTGAAGGGCGTACCGCCTGTACCGACCACAATCAACGGACCGTAATGAATCTTGCCGTTCTCAAACTTGGTCAGCCAGCCGCGCTGGCGGAATGGTTCGAGCGCCTCAACAATGTGCTTCCACGAGCTACCACCATCGCCCGACTTGATTTCAATCACGACCTGTAGGGGGCGCACACCACCAAAACCTTCAGAATAGTACTTGTACCAGTCTGGAGAGCTTGTAGGCTTGTTTGCAGGGTCCTTCAAAAACGTATCAGGGTCGGACGACTTGTACTTGTCCGAGTACTTGCCCTCCATAATCTTCAGCACACGATCCAAAGTCTGCGTCTGAAGAGTCTTGGATGGATCAATGGAAACGGCAGTGTGAGCCACATAGAACTTTTGTGCCTCTTCATTCCACCAGCAGTCAGCCTCGTAGCTGTACACGTCATGATCAAACGCGTCGTACACCGAGCGCTGATGCACGTAGTCGTTGTGCGAATGAAACAGGACGGTCCTGTTGGCCTTAATGGGGTCAGCTGCCATTGCCACAGCTGCCGCAAAGGCCGTACCAAGAACAGGAAGGAGTGCAAGCATGGTAGGAAGGAAAGCAGGGCCGGGCGTGCACCGATGATTCCACGTGCCTTTATATGGCTCAGTCCAAAATAGGATGAGCCCCACGTGCGCGTATAAGGAGAGGAAATCTCGCTTGTATTTGTAATTTACTTACAGGGTTCTCAGAGGATAAGGAGGGTGAGACCGAGTCACCTCCCATATAGCTAGAGCACTTGTATGTACATTTTTATGTTTACCAAGAGAAGTAGTCACCCCATATGAAAGTATAGCACTTCGGCCAAAAGCACGCCTAGTCCAGCCCCAATGGCTGGAACGATGGCCACAGCGCACCACAGGGCGAATTGAGTGCGTGTGATATGGATCGCATGATGCTTTAGCATCCCGAGCCAAAGCAGACCTGCTAGGCTCGCAGCAAATGTACCGCCCAGCGCCCCTAGATTGGAACCAAAGGCAACTGCATACATGCCCGCCTTTAGAATAAGGGATTTCTGCTCGCTCGGGATGAGGTGGAGAAACGCTGCGTTTTGCATGACTTTGGTCAACAAGATGGTTGAACCAATATTGGTCCCGCCAAAATTGCAAAGTATGATGCTGAGAACGGCCATGAAGAACACTGTAGCAGATACGCCATGTTGGCAGACTTTCCCCAAACCTTCTGCCATAATAGTGACAAACCCCACATGGTCCAGTCCTTGAACGAGAATAAACATACCAAAGGCAAAAGGGAGTAAGTCAAGAGGCAGTCGAAAAAGAGTCGACAATGTCACAGGGAAGATACGCCATGCCAGACGCGTGCCACGCCCGATCCACTGCAACGATCCCGTCGTGTGTTGAGCAGAAGAGCTGGACGACGTGGACTTTCGATAGGTAAAGAGATCGGCCGCAATATCACGACACAAGCACAATGCGGCACCAGGGACGCCGATTTGATAAACGTGCACATCTCCCAGGGCACTAGTTCCAACGAGCAGACAAATGACAGCAATCATAACCGCGGACGTAAATAGGGCTCCCACTGGATCAATCAAGAGCGAACGTGGCTGAATGTCAGGTTGATGGATTCGCTTAGGAATGTAATCATGCATCTTCCCTTCATCGTTAGAGGTAGATATTTCCCCGATACCTTTTTTTAGCGGAGGCCACCGAAGCCCAAAGAACAGCATGAGGGCCAGTAGAGAAGCACAGGCTGATACTAAAGACGGCAACACCATATACGCCGTATACCTGACAAACGATAAGTCAAACCCTGTAGCAATGACAAGGTTCGTTGGATTCGACGATACAAGCACGGCCGATGCAATGTTAGCTGCAGTAAATTGAGACCAGAGCCAGGCATAGGGCGGATCAATGCTAGCCGCTCGTGTAACGTAAACGAGGAAAGCAGTGCCACTCAAGATTACAGGATCATTCCCCAATATAACGCCGGCGATCCATAAGAACAAATACATCATCACATACAAAACACGACCGTCAAACGAGGCTCGTTGGCAAACATGACATGCCAGGTAACGCAAGAGTCCTGTAGCATCCAGAGAAATGGCAATGTAGGCCAGCGACAGAAAAAGCAGTAGAATATCGTAGGGAAAGATCCCACTCTCCCCTACAATACCATTACGCACTTGTTTTCCATCCATGCTCGTGGTGGCTAGCAGGAGCAATACACCACCAATGGGGGCTGTAACATGCGTTAAAGGGATAAAAACCCTATCAGTTGTGTCCAGCGTGCGAGGGGAGGAAGATGTACTTTCGCCCATTGAGTTTAATTCCATGTCCTCCTTACGAGGATCAGAAGAGCTCTGCGAGGACGGGAAGGAATCCCATCCACACGTCTGACGTAGTTGACGCCATTGTGAGCGCAGCCAGTGTGAGACACTTAGGGGTAGAGGAATATGCAATGGATAAATGCATATAATGGATACAAAAGCAAAGACAATGACAGTGAAGATCCCATGCCCATCCAAATGCCCCGTCGGTGTATCGAGCGCGGCCCCACCCGGGACTGTCATGGTGGTCTAACCGCAAGTGGAGGGGGGTGCCTAACAGCCCGTGCCATAGCGAGGAAAAGTGTTTATGAGCTTGTAGAGCGCTCCTAGGCGAGCCCTGTTTCAAATGTGTTTGTACGCCTTTTTCATATAGAAGGCATGTCGAGAAAATGTGTAGGCTACATTTAGGCCGTAAACTTGTACCTTCTGGCTCATCCTCGGAGGGATGAAAGGCATCAATTTTTTTTTGCTACTCCATCAGCAAAGTATCTGCTAAGTTTAAGCCCACCTGCTTAGGACGAGGAAAAAAACATGGCGTGGATAAGCCATCATCTCTTCATATACAAGTACTTCTAGGGCCGCCCGAGGAAAAGGTACGAAAACGGGCTGAAAGAAGGCACGCCAAAACCAAGAGTGTTGTTGTGCAGTTTGACATGTATCTGAGCCAATGACAATGTCCTTTGAGAAGGCCGAGATCTCAGAGAGCCGACATAAAAAAAAGTACAGATGTGATAGGGTTACCTCTGCGTTTACGTAATTTTAGTCTTGGGCGCACGGTTCCGGCCATCTAGCATCGACCTCGTGCTACATGGCGTATATCGCGCCACGACGCCTTCTGTACGCCCACAATGGATTTTGTTCCCTTGGGGAGACCCAAGCCATGTGTGTGGCGCTAGCGTGCCTAAGATTCAGGACCCAACATTACCGAGCGTGTTCCTAGCAAGGCTACTGACGGCGCCAGGGAGGGCGTTCTTTTTTTTTATTATTTTTTTTGGATACTAGGCCACGTCATTATGACGCCCTTATTAAACGTAGGTGTTAGAAACGCACCCAACGATCCTATCTGGGGAGGTACCGCCCGCCAAGTGTATGGGGCGCCCCAGCAAAGCCACTCTTTATGTATAAATGGCAACGCTAGCAGCTCACTGAGCGCTATTCCCTAGTGCCTTTCCCAGCCAGATTCCTGTTTGTTTGCTGTACAGTGAGCGCCAACACTTGCTTCAATCAACAGATTCTGAATTCCAACTTTGTTATATATCCACTTATACATACAAGATGACTACGAAGTATCATTCGGACGAACGTCCCCCTAGCCTGTCCGTTGTCGGTATCGGTCTCCGACTTCCTGGGTCGCGCGACAAGAAAGAATTTTTCGAGCTCTTGAAAGAGAGCCGCAGTGCCATCGGCCAAGTGCCTCGTGACCGATGGAACCCTGACACGATGACCAAGCCGGGTGGTTTGCCTGGCAAGGTTGTGACGGATCTTGGTGGCTGGGTTGACCCGCACACGGAAATCGATTCGCTCGAGTTCGGTATTTCGCCGGCGGAGAGCAAGAGCATGGACCCGCACCAGCTGGTCCTCACGGAGATTGTGCACCAGGCTTTGGAAGACTCGGGTATCCACTACCGTGGCACCAACACTGGTGTCTTCGTGACGGGTTCGCCCGATGTGCACAATCTCGGTAACGATATGTGGGACATGGGTGCGTACAACGGTACTGGTACGGCGTTCTCGCTGCAGGCCAACCGTTTGTCGTTCCTGTTCGACTTGCACGGTCCGTCTGTGTACATGGACACGGCGTGCTCGTCGGGTATTACGTGTCTGCACTTGGCTCGTGCCTCGATTCTGCGTGGCGACTGTGACATGGCCGTCGTTGCTGCGGTCAACCTGATCTTGACGCCGCATACTTCGCTGTCGTTCTCGGCGCTGGGTACGTTGTCGCCGACAGGTATTTGCCAGACCTTTGATGCCGCAGCGGATGGTTACTCGCGTGGTGAGGGTTGCACGGTCATTGTCTTGCAGCGCACGGAGGATGCTGTGCGCTGCGGTAGCCACATTTACGCAGAGTTGACTGGTACTTCGATCAATGCCAACGGTAAGGGCAAGTCGATTACCATGCCCGATGGTCCGAAGCAGAAGGCGGCGACCTACGCCGCCTACAAGGAGGCGCGTCGTGACCCCTCGGAGACGGTGTACGTTGAGTGCCACGGTACCGGTACGCCGGTCGGTGACCCTATTGAGGCGAACACGGTCGGTGAGGTGTTCACGCCGGGCCGTGCGAAGGACGACTACCTGCGCATTGGTTCGTCGAAGACCAATGTCGGTCACTTGGAGCATGCTGCTGGTCTTGTGCAGGTGATCAAGAACTGCTACACGCTCGACATGGGTCTGTTGCTTCCGCAGCTGAACTTTAAGAACCCGAACCCGAAGATTCGTTGGGACGAGTTTCAGATCCAGGTGCAGACCAAGACGGAGCCGCTGCCGGAAAAGAAGCTGACGAAGGACGGCAAGTTTGTGGCCTCGCTTTCGTCGTTTGGTTTCGGTGGTGCGAACAGTCACGCTGTGATGGAGCGTGTGCCGAACAAGTCGCTGGAGCTGAAGGTGCAGCCACTTACGGACAAGGACCCGATGCTGGTGGCTGTCGGTGCGTTGAGCAACCGTGCTGTGACGTCGCTCTGTGAGTCGATATCAGAGTCGTGGGCGGAGACCAAGGACCCGCTTACCGCCTCGCTGCTGGCACGTACGATGACGGAGCGTGCGCGTGGTAACCCGAACCTGGCGTACGCTGTGGCGACGCTTGGCGAGACGCTTACCTTCTCGGACACGAGCGTGACCGCGTCGTCGGACTTCAACCCTATCAAGGCGTTTGTGTTTAGTGGTCAGGGTCCGCAGCACGAGGAGATGGGTCGTCACCTGTACAAGCGCTTCAGGGCGTTCCGTGCCTCGGTGGACAGGTCGTTTGAAATCCTGCGCAAGTACCACAAGAATGACTTTCAAGCGTACGGCCTGTTCAAGCCGGGCGTCGAGGCGAACGTTGCCAAGACCTCGGCAGGTGTCTGGACAGTGGAGTGCATTGTGATTGCCATTGCCATTTTCCAGATGGCCCTGTTCGACCTGTGGATGGATCTCGGTGTGGAGCCTGATGTGGTCATGGGCCACTCGGTCGGTGAGATTGCCGCGATGTACGCCTCGGGTGCGGTTTCGCACGAGACGGCCATTCGCACGGCCATGGCCCGTTCGAACGCCCTGGCGCTGCTCGACAAGGTCGACGGTCAGATGGCTGCACTGGGTATCGGCCGTGAGGAGGCGGAGAAGCTCATTGCTCGCATTATGAAGGAGCAGAATGTCTCGGAGGGTCTCTGGATCTCGGCCTCGAACTCGACGAACGCTGTGTCGATCTCCGGTAAGACGAGTCTCTTGGAGGAGGTCGTCAAGGACTGTGAGGCGCAGGGCATCTTTGCTCGTATGCTGCGTGTTGGTGGTCCGTACCATTCGCCGATGGTGTCGATCTGCGGCGAGCCTTTCCTGACGGAAGTGCGCCCGATTGTGGATGCGAAGAAGAACGTGCCTACGCGCCGCTTTATCTCGACGGTCGAGGGCCGCATGTACAAGCAGGGCGAGACGCTTGATGCGATGTACTGCTGGAAGAACGTCAGCGAGCCTGTGCTGTTCCGTGAGTCAATGGAGGCGCTGCATGCCTACCGCCAGGAGCAGGACCGTGGTATGTTGGTGGTCGAAGTGGCGCCACATGCTGTCCTGGGCTCGTACATGGAGGAGATTACGCGATCCGTGAAAGGTGAACGTACGACGATTGTGTCGTGTGCGCGCCGTCTCAACCCGAAGAAGGGCGAGACAAAGGACATGCCTGTGGAGACCACGCAGTTCCTCGGCGCCGTCGGTGGTGCGCTTCAGTCGGGTGTGCGTGACCTCGTGGTGTACAAGCTGTACAGCGACGAGTTTGTGGACCGCCCGATGGGTGTGAACTCGACGCTGAAGCTGCCCGAGTACCCCTTCCTGCCGCTGAAGAAGGGCCCACATGAGATGACCTACACGGAGCACCTGCGTACGAAAGAGCTTGAGCCGCCTGTGAGCAGCGAGCTGTTCCGCATCAATGCGCAGACGCACCCGTGGGTGTTGGGCCACAAGATTCGTGGCTCGATTCTGTTCCCTGGTGCTGGTTATGCGGAGGCCGCGTTTGAGTCGGGTGCGCGCACGGTGACGAACATGAAGATCCACCGTGCGATGGTCATTGAGGAAGAGGGCAAGCCAAAGTACGCACAGTTCAAGCCGACGGGTATCAACGGCGGCTGGGAGTTCCGCTCGTCGGGGAGGAATGCTGTGAACGACCTGGGTATCATCTTTGATCAGCTGCACGCTAGTGGTCATATGTCGAACGAGAGCACGCCGCTGGGCCCGTCGAGCATTGAGGAGGTCCTGGGCAAGGACTACGCAGACAAGTTTGACATTGTCATGGACGGTGAGACGTTCTATGCACGTATCCGCCCGAACGGTTCGATGCACACGGGCTTCTTCGGTATGGTCAGCGAAGTGCGTGCCTCGTCGAAGCTGGATGACGACTACATTGCGTATGTGGACATTGCGCCGAACCTGTGGACGGAGCCGGAGTCGCGTGGTATGATTGTGCACCCGGGTCTGCTGGACGCTGCGTTCCTTTGCTCGTGGCTGCCTGGCCTGCCGTTCGATGGCAGCAAGGTCGGGGTCGACACGTTCCTGCCTAGCGAGGTCGATATGATTACGCTGCGTGGCACGCCGGAGGAAATTCGCGCGGCGAAGCGCTACATCCTCCACATTCGCGAGAAGATCAGCAACGACCATGTGATTAAGAACGACATTGCCATGTTCGACAGCGACACGGGCAAGATGCTTGTGTACGTCAAGGGTCTGGAGTGCCAGCGTATTCAGGACACGGGCAACCAGCGCGAGGGATACACCGAGAGCTGGGAGCCGCGTGCATTGGACGCGACTGTGAAGCCCACCGAGGCGTTCTCGCTGAAGCCGGAGCTTACGACCAAGTTCCTGGGCAACATGGAAGGCGAGGACGAGTCGGGTGTTGTGGCGGAGGCGCTCAAGAGCGGCTCCGTCGTCGGCACGCAGCTGCAGGACGACCTGTTCAGCGTGCCGGGCTTCACTACGGAGACGGTCGAGAGCCTGAACACCATGGTGCAGCATGTGCTCATGTCGTCGCACGAGAAACTGCCGCGCCGTGTGTTCCGTGTGCTTGAGATGTACCCGCGCCACCGCAAGACGAACCTCCAGCCGCTGGTCCAGTGGGCCGAGCGCCGTGGTCTGTACGTGGACCTCGTGCGTGTGAACATTGCGTCGGCGGAGCGTGGCTCGGATGCGTTCTTGACTGGCCCCTACGATGTGGTGGAGGCCTTGACAGAGTCGAGCCGTGCGATCCCTGCGTCGTTCGACGTGGTCGTGGCGTGTGATGCGCTGCGCTGCGCGTCGGATGTGAGCGCGGCCCTCAAGGCCACGGAGGAGCTCCTGGTGCCGGGCGGTGTGGCTGTCTTTGCGGAGGTGAAGGAGGCGTCGCCGATCGGTAAGCTGTACTATGGCAACGGCGCGAAGGCCGCGTCGCTCTCGTCGCTCTCGTCGCTCGGCTCGTGCCCGGCGTTCGAGCTCGCGTACGTCCAGCGCTCAAGCGACGCGTGGCCTGCGATCCCACAGATCCCGACCAAGGATGTGGGCTCGAACGACATGTTCCGTGCGCTGGCCGACGACGAACTGGTGTACTACCACACGGCCGGCTCGGAGTACAAGCTGCCGGAGGCTATCCGCCACCACTGGAAGTCGGAGTCGCCGATCGGTAAGCTGTGGATCATCACCGACGACACGATCGATGGCGCACGTGCGATGGGTCTCGCGGGTACGCTGACCAACGAGTTTATGACCGTGAAGGGTATCTACGTCGCCGTGGACCCTTCGCTGTCACGTGCGCAGCGCGACGGCCTGCTGGAGCTGCTCCACCAGCGTGAGGAGGAGGGCTCGTTGGAGATGTTCAACATCATCCGCAACAACCGCCTGTACGGCCGTCGTCTCGTGAAGCTGCCGGCGATGCACCCGACCGAGCAAAAGGGCCGCGACTGGGTCCTTGAGCTTACCGAGGGCCAGCCGGCCAGTGTGCAGGCGATTGCGCCACACACGCACAACCCGCCGCCGCTGGACGAGCACGACGTGCTGGTGCAGACCGATGCCGTGGCGCTCAATTTCAAGAACATTCTCTCGGCTACGGGTCTGCTGCCCGCCACCGACCGTCTCTCGGAGTTCAGCGGTGTGGTGCGTGACGTGGGCTCGGGTGTGACGCGCTTCAAGAAGGGCGACCATGTCATGGGTACCTCGGGTGGTGTGCGTGAGGGTATCGTGGCGATGGCCTCGGAGTACGCGCTGACCAAGGTGCCGACGAACATGTCGAACCTGGAGGCGGCCGCATTCCCGATCGCCTACGGTACCGTCTGGCACGGTCTTGTGCACCTCGCGCAGATCAAGAAGGGCGAGACGATCCTCATCCACGCCGCTGCCGGTGGTGTGGGTCTGTGTGCGATCCAGATTGCGCAGCGCTTCGGCTTGGAAGTGTTCTGCACGGTGTCGTCGCAGGAGAAGCGCGACTACCTGCACAAGAACCTCGGCGTGCCGTACGAGAACATGGCCAACTCGCGCTCGATTGCGGCCTGGCTGCAGGGCGGCCGCGACTGGCTCGCGAAGCGCGGCAAGACTGGCTTCGATGTGGTGCTCAACTCGCTGCAGGGCGCTGCGCTGCAGGCAGGTATCGAGGCGCTCGACTACCTCGGCCGCTTTGTCGACATTTCGAAGCGTGACCACTTGGCCGGCAACCCGATGTCGATGAGCGGTTTCTCGAAGGCCATCAACTACATTGCGGTGGAGTTGGGTCTGCTGGGTGTGCACGCGCCACAACGCATGGCTGCGCTCCTCGATGAGATTGCGAAGGAGCACGAGCGTGAGCCGTTCAAGTGCCTGTACGGCCACAAGTTCGAGGGCTCGCAGGGTCTCGTGGAGTCGTACAAGCTGATGGAGTCGGGTAAGCACATCGGTAAGATTGTGACCGACCTCAGCTCGTCGTGCAAGCCGGACTCGGTCGAGAAGCTGTGGGCTGCCTACAAGGTGTACGACCCACGCAAGTCGTACGTCCTGGTCGGTGGCTGTGGTGGTCTTGGCCCGCGTCTTGTGCAATTCTTGATGTACCTGGGTGCGCGCAACATTGTGCTCACCGGTCGTCGTGGCCAGATCAGCCGTTCGGACCGTCTGGCGCTCGAGCGTCTGGTGCGTGACCCTGCGTTCCCGAACGTCACGATCAAGATCATGGCGGCCGATGCGCTGAGCCCGAACGCCATGAAGGACGTATTCGACACGGCCTCGTCGCTGGGTCCTCTCGGCGGTGTGTTCCTCATGTCGGTCGTGCTGCGTGACGACGTGTTCATGCAGATGGACCAGGAGAAATTCGAGACGGTGATCAACTCGAAGATCGGCGCGCTGAACGTGATCCGCGAGACGATCAACATCGACGACCTGGACTTTTTGTTCCTCTTCTCGTCGACTGCTGCGCTGTTCTTCAACCCTGGTCAGGCGAACTACAACGCTGCACAGGCATACTTCAACCGCTTCGCGATGGAGCGCCGCAACGTCATCTCGTACGCTGTGCCGGCCATTTCGGACATCGGTGTGTACGCCCAGATGCGTTCGAAGTCGAACAACGCCGCGCTGAAGGTCATGGATGCGCTCGCGTGCACGTCGCGTGAGCTGTGTACCTCGATTGCGCAGTCGGTGGCTCGTCTCGTGATGGGCGGCTCGAACCACAACGGCTACTTTATCCAGCCGATGGACTGGGAGATGATGCAGGAGATCTCGCCGGCGAACGCCTGGAGTATCTCGCATCTGATTGAGCACCACGACGACGATGCCGACGAGGGCGACGACGAGGGCGACAACGCTGACCCTGTTGGCGTGCTCCTCGGCAAGCTGCTCAACGTCGACATCGAGACGGTCGACGACACCATGTTCTTGTCGACGCTCGGTCTCGACTCGCTCTCGGCCTCGAAGCTGAGCGCGATTCTCCTGGCCGAGTTCGGTACCACGGTGACGCAGCTCCAGCTCCTGGGCCCTGTCTCTGTGGCTACGCTGCGTCAGATCGTCGCCGACTCGCAGGCCGAGAAGGGCGACAGCGCAGCCGCGCCAGCCAAGAAGGGCGGTGCAGCGAAGCCAAAGGCGCCGGGTGCCAACAAGCCGGAGACGGCCAAGGTGAACACCAGTGCGCTGGCCACGATCGACTACGCGTCAGAGCCGGAGAAGCTCGACGACTTGCCGCCGTCGGTGGTGGGTCTTGTGCCGTTCGATGCCAAGACGCTCTCGCCGGAGAACAAGCAGGAGGTCCTCGTGACGGGTGCGACGGGCTACATGGGTGCGACGGTGCTCGAGGCTGTGCTTGAGGCGTTCCCCAACGCCCAGGTCACGGCTGTGGTGCGTGGCTCGCCAGAGGGCGGCCTCGACCGTATCAAGGATGTGGCGACGAAGCGCCACCTCAAGACGCTCTCGCACCTTGACCGCGTGAAGGCCGTGTCGGGCGACGTGACCAAGCCCAAGCTGGGTCTCTCGAACGCCGACTGGGCCATGCTTGCGAGCTCCGTGGACCTGATTGTGCACGCGGCCGGTAAGGCGGACCACTTGGCTGGCTACCAGAGCATCGCCGAGGAGAATGTGCTCTCCACGCGCGAGGTGCTGCGTCTCGCTTCGGAGCAGAAGGTCAAGGCCGTGCTCAACATCGGCTCGACCAACATGTGGCTCACGTTCACAAGCGAGGACAAGGGCGACGAGGTCGTGCAGGAGGATGTCGACCTGGAGAGCCTCAAGACGGGTCTCTTCAACGGCTACTCGCAGTCGAAGTGGGTGGCTGAGAAGCTCTGCCAGCGTGTGCGCTCGCGCGGTGTGCCTGTGATTACCGTCCGCCCTGGTGCGCTGGGTGGTAGTGCAAAGGGCAAGTACGTCCCGAACGAGGACAGCTTCTTGTGGCGCATGTTCAACGGCTGCCAGCAGCTCGGCTACGCTCCGTCGTCGACCTCATCGGCGTTCACGGAGACTCCTTCGGACTGGTTCTCGGAGATCCTCGGCAAGCTGATGTCGTCGCCGAAGACGTGGTCGAGTGACCATGCCGTGTTCCATATCCGCAACGAAACCCCGATCCGTGTGGAGGACATGCCGTCGCGCCCGGGTGTCTCGAAGCCCAAGGTGGTGCCGCATGCCGAGTGGGTCGACCACTTCCAGAAGGAGGCGGCCAACCCGTCGTCGACCAACCCGCTGGCGCCGCTCAGCGGCTTTGTCTCGAAGGGCGATCTGGCTCACCTCCCGCACTTTGACCAGTCGAACACCAAGGAGGTGCTTGGCAACCAGTGGGTGGACTGCCCGCCGTACAAGTTTGACTTTTAATGACCCTGCAGCCATATAGGCGTGGCGGGGCGGACCAAGGCGATGTTGCTTCTCTGTAAAAGAGAGGCCTACGAAACGTATTGCGCAGAGCTTCACGATATCCGACGGGGCTAGTTGGCGCTTTGCCTACGTCGGACGCTGTACGATCTCGCAGTGCGCTCGGCCTCTCACATGAAATGTTGGGCTTGATTGACTTTGTTCGCTCGTTCGCACAGCCTTCCTGCATAGGTCCGGTTCTTTTCTTCCTTCCCTTTGAAAATACCTGCAATGCTGGTTTTCTTGTTCTTTTTTTCTGGGTCCTAGGGTCACATTGGCATGTATACACTCTCGATAGATCTCTCATTTTTATGTTGGCGCATAGAACTCAATGATCTGTCAGTTCCATTTCCTGCGATGACACTGCACGTAGCCCATCGTGGGCCACCGCGTCGTGATCACGTGATAGGACTCTTCCCACGGGCCGACGGCGCGTCGACGACCACCACGCCGTTCGCTCTCCCTTGTGACGACGTGGCGCGTGTGTTTGGCGACTGGACGTGGTGCCTTTCCTTTCATACCCAAGTCACTCGCCAGCTGCCATGTTTGGAAGTTCCTCGTTTGGCGGCTTCGGCCAGCAAAACCAGCAGCAGCAAGGCATGAACAACACAGCCCAGCCTGCCGCTGGTTCCATGTTTGGCCAGCCAGCTACGCAGAATGCGTTTGGCACGCCTGCTACGACGTTCGGGCAGCCTGCTGCCGCGTCTACCCCGGCCTTTGGGGCAGCGCAGCCGAACGCGTTCGGCGCGCCGTCAGCTACGGCGCAGCCAACGCAAATGGGCACCCCTTTTTCATTTAACCAAGCTTCTACGACCAATACGTTTGGCGCGCCCAAGCCAGCCACGACCGGGTTTGGCTCGTTCGGGACAGGTACGGCGCAGCCAGCCGGTACATCGTTCGGGTTCGGCGCGACATCCACGCCGGCACCCTCGCAGCCCACAACTGGCGCGTTTGGCGGTATGGCCTCCAACCCAGGCTTTGGCCAAGCGACGACCTCCTCGTTTGGGTTCGGCAATGCACAGGCGCCAGGTGCTCAGCCCACCTCGACGTTTGGCACGTTCGGTGCGGGCGGCGCGCAGCAGGCCATCACGCAGGGCTCGGCCACCGTGCCGTATGCGCCGTTCCGAGAAGACATGACGCCCAACGAACCAAAAGCGCATGCCAAGACGTTTGAAGTCCACCAGTCGATCACGTCAATGCCTGCCTACCAGACCATGAGTCCGGAAGAACTTCGTTGGATGGACTACCAGCAAGGCCGTGGGAAGGGCACAGCCGGTCCGACCCCCGGTGCGACGGGCACCTCTACGACGACCTCGTTTGGCTTTGGCCAGCAGCCTAGCGCATCGACCAACAACGCATTTGGTCAGCCAGCTACCGGTACGACCAACGCGTTTGGCCAACCTGCGGCGCCGTCCACGGGCTTGTTTGGCCAGCAGCAGCCACAGCAGCAGCAGCCTGGGGCGAGCACTTCGATGTTTGGCCAGGCTGCGCAGCCCAGTGGTGGCCTGTTTGGCAACAATGCGGCGAAGCCTACGGCGTTTGGCACGAACAATACGACAGGTACCTCCATGTTTGGCCAGCCGCAACAACCTAGCGGCGGCAGTCTGTTTGGCGCTGGCGCTTCGGCACCTTCCACGACGCAGCCGACATCGTCGTTCATGTTTGGCCAAAACAATACCACTACCAACAACAACACGGCCCCTGGCACGACTGGTTTTGGTTTCGGCGCGGCGAACAACCAAGCGAAGCCGGGCGGTCTCTTCGGCAACAATGCCGGCACGACCGGGTTTGGCAACAATGCTACGACGCAGCCATCTTCCGGCTTCTCGTTTGGTGCCAACACGACGCAAAACCAAGCCGGTGCTACTGGTACGACGTTCGGCGCCACGCCCAACAACAATAACAACAATACAGGCGGCTTTTCGTTCGGCGCAAACAATGCGAACCAGGCTAAGCCGGCTGGTAGCTTGTTCGGTGCAACGTCGACGCAGCCCAGTACAAATACCTTTGGTACGAACACCTCGACTACCGGCGGCTTTTCGTTCGGAGCCAACAATGCCAACCAGGCCAACAACCAGCCCAAGCCCGGCGGCTTGTTCGGTAGTGGCGGCGGGACTGGCTTTGGTGCGACGAACACGACGACAGGCACAGGTACGCAGCCCTCGACGGGCTTTGGCACGGGTGCGACGGGCGGCGGCCTCTTTGGCGCAAAGCCTGCCGGCACGACGGGCTTTGGCTTTGGCGGCGCGAACACAGCTACCACGGGTACGCAGCCTTCGACTGGCTTTGGGACAGGTACAGCGTCAGGCACGTCGACCAACACCGGCGGCGGCCTCTTTGGTGCTAAGCCTGCCGGCACATCGCTCTTTGGCGCTGGTGCAGGGACCAACACGGGCGCGACACAGCCGGGTGGTGCGACGCAGCCTGGTAGTGGTGGCCTCTTTGGCCAGGCCTCCAATACCTCGTCCAACACTGGTGGTGGTTTGTTTGGCGCTTCGAACGCCGGCAAGCCTGCGTTCTCGTTTGGTCAGAGCACCACAGGTGCGCCGAATGCGACGCAGGGCACGACGGGCGGCACCTCGCTGTTCGGCGCCTCGCAACCTGCGCCTGGCACTGGCACCTCGCTGTTTGGTGCCTCGCAGCCTGCGTCGGGGGCGGGGACGTCGCTGTTTGGCGGTGCCAAGCCTCTAGGCGCCTCGGCGCCCGCACCAAGCGCTGCGGGCCCGACGATGGGCCCGCCATCACTGACGAGCAACCCATACGGTACCGATGCATTGTTGGCCAACACGTCGACGGTGCCGACCGCAGCAACACAGGCGCCGCTGCCGTTTAACGTGGCACCCAAAAACAAGCCGCCTCTTACGTCGCCGTTCCGCTCATCGCCTCGCAATGCTGTGCGTGTGACCCGTCTGCGTGGCTCGACGCCCGGTCTGGATCTGAGCCGGAGCGTGCGTGAAGGCACGCCGGGCGATCGCGCGACGCCTGTGCGCGCTGGCAGTGCCGGTCTTTTCCGTCCGCCGAGCGATGCGGCGGCTCTGAGCCCGCAAGCGTTTATCCCTCGCTCTACCTCCAAGCGCCTAGTGCTTGATGGTGATACGAGTCTGACACAGTCGCCCAGCGCGTGGCGCGACGGTACTCCACGTGCGTCTGTGCCCCCACGCGCGCGGTTTTCGCCCGCGGTCGAAAAGAAAGTCGGTGGCAACGCAGGTGGCGGTGCTTCGCTGGGCGTCAGTGCGTCGCAACCGCTGGAGGCAGACACCTCGTCGTTGTCGCTGCCCCCGCCGCGTGACGCATCGTTTGGCTCGGCGCCTTCCTCAACGCCTGTGCCCGCAGGCAAGGCCAAGGCCAAGAGTGCGCGTGTGTTGCAGCATGGCGACTACTTTACCGAGCCGAGTCTGAGTGAGCTGCGTGCCATGCCTCATGAGGCACTCTCGCACGTCCAGGACTTTGTCGTGGGCCGCGTAGGCTTTGGCCGTCTTGCATTCCTGGAGCCGGTGGACTTGACGAGCGTGCCGGACCTGAGCTTTGTCGCCGGTGGCGTTGTCCAACTGCGAGCTAAAGAGTGCTTTGTGTACCCACAAGAAGAGGACCTGGTATCAGACACGCCATTGGATGGTCTGTTGCCCAACTACGTGCCGGTGCCCAAGGCGCCGCTAGGTACGGGTCTCAATGTGCCTGCCCGTGTGAGTCTCGAGGGATGCTGGCCCCTGGACCGTGCCACACGTGAGCCGCTCAAAGACGAGTCGTTGCCGCGTGTCAAGCAGCACATCCACAAGCTGCGTAACAAGAAAGAGACCGAGTTCCTTTCGTACGAGGCGGCCAGCGGTACGTGGACGTTCCGTGTCGAGCACTTTTCGCGCTATGGCTTGGATGAGTCGGACGAAGACATGGACGACGAAGAGGAGATGCAGAGCGATTCGGACGACGGTCCGCCCCTCGCGCGTCTGGGCGAGTCCGAGGAGGAGAGTGACGAGGACAGCGGCTCGAGTGTGATGCATGAAAGTGAGTTGGTGCCTGGGATCGACGTCGATGCGCGTGACGATGTTTGGGTCCCGACCATCCGGGATGCACCGCCTACGTTGCGTCGCTCCATGACCCCTGCGGCCGTGTCCCGTCGCACGCCCGGTGTGGTGGAGCCACGCAAAGTCCAGGTGATGCAGGCCAGTTTTTTTGGGCAGGCGCCTCCGACGCAAGGACCAGTCGGAGGCGTGAGCCAGGACGGTCCCTGGGCCTCGAGCGTCGCTCGTGACGTATACCCACCCCCGCCAGGGGTGCCAGAGCGTGCGATGGAGCACGTTCGTGACGACGAAGACGACGATGGCGATGAGGAGGAAGAAGAAGAAGAAGAAGAGATCATGGTCGAGGATCTTCCGCCTCGCTTGCCGCCGGTGGATATCGTGCGTGTGCCCTCTGCCAAGTCGGCATTGGATCCCAGTCTCCCACTCGATGCGAGCTTGACCCTTGCGCGTAGTTTCCGTGTGGGCTGGTGTGCTCCCACGCGCTTCGTACACAGCGGTGTGCGTCCCGCCTCATCGATGCCTCTCGCCTGTACGCAGGTGCAATGGGAGCACATTCCTATGGCGACGCGCGAGGATGATGCATCATCCATCCTAGCGATGTCGCATCGTCTTTTGGCGCAACAGCTGGCCGACTCCCAAATCCAGCGTGAAGATGGGGCTCGTGCGCCGCATGTGACGTTTGCCGAGGGCACGACGTGCGCGCACATGGCGCAGATGTACGATGCAGATGATAAGCAGTATGCTGCGCAGGTCTGGCACTTGACCAGCGCACTGTTTGACCCCTTGGACTTGGATCTCCCGGCTACAGCGTCCAGTGAGATGCGCAGTGCCGTCACACTGCGCCGACGCAAAGCCGCGTTTTCGCAGTGGCTGGAACGTGCTGTGACCTCGTCTGTGCAAGCGGATGTGCGTGCGCATGTTGCTGCGTCACGACGACCTGAGCATGTGTTTGCGCTGCTCACAGGTCACCAAGTGGAGCAAGCTGCCGAGGCTGCGCTGGAAGGCGGCGATGTCCGTCTTGCGACGCTGGTGGCGCAGGCGGGTGGTGCTTTGGAAGCCAGGGCAGACGTGCACGAGCAGTTGGCATTGTGGCATGCGGAGGGCGTGGATGACGATATTGATCGCCCACGCCGCCGTTTGTACGAGCTGCTGGCTGGCAATGTCGTGCATGCTGAATGGACCAGTGCACGTACGCATGCGCGTGAGAAGCAGACCATGGCGATGGCGGCTGGCTTGGATTGGCGTCGTGCACTGGGTCTGCATATATGGTACGGCACGGCATGGGAGTCGCCACTGCAGGCATGTGTACACAGCTACGAAGAGGCGCTCAAGGCGGCAGGCGAGACGGCGCCGCCATTGCCATCGTACCAAGCCGATGCGCAGCTGGGTATCCTGAAGCAGCGGGCGCTATGGCAAAATAAGGGCGCGCCGCGCGATGCCTTGTACGAGCTGCTGAAGCTGCATGTGGATACCACGTACCCGCTTGCTCACGTCTTGGATCCCCGCAACTTTGGGCAAAGTGCCATGGACTTTGCTTTGCCATGGCACTTGTACATGTACCTCACACGCGCTCTCCATGCGCGATCCCTAGACGAGGACGTGCAAGGTGATCAGTTGACCATCAGCTACGCTACACAGCTAGAGAGTGCTGGTGAATGGCGCTGGGCGGCGTTTGTGCTCTTGCACCTGACCGACGAAGATGTTCGCGCCAAGGCTGTGTCCACCCTGCTCGCCCGCCATGTCGAGGCACTGAATGAGGAGGCTGTGGCCTACCTTGTCTCTACCTTGCATGTGGATCCACGGTGGATCCATCTTGCACGCGCCCAAGCGGCGCATGCGCGCCACGACTTGTATGTGGAGTACCAATGCCGCTTGAAGGCTGAGGACTGGGCGCGTGCGCATGCTGTGGCCGTGCGCTACTTGGCCCCTGAAGCGTTTGTACGTGGCGAGACAAGTTTGCTTCTCGACTTGTTCCGGCCGATGGCGGACGCCGTCGAGGCCGGGCATGTGATTCCTGGCTGGTACGAAGGCGGGCACGTCCTGCTTGACTATGCTACGCTGCCGCGCTTGCTGCCGCCTCTGCTCGCCAAGGCCCAGGACGGGACGCTGTCGGCGCAGGAGAGGCATGCTTTGCAGCAGGCGACGGGCCGTACGCACGAACTGTTGGACCGTGTGCCGCTGTTGTATGCGGATACGACAGACTTGATGAGCACCGTGGCCCGGACCGAGATGAAGGCCGTCTTGCACAACCTTTCGCGCCTCCTTGCGAGCGAGGCACAGGCCCCGGAGCCCCCTGTGCACTGGTCAGCTACCTCGCCCCCCGATATGGAGCAATTGCAAGCCGCTGCGCGTGACTTTAGCGCGTCTATGTTAGCCTGTCTATAGACACATCATTGACTGAAAACGCCCCTTTTGTTCATGCAGCAGTCCACGCATGTGAAGGAGGGAGAGCGCTGCGAGGACATCGGCCCAACGAAGGTGGGAAAACCGTTCGTCGGCATATCGCAAGCGTTGATCGATCCCCTTCGGGTTCAGCCATGGCCCCTTTGGAGCGCGTGGTCCCACGTAAGTAGGCTTCAAATGGAGAATCGTGGCAATATGCGCCGCTAGCAATGGTGCACAGAGCACTTGGTAGCGACCTTGATGGCATAGGATTTGGCCACTTTCCACCATCGACTGCAAGGCCCAGTCCATCAGTCGCTGGCACTTGGACTGGAGCACATGCGCGTCGAGGGCCCAGCCTTGAGGAAACATACGTCTATGCTTGTCTCGTACCACGGTCTCTGCCAACGTCTGAAACTGCACGAGAAGCGCCGAGGTTGTGAAAATAGGTACCGCATGCTCGACCAGCGGCACATGAGGTGACTTGGTATGTTGTGAAGTTATGTTGGTCATGTACGATCGCACTGCCTTTACAAATCCACGAGACGAAGTGCATGAGCGTGATGAGGTAGGGGCCGTAGGCACTCTCTGGGCGGGGCTAGACGATGGCCGGTGGGTCGAAGCAGGTGGCCCCTCGTTCTGTCGTGGTCCTTTCTCCACTGTAGGCGTGGTAGCGGGTGGCAACGAGGAAGGCAAAACTGTAGGCTCTGGTGGCGCCATCCTACGAGGTGACGCCTGGGGCGTCACCGGGTGGACCCTGGAAGGCCGTGGCGCTTTGTCGGATGGCACGACATCTGTAGAGGTAGGGTTGGGCGGGGTTATCGTTCGTTGCTGTATATCATCCTCCTGCACAAGTGATAGCTTTTCCATTATACTAGCAAACTCGCTAGGAGGTGTAGCGTACAAGGTCTCTGCCAGAGAGACTGCACGGAGTAGGTGTTCATGCTCCGAATTGGGATTAGTCGTGCGCTCGATAGCCACCGCATGTAGCAAGTCAGGCCGGCCTGCTCTGTACATGATACGCCCAATACCGTACACCACATCGCCCACCTGGAAAGGCGATTGCACATGGTTGACCGTATAAGAATTTTTGCTGTGAGGTGGTAGGTAACACTCCTTGACACCTGCCTGACCCTGAGCGGTCGATGGCAACGTCAGAGGCACTTGGCCAAAGCACCACATCTCTATTATACCTGTTCCATCATCTAGAAAGTACTCGGTTTTCTTCTCACGAGTACGTACACCCACAATCATAGCACAGATATGTACACATACGCATGGCCATTTCCTATATTGCAAGACTTGAAACCTGTCCAATTCGATCTCGGAGTTCCTGCACGGTATGAGTTCTTCCATATGACGTATACAGCAGCATATGGCATTCTTTGGGTCCAATGCCCAAACATAGAGGCGGTACACCTCCTCTAGGGTCGGATCGCGCGACGCCATGTACCTGGAAATGACATGTCAAGATCATATCCTGGTTCTCCACCCCCACGCCTACTACTGCAATGTGCTCCTTGCTTATATCAGCCTCCATGGAGTCCGTCGTGCCTGGGCAGGACGGCAGTGGCGTAGGCAATCAATCACTTGTGCTATCCCATCATGTCGCGCGTACTCTCGACATGGGCTGTCGTGAAGCAGATGTCGCAACGTGTGCCGGTGCGCAGTATCGCTTATCGCACAAGGCTCATGCCTATGTATACTCGCCTGTATTCTACAGCGAAGACGTGCGCTGAGTGCGGCACAAACAATGCGATGGAAGCCTTGCAATGCGCCAAGTGCAATCGACTTCAGCCGCTCCCTTCAGACGTGGATTTCTACGAAGTACTTGGCATCCCTCTCGACTCCATTGGAGCTCGCGGATGGAGGGTCCAGGATGGAGATCTCAAGGCGCAATGGCGCCGTACGATGGCTGTCGCCCATCCTGACCGCCTCGTAAGTAAGCCTGGCGATGAGCAGGAAATTGGTGCACAACAAAGTACCATTGTAAACAAAGCCTACGAAACTCTACGTCAGCCTTTACAAAGGGCTCTATACCTGCTGCAGCGCGTTGGTGGCGTCAGCATCGAGGAAGATCAATCGATCCAGGATCCATCCTTCCTCATGGAGGTTCTTGAGCTACAAGAGGCCTTGGAAAATGCCCAAGATCAGGCCACGGTCGACGAGATCAATGCTACCAACCAAGAACATATGCAAGGCGTGCTTCAAGCGCTAGACGAAGCATTTGCAGCCAACCCTTTGGATACCGATCGCATTCGCGACTTGGCCATGCAATTACGCTACTGGACAAACATTGAAAAATCCATTCGCGAATGGCAGCCAAGCGCATAATGAAATCGTGTCCATAACGCTGTTGAGTCGACTATAGATGTATTACACAACAATGGCGCAGATCAAGGCAATGTCGTCTACCTTGCCGCCAGGGTAATGAAAGCCGTGCTGCGCCGCATCGATTTGGAAGGGACTCACCTTCTCTTCCGTCATCTGGCACAGACGTGCGTATTGCATGAGTGTAGAGGCTACCACATTAGTAAAGTCTTGTTTTTCCTCGGTGGCTGTTGCGTTCGGCTTCTTCGTCGAAGCCCAGTGCTCGCGATGTTTGTCTTGAAGCATGTCAATCAATTGCAAAAGTTCAGGGCGTTGCGGCGCATCAGGTGTAAGCGATTCCTTCGGTGGTAGCTTGCAGTGTACATTATCCAAAAAACCATCCGTCATGACTAGCACCATATCACCACGTTGCAAGTCCATCTCATGAAGGGCAGCATCGCTAGGTTGGTTCGTAAGTGATCCTGGCTGCAACATATTTTTGGGTACTTTGGCAAGTTGGTATGGGCAGTTGAAGCCGTACAGTTGAGGAGCAGAGCTGTATACCACATTCATGCGACGTTCAGGGCTCGTAGGATCCGGGCGGAGGTGAACAAAACCCGAATCACCTACATTCGCACAAGTAAGCTTGCCGTGAACGCCATCCAGTCGTAGAAGGCATGCTGTCGAACTGCCTGCTACTACGTCTGGGTTTTGCGCAACTTGCTCAAAGGCATGTTCCAACACCGCTTTCGGCGTAGGAAATGTCGCATGCTTCTCTGCATATTTTGTCGCATAATGAAGCAGCGCATTCGAATAATGAGAGGAATCAATGCCGGATTCACTCCAACCACCGACACCGTCAGCGACGCCCATCATGACAGAGGTATTGTCCAATGACTTGGAAATCATGAGAGCGTCCTCACCAGCGTCGCCACCCTTCAGCATATTACTTCGCCATATCCCAATCTCACTCGTAGGCTCAATCCCACCGCGAAGCCGCGGAGGGGGTGACCGCCTAACGTGCTCTTCCCCGTCCTTATTTTCGACCTCCACGGTCTCACGAGGCTTCGCAGCAAAGGCATACGCTGTCACAATCTTCATAGGTTTTGGCTCTGCTGTTGTCGGCGCCGCTGTTGGCGTCGGCTGGGGCGCCGAAGCATTGTGAAGTGGACGGACCGGAGCCATGACCCGTGGCATGGGCTTGGGAGCCCTTGCAGCAGTGCTAGGCACCACGATACGCTTCAGCGTACCCGCTGTTGCATAACCGGAGCGCCAGGAACGACTGCTAGGGATCATGGTCGTCGTCGTTGGCAAGGTGACGATGTGTGGCAAAAGCGGTGGTATTTATACGAAGGAAGGTTCCAGAGAATGACTCCACCCTGTTTTAGATTTTTGATTTGTTTTTTTAAAATAGAATAGTGAAGCGTTGACAACGCTCCGCGGATGGGGAAGGCGAAGAGTGCAGGAAAAGCTGCCGCAAAGGCAGCTAAGAAAGCCAAGCAAGAAAAGGTACGAAGGATATCTGCTGACCTTGTCAGCTTGCAGAGCGCCGAGCTACGAAGCAGCAAAAAAAGAGCAGCGGTAAAAAGGATGTCAATGATATGGATAGTGAAGACTTAGACGCCCTTTTGGCTCAGTATCGTGCAGAGTGGGAAGAGCAGCACGCAACTACGGAAGAGCATGTGGGCGTGATTCCTTCACGTCGCGCAAATGCTACGTACGTATCGACTTTATCGACTCACGCTAGCCTTACTCCATGTCCATTAGGCAACGATCTATGGCTCTATGGTGGTGAATACTTTGACGGTGACAAGTATGTACCAGGCCCTTCTAACTAATACCAGATGTATGTTTTACCAAGATCTGTTTCGTTACATCCCTGAAAAAAATGAATGGCGCTCCTATTCCAGTATGTCAAGGCAATTCGCTTACATACAGGCAAAATTCAACCCGGTCCACGCTCAGCGCATCAAATTGTAGCTTCGCCTGTGGGTGGTGGACAGCTATGGTGCTTTGGTGGCGAGTTTGCAAGTACGAAACAGACAAATTTCCACCATTACCGCGATGTATGTACTGTATCCGACTCACATGAGTAGCTTTGGGTCTATTCGATTGCGGAGCGTGCATGGGAAAAAATTGAAACCAAAGTGCGGCCTAGTGCACGAAGTGGCCATCGCATGGCTATGTGGAAGCATTTCATTGTTCTATTTGGCGGCTTTGTGGATACAGGCGTGCGCACCACATACCTTCAAGACTTGTGGGTGTTTGACACGCTAGAATACAAGTGGAAAGAAATTAAGCAAAATGACCTCCGACGTCCTTCGTATGTATTGTTCTCACTAATGAAAAGCGCTCGCAGTGGTTTCTCTTTCTTACCGACACCAGACGGTATTGTGCTGTACGGTGGTTATTGCAAAAAGTATGTGAAAGGGCAGCGGGCGCAAGGTGTGGCGCTAGAAGACGCATGGATGCTAAACATGGATGAAGACATTTCCAAGATTGAATGGTCCAAGCGGCGGAAAATCGGATACGCACCCAACCCACCTCGATCAGGATGTACCATGGCCCTATGGGCGAACCGTAATACCGGTGTTCTGTTTGGTGGTGTGACAGACACAGAGCAGGATGAGGAATCGATGGAGAGCACATTCTGGAACGATTTATACGGTTACCAATTGCCCGGCAATGGTCGTTGGATTAGTTTGAATATGCGACGGCCCAAAAAGCGCGGCGGAGCCAAGTCCGCTGATGGTGAGGATGGCCAAGAGCAAGAAGACCCTAGCACCACGCTCCCTCTCACCAGATACAACACTATGTTGGCTGTACAGAGAAATACCCTTTACATTTATGGTGGTATCTTCGAAAGTGGCGATCGTGAATACACGTTAGACGATTTTTATACCATTGACCTCTCCAAAATGAACAAAGTCGTATGCTTGAAGGAGTGTCGCATTGATGCACTAGAGTGGAATGAGTCGGAGGACGAAGAGGATAGTGACGATGATGATGAGGACGACGATGACGACGATGAAAGTGAAGACGAATCCCACGAACCTGAGGGTGTGGAAGACGTTCCTATGGCAGAAGAAGCTGTGGAAGATGATCTCCTTGACATGGACGACCTTACTCTTCAAGACAGAGAGCTATCACCAGAGGAGCGCGAGGTACTAGAGAGAAAACTAGCTCTTCGCCGTGAGGCTACAGCCTTTATGGGCGTGTCGAAGGAGGGAAAACGAACCGAAGAGGATATCCTGTCTACGCCCGAGCCAGGCGAGGTTCTAAAAACCTTTTATGCGCGTACAAAACACTATTGGGCTGCCAAAGCCTACGAGGAGGGCCATGGTGAGTCTCGAGGGAAGCAGCTTCGTCGTGATGGATTCGATGTATGTATTTGTCTTTCCACTAATCATGCAGCTTGCAGAAAAGCGCTTCAACGAATATAAGCCTATTTTGGAAGAGGTGCGTTTTTCTCTCGTTTCTTACATTAGATTGAACGGATCCGACGTGATGCCGGTCTTGACGACGAAGAAATGTCGAACACGGCCTTACGTAGACCCACTGGACCGGGTGCGGAGAGTCGTCATCGTAGGTAGTGTGTTATTATCCTCCTCCACATGTCCCTATAAACCTGGTAGGCCGACACCGGGTGAGTTGTGCGCTCGGCCCAACCGCTGCCCTCCATCGTACAGACGTCCTGCGTCCTGCGTCCTGCGTCCTGCGTCGACATGTCGGACTCCAAGCTTCTGGATCAGCTCGACCAGCTACCAAAGGTATGCCTATTTAATAGCCATCTCTTCTAACACAATCAGCTGCGTCAGTTCGATGCGTTCCCTAAAGTATGTGTACAAGGATGACCTGACCATTAGACACAACCTATGTACCTCAAGCGTTCTACGCATGGTGGTGCCATTACGATACTAGTTCTGCTTGCCATGGTCATCATGTTCTTTGTGGAAGTTCAGGTATATCTGTTTGGCAAGCCAGACTTCTCTTTTAATATCGATAACCACATCGGTCATCTCATGCAATTGAACTTGGATGTGACCGTCGCAACGCCATGCTCCAAAATTTCCATCGATCTTCGCGATGCCTCTGGCGACGCCCTTCATTATTCACTTAATGATATTGTAAAGGATCCGACTATTTTCCGTCAAGAAAAGGCGCGCGTCTTAAAGCGGAACAACTACTTCAGCCTTGCGAAGCTCACTCATGGCCAGTATAAGAACCGTAAAAAAATTGCTCGTCAAGACAAGAAATCTGTGAAGGGAGGCCCTCGTCACAAGGATTCTGGCTTTGAAGAAACCGATATGAGCTTTGCTGAGACAGCCCCTGCATGCCGTGTATATGGCAGTATCAATGTGAAGAAAGTGACAGGCAACCTTCACATCTCGACCTTTGTCCCGTCGTTCATTTCAGGCGCTGCTCATCATGATCTTGGCATCAACATGTCACATATCATTCACGAATTTAGCTTCGGTGACTATTTCCCTGACATTGCAGAGCCTCTGGACTCGAGTATGGAGCTGACAGACGACCCTGTTGCTGTGTACCAGTATTTTATTTCCGTTGTTCCGACGAAGTACATGGCAGGGGGGCGTGTTCTGGATACCAATCAGTACAGTGTGACGGATTACAAGCGTAACCCGACAGGTCAAACCACGTTCCCTGGCCTGTACTTCAAATATGACATTGAGCCCTTGACCATGAAAGTATCCAAACATTCGATCAGTTTCGTGGCCTTTATCATTCGTATCACAAGTGTACTTGGTGGTGTTTGGATTTGTACGAACTTGGCATTGCGCGTCCTGAATCGCGTCATGACAGTGTACCGTCGATACTTGCGTGGGGCTGCACTGAACATCGCGAAACCCTCATCCACACCCAGTACTTTTAACCAGCCATTTATGAGTGGCCCTACGATTCCAATGCAAACAAGTGGCTATGAATCATACAGCGCCAGCGCTCCCAACTTTGTGGTACATGGGCCTAGCCAGACGAAATATCGATCAGCTAATTACTAGCTATAATGTTTTACTCTCCCTGTGCGAAAGGGCTATCATGTTAGCGTTATTTTAGGTACACGTACTTTTCAATCATTTCAAAACCATCCACTGGGCTAATGAGGGTGAGGTTCGTGCCACGCAGCACGGCCAAGCCAAGAGTACGGCGGTCGCCCGTCGTGTTTCCGCTCAAAGATTCGTGTAATATTTCTTCCACGTCATCCATAACAAGGTTCATAAGCTGGTCATATCCCTTGAGAGTGCCGACAACTGAGTGTGAGCGACGTTATGAGACATACCTTCTCGCCCACCTGAAAACTTCACGCGAATTTGCTTGTCCACATACTTGGCTAGGTTGAGGATAGCCTCCTTCTTTGGCTTTTCTTGAGATCTGGCATTGTCATTGCGACCTTGATGACCACCTCTTCCACCGCCGCGTCCACCACGGTTTCCGTGTGTCTAGTGGTAAGCCCATTATTCACCTACTCACCCGCTCCGACATGGTTGTCACTTCTCTCTACAAGTACCACGCGACGGGGATAGAAATACGCTGACTAAGATACACGTGGAGGGGAGGAACAACAGTGCACGGTGGTTACGCCTGGTTCTCGGTCTCCGTGCGAGGCATGGCGTCACAAGACTTGTCGACGCTGTTGGCGTCGATAGGCTCGCCTCTTGTTGACGGTGTGGGGGAAGCACCGAAAACAGTTCTACCTGCCTCTGCTGCCTTGGAATTGCTCGATGCTCGCATTGAAGCGTTAGCATCACCTGCGGAAGCAGAACAAGCATCTTCGACCCCGTCAGACAAGGAGCCCCCTGAAGAGGTATGTGAATACTCATCATTGACTTGGAAGATCATATCGGAAGACTTGATACATGTATTAGAACAGTACAAAGTGGCTACAAGGAACTATGCCCATGCATCGAGGGTCTCTACGATTGTGTCAGCCATGACGCAAGCACTGACACAAGTTGCCGTTGTCCAGCAATCACTGCGTGATCATGATAATGAAGCCATGGATACTGCATTAACCAGTGCTGCTTCTGCTTTAAAAGAAGTTGGTATTGAAGTGAATTGGAGTCAGGGTACGGTAAAGAAAACCTCCGTCGGCCCCATACCACAAGGCGTCGTGATGGACGAACTGATTCACGTTTGCGAAGATATCATTGGAAAGCTACGTTCTTCAACCCATTCGCCCACTGAGAGTGGTCTGTTTATTGAAGACCGTACACCGGAGAGCTTTACGCTGAAGATTGAGCGTCCTCAAGACATTGAATGGAGTGTTCGATCAGGCTTGGTTGATGCACATGCAGCTTACCTCTCCCGCATTTTGAATGATGTGTTTAAGACAATGCTCCAAACCAATTTCCAATGGTCCGTCATGTCCAGCGATGTAGGATTGCTACTACATCGTACTTCTGACGTACCTGATCTGAGTCGGGGAGGTACGCTGACTCAAATCCAAAGTGTGCTTTCCGCAGTACGTGATGTCATGGCTAGTCCTTCGCAAGCGTCCAACCAAGCCAAGTCACATTTTGGCCAACTCCAACTCCTTGTATCACGCCAAAGTATCCCTGCCCTTCTTACCCTTATCAAGACTCATATACCTGCTAGCCTGCCTGTGCTGGAAACTACAGAGGACATGCTTATTTGTAAGGATCGGCTAACCATGCTTATCATGGACTTCCATAAGTCCCTGGTAGAGATGTCATACGTATCTGATGCCAAGGCGCCTCGAGCTAAGTTATACAAAGGCGCACCCGAGCCTCTGTCCGACTTACCGACATGGGCTCGATCGATGGAGCATCTGTGCAAGCAACATATGCTTGGCTCGATTCTGGAGCAAGCGCGAAATGTCATTGCACGAACGGAGGACAAGAGTTGGGACACTGTATTGACAGATATGGAGGCGCCTGTTCGGGCCCATGACACCACGGAGCCTCCTCGTCCACCAGACGTGAAACCTACACCTACACAGGTGAAGCAGCCCACCGAGCCGGTTCTCCCTCCCCCACCCACCAAAACCCAACCTGCTGTGACCAAAAAATCGAAGAAGCCCACACTAGGTGGTGTCAAGATCGGTGCCAAATTGCCTCCTGCACCCCCACCGAAGCCTGCATCGCCCCCCTCATCGAACCAAGTTAAGGACGAATGGGACTGGGGCGACGAAGAGGCAGAGGATTGGGAGGATACAGCAGCTACATCTGCCAAAGATAAGCAACCAGCGGCGGATGACTGGGATTGGGGAGAGGGAGAAGAAGAGGAAGAGGATATGGCAGAGGCCAAACCGGAGAAGCCTCATGAGGAGCCAAAGACGGACGTGTCTGTCCCTCCACCGGATGATGCGTCCTTTGATGCGTGGGACTGGAAAGAGGAGGAGTCTATGGATCTTTTCTCCAAGTCGGACCAGGCCATATGCTTGCAGACGTTGGCCGTATCAAATCGGATAATCGAATTTTGTGCGCTGCTAAGTCGCCAATGGGCTCACATCGAGGGTGATGTGCCTTCTCGGCAGCTCTTTGCGCAAGGTTTTGTGGAATCAGTACAAATGTTCCGTGCTTTGATGCCCATTCTTCATGCGCAAGTATTGCAGCATGTGCCACTTCTAGGCATGTTGTTTGCAAACGACTGTGCTTATCTGGCCTCAGAATTGCGCAAGTATGCGAGTCAATCGACCAAGTTCGGAGCATTCCGTGTCATGGGACGTCAAATGTTCGAAGCTTCGCTTCGCGCCGAGGCTGACTTGTTGGACGATATGACGACACAATGGTGTGCATCATTGGTATCGCTTCAGATGAATGTGCTGAACGACTCATTGGACAGTGCGGATGGATTTGTTCGCACCAGCGACGAGAGTCGCTACCACGTGTGCCAGCGAGCTGTGGAGCAGGTGGGACATATTCTTTCTCACTTGGCATCAGTATGGCGACCTGTGCTGAGTCATGATATGCTCACGTCTACGTTGTGCGAGTTATTTGATGGTGTATTTTTGCGCGTGCTTCACGAAGTCGAAGAATTGCAAGATATCTCTGAGCCAGAGAGCAATTCTCTATCTCAGTTGTGTCGCATGCTTGTAGACACGGCCTCTGAGGTTCTGCAAGGCGCTGAGGCACACATCCCGACGTACTTCAAGTTTGCGTATCTACCTGACATTTTGCAAGGCTCATTGGCTGATATTGAGTACTTATTGTTTGACAATGAGAGCGGCAGTGCTTTGAATGATTACAGTCGCGAAGAGATGACGGTTTTAATTCGGGCTCTCTTTGCCGATACACCCAATCGACGACGACTGCTGGACCGAGTTCAGTGATGGAGGTAGCGATAGAAAAATAGGATATTTATCGTAACTAAATGCATATGCTGCTCTCGTGTTTGTACACGACATAGTCTACTATGAACTCGAAGTTCCGTTCGCGGAAAAGATGAACAGGTTGTTCGTAGCAGCAATCGCGATCGTATCCTCCTGAGGATGATAGCTCGCGTGAAGAATTTTCTTGTTGAAGTCCACATTGTTTGCATTGACAGAGCCCATACCATGACCCTTGTTGCCCGGCTTATGCATGGCCGCCAGTTTCTTTGACTTGAAGGCTGACTTGTCAGCTTGAAGCACAATGCTGGAATCCCTTTCCCAGTCCACCAGATGGAAGTAGTTGCTGTAACTACCTGTCAGAATCGTCGAGTCCTTAGGGCCCCAAATACCCTCAAACTTGTCAAATATACAGTCGTTTTCATATAGATCACAAAGTTTGGGACGAAGGTAATCATGGATAGGGATGGTAGCAAGAGGCTGAGATTCCATCTTCACATCCCAGACCTTTAAGGTGAGATAATCACGCGAAAGGATATAACGACCATCGTGGCTGAAGCGGACATCAGAGATACTGCTAATAATCTCAGAGAAAAAGGAACGATTAGCCTGATCTTCCTCCTCCTCAAATAGCTTCGCATGGCGGTCACAAAGAGCGGATTCACGCATGTCCGCCAGTTTAATGGTGCCTTTCGAGCTGGAATACACAAGCTCGTTGCAGTGTACAGGATGGAACTGAGCTGCCGTAATCACTTCTGTGAGTTCTTCCATATTCACGGGCTTAATATCCACAATGTTGAAGCTTTGGTCACTGATACCCAAGTTCCAAAGGTTGATGCGCAAGTCGTCAGCGCTAATGTATGTCTCGCCATCCGAATTAACCGAAAGAGAGTTAATGTGATAGGCATGAGCGTTGGCATATATTTTTCGTGGGACTGCAGCCACAATAGTGTCATGGTACACAAGGCGGGGTAGGCGGAGTAAGCGGGACTGCGCTTGGGAGAGGTTAGGGGTAAGGAGACCAGAGTTGGGCTGGCCAAGCTTGAGTAAGCTCGGGTTTATGGTGTTCCCTGGCTTGTCCTCTCCATGCGACGCGCTAGACATGAGCAAGGCCGAAGGATCTTCACCTGTCGCTAAACTTCCCTCAGCCACACCGTTTAATGGCTTGTCAAAGACCTTCCAGAGCTTGATAGTTTTGTCTACTCGTCAGTTATACTGAAGACATACCATTCGTGCTTAGAAGCATATGCGCAGCATTTTGACGCTTGCACCAGCAAATCTGATTGATCTTCTCTTCAATCTCGAGAGACTTGAGATAGTCGAATTCTGGCTCATGCGACTGGAACTCAGTGTGGAAGCGATATTCGCACCCTTGCTTCCGACCTGAACCACTCAAGTCGCTTCTCTCAAACATGACAACTCGACCTCCCTTATCACCCGTAGCGAGGTAGTCACCTGTGGGATCAAATTGAACCGTGGAGATGATATCAGCTTCAGTAATGTCGTCGATATCTCCTTTGTCACCAAAACACTGGGCGAACCGCCAGCCACCGGAAGATGAACCGGAAGAAGAACCGTTTCGATCCATCGTGGCTCCTCTGTTAGTCCGTCAGAGTTTCTTTTCTTGTGTCTTGACAGCCGTTCCAAGGGGCTGTTGGGAGATTGCTGTCGAGACGTTGCCTTTTGCACGGAAGGCTGCCCGATTCCTCCAGTATCTATCACGTGATAGCGATCTCATGAAGTGGCACACGAGGAGCCGATAAAGAAACGATGCCCCAAGGGACCCAAATGCAAGGCCTTTGGAGAAGTACAAGAGGATGATAGTTATGTATGTAGCTATTATTGTAGATTGCGATGTTTTTTTGGCAGGTTGGGTGCCTGTTATACAAGGAATACCGAGGCAACAAGTCCGTCTGGCGCCCTCAGCAATTCCGCGCACGGTCCAGATGGATGACAAATCTCCTATGGATGGGTGTGCCAGCAAACGCGTTTCTTCGCGAAAATTACGGTGAACGGACCGAGTGCGCAGCCTTTTGGAAAAATTCAAATTCGGCTTCGAGGGCCTTGCATCGAGTGCTAACCTGACGGAAGCCATGTCCCTCGCCTTCATATTCGATATAGCGAACACACCCACCATTTTGTTCAATAGTCTTTGCCATAGATCGGCTCTGAGAAGGAGCCACAACATTGTCTTGATCACCATGCATGAGCAAAAGTGGGGTACGGATGGAGTCCGCATGATAGATTGCACTTCGGGCTTTGTACACGTCAGGGATTTCATCCTGAGTACCACCAATCAATCCAGATGTGTAATGTAGCTCAAACTTGTGCGTCTCTTCCGCCATGCTAAATATATCAGCGATACCATACGTGCTTGCCGCGGCACAAAACACACCGGGATAGGACGTTACGGCACAGAGTACAGTATACCCTCCTGAAGACCTTCCACTGAGACAGATCTTCGTTGCATCCACGCGAGGTAGTGGTTTAGTGGAAGACGTCGTCCCTAGCATAGTATGATACAGACGTCGGTAAGTATAAAGATACACTTCCCGACGAGGAAGAAGAGATGGGAATACAATTTTTAGTCCTTCTTTCTTTGTAGCAGACGATGTAGCAAGGACTGCATAGTCTTGTACTTTCCACCATTGCAACACCTCCAACATAAAGAAGTCCAAAATGGTATCACGAGGAATAAATGTGCGTGAGGTAGATACCTCCAAATAACCTCGAGTGCGAGGCGCAAGAGATAAACCACGATTCGTTTCCAGTTGGACACCTAAGCCCGGCATGACTCGGATTGACTCCGACTGAATACGGAACAAAATACGGTATAGGTACAGCCCCAAGGAGATTGTAGAGCTTGCGGCCATGAGACCCATCGTGGAGAGACCGACAAATGGATTCAGGGCATATAACAGCCCATATCCAAGGAAGCCGACGAAAGTAGGTATCCAGAGATCAGTTACATGGGACGACGGTTCCGTACGGTAGAAGGTCATTATACGCGTACCATCTGGGTCGTTCCGCTCCTCCAACCCCCTAGGCGGCGTAGATGACTTTCCGGTCATGGTCCAAGGTGGGTCATTTCCACCTAAATAGGCAGCCGCTGCTACACAATCTCGAACATCCATATCGCCCCAGTGTCCATTCAAGCGTTGCATGTATTCATAACCATATCCTGTGCTGCCGCCAAAATTTACGAGGCAAACAGCCCAGCCCCTGGTCGTCCAATATTGAACAGATAAGTCAAGTACAGAAGCTGCGCGAGAGGTTGGTCCAGAGTGTGCCATAATACGACAAGGAGGCAGAGTTCCACTAGGTCCTTCAAATGCAGGGTTAGTAGGCGGGTAGTATAATCCATGAGCTAGGCTCTCTTGGCCATTTGGGAGTTGCGTCGGAAATGATATCGGCTCAGGCACACTGATATAAGACTCCGGGATCGGTGTCTCGGCCACAGAGCGAAGAATTTGAACAGATGGCATGTTTGATAGGCCTTGCATGGCTTTACTCATATCGATCGACAGCATAGTTGTCTGCGACGTTGCGTTGCTGGCTAAGCATAGGAGGTGGGACGAGGATACCCGCAATTGCGAGAATTGTGTCCATGGTAGATCCAAATACGTGCGCATCTTAGTACCACGGTCTAGTAAAACCAAAGAATCCTGGGCATCGGCACTTTCCACATAGACAATGTGACGATGAGATAGTGTCACCATAGATGATCTGAGTAAGTATAAATGAAACGTACATGTTTAAATTCCACAATGGCGGCTGCACATCTCGTTGCGGAGGGAGAGGTTTTGACGCAACACGATTCAATTGACATATTTGTATAGAATCATGATGTGACGTCAAACGAACTTCATAAATATCAGCATCGTTTGCCTGTGTTTGGGTATACAGCAACGTGCTTTTCTCCCCATGTACCCAGATAGGTTGTTGTGCAACGATACCAGATCCACCAGCAATACAGTGTGGTGCGGAGAGACGAGGAGAAGGACCAGGTAAGATGGATGCGACCCATAACTGAGAAGACCAAAACGGCATAGATGGATGATCCCATGTCACCCAAGCAACCATGGAGCCATCGGGGGAGATTCGTGGATACGCATAAAAGTCGTGCGACTCATCTAATACATGCACAGATGAACCTGAGAAGCATACAAGACGATTCCGCACCTCTTTGGGCTGGGGGTTGGAATGGTCTTCTTCCACAGCAACCATGAAAGTGGCGTCGGTCGGATGTGGTCCAAAATCCGCATAGCGTTTCATAGGCGTCAGAGGAACCAGATTCTTGACTTGTTTCGTTCGCATGTCCATGATGCTTACACCAAAGGCGCGTTGGGCCTGATGAGTGAACACAGCATAGCCTTGCGGTGATACGGCAAAAGCACCGCCGCCATATTCATGTACACTAGAACGGACAGAGCCTAGAGTTTCTGTTGTACAGATCACTTCTGGTGCATTAGGGTCATGACTGTCTTTGCATGCTAGTGAGGTACGGCCTCGATCCTCGGGCTTGGTGATGGTATACACAGCCCATGACCCATATGCGGCTAGTTCGCCGAGAACTGTTCCACTTTTCGTTATCACATCGGTAGTAATAGGAGAGGTCCATGAGCCATACGGAGCGGCAGTACGCATACTTCGTCTTGGTACCAATGATACGCTAGGCGATGCCGTACGACATGCAACACGAACCGTATGCCAGACGTGTCGAAACAGCATGCAAGAGCGTGCTCAATTAGCGCCACGTGGTAATAGGGGAGGCCGGAGAGGCAGAGATGCAGCCGCTAGGAAGATAAAAAACTCTCCGGAAAGAGGCCGAAGTAATAACGCGCTAAGAAATTGGTTCTCGCCTCTCACACTTCTTCCTTATCGTCATGGAGTCCATGGCGGGTATGAGTTCAATGCCTGGCATGCCACAAATGAGTATGTCATCTATTGCTGCCACTACTGCCAGCATGGCCATGACGGCCGCAAGCACGATGGCACCTATGAGCGCCATGAGTATGAGCCACTCTGGTGGTATGAGTAGCATGAGTGGTATGGACGGTATGGACGGTATGGACGGTATGGGCAGCATGGGAGGCATGGGAGGCATGGGCGACATGGGCGACATGGGAGGCATGGGAGGTATGGGCGGTGAGGACGGCATGTCCTGCAAGATGAGCATGCTTGGCAATTGGAATACAATTGGCAGCTGCTTCCTTACTCGTTCCTGGAGAATCTCGACAGAGGCACAGTTCGCTGGTACCTGCATTGGTATTGCGTTCTGGGTTATTTTGACAGAATGTATTCGCCGCTGGGCGCGTGAATACGATCGTCACATTATTGCTCAAGCTTCCCAAGACATTTTGCGCTCGCAGGCGAGCCCATCGGAGAAGTGGCTCGCTTATCAGGAGATCCAAAATCTTTTGTATGATGAAGAGCGTGCGGAAATCGACCGTACCGACTCTCGCGCTTTCCCAGCAAACGTATTTTCAAGCGTGCTTGGTATCCAAAACAGTCCAATGCCTCGGGCCCTACGTCTTCGTCCAACGCTTCAACAGCAAATAATTCGCTCGCTATTCCATGCTATTCAATTCACCAGTGCGTACCTGTTGATGCTTTTCGCGATGTACTATAACGGTTATATCCTTCTGTCTATTATTCTTGGCTCTATGATTGGATACTTTGCCTCTACGTGGGACACGCTAGGAACAGCTCCTCTAAGTGGTTCCGCATGCAACATGGCAAGGAACCCAGTGAACACGGCAGAGGCTACCACCGCCCAAGCCAACCAGCCAGAGCGGCTCGACGCGTTGCCTGTGGCCCCCCTTTTGCATTAGAGGGCGATAGGGACTCCCAGTTTTGTTTTAGTCATCATAGACACACACATTTGCTGAGCGTGCCACACTGCTAATAAGAGCGAGACGCGTCGCATCATGGAGTCATCAGCTGCGGCGGCAGATGCGATGATGTCGGAAACCTTGCCGCCTATAGCAGGGCTATTACAGGGTTTTCATACTCTGTCACCTACAGAGCGAAGAGAATTTCTCTCCGCGCTGGTTCGTGAGTGCAATGTTCGAGAGCTGTCTGAGTTGGAGGAGAGTATTATACCACGACTGAAAGTCGATTTTCTAGAGCGTCTTCCTATGGAAGTGGCGCTATATATCCTCACGTACTTAGAGGAGCCCACATCTCTTGTGCGCGCCTCTGCGGTGAGCCGTACATGGCATCGGCTTGCTACGGACGAGTACCTGTGGGGTTTTCTATGTGTTCGCTACGCGTATCATACACCTTCGCGCCTACGTTGGATGATCCAAAGTTTGATCCCACATACGAATGAGGGGAGCACGGAGGATGTGGTGGACCCTATGACCCAGGCCAAACGTCGGCGTCGTCGCTCCTTCTTTGCAAGTGCTGGCGAACTGCCGCCGACCACGAACTCGGCGAGTGTGATGCTGCGAGACTATTTCCGCCTATGTTATATGACGGAGCGCAATTGGCGGAAGGGCGGACGTCTTCTTAGCTCGTATGTGACGAGTGAGCTAGCTGATGCCGATCCTGACCCCAATCGGCGTCTTGCGCTCACATGCTGTGCGATGGATCAGGATTGGGTGGTGGCTGGGATGACAGACAGTACAATCTACGCCTTTCATATTCAGTCGGGACGTCTCATACATACACTACATGGGCATGACAGTGGCGTATGGTGCCTGATGCTGGCCACAGGCACGCAGCGGCCGACAGGCAAAGAAAATCGTCGCGAGGATACCAGTCTCGTCCAGACACATAGGGATAAGAGGCCCAGTGCTCAGCTGGCCTTGGTCTCTCGAGGAGGTCTTTCTGTACAAGATGCGATGCATGTGGCACAGCAGTGCGATCCCACAGACATGGCCTGTGCCAGTACGTTGGGATGGGGTCAGCCAGATACGCGTTTGATCAGCGCCGGGTCGGATCGAAGTCTGCGTGTATGGAACATGTCGACAGGTGTGTGTGAGCAAACGCTGAAAGGGCACACATCGACCATTCGGTGTGTACAAGTGGTTGCACAGGAGCCAGTGGCCATTACAGGCTCACGCGATGGTACTTTGCGGGTGTGGGACCTGGCCCAAGGTCGAGTTCGGCATGTCTTGGCAGGGCATCAGCACTCCGTCCGGTGTATGGCCGTGTACGGTGATATGGTAGCGAGTGGCAGTTACGACTTTACATGCCGCTTGTGGAATTGGCGCACCGGCCAATGCTTACATGTGCTGAAGGGCCACCAACTGCAAATCTATGCGATTGCATTTAATGGCACGCACGTCGTCACAGGCAGCTCCGATTCAACGGTACGTGTGTGGGATGCACAACGAGGCACATGTCTCGCAGTGTTCCAAGGATATACCCATGTGGTGGCGCAGCTGCATTTGCAAGACGATATTCTAGCGACGGGCAGCAGTGATGGACGTGTGATTGTGTACTCCATGCGTACGTTTGAGAGCCTTTATCGCGTTTGTGCGCACGATAGTGGCGTTACGACACTGCAGCTTCGTGGCGCCCACCTCGTTACAGGCGGCTCCGATGGCCTGGTCAAGTTGTGGGACGCGCAAACGGGCCAGTTCCTTCGGACTATGTGTGAGCCCAGTGAAGCTGTATGGACAGTACGGTTCGTGGAAGATACCTGCATTGTACTATGTAAGCGGCATGGTAAGTGTGCCATTGATATGATTTCGCTGCGTCCTATTGCTTAGCCGAATCGGAAGCCGGAGCCTGGCGCGTAATGATGGTGGTGGGTATAGGTATGGCTGCCGCCGCTGGCGCTGCCGCCCATGTCAAAGTTGGCGAACTGCGCACCAAACAAGTCGGCCAAGTTGACGCCATGCATACCGCCCATACCGCCGAAGCCACTGAAGCCGCCCATGCCGCCACCCATATCCATGTCGTCCATATCATCGACACCTGAGTCGTATCGACGACGCTTTTGTTCATCAGAGAGAATAGAATACGCTTCATTGCACATCTTAAACTTTTCTTCGTCGCCGCCCTTATCAGGGTGGTGCTTAAGCGACTCTTTGCGGAACGCCTTTTTGATTTCTGTCTCGGTCGCCGTCTTGGGCACGCCAAGAATCTTGTAATAGTCCACCTTCTTGCTGCGCTTCAGCTCCACTTCGCACCGACGGCATTCGCGGCGCAGCGCATCATGCTCAGCCGTACCAACACTCTCGTCCACCGCGCGCTTAAAGTCACGCACAGCTTCTTCGTACTGCTCGCTCGACTGGTACGCACGCGCACGAGTTTTGAGCGGCTTGACGAAGCCTGGATCGAGCTGCAGCGCCTTGGTACAGTCATGGATAGACTCTTGGTATCGCGAAAGCTTGCTCAAAAGGATAGCGCGGTTCGAGTAGATCACTGCTTTGAACTTCTTTGCCTCGCCATCCGTCTCCTTGTCCTGGTCGGCCAGTTCCAGGATTTGTGCATACTTGGCTAGGGCCTCTTCCGACTGGTTCGCCTTAAACGCATTGTTCGCCTCATCTTTCAACGATGCTAGCTGCTTGCATTTGCGGAGGAAGATCTTGGCGTCTGATCGATCAGGATCGGAACGTAGCGCGGCCTGCGCTTGCTGCACGGCCTTTGCGACGTCATTGTTCGCAAGCGTCACACGCGCGCCGAGCAGCAGCGCGTCCGTATCGGAAGGATTCGCTCGGTACATGTCCATCGCGAGCGAATGCGCTTGCGTCAACTGGCCACGCTGAAGCATCAGCATCGCTCGCAGCAGCTGCCAGTCATGCGGCGATGAAGCGTCGGTCAGTTTCATCACGCCCTGCGCTTGGTCCAAGGCGATACTCGCCAACGTCCAGTTCTTTTCCTTCTTGTACGCCTCCAACGTAACAAGATGTCGCTCCATCTGTTGGGCGAGATCCTGCACTTCGTTCGCCTGCGCTTGCTCGGCACTCGTGCCTGCGTGCGTCGAGAGCATAGGCTGCAAGGCGGCTACAGCATCTTTATGACGGCCTAGACCTAGCAGGCACTTGGCCATACGCAGCAAAGCCTTCGCACTGGGCTCTGGCGCCTGCATCTGCACGGCCTTCTCGCTGTCTGCCAACGCACGCTTGTAGTCACCTAGCGCCATGTAGGCCGCTGAGCGGTTCAGCAGAAGCACAGCATTGCTGGTATCGTGCGAAATTGCCTCCGTGTAGGCATTGATGGCATCACGAAACTTTCCGCTCTTGAAAAGCTCGTTACCGCGCTGCTTGGCCTCCTCAGCAGCGGACATGGCAGACGCTCACGTCGTTTTTCCAGTGCTCGTTCTCTCTCTTCTTCTGTCACGTGCAATGAAACACACACAACGGACCCCTCACGCGCTGCCTGCCCCCTCCACTCTTTTTTTGCTGGTGCGATGGGCACGGCAGAGAAGCGCGGCGCGCCAGCGTCCGTGTCCGAGACGTCGGACGGGCGTGAAGTGAAAGCCGCACGTACCGAGTCCGAGGCAGAGGATCCATCTACGACACGACTCGCCGTACGTATATCGCACACTGACCATAGAAACGCAAAGTCGCCATCTTCTTTGGCTACTGTGGATCCGACTACTCTGGTCTGCAAGTGAACCCTGGCGTGAAAACGATCGAAGGCGATATCTTCGATGCGTTCTGTCGCGCTGGTGCTGTGTCCAAAGACAACGCCGTGAACCCCAACAAGGTGCAGCTCCAGCGTGCAGCCCGTACAGACCGTGGCGTGCATGCGGCAGGCAACCTGCTGACGCTCAAACTGATCCTTGAACCCCCGAACTTGCCAGAGGGCCAGACCCTCGGCCAATATGTCAATACGCTCCTTCCTGAACAGATTCGTATTTGGGGTATGCGTCGCGTGCAAAGTGCCTTTAATGCACGTACAAGCTGCGACTCGCGTTTGTACGAGTACCTTTTGCCTACGTACGTGTTTATTCCGCCCAAGCCATTTAGCTCGATGTGGAAGATGCTTCGTCGCTTGAACACAGGGGAAGCCGAAACGCCGACCAACGAAGATGGGACGCCCGTACTGCCTTGGGACGATGCACAGATCAAGGAGAACAGTATGCTCAATCATCCCTTCTGGCGTTCACAAGGTGTGGACGCCGACTTTGCACAGGACATGCTCGCGAAGCGAGCGTGGCGAATTGACAATGAGGCCTTGGAGCGCGTACGCCGCGTATTTGACCAGTATACGGGCTCGCACAACTTTCATAACTACACGATCGGCAAGGATTTCCGGGATCGAAGTGCCTACCGCGTGATGAAGAAGCTCACCATCTCAGAACCGCGCTTAATTCACGGCACAGAATGGGTCTCGGTGCAGTTCCATGGCCAGTCGTTCATGCTCCATCAGATCCGCAAGATGATTGGGTTGTTGGTCCTGATTGGTCGTACCAATGCCCCCGCCTCGCTGGTTGCGCAGACGTATGGCCCCGCACGCATTCACGTGCCGAAAGCGCCAGGCTTGGGTCTGTTGCTTGTCGAGCCGTACTTTGGTGGGTACAATCTCAAAGTGAAGAACAACAACGAGCGTATTGATCGCATGATCGCTACACGGCAGGCGACAGGCAAGCCCCTGCCGCCGGATGCAGAGAGTGGCCGACGTGAGTTTGTGGATTACAAAGAGTTTGAGGCACAGATGCAGGCGTTCAAGCAGACGCACATCTACAATCAGATCTTCCAGACGGAGGAAGACACATCGGAATTCGCCAAGTGGCTCAACTATTTAGACGTGTTTGTGGGCCCAGACTTTGAGTTTTTGAACCCGCAAGGCACGATTCCAGATTGTGCGATCCTCAAGGTCGGTGAGCAGCGCCGAGCTCCAGGTGGTCAGCCGAAAGCCACGTCGAATGGCCATGACGGCAGCATGGAGAGTGATAGCGATGTAGAGGGCGCCGGTGCAGCTGACGACGATGCGTAAATTAAAAGTCGCCCAAGTCCACATCAATCGTAGGCACAATGGCCGTCCCAGAGGGCGCAGAGGCCAGCGCAGCAGAGACCTGGGCAGGATCGGTGTCCACAGGGGCCTGCGGGGCAGACGACGATGATGACGACAACGCTGCGGCTTTCTTGGCCCGCGCTGCACGTCGTTCGGCTTCCTGGATACGCTCGCGATCCAATTTGCGATTGCGCTCATTTATTTGTGCCATAGTGTGCTCGTCGAAGCGGGACGACGCTGTGGACGTCGTAGCGTGTGCAGCAGCATGGCCATAGCCACTGGCATGTGCAGCTTCTCGTAGCTCACGCTTGCGAAGCAGGATCTTTTTCACGTCGTCCTCCGTGAGAGGCGTCGTCAACGCAGCTTCCAATTGTTGATGCTTAGCTTGAATGGCCTCCGTGCTGGGGAACTTGGCGTCCGGCCCTGCCGCAGCGATCCAGCGCTGCCGTTCTGAGTCGCTAATCACTTGCGTACTCAGGGGCCGCAAGTCCACACTGTGATCCTTGCCGCCCCATCGGAAAGAGACGTAGCTGTTCATCCACCGACCTGCATGGTCCGTGCTAACATCATAGTACTTTTCGCGCTGTTGTACATCGGTAATTTGATGCACACGGTATACATGCTCCTTTCCACCTTCGCGTTTCTCACGCATACCCCAGGAGCATCGCACAAAGCACCCACGCACCAAGTCTTTGCCGTTCGGGAGGAATAACAATCGCTCCAGCTCGTCGCGGCCCAGACGGACCGAGTTGAGCAAGGCCAACGATGGCGGCTCATCGCTGGTCGCCGTCATAATCGCAGGCTCGCCACGGGATCGACGCAACGTATACGATGGCTCGTAATCCGACTCACTCGCATAGTCATCGTCGCTATCCAACGCACGACGTCGGCGTCGACGTGGCGGTGGCTCGTCGTCGTCACTCACATCAGCACGCGATGAGACGCCATGAGCGCGTTCCTGGCGCTTCCGACGCAGCTCTGAGAGCTTGTCAGCCTTGGTAGACGTAGGCCGACGGCGTGCCTGTGACGGCGCCGCGTCGTCGTCGTCGTCGTCGTCCGACTCACGGAACACATCCTCCTCGTCTGTATCCTCGGCGAACGGATCCGCTAAGTCTTCCAACTCGCGCCGGGCATCCGCGCTGCGTCGCTTCGCACGCTGATCGGCGGTCATCTTGGTCTTCTTCTGCGAGGTGCGACGCGTCTTACCGGCAGCAGCTTGCTGAGAGCGAACCATTGCCGCAAGCTGGGCCTGCTGTTGTCGTCGTGAGATTTCATCGCGACGTTGTGAAAGGACATCTTCACGTTCTAATTCATTCATGCTCAGGAGCCTGTCTGTAAGAGCACATTAGACATACCATTCACGATCGTCCTCGTCCTTGTATATGCCCTCGAGGGGGTACGGGTTTCTCTCTTCTTTGTCATCGTCCCCGGACGCGTCCTCATCGGAGGACAGGTCGGACAGCAATGCAGACCGACGATGTGACTTGCCCGTGCTCGGCGAGTGCGCACGCGCAGGGGGACTCGACGCGTCTTCCCCCACAAGCGCGATCAGCTCATCGTCCAGGCCGTCTGACATGGTGGTGGCAGGGGACCAACCAACACGTGGAGACCACGTGCGAAGAGGGTGGGCGAGGGGGCTGCCGTCACGCCCGTGCATCGGCGCGGCAGGCGTACCTACCCCACGAGCAACTCAACCATGGCTGACGAACGTCCTTTGGTTGTGGACAATGGTACAGGCGTACGTATCTACACGACTCACCGTCCAGTTTGTCAAAGTGGGCTATGCAGGTAGGCAGGCACGACGAACGAATGGCACTAACCAACCGTTCAGGCTCGAATTTCCCGGATCATGTGTTCCCCTCCATTGTAGGCCGACCGATTCTGCGTACGGAAGAACGCGATGCAATCTCTGCGTCGGGTGTGGAGATCAAGGATCTGATGGTAGGTGACGAAGCAGAGGCGGTGCGCACGTACCTGCAAGTCTCGCAGCCGATGGAGCACGGCATCGTCAAAGACTTTGAAGATATGCGTCATGGTACGTCATGAAGAAGACTCACCTCAGTGTGGAACTACACGTTTGATGAAAAGCTTCGTATTGATCCTCGGGGCCGCAAAATCTTGCTCACAGAGCCACCGATGAATCCGAAAAAGAACCGCGAGGAAATGTGTCGCATCATGTTTGAAGAGTACGGCTTTGATGGTGTCTACGTTGCCATCCAGGCCGTTCTGACTCTCTATGCTCAGGGTCTGCAGACGGGTGTGGTTGTGGATAGTGGTGATGGTGTGACGCACATTGTGCCTGTGTACGAGGGCTTTGCGATGCCACACTTGACGCGACGTCTGGACGTGGCTGGCCGCGATGTGACGCGCCACCTTATCAAACTGCTCTTACTGCGTGGCTATGCATTCAATCGTACAGCAGATTTCGAGACGGTGCGCCAGATCAAAGAGAAACTGTGCTATGTGAGCTACGACTTGGACCTCGACAAGCGCCTGGCAGATGAAACGACGTCCCTCGTGGAGACATACACACTGCCTGATGGCCGTGTAATCAAGGTGGGCTCGGAACGCTTTGAGGCGCCCGAGTGCTTGTTCCAGCCGCATCTGATTGGGTTGGAGCAGCCTGGTGTCTCCGAAATGCTTTTCCAGACGATTCAGACGGCGGCAGTGGATGTGCGTCCTGAATTGTACAAACACATTGTGCTAAGTGGCGGTAGCAGCATGTACCCTGGCCTTCCCAGTCGTCTGGAAAAGGAGATGAAGCAGCTGTACCTCTCTCGTGTGCTGCATGGTGATGGCTCGCGCCTGGCGAACTTTAAGATTCGTATTGAGGACCCGCCGCGTCGTAAGCATATGGTCTTCCTTGGCGGTGCGGTCCTGGCGGACATTATGAAGAACCGCGATAGTTTCTGGATCAGCCGCAGCGAATGGTACGAGCAGGGCCCACGTGCATTGGATCGCCTGGGTCGCCATGCGTAAGTCATATATATATACATCGTAGAATACATGATGACATCTCATGCCTATGATCTATGGGCCAAGACAAGGTAGGCGACAAGCAGTAGCAAGACGCCCTGCACGATGACATGTGGCGAAACGAGGCTGAACGGGTGTCCACCCCGCTTAGCGAAACCCTTTGGCGATCTCCGACTGCCAATGCGGCGCACGCTCAAAGCCGTTCTTGCCGAGCTGGTAGTCTTCAATCGCCTTGTACACCTCCTCTTCAGAGTTCAGCACAAACGGACCGTACTGCACGACACGGTCCTTCATCGGCTCGCCCGAAATCAGGATGACGCGTGCCGGCTTGTCCGTAGGGTTGGTAATGCGCACACCGTCCTGACCATTGACATCCGACGGCGTCGTGAGCACCAGCGTATCGTACTGGTTGTACTCGGCGTCCTTGTCGCCGACCGTCACTGTGCCACCAACCAGGTACAGGATGGTGTTCCAGCCGTTGGGCAGCTCTTGGAACACCCAGCCCTGCGGGTCGAGCTTGATGTCCATGAACCAGCAGCCGGCGCCTTGCGGCCACTTCACAGGCGACTCGCCACCGTGACTACGGCCGGCAATGATCTTGATTTCCCAGCCCTTGCCCTCCGTCTCCGCGGGCTCTGTGTCACGCGGGTGCTGGTGCGGCATTTCGGCACTGCGCAGCTCCTGGTACGACGGCTCAACGTACTTGGCAGACTTGGGCAGGTCGAGCCACAACTGCATACCCACAGGGTTCGGCAGTGGGTTGCCGTTGTCGTCCTTGTGCTTTGGCATCTCGGCGTGGACCATACCACGACCGACACACATCCACTGGATGTCGCCAGGGCCAATAACGCCGCGGTGGCCAGCAAAATCTTCATGCTCGACGAAGCCGTCGAACATGTACGTCACAGTCGTCTGACCACGATGAGGGTGGTCCGCGAAACCCGAGCCAGGTGTGATGGTAAAGTGGTCGAGCATAAGGAACGGCGTCAAGTTGCGCAGTTGGCGGTTGCCGATCGCACGGCGCAGACGCACACCGACACCATCGCTCTGCTCAGCAGCAAAGACTTTCTGGACAACACGACGCGATACTTGGGGAACAGACATGGTATACAAGTGAGTGAGTGCGATAATTAATAATAGCAGGAATCGCATCCAACCCAGACGTGTCGGAAGCACGGCCCTTTTTATGTGGTCACTTTCATTTTGTGGCGCCGTGCCATCGGCGCTTCGCTGTGCGCTTACGTCCGGGGGACGGAGATAAAACTCCAAGCCTACCTGCCTGCCGCCGCACGTCCACAGTGCCACGTGGGCTGTCACGCACGAGCGTGCGTGACAGCCAGGGCCCTCGATCTGTGACACCGCCGGGGCTTTTTCTTGTCTTCGTGAGAAAGCGGGGCACCATGCGTCCCCCCCGTCCCTCGGTGACATGGACCGATATGGCTGTGGTGACACAGGCCATCATTTCATTAGGAGAGGCTGTGCTCCTTCCACGCCGTATTGTACCGCACACGTCGCAGCCATGGCCCACGAAGCGGACGCCCGAGACGCAGGCCTCGGCCCCTGCGCCGCAGCAGCCTATGCGTAGCACAGTAGCAATGCCCCCCACAGAGGAGCACCGTACCACAGTGCGCACAGACGAGGAGCCACCTTCCATGGTTCACACTGCTAGCACGCCACCGGCATCCCAAACGACATCCACACCGGCGGCAGAGGTGCCGATCCACGACGCACGGCCAGGGCAGCCCGAGCAGCCTGTACAGACTGTGCAGCCTATGCCGACCGTGTCAGCGACACCATCGACGGTACCGACACCTGCGCATGCTACTTCTGACACACCGCCATTGCCCCTGGAGGAGTACGATGCGACCAACGAGGTATGTATGCCCATGACTGACTTGTAGCGTACCAAGCCACTTCGGGCGACGCGAGTTCCCTCTTCGCGCATTGGACGACTGTTGCATTATGGCAGCCTTGGCGCCGGACTTGCGTGGGGCTCGGCCAGTGAATATATGCGCCGTGCCACGACTTCATCGGAGGCCGAAGGCGCTGCAGCGCCTGTGTTCCTGTCAGCCCGCAATGTCGATCGCTTGGTCGACAAGCTGAGCACGATGCGTGGCGCGGCGCTCAAGCTTGGCCAGTTCCTGTCGATCCAGGATAGTCATATGCTGCCGCCGCAAGTGGAAGAAGTGTTGTTGCGTGTACAAGATACGGCACATTACATGCCCCAATGGCAATTGGAACGAGTGATGACGCAAGAGCTCGGCGAGGATTGGCGCTCGAACTTTGCATCGTTTGATGAGCGTCCGTTTGCCGCTGCATCCATTGGGCAGGTGCATAGCGCCGTGCTGGCGGATCCCTTTCCTTCGCAGCCACACTTGGCCGGCCAGCGAGTCGCTGTGAAAGTGCAGTTCCCTGGTGTGGCCGACTCGATTTCGAGTGACTTGTCCAACATCAAGTGGCTGTTTCTAGCCTCCTCGCTTCTTCCGAAAGGTCTGTTTTTAGAAAACTCCGTGCGGGTGCTTCAGCAAGAGTTGCAGGATGAATGCGACTATGAGCGCGAGGCAGAGATGGGCCGTCGCTTCCGCGAGCACCTCCAAGCGTCGAAGAAGCATGACGGCAACGAATCGCTGCCCTTCGAAGCGCCGGACATCGTCAGTGCCTTGTCGACCAAGCGTGTGCTCACCACCGAGTTTATGCGAGGACGACCATTGACGCAGGCCTCGCGCTTGGATCAGGCCACGAGGGATCGTATTGCCTCTGCGATTATGGAGCTCAGTTTGCGAGAGCTGTTTGACTGGCACCTCATGCAAACAGATCCGAATTGGACCAACTTTTTATACCACGAAGGCCGCCAAACCATCCAGCTCATTGATTTCGGCGCCACACGGCCGTACACGGACCACTTTATTCGCATGTGGCTAGGCCTGCTTCGTGCCGCTGTCTCTGGCGACCGTGAGCTGTGTGAGCAATGGAGCATTGATATTGGCTACTTGACGGGTGAAGAATCGGAGGTATGTGTGCATCACAACTAACAACTAGGCCATGCGTACAGCGCATGTGGATTCCATGTTGGCACTAGGGGAGCCATTCCGTGCCGATGCGCCTGTGCCGTATCCGTTTGCGAAGCAGACAATCACGGACCGCGTACGTGAGCAGATCCCACTGATGCTGCGTGAACGCCAGCGCCCTCCGCCCCCGGAAACCTACTCGTTGAACCGCAAGCTGAGCGGTGCGTTTTTGCTTTGCTCGCGTCTCGGGGCGAGTGTGAACTGCCGCGATTTGTTTGCGAAGGTAACGGCGCCATACCCACCCAGTGTGCCTTCTGCACGACTGTATACCCAGGCCCGCCGACGTGCGTAACTCTCCCGTCGTTCTCACATGTAGACATTGGCAAAAACTTGTCGGAACGATGGTCCCACCAAGCATTGAAGTATGACCGTGTACGGCCGGGCGTTCCCGAAGAAATCAAGTATGTGGAAGATTTAACACATGAGGGAGAGGTGCGTGTGCGCGATGTATGGGTACCTCTTCGTCCCACACCGCCCCGCCCAGAAGATTGCTGCATGTCTGGTACGTGTGCCAGGGCCTCACTGACGCACAGGCTGCATCAATTGTGTGCATACGCTGTACGCCGACGAAGTGACCGAGCACAAGGAAACCATGCGCGAAATTCGCGCACGATTGGCTCAGTATGATCCCCCTATCACAGAAAAGGAGTGGGATACGAAGCAATTAGGCCCCCTCCCCTCGGCGGCGGAGGGCAGCGGAGCCGAGGCGGAGAACGACTCCACCGAAGGGATGGACCCCTCCATGGCCGCGTTCATGGCCTTGCAAAAGCAGCTACAGACGAAAAAGTAGTCAGAACATGTAAGCCATGGCAAGATTCCAGGTCTACAGTGGTGAATATATAGGAAGGAGAACCGAATTAAGCCGAGTAGAGCTCCTCCTTGAGCGTGATACCGAGCTCCTCACGCACTGGCTTGAGCACCTCAAGGTACTGCTTGTACTGGTTCTCGTTCATAACCTTGTGCTTGATACCCTCAAACACGCGCACAGCGAGCGGGAAGTCGTTCACGCGGCGAGCAGCACGCAGAGCAGCCTCAATCACCTCCGGCGAGGGCACAAGGTCCTGCGCAAAGGCGTTGTTCAGGCCACGCTGGGCCTCGAACTGGTCCTCGACGCTCTCAAAGAACTTGAGGTAGCGGTCGTTGAACTCCTCAAAGGTCTCCGAGTGGTCCGAGTAGTTGCGCACTAAACAGTCAGTCCTTCGCACAAAGTCACTATACATACCCTGCATAGCCACAGGCATGGCAGCACGCTTCATCATGGTTGCGCGCACGCCCGTCGAGACGGCGGCAACGCGGAAAGCACCAGTGAGAACAGACATGATGATTGTAATGAGGTAGCGCTGGTTTGCTTGCAAATCCGCGCCCTGGGTGTGCGCACACCCACGGCCCGACCTCCGCCGCTCCTACAAAGTCACGTGAATAAAAAAGTGGCAGAGTGGAGGTACATGCACACGCCCTCCGAGGCACCTTCGCTCGCCTGCTCGACGCGACGCGACCGCCCGTCGCTGGCTGCACGCGCGGAGGCCCAGGCACAGGTATGGATGTGGTGCCAATACGAATCTCACAGCATGATGAAGAAAGTGCGTTAGCGACGTATGCATGCATCCCCCCTGCTGCTTCGCCTCAGCGCAAGCGCACATGGGATCACCTGAACGCACGCACTCTGCTCGAGGAAACCCTCCCTTTTACTTGCACCGTATCGGCCTCTCTGTCGTCCTATCCAGTACGCCTGACCTGTGTTACGAATAGGGCTGAACGTATGCAGGCTGGCCACCTGATGCATCCATCGCACGCAGCCCTGCTGGATGTGCTGCCAACGTCGCCGTCGCGTGACACGGAAGAGGGGGTGGCGCCGATCGTGACCCTGCCCTTGGATCCTACGTCCGCTAGATGGATACAAGCTATGTTGGCATTGCCCGCAAGCTATACGTACGACGCTACACTCACATGGCACGAGACCCAGCTTCATCTGCATATGCATATCGTTGCAATCCCCCCCAGTTGTTGGGCAGCCCAGACACCTGTGGTGGCCGATCGATTGCGTGCGATTGTAGAGTATGTGAATACGCGCGATGGTATACCCATACCCACTCTCTCGCTAGAAGGCAGCGCTGAAGCGGGTGCTGCGTTGGTCTATGAAAGCTTGGCGCGTCGTGAATCGGATCCAGCTACACAAATGCCCATGGCCGAGCAGCCACGGCACCTGCAGGCTACACTACTGCCTTTCCAACGTCGTAGCGTGAGTTTCCTACTGGAACGCGAAGTCCCTGTATCGCAACGCCACATTTTGCGACGAGCCTGTGGGCCTTGGTGGCTCCAAGTAGGCCAGGCGCCATTGTATTTTCATGTCTTGAGTGGTCAGCTCACCGTCGACCAGACGCTGGCATCATGGGATGTAGCAGGGGCCATCTTAGCCGAAGAAATGGGGCTGGGCAAAACGGTCGAAGTGCTTTCGCTCTTACTGGAGCGGCAAGATCCCACACGCGGTACACGGCCAGCGTATTACGACGCAGCCAACGATGTGGACGTACAGCCTGTAGGGGCAACCTTGATCGTGTCACCAGAGACACTGCGTCGGCAATGGCTTGACGAGATTGCCCAGCATGCTCCGACGCTGCGCGTGTATTCGTACACGGGACATCGTCAGGCACAAAAGGATTACGAGGCAGCCCAGTGCACAACTTGGGGCGCCTGGACGCAGTCCATCGATGTCATGGTCGTATCGTTTGAGACACTTGCGCGCGAATTGGCGGCATCTCATGCAGCGCCTGTGCGTCAGCTGCGTCAACCATCGAAGTATGAGCGTCCACGCAGTCCTCTCGTCCAATTAGAGTTTCTGCGTGTGGTAATGGATGAAGTGCAGTTGGTGGGCGGGAATGCAGCCAAAACCATGGGACTGATCCATCGTACCTGCAGTCTTGCTGTCAGCGGCACACCTGTTCGCCGCTGGGCCGACGTACGTACGTCGCTATGGTTTCTTGGCTTGGTCTCGCCAAAAGCCACACCCAAAGTCTGGGCACGAATCTTGAGCCCAGCCATGGCGCCCTACGTGTACGATGTCCTTGCGCAGGTAGGCATTCGGCATACTAAGGCCCAAGTCGCACATGAAATGGTTCTGCCCTTACAGACACGCTATTTGGTCCCTGTGGACTTTACGCACGTGGAAACGGCTTTTTACAAGGATGTGTGGCATGCCAGCTTAGCTGCGCTGCACCTGGATGCAGATGGGGCCCCTCTTACAGAGGACTGGGAGCTCGATGCCAGCGTGCTGCGTGCTCAGCTCATCCGTTTACGCCAGGCGTGTACACATCCACATGTTGCTATGCGCGGAGGGCATGTGCTGGGCTCGGGCGATGCGCCCTTGGGCGTTGTCAACCTGCACCGAATTGAGCATGTACTTGCGCAAATGATGGAGGCTACACGGCATGAACTGCTTACACAAAAACACAACCTGATGGCGAAACGAATTTATCGGGCGACCATCCTACTCTTCGCGCCATGGGACGAGTTGCAAACACAAATGAATGCTGGGTTGCGGCAGGCCCATGCGGCGCCGGAGGCACTGGCCTATGGGCATATATTGCAATCACGTACGCGATTGGATGTCGTGCGTGATCAGCTAGAGACATTATTGCCGGAGGCACAGGCCCAAGTGGCGCAGCTGGAGCAGGCCATGCAGGCGGCCCAAGAGCAAGGACCTTTATACCGCTTCACCTCGGACGAGCTCACAGCCCTGGCGCAATGGGAGCAACATGGGAGCGTAGGGGAGCTGCCAGACGGCCTATCCCATGGGACTTGGCGTCTGCGACAGCAATACATTGCCGCGCTGAAAAGTCGTCAGCGCCATTGGCTGCAAGTGGTCCATCGAATCCAACAATTTTCAGGGCACTGCTACTTCCAGCTGGGTGAGGCAGTACGTGCCACAGAGGCTCCCGTGAAGAAGGAAGAAGAGGGCGAACCGCCTGCTCCGTCACAAGTGTCGGTGCCGCCTACCATATGGACACCGAAAGAAGACGAGGCGTACCAAGCCGCAGAGCTTACGCGCCAACGACTGTTGGCAGAGGCACGCGAAGCGGTAGAGCAAGCCTTGCATACATGGCACGTGTACCAGCCTGAGCTTGTGCCCTGGACGCGGCCTACTCTCCACGCAACACCAGCCATCGCCGGACGTAGCGTGCTGGAAGCCATCGAGGCGCGCTTGGATATGCTGCGTGACCATGCCGCCCTGGTCTGGGATTGGCGGACCCAAATCGCCACACGGTTGTCACGCCCGGTGAACCGCGAAGTGAACAAGGCCCGTGAAGATGACGATATGTACGCGGAGAATTTGGATGCGCAAATTGAGGCAGAGACGCTGATGGAAATGTACCGCCCCCTCCTCGCCCAGCGTGATGAGCTAGTGACAGGTCGTATTGCCCTCGGTGCCACGGCGCGACCTCAGCTGTTTGTGGAGTTGGATCGTGCCTTGCGATCGGCCCGGTCACGGCGCTTTGCATTCCACGGACAAGAAGAAGCTGACGATCCTCCCGAAGGCGTGGAAGATGAGGATGTACGGCAGGCAAAGCGGCTACAGCTCCAGCATTTTCGTACGCTGGAACAAGCGCGCCAAAAGGTCATTCTGCCACCTGGGGATCCGCCGCTGACGATGCTGGTCGCAGCGCTACGTGATGTACGCGATGCCAGTACACGTCAGGAGGATATCCAGCTACTTACAGTGATCCATGCACAGCTGCAGACTTTGGTACGTGAGCAGACACCTTGGCTCGAGAAGCTTCGACGTGAACAAATGCTCCTGCAAACGCTGTTTAATGCCCGCGCTATTTACTTTAAACAGATGCAAGAACTCTCAGACCAGGTGCAGGATCCTGATATGCCGCAGGGTCCATGGATGGGCGTGTGCGCAGCATTGGCCCAGGAAAAAAGCATACGCCAATCTATTGGAAGCCTGGAAGGGCGTTTGCGGTATTTGACGCATGTCGAGCGTATGCAGCAGGACGAAACGCAAGACAGCGAAGCACGCCAATGCTTTATTTGTACAAATACCATGGATACAGGTGTGCTGACCAATGCATGTGGCCATGTATGCTGTGAGACGTGCTTCCACGCATGGATGCGTCGTGGGCATCGGACGTGCCCCTTGTGCAAGACGCGTATTGCACCGCGTGATATTCATCGTATTGTGTACCGTGCTGCAGACGGCCCGCAACTGCCAGGCTCGAAGCTCGATACTGGCAGTAGTATGTTCCATGTATTGCCGACAGAGACGCGGCAGGCTTTGCTTGCACAACCTCTGCCTGCGGAAGGCAGCCATGGAACCAAGTTGGATTTGCTCCTCCGCCACCTTGTGTATTTACAGCGCACGACGGGCGAAAAAAGTCTCGTGTTCTCCTCGTTTGCACGGGGCTTGGACTTGGTCGCTGAGAGCCTGGAGCAGCATGGATTACGATACGCACGCATAGATGGCACGGGCGGGAAACGAGCTGGTGCGGCTGTGGATGCCTTTCAGCATGATCCAGATGTGCGAGTGTTGTTGCTGCACAGCGAGGCGCAGTCGGCTGGTCTCAACTTGCTAGCGGCCACGCACCTCTTCTTATTGGAGCCTCTGCTCAATTACGCTATGGAACTACAGGCGATGGGTCGCGTCCACCGTATCGGACAGACAAGACCGACGTTTGTGTATGGCTATATGGTACGCGATACGGTTGAGGAACGTATTGTAGGGATGGCCGCAGCACGCAGTCAGTCTCTCTACCTAGATACAGGCGCGGATGCTGACAGTGCTGTGGTGCAAGCCGCACATCTGGCACAGGCCCATGACATTTCTCGCGAGGCTCGACGAGGTGATTTGATTGGCGCACCAGATGATTTATTAGCTTGTCTGTTTCCTCAGCATATTGGCACGTAGAAAAATACGAGTCATTATACCCACTACAAAATGCTGACGAAAAAGGAAAAGTAGAAGAGAAGAGGAAAAAAGAAAGGAGGGAAAAATTGGCGAACATGAAATGGCATCGAGAAAACTCGTAAAGTTGAAAGCCGCCTTCACTCGAGCGTAGGCGGTTGCTGAGGTGGTGGCATTGGAAATTGGGCGGACGTTGACTTGGACGACGACTGTGCCGATACAGACGACATTTCCTGAGGGCCGGGTATAGTCCATGGGGCCTGCATAGCTCCGCCGATGGTAACGGATGACGCGGGCGAGGTAGGCATAGGTTGGGAATCAGTCATCGCACGAACCGGCATAGAGGCATACGGTATAGGGACCATGTTGGTGGATGAGGATGAGTATGGCAAGGCCATCGACTCTGGTGCAGGCAGCGAAATCGATGAGGAGCTCGGATGCATACCCACATCGCTTCGGCCATACGATGGAGTCATCCAGTTCTGCAGGGACATGCCACGCTGCAGAGCGGTGACGGATTCGTTGGACGATGTAGGACTGGCCTGTGTGGCAGTGGATAAAAACGAGATCGACGAAGGATGAGGATGCAAGGATGCGTCAATCGGAAGTGAAGAGCTCGTCACATAGGCTGCATGTTGAAGCGGTGCCATGGGAGGAGGGATAGTCACAGACACGGAAGTATCGTTGGGTGATAAGCCAGTGGGGGAGACCATATCATACGCTGAAGAAGTTGATAGAGGCGAGGGAATAGATAGTTGTGCTAGAGGCGGACTGGGCATCGAGAGGCCCGTCATGGACTGAGGTGTAAGCCAGGGAAAGAGTGGCTGCGATGCTTCGTTGAGAGGCATCGTGGTGCTTGCATCGGCAGAAAGAGCCAATTGTGTCACAGCAGAATCGTCCGAAGCATCTATGCCGTTAGCATGAGGCGCTAGAAGCAACGATGTGCCGTCCATCCGTGGCCCCGAAGCGGACGTGCTAGATAAGGGGTTCGTTAAAGCCGAACCCGGCTGCAGTTGAGGCGATAGCGATGGGGTATCCATCGGGGTCGGGGACGACTTGGAGGCTTGTTTGCTCTTCTTCTCGCCACGATCTCGCTTGGAGGCCTTCGTGCGAGGTTTGTAGCCGGCTTTGACATACTCATCATGGAACGCGTTGCGGAAACGGTCACGGATGTCTGTCGATGACCGCTGCCCTTGAAATACAGGATCGCGTGAGATACGAGCCCAGTGTGTACCAAAACGTTGGAATCCTTGTAAGAGGGCTTCATCCTCACTCTTGGTAAAAGCTCGGCGCTCCCTACTACGGGCTTTCAACGACGGGCCAGCCGTTTGTTGCTGAGATGTCCGTAACTGCTTGCGTGGATTCGACGAAGGGCCTGCGGGCTTTTCACGGAAGAGGTGCGGAAACTTGGACCGAACCGTGTCCTCCAGCTCGTCCGTGCTCCAGCCCGGGAAATGGGGGCCCAAGAGCGGGTCACTGAGCAGCTGAGCCCAATTACGGGGACCATATCTTCGGTACCCTTCCTGAAGGGCATATGACATCTGATCCGTCCATTCACGGGGTCTCGAGAGGAGAGAAGAGGGAGATCCAGTTGGTTTCAGGCTTGGATTCCCCTGGGGAAGCCGGAACCTGGTATGCGACGTGGGCGACGTCGAGGATCCGGCTTCCTGAGACCAAGTGTCCTCAGCATTAGCGTCATCCATCACTGGTGATGGGCCGCCAACATGCTGAGACATTCAATAGGAGCGACTACGCTGACCTAGCAATGAACGATGCAATGGTCAAGCTGCGGTGTCCATCACATCGAAAACGTGCGAGTTTGTCATTTTGATCCGCAAATCCCAGTTAGGCAGGATTAGGGCAAAGTCAGGTACACACGCCAGTCCTAAATATCGACTAAATCATGGGGATATATAGTAATGCATACGAAGCGAGGTGCATAAGCACTCTATACAGCCAATCAATCTTGCATGTACATGTCAAAAAACAAATGGCTCGCGAATTTTCCAGCGAGTATTTTGCGCTATGGGAATTACGCAAGAGGAATCCAGCCTACCGATTCGTAAATATACGGCGCGATAACAAGAAAACATACCAAACATGAATTTAAGCTATATCTACGAAAACGTTGACCAATGGTGTCTCGTGCTTAGGCCCAGTGACGTGAGGATACGTCGCTCCGAACTGAGCATGGTCCATCTCAGACGACGGCTACAGTGCCGTTTTCACGGAGCATCAGGGCTCTTCACCCTCGAGAAGCACCTCTGACACTTGTGTTTCTGCCTGCGACACGGGCGGAGGGGATGGCGAAGTCGGCGCTGCTACGATGGCGCCTTCCTCCGGCGTGGCGTCATGCACAGCCACGGTGCTAGGGCCCTCAGCGCCGCCACCCTCCAGCGTCTCGGCGGGAACCACCTCTGTCGTAGTAGCCGGGTCAGTACTGGTAGATGGAAGTGTGCCAATAGAAGCCAGAAGCTACATTGTTAGGCATATAGATCATCAACATACCTGCTGCACTTTTTGCGCTTGCTCGAGTCGCTCATCAGGTGCGCCACTCGACGGATACGCTGGCCACGGCGCTGCCACTTCGGTCGGAGGCGCCGTCGGTGCCTGACCAGGTGCTTCTTTTGCACGTGCCTCCGCGGCAGCTTTGGCCTCACTACGTGTGCGCGCATCATGGACCAGCGACACCGTCGCTAGGTCCCAAGCAAATTTGAGCTGCATCTGACCGCCCAGCCATTCTGTCTCCTGCAAAGCGTCATACGCTGCCACACATGCACGACTGTCCCAGTACTCCACAAAGCGCGTATGGGCCTGTTCCTTGTACATACGAATCGCCCGAATGTCGCCAAAAGGCGCAAACTTTTCTCGAAACACTTCTTCTGTCACAGGTTCTGACGCATCGTTGACCACCACGAATAGGGTGCCTTGATTCTTCTCACGATCACAATGCTGCTGCTGATCCTCGTCTTTTGGTAAACTGAAATGCACATCTAGAGCACGTCCCACATAGGACTTTAGGTTCATCGTATACTTTGCTTTCTCTGCAGCCCGCGTGTCGTAGTACGTGACAAAAAGCATACCTCGTCGCTGAATTATATCGAACCACGTCCGAATCTCACCAAAGGACTCAAAATCGGCCCGCAACGCCTGTACATCCACCTCAAAAGCTACATTGCGCACAAACAATGTACGGCAGGGCTTATTGTCTTCGGGACGCTCTGCATTCGGATCAGGTTGGTAGACACTGCGTGTGAAGCGAGGACGTGGACCACCCCTGCCTCCGCCACGAGACCCACTACCACGACCCCCCCGCCGCCGATCTCGCTCATGGGAGGGGCCGCCACGTCCCCCGCGAGAGTAGTGTCCACCTCCCCAAGGCATGGCAGCTCCACCGCCATGCATGTCTGACACGTCACCCCAGGCGCCAGGCGCGTACATGGGGAACGTTGGAGGGAACGCAGGTGGCATACCGTACGGCATCGGCATCGGCATCGGTGGGAATGGTGTGCTCCAGGGGGGGAACATACCTGGATGCTCGGCAAACGAGGGCGATGGTGCATAGGCGCCATACGATCCACCTGACTCTGACGAGGCGTATCCGTGACCACCGCGCGCCTCGTATCGCCCACCACCACCACGACGTGATCTCCGCCCACGACCTTGGCCTTCGTCGTAGCCACCGTAGGGATGATGGCGTGACATGGTACGCCGCGTAGATAGCTCAAAGAACAAGGCTGTGTGGGCCACAAACACAAAAGAGTAGCCTACGTCACCCACGCGCGACCCTTCCGATCGGCAGCGCTCAGTGGAGGGCATTTTTGAAATTGAGTCGCAGCCCCTGCGTGGCGTTGATGACGACTGTCTAGCACCGACCAACCATGAGTGGTGTAGTGAGTTTTAAGCTCGTGTTGCTGGGTATGTACCTGCCTAGCCAGCCCTAACATCCAGGTGAATCCGCGGTAGGCAAGTCGAGGTAGGCATCGTCGTTGTTGGGCTAAGCTAACCAGGCAGCATTGCGCTTCGTTTTGTCAAAGATCAATTTGAAGACTACCGCGAAAGCACCATTGGCGCTGCCTTTCTCACGCAGACCGTGCGTCGTGAGGATGGAGCCAATGTGAAGTTGGAGATTTGGTACGTACGCCCCCACCTGACCTCCAGGGACACAGCAGGTCAGGAGCGATACAAGTCGCTAGCGCCCATGTACTATCGCAATGCCCACTGTGCCATTGTCGTGTACGATATCTCAGAGACAGACTCGCTGGAAAAGGCCAAGAGCTGGATCCGTGAACTCCAGCGCCATGCGGATACCAATATTATCATTATGCTGGTCGGCAACAAGCTTGACTTGGCTGAGGACCATCGTGCCGTGTCTACGGAGGATGGCAAAGCGTTTGCAGAGCAGGAAGGTCTCCTGTTCCTCGAGACGTCGGCCAAGACCCCGACGAACATCAAGGAACTGTTTGATACGATCGCCAACAAGCTCCCGCTGGACCGCGGCATGGGAGCCAAGCGCCCTGCCGCTGCAGGTGGCGGTGCAGCTACGACTTCGAACCGGCCAGCCAATGCGCCCGTACAGCTGAACGCGACAGCACAGCCGACGAACGAAGATGCATGTACTTGCTAGTCATCATGTAACACTATTAGCATCTATGTAAGCGAAAATCCTAGTAATACGTTATCGATCAGTCGGGCTGCTGGCTTCTCATCATTAGCATGGTTGTACACCCACATGGCGCCACTAAGAATCGCGCCAGGGTCGCTGCTGTCCGCTTCGGCACTCTCCATAGGCGATGCCGTGGACACAGACAGGACTTGCAGTGTGCGCGGGTCGTTCAACGACACGTAGTCGAGCTGAACACGGGCCACTTGGTCAGGCAAGGCCGTGGCCTCCGTCACGATCGATTGGGCCGCTGCCAAGGTGGCGTGGACGCGCTCGGCCCTAGGTACGCCCTGCGCCTGCATAGACTCCCACACCTGCTTGCCCTGCGATAGAGCACGATACAGCAAGGGAGCGACTTGGCGGCCGTGCGTATCCAAGTACTTGTTGCGACTGCTCAGCGCCAAGGAATCCTTCGGGTCACGCACCGTAGGCACAATATGCACACGCTCCGCGCCCATAGGGAACGTAAAGAGGAGATCGTCGACCATACGGCGGATAATTATAGCCTGCTGAATATCTTTTTGGCCGAAATAGGCATGGTCCGGCTGGACATGTGTGAGTAAGAAAGCAACGTACCAAGACCAGATTGAAGAGTTTGGTCACTATGGTCGCCACACCACGGAAGAAGGTGGGCCGGGTGGTGCCTTCCATGTACTGGGAAAGACCAGCCATTTCAATGAAGGCGCCGACCTGTTCATCGACATTCTGTGTGATGCCATGGGGGTACATATCACTGACCTGCGGCACCAGGACGACCAAGCTGCCACTGACATTTGCAGCGGCTTCACGTTGGCCCAGCTGCTCAAGATCATGGTGCAGCGTGCGTGGGTACGTCGACAAGTCTTCATGTGGGGCAAACTGCGCTGGGTTCACAAAGATCGACACGACCGTATAGTCGTTGGCCTGCAGCGAAGCATCGACCAACTGCAAATGACCTTCATGCAGCGCTCCCATCGTCGGGACAAAGCCGACAGTCTTATTCGAATGCAATATAGTCCTACGCCACGCTCGGAACACCTGCGCATTTTCAAACGTCCGTACAGGCACGCCGGGCATGTGCGCCGAGAGGCGGTAGGCGGCCATGATGATGGACGGACAGCCAGGACCTAGCGTCGCCCGCTCGGTCGTTCGTGGACACTGAAAAGACACCTCCACTTGAACCGACCAAAAAAAAAAGGCACTCAGGGACTCGCTGTTTCTGCTTGCAGGCTATCATCGTATGACGGAGCTCTTTGATCCATTTGAGGGGAAGCGCAAGTTTGAGTACACGGGCAGTGTACACGCCGTGTACCCTCTCTCCCCGAAGTCCAAGGTGCCTTCGAGCATTCGGCGACCGAACTATGGCCGCGAGGCGGTACGCACCCTCTCGATCTGATACCAGCTCTTTCCTTCGCGCCGCATCCGTGTGAACAACGAAGAAGAACAGGAAGGTGTACGCATGGCGGCCAAAGTACGTGGCATATCACTTATACGGTAGCTTGCGCGTGAGTCGCTCGACATTATTGCAGCCATGATTCGCCCGGGTATTACCACGGACGAGATTGACCGTGCGCTTTTCCAGGCGGCCGTGGACCGTGGATGCTATCCGAGTCCTCTGGGCTACCATGGCTATCCGAAGAGTGTGTGTACCTCTGTCAATGAGGTGATCTGCCATGGCATTCCAGATCAGCGCAAGCTGGAAGATGGCGATATTATTAATTTGGGTACGTACAGCATCACTAACGTGTGAGATGTGACTCTGTATCACAATGGTGCGTATATGTCTCACTTACGTCCAGGTTTCCATGGCGATTTGTACGGCGCGTGTAGACTGACAGACCTAGAAATGCCACGTACCCCGTCGGTGAGAAGGCACGTGCGAGCGAGCCGCTGATGCGCCTCATTCGCACAGCGCGTGAGTGCTTGGATGCCGCCATTGCAATCTGTGGGCCGGGTATGCCGTACGCCGAGATCGGCCGTGTGATTCAGCCGCTGGCAGAAAAGAACGGGTGCTGCATCGTGAAGAACTACACGGGCCATGGCATTGGTCGTGTATTCCATGGCCCTCCGTCTGTGTACCACTATCCTACGAAAAAGGTACGTTGTATATATGCTCACTCTTCAGTCCTATGGCATTATGCAGCCAGGTCATGTACGTATACGCAGCCCAATTTGTACTAACATACACAGATCTTTACGTGCGTGCACCCAAGCGAAAGCTGACCGACTAGGATTGAGCCTATGGTGAACTTGGGCCAGGAATGGCGTGATGTGGAGTGGCCCGATGGCTGGACCGTGGCCACAGTGGATGGCTCGCCCTCTGCAGCCGCCGAGGAGACGCTCCTGATCACAGAGACCGGTGTCGAGATTCTTACCGCGCAAGGCGGTGCTAAAGTGCTCGACACGACCGAAGCGCGTGAGCGTTACCTACGCGAACGACACGCAGCCTCCACCCCCTCGGTAGACTTGTAGTCACGTGATCGATTCTCCGGCCACGGCCGACAAAGGCGGGCGTCGTGCCCGCTACGATTTGTGTCTCTCAACCACGTATTTTTGGATTGTGGGTATCCACGAGCTTGGCTGACCGCACAGAACCATGTCCGCTATTGCTCCGATTAAGGGTATGCTCCGCAAGCGCATTGTCGCCGACCTCTCCATCGCTCTGGGCGGTGGCACGTTCCTGGCCTACAGCTTCTGGTATGTTATCACACTCTTATCGGGCCCATACTAACGCACCACAGGTACGGCATTCACATCCCGCGCGTTCAGCAGCGTATGTACTGCTTATGATACATTCGACTAACTGGCACAGGTGACGCTTTCTACGCCAAGCTGAACGCTGGCAAGGAGGAGTAATTTTTCTATCGCCAAGGCTCTCTCTTTGTAGGATAGGACTACGGCTTTTATATTGAATCAAGGACTCCGCTCACCAGCATTCTTCTTGCCAGCGCTTTTCTGTCTCCAAGGTGGTCATGTACCGCTTGGCCTGATCTTCGTTCATGTGTCCGTGTGTGACAAACACATCGATCATCGCCTGCCGAACTTGCTCGGGCATTTTGCCTGACGTGCCACACAAGTAGGCGATGCCCCGCTGCTGATGCATCAGGTCCCAGATCTCTGCGCCGTGTTCACGAAGCACATCTTGGACGTACACTTTGTGGGGCTGGTCGCGACTCGCGGCCACGTACAACGTCAGGGGGGCAGGCGTCGCGGCATCGTCTTTGCGTGGCTGATCTTGCAATGTCAGTGTAGATAGGGAGGGTATCTCAGGGCTGTGGCCAGTGGCGAGCTGCTTCCATTCGTCGAAGAACAATCCGTCCTTGGCGGCATAGCGGCACCCAGCGATCACTGTCACGGCGCCGGACGCTTGCGCAGCGTATCGCTCCTGGACGAGCGAGCGTAGGGGTGAGATGCCTGTCCCTGGCCCGATCATAAGGATCGGCGTCGTGGGCTGGGCAGGAGCTAGGAGCGTCCCTGCTTGGATTCGCACAGGAACCTGGGCGCCAGGCTCCAGATGGGCGAGCCAGGTGCTAGCAATGCCTTGCCGCGGTTGCTGGATGCGCGTTTTGTACTGCACCACAGCCACGGCCAACTGAATCGAATCAGGGTACCACTGCGATGTGAGATAGAAGAATACGTACGGAAGGCCCACTTGCAATGCTGTATTGGCGTTCCCGCATCAGCGGAAAGACGTCCATGACATACGAAACGGGTATCTGTACGCTCTTGAACTCATGCAACACCTCGGCCATCGTACGCCGTACTCGCTGAGCATAGTCGTACATGTCATCGGTTCCGTCGCCCGGCTGCAAAAATTCGACCAGTCGGCGATGTTCCATGTGATCTGTAGGTGAAAAGTGCTGGAGCATGGCAAAGAAGGAGCGACGCGGCACGGAAAACGGGTCCAAGTGCCATGTAAGCAGACGACGTAGCGTCAATGAGCCGTGCTGTACTTCCTGTGCCAAGGCAGGTGGAAATGGTCGGTCTAGTGTGAGTATAGACGAAGGAAGCGTACATGGATCGCGATTGTGTAGGGCCAGGGCGGAATCAGCGTCCTTCAGCCAGCCAAGTCGGGCAAGAAGATGCTCGACTTTTTGTGGATCGTTGCCCGGCATAATACATGCCACATCCCCTGCTCGGTACGCAGGTCGTGGGACGTCAGGCGGGAGGGCAAACGTAAGAAGGCGCACATCTTGAAAGTGCGAGTCGTCTGTCATGCGAACATTCGCTTTGAGGGTCGTAGACACTGTGCCGGGCACCTTTGGTAGAGGCTCCGCAGGCGCAGTGGCCGATACTTGCACATCGACACGAGGCGGTAAGAGTGTGTCGCTCGGCAGTGGCGTACGTCCTGGCGGGTCGGCCAGATCGTTGGCCATTCGCTCAGCCAGCTGATCGAGCCACGGTAAGAGATCGCCATCGAGTCTATCAAGTAAGAACATGCCGTGACGTACCCTAGTTCGTGCTGCTCATCAGCCTCGCCAGCTTCGAGCCATTCAACCGCGCCCAGATCTTTCAGGCGTTGGTTGAGCATTCGTGCTGCCCAACAGAAACGCGTGTATGTCGAATCGCCGAGGCCAACGGTAGCAAAGGTCACGTCCGATAATATATCGCCCGGTAGTCCTTTACGTAGTAGAAAGCGCCAGAATGTGCGCGCAGAGGCAGGAAACTCACCATTGCCAGTCGTCGAGACGACAAACACGACACATGTCTCGTCGACAAGGGCTAGCTGCACAAGTTAGGAGAATGTAGTTACCTGCCTTATCATAGTCTGCCATGTTGCATACGCGCGCCGAAACATGGTATCGGTACGCGAGGTGTGCGATGCGCACGGCCAGGTCCTCTGCGTTGCCTGTTTCGGTCGCATACAGCACCGTAAGCGTGGGCGTGGTCTCCACCGCCTCAGCCATTATAAAAGCGCAGGAGCGACATGCCACACTCTCTTCTAAATCGGCCCTATTTCTATGTGGAGGTATCCTGGGTATGTGAGACAAACGGCGTAAAACTACGAGTCTATATGCCTCGCGTTTACTTGAGCATCTTACCGTCAGCCCACTCCTTGCCGTCAATCACAGCCTCCCACGCCAGCATGTCCTCGAAGAACTTCTTGTCCTCCTCCTTCTTGAGGTCAAGCGGGGTGACAGTGTAGCTGTCCAGATCCGGCGCAACGCTGAGCACAGGCTCGTAGTCCTTGCCGCGGCAAATGACCACACCCGAGATCAGGCTGTCGTTCGGCTTACCAAACACACCGGCCGTGCCCATGACGTACTTGCGGCTGGCCTCGAGACGGGTGAAGAAGCCACCAATCTGGTTGGCGCTCATGAAGATCTGCGTCAGCTCGTCGTTGTACTTGAAGTCGAAGCGCCACACGCTGTAGCCGTCCCAGTCGAAGTGCTCGTAGAACCACGGGAGAGCCTTCGAGCGAGTGTCCTCGTTCGAGTACACACGCTTCCACTCGTCGAGAATGAAGCTCGACTTGGGCAGATCATCCAGCGGGTTCTTCGCCTTCTCAGGCTTAGCATCCTGCAGGTCCGAGTTCGAAGGCTCCGCCGCCTTGGGCTTCTCCTTCTTGGGCTTCTCCTCCTTCTTCGGAGGGACGTACTTGGCCGTCTCCGTGGCAAACTCGCCCGAGTACACACCAGCCAACACCTTCTGGTTCACAATCGTCTGGTAGAAGCGCTTCACGTTGGGGAACTTGTCGCGGATTTCAGGACCAGCAAAGCGGATGAAAAGGTTACCCAGGGTCGAAGCCAGGGCCAAGTCAGCCGCGGTGAGGCGGTGGCCCACGGCGTAGGTCTGCACCACGAGGTGGGTCTCCAGCACACCAAGACCCTTCTCAATCTCGGCCCACGCACCCTGCTCGTACACCTTGTTGTAGGGCACCAAGTGGTTGAACATCTTGAAGAGCACCACAACGTTGTTGAAGATCTGGTCGTCGGCAAAGTTGATCCACTGGTCGACCAGGGCTGACGAGTGACGGTCCGAGCCCAGGAGCTTGGCATTGTCCGAGAGACCGGCCACTGACATGTAAGTATGGTTCATCCAGACACCGGATGGCAAGGACAAGGCTCAGAAATAAAATACCACTACGTGCTTCGGCGCACAACCCTCGACATGTATGATTAAGCCAGGGATAACTGAAAAATTGAACATCCTTGTACCTCGCCCCTGTCTTTCCGGTGGTAAGTATACGTACCATAACGCAGGATCGCGCGCGACTCGGTGAGGATGAGACCATCCGAGCCCTCAAACACGGGGACCTTACCCAGAGGGAATTTGGCCGTGAACTCAGGCTTGTGCGAGTCCACAACCGGCAGAGTCGGCTCGAAGTCGATCTGCAGGCCATTCACCTTCGCGGCCGCCAGGACACGCGTAACCTTAGCACCCTGAGGAGGGCCGTACAAAGTACCGATGCTAGCCATGGTATGTAAAATGTTGGTAGGGATGGAAAGCCCGAGAAAACTTGCTTTTCTCGTCCGTGCTTATGTGCCCATGCAGATGTGCCACGTGCCCGCCCACTCGAATGGCCGAGAGAGGTGATCGAACGAACGTACGGACGCGTAGGCGCCACGACGTTCGTCTGTCACCATGTCGCGTAGGTACGATTCACGTACGACGACATTTTCGCCGGAAGGGCGACTGTACCAGGTCGAATATGCCATGGAGGCCATCTCGCATGCGGGTACTGTGCTCGGTATCCTAGCCACCGACGGCGTCGTGCTCGCGGCTGAAAAAAAGGTGACGAGTAAGCTGCTGGAGCAGGACAAGAGCAGCGAAAAGATCTTCCAGCTCAGTGGCAATGTCCTTGCTGGCGTGGCCGGCATGACGGCCGATGCCAACTCTCTGGTGAACTACGCCCGCAATGCGGCACAGAAATACTTGCTTTCGTACGATGACGATATCCCTGTCGAGCAGCTTGTCCAGCGTCTCTGTGACTTGAAGCAGGGCTACACACAGTTCGGTGGTCTGCGTCCCTTCGGTGTATCGCTGCTGTACGCTGGCTACGATCCGCATCACTCGTTCCAGCTGTACCACTCCGATCCCTCCGGCAACTATTCGGGCTGGAAGGCGACGTGTGCCGGTATGAACAATGGCACAGCGACGAGTCTGTTAAAGCAAGACTACAAGGAAGATATGAATATCCAAGATGCTTTGGGCCTCGCTGCGCGTGTGCTTAGCAAGACCATGGACACCACGACGATGGAGAGTGACAAGCTGGAATTCGCTGTACTGAAATTGAATCCACGGACGCAAGAGCCACAGCCATATATTCTCTCGCCCAAGGACATTGATCAGGTGCTTCAGCGGCACGGTCTGGCCAAAGCGACTGATGCCACAGGGGGGGACGCCATGGCACTCGATGCATAGATGTCATATAGAAGCGAACTACGCGATGATGTGAGCTGCTATGGGCATTCGTCGGCAAGCATAAAGAACAAACAGGGAATCGGCCTACCGAGACCTTAGCGCCGCGGTGCGGGAGGCGCACGACCACGCCGAGCTTGGGCTATTTTGTGAGTGGCCCACAAAGAAAATCCACGTACCTCGCAAAATCGTATGCCGACCACGTACGCTGCCGATACCGCGGCCTTTCATGGCGTTGGGACCGACGCGCTTGAACATCGGCGCCTGCTGCAGCATATCAGGAACAACCATGAACCGAATCATATTTCCACGGATGTATACGCTGTCGAGATGTGTTTGCTTTCCGTCGCGAGCGGTGACGGCAATGTCCTTCATTGAGATGTTAAAGTTGTCCTCGGCTGTCGTGTAAGTCGTGCCGGCGTACATACCATCAAACAGACGGCCGCGGTACGTCGCGCCACCCTTCAGCTCAATCGTGATCGTGTGGCCTACCGCCTCATGCAGCAGCTTCACGGGAATGCCCACGGTGCCCATCTTCTTCGTGTCCAGCGAGCGAGCGAGCGATCGAGCGACGAAAGGCAGGGCAGCGTTTCCCTACCGTCGCCTGTCGTCATCACGTGACCACAAACGGTGCCTGGGGTGCGCGTCGTAAGCCTGCGTAAACACAGCGGACGGGCCGTGGAGGTTTGGGCGCGCGGCGCACGGGAGACGCGCCGGCGTGTTTCGAGGTTGCCCACACACGACGTGCGCTGTTTGTATTCGTTAGAACGCGTATTCCTATCGTCTTTACTTTGTGACTATGCCTAAGCAACCGACCCAGAAGGTGACGACTGGTGCTCGCCGCACCAAGTCCAAGAAGGACCCCGCTGCTCCTAAGCGTCCGCTGAGTGCGTACATGTTCTTCAGCCAGGACTGGCGTGAGCGTGTGAAGGCGGAGAACCCTGACGCTGGCTTCGGTATGTATCCAAGAAAAAAAATCTCATAATTCAGGTGATGTCGGCCGTCTTCTCGGTACCAAGTGGAAGGAGATGAGCGATGAGGAGAAGAAGGTACGTCGATGGTAGCTTACACCTCCGCAGCCGTACATTGAGATGGCCAACAAGGATAAAGAGCGTGCAGAGAAGGAGAAGGCTGAGTATGCGGTACGTATCTTGTTTTCTAATCCCAGCAAAACAAGGCCTAAGCCTTCGATTTACGACTCTGTATCCGCCAGAGCTTCCCATGCCACCTGCTCACGTCTGGGGCTGGGCCGATGGTATAGCGACTCTCGCGTTTGTGATTGTATTTTTTCCTCGCTATTTAATATAGAGATTGCATCGTACAAAGCTTCTTTCTCCCTCTACTTGGCTGTCATGCTGTTCAAGGCGTCCATGCACTTTTCGTACTGCGTGGTGAGCCAGCCTTCTCATACGTACCACCGTGAACACAATACCTCCACTCAGCATCAGACGCGCAAGACGGGGTGTAGCGCCGCGCCAGAAAGCGAGGATCCCTTCGTGGCGCAGGATCTTGACCATGCAGTCCAGCGTGTTTTTGTACTGCGTGCGTGCTTCCAACGTCTGCATGCGTGTCTTGACGACATCGAGAGGCATGGTGGCGTACACGGTCACAATACCTGCCACAGCACCGATGCCGAACGTAATGCCACTGGGCAGCGGCTGCCCAGGCCGCGACGAGCCTTGCACAAAGTTGCGCAGCGTCGAGTAGGTCCCGAAACGCACAGAGCTGTTGGCGCCCTGCCGCAGCATCACAGGCACGAGGCCACGGTAGATGCCTGTCAGACCCTCATCACGGATGATGGCCATCGATCCGGGAATCAGGCCGCGTGGGTACTTGGGCTGCACACGCTTGGCATCGTCAATGAGTTTCGTTCTGGCCTGTGAGTCGTAGATGAGTACATACTTGATGGTTTCCGAGGGCGTCACGGCAAAGATGGCCTCCATCATACCAGCGCCAAGGCCTGCCAAGAGACTCCGAGGCGCAGTGAGTTTGCCCTGGCGTGAGTCACATGCCACGTACATTCTCGTCCTTCAGCATCGACTTGAAGTGATCGTACGAAAGGAAACGCACACCGGCCTTGAGCGCATTGCCAGCTACCAGTGCGCCACATCCACTGTACAAGCCACGGATACCATGCTTGCTCACCGTCTCACGCGCAATCGTAATCGGGTTGGGTGGCTAGATCGGTGAGGGCCGGCCGTACATACCTTCTCGCCCGCCTTGGTGGAGAACTGCGCTACCGTCTTGGTATACTCAATCGGGTACGTCGCAAACCCTTCCACGGCACCAGCAAACGTGCCCGACACCAGTGAGAAAACAGGGTTCACACTCCTTGCTGCGCTGTTGTTGTCTTTGGCCGCCATGGAAGATCCGTGTCAACGAACGTGAAAGCCGGACGGACGACGGGTTTTCACCCTCCACATCTATAGATCTAGCGAGCACTATGACACGGCCGATCACTCCGCGGCGGCCGTGGAGACGCGCCGCGTAGCGACGGCGCGGCGCACCTGCTTTGCACGCTCGACCGTGTCTTGGGTGGACCGTGGCGGGCGGTTGGTCAGGGAGTCCAATGCGCGCCGCTCTGGGCGGTGTGTAATTAGCTGCCAGTACGCCGAACCTTGCGTGCCGCGCTTGAGCATACTGAGCTCCTGATCTTTCGCTGCGCTTTTTGTGAGTCACCATCATACATACAGAGCCAAGGAGAAGTGTTGCGTCTCTTTCTCTAACGTATCACGCTGCGCCTGCGTATGCTGCAACTCCATCTCACGTGCCGCGACATCACGTTCTAACGACCATATGCGTTGCTGCAGCGTATGCCGTTCGGCTTTCCACGTAGCTTCCCTCTCGTCTTGCTGTGCCTGCCATGCACGCTGCTGCTGGGTGTACTCGTCGTGCAGGGTTTCATAGTGTTGCGTCGCCTCTTCGAGTTTGGTTTCCCATTCCAATCGGCATGTATCCAACTGCACCTCAGCGCGCGTTCGTGCCTCGACCAAGGCCTGCCGCTCCCTCATCCATGCATCGTCGGACACAGTGGTCTTTTCAAGCGTGCCACGCACGGCTTCCAATTGCGTTTCCAAGTCCTTACATCGTGCCTGCCATGCCTCGCCTTCACTGGGTGCCGTCTGCGCTTCGGCCAACTGCACTTGCAAGGCGCGAATTTCTTCCGCGGCTTCCTGCCGAGCCATGAGCACACGCACTTCTGCATCTTGCTGACACGCCTCCCGGATCGATTGGATATCCACGTCCAGCGACGTGGATACTGGCGTCGCAAGACGTACTTCCAAGTCACGCCGCTCTATCGCCAGCTGCTGCTTCTCCCGCTCCAGCGTCTCGCGCTCAGCGTCCAGCGCTGCGCGAACATGGGCCAACGCAGCCGTACTTGACGTCTGCGCCGGCTCAATGAGCAGCGGGCCGTGCAGCGTAGCTAGACGCGCTTCCAACTGCTCGGTTAATGTGCGCAGCTCGGCATGCATAGTATCCGACTGCTCCATCTCCAACTGAGCCTTGCGCTTCAAAAACGTCTGCAAATGCTCTTCAAACACATGAATCTTGTCCTGCGCCTGCTGCAGAGCATCCCGTAACACTTGCGTGAGCCGATGTGATCGCGCAAGTCTGTGCTGCAAAAAGATGGTCCGTTCTGTATGGGTGCGATCCAAGGCTGCAATCATATCCATAAGCTCAGTAGCATCCACATCGCCCAGCGTCGACGTGGACAGAAGCTTGGACGACAGTTCTTCCATGGCAAAGGGGACCAAGGTACCGGTATCTTTGTCGTCTAGCTCATCCTTGTCGGTCATGTAGCTGTACTCGTACATTCCCGGCCAATGACTCGGGCTTTTCGGGCTGCGTGTTGTGGCTTGCGAGCCTGCATGGCTTTGCGGTGTGGCCCACGTCGTACCGCTGGATGCAAAGCTCGAGTCTGTGCGGCTCGGCGTTGCGCGAGGACGGGTCACTTGAGAGACAGGTGTGCTGGGGCCAGGCGCATTCTCCATGGCTGGCATACTTGCCTGCGAAGTCTCCTCTTCGTGTGGTATCTCTGGCGATGCAGTAGGCGGCTCTGCGTCGGGTGCCTCTGCCTCGTTTGGCTCCTCTGGATAGGACGGCGGTGGCGGTGGCGGTGGCGGTGACGACGACGACGACGAGGGTACAGGGCTGGACACCGACGTATCCGATGGCGTCGAAGGGGGCGGAGGACGTCGATCTGCTGCGCGGATGGTCGGCGAAGAGAGCAAAGGCGACGTCGACGCTGGATCCGGGCTCGTGTGCCACGCTCCTACATGCGCCGGCGGCGAGTCAGGGGGACTCGTACTCTCGTCGTCCAGCACAGAGGCATTCTTAGAGGGACGGAGCGTTGACGGCGCTCCCATCTCCTGGTCCAACGTCCGTGCTGGCGTGTACGGTGCAGAGGGTACACTAGGACTGTCATCCAGGCCAGCTAGTGCTTCATCGACTTCTCGACGTAGGAAACTCTCTGGGAAACTCATATCCATGGAATCACTCGATAATCCCAAGGATACATCCTGGGAATCGCTGTGTTCTGCGGCACTGCTTACCGAGGCCGTCAACAGACTTTCCTCGCCATCTTCGTACGTCCGCATTCCGAATCGTACACTACTTCCCGTGCCGGGCGTATGTGGCGACCGCAAGATCCCAACGTTCCGTGGGCGTGGTGTATACACCGCGCCAGCCTGCATGGTGGTCACACGTCAACCTTTCATGAATGTGGGCGTGCGATGATCCCACCCCTTGGAAGTGCCTTTTTTTCATGTGCACACGCTACACTACTACGATCTCTACGTTTCTCTAGTATACTACTCTACGATCCGCCGGGCGTTGTCGTCGACGGCCCATGCTGAGCGACGTAGCCCTCGCCTCGCTTCACGACACGCTCGACGCGTGGGGGGTTGGCATCACGTGCTGGCCATTTTTTTTTTGGACGGTCTGGGCGTGGCCGCCGCCACTTTTTCTTCGCTCGTGCCACGATTGTCCGTCTTTGCTTGGCACCCTCAGCATGTCACGCTTGATTGTCAAGGGGCTGCCAAGCTACCTCACGGATGCCAGGCTTCGTGAGCACTTTGCACAAAAGGGCACCGTGACCGATGTCAAGCTGATGCGCCGGCCGGATGGCACGTCACGTCGGTTTGGGTTTGTTGGGTTTCGTACCGAGGCGGAGGCGGAGGCGGCTCGGGCGTACTTTGATCGGACATACATCGATACTTCGCGTATGTCGGTGGCTCTTGCCAAGCAGATCAACGATGGCGACTTGCAAGCTCACAAGGAAGCTCGGAGGCAAGCCAGAGAGGGCCGAGCGCAGCCAGCCGAGTCGTCGGCGCCTGCCAAGCCGAAGAAAGGCACCGAGAAAAGCGCTTCGTTTGAAGAGTTCTTATCGGTCATGGCCCCCAAGTTGAAGCGCAAGTCGTGGCAGAACAACGAGGATTTGGAGCATGCGAACACAGCGTCTGCTCTCGACGACTCAGGTGCCCAGCCTGCGAAGAAGCGCAAGCAAAAGGCAGACGACAAGGCGCCTGCACCGGCGCCGCTCGTCGCTGCGACGGCGGATGGCGCTGCTGCTGACGAGGAGTTGAGTGATTTGGAGTACATGCGTCGGCGTATGCGTCACAAGGTGGCCGGTGAAGACAGTGCGCCGCCGCCGCCGACCTTTGAGCAGTCGGACTCGGAGGAGGCGGAGGACGAGCCTGCGTCCGACGATGAGATACCCGAAGCGGAGCGCCTTGCATCGGAGCGACGACGTGCGAAGCTGGAGGCGCAGCAGCGCCAGGACGAAGAGAACGTGGATACCATCATGGCGTCGGGCCGTTTGTTTGTACGCAATTTGCCGTTTAGTGCGACAGAGGACGATGTGGAGGCTGTATTCCGGCAGTACGGCCCCGTGGATCATGTACGTATATTTCCTTACGACAGGGCCGGCCTACAGGATGACTCGCAGTATAGGGACAACCGACATTTTGTATGCGGAGACAATACTGGGAAAAAAGATAGTAGATATTTCTGACTCATGGCCGGCCCTCCGTTTTGTATGACAGACGCTAACAACCAGGTTCATATTCCTCTAGATGCGTCGACCAAGGCGTCCAAAGGTCTGGCCTTTGTCAAGTTTCATGACCCGTCGCATGCCTTGGTCGCCTACCGTGCGCGAGACGGTGCGATTTTCCAAGGACGTCTCTTGCATGTGCTGCCAGCCGTGGACTTGGCGCCCAAACCTACGGCGGCCGCCTCGTTGAAGCAGAAACGCTTGGAGTCGAAGCGTGCCCAAGCTGGCAAAGACTTTAACTGGAGCATGCTGTACATGAATAGCGATGCGGTGGCTACGTCGATCTCCGATCGGCTAGGTGTATCGAAGGCGACGTTGTTGGGCGCCGAAGAGGATACGCAGGTTAGCCCCGCTGTGCGTTTGGCACTTGCGGAAACGCGCGTGATTCAGGAGACAAAGCAGTTCTTTGAAGACAATGGCATGCATCTTGAGGCGCTGGAGAATGTCAAGGCACGTACGGACGATACCATTCTTGTGAAGAACATTCCGTACGGCACAACAGGCGAAGAGATTCGGGCCTTGTTTGCCAAGTACGGCGACGTAGGCCGCGTCTTGATCCCGCCATCGAACACCATTGCAGTGGTGGAAATGCCTGTCGTCAACGAAGCACGCGCTGCGTTCCGTGGCCTGGCGTACAAGCGGTTCCGCGACGCCGTGTTGTACCTGGAAAAGGCGCCTGTAGGCTTCCTGCCGCGCCGCGATGGACGTGCGTCTACAGAGATTATTTCGGGCGTGCAAGGCAAAGTTGCGCCGGATTCCAGTCGAGGTTTGCTGGGCGTCGACGAGTCGTCGGCCACCCCTACGGCATCGGCAGCCGAGGCGACGCTGTACGTGAAGAACCTCAGCTTTGCTACGACGTCCGAGCGCTTGGCGGAGGCGTTTGGCGCTTTGGACGGTATGGTGTTTGCGCGCGTCCAAACCAAGGCGGATGCCAAGCACCCAGGCCAACGTCTCAGTATGGGCTACGGGTTTGTGGGCTTTGCTAGCGCCGCGCAAGCGCAGCAGGCCATGCAGGCGATGAACCACCATGTGTTGGACGGACATACTCTCTCTATTTCGTTCACGCGACGTGGCCATGATGCGGACGATGCGTCGCCGATTGCACGAGCGCCGACGGCCAAGATGCTGGTGAAGAATGTGCCGTTTGAGGCGACGAAGAAGGATCTTCGTGAGCTGTTCAGTGTGCATGGCCAGCTGAAGAGTGTACGTCTCCCGAAACAAGTGCATGGACGTACGCGTGGCTTTGCGTTTGTGGAGTTTGTGTCGCGACGCGAGGCGGAGAATGCCATGGCTGCTTTGCGGCACACGCATTTGCTCGGTCGTCACTTGGTCCTGGAATGGGCGGGTGATGCAGAAGGTACCGCTGGTGTGGAAGAATTGCGGGCCAAGACACGCAAGTCGTTTGTGAGCGAGGCGGATCGACATGCGGCTGTCGGCGAGCGTGCCAAGATCCGGCTAAGCACCGAGCAAATGTCCGAAGCCATTCAGCGAGGCAAGGCGGACGACGACGACGACGACGACGACGATGATGAATAATGTATGTACCATATGTAGTATACGATGTACGCTATGGCCGCTGTGCCTTTTCAATGCTGGGCTTCAGGGATGGGAAGGCGTCGCTCAGCGCGACGCCCAGCTGATCGCGGAAGGCTCGCATGGACTGGTACTGGCCCAGCGAGTACTGATTCTCACTGGCTAAGCGGTTTATAAATGTGCGCGTATAGCTATCCGGATTGCGACCGGCGTCCACGAGGCTGGGTAAGTGTATGACACGCATACGTACTCCATGACGTCTTTGGGAATCTGGGTATGTATATGACCTCGCATTGCATCTATTTGCGCGATGGCATGCACGACATGTTGTCTGTGGTAAGTCACACACCACATACACATTGTCTGCGACGCTTTGCGGCACATCATCACGTCCATCGGCTACACGCGCAGCAAGTTGGTAAAGTGCATCAATTACGCCGCGTGTGCGCTGCTCGAGATCGCGACGGACTCTCTCTTCCACAGGCATGGATGGCGTCCTACCGTCTGCCACCGGTGGCTCTGTTGTTGTCGCGGCGGCTGTGGCTGCCGCAGCAGGACTCCCACCCGGTGGCGAGGGCGATGCACTGGTCGGCGTCACAGGCGCCGCCTGCATCTCGTGCGCCATGGACGACGAAAGTGGAGTCGAACACTGGCACAGGGAGGGGCGGAGAGCTCATGCCACGTGGTCTACCTACGGCAACTACTACGGCCACTCTTCCTCGGAGTCGTCCATATCGCCATCGGCAATTTCGTTCGCCAGCTCACGCTCGCGCTCATGCGCTTCCGTCGCTGACGCAAGCTCTTCGCGATGGCTGTCCAGCGAGTATCGCATCGCCTAGCATGGTTAGTCTGTAGCGTACATACCTTCACGCTGTCGTTGTGCAGCTGCAAGCAAAAGTCAATACGCTGCTGCAGCTGTGCCTGCGGCTCGTTCGTCGCATAGATATCCACTGCCTCGTTCGAGACCATAGTAGCACTGTCATGCTCGACACGCGCATCGATGACGCCATCACGAATGGCCTTGGCAATGACGTACTCGGCATCTTCTTCCGACTCCAGATGGAGTTTGCGCGTGATATCCGCCAGCGAGATACGCGAGTAGGCCAGCGAAATGCGCCGAATGCCTGTCTTGATAACGTTATGACGCAGACGCAGAATCAGAGAGTATGTCTTATCACGCAGGAACAAGTCCTGGTGCTTGTGCAGCGTCGCCTGGAAGAGCGACAAGTCACCTACACGCACCGCCTGCACAATCGGCAGGTACGATGCCAGCGCCGCACGAAGCATCGGGATACGGAACACCGCGCGATCAGGCAAGTCACCCATGAGCAGCTCGACAATGATCAGCAGCTTGTACGCCGTCTGCAAAAAGCCGGCGGCCAAGGGCTTAGCAGGCGACGTGGAGGCCTTTTCGCTGTCCTGCTGCGTCGAAGACCGCGTCTCGAGCAGGCCTTGCTGCGGCGCACGCCGAATTGCTTGCTGCAGATGCGCATGTGCCTCGGAATAGTTGAGCTGCACAGCACGAATGCGGCCGACATAGTAATCGTAGCGAGCGACTTGCGGATTCGAGGCCTTCGTGCGGGGGAACGGAGCACGCGCGACCAGCTTGTCGGCCTGATCGTACAAGTTGCCTTCCACCATGTACATACGTAAAAGCAGGTTGAGGACAGTGGCGTTGGTCTCGGCATCATGACGCAACGACGATGTGCGTTGCAGGGCCAACAACGTATCGCGCAGCGCCGACAGCCCTTGCTCCTTGTTCAGTTCGTAGCACCGACCCAAGAAGAACACGAGCTTCGCACTGAGCAAGTCCAGGGAGCGTCGGTTCTGCTTCACTGTCTCATCCACCGCCTTGGCACACAGCTGCATAGCCTTCTCCCGTTGGCTCGGCTGATCGATCAAGTAGGCGACGACCAGCAGGCGGAGGTAGGCGACCAACTCTGGGAGGGCGTCCCATGCATCGTCGCTGGCATGTTTTGGCTTGGGCGTTGTTTTTGTCTCTTCATCCACGGCCATCTCCTGGTCACTTGACGTGGAAGGGGCGTCAGGCGCATAAGGCGCCGGCAGCCACGCCAGCAATTCTTTACGGGCCGACACTAAGTGTGAGGAGACATATATACATACCGGACTCAGGCAAGCCTTCGCTCACGATGCACGCAAGTACGTCCGCCTTCTCCTGGACCTGCCGACGCACATACGGCAGCGAGCGAAGCACACGCGCAGTGTACCGCTGCTCCACATGCGCCACACTACGCTTCAGGAGCGTAAGGTTATGACGAAGGAGCGTCAAGTACTGCATCTTGGGGTTTGGTGGGGCCGGCACATCAGGTTGCTTTTCTACCGGCTTATCGCCAGACGTCAGCGCCATGTCGTGAGAAGATTGGTCGTCGACGTCGTCGTAACAACCTGCGTGGGACTGCGACGCACGCCGCGCGTTCGCTCTGCTCGATCAGCCCCTTCGCGTGGCTCGGCTGACTAATCCCTACCGCCCACAGGACCGTGTCCCTACGCAGCATGAAAGGATGGGCATAAACTAGGAGAGTGTATCTATATCGTATTCATGTCGTGTCCGTTCATCTTCCTTAATGCCGGTGTTTGACCATGCAATTAAGGCATCCAATCGCTTCGCGAAGCACCATGTGCAACGCGGTGGTCGTGACAATATCGCGCAGCTCTTCGCGTGTAAATCCTTTGCCGTCCGGGCCGAGGCCACTGCAGCTCAAGTCGGGCATGGGCGATGGGAGAAGCAGCTCGCTAACAACGAGAGGGTGGTTTGGCGCTGGCAACATACGGCCAAGCGGTACACGTGTGTCGCCATCCAGCACTAGGTAGCACGTCCATAGCGCCTCGCTAGGATCCTTCGACTCCGTACGTGGGTATTGACTGACGTACTGGAATTGCGTCAGGGTGGTAGAGCCCTTCCCAGGCTCATGGTCGGCAGCATGCACATCCAATGCAGGATCAGTGATACCAGTGTTCGCATCATGCGGGCGAAGCAATGGCGAGCCTGCCGCAGACGAGGGCGACGCGTGGTGCATGTACTGAAAGGGGTCGTACACGTTCTGTGTATTGTCCAAACCACCGTTCCATTCACGAACCCACTCTACCCATACGACAATGTGCTTCGCTGGCGGAGGTGCGACAGCCTTCCCACTTCGTCCTTTCGGGTTGAACTGTACCCAGATCCGCTCCAAAATCGCACGGGAGGCCAGTTCTACGAGGGTATGGGAATCGGCATTCACATCTCGAATGATCTTGCGAAGCATCTGCTCGTACATGGCTTCGTTGCGGTGCTTGTGTGAGCGGTTCAAATGCTTGATTTCCCACACGTAGGACGTTGTAACTTTGCTGTGACTCACGCCGCCACAGGGTATCGCTTGAGGGATCGGGCTTCGCGGCATTGTCATCGATGGCGGGCGTACAGTCATTGATGCCTCGTTTTCTTCGGGCAAGGATTCCGGATACGCTGTCGACACATTGCTTCGTACCGATCCAGAGCGATGGAGACTAGCGCTGGAGGGGCCGAGCCGTGTAGGACTTGGATGTTTAGCACGCAATTGCGTACCAATATGTTTCATCTTGGTCAGCAAACGAGGCCCGCCTCGGTGCGAAGTAGCATCGTCCTCGTGCCACTCATGTCCATGACTATCCGAGTCATGCTCAACGTCGGAATCGTGCATCGGCAACGGCGCCGCGTTGGATTCCGGGGAGTGGGAAGTATGTATCGAGATATCATGTGGCTCAAGTAATCCAAAGTCCACAAGTTCAATCCCTTTCTTGGTAAATTTTGCCACATGCTGATCCGTGCCAGCGTCCAGGACCTGTGTCGAGCGAATGTGATGATAATCGAGGTTGTAGAGGGCAATGGTTCGTCGTCCATAGGCGGACGAGGAAGAGGACGATTCCGATGCTGAGGAATGGACACTTTGCTGAGAGGAGAAGGAGGAAGCCCGTTTTCGACGATGGTGAAGCTCTGCATCTTCAGCATCGCTATTGTGCGATGATTCAGAGTCTGTCTTGGGCCGCTTGTTGTGCACCAACTGCACCTGCAAGTTGTATGGATGGTGCTGTTGCTTCTTCGGGTTCGGATGCACAATCACTAGTACCTCTGGAACAGCGCGGTGGACAGGTGCTCCTTTCGTTTCATCCGTGGTTGGTTGATCCACTGTCACAACCGGCGCGTCCTTTGTGTCCCGCAATGTCATAGACGATTGGGGTGATACAACATGCGCAGAGCTATCCAATATGGAGGATTTGCGCGAGCCCGCACCATCATCAAAATCAATGGTACCGGGCATTTTTGTGCTCGGCTCATGCGCAGCTAGAGACTGCATAAATTCCCGCCGAAGTTCTCGCCAAGGTGCCATCGTACTGTACCTAGAGTGGCTGACAATAGAAATGGATGTGAACACTGTACTTGTGTCAAGAGTCTTGTGTACTCACGGCCACCAAATCGAGGTATGGTCACACACGAAAAAAGTGGCAAACACACGAAACTCTGAACTAGGGGAAGGCTCAAGTGAGAGTCACGATCTCGTGGCGTCTTTTTGTGCTATGTGGCCTATCTCCGCTGCTCCACATGCGCGGACGTCCGTGAAGAACGGATGGCCCATTTATGCGTGCAACTCGGATTCGCTGGAACTCCACGGAAGGAACCCCCCATTAAGCGCCAAGAAACACTACAGAGGATTTTAAATTTTTAGCGTTCCTTGGGAAATGAAAGGCCAGCCACACCAATCCCCTTGGGCCCAAAACGCTATTTTGGTTAGTCATGCACAATGAAATAATTTCTGGCCCATACCTTCGAATAACAAGCACGACACCACGTATTTGCGTAACCGAGGTCCACCAACCCCGTGGGACCTTCTTCTACCTTATTGGGATCCAGCGACGCGTGACATCCGTCACAGCGTAGACATCCACGGTGCCATTTACGACCCGCCGCTTGCTTTTGTTCAGCAAAGTCTGCCAACTTGTCAGCTCGACTATACGTACACACAGGGGTATGACACCGCGCACATAACGGTGTCGATTGCAGCATTTGAGGGGCTTGGGTATGTAGTGTTTGTTTGGGCGACAAACGTGATAAGTCCGTATACGAACTAGATGCTGATCCTAGACTGTGAGAACTCTTCTCCGAGGAAAAAGAGACATTTTCTTTGCTGGTCGATGATGGAACCGAGGGCAAAGGACGGCGTTGTCCCGGTGAAGAGGTGGATGTAGAAGATGCGATTTTAGGAGCCGAGATTGAAGATGAAACCGTGTGTATAGATCGTGAGGTCGGCGTCGATGAAGAAACAGACCGTTTCGGGAGCGGCATTGTTGCTTGATCAATGCTTGGACGAAGTGGCACAGCTCGTCCAAACTGATCTTTTCCTTGGCCAAGGTATGTACGGTGGCAATTGTTGCAAAATGGCTCGCCATTGTGTTCTAGCAGTGACATGCTGTCCAACCGCCGATTGCATACCGTGCATTTTAAGCAGTGCTTATGGTACATCTTAGACTGAGGTCCTATGACCTGTTCTGCAGCATATACACGGTCCTGACATCGCGGACATCTAGGTGCAGCACCAAAGGTTGGCGGCATACCCCTCGTTGTTGTCGCACTCGAGCACAGCTAACGTCGCGTGCCGTGGCGGTACATGCAGCCGTACTACGACGTGCTGTGTTCCAGGGATTTGCATTGGGCCTACTAGGTCCTATTAGATCGACCCTCACGTGCACATGGAAATTGGCCCATGCGGCCCCGGGGCCCATCGTACGTAGTACCGCTCCCAACCACGTGAAGCCCCGCGTCTGCGTCCTGTGCGCTCGGAAGACCTTCGTCTATTGACATATGCAGCCAGTCTTAGAGAATCAGGTACCTGCAGCCGTATCTCGAGGACGCACTGTGACGTTCTCTGCAGAGAAGGGACACCGTTCTTCCCAGGAAGCTACGTCCCGCTCCTTCCATGAAATTATGGGTGAAGAGCCGTCGAACGAACGTCGCCTTGCCCCCATTGCAACAGCAGAGTCCATTCGTGCATGGGTGCACACGGCAATTTTTGAGCCTAGTCCGGAACGCCCATACAAGATTAACTACCCTCCAGCGGACCGTCCTGTCCGAATCTATGCAGATGGTGTCTATGATCTCTTCCATTATGCGTACGTACCTTCTTTATTTACTTACATGTCTAGCCATGCTCTACAACTTCGTCAAGCCAAATTGTCTTTCCCGTCTGTACATTTAATTGTGGGTGTCGTATCGTCCGAGCTGTGTGCTACACATAAGAACCGCCCTATGCTGGATTCTTGCGAACGTTACGAGGCTGTGCGGAACTGTCGCTGGGTCGACGAAGTTCTCGAGGATGCTCCATGGGTCATCAACCAGGAGCTGATAGACAGACTTGAAATCGATTATGTGGCGCACGATGAGCTACCCTATGCTATGGCCGCGGGTGGAGAAGCCAGCGCGGATGTGTACGACTGGCTTAAGAAGGCTGGCAAGTTCCTGCCTACACGTCGTACAGAAGGCGTGAGCACTAGCGATCTTGTCGCTCGCATTGTGACTATGTATCGGGAAGGCGAGCTGGATGGTAAGCTAGTCAAGATTGGCGAAGCGAATCTCGCATCTACAGCGCACTAATAGAAATGCATGCGCACGCTGGCGCTACGAAATTACACACGCTCTCAACAGCGTGTATGTTATATGTACTGTTCCAGATAACATTCCCTCTTCTATTCCTTTCCATACCTATATACGCACGTCTGACACCATGACAGAGCTGTCGATGTAGAGGTGCCTGACATATCCGAGCGTTCTGGCAGGACTCAGTGGCTCACGTGACTCCACGTGGGCTGGCCGGGCGCCGTTTCATCGGCGGCCCACAGAGCGCTATACTCACCCACGTACGAGACCATGACGACTATTCCAGCTCGCCTGGCCAAGGCTGCGCAGGTGTCTACGTCTCTAGCACATGCTCAGAGCCGCGCTCGCTCTCTATACCGCAACTTTTACCGCTCGGTACGTATTTGAATCGGAGGGCATGATTACTTATACCTCCGTTAGGTCCCCGAAATCTGCGCCTTGTACCCTATTGATGTGCCCCCGGCGCTAATGCGGGCCAAGATCCGCTCGATGTTTGAGCGCTACCGCGACGTGAAGGATGTCGCTGTGCTCGACGTGCTCTTGCTGAAGGGCTACCAGGAGTACCAGGAGACTATGAACGCCTGGAAGCAGACGCCTCATGTGATGCGTTTGTTCGCAGAGGAGGAGGCGCCGGGTATGTACAATGTACGCTAACCATGACAGCCACACCCAAGACTTTCTTGGAAAAGTTCTACGCTACGCGTGACCAGGGCCGCGGCCCGACCCACGAGGGACTGTAGAGTCTTAGTACTGAAATCCATACTTTTTGCTGGAGATACTATTACAAGAGTCAATGCACTCCGCTGGACTTTACAAGAAGTACTGCGATGCTGTATTATTTCGTGTAGGGTGCATCCTTTCTTGATCAGGCACTGCATCGAAGATTTTGAAGTGAGTTGAGTTGAAGCGCGAGCCTTGCTGCTGCTCATCCGAACTGTCGGTTTTCTTGTTATCGACTTCGAGCAGATCGTCGACTTGGAACACAGAGGCCACATTGCCACATCGATAACAGTAGTTCGGGGCTGACCATACAGTCACAATGTTGTTATCATGCATAAGTTTGAATCCTTCCTGTACAAGTTGGTGGGCACGAGCAATAAGCTCCAATCCATTCAAGTGATTGAATTCTTTTGTGACCATACGGCCAAAGAGCCAGCCAGCACCACGAGGGCTAACGCTCCATGTCTCAATCTCTTCCGGATCGGACCACATCAAGTCGCAGAAGGGACCTTCATGCGGGACTTCCTGTAGTCGCATAATCGTACGAATCTGGTCCAGGGAGCGCAGTTCTGGGCTCAGGCCACCGTGCACACAGAGAACACGGCCATCAATGATGGCGGCGATATTCAAATAGTCAAACACCTGGCAGCAACTCTTCCATACGCTCGCGCTGCCGTACTTCTGCATGCATTCATCGTAGAAGCCATATACCTGCGTAATTTGACGACTTTCATGGTTACCACGCAGTAAAGTAATACGGTGCGGATATCTAGCTTTTAGAGCCATAAGCAGAGAGAGGGTCTCTAAGCTGAAGAACCCGCGATCCACAAAATCACCCTGTCATTGTGAGTCACGAGGGAATGCACGTACCATAAAAACATAGCTCGTGTCAGGCAAGTCGCCACCGACACGGAAGAGCTCAAGAAGGTCCCAAAATTGACCGTGGATGTCACCACATACCGTTACAGGGCTCGACACCGGCTGAATGTTGCTTTCTTCCAGCATAATTTGCCGAACCTGCTCGCATAGAAGCAACATGTCTTCCTCGGGGAGATATTTGCATTCGCGCAGCTGCGCAATCCAAGTGTCTGGATTCCCTACAGCCATACTTGCGTGTGCCCTATTCGTAGATCGAAAGAGACGCTTCTCAACAGGAAAGCCAGCCTAGCTTCGAAACGAGAAGGGCGATGCTATCAGACCTAGGGCCGGCCAATGGAGGTGGTCTACTTTCGTGCATATTTCCCAACCGCTCAACCCCGACACGTGAGATCGAATGTCAAGGACGCAGGACGTCTTTCCCCTACGCATCGCTATAGTCTGAGGTGATAGATCGTAGATATGCAGATGCTGACACCCTCTGTAGATAGCCCACATGCTTGGCCTGCAGTGTGGGTGTACTCGCCTTCCAACCTCTTGTGCTGGGGATCTAGCGCATCGCTCCTAGCGCCTGGGCCACAGCAGTCAAGTGGAGGCCATTTGCACGCACGCTCTTCGGCCGTCCATCACCTTACAGCCTCTCTTGGTGTGGCAGGCGAGCATCATGTGGTCGACGCTGCGGGTTTTTAAAGCAGCTGCTAACGATCCCCGTCCACCGGAAGAAGAGTCCTCTACGCCAGTGTCACGAACACAGCGTATGCAGCGCCTTCGTACGCAGGGCAAAGGTGCGCCTATTGACAATACCAAGAAACTCAAAGAGTTTGCCAAGTCTTTGGACCAATGGTCTGAAGCGCGTACCAATAAGTCTGTGTTGGAGAGCTGGATGTGTACGTCATTAACCAACTAACATGAAGCCATCACGCCACGTGTCCGTATTGTAATGGGTCTGGCTGCAGTTGGTACGTTCTTCTAACGCGATATTTGACGCTAGGGTTTTCGCTGGCCGGTCTGTACGTGGCTGACTGGCTCGAAGACAAATATCCCGACCGCAAACGCCAAACTACCTCTGGCGCAGGGACGTCGGCAGGCACTCCCTCGCTCCAAAGTAGCTCTACCTCGCACGATGAGCACGCGCCACGGTTCTTCTCGATTAGTGTGGTAGACCGTAAGTAAATAGCTATGGCTCTACCTCTTTCGATGCCATCTAGCCAACGCCCCACGTCGCATGAAAAGGTCTGTGCGCTGGCGCTGCATGCGAGGGCGGTAGGTCTCGGCGGCCATATCGGGTCATTTGGGGAATTAAATTAGGCGGACGCCGCCAGCCAGCCAGTGCCCGCTGTCGGGCGCCCCAAACTCTGCCTTCATTCCACGACGACTTTGCTTGGTACAACATGCTGGGCTCTATTCTCTCTCGTCGCTCTGCGGTGCCTATGCGCGCCATGCAGCCTATGAGCCTGCCGCGCGTGGTGCCTGCTATGGCTCGTGGTATGGCCTCGAGCTCTGATCCGTACGATGTGGTGATCATTGGTGGCGGCCCTGGTGGTTACGTGGCTGCTATTAAGGCTGGCCAGCTCGGTCTGCGCACAGCATGTATCGAGAAGCGTGGCAGCCTCGGTGGTACTTGCTTGAATGTGGGCTGTATTCCGTCGAAGTCGCTGCTCAACAACTCGCACATCTACCACGACACGCTGCACAGTTTCAAGAAGCGTGGTATTGATGTGAGCGGCGTGGAACTGAACCTGCCCAACATGCTTAAGGCCAAGGAGAAGTCTGTCACCTCCCTGACCAAGGGTATTGAGGGTCTGTTCAAGAAGAACAAGGTGGACTATATCAAGGGTATGGCCAGCTTTGCGTCGCCTACCCAGCTGGACGTGGAGCTGCTCGACGGTAACAAGACGCAGGTCGAAGCAAAGAACATTATTATCGCGACTGGCAGTGAGGTGGTGCCTTTCCCTGGTGTGGAGATTGATGAGAAGCAGATTGTCAGCTCCACGGGCGCGCTTTCGCTGGAGAAGGTCCCGGAGAAGATGGTCGTGATCGGTGGTGGTGTGATCGGTCTTGAACTGGGCAGCGTGTGGCACCGCCTGGGTGCGGAAGTGTCTGTGGTGGAGTTCCAGGACGCCATTGGTGGCCCGGGTGTCGACGGTGAGGTCGGCAAGCAGTTCAAGAAGACGCTCGAGAAGCAAGGTCTCAAATTCTATCTGGGCACCAAGGTGTCGACCGTGGAGAAGAACGGTGACAAGGTCACTGTCAAGGCGGAGTCCAAGAGCGATGGCAAGGCTGTCGACTTTGAGGCGGATGTGGTGCTTCTTTCGATCGGTCGTCGTCCGGTCACTGAGGGCCTGAACCTGGAGGCCGTGGGTGTTGAGGTCGACAAGAAGGGTCGTGTCGTGGTGGACGACGAGTACAACACGTCGTGCAAGGGTGTCAAGTGCATTGGTGACGCCACCTTTGGTCCTATGCTCGCGCACAAGGCCGAGGAGGAGGGCATTGCGGCCGTGGAGCTGATTAAGAAAGGGTTTGGCCACGTGAACTACGATGTGATTCCTTCGGTGGTGTACACCTATCCGGAGGTCGCTTGGGTCGGTAAGACCGAGGAGGCGCTCAAGGAAGAGGGCGTCGAGTACAAGATTGGCAAGTTCCCCTTCCTTGCCAACTCGCGTGCGAAGACCAACGATGAGACGGAGGGCTTTGTGAAGTTTATCGTGGAGAAGGAGACGGACCGTGTGCTGGGTGTACACATTATTGGCCCGAACGCCGGTGAGATGATTGCGTCGGCGTGCTTGGCGATGGAGTACTCGGCCAGTGCCGAGGACATTGCTCGCACGTGCCATGCTCACCCGACGCTCTCGGAGGCGTTCAAGGAGGGTGCTATGGCCGCCTACGACAAGCCGATCCACTTCTAACGGCAAGTAGTATGTCTAGTTCGTACGTCCTTATGTTCGTGAATAGTGCGCTGAAATGGCCTGACGACGCCCGATGGCCCGATCTGCGTGAGACATGCGCGGTCCCTAGTGGGCAAGGCCCCCACAAACGATTAGATTACGACAGGGCCTGCGCTGCGCTGCTTGCCGAGTCATGGCAGAACGATGGTGGATCGGGATCTGCTTTACTGTATGCAGCAATGTCCTTATATCACTTGCGCTCAATTGCCAGAAGCTAGCGCACAAGCGCTTAGACGAGTCGTACACGCCGACGAGAGGGCGTGAACGCGGGGGGGAGGAACATATCCCTCTCCTCTCTACCGAGACTCGCCCTTCGTACTTACGCAGTCAACTATGGTGGCTCGGATTTGGGCTTATGAGCCTGGGCGAGACTGGCAACTTTTTGTGTACGTATTCTTGCTACTTATACGCAGCCTACGGCTTTGCGCCTGCCTCGCTCGTTTCTCCGTTGGGCGCTGTCTCACTGCTCTCCAATGTGATCATCGCGCCGGCACTTCTTCATGAGCCCATGACACACTCTGACTTGCTTGGCATTGCGCTCGCCATCCTTGGCGCTGTGGCTGTGGTCAGCAGCATCGGTCCCTCTGGCAGTGAGCCGATGGATCCGCCCGCGCTCTGGTCGGCGTTAGCGTGTCCCACGTTTGTGGTCTATGCGCTCTTGATGCTTGCGTTGGGCATTGGTCTTATGATGGCCTGCCACACGTCGATCGGACGTCGCTCGATTCTCGTGCATGTGGGCGTGTGTGGCGTATTTGGCGGGTTCACTGTCCTTGCGACGAAGGGCGTCTCGTCGTTTGTCGTGCATGCCCACGATGCTCGGATTCTACACGAGCCGCTATTCTATGTCTTGCTGGCCGTCCTTGTGTCTACGGCTCTTTTACAACTCGCGTACTTAAATGGCGCGCTGCAGCGCTTTGATTCGCGTCATGTCATACCAACGCAATTTGTCCTTTTTACGGTCTCCACGATTGTTGGCTCCTCAATTTTGTACCACGACTTTGCCAAGCTGCGATGGCCCGCCATTACCGGCTTTTCATTAGGATGCACATGCACGTTTATCGGCGTGTTTGTGCTTACCTGGGACTTTGGTTCTCGGCCTACGGAAAGTCCCGTCCCTACAACGCCTCACATTGTTGTAGAGGAGCCCAGCACGTCTCCATCGCCAGCGCAGTTGGGCGAGCCGATGCCTGTGCCTGAGATTCCACGGCGTCGTTCCATGGCCGATCTCATGGAACGATCACGCTCTTCGCTCGTCGACGTAGCCCATGTGCTTGTCGGCACGTCGGCACGCTCGATCACGGAGCCGGCGCAGCCCACCAAACCGACTCATCGTCGCACTCGCTCTCGTCCAGACTTACATCCTCACGTTCTCAACGAGGCTTTGGGCTATACACGCGATTCGGATGTCCTGCACGATGCGCAGCCGACGTTCCTTGGTCTTAGCCCTGGCCGCAATCTGCTCATTCGTCGGAAAGATTTAGCCAACTGATGCTACTTCCCTTCTTACCTACATAGTGATACCCTTTCTGTTTTGTTCACGTACTGAATCGTTGCTCTTGCTGGCCACGCTGAAGGACTTGCGCTTGAGCCCCACTAAATCGCTCACTTTCACTTCGGCGACTGACCGTATCGCGTCCGCCAGCGCCTTGGCCCAGCAATTGACTCCGTGGCGGCTGACGACGTACCGGCCGTGTATGCCATGCCGAGTACGAGATGGTATATGCCTCGCTAGGATCCTGCCGACTCGGCGGTGTACGTGGACGCAACACTTCGCATTCGTCGGAATGCGGGAGCAAATTGGCTCGCGCATGCAACGGACACCCTGGTGGATCCAACGCAAAGTAGCGCAAGTAACTCGCAGGATGGAACGGTATCGCGGCAAGCCTCTCTGGTGCATCCCATCCTGGAGCCTGTGGCCCGACTTCTTGGCCGATGGTCAGCCATCCTGGCCGGATATTGCGGTTCGTGCCGAAGAGTTCCAGACGCCGTGTGCCTAAGCAGAAATTTTCAATGAGAGAGTACATTTCGGGCGGCTTGGGAATGGGCGAGATGGGACCGCCGGCGTGTGTTGCCTCGCCTGGCCATAACAGCACGTCTGTATCGACATTGCAGTGCACGAAGAACGAGTCGGTACTGCGTACGACAGTCCCGCGTATGCCCATCAAACAATGTTGCACACTGGGAGCAAGCAGCGACGAAGGCGGTTGTACACGGTTCGTTTGATCGGTTGTTTGGACCCATACAATGTCCTCACAGCGTCGGTATCCCCATTGTGCCAGCACTTCCCGGCCTCGTTCCAAGCCATCACTCGCGCCACTGCCGACCCACAAGAACACGAAACTATCACGCGAGGCGATGCGCGGGATCGGAAGGCGTGCAATGTCGTCCCACGACCAGCAAGCAGAGGCATCCTGGGGCGCATCCCACGCATACGATGTCAACGGCGGATCGAGCACAATCACATCGTATTGCAGGGCTTCCAAAACGCCCAGAGACGGCGTAGGCTGTGTCAGCCATGAGCGAAGGTCCATCGGGAAATAGGTGGGTGGAATGGCAGTATACCGCACCAAGTCCGCCTTGAGTTCTAAGAGACGTCGTAGTTTTGGGTGTCTGCGTCAGCGTAGCAGAGTACCTACTCTATAAAGCGGGTCTCCCGCGTAACATTTTGAATCCACGCACCAGGCACGGTCGTGAGACCTGTATCGACAAAGTGCATGGAGTAGTCATTCCGAATCGTTTGGTCATCGGGATACTGTGGTGAGCGGACGACAGGACTTACAAAGTTGGGTCCTAGGATGGCCTGCGTGGGCGACCGGAATGTCGAGGTACGTTCACGATCCACGTAGCCCCAGCGCGCATGTGCTCGCGCTTTTATGGTGGATGCAGCTTGTGGTATATCCTTCTTGACCCCCTCGAGCATGGCTGCATGCCGTGCACGAACATCGGCACGGTACGCGGCGCGATCTTTCATGCCATGTACTTCTAATGTCGCCCACGAAATGTGGAGTGAGATCGGCGAGGCGGTCGCAGCTCCGAGATGGCCTCCACAATGTCAAGCCCGTCCGGCGGTGGCAAGGTGTCCCCACGCACTTTCGGTCGAGAGCCCAAAGGTGTATAAATTATCCTATACGTATGTACGATAAAAATTAGTCGCTCTTCTTGTCCGAGACGTTGGACTGAGCCTTAGCCAGCTCGTCCGAAAGACGGTTGTACTCCGTCTGCTGCTGCTGCATCTGCTTCTTCATCGTCTCAATCTCTGTCTGGTACTTCTTCACGTCGCCCGAGACCGCCTTGGTGGGGCTGTTCGCAACGAGCTCTTCTTGCGTGTTGATCAGGTCCAGCACAAGCGAGTGCGTGCGCGCAAGGATCAAGCTAAGGAACAGCGTAAAGCCTGTAAGATACACGTTGCGCTGCGCATAGAACTTCTTGGCATGGTAGTTGGTCTCCGTGCGGAAGTCCTGGAAACCTTCCCGACCCTCAGCGACCTTAAACTCTTGCGAGACCTTCATCATGCGCTGGAACGCATCGATGAACAGCACAGCGACGAAAATAAAGGTGATACGGATGCAGTAATTAATCTGGCCAACAATCTCACTGGTGGCAAGGAAACGGAACAGCTTACGACGCGCCGAGAAAGGCAGAGGCACCTACTATGTTAGTCTTCCCGTGTACGTACAATCAAGAGCATGAACATGGCCATCTCCAGGATCAGGAGGGCAAACACAATCGAATAGTACAGCGTCATGGTGAATGTAGGAAAGAAAGGAGCTAGCCTCCTTGCCGCCGCCCGCCTTCAAGAGCGGCTTTTTTGCGACGCCCCCGCGTGGCCGCCCCCACCGCCGCCCGCCCGCCAGCCAGCGGGCAAACGGCGGTTTTGGGCAGGTGGCATCACGTGATGCGCACGGTGCACCACGGCCGAGGTGTGTGCCCCTAGCCCCGCGGCGACGTGCGGCGCGCACGGGGGGCAGCGGACCCTATAGGCGCGCCAAGCGAAGCGGCGCTGGCCCAAACGGAGTGGCACAGAGTACGTCACACCGATCTGTTTGCTCACCATGTCCCAGCGTCCTCCCATGTCTGCCCGTCCTGCTAGTAGGACTTTGCTTAACCTAGGCAATCTCCCGCCGAAACATGATCACTTTAAGGGCGATTCGAACTATCCTCGCACTGCCTCGCGTGTCGATCCCAACAACCCACCGTGGCCGGCGTACCGTGGCTATCACGAATACTCGTTTGCGCATGAGACCATGGGCAAGCGTCTCCCGACCATTCTTGGCAAGGCTATTGATGATGTGTACAAGACGCTCAACGAGCAGTGGGATGAGGAGCGGATTGTGGATCTTCTGCAGTGCATTGAGCGTATGCAAGGTCTCAAAGAGGAGCTGCAGACCAACCAGAAGCTTCGCCCAATCAAGGACGATGGCGAGGGCGATGTGCCGCTGTGGAACAAGGCCATTGCCAAGTACTTCCGCGACAAGGACTTTATGAATGCGCCATGGCTGTTCGCCGAGGCGTACAAGTACCGCCGTCTGCATGAGTGCTTCTCCATTTCGCGCTACTGGGAGAAGTACGATGTATTTTTCCGGCAGAAGTGCGATACGTTCGGTCGTTCTGGTGCGGCCGTGTTTGAGCTATCGACGCGCTTTGCCGTACCGCCCACGGTGCCTGAGGGCATCTCGGCGGAGGAGCGTGAGTGTATGCGTCAGCTGCTTTTCCTGGAGCTTACGCAAATCTCGCTGTGGGGCAATGCCACGGACTTGTCGCTGCTCATTAACATGACAGAGGAGGATATTAAGAAAATTCAGTCGACAGGTGGCGAGCATCTGGCTGCGACAGAGAAGAACATTCTCGGTAACCACTTGATGCGCTTGTGGGAGCTGGTTAGCAAGATCCAGAATGGCCGCATTGATTTCGTCCTGGACAATGCCGGTTTCGAGCTGTACTGTGACTGTGTGTATGCTGACTGGCTTGTCCAGGCAGGCATTGCGCGGGAAGTGCACTTCCATGGTAAGCGGATCCCGTGGTTTGTCTCCGACGTGACACGCAAGGATTGGAGCTGGCTGCTGAATACCATGACTTATGGCGCCCTCTTCGCTGATGCGGATCCTGCGGAGATTGAGTCGTTGCGTACGATGGGCCGTCGTTGGAAGCAGTACGAGAAGGAGGGCAAGTGGATTTACGAGCAGCACCCCTTCTGGTGCTCAGGCTACACATTCTGGGAGATCTCGACAGAGGCGCCGGATCTGTTCCAGTGCCTGTGCGAGAGCAACCTGGTGATTTTCAAGGGCGACTTGAACCACCGCAAGCTGACGTACGACTGCCAGGCCCCGACATCGACGCCCTTCGATGTGGCGATTGGCCCGCTGGCTAGTGAAGAAGGCGCGCCGCCTGTTGCCTCGCTGCGTACGATCAAGTCGGATGTCGTGGTTGACGTGCCTCTGGACGTCTCGCAAAAGCTCGACGAAGAGGAGCTGGGCTGGCGCATCTCCGGCAAGTACGCTGTGGTGCTGCTGAGCGATGGCCAGGCGGGCAAGGCGGCGAAGAGCACTGCCTAGTATAGGTACATATATATTCGCTACGTAGACAGTTTTTTTTGTTCTACAACTAGGCGACCTGCAACGGGTCGGCGTCGGTGTCAGAGACCACGACGTCGAACCCACCATGGATCAAGGCCGACTGCAAGACGTCGCGCAAGTACTGGCGCTCGGTGTTGGTGTGGTTCGCGAGGATCACAGACACGCCACGCGCATTGGCTGCGAGAATTTCGTGGTGGCCCATTTCGCCGGTGACCCACACATCGACGTTCGTCTGCGAGCGCAGCACCGAGCCACCGGAGCCTGCACACACGGCGATGGTCGACACGTTGGTATCGCCACGCACATTCGCTGCGGGAGCGACTTGCACATGCGGAATACGCAAGAGTGCCTTGACACGGGCAATAAGGGTCGTCCACGTACATGGCATCGGCAACGACGCCACGCGACCTACACCAAACTCAGGGTCGTCTTCGTTCGGCTCGACAATGGTGTAGCGCGCGGACTGCACGGCCTTGTACAGCTCGTCATCGGCTGGCGCCTCCTTCTCCCATGCATGCGAGAGGCCAGCAATAAGCCAGTCGTTGATGCCCTGTCGGCACGCGTCAATGGTCGTGTGCGGGCAGTAGATGTGGATGCCCGCAGCAATGCACCGCAGGATCGAGCGCTGCAGGGGATCGGCCATAGTGATTTTGCGGGTCGCCGCAAAGATCACAGGGTGGTACACGATCGCTGTATGAATATCTGTGCGGGCCAGCAGCTCGTCCGCCACGGCCGGCGTCAGATCCACGGCTAGAAATACGCGGCGGTGAGTCCGCGGCACCGGCGTCTGGGCAATCAAGCCCACATTGTCCCAAGAGCCTGCCAGTTTGGTCGGCGCTGTGTGTCAGAGGACGTTTACGTACCAAAAGCATCAAACCAGGCGAGGATGTCGTCCAAAATCGGATCTTCGCGTGCCATCTTCGTGGGGAACGCTGCGAAGGCCAGGGGCGGACGTACGCACGCCCCTCCACACATCACGTGCCGTGCAAAAAATGTCGTCGGAGGCCTGCCGTGGCCGTGGCTAACGGCGAGGTCGTCTGGCACTCCTTCCACACGCGCAGGATGGATCTCGGCGCAGCGCGTGGGCCGCACGCTGATGCCATGGCGCAGGTGATGAGCGAGGCTGCATGGCATGGAAAGGGACTCGCCGATCCCGTGAAAGCCATTGAAGACAAGTGGCTTCTTCTGCCGGCATACTTGCAAGTCAAAGGCCTGGTGAAGCAACACATTGATTCGTACAACTACTTTGTCGACGTGGACTTGAAAAACATTATCCGGGCCAACGAGCGCGTGACGTCGGATATTGATCCCAAGTTCTATCTGAAATACACGGACATCCACGTCGGACATCCGGAACGGGCGGATCCTGATGCGATTGACCGCAGCATTACGCCGCATGAGTGTCGCTTGCGTGATATCACATACAGTGCGTTTATTTACGTGGACATTGAGTATACGCGAGGCGGTAAGATTGTGCGACGTAAGAATGTGCCGATTGGGCGCCTGCCAGTCATGCTGCGTAGCAACAAGTGCTGGCTCGCTGGCCAGGACGATGCGGCGTTGGCACGTATGAATGAGTGCCCGCTGGACCCTGGTGGCTACTTTGTCGTGAAGGGCACGGAAAAAGTGATTCTTGTACAGGAGCAGCTGTCGAAGAACCGTATTATTGTCGAGGCAGACAGCCGCAAAGGCCTCGTCCAGGCGTCGGTCACCTCGTCGACGCATGAGCGCAAATCCAAGTCGTACGTGCTCACGAAGCATGGCTTGATTTATGTCAAGCACAATTCGCTGCATGAAGATATTCCCATTGTGATTGTGTTCCGTGCGTTGGGCTTGCAGTCCGACAAGGAAATCCTTCAGTTGGTCGCTGGGCACGACGAGCAGTACGCCGAGCTGTTTGCCGTGAACTTGGAAAAGGCCGCGAAGCTGGGCATTTTTACACGTCGGCAGGCGCTTGACTACATCGGCGCGCGTGTGAAGATCTTGCGGCGTGGGGCAGGTCTACGACGATCCGCGAGCGACGAGGCGCTGGACGTGCTGGCCTCGGTGATTATGGCGCATGTGCCTGTAGAGCATGGCGACTTCCGCAACAAGGCCATGTACATTGCCGCGATGGTTCGTCGTGTGCTGGTGTGCATGATTGACGAGTCGAAAGTGGACGATCGCGACTATGTCGGTAACAAGCGCTTGGAGTTGGCTGGGCAGTTGCTCGCGCTGCTCTTTGAAGACTTGTTCAAGAAGTTCAATCATGACTTGAAGACGAACATTGACAAGGTGCTGAAGAAACCCAATCGCACAGCGGAGTTCGATGCGTACAACCAGTTCTTTTACCATGGTGACTACATTACTGCCGGGTTCGTGCGTGCGATATCGACGGGCAACTGGAGCTTGAAGCGATTCAAGATGGAGCGTGCTGGTGTGACGCACGTGCTGAGTCGTTTGAGCTACATTAGTGCGCTGGGTATGATGACGCGTATCAGCAGTCAGTTTGAGAAGACACGCAAAGTGTCAGGCCCTCGTGCGCTGCAGCCGTCGCAGTGGGGTATGCTATGCCCTTCTGATACGCCTGAAGGCGAGGCGTGTGGTCTGGTCAAGAACTTGGCGCTCATGACGCACATTACCACCGATGTAAACGAGGCGCCGATTGTACGTTTGTGCTACATGCTCGGCTTGGAAGATATCAACTTGCTTACGGGCGCTGAACTCTACGAGCCGTCGACGTACATTGTGTACCTCAACGGCAATGTCTTGGGCGTGACGCATACGCCGCACAAGTTTGTCGTGCAGTTCCGCCGCCTTCGTCGAGCGGGCCACATGTCCGAGTTTGTCGGCATCTATACCAATGCCCACCACCAGACGGTTCACATTGCGTCCGACGGAGGTCGTATTTGCCGCCCGATGATCATTGTCGAGCAGGGCCGTCCGCAAGTCACGTCGCAGCACATCCAGCAACTGCAGGCGGGCGACATGACCTTTGACGACTTTTTGCGGCAGGGCTTGGTCGAGTACTTGGACGTGAACGAAGAAAGCGACTCGAACATTGCGCTGTTTGAGCACAGCATCAAGGCCAATACGACGCACCTGGAAATTGAGTGTTTCACGATCCTCGGCGCTGTCGCTGGTCTGATTCCGTACCCCCACCACAACCAGTCGCCACGCAATACGTACCAATGTGCTATGGGCAAGCAAGCTATTGGTGCTATTGGGTACAACCAGCTGAACCGCATAGATACATTGCTCTACCTTATGGTGTACCCGCAGCAGCCCATGGTCAAAACACGTGCGATTGAGTTGATTGGGTACGACAAATTGCCGGCAGGGCAGAATGCTATGGTCGCTGTGATGAGTTACTCAGGCTACGATATCGAGGATGCCCTTGTGCTCAACAGTGCGTCGCTGGATCGCGGGTTCGGACGATGCCAGGTCATGCGGAAGCAGTCGACGGTGCTGCGCAAGTATGCGAATGGCACGTTTGATCGCTTGGCCGACGCGCCGCTGGACGAACATGGCACGCCGCTCCGTCGCTTTGAAGCCCTGGAAGCGGACGGCATTGCCGGCGCGGGGGAGCGACTGGAGCCGGGCGACGTCTTTGTCAACAAGCAGGTGCCGGCCAATGCGAACGACAACAGTGCTGGCACAGTGATGAGCTCCACAGTGTCGTACAAGAGTGTGCCGCTGTCGTACAAGGCCCCTGTCGAAGGCTACGTCGACCAGGTGCTTATTAGTGATACCGATTCGGACCAGACGCTGGTCAAGGCCCTGATTCGGCAGACGCGTCGGCCCGAGCTGGGCGACAAGTTCTCCTCGCGCCACGGTCAAAAGGGTGTGTGTGGTTTGATTGTGCCGCAGGCCGATATGCCTTTCACCGACGACGGTATTTGCCCTGACATTATCATGAATCCTCACGGTTTCCCCTCGCGTATGACGGTAGGCAAGATGATTGAGTTGCTTGCCGGCAAAGCCGGTGTGATTAGCGGCGCGTTGCAGTACGGTACAGCGTTCGGCGGCTCGAAAGTGGAAGATATGGCGCGCATTCTCGTGGAGAATGGATACAACTACGGCGGCAAAGAGTACATGACAAGCGGCATGACAGGCGAGCCGCTCGAGGCGTACGTGTACTTTGGGCCCATTTACTACCAAAAACTCAAGCACATGGTCATGGACAAAATGCATGCGCGTGCACGCGGCCCACGCGCCGTGCTTACGCGCCAGCCCACCGAAGGTCGTAGTCGCGATGGTGGTCTGCGTCTCGGTGAGATGGAGCGTGATTGCTTGATTGGCTATGGTGCTACGCAACTGCTGCTGGAGCGCTTGATGGTCAGCTCCGATGCGTTTGTCGTGAATGCCTGTGAAAAGTGTGGCTTGCTAGGCTACAATGGCTACTGTGGCTACTGCAAGAGCTCGAAACATGTGGTCAAACTCACAGTGCCCTATGCGACCAAGCTCCTGTTCCAGGAACTGATGGCCATGCAGGTCGTCCCACGCCTCGTACTGGAAGACGCCGTGTAGGCGTCTCGTATACCCTCGGTAGTGGCCTCCGTAGTGTCGTCTCCACCTTCGTAACGGCCGCCGCCTGCGTGTCTTTCGCTTCGCCCTGGCCGGCGTGCGTGCACATCACGTGCAGAGGGCGCACCGCGGGTTTTCTTCCTTCGACCGTCATGGGTGCGGTCGCTTCGCGCTTCGCCTCGGCGAAGGCCACGCCAGACGCGCCATCGGCGTCGTCTCGTCCTGACTTTGATACCATGCGGCAGCAGGAGCTGGCCTTGGAGGCAGCACAGACGCCTTTGGAGGAGGTCCCGTCGTGCTTGACATTGTTTGACAAATGGCTCACTTGCTATGCCCTCGGCCCGCAGTTCCGTCATGTGTACCGCTACGGCACCGTGGGCGATTGCTCGCCGCGCCGCGAAGACTTCAAGTTCTGCTTGACGACGCGCGAGCTGGAGCCTGCGCAGCGACGCGATGCATGGCTCACTCGCCGTGCCGAAATCAAGGCGCATGCTCGACAAGGCCTTCGGTCCAGCGAGACGATCTGGACCATGCGCCAGGCACCTTTGCTGGATCCGACATGGGTCGATCCCTCGTACCCCCCACCCTAATGGTACGTATATGAGCCGGCGTCGCGAAGGATTCAAGTTCTTTTCAGTTCTGCTTCCGAATGGGTCTCGCCCTGGTGGACAACCTATACCAAGCTTACCATTGAATGACGCATGACGCCGGCGCCTGGCAAGGACTTGACTAACCCACAGATGGTACGCATCGAACCATGCCAAGCTGTCCAGGATTAAAACAAGTACATCCATTCTTTGAGGTACATCGCTGCACGCACTGCACGAGGGTCCGTGGCGGGTTGCGTACTCGGCTGCGCTTCGTTAGTGGCTGTGCAGCGATGGCCAAAGATTCTGTAATCTTCTCGATGATCCCTTCAGCTTGGACATGCGTGAGCAGGACTAACGACTAGATGCCTCATGATACCCGCAGCCCGTACGTATTCTCGTCCACGCAAGGCTTGGGAAGGATGATTCTATACCATAGACAAAGCATGGCGAGCTATTGCTGTGAGCCGAGCTTACAACATGCATGTAGGTACGCGCACGGAAACTGACCTGGCAGCACCAACTGACCTATGGCCTTGCTTACGACTCCATCAAGGCAGTGTACTAACGATGCAGTTGTATATATACGCTATGCTTTTTTGCCCTCCATAGAGAGTGATGCCAATTGATGTTCTAGCGCGTCGATATCGCTGGATGTGCGCTTGGGAGAGGTAGAGGGGCGTGCCGACGGCGCTGGACCCGCCGCCTTGGACGGCGTTGTCCGGGCCTCCTCACGAGGCCGCCGAGGCGTCGTGTGTGCCGCCACATCCATCCAGTTCACGCCACGGCGTCGCGGCGACGGTGCTTCTCCCTCTTTTTCACGTAGACGCGAGGGCCGGAAACGCGCAATGTCTTCGGAAGGTGTGAACCCAGGCCGTACTTTACGTTCCTTGCGTACACTTTGCATTAGCCGATTCATACGTACGATCCGTCCGCTCGCACACTAGCAGGAATCACACGTGCTTTCGTCGAAGCGTCTTCTACAATGCCCGACGGCGTAGAAGGCGCTGCATGGCGCGCCTTCGCGGAGGTCGTCCGGGGCGTCGCGGGCGGCGACAATCGCGACTCGCCTCCCATCGACGTAGCAGCGCAAGAGCCTCCTCCACTTGGCGAGCCCTTGGCCGCGTGGGTCTACAGAGCCACCCGCTTCGCACCTATAATATCATGGGCATGTTGCTTTTACATTGCTATCCAATGTAAATAACTAGCATATTTTGGACGGAAGAGTATACAACCGTTTACTGCTCCTCAGCGGCAACCACGGCCTTGCGAGCAGCGGCACCACGCGGGGCACGCACGCGCTGGACACGCGGCTTGCGCACCTGGGCGTTGACAATGGCAGTAGCGCGGGCCACAGCAGCTGTCAAGTTAGTAACGTTCTGTGGGGCTGATTCCAAGCTGGCATGGAGGGCGTGAGGATGTGCACCGCCTACCGTAGAAGGAACGACCCTGACTACTGTTGCATCACAAATACGCCCGGCCCGTCATCGGTCGTGCCTGTCAGGGGGGTTCTAGCGTGATGCCATGGTCGTTCGCTTCCTCACGACCCACCATCCAGCTTCGGAATGTGTCTATACGTACGCTTGCGCAGGTCAGCACGGTAGCCGTTCTTGGCGACCATGTTAGCCACAGCACCAGCCACGCGGCGCGAGCCACCCTTCCTGTCGAGGTTAGAAACGCACGTCCGTGTAGATACATACACAGTGGTCGAGTTGCGCGAGCCCTTGATGGCGTTCGGCGACACCTTCTGCTTGCGGGTCGACACAACGACACCGCGGCCAGCAGCCGGGACGATACCGACCGACTTGTCGTTGACAAGGCCGGAGTACTTCATGTGAGACTCCCTTGCGACATACCTTGTAGCTGTGGAGAGCAGCGACATTACCCGGCTCACGCGAGAAAACGCGGCCGAGACCCTTCTGCTTCACAAGGAAGCTGTTCGACTTGCGGAGAAGAAGCCACTGGAGATCCTGCGTCGACATAACGGCGATGTGTCGATGGTAGTGAACCGCCGTGAGCATCCAGGTCGCCTTCGTTTTCAGAACTGCAAAGAGCACGTGATGTAGAGGCTCCCTGCGAGCATCCACGTGGCGCCATGTGCGCAGGGCGCCGTCGGGGGAGGAGCGTGGGCGCGTGGGCGCGGCGTGCGGTGCGCTCGTTGTTGAAGGCGTGTGCGATCGCGATGGACAGTGCGCAAGGCGACTCGAATGCACGCGGGATCCCCACCGCACCGTTTGTGGTATGTAAGCGCATAGTGTGCGTGCCTGGTTTCTTACGTGCAAGACGGATGTCGCTGAATTTATTGGCGGGGCTGATAAGGATGTCATGCCGACCCTTCAGCAGTTCCAAGACGCGATCTCGTAGGTGGCCGGCCAAGCTTGAACTTACCATGCAGCAAGTACAAGTTTATGGAAATGAGCACGGCACAGCGCAGAAAAGGACTGGAGCAGAAAATCCCCGATATTTCCAAGACATTGCAGATGGTCGAGTTCCTGAAAACACGAAAGGTACGTATGCCTGCCATCCTCCGTATACGAACTCATCACAGGAACACCCTGATCCGACAGAAGTGACATTCGAGTTGAATGATACTCTTTTCGCTCGTGCGGAGCTGGATCCCGTGGATCGTGTGCACTTGTGGCTGGGTGTACGTTGTTGTTCTCATGTGACTCACGCTAGGCCAACGTCATGCTTTCGTACGAAATTGACGAAGCAATCTCGCTCCTAAAAGACAAACTGGACACGGCGAAGAAGAACTTGGACTTGGCCAACAAGGACCTGGGCTTCCTCCGTGATCAAATTACGACCATGGAAGTGAACACAGCTCGCGTGCACAACTGGGACGTGAAGCGGCGTCGTGAATTGTAGGTTCCATGTCATCTCACACGCAGACGCAAAGCTGAAGCGTCCACCATCTCATAGATTTGTTCATACCCACAGTCACGCATCCTATGTATTCCCGTACGACACGCGCTGGCCACCGCCTGGCGCCGCTCTTCTTCGATTGTGGAGGTGGCCCTACGTTTTTTTGTTCTGACGATCCATCCGCATGTGGGCCTTGCGAGCTGTGCGAGCACGGCCGGCCATCGTGCCTTCCCTACGCGTGGTACATGCGCCAGCTAGTACACGACGCACCTATATGGGCAGTATGGTCCAATGTGCGCCGGAAGACCGAAAATCAAAACGACCTCCGAAGGCCCGCCAGCCACGCCAAGACGCCCAGCGTACCTCGGCGCCAGGCAAAGGACCACGCCATCCGAAAGCGTCCAACGCTCCTTCGCAGCGGTCTGTGCCCAGTGCCAAGTCATGGGCACGTCCAGCGGCGGGGAAGGGCGAAGGGGCCGCTAAAGGCCCTACCAAGAAGCCGCCCACGGCCCCTACGAAGCCAGCGTCGTCGCGCGCTGCCAAGCCCTCGCAGCACATCTCGCTGCCTGCTGTCATTTCTGTATTCCACCTGTCGCGCGTGCTCAATGTTCATATGCGTACGTATCCACTCCGCTGACACGCAGGCAAGCTCCAGTTCCGCATGGAAAAGATCGGCTTGGACGATACGCGGCCAGACCGACTTCTGAAATTTGAGGACGCCGAGCTGATTGCCGCCGAATACAACAAGGTCGCTGTTGCGAACGAAGAAGCGGCTTTTGATATATTCCCGCGGCCGCTGCCTAGCGACGAAGTGAAAGCCCAGCTGCCCCTCCGGCCGCCTGTCGTGACGATCATGGGCCATGTGGATCATGGCAAAACGACATTGCTAGATACACTTCGGTCTACGTCTGTTGCGCAAGGTGAGGCTGGTGGGATTACGCAGCATATCGGTGCCTTTACTGTTCCCGTCGCTCGTCCACAGGGCCAAGTCACTTCAGTGACGTTTCTCGACACGCCAGGGCATGCAGCCTTCTCGATGATGCGCAGTCGTGGCACGTCTGTGACGGATATGGTAGTGTTGGTTGTGGCCGCAGATGACAGTGTGATGCCACAAACACGCGAGGTCATTCAACTGATCCGCAACGATGAACGACAACTGCCTTTGGTCGTGGCTATTACCAAGATCGACGTATCGAATGCCGACCCACAAAAGGTTCGTTACGATCTTATGGCGGAAGGTATCGAAGTGGAAGATCTCGGGGGTGATGTGCCATGTGTTGAAATCAGTGCGAAGAAAAAGGTGGGCTTGGATACGTTGGATGAGACCCTGGCTGTGCTCGCTGAAATGGCCGAGTTGCGTGCGGAGACAACTGGCCCAGCCGAAGGCCGTATTTTGGAAAGCCGCGTTGAGAAGGGTCGTGGCAATGTCGCGACGGTGCTGGTCCAGCGTGGTGTCCTGCAAGCCGGGGATGTGGTGATCTGTGGGACGACATGGGCGAAAGTCAAGCAGTTGCTGCAGCCTGATGGGAAGGCGACGAAGAAAGTGCTGCCTGGCTTTTCCGCCCAAGTCGCTGGATGGCGTGAACTGCCGCAGGCGGGCGACGAGTTCCTGGGCGCCCCTGACGAGGCGCAGTGCAAGCGTGCCTTGGACAACCGCAAGCGTGCGAAGGAAGAGCAGGCCTTGTTGGTCGACGCAGAGCAAATTGACATGGAACGTCGACGCAAGGCCGAGGCGGATGCGCTGCGCGAGCAGGAAGAGCAGCTGGAACGTCGCCGTCTAGGCCGCTTGCAACGCGCCGAAGCGGAGGGCACGCTGGATGCGGAAGCTATGGCCGAAGAAGTGCGTCAGGAGCGCCTGGCCTCCGCGTCGGCTGTGTCTACCGGCCCGGAACGCAAAGAGCTGTGCGTGATCCTCAAAGGCGATGTCTCAGGCACAGTAGAGGCGCTCGCTGGAGCCATCGGGAGTATCGGCAATGCAGAAGCTGGCGTCAAGATCGTTTCGCAGAGTGTAGGCGATGTGACGGAAAGCGATGTGAACACGGCGCATGCGGTGGGCGCTCAAGTGATTGGCTTCAATGTGCAAGCGTCGAAGTCCATTCAGACCATGGCCGCGCGCGTCCAGCCGCCAGTGCCTGTGCACTGCGACAATGTGATTTACCGATTGATGGACCATGTATCGGAGCGCGTCGCTGCCCTCCTTCCACCCCGTGAAGAAATGCGCGTGCTGGGCGAGGCACACATTGCTCAGATTTTCGAGATTAAGCAGGGCAAAGGCAAGGCGACCAAGAACATTGCCGGGTGCCGAGTGACCAATGGCCTGATCAATCGTGCCAACGAGGTGCGTGTGCTTCGTGGCGAAGATCGTCGCGAAGTGTTCCGTGGCAAGTTGGATGCGTTGCGTCAGGTGAAGAAAGATGTGGTCGAAATGCGCAAGGGAACCGAATGTGGCATGTCCTTTGACGGCTTCAACGACCTGAAAGTGGACGATGTTGTGCAGTGCTTCACCACAGTGGAAGTACCACAAACACTGTAAGTAGACTTTGCCGAGGCTCTATATGCATGTACCATACATGGGAGGTGACACTGCGTGTGGGGTAGAGCCACCCTGACGGCCCTGGCGCACATCACGTGCTTGCTCTCGCTCCCAAGGCAGAGCGACGCGGCGCTGTAGACGCGTGTCGCTACGACGCTCACTATGACGACGAGTGGGAATGCATTGCTGCTGAAGAAGCAGCTGATGGAGCTGCGTAAAAGTATGTGCTTGGTATGCTCTTACACAGACCCTGTGGATGGCTTTAGTGCTGGTCTGAAGGATGATAGCAACCCTTTTGAGTGGGAAATTATGATCATTGGACCTATGGGTACGACCTCGACCTGCTGATGACAGACACGCTGTACGAAGGCGGCTTTCTCAAGGCCGAGCTGATTTTCCCCCACGTACGTACTAGCGCACTCACACGCAGGAATACCCCCTGTTGCCGCCCAGGATGAAATTCAAAACGCCCATGTGGCACCCGAACAGTACGTACCCCAGTCGTATTGACCCCAGTCTACGAAGATGGCACCTTGTGCATTTCTATCTTGGTACGCATATTTGTTCTAACGGAAGCACGCGCCTGGCCAGGATGAGTACGGGTATGAAGATGCCAGCGAGCGCTGGCTGCCTGTTCACACGGTGGAGTCGATTGTACGTACGCTGTGCCTAACGTGTAGCTTCTCTCGGTTATTAGCTTGTTGAGCTCCGATACGCCCAACACAGACTCCCCGGCGAACATCGATGCCGCAAAGCAGGTGCGAGGTACGTACATACATGGCTCATGGGCACAGAGGATCTCGCGGGCTACCGGAAAAAGGTGCGACGTCTTGTCCGTCAATCAAGTGAAGACGCATTTGAGTAACGACCCCTTATATATAGAGAACATGTCTTTCGCAGGTATATGCGTACAATACAAAAAGATCACTAGGAAGGAGCCCAACCTTGCCTACCTACCTACCCCCCGCCGTCTGTGCTGGCGTTGCCACAGGCGAGGCCATGGGGGCACTGCCACCTGGCGTAAGAGGCATAGACATCACAGGCTGCGCAGGCGTGAGAGCGGGCGTCGATACGCCTTGCGTATGGTATACAACCGAGCCGGACGGTATGAAGCACGCAGTCGTTGTGTTCGCAAATCCGTACAGGCATCCAAGATGCTTCGAATCATCGATAGTGCCTTCAAAGAACCGGTCCCGAAGTCGGAAGAACGCCGAAGCAGTCAGCAAGCTGTCGCTACCCGCCTGGTGCTGTTGGCCAATGCGGCTGACTTGCAAATCATCAGCCAGGTCTTGCAGGCCACCTTTGAGCGACTTGCAGCTACGCATGAGGAACTTGGTATCATAAATGCAGGGGAACCACAAATGCAGTAGCTCGAAAAACTCAGCTTCCGTAGGCGGCAAAGGTTCACAGGTCACCAGCTTGAGCAGGTACCCAAAATCGTAGCCAGAATGGAAGGTAATCCATCGCACATCTTCGAACAACACCAGACCCGACGTCACTAAGATCTCGCCAAACAGCGCTTGATCAATACCAAACCGCTTGTGCTTCTCAAAGTCAATACCGGCTTTGTTGAGTAGCTCGTACGAGTCCGGTGCACACATGTCTTCGTCCACATCGAAGCGCAAGTTGAACTGCCATGTGCATGTATCCGGCGGTGAATTTCCCTCCCGATCACAAAGCGTCAGACCGAGTTGGATCATATTTAACAGATCGACATTGCATCGAAGCGTCTGGTAGTGGTAGTCCGTCGACCCTCGGAACTGGCCGATCGGACGTGCTACAATCCCTGGGAACTCCGAATCCTACTTGTTAACGTGTTTGCACATACCATAGCCACATAAGGGTACTTCTCTAGCGCTTGACGGAACAAATTCATTTCATCGTCGAAATTGTCCGACCATACATCGCGAATGCGATTGGCCATGTTCAGCTGACAGTCTCAGTGTCGTAAAACAAACGGCGAGGTCAACGACGCACTCGACCAGCCGCTGTTCACGAGTTGGCGATGCCTCTGTCGCCCGCCCATGCATCACGTGATGACATGGTCGACGTGAGTGATCAGGACGCGCCAGCCCCTTCTCGCGGCACGGACCTATCGCTCACCATGCCGCTCGAAGCTACTATGCTAGTGTACGTATGCGCTCACTGACGCCAGTCTCGACAACTCAGAGTGGATGCGAAATGGAGACTATGTCCCCAATCGCTGGGAGGCGCAGGCGGATGCTGTGAACATCCTCTTTGACGCGAAAACCAACTCACACCCTGAAAATATGGTGGGTGTAATGACTATGGCTGGAAAAGGGTGCGTTTATCTGCGCTAACATGTAGTCCAGAGGTCCTTGCTACCTTAACACAGGATATCGGGAAGGTTTTTGCGGCTCTGCACGATAGCAAGATTGCAGGCTCGATCAGCCTGGCCACTGGTATAAATGTGGCCCAGGTATGTATGCTGACTGTACTAAGTCGCTCAGCTCGCTTTGAAGCACCGACAAAATAAGAACCAGAGGCAGCGTGTCATTGTTTTTGTCGGCTCACCCGTAGCCGACACGGAAGAAAGCCTTGTTCAACTAGCCAAAAAGCTTAAGAAGAACAATGTGGCGATCGATATCCTTAGCTTCGGTGAAGAGGCCCAAAACGAGGCAAAGCTTAACAAGCTGATCGAGACTGTCAACAACAATGATAATAGCCACCTGGTCACTGTGCCACCGGGCGCTGGCCCTATCGCCGATACCCTGATCTCTTCACCCATCGTTATGGAGGGCGGTGACAATGAGGCAGGTCCGTCTGGCAGCGGCAGTGGAGGCGCATTTGAGTTTGGCGTGGACCCCAACATGGACCCAGAGCTGGCGATGGCACTTCGGCTTTCGATGGAAGAGGAGCAGGCTCGTCAGCGTGCCGCCCAGCAGACCGAACACTCCGAAGAGGCGCAACCTGCTACCGAAGATGATATGACATTGGCACCAGAAGATCGCTTGCCTGCAGAGGGTGCTACGGGTTCTCTCGTACCTGTGGATGCCCCTTCTTTGGCCGGTACAGAGGGTTTGCACACTGATATTTCTGATCAAGCCGAACGAGAGGATGCACTATTGCAACAAGCGTTGGCCCTCTCTAAGGGCGAGGCTGTGCCGATGGAAGATGAGCCGATGGAGTCGAACGATACGTCTACACAGAGAGCTACAGTCGCCGGTATGAACGAAGGGGATGAAGATGAAGAAATGACGGAGGAAGAGGCCATTGCTCGCGCTATCGAAATGAGCTTGAAGGATGCAAAAGAGAATGTTTGATAGGCCATATTAACAGCTTATTGACTATTCTACATAATGCTAATATTTTTAAGTATTACGTGAACCATGAAAACAGACGCTAAGCTAAATGCTTGCATCCCAAAATAACTCAACACCCGTAACTAGATATATACTTCATGTTTCTCCGTTAAAGAGAGACTGGGAGGGTCTGTTACAATCGATAAGGTATCAATCGATTTAGACTCTTCAGGCACGTTACTGCTGCGTTGCAATGAATTCTCATCTTCCTTTCGCTCTTGTATAGAGTCAAATTGGCTGCAGCTAAAAATGTAAGAGTATCCCACAACATACCTTAATGGAAGTGTGCGTTCCTTTTGCTTTAAAAAGAAAGAGGCAATTTTTTTCTGAGCTTTGCTGTAATCCAAACGAACGTCAACGCTAAACCCGAAGAGGAGGAAAAATATGATCGCTGTGACACAAAGGGTCCAGGAAGAGAAAGAAGATAGAATCAAAAACTGCTGTCCAGCCTTGTTTGCCAATGAGGAAATTGGATAAATCCATATATTTGAGAATCCACTGTGAACAAGATCCCACGAAGTATATGGATGAATTTTTGAGTAGGAAAGCTCGAGAGCGAAGTCCGTTAAGAATGTAGGGAAATTAAGCAGCAAATCAATTAATGTGAAAGAAATCATCCTCAAGAACTTTTTTGTACTTAAACCGGTACCACTTCGTCGCAGAATTATGTCAAAGTCTTGCTTATGAATAAAGAATTGACGCAGAGCAAGTACTATAGTCAGTTTTGAAGAAACATACAAGAAAATACAATGGACACAAAAGATACTGTTAATGGCATCCCGTAGTCAATCACGATTGTAAGTGCTGTCAAATATACGGCAGGCTGACAGCCTTGTCCTTCTACGATGTTAAATCGATGTCCTTGGTTTATCAATGTTAGCAAGGCATATAATATAGGTAGGACCAATACACATCCAATGTCATGGATCCTTTGTCTTAATATTTGTTTTTCGGATTGAGGAATGTAATTTAACGAAGATATTTTGAGTAGTTTCATTGAAATTATCAATGCACAGCACGGCACACCCATAGTGACCATACTCATAAGTTTTACAGCTGAGAACGTCAGAATCCTAAGCGGAACTTACATATATCACACCATACAGGCGCAATATTCCTTGCATGGTCCGTCCATACTAAGTGATTTACAATATTATTGATATTTCCTGCTACAAGCCAGAAAATCAAAGCCAAAATGGGTATATTCTTTGCTCTCCAATGTGAAGGGCCTGGTAAGACGACCAGAATCGAAGCTAGTATCGAAAATATAGAAAGAGCAACCCCCGACATGAGTTGAGAGCAATAGCACAAGTTTAGGATGAAAAGTCTATATACATTAAGTAGGCGAGGTTAACTCTTCTGGACATAGGATGCACAATCCATTTGTTGTAACTATACCTTCTAAAGAAAAAAAAAATTATTTATGCTACTCATTGTGCAATTGGCTCTAAAAGGACAGGTTGCAATATAAGAAAGTCTTTGTTTTAAAAATGCCCTGAGTGCTAGCCAACACTCCAAAGAAATTCTTTCATGAGCAAAGAAGCCGGTTGTTCTCAATGTCTTTATTACTCCAAGTTAAAAAACAATCATTCATCTCCCATACCTCAGATAGATAGGCCTGTAGTTAGAAGCATTACTATAAATTGTGTGAGTAATGGCGTTATATCTAACTTCACCAACAACAAAAACAACAACTAATCAAAATGAACCCGGCTTTCAACCCGCTCTTCGACATTAAGGATTCCCTCGAGATGAACCCTATTATTAACTTCGCCAACGAGCAGCCTGAGGAGCCTGCCACCAATGAGTACCCCATGGGTCCGGCTATTTGGGGTGTGACCTGCACCATCGCTTAGATTAAGCTTTGAATAATAAATCTGCTGGATGACAGGCTGAACCTCAAGCAGTCCTGTCAATCTCAGTAACAACACTGTTGCGCAACATTCCCCAGTTCGTTTATGTAGACTCTTCGTTTTTAGTATCCAATTTTAAGACTATGGCCATTAATCGATTGGCACTTGCCAATAAGCATGCCATATATAAGATGTTTGATAGCTCTGTGTCGCGCATTGAGTATCACACCCAACACATAGTCACTGCTATCCAAAACCCAAATTTCTTATTGGCAAAACATATTGACCCTCAGCACTCATTTGCCGACTAAAGTTGACAGAGTGAGAGAGCTTCGATAGTGCCGTCCTGACAAAATACCGTACTTCATGCAAGCGAGTATATAAGTGTATGAATTTAGAGCATCATTTGCGCCTGCAGCCGTGAGCTATGTTATGAGAGAAATGAAGACCCTTTGTTCTTCCGCCTAGTCGTGGCAGTCCAATTTTCTTTCTTAGTCAGCAAATCTTTTCTAAAATTTGTGAGTAGACAGCCCAGACGCATACTACGGCCGCTGCGCACTATGGTACGTACAAAGAGCATGCGTTTACACGTAGTCCCGCATTGAGTTGCTTAGTGCAGGTGGGTATCGTATGGATGGCCGCAAGGCGTTGGAGCTTCGTTCGATGGAGCTCCAAATCTCGCCGCATACAGCGGTGGGCACATCGTTGATGCCAGCCACAGCCTCGGCCGTGTCACGACCAGATGGATCGGCGCAAGTGACGCAAGGATTAACGAGTGTATGTGCTTATGTATATGGACCAAGGGAGCCTGGTCGTATTGCGCGGGCACCGACAGTGCGGCAAGATCGTGCCGCGCTCAATGTGGATATTTCCGTGGCGCCATGGGGCGGCACAGAGCGGCGGCATCGTGCACGCGGAGATCGGTATGTGTCTATACTACTCACCATAGACGCCTAGTTGAATGGGGCAATGCGGTGCGATCCACATTTGAGCCAGTGGTGCATACGCATTTGTACCCGCGAGCGCAAATTGACATTGTGGTGCATGTGTTGCAGCAAGACGGAGGTGTACTACCAGCGATGATTAACGCGTGTACATTAGCTTTGATGGATGCGGGCATCCCTATGGCGGACTATGTAACAGCATTGACGTGCGGACTTTATGGGTCTACGCCCCTTTTAGATCTGAACCTGACAGAGCAGTCTGACTTGCCATTCATTACGATGGCCGTGTTGCCCCGTTCGGGCAAAGTACCACTTCTTCAAATGGATACACGGATCCATATGGATCGATTCTCAGCCATGGTGCAAGTGTCTGTGGAGGCCGCTTCCGTGGTGCGCGACGAACTTGACGTCGCGATGCGTGGACGCACCTCCCATTTGGTTACAGCGCTGCATGGGCGTCAGGGCCTGGAAGGCGGCGTGGATGACGTGGTGATCGAGGATTAGATAAGCGTGTAGGAACATCAACCGCTTGGTTGGCCCATGCGCACCGCGCAGGACCGACTGTCACATCGAACCTTCCAGAGTTCGAATTTTTCCGAGAGCCTGATTCGCCAACTAGAAGCCCCGCCCCCGGTCCGCCCGGGGCCGCCCCGTCCGCCCCGGGCGGGCCCTGGACATAAAAAGGCATCGGCACGGGCCCACCGCACCTACCACTTTATCTATATACAACATGGTGAACATTGGTATCAACGGTTTTGGTCGTATTGGCCGCATTGTGTTCCGCAACTCGCTGGAGCACGAGAACATCACTGTGGTGGCTGTGAACGACCCGTTCATCAACCTTGACTACATGGTGTACATGCTCAAGTACGACTCGACCCACGGCCGCTTCGCTGGTGAGGTCTCGGCCAAGGGCGACAAGCTGGTCGTGAACGGCAAGGAGATCTCGGTGTTCGCCGAGAAGGACCCGAAGGACATTCCTTGGGGCAAGGCCGGCGCTGAGTACGTGCTCGAGTCGACTGGTGTGTTCACCACCACCGAGAAGGCTTCGGCTCACCTGGAGGGTGGTGCCAAGAAGGTCGTGATCTCGGCCCCCTCGGCGGATGCCCCGATGTACGTGTGCGGTGTGAACCTCGACTCGTACGACCCGTCGCACAAGGTTGTGTCGAACGCCAGCTGCACCACCAACTGTCTGGCTCCCCTTGCCAAGGTGCTGCACGACAAGTTTGGCATTGTGGAGGGTCTCATGTCGACGGTGCACGCCACCACCGCCACCCAGAAGACTGTCGACGGGCCGTCGCACAAGGACTGGCGTGGTGGTCGCTCGGCGAGCGCCAACATTATCCCCTCGAGCACCGGTGCTGCCAAGGCTGTGGGTAAGGTCATCCCGAGCCTGAGCGGCAAGCTCACTGGTATGTCGTTCCGGATCCCGACCACCGATGTGTCGGTTGTCGACCTGACGGCTCGCCTCGAGAAGGGTGCTTCGTACGATGAGATCAAGGCTGAGGTCAAGCGTGCCTCGGAGCAGGAGCTCAAGGGCATCCTCGGCTACACCGAGGACGCTGTGGTCTCGCAGGACTTTGTCGGTGACGCGCGCAGCTCGATCTTCGACGCTTCGGCCGGTATCCAGCTGAGCCCGAACTTTGTCAAGGTCGTGTCGTGGTACGACAACGAGTGGGGCTACTCGCGCCGCTGCCTTGACCTGATCGCGTTCATGGCCTCGAAGGACGGTTCGGCGTAGGTACAGCACTAGCACTGCTATCTTTAGCATGTGAGCGTGCCCATAAGAAGAAGGAGAGATGCTAACATGCTGCAGTGGCTCGGCTCGTCTGTAATTTCTTTTTATAAACGTATGAATGAATATTTTGCGGATGTATGTCACAGTTTGTGTGGTTTTGTCGGTGGAAAAGAAATCGTGACCTGTAGCCCTATGGGATATCTATAGTACAAAGATGTGCTCGCAGGCAGACAAGCTGGCTGGCTGGCGAAAAGTGGTTGTGTCGTGTAGTGGTACAAAAAGCCAGTCAGCCATGGTGTTCGTTACATAGGTAGTTGGCCGATCGTCACTCGATGACCAACGGAAGGATATGCTCATGACGTCGTGCATACTCCATCGCTGTCGCCATATCGTCGTCATCGAGGAGCATAACACGATCACCGTCATTGTCAATATGATACATGCGCGTATGCGCGTGAGGCGGTAAGCCTACACTTTCATGGACGCTCGTATTGAGCGTCGCAAAGGGGATAGATGTCGGTACGGCCAACTCTGTTCGCATTGTCCCGTACTTGATACGCACAAGCAGCATGGATCCACGCGCAGGCGAATGTGTCTCAGATCGATGTCGGCTGTGGATACTCGCAGCGCTGATGGAGAAACTCGAAGCGTTGCTGTGCCGCGCTTCCATACCCGGCGCATCACTAGGCGTTTGTGCGCCGCTAGGGAGCTGCGATGCAAACGGCGAGTCCATGTATGACTGCATGGAGGCGGTTCTCATGTTGGGTGTCGGCACCACGGGCGCTGTGCTGCTGCCATGCGACGACGTGGAAGGGACCACGGGGAAGTACGAGTTCCAATCAGTACCGCCCGGCGACTGGGGCATCGTGCCTGCATCCGTCATAGGCGCTTGATGTGGCGTCATACCAAACATAGGCGTCTGGAACATCGAGTTGGCCGTCCCGGGGCCTGGCGTGGTGGCAGAGCGCATCGCCATACTATCCGACGCTGTGCGCTGCATCAGCGCACTGTCTAAGCGCAAAGGCGAAGGACCACCGCGCGCAGCAGCAAACCCACGCAACGTCGGCGGTGGGACTTGTGGGCTGCTAGCATTCAATTTCATCGCACTCATTTCCTTCTCAAGGAACTCGGTATTGGAGCGGAATGAGTGGTGTGGCATACTCAGCGAAGCAGCACGGGCTGGTGGCGAAAAGGCAGCCATAGGAGGTGTGGACGCTTGTGTGAGAGACATTTGACGACGGGCTAAACGCGACGCAGCCAGAAGCACAGGCGTAGGCGTGGTCCCTGACGGGAGGCCCGCTGTCGTGGACCCTGGCGTTCCTGGCGTCGCGCTCAGCGCACTCTTAGAAACCGGGGTATCTGCCCCATCGAGTGGCGACGGCGTACCATCAGATTGCACCGCATCCTCCGTTATCAAGCGCGAGAGCTGTGCGGGAACAGGACCGACGGCCGCGGAGCTGTTTGATCGCGAGCGAATCATCATTTCCGAATGATCGTCGCCACTGCTACTGCGGCTGGTCGGCGCCCGCATCGCCCACATTTCGTTCGGCATCGACACCACTGGTGTAGAGACTTGCATAAACGCACCACGTCCTTGTTGCAACGGGTTGACGGCGCTCGGATACGGCGTGGTCGGCGTGGATGCCTGTGAAGGCAACGCGGATGTAGAGGTCGACGCCGACTCGCGGCGCAGCCGCACCTCGTCCAAGAGCTTTTGGATGGACGCCTGCCAAAGCCGCAATTGCTCTTCGTTCCGGCACTTGAGGCAGAACGACTCGACTTCAGCTTCCCCTCGCCACCAGGCTTGCAGTGCATAGAGTGTGTGAGGTGGCTCCGTGGGCTCCGTCTTGGTAAGGACATGAATGCCCACAATGTTGTTCATAAAAATTCGGCCTTTGAGTTGCAGCGGCGCAGTTGAAGCGCGCTTGGACACGCTTCCTTCGCTCACACTGGCAGAGCGTTGCCGTAACCGCGACCCACTCTTGGATCGACTGCGACTGGGCGTCGTAGCCATAGGCTGCGACAACGACAAGTCTTTACAGCATAGCAAAATCCGCTCAAACAAGTAGACACGGAACTCACGCTCCGACTCCCCCTTGCTGACCACAAAGGTATCACTCAATAATAACGCGCCAAAGGTCTTGAGGGAGTGCCCCTTCCAATCTTCTACACGTCGCTCCAGCTCATGGACCAACTGTTTGTTTTCCTGGGCCCGCTGCGTCTCATTCACCTTGTCAGTAATACGCCGGATCGTCGTCAATGCAGTGCTCAGCTCGCCACGCTCTGGCGCCTGCTCTGGCGTACTCTTGAGCAGCTGCTCCAAAAACAGGGGGTATTTGCAGATTCGCTGGACAGGCTTGATGAGGTAGTTGGGCAGTTCATACGTCGGCTCCAAGTAGTGCTGCTGGGCGCTCGAGCGCTGACCCACTTGGGAGAGCGTTGGAAGCAACTCTGTGATCGATTCGAGGGCCTTGGGATAGTTGGCACAATACGATTCGTACACAGAGAATTCTTCTTCTATCGCATGGAAGATATGACCAAGGCGTTGGTGCTCCACGGGCTGCTCAGCACTCTCCTCGAGGTAAATGAGGAAGCGGCGTTGCACGTCGACCAACTGATCCAAGTTGCCGAACATGCGGTAGATGGTATCTGAGGGAAGTGTGTCTGTACTCCCCAACATCGATACATAGTTTTGCAACACTTCCATATCGTGTACGTATTTACGCTCAGACTCTAGGAGTTCTTTGCTGATCCACTCGCGTTTGTCTCGGGTCGATGAAACCTGGCGTTCCAGCGAGGGGCGTTCCGGAGCCGGCGGCATGAGCAATCCAACTTGATTCATGACATCCAGCAGTCGGTCCACAGTACGAACCACGCGAACAAATCCGTTCGTATCGTTGAGATAGAGTTGTGACACAGTAAACGTTTGATCAGGCTCCCATCCAAACCGCTCTTTGAGCGCTATTACGAAGCGCATAACGAGAGCTTTGCACGAATTCAGCTCGCTTAGTTTGGATTCCACTGTCAATGGAATCGGTGCTTGGTTGGTATGTACAGCATATAGGTTAAACAGTACACACAACGGTGAACCAAGACGGAAACACTGCCACAAATGCGAGACAGGGTCAGAAAACGGTGCAGAGGCCGAGGAAGATGTAAACGAGCTGACAGAGTCGGGTGTGGATGGGGTGCTGAGCGTTGGCGTGGGTGGATAGGCCCGCTCAAGAAACTCGGCGCTGAACCCAGGTACACTAGTTAAGCGCTTTCGCAACTGAACGCAGCTCTGGTATAAACTCGAAGGTGACTGAGCTTGTCGAGAAAGTATCGACGCCGCAGGCGTAGGCGGACCGGATGCATCGTACGACAGTCTTGGACTGTCGGTCCCTATATCGGTCATCCCGCCGTCAGCTACGATTGCGGGCATCGGAAGGTACAAAGAGCAACTTTTCACACTTGCGTCGACAAAGATGAGGGCGACACTGACAGTGGAAGGACGTCTTCGCACACTCGACGTCGATTGGCTACAGGAAAGCGGGGCTTTGGCTCGTCGGTCGGCACGTCGTGTGATGCTGACCAACACAGCAGCAGCTCCACGTGGATAGCACGTGCCAGGGCCCAGGGACGTGGACCAACCTGCCACCGTGGAAGGTGCGCGGGCCATGCACGGTGTTCGTTTTCTCGACTGACCACCACATAGTATGCGTGGCATTCGTGGATGGACTCTAGCTGCCACTCTCGCAGCGCTCAGCGTGTATGCATCGGAGACAGAAAAGTCGGATGTGGTGTCGTTGACCAAGTCGTCGTTCCATGACTTTGTCAACCATGCGGATCTTTCGTTGGTCGAGTTCTTTGCCCCATGGTGTGGCCACTGCCAAGCGCTTGCGCCCCATTATGAGGAGGCCGCGACGGATCTGCTGAAGCAGGACATTAAGCTGGCCAAGGTTGACTGCACAGTGGAGGAGTCGCTTTGCTCGGATAACGAGGTGACTGGATTCCCTACCCTCAAAGTCTTCCGTCAAGGCAAGGCTTCGCCGTACACCGGTCCGCGTAAGACGGAAGGTATTGTGAGCTACATGCTCAAGCAGCAGATGCCTGCTGTCTCGGATGTCACGGCAGACTCGCTGGAGGACTTTAAGGCGAAGGACAAGTTGGTCATTGTGGGCTACATTGACGCCAGCGATGCCAAGTCCCAGGAGGAGCTCAAGGCGTTTGCGGAGGACAACCGCGACACGTTTATGGTCGGTATGTCGAGCTCGAAGGAGCTTGCAGCTGAGCAGGGTGTCAAGGTGCCTTCGATCGTGGTGTACCGCACCTTTGACGAGCCGAAGGCCGTGCAGACACCCAAGGGCAAGACGCTGACCAAGGAGGAGATCCAGTCGTTTATCAACGTCGAGTCGTTGCCGCTCATTGATGAAGTGAATGCGGAAAACTTTATGAAGTACGCGATGACTGGTACGCCGCTGGCATACTACTTTGTCGACCCTGAGTCGCCGAAGCGTGAGGAGGAAGTGAAGAAGCTGGCCGAGGTCGCACGTGAGTTCCGTGGCAAGGTGAACCTGGTCTGGATTGACTCTGTGAAGTTTGTGCAGCATGCCAAGGCGCTCAACCTGCCGGGTGACTCGTGGCCTGCGTTTGCCATCCAGAACATGGAGACGGGTGCCAAGTACCCGCTGACGAACCTCGGCAAGGACGTGGCTGGCTCTGTGCGCACGTTCCTGACCAAGTTTGTGGCTGGTAAGGTGCAGCCGAGCATCAAGAGTGCGCCTGTGCCGTCGCAGTCTTCGTCGCTGATTGAGGTGGTCTCGGACGAGTTTGACAAGTGGGTGCTTGATGACAGCCGCGATGTGCTGTTGGAGCTGTTTGCGCCGTGGTGTGGTCACTGCAAGCGTCTGGCGCCGACGTACGAGAAGCTTGCGGAGCTGTACAACAGTGATGCGGACGCCTCCAAGCTGGTGCGCATCGCGAAGATGGACGGTACCGAGAACGATATTCCGCCGCATGCCGACATTACGCTGACCGGCTTCCCGACGTTGGTGCTCAAGCCTGCCGGCAAGGGTGTGAAGGAGTTTATCGTGTACGAAGGTGATCGTACGCTCGAGTCGCTGATTGACTTTATCGCGTCGAAGGGCAAGCACAAGGCAAGTGTTACTGTGGCGCCGCCCAGCAATGATGAGACGTCGTCGCCGCATGACGAATTGTAAGAGATTCTTATCGTATCTACATAGACGACACAGTACGATAGCGTATGATGTTTTACAATTTGCTTCGTCGGAAGGCACTTTGTCGTCCTGACGCATGCTCGTCGAGCATGTGTCGTGCGACGTACGGATTGACGAGGAGGCGCTGCGGGTCGTACGCACGTACGACGTCGAGCCATTGGTGCATGTGCGGGTACCTGTGAAGCAGCTCGGCGCGATAATGGCTGTGTGTCTTTGCCCAATGCGGCCGTCCATCAAACTGCCGCATCAGTGCCTCGAAACGCGCAAAGAGCTGGCGGTATCGCACAGGGCACCCAAACGGACGGTACTGGACAAGGCCAATGTAGCATGTACGGCGGCCGTAGCAGTTGCTAAGCCAAATACCATCTGCATCCACAAACCGCACTTCAATCGGGAAATGCGTACGCACGCCCTGGTCCTGTGCATGCTCGAGATCGAGCCATGTACGTAGCGCTACAAGCGCCGCGCCCGTGTACTCGTACGGGATGGCGTACTCGGACGTGTACTGCGGAAAGAGGCAGTCAAAGTTGAAGATGGCCGGCGCTTCATCAACGTGCACATGCACGGCGGACTGCGTGGACAGGGGGACCAACCCTCCAGGCGCCGCGGACGGATCACGTGGCGTACGCGGCGCGCGGGGGTGCGTCAGCGTGTAGGCCCACCGCGCGACGGGGCCAGGCCAGGCAGCACGGAAGCGCGAGGCGTACAACAAAAGCTGGATCGCATGGTTTGTCAGGGAGGTGTATGCAGCCGTCATCCAGCGTGTCGGCTCGGCCGGCGCATCGGTGCGCGATGCGCGATCGATCGTGACCATCTGGGCATGCGGCGACCATAAAAATCGCACGTGCTCCGCGCTGTGAACCAGCTGCTCCACGCGCGCTTGGACGTCCTCGGCGCCCCACAACGGACGCACAGGCACGTCTCCTTGTGCCACAAAGGGGTACACCTGCTGCGGCCCGACGGACAGTGGTGGCGTGGCGTATGTAGCACAGCGTGGCAAAGGCACACCGGCCGCCAACAAGACGCCAAGCATGCCTGGATTCGCACGGAAGCTTTCAGGCGACTGCATCGCTAGCATGTCGGGCGAAAGCGAGGTAGACAGATCAGCGGGTGGGCCAAGAAGTGCATCGATAGGCGCTTCTTCTGTCACCTGTTTGAGCCGAAAGGCCTTTTCCACGGACAGCGTCACACTAACAATCACACCTGTCGCTCCGAGACCACAAAGAGTGGCATTGAACAGCTCTGGACGCTCTGTGCGGCTGCACGAGACCACTTGTGCGCCCGTGTCCAATGGACAGACAAGCCATAGGGACTCAACACAGGCGGACATGACGGGAAAATGGATCCCAGAGCCGTGTGAGGCTGTGGAAATCAATCCGGCGATGGTCTGTTCGCTAATGGAGCCCAGGTTGTGGAAGCCCAAGGGTGGATCATGCTTCGCCATGGCGGACGTCATGGTATGTAGATACGTGCCGCCCAATGCACACACCTGCATGGGTCCGGCATCCATACTCACCACTCCTTGCAATTCATCCATACGAATCGTCCACCCTAACGAGAACGGCAAGTCAGACGGTGAATGCAGCCGGCCAACAGCTCGCACTGGCATGGAGCGCCGACGAGCCAGCTCCACAATCGCCACTACTTGCTCAATCGTATGCGGAGCAAAGACTCGCTGCTCCCGCTTCGAAAAGGCGCCATCGTGCTGGGAGACATCTGAGTGGAATGCGCCAGCCCAATTGCGCATATGCGCCGCAGACGCCGAAGGAATGAACGTGATCGGCTCCACAATTGCTTCCAAGGCCGACTCAGACATGGCCGCCGCAAATTCGCTGGGCGGCACACGCATCTTGGCGGCCATACTAGGCCCCCGCGTGCTGCTCTGCGTCTGATCCAAGTCGCGCTTCCGAGGTGGCATGACGACAAGACGCGGATCCCTCCACATGGGCCAAGGGTTGGTCACTCACGAATCCATACTGGAGCCTAGTAGGCCATCATGGTAAAAAGACTACAGGAAAAGGCCTAGGCGTGTGTAAACAGCTCAGGCGATTGGGTCTGTACATACTCCGCGACCTGCGCCACGCGGTCGCTCCAGTCTGACAAACGCTGCAACAGCGCTTGCGTCTGCTGCGTATCTAACACACGCGGCTGGACCCATGTGATACGAACCAGCTGTGCCACTTCGTCAATGGAGCCACGAATGAGCTGTAAGCATAATGCTTTCATCACAAGATGCTCCACTTCATCCACAGGAATTCGCGTCTCGGTAGCGATGGTTGTGAAGGAGAGTGTACGGTCGTATGTCGAGCGGCGGAACACACTCTCAATGAGCGCCATGAGGCAGATCTTTTGGCGCAGGAACGGCATACTTGCCTCAAGCATCAGTTCCTGCGATAGGCGCGGAATGAGCGACTCAAAGCGGCCAATATCGCCCGCATTGAACGCAAAGAGCAAGTCAGAGATCCATGCATGCTCCGTGCCTTGTAGCGACGTGAGAATGGGGTGCAGAAGCAATTCGCCAAAGTTGTAAATGGAATCGCCCAGCAGCGCCGAGATGCCGAGGTCATGCGCACATTGTACTTGCTCCTCTTTGCTCATCTCAGCATCGACATTGATGCACGCCAGGAAGAGCAGATAATTGCGGTAGTAGTCCGCGTATTCCGCCTTGGCTTTGTGATAGTTGCCGCAGACACGGTAGAATGAGGCATGCACCATAGGCTCCACAGACTTAAACGTATCCAGCATCTTGGCACACTTGTCCATCGCTGCCTTGGTAGCAGCCAAATCGTCCAGCAGCAGCTGGAAATGCGCTGCTTCCATCGTGAGTAGCACATACGCGTCCTGCTTGTCTTCCGCTTCCTGGTTTTCCTCTACGAGCTTTTGCAAAAACGCCAGCGCATCAGCAGCTTCTTCGTACTGCCTCGAGACAATCACACCAAAACTCGCCAGTTTCAAGTGGTTGATATGCTTGGCAAACGTACGAATAAATTGCTCGTACAGATCAATATGCAAACGTCGCTGCTGCGAGGCTGGGTGCCGCAGAAATTCATCCATTTGCAGTGTGAGTTGGTACCATAGCTTTTTTTCATGAAGATCACGGAACTTTTCATAGTATGGACGCAGCTCCGTCGGCGTCGACGAGTCCGAGAGCACCTTCGCGAGGTAGGTCTCCTCCATCGTAGTAGCCACCGTCCATCGTCGTGGCGGCGCTGGCGCGTCGCTTCGACATCGATTAGGTAAGCTTGTGGAGGAGAATCGAGCGCACGTCAATAGAGGGCCCGACCACGGCCGGGGCCGTGTTACGCCGCGTGACAGAGACGCGTCCCAAACACCATGACAGAGTGGTACGACCGTCTACTCAACTTCATGCCGACGCATGTCAAGGGCGCTCCGCAAGGATGGATTGATGTATCACAGCCATCCCTTTGGTTCGCCGTCGCATCTATGTAAGTTTTCATCGTGCGACTTACCTTAGCCTGTTCAACCCCACATTTTGGAATGTGGTAGCTCAGAATGGTATGTTGCATTGGTCGCTGACAAGTAGAGTACCGCCGGAAGACCATGACGCGCATGCTGGGTGGTAATAGGTACTTGGGTTGCTACATCCTCGCGACTACCATCTTCTCCCTGGGTCTCTTCCGCGATCATTTGTACCAGGAGGCTCTCAAGGCGCAGCCTGTGCATACAGCATTGCTTCATCCGTTTGTTCGCGTCGTTGCTGGTGTCCTGTTTGTAGCAGGGAGTGTCTTTGTGCTCACATCGATGTGGGCACTGGGTATTACAGGTACCTACCTCGGCGACTACTTTGGTATCCTTATGGACGCCATGGTGACGGGCTTTCCTTTTAATGTGCTCAACAACCCGATGTACGTCGGCAGCACGCTGAACTTTATTGCTGTGGCTTTGTGGATGGCCCGGCCTGCTGGTCTGTTCTTGAGTGTGCTCGTCTGGATTGTGTACAAGATCGCATTGCAGTATGAAGAGTATGTATGAGTGTAACTCACGTCGCCAGACCCTTTACGGCCAACATTTACAAGGAGGCAGCCGCCAAGAAGGGAGCGCAAAAGGACCAACCAGCGCCATCCGTGTCGATGGCCACGTTGAAGCCCAGTGTAACTACGAAGACCGTGCCGCCTTCGATGGACAGTGTGGACGTCACGCCCTCATCGCAGCCTCAACCTACGCATGCGCCCGCCAAGGCGAAAAAGAGCTCTGCTTCGACGGCCAGTACTACGACGGCGCGTCGTGCGTACAACACACGCTCACAAGCGCGCAAGCAGATCTAACGTTATGGTTCATAGTGGCCCCCTGTTCTCTATAGTTTTGCCCGATGATCGGGCTGCCATGCTGTTCCCCCACGTTGACCATCAGTGACGTATGGCTTGGCTGACACGCCGGCGTGTTCGCCGCTATGGGCAGAAAGGCCGATTGGTAGTCTTTCTCTTGGTGGTAGGTACGTTCCTACAATGGTGCTTTTCGGGCGTGTATTGGTCGGCATCCAGGGCCTCTACGATGCCGCGTCATGCCCTCGTAGTCACAGCTCATCCCGATGATGAATGCATGTTTTTCGGGCCCGTGATCCAGACACTAGTGCGCGCAAATGTGACGGTATCTGCACTATGTCTCTCAGAAGGCAATGCGGAAGGACTAGGATCGCTACGTCGTCATGAATTGTTCGCCAGTTACCATGCGTTAGGTGTACCGAACGATCACGTCACATGCTTAGATGACCCACAATTGCCTGATAGTATGGAGCTCACATGGGATCCTGAGCATATCCGACAGCTTCTCCTGTCGTACTTATCGTATCGTGATATTGATACCATCATCACCTTTGATCATCAAGGTGTATCCCTGCATCCCAATCACAAAGCTGTCTACCATGGCGTGCAAGCCATGCAAGCACGCTGGCCGGCGGAGCATGGCTCACGGCCGAAAGTATGGGCGTTGGTAACGCTGTCATGGCGGTCAAAGTTTTTGGGCTATCTAGCCAGCATGGGGCAGCTTGCTTCAACATACGACGTGCTGATCCTTACGCCGTGGGCAACGTATTGGCAAAGCCTTATGGCGATGCGACAGCACGCATCCCAGCTTGTCTGGTTCAGGTATTTGTACGTGCTGTGCTCTTCATACATGCACGCCAACGCCTTCCGCACCATGACATAAAGAAAAATTATATACATACATTATGTCGGATACTATACATCAAATCATCAGTCAACCACCATAAACAAAAGAAGGTAGTCCACGTATCACGTTGGCAATGAGTGCTGAGACGTAGACACAGGCTGGGCTTCTAGCGGGTAAATCGAGCCCGGCATTTGGGGTATCATGGGCGACATCGGTGGATCAGGACTCGTTGGTTCCAGCGAAGGTGGACTGCAAAAGGGTGTATTACCACGTTCGGCTGTGGACAGGGATTCACTGGAGATGCCACTTAAAGACCATATAGATGGAACTTGGTGATAACCCACAGAATCAGACATGTCCATGTGAGACGCCATGCCAGGAGAATGGCGATAACGACGGCTTGCAATAGAGCCTGGCTTGATGGTAGGCAAAAGAGCGACAGGGTGCAACGGTGTAGGTGTTGCTGCCTGAACGGGCGGTGGCGACTTGTCCAAAACAGGTGGGACATTGGGTGTGTACGCCAGACTGGGATCCAGTACTTCACATGCCACTCCCGTATTCAAGGCCGGCTTCGTTGACGTGTTGTGCGGTGCATGCGGGGGATGGATGCTTAGCATCGAAAACTTGGACTCGACGTCGACATGGGGTGATGGCGCCGCAGATACATATGTCGGCGTCGGTGGCGACTTGGTATCCCACCGACGAATAGGCGACGAATGAAGAACTTTGCGCTGCCAAATGTCCATGTTGGATGCTTGCAAACGCGGTGCCGCGCGAATCCACTTGCGAATATCACTTACAGAGCATCGGTTTTCGGGACGAAGAGTAAAAATGCGTTTTAAAATAGCATGGACGTCATCTGACACAGGGAGAATCTTCTGGATAAAATCAGGATCTCGGAGGAACTCGTGAAACGTGTCGTCGTTCGGCGTCGCTTGCTTCCATGGGTTACGACCACAAATAAAATTGATAAGAATTACACCAAGCGACCATACATCGTTGGTTGCGGGGCTGTAGTGTGTGAGGCGGGTCGTGATGCCGCCTTGGCACTCGGGGCCCATGTAAAAGGAGCTGCCACATCCGAAATCGCTGCTCATCCGATCACCCGTCGCAAGACCAAAATCGGCGAGATATACCCTGCGTCCACCGTCAGCACACATGATGTTTTCGGGTTTCAGATCGCGATGGTAGATTCCCAGGCTGTGGCAATATTCCACCGCCGCCAAGATTTGGTCGTAGACGTCCTTGATCAGCATATCCATGTCGTAACGAGCTTTGGTATACGCCTTATCTTCAGGTACGGGGCGGCCATCGGCAGCGGAGGGATCCTTGACAAAGGGTTCTGGGGCTAATAAGAACCGCTGTTTCTCAGTGATCATGCTGAAAAGATCGCCATCTGGACAGTAGTCTAAAATGACATAGACATACGGATCAGACGGGTTATCGATCACGCGATGAAGCGTAAGCACGTTAGGATGACTGGATGTCATCGTATGAAGCAAGATCTCTCGGCGTTGGAAAGCACGTTGCCGTGCATCCAAGCCTACTTTATTTAGGCACTTGACCGCATAGTGCGTGGGTTTAGCAGGGCCATGCAAGCTGGAAGGGCGCTGCGATAAGTCGCGAGCAAGGTATACTACGCCATAGGCACCGATACCAAGGACGGACTCAAGTAACAAACGGCCGTCCGCCACGACTGTGCCCACTAGGTTTCGGTGGCGTTGTGGGGGGTGGCTTGACATGCAACAGACACCACTCCGTCCAGCGAGTTTCTAATCGCTGAAAACTCAATAAAAGAAGAAGATGGGACAGATGCCAGCAGGGAAGGAAGTAGCACAGTGGAAACTGGGGCACCGTGTAGATGATGGCGTGAATGTTGGGTGGGAGTGGGCGTCACACAACGTACGGCCCCTGCCAAGCTCCGACGAAGCGCAAGGTTCAGCTATATGCAGCTATATGCAACTTTATGCATGATGTCCACTATACCCAAAACATGTGCATAGGCTCATCGGGCAAAATGACGAACTGGTCCGATAAAATTAGGAAAATAGCCTTAGCGACCTAGCCAAGGGGCCGATAGACTCTGCAGGAACATCACAATGAAAAAAAAGACAGGTGCGCGTCCCATGGCTCGGTATTTTGCACCGGCCGAGAAAATTGAAATTACACCGAATTCGGAAACGCCAGGATTGTGGCATGCATGGACGCACTGGAAGGGCCCGCGTGAAATGGGTTTAGATGAGTATGACTAATCAGGCGCTGCCTACGACCCATGCCAGTGCGCCTGGGGGATGGCTCGCTTGGCATTATGCACAGACTGCTTCACAGGTCCAAGGGGCCCCGCACGACCGTGTCATCGCGGGGCCCAATGGCCATGGATCAAGAAGCAGTGCCGGAAGGGATACCATCATCTGATTTACCTGTACCACAGCACATACCCGAACCGCTGGATGACACGTCCTATCCATCGTACGGCGAAGTCCGTGCTTTGCCACAACGTCGTGGTTCACGTCGGGAGGTGCGGACGGATCGACTGCCCCAGCTGCTCTCGCGGACACGGCGCATGCATGCAGTGGAAGAACAGAGCGAGATGAATGGCGTAGAAAAGCGAAAACACAAAATGAGCTTTCCATTTCGTCGTCGGCATGGCGATGCGCGTGCACAGCCTGCGACAGATTCCAGGGACGAGAAGGAGTCACCGACAGAGACATACATGCCCACGCCATCGGATCCTATGGCCGACCAACATGATCCTACTGTGGAGGCAGGCATACGGCGTTCTCGGCAAGGCATGGCAGTGATCCTCAGCGGACCGTTGTTGCAAATCCCTTCTAGTGAAAATGAAGCCGATGGTGTGGCGGAGCAGATTACTGAGTTTTGCTACAATGATCCCAGTGCTGACGATGGTGACATTGTCCACGAGCTAGGCGACTGGATAATGGCGTCGGAAACGCGCAGCAAGGCGGCCGTGCGAGTATTACGACACCTGCTTAAAGTGCCTAGTGTGCCGGTCCAGTCCCGCGCTGTGCGTGCTTGGGGGGTATGGACGATGTTAGGCGGTGGTAACTTCAGTACCTATGCCGTGTCGCCTACCCTTCTAGCCACCCTGGAAGACTTGCTGAACAATTCGCTCACGCATCCGCAGCTGCGGAAAGATATTCTGATGGTCGTCGCGGCCCTCGCCCATCGAGCACAGCATATGGACCGTTTGTACAAGATTGGGCGGCTTTGGGTACGTGTGCATCCTAACGATTTGCCCGAAACTGGCATCCCTCTAGCTGGCCCCTTGTTTTGTGATCAGCCTACGGCCCTTACGGACGACACGATGGAAAACTGTGTGACGGCAGGGGACCGACCACAGGCGCCTGTAGCGCGACATGCACTGCCGTCGGTTCTGCAAGCCCGGCAGACGCCACCGCGTAGTCGGCCAGATGGGGTACATCGACGGTCTCCCCTGCCTCTACCACCAGGGCCTACAGGTGGGCTTTTGGCGGTCCCATCGTCGCCGCCGTCGTCCACAAGCACATTGTCCAAAAGCACATCACGACTTACGAACTTATCGTCGCACACGAGTGTGTCGTCGCTGGATGCAGACGATGAAAAGCATGTACGTGAGGTTCGACGTGACTGCGATGTGGCGCATACCAATGCCACTATGCTCATTCAAGCGTTGACAGTGGATGATTTGCATAGTGAGCGCGTTACATTGTGCCGCAGCAAAGCGTCGGAGTCGCATATGCGTCTGGAATCGCACCTGGCTTGGGCCACCGTCTGGGCCGATCGACCTGACGACGACATACGTGACGAAGCAGAGCGATTGGTCAACGATCTCGTCACATCCCTCGCGCATCTCGGGGAGGCCTTGACACTGTGTGACGAGGCGCGTATGGAAGCGGACGCCCTGCAAGCCGGCAGTACGACGTCGCCTACGCTCCCGACAGATACCCAAGCGGCTCAATGTGCCTCGCCGGAGAACCCGTTCACCGAGCCGACACAACCCAGCGCCAAGGCCCTCGGCAAGCGGCGCGCGGTCGAAGAAGGCCATGCACAGGGCGAGATCAAGCCGCCTTTGCCAGCTGTGCCCTATAACCATGATTTGTAGATACATTACGTTCTATACCAAGTGATACGATTACGACTGCGTGAAAGTCCAAGACCGCTTCTCCTGACCGAGACGAGGAATAAGACGATGCACGCGCTCTCGCACCGTTTCGTCTACAGGCTGCGCATCAGGCGAAGGTGTCGCAGCCGCCGCCTCCTTCTTCTTGGCTTCCGCAGCCGCCGCTTCTTCAGCCTCGCGTTTCTTGATCGCTTCTTCAATCATACGACGCACAGCACTATCTTCACGCGCATCGCGTGATTGCGCATGAGAAATCCGTGCACGATGCTCATCGTCGCTCGCACGCTCACGCGCCTCCGCTTTTTCTGGGTTCCATGGCTCGAGTTTCTGTGGCTTGCCGTCCGGCCCCGGCGGCGGTACGCGAGACTTGGGCCGCTTGAGATAGAACAGACTCGCAGCAGCCGCAGCGACAGTGATCGCTTGGAAACCTACACGCCAGCGAAGTGCACTTTGGAACTTGTCACGGTTGCCTTTGCGCAGCTGGATACTGGCGTACGTCAAAGCAATAGTAGTGAGAACGGAGCCTGGCCTGTTAGAAGAAAAGCGTGTACGTACCGATGGGCGTGAGAGGATCCTCACGCATACGACGCCAAAGCCGCTCCGTGCCCGTCTCTTCAACGATCACGGTCGGCTCGAATCCATCAATGGCAGGAGGAGCGTCGCTCATGGTGTGGGGGGCCCAAGACAACGCGCCGAGACACGCACTCGGCAGGACGGTGGCGTCTGCCTCCACTTGCGCCAAGACGGCCACGTGAAGTGGGGGAGAAGTCTACGAAAGAAAGAACTACGGCTCCACCACGTACGACCCAGCGACGATCGCACGAGTCGTGGACGTGAGTGTCAGGGGCGCATGATCGTCAACATGCACATCCATTGGACTGAGCGAGTACGAAGGCAACGACCATGCCGCGGCGATGGGCCATGGCGTCGCTTGCGATGCCAGGGGGAATCGCACGGCGCCACGTCCGTCGACATGATTGGCCTGCCATGCAAATTCACGGGCGTCCGGGTCCCAAGTACCGATGGGCTCGCTTAGCACGTCGCCAGTGACGTACGCGTCCTGGGGCACTTGCAAGGAGAAGCTCGGCGCTGGGAGGGATACCGTGTCGCGGTACGCAAACTCGGGGTTTTCGCGGTGGTGCACTAGCACGGAGCTCTGTGTCGACTCGCATCGCCACTGGACATCCAGCAGCAGTGGGACAAACTGCATACGGTACGCATCATCGACCAGCACCTCGTACTCAAACACCGATACGCCGTCGCCAGGCGCATGTTGCAAGAGCGCTTGCAAGTCCAAGTCGTATACGCCTGGCACCGACGTCGGCGTAAAGCAGGGATGAGTCCGTGTTTTGGAGAGGTAGTCCATCCCGTCCACCTGGATGCGTGCATGCGCTTGCATCGACGTCGAGCCCAGCGCAGGCGTAGCCCGCAAATTCACTTGCCCTTCAATCACAAGATGCGTCATCGTGCCTTGCTTCCAATGCGCACTTACGCGCTCTTCGATATGCGCATGTACAGGCATAGGGTTCGACGTAGGGACCATCGTCTCAAACTGAGCCTCCGACATGGACGGCGAGGTGATCGATGTATCGACCAGCGGTGACACAAGCGCGGCCGCATGGCCCTGCTCCAGCTTGGTGCCTGTACGCTGCAGGGGAGCACGTCGTGTAGCCGGAGGGCCCAGGGCCAAACTCGCGGTGCGTGGCTGCATAGGCTGCCTAAGCTGCGTGGAGGGACGCAGCGGCACAGGGATCGTCGACATTGACATCGGCAGCGGCGGCGCTGGTGTCACTGTGGAGGCCGGCGCGACGGACGCGAGAGGCGGCGATGGCATCGCATCGTGCCAGTGTGTGGATGCTGTGCTAGGCCCGGCCCGACTCTCGTGACTGCTTGGGGCTGTAGTGTGATTCGAGAGATGCGTATGTGCACTGTGCATCACAGTCGAATGGCCCACCGAGGAGGAGGACGCGACGGGTGGCGAGTTCGTCATCGCATTGGTCGGCACAGGTGGTGAGGTGGGGGGCGACGCGGTCTTGTGTACGCTGCGAGTGGGCGCGGGCGGAGGAAGGCGCGACGCCGGCCGTGTCGCAGACGATGGCAACGCAATCGATGCAGCGGTAGGGTAGGACGGCGTGGATGCAGACGTAGAGGGGCGGGGCGGCGCCTCAGGGGACGATGGCACCACGGGCGATTCACGCGCATGCGCGATGGTATACGAGGGCAAAGGCACGTTGTGGTCCATCGTAACTGCGGAGGGCGAGGAGGTCGATTCCGTACGGTACACACCCGCGAATCGCTGCATCTCCACCACAGGCCGAAATGCCTGCGCTGCCTCTGCCGACGAGCGCGCCGTATCGTACACCGCCTTGGCCAATTCCGACTCGGCGCGAATGACGTGTTTGCAAGTATCGCGTAAGAGATGTAGGCGTTGGTAGTCAGCACGTTCGTACGACTGGAAGACACGTAGGGCTCGCTCGCGCCATGCAGACTGGGCCTGCGTTAGTGATTCCTGCGTAGACAAGACCTTGTTCACGACAGCTGTGCTCTGGCGTTTCTGCTCGAGCTTTCGCTGCCCTTTCCCGAGCTGCGCTTCTAATGAGTTGATCTCTTTCAGGATCGGCGAGATCACATCGTCCTGCTGGGCGAGCTTGGCCCATTCGCCCTGGGTATGTGCTTGACGGAGCTGATCACTGGCGCGCTGCAAGTGGCCCTGGAACGTGGTATGCAGTTGGGCGACGTCTTCCATTTCGGCGAGGAGGCGTTGGTACAAAGGTCGGAACTCCACAGGCATATAGTTGGGCTCCGAAACGCGCTTGGCTACTTTTTGCAGGTGCTTCACGTACGTCTCCTCGGCGTGCGCACGAGCTGCCATGAGATCCGCGAGTTGGTCATAGAAGATCTTGGCATGACGCATGCGCGTCTGCAGCGCTTGGTGCGTGGTGCGTGGCTCCTTATCCTGCGTGTGAGACAATAGGCACGTACAAGGAAGGCAGTGGAGTACATAACCGCCTCATCCTCACCGACAAGGTCCGTCATGGCGTGACAGAGAGACGAGGGTCGGTGGTCAAAACAACCGAGGCCGCGGTTCGCGTCCCTCCACGCGGCCTCGGTCCTTCCCCCGCGCGCGCGCCACCAACACCCTCAGGCCCGCCACCTGTGTGGAGGGGAAGCAACAAACGACCTAGGGATGTAAAAAGAAAAGAAAAACGGACGAACGCAATTAGGTCAGCAAAAGCCCGCTGTGCGCACTGTATGCGTCCCAAGGGTGGGTCGTCGTCTCGCCTTCGTGGTAGTTTGCGTGCCGGCGAGCCTTGGACTACATCCACCCACGATGGCCGACTTTGTGAAGCTGTCCATTTTTGGCACAGTATTTGAAGTCACTACACGCTATGAAAACTTGCAGCCTGTAGGTATGGGCGCTTTCGGCTTGGTGTGCAGTGCGCATGACAAGCTGACGGACACGTCGGTAGCCATCAAGAAGGTCATGAAGCCCTTCAGTACGCCTGTCCTGGCCAAGCGCACGTACCGTGAATTGAAGCTGCTGAAGCATATTCGCCACGAAAACGTATGTTCGCTGGAATGACGACTTACCCCTAGATTATCAGCCTGAGCGACATTTTCATTTCGCCGCTGGAAGACTTGTACTTTGTCACAGAGCTGCTCGGTACCGACTTGCACCGCTTACTTACGAGTCGTCCGCTGGAGAAGCAGTTCGTGCAGTACTTCCTGTACCAGATCCTGCGTGGTCTCAAGTACGTCCACTCGGCGGGCGTCGTGCATCGCGATTTGAAGCCCAGCAACATTCTGATCAACGAGAACTGCGACTTGAAGATTTGTGACTTTGGTCTGGCGCGTGTACAGGACCCCCAAATGACCGGCTACGTCTCGACACGCTACTACCGAGCGCCGGAGATCATGCTGACATGGCAGAAATACGATGTGGCCGTAGATGTGTGGAGTGCCGGCTGCATCTTCTCAGAAATGCTCGAGGGCAAGCCGTTGTTCCCCGGCAAGGACCATGTCAACCAGTTCTCGATCATCACGGAGCTGCTTGGCACGCCGCCAGATGAAGTGATTCAGACTATCTGCAGTGAAAACACCCTGCGGTTCGTGCAGTCTCTGCCGAAACGTGAACGCATTCCTTTCCGTGAACGATTCCCTAATACTGATCCTGAAGCCTTGGATCTGCTTGACAAAATGCTTGTCTTTGATGTCAACACGCGCATTACGGCTGGCGATGCGCTTTCGCACCCGTACCTTGCACCATACCACAACCCGGACGACGAGCCGGTGGCGGAAGAGACGTTCGACTGGAGCTTTAACGACCAGGACCTCCCGATCGATACGTGGAAGGTAATGATGTACTCGGAAATCCTTGGTACGTACTTTGACACACTAACTAACCCAGACTTCCACAACATCGACGGCGCGAACCCCGAGGACCAGGCTGCAGCCGGCGACGCTGTGCCGCCCGTGGCCGAGTACACGATGGCCTAACGGGCATGAGTGTTTCTAGAGTCGCTAGTACATAGCCAGACGATATCGTCACCTCTTTTGTGTACGTATGCTGCGGCGTTCGGAGGGACTCCACATCTGTCAGCGTGGTGGGCATAGCCCACACGCAATGTGTGGAGTGGCGGCCTCGTCGACGCGAACTACGAGGCGACGACACGCTGACCGCCACCGCCACGTTGTGCCTACGTGATTCGACGCTACGGCATGCAACGGTGGGCACTTGTGGGGCTCATGGCCATGCTGCTTGCATGCATGAGCCAGGTCGTGTACAGCGCCAAGCCCTCGTCCACGACGTCGAGTTCCTCGCAGACCGTGTCGTCGAGCAGTGGACTAGTATCGTCGAGCAATCCCTTTCAACTACCTACGCAAAGTACCGCGTCGTTTGTGCGTGCTAGCACCGGCATTGGGCCACAGTCGAGTATTGTGCCTGTCGTCGCGTCTGATTCGGCGCCGTATGTGCTGCAAGATGGTGTGACTGCACGAAGTGAGCTGAACATCAACGCCACCGATGGACTGTTTTTCTCGTTCAATGCGACGCGGGACGTACCGATTTGGGTATCTCTGTCCCTCTGTAACGGACCTGGGATTCCCGCCTACAATACCAGTAACAAGACGCTGCTCAATGAGCTGGGCCTCACACCGTTTCAAGCGCGTGTCTCCACGCTAGTCTCGGTGTACGTTTCCACGGACGCAGGCACACAACGCCCAGGCCCGAATCACAGTGTGCTAGATGGCCAGATTGGGTATGCTCAGGGTGGGTGGACGCAGATTGTGTTGGAAGATGGCAGCGATAATGGCGCATGGATCGGTGTATGGCCCCCGGCCGATGCGCGAGGCATGACGGGATCGTACCAAGTCCAAATCTCGGCCTCTACGCGTGGCTCATTGGAGAGTGTCGCGACGCAGTCTGGGCTGTTTTTCGATGATACAGATGCGGAGAGTGCGCTCCTTACCTCGTTCAACTTCACAAGTCCTGCGCCCAACATCAGCCTGATTGTGTTGCCGACAGAAGGAGCGTTTTCTTTAACGTCCATCACGTACTTCAACTCCTCCTTCTGCCGTATCTTTGATTTGTGGCAGGACATGGCCTGGCGCGACCTTCAGCCGATGGTCAACAGTAGCGAGACGAGCCGGGGGACCGTGAATGTGATTACACGTGGTGGCTCGAAACCGTCGTCGAACTTGCCGACATCCAACATCAACGACACGGCCGGTATTCAGCCTCTCGTTCCACAGGACAACGACGACGACGACGACGACGATGGGGATGAAAAGCGCAGTGTCGGCCCACTTTTCGAACTCGCAAAGAGGCAGTCGCACGCCGTGACCAATGCCACCAACACTGCGCAAGTCCGCAAACAGTTTTATGTGGATGGACTCTCGCCAGGGACAAACTATACGGCATACCTTGTGTCGTCACAAAACGTTTCCGGCCTCATCCACCGAACCCTATACCCTGCCGTGAAGTTTGTGACCAAGTCGACTCGCAACTGCAAGCTGATGTACAACTTGAATTTCTGCCCGGAACTGGCGTACGCAGTGCCATACAATCCTTCGATGTCGATGTCCGATACGCTTAGTGTCTTGGAAAACATCGTCTCATCGAACTACGGCAACTTTTCTGCAACGCTCAATACATTCCCCTGTGGCTCCGATGAGTTTGGGCTCTACTCAACGGTGGCCACCTGTGATGCCTGCCGCCAAGCATACCAGACCTGGCTATGTGCCGTAGCCATTCCACGATGCACAGATCTGATGGATCCCAGCAAGAGTGCAGCAAGTCAGAACGGCACAGAGCTTGAGGGGTTGCCGATGCCGGCCAATACCAAACTATACCCCTACGTCGTGAATCGGATCGGCCCAGGCTCAAGTCGGCAGCCGTACATTGACAAGCTCTTCAACCCTGGAAACTACGGCGAACTTCTACCATGTATTCATACGTGCGAAATGGTTACGAGATCGTGCCCGCCGGTGATCCAGTGGTCGTGTCCGCGATGGACAGTCACGGCACAGCGTGATTATGGCACGTTTGCGGATGCGGATGCAGAAGGCATGGGCGTCGGTGAGAATGGCGGGGCTGGCCCAGGTGGGCTGCGATACGGCGGTGCTCCATCCCGCTACGTCGCTCAGGACGCGTTTGGCCATGTCTATTGTAATGCCATGAATGTGGATCGATTGCTACGTCAGGCCAGTGCAGCGCGGCGCCAGGCGCAGCCGCTGGCATGGATAGCCCTCGTGGGCTGGACAGGCATCGCGTCTGCTGTGGCCCTATGCCTGAGTGGTATGTATACAATATAACATAGAGAGAGGGGCATAATCAACGATCAGCGCTAATGATCAACGTATTCCCGTCAGGATCCACCAGCCGGAATTCTCGCGTACCCCAAGGCGTGTTCTGTGGCCGATCAAGAATACGCGCCTCGTGGTAATTATGCTCGGGGAAGTAGCCTTGCTGCGCGGCCATGGCCTTTTGCAGCTTGAGCGCCGCCTCCGTAAAGAAGGCATCGACATCGCTGACCATGAGCCACAGCGACTGCGGCTGCACGCTGTGGCGCACCACATCAGCCCGCATAGCAGGCGTACACGAGGCTGGAAGGCGGAGAAGCAAGTGTACGCCCGGCAACGGCGCCTTGGAGCCCTGCTGTGGCAGGCCGGACGCGCTGGGCGTCGCACCAGGTGCACCACGGAACAGGCGCATTTGCGTCTTGTCTTTCGGGCCGTATCGAACAAACCCTAGCACGTCTGTATAAAACGACACGGCGTCTTTCATGCTGCGGGTAAGTCGAAAAGTATACGTACGAGCTCACACGCAAGCATGGAATCGAGAGAAGCATGGTAGCCACAGGGCGCCGCTGAACAGGCGGAGGCCGATCAACGTCCGTATCTGTATCCGAGTCCCACGCATGCGCTGGCATTGCAGGTGCCACAGAGCTTGCGCTGCTTTGTGGGTCTGTCGATGCCGTGACGCCCGCCGGCAACGCGGCCTGGGCCAAGGACATATTGGTCGATATCGGGCGCGTATCTCCCTCGCTAGCTGTTAGTAGATAAGCGCATAGACATACCCGGGCTGCATCCGAAACGAGGTGGGTGCACCGAGCGACGAGAGCGATAGCCCCGCGTTCCTACGCATCGACAGCGATGGCGGTTTGGAACTCGCCATGGTGGGTCCAAGAAAAAGTCCGTGGCTCTGAAACGCTATAGTCCAAGACGCCGCCTGCACCAAGGCGCTTGGGAGCCCTTGTCCATCGCACGTGAATGTGGAGGTCCGTCCGTCGCCAGGCCCTGGCACCTTCGCCCCTACGCATTGGACTTGAACGTACGCGCGGCGCATGTTGTGACGACAGACATGAGTCTCATGCGCCGTCCAGGTACATGGTCGGAGACCTATGCGGCGCTCGAGTCGGATGATTTCTGGCTCGCGTCGCATTATAGACCTTTGCAACAGACACTCGCGCAATGGAAGGCCATGCATCTCCCCTCTCAGCGGTTCGTGCATATGGTGCAGGCATGGTGGCCCCATCTCACATGTGGAATCCGGCCGGCCCGAGAAGCGGCCAGAGTAGGCCTTGAGTCATGGGGGTCTCTCGGCGCAGAGGATGGCCTCCCCCAACTCATTCTTCTTCTATACTTGTGCCACCGATCGTACATGAAGACACCACCTGAACAACAGCCCTTTCGCACGCTGTTAGAGACCTACGACAGCTTCCTCCGTGATCCTTCCACACTCCAGCCTATATACCCATTATTCCACTGGCTGCAGTATATCCCGCCATGTGAAGTGGATGCCATGCAACATGTTGTAAGGGCAATGTTGGACGACGAGGCAGATTTCGTGGATACACAAAAACCATTCGAGTGGCGGTATCTTGCATGGGATCCACATACAGCCTTGCCGCAGAGTGTGTCGGAGCGTGAAAAGTACGAGATTGCACGCACGAGATCCCTCCTTGCGCAAGTCCATCTGGCGCCCATTTCCATGGCACAACAGCGATGGCTCCTCGATCGATTTCATTATGTGCGAGAAATCCTCCTGTCTCAAACGGATCCATGGACAAAGGATAGCTCGGCGGTGCATGGCTGGGCGTTTGCATCGATCCAAATTGGGATGCATGGCGACTTGGATGTGGCAGGCGGCAATGTAGCCGAGCTGGCGATCAAGGCGCCGCACATTGCGCTGGCGTGGATTCGGTTTACATGCGCCCTGCCTCCCATTTTTATTCCTAGTCAAGAGGAACTACGGTCGTTTTTTGTGGGGCTCGCCCAACGTATGAGTGAACTTGTGCGGCCGACCCAAGTCGTGGATCTATGGTCGCATCTATTGACGGTGCCCGATGACGTATGGGTCTTTGGCTATACACAAGATCCTGCAATCCTACGCTTATGCATTCCTATGCGATGGCTTGTACAGGCGTTATCGCTGCCGTACTTTGTGGTACAGTGTGTGTCGCGCATCGACGCAGCGTTGGAGCCGCTGAATAGCATGGAGGTCCCAGCCCTGTGTATGTATGCTACCAAACTCCTTCAAAAAGGACTGATCTGTGCTCAAGAAGGTCCCTCGAGACCCCTGGCCCTGCTGGATGCCATCCAGATTTACGACGAGGATCAGCAGCGACTCTCGCCCGAGGATCTGAAGTCGGGGCATCGACGTACGCTGGACCACATCCAAAAGGAGATCACAGAGCTCCAAGAATCTCTCTACAGTATGCTGTGCAGCTTGGCCCTAAGTCAGTCTAAGCATGCTTACGGCGCACAACTGTATGAAGAGTTATGTACGGTACGTAGACGTTCCTCATCGTAAGGTCCGTGCGTCGATCCTTCATGCACGTGATGTCAGTGCGCGCACGGCGACACCGCGTATGGCGACGCTCGCTTCACCCTACCGACGATGGGACGAAGCGAACGTGGTAGCGCAGCGCAGGCGCTGCTGCTGCTCCAAATCAGCTTACGTCTCATCACATTTGCGTTAAATCAGGTGCTCATACGCACGACGTCCCCCGCCGTCTTTGGCGCGGCCAATGTCCAGTTGGAATTGGTGCTGAGCATTGTCCTCTCGCTCGCTCGTGAAGGCGTACGTGCTGTAATGATGCGCCAGCAGGATGAATTGCGACGGGGAGCTTCACCTGCTACGCACAATGTGGCGCTTGTCCCTGTCGTGGCAGGCAGTCTCCTTTCCGTTAGTGTAGGCTACGCCTACCTCCATTGGTTCGCACCCACGACGCTATGGGAGCAAGGCGGCGACGCTGTGCCTTGGTCTGTCACATTGTACTGTATAGGCGCGCTCCTGGAACTGTTTGCGGAACCTCTGTACACGTATGCATTGGGTCTACCGCAGTTTGTCATGGTGCGTATGGCGATGGAGGCAGGTGGTGTCCTGGCGAAATCGATCGTCAATGTCGTCCTTTTACAGCCCGTGTGCCTCGCATGGATGGCACGCAGTCTTGGCAGTGTATGGCATGTCCCATCTATGACGACTGTTCCTTATGCCTTGCTGGCCTTTGGGTGTGCGCGCGTCGCGTATGGCGGTATGGTCCTGCTCGTCGCAAGCATCAGTATCGCCTCGCTTCGGTCCTGGCGCACTGTTGGGTATACGCTGTGCCCCCAGCAAGGCTGTACGATGCGTGATCATGCTATGTGGTCCTTGATTCGCGTCACAACGGGGCAATCCATCCTCAAACTTCTGCTCACAGAAGGTGATAAAATGGCCATGACGCGATTCACGACGCTCGACGAACAGGGCGGGTATGCGTTGGCGAGCAACTATGGCTCGCTGATAGCTAGGACGTTTTTCCAGCCGATGGAAGAAAGTTCGCGCTTGCACTTTGCGCCATGTGCATCGAGTCGCTCGAACGCTGACCAGGCATCCGCAGCGCAGCTGCTCAGTGTGATGCTGCATCTGCATATGTTGCTAGGGACGTGTATTGTTGCCGCAGCGCCGCCCTTGGCACCGTCCCTGTTAGCATGGCTCGCAGGGCCTCAGTGGGCTGATTCCTCCGCCGCCGCCATTTTAGCGAGTTACTGCTGGTACATCCCTGTGATGGGTCTCAATGGAATGGCCGAGGCCTTCGTCCAGGCGGTTGCGCCGCCTAAGGTTCTTGCGTGGTACTCCCGTATCCTCCTTGGCTCTAGCGCGATGTTCTGGGGGACTTTGGTAGGCGGGTCCTACGTCCCTCTTCTTGCCTCGCTCGGCGCAAGTCGGATGGTATGGGCTAACGTTCTTGCGCTGAGTGTGCGAGTTGCTGCGTCGTTTTGGTACATTCAGCAGTACTGGGCATCGACACCGTTCCATGCACAGATGTCCCTCAGCTCGTTGCTGCCGCATACCAGTGTGCTCAGTGTGTGTGTGGGCTGTGCGATGGTGGGCCGAGCATGGCTCGCGCCGGCGATGCCATTGCTCCCTATGTTGGCCTCGATGGCTGGGATGGGTCTCTGTATGTTGATGGCATTGTATGTACGATGAAAAAGAAAACTAACTAACATGCAGATGGTATGGGGAACGACAAGCGATCTACGCCGCACTCCAGGTGCTGCGCTAGGCATGCAGAATGGGTATTCATCCACGAAAAAGCGCTTCGAGACGCATGGAGACGCGTCGCGAAGGCGTCGAAGTGCGCTGTCGTACAGGCGCTTGAAGGGCATGAAGCGAGATGAGCTGCTGTGCAAGAAAATCACCGGTGCCTGGGCGCATGCGCAGAATTTTCATGGCCATATCGGTCATCAGCGACTGGTCATCCTCGGTAACCTTGTCGCGTTTATGCTGCTTGATGGTGCCAAGGGAGCGCTGAGTCAATACCGACTTGGCACGAGCGCGGCGAGGAAGCTGGCTGGATGCCAGGCGCGCTTGAAAGCCGCGGACACACTCGACCATCAATGCATCGGTACTTTGATCATGCAATAGCAAATAGGAGAGGAGCTCACGGTACTGTGGGCCTTGCAGGATATCAAGAGGGATACCATGGGCCATGCCCGTCTCGGGATCGTATGCATTGAAGTACGAGCGCAGGAACGAGAGCCATTTGAACACAATGTCGACCTCCTTATCCAAGAGCTGCCGCATATCGCAGGGTGCGTCAGAGAGAGGAGGGACCAGTAAGCTTTCTAACGTACGTAGCACCTCTTTCCACACGCGCGTAAGCACAAACTGCAGCTGCGTATCGCTCAAGCTGCTCTTGAGCGTACCGAGCGTATCGTCAAAGTAATCCAGCAAAGGATTGAGGACCGCTTCCATTTCCTGGTCACTCAACGAGCCTTTCTTGGGCATATCCACAGGCGGGATCGAGGGCATCGCGCCATGCGCTTGTGCCTGTGCCATCGCCGATGCATACAAGGCACGCATATTGCCTACCACACGATCCACACGACCACCACGCACAAGCGACTTGAGCACGGAACGTGATAAGTACTGCCGCATGACCAACGACATGTGGTCTACCAAGACACGCACCATGTCCGTTTCTGTACGCTTTAACACTCGGAACGCACGCCCAAAGTAGTACAGAATTCCATCGTGTGATTCTTCGAGGCTCACACGAAGCGCCACTTGGCCATGATGACCGTCTAAATCCAGCCATACATCGCGTGTTTTGTGCTCCTGGAACGCACGTGGATTGAGATGCAGCGATGAACGGCCATACAGCATGGGCTCATGCTCAAATGTACGTTGCCATACCGTAATCGAAATCCACTGGGCATGGGAGCACGCCACATCAATGACTTCGTCCCAGCGGGGGGAGAGGGTATCAAAGATGGTACGTGTTTTAGCCAACCGCTGGCCTTGCTCATCGCTAATCGTGACAAAAGTATCGAGGCGCAGGGCCTCTGGTGTGGCAGCCAATTCGGCTTGGACAATTTTCACGCCAAACGAATACGTAGGCGTAGCTCGAGGCGCCGACGTAGGCTTGCGTGGCGATGCAGCTTCCACTGCATGTGCTGAGGCGGCAGACGCAGCGACTTCCGCTTCCCTCGAATTGGCGGTACGCTTGGCATGAAATTGCTGTACAATCGCCGCTTGCTGATCAGCATCCATAGCCTGGTACAACGCATCCAACGCATGACGCGCTGTCTCTAGATTGTTCAGCTTGATGCAGGAGTACGGCTGTAGTACAAACGGTGGCGCAGGCTTCTCACCCTGCAAGCTTTGCTGCGCCTTCGCCACCCAAGCAGCATGCTTCGCTGGTAGCGAAGCGAGAGCGACACTTGCCAAGCTGGAGGAGGTCTGAGAAGACGTGGAAGAGGCTGTAGGAAGCGGCGATTGTGTCATGTCACTCATATAAATCGCTTCAAGTTCACGACAATACTGCTCTAGCAAGCGCCCAATAGATCGAGTGAGGGCCGCATAAAACAGGGCCTGTTCGTATGCATCAGGCCAAGCCAGGGCTTGCAGCCAGGAAACAGATTGCTGCCATGCCTGCGCAACATCATGGATCGACGCACTGTGAGCCACATCGTGGCTCATCGGCTGGAAGGTATCGTTCTCCAAGGCGGTATGAATCCATGTACTCGTTTTCTGTTCGCTCCACGCCATCCATGCTTCGACATACGGCTGGAAGCAGGAGCGAAGGAAGGCCGCATCCAAGTTGTAGCGTGACATATACGGCTGCAGTCGCTTCCACAACGACAACGCTTCGTTGATTGAGTCCGCGTCCTGCTGGGCTTGAACTTGACGCCACATAACTTTATGTGCGGCAGCCAGATCGGCCACATACATCGGGAAAAGGTGCTGATCAATTTGGTCGCACACAGGCGCGCCAAGGACAGGCAGTGGTAGGCACATATACCAGTGCTGGTGCTGGTGCTCTAGCCACGTTAGGAGAGCGGAAAAGGTATTGACCAGAGGTTTCGAGCCCCAAAGAGCTTGCACTTGCGTAGCATACCGCTGGTGAGCCAGTGTGTGCACAGCCTCCAGCCAGGACTTGGAACGTGTCACTACCCAATCTGGCCGTTCAGGAAGTGGCACGGCTTCCACCTTCGCAAGCAAGGACAAGGCTGGCCGAGCTTCATCCGAGGTAGCTTCATCAGTCGAATACACAGAATACACGAGGCGAAGCAGCGTTTCTGCTAACCCGTCGGTGACTTTGGTGAGCAGAGTTCGCTCAGGCGTACGCCACTGTGTCGGGGATGAGAGCTGCAAAACTTGGGCAACGTCATTCCATGCCTCAGGAAGGCATGCAAATGGGATTTCGCCAGCATCAAACTTGCTCTTAAACAATCGCATAGTTGCCAGCGCTGAGAACGCAGGTGAAATGTTCCACATTTGGGAACAAATACGCAAGAGCTCAACATGCTTAGCTGAGAAGATAGATAAGAGCACTTCTTCTTCGGCTGACTTCTGTCGAATCGTTTCTAGATCTTTGTCAAGGCACCGCTGCGCTAAACGAAAGTAGGCAGCATTGGGATCAGGAGGTATAAAGGTAAACTCGTCGTCTGTCGCGTCTTTGGATACGTCTTGCACGTCAATACTTGATGCAAAGGGGTTGGTGCCGCTTGGTCGTGGAGGCAATGCATGCGTGGCCTCTAACATAGACATTTGCTGAGCCAATGAAGCCAGCGTGCTTTTCCGCCATGTTTGGTAGGCTTCATCTGAGAGAAAGTCGGCGGCACAGCCAGGCCAAGGGTGTTGGGTATGAACATAGTACACACACCGTTTTAGATCTTGGCATGCCGCTTCAATGGTACATGTAGACTGGATCGACTGGATATCCAGTACCACTTGATCCATGCTCGTAGTAAAGAGGGCAGCTACTGCTTGGACGTACGATGAAGTAGCGGCCGAGGTAGGGGTCGTCTCGGTTGCGTCCATAGACGTACGCGCAGATGTCGACTGGTACTCTTGCAACTGATCCAAAACACTGCTTGATGCTGTAGGCATCGTGCGGAGAGTATCATACATGAACCGCACGAAAAGAGACATTTGCTCGTCAAGAGCTAGCGAAATCTCGGCTTCGCTCGATAATCGCTTACCCAAGATCGCTTTGGCCGAATTATTGTACAGCCAAATCCACTCGTCAATCGTCCTAGTTTCTTTGAGACGCTTGGCTGTACTCTCCTCCAGGCTCATGCCGTACATTGAGCCTACAATTTGTCGAAATAACGGCGTATGAAATACGTCTGTATCGCGTCCCATAGCCGCCAATTTCATGCGCTCTACCATTTTGCGATAAAACTTTTCAGGTACACGTTCTCCTTTGTTGCGCCATTCACGCATACGCATCCTCAACCCCCCGCGCTCCTGGCGCACAGGGTCACTGGCTCGGGGGAGAGCGGGTAGAGGCCGTGAGGATGGCCGCCATAAATAGGCTAAGTATGCAATTTGTAAGGCAAATACATAAAGGTCTCCATCTGTGAGTCCACGTCGAGCCGGAAGCGACGCAGCACTACTCCGCGCCATCGCCACGAAGTCCGTACGCCGTGCCAAGGCCCTGGCGGACGTGCACGGTATACGATGTGGAGGGGATGTAATTCACCGCCTCCTCCAGGCCGGTGCGCCACATTGCCACGTGGGACTTGCGTGGCAAGCTCGGGGCCGAAAAGGGAAAAAAATACGCGCGAGCCGCTCTGTGGGTTTCTATCGCGCTATCATAACCATGTCGAAGGCAGACGAAGCCGATGATTTGTACGCTGATTTGTACGGTGAGGAGCCAGAGCCCACTGTGAGTGCTCCAGCACCTAAGGTAGAGGCGAGTGCAACGACAGAGCCTGTGGCAGCAGTGCCTGCGACGTCCACATCAGCTTCGATGACGACGACGCCAGCTGCGCCTGCAGCGCCGTTGGCATCGGCGACAGCGCCAAAGCCAGCGGAAATGGGTGCTAGCTTTATCCCAGGACAGCTTGCTGCGCCGCCTGTAGACTCTGCTGAAGCACGCACAGCTGCGGCAGCTCGTGGTGAGCATGTGGCCCCTCAGGACTTGCCAGATGAAGGGTATGTATTTAATAAGCCAGTTGGGGAATGTACACCCGATATGTGTTTGTATAATGGATCGTACGTGCCTCTTGTGCATGTGTGTACATAAGGACAGGAAAGAAAGAAACATAATAGACGAGAGTGATCTAGTGACTAGCGTCAACAAACGGGTAGGATATGATGTTGTATATGCACCGGTAATCGTCTTTTATGCCCTCTACCTATTTCGTTATGGATCTATCATTGTCGTGCTGCATATACTCAATGTTTACACTGCATACATGGAGTGATTGTGTTCGATCTAGTTGTACATCCACGTCTCGAATGAGCATTCTCACGAGAGAGGACGGATACTAACAGTTAGAAAAATGTTCGTTGGTGGCCTCAACTGGGACACAGACGAAGAGAGTTTGCGTCGTTACTTTGGTCAATTCGGCCCTGTGACGGCTTGCACAGTTATGCGTGATAGTGCTAGCGGGCGTTCGCGTGGCTTTGCGTTCGTCACATTCTCCGACCCCAAGTCTGTCAATGCTGTCATGGTGCGTGAACACTTCCTGGACGGCAAGATTATCGACCCCAAGCGTGCGATTCCTCGCCCAGAACAGTCCAAGACGCAAAAGTGCTTTGTGGGTGGCCTTCCACAAACTGTTACGCAAGATTCATTCAAGCAGCTCTTCCAGCAATTTGGCCATGTACTTGATAGCACAGTCATGATGGACAAGGATACAGGCCGGCCGCGTGGCTTCGGTTTTGTGACGTTTGAAAATGATGAAGGTGTAGAAAATACGCTGGCGCATCAGCCACTCATGCTTGATGGAAAGCAAATTGAAGTAAAGCGTGCCCAGTCCCGCGGTCAGCCGCAACCCAACGCGGCACCCAACCGATTTGTATCAGATCCAGCGCATGGTAGCAATGCTCAAGCTCCTCTGCGTATGTGGGGCAGCATGCCAGATGCCGGGAAGGGTGGCGCTCCTGGTGGCGCCCCTGGTGGCTTTGATCCCCAAGCTATGGCTAAGATGTACCAGCAAATGGGTTGGGGCAGCTCGGCGTGGAACCCACAAATGATGTGGCAGCAGATGATGGCTGCCTACATGGGTGGTGCCGCCGCTAAAGGCGGCTGGGCTCCAGGTGGCCAAGCATCCCCTCAAAATGGTAATGGATATGGTCGCTCTGGCCCGAGTGCTGGTGGCGATGCTGGTTGGAATGGTCGCGGTGGGTCAGGCTCTGATGACAGTCGCCCTGGTCGCTCTGGCGGCGGTTCTTACCAGCGCGAGCGTTCTCCCTCTCGTGGTTCACGCAACTACGATGAGCGCGGTAGCCGCTTTTAGTTATTTGTAGACGTAGCTTGCTATGAACTTGAGATAATGCAAGAAAAATGTTATTCACTGTTACTCTTGAGAGTCAAAAAAAAAAAAAAAAAGAGAGAATAAAAAGTGGACGAGACGGGATTTGAACCCGGGACCTTCTGCTGAATCGAGGGTTGAAGCTCGTTCAGTCACAATTTTTATGCGAAGCAGACGTCATACCACTAGACCACACGCCCTAGATTTACGGCTTTTTGGAAAAAGAAGAATATAAGACTAGTTGGACAGTTAATCTACTGCAAAGTGAAATTTGTGACGCCAACAACAAGTTAAAAAGAGCCACGGGTCGGTACCTCATACCATCATTGAGCTCATCATCTACTACGTACACGATTGACGTCAGGCTAAATAAAAGAGATGCTACAACACGCAGAACGAACAAAAAAGTGGACGAGACGGGATTTGAACCCGGGACCTTCTGCTGAATCGAGGGTTGAAGCTCGTTCAATCACAATTTTTATGCGAAGCAGACGTCATACCACTAGACCACACGCCCTCACAATAGTCGGCTTTTCTGAGAAGCGCGTCTATATAGAAGCGTGCATCGGTTATTGACGTCTAGATTTCGTCTTTCTCTGGTCCTCTGTATTGGAAAATAAGAAAGAAACTAGCAACGAAACTTATGAATAATAATCATGTGTTCAGAAACGTACGTAAACTACAGTACGGAAGATAGTGATCCGTCTGCACCGGTCGCATGGCACATATTGATGAGCCAGCTGACGGATCATCTGTGCAATATTCTCCCCACAAAATACGGCCAAGAAGTCTGGAGACCCTAAAGATAAGGGTCATGTGTTTTTGGCGCACCGCAGCAACAGTACCTGTGTCCTGAGGTCTAAGGGCCATTGCAAATTTACCGCAGTCGCTGCTGCGTTTCCAGCCAGATAATTCTAAGAAATTGCTTGATTTGATATGCACTGCGCCAATAAGAAGCCATATTATTATACAATCTGGGCAATCTGGGGTCATTTTCCACGGAATAAAATTAGTTATTGGTTGCAATCTCAAGCTACGTAGTTTGCTATCGCCGAACGCATTTTATTAGCCAAAATCGATACAGATAGCGCAGCTATCCCCCTTAGGGCGTAGAGACGAGAAAGGGAAATAGGTCTAGATAGACAGGAAATTAAGAAAAAAGAACAGAGCGTAAAGCTGCTCCTTCCCCAAGCACTTCTTTCCTCTCTAAGCGTTTTCCCCGCAAGAAGGGGCAATCGTCGTTTAGACATCATGACGAACGTCCACTTGGTTTCACCGCCCACCTATGGAAACGATTATGAGCAGCAGCATCATGAACATCATCATGGTGCGCACCCTCTTCATGAATACGATCTGCCGGCGGAACCAGCGCCCTATCAGGGTGCGGTGGCCGCTGTAGGCATGGTTGGCCAGGAAGACTACAATATGGAGCTGGAACAGACTGGCCATAAGCCTGAAATTTTCCCTGCTGGTGTTGCGCATCTCACGGATGCTGAAAAGCTTGACGAGACTATTGATGAGTGGCACTTCCCTACGGAGGAAGAGCGTATGACTCTGCGACGTGTTCCGGAAAAGATGAACTGGCCTGCGTTTGCTATTTGCGTTTGTGAATTCGCTGAGCGATTCAGTTATTACGGTGCGACACAGGTGTACTCGAACTTTATCAACAACCCTCGCCCCACTATTGGTGGTAACTTTTCGGAAACTGGTGCCAACCATGGCTCGGGTGAAGCCAAGTCTGGCGCTCTGGGTCTTGGTTCGGTGACGGCGCAGGGTCTGATCCTGTTCAATAGTTTCTGGTGCTATGTTACGCCTCTTATTGCCGCCTGGATTGCTGATGCCTATTTGGGCCGCTTCAGGATTATTTGCTATGGTGTGGTGATTGCGCAGGTGGGTCATATTCTTCTGGTGATTTCGGCCATTCCTGGTGTATTGAACAATCAAACGGGTGCGGAAGCATGCTTCGTGTTGGCTTTGATTATCATGGGCACTGGTACGGGTATATTCAAGTCAAGTTGCCCTGTGCTAGTCGCTGAGCAGATCAAGATCAAGGAGCAGACAGTCGTGACGCTCAAGTCGGGTGAGAAGGTTATTGTGGACCCTGCCCTGACGACCGCACGCACGTACATGTGGTACTACGAGATGATTAACCTGGGCTCCCTGGCAGGTCAGCTTGGTATGATTTACGCTGAGCGCAACGTTGGTTTCTGGCTTGCCTTTTTGCTCCCGACACTGGTGTTCTTCCTGCCCTTCCCTGTGCTTTGGTTTGGTCGCAACTACTACAAGTCGGAGCCTCCGAATGGCTCGGTGCTCACACAGGCATGTGGTGCTTTGTGGATCGGTATCAAGAAGACTGCGTCGTGGAACCCAATCAAGATGGTTCGTTCGTACGGCTCCAAGGAGTTCTGGGACTACGCTCGTCCGTCGAACTACCCTGACCCGAAGCCGAAGTGGATGACGTACGAGGACCGCTGGATTGACCAGCTGGCGCGTGGTATTAAGGCCTGCAACATCTTTGTACTGTTCCCGTTGTACTGGCTCTGCTACAACCAGATCAACAGTCCTTTGATTGTTCAGGCCGGTCAGATGGATATGGGTGGCTCGCCGAACGAATTGGTCGCGCAGCTTGACCCGATCTTTATTATTGTATTCGTGCTCCTCTTCCAGTTCGGTCTGTACCCGATGGCGGAGAAGTACAGCATTCCGTTCACGCCGATTCGCCGTATTACTATTGGTTTCATTCTCGCCAGTTTCTCCATGATCTGGGCCGCCGTCGTGCAGCACTACATTTACAAGACGAGTCCCTGCCATGACCACGTCGGTGATGAAGGTTACTTTGCGCCGGATGGTTCGGAGTGCTCGGAGTTGGACAAGAACCGTTCGCCGCTGAACATGTGGGTTACCGCCGGCGCTTTCGTCCTGATTGCGTTCAGTGAGCTGTTTGCCTCGGTGACGTCGATGGAGGTGGCTATGGTTATGGCGCCAAAGAACATGCGTTCGATTGTCATGGCGATTGGCTCCTTCACAAGTGCTGTGGCCTCGGCTATTGGTGAGGCGTTTGTACCTTTGGCTGAGAACCCGCTTTGGGTCGTGAACTACGGTGTGTTCGCTGGTCTCGCCTTTGTGGGTGGTATCCTGTTCTACATTTGCTTCCGCAATGTGGACCGTCACCAAGACGAGCTGAACCTGATCGGTCAAGAAGGCTTCGAGAATGAGGTGGCGTACGCGGAAGGACACCCTGGCGAGCCGAAGCCTGTCACGGGTAACGCTTACCCATCTGAGAAGACCGCAACGCAGGCTTGATCTTGTGCGATCATGACGTGGTGTCGTTGATTTGATAGTATACATTCTGCATACCCCTTATGTGTAGTAGTCAGGCCATGTTGATGAATATGATTCAGAGTGGCAGTACGATTTTTCAAAGTTACGGATTTAGCTATACTTATTTTTCATTCACGCTCGAAATTCGGCCCAATTAAGGACACAGTCCCTCTGGTCTGTAGGCGAAAACGCCCCCTTGCTCCTTCCTGCTAAAATACAATGCCATATTACATATCTACATAGCCGCCAATAGCACCACTCGCTGCATGATCAACGTCACCAGCATATGCGTCGCCCGTGGCGTCGAGCGGTGCCCCAGCCCCGTACGTATTCCAGAGCTGTGTACCGTAGGCGCCCGCGCCGTAGCCGCTACTATCGTTGCTGAGCCGGACCTCTTTCGCCCAGCTCTGCTTGAGCGAGCCCAGGTCGACAATGAGTTTCGTGCAAGCCTGCTGAAGTACTTCCGCTGGCGTCATCGTGCCATCCGTCTGGATCTTGACCAAGACCCGTGGCTCTAGAGGATGCGGCACTTTGTAGCCACAAAACAACACACCTGGCTGCGCAAGAACGGCATGCCGCAGCATATTACCGAGGGTATGATCTTCCTTATTGAATACAAAGGTAGCTGCGTTCGGGATACGCATATCTTCCTGAACTTCAATCCGTTGCTCCCCCGGCTGGAGGAGGAACAAGTTGAAGCGGTCGGGTGCGTTCGCCATGACGAACGGACTGGTATGGACTAGTATGTTAGCAAAGGCTCTTATCATGCTCATAGCATGCAAGCAGCGTGGGAGCAGGAAGGAAGGCGCCTCATATACCGTTGTAGTTTTTTGAGAAATCAATGGTCACGGCCTTGTCAGGCTCAGACAGTGTGAATAAGAATGTAATCCTAGGTACCTCCAGCCATGCTCCCTTGCCTATGCATGCGATAACTGCTCGGCACGTACCTGCTAATGGGGATGGTGGTCGTTGCGCGCCACGCTGGTGCCGCACCGATGGCCGTACGAGATGCAATCATCACGTGACCAGCACCAGGCAGCGAAGCCACGCGGCCTGTCGCCGGTGGTAGACCCCGCATCGTTCTACATACACAGTGGCGTGGCACGCAGGAGAGTGACGAACATGTCGGAACCGTCCAACTCTGCGCCGTCATCGTCAGTGGCGCCTACGGCGCCACGGGCGGACATGATTCAGAGTGCTGTCTCGTTCCTCGCTGATCCCAAGGTGCAAAGCTCGCCGATTTCTCAGCGTATTAGCTTCCTAGAATCCAAGGGGCTTACGCAGCAAGAAATTGACCTGGCGATGGGCCAAGTGGGTCGTGCTGTGGCTGGTCCGATGGGCTCCACGTCGGCCCAGGGACCGTATATGCAACCATACCCGATGATGCCGGCGTACCCACCGACGAAGCCCCAGCGCGACTGGCGCGACTGGTTTATTATGGCGGTCGTCTCTGGTACGGTCGGTTATGGCGTGATTTCGCTGGCTCGCGTACGTATGCCTGACACTGACATGACAGAGGTACCTGTACCCCCACCTGCAGCCGCCGAACCAAACTGCGCTCGAGGAAGAGCGTGATGCACTTACGGCCAAGTACGACGAAGTGGCCTTGCACCTGGAAGAATTGGAGCAGACCACAGAGGCAATGAGCAAGGGCCTTGCCGAGCAGCAGTCGGCCATTGAAGAGAGCGTGCGTGGTGTCAACGATATGGTGGCCGAGTCGCGTGCGCGTGAAGAGCAGCGTGACAAAGATCTCGACCAAATGAAGAAAGACATTGAGGAGATGCGTGACGAGTTTGCCGGCATGTTTGATCGCTCACGCAAGACGCAGCAGTCTGCGTTGGCTGATCTGCAGACGGAGCTCAAGTCGCTGCGCTCGCTCCTGGTCTCCCGCGGCGGTCTTTCGACGCCGACGCCGGGCGTGACGACGCCGCCTACAGCTAGCGCAAGCGATGGGAAGAACGCGGCGAACGACGCGGCTGCATCGACGCCGCCTGCCCGGCCCGCCCCTACGATTCCCGCTTGGCAGCTAGCTGACTCGACAGATGATTAATGCTTTCTATGTACGCCTTCATCCTTCCTTCTTCCTCCTCATAGCTAGCACTTTGCTCTATTCGATATTGCGCATGACTTTGCCGATGAGACCCGTCGCGAGATCCCGCGCTTCGTTCGCGACGTGCTCCAAGTCACGTCGCTCACGGGGAACAGCCACTTGCATCGGCCCCAGCCGCAAATGCGGTCCTTGCGAGCCGGCACTGGGCGGTGGCCGTGTGATGGATGCCGGGAGCGTCGAGGCGGAGTATTGTACCATTTGGAGGAACGACTGTGAGTTATGCACGGTCGTACCACCGAGCAAAAACCGCGTGCCAGGCCACGCTGGGGTAGCGTGTGTATTGGCAGCACTTGTTGCGCCGTTGAGCAGCGCAATGGACCGCGCCTCTTCGTACGTTGTACCCCCTACCATGAACAGAATTACGTCCTGAGGCCGCGCTGCTGGGCCGCCTGGGTACACAGTCGCAGGCACATCGAGTGCTGACGCATCGGCTGCGCCGGCAAATGGGTAGCTCGACGTTCGCAGCTTGCCACGCATGAGATTGTCGATGGTCTGTAGGAGGTGTGGGGTGTGCTGCGTATACACATTTTCAACACCACGTAAGCCTTTTAATGCACTTTTCCCCCGGGAGAAGAGGTTCTCGTTGGCAAACAAATCGTCCTGCCTCTGCTCGGCGCCAGCCATATTGAGCAGGATGTACACAAGAACCACGTCTGATTCGTCGAGTCCCACTTGTATCAGCTGACGGACCACGGCGTCGATCTGGTGGCCTGTCCACTTTTGGTACCGCAACGCATAGAGGATAGCAAGGCGCAGCTTTGCCTCGTTGGGAATGGCTGATGAGGCTAGCAGACTCTGCACATGCCGCAGGTCTGCCGAGTGACTCTCGTTGCTGGCCAGACTCTGCTCTAGCTCGCTGACTTGGAGCAGCTGCCGCTTCTCCACCAAGCCACTCAGCTCGTCCAGCAACGCCACATGCTTACTTACGTTGCCACGCAGCCGCTGGAACTCGGGGTACTCTTCCACGAAGCGTTTCATATCTTGGATGGTCTCCATCGACGCATTTGAGGCGGACCGTGTTTGGTACTGCAGGACATACTCTTTGATCGATGCGCCCAAATCGCCGAAATTATCATACAAGTTGGAGGCAAAGAAGGGATCGTTCTCGACTGAGAGCACAATATCTTGAGGACCCTTGTCTGTATGCAGTGTGGTGCATCCATTGTGGATGCCCATCAACTCGTGGACCATAGCCTGGTACGTCCATTGCGTGAGCAGGGGCGTCACAGGGTCATTTCGTCGATCGAGAATCAGAAGAAGGGGCGGGACTTCCGTGCGTCGAACATCAAAGAGTGATGCCTGCTCATGTGTCATCTGATGTACCACATCTTCGGCGAGCTTGCGTGCTATTGTGCTCATACGTTCATAGCGGACGACAGGTTTCTTTTTGAGACTGAGAAGGAGCGACGTAAGCGCTCGTGAATGTGTTTGGAACGCCTCCTGATCCCACTGCGACGTGCTGCCGGCCCACAATCGGTGGGGCGGTACCGCGTAGGCGAGGGTAAAGTGGGACGACGTGACAGGGATGTAGTCTGCAAAGAATTCCTGACGTGAGTGACCCTAGGCACATACCTGCACGGCCTGCACCACCTGATGCTGATCAGCCTCTGCCAAAGCTTCCATGTGCTGCTTGGATATCACATTGCTACTGTCTACCATGTCAGAAGGCATCGCATACGTACACAGCCAGTAGGCGCCATACTTGGGCCGCTGCAGCTCTTGACACAACGCTTGAATCGAGGTGTCGTTGGGCTGTATAAACACAACGCACTGCAAATGTGGCATGGGATCGCGGTGTGGATTGGCCAGTTTGTCAGTGAGGTATACTTCATGCTCTAGTAACGCGGACTGGGTAAATGTCGCAGAAATGGTAGGTGTCTGTGATCTTAGCTGGGCTTGCCTGACGTACCGTATGATCATCCAGGAGAAGCATTTTCATGCCTTGCACCTCCTTGATCATGCGCTCTATATACGCGTTCACGGCCTTGCATACATCCATGGCGCTGGGCAATGGAGAGGCAAATGAACGTAGCAACGATACATCCTCTCAGCGTGGCGCGGCCCTCGCAAGCAGGTGGAGGTCCGTCCACGCGCGTAAGGGACGGACATGGGGCTATCGAAATCTTGGCTGCCAACAATCTATCTATATCAATGCAAGGACTCTAAAAAAAAGTGCTATATTACTGGGGAATTTCGCAGGAGAATGGTGCTGTAACGTTGCCTGACGTATACTGGTCTCGAATAGAAATAGCGGCGGCCCATGTACCGGCAATTATGAAAAAGAAGCCAAGACCAATACCTGCCAAGGCCACGAGGAAACCCACTCTGTTCCGCCATGAGCCCCAATAGTTGTATTGGTGGCGGTACAGATAGGATAATGGTGCGACAAGGAAAAAGACACTCCAGAAGAGCGCTGAGGAGAGAGCCAGCAGACTGCTAAAGAATGGAATGACTTCGGCCAGGACGAACGCAATGGCCCAAGTAATCACGTTGATCACGATCCATACAATCCATACAACACGGTCGTTGTTGAGCAGGTGACGACGCTGACTGTTAAAGACATTGATCATAAACATCTTGGCCGTGGGCTGTGCAATTGCACAACCAGCTACAAGGATTGTCGGCAGCGCCAGACCATAACAGATCTTGATCATGATGGTCGTCAAGCTACCAAGCGACGGCGAGGTCACATATTGACCCAGGTTGTAGTTCATAATTGTACCGACAATGAGGTACAAGACCAACGAGCAGCTCATCAAGAGTGTAAGACTGCGAAGGAAGAGACGGGGGTCCTTCATTTCGGCCATGACGGGCAGGTACGCAGGTATCGAGCCGAAACTGATAAAGATGTTCATCACACCCAGCATGCCATCCAAAAAGTCTGGGTCATACTTGGGTGTTGCACCAAAGGCCAACACACGCTTGGGTGGGTCGCCGGGTTTGCTATTCGCAGGACCGGAGACGCCACTAGCAATCATCGCAATGATAACGACCGTCATGATCGATGTGAACGAGATAGCGGCAAATGCCGTGAACAGCTTGTACGAGCGCGGAAGACTGACGATGAACGAAATAATGGCGAACACGACGACCATAACCACCATGCAGGAGCGCCATCCGAGGTACCAGAACGCATAGCCGCCTAGCAGCGCGTGGTTGCCCTGCAAGAACACACTAAAAATGAACTGCGCCACAACAAAGAACGTTGCACCTGTCTTGCCATACATGAGATCACCAGCTTGCTGCAGGTTGTGCACACCAGGGAAAGTCATGCCAAGACGCCAGTACATGTAACCAATGTAGTATGACAAGGCACAGAAGAAGATCGTCACGAGGATAAACGGCACAATACCAATTGTAGCAACAATCACTGGGATACTCAAAATACCCAGCGCAATGGCGTAGGCAATCATGTTGAAAAACGCGCCGAAAAAGCCCAACGTGCGTGGGAATGGCTTCGGTTGGTTGTCGGTATAAGCTCCATTCACGCCCTCCAGCATACCATCATCCAGCGTATCTGCCTTGTACTTGACCGTCTCCGTGGTGGGTTCATTTGTGGCGTGGATGGGCTCCTGCACGATCTCTTGGTCATAGTCCTTTTCGTGCTCTGTTTGTGTTTCAGTGACAATGGCACTGATATCTTCGGTATACTTGATACGTCGCGTGAGTGCTTGATCACCGTGTGCAAACAAGTAGCTCACAATGGTGCGGCGTGGCACCTCTGCCTCGTCCGGCCACAGCGGATCCATGGTCTTACGATCAATCCCTTTTATGGAAGAAGAGCGCGCAGCGAACGAAAAAACAACGATGGGGCACGATGTAGGTGTGTATGTATAGCCAAGCGCCCCTGCTGCGCATGTCGTGACTTCGCTCTGCGTGGGGAACTGCTTTGAGAATGCCAGGCAGCGCCACTTTCACATGACAACCCTTTCTGACCTCCACCATGTCGACGAGTGCACCTAAACGTATGTGGGTGGATGGTGTGCGATGCATGCAACTGACACTTTGTAGCCTTGCCGACCTATGTTACCGTCTGCTCTGGCGCTGCAGCTGGTGCTGTAGAGCTGGTGTGTTTATACCCGCTAGGTACGTCCTACCTTGCTCACCTCAGATGTGGTCAAAACTCGTATGCAACTCTCGAAAGCCGGAACAGGAGCGCAGCGCCAAGGCATTATCAGTATGTTAGGTCATATCATCAAGAATGAGGGGTACGTGTTCGATCTACTTACGTAGACCAAGCAATTTGTATCGTGGCATGGCGCCTCTTCTCCTTCTCGAAGCGCCGAAGCGTGCGCTCAAGTTCGGGTTTGTATCGGAGATCAACTAACCATGAGTGCGAACGACTTTTGGGGAAAGACGTTCCGGTCATGGCTCAATGGCCATTCCAAACTGCATGCACTCCTCACAGGCTGTGCGGCAGGTGCGACAGAGAGCCTGATTGTAGTGCCGTTTGAGCTGGTCAAGATCCGTCTCCAAGATCCGAACCAGATGCACCTGTACAAAGGCCCGATGGATGTGGTGCGCCACATTTATGCCGAGCACGGACATAGAGGCTTGTACCGTGGCCTTTCTTCGACAATGCTGCGCCATGTGTTCTGGAACGGTGGCTACTTCGGCTCGATCCCGTTGGTCCGCGAGGCCCTGCCCGTCGCCACGACGCAGTCGGAGCGTCTACGGAACAGCCTGCTTTCTGGTACAATCGGCGGGTTTATCGGTACGGCGTTAAACACGCCGCTGGATGTCGTCAAGACACGGATTCGTACGTATGACTGCCTCTTTCTTACCTCAGAAAACTCGCATGCCAAGGCGGGCGAGCGGGCCAAGTACCACGGCACCTTCTCGTCGTTGGCCACCATCTTCCGCGAGGAAGGCGCTAGCGCGCTGTACAAGGGCTTTGTCCCGAAAGTCGCTCGTCTCGCGCCTGGCGGTGGTATTCTGTTGTTGGTCGTCGAAGTGATCAACAACGAAGTGCGTCGCCTTCTCGGTCCGCCTTACATTTAACGTATGCACGGCCTTTCGTAGCTATATACGTCCGTGAACAACCAAAGAAAGAAAGGAAGAACAACTATACATACGATCACGATGGCGTGACATACACGCGGCCGCCCAAGTTGAGGCGTTCGAGAATTTGGTCATAGAGGAACTTGTACGACCAGATATTGCCCTTCATCCGCCGAATATCCACGCTGTACAGGCCTTGCAGCTTGACAAGACGCGTAAGCTCAATCGACAGGCGCACTTCATGGCCGCCATCCTCGTGCGACTCGCCAAAGAGAGGGGGGCTCTGGGCCGCCGTAAAGGCCGCCTGCTCCAACGACTGCGCCGTGTTGGACATCGGCAAGGACGTCGTTGCTGCGCTGCTCAAACTCAGCCGCGCCATATCACCCTCCACCTCATCGCGGCTGGTCGAGACACGCGGCGTCGCTGTCGACCCAGCGCTGCCGCTACTCTTCGGCGTCATACGCGACCAGCGACGACGCGACGTCTCTTGTCGCTGACTGGAGAAGAACCGTTCCAGTTTGTTCAGGCGCTTCGGTCGCATACATTCGACGCGGAACTCGTACTTGGGCGTCGGCCGCATGGCTAGACCCATGTGCTGCAGCACCTGCACGAGCTCCGCAAACAGTTCGTCAGGGCGGCGTGTCGTCAAGGCAGCCTGATCCACGGCGCCCACATGCACTTTGAGACGGCGCTCCCAGTACAAGCGCGTTTCCATGCCTGTGTTCGACGGCAGCGGCGCCGAGGTGGGTGGCACATGCATCGAGACACGTCGCGGCGCGCCTTCCAAACGCTCACGCGCCAGCCGAAGCTGCTCGGCGCGGCTCGCATCGTCGGTGCGCATCCCACGCTCCACGTCCATCGACTTGGGGCGCACACGCCGCTTCTCCTCGTCTTGGCTCGACGCCAACGCGGCAGCGGCCGCCGCCGTCATGGCACTGGCCGTAGTGCCCGTGGCCTCGGACGCTTCCTCGTGCGTCGTCGCCATCGCAGGCTTGGCCATCGGTGTATGCCGGCCACTCAGGCGGCGCCACCATGACGCCTTGGCATGCTGCTCGGTCTGCGTCGAAGGCTGGCGTGGTTCGGTGTGACTCCACACGACGCTGGGACCCTCACTAGGCTTGCTGTTGTGGGCCGGTTCCTTGGCTCGTCGGTCCAGCGCCGTATCCAGCGAGGCACGCGGCGGAGGAACGGTGCTGGTAGCACTGGCCATACGTGGCGACGTCGTAGTGGTCGTAGGCATCGTCTCCACCTCACGAGGCGGCACGGGCATCGAGACGGGTCGGACACGTTCCATCTTGGGCTTGGTCGCACGTCGTGTAGGGTGCTCATCTTGCGTCAAGCGGGGGAGAACCATAGCCTCGTTGGCCAATTCGTACGACGAGTTGTGCCAGGGGAACACCAATGGCGGCGCCAGGGTTGAGGTGCCGTCCAAGTCACTGACAGGCGCAGCATCTGCGTCTGGAGCTGGGACAGATGCAGGCGCTGGGGCCGGCGCTGATGCCGGTACAGGGACGGGCGGTACATCGACAGAGGTGGGCTGTGGCGTCGCTGCCGTCTCGGTGGGCTCCGGCTTGGATACCGACGTCTTACGCGATCGCGATTCCTGACGACGCTGCGGAAGGAACGACGTAAGACTCAGTGGTTCCTGCCCAAACGACGACGGGCCTTCCTTGCGTGGTGAGGCGGTGGTATGCTGCATCGGTATCGGCACTGAAATCGGCGCGAGCATCGTCATGCTGGTGGTGGGGATCGTAAGCGGTGGGGCTAGTTTCGACTCGACACGACGTTCTTTCGAGATTCGGCGCTGCGGCGGTGCGAGCACCGTCGTAGTGAGCTCGTTGCTTAGCGTGCGTGGCTTGCCAGCCCGTTTGTTCGTGTCGTCCGTCTCGCTCTTGCGTTTGGACACCGTCGTTGTGGTCGTCGTCGTGGTTGGCGGCGTCAGCGTAGGCGCCGCAGCCATCGGCATCGACGATGATGTGGGCACAGCGGCAGGCATTGGCGGCGTTGCATCGGTCGAGCGCGTAGGCATCGGCGCGGCGGCTGTGGGCTTCGGGGGCGTCGTCAACGCAGCCTTGGGCACCGACGGCGCCGTGGCCGATACAGGGATCGGGGGCGAGGGCACAGGCGAGGCGAGAGGCGAGGCTGCCGCCGCCACGTTCGGCTGCCATGACGACGTAGATGACGACATGGACAAATTGGTCGCATGGGAGGCCGACGCGGGCATAGCAGTCGTCGTGTTGGACGTGGGCCATGTATGCTCCAACAACGCCTGCTGCTCTTCCATCTGATCGCGGTAGGCCTGGCGTTTCTTGGCTTGCTGCTCGATCGCGGCGTTTTCCAGCTCCTCGACCGAGAACTGGAAAATATCACGGTAGGGCGCGAGCCATGGATGGGCCATGACTTCGTCAAGCGTCGCGCGCTTGGTCGGATCTGGGACAAGCATACGCAGCAGCAACGACCGCGGCTCTGCGCCGATATAGTCAGGGAATGTCAGGGGCGTCGACATGATGTACTTGTACAGCATATTGATATTATCGCCTTCGGGGTTCGCTGGGTCGTCGTCAAAGGGCAAGTACCCGGCTAGCATGGCGTAGAGAATCACACCACAGGACCATACATCTACCGCCGCACCGACATAGAGACCATCCTGGACGACCAACTCGGGTGCCGCGTAGCATGGACTACCGCAGCTGGTCGCCATCAAGTCATTTTCACGTGCCGAAAAGTTGTTCGCAAAGCCGAAATCGGTGATCATGACGTTGCGATTCCGGTCCAAAAGCAGATTCTCCAGCTTCAAGTCACGATGAATGATCTTTTTGCGGTGCAGGTACGACACACCGGACACGAGCTGCGCAAAAAGACGACAGGCATCGCGTTCTTTCAGGCATTTGTGTGCCAAGATATAATCGAAGAGCTCGCCCCCGGCACCGTACTCCAGCACGATGCCAATGTAGCGCTCGGACTCAATGACCTCATACAGATGCACAATATTGGGATGCTTCAGCAGCTTGAGGATGTGAATCTCACGCTCTACTTTGCTCATCTTCGATTCGTCGGTGCCTTCTTCTTGCGCAGACGCAGCGACCTTCTCACGCTTAATCAGCTTGATAGCCACTTCTTCGCCATACTTGCGATGCACGCCCAACTTGACTTTGCCAAACTCGCCCTCACCCAACGTCTGCAGGAGAAGGTAGTTGCCAAAGTACACTTGCGGACGGCGTGGGTTCGCAGTAAAGTACGCAAGCGCCGCTGGCGAAGCCAGTGGGAGGGTATGTGGGTGGGATGGTGCAGGCGCCGTCGTCGTGGGGGGGTCGCTCGGCGTGGGCGGCGACGTGTTCGTCGCGCCGTTCACAGCCACCGCAGGCTGTGGATCTGCGGGGGTCATCACAGAAGGCACGCTCTCGCGCGCCACAGGATCTGCACTCGTCATAGACAAGGGGTAGGGGGGTCGAGGTACAACGACGTGGCTATGGCCGGCCAGCGATTATCGTTCAAAGAAGACGAGCCGTGGATGACTGCGAACGTCGCTACGCACGTCTTGACGCGCACCTCCCATTTGCGTCGAGCGTGCCCTGCATCCCTCGATTTAGCTAAGCCGAAATAGGCGCGTAAAAAGCGGCGGCTTGATCTGGTCATCGACGAATCCGTCGATGCAGAGAGCCAATCACCCGCGACTTTTTTCACCTCCACGTGAAGACCAACGTGGCACAAAGTGACGAGGCTTCGACAGCGTAGACGCGGCCAGAAAAAAAGTGTCACGTACGACGTGTGATGGCCTCAGCAGCTGCTGTGCTAGGGCCATGCATTCGATGCCGTGAGTCTACCGCGGCCATCCAAGTCCGCGAGGCAGCGTACTGCGCGACATGCTACCAACGCGTCTTTGACGAAAAAGTCCGTCCTAGTTTAGAGCATGTTCGTGGCGCCATCTTATGGGATAATGTCGTACGTCCGGCTCCTACACCCTCTGCGGGGCGAGCTGAGCCCGCGTTCGCCATCGCATTCGATGCAAGTGTAGGGAGCTGTGTCCTTTTACACGCCATGCACCGCAAGCTGCGTAGTACCCATCAGGCGCCTGCTGCGCTTGCCCGCGCGCCTGAGCGAGCGCGTATCGATGTGCTGTACGTGGACGATAGCGCCGTGGTGCCTGGCTTGACGTCCCAGACGCATGAAGAGGTGCGCTCGTTGGTCGCTGCCATCGCGCCCGATGCTACGTTTGTCGCCCTTCCCCTCGCCGACGTGTACACCGACCAGTGTGGCGTAGCGTATACACCGCAGCCGCAGGGCCACGGCACAATGGCGGCTTCTCTGACCCACTCTCTCGATACGACAGCCGCGTTGCAAGAGGCTCTGCGTACTGTGCAAGATACCCCGTCCCGTTTGGGCCTAAGTGCAGGGCGCACTCGTGCCGAAGACCTGCATCGCATTTTCCGGCATCGCGTATGGCACGAAGCCGCTCGTGCACGGCACTGTGCCGCTTTGGTATGGCCACAGCATGCATCGGATGCTGCAGCGTTCACGATTGAGGCGCTTGCGAAGGGAGCCGGTCATAAGCTTGCTGTCGAAGGCGCAGCTTCGTTGTGGATCGACGATGTGCTGCATCTTCATCCGCTTCGTGCCCACTTGCCCACGGAATTGGCCTTCTACGCGACTCAGCATGCGATACCTACGATGGACCTGCCTGCCTTGATCCCGCAAATCCCACCTACAACAGAGAGTACGTACGAGGCCATGGTGGACAAGCATAGTATCGGACGTCTCTCGGCGTCTCTCATTTCCGCCCTACAGTACGGCGTGTCAAGTACCTCGAGTACGGTCGTCGGTACGGCCAGCAAGCTGGTCATCCAAGATACCCGATTGTGGCCGACGACGCCATCCATCACCTTCCCTCGAATCGGCGCCAAGGCTGAGTCGTCGGTGCGTGCGGTGCTGCAACTGCCTCGGTGGGATCCCTCGACGATGCGGGCGTGCCCGTTGTGCCGCTTCCCAGCGCAACCTGGCGCTGCCCAATGGAAGGCGGATCACTCTATGGAGCCTACGTCATCGTCCCCTACTTCTGCGTCCGAGAATGCGCTATTTGCTATGCTATGCTACGCGTGCCTGCAAGTGTTCGATGTCACTTCGTCTCGTACGATGTACCTCCCACCCGATGTGCTGACCCTCACACAGCAGCCAGGCCGTCTGGCCTACTCTTCGTCGATCCCTGCTGAAGAGGCGCACGACGAGGATGCGGCAGCCATGCGCGCGGCGCTTGCTCAACCGCATGGTCCTCGCACGACGCATGCGCCGCAGCGCGTGTCGGTCGACGCGATGCGAGCGCACGTCGCCTCGTTCTTACTTGAGTAGTGGTCATAGCGTGGAGGTCACGAGGGCATGTTGCCACGTGCAGTCGGCGAGAGACGCGTGCGGTGTGCTGCCGTCCGTGGCCCAGCCACGCGGTCGCGTTGGGCGACGACAGCAACACCGGGGTCATGGCGCACGATCCCTCGTCGGCACCTCGTGCCGAGAACGCCGTGCCCGGCGGTGGTAAGACAGGGACCTCCCTGTCCAACGTGTTTTCCAGCACGAATACGTCGCTAGCTACGATTTCGTTCCAACCACGCTCCAATGCAACGACGACAGCGCCTACCATCAAGGCCCGCCTCGCTGAGGCGCCTGTGTTTGTGCCACGCAGTGCCACAGGTACACCGACACCTACCCCTGCGCAGGCGGCCGGCCTACCGGCCACGGCAGCCACGACGACGCACCCAGCCGCCTCGTCTTCGACGCCAGGCAGTAGTGCGATGCCCGCGCAGGCCGTCGGCGGCGGGAGTGCTGCGCCGGCCTCCCATGCTGCGATGTACACAGAGAACCCCGGCGCCTATGGCTCGTACGTCTCTTCCTACGATCCCTATGCTTCCTATGAACCGCGGGTGGAAGAAGTCGCCGTGCGCCATCCACTTCAGTACCATCTGTGTGCACCGCCTTTCCCGCACGTCAGCAACTTCCATCCGACACACTTGGCCGCAATGACGTTCTTTATGGATCCAGAGCTGCATGAGGAACTGCATCGGAAGCAGGAAGCACTGTATGCAACAGCGCCGCCTACGTCCATGTCAGAGGCAGGCAGTACACGGACGCTCCCGGAGTCGCTCCATGTGTACCACAACCTGGTCGCGCTCGAGCCGGGTGAGACTAGTATGCCCTCCTCGCTCTTGCATCATCGGTTCCATGCGCAGAGTACCAAGCATTTGACTGGCGCCGCTGGCGATCCCAGTCGTGTGTTTGGCTACCCCACGCACGTCTACAAAGCGACGTGTGCGCTGGATGGCAAGTGCTACGTTTTGCGCCGTCTTGAGGGTTTTCATCCACAGCAAACGGCCGCGATGAGTGCCGCAGAACGATGGCGCAAGATCCGGCATCCCAGTTTGGTCGCTGTACGTGAGGCCTTTACGACGCGTGCGTTTGGCGATCATTCGGTGGTGTTTGTGTACGACTACCATCCCCTGGCTACGACGCTGTATATGGAGCACATGACGGTCAAGCCCCTCCAGCCCGATCGGCGGACAGGCCGACTGCAGCCTGTCTCGATGCACGTCCCTGAACGTGTGCTGTGGAGCTATGCGTGCCAACTTGCAGGCTTGTTGCGTGTCGTACACAAGGCAGGCCTTGCCGTACGGTGTCTCGAGCCCAGCAAAGTCTTGCGGACCGCGCAGCATCGCGTGCGGCTGAATGGGTGTGCGATTTTCGATGTGCTGTTTTACCAACCGCAGACGCCGCCTGACGCCCTGGTCGCGCAGCAGCAGGACGATATCCAGGCGCTCGGCCGCTTGTTGCTCTCGACAGGCTGCAACAATGTTGCAGCGGCGCAAGGCGAGGAGGCGATCACTGCGAGCCTTGAGACGTTCCAGCAGCGCTACGGTACGAAGCTCACCGCGTTTCTGAAGCAGCTGCTCTCGAGTGAGTCGCATACCCACATCAACGACGTGCTCACAGAGTTGGCGCCGTACTTGGCCGACGAGCAGAGCAGCACCCTGAACCATGCCGATATGCTCGAAGCGTCGCTCATGCGCGAGCTGGAGAATGGGCGCTTGGTGCGTCTGCTTTGCAAGCTGAATGCGCTGCAAGAGTCGGATCATACGAATACAGAGAGCGGCGAGCGCTACGTCATTCGTCTGTTCCGTGATATGGTCTTCCATGCCGTCGACGAACATGGCCGACCCGCGATGGATCTGAGTCATGTGCTTGTGCACCTCAATAAACTCGATGCAGGCGTCGACGAAAAAATGATGCTGACCAGTCGCGACGAGCTGAACTGTGTGTTGGTCAGCTATGCCGACGTGAAGAAGTACGTCGAAGCGGCGTACGCCGAGTTGGTACGTCCCTAGTCGTATGTAGCATAACCCACTGTACGCCTTAGGTCGACGTGTACCGCTTCGCCATCTCTGCCAGCATGGCCCGCGTAGCCTTCTCTTTCGCTTGCCACGCCTCTCGACGCGCTGCATGCTCCGCTTTTTTCGCCGCGTCACGCTGGGCACGGCGCTGGGCATGGCGGTCTCTGGCTTGAAGGCTAGGTCGTTAGATGCTGTGTACGTACGCCGCTTGGAACGAAGCTTGCGTGCTGGTGCCTAGCAAGGCCTCGTCGGACAATCCATCGGCGATATCGTCGTCGATCGAATGCCGCTCGGCCATCGCTCGATACTCAGCGGCTCGTTCTCGTTTCTTTTCCAACAGACGTTCCCGACCTGTCGCTCGCGGTGCATGCTCGTCCAGCCACGCGGCTGTAGCACGTCGGTCCTCACGGCGCTGCGCCCTTTTCGCCTCGCGTGCCTGCTCGGCTTGCATTTCGCGGGTATACTGCCAATCGGCGACAGAGCGTGGCGGTGGCGAACACACTGCAAAGGCCCATCGATACCGCGTATGCTCACCTTTGCGTCGTCCGGCATACATGTCGTCTACGTGTGAGCACTATGCCTCGTACCTTCCAACGCGCCCTGATTCCACGCGTCGACAAACTCGTCAAAGTAGCCTCGCGCTACGTCTCGCGTCAGCTCGTCTAAATACATATGCCGGGCCGCTAGCCACGCACGAAACTCGTTGGCCCGGGCATAGTACGAGTCGCTCGTGAGGCGGGGGGCATCGTACGGAAGCGTCCTTCGACGCGGCGCGGCGCTCCGTCGCGGCGGGGCCATCGTTGTTCAATGTGGAGGCGTCACGGCCCTGGGTCTACCTCCTCTATGGATTCTCCGGCGACATGCCAAACACGTCATCCAACTCGTCGGTCGTCGTAGGCTGCACAGAGTCCATCGTCGGTGGACGCGTGGTCGGAGCCTCGCGCTCTTTGGCAGGCGCGCCTGGCATGGGCGGAGCAAGGCCGGGCGGCGCCAAGTTCTCCGGACTCCATGGACCTGCCTGGGTATGTGGCGACATCCATAGGTACCGATCCTTCTCCGTACGTGGCGTACCCGATTCAGAGAGAGAACGTGCCGGTTTCGATGTTGCCGCCCAGCGATGCGACGTGGTAGGGATCATGCTAGGTGGTGGCATGACTACTCGCGCATCCACGTCGCGAGGCTTGCGCTGTGGCGAGGAATTCGCACTGGGCGGCGCAGTGGATGTCGTTCGTGACGTCCTATACGGGGGACCGGGCATCGCGGGGTACAAGCCATATGTCTGTGCGAGCGGTGCAAGCATTGCATGCGACGGTGGGAAGGACACGCCTTGCACAAGCCCACGAGCCATGTCTTCAAACGCCATAGTCGATCCCGAGAAGGGCATACGCTCACGTGGGACCTGCATAGGCCGGCCATGCATACGTCCACGTCCATCATGCCGCGCATCCGGGGCGCGCGTCAGTCCATCTTCGCGCTCAGCGCAGAGGTCCGCAAGAAGCTGCGGCGCCCGAACACTGCGATTCGCCAGCAGGCGACTCGCGCGCATAAACTCGCCACGTATGGTATACAGCCCATCCTTGGTGACTGTACGTGCCACATTGTATCCCGCTTGGAACGGGTCTTCTATGCCCAGCATCTCTGACTGCCATCCACGCGACTCCTTGGTTATCAATCCGCCTTCGGTGCGGATGGACATAGCATCCTTGGTATAGTTGAAATCGCGTGAAAAGTAGCGGAAGAAGTCGAGGAGCAACTCACCGAGCGATTCCGTGTTGTCCGAGTGCCAGCTCTGTCGTAGTGCCTCCATGTCATCGAAAAAGTAAATGTTGTGTCCCTCCAGCACAATGTCCTCCGGCAAAACACGCTTCCTTGTGGGGATACGTTGCAAATTGGGGAGCACAGGGGGCCGCTTGACATGTATTAGGAAAAAGAGGACCATAAGTGTGTATCCATACGACGAAAGCGTCCCTGTAAACGGCGCATTGAGCTTCCGCCGCTTCGTCCACACTTTGACAAACAACACCAAGGAGCGCAATCGCGGCGGATCGAGCATCGCATACGAAAGTAGCAGTCGTGTATTCTCCAACGCAAGACGATTGTTGAACCCAATATCGCACGCCATATCGTACGCGTGCGCCTCGCCTTTGGCACGGCTGATTTTCAGGATCGGAATGCGCGCTTGCGGCAGCGGCAGCACATGGAAATCTGTCTCACGACGAATGAGATCACTAAGTGCCTCGACTAGCTCGGCAGAGGTACGCGTCTTTTCCTCACTTTTGTTTGGCGGTACAAGACAGCACAGGTCCATATCTAGCGGCGTTAGTAGTCAGACAAATACATACCTGAATAACGCAGCGCAAAGCCATTGGCCATGCTGCCAAAGGCAAGGAGCTTGGCGTCAGGGTGTAGCTTCGTTGCAAGACCTAACAACTGACGACGTACAGCTTCCTTCGCGCGATACTCCTCTTCGGATGGCAATAGCGGCGTCAGGAACTCCACGATGGCACGCGAAAGATCGGCCGTATGGCGCTCATACGAGTAGGGAATCTGTGATGAGGACATAGGCCGACCAGCGAAACCTTCTGTGGATGACGAAGCACCGCCCTCTCGCGGCGTAGGTGCGTGTCCCGCAGGCGGTGCACCACCATTACCGTCCAGACGCCAGCGTCCGTGCGTCGCATCATGAGAATGCGCGCGTATTTTAGCACTCGCATTGGGCGTACTAGTACGTGAACGTGTAGCCTCGGACGAACTCATGTCGTTTTGCACACAAGCACCTCGTCGTAGCGGCTCTACGGCGAAGAATATAGGCCAGGCTGGGGTTCACGCACAGCAATGGAAAAGGGACGCGCGTTGCAACGGGGCTCGTGGGTATGGAGGCTATGGAGGTGTGTATTCATACATCAAAAGTGCCTGGCCTGCTGGCTATGCGAGCATCGTTTACGCTTCACGCAGCTCTTTCTGCAGGACGGTGCGTTCCGCTTCCGAGACCTGGTGTCAGTGCTTGATTCACGTACCTTCCAGTACTTGGTCTTGCGGTGAACAAACGGCTCAACACGCAAATTCGCCGGGCGATCTGGCATCGCCATCAGCTGCTCGGCGACTTTTTGAATGCGCTCACGAGGCGGTTGTGGAGATGCCGGCGTAGCTTCCAAGATACGTGGGATCTCGCTGGCCGGGAGTGGCTTGATGCGCAGCAAGCGGGCGGTGCTAGCCAACATGCTGTGAGAAGAAGAAAAGACGACGACGAACCGCAACGACGACCGATGGTTTATCACGTGAGAGTGGAGGGTCGCGCCGACGCGCACAGACGAGCTACAATCTCGCCCCCTCCGTTCGACGCGAGACTCCCCACACACGCGTCAGTGTGACGCTGGTGCTCCATCATGTGGGCTTCCCTGCTGCAACATTGTGTAGATGAGGTGGCGATGGACGGTGAAGCAGGTACGTACCTCTCAAACTTATATCAGGCTCGCATGTCGACCGCCTCTTCTCGTTTGCCGAGGCTTATTGTGCTACCCTGCCTACCGATGCCCAACCAGTCTGGGACGATGCTTATCGAGCATGGGTATGGCGACAAGTTCTGCAGGATGGACGCCTATTCGTAGGCGTAGCGTCCAAAGAGCCTGCTTCCATGTCGACATCCACCACTTCTGCCTCCCCTAAAGCCCCACGGACTTCAATCTTAGGGAAAGGCAAGGCAAGCAACAATGCACTCGCATCGTCTGCCACGCCTACACCACTGAAAGATACAGAACTCCAAAAACCCCTCTCTTCTTTGCAAGACACTTATGGGGAAGCATTGCGAGTATACATGTCGGCGGATCATGTTCGTCGTGTGCTGACAGGCTCCGATGCGCCGTTTGTCTCTGCTGCTGCCTACGATGCTTTGCAGCGAGTCTGTCGTGCACGCTCCGCTGGTCTCACCGTAGTGGAGCTGGGTGCGCAAACCCAGTACGATCAAAAAACCGTGTACTATCTTGTGAAAACCCTAGTCGAACGGCACCTTGTCGTCAAGTTTGCCGCACCAGAAATGGGACATGTCTCCAATTATGTGGTAGCCAAGCGTTATTTGGCCGACAATCCTCAGTGGCGCGCACAGCAAGCGGCTGAAGCTCCTTCCACGGCATCGGACAACCCAGACGCTTCCTCCGCGGTGGGCGAGCCTACGTTGGTCGACGTGGAGCGTCTGTCCGCCATGGCTGCGATGGACGCCGCGGATGAGGCAGAGGACGTATCGGAGACTACGGCCTCTGCGTCTACGGCCCCCACCGCCTCTCTAGCATTGCCTCCTGCTCTTGATCCGCATGATCATGCCATGCTAGCCTTTCCTCTTCTAAGTGAAGAGCAGAGCTCCGTGTGGCTTCACAGTCGGCAGGCGTTGCTTACGAAGCGGCTGATTCGTCTCTTGCAAGCCTCTACGTCTCATATGACACCTCGCCGATTCTTGGAAGTCCGTCTTGGTTTACGTCGTGTGCCGACGTTGCGCCGCGGCTTCCTTGCCTTTTTGAATCGGCACATCGCCTCTGGCTTGATTGAACGTGTACGTGTCCAGTTTCCTTCCACTACGCCCTTGTATATTCGTCTCACGGAGCGGTCCTCAGACACTCCTTCGGATACCCATGCACCATCGTTGCCAAGCGGCGATGCCACCCCCACCACAATGGCGTGCACATGGGATGCTCCGCTTGAGGCACAGCTACTGCGCCATATTGACGAAACAGGTGCCTCCGGGTGTACCATGCAAGAGCTAGCAGAAAAATTTGCGTTCTCTGCTGAAGTAAAGCGGATGGTCGAGCATATCTTGGCGCGGCAAGTGCCCTCAGGCGCACCGCCCTACCCTGCGTTAGCTATTTGCGCTCCTTTTGAGCAAGCAGGTCGTGAACGACGAATTCGCTACTATACGGCCCGTGGGTTCGAAGCGCATTGCCAAGCAGAGGGACTCTCGATGACCACGGCGCTGGGGATCACGGGAGGAACGGCTCCTTCGTCTGTTTCATGGATAGCCGTGCCTGCCTGGCTCCCTGGGGAGGCGTTCTTTGCATCCGCTGATGAGTTGCAGGATACGATGCAGCGTGTACAGCAGAATACCATCGGCTTTTTCCGCGACAAGGCTGGCCCTGTCTCGTTGCGCCCGCCCAAACGAAAGGCGCCTATTGATCCTACTACCGGCAAAGCGAAGCGGGGTCGTCCACGAAAGAATGCCCCACGGCCCTCTGAGCCAACGCCAGAGCCTGTCACGGAAAAGCCTGAGGAAGAGCCGGATACCAAGCAAGAAGACACGTCCATGGCCATTGATCCTGCCGTGACTGAAGGATGGCAAGTATTCCAACCTGTGGCTACCCGTTCTAGCGACACACGCGCCAATCTCAGTGCCTTTCAGCGAAGTACCCTTTTGGCGCATGTCGTCGAATTTGCTGGCGGTGCTTTGGACGATATTGATGTGCCGCGACGGACTCGCGCATATCTAGCGTCTCAGGCCAATTCAGATGCAAATACACAGGCAGGCGGCGATCTCGCGGATCGGTCTACACGTACCAAGGCCATTGCCCATGCGGAGCGTCGTGGGCTGTTGCGTACACTAAAAGTCGCTCGACCTGATGATGGGCAAAAGCCACGTACGATTTTGCATCTGGCTTCCTTGCAAGGCGCCGCACTTCAATCTGCTGTCGAAGCTGCCTTTACTACCACAGAGTCACGAGGCGTGGTTACGCATGACGATGTACTGGCCTCTCATGCAGGGCTTGCGGCCCCGGCTTTGCCGCCCACGATGCCTTGGGCCGATTCCACGCCCATTGTGTACGGGAAAGACGATCCTCTAGATGATCCTGCTACGCAACATGCGTTTGCCAAGCATACGCATGTCTTGCGGCAATACTATGGCTTTGCTCATGGCAGTGCTGCACGCCTTATGCTCTTTTTGGACAGTGCATGGACAGCCGCTCACACGGATGGCACCTTCTCGCTCCAGTGGTTTGTGACAGAGTCTCCTCTTACGACGTTTGTGGCGCTTGTGCCTGTACGCTTGCGCTCCCCTAGTGTCGTGCGGGCAGTGACGCAGGCACGCACAACGACGTGTGTACAGGATGTGCCACCATCCGTGGCGCGTCGGCTGGGCTTGAGCCCTACTCGTACACCGACAGCACGACTGGCTACCTATGCTCAGCAGCTGTGTGAATTGGGGCTGTGCACCCCTGTAGCACACGAAGAGGAAGACAAGGCACCGACTTGGCGCCTTGTTACTTCGGTGCCTCATCCAGATGAGCCTGCGACACCTCTCTCGCTCTCGACGCATGAAGCACGTGCTGCATACTGGGCGACCCTCCGAGCGCACATTGAGCGTGACCGGTCCTCATCCCTTGCCAAGCCCTATCTTACTGCGCCGCATGCATGGCAGACCGACTTTCTCTTGCGTGGGATCCAAAAAGCGTTCTTACGAAGGTACACACTTCCCGGCGGTGCACGTCCACCCAGCGAGGCGTACGAGCGAGTGGGGCATGTAGTCTTTGCCCCCACCAGTGTCATTGAGGCCTACTTTGAGGCACGTTCGCGTACGGGTCCTTCTGCTACGGAAACCATCGCTCGCAAAGTCGAAGCACGTCGTGCCGCCCGCGCGACAGAGTGGGCCAATGCCTGGGCGGCCGTGTGTGCGGAGAGGCCCCTGCCCTCAGAAATTCCACGCGCCGTTTCCCAACTGGAAGAGCGATACGTGGCAAGCCGCGAGGCATGGGCGCCGGCACTGCTTCAGCAGCGTCTTACTCGAGCCCTGCAAGGCGGCAGCACAGCTCATCGGACACCTGGTGAGCGCATACGTGTGCGACGCTCACGTCGTGCTATTCAATGGACAGCAGCACACCAAGTACGCCTATGCCATGCGTACGTGATTCTCCGTGAACGACAGCGTGCATGGCATGCCTGGCACCTATCGCAAGGGGCGCCTCCGCCCCCCGATGACTGGTCGGCGCTAGCACAGCTTGTGGACGATGATGGTGAAGATGGCGACGCGCCTTCGGCATGGACGACATGGCGTGTCCGACGACAACAGCTATCTCGATCGCCGCCTATGTTGAGCCGGTTGGCCTCCGTGGAGCGTGTATGGCACCGTTTTGCGCAAGAAGCTCGACGGGATGGCCGCCTTGTGGATCCTCACTGGCCTCACCCCTCGTCGCTCGACTTGAAAGCGCATTTATCTTTGTTTGAGGCGAACATCGATGCGGATGAAATCGCAAAGGCCCATGCCAAGGCGGTAGCACGTATTGTTCTTCCTCTTACTTGGACCGAGCGTGATGCGGAGGCCTGGGTCAGCACGGCCGAGGCCATTCCTCCCCTGTCATGGCCGAGCGAGAGTGCCCCGATGGTACACCGATTGGAAGCGCTGCGCCAGCGTGCATGGACCATGCGCATGCTACCCTCAGCGGTAGCATCGTTGCCCATTCTCTCTTCTATCGCCACGGCCTGCGTCCACATGCTTGTAACACGTCCTCTATCTCGGGATGCTATGCGTCAATGGACGCAGGCAGGCACTGCGGCGTTTCCCCAAGCGTTGGAAAGTGCTATGGACGCTATGCTATCGCAACGCATTGTGCGCTGGCTCGATGATATGCTGGTGTATACGGACGAATATGTACGAGCATGGACTTCAGCATGGCCCATGGCTGACGATGCCTATGCTGCGTATGTGCAAGCAAGCCAGCAGACTTCGATCACCGCGCACCCTGCTGCCTCCGATGGTGCGACGGCTGCATGGATCGCGATGCTCGAAGCAGGCGAAGTGCATCCCACACTCGATATGGGACCTTTGCATGCACTACGACGACGGACAAAGTTAAATGCACGGACTCTTGATGATATCGAGACGGAATGCCTTGTGACATTGACGCCGACATCGGCTATGCCACATGGGAACACATCCCTCCCTGCGCCCCCCTGTGGGCCGGCACCGACCTTTGAGACGTGGAATCCTGATGCTGTTCCACCTGCTTGGACCACATGTCTAGAGGAGGCGGGTGCTGAGGGCGTTTGTGTCTCCTCGCTGGATGTGACTTGGCTTGCCCAGCATCCCATCCCGACGAGTGTTCTGCGCCTAGGGTACGATACACCGCGTCTTGTGCATCCAAAGTTTGTCGAGGCATGGTCGTGTGCGTCACTGGATATGTCGACAGCACAGCAGCGTGTATGGCCACGACCCTGGTACGATGCGTATGGTACGCTACATACCAAGGTATGGCAGCAGCGCTATGTTTCTGTACTGGCCTACATCCATCAGCACCCTGGCGTGACCCTGGCTACGCTTCACACGTCTATGGCGCCATGGCTGGACCGACTGGCACTCCTCGACGTGGTACATGTGGCGGTGAAGGAAAAAGCGGTCCAGGTCCTAGTGAACCCGTCTACGTCTCTGGATTGGGACGTGACAGCGCCGGAGGACGTGGCCCTGCACCCTGGCGCGGCACGTGCGTTATGGACAGCGCAGGTGACCGTTTCGGCGTAGGTAGGCATTGCTTTCCAATATGACTATAATACAAAGTACGAAGCGTCTACATAGGAGGCGGCAAAGAAACACTGCGCGCCGTGGCCGATGGTAGGGCATCGTGTTGTTGATGGATGGGATGCTGTGTACGTTCAAAGTGCATGAGCTCTGCAATGAATCCGATGTTGGGCGATGCATCAGGCCGACATGTCGTGACATATGCATAGGCCTGTTGCAGACGCCAGCGGCGCTGATGCATGAGGTAGGCCATCACGATCATGGCACTACGTGACTTGCCTGCACGGCAGTGGACATACGTGGGCAGGCCGCGCTCGTGCATAATGTCAAGAAACGAACAAGCCTGATTTAGGGCTGTTTGGACGCCGTCTGCTTCCACCGAGTCATGCATAGGCAGGTACAAGTATTCTTCGAATTGTTGACGTAGTTGCAATTCAGGCGTACCACCATCTTCGACTTCCTGCGCCGTATTGATAATAGCACGTACACCAAGCGTACGAAGCACCATGACGTTATCAGGTGTCTGGATGTCTGGGCCAAGGTACAGCTCATTAGGAATAATGGTCGATACATCGAACGTAAGTACATCGTATATCTCACGTGCACTTTGTGGCTCGTCGAACAATGCACCATCGCTAAAACGCGTCATGGTTGGCATAGCCGTGGTAGCCACATGCAAATGAGATGCCTTCGACATCCTTGATCCTTCGCGGGTCGTATGGCGCCGAGCCACGAGGGGCAAAGGCGGTGCAGGCCCAGAAGACGTACGTAGCCGCGGTAGGGAAGGACGATGGCTGGATAAAAGCCGCAGTGGACTTGGCATTTTTTCTTGTGTACTCGTAGCAAAAGATGACAGGAACGACGACGTAGCATCTACTGGCCCTGGTGTCGCGATGATGGATGTATCTTCGTCCTCTTGACTAGGTTCAGCGTCCAGAACGCGGAACCACGCTAAACTTTCAGGGGTTTCACGGAGTGTACGCATGCCACCCGGAACGTAGTACAGTCCATGCCGTGCTTCGGCTACTTGTGGACTTTGGGAGGCCAGGGAAGCTACACGCGTTCGCAATGCCGCGATAAGTTTGAGAAGCAAATGCCCTGCCAAAGCTGAGGTATCGTCTTCGTACAGCACGAGTACATCGAGGAACCAATACGCCCGCATCAGGGCCTCGAGGGTGTCCTGCGGCACGGATGCCGCAGCGGAATGTGTACGCTGTGTCTCGTAGAGCGACCGATAATGTTTGATATTGCTTGGCAAATGAATGAAACTCACCACGTCCATGGTATCCAACATCTCCGGTTGATTGGCCAACGCCCGCTGCATGCGACGCAAGAGAAGGGATGGAATCTGGACATTAATGGCGCCTTGGATATGACCTGTACCCAAGCATGTCATGGCCTGACTATCTCTGCATCCCATGTAAATATGCGAAGGTCGCGTATCCAGCAAGAGGAAAGGCGCTGTACTGGTGGATTGCCATGGTACAGCTACGCACGGGTCGCCCATATGGTCACATACGACGGGCTTGGATGGCAATGGAGGATCAGACGAAAGCAATGGGGGCGAAAAAGCTACCGGCGATGCTGTTGCTGTTGGCATGCTGGCCGATAATCCATGCGCCGACGTGGAAGGTGCGCATAGACACTCAGGGTACGTCGGTGTGGATGGCGAGAGAGCTGGAAGAGTCGCAGCTACGCTTTCTGATTGATCCTTAGGTGACTCGTCTGGCGACACACAGAGAGACAATGCCGGCACAGCCACAGGCACTCGTCGACGACCGCCTGGAATACATAGACCGTCTTGGGTTGAGTCTGAGCAACAAGAAGAAGATTGGTCTGGTCTAGCTTGGTTAGGATGCCCATCTTCCGTCTCTGTGGAAGGACAGGAAGCGGCTACACGCGCTGCGACATCGTGAGGCGTGATAGCCAAGGCACATGCATTGGCTTTTCCGGGGGGCATACTCATGACGATGGAGATGCACAAAGGATCACCGTATTATCCGTAGGTTATATACACGAAACAGGATTGAAAGCGTGATCGCGTGAGCAGGCGCTGCCGTAGTGAGAAATGAAGCGTCACGACGATAGCGTGATGGAAGTTGGTCGTTGGTACTGAATGCCAGACGTTGCACCCTCCCACAATCTAGAAAGCGTGCGCGAGCGAGTACGGTACAGTGCAGCACACGTACACAATCAAACCTCGGCCCACCAGCGGCACAGGGTGGTGTGCCAGGAAAAGTAGGTCCCTCCTAACCGATAGACCAACGCGGAGGCGAGCGGTGAAGCGACGTTCGCGTCCTTGTGTGGCACCCTCCACCTGGGCGACGCAAGCGCCTGCCCAGCGCGAGAAAGGGGGCGACTTGGTACACCTACCTACTAGGCCCCCGATGATATCGGGCTGTGCGCGTACGTCATGCTTGGGGGCTCGGCCGATATATGCCGCAGCGCATCACGTGGAGTCCAGAAGACGGATGCCGTGGCACGCTGGCGGCGTCGTCTCCGCCATCGATCGCACTGACAAGCGCGCCGAGGTGCTAGATTTGACCCTTGGTGTTACACAGCGTCCGTGTCCCCATATCATATAATGTCGACAACGCCGAGTGGGTCGGCATCCCGCCGGGGTGCCGCCGCACGGCGCCGTGCTGCCCCACGTCAACGTGGTGCCGCGGCTGCGGAAGACGAGACTGACCAGGTGCGTGCCCTGCGTGCCAAATACCCGACACAGCTTGCGATGCTATCGGAGCTATTCCCAGCCTGGTCGGATGAAGACCTTTTGTTTGTCCTCCAAGAGAGCCAGGGTGAAGTCGAGGTGGCTGTAGGCCGCATTAGCGAAGGCCACGCTGAACAGTTCTCCTCCGTGAAATCGAAAAAGACGCAGAAGAAAGAGGCAGCGGCAGCACATGCTGCTACCGTGCCAACGACCACTAGCTCCACCGCGACACCCCCTGCGACTGTCGTGCCTGCGCCTGCACCGACTGTTGCCTCCGCGGAAGGTGCGTCGTCGCGTCGTGCTCGTACACATGAACGTGGTTCGCGTGGTCGTGGTGCTAGCACCCCTGCTGCGCGTGGTGGCCGCGGTGGTTTCCGTGGTGTAGCGCGTGGCGGTTCTAATGCCGGTGTCTCATCGACGATGGGCGCTGGTGTGCCGAATGATACGACTGGCTCTATGCCCGTAATCACCACGGCGGCGGCCTTTGGTTTGAAGACGCCGCAACCCACGTCTACGACTTCCACCCCTGCCACTTCCGCCCCGAATGCCACGAACACAACCGCTACTACCACCAAAACTCCCGCTTCGAAGTCGAAGGCGGCTATGAGCTGGGCCCAGATTGCTCGTCCTGCCGAGCCTAAGCCGGCACCGGCCGCGACGGCGCCTACTGCTGCTTCTGCTGCTGCTGCTGCGCCAGCACCATCCGCAGCGACCCCTACGTCGGCGACCGACTCGGTCACGCCAGCGACGGAGACCACGTCGAGTGAAAAGACTTCGTCCGCGGACGCACCCGCGAAAGCTGTCTCGGTGCCGCCACCCGGCGAGCAAGAGACGTCGCTTTCCGAGGCGAAGGCGGCGGCTGTCTCAGCGGCAGCCTCGTCTGGCTCCGCACCGATTGCCGCGGCGGCTGCGGCGGCCGCTTCGACAGGCTCGCGTCCTTCGCGTTCGCAGCGTCCTCCGCAAGATGCGGCGGTGGTGATGCCCGGCAATGCCTCGTCACTGGACCGTCTCGGCATGCAGTTCGGCAGCCTGAACTTTGGCGCACCGAGTACCCCGACGAACGATACGCCTGCGACTGAGTCCACGACGGCGCCCCCGATTGAGACGCCTTCGTCGGCGCCAGCGGGAGCAGCTGCTTCGACGCATTCTGCTATGCCAGCGACGCAGCCCGCCCCACAGCCTGTGCGTGACTACGACGCATTCAAGGGAAGTGCGTTTGCAGGTACGGGTACGGGCACGGGCACCTATGGCCTGAGTCATGCAGCACCGACGCACGACGATGCCAGTCTGTACCACCAGGCCGGCACGCCGACAGGTATGCCTGCATCGTCGGCGCCCGGGTACTCGTCGATGTATGCGTTTGACTCGCACCAGCGCATTTCGCAGCAGCAGCCGTACGGCCACAGCGGTAGCGGCGTTGGCACTACGCTGCGCTCGGACGACCGTATGCCGGCCTCGTCGCAGCCTGCGACGCCCGGTGCGCCGCCGGTGCCTGACGCGGCGGCGGGTATGCAGCAGCAGCCCTTCCCGAATGTGATGCCGTACTACTACCCGTACTACATGCCGAACCAGTTCCAGCACTTCTCGCCTGCCGCTGGCTTTGGCCAGTACCCGTTGTACGGCGGACAGCCTGCGGCTGCTCAGCAGCAGCAGCAGCAGCAGCAACAGCATCACCACCATCCACCACAGCAACCGCAACAGCCGCCGCAGCCTGGCGCCAAGGCGGGTGATGTGACTACGGGTGGCGCCTCGGGTCTTGGCTCGTACGTGCACCACGACAACACGAGTGCTGCGTCGTACGATGCGCAGGGCTTTGGCCAGCGTCTGGGTGGCAGCAGCAACGAGTTCAAGCTGCCTGGCGCTTCAGATGCCACGAGCAACAATGGTTTGCCCGGCCTGAGTTTCCTGGGCGGTGCGTCCGGTGCTGGCGCGCCGCCGGGCATGTCCTCGGCAGGTCCTGCGCGTGGCGGCGCGAGCAGCGCGGCGGGTACGCCAGGTGGCTCCACGCCGCTGGACTACCGTGCCTTTGATGCGAGCAAGTCGCCGGCCGGTCGTCCTGCTGGCACGCCTGGCGCTGGTGGTCCGCCGCCGCCGCCGCATGGTGTGCCTACGCCGGGCGCCCAGCAAGGTACCGCTGCCCCGATGGCGGCTGCGCAGCAACACCCAGCGTACTACCAGCAGTACGCTGGCTTCATGCAGGCCAATGCGTACGACGGCTACTCGTACGGTCGTCAGCCGTACTGGGCTTAGCTGCCTCTTGGGCCTATAGCCTCCATAGATTATGCCGACGGGTGTAGAGTACGACGTATGAGCGAAGGCGTCCCTCACTGCTGCGCATGGCTCTGACGACATTGGCTTGGCCGGCCGCACGGCCTGGAGGTATGATTGGCCCCCTACTCGGCCGATATATCATAGGCGATCAGTTTGTGGGGGAGGGCTTGAAACCGATCCCCCCGCCCGCGGAGGCAGTTCGATATTGGGCGTAGCTGGGCTGCGTTACGAGGGTTTCTGCTTGACGTTGTCTCGATTGGCACGACGAAGATCGTTTCTTCTCGTCATCACCTCTGCGTGACTAGAGCCTGTCTTGGAAAGTACTGGTGGAGTTTTGTGCCCCTTGTACGCCTCGTCGTCCTTGCCGTACTGCTGTTGGGCTCCACATAAACACGCGTGTTCTCGACGTGGTTCTTCGTAGCACCGCGTCATGGACCCGCATCGCGATCCGTTCCTAACGGAGCAGCATCAGGTCTCGCCGATGTTTACGTCGACGGCTTCCTTCCCTCCGACCTCGTCAGCGAGTGGCTCCACGTCGGCTTCCATGTCGGCCGTGGATCCGCTGCTTCCCTCCCTGGGTCTAGGGGATAGTCCTCATCTCCCTTCAAGTTTGAAGCAGGAGCCAGGTTGGGGCTCGCCTGATATGCTCTCAGAGCTGCAGCGTGTCTCCTCACTATCTCTTCACACGCCCGTACGCTCACATCTCTCGTTTGACCCCGATACCAGCGACTCTACCATCCGGTCGATCTCTCAACCATCTCTGCGCGCACATACGGCCTCTATGGAAGCCTCCATGTCTATGAACCCCACCTTACCGACAGGGTACAGCGAGCCCGTTCTCTCGAGCGAGCCCATGCAATCGTTATCACCCCCGGCTTCCGCCTCGACTTCGGCATCCACCCCGGCGTTGCAGCCCCCTGTGACCCCTAGTGCACAGCCGCCCAGCACGCCATTGAAGTCGATGTCTCAGCGCGGACCACCGCCTACGATGCCCATGCCGTCGTCCCATGCGCTAGGTATGCTCTCCACGCCGGAACGTCGTGCGTCACGGCCGACCTTTGGAAGCATGCCGGACCTGGCCTCGTCGCCCGATGTGCATGCGATGAACCAGGCTTCCTGTGCGTATGAAGCCAGTCCTTCGCCGCAAAAGTACCATCGGTCTTCTGCGCCACATATCTCTGATATGCCGCCGATGGGCCCTCTCTCTCCGTCGGTCCACAGCCCCTTTGTCTCGATGACCCCGGGGCAAGTACCCACGTCCCTCCCACCCGGCGCGGCTCTCCTGGACGATCCATTCGTTCCTATGCCATACTATGCTCCTGTTCCGCCAGGCACCGCCGCTGCACCACCACCGCCTCCGCTGGGTCCTTTTGAGCCAGGGACACCGCAAGGGCCTCCTAGTATGTCACGTGTTCTCTCCGCGCCGGTGGGGATGCCATGGCCTGCGCATGACGTGAGTTCGCCAGGCGGGGCCTCCAGCACGGTCCCTTTCTCGCCCTTGGGCGAACCGACGTCGTTCCCTGGGTCACCGTCGACGCATCCAATGGCTATGCCGATGTCGCATCCTGCCATGGCTATGTACCAGAAAGAGATGCAGGCGTATGGCACGACCTCAGCGCCGTATTGGCCCTTCCACGAGGCCGATCACTTCTCGCCTGGCCTCCCGTCGTCCAAAAGCACAGGCGCTTTGGCATCGCCCTTGCCTCTTTCTCCTACGTCGTCCACGATGACACCAAGGCAACGGCGTTCTCATCTACCCCACAGCATTAGCATGCCTGGCGACCAGATGTCATCTCTCATGGATCATCAGCAGCAGGATCTGCTGTTGAGTCCTGCTCGTCAGCGTATACGCAGTGGTCTACCACCGCCACTTGTCGTGAGCTCCGCGGACAAACTGCATGTATGTCACTGTGGCCGGCGCTTTAAGCGTCTAGAGCACTTGAAGCGGCACGCTCGCACACATACGCAAGAACGTCCACACAAGTGCCCTGTACCATCCTGTGGGAAGAGCTTTGGACGCTCAGACAATCTATCTCAGCATATGAAAACACACTATCGTCCTTCCGGCTTGGCTGGCCGCGCAAGCGAACTTCTTGCGAAGCAGGAAGAGCCTGCACGACGCTCTGATCGGCGGCACGACCCCTATGCAGCAGCAGCAGCAGCGGCCGCGGCCGCGTTGGCCTCGTCGCAGAAAGCCGCGACGTCAGAGTCCGTGCAGTCTGAGACGCGATGGGACCCCGAGTCTGCCTCCCAGGGAACAGCACCTACGCCACTCTCAGAGTTTGCTCCTACACCTGCCGCGATATCATCGGCCGTAACCACGCCCACTCCGGCGGCCCCACCACTACCATTGCAACCCGTCTCGGCGGGCGATAGCCAGGGTATGCCATCCTCACCGCGCAAGCCGTCGAGCACAACCGTACCACCTGCTGCGTCAACTTTGTAGGCTGGCCACTCATCCACGCCGCCTGTATATCCGCATTTGAACGTACATTCCGTAGCAGGTTGGTCTTATAGACTATTTTATATATCTCGTTGTGCATCCGTCTCGAGGGTGGCGAAGAACAAGCCTTGCCGCCTTACAAAGCCTTCGCACGGTACAGCAGAATGTACGCTACGGAGTCTTCGCCGCCACCATAGAGTGTCTCGATCTTCTCGGTGGGTACCAACGAGACTTTGTCGTCGTCAAACTTGTACCACATGCTGGCGGGCGGCGGAAGTGGTTGCGACGTGTCTTCTTGCCGCACCCACGACATGTAATGCCCCGCATCCGCCGCAGCACCTTTGTGTGTGACGATGCCCACAAGCTCGTACAAGCCACTTGGATTGCAGCCAGCATCGGAGCGCAAGTCTGCGTCGATCAACGCATCGACTTGCTCCCGCTCTTTTGCACGCTGTGCCACCTCTTCCTCGTCCGTCAGCGCACCGCCTTCGACGGCACCTGCCTCCATGGAGCGGCCCTGCACACGCGCCCTAAGCTTCGCGCGCTCTTCCCGGTCCTTTCCAATGGCCTTGATTTTCGCACTAACAGGAGCCAGACGGCGAGCCAGGTCATCCGTAACAAAGGTACTCGCATCCAACTCCATCGGGAACTTGACTTTGCGCATGATCTTGGTCTTCTTGTTAATATCGCGACGCCAGTAGAACCGCACAAAGTGCACAGAGAGGTACGCCGGCAGTCGGGAAATCCGGCGCTTCTCATTGTACAGCGCTGTACGTCCTAGCTGATCCGAATGCTTCTCCAGCTGTTGCGTCATCGACTCCAAAATGCCAGCGGTCATTTCGTTGGTCGAGCTGGATATGTTGCACTGCAGCATCTGGAATGGCTCTTCCAGATGCGTCGGTGCTTCGTCGCTCGTCTCTGCACACGAGCGCTCAATCGTCATGTGCCCTGTCACATACTGCGGCACAAACTTCTCCCTGGGCTGACCTGCGGCTGGCAGCTGCGAGAGCGCTTGCATGATTCGCACCCACACTTCCTCTGCATCCTGCTGCGCAAACCCACCGCCTTCGGCTGTCTCTGCAAACTGGGGCGCAAGCTTACGAAGCACCGTGAGAAAGATGAGAGGCGGCACCGCCTCCGTGGTTTTGCTCATATCGCTGAACAAGTCACGCATCGACGCCACCAATGTCGCGTCGCCATCGCTCGCGCCGACGCGGCCTGTGTAGGCCGACAGGGCCTCTTGCAAGGGCGGAATCGTGCGCAGTACCTGCAAGGTCGAGTTTAGGTAGCAGGTGTTACCGAGATTTACCAGGCCTACCCGCAAGTTCGCGGCCTTGTTCAGCTCTTCGTCCTGCATGTCCTCTAGGAACTGGACAGGCTTCGCCGGGGCCTTGGGAAGTTCTCCTGCAGCACCAAGCACCATGAATTGATGTCCCGCCCGTACATTGAGCTTGCTGATCTCTGTATCGTCTTTCAGAAGACCACCCTTGATCATGACTTTTTGGCGGTCGGTCGGCACCGACGTCGCCTGCGCGATGGCCTCCTTAAAGGCTAGGCCTGTGCCATTGGTATCTAGCGAGATGTCATACTTTCATGAGAGGCGTGCATACGTACCACTTTGCCATTGTGCTTTACTTTTACGGGAACCGTAGCCATTTTGCCCATGGACAGCGTCACGAAGCAACAGCGACGCGTCACTTGTGGCTTGCTTGTGCGCCGCGCAGCGCACGGCCTACGTACAGCGATGGACCTTCGGCCGAGTCATGCACGACCGACTTTTTTTTTGCGGTGCATGGCCCAGACGTACGACGTCTGGGCGGTGGGTTTTCGTTCGTGCGCGACGTGACGATGGCCAAAGCGACGAAGCGTACGAAGAAGTTTGTAAAAAACAAACTCGATGCGACGTTGCAACAGCGACGTGATGCCAAGAAAAAGCTCAAGTACGTGAAGAACAAGCGCCCTGTGGGCCGACGTGGCGTGGATGTCGGTGACGATGAGGCCAGTGAAGCGGAGGACGATGAGGAGAAGGTCGCATCAACGGACGCGCAGGGTGGTATGAGTGTCGATGATTTCCTTGCAGGTGGCTTCCGTGAAGGCATGGACGATGCGGACGACGATGACGAGGAGGCTAGCGATGCCATCGACGACGACGACGACGACGACGACTTGGACGGCGTCGATGAGCTCGATGAAGAGGAGCATGCGCAGGACCTTGCTAAGCTGGCAGAGACGGACCCTGAGTTCTACAAGTATTTGCAGGAAAACGATAAGGACTTGCTAGAGTTTGGCCAAGGGGACGACGAGGCGGATGACGACGAGGAAGACGAGGAGGAGGAGGAGGAAGAGGCACGCGTGCTCACCATGGACCTGCTGCGTGCATGGCAGAAGGAGCTGCTTCGTCACCGATCGCCTCGTGCCCTGCGCCGCCTCCTACTGGCGTTCCGCGCGGCCGTGTCTACGGACGACGAGCGCGTGGCGTCCACGGCGTTCCGCGTGGAGGACAGTGCTGTGTACTCGAAACTGATCATCACGACGTTCAAGTATATGCCTATGATCATGGAGCACCATGTGCCGTACAAAAAAGGGAACGATGGCAGGTTCAAAGTACCGACCAACACGAAGAAATGGCATGCGCTTTTCCGCCCAGTGCGCAGCTACTTTTTGAGCGTCGTGCAGTTCCTGAAGACCTCGCCTGAGCCTGATATGGTGTATGTGGCCCTCACCGAGTCGGCCAAGATGGTGCCGTATCTGCACCATGACCGCCGTGTGACGCGCGACTATGTGCGTGCGCTTCTGGAGCACTGGGCCACGGGGGAGGACCGTGTGCGACTAGCCGCGTTCTCGTGCTTGTTTGTGACGACTGCCTCGGCGTTCGACGATGAGATGATCGACTTTTGTCTGAAGAGCACGTACCATACACTGATCCGGCATACCAAGCAGACGAAGCCTCACACTTTGGAGCAGATTGCGCTGATGAAGAACACAGCATGCGAGCTGTTTACGCTGCATCCAGAGGCGAGCTACCAACAAGCGTTTGGGTTCATCCGTCAGCTGGCCATTTCGCTGCGCAACTGCCTAAAGCTCAAGACGCAGGAGCAATACCAGTCCGTGCTGAACTGGCCCTACTTGCACTGCCTTGACTTTTGGTCGTTGGTGCTTGCGAAGACGTGCCATGTGGATCTGGAGGCGGCGAGCGGTGTGCCGAGTCCTATGCGTCCGCTGGTGTACCCCCTGGTCCAAGTGGCGCTGGGCGTAGCGCGCCTCGTGCCCATGTCGCGCTACTTCCCGCTGCGTCTGCATGTGCTTCGCTCCATGCTGCGGCTTATGCAGGCGACCCATGTGTATATCCCTCTGGCGCCGCTTATTTTGGAGGTCTTTGACAGCAGCGAGTTCCAGCGCCGCGGCAAGGGCGCGACACTCAAGCCGCTGGACCTCGACACGACGTTCCGTGCGCCTGCGGCGTACGTTCGTACGAAGGTGTATGCGAATCAGCTTGCTGAAGAGTTTGCGTTTGCTCTTCTCGAGTTCCTTGCGACGCAGGCTCGCAGCATTTCGTTCCCAGAGATGGTCATCCCGATGGTCGTCCAGCTTCGTCGCGTCGTCAAGGCATCGCCCAACACGCGTCTTCACGATGCGATCAAGCCGCTGCTCGATAAGGTGCAGCAGACCTCGACGTGGATCACGCAGCGCCGTGCATCGGTGGAATTCGCCCCGAACCAGCATGCACAAGTCGATGCGTTTTTGCGCGACGAGAAAGCGGAGGCGCCGCTGCAGCAGGCGCTGCGGCTCGCGCGGAAAGTCCGCGAGCAGAAGCAGCGTTTGCTGCAGCAGACAGCGCATGTCGTTGACGATGAAGAAGAGTAAGTAGGCTTGCTGCACGACTGTGTAGCCGATGATGTACTGGTACTATTTTTTACTGTGATCCGACTGCGTCGCTTCGTACTCGGTGAGCGAGAGCGCGAGGGCGAGTCGTAAATCGTCGTCCATCTCGTCGTCCTGCGACGTGGCGGCCTTCTCGGCGCGTGGCAGGCGAGGCGTCTGGGCGACCAGGGCACTACGGCCGGTGGACGAGTGGGACGCCGGTGCGTCCACGGCACGCAATGTCGGAGACTTGGTCGCCCAGGCGCCCAACGATGCAGGCGAGCGGGCCATAGGGCGCGACGACGACGCCTGTGTAGGCACGGGCCATTCCAGCGGACTGTGCTGTGGCATAGACGGCGAGCAGGAGGACAGGGAGGAGCTCGTACTCCCTACGCCCCGCATCTCGGCATGAGACGTCGGCCGTGGGATCGTACGCAGTTTGCTCCACGACTGACTGTACGCATCGTGCGGACTCCCGGCCGCCGACGATCTCGTGTGCCAGGGATCGCGTGTGCGCCTACTTGGCAAGCTCGGCGAGAGAGGCGTGGCATCGCTATCGCCGTCGTGCACGTCCAAATCAAGATCGTCCAAGCCGTACATGAGGTCCGACGATAAGTCGTCCATGTTGGATGCCGCGGCCGAGTCCTCGCGACTGAGCATCAGCGCGTAATCCAACGCGGCATCTTCGTCCAATGCGCCATGCACACGCTGGACCATGGCGGCCCGCTCAGCCTGTGTAGCCGCAGCGGCCTCCCGTTCGTACTGCATGTGCTGCTGCTCTTCCTGCACGACACGGTCCCAATCTGCTCGCATTCGCCCACGCTCACTCATACCCGCCTTGGCCCTGTGCGCTTTCGCGCCTTTGGGGTCGACAGGCGCCGCCGCCTCGTCGTGGGTGCGCCATGAGAGCACTTGACGCCCAATAGACGCTACCAGCATATCATGCGCTGCAATAATATGGTGCACACGGAACCGCGCAGCATCGTCTTCGCTTAGCATGCCTTCGGCCAGCATCCGCGCAGGATGCCGCCGCGCTGCCCGTTCATGGAATACACGCACGACATGCCCTGCCAACGCATCCAATGCCTTCATCATTCCGTCCTCACACCCAATCAAAATCAAGGCTGGCGTACATGCGATGGCAGTGATGGCATGGTGGTGGCCATCAAACACCAGCGCAGGCCGCACTTGCCGCGCCGTTGGGACGGCGTCTGTGCCTTGCCACAGTGCCTGCTCCTTCGCCTGCCATGGCTCGCCCTCCGCGTCCCATTCCCACACGCCTACAGCGCCGGAGGCCGTGCCGGCACATACAAACTTGCGCTCTTGCAGGCGCGAAGCACGGAGCCGGGCCACGATCGACGCAGGCAGCGGCAGCGGCTTGGATCGGACGTCCCATTCGCAGCGCAGACAGGTGAGTGGCGAGGCGCGAGGCGCGCCAAACACTGTCGTATGTACATCTGTCCCGTGAATGTCCACGCGGAAAAACACACGGTCGTTGGTATAGTGAAGTAGACAGGCCAATCGATCGTCCATGGCGTCCAAGGCCATCGTCGCCAGAGGCTGCTCGGCTTTCAAGGCAGGAATGTGCCTACGTTCGCCTTCTGTGGCAGGCTCGATGGTGGTATGTGCGCGCGCCGCTTCCAAGGCATCGCGCACGATCCGCCCCCAGGGAATGGATTGCCACACGACCAAGGCCCCATCGCGTCGCGCCGCGACCAATGCGCCATGGCATGGCGCGTACTCCACATGCGTCACGACGTGCGATCCGATAGGGGTAGGATGGTCCGGCGACGAGGTATACGCTGTGCCGCGCCAAAGCGGCTCCGAGAGTTTCGGGTGCCATACCATCACTGTGCCATCAGCCGCCGCCGTAGCAAACGTAGACGCCATATCGCCCAATTGAGACAGCTGTTGTCGGTACCGCTCTTCCGAGTGCATCCCACCTCGATCGGGTGGCGGCACGACATGGATCGCCGTCACAGGCGCTGCATGGGCGCGGCCCGCAGGCCATGCGCGGTTGTGTACGGTGCCGCGGGCATTCTGGCCCCGCCAGTCGATGGTCGTAAGCGAGATGTCGCCGGATCGGTGGCCCCATACGATGCGCGACGCTGTAGCATCGGTCGCCATCGAAGTCGTTACAGGGCTGTGCTCGACATTCGGATAGCCATTTGCACTCCTGGTGGTCAAGCCTTGCGCATCGAGGAAGTCTTTCGCGACTTTCCCCGTGATAGCATTGGACCGCGATGCTACACTGAAACCGTACGACAGCGAGAGCACAAAGCGATGCGAGGCACTGAGCGCCAACATATCGATCTGCGAAATACGTGGATCGGTTAGCACAGTCGGCATACGTGACTTGCGCCAGCGACGGAGGAGCGCCGTACGTGCAAAGTACTCCCCCCGCCAACTTGGCTGCATACGACGAAGCGCTGGCGCCGTACGTAGCGCCAACCAGGCGGGATCGCCACTCGCTGCGGAGGCGGCAATAATTCGCTCTTCACGCTCTTCGAGCCCAAACGATACCATGAGCGCAGCACGCCATGTCGTGTCCAGCGATACGATGGCATTCCATGCGCGGCATGTCTGTGCACACTGTGACAGGGATCGTGGATCCAGGTACGCAAAGACCCGCGCCAGCGTCTCCGGCGCTAGCTTAGCGATCTCGCCCTGCGATGGTGCTTCCGGCGACGCCGGAGCCATCGGCCCCGCCCTATCGGCCCCCTCGCCACGCACAGGCATCGGCGTGGACGACGTGGAAGGCAGCGATGCCATCTCCATCTCTCACCCAACACCACGCGCCTACGTCTGTATGCACGGCGTCCAGGACGAGGACGGACGCCGACGTGACGCGTCGGCGCAGTCACGCGTTCGTCCTCGTAGGCCATGTTACCACATGGCCCGTGCACGGACCGAGACTGCATCACGACCGACCTATGGCTGTACGTTACTACGAACAAACTAGCCTTGGTACTCGACGTAATTCTAGCATGGGTTAGTCGTATGCAATACATACCGCTGGGAACAGTCCTGTAGCTCCCGTACGCTCGTTCCTGCCACTCCACCAGTCGTCGCTCGCAAACTCAATATCCACAATGCGATCACCCTCGACCAATTCGATTTCGTTGTCTTCATCAATCTCATAGTCGTACAACGCAATGGCATGAGGGGCCGTAGCGGCGGCAGTGGCGGCAGTGGCGGGCGGCGGCGGCGGCGGTGGCGGTGGCGGTACCTCTTCGCCTGCTGGTGTAGGGACCGGTGCAGGCGCGGGAGGAGCAGGTGGCGGCGGAGGCACTTCCTCCTGGGCCGGTGGGGCCGGTGGAGCCGGCGGCGGAGGTGGCGGCGGCGGCGGCGCACTATCATCCGCTGCCTCAGTAGGAGCTGGTGGCGCTGGCGGTGCAGGAGGAGGAGGAGGTGGTGGTGGTGGCGTATCGTCGTCGGCCTCGGCGGTGGCAGGTGCAGGCGGTGCAGGTGGCGGCGGCGGCGGCGGCGGTGGTGGAACGTCTTCGCCAGCCGGTGTCGGCGCCGCAGGTGGCGGTACAGGTGCAGGCGGCGAAGGGGCCTTCGGCACCGCTGCTGCCTCAGTAGCTGCGTCTTCCAGCAATTCCACATAGTTAGCAGGAAACAGACCCACCGAGCCATCCGGGCCTGTGGCAGACCACCAACCCTCGTCCACCTGGTCGACCTGCGTAAGAATATCGCCTTCACGCAAGGTCAGCTCATTGTCTTCCTCAGCCTCATAGTCGTACAGCACCGTGGCGCGCACACCTTGCGACGCTTTGGACGTCGTGTTTCCTCCCGTCTCGCCTAGCGACGTGCCCTGCATCTTGGAGACTACTTCGTCCACGGAATGCGCAGGTTCGCTAGGCGGCGCAGGCGGAGGTGGGGGCACCACCTTTGCGGCTTCGTTACTTCGCGACGACGAAGCAGGCGTATGGATGATGTCGGCGTCTGCAGCCGCTTGCTCGGCCTCTTCCTGCTGCTTCCGTGCCATTTCCTGACGCTGGCTCCATGTGAGCTTGCCAGGCGTTGTGCGCCGGATCGGAGCTGGGGTCGACGTCTCGGATGGCTGCGAGAACAGCTTCGTTCGATCCGACGACAGCTTGCCTGGTCGAGGGAGAGAGACCGGTGTATACGCTGTGCCTACGGGCCGGATTCGATCATCATCCGCAGGCTTTGGCGGTGCCTCGACGGGCGTAGGCGCCGCTGCCGAGGGGCGGGGCGGAACAGCTTGCGAAGGAGGGGGGGCCGGTGTCGTTCGAGGGGGTGGCACTTTCGAGGCGCTAGGCATAGGGCGCGGCGCAATCGGCGGCGCGTCCGAGTTCTTAAGCTTGCCTTCACGTAACAGCTGCAACTCGTCTCGCGCTGGGGTGTAGGCTGTGCCGACGGGCGCAATGGAGTCTTTTGGCGCTTTGGCCTGCATGCCACGAATATCCGGCGTACCCACAGGCTTGTGGGAAGTGCCCACAGGCGCAATGGGCTCGGAAGCTCGAGAACTTGCGACACCATACTTGCTGCCGCTGCTGTCTGTGACCTTGCGCAAAATCAGCGCCGGAGCGATATCATCGTCGGAGCGTGCCTGAATCGAGACATGGTATACTTTAAAGTAGTCAGCTACAGCGGCGCTGTGCGACGCGAATAAACCTTTGCGGTTCTCAGGCACACCTTCACCACACCAATTGATCAGCACGAACTTGGGCAGCTTGGTATTCGGATCGACCACCCGCGCGAGGGCGTACTGGATCTTGCCATCGGAGAATTCCTCCGCTAGGTCGTCCAGCGAGCCCTTTTCGTTCGCAGTAACGTCGAGATCATTCGAGAGTTTCTTGTACGAAAGAACGAGATAGTCTTTGACACCATCCAGCACCTTTTCGTACGCAGTACGGATAGCAGGCGACGATAAATTCACCTGCAGCGACATGGTCCGTGGCGAAGCGGGCCATTGTTGGTTCGAGCGCCTCCACAGCCACGTCACGTGATGAAGAAGGAGGCGAAGTGCCTGGTCGCGCCGCGGTCGCTCCCAGGCGCTTCGCCGCGTACGTTATGCTGGCACGGTGGGTCTCGTGGCTGCTGTGCTTTGCCGTACTGGCCTCCCTGGTTCCGAACCAGTCGAGTGCCCATGCATTTCTGCATCTACTTACGCCAAAGAAGCCTGCGCCGCCTGTAAGTTCGCACCTGTCGCCGTACTTTGGTGTGCCCGTCACGGAGCCGCGCAAGAGCGTGCGAGCAGTGCACCCACGCTTCCAGCGCTTCATTCGTGACTCACAGGATGTGAATACCCAGACGTCGACAGCGTTTATTACTATGACAGACGCAGGTACCATTGGTGCGCTCAATCCGCGCGATGGCAGCATGGTCTGGCGTCGTGTGTTGGACAAAGGCGACGAAGTGATTAGTATGATCCCGCATGAAGAGACGTTGCTGCTTGGCAGTACGAAGGACAATCTGACATTGCGTCTGGTCATGGGAAAGACAGGTATTATGGACTGGAGCATCTCGTTCGATGTCCAGCCCTTGCTCGACCAGGTACCGATTCACGCCGCGTTCCTCGAGTCGGGCGGTGTGGATGTCGTGGCAGCGGTAGGTGGCTCCCTGTTCCGTATTCGATATGGTGAGCTTCTTTGGACGTGGACGCCCGAGCAGGAGCAGCGTATTTTGTACGTGGTGCCGTACGACAACCACCTGTATGTCGTTGGCGCGACGCGCGTAGGTACCAAGTGGCAGCCACGCGTCACGGTGCTCGCGCGTACCGCCGAGCAGTTGGCCGTGTACGATGTGCGGGACGACCTGCGCGATCTGTCGAGTGTGATTCTTCTGCCGTACGCGCGCCGTCGTCACATTCCTGACGTGCTCCATGCGACGCCCAGTGGCGGTCCGCACATTGCGTGGCTCGCGCGCGATGGCTCTGTGCATGCGATGCGCCTCAATGAGCCTACGCCGAAAGTCAAGGTACTCAAGGCCGGCAAGAGCCAGTTTGCGCAGCTGTATGATGTCGGCCTGGGCGACCGTGGTCTGTTTGTTGGCCAGCGTGCGGACTCCACGGCCGAGGTGTTGCAGGTGGGCGTGGAAGGTACGTTGCGCAGCGTGTGGGAATTCGAAGAGGTGGCGCCGGATGCCGTGTACGATGGTGTCCTGGATCGCCAGGGCCATGCGTACGTCTTGCGCATGTACTTTACGCGGGGCCAGCACCTGATGAACCAGCATGTGTTCTGGGCCGATGCCGTGAACGGAGGACATCGTGGCCAAGTCACTGGCATGTCGTACCAATACGACCATGACCGCCACGGCAACGTCCTAGCCGCTGCTGTGGAAGCCGCGCCGCAGGGACCGCAGCGTCTCGCTGTGCGTGTGGGCCTCGTGACGTCGTCGGGCAGTGTGCAGTTGGTCCATGATGCCGAGCAGAAGTGGGTCTTGGAAGAAGGGCTATCCCAGCCTGTGCAAACCCTGCTCGTGAGCTTGCCCGATGCAGGGTTGGGCCCTGCCGCCGTGGCGCTCGCTCCCTCGACCGCTTGGATGGCGCCGTACGCCGCGCTGGAGCGTGAATCGTGGGCAGGCCGCGTGGTCCGTCACGTGCGTTTGCTGGCGAGTGTGCCACAGTGGCTTACGGCGTACGTGCGTGCCTCGGCGCATCGCGATCTTGCGTCGTTGGGCAGTGCGATGCAGACGCTGCTGGGCGGGGCGTCGCCGAGTGCGCAGGACAAGATGGGCCCTGTCGCGGGTGGTCCTCGCACTGACAGTGCTACGTTGCTCGAGGCGCCGCGTGCAGCGTCGAATGCGACACTGCACCACGATCGCTTTGGTTTCGATATGCTGGTGCTTGCAGCATCGCGGCAGGGCAAGGTGTACGGTGTGAACCAGACGCTCCATGGCTCGGCGATCGTGTGGGAACGCAGCCTGGTGGGCTTTGGCGAGGCGGAAGGCGCGCCGGAGCCGCATGTCAACGTGACGCATCTCGTGCAGACGCGTGCCACGGGCTCGTTGGACGACAACGGGAAGCCGCTCCCGCCACTGGCGCTGGTCGTGGCGGAAGTGACGATGCCTGGCCAGCCGCTCGAGACACGAGTGTGGGATTTGGACCCACTCACAGGCGAGCTGCTTGGCTCGCAGGACGGCGCGACGGTGTGTGATGGCGCCATTCGAGATGTGTACCAAGCGGCGGACCACGTTAGCTTTGTGTGTGCGAACGGCCAGATTTTGCGGCCTGTGAGCTCGGAGCCGATGTACATCATGACGCTGGAGGGGGGCCAGGCTTTGCAAGGGTACCTGCTCGAGCAGGACACGCTTCCTACGTGGCGCATGCCGCTCTCGCCGACAGAGCGTGTCGTGGCTATGCACGATCCCAGTCGGGACCATGTGGCGAGTCTCGGCACGGTGCGTGGCGATCGCTCGGTGCTGTACAAGTACTTGAATCCGCATGCTCGCGTGATTGTGACGTACGACGAGCAGGCGAAGCTCGCGCATGTCTACGTCATCGATGTCGTGAGCGGCGAAATGGTGTACCAGCTGCAGGTGCCGGGCCTCGCCAGTGGACAGCTGCACTCGACCTACGCCGAGAACTGGATTACACTGCAGTACCAAGCTGACGAAGTCCTGGGCTCGGAGCGTCTGCTGTCGATGGAGCTGTACGAGCGCGAGGGCCAAAATGATGCCCGCTACATTTCGTCGTTGGCACGTGGCAACAACGAGGGCGAGCTGCGTACGCGGCAGTCGCCCACGGCGTTTGTGCAGACGTTTGTGCTGCCGTACAGCGTACGTGCGATGGCCACGACACGCACGACGCTGGGCGTCGCGAGGCGCAGTCTCGTGATTGCGAACAACCGCAGCGAAGTTCTTCTTCTTCCACGCCGCTTCTTGGACCCACGCCGTCCTGTAGGCAAGCCGACGAAGGAAGACCAGGAAGAAGGCCTCCTGCCCTACCAGCCAGTATTGCCGGACGAGCCTGCGTGGAAGCTGATCAAGACGAACCATCTCGCGGCGCATCTTGATCGCATCGTGACGGCGCCTGCGCTTCTGGAAAGCTCGTCGATGGTCCTGGCTACAGGTCTCGATTGGGTATACACGGTGGCTTCGCCGTCCGGTCCCTTTGACCGTCTACATACATCGTTCAACAAGACGCAGCTGGTGCTTACGATCCTCGGCCTGATGGCCGGCATTGCCATCACACGGCCGCTGATCCGTATGCGCGCGCTGAACGCTCGTTGGTAGGGGGTGGTGGTGTGCGCCCTTTCCGTATGATGATAGCCCCTACGACCAAGTCCCATCCCCGCTGTAGCGTCTGCCAAAATGCATCGGCAAAGATCCCGATATGCCGTCCGTTGTGCCACGTCGCGCGAATGCGCAGTGCCAAGCGAAGGAGAAGCGATACGGACTGGCATGCGAGCACATCGATGATCGCAGAGAATGGAAGGCCATCGAGCGACGTGCCATGCACCATATGCAGCATCGATGCGAGCGGGAGCAGACTGGCCAGCAGCTTGCTCGGGTCGCGCGTGTAGAGCCACAAGTGCATGTGGGACCACAGCTTGGGGTACGGCATGGCCATAGGCACAACGGGCAGCGTGCCCCCCTGCGCCGAGCTGAAGGATATAGCAGTAGGCATATGCGCACATTGCAGGACGTACACAATCCAGTGCACTGGCACCAACACACAGGGCGTCACGGCCAGCGTATGCTCAGCGCCCTGCGTATCCTTGACGCTTTGGACGTGCCGGCCCAACGCAAGGACATGGGTTGGTAGCACCGGCACGCTCTGTGTCTTGTCGTACGGTCCCGTTCGCGTCCATGCAAGACGTAGCGCCGACGGAAGAATGGCATGGCCCGGCGGCATCGACATCCCCATCGCAGCATGACGCAGTTGTTCATGCACACTGGGCAAACTCAGCTGGAAACACTGCTCAAGAGCACGCGCCACATCCTCTCCCGCCTTGCTCGCTCGCTCAGCAGTGTCCTCGCTCGGCGTCGTAGACGGCTTGTGCATCGTGAGGAACGCATGCAGTACAAACTCACAAGTGACTTGAGAGCGTGCAAACTCACGCGCCTCGGCGTTCATGCCATGCCGACGCAAATGCGTCGCAAGGTCCACATAGGGATTGGTTCGCGTATCAAGAACTGGCACGCCCAGCTTGAGAGGCAGTTGGATCTGGTCCTTGGCCGGCATCGTATACAGCATCGCACTAGGCTCGCTGGCCTGCGCAGGAAATTCGGGCTCCGACAAGTCTTCCTGCAGTAAAGGCACATCCACCCCTATTCCTGGCGATACTGATGCGTCAGAGAGCAGGATGCTCGACGGGATGGTCACACTACTCGATACATCTGTTCTCGACGCGCCTCGCTCCAGCACGGCCAGCGGCGGCGCTGACATGGGCTCGTGGGGTGTGTGCATGCAGGAGTACCACGTCTCCATAACGTAGGGGGGGGAATGCATTATGAGATGGAGATTTATACAGGATCCTCGTCCGGAGAGTGTCATACACTGATACAGCCTTCCTCAAGGCCCGTGCATCCTACCATGATGAGGATGAGGCTATCGACAGGCACACAGATCGGGGCGCGTATCGGGCCGAGTGGCGGCAAATAAAAAAACAGCTCAAGGGACTGGCGTCTCCTTGTTCACCCCGGCGCCGGCTTATTCATACCACGACTGGCCGGGGTTGCGAGGGGAGCCCATGATGGCGCCGAGCAAATCCCGAGCTGTGTTGAGCAGCTCAACAGCTGTTCCAATGAGGCCACCCTCGCTTTCTTCCACATAGTCCTCGGCCAAAGGCACTTGCGGAAGCGAGGGCGCCGGTGCGACGAGGGCACCAGACGTACGCGAGGATGGGCGGCCACGACTCATATGCACAATGCGCTTTTCACGATCGCCCGATAGAGGTATGGTAGGAGTATTGGAGGGAGTAGGGCCGCCCTGTGCCGAAAGGAACGAGGCACGACGGACCCCTTGGCTGCCACGCAACGAGGCTGTATCATGAACAGCCAAGCCGGGCAGGTTCTGGACATCCACGACAAGTGGATCTTCCGAATTGTCTTGCAGTTTATGGGGTATCTGGCTTGAAATGGATCCTTGAGAATCATCAAACGACGGTAAATCAACGCTCTTGTATGGCCGTCCGCGCTCAAAACTGTCCGAGCTATCCCCGGTCGAATCACTCACTGGCTCTGTCAGTACGGGGCGGTAACGTGCCTTCGTCGTGGAGAGAAGGTGTAGCGTGCGTATACGTGGATGAATGATGCGCTTCATAGTCGTCGTCAGAGTCATAGTCGTATCCATCATCTTGATCAAAGGAAAAATCATGGGTGACAGGAATGGTATCAGCCACAGAGTACCGCGAGTCCACTTCGCCAAATTGTTCATCATCGCTATCGATAAAGCTGCTGATGGGTCGGCCGCGGTCCCAATCCGGCGAATATTCATGGCCCATCTTGAGTTGAGTAGGCTCCAACTTGGCAATAATCGCCCGCTTCGCGCCGTCCGAACCTGGCTTGGAGTGCGCCGATGCAATGCTAGCAACAGACATGGCCATGTCATCATGCTCATCTTCGTCACTACTCTCGTCGTCATAGTCCGATGTGTCATCATAGTACTCTTCCGCAGGAATCTCGTCTACGGCTATACATTGCTCCACGGTGTTGTTGAAGCTAATGTGCCGATCCTTCTTGAATGTACCGACGCCTCTCGAACTCGATGGAATACCCAAGTTCATGGTGATGTTCTTCGGCCTCCGTTTGATCGTAGCAGACGTGTCGGGAACATCCACAATATCATCTTCCTCTTCATCCACACCCAAACGGCCATTGGGTGGCGATATCTGGAACGGCGCTTGAAGGATTTCTGTGAGAGTACGGTGCTTGAGAATAGACTTCTTACCGGTATCAATACCCAAACGATCTTCCATGGACGACACTTTTGTCGGAGGAAAGGCAGAGGCCTCTCTATGCAATGGACCATACAGCCAGGTCACATCACTTTCTTTCAGCCTATCTCTGTTAGCGCATAGGCCATATTATACGTACCAATTGAGAGTCTCGGGGCTCACTGTCTTCAGATTACCACGCTGCTTAGCCCAGGTCCTCCAGCTGGCATTTTCAAGTCGAACACCATTAGCTATTTCGTATTTCCGTTTGGTCATAGCCTTCCAACTGCTCCAAACATCTTCGTCTTTCCATTCATGGCTCAGATAGTCGACGCAAATTTGAGGAGCTGACCCATCAATTTCAGCATCATCTGGAGCCGGCTTCTGACTAGATACAGGAGGATAAGGATCTTGTGCGGAAAGCATGTTGTATGCTTTCACCGCACAATGCGACGGCCCTGGAAAGATTCACTGCCTGTCCTGCCAGACAGTCAACAGCGTTGGGGTCAGAAGAGCGCTGCGCTGGGCTTGCGCTTGTAATCAAAATTTCATATCGCCCCGCCCCGCCCCCTTCTCCACATATCTAGCTGCGCCGTACGCGCACGTTACCTGACTCTGACTAAAACACATTCACAGACGTGAAAGAGACGTGTTGCCTCCCTGATCATGAGCAGGGACCAACCTGAGGCGTCAGCTTGCGTGGGACGCAATGTAATGTCTGAAGCGGTAACGAGAGGCATAGGTACGTGTCATTACTCTCATGAATGTAGAAAACCTCCAAGACGCTTCCATTCAGTATGCGAAGCGACGTGCACAGTCTATTCAACGCGCACAAACGACATCATTGAGCGTCTGTGCGACAGAGGTGCAAGGCCTCGATCATGTGCAACGGAAGAAACGTGAAGAGCTTCAAATGCTATCAGCGTCAAGATCCACAAATTTCAATCAGCATCCTTCGAGTGGATCTTATCGCAACGAGCGCTTGGAGTTATTGGAGACTTTGCAACGAGGCCCAGGCACCTTTGAGCCCCGCAGTGATGACCCGAACTTTGAACACTTTGAGCCATATTCAAACGTGAAGCTTAAGTATGTTTTTAGAATACTCACCTTAAGATCTAGATACATTTCCTTTGCCAAACTACAACAGTATATGGATTGTCGCTATGCTATTTCCCCCAGCACCCTTTATTCTCTCACGTCTCGCACTGGCTCCGCCTCCTCTGACTACCAAAAATCGCATAATGATACCCTAATGGATGGAAGTTACGAAGTGCCTTTGTTTGGCGATTGGGTCCTTTTCGCCGTGATTGGGGAGAAAAGTCCTATGCGATATACTGCCCCGCCTGAATTCAAAGGCCATTACGACGAGGCAAAAGAGCGAGTTGCCAAAAAGTACTTTGGCTTTAAACTCTTTGACCTAGATACCAAGTTTATCAAAACGACGCAACAGCTTCCTGGGCATTGCAGGATGAACATGCTCGTGTTTGAGTCCACAGATCCGTCAACTATGCCCCCATCCTCTGAACGGCAGGCAGGAGGGGCGTTTGAAAAACTATGGAAGGAGAGAGATGGTGTGCTAGTCGCTTTTTTGAATCCAAGCATACTAAAAAAGCGCAAAGGCGTATGTATGATCCATGATTAACCCCGGAAGTCCAATGAACTCACGATATCTCCTCGTTCCGCCGACTCGATTTTGGTTATTGGTCGGGCAGAGCATTATGCACAGTGCCAGGCGCAGAAAAAGGACGGAAAACGATGCACTTCTTTTGTCCTAAAGGTGCCAGGTAACACGGTCTGTGACTACCACTTGGAATCGATGATTGCCTCGCAGCAACGCTCTCGCATGGAATTTGCAACATCGTATGTACTAATTATGCTAATCGAAGCACATCATCCCTTATTCCACCACCAAAAAATGTCCCTCGCAACTTCACGGGGAAGCCAAGTAAGCGTGTTCACTATCGGACAGATCTGTCAGGCTTAGATGTGTCCGGTACTTCCTTGGACACAACGTATGTTGTATCAGGGAATCAGGCTTATCTTCCTCCGTCTGATCCTAGAAGTCATGCCTACGATATTACTGCGCGAATGGGGCATGAACATGAAAACCTAAAGCTCAGAAAGCGGAAAGAAAGAATGAATGAAGAGTTAATCGCTTCTATGAGAATACCTGATACGCCAAGGAAGACACCAAAGATCACCGAGCCAGCCGATCCTGATGAATTGGATAAAAAATTTCTTTCTCAAATTGGGCAGCATAGTGCCGCAGCCAAATCATTGCATATTGCTCAAGCTACTCTGCGGGGTGAAAATGCCTCACGAAAAGGAGTAGCACAATCTTCTGCTCATGTCCCTGGCACTGACAGCTCTACATCTAGGGTATGTATTCGATTTGCATTCTAACAGCATAGCTATTGGCGCGACAGACGATGACTGCATCCGAATTGCCGAAGGCGCAGTTGCGCTCGTCGCGATTTCGATCCAACGTGCTAGACCGTGATGGGCCCGGCGCTAGACATGTTGAGATTTTAAAGCACGCTGACATTCAAACGCCAGCCGACGATCATGACTATGAAGATGACGATGACGACCTCATTATTTTGGACAAACCCACATCATAGAATTCCAAGTATATATCATCAGGCCTGGCCATTCGTCGGGACTGCATCAAGGGCCAGCTTTAGAAGAGAAATCTTTTTCCGAAGCACCTCAATAGATGCGGGCAAGAGGTCTTCAGGTTCATAAACACCCGTGGACTCCACGCTAACTGTCATGTAAGAAATGTCGGGAATACGTACATAAGAAATGGTCCTGGATACGGCCTAACCGCACGTATCCCTCAAACTCGGGGTATCGAAGGACTTCGCGACTGACGGTGTCTTTTCGGGCATCAGCAACGCGTACACCAAAGTTGTCGTCCCGCTCAATTACACCTTGTGGGAAACAAGAAATGAATTTGGGGATAATCTCTTCTGGTAAAGGCTTCAGGATTTCGATCAAAGGAAGAAGACGGTAAGAGGCAGTGGCTACAGGTGAAAACTTCGCATGGTCTTTTCCAATGCCTTTCTCGCAGTGAAGCTCCATCTCCATGGCTTGTCCTGGAGCCATCTTGGCAATAACAATATCAGCATTTACTGGCTTGGGCGCTGCATCGACGAACATATCAGCCTGGTCACCCTTAGGCTCCCACTCCAACTGAGACGAATAGACATACCGGCCATCGATGGACGCATCCTTTCCGCTACCACGCTTCTTGCACTCAGCTTTCAGGTTGAAAACAACAGTGTTTTGATCATTAGCCTCATCGTTCATTTTGAATGACAGCTTCCTGGGATCAACAGCCAAGGGAATCAGACCTAGCCGGTGAGAAAGTACTTCATCTTGGATAATAGATGTGTTATTCCAGATATACACATGTTCAATTGCCACAGTAGGTACTTCTGAAATGAGAGTTCGTCGAATAGCGTTAGCAATGCTTGCATCAACACCAACTAGATCAAACTCGCATAGCTCAGTAGTCCAGCGGGTCACGTCAACCTTCAAGTTGTTTTTGAACGATTCAAAGTCCCAAGCGCCTGATACACCAAGCGTTTGGTTAGGATACGAGGTGGAAGATACGTTTCCAACCCTTTCTGGGAGTATTTCTACAACCTTGCTCCTATCCATAGTTGTATGAATGATGGCTTGAACCTCCAGTGACACCCGTACACAAGGATTGTGGTAGATTATGCGTCTCACGGACAAGGGTCATCTCAAAAAAAAAAAATGCACGTGATCGGAGCAAAAGGCTCGACTCGCTCGCACGGACTATGTGGCAGGCTATGACGCATAGATTATGAACGCATGCTGGATAACTAATAAATATATGGATACTTAATATTGAACCAAAACATCATAGTGACCGGGGCAGTATAATAGGTACCCCAAGTCTGCAATAGTGGATTCAGTTTCAAATTTTACAATGTCACAGGGAATCTCACTTGTATTTGGCTCATCTTCTGAGGGCCAAGATGAAGGCGCGTCGTTCTCTGCGCAAGATACACTTGAACCAGACAAATAAATAATAGAAAAGTTAGTTCGCAACGCTTGACTGAGTGCTGAAATTTGAAGATGGTCGGCGTCTTTGCCAAACGCATCAACTTCTTTATTGCAGAAGTCCTCAATAGTTAACGATGGCGACCCGTCTGACATGTCGAAAAGAAAAGGAAGGTAATCATCTTTATTAGCCTTTGCATTAGCAGAGAACGCCTAGATAACTTACCTTAAGATATGCGCTCGTCAGTAAACGAAGATACATGACGATACTATTACTGGTCTCAGCATCGGTAAAGGCATGTAAAATAGCGGGGAGTTGAGCATGACCTTCCATTACTTTTTTGACCAAGTCAGCCAGTGGCGCGTAAAATTCATAAGCAATGTCCTCGTCAATACCCGACTCAGAAAGAAGGGACATTGAATTATTTAAATGAGAAATAACTGTTTTTTGACTTTCTGAGGCAAGAGATAGCAGCGATGTAACCAACGCAAACCCGATTGAACGGTAAAAGCAGTTTCCATCACGACTCGAGCGGTGTACGCCTGAAAACATGTTTTTGCTTTTAATCCAATTGAATTTTGAAGAAAAGCTAGCATTGTTCAAGTATTCTTGAGCAATTTCATCAAGCGATACTGCTGATGATATTAAAGTATCGCTCTCGACTTCCATCATTTCAAAGTAGTATCCAGGCAAAAATACTTTGGCACATTATGAGATCTACACCAGCTCCGTCGCCCGATTAAGAGAATACCTCGCCCGATGATTACTAACCTTTTTTTGGCGCTGATACAGCAACAAAAGCATAGCTAAACACGAAAGAATTAAAGACGCGCACTTTTTTTTTACTTCCCAGCCTTTGTAGATTGGCTGTCTATATCTTATAAGATTCTTTGACTATCTAGCTGCGCTTGAACAGTAATATAGCTGTATGTGAAGCTACAATTTCCCCATGTCTAATCCACCTCGAAAGGTTTCCCTCTTTCATCTTGACACCAGCATATTTCTCTTTTTTTGCTACACACATTTAGATCCCTAGCTGTAAGTGAATCCCCTTGCCTTCCCAGTCGTGGTTATTCACATTTACTGTGTACACTGTATATATCTGACCGTGATTGAGTGCTGCTAATCGCCCTCCTGTTCGAAAGTAATGCAGGTAGCTCGCTTTCCACTCTTATTGAGCACTTGCTATTTCTCTATGAAATGCGTATTTAGTCTGACATATGTCTCCTAGTTCTCCCCCGCATGTATATACCTCGCACTCCCGTGTCTAGCACAGCATTCGAGCCTCCATAGTACCATGGGATGATCAATATGCCCCACAATTCCATCTGGCTTATCACTATCATCCAATAAAGGTTTTTAATACTACATTAAGCGATCGTTTTTCTTGGCACAAAGGATGCAGAAAATGCGTAAGGCCAAGTGACCACAGGTTACTTCATTACACTGGAGGACTACAATTAAATGTAGAGAGATGTTTTGTTGGCGTACGCCCACTCCGCATTTGGGGCATGTGGGCGTCCCCGCATATCCTTTGCCAATCACGTTGGCCCCAATTCTCATGTTAGTCATCTTTCCCCACACTTCACTAGTTGCGAAAAATTCGCGTGCGGGCGAGTACTTAAGTCCCTACAACTTTGCAAACATAGTTTTGTGTATCTTACCTTCTTGCCATGGCTGAAACGGAGACAACTACGCAGTTTCCTCCCCCTGTGGGCAATATCAACTTTCACGACAATGTGAAGCAGACAGAGATGCGGAGCAACAGTGACGCGCAGTCTCACTTCTACAACACGGAGCTTGCGCGTGTCACATCGCACATGACACACGACGAGCGTGACGCTGCTCTGAATGCTGCGCGTTTTGGCTATGGCCCCCTGTCCCACCTTTACCCGGCTAATGGCGAAGGCATGCACCGGCCATTCGGCGGTGAGATGCAGCCTGGTTTGTTCAAAAGCGTCGAGGAGCGCAAGCTTGCCAACCCTGCCCCGCTTGGTCTGAGTGCTTTCGCCCTCACCACGTTTGTTTTATCTCTCATCAACTTGGGTACTCTGGATCTTACGAGTTCGGCGATTATTATTAGCCTTGGTTTTGCTTATGGTGGTTTCGTGCAGATTTGCGCTGGTATGTGGGAGATGGCTGTGGGTAACACGTTCGGTGCTACTGCGCTTACGTCGTACGGTGGCTTCTGGGTCTCATTCGCTATTATTTTGACACCAGGCGGTTTCCATGTCATGGAGCAGTTGAAGGCGGAAGATGGCGAAGCCGGTGTTCTTAACAACTTGGGTCTTTATCTCTTTAGCTGGTTTATCTTCACTTTCCTTCTTCTCCTGTGCACACTCAAGTCGACCGTCATGTTCTTCCTACTGTTCTTCCTGCTTGATCTCACATTCCTTTTGCTCGGCTGTGCTTACTTGCGCCACAGCGGAGGTGCCCCTCACACTGGTCTTCTCAGGGCAGGTGGTGCCTTTGGTGTTTTGACAGCCTTTGCTGCATGGTACAATGCATACGCTGGTATTGCCAACGACAGCAACACATTCTTGGTTGTGCCTGCGATCTACTTCCCTTGGAGTCCTAACGCTCGTAAGGTAAAAGCCGACAAGAAGATCGGCGAGGACGCGGTTTAAAGAAAGTTGTTCAATTGGCTACCCCTTTACGTTGGTTTCCTAAGTAACGGTACGGATAGTTTCTAATATGAAGTATATATCCCCCTTCATACGAATGACATGTGACAAAGGGAGTGTTTTGCAATGTAGCGCCATACCAAAATGCTTATTCGTTAACCCACCAACTGATATTTACTTGTGGTAGGGGGTAAGGTAAGCAAAGTTACACATGCACATGTCATGTCAATAACATGCTAAATAGCCTGACACAGCCAAGAGGCCTGCAACTGTGCTTTCCAAATGAAACTGCTACGCGCAGCCTATAGCATTGTGCTAGCCTTTCGGGTTGTCAGGGCACCGCCTGTAGATGTCTCGCGCGTTGGACCTTCCACGACCACCCCCTCTGAGCTTCTACCCCTTGAATAGCACACCTTGTCACTCGCCGCTGGCCTCTCGTTCCAAACCTACTGCGTGGAAAATACGAATGGAACAAGGTGGGAGACGCTACTGTATGGATCAAGGGTGATGGCACAATGCTGCAACGAGTCATTGTGTTTCATTCTCCCACTCTTGGTGTGACCGTATTATTTCAAGGCATCACATCTGATATCCGCTCGAGTATTCATGATGCAGGCATTTTCCTAGTAAAGCCCAAGAAATCGCGGCAGAATACATCAGTGCAGATGCTCGGGTTGCGAATGGATTCCAGGACATTAACTTGGATATGACAGAGGATACATGGCATCATGTGCAATTTGCTATGCAGACGTTTAACGAGATATGCATCACTGACAGGTATGCCCTTGGCGCAGCCCTGGGCATCTTGGTAGCCATGGATTACCGGTATCGTTTGGAAAAGAGCATGGATCGAGTCATGGACTTCGGACTGCCTCGCATAGGCAATCCTGTATTTGCAGACGACGTGGATAAACGCTTGTACAACAAGGTGTACTACGTTGTCAATGGACATGATTGGGTGCCACATATGCCGCCGCGTGAACTAGATTTGCAGCACCCCTCTGGCCAGATCTGGATGAACCCGCCTAAGTCAACACATTGGGCCTTCTACGCGTGACAAGAGCGGCCGTTGCCCTACCGTCGTGGGCCAAGATGGAAAAGGATTGTATAGTGTATGTTATGTGGTACGGTCAATGTGTCGAAATGAACAAGTAAAAATACAAGAAATCATTAAAAAAAAATGGTTTGGTTAAGGTTGTTACATGGTAAAAGCGCCTCTCACGTTGTACGAGCCCGGATCGTAGTTCTTGTAGTTTGTAATGAATGGACCAATGGGTACGACACCCGCAACGCATGATGCTCTGCCGATAGGAGGAAGAGCTGTAGATTCATAAAACGCACGTTTCTCCAGAGGCAACTCATGGAAAGTCTCAGGCGGTACCAACTGCACTTCTTGTACGCGACTTACCTTCATTTCAGGCTCCGTCTCCTCGTCTGTTGAGTCCGATTTGTACGTGGCAAGTTTCTGTTTGAAACGATGTAGCATTCCACCCCGATGGGTCTTGCTACCCGTAAGGAAAGAGCGGCCATAAGCCTGTTCCCATATGTCCTCAGTATCCTTCACAGCCTTAGCCATGGTCCGTTCGTCCACCTTGTCTGTATGGTCCAAAAAGAGTTCTAAAGAAAATCGCATATCCCACATATAATCTGAACTTAGCATATGAGAATGCCATACCAAGTCAATATCCAACGTCGGTGCAAGCATGCCTTTGCTGTAGGGAATCAAGACAAGCCATTCACGATAACGATGAATCGACAGAGGGATTTGCGCCGAGTCTGGATCATCTAACCAGCCCAAGGCATAGGCATCCTCCAAAAAGCGGAATTGCCGCTGGATGGAAGCAGCCAAATCCAGGCTGGCTCCACTTAGAGGATGACTGTCCATGTAATACCGCTGGAGTAGATTCGTACATTTCAAAACGGTCGTTTTGACGCCTTTGGGCTGCGGATACGCACGGCTTACCTCACAGATGGCGCTCATCATTCGCTCAATATCAAACCCATGCGCCTCGCCAAACTTCTCTGGGATCTGGCGGTCTTGCATAGGCCGCCGCCCTTGCATCTCCTTAGCTGAGAGAGAAAGTCGCCGCGTCCCCGCTTGTCCATGCCTGACCAGATCCACTTCACGATGGTTTTCGAACAGCGGATACAGAATTGGCGCATAAGGATCAAATCGAATAAAGAAGGAATTCTGAGCGGATATCACACCTCCGCGAAGTCGGAAGCCAGAGCTATCATTCCCACCCTCACACCACTTGGTCACGTCTGAAAGGAAACGTCGGCCAAGAAGCTCATTTCGTCCAAATTCAAACCCGCAGTGCGGACATTTGGTCTTCCATCCAGGCCGACCCAGGGTCTCCCATGACGACAAATTCTGGTCAGAACAACGTGGGCACGATATAAGAATTTCTTCCATGTTTCCATCCGTGAGAGATGATGGATCATGTACAAGCGGATTGAAAGGAAAATCTGTCATTTGCTCCCACGTAGAGGCTGAGGATGGCGCATCAATTTGCCACGTCCTGTCATCAATAGTAGGCACGAGCTGCTCCAAAGGGAACTCAAACAAGGCCAGCGCAGCACGCGATGGGTCGCGATAGGCATCCTCGTATATACGCGACGGGTTCAGGCGGTATGCATGCCATACCAAAGCGACGTCCAAAGGCGGAAGGCAGTTGCTAGGGACATTGAACGTCTTGGTCTTGTGCAGCTTGGTGCTCATTATATGCTTATGTGGTAAATCGAGTTGAGAGTAATGCAGCGGATGGTCCTGCACTTCAGGTAGCTGAAATAGTAGATTCAGGTACAGCTCAAAGCGATATACTGCACGATGCAAAAACGCGACCCAATGAGGCTTGTCTTCTTTCTCCTGGCGCGGTTGCAGAGGTTTCACATCACATGCTTTCTCCGTATACCTGGGAAGCTCCTCTATATCGCTTCTCCGCTCAACACAGTTTCGGAGCTCATAAAAGGCACGCATAAGCACCAAGTGATCCTTGATAATCTGTGCAGGTAGCTTAAAGCTAACCCGATCAGCTGCGCGTTGCAGTGTAAGTTCGCGCGGCGAGTCGTACTCGCTCACATCAATAGGGATGGCTTTTGAGAGTATGTCGTCTGTCTGCATCCTGGCCGGACGGGACAACATGCGCCTGCCTAGATATTTTAGGTCGTCAATGGACTTAGGGGTCTCGCCACAATCGGTAGGAGCACGTGCCCTTGGCATCCCACAGGTCTTGGCACGAACAGCTTGGCCGGCTAGCCAAGCATCGGCCATCTAGGCGGTGCATACACTATGCAAAATGCTTGGATAGAGTTCTACCTACTTCCTTTTCCATATACACGAGTCTATGCAGTCAGCCCAGCGACCTCTTTGATGTACGTATGAAGCTCTTGTGTCATACATAAATGCGATCGTACTTCATCAGTATACATTGGTATCCTCTACGACCCTATCGTTAGGGCCATTACGCACACCGAAACTAGAGAGAGATTCATGACAGCCCAAAGAAGCCAGTTTGCCATTTTACTTGCAGGCGTGCTACCATAGTACCAACGACCATCGGAAGCTCTGGCGTATAGCCAGCTAAGAGCTGCGAGGCCCGACCTATTTGACTAGGCCCGCTCGAATAACCCCGGCCAATTACTTTGGCATTGTCCGAGAAAGTAGGCTTATCAAATTTTAGCGCTCCACAAACACCATCCGGGGTGTGATGGCCTTCAATCAAACCTGAAGCAAAGGCGTGTTCCTTGCCTTGCTTATCAGGCACAGTCACAATGTAACCACCTTGCAGGTAAGGCAACATCATAGCGAAGTTTGCAGCGAAATCTGGATCTTAAGAAGTTCCCTTACGGAATCCATAGCTAGGGGCACATGGCGGACCATTTGCATCAACGAAATCACCATATACAATAAGCTTGTCTCATTGGGCGTTGTGGGGATAATAATAGTCGCGACTCTCGTTATAGGCTCATCCTCCCATTTGTACGACGTGCGATGAGAATTTGCCAGGCCTCCTTTACGTCTAGATTAAAGAATGCCTTCGAATCGATTTGGCGAGTGCGTAGGATCGAGCCGAGTACCTTGCTTTCCCATCCATTACTGATAAAATGGGTTCTGATCAGGCAACAGTAGATCTATACGCACAGCAATCGCGTAGGCTTGGTAGGCATAGCCCAGTAGGAAAAGAGCAAATAACCAGATATGCACAACGTATCGAACCCCATTTGGACGGGCCTATTATAGGCGGCTCCTCCCTTAACCTTCCATACGTATCTCACTGGAGGATGAACTTTGCATGTATCTCCACAAGTGTTGATTTTAATTTTAGCGTGAGCCAATAATAAAAAAATCTGCATTCGTATTTCAATATCAACGTGGTTCATTTGATCGCACTACCCCAATCTTCAATTCGTTTTCTTTTCAGAGCTGCATTTACTATTTGCTGATACGGAAAAAATGCACGATCCGCTCACGTCAAGCAATCCCGGCCCCTCTCTTTCCTGGTTTGGCGATCATATAGGATCATCCAGCCGATTATCATGCTACTATCCCACGATTTCGTCAAAGAACTAGTACCCCACATCACGTATGAGACCCACTAATGCCGCTGCGTTTGGCCGCATGCCCATGTGGGGTGAATGACAAGGGCGCACCGTTGCCATCTTCCGCATGAACCCAAAGCACTTCTCTCTACGCTTTCCATGTAGTCAATTTACTTATGCTTGTTCAACAAAAATATGGGCTCGCATCCAACTACTAAAAAGAATGAACCTTAGGGCAAGTTGCCATCAGCAATCTTTCTCTGAAGGATTTTGTCGCCTGGGCCAATATAGCCATCCAGCACACCGCCAATAATGCCAAGCAAGTGCTCAAAGTTCGGGCCAAGTGCCTTGGTGTCAAGGATAACATCGTTCGTGCTCGACTCAGTGCAGCCTGATGCCATCTTCTTGCCATTCAGACGATCAACAATCCACTTGTACGACTCGGTGATATCCGAAATGGCTGTGATAACGTGGGCGGCCAGACCACTCGAATACGACCTAAAGTGGATGTTAGCACCGTAATCACACCAATTCTTAAAAGCCTGGTAAGCAGAGTCGTACGGCGCAATCTCGTCGGCCTTACCATGCGACATCATGACAGGCACACGAGGAGTCTCATCCGAACTGCGGCCCATGATCAACGAAGTTAACACGTCCTGGAACACCTTCACCTGAAGGAAGTTCTTGTCGATGGTCGCATACTTCTTCGAGGCAAAGTTCTGGAAGGGGTATTTGAGCACAATATCGAACATGCAGTGTGTACGAGCAAAGTTCATCGCATCCTTGCTTTCTTTCGTACCGAACTTGTCAATGAAGTCCTTGAGGTCAGGGTAAGAGTCGGCTAGACCAGTGATACCACCCACCAAGAAGCCGGAGAATACTGTTTCGTTAATAGTATTCACTAGCTCGGGAATGCTCACAGGGGTACCGCCATAGTACCAACCGACCATCGGAAGCTCCGGTGCATAGCTTGGTTGCAGCGACGCAGCCCAACCAATCTGGATAGCACCACCCGAGTAACCCCAGCCAGCCACCTTCACACTGTCAGTGAGGTTCAACTTGTCAAAGTTCAACGTAGCACGGATACCATCAAGAGTCTGGTGACCCTCAACGCGACCAGAAGCAAAAGCGTTGATCTTGCCCTGCTTGTCGGGCACAGTGACAATGTAACCACCCTGCAGGTAGGGCATCATCAGCGCAACATTAGCCAGGAAACCGAGATCTTCGCCCGCACCATCACGGAAGCCATAGCTAGGAGCACACTGAGGACCATTAGCATCCACAAAGTCACCATAAACGACCAGTTTGTCCTGCTTAGCGTTGTGTGGAATCACAATCGTTGTGACAGTCGTGGTAGGCTCATCATCCGATTTGTACGACGTACGGTAGAGAAGTTGCCAGGCCTCCTTCACATCCAGGTCAAAAATGGCCTTCGGGTCGATCTGGCGCGTCCGCAGAATTGTACCGAGCTTTTCGTTCTCCCAACCACTTGGCGGCTGGTAGAATGGGTCCTCATCGGGGAAGGGAAGATCGCGACGAACCACGACGGCAAGAACCTGGTACGCACTGACAAGAAGGAAAGGTGCTAGAGACCAGAAACGCATGGTGTTGTGGGGAAAAACCCCTACTGTGTCAATCCCTTCATTGCGTCTTTTTTCCGTGATGTGTTCTTCTAGGCATGATTGCCGATTAACATAACAGCCAGGTCTTCACAAGTGTTGCTCTTTCATCGGCCCAATCAGTAAACGCGTATGTCCCCCAAAAAAAAAGTGAAGGAGTGATATGGTCCATCTGATGAGTGGGGTTGTATTTACGTCGCGTCTCCGCTGTTTGAAAATAACCTGCACGACTGCGAACATCATGGCGATTTGCTGTTTGCCATGAAGGCAGATTCTAAAGAAGAGCGTGATCGACAAAAAAGCCAGTTGTGCCCGCTTAAGTCAAGACAATAAGAAAGCGACAAGGAAACGCTCCTTCAGGGCTGTGCAAAGCGTACGCATGTGCATGCACAAGATATTCTCTGACACGGCAGAGAATATCTTGTGGGCACGACAGTATTACAACAACATACTCAAATTCCAGTATAACCATAACTACCAAGATGACAACGTATGCCCCCAATAAGGTGCGCCAGTCCCCCTAGGTGCACAACCTGGCACTTAGTTACCGTTCTTCAAATGGTCCTGAAGGATCTTGTCACCCGGACCGACCTTGTCGCTGAGGACACCAGCAATAATCTCCAAAACGTGCTTGAATTCTTGACCCAGCGCATCCGTGTCTAGAATGATGTCGTCACGCTCCGTAACCGAACAATACGACTGCGCAGGCTTACCATCCAGGCGGTCCTTAATGAAGCTGAACGACGAAGTAATGTCGGTGATAGCAGTGACCAGATGAGCGGCCAGCAGGTTGGTGTACTTCGTGAAATGGATATTGGCACCGTTGCTGCACCAGTTCTCGTATGCCTGGTAAGCCGACTTGAAAGGAGCGATCTCATCCGACTTGCCGTGGCTCATCATAACAGGCTCAGTGGGTGTTTCTTCAGAGCGAGAACCCATCTCCAGTTCGTCCATGATCTTCTCAACCACGGGGGCCTTGAGGTATTGGCCACCCACCTTCGAGTACTTGTCCGAGTTGAAGTTCTGGAACATGTAGCGCAAGTTCACATCGCTGCTGCAGTGCGAACGAGCAAAGTCAAACGCATCCAGTGCCTCCTGCGTCGACTTTTCTTTGATGTACTTCTTCAGCTCGGGGTAGGTGTCCATGATACCTGTCACACCCGAGATAAGGAAACCGGAGAAGAGCGACTCGTTCAGCTTCGACACAAGTGAGCGAATGCTCGCCGGCGTGCCACCATAGTACCAACCGACCATCGGGAGCTCTGGCGCGTACACGGGCTTAAGCGAAGCGGCCCAACCTATCTGGATGGCACCGCCCGAGTAGCCCCAGGCAGCTACTTTGGTATTCTTTGAGAGACCAAGCTTGTCAAACTTGAGTGTAGCACGAATACCATCGAGTGTCTGCTGACCCTCCACACGACCCGAACCAAAGGCACCAATATCACCCTCCTTGTCGGGCACAGTCACGATGTAACCAGCTTGCAGGTACGGTAGAAGCAGGGCAAGGTTGGCCAGCGAGGCGGCGTCATCCGAAATACCATTGCGGAAACCGTTGCTAGGAGCGCACTGAGGACCGTTGGCATCCTCAAAGTAACCGAACGTCAAGAGTTTGTCATCGGCAGCGTTAAAAGGCACAAGCACCGTTGTCACCGTCGTTGTCGGCTGATCTTCAGTGACGTACGACGTACGGTAGAGAATCTGCCAAGCCTCCTTCACCTTGAGATCAAACAGACCCTTAGGTTCGATCTTGCGTGAGCGAAGAATAGTACCCAAAGGCTTGCTCTCCCAGCCTTTTGGAGGCTTGTAGAAAGGATCCTTGTCAGGGGTAGGGAAGTCATCGCGAGCCGCAAGTGCCCACACTTGGAAGGCAAGCACCAGAGGTAGCAGGGCCAGGAGCCAGAAGCGCATCTGAGTTGAAAAAGAACTAGTGTTTGAGGATCCTTGGTTGTCGAAATTTTGCTCTTCTTATACGTTTCATCCCGTAACTTGATACAATGGAAGCACGGTGTTCCTCTCATACAGGCACTAGACAGAGTTTCAATGTGGACGCGTAGGACCAATGACATGGCTGGATTCATTTGTCCCTCCACTTTCGAAGCAGAGTATGAACTTTGCTTGTTCCCTCGTAAACTTTGCTGTAAAGTCGTTGGGTAATTTCGCTCAGCTCGCTCCTTTTTGTTTCGCAAAGCGTAAACTTTGCCTTTAAATGATATGACTAGGCGCAATACAAGCAAAACTAAGATTATTCATTCTGAAAGCCTTGGTAACGTGCGCGTTTTGTCGCTTGTACGATTCTCGATATAGAAGCGCTGCAAAATTACGCCGGCCCTTCGTGTAGGAATAAAGGGTATACCTCGCATGAGCACCAGAAAACTATGCATGAAGTGTGTAAGGTGCTCCATGTTGTTGTGTTCATGGGCAAGTTTTGTGGAACACTACTGCGATGACCGCAGGATTTAACGGAGTTGTTCGGGCATAAGAAAAAAAAGTGAGAATGGCATGGAAATGACAGACCAGAACTCTTTGATGTGATGATAATAGGAGGCAGTGCGCCAGAACAGTGACGATCCAATCTATTATGGGGACTCTGTGATTACTACTACCACCAAGGCTAGGTCTACAAAAGTAAAGTCAGGGTCATAGCCACACCTGCCATGTAGACAAAGCATCCAGATGACACGTGCGATGCATCATTTGTTGCACTTTGATTAGCCGGTTCTTGATCTTCTTCCGAAGCGGTAGAGTTAGCCTGAGACGATGCGGACGTGGAAGATGGTTTGGTGCTCTCGCTGTTTGCTGATGAATTTGAAGCTTGTCCAGCTGCCACAGCACTTCCATTTCCGTTTTTGCAGTCATTGTTCTTTTCGTACGCATCGTAGAATCCACAAATCCTCCCGTAGTTTTTAGCAAAGGCACTCTGATCAGGTCCGCTACATTTTGTCATGCATTGGCCACCCTTGGTCATAAAATCAATATACTGTGGAGTACCACGAACACACATATATGACAACGACTTCATAAAGTTGGGCGACTTGGGATCGTTTGTCCAGTCGGGCCACAGACTCTGACCGGCTTGCTCGTTGCAGTCTTTAATGCATTGGGGCTCATTAATCTCAGGGAACTTGACATCACATTCGGCAGCAACAAGACCAGCAGTGGCTAGGATAGCTAAAGTACGTGTTACAAGCATGATATTGAAGGCAATATGCAGGGATCGGTACCTCTATATATAACAATCGTCAGTCCCAACTTTTCATGGTCCAGTCCAATAGCTTGACAGTGACTTTTCATCCTCCACATGCACAAGCGATGTATCTGATTAATCATACTGATGATGTATATTTCTGTCAAGATTGCACGCGGTTTTAAATTAACCTGATAAATGATAGATTTGATCTGATCACCATGGTATCTTTAAGAAAAAGGAAAATGACCTTGGAAGACGGCTGTTTCAGTGCTTCCTGAGCTATGCGTCGATGGGAAACAAAGCTACACAAACTCAAGCATTACCTTACCCATGGCGCAGATGCGCCTAGGCGTTTTTTATGGGTCATACCCCTTGCTGCTCATGTTCATCCAATCCAGTTTTTCGCCTACATGGTTGCTATATTTGTGGTGATGGCAGTCATTGTATATCTTGCAGCTGCCCAGTCGTTTGTTTTGACATCGATATTGAGTCTGTACGATGACACTGGCAATATTACTGGCAATTTGGCACTCTACGGCGAGATTACGGCAATTGTGTTCGTCATTGTATGGGGTATTACTTCTGACTGGGCCGAGAAGCGGACCATATATTGCATCTCGATCTGTATCATGGGTCTTCCAGTAATTTTATACCCTTATGCTAAGAACGTATACCCGGACCTCTTGCTCATGAAACTCGTATTCTCTATTGGATCGGCTGGATGTACCACGATGATGGTAGCTATAATGATTGACGTGTCCTATGGCCAAGGCGGACTGGTAGCTGGCATCGTTGGCGCATGTTCTGGCCTCGGACCTCTCTTTGCCGCATTTGAGCTGTTCCGTGTACCATCGCAACTTTCCTCTGATGTGGAGCATCCGCAAGAATCACTGTACCAAGCCTTTGGGATCATTGGCGGCGCTACGATCTTTTTGGGGATTGTCCTTTGGTTCTTCCTACCTCGGGCAGGGATGTACCGACTGCCTCTAATTCACCTCTGTCTATGGGAGGGTGTCAAGATGATGAGAGACCCCCGTGTCATACTTGGCTATGCTTCCAGCTTTTTTGCACGAGCAGATGAAATTATCATCTCCAATTTCATTTCCTTATGGCTTACGCAGTACTACATTGACAGGGGCGATTGCACGGTGGGAACCCCCTGTTATCAGGCATTGGGGCAATCTGGCGTTCTCACAGGCATTAGTCAAGCTGTGGCCCTGGCTACGATCCCTCTATTTGCGCTTGTTAGTGAATTTCTACCACGCCCAGTTGGCCTCATCCTAGCGGGACTCGTAGGGGCTGCTGGCTGCTTTCCCTTTTCCTTTTCAATTGATCCAACATCGAGTTATTCACAAGGCTTTATTATTTTACTGGCCGCTGGCCAGTATGGTATGATTATTTGTGGTATGGCTCATCTAAATGGCGACGTCGTCCCCAAAAAACGACGTGGCACGGTATCCGGCATGTTTTCATTTATTGGATCTGTGGGAATTATTATCGTTTCCAAAGTCGGCGGGGTTCTCTTTGATACATGGATGAAAGGAGCCCCCTTTTTGCTGCTGGGCATAGGTCACTGTATCGTCGTGGTTTTGTCCGTTATTTTGTTCCCTCGGGTGTATAGGCTAGACGCTTTGGCCAAGAAGCAGCGTGAGGAAGTCTATGATCATTGCCCTGCCTCTTCCACACCCCACGACTCCATGTCCGATGATGTGCAAGAAGAGTCGAAAACGTCTGTGTCTGTGTAGGTGTATTGTTATATTCATGGTATTGTACATAGTTGCATCATAATATTAATCATTTTTCCCTTTCTGCGAGCCATCGTGGGCCGTGCATGGGCAACAAGAGGGTGATGGGGAGAGATATGGCGAGGGATACAAGGGTAAAAATCGTAAAAGTCCATCCATTTCCAATCGCATCAATGACGTACTGTACAAAGGCAGTAAACACGGCACCCAAGACGCATCGTCCAATGTTGAGGGACGCTACGACAGAGGCAGCGCGTGATAAATTTATGTCAACCAACAGTGAGTTGATGGATGTAAAGAAAAGGGTAGATGACGCTGTCGAGAAGAAGCTGATAATCATGGGTGCAGCAATATGCACTTTTCGGTCAAGTAGCCATTCAAAAGTCAACATGGATAGCATAAAAAAGGTGAGAAAGTAGTGTGTGATTCCCAAGCGTGCCTTGAATAGATTCATTTCTGTGCCATACTTTTTCTTATAATAAGCATAGCGCCGGTCGATAATCCGACCACCTATGATCGAACCTAGGACGTAACCCGCACCCAAAGGAAGATAGCACAGGCCAATGACAATTTCATTGTAGCCATAGTTGCGCGCTAGGAGAGGCGAGAGCGTCGCTGAAGCCACTGAGTAAACTGTAAAGGGGAAAGAGTAACAAGTGACAAGAAGAGCCACTTCCTTGCGCAAAAACATGAGCCATGGTTTCTCGATGCCTAATGTGCGCCAATGAAGATGAGGTGGTAGATGCATACGCTGTTTCTCCCTAATACCGACTTCGTCATCATGCCTCGGTACCAATATAGGATGAGGGAACACGCAGCGCCAAATTGCAATGGCTTCCCGCGAGCCATCACCAACAAGGGCACGCAACGATTCCGGCAGAAACAGGACTAGTAATATCAAGAGGATTCCTCCAAAGGCAGTCAGGAAGAAAAACACTGCATGCCAATTCCACTGATGTGCAATAAGGCCACCGATGATAGGGCCAATACAAGGACCTAGCAAAGCACCAGCTTGAAAGTAACTCATATACCTGCCACGCTCCTTAAAGCGAGATACATCGCTGATGGACCCAGCTCCAATCGCAATGGAGCTGCTGGCACCGCAAGCTTGTACCATGCGCAAAACGAGCAAAGCCCAGTATACGTTGGCAAAAGAGAGGCCTAGATTGGCTGCTAGATATACAAGAAGGGTAATTATTAAAACAGGCCTGCGACCATACACATCCGATAGTGGCGCCCATAACGATGGTGAAATTCCTTGAAATAACTGGTAGGTAGTAACAGATGCTAATGTTTGACCGCCCGTAATATGAAGTTCACGGGAAATAGAAGGCAATGATGGAACATAAATGTTGATGCTAAATGGACTTAAGAAGCCAGTCACGGCAGAAAATACCACAATCAGGATTTTTATGCCTGGACGAAAGGCAGAATACTTCGTTTCATCTTGGTTGATGCCTGTCATCAATTGCTTGGGCTCAGTAGTCGATGCACCTCGTGACGTTTCTTTATCGCTGTTCATTCCTAGATTGCTTCACTCGGCTAGAAACATCTCTTGTGGTACTAAGTATGAAGCGGGCAAGGAGAACGGTAAAGTGAATCAGTGACAAAAAATGACTGGGAAGACCAAATCTCTTCAAAGATGATTGGCGCGAAAAATTGTGGGCGTCTTTGTCGTAAGACATTGCGGCGTACTCAACCACCGCTTGTAACCCAAAATTCACCCAATTTTAGCTGACGCTAAAAATCACATGCCTCACTTGGCCAAAGGCTGAAAGTGAATGACGTGCCATGAGGGAGGCCGTACATCAAGACAATAAAAACGGTCAGCAGACCCAACGATATCGTGGACCATAACTTAAATCATAGAATACAAGTGAATCCATTTACTACATCATTTATGGTTACATTTTCTTTAAAATACATGTTCATGAATTGTAGGCTTTGTCCACTTTTGCAAGCCATACTGGGCCATACGCTCTTAGAAGCGCCATGATGGGAAGGGAAATGACCAGGGCCACCAATGTGAAAATAGTGAAAGTCCATCCATTTCCAATGGCATCAATGACATACTGAGCAAATGCTGTAAATATAGCACCTAGCAGGCAACGTCCAATATTCAGAGACGCTACGACCGAAGCGGCTCGAGACAAGTTTACATCCACCAGCAATGAGTTGATGGCTGTGAAGAACACCATCGATGATGCGGAAGAGAAGAATATGATAATGAGAGGTGCAGCAATGTGCACTTTTTGATCAAGTAGCCATTCAAAAGCAAGTGTCGTCAAAAGAAAGAATACGAGGAAGTATGGCGTCGTTCCGATACGTGCTTTAAACAAGTTCATCTCTGAGCCATACTTCTTTTTGTGGTAGGCATACTCCTTGTCGACAATGCTGCCACCAATTACACTGCCAGTAGCAAAACCGGCTCCTAGAGGTAAGTAGCACAACCCAATAACGATCTCATTGTATCCATAGTTTGTGGCCAGTGTTGGCGAGAAGGTAGCCGTAGCCACTGAAAATACGGTAAAGGGGAAGGCATAGCACGTTACAATTAGTGCTACCTCCTTTCGTAGAAGCATGAGCCACGGTTTTTCGATGCCGAGCGAAGACAGCTTGATCTGAGGTGGCATATTCATCTTTTCTGGCGTACCAGTGCCATTTTCCACGTCACTTGAAGAGACCAACGCACGGTATGGGATGATGCTGCGCCAGATACTAACGGGTACTTGTGAACCATCTCCTACGAGGGCACGAAGCGATTCAGGTAAAAACAGGATGAAGAACACCAGCAATACGCCACCTAGGGCGGAGAGAAAGAAAAAGACGGCATGCCAATCCCAACGGTGCGCTAATAGGCCGCCAACAATGGGGCCAATACAAGGACCCAACAACGCCCCTGACTGAAAATAGCTCATGTACCTGCCTCGCTCCTTAAATCGAGACACGTCGCTGATGGAGCCAGCACCGATCGCAATGGCGCTACTTGCACCGCAAGCTTGTACCATACGCAAAACGAGCAAAGCCCAATATACGTTAGCAAACGAAAGGCCAAGATTCGCAGCTAAGAAGACAACCATAGTGAGAATGATAATGGGTCGTCGTCCATACACGTCCGACAGAGGCGCCCAAACGGATGGGGCAATGCCCTGGAAAATCATATACGTAGTCACGGAAATTAGAGTTTGCGCATTGCTAATATGAAGAGCTTCAGACATCTCCGGCAGAGCAGGAACGTAAATGTTCACACCGAAGGGGCTCATAAAGCCCGCCAGAGCGGCGAAAAAGACAATCAAAGCTTTAATGCTGGGTCGAAAAGCTGAGAATTTATCGTCATCATTATCCTGGCTGGTCTGTGGTGCTGAGTGACCTGGCTTTTCTTTGGTAGGTGCTGGTGTGCTAGTACTGGTGGAATCCATGTCAAAATCTCGTAGTATGGCTGGCCATCAGACACTCCAAACAACACGAAATGCGAAGAGATGGGGCAAGAAAGCCTTTCATTACCTCTTTATTTTTATATTAAAAAGCAGCGCGTTATGTCCGCGTGCATGTCTGAAGTTCGAGAGCGTTCAAGTGGATCCATTGGAAAAATGGGCCATGTGGCGGAGAAACACGGAGATCTGAACTGCTCCATGAAATTCGAGCTATGCAAGTCCCACGGCAGTGCAGGTCCACGGTCATCCTATACACACTTGTAGAGACGCTCACGGTACGACAAGGGGACCGAATATGGCGTGTATATTGAAAATAGTCTACGATGTGCCAATCTTTGTTTACAGCTTGGCATAGTCGTACGGACCGCCCTTCTCGTAGGCGCGGATGTACGCAGGGCGTTTGTGGACCATGTCCACCCAGTTCTTCAGCGAGTCTGGGATGTTGGCTGGATCCAGGCGGCCGGTCGTGAGTGCCTCAACAGGGAAGAGCATCTGGTAGTCAGCCGCCGTCGGGTTGCCATCCTTGTCGCCGCCTGCGAACCACGCACGGCCATCAGTCGATTGCTTTTCGAGGTAGTCAGCCGTGAACTTGGTCTTGGCCTTCAGGTCAGGATCGGTCATGCGCGCTTGCACCTGACCCGTAATGATGCTCACGATAGGACGCACAAAGAAGGGCGCTTGCGTCGGCACAATCATCATAACAAACTTCTGGACAAGTGTCGGCATAAGCGAGGCCTCACTAAACTGCACCCAGAAATCATTGTCATCTTCGTGCTCCTTGCTGGGCAGGCCGCGACCCTGGCCGTAGTACTTGATGATGTAGTCTGCTGCGTTAGTCATGTAAACACGCACTAATGATGGCGCCACTCTCGGCAATCACCTTGTTACCACGGCTCGTGTCGGTAATCACAGGGCTCTTGCCCAATGGGTGAACTTCCTTGAGCTCCTTCGGCGCCAGCTGGTCTGCACGGCGCTTGTAGTGCTTAATCTCATAAGGAATCTCCAACTCCTCCAAGAGCCAAAGAATACGCTGTGAGCGAGAATTGTTCAAATGGTGCTGCCGTAAGCTATCGCTCCTACCTACCACAATGATCATCGTGGATGGGGTAGAGTTCTCAGTCCCTGCGCCACGCTTTTCTGTCCTACTTTCACGTGGAGGGGCAGGAGAATTCACGATGTCCCGGCGGCCCGTCGAAGGCTATATACGTCTTTACTCAGCCTCTTCGCCCAAGCCCCACCGACCAATGGTTTCCATGGCCTGAGCATCACCTGGTGCGATCTGCTCGTCGTTTAGAAGGCGTGAAAGCATCGTCCATGGATCCTTGCCGCCACCACGGCGTAGGACTTGTTTGAACTGCTCACCAGCTTCGCGCGACAGTGGCTCTGCTGAAAAGACTTTCTGCCATACACGAGCCGCAATGGCGCGGTCGAATAGGTAGCTGTAGTACGTAGCACCGTAGCCAAATAAGTGACCAAACTGGCCTTGCCATGTCGAGTTAGGCACAGGCGGGAACAGACCCATTTGACGCTGCAGCAGCTCCAACTCCAACGAGGTAGAGAACGAAGGGTCGCCAGCTCGCGCAGAGTGGTAGCGTTGATCCATCGTCGCTAGCATAATTTGCTGATGCGCATCCAACGCGTCAAGATGTCGCTGTGTCTCCAGGTGTGCCTGCAAGTGCTGGTACGGCAAGGCAGCGCCGCTCTTGTAATGGTGAGCTGTCAACTGCACAATGCGGGGATCCGACACAAAGTGCTCCATCAGAATCGACGGCAGCTCCACAAAGTCCGTCGCACAACGTGTACCTGAGACATTGTGATATTCTGTACGTCCAATCATGGAGTGAATTGCATGCCCCATCTCATGGAAGAGCGTCTCAACATCGTGCCAGCGCAAGAGACTTGCGCCATCATGACCCATCGTCGGCGCAGCAAAGTCTGTCATCAATACGACAATCGGGAGCTGGAACTGGCCTTCACGACCACGGCCCGTGGTCCCCTGCACGCCTAGCAAGTGTGACATGTCCACATCTCGTGGGAAATCGGGACGAGCACCGAGCGTCACGTCGCGCTGAGTATCATCCCAATCAATGCGGCGGGAGCAGCGCACCGTGTAATGTGCCGCGCTAGGCGGCTTGCCGGGACGTGAAAACAGGTCGCAGTAAATTGTACCGATCACACCGCCTTCCGTCTCATCGACCACATCGAGTTTGACCACGTCAGATCGCCACACTTCGCCTGGCTGCGGCTCAGCAGCGCGGAAATGGATGCCATACAGCAGGTAAAACAAGCGAGAGAGACCAGTAAATACCGAGCCCAGCGACAAGTAGGGCGATAGAGGCATAGGGCGCACAGGCCGATGGAGCTGCAGATACTGGTCGGCATAGTACTCACGATCCCATACCTCCAACGGAGCCGTACCTTCTGCCTGCTGCTTCAACTTCGACAGTTCTCCCACCATACGCTCAGCAGCAGGCCGCTGTGCGTCTGCCACCAAACGAAGGAACCCTTCGGCATGTTCAGGTGAGCCAGCCATCTTGTCGACCAGCGCCATATCGGCAAAACTACGCTTGCCCGTGAGCTTCGCCAACTCGTAACGGGTACGCAGCAATCGTTCCAGGACTTCAATAGGCGTAGTGCGCCCCGTGTATGAAATTTCATACGCTAAGCGACGCGCACGCACATCAGGAGCATGCTTGCTAATGTAGTGCAATTCCCAACTGCCAGGCACCACTGTAAGAGAGGACGCACGGTGGAAAAAGCCTTGGGAATGCGTTTTAAGTACAGAGGTATCCAGGCCTTCCAAAAGCTCCATGGGAAACTGCGTAGGCGCCTCATCGGTACCATGTGACATGTTTTGCAGGAATGTGTGGCCCAACACCATGATTTCATCGCTTAGCTGCACAAAGCGATCGCGTTCTTGCGGCGGGAGGTGAATGCCAGACTTTTCAAAATCACGCAGGAAGATGAGCGCCACAGCTTGTGCTTCTTCCGAAAGCTGTCGCCATACACTCTCGTCTTTCATAGCACGGCGCAGGGCCTCGTAAAGTCCAGTATGCGTATTGAGCACATTCATGTAGTTGCAAAGATACTCGTAGGCACCATTGGCTGCTTCGGACCATACAGGCTCAGGGTGTGCATGGCGTACCAGCTCGGCCATATCGATGACACCACAGAGCATATCACTCAGCCGGTCCAGATTTTGGACTACACGAACGACTTCCGCCATCTCCGCGTCGGGTGAAGCGACACGAGCAATTCGCTCCACGAGCAACTGGCACCGGATCAATGTTCGCTCTGCAAGGCGCAGGAAATCCTGTGGCTCACGTAGATGATCAATCTGGAACAAGCCCGTTGGTGTGCCTGACGCTGTAGGCTTCGGAGGTGCATCGAGGATTTCTCGTAGAATCGTATGATCACGCTCGATCTGAGGCGCAACACCGGCCTGCAACGCGGCGGTAGCCGCTGCATCCGAGCGTGCCATGTGTACGTGACGAGCAGGTATCACAATGCGCGCAGGCGCAGTAGACCGTAAGGCCCTTACAAGGTGCCCTGCGGCCCATCGGCCATCCCATCGTCGAAGCATGACGACGACGTAGTGGAGGCTGTGTCACACCCTGATCTATTCGCTCGCGTGGCCTAGAAGAAAGAAAAAATGGACGCTATGTCATTATGCACATGCCGTCTATAGTGGACATGTCTCTTCTCTGCTTTAGAAACGGACCGCCGGCGCCTTTTCGACACTCTCCAGAGGCACCTTGTGGCCAACAAGATGACGGATATCCTTGACACCATATCGGATCATGGTTGGACGCTCGAGACTCAGGCCCCAACCGAGGACATTTACGCCCTCTGGTAGGCCCATGGGACGAAGCATTTCCGGACGGAACATACCACTATTGCCGATCTCGACCCACTTCTTCAGGCCTTCGTGGTACGAGAAAATTTCCAGACTGGGCTCCGTGTACGGGTTGTATGCGGGCTTGAAGCGCAGATTCTTCACCCCCATTTTGGAGAAGAAGACTTGCATAAAGCCAATCAAGTCACCCAAGGTAATACCGTAGTCAGCTACTACGCCCTCAACCTGGTGGAACTCGGCCAAGTGTGTCGCATCCACAGCTTCATTACGGAATACGCGGTCGATGGAGAACAGCTTCGCGGGCTTGAAGCCATCCGGCTGGTTCGCAATTTGGTGCAGCATAGCCGACGACACAGCTGTGGTATGAGTACGGAGCACCAGTTTCTCCGTCACGCTGCGGCTGAAGGGGTAGCGGTAGCCAATCGAGCCATATGCACCATTTTCGTGCACTTCGACCACACGCTTCAGGTAGTCTTCCGGCACCTCTTTGGCAGCGGGCGGGTCGGCCACGAAGAACGTATCTTGCACGTCACGCGCTGGATGCTGCTGCGGTACAAAGATGGAGTCGAAGCACCAGAAACTGGAGTCCACAAACCGATTGGTAGGCATCTCCGTAAAACCCATGTCGAAGAAAATGTGACGGAACTCTTCACGCACCTTGAGCAACGGATGCAGCGCACCTGCAGGCGGCAACACACCCTCGGCATCAAAGTTGTACTTTTTGAAAGCAGCCTTCTTCCACGAGCCGGACGCAAGCATTTCTGCTGTCAGATCTGTCTCGAGCTTTTGAACCTGAAGGGCGAATTGAGGGCCCTTGGTAACGCTAAAGTAGAGAAGTTTGCGCTGCGCAATCATCTTGCGCTTTTTCAGCTCCGCCAACTTCTTGTCGGCCCCCTCACCACTCAGCGTACCCGTCTTTGCAATCTCCAAAAGCTCCGTCTTAGCATCATCCTGGATAGGCTCCGTCAGCGACGCCTCCGAACGTGCGAATGTGCCGTCAGGCAGTCGGCGAGCCATTTTGTTGCGGAACGCGCGCGCCTGCGCGAGCTTGAACGTATCCTTACCGAGGGACGACTCCAGCTCAGCCTGGGCCACACCCTCACCGGACGATGGAAGCAGCGACCATAGACGGTACTCTGGCGAGCCAAGACGCACCGTCTGACGGCCATCGAGTGTGAGATAGACGGGCTGCTTCTCAATGCTTGTGAACTGGACCATCTCCTTGCTCTGTAGCGAGAGTAGAATACCCTGCAGCGATAACTGCCACGCTGAAGCAGCTTTGTGCGCCGCTTCTTCTTCCTGCAACGCCTGCTTGTCTTGCTCGTCGCTCGTGCTGCTCTCAATACGCTGGAGTTGCTCCTCCAGCGTCAGGGGCTGCACGGGCGAGAGTGTACGTGAGTCATCAATCGTACCACCCGCCTGATCGACGTGCGCCAGCACTTGCTCCGCCGTGAGCTGCTCCGTGGCCATTCTTCGTCGTTGCAAGAAACTCGTCCGGAGCTGACTGGCGGCTGGCGCACCCTCCGTTGCGCACCTACGGCGCACGACTATCACGTGACCGCACTCCTCAGGACGGCGCACGACGGTGCGCGACCGCGCTCTTCGTGCCTCGCTTGCTTGGGATGGCGGCGGAGGAGCATGGCATTACGCTCGATGAGCTGGGTACGTACGACAGGACACTGACCATAGACGCGCAAGGGCCTGCGCCTATGAGCTCGGGCGATGCAGCTCTGCATGCGATGCTCGAGCAGCGGAAGCTGGCTGCCAAAGTGCCTGTGCCTACGTCGGACGTGCAGGTACGTGAACGTCTTCGTCATTATGGCGAGCCAGTTACGCTTTTTGGTGAGCGTGAGCCGGATCGACGTGCACGTCTACTTCAGGTCCTGATTGCACGGCATGGGAAACATGCTGTGAATCTCTCCCATGCGCCTACGCAGGGTGCGCAGGACGACCAGGACGACGATGACGAGGAAGAGTTTTATACCGAGGGGTCCGACGATCTCTTACTAGCGCGTCGTCATATTGCGGCTTTTTCACTGTCGCGTGCCAAAGCACGTACGGCACAGCAGCGATGGGAGGCGCAGGTGCCTTTGCAGGATGTGGCCGCCATGCGCAAAGCCGTTCTGGAGCCTTTGAAGACGTACCAATCGCTCGGTGCACAAGTAGCGGGGTCGCGGCCCATTTCCATGGTGCGCTACTCGCCTGACTCGTCGATGCTTGCGACGGGCAGTTGGTCCGGGGCAGCGGCGCTCTGGTCTATGCCGAATGCCAAGGCGATCCGTACTTTGCATGGTATGTATACGTGTCGTGACTTACTCGCAGCTCATGAGGATCGCGTAGCTGGCCTGGCATGGCACCCACAAGCGACACTCTCGCAGTCGAAAGAGAGTGTGAACCTGGCTACCGGCGCGGGCGACGGGCTTATTTGTACTTGGTCGCTGGGATCGGAGCAGCCTTTGCAGCGTCTTCAAGGCCACGAGGCACGTGTGTGTCGTATTGCGTTCCATCCCATGGGACGGTATCTAGCAAGTGCCTCGTTTGATGGGACATGGCGTATGTGGGATGTGGAACGTGGCACAGAGCTCCTTTTGCAAGAAGGCCATAGCCGCGAAGTGTATGCGGTGGATTTCCAAAACGACGGTGCTCTTTTGGCGTCAGGGTATGTCTTTGGCTTGTGGCTTACATGCAGCGGATTGGATGCGATTGGTCGTGTGTGGGATACACGTACGGGACGCACAGCCATGGTCCTAGATGGGCATGCCCGCGAAATTCTGTCCATGGCGTTTGCGCCGAATGGCTACCAAGTGCTCTCCGCCTCAGGCGACGATACGGTGCGCGTTTGGGACCTACGAACGCTCAGCAGCCTATATACCATTCCCGCGCACAGGAGCTCGGTAGCGGATGTGCGGTTCTTCCAGGCGGCGGATGAACGTCCACGTAGGCCTGTGCCTTGGTGGCAGGAGGATGCCCAGGAGGATGTCTCAATGGATGTGGACGTGCAGCCGACGTCGACGCCGACGCCGACACTGCGCCGCTCTGGCACGTACTTTGCTACAGCCGGGTACGATGGATATGTCAAGCTTTGGAGTGCCGATGATTGGCAGCTTGTCAAGTCGCTCAGTGGCGACGCTGGCAAAGTAATGAGCGTCGATATCAGTGCGGATGGCCAGTACCTCGCCAGTGGCGAATGGGCTCGCACGTTTAAGCTATGGGGCGCACTGTAGTATTTTGTTCCACATACTTGTCCTTTTTCAGCTATTGTACAATCCAACACAAATCATTTAGTCCATGTGCATACCCATCGACATGCCATCGTCGCCGGCGCTGACCAATGCACTCTTGCGCGCAGCCACCTTGACCTTCTTGCGCTCGGCCTTCGCGGCATCGGCCTGGATCGCGCGGCGCAGGTGCTGGTTACGGTGCACAGCCAAGCGATCGACTTCCTTGGCCTTGGCCTTGACGCTGCCGCCAGCCGCCTTGGCCATACGAGCACGGTAAAAGGCACGTTCGCGACGGGCCTTGATTTCCTGGATACGCTGCATAGCCGACAGCGTAGCCTGCACAAGATCACGGTCGTAGCGTACCGGCACATTACGGCGCTTCTCAAACTCGAGCGTCGAGTCGACGGTCATCTCCTTGCCCGAGGCTTTACGGAACGCCTTGGTCCAGCGCACCTTGCGTGGGTTGCGCTTCATCTTGAAGTTCTTGTGGCACTTCGACTTGCAAAAACGGAATACCTTGGCATCATTGCGCACAAAGGTAATGCCACGACCGGGGTACGAGGGCGCCGAACAGAAGAAGCAGTGCTCGACCCTCATAGCGTCGTCGTCGTCGCAGGCTTGGTATCTCGGTCTGTGTGGCTGGGCCCTGGAAAAAAAAATGGCTCGGCCGACAACGGTAGCTCGTTACTCCACATCGTGCGTCCCTGGCGCAGCAGCGGCGGGCGCCATGCGCCTAGCGTGCGATCCGTGCAGTACGACACGCGTGCGGTCGGGCGATAGGCGTCATGTTGGAAAAACGTACAGATACAGTGCTGCCTGCCCCTGTATCCCATTCCCATGAGAAGGGGATTTTATTTCGTATGCCGACAGCCTGGCTGCGTCGGCGCAAGACCATGATGGTCCTATTGGCCATGTTGACCCTGACATGCTTCTGGTTCTGGATGCATACAGCCCCTTGGATGTCTGTCTCCTCTTCGTCCAAACGCGCCCCTATTGACCCAGATATTCGCAAACTCTTACGTGAGGTGCCCGGCGCTATCCCAGGCAAAACGCCGAAACGCACAGACGTGGGCCGTCAAGGCATGCCATATCCCTCCAAAGAGGAGTTGACGATGCTCCTGATCGAACAGATGCAGGATCCAGAGTTCCGCGTCGATCATGGCGTTTGGAACGAGTGGCGGCATTGGCTCAAGGATGGGGCTACATGGCCCGACGATGCGCACATCCAATTTCTTACACAGCTCAAGCAAGTGTCCTCGAGTGGCCTTGACGATCTTCGGCTGTACCTCGAGTCGCCCATTGGATGGGAAATGAAGCATTTGCATGTGGCGCCCTTGACGGTCTTTTCCAAGTCGTACTGCCCCTACTCAAAGGCAGCCAAGGCGCTCCTCCACGAGTACGGCGCAACGTATACAGCCTACGACGTGGACTTGCGGCCTGATGCCCACCCTATCCAGCCCCTATTGTGGTATCTCACGGGCCACCGAACCTATCCCAAAGTCATGACGGGCCAGAAACTACTTGGTGGGAACGATCGCCTTCAAGAGCTACATGAGCGAGGCCTTTTGCGGGGCATCCTACATGGTGCCGGAGCGTTATAATACATAGACAGAGGAGCCATGGGCATTGTACGTTACTTTTTCTTCCCCTTCTTTTTCTTGCTAGACTTGCTCGTGGGTGCACTGGCCTTGTCTGCCACAGCATTCACGGCCTTCTCGGCTGTATTCGCCACGGCGGTGGCCGTGGCAGCGACGGGCGCCGCAGGCGGCTTCACACCGGACATGCGCTCCAGTAACTGTCGCTGGAATTCATCCAGACGATTGAGGATAATGGACGACTTGGCACGGAACTTGAGCGTCTGGGCATAAGTGCAACGCAACGTACCTCGCGGTTGTCTGTCAGTTTTACAACCAACGTCTGTGTCTTGGGCTGAGCCTTGACCAAAAAGCGAGACTGGCATAAGCGTAAACACCATGTACGTACCTGCCGTGGATTGCGGCTATACAGCTCGAGCGCCTGCGCCTTGAACTCGTTCCAGTGCTTCAAATACACCATGGCGGCGGCAAGGTCGCGAAGAGCGAGTGATTGGCTTACGTGGGCGCCATGGGGCAAAGACGAAAATAAGTTGGGCTGGCCCTGCGTCGTTCTTGTCGTCCGCTCACACGCGCATTGAGCTGGTTGTGCAGTGCCATCGCCTTGGGCAGGAGCAATATGGAGGTACGTACGTTGCGATGCTCACACTCTAGTCTTTTGCGAGTCTCTTGTACGAGACTATTGCACAAAATAAGCTATCTGGCTCGCGTGTCGCGCGCGTGACGGACAGTGCCACACAAGCCTTGTCTGTACGTATGCTATGTTTTCTGACATGCAGGACCCTGAAATGCTGGCCAAGACCATGCTGAAAGCGCACTTGCGTGCTTCCCCTGCTAACAAGCTAGTGTCCTTGTACTTATTTGATGCTGTGGCGCGTCATGCACAGGAAATCGCACGTCGTCAAGGCGCCGGGTTTGACTCTGACGACTCGCCGCAGACGCTAGCGGCGAATGCCTCTTCTTTTCTACGTGCACTGCACGAGCCCGCGGCACAAGTCGGTGTGGACTGTATGCAACATGTACCTCCAGAGCAGCGCGTATGTATTTCCTCTACTGACAGCCACAGGACAAAGTACGCAAAGTGATCGATATTTGGGGTCGTGCTGGCACGTTCCATGCGAAAATTCTGCAGCGCATTCAGGAAGAGGGATCCAGCACGTCGTCGGCTTCGTCGGCCTCCGCTCCGCCCCCTGGCCCGGCTCCTCGGCGGCCTCCGCCCCGGACGACAGCAGCGCCGACACAGCCTGCGTCGGCCGGCTTGCCTGCGAGTGTGCTGGCGCTTCTGAGTCCCCCGGGCGCTGGCTCGACCGCTTCGATGCCGTCCATGACTGCTGCGCCGAGCGCCCCCGATGTGCCTGCGTCGGTAAGTGCAATGCTGAGCCCCCCACCCACGAGTGGCAGCGGTGCCTCGTCGATGCCGTACTCGGCGGCGCCAGCTCCCTCGACCACAGCGCGTGCCCCATCCACGGAGCCTGCGCCGATCAAAGAAGATTTGAGCGCGTTTGACCAGGCGAGTTTTGATCCGACCAACTCGGCCCACTGGGAGCGCCTTTCGCAGCTCTGGAAGAATACATACCAATACGAGCCAACAGGCCCGGAGCTTATGATGGCGCTAAGTACGTACGACACCATCTGACCATGCAGTGTCTGGCATGCTATCGAAAGAGCAAGATCCACGATGGGGTGGGATGAACGGTATGCCGCCCATGATGCCAGGCATGCCTGGCATGCCACCTATGCCGCCTATGCCGCCTATGCCAGGGATGCCGGATTTGGCGTCTATGATGAGCCCACGGCCGTCGTAAGGCATACCTATCGTTTTTCTGACTCTGTCCATCTGCTTTTCTTCGCGTACTAGATACCCTGTCGACGGTGCGTGATCGCCGGCATTGATATAGCCTCCTAGTGTTCCTACGGCCCTTCCAGTGTCGTTCGTCGTGGCTTGGCTGGCCAGATCGACTCTTTTTTTAGGGCTGTATCACGTGGCCAGGCCCAAACACGCGTCGGTGGAGCGCAGTCCAACGGCGCGTGCAGCGGCCTTGGGGTTTCGTTGGTTGGCTCTAGCGTGGAGAGGCCCAGGCGTGTGCCTATAAACGGCTCGTGCTGTGTCGTAGTTTCGCACCTTGGTTCACGACCTACGTCCCTCCCTGGCGCACTTTTGTGTGATCGCCGAGCAGGGCTTGGTGGGAAGCCTAAAATGGCAGACAACAGCCAGGCGTTGTTGGCGGCGCCGCCTACAAGCCGGCCGCCGAGTCGGCCTTCGGCGTCTCGATCAAGGTTGTCCGGCGCTAGCTTGTCGTCGATGGATTGCCGTGTTTCTATGTCGGAGGAAGATACATCTCACTTGCTCTCCTGGACTGGCTCCTCTCATGTATTTGCCTCCGACTCTTTACCCTCGACACCACTTCCTTCAAGTGTGGCGACGTGCCCTGCCGATCCGCCCACAGCCTCCTCGGACAGCATTGCGCGATGCATGGCGCAACGCTACGGACTCGCGATGGAGCTGTACAAATCCGAGAAGGCCTATGTCCATGGCCTATGCATCCTTGACTCTGTACGTGATACCGTTATGGCTGCTTACATCCCAGTATTATTATACCCCGCTTCTGGCGTCTCTCCAGGATCCCACGCCGATCGTCTCTCGTCGTGTACTGAACCGTATCTTTTCTAACTTCTGCGATATATTGCAGCTGAGCAAAGAGCTACTGCTACGCCTGGAAGAACGGCTGGGGGATGCGAAGGCGTCTGCGGCTGTGCACGTCGACGGTGTCGCCATCTCGACGTGGGATCCACTTCATGATACGATCGGCGACTTGCTTGTCCCGGTGGCCCCGTTTCTCAAGATGTACTCCCTCTTTATGCAAAACTTTTCTCATGCCATGTCCTGTATTGAATCTGAACAACGAACTAACGAACGCTTCCGTCAATTTCTTACTCATGCCAATCACCATACTCGCTCGCTGCATCAGCGCGCTATGAAGCTCGGACTGGAGGCACAGCTCCTTACGTTGGTCCAGCGTGTCCCGCGATACAAGCTGCTACTGCGTGGCCTGCTTCAAAACACACCTACATGGCACCCTGACTACACATACTTACGTGAATCGTACCAAGTGGTCGACGATACGGCGTCGTACATCAACGAACATATCCGGCAGCATGAATTGGCCCTCACGGCCCTGGAACTGCAGCGTACGTTGCTTGGCCTGGACGAGCCCCTGGTCGTGCCGGGGCGTCGGCTTGTCAAGTACGGCATGCTGCTCAAGTCGACACGCAAAGACATCCAGCCTCACTGGTGCTATTTGTTTTCAGACTGTCTGCTTGTGACACGTGCCAAGGCAGATCCCATGAGCATGTCTGATGGCTCAGAGTCCCAGCGCTCATCGAGTGAGCTGGGGTGCTCGCCTGGTAGTGAGTCCAGTTGGCTGGCCAACCTAAGCAGCAATGAGACGTCGACGACGTTGCCTGTGCTCTCGCGTTCGTCGTCTTCGTTCATGACAGGCATGTTGGTCTACGTCACCCACAAGCTGCATCTGAACGATATCACTGTCGTTGCGCACGACGAAGTCGGCGTCGCAGGCGACGGTATGCCGATTTCTCACAGCTTGCCGAATCTATCGTCGTCCTCGGCTATGGAACGTACGACGTCAACACTGAAGCACAAATTTGAGATCCTATCGCCTCAGTGCAGTTTTTTCTTGTATGCGTCGACACGTGCGTCGAAGCAGAGCTGGGTCTCGACGATTCGCGAGACGCAGGACGAGCACCGTGCGACGTTGCCTTCCCTCCGTCAGAGTTTCGAGGCTGCCGAGCGTTCGTGGGACGAGGCTGGTGACCTTGGCCTTCCCGTTTCTACATCCTTGTCGTCCCTTAGCTCCTCGGTCTCGACAACCAGCACCATGACCACGAGCACTACCATGCCACCTCGCCCGGCCCTTCCGCCGCGCTTGTCGTCGCTGTTTGTGCGGCCATCGACCGTGCCGATTCTAGAAAACTATGTCGCGCCTGTCTGGGTACCCGACAGTCTAGCGACACGGTGCACACGCTGTGCCCATCCTTTCACGATGTGGCGCCGAAAGCACCATTGCCGGCTGTGTGGTCGTGTCTTCTGTGCGTCGTGTAGTAGCTGCTTGTTTGTGATTCGCGCGTCGGTCACGACGCCCAGCAGCGATGTACGTGCCCGGGCCTGCCAAGCGTGCTTCCTATCGACGTTCGTCTCGACGCGACCACGTCACGTAGCCCGTCGGTCGATGGAGAACCACGTCACGACCGCCATCCATGTCCCGGCGGCGACGCCGGCCAAAGGCCGTGAGCGGACCTCGTCCACGACGTCCTCCGCGCTGGCCACGGAGCCGAGGCGGCCTGTGCTGCACCCCATCCCGGATGTGCCTGCCTCGCAGCACATGCCTACCTCCTTGTCGTCGCCAGCTGCGACGTCTACATCGACGACACTGCCGACGCTTTCTGACATGACGACCGCCACGACCTCACCCGCGCCGGCTGAGCCGGAAGTACCTCGGCGCGTCCGCAGGGGCCACATACGTCGCTGGTCGATTGTGAGCCAACCTGCGGGCGAAATACCCAGCACACCACGTATGCAAGTGGAGACTACATCGGTCGGCGCAGGCACCTTGGAGCAGCATGTGTCGCATTTCGGCCCTGCCTCGGCGTGGGCTCACGATCCCAGAGAGGCAAAGAGTCTGCGTCCTTCCCGCGCGGTACATACCAAGCGATCGACCGAGTCGCTTCGTAGCATTTCCCAAGCGACTGTGTGGCTCCAGTCGATGTTGGGCCGTAGCGGTGCTACTACATAGATAGAGGTACACGAGCGAGCCAAATCAGTGTGGACTGTGCGCATAAATCACGTGGGCCAACAATGCGCGACGCGCCGTGGAGAAGCCAGCCGTTTGACGTAGATCGTTGTGGTGGTGAGAGCGCGTGTGTGAATGGCCCTGGATGGACAGGCCGACGCCGTCGTAGGTACGTCGGACGACGACGAAGCGGTCGGGTGGGCAAGCGATGCTGAATGGGGCGAGTTGGTGCCGACGACACGAAGTCGGAAGAAATGGAATCTATTTCATGCGGCGCCACGGCGTGTCATGTTCCAGTCCATCCCCTCTCGCTCGGCCACAGCGTCGCCGCTTCTGCCGCTTCGTACCGCGTCAGTGCCTACTTCTGCGCCCGATCCTGCGACAACGTCTGTACTACCGCCGCCTGCCGTGACTACATCGATACCCTCTCCTCCACGCCGTCACTTGCGCGCGCGCAAGCCTGCCCAGATCCACCCCTATACCATTGAGGCCTTGCAGTACCGTCGCGAGCTGTATGCGAACGACTGGGAAGATGCTGTGGTGTCCCAACGCGAATGGCGTCGACGTCCGATACACGAGGACGTGCCTTCCTCGTCCCTGCCTGACACTAGTTCGCGCCCTCGCTCGCGACCTCGCTCGCGTTCGCGTTCGCGTTCGCGTTCACGTTCACGCTCCCCTTCGCTGACCATTGATCATGCGACTTCGTCCGCGTCCGAGGCCGACTCGTCCGATGACAGCACGGACTATGAACGTCGATTCCGCGTCCTCAAGCACATGATGCCGGCGCACATGGCGCGCGCGTGCATTGACGACCTACGTGCTATGCGGCATGGCCATGCGTACGACGAATCCGCGTCCAGCAGCGATGCAGACGACATGCCTTGCCCAGCGGTGCCAGCGCCCAGCGGTGCGTTACAACCTGGCGAATCACGTCGTCGGATTCGTGCGCGATCTACCTCGGCGTCCATGCCGCTTTGGAGCGATGCGTCGTCGGACGAAAGCAGCGAACCGACTCCTACACGCTCGCCCTCGCCACAGTGGCAGGATGGCGATGTACGTACGTGGATGCGACAGCGATCCCCGTCGCCTGTGCAAGAAGCCGATGCGATCGATCGAATGCTCGCACGAACGCATGCGGAACGCCCACCGACATGGCGACGACAACGGCACCGACGACAGGGCCAGCATGGCTTTGGCGAGGCAGCGGCGGTGTCTCGTACCGCGAAACGATCACGTCGGACACATGCTATGCCATCTACTCGGCGCGCATCTCGTGTTGCTGTCCCTGCGTGGATTCAAGGGCTGGATGATACGGCGCCCTCCGCCTCGGCCTCGACGACGACAAGCAAGGCTCGAGCCACGTCTCGTTCTTCCGTGACGGTTGTGCCCGGCGTCGCAAGTGGCCATGTCGTGGGCGTGCCTACGCAGCGTGGCGACTTGTCGTCACATACACGTTTGCCATACATTCCTGCATCGCATGGATGGATCAACGTCGCACGAGATGTACGAGTAGCGAGGCCTCCTACGGACATGCCGCCCCACGGATGGCCGACCAAGCCGCAACCTGTCCGTCGTTCGTCGCCAGCGCGGCCCATGGCGCCATTGACGGTGCCTTCGCCAGACAATGCGTCCGCCTTACCGACAGCTTGGCAGGCGACGCCGTCCGCCTGGCATGCAGACTTGCAGCAGTTCCTTTGGTGGGATACCGTGCGTCAGATCCCGTGTGATTTTGGAGTTCGGCCTCCGCCTGTAGGCCTTGCCTTTGCGTCCAGCACCGACTTGGGGCGTGGTCGGCTGCATGCCCTGCTGCAATGCGCCACGGCCACGACGACGTACGACGTGCCACAGTGCCATGCCCATGGCCTGGCCTGGCACGCGTCTATGAGCCAGGACGATGTGGCGCACGCGTTGCTCACTGTGACGGATCGATTGGACGACAGCGTGGCCACAGCCGATCTCCTCCATTTCCTCGGCGTATGGTTCACATGGCAAGCGACACATACCCCTACGGCCGACGCTGTGCATGTGGAAGGCGCATGGGAGGCGGAAGCGGCCTGTGCGATGCTTTGCACATGGCTCCAAGACGCGCTGGATCGATGTACATCGAGCTCGCCGCGCCTTTCCCTACAGCTTTTGTGGTGCCGCGTGCAAGTGTTGTTCCGCATGCACTGCGTCATGCCAGATCGCGCTGTGAGTGTGTTGGAAGCAGCGCATCCCCTCGTCGTACGTCTTTTGCTGCATGGGCTTGCGACCGTATGGGAGACCATGCCGTCTGAAGGGACATGGGACAATGCCTACGCTGTGCTATGGATCAGTCTTGTGCATGTCCTCAACGCGATTGATGCGTTGGCGTTCTGGGACGTATGGGAGGCAGCCTGCGACGAATGGCATCGCACAGCGCCGACGGCCACGCCGCTTCTTGTGACGTGTGAGCGGACGTGGTTTGCGTTGCTGAGCGTGTGTGCTCTTTCGCATTTCCATGCGGCGACGGGCCTCGCCGGCCGCACGCCGCATCTCGCGGCGCACTGGCCGCTCGTGCAGCGTCTCATGGCACGTGTCCAGCTTCGGTACGACGAACACGTAGAGCACGCTGTACCCCGTGCGCTGGTCGCACGTCGCGATGCGTACATATATACCCTGCTACGTCGGTGCTGGCTCCTTCACGAGCGTTGGCAGTGGTCGTTTCAACACGCTGAGCCGCTTTTGCGCCACGTCTTCGATATCTTTGATGCACACCGCTTGGCAGATCTGCCTTCTGAAACGGACCACGACTTTGCGCCGTTCTTGCGGCGCTTCGATACCTCGGCCCTGTACGATGCACCATGTACGTCTGCCTACCAGCTGTTTTTGCAGCTGCTCGCCCACACCAGTCGTACATGGCAAGCACAACCGGACGCGTCACGACGTCTAGCCCGTCTCTTTTCGCGCATGACACCTGTCCGTGTGATGCCCTTTACGAAGGCGCAGCCACCGCTGTCGACAGAGCGTGCGATGCTGTTCAATCACTATTCGCTGGTCATGCTCTTCCTTCTTTTTGAGCCTACGTCTGCCAAGCAGCGCCTTCGGCAGATTCGCAGCTTTCTCCCGTTTGCTAGTGCAGATCGCGCGAGTCAGATTGCTTGCATTCGCGCGGTGGTGTATGCTGGCACGCTTTTTCGTCAGCATGCACAGGACTTGGCGCCCATCGTGGCATGGCTTGTGGATGTACTGCAGGCCCTGCACGCAGAAGGACTAGAGCACGCCTCGCTGGCAACGACGGGGATGGAAGCGCGACGGACCCAGCAAATGCGCAAGGAGGCTACACGCATGATGGCCGTCGTTCTGCGCTCCATTCAGCACTTGATTCGACATGCGTCCCTGCAGCCAGATGCCCCTGTGCCCTATCCACCCATCTCGCTGCTGCATACCGCATGGACACGCGATGTCTTTGCTTCCGATCTCTCGCCGGACGTGCAAATGGAAGCGCTGCGTATTGTCCAAGTGTTTTTAGAGGCACGGCAGCAGTCACTCTCGAGGCCCACGCAAGCAAGTCAAGGCACAGCAGACTCCATGGACGACGACAACGACGACGACGACGATGCATGGATGCGCGATCCCGCCTTGGCATCACTGCTAGGCGAAGACTGGCAGCCGCCGCCGGACGAAGCGCTGGCGGCGCATGTGGATGCCAATATATCGCCTATGCTCTTCCGACTGTTGACGCAGTGGACGTCCACACGTTCCTCTACGGCGTCGGATACTGCCTTAGAGGCTTTGGTGGCGCAGGCAGAAGCACAAGATCGGTTAGGGCTGCTGGTCGATGTATGGGCCGCGTGTGGTGCTGTGCTTGTTTCACAGAGTCGGCGCGCATGGTCAGCGTACTTAACGCTAGGTCGCGAGTCGTGGAAACGGCTGTCAGATCCCATTCGAAAACGTGATGTGGCAGTTCGTTTGGCTGTACGAATTGCCGAGTACGATCATGCAGCCGTACGGAACGAGCCCATGGAGCTGATGTTGGTGTGGTTCCATACGATCCTTGCGTACCATACTACGATGCAGACGACACTGACATCGCTTCTGCAGGCAGCACAAGTGCCATGGTTTGCTACACTTGACGTCCCATCGTCCCACGACGCGTTTGTCACACAGCGACGCACATTGGTAGCGGACGTCTTGGACGCGATGTGGCCTACCGAAGCTGTGCAGGTACATATGGCCATCCAATGCGTCTCGGCCTTGCTGTCGGCCATGCGAGCGTACGTCGAAGTGGTATCGGACCCCACCTACTGGGCATGGTGTGAAGAAATCCTTGCCATGATCCCTACCATGGACGAGCGAATCCTACGGGGCGTACGGACCGAGCTACACTCTACATCTACACTGCTCGCCCAACGGCGCACCACGGCCCTCACGACGACGACGACGTAAGCGTGCCCTGCATTTGTGCCTGGGCCACGCAGCACAAAATCGATACCTGATTCGCCACATCCTGCAAACGACGCACGACTTTGCGGTTCCCTGATGTAAAATGCATTTCTTCATAGATCAGGCCCTGCTCACGGCAGAAGGGCACAATAAACCTGTCACGCGCCTGCCGAAGATTGTGGCGTGGCATACGCGGGAACAAATGGTGGGTGACTTGCATGTGCAGACCGCCATGGAAAAAGTCCAGCGACTTGGGGCACTCCACGTCCATGGTAGTGCGAATCTGACGCGAGGCAAAGCACTCCTGTGGTCCGAGATCACTTGTGTCCTGGCCAAAGTGCGACAATACAATCTGAATATGCAAGGGGCTCGTGACAATGTGTGAGAGGAGTAGGTACCCAATACGCATTCGCCAGCTTGGGAGTGGGGCTAGCACGTAACAAGGGAACCACGTCCAAAAACTGATCAGGCCTAATAGCTCGATCCAGAACCACACGTTGCGGCGCGCACGTAACAGCAAGAATGAATACGATAGCGCATAGAGATTGAATCGCGCCACGGACATAATGATAAAGTACAATTTGTGCTGAAAGCGGAGGAGCCATCGCGCTGCCGCATCAAAGGGCATAGAGCGGCGGTAGTATGACGAATACAGGCCCACTGGCTCGTCGCCATGCGGCTTCGGCACCTTGGGCAGGAACATAGGGCTGATGGCAAAAATGGGCATGTGCTGAATATCGGGGTCATGCTCTGGATGGTTCGTCACAAGGTGGTGCACGTCATGGTTGTCACACCACCAATTCAGCGATAAGCCGCCGACGTACGATGCAACAATAATACCTAGCAAGCGGTCCACCCAGTAGATGTGCGTAATCCCAGTATGCCCTGCATCATGGGCTACGAACGCAAGCTGGTGCCAGAATGCGCCGAGACAGATGGACGATGCTGTGAATGCCATCGTGGCAGCCCAGCCAGTGTGCGCTTGGCCGTATTGGTAAAATACGTAGGCACCGAGCGCAAACAGGCCATACCGAAGGCACTCACGGCCATAGTTGTGGGCATGCAGCTCGAACATACCCGCCTCTTTTAGTCGCATATGCAACTGCTCAAAGGCCGCAGATATACGAGCTTCGCGCACCGAGTCCAGCGAGCTGGGCGGTGGCTCCAGCATATCCACCGGTAGAGGGAAAGACAAGACACGCTCCTTGTTCTTGGCTTCAGGATGCATCGCCACATATGCATTCCATGCCGCAAGCTGGGCATGAGGATGCTCCAGGGCACCATGGCGGTACCCTAGCTGAATGGGCGGCATGAGTGGTTTGTACACACGGCCTTTCGATACGTCTGTCGCATCTTCCTCGGCCAGTTGTGCGACAGCAAACTTGCGCATACGCGCAATGGTTTCATCTGAATGGTACACTTCAATTTCATCTTTGGCATCACGACCGACAAAGTGCAGGATGGCTGTATCGCCACCTGGGTGCTGCGAGGCCCAGCGGTCGAGCTTGTAGATCAGACGGCGGTGCACAACAAGCACTTCGCCATTCGCAATACGACGTGCCAGTTCGGCTCGCGTATATACAGTGCGTGGGAGCGACGTACCCGACTCTACCGCTGGGACGGTGGACATGGGCTTCGCGTCGATCTGCATGGCGGCAGCAGTCATACGATCCCTGCGCCTTTCATGTCTGTGCATCGGACATTGCCCATCACGTGCAGGCAGGCCTCGTGCCTGGCTGCACCGGTGGTGGTGAACGCCGCGGCGCACGGGCTTTGGCCTCGCTTCTCGAAACGCACGTACGATGGCGCCTCCCTTGCTCCACGCAACGTTTGCTGCAGATGTACCTGTATATGCACTAGTATTTGCAGGGGATGATCATGTAGTCTTTGTTGGTGGCGGTGGCGCAGGTCGCAGTGGTGTAGCCAATGTCATTGTACGTCGATGTCCGACTGACAAACTCAGAAAGCGGCTTCCTTGCCGATTGACCCAGAGAAGCCCTCGCTTCGCCCAGCTGGTGAGCTGAAGCTCAGTTCACAGGAAGATGCGCCTATGTGTTTGGCCATCCATCCCTCGGTATGTGAAGTCGCACTTACACGCAGCATCCGCATCTCGTGTGCGGTATCAATGCCGCCGCCGATCAAATGAGCACAGGCCCTAATCAGCATGTCCGGTTGTTCGAATATCAGATCCAAGATATGGTCGATCCTACGGAGGAGACGGAGGCAACGTACGTATATGTGATCTAACCATAGGCCTGGCCTCATGTCCATTCAGCCTACGTCGTCGTACGAATCCTTGGGCTTGTCCAACCCTGACCATTACCAAAAGACGGCCACATTCTCCCCCGACGGCAAGTTCCTGGCTGTTGCCAGTACCAATGGCCTGGTTCAGCTGCACCGCTACCCGAGTATGGAGACAGTCTTTTCTACGCATGTTGGCGTCCTGTCGCTTGACGAGGAAATTTACGATACAGACTTTTCGCACGACAGTCGTCAGCTGGCTATTACGACGGCCAATCGTCTGCTGATTCTTTCCACAGCGCCCAAAACGACCGATGGAGATACACCTACGTTCTCACCACGCATTCTGCAGACCATTGAACAACCGAAAGTCGGTAGTGGGAAAGGCCAATTCCGCATGGCGAAGTTCGGGCGTGGTCCGTTGCTGCATTCAAGCTCAAAACATGCACTGTATACACTCATCAATGACGAAAGTGTGCCTGGGAGCAAGGCACGCCGGAGTTACGTGGCCATGTGGGATGTCGATACATGGACGGTGAAAAAGATTCGTACCGTCTCGCAACGCCCTGCTACCGTGTTGGCTGTCAGTCCTAATGGCCGGCTTGTGGCTGTGGGCGCCTCTGATATGACACTGAGTGTTTATCGTGCGTCTACATTGCAATTCCTGTGCAAGGCAGACAAGGTCCACGATTTCCCGCCGACATGTCTGGCGTTCTCCCCCAACTCTCGCATGCTCGTGAGTGGCAGCGCGGATTCATCTGTGCGTGTGACGGTGCTGCCTACGCATCTGCTGCCTCGGCACGGTACGTATACATACAAGCTACTTACGCCAGTCATTTCGGATGAATCTATTTTTGTGGTGTTCTGTATCCTCCTTGTGCTTGCTGCCATGATCATTCCGTCGTACCTGCAGGACTAAGGGCGAACCACTGGGTGAAGATACGCTCTTCGTACGCTTGATCTGCTTTCTCATCCATAGCATTCACATGGGTATCTAGTTCGACATCGATACACTCGTCGACAAACTCACTGGTCACGTTCTCCATCGATGCTGGCGAAGGTATTGGCCCGGCCGTTCGCTCCCACGGTACAATTACATCGTTGGGGTCGATGTGTTCATAGGGCGTGTCATCGTCCACCAGCGTATCCGTGGCATACGACGTATCGGAGAGCGCACTTGCGCTACTTGCCATCTCTGTCGATGGAGAGGACGATACAGATTCGCTGTCCGAGTCGCTGCTGGATGCATCCCAATCGTCCGGCACACGAAGAGACGACGTAGTGGCAAGACCCGGTACATTTTGTGGTATGGATTGGGTCCAAGCCACAGGCGCATCACAATGTGTTGCCACATCGGCAATGGCATGCAGCATATCGGCATTCCAGCCATGAACGGTAGGTGGTGCTCCATCTGTGTTGTCCTGCGATGCGATCTCCTCACTCGGAGGCTCCTCTGTCGTATGGTACTCAGGGTATACGTATCCCAGCCGGGCTACAGTGGTCCATACGGTGTGTTTGTCCATAGGGTGTTTGAGCTTCGCACGCTCAGCGACGATCGTTAGTTCGTACATAACGCGAAGAAGCCACGCGTAAAGACACTTGGATAGTATCTCGTATACAGGCGCTGTGACATGCAGCGAGGTATGTGCATAGTCCTGAATCGCATCGATGTCTAAGATGTCCAGATGCGGCGCAATACCAGCGCAGCGGGGATCGCGGGTCCATTGGAGGCGCAGCGCTGTCCAAGGCCAATCATGTACGTCGAAGGTGGACGAGGTGCCATCTAATGCATGCAAATATTTCCATGCCACAAGCTGATTCATGACGCGTGCCACGTCGTCTCGCGTACGAAGCGGCGGCACCGGCGAATGATGAGCCCACGCAAGGTAGTCTGCTGTCATAGCGATACCCGAAGTGGCCTCCGCATCATTGGTACCTACCTCTACCAACCGTGCAACAAGGTCTGAAACGGTTTCCGATGGAACGTCATCCGCCAACGTCCTGGGCCGTGTAGCGTACAAATACTGGGCGACATGATAGAGCTGCTCGTTGACATACACAGGGGTAGACAAGGGTACTTGAGGCATGCGCCACGTAGTTTGCTGGGCAAGTGCATGAGCATGTTGTTCCTCCCAATCTATCCAGGCATGGGACATGGTATGCGCAGCCGGTAGGCGCTCCAGTCTACGCCGGCGAGCCACATGGCGTCGTGCTCCATACCGCCGTTGGTCGTATCGCTGAACCCGCGCAGCGTACCGATCAAAACGACGGAGCGCAGTACATACATCCCCAAGCGACTTGGTACCTACGTCGCGCGCTATCAAGTCGGGACGTAGGCGCGAATGACGGGCGAGGGCTTGGAAGAATGTTGATCTTTCCGTGGGTGTCCATGCCTCCCACCATGGCCACGACGGCTCAGCTGGGCAAATCTCTGGGACTTGGGCCTGGTATACATGCCGCGCATAGAAGAGTGCATATTGCTCAACCGATCGTGGCGTACATCGATGGGACGCTTCGGCTCTCGGCTCCGCCTCGCCCATCTCGCCGTGGAGGCGAGGGCTTGGCGATGCAGGTGGAGCTAGGCTGACAGCAACGAACGAACGTCTTCCTCCTCCACACGTATGACAGGCACCGACGCGGCGGACGAGGGTGGGACGTCGCCTGAGGCTGGTCGCGTCGAGACCAATCGCATGCTGGGTTCGTAGGTACATGACTAACAGGATAGCGCGCAAGCAGCTTCGTGCGATGGCGACGGCACGCGCTAGTCCCGGCGGTCCTTCGTCCGTCCGTGACGCCACCGCTCGAGCGCCAGCCGCCGTCACGACGCCAGCACGGCCTACAGCGCCTGCAGCGCTCCCTCGCGACAAGGCGCTCGGCGACTATATTGAGTTTGATTTAACGCGGCTGCACAATTCGAAAGGTGGTTTCCTCGTTGATGAGAATGAAGGCCAAGACGCCTTGCAAGCGCTTGAAGAGCAGCGGAAAGAGCGCGAGCGTGAGAAGCAGCGTATGCGAGATCAAATGGAGCCTGGTATTCGATTGGATCCTACGTCACGTCCAGTGTGTGAGATGTGCCAGTCTCCTGATATCATGTACGATCCATTCTTGCGTGTATTCAACGTTTGCGTGTGTCGCGAATGCGAGCGGCAACATCCGGAAAAGTATAGCTTGCTGACCAAGACCGAGGTCAAAGAGGTACGTACTTGTTTCGCTCATGACAGGATTACTTGTTAACTGATGGTGTGTGGCGTATACGACTTACCGCAGCCGAACTGGCCGATGGCGAATTGCTCCCGCATCTTCTGAAGAAGAATCCACACAAATCTACCTACAGCAACATGATGCTATTTATGCGATGCCAGGTCGAAGCATACGCCTTCTCCGATGCCAAGTGGAAGTCACCGGAAGGACTTGATGCCGAGTACCATCGCCGCAACGAGGAACGCGCACGCAAACGCACACGTCGCTTTCAGCAAGGTCTCGAGCGGTTACGAAAGCGCACAATTCGCGACAACCTGTGGCAGCAGCGCAAGGACGCTGAACATGTGCACGAATGGGCCCAACTTGGACCTACCCAGCAGCAATGCCGCGGATGTGGTCAGCGTATCACCGTGGAAGAGTTGTAATATACCATAGCTTAGCCCTACACATGCTTAGTCAGCCACCTCAGCGCGACGCGTTCGATGCAACAAGATGGCAGCCACCCCCAAGGCTTCTTTTCCTTGCTTTGGCCTCACTGCGCCATACAGTGACCGGCCGTAGGTGGCGCGTGTGAGGGAATGAGCACACGCAAGTCTGAGTCGGACCACGCGTCGGGGTTGTCCGACGACGAGGTGTCGGTAGCCTCGGCGAGTCCGTCGAGGCCCTCCGAGACGTCAGGCTCCACGTCGCCAGCGAAGCGTTCTGGTCGCGCTGCCCCACCCCCGCCCAAGCTCATTTTGGACCTGCCGAAGGCTGAAGAGCAAGCTCTCGCGACATTTGCAGAGATCCCTGACTGTGAATACCAAACCTCGCGGATTGGGCGTACACGTGGCCAAGACGACCCGTCGTGTGAGTGCTCGTTGGACCATGGCGCCGCCTTTGCCTGCACAGATGAATCTGGGTGCATCAATCGTTTGACGCAAGTTGAGTGCTTGCCAGATGCATGTCGCTGTGGCAAGGAGTGCGCCAACCAGCGATTCCAGCAGCATGCGTACGCCAAAGTGGACATTGTCCAAACCGAGAAAAAGGGGTTTGGGTTGCGTGCAATGGCACCTCTGGCACGAGACGATTTTGTGTACGAGTATATTGGTGAAGTGATTCATCACGATACCTTTATGCGGCGCATGGTGCAGTACAAGGAGGAGCATATTGAGCATTTCTACTTCATGATGCTACAGCGTGACGAGTACATTGACGCGACGAAGCGCGGCTCTCGCTCGCGTTTCATCAACCACAGCTGCAATCCCAACTGCTACGTGAGCAAATGGCATGTAGGACGGCATGTGCGTATGGGCATCTTTGCGAAGCGGCCGATCCTCGCGGGCGAGGAACTTACGTTTAATTACAACGTCGATCGGTATGGCAACGATCCTCAGCCTTGCTACTGTGGCGAGCCCAACTGTGTCGGTACGCTGGGTGGACGTACACAGACAGATATCGTTACGATGGACGATCGGTTCATTGCAGCACTCGGCATTGCTGATCAAGTGGCTGCCCTTCGTGCATCGTTGCCGCGTGGCAAGCGCTCTAAGATTCTAGACGAGGACTTTCATCCTGTGCTGCACGCGTTGGACGTGGACGATTGTGCGCGTGTTATGACGGCCATTCGCGATGCGACGACGAATCGCAAGATGGTCAACATGCTTCTTACGCGTGTGCAGCTCACCGAAGACGTGCATGTGCAAAAGATCCTCGTCAAGATGCATGGCTTCGTTGTCATGGCAGGCATTTTGGATGAATGGGCTGATGACCAGGAGCTGGTCTCACTGTGCTTGCAGTGCTTGGAGAAATGGCCTCTTCTTGCGCGCGATAAAGTGATGGATGCAGGAGTGTGGGAGCAAGTGCGTAAAGTAGCGGAGCAGGATGGTGCGAACCAGTCGCATGCGCACCGCCTGATGACTCAGTGGGATGCGCTGCCGGCAACCTTCCGCATTGCTCGGCGAGATGGTGTGGAGACAAATGCAGACGATTCCACGACGTTGGCGATGCTGCGTCGGGCTGTGGCTGCGACGGCTCTCCAGGCGGGTGAGACGCCTTCTGCGGAGGACACAGAGTCGTTGCGTCGTGCACTGCTGGCGTACCGAGCGCAAGAAGACACTGCGTCGTCTCAGCCGACAATGCGACGTACTGAATCGAAAAAGAGCGAGGCCAAGGAGGTGCCGAAACCCAAGCCAACGCAGTCCATTGAAGACATCATTCGGCGTGCCAACGAGGAAAACGAGGCGCGGCAAAGAGCGTTGGAAGAGGCTGCCGCCGCTGCCGCTGCCGCTAGTGCAGCAGCAGACGCACGCACGTCGTCGGCTCGTCCCTCGAAAAAGCACAAGACGTCGTCGGCCTCGCACGATCGGCCTGAGAAACGTGCCAAGTCGGACGAGGTCGATATGGCCGCGCTGGAGCACCGCCTGGCCAAGCTGGTCGGCGCCTTGGTCGTCAAGCAAATGTCCAAAGTGAAGGACCAGCTGGACCGTGATCGGTTCAAGCGCTACGCGAAAGATGTATGTACAGTGGCATAACTTACCTTCAGTTGACGCAGGTGCTCTGTGATAAAGAAAAGCGGCATCCCAAAACGTGGCCGCCGCGCTTGCCGGACGGGCAAATTGGGCTCGAAGAGCTAAGTGAAGAAAAACGCAAGAAGATGAAGCTATTTGCGCATGAGTACATTAAAAAGCTACTGCGACATCGGAGTAGTAAGCCACATGGCCAGGCTGATACCAGCATGGATTTGTCCATGCAGCTGAATACTAGCATGGACGATTCTGTCGACTTGAAGATGTCTTCGCCCGTAGACGACGAGTCGTAATTAGCAAAGGATCAATGTGCTTCGAGTCCGCCAGATGTACGGCCGTAGGAGGCGATTGAGGCCCACGGCAGCAGTCATCTCTGCCTTGACTTGCATACGCGCAGCGATGGCCGGCACGGAGTGCGCTGGCGAAGCGGGCGCGCGGCTTGTTAGGATCGTTTGCAAAATGTGCTCTGCGGCGGCACTGTACTCGGCACGAAGGCGTGGCTGAGCGTCGCTACCGCTCGATGGCAGATCCATGTGTGTCAAGTGCTCCGCGATAAACGACAGGAAGGTCGCCTGTCCACCCAGCTGCGCAGCGTCCATCCGAGCCAAGGTGATTTTGCGTAGCGCAAGCAACAGTGGCGTAAGCATCGGCTTGTGCAGCGGACGAAGGAGCAGGGCACAGAGAATATCGCATGCCACGCTATCGATGAGATGCTGGACCAACGCAGCCTGGGCGCTCGCTGGAAGCTCTGGTAACGCTTCAGCAAGATAACCTAGTGCTTGCGCGACATTCCCTGCAGACGTCTCGGTCAATGTATCGGCCGTGCCCATGACATACACAGCGCCACGCAACACCATATGGAGAGGGCACAGTGAGGCGCCTGGGTAGGTCAGCACAGAGGCCGTCTGGCCATCGTACGGCGTGGGACCCCATGCCGCCATGGCCGCATTCGCTGTCGAGGCCAGCAAGACAGGCTGGGCGACCAACAGCAAAATGTGCAACAGACGCGCTACTGCGTCACGTACACGAGGCACACGCAGCATATCCACATCAAGGATCGGCGCTATAGCGACAAAGGCTTGCACACTGCAAGTAGTTGGGTGCTGTGCATCGTGCGTAGGCACATCAGGCGATACGTTCGTCCCTGCTTGCAGTAGCTCTGTGACCACACTCAGGTACGCGATCAGAAGCTCTTCCACCGTCGCATCGACGCCGCGGCCACGTGGCAACGACAGCAAGGTGGGGGGCACAACCTGCAACAGGGCGGCTGTGCTGGACGACACGGTGGTCAGCCACGAGGCCGCGTCAGCGAGCTCCGGCCATGCTTGGAGGAGAGCCTGCGTCGCTTGCAAGGCAGCCATTTGCACATCGGCCTGGCCTCCCTGCGCTTGCGCAAGATCGACTATGGCCGACATACGTGCAAGCATATGCGTATGCACTTGCCCACTCACCTGAGGATCGGCGGCGGCGGCCATAGCCTCCCACAATCCCAATGCGGTTTGCATCGTGACGGCCGGTGCATGCGCGGCTGCCTCCATACGCGCCTGCGCAGCCTCGAGGAGCAGCGGATAGTATGCGGCGCGTGTCTCTGACGCGGACGCCGTGGCCGAATCACGCGCTGCATCGACACAGCGCACCAATGCGCGTAACAATGGCACTTGCGAGGCCGCAGGAAGCGTCTCGAGCGTCTGAAGCGTCTCACGGACCAGTGCTAAGACCGCAGGCTTGGCGAGAAGACGTGTCATGACACCTGGTGTGTACGTCCATGCCTCCCATACGTGCGCCATACTCATCATCACGCCCTCTTCCGACTTCCAAGAGGTAATTAGGTCGTACATACATGCAATCATGGCGTCTAGCATATGCTCGCCATCGTCCCCCACCAAAGGACTGATCTCGTTGAACAGGTACGTTGGCACCCATCGCGCCACGAGCCACAGAAGCGACTCGACCGTTTGCGGACTGGCTGGCATCGCCGTCATAGGATGCTGCGGGACAAGGGATTGCAGTAATGTCCAGTACGTATGAATGGACATCCAAACGTGGGTCTTGGTCTCGTGCGATGCGTGCTGGATGGCTTCTGGCGCTGTTACGCACTCGCGCGACGCCGGGTCGGCTAGGATATGGCCAAGGAGCAGGGCGAGCCAGTGCCATTGCTCCCATACGGCCGGAGCAATGGCCGTACCTTCCATAGCGGGCTTCAAGGCGGCAAGAGCGGGCAGGACACGGTCGAGCTGCGGTCGGGCCAATGCCGCATACATCGTGAGCTGTTCATCGTAGACATCAACATCACGGCCCTGCTCCTCGCCCATTTCTTCATCGTCCGTCTCCGCACTCGTGGCAGCAGCTTGCAGACGCCCAGTCTGGTACGGCAAAACAACTTGCTCACAAATAGAGCCATACAAGCCAGCTTTGTCGGTGTTAGGCAGCTCGGCTAAAAGCGAGCGCCACAGTCCTAATGCTTCTTCCACAGCCATATCACTTGCGGCCGTAGCCTCGGCATCGTTCATGGATGGGACGAGTGCAAAGGCAATGTGATAACACGTCGCAGAGACACGCGCTAGTGTTTGCAGGAGCGCTGCGGGATCCATGGCACCATGCAGCAAGACCAAAGCGCTCTTGCCCTGCAAAAGTCGGGTATATATGTGCGTGATGCGTTGCAGCACAGCAAGGGAGTCAGTGTCGACCTGCGATAAGCGAGGCGCCATCGCTTGGAGGTCCAAATCCAGCTGGGCAAAGAGCGCGACGCGCTGCGCTTTCCACGCAGACTCGGTGCTACCGTTAGGCTCGACGTACAGCGCCATGGCTTGCATGGACGCATGGACATTCTGCGCAATTTGATGGGCAGCCCAAGCATGCGAAGGCACATCCGCAGCGATAGTCTGGGCTAGGCGGCCGGTGGTGCCCAGCAGCGGCGGCAAGTCGGGACTGTGGAGGATCGGCGCCAAAACGGTAGAGAGAGGCGATCGCACATCGTCCACATTACCAAGAGCTAGCCCCTCGACACTCTGCCATACTTGCTCAGGCGTCCATGCAGCGACGGTAGCGTCGTCACGTACGGCTGCGATGGGGATACTGCGCCAGTGTGTTGCTTCTTTGACGGCCTGCGATACCGCGTGACATAGATCTAAGGCAAAGGAGGCCTGCTCATTCGAAGCATGCTGTACACGCTCCGTGGCTGTATGCAATACATGGAGCAAGGCAGGAAGTAGCGTCGGCAAGATCTGTGTCTCCACCAAGGCATGGCACCATAGTACTTCGTCCACACGTAGCCCGAGTTGCATAGTAGGCACACCATCTTCTGACAACGCTGTGCGCGCCTGCAATTCCTCTAGCAGGAGCGCAGCTAGCGCTACACCGACCCACTGCGGTACGTCACTGCTTTGACACATCTGCACAAGGTGTGTACCCAGCTGCAAGAGTGGCGAAGGATCCCCCCGCCTATGCTGCCCAGCGATACGGAGTGTTAAGAGGACAACCACACGGTAGTGCCGCGTACGTACATACGCCGGCCAGGCACGTCCTCCCGCGTACGCTGCTTCAGTGCGCGCCATGGCCGACTGGATGAGCCAGTCTCGTACAGAAATCAGCGAAGGCGCGGCACGACTAGCGTCGTCCACATCAATCCGCGGAAGTGCCTGAAGTAGTGCACCAAGGACGTGAAAGTGCGCTGTATCGTCGCGTGACGAAGCTTTGGGTCAGTGTGCTTGGCAACGTACCTAACAGGAAACACGTATCGTCCACCACAGTCGGCGAGCTTCCCAAAGAGAGCAGCGTTGAAGACGCCTTCTCACGCTCATCGGCATGCACGGAACCAAGCTGCGCACAGGCCGTTTCGACATGGTGCTGCAGCTGCTCGCGCCGCGCGTCCGCCTGCACGAGCGCGTGGATCTCGGTGGCCATAAGAAGGAACCAGTTAACGTGCGTGGAGACTCATTTGTCAGCGTGACAACTTGGCTGACGTAAAATCCCGAAAGACACCGCTTCTAAGTCACGCTCGGTCGGTCTGTGCGGAATAAGGGACTGCCCGTGCTACTGGAGTTTCCTCTTCACCACCACTTTGATTACGATGTTTGCTTTTGTTTCGCGTCGCACTGCTACCTCCGCTGCCCGCATGGGTGTGCGTGCCAAGCATACGCTCCCTGACCTGCCGTACTCGTACGGTGCATTGGAGCCGGCTATTGCTGGTGAAATCATGGAGGTGCACCACTCGAAGCACCACCAGACCTATGTGAACAACCTCAACCACGCCGAGCAGCATATGGCTGACGCTACTGCGAAGGGCGATGTCAAGACGGCGATCGCTACGCAGCGTGCGCTGAACTTCAACGGCGGTGGCCACATCAACCACACGCTGTTCTGGCAGAACTTGGCCCCGACCTCGCAGGGTGGCGGTCAGCTCGACAGCGGTATCCTCCGCTCGGCCATTGAACGTGACTTTGGCAGTCTGGAGGAACTCAAGACCCAGTTCAACGCCGCTCTCGCTGGCATTCAGGGCAGTGGCTGGGGTTGGCTCGGCTATGACGCCGCGGCTGACAGGCTCGCCATTGTCACGACGGCCAACCAGGACCCGCTTATCTCGCACATCCCTCTCATCGGCATTGATGCCTGGGAGCACGCCTACTATCTGCAATACAAGAACGACAAGGCGACCTACTTTAAGAAGATTTGGGAGGTGATCAACTTCGAGAAGGCGGAGGAGCGCATGAAGGCCTCGCGGAAGTAAAGGACAGCTCTCTTATAAACACAGATATCTGGCTTACTGAATGTGCTATAGATATACTGTCTAGTTTTGCACATACACGACATATACTAGTTTACAGGAGCGCGCCGTGTAGAAATGATCGATTCACGGGCGGGGAGATCCGACACTGGGCGACTAGCTCGGTAAGACATGGGCAGTAGACGTACCTAACAAGCCGCTGATCCTCGTCAAAACGAAGAACACGTGGCTCTTCGGGCTGTAATGTACTTGTTTGAGAGTTGCGAAGCGATCTCTCTGCCTCATCCACAGTTTCGAGACCTGGGAACGTCTGGCTCGGCCGTGCGTTGATTTCCGTCTCCAACGGCAGCGGAAGGATCGACGAGGATTCACCCAGGCCCCATGTAGTCTGGAACTCCTGGTTATCGTAGCGCATACGCGCTTTGGTTGGCATAGCAGGCGATGGCGGGATGCTGCGTTGCTGCCTATACACGTCGCTGCTTTGGGACTGCGATACGTCCATATCTCCCGAACCGCGAGTCTTCGACGCTGCGTCCTCCCTGTCGACCATTTCCATGAACCATTTCATCCTTGCGTTAGTGGTACAGGTACCTACCGGATAGCCGGCGTTTCCACAAACGCCGCGCGGTACATCGCGTTCCGCTGTGCCTGTGGTAGGTCGGCGTGTTGTGTGTGGCTCCACCCACCAACGCGCAAGGCTCACGTACCTGCTTACATCCCCAAATATGGGATCTATCGACACAACCCGCTGCCCCTCCAAAGGCTCGTGTCGTGCTCTCTGTCCAAGGTACAGCACCGTGCACGATGTCCAAGCCTGGTAGAACCTATATATGACTATGATGCTTCTTCACGAAGCGCTTGTAGGCGTTTTTGGTTGCGTTTGTTCAGCACGCGCATTGTCCGCTCCTTTTCAACGTCTGTCATGTCTTGCCAATTAGGCACGCGAGACAATGTCTGTCCATAAGAAGAAAAAAGGTCAGCCTCATGTCATAGATTTTGATAGGGTACCTACGCCGTCGGTGTTGACCTGCACCAATGAGTAACACATAGGCATACGTACCACAAGCGGTCCCAACTGATCGAATTTAATCGTATGTGAGCCATCCGCCGCAAGCGATGCTGTTGTGGCTTGGACAGCTTCTGGGTCGTTGGATGGCAGCGACAAAGGGGCCTGCTTTTCTGCTGAGGACGACATAGCTTCGCTCCTTTTCCCTGGTAGCTGTCCGTCTCGGCGTGGGGAGGAGAAAAGACGTGGAGGTGGCCGATTTTTCACCAATCACATGGTTGACATCATAGACACATGGCCTCCTACATGAACTAACTGAAGAAGTACAGAGAGCGCTTGATTTCGCTCACATCAAAGCTGCCCTTTTTCGGGATGGGGGGAAGCAAGTCCGCCAAATCGTAAAAGCCTTGGCTATCAGGTTCGCTGGGACGGCGCAGAATGAAAGGCGTGTCCTCCATAGAGAAGTTATCCTCCTCCATTTCATTCGACATATCCTCGTCGTCTTCGTCATTCTCGTCCTCCTCTGTACGTGGCTCGTACCGAATCTTCGCACCATTGACCAGCGACGAGGCAGGGACTTTGTATCCCTTGTAGCGCTGAAGGAATTCATCGCGAAGACGAACCAAAATATCCTGTGAGTGCAAGCGCACAAACGTATCGCGAATAATATCGCTCATGGTATCAATGTCACACGCATGTGTCCAGTAGCTGTCATGCACACTTGCAAATACCAAGCCAGCTGAATGACACTCCAACGCCGTCAAAAACATGTGTGACGCATCCAATGAATGGATAAAGTTGGGTGGGAATGCGGATGCTTGCTTCGATGGGTTGACCTCGAAGTTCTGGTTCGGGTCGCGAATGTACACAGATTGGACAGCGGTAGTAATTTGGTGCTTTTTGATTTTGCGGTACGGCTGAACAACAGGTAGACCCAATGCACTTGTCCAGATCACTGAGGTCATTTGCTCACGGCCTTCACGCGTTGAGGCGCTGGCGCTGCGGCGTGTAGTCTTCTCGCCGCGGCCAGCCTTCTTCTCATCTGTGAGCTGCGCCGGCTTGATGCGTTCTGGCGGAATACTCTTGGCAATGAGACGTGCACTCACTGTCAGCCATTCTTGGATCATGTTGGCACCAGAGAACAAGTTTCCAATACAGTCCATGATCACTTTGGCTAGGTAGGATGCAGTGCTCCATACTTCTTCGGCGGGGATATCACCACGATCCACCAGCTGGCGCATGACTTGGTTCTTTGCTCCGATGAACGTTACGCCGTATACGGTGGTCATGACCGTCTGCTTCACGACTTTACGAGTGACCTTGCCTTGGAGCAATTGCGCGGTAGCATCGCCTTTAGCAGCACGTTGGTTCAGCTGCTCAATGACCAGTTCTGCCACACCAGTATACACATCCGCGGGACGGTCACCGCCACGCAGGTTGACTTGTTTGGCACCCTGCAAATCACCACCTAGCGCAGCATAATGCTGCAGACCATTGCAGGTACCATCTTGGTGGACAGGTAACTGCGATGGGAACGCTTCGGGGCCTTCTGGGTACTGCCACGCCTGATGCAATTCCATGCACGTAGCGAGACACTGCCATGGATCATCGGCCTTCATCCACCAGCGCTGACCGTCCAGTGGATGAGTCGCGGAATCGATGATGTCCTCAGCATGGTCCTTGGCAAATTGCTCACGCTCAGCAAAGCTCGCCTTGTCATAACCAAACACGTTGGCCAGATGGATATGCAGCCAGCGGAGACCCATTACCCCCAGGGGCTTGGCCTCCGCAAACTTGAGCAGGCCACGACACAAATCGTTGCCAATGTGATTCAAGTGGGGGGGAATGGGGTATGCACGTCCACGGAAGTCCATATTGTGGGGGAAATAGAATTTCTCGTTGAGGAAACTGCGCGCAATTTCCAGCTTGTAATTGATATCACAGCGTTGCGAATGGTTGCCAGCGCGAATCGAGTTCCACTGACGGAGGCGCTGGAGGTAAATACCTTTCGCCTTGATATCATCCGGCGGCGGTCGTTCTGGTTCGGGGTCTGTCATCTCGGCGGGCGGGAGATCGGCCAAAGCCTCGCCCGAATTCCATACCTGCACCACAACGTCAAACACAGCGCGGTTCACATTCCAAGCCGTATTGCCCAGCACATCCAGACCGGCCAAAACCACTTCCAACCCATTATTCTCTGATGCAGCACGGAGGTACGAGCTCTGCTCCACCGAGTCCTTGTACCGCATCGCACTGGTTTTCACTGAAAAGTAGCCACCGGAGTCGTGCGTAAGCCAGGGACGCGGTGGGACTAACATGGGCAAATGACGTGGGTGAAGGGTCTCGCGCACAGATTCCTTATCAAGACGCTGTGAGATCACCTCGTTGAGACGAATGACACCCAGCTTCTTGCCCTGGATATACTCGTACGCCGAATAAAAGGCCGGCTGCTCTTCTTCCCACAGCTCGCCATCACGATCGTACGCCTGACGCTTGATCGTGGCCACTTCGAGTAGCTGGTGCACAAGGTAACTGCCCACACGCGCACGAATGATCTGCGTCCATTTAGGAATGTTCATCTCCAGGTTCTCATCCTGGCACTTTTCCTGCCAGACTTTCAAGTCGCGACGCACAGCCAGATCGATCAAGTTGCGCTTGCCAAGAATTGACTGGGCATGGCGCGCTTGCACAAAGATCTCAGGGTGCCTGTTGAGCATTACCGCACTGTACTCGCTCTCAATGGCCTTACCGATGGTGATCAACGCACGGGTGGTCTTGATACCATCTGCGACGCCGCTGATACCCTGCATACGCATGAGCTCAATGATTACTATCATCGCCATCTTCGATGGCGGCAAGAGTTTCAAAAAGGGATACAGCTGCGATTCGACCGAATTGGTCAGCGACCGCTTGACCTGACTGCTCATACGCTCCAAATCTTCACGTAGAGACTGCTCCAACTTCTTGTACCATTCCCACATCCAGCCTTGGAGTGTCTTGGATTGCAGAACGCCTGCGTCCTTGCCGATTTCTTGTAGTTTCTCAGTATCATGCTCAAGACGTTTGCGTGCTGCTTCCAATGCGGAATGTTCAAGCCAGCGTTGACGTTCATACAGGTCCGACGAGCGTCGCTTCGCATCTTTCATCGTCGCCAAGCTCTCCTGCAGTGTCTGTAAATTAAAGGGCTTCTGCATCGTGTCTGTCACGCGGTCCTTGGTCATCACAGGGCGCAGCTCTTCCACTTCGTCCGCCGTGGTATCCACTGCGGGGAGATCCGTCTCCTCGCTCTCTCGCAGCACGTTATCGACCTTATCCAGCTGACGCTGCATGTCGGCATCGCCTAGCTTGGTCGCTGCCGCCCGGAACTGTGCAAGCAAAGTCGGTGTATTCACAGTCGCATTTTGCAAGAGAGAGACAGTCTCTGTACCTGCTGGCGCAGAGCTCGACTGGCGTACCGATGATGAAAAGATCGCGTCCATCGAGATCCCTAGTGTTTTGGCATCGCGCAATAGCTCGACCATGGTAGGCCGATTTCGTGGGTACACATGCATCGTCTGTAGTTGTGAAATGCCTAGTGCCATTGTCGCAATTGTCGATGCATCAGGGCGTGGATCCAGCTGCACATCGCCCTCTTTCATCATATCTTCCCACAACTTCCATGCATTTGTGACCCAAGTCTTCACATCCTCAGCACCTGGCTGTGCTGCTTTGCTAAAGTAAGCATGAAGGATTGCATTGTATGACCAAAGCTTGAGCGGCGTACGTTCATGAACCACGTCGCCGCCTTCCATCATCCGCGCTTCATGCAGCTCTTGCATACGCGTATGTGATTCCGCGCGCATCTCCTGCATAAGTTTGTGCGCACGCGAAATGAGGCCAGTGGAAAGACATGCCTGGAAGAGCGCCAATGTTTCCACTGTGCGCGTAGGTGGGAAGTAAATCTCGTCAATGTTGGCATTTTCTACACTTTCTGGCGATGTTCCGATCATCTGTGCTTCTGCTCCTGCCGGATCCAGGTCCGTCAAGTGCTGGCCACGACGTCGCATAGTCATATGGCGCTCACGCACATCCATAGGCAGAGGCGTAGGCAGATGAGTGTACGCTTGTCGGTTCACATAGGGCTCGAAGCTTGTTTCCGTCTGTGCTTGGTTCGCAAGCAGTATGCTGCTAGTCATCAGCGGTGCACGGTCTAGCCACACGTTCGAAGAGGCCGTCAGCGCAGAAGCGTTGCGCGGTATGCTACGAAGCTGTGGGCGGCGTACACATCGTGCAAAAGACCACATATCCGCTGGGTATAATTACACTTAAGGCCTTCCACCACGGAAAAACAACCTCAGATGGGATACAATCCACAAGCTAGCAGACGTAGTGCGAATCTTCGCGGTGGCGACGACGTTGGAAAAAAAACGTTGCGAACACGACGCTCGACTTTTTTTGTACGCGAAGGCGACCTCCGCAATGATTATATAAGCCATAGTCAGAATATGGATAGGCACACGCTCGCTTGTCAAGCAGGCGTACGTACGCGTATAGTTTTGGGAGCGAGGTGGGGTATCGCGAGCCTACAGAGTAGTTGCAACGTTGTGCCTTGATGCAGGAGCGAGAACCTCCCATCTATGGCAATTTCCATCACTATTATGGCATGCGTAGTGCGCGAGCAGCACGTCAGGCGCAAGGCACGCAGGCTTCAGCGACAGTCTGGGAGCCGCAGCCTGACGGCATAGATGAGCGTATTGTTGCCTTTCTTGCGTGGCTTCAGCAAAACAATGCTCTCAAACCCATTCGTGTGGAAACTATTCTGGATATCGGATGCAATGCGGCGAAACCATTGCTAGAGCTTTGTGAATTGCTGCAACCCCCTCCAAGTTATGTGCTTGGCGTAGATATTGACCCTGTCCTTATAGACCAAGCTCGTACATCTCTACGCATGGCTTGGTCGCAGCGACAGCCAGATGCATCGTCTTCATCATCTGTCGCTGCAATGCGATACTTCCCACGGATTCTGGCCACCAAGATTGGCCCTCTTCCACTGCCACCGCCTCATACCCCAGCCTTTCCTTTATGCATGCATTTCATGGCCGCAGATTGGATGCAGATGCCCCTCAAAGAGGGCCAGTATGATCTGGTCCTGGCACTCTCATTAAACAAATGGATTCACTTGCATCACGGTGATGGCGGTCTTCTCCGGTTTCTTGCCCGTATCGCTATATCTCTATCGTGTCATGGTGTATTTTTATGGGAAATGCAGCCATGGTCGTCCTACGACCAAGCCCGATCGCTGTCGCGTGAACTACGCGCCAAGCATGCCCAGCTTCGAGTTCAACCGGAAGATATACCCTATATTCTAGATATTCTTGGTCTCTCCGTGCATACACATATTGCGCAAGGTATGGGACATGGTATGTGCATACAATTCGTGCCGGACTAACAAACCAGGCTTTCAGCGTCCTTTGTATGTCACCCGGCGTCCTGGCCAGGGCACGGTCCATTCAGCAGCGACGCTTGTGCGTGACTGGGCGTACGTGGAGGACAATTTCACGTGGCCCTGGGTGGCACGAAACCGGTCCGTTCGCTCTCGGCCTCGCCTTGCGTGAGTGGGATAAACGCATTTTGCGTTGGCCTCGCACTTTGTAGAGTGACCTTACTCTTGTACTACGTACATTGTGAACCGCGATGGACCCGAAGAAACTTTATGTGGATGTAACACGAAACTATGCCGATGAGCTGTGGAGCAAGGATCAGCAGCGGGCGTTGGCCGCCATTGGTGACGCCATTGTAGCACCGATGACGCCGGAGGAGAAGGCGCAGTTCCTCAGTCAGGTCCCCGACTCGTTGACGGACGAAGAGAAAGCCAAGCTGGCGGCCTATGCAGACATGAAGTTCAGCGATCTTCCCAATGGTGTGAACCTCGTTGCGATGCATGTGGTCGAGACGATCTCGTTTTCGCTGCGCTCGCTTTTTGGCTTGGTCCTGGGCCTCTTGAGTACGCGTGCTGGGTGCCTGCCCATTGCTGGCCGTGTCGGTCCTGTGTGGGAGATTGACCGTCTAGCTATTCTCCAGTTCCTCTCGCTGTGGCGCAATTCCCCGATCGAGCTGCTGCGCACCGGTGAACTGGGATTGCGTGGCCTGATTTTGATCGTATACTACCGTCATATGGACGAGGCATGTGAGGCCATCGGCTACCCAAGTGGCCCTTCGGACGATTGGAAGACCCCGCCCAACCACCCAGCGCAGGAAGCGATCCCGCACTTTGAGTTCAAGTTCCTCAACGATCAACTTCCCTCTGAGCCGTCGTCGAAGCCCATTGAAATGGAGGCGGATGTCATTATTGTCGGCTCCGGCTGTGGCGGTGGCGTGGTAGCTGCTTTCTTGGCGGAGCGTGGCCTTAAAGTGATTGTGGTCGATAAGGGCATCTACGTGCGCCCTGACGAGATGCCTGTGCGCCAGGACTTTGGCTCAGAACAGATGTTTGAGCGCCTCGGCTTCGTGCCTACCTCCACTGCCAGTGTATCTGTGCTGGCTGGCAGTGGCTTTGGTGGCGGCTCCACGATCAACTGGAGTGCTATGCTTGCGCCACGTTACTTTTTGCGCAAGGCGTGGTCCCACAAGTTCGGTGTGCCGTACTATCGCTCGGCACTGTTCTCGCAGGACTTGGATGCGTGCAACAAGCGCATGGGCACGACGGACCAGATTGAGCACAACATAGCCAACTCGCTACTGGCGCTAGGCGCTACGCGATCCGGCCAGCCTGTGAACACCGTGCCGCAGAACAATGGCGACTCGCCGCACTATTGTGGTAAGTGCACATTCGGATGTGCTTCGGGTCAAAAGCAAAGCACTGTCATGACATACTTGCAAGATGCGGCTGAGCACCAGGCCGAGTTCCTCCTGAGCTGCGACGTGGAGCGCGTCCTGATGGACAATGGCAAAGCAACGGGTGTCGTGGGCTCGGTACGTGGCCAGCCTGTGGTCCTGCGTGGTACCAAGGCGGTGGTGCTCTCGGCAGGAAGTCTCAACACACCGGCTATCCTTCTGCGCACGCCGGAAATGAAAGTGAACAAGCAGATCGGCCACCATTTGCATCTGCACCCAGTGGCATTTGTGCATGGCTTCTACGACTTCCCTGTAAAGGCATGGGAGGGTGGTATTCTTACTACGGTGTCCAACGCTGCTGAAATGGTCGATCCCCACGGCTGGGGTGCCAAAGTGGAGGTCATGGTGACGGCACCTTCGCTGTTCAGTGCGCTGCTGCCGTTCCAGGGCTCGATGGAGCACAAGAAGCTGCTGTCTCGCTTCCGCCACGCCTTCACGGCCATTGTCATTGTGCGTGACCGCGATGAGGGACGTGTGAGGCTGGACAAGTATGGCCGTACCCTTATGGACTACCAGCTCAGCAAGTTTGACGAGAAGAGCATGATTGAGGGTGTCAAGCGTGCGACCGAGATCCACATGAGCGCTGGTGCCTCGGCGATTGTCACGTCGCAGCCGGGTGTGCCTGTATATGAATGCCCGCGCACGCGTGTTGCGCCGAACAAGGAGGTCCCAGAAAAGCTACTCGCCGGCTCGCACCAGTTTGAAACACTGCCTCCGCAAGGCGATATCAATGACCCTACGTTCGTGGCGTACCAGAAAGCCATTACCAAGATGGGCTTCACATCGCTTCACTCCACCATTGGTTCTGCTCACCAAATGAGCTCTTGCCGTATGGGCGCCAACCCGAAGACTAGCGCTTGTGACACCAAGGGCCGCGTACGTGGCGCGAAGAACCTGTGGGTGGCCGATGGCTCCGTTCTGCCCGAGGCGACGGGTGTGAACCCTATGCTGACGATCCTCGCTGCTTCGCGTGGCATTGCTCGCAACATTGCTATTGATCTTGGCGTGGCGCAGCCAAGCGATACCGCTGCGATCCCCGTGTCGCATTTGTAGTGACCTCCTCTCCGTACTCTCTATATCACCGATGCCGCTATTTGTACGTCGAAGGTTTGCCTCCACATAGACACAAATCTTGTACGCGTCGAGACTGCCCAACGTTGTCGACCTCCACGTTGCGATGCGCCAGCGGCCGCCGCCGTGGTGGGACGATGCGGTAAGGGTAAGCCGTACGTCTAAACTCCTAGGCGTGGAGATACCGGAGACGGTGGCATCCGATGTGCCGGAGATATGGGGCGCGACGCTTCTTCTTCGTATGGCACTTGCGCCATCAAATGATATGGATGCGAAAATCGACACGGCGCAATACATTGTGCAGATCTTGTGCAGTCATTCTCGCGTTCGTAAAGTTCAAGAATACATCGCCTCTGTATGGGATACATGGCTTGATACACATCCATGGACAGACCATACGTCGCATATCCTGCATATGTACGCCCTACTTTGGCGAGCCTGCTGGCCAACAATGCCTCAAGCAGGGACCAAGCCCCTTCGATGGTGGGTACAAGGTGCCCTCCATACAGGTGCACACCAACACGCATGTCTAACATGGACTACACTCTGCGCACAGGTACGTGGATACACATCTGACGATAGCATGCGCCCAAAGAGGTCGTGCCATACTGGCCTTCTCTGCTGCCTTCGCGGGAACACCGCGGCGTATTGGCCACAGTGCCAACGCCTTGGAATGAAGAAATATGCGCATTGCTGCAATCTCTCTTTGTCTATGGCGAAGCCTTCTGGTCCGTGGCACGTGAACGTTCGCGTACCTCGACATTCACGTCGCGTTCTGAGCGCGTCGGCACATGGCTCTGCGATACAAGGGATGCCTTGGTTGCCTGGCTCCAGGCGCCAGATGCACCTGTGATACCCATTTTACGTGTACGTACGCGAAGTGCTCACATTCAGTGCCTGCATGCCTTGGTTTTCCATACTCAAAACTCACCATTGCATGCATCGCATGCCTCTGTGCTTCGTCCTGCCATGAAATCATGGTGTGCAAAGGCTGATACGATGGCCGATGCCTATGCTATTCTGCTCCTTTGGCCACCTGTGCCATCTACTTGTGTGACAGATCTTCTTCAGTGGCTCCAGGATCATCCTACGGCGGACACGGCAGCGGAGCATGTGTGGCATGTTGCTGCGAAGGCTGTGGCACAGACGACATCGCATCTCCCGCCTGTTCTCCTAGATACCCTCACACACGACCTCGCTTCGTCCTCCATGTCCACACCGCGCTCTGACGGTGCACATAAAATGCTGCAAGCTGTACTGGAAGGCATGGCGCAGGGAACATGGACTGATACATCCATGATAGCCTACCAAGCCTTGTACGAAGCTAGGACCTTTGAGCAGTCGGCGAAGACGCAGGTATGGGTCGCACAAGCATGGCCAGCATATACCCAATGGCAATGGCATCAGAATGGTGCTTCTTCGTTGTCTGGATGCATGAAGAATCTCTTTCAGACCCCGAATCTCTCAGCAGAGGTCTGTGCTGCTCGTATCCGAGCCCTAGGCGTATGGATCGAACGTGATTTAGGTCCATTGGCCCAGGACGATATGGCGTTTATATGGCAACAAGCATGCCAAGCTTTGTCAGATACGCATATCTCTGTCCGTGCGCAGGCCGCTTGGACACTGGCGAATCAGTGTGTGGCGATGGATGGGTGGAATGCATCCGCGTTGCAAGCCATGCTTCTGGCCCTGGAAGACGATGATCGGATTGTGACACATTGTGCACGTGGTATCGGTGCCATGTGGCAGCCCATGCCGCCGGACGTATATGAAGACAGTATACATCGTGTATGCAGTATAGCAGGAGCGCAGGCGCATGCACCCAAAGTGCGCTGGAACATTGCTACTTGCCTCGCCCGTGCTTTGCAGCGTGAGCAAGAAAGACCCAGCGCAGCACTGGCACGTATCATCGATGTGCTAGCCGACGATATGCATGATGCGACTTTCAAAGTGCGTCGTATTGCTGCCCAGGCCCTCGTCCAGCTTACGACCGAGATGTGGCTGCGTCTGCCGCCTTCGACGCAGCAGCATGTAACTCAAGAGGTGGAGCAGGCCGAAGCACAATGGGACACGGACCTACAAAATGCATCGTTCTCCGAGGCACAGCGGCATGGCACTGCGTGCCGTTCATTATTACAGGAATTGGTATCGCAACATACTACTTGGCGTACTGCATGCGCCAGGAAGGAAGGAGGCGGCGCGCATGCAGCTGAGCCGCTGTGAGACCCACATGCCCATACGTAAAGGGTGCGAGGAAGATATACATAGCCACCAATGCCGCAACCAAAACACCAGCAGTCACGTATGCTGTGGTGTAGAAACGACGGTGCATACGTGGACGCTGCCTATCGCTGGACATGAAGGGGCCTGGACGGCTCAAAGGCAGCTCGATACCGCGACTAGTAAGCATCTCCAGCATGCCACCCAGCACGAGAATGGCGCAAACGTGCGCGGGCAAGTAGTGGTGCAGGAATAGTTGGCGGCCCATAATAAAGAACGGAAGGTAGTGACACGCCCAGGCAAACACGAAAAAGCCCGTGGTGCGCAGGTACCGATGACGAACGACTGTGGCAATATGGTACTGCCCTCGCCGACGAAGCAGCAAATCCAAGGTGAACACAGCGGCAAAAAGAAGCACGCCAAAGAGACCTGCCCACCAGCCCACGATGTTACCAAAGAGGGCTAGTTGGCGACGTGTGCTATCCTGCGACCAATACAGCACACCATCCAGCATAATGGGCCATGTCCATGGGCGGCTTGCATACGGATGGCTCTGGACCAGTTTGCTGTTGTGTTCGAGCATGAGATGCTGAAGTTCCAGGAACTTGTCCAGGAAGGGAATAGGTTTCGGGTCCTCGGGCTTGGAGGCAGGACGGATCCGAGTATCGTACATGGGCGAGGAGGGATCAGGTTGGACATCGTCCACAACCCACAGTGCCGTTTTGTCCATAGCATTCTTGATGCCGTTGACTTCTAGCTGACCAAACGCCCAGCTAGGAAGAATCCCATTCGGACGCGTCCATACGGCCACACGTGTCGTATTGTGGATAAGGCGCACACGAGAGCGACGGCTATGCCACGTCGTTTGGTTCACGACGCCGCCGTCAATGTGCAGCTCAAAGACAGTATCGTCCAGCTCGTCTGCCAGGTGCTCAGCAGGCACAGTGGTGATCTCTTCGTTAGTCGGCATAAGTGGCGAGGCGACGTCATGCGCTAACAGGAATGAGTTGGTACCAACGTGCATCAGACGAATCATGTTTCCGTGGTAGATACGACGCAATGTCCGGTTGAACGAGCCGTCCTCGTTGTTGATGGGGCGCACAGGCATGATCTTCCATAGGTTGTTGGAGTCAGGGTGCTCGTACGCAGTGACTTGCTGCCCCTCACTAGAGATACGGCCGTCATCGTATTTAAGCGGGTAATGATGGTCATGCGAGTGCAGATATGCCTCCGTCGCGCGATGCTGCAGCGTAATTGTGTCCAAGTAGTGCAGTTCCATAGCGTTTTGCAGCAGGTCGTTTCCAACCAGGGTCTGCTGGAATCGCGTACTCATGAAATCGTCGCCTGGACCACTCTTGGTCAGCAATGCGAAATGCACATAGAACCATCCGAGGTACACGAAGAAAGGCAGGATGATCAACGCAAACGCACGAGCACAAAAGTGCTTCATAAAACGGCGCATCGAAAGCCCACGGCGGATATCCAGAAGATCCCACAGATCAAAGAGGACAGCGCCACCGATCGTGGCAAATGTCAAAACACCTACCATCTTGCACGAGATCGTGAGTGCAAGAGAAATGCCAGTAGCAAAGAGCCAGCACCACCAAGATGCACTGAAGGGCTTGTATCGCTGTGTATAAAACTTGATGTATGTGTACAGACTGCATAAAATAAACAGGACCATCGGCGCATCCAGAAGAATCAGGCGCGACTGCAGAATATGAGCATTGTCGGCCAGCACAGCCAACGCACACACACTGGAAATGAGCATGGAAATACCAGTCTCCCGCAAGATCATGTACACGAGCGGCACATATAAAGACCCAATCAACGCAGGAAACGCACGCATCTGGCGGTAGGGCACATTTGTGTCAATGTACGACTCACCGATCGTATTGAACTCAAAGCGGCCATCGAAGCCAGCGAGCCACGCGCCCAAGGCGACCATGAGCTTGGCAAGCGGGGGATGCACATCGAAAAAGTAACGGCCCGTGATATAGAAGGCAGCGTACTTACCAAAATGCACTTCATCAAACACGACTTCCGAAGGCTGGCCAATTTGGAAGGTGCGAACAAGAAGTGCGAGCACAAAAAGCAACAGCGCAATCCCCATGCTACGCCATGTCGACGTGGCTGGTGCATGTTTGGCGCGCGCAGGTGCAGGCACAGTACTGTCTTGGCCCACAGGCGTGTATCCTTGCGTGGACAGCGAGGATGGCACAGCACGGCGCCGCAGCGTCGCGGTCCGAGGCTCCATGGAATGTGAATGCTAAGGTGCACGTTTGCACGCGCCGCGCCGGCCAACGTGTGCTTCCAGGGCCATCACGTGGCGTAAGGGACCCTGCCGCCCAAGGCACGACACAGGGCCGTGCGCTGCCTTCCACGCATTATGCAATTGGTGTCGAAAGAGGGGAAGATTACAGTGACAGTGTTGCCCTATGGCCTGACGATCCACTCGATCGAAGTCAAGACAAAAGATGTGGTGCATGAGCTCCTAGCTGGCCCTGAAGACGCCGCGGATCATACCACATATCCTCGCCAATTTTATGGCCCCATCGTCGGACGCTACGCCAACCGATTGCCAGCTGGCCCTCGACAGGTCCACGACGCTCATGTGGCATGGCGTGAGTGGGGTGGCGATGGTGTAAGTCATCATGGTGGTCCGCCACCTCCTTTGTCTACAGGCACAACAGACGGTCTAGTTCAAGCGGGTCCCTGGGATTGTGTCGAATGGACACCGTTGGAGACGCAGGCGGTGTGCATGTATACGCCCGATGAGTGCCAAGCATGGGACGATCGGTGTGTATGGGCCCTGGAGAGCCCTGATGGCGATCAAGGCTACCCGGGTCGTGTACGGGTCGAAGCCTTGATCGGTGTACGTTCGCAGCCTGGCACGTTGGGTCAGGTCCATGTCGAGTACCGAGCGCAGCTCCTTCCTCCCTTCTCGACATCGACGCCAATCAATTTGACGCAGCACTGGGGCTTCCAACTGGCCGCGTCGGATCCACGGTATCATGGAGCGACCATTGACGAACATTTGCTGCAGCTAGGTGTAGAGGGACAGCCCTTGTACCATTTAGCGCTCGATGAGCGAGGCATTGCGACGGGCGAGGTGGATGCGTGCGAAGGCATGCATGACTGGACTTCTATGCGGCCAATACAAGCGCATGACTATGACTATGACGACTTTTACGTTTGGGGTCAGCATGACACGACCAAGCCTGTCGCCCATGTACAAGGACCTACAGGCGTAGAGCTGGTAGTCCGGACCAACCAGGCGGGTGTGCAATTGTACACAGCCAACTCCAAGCCAGCGCCATTTGCCAAAAAACAGAAACACCGGCGGCACCATGCAGCGCCAGAGACGGAAGAGAAGCATGGTGCCGCCTTCCTCGAGTTTAGCGCGCCGCATGCAACGTGTCTTTATCCCTCGTTGGCCAAGTTGGCAGGAACGACTACGATGCTTGCATCGCACCAAGTATACCAGCATTGGGTCACCATAGACGTGATAGCGCCTTGATTCCAGACAACAGTCACTACAAACTACGAAACGGCGGAGAAGAGTGAGTGGTAGAGCACAGCAACTACGCTGACGCTAGCAACAAGGAAGAGAGAAAATACATGTACATGTGTGTGCATTTTAGTTGTTCATCACACGCAGCTGCGAGCGCTCACTTGGCATGTAAGGGTAGAGCTGCTGCGTCGATGCACTGTTGCGCATGTGCATGTCCTCTTCATGCGCAGGCACCACATCGTACTCATCCATGTGCACCGACGAAGCGTTGCCGTCGGCCATGTGCGAGTACATCGATGGGGCGTAGTCCGATGCGTTGGTCGTCATATCCGTCCCACTCGAACGAAGCACGCCACCAGCAAACGGATCGACCATGTGATCATGCGACGACGCCGAGGTGGGCATGCCCTCGTAGTAGTAGTGCTCGTGGCTCGGCGCACCGTCGTACGACACTGGCGCTGCCTCAAACGGGTTCGGACCCGCCGACGCGGCTTGGTACGCCGCAGCGGCCGAGTAGGCCTCCATGCCATCGGGGTACACAGAGCGAGGACCACGCACCATGTGACGACCCTCCTCCGTGCTGCCCATGGAACGACCGCCAGCAGGCGACGTCGAGAGCGGCGTACCAGCCTGACCTTGCATCGAGTATGCAGACATGTTCGAGCGACGGCCAAAGTCGTTGTCGACCACATCCTTCAGCGGACGCTGGAGCCACAGAGACGAGACTGGCGGCGCGGATTCCACGTCGTCCTTGCGACCACTGCCACCATACAGTACACCGTTCGCACGAAGCTCTGCAATCTGCTGCGACTCGCGGCGCTTCTTGTACGCGTACAAGCCACCGACCACCGCACCGACACACAGAGCCGCTGCACCAATCACACCACCAGCAATGGCACCCGTACGCGACGAGGACGAGCTGCCATCAGCGTTGTCGCCGTTCTCGCCAGCCTTGTCCGAAGGCTGGGTCGTCGTGCTAGGCATAGCCGCAATACCCGTCGAGGACGCCATCGTCGACTGTGGGAGCATAGGGTCGAACTCTGACGCCGGCGCCATAGCATGGCCATTGTTGTTACCACTCTCACCGCCATCGGCATTTCCATTCGCATCGCCCGCCTTGTTCGCGTCGGCAGCGTCCGCCGAGGCAGCCGCCGCAGCACTCGCAGCACTAGCCGATGAACGGCTAGCCGAGGCACTCGCCACACTCGCCTGACTAGCCTGCGACATACTTGCCTGCGCTGAGCGGCTGGCCTCCTTCATCGACTTCGACAAGACCGAGACCTGGCTCACCACCGACTCTTCCGGCGTAGGCACGCGCGTCATCTCCGGGAGCGGTGCCTGAGTAGGGCGGTCGGCGCGCTGACCGGCAGGCGTGGGCGCAGCAAACGTCGCGCTAGCGACGCGCGTCTGACCACCCATCACGTTCTGCGCCACACGGCCCGAGACAATAGCCGAGAGCGAGTCTGTCCAGCGGAAGCCCATGATCGTGTTGCGAGTCTCCATGTACATAACCAGCGGCTCAGAAGCGTTGACGTTGGTACCGCCACGACGCGCCAGACCGTAGGCCGTGCGCTTGTACTGCTGACCAAACGCCACCACCATCACATCGTCGACCATCACGGCAGAGTGGTACGCACGAGCCGAAGGCGCAGGGCCATCCTCCGGCGGCTCGCGGTACTGAACACGAGTCCAGCGAGCTGGCGTGGTCGAGGCATCCAGCATGTACGTCTCATCGGTCGGCTGCTTGCTCACAGTGCGATCATCACCATGGCGCTTGTAGCCGCCGTAGACAAACACACGGCCATCGTTCGAGACCACAGCCGAGTGACCCACACGCGGCGTAGGGATATCACCGGCCGTCACCCACTGCGTCCAACGTCCAGAAGACGAGTCGTACGCCCAAGGACGCTCAAAGTCCACAAGCTTGTGCTGCTTGTCACGACCACCCAAAAGCAGGTACGGCGTCTCAAATTGGTGCGTCTGCTGGTTCTCCAGCACAGGCATGCGAGCCAGGGCGTACTCCGTCACAGGAGCACTGTCGATTTCCTTCTTGTAGTCGTAGGTCTGCACCGTCGAAGTGCCAGCGCGGTTGGGCGAGCGGCACTGCGAGTCCAGAACCGATCCCATGGCGTACTCATCCAGCGACGTGGCGTACGAGTCTTGGGTCTCCTGCGTTGGGTGGCACACCACATCGCGGTCCTGACCACCCAGCACCAGCATAGCCACGGCATCCTGGCCCTCCAGCGTCGTGCTGGTCAGCAGAGCCTGCGCATGCGAGCGGCGCTTCGGGTCCGTTCCATTGGTCTCTTGTGCCACCCACTTGCCGATCGTGCGGTTGCCGTTGCGCTCCACGGCAAAAGTCCAGAGGTAGGGCTGGTCGGCGCAGTGCTCCGTCTTACCACCGGCCAGCCAGAACGTGTCAACGACGTGACCATCTGTAGCACCACACACACTCGTAGAGACCACCGAGGCAGCGTAGGCTGTGCGCGGCGCCGCCTGCGAGTGCGAGCTCTGGTTCACGTCGAGCCACGGCACGACACGCGACGCGGCGCGAGTGTTCTGCAGGTTCGTGAGACCGCTCATGTCCAGCAGGAGCGTCTCGTTAGTAATGCTACCATGCGTGTCTGTCTGACCACCAGTAAAGACAATTACATGGCTGCCCTGCAGGTAGGCCGCTGAGGTACCCCAGCGGGGAGTAGGGGTATGGTTGCTGTACTGCGACATGTCGGGCGACGGCGCTTGCATGTTACCGATACTGCCGATCATGCCAGCAAGGCTGCCTGCTGCATTGGCATCAGCCTGACCCGCCTGGCGGGAGCCGCCGTTCTGCGACGAGCCCCACGCGGCACCGATCGCCGACGCCAGCGGCACATTCGGCAGCAGGTTGTTGAGTGGATCTTCCGCATCCAAGGTTTGTGCATGGACCATAGACACCACCAGGGCGCTGATCCATGGGAGAAGAGTGAATAAGCGAGTCATAGTAAACGAAAAGAGAAAGTGCGTCCACCAGGGAGAAAGAGGAGAAACGAAAAAGAAACGAAGAGGATGAGAGGACCAGCCTCAAACGGAACAAACAATCACTTGCGGAAGGGAGAAGGGGAGGGAGTCAACACACGGAGTCCAGCTCCAAGTCCACACACGGGCAACCAGAAAGAGAAGAAGGTGGTAAGGGAAGCGGTCTCGCGCACGCCGTGCCTGTATAAGGGCTTCGCATCGTAGATGTTGCACACCCAAAAGTGGAGTCCGGCGTGGAGTCTCTATGCAACGCAGGCGCCGCTTCCCGTTGGTTGCGTAGGTGGACGCGCATAGGCCCTGGCTTGGCCCCCGACCTCCACCGTCGAGTCGTTGGTCATGCTGCGAGCCGAGCCATGGCCGCGCGACAAGATCCCTGATCCTACGTCCCCCGCATGGCGCGACTTTTTAGCGCAGCTGGTAAAGGAGTCGTTTTCTGCTCTGCGGAAGACCAATACGTCTGCACGATGGAAATCGCTCACGCCCGGCCGTATATCCTTGGCGTCCATTCCGTCGATGGAGCCCAAAGGCACGCGCTTGCGGGGCGCGCACTGGCACTCGCGTTCTTCGATCCATTTCCCGGAGGAGACGGGTGTTTCGTTCGATGCATTTGCCGATGGTCTCCTGCACCACCATACCGAGAATGAACAACAGTATATCCATGCTCTCGAGCAGGCCGAGTGTCTGGAGGTGCTCGTCCCCGATGTGGCGTCCATTTGGCATCTCAAGTACCGCACGCCCTGGGGAACGGCGAATCGCGACTTTGTCGAACTGGTGATTACTCTGCCTCTGCTCGCACATGAATTGCCGTTCAGCAACTTCCATGAAGAAGTGATGGTCGACGCACTGCACACCGATTCGCTGCCGAACGGCCATGTCCCTCACGGCGCCGTAGGCACGCGCCGCTCGTTCCTGGTAATTAGCCAGCCCATTGCACACCCCAGGACCCAAGGCTACGTACGTGCGTATTATGCCAGTGCCGAGGGCGTCCGCGAAGATTCGATTGCCACGCGGGCCGACGATACATGCGTCCAGTGGATGCTTACGACACAGACCGATGCACAGGGTTCGATTCCGCAATGGATCCAGGAATGGGCCATGCCCAGTCAGATTGCAGCGGACGTCCCTGCCTTCTTCCAATGGGTGCATGCGAAAAAGGCATAGAGATATAGGTCTAGGGAAAAGGTTGCTTTGTATACAGCTACAACAAGCCAAGAAGGTCATCTTCTTTTGGAGGCGCCTTCGGAGCGGTGGCCGGCGCCGTGCTGGGGGCCGTAGGCGCAGGCGTATCGAAGCTGAGGTAAGTGCAGGTCGTACGTACATGCCCAACAAATCATCCATCGCACCGGCTGTCGCCGTGGGAGCCGTTTGGGCCGTCTGGACCATCGCCGGGGTGGAGAAGGCGTCATCGCCCAGCAAGTCGCCAAGACTGCCGAGGTTCTTGGCGGCCATCTGCGTCGCAGCAGCACTAGGCGTATCGTCCCCAAAGTCAAGGAGCGTCTCGCTCTTCTCACCCTGTGCCACCGTAGCAAGCACACGAGAGCGCGTAGCTTCCTCGTTGCTCCTAGACAGGTAAGTATACAGTATACGTACAAAGCTTGCAGCGTTTGCATGCCCATACGCCCTTGGCCGATAAACGACGAGGCGGGTTTGTGGTACACACTGGAAAGCAGGCCAATTTCACGCAGCAGCTCCTGCAAGAGCCCTCGTGAGACCGTCGTGAGAGGGATGGTGATCGGCGGCGCAGGCGCCAGTACAACAGCCCGTGCAGCATCGGTATCAGGACTGGACAGCAGGCGCCAGTAAATGTACGCACGATCGCGCAAATCGGCATTGTTGCACTTCTTCGTCGCCTTTTCCAGCACATCTTGCACGATGCTCTGAGCCAGCGACGAGTCGGGCTTTTTCAAAAACAGTTTGATGATCGCCGTCAGCGTCTGGAATTGGACCTCAGGCTCGTCCTCCACAAACGTCTCGAGGAACAGCGCCAACTGCTCGGCCGCATTGTCGATTTTCTCCGCATACTCGCCGATGATCCAGACCAGCGACGCCTTGGCTTCCGGCTCGTCCATCTCGTCCAGGTTGGCACATAGCTGCGGGATAATGCGTGTATATTGGTGGGGGTACTTGCGGAAAATGTCTTTGACAACCACGGTCGCCTCCTGCACCACATAGTTCGCACGGGAATCAATCAGCTCCAGCAGCACATGCACACAGCGCTCCGCAGCAGCTTCAATGGCAATCGCACACTGGCCAATCGCCCGGATAGCATGACGTACAAAGTCGACATCCACCTCCGTCGCATACTCCTTCAGCTCACTAAGGAGCATGTCCACATTGTTCTCGTTGGCCAACTTGACCATCACATCCACCTTCTCTTCCTTTACGTAGGGCGGATCATTGTACTTGCAGAAAAACACACGAAGCTCGTTCGAGAGAATCTCTGGGTACTTTTGCAGAATCAGGTTGATGTTGCGTAAGGCGACCCACTGGACCTCAGGCTCGCTCGTGACAAGCGTCACCAGCGGCGGCGCCATTTTGCGCACCAGCTGCTGCACCAGATCTGGCTTGCCAGTGGCTTCCATGTGCACCAATACCACCTTGACAGCAGCGAGGACGACAGCGCCATTGGCATGCTGGAACTGCGGAATCACACGCTCGCAAATGTGCTCGGATTCACGCGCATCTGCATCACGGTACGCCGCTAACGTATTCAAAATGACAATACGACCCCATTCCGTGCACTCATTGAGTGCAATAAGCAGCTTCATCAGCACCTCCGAGTCCATAATAGTCATCGGATCACCAGGCCACTTGAGTTCTTGCGCAGCCTCGTGGATATCATTCAGCGCTGTGACGGCGTTAGCCACAACCATAGGGTTGTTGTCCGAGATCATCTCCTTCACGCGATCCACAAACCCGCCTTCCACAGCCAGGTCCGGCTTGAGCGTAAACAGCTTGGACACACAGATCACCGCTGTCTTGCGCACGTACGGACTCTCATCCGCCAACGCTCGATTGAGCGGTTCAGGTAGGTAGTCAATGATCTTCTCGGCACGCAGGCAGCCCATTGTACGAATAGCAAGCGCACGCACGAGAGGGTTGACATCCTCTGCATCCTTTACAAACGTGTTCACCGCCAGAATCACCAACTCTGGCTGTGTTTTGGCATAGTTCATCAGGTACAAATATACAAGCTTCTTCTGCTCCAAGTCTTCGGTCTGCATGTTCTTCAGCACATCCGGGAAGAGTGCAGATACATCCTTTCCCACTGTCATATTAGCAATGACGCGCTTGATTGCATCCTTGCGACGATCGCGGTACTCGCTGTTCACTGACTGTTAGACGAACGAATACGTACAGTCGGCACGAAGCTCAAAGGTCTCGCCTGTGTATGTGTTAGATAAAGTCCACTGCTACTAGCCACGTACCCTTGCGGGTCGCACCGAAAAAGCCCGGTCGACTCATGGTCGGTCGTTCGTAGGAAAGGCTGCGTGGGACAACACCTGACGCACCAGGCGCGCTGCATGTGCAAAGTCCAAGTCTTTATGGTGTAATGCAATTGATGCATTGCTACATTGCCGGCCGTATGGTCTAGTAGTATGATTCTCGCTTTGGGAGAATCGCAACATTCTCAATTGCGAGAGGTCCTGGGTTCAATTCCCAGTGCGGCCCTTTTTGGCCTGTAGAAAAGCCCCTCCACCCATAAAAAATTTTTTTTGGCACAGACGTACTTTGACTTTGTTCGAGCATGCCTCGTGCCGTATCAGATCGCATTACCAGTGCGCGCACACAGGCTGCATCTGCGTCACCACGGTCGGCAGCGCAAGCGCACTCGCAGCAAAATACGAGTGCAACGACGAAGAATCCGATTTTCAATACAGAAAAGTTTGGCCAGCACATTTTGAAGAACCCGCTGGTGGCCCAAGGCATTGTCGACAAAGCCAACTTGAAACCCACAGATACCGTGTTGGAGGTCGGTCCTGGTACAGGTAATTTGACAGTACGCATCTTGGAGAAGGCCAAGCATGTGACAGTGGTGGAAATGGACCCACGTATGGCAGCAGAGCTGACCAAGCGTGTGCAGGGAAAGTACGTACGATGTATATAAAAAGCAGGCGACTAACCATCAGGCCGGAGCAGCGCAAGTTGGATATTGTGTTGGGTGATGTGATCAAGACAGACCTTCCGTACTTTGATGTGGTGATTAGCAACACGCCGTACCAAATTTCATCGCCTTTGGTCTTCAAGCTGCTCTCTCACCGCCCTCTTTTCCGATGTGCCATTCTCATGTTCCAGCGTGAGTTTGCGATGCGCTTGGTGGCACGTCCAGGATCGCCCTTGTGGGGTCGTCTGTCGGCCAATGTGCAGCTCTATGCGAAGGTGGATCACATCATGAAAGTCGCGCGAGGATCGTTCCGTCCGCCGCCGCAAGTCGACAGTTCCGTGGTACGCATTGTGCCGCTGAACCCCCCGCCGCCGATCAAGTTTGAAGAGTTTGATGGCCTTACACGTATTGTCTTTTCCCGCCGCAACAAGGTGCTACGTGCGTGTTTCTTCAATGCACGTGGTGTATTGGAGATGATGGAAGCGAACTGGAAGACGTACTGCGCAGAACGTGGTATCTCCGTGGAAGGCGTCTCGTTCCCCGCCAAAGTGGAAGGTGTGCTACAAAAACTCGGCATGACCGAGGCGCGTGCGGCCAAGCTGGACGTCGATGAACTTTTGACGCTGCTTTCGGCGTTCCATGACGAGGGTATTCATTTCTAAATTGTACTTTTATACATACGTAGATATCATACAGATGTCCACGCGATACTGCACTGCTGGGCTAGCCATTCATGGCGCAGTACATGGCGCAGAACAGATTCCGCGAGTGTACGAGGCGTCTCACAGAATCGAGTCCGCAAGACAGCCATGTCAGCCGCTTTGGGGGTATGTAAGACTTGAAGGGCCCAGGCTACCTGCGTCAAGTCGACACGCTCGCCTCGCACATACGCCTGTGTGTCGGCTTGAACAGAGGGCAACGCACGTTCCCATGCCCATAAAACGCTGTCCACCACATCGTGCGGCACCAACCGCTCGCGTGAGCCACGAACCATGTGGTCGGTCTGGGAGCCGTACCATTGCTGGATATGCTGTACATCGCGAATAGCAAGAATAGCATCAGAGGCGTGCGCATCCGCCCATCCAGACCACAATGCGAGGTAGAAGCGGGTGAGCATAGGCGCATCGCGTAAGAGACTGTCCAGCAACGCCGCAGTACAGTAAGCACCAAAGTGGGTGGTCGTCGACTGACAAAGGTACGATACAAAGCCTTGCGCATCAGGCGCCGTCGGGAAGCCGCGCACCAACGTCGCAACGTCATGACGAAGTCGGCTTGCTTCGTGCACAATAGACTGATCAATACGCGGGACTGTGCGCTGCGATGTACGTGCAAAGATGCTGCGGTGCCCATGCGGGTCGTCAGTGTACGACAAGAATCCTGTTCGTCGCTGTACGTGCATCCAATAAATGGTCGATGTGGGCTCGGTCGGCAATGCACAGGTAGCTGGCCAGTACCGGCGACTAATGGCCTGTGCCTCAGTGACATCCGGTGGCAGCAAACAAGGAGTCATGCGCTTCGCCGAAGCTTCCATTTGTGTGCGCACAGACACAGGCACCACGCATGCCTCGCCCGACGTCACGTCGCGCGCTGCCAGCACGCGCGGTGTCAGCGCCAGGACCCACAAATGCCGAGCCGCTTGCAAACACGCATGGGTATCATCAGGTGAGGCAGGGAAGCGTGGGACGCAGGCAATAAGCAACGCGGCAATCGCACGATCAGTACGAGCAACACTAAATCGGCCTCCACCGACAAACAGTAGGCCAAGAGCCATATGCGTAGCCACCTGACTGCTGTACGGAGCATCCAGCGTGCCATGTGCCGTACGCAGCACACGCAAAACATCCACATCGCCCGTGCCTGCCATGACACAGGCCATCGCGACATGGACTTGGTCCATGAGCGTAGCATATGCGGCCGATTCCAAGCGTGCTTCAAATGTCGTGCCGGTAGGTGGCGGCCACGAACATTGTGTCAAGAGCAAATCACGCGCACGGACATCACCAGTGCCGGCGAATTGCAAGCCTAGTGCAAGGCAGGCACCTGCACGAATATTGTAGAACGCCAATCGTTGGGACGTATCCATCTTGGCGGGATCGATGAGCCACGGACACGCTTGCTCGAGCCACGCCTTGTCGGGCTGTGCATCCCATGCAATAAGGGCACGGGCCAGGGCACGAACAAGCAACAGATCAGGGCGTATATATACCAAAGCACTAGGCGTAGGCGGTGCTAGCGCCTCCAACACGTCGCGACGCTGACTGCGTAGGAAAATCAGGGCCAACGCCAGGCACGCGGCATGCGCACGCCGCGCAGCGACCAAAGGCGGCGCTTCATCACTGGCTGTAAGATGTCGGCACAATTGAGCGACTAGGGCGACATCGGCCGCGCTGCTCATCCCGACGCGACGAGCTCGGCCCAGCAAGACCAGGCCCAGGCCCAGACCAGCACAGTGCGCATACACATCATGATGTGTTTCGTGTGTGTCGGTGGTATCTAGACGCGCATCCAGCTGTGTTGCAAGCTTAGCTGCGGTCCACCGGTGATCCGTATTGCAAAAGACCAGCCCCATACCGAGTAAGCCTGCCGCCTGCGTCACAATGGCCATGTGCAAAGGAACACTGCCTGGTGGGAGGAAGGCAGCGACTTGGACGGCCATGACCTGACGCGCGGCCGCATCGCCAGTACCTAGAAGCGACGAGGCCAAACCAAGTACGAGTCCAATGGTCGTCAAGGTATGTCGTGGCGCCAAGTAGCGATACGCATGGACACGGCCCAAGCCACGCAAGTGCCCTTGCAAGCCTAGACCCAGGAGGAAACCAGCATGGCGTGCACGATGCACGGCAGATGTGCCTGCTTGTGCAAAAATCCAGCTGGAGTCCAGAGGAGTCGCGCCGATTTCCAACGCAGACGCCACGCCATTATGAAACTCGGGCCAGGCAAGGATATGCGTCTCATGCATATCCTCGTACATCGCGCCATCTGGGAACGTACGTAGACGCAAGCACAAGCGCGGGGTTCGCCATGTGCCTGTCATGCGCAGCTTATGCGACGCATAGCGGAACATGCCACGTCCAATGCACTGCGCCATGGTTCGCTCAGAAACTTTCTGAGCGAGAAGAGGCCCACGCTCATGAGCATCGTCAGGCGACAACCGCGCGACGTGAACCTGTGTTGTAGAGAGCATACGTGCCACATCCCCGAGACGGTAGTCTTCACGGAACAGTTGAGCACTAAGAGGATCAAGGCCAGGTGGCAATGTACGTTGGACCATGGCAGGTACGCGTGCAGGTGGTGTGCCTGTCACAGCGGCACACGCATCCGCGCGACGAACGAGGCGGTACGCATCCGAGGACCAGTCGCGAGGTGGAGCTTGTTGGCATGTGCGTAATGCTTCTTCCAATGGCAGCGCTAGGCCAGCAGGCCAGTGAGCTAACTGCGCAAGATCGACGTGGTGCGCCAGCATTGCTTCGACTACATCCCGCGCGGATGTAGCTGTGGACAACGTCATGTACAAGGCCCAAAGGACGGTCCATGTAGGACAAATTCGTTCCAAGGACGTCAACGGCGTACGATCCACCAACGTGGTCAGCTGCGTATGCAAGGGTGCGACAGGCTCTGTCGACGTTTGCTGCTGTTGCAGCAGCTCGTAAGGGTCAGGCGGGGCAGGTGGGCCATGCGGCGGCGAGGCGGATGGCGTGATATGCCTTGGCCATGTGCGTGCATACGCCTCGATCCAGGCCGTCCAGCCCAAGCGCGTAAGGATAGCACCTTGCAAGGCCACCAACCTGGGCGCCTCTGTACGTCGTGATGTCACGTGCACACACAGATCACATAGCAGTGCATGGAAGAGCATGGCGAGCGACGCGTCGTCATGCGAGGCACTGGAGGGCAAAGGCGTGAGGCGCGTCGTGGTAGGCTCACACAGGCCCAGGGATGCTAGGATCTTCGCGCCGTGTGGGTCGTGCATTGGGGTATCATCAGCGCATCCTAGCAATTGCGTGAGGCCTTCCCACGAATATGTGCCGTTCTCGAACCATCGGCACAAGTATGTAGCGGCTTGATCGGGTGGGAGCGCTAGGCAAAGGGCTTCGATGATGCGCGATGTAAGGCGGCAGGAAGGTCGGGCATCCATAGAGCGTGATACCCATGACTCGCCTTGTTGCATATACAGTCGCTGATGTTCGTATCGAAGGTGAGTAACACCGTGAGAAGCCAGGCAGACGCGCGGCGTAGTCGGGCCGGGGGCCATGCCTACAAGGTATACAGCGCCCTTAGGATCCAGAATGACCATGGCGTCGTCGGGCGTTACCAGTGATACACGCACTAGAGCTTGCGCCTCCATACTTGTAGAGAACGCACGTTGGGATGAAGGCATGGAGCGAATATAGACCTGACTAGCCCAGGGAATGTGCACATACAGGTGAGAGCGCCACATAAATGCGTGAACACGCCAAGCCTCCGCCTGCGTTGTAAGTATAGGCACCGTAATTTCATCGTACAAAGCCGTACTGGCATATGCGCGAGCCAAGTGCGCAAGGAGAGGATGGCATGCGCTGGTAGGAGCACCGCCACTCATGCTCTCGTACAGAGGGGTCGTCACACGTCGTGCCAAGTCAACGGCGGTGGCCATGGGTGCCGAGGACACGGACGAGGCAGAGGCAGGTCGTGAGCGGGTGGACATCGCATCGAGTCGTACCGAGTCGCCTGGCCCCATATCAGACATCCGCCGATGCACGCCCATCTCGCTGATACGGCTAGAGCGCCTAGCATAGCGCGCACTAGATCTCCGTGCCATTTTACGAGGACGTGCATCGATGTCAGAGGGTCGAGAGGAGAGAGAGGGGGCGGTAGGGTACGACGACGACATGGGTGTCGAAGCACAGACATAGTGGTAGATACGTACTTTGTGTGTACGACCATTGGCCGTGACAAGGATGGTCGGTGTAGCATCGCGGCCTGTGTTTGCATACACCACGTACTCGTCCGCCGCAGGGAAGGGCTGGGGTGCGCCCTGCAGAACAGGACGTGTGTCGTTGTGAACAATCGTCTCGACACATGTCCACGCAGCCCAGTCATCCAGAACGCTGCGAAGATAGAACGCAAGAGGTAGAGCCGCTGCACCATCGTGCGCTTGTGGATGACGGACAACCAGCAGGCCGGTTTGCAAAGGGAACAAACGCGCCGCACAAAAGTAAAGGGGGAGCGTATACGTATCGCCGAGACGTGGACAGTGAATATACATCATGCGCTCCAAGGCAATGCATAGAGCCGGTTCACATTGCTCCTCCGATACGTGCATCCACGCCGTGCAGGCGTCGCGTACATGCTCGGCAAATGTATATGTGTGACGCAGTGTCGTACCATGCCACCACTGTACCACAGAACCGTCCCATACCAAGCGCGTATGCGGCCACGCATCGTCGAGCGTGGGCGTATATGAGCCTGTGGACGTATGAGACTCCGCTCGTGCCATGGCACGAAGCCGATCAAGTTGGGACAGCGGCATGCTTCTCTACCGCATGGACGTGCGTGCGTCGCTGCGACCCAAGTGCTGGCGTGGCAGGCCACGCGCAAGGACCCTTCCAACGCGTGCGCTGAACCATCACGTGATAGAGCGCGTAGGAGGGGCAAGTCGAGGTACGTGCGTGCGTGCTCGACGGAGCAGCGCCTCGCGTTGTAGGCTCAGGAGCGGCGGCAAATGGCGCGCACGCAGCGCCGTGCTGTGCGGGAGGGCGGCAAACGTACGTGCGAATCTACTTACAAGCAGCCACGACACAACGCCGTCGTGGTGTTCCGCCCGGCGATCCACAGCAGGATGAGCAGGATTTGCATGCACAGCTTCGAACGATGGGACTGTATGCGTCAGATACCCGTGGCGATGGCAACTGCTTGTTTCGGTACGCGTTTCCACACTAACATGCAGGGCTCTCTCGGACCAGCTTTATGGCGATCCCAAATACCATGCGCAGCTCCGGCAGCGGACATGTGATCACCTCGAAGCACACCCAGATATGTATGCAGGGTTTGTCGAGACAGGGCGTCCGTTTGATGCGTACGTCCGTGAGATGCGTGAGCTCGGTACCTACGGTGGTCATTTAGAGTTGTCGGCTTTTGCGCATTGCCTGCAAAAACCGATTCGCATTGTACAGCCTGGCTACGTGTACATTGTAGCGTGCGACGACGGCTCGCTCAAAGCACGGGCCTCACGAGAGCGTCGTGAGCGTGAACGCAAGCGTGCACTTGCATCGACAGACGCACATGCCTCGACAGCGCGGCGTGGACGACGTGGTGCTTTGAGTGAAAAAGCCACCGAGATCACCGTGCCGGAATGCGTCGGCCCTTTGCACATTGCGTATCACAGCTGGGAGCACTATAGCTCGCTGCGCAATGTGAAGGGGCCGCACAGTGGCCCGCCTTGCATTGTATCGGAGGACATGAACGATGATACCCACCAGGACACAGAGGCAAGTGCTTCGCCAGCGATAAAAGAAGCGGAAAAATGGATTGAAATGAGTGTGCCTGGCCACTACTCACGCCAATGTATACGGCGCCTACTACGAAAATACGGCGAATGGGAGGCTGTTGTTGAAGAATTGCTGCGTCGCGAGGCGGAAGGCGGCACGTCATCGGATGACCAGACGCGCTTAAGCTCCTCGTCGTCCACCGCGAGTGAGCGCACGTCGGAAAGCGGCAGTCCCGAGCCGGCACTCACACCTCGAGCGCAACGCGCTGCGCGCCGATCAAAAAGGCATGCGTCAGAGGCCCCAACGACGCGGGCCAAGCAAGTGGCACGCTCGGACGCGACGTCCTCGCGGTCCTCTTCGCCGCACATACCGGAAATCCGCGAGCTGATGATATAGTTCGTTAGTGGAGGTAGCCGACTTGTAGCGGACAACCTCCACCCCGAGGCACGACGCGTCGCGTTGCCCAACCTCGGCCTTTCCTTACGCCACGAGGGCGGTTCAAGGGAGGATGGCATACGTATGGCATGGCGCCCTACGTCAGGCCTTCGCTCTGCAAGGTGGACATGCACAGGTACGTCGTGCCTTCCATCGACGGCGCTCCTTGCAAGCGATGCCACGTGAATTGGACCGTCGATGGGCACCGACGTACACACCGACACCGACGCCCCAAGACGCTGTCGCAGGTTCAACGTCCAGCGATGTAGCGCATATCTTCGATCAATGGGATGCGAGTGCATTGGCCTGGCCGCCGTCCACCTCGTCGCAGCTGATCGACGACGATGAAGAGCCTATGATGCCATGGACGTCGCCGGAACTGGTCCCTGAACGACCTCTGCCTGAGCTAGGGCAGCCAAGTCCTATCTATGATGATGTGCTGGAGCAGTGGGCCGAGCAGGATGGAGAATTTGACGACGAGAGCGTATCTGCAATGCCGGCACCAGCGCTCTTCCTGCCTACCTATGCATCTACCTCGACGTCCATGGCGGCAACACTGGCCCCGTCTATACCACAAGCGCAGAATGTGCGCGATACCTACGATTGGCGTACGATTGCCACATCGCAACAAGGCCGTGCTCTGCCTGGTCATGTCTATACCCACTTCATGGGTCCACGTTGGTCGGCCTCGCGATGGATTCAAGCACGCAAATCGCCACCAGCCTCCTTATTACGGCACACGGCGAACCAGACGGCACGAACGGTACGCCGACGGCGACGTGTGGATCCAGGTACAGTAGAGCAAGCTGAGACGCAGCGAACAGTTGTGGCGGCGCGTCGGTATCAGCAGCATTGGCAGCGTGTGTTGTCCTATGAACGTGCGCATCATGAGGACGAGCAGGCAGAGCAACGTTCACGGCCCCTGGAGGAACGGATTGCGCTGGGTGTCACGATCGATGGGCTCATGGCCTTTTGGCAGCGTGAGCGGCATTTTGGGCGGCGCGTCGGTATTTTTAAACTTCCAGGCTCGCGCCGACTGCCACGACATAAGCTACTAGCTGGAAGTGTCGTGGAGATCCGGCCGGAGCCCCTAGCAACCGATATGCCGCCACGTGTCGTCACGGCCGAAGTGCTGGATGTGAGTGCGACACAGATCCGTGTGCGATTCAGCGAGGCGAATGAGGACTTGGATTTAGGAGCACACGATGCATGGCGTATGGACCGTGGTGAGCGGCAGACGGTGCATGAGCGTATTGAGGCGGCTTTGAACGCAATGCTCTACGACCCAGACGACGTAGCACGGGCCAGCACGCCGGAGCGACAGTATGCACATGTGGGGACGCCGCTGCGCGACGTCTTGCTGGGCCTGCCTGCGCGGACCTCCACATCCAGCCTCTTGGCGGAGGATCAGCGGATTCACAGCTGGTACCAACGGTATGCCCGGCCGTCGCCCCTGGTCATGGACGGCGATCCCGACTTGGGTCTGAATGGGAGTCAGCTGCGTGCGGTAGCGATGATGCTGAAAGAGCGTGTCAGCTTGGTCCAAGGCCCGCCAGGCACAGGCAAGACGCGGACGTTGGTGCAGACGGTCTGTCTTCTGAAATCGCACTTCCAAGTGCCGCACCCGATCCTCCTTGCAGCGCATACGAATGTCGCTGTGGACAATTTGGCCGAGGGGTGTGTGCGTGCCGGTCTGCGTGTGGTGCGTGCGGGCTCTGCGACGGCGTCACGTACGTCGTTGGCGCCCTATACCCTGGAAGCGCACCTCGCGCAGCATCCCAGTCATGCGGCATGGCAGGCGGCAGAGCAGCGTCTGCGTGAGCGGCAGGCTACGCGTGACCAGGTCCTTGCCTTGCTGCAGGCGGGCGGGCAGGGCGATGCGACGGCGCTGCGGGAGCAGCTGGTGCGCGTCAAGAAGAGCATTGCCCAGTTGACAGCCAAGTCGTTTATGATCCGCCAGCGTATGCATGCCGATATACTGCACTCGGCAGACGTGATATGCACGACAGCGATTGCGGCAGGCTCGTCGCAGTTGGCCACGATTGATTTCCCGATCGTGTTCCTGGACGAAGGCTCGATGGCTACAGAGCCCATTGCGCTTATTCCGTTGATGAAAGGATGTGCGCAGCTTGGCTTGGTCGGCGATCACAAGCAGCTGCCGCCTGTGCTGCACAGTACGGAGGCGCGGCAGGCAGGTTTGTCTGTGAGTCTGTTTGAGCGTTTGTTGGAAGGCCGCTCGGTAGGCACACAGCACCAGACGGTGCGTGTGCCCTCGACGATGCTTGACGAGCAGTTCCGTATGCATCCATCGCTCTCGCACTTCCCGAACCACCATTTCTACGAGGGCGCGCTACGTAACGCTACGTCGACGGCCCTTCTGGAGCCGTATCACAGTGTGTTTGGCGCGTACGACGAGAATGGCCAGCCGAAACCTTTGACGTTGGTCACGCATCCCCCCATGGGTCTCGAAACGCAGAATGGCGCAGCGCCGTACAACCAGCCACAAGCAGACTTGGTCTTGGAACTTGTATGTGATATGTTGGAACGCAACGAGGCGCTGCAGGGGCATGAGATTGGCATCGTCACGCCATATGAAGCGCAAGTCCGACTGCTGCAGCAAATGCTCGCGGCAGCGATACCCATTGCCGCCGGAGCCGTCCCGGACGAGGCAATGCGTCTATGGCTCAGCGATGATGCGATTGATATACTGCGTGCTTTGGATCCCGCGCGGGCTGTGGACGTGGCGGCGATTGAGGTGCATACTGTCGACGGTTTTGAAGGCCGTGAGAAGCCTGTGATGGTCTTTAGCACGGTCAAAGCGAGCGGTGGTGAAGCGATCGGCTCGGCTGCGCTCTACGAGGCACGCACGAACCCTAGTGAGGCAGCCCTCGCGCGCCTCGCTGCGATGCCGATGCAGCGCGGTGGGTATGTCGGCTTCCTCGCGGATGCACGACGTATGAATGTCGCATTGACACGTGCACAGCGCCAGCTGTTGGTCGTCGGCAATCTCGAGACCTTGCTGGGCGCGCGTCTAAGTGAGCAGGCGCGGCATATGGTCGAACGCAGCGATGTGCATGTCATTCGGCAGTATGCACGCTGGCTGCTATCGCAGCGATGCGTCGTCGATGTCGAGCAAGTTCGTGATCGTCAGTTGGAAGAAGCCATTCTCGACGAGGACGAGAGCGGCAACGACAGCGAGAGCAACAATGCATGGCAAAGGTAGATCTGTGTATACTTAATCGCCTACGAATCACTAGAGACACGTTTACTTGGTCTTGCCCTCCTCCTTGGTCAGCTAGCATGTCAGTCTGCTCGGGAGGCCTGCGTGCCAAGGCCGACAGGCGTATACGTACGTTCTCGACCAGGTTCTCCTGGTGCTTCACGGACTCGCGGACTAATGTGAGCTGAGGCATGTATACGTACGCTTAGCGAGCTTCTCCTTCTCGTGCTCGAGGATGTACTGGTCCTCCTGGGCCTGCGGTGTGAGGGAGGGGCGAAATAAGGGACGTACCTTCTCGCGGCGGTTCCAGCCCTTGCTCGAGGCAACCGAGCCAGCCGAGCCCTCCGGGCCGGGGCTGTACATACGCACAGTCATCATACGCGCAGTCGAGCGGACAAGCGGGGTGCGAACACGAAGAGCCTGCATCATCATGATAATGATAGAGAGAAATGTTCGCCGGCGTCACGTCTCGCTCGCCTTCCCCTCTCGGCGCTCCGTCTGCGCGCGGGCCATGTCACGTGCCGTCGGCCTCTCGGGTGCGCTGGCGCCCGGGCCTGCCCGGCCGAGTGCGTAGGCATCGCAGCGGCGGCCCAGTCCAAAGGAGTTCTTGCAATCGTTCGTTGACGCGGAACCGCTGACGATCTATTCCCATATGTTTGCTGTGGCTCAACGTTCTCTGCTGTCGGTACGTACGCTTGCCATGGGCTCACATCAGGCACGTGTCGCTGGCCTCCGTGCCATGTCCACATCGGCTGTGGCCCGTAAGGGTATGTATAGATTCTCACTTATGCCAGATCTTGTCCAGGAGTTGTACCTCAAGGAGGTGAAGTCGTACAAGGCGCCGGAAAGGTCGGCGGACGCTCACAAGGGCCAGGTGCGTGAGTTCACGCAGCCCCCGAAGCCCACTGCCCCGTCGATGCCCTCGTCGTCGGAGGTCGCCTCGCAGCTGGAGGCTTACACGGCGTCGGAGCCGGATGCTCCGGAAAAGGTCTCGTCCTCGGCTGAGGAGGACGTGACGGAGCAGCAGGATGTGAACGAATACCTCAAGGAGCTCCAGGCTGACGTCAAGGTCGAGGCGCACCACTAAACAGCGGACATGCATAGCCTGCCATAATAGACGGACTGCTTGCCTGCGATGGATACTGACAAGATGGCGCTCAGCGTACACGACCGAGGCTATGTGGGAGCATGTCGTTATGTGCGTGTATGCGAGTGTGTGTGTGTGTGTGTGTGTATGTGTGTGTGTGTGTATGTGTGTGTGTGTATGTGTGTATGGTGGGTACGAAATGATCGACGTACATATACGTACACTACGTCGAAAGGCGGTACGAAATACAACAAAGGCCAAGTCAGCCTGTCTAGATAGGTAGCAAGCTGGTACTGCCGCGCGCAAGCATGGAGCCAGCGTAGCGCAAGGTTGTGACACCTAGTGTGAGCAAAACCACACGTACCGCCAGGGAAGTAGTTGGCGAGGTATACAAGGAGGCACCCAATCTGCACGATGGCGCATAGCACAGTAGGCAGACGGCTTTTGGGGCCCAGCGCAAAGTAGAGCGTGAGAGCCATCGACACAATGTAGCTGCGGTGTTAGTGAGAAAGAATACCTACGCAGCAGAGAACTTGATGCGTTCCGGGCTGGTCAGGTGCTTGAAGTGCGCCACGGGGCCTGTCAGCACGGCAAAGCTGAGCGTTAGTGTGCGGACGAACGTACCCAGCCATGAACAGCACGCTGCCTAACGTGAACGCCAGTGCAAACTTGTGTGGACGCACGAGCAGGATGGGCGGCGAGACAAAGATGAACGAGAAAAGGAAGCACAGCGCGCTACCTGCCAAGCATGCCAGGAATCCAATGAAGCTGGCCAGTGAGCCGAGGCTATACATACCGCTCCCAATGGCTCAAACTAATATAGGCTTCTTCTTCGTTGGAGCGCTCAGCACTGCGCAAGGGCACATAGCCAGAAAGGCCGCTGCGAAAGTATGAAAACAGCCCTGTGGACTCGGGCGCAGCAGGCGCTGTGCCTGGGTGTAAGAGATCGCGTACGTACCTGCACTCCATGACCACGAATTCGCGCTCATATGGTGCGTGCGAACAAGCACGCACGCCACCTCGCGATCGGCCTGCCTGGCCGGTGCGATCAAATCGGGGGAGGCAAATCGGGGAAGAGAGAATCCAGTGGATGTACAACCATGGCACTGGTCCTATGGTACCTAGCTAGGGATGTAGCAGACTACAAGAAGAAGAGGAAACTAATGGTATGAACGCGAGAGAGACGCGCTGTCCTTTTTAGGCCGAGCTCTCGACCTCGAGCTGCGTACCACGACGCACGCTACCCCAGCCGACGAGACGCCAGTGCTTGTCGATACGACGCGAAAGGGCAATCTTCTCGCCGACTTCTGTGCAGGCCGGCGAGGTAAGGAAGATCTTGGCCAAGTCAGCCTTGACACTCATGACACGGCCACCCGTCGAGGTCGAGCCGATGTTGACCATGAGCACCTCGTTCTTCGCGAGCTTCTGCACCTTGGTCTGCTTCTTGTCGTCCGACTTGACACCAAGCAGACGACGCAGCAAGAAGTAGTTGATCTCGAGCTCCGTGTAGATCGCCGGGAGCTTACCGACCTCACCAAGCACCTGACCGACCAAGCGGTCTGCACGGCAGAGCGTCGGGTCAATCTTGGTACCCACACCAATCAGACCACCGGGCACGGCAAACTGCAGCTCATTCTGCTCGGCCAACAGCGAGACGATGCGCGAATAGATCGGACGGCAGTGAATCTTGCCCTCTGTATCCTTGGTCACAATACCAGGGCGCACCTCGATCTCCTGGCCCAAACGCAGCACACCCGAGAGAATCGAACCACCAGCGACACCGCCCTTCAGTTCGTCAATCTCCGCACCAGGCTTGTTCACGTCGAACGAACGAATGACGATCAGACGCGGCGTCGCCGTAAAGTCACGCACCGGCACAGGCACGCGCTTCACGATGTATTCGTTCACAGCGTCAATGTTGTACTGCAACTGCGCCGAAATCGGCACGATCGGGGCGCCATCAGCGACAGTGCCCTTGACGAACGACACGATGCTCTTCCAGTGCTCCTCGGCGGCCTGCTCGCGGATCAGATCGACCTTGTTCTGCAAAATAATAATGTGCTGCAACTTCATGATTTCCACCGCGGCCAAGTGCTCCGACGTCTGGGGCTGCGGGCACGGCTCGTTACCGGCAATCAGCAGCAGCGCTGCGTCCATGACAGCAGCACCGTTCAGCATGGTAGCCATAAGAATATCGTGGCCTGGGCAGTCGACGAACGATACGTGGCGAAGCAGCTCCAGCTTGTGGCCACAGCCCGGCGCAGGGCATGGCGGGTGCTCCTCCTTGCCCGACGGGTAGCTATGGTAGCACTGCGGGCGAGGGCACTTTTCGTTCTGGCACTTGTAGATCTTGGCATTGGCATAACCCAACTTGATCGTAATGTTACGCACGAGCTCGTTCTTGAAACGAACGGTCTGCACACCGGAAATCGCCTTGACCACCGTCGACTTACCGTGAGCGACGTGGCCAATGGTACCTGGAAGACGTCAGTGTCCTGTCGTGAGGAAGGCACATACCGATGTTAATGGTCGCTTGATTGCGGATGACCTCGGGGCTCAGCGGTGTGAGCTTCGTCACATCCAGCTTCAGCTCCTGGACCTGGTCCGCGAGCTTGTCTACAGCGTCCGTCATGGTCGTACGCAGCACCTGTGAGCCGAGCCGAAGACGGCGGCGAGGGAGTGAAAATCCGTTTTCGTATCACGTGATGACTCACGCTGCTCGCGGTGCCTTGGGCGTTGGCTCGCGCGGCGTCCAGTGTGGAACGACGCGCCGCAGAGCAGCGCGCCGCAGGGACGAGGTCCGAGCACGAAGATTGCGTCGCGCAGCGTGGTGGGTGTCTCGCGTGTAGCAGCGTCCGCAGCGACGTCTACGTCCCTATGGACGTCCGCTCGGCGTGCACTCACGATGCAGGCGTCTAGCGCCGCGGCGACGACAACGACACAAAAGCAGAGGTCAGACGACCGGCAGAGTCTGCGCGCGCTGATGGATGCATGCGTGGGTGCAGGGCAATGGCGGTACGCTCCCCCTATCGCGCAGACGCTGGAAGAGTTGCCGCTGGTGGATGCTACGACGTCGCCGACGCTCGCTACGACATTGGAAGCGCGGGGCATTGCCGCGCCTGCGTTTCTGCAGTGGTACAACGCACACACCCGCGCTACGTGGGCTGAATGTGCTACCTACTTACATTCCTTACCAGCCGGCCACGTCCCCCCGTTTGTGCTGCAGCGCGCACTCCACAAAATCGACAGGATGGCCGACGCCGCGAGTGCGGTTCGTGTCGTATCGCAGCATATACCGAGCTACAATGTCGAGGAAGCCACGCGCTTGTGCTTGCTGCTATGGGCCCTGTGCATTCGGCGATGGCAGGCATGGCATATGGCACGTCCGATCGCAGAGATGACGATGCACTGTGCCACGCGGTGGCTTCACGTGCGAACGCCGCAGCCTGCCAAGGCGCAACGGCTCTTGCAAACGGCGGGCGTGAGCTTGGTACGTGGTGCGCGTGATGAACGTGTACGCCACGCGTTCCTGCAAGTGTATGCCATGGCATGTGAGCATGTGCCGAGTGCGGCCAAAACCATCGAGCAGTATATCCTAAAACATATGCCGACCCAAGCCTCCTCTGCATGGCTCGATGTGGCAGCGTGGCAGACGATGCTAGCGGCCCGACCGACCAAGCCGCGCGCTGCGTTGCTGCGTGTCGGGATTCGTCTGGCGGCCTCGGAACGTCGTATGGAGCAAGCGCGGGCCTGGTACGACGAGCTTGGCGCGCCACAGACGCCGAGCACCAGCAGCACGGCATTCCTGCGAGCTCTCTCGCACATAGCTCCTGACACAGATCTGCGCGAAGCATGGGCGCTGTTTGATCAGATCAGTGCAGGGCACGACGGCAAGGGCGACGGCGAACATGCGCAGGCGAAGCTCAACGACTGGATCCTGATGCTGCGCGCAGCGGCGATCGATGAACGCATTCCCGTGCAGCGAACCATGGCGCTGCTGGGCTTGTACGAGACAGACGAGCCGCTGCATGTAGGATGGCACGCCCCAGCATCGATCCAGGCGCAGCTAGCGACTTCGGTCGTGGCGCATACGGCGCTGGTCGATGGACTGATAGCACGGCACGAGCTTGCGCGGGCCTGGGCTGTGTGGGAGGCAATGCTGCGACGTGGCATTGTGCCGGATGTATGGGCGCTGACGTCGCTGTGCCGTATCTATCTGCACGCTGGCGAGCCTGTACGTGCACTGGAATGCGTACTGCAATACTGCCGCGAAGGCGTGGCTTTGATACCCAATGCGGGGGTGCACGACGTACGTGTGCCACCCAGCAAGGACGCACTCGGTGCGTGGCCCATTCCGACCAGCACCACAGAGACGGCGCCGCGTGTCCGTGTCGTGCCCAGTCCGCATTTGGCCAATACGCTGCTCGCCGGGCTGGTGCGTCTGGGTGCGTACGAGACGGTGATGCACCTGTGGCAGGCCCTCGGGCCGACGTTGCACGTCGTGCCTGACGTGATATCGCTGGATTTAATGCTTCGCGCCGCGACGGCGCAGACGTATGCACAGCAGACGGAGACGACGTACCCACCGCCTACGTCCTCCTCACGCCTGTGGCCCTACGCGGCGCGAGCCTACTTTCGCCGGACGTTGCAGACACAGCACCCCGACCTGCAACAGTGTCAGAACCCACTCGAGACGTCAGGCGCACGTGGCTGGTTCCTGCGCGGCGAATTGCAGTGGCGGCGGTGGGAACGCTGGTGGGAAGACCGCGTGACAGGGTTGTGGGGCGGGGGGCCCTCGGCTGTGAACGCATGGAACGACGCGGGGGAGGCCTCGTCGTCGCCTGCGCCCCCGGCGCTGTGCCTGGATGCACGTGTGTTCCACCAGTATGCAGAGCTCCTGCTAGCGCTGATCGAGACCGCGCCGGGGCTTGGCGCTACGGCGTCATGGGCGCAGGCGATGACGGAAGAACTGTTCATGGTCGCTGCGTGGATGCGCGCCCTGGATTTGACGCCGCAGACCTCGACATTGTGTCTGCTATGCTCGGCCCAAGATGAATTGCTGCCGCCTATGAGTGGCGCGATGCCGCTACGTACCTACCTCAGCACCTGGCTCGGCGCTGAGCATGTGCCGAGCGACGACGCCATTGGCGCATGGTTTCGACAGCACCACCGTCGTCGATGGCCCAGGGACGATAACAAGGATGACGACGACGACGACGACGACGACCATGACGTAGCTAGGAGTGTGACGTAGCAGGCCAGGCCAAACATATGTCCACCGTAGCCAGCCCGGCCTGCCGCGCGCTCGGTGGGAGCGTCTTGGGTGTGTCGCTCACCTTGGCCCATGTCGCAGCGCGGGGCTGCGTCCCATCGGCGTACAGAGGCGTATGGGTATGCGGGTCGTACAGACCGATCGGCGGCTCGGCGGCCCGTCGCGCGCGACGCTGGGCGGCCTGCGCAGCTTGCTGCCGCGCGGCCACATCGGTATCTTGCGCACGCTCCCAGGGCGGCCGAGTATCGCAAAACAAATGGTCGTCTGGATCGACTTTCATGGCCGCCGCAGGGTCCTCCACCTTCGTCGCCGGCGCCTTGGCACTGGGTGCCATGGCCCACATGTGATCGCGGCGCGCCACCAGGAGCTCGGTGTTCATCTCCCGAACGCTTTTGGCGTACACGGCCATCCAGTTCTCCTCGGTAACGTCAGCACGTTGCAGCGGTCCGCGGCGGTACAGCGACGTGCCAGCACGAACAAAGGGTGATTGGCCATCGTCGCCAAACGTCGTAGTAACCATCTCGCCTTGTGGGTCGACGGTCGTATGCGTCACGGCATCGGTACGACGACGCCCGCGGTCGCGATCGCGCTCGTTCTCACGTCGCCGGTCAGATCGGGCTACGTCCTCCATCGAGGATAGAGTGACAAGCATACCTTCCCGCTTCCCCTCCGCACGCGCTTGGGCCTCGTAGTAGTCGTCTGTCACTTGGCGGCCTTGTACGACTACACGCGCGCCCATTTGCTGGAACACAGAGCGCGCCGTGACGACCGTGACGTTGCGTGTACGCAGCGAATTGTTGAGACGTCCATCGGCGATCAACGTATCCTTCTCGTCCTGGGTAAGATAGAGTTTGTAAAACAATGGATGTTTTCGGAAAAAGTACGACGAGTCGCGGTAGCCCAACTCACGCGCAATATCAAGCGAAAGCATATACAGACGCTCGGGATCATCACGCTCCGGCGAGCGAAAGGTGGGGACGCGGTACTCACGCCCGCCAAGCAGGTGGCCATGCCGATTGACTTTGGTTTCGCCCGCAGGGTCCGTCTCAAGCACGAGCGCATCGTCTTCCATACGGTATGTCTGCCCTTCGATATCGACTGTAGGCCCCGCCTCCGCCTCGGAGGCTATATCGTCGACGTCCGGCGTCGCGCTGTACGAACCAGGTGTATGATCGCGTGGCGTTCGTCCACGGCGTGAGCTGGCACGAGTGCTGCGTGCGCGTGTGGGAGGCGGCTGCGGCTCAGCCTCACTGTATACATCTGAATCGTCGTCGTCGTCGACAATCGCATCGGACGGCGGCGTAGTCGCTACGCGCGCGCGGCGTGGCCGCGTAGACCGGCGCGTAGAAGACGTGTCGTCGTCTTTGCGTGTAGGTCGTCGAGGACGTGGCATACGCAACGCGCACTTCCCCTGGTCAAAAGCGAGGCGCGCAAAGACAACCGCGCGCGATCGGAGCGAAACGAGCTATCGCACCGCACTGCCTCGCAGCCTCCTCGCGCGCGCGCGAGGGCCATTGTCACGTGCGAATGCGGAGGCGTCCTGGGCATGGGCCTACGTGCGCGTAGGTGCGGCCGTGGCGGCGGCCCAGGCGTGCGTCACCCCGCCACGATTGGAGAGAGTGCTTGTGTGGTTGAGGGATCATGACGACGCTTCCAGCGCAGGCGGTAGCGGTGGACAATATGGATCCACGACTACCGCCCTACCATCCCACAAACCTGCGAAAACAGGTGCACTTAGCCCTTGATCCTTCGTTCTCGGTCAAGAGCTACATTGGCGCCGCCGCTACACTGCTGGATAAGGCACAGATGGCCGATGCACAAGGTCACCTGGAGGCCGCTTTTGTACACTACCTAACCACTGCGAGGTACGTTATCGATACGGAGACTCACCGTAGTGTCGCCTCGTTTGTGCCCAAACATGCCGAGTGGGCCGAGGTGAAGCAGCAGCGTGGCGCGACATTTCTTGCATACCAGGAGCTGATGAACCGTACACCTGACATTGTACAGCGGGCACAGGCTATTGAAAAAGAGCTTCTAGCGCGTGCCGAGTCAGACATGGCAGAGGCTACTACGTCGTCGATGCAGACCTTGGCCATCACATCACGCGAGACCTCGGCGTCGTCTACTCCTTCGCGTCAGAGCGAAGAGTCCATACGGTCGCACTCGGCAGAGATGGCAAGAACACGCTCATCTTCCCCGTCGAAAACACCCGCATCACTCGTGCCAGGCCGCCCACGAAAACCGCCACCTCCCCTGCCACCTTCGGCAGGAACGACTCGCGTAGCCCCGCCGGTCGGCGAGGTTCTTTCTGTCGAGGACGTATGGACATTGATGTACCCAGGCTTTGACAAGTCGGTGGATCAGAGCGGGCGCGAACTCTTGCAAAAGCGGGCGAGCTGTTCCGTGTTGCTTATCGATGTACGCTCACGCGCCGAACATGAGGCCGGCCACATCCGGGGAGCAGATACGATCTGTATCGATCCTGCGTTGCTTCGTGCGCCACCTGTGCCGTTCACGGAAGTGCAAGCGGCGCTCCCGCCTAAGGAGGCAGAGTTCTGTGCCAAGTGCAGCCAGTACGATCTGTTGGTTCTGTACGACCAACAAACACGTACATGGCCTACGCCGGGCACAGCGACGCCGGAGCAGGTGACGCTGATGACCATTCAGGACATGCTGGAACGTGAAAAACTCCCACCGCCTGCGCTCTTGCGTGGTGGCTTTGCGTCCTGGGCCAGGCAGGTCGGTGACTGTGGCGTAATCGCCAACCGACCGCCTTCTCTGGCACCGTCGGGCCAGGCAGCTCCACGACCGCGACCTACAGCGCCGTCTCCGGTACATTCGACCCCTACGCCCAGTCCGCCACCACGCGCATACGTGCCCGGCCGCCAGGCTCCCGCCTCGATCTCGCCGCCGTCCTCGCAATCACAGCCACGCTTTGCGTACCCGACGATGGCACCGACGCAGTCCTCCGCCGCATCAGTACCGACACTGATGCCGCCACCGGTGTCGGTACCGCCGCCACGGACGCCTGCGTCGTTGGTCGCAGGGAGCGGTGCTATGACTCCGCGCACTATACCCTCGCCCCGCGCGCGTGAGCCCAAAGTCGGCTTGTCCGGCTTGAAAAATATGGGGCAGACATGCTATATGAACGCGACCATGCAGTGCCTCAGTGCATCCACGATCTTGTCGCAGTATATGCTGGATGGATCTTTCCAGAAAGCCATCAATACACAGAATCCACTGGGCACGCAGGGCGCTGTGGCCAAAGCGGTAGCATCGTTGCTGCGTACGTTGTGGTCTGAGCAATATGCGGCTGTGACGCCCAGTACGTTTCGGCAAGTCATGGGCCGCGTGGCGCCCATGTTCCGTGGGAATGAGCAGCAGGATAGCCAGGAGTTTCTCGTGATGCTCCTGGACGGCTTACACGAAGACTTGAATCTGGTGCTACAACGACCGCCCATGCAAGAGCTCGGCGAGGCGCAGCAGGCAGCGATTGATCGATTGCCACAGCAGCTGGCGAGCGTCGTTGAATGGAGCATGTACCGCCAGCGGAACGACAGCATCATCGTACATTCGTTTCAAGGGCAGCTGCGGAATCAGCTAGCGTGCCTTACCTGCGGCCATACGTCCACCACGTACAATGCCTTCATGTCGCTTTCGCTGCCCATTCCCCAGGGGCGTGGAATCTCGCAGGTGCGATTGCTTCAATGCCTCGACTCGTTTGTCCAAGAAGAGGTGCTGGAGAAAGCCAATGCATGGCACTGCCCAAAGTGCAAGAAACCCCGGCGGTCGACCAAGCGGCTAAGTCTCGCACGTCTGCCGCCTATTTTGATTGTACACTTGAAGCGATTCATGCACCGTGGTTCTGTCACAAAGAAGATCGAGACGCCCGTCACATTCCCAATCGATGGCTTGGACCTGACAAACTATATGCCGCCACCTCTGCCGCCAGGTACGTCGGTGCGAGGTGTGCCTGTGAGCGAGAGTCAGCGCCCGCCGTACCTCTACGATTTGTACGCTGTAACACACCATTTCGGCACGCTCAGCTCCGGGCACTATACGGCCTCGATTCGTACACAGGGCACATGGTACTACTGTGACGATAGTGTGATTTCGCAGAGCGATGCGCAATTGCGCACAGCCTCGCCGTATGTCCTATTCTACCGCCGCCGCATGTCGTAGTTGTCTGTCGTAGGCGGATCTCGACCCATGTCATGCTGATGTAAGGAAATCGCTCGGCTGGCACGTTGGGCCTACGCCACCACTTGGGCGCACGTACCATAGTCGCGACAATGACAGGCGCTTGGGGCCGTGTATGGAGTACTATGCAAGCGCGTACGCGCCAGAGCCCGACGCTATGGTTCGGCGTGCCGTTTGTCGTTTCGATTGTTGGTGGGTCGTTCGTACTGGCACAGTTCACACAGTTGCGGTACACACATCACGACTCGCGCATTCGCACACTCTCGCAAGAAGAAAAACTGCATCTCAAGGCGGACCGCAGACCCTTGGATATCCGGGAAGAATACTTTGTATGTATACATACAGACGTACTAACGTAAGAAACTGCAAAGTCAGGGCGATCAATGGGACGAGTGGGAGCCCAAACGAGTCGAACGCCCGACAGGTATGCCAGAATGGGGCGGCGTCCCTACACCAGCACCGGCAGGCCATGAAGCGGTCGACGCGGACTTGAACTCAAACTCTGCATCCTCGATGCTGGCTCGGCGAGGATGGGGCCGACGTCCGATCGAGGCGGAAGAACGCCACTCCAAGGATGAGGCAGAAACGATGGCCGCGCCGCCACCCAACCCACGCAAGCCAACAGTAGTGCTAGGTCCGGATGGCAAGCCATGCCGTGCCTGCAATACCAAGCTGGCCTTCGGCGCAGCGCTACGCAATGCCCAGGCCCAACCGTCCACGCCAACGAAACCGGCAGCCAAGACCGCGGCCGAGCCATGCCCACCCGATGTAGAAGAACTGGGCCATTCGACCTGGACATTCCTGCATTCAGCAGCGGCGTACTACCCAGACGAGCCCAGCACGTTGCAGCAGTCATCGATGCGAGCGCTGCTGGATGCGCTGCCGCACGTGTACCCATGCTATGCGTGTGCGGAAGAGCTGCAAGACGCGTACCAAACCTCGGCGTTCAACGATGAAGCCCGAGCAAAGGCGGTGCGGGGGGGCGACAGCTTGCGTCAGTGGCTATGTGAGCTGCACAATGGCGTGAATGTGCGACTTGGCAAGCCGGAATGGGATTGCAGTGATACCGAACGGCTTCGGCATCGGTGGTACGAACCAGCCGACGATGCCGACTGCTAAGAATAGCGTCCTTGGCTTTGTACTATAGCTACGTGTCTAGAAACCAAGCGATGTACGCAGCTCCTGCTCGAGCGAGACTGGGTCTGGCTTGTCTTGCGTGTCGGCACTTTTTGTCGTCGATGGCATCGGTGCCCGAGCGAGCTTCGAGGCCTTTTCTGCGTCGACGTCGGTCGGCACAGACTCAGTTGATGAGGCACTTTCGTCGACACACCGCTGGCACATACAAGGACCAAAGCAGTAGTCGCGCCACAGCAACAGACGACGTCGGTCTACTGGCAACGAAGGATCGACATAGCTGATCGCGAGCTCATCGCCAGGCGCAATCGACCGTAAGGCCTGGGCCGTGATGCGCGTGGCTGGGCGGACACCGTTTCGGCCAGGCATGTGACGAATGGAGACGTTCGGAGTGCAATCATGATTTAAGTGGCTGTGCACCAAGTCTGGGGGTCAGTTGATGGACGCTGATACATACACATTCCGCCGTGGCTCTCCATGTTGATGTTGGCGCGACCCAGGAGTCTAGGAGTGAGTGAGGGCGTATATACGTACTGCAAAAACATATCCCAGGAGAACAGCCGTTCTAGTTCCTTGGCAGGCAGCGCTGTGGCTGGGACAGGGAAGCGGCGTGGCCGAGAGGGCCGTGTAGGATCCAAGGCGTCGGCCATGAGGACATGAGCACGTTGCAGCGCAGGTAGGAAGCCAGCACGTTCCAGTTCCCAGCCAGGGTTACGTGCACGTCGTTCAAGTTCGGATACGGTCGCAAAGGAGTCGAGATGGTGTACAGTCTCGGTCCACGTCGCTGGCGCGTCATGCGAGGGGAGGCCATGCACTGTAGCGCCGGTGGTAGGCGAGATGGAGGATGGCTTGACCGTGGCGCCTGTCAGCACAGTGCGAGCGAGCATGCGTGCCACGGTATGAATTGAATGCCATTGGTACTGCTGCATGAATGTCAGTAGAGCCTTGGCGCCAGGGTTGGTTCCGGGGCACAGCAATGCATGGTGATGCGCCATGGCCTTGGATTGGCACATGCGATGACAGAATCGGGCGCCACACGAGCCAGCACCACATGCAACAGAAAGCGACGTGCCGGAGGTAGGTAGGAAACAGTTGGTACAGATTTGGCCCTGGAGCATATTGCTGAGCTGGCTGGGCGGGGGGGCAGCCACGTATGCATCTTCGACAAAGATCGACTGCCCTTCTGCGTAGGTCTTGGTCGCTACGAGACCACGACCTTTCACGTGGTCAAAGTATCTAGGCTCGACGCCGGGCGGCATAGGCACGGTATCGTCCAGAGACGATACAGGGATCCATGGCTTGCGTGGTCCATCGCGCAGACCTGATGCAATCAAGATCTTCTTGAGCCGCTTCTCACTTAGCGTCCATTGGTGTTCGGCTTGCAGCGTCGTAAGGAGCTTGGCTAGGCCAAGAGGTTCAGTGCGCTCAATGTAGGGGCGTGCCGCCTCGACGACCTGATCCTCGGTGGGGGCACACGACATGCTTCGACAATGTCGTTGGGCGCTCGTTCGAGCGGGCGTCGCTTCGAAAAATGGGGCCCTATTTTCATGTGGAGGTAAATCAAAAGCAGAACAAGCTATGCACGCAACTATGGGCCTGTGGAGAAGGTCGGTAGCGATGGGAATGGATAGCCGTTGGGACGAGGTCGGCCCGGTGGCGGTGGTAGCGTACCAGGAGCGAGGGCCGAGGGCATCGGCGTGGCAGCAGCATGAGGATCACTGCTAAACACATCGACGTTGGGCTGCTCAAACGCATGTCGTGCGCGATCCCAGGACGTATTCCAAGGCGCGCTACCAAAGCCACGTGTACCCAGGGCGGTGGTCGCCGTGCTGGAAGGCAGGCCTGTGCCTAGCGCGCCTAGGCCACTAGGCGCCGGGGCCGCACTGGGGGGAGCGGTGGCTGTCGAGGCCGAGCCAGGAGCCGCCGAGGCCGCCGAGGTCGTGCCCAATGTGCCGAGCCCCAAACTACTGTACCCTGGCGTCGGCGTAGACGACCATGGCGAGTAGAACGGCCGGTGAGGCGCTATTGTACTGGCCGAGCCAGGAGGTCCAAACGCACTGGCCATCGCCATGGCATTGGCACGACGGCCTCGTGGCTCAATCAGCTCATCGTCGCCCAAAGCGGCGCTCCCGAGGATGCTCTCTACACCGATGTCACTGCTGCCTGTCGCCGAGCGCCGTGGCCGCTCGATAGGGCCGATCGGCGCAGGCATAGGCCGAGCAGGACTCGCCGTGTTGGATGGCACACTGGGGGCGACCAACGACCCCAGACCGAAGTCATGCGGAGGCCCATGGGGCGAGGACGTCACACCGGCGTCCACCGCACCGGCCAGCGAGGACGAAGAGGTCGTGCCTGGTGTCGCCGCCGAGCTCACAGGGTGCAGATGCATTCGGTGCAGGGCACTCGTCGTCGATGCCATGCTGTCAAAGAACGGCGCGTGACGTGACGGCGGCGCGGTCCGTCGTGGATCCCATGGCTCTGGCTCCGTAGTCCGCGTGCCAAACGACAAAGGCGCAAACGACTCGGAGAACAATGCACGGTCCACTGGGACACGAGGTGCACTGCCATCATGCTTGGCCTGCACGGGCGTAGGGGGCGTAGTTGGCGTTGCTGGCGCCGCACTGGTCGCCGACGTGGCAGACGCAGGCGCGGCAGCTGAGGGCGCGGAAGTGGCGGACGTAGCGCCTGGCGTCGACGCGGGCGCCGAGGCGGGGGCTGACGCGGGCGGCGGGGGCGTTGTGTCCACGGCAGCCTCACGCTTACCACGCTGACGGCGTTCCTGGTTGCGTCGCTTGCGCTCTTCTGCCTGGCGCTTGCGTTCTTCGCGCTTCTCAGCCTCCTTTCGCTCCGCCTCCTTTCGCTCGGCCTCTTTGCGCTCGGCTTCCTTGCGCTCGGCCTCCCTACGTTCTGCTTCCTTGCGCTTGCGCTCGGCCTCTTTGCGTGCAGCTTCCTTTCGCTCCGCTTCCTTTCGCTCCGCCTCTTTACGTGCCGCCTCGCGTTTCTGACGCTCTTCTTCCTGGCGCTTTCGCTCGGCTTCGCGTGCCGCCGCTTCTTCGGCCGCCTTCTCCTGCTCACGCCGCAGCCGCTCCTCTTCTTTCTGCTGCTTCAGCTGCCGCTTCTTGTCCTTTTTGCGCTGGTTCTCCTTCGCCCGCTTGGCTTCCCGCGCTTTTTCGTTCGACTCTTCTTCTTCCAGCTCACGGAGCAATTGCCACTGCCGTTCCTGCGCAACACGCTCGCGATACGCCTGCAGTACACGCTGCTCGAGAATGCGTGCGGCAAAGATCTGGAACATACGCCAGCCTTGCTCGCGCTGCTCCTCGGGCGAGAGCTCCAACTCGCTAGGCGTCGACTCGTCGTCGGCGACGTCACACGTGACTTCCGGCGGCGCATGCCGTTCGGCGAGTTGCTCCATCATCAGGATGAGCTTTTGGACCTCGTTGCCGGACAGGTCGTCGGCCACGGTCAGAATGCCTTTGACTGTAAGCGATGAGTTAATGCAGTAGCAGTCACTGCCGTGACATTGTGAGCTTGCACGACGACGACGATCTGGCCGCTCGTACTCGTCATCGTACTCGTCGTCGTACTCGTCGTCGTACTCATCTTCGTACTCGTCGTCGTCGAGATCGTCGTACAAGTCGTCGGACGGATGTGTGACGTCGCCCACAGCATCGCGTAGTCTCTCGCTAGTAGGTGTATCAGGTGGATACGCACTGAGGGCACGACGTCTTCGCTCCCGGAACGACTGCCGCGATATCAGCAGGTTGGCACCGACGACGCCGCCATGCTGATCCAGCGCGATACTGCCTGGGAAGGGCCCTGGGCCTAGCGCAGCCAAACTTACCACTGCATCCTCGTCCTCTGCCTCATCGTGGCCATGCTGCGTATCCTGCGCTGCATGGGCATGCTCGTACTCGACAATCTGCTCCTCCAGCGCGTCATAGTACGACTTGTACAGTTCACATAGCTTCGTATCGATAGCCACGCGTTTGCGCATACACACACGGCATGTACACGCGTGCCGCATGTAGTCTTTGAGCTTGCGTCGAACACTCTGCTCCTCCGCTTCGAGCATCGTTTTGCGGTCTCGGCGATTCAAGCCGTACCAAAATTCGCGAATCTTTTCACGTTCCTCGGCGCTGCCGATCGTCAGACCGCTACCGCTCGCAGGCGGCGCAGCGCCTGCCATGTGCGTAGGGAACATGGGGCTGTGGTTACTGCTGACGCTCAGCGAGCTCTTACTGCGCTTGGGCATCGGTGGCCGAGGGGCCGGCACCGCCGGCGGGCGCGTCGCCGTGGAGTGGAACATCATCGGGAGCTTACCCGCAGCGCGCGATGATGGCAGAGGCGCATGCGGCGCAGCTACAGGGACCGGCGGCATGCTTCGTCCACGCGGCGTAGGCGCCGGCAAAGGTGCCGGCAGAGGCGCCGTGGCGAGTCGGTGGTCGTCCGTGGGTATCGCCTGCGTCGTTGCGTTGGCATTCGCATTCGCAGCACTTGTACTCTTCTTCTTCTTCTTCTTTGACTTTTTCTTCTTTTCAGGCTCACGCACCTCCTCGAGCTTCTCGTCGAGGATCTCGTCGCTGGCATACGCAGGATCAAGCTCAGCCTCCTCGTCGTCCAGTTCGTTGACAAATACCAGGTCGCCTTCGTCCGTCATGGGCATGGTCATGCCAGGAAAGGGCGGCAAGAACTTGTCTTTGGAACGGTACAAGTCAGACAAACCAGTCTGCGAGGCATGCGCAGCCTGTGCGAGCTGCTGAGCCACGGCGATCATGGCCTGCGTCGAGGCATGGCGCGGCCCATTGTCTGCTTGGTCAGGCGACGTAGCTCCGAGCTGACCCAGGGGCAGCGCGTTGCGGATGAATGTGCGCAGATGCGCTGGAAGCGATGTCCAGTACGCCTCGTCGTCAGGCAGGCCATGGGGATCGGCCTCGATGCGGCGATACAGATCACTGGCTGTCGCCAACAGGTCGGCCTGGACCTGCGCTGTGGCTGCTAGCGACGGTGCCATATCGTCCAGTAGGTCGTCGACCGCCGTGGCGGGGGGTGGCTTGGCCACGCCTTTCCGCTTCTTTTTCTTGGAGGCAGCCAACGACGGAGGCACAGAGGGCACGTCGCTCATAATCAAATGGTCGTCGACGTCAGCGGGCGCCTTGGTCATAACCACAGACGCGCCCACTCGTTCGACGTCGAGAAAGAGGGAAAGTCGGTCGCGCTACGCGGCAGAGCAAGTCACACAGACACTGCCAACGCCTTCTTTCTGTAAAAGCGCGTCGTCACGACCGTCAATGCCGTAGAAGGTCGGTCCGTCAGGTACACACCTATTCGTCACGCAATAGACTGATAGATGCACACGCTCACGACACGTCCAGCGTACGTAGAGGCTCCCAAATGGAAATCGCAAGTCGGTGGCTACCTACTGCCACCGCCTGGGGTCCTACGCCGCTGGCTGCCTGACTGGCTGTCTGTCTCTTGCTGCCTGACCATCGGCCGAAGATCGATCACACCTATACCTGTCGGCCTCCCTTCGAATGTGGAGGGCTTCACGCACGCCGAATGCACGACGTCCACGACGACGATCCTATTGCCAATGACAAGTGCCGCTACGTCCTGGTCTGCGTATGCGGACTGGTTCGAGGCACTACCGACCGAACCCATTGAGGTCGCACGGATCGTCCTGGGTCATACTACAGTTGCACAGACGTGGCATCAGGTGCTGCAGGCCGCCGCGCAGGCCGTCTTGACAGAGCCACGCCCGACGGCTAGCACAGAAGGAGACGCCGCCACTGATGCCACGCTGGGCCGCCTTGCCGCAGCAATGATCCCTGCTCTGAAGCGTCTGCAGCAACATGGCGACCCATCCCTGCTCGAAAGTGTATGTGGCAAGCAAGGTTGGGTGGATGTGGCTATTCTCGCCACTACGTATGGCCTCAGCGACGAGGCTACACCCTTGTTGACAGCTGCATGGCCACGCACAGAGGTAACTGTGTGGTGGGATATGGCATGGGAAGCACTCAAGCACGCGACAAACCGTTTTTTCTATGTGCCATGGGCCGAAGGCATCCAACGTCTACGCCGCGCAGCCCGTCTCGCGGACGCACTACTGCAAACCCACCCTGTTATCCCTACATCAAGCGAGGCCAACTGCCGCGAGTCGCTGACAAACATCGCTCAGGCCCTCGCAGAAGCGTACCATGGCGTATTGGCCGCATCCCGTATCCCACGCGACGAAGCAAGTTCGTCAGCGACGCCATGGCCTTCCGCTTGGCTCGCTGCCAAAGTTGACGTTCTGAGCACGGCGGATGCGTGTGTCATGGCGGCGCACGCCCTGGGCGATACAGCCTCGCCGCTTGCAGCGCTCGATGAGCAAGCCCTGCATATTCCTGATAGCGTGGCCTTGGTCGATGCGCCGCTGCGCACAGACCTGCAAAACGCTGCGCCAGCGTGCGCATCCATTCTGGGTACGTCCATGACACCCTTCCCAGGCGCAGCATGGGCGGCTGTACGGCCCCTAGCTGCGGTCACAGTCACAGCGCCGCCTGTCAATACCGAGTTGGTGGATATGATCCTCGGTGTCTTGCCGCATCTGGACCGCCAGCAAGTGGAAAGCCGCGTAGCTCGACCTCGGTACCAAGATATGACGCCTGAAGCGGTGCTGGAAGTGTTCCTCGATGATCCAGATGGATTGCAGGACTTGGATGATGATTACGATCCTGTGGCCGGCATGGCATCGATGCGAGTGCAGGACGATGCACCGTTGTCCGACGATCTGAAAGCTGCAATTCTCGCACGTGCCGAAGCCGAAGATACCCTGGAGGAAGAATGGGACCTGAACGCCCCGCCCACGCCAACACAGCAAGCAGAGCGCTTATTATTGGCGACGTACCAATCGCAAGGCGCCGGGCTCTTTGCACGGACCAAAGTGGCACGGCAAAGTGCAGGTCGGGCGCGGCTGCGTGAGATGCTCGCACCACTGGGCACCTGGGGCGATGACCAAATCGAAGGATGGGCCGTCATGCTGGAGCGCCATCCAAACCGGGAAGCCATGTTGATGCGTGCGCAACACATGATTACACCCAACACCAATGTAGGCAAAGAGCGGTCCTGGGGCGCTGATAAAATGCGTGGCGGCCGAATTCCATCCCAAAGGCCGTCCGGCCACGGCGGGGGTCGTGGCGGCCATCGCGGTGGTCAGCGTGGCGGCGGACGTGGCGGCGGACGTGGCGGTCATCGCGGGGGCCCACGTGGGAAATGAATAGGGGAAGTCGAAGCATGATTGGTATACGATGGATGGCGGGTCTATATGCCTAGAATGCTATCGATATAGTACAAATCCATGTAGGTAGACATGCATGCATCTTATCGTTACTGCAGCAGTGGATCACGGAAGTGTTTTTGGTTGTTGTGGCGGTATCCCACCTTGGTCTTGAACTGCTCACGGCGCTGCACATCACGGAACTCGCGAATGTGACGCGTCGCCTCTTTCGCTTCACCACGGTTACGTGCCACCAGCTCATTACCGCCACGTGACGTGACGACGAGGTCTTTCGAGGGCTCCCCAGCGATGCGATGCGCAAGCGCCCGGCCATTGGTCACTGAGGCCGTCTCGCGAGCACGTCCAGCAGGTGTCTGCCACAGCGACTGCCGGTAGTAGCGCTGGAGAGAGCGATGCCCAAGGCGGGCACCGGAAGGCAGTACCAACTCGTACTCCGAGTCGCCATACCGAATGCCATCATCGACAGGCACTTCATCATCATCGTCCTCCTCGTCATCGCTGCTTGCATCTTCCCATACTACTTCGCCATCCTCTTCATCATCGGATGCATCTTCCCATTCGTCATTATCCTTCTTCTTGTAGTCAGGGTAACTCGAACGGAAGTCGTAAAAGTCACTAAACTCCAGCTGCTCTTCCTGCGTCTCGTATGCCACCTTGCAATGGGACTTGTCCATCATGTGCTTCTGCACCGCGCCAAGATTATGGAAGCCACGGCCCTTGCCGTTGCACCATAGACACACGTTGCCCACCGAGACCTTGTCGGCCAAGTAGCCCAGCAGGCCAGGCAGGTCAACCAAGTACTTGCGCTCCGGTACAAAGAAGCCGTGCGCAGATTGCATATGAGAAAGGCTAACATCGAGCGATGGCTGCTTCTCGCTGCAGAACATGCACTCAGTAGCAGGATCAATCCGGCGTGCCTTCGCAAGCTTCTTCTGCACGGCTCGCTCCAGCTTAGTCTCTTCATCCAGCTCGTCATCCTCGTCCTCTTCACTGCCTTCGTCCTCAGGCAACGCATCCCGAAGATCCTGGACATTCGCCAACGACGATGGCGTCTCCGTTGCCATAGTACGTGCCGCCACCTTGGGCTTGTTGGCCTGCTTCTGCATCATCTCACGATGCTTACGAGACTGCATATGATCACGGTATGCATTCTGTGATGAGAAGTTCTTGCTGCATACGTGGCATCGGCCCGTATCTTCCTTCGTGGCTTGCGCAGACGACTCCATCGCCGTGCGACGTTCCATGATTTTCTCGTTGAACACTTGCGCACTCACAGGAGCTAGATTCGCAACGCGGCGCTTCATGTTGTACCGATGAAGGTCTGACCGAAAATGGTCCCGCTGCTCGGGCGCTGTATAGAATGCGACACTGCATGTCAGGCAGGTGTACACGTCCTCGCCACCTGGCCCTGTACTCATGATGCTGCGAAGATATGGATGGAGGCGCTAAACGCCGCGCCTTTTTTTTTAAAAAAAAAATAATCGCCGCGTGGAATCCACGTGGTACACCATTACCACGAAGACAAAAGTGGAGCCTTGTGGGGGTTCAGGCACAGGGGGACTCATGCGCAGGAAACTGGCTCACGAAGGCCGTACTAGCATGGCATAATGTCACGTAGAACGCAGGCATATACCTCAGCATATGGCAGACACGCGATGCTCAAATAAGATTTCACACTCAACTACAATACTACGCATACACACTACTTGTCCTTCTGGATCGGGCACCTGTCACTCAGCTTGACATGACCGAGGTACAGAGCCTCACGCCACCACCAGGTGTTGATCGGGTTAAAGTGGATCGACCAGTAACCATCGCGCGTGGTTATCAGCACTCACATCCGACTTTTTGCCCTCCAGAGTAAGGCGGATACCGCAGTCGCCGACGCGATAAGCCGAGAGCCACTGGCGACGAAGATCCTCGCCCTTGTCCAGGCAGGGGCGCAGGACAAAGGCAGTATCCACGTAGTCAGTCTTGATGAGCACGTCCTCAATGCTGTCTGAGTCTTTGGGCATGACGTAAATGCCACCCAACGTCAGACATTGCGACGGGTCTTGCACGCTGCGAAGCTGGCCAAACTTCTTGTGGTCCTGGCTGCCTTCATATTCCTCCGACGGAACATCGCATTGGTAGAACTGGAACTTCTGGTCGGTCTCTGTCACGTTAAAGAGGATAGCCTTATCGTTGTGGAACTTGTGATCCAAATCAAGAGCGTACGTGAAGGTGTGAATACGTGCAAGAATCGACTGACTGGCGACGCCATGACAAATACGTTATGGGCCAAGTATTTCTCTCCTCCGTCTCAAGCACAATGGGTCATCACACCTCCCTCGGCAGAAATCCACTGCTAGCATCTAGTTCAACGTTGTAGAGGAATAGGCCACCAAGGCCGGCCACGCACGATCTTCACGCTTTGCCCATATACACCTGAAGTATATGAATGGCCCTTCGAAGAATGGTCATGGGGAGAGAAATACATATACAGTCAATGCCGGGGTATGTGCAATATCATGTGGCAAAGAGTCCTCCTGGCCTTTGCTGCATGGGCCCGATATGTGTCCCGTGAAGAGAGATCATTCATGCACGCGTAGCATATACGTAGGCTCCACGTCTTACGTAGCCGCACTAGGGCCTCCACGCGTAGGGCAGTGGAGTGGCCCACGTCGTTCGTAGGGCCACGCGAATTCCACGTGGAATTGAGAAGGTGCTACCTCGGCACGTGATCGTGGCAAAACTGCAATCCCCGAGACAAGGAGGAGGAGGCGAAGTGCCTCGCCCCTTTGCGTCGTACGAACGTCGTTGCCCGCCATGCAAATCTTCGTCAAGACTCTGACTGGCAAGACGATCACGCTCGAGGTTGAGTCCTCGGACACGATCGACAATGTGAAGGCCAAGATCCAGGACAAGGAGGGTATTCCTCCGGACCAACAGCGTCTCATTTTCGCTGGTAAGCAGCTGGAGGACGGCCGCACCCTCAGCGACTACAACATCCAGAAGGAGAGCACTCTTCACCTGGTGCTTCGGTACGTATAGACTAACGGTCGTTGTGACTAACACATGCAGCCTGCGTGGTGGTATCATTGAGCCGTCGCTCAAGGTGCTTGCGAGCAAGTACAACTGCGACAAGCAGATCTGCCGTAAGTGCTACGCCCGTCTCCCGCCGCGTGCCACCAACTGCCGCAAGCGCAAGTGCGGTCACAGCTCGCAGCTCCGTGCTAAGAAGAAGCTGAAGTAATGGCATTCCTCCCAAAAGCTGGCTTGCGCAGAAGGGTATTTTTGCTCTTTTGCTAGCCGCCTGCGCTCGCTCATGCTAACAGGAGCGTGCGTTGCCATGCTCTGTGGATATCATCGCTGTAGACATGACAGAAGCGTGCTGTTGGAATTCCCTTATGGACGTTAGATGGTCGTCTGAAGTGCGACCAACCGTACTTTTGTGTGTGGTACGAACAAATGGGCTGCATGTTCGGATATGTCTATGTGCAGTGTCAGTATGGTACAGACTATAGATTAGCGTTTCCAGTTCTCGCGCTCCGCATGCTCGTCGAGCTCTGCTGCAGCGTCGGCCAGCGTCGCATGGGTCGACGTCGGAGGGGCTGCGGCGGCAGCAGAAGGAGCAGCGGCCGGTGGCGCGTCGACCCACGAAAACGTAGCGTCGCCTACATTCGGGATCGATGTGCCAGCGCGCATCGCTCGCTCAGCACTCAGGCGTGTCTTGTACGTGACGATGACATCGTGGCCCACCTGCTCCATCGCATCACACTCGCCAAACTGTTGGACGTACGCCTGCAGCGCCGCAGGATCGTACTGCGCAGGCAAACCGCTAATGCCGACCTTGGTCGTGCGGTTGTCGAGGGTCAGTGAGCGGTTGGCCATCATAGGCGCACCGCGGCCACGGCCACGAGGCGCGCCAAAGCCACGCATACCCCCACGCCCACGCCCACGGAAGCCACCGCGCATGGCTGGGTGGCCAGAGGGATCAAGGCCGAGCGCAGCAGCTTCCTGTTTGAGGTGCGCAAGTTTCGCTTGGAGTTCCTCGGTTGTAGCATTGGTATCCATAGCATCGGATGGCTCCATATCGCGCTTCAGCATCTCTGTCGCGCCCTTGATATCTGTCGATAGCTTCTCCAGCATTGTCATGATACTCTTGCGGCCTTGCGGCGTGAGATCCTTCTCCTCGAGCTTCTGCAGTAGCGCCTTTTGTTCAGCCAACTGCATTTGAACCAACGCTTGCTTCTTCTTGCGCAGCTCCACAATGCGCCGCTTCTCCTCGTCCATGGGCGCCTGCTCCATCGCTGCATTGCGCAGCTCCGGAGCGAGGTACACGTTGGAGCCCTTGTCAGTCATGTAGTGTGGCTTGGACGGCGGCGCGCGCTCGATGCGCTGGAAGTACACCTTCACAAATCGGTTCCCGAAAATCACATCCGGGCTCTTGTGTGCGTTTTCAGCCTCGGCATGTGTGGCGTACGTCACAACGGCTTTCTTGCCAGGCTCGTCCACGTCGATATTTGTAATTGTACCAAATTTCTTGAAGTATTCATTCACATGCGCAAGATCGAGGTACTCGGGGGGTATATTCTCAATCACAATGGTGTCGGCACTGCGGGCTACCGGCGCAGCATGCGGACCGCCGCCGCGGCCACCACGTCCACCACGTCCACCACCACGGCCGCGCGGCATACCACGGCCACGGCCACCGCCCATCATCATCATCATATCCGGCATCTCGCCTGAGGCGGCCATGGCCTGCATATGCTGCATCATCTGCGCCATTTGTTCCGGCGGCGGCATCATGCCTGGCGGCGGCATAGCGCCATCAGGGCCCATCGGGAATGGTGGCATAAATGGCATGCCTGGCGGGAACATGCCTGGCGGCGGCATAGGTCCCGTCATACTGTCGTCAGAGTGCTGGAAGCGGCATTGGTTGCCTCGTGCACAGTAGCCTGAATTGTGGTAGTCACGGCACAGACCTTTACTGCCTGGCGCACGCGCCATGCGGCGTGGACGGGCTTGCGGTGTAGTGCCGTCTTCGTTCATGGCCTCGGCGCCCTCCGTCGCGTAAGCCTGACGCTTGGACGGATTCGCGCCAGTGTCCGTGTCTGTCACTTCGTCCATGCCAGTATTACCTTCGTCGTCGTCGTCGCGCTTGCGAGTCTGACCTGCGCCGTACGAGCGCGATTTGAGCGTTTCCACGGCCTTGGTCACAAACGACTGGGTGTTTCCCTCGAGAAAGTCGAGCAACTGCTCGTTCAACATCGCGATCAGTTCTGGCTCGCTGGTGTCGTTCTTGAAGAGAGCCAGCACATAGTCAGCCAAGACATCAGGATCAGCATCACATCTAGGGCTGTCAGCATACACGCTACTTACAATGGCTCGAGCTCCCGTATGAGCCACTGCTTGACAGCCGGCGCCTCCTCCTGCGGGAACAACATGCCACCGACGCCTCGCGATGCGTTCGTACCGCGCGATGGGGCCGCCCTGGCGTGGCCTGAACGATGTGATGACATGTGCTGAGTCATGCTGTTGAGGGCGGTGGAGGGCTGTATCACGTGGATAGTATATAGTTTTACCACCCCTTCATCGGCCGACCGAGCCTGGAAGGCAATTTGTGTGCGTACGCTGCCGCTCCTTCGTCTAGCACATCTTTCGCCAGGTGAGTACGACGGTGAAACCGTTGGCAGAACAGGATCCTAATACATCAGAACAATGGGCCGCATCTCTGAATACCTGGTCATTGGCCGGCACTTGCCGACGGAGAAGGAGCCGACTCCGGCCCTCTACCGCATGCGCATCTTCGCTGCGAACGAGACCTTCGCCAAGTCGCGCTTCTGGTACTTCGTGCGTCAGCTGCGTAAGATGAAGAAGGCCACCGGTGAGATTGTTGCCATCAACAAGGTATGTTGATTGACCATGACGCGCGTGTGCTAACACGACACAGATCGAGGAGAAGACCCCGACCAAGGTTAAGAACTTCGCCATCTGGCTCCGCTACAACTCGCGCTCGGGCACCCACAACATGTACAAGGAGTTCCGTGCTCTGAGCCGTGCTGAGGCCGTTGAGTTGATGTACCAGGACATGGCTGCTCGTCACCGTGCCCGCTTCGGCAGCATTCACATCCTCAAGGTTGCTGAGATCGAGAGCGTGTCGGAGATCCGCCGCCCGTACGTCAAGCAGCTCACCGCCAAGAACCTGCGCTTCCCGCTGCCCCACCGCCGCACTCGTGCTGCGGGCATTTACGCCGGCAAGCGCCCGTCGACCTTCTACTAAGTGTTGGCATTATGTTTGCCTGCCTTTGATGCCGGTCTCTGGCATTACACATCAGACGGCCGGCTGTGTGTATGTTGCTGGAAACTGTAATGTACCTAGCGTCTGATGACAAAAGCAGCAATACCATTTGCTTGTACCCCGATAGTTGAGTGCGTATGTGTAGGTAGTGCATGCCCCTTTTGTGGGTAGGTGAGCGGGCCGCGTAGTCGCCCACGCCTCGGTGAGAGCGGTCAGCTCCACATGCAATTCGAGTGGCTGGCTTTCGCACATATAGCCACGTACCAACCAAATTAGGGCCTATTTTGCTACAGGGACCTACGAGCCAGAGCGGCGTCGATGTGGATACTTTGCCAGTCCGCCCCCGTGATGCTACCCATCTCAGCATCCTCTGCCTCCCGTTTCTTGGTCTGGATGAACTGAAGCTGGTTGTTGAACTGGTTCAATACAGCTTCCCAGTTCGCTAGCATCTCAGGCGAGTCAGGCTTCTTCTCGCCCGCACTGTTGGCCTCTTCTTGAAGCGACGTAAGCGCCTTGGAGATCAGGTCCACCAGCGAATTCACGTAGCGTGCCGTAACAGCCTCAACACCTTGGTCGAACTGCAGAGTTAGTAGGAGAGCGTCCATAATACGTACATAATACAGGTACTTGTTCAGTGCATGACAAAAGATTTCCACCGTGGTAAACTCGTTGATGCACCCATTTGCAATACGCAGAGATTTCTGCAAGCACTCCAGTACACGCCGACCATCACGCACAAGAGGGTAGGGGGTTTCACCCGTGTCTTTTGGACCAGGGAGCTGCCACCACAAGTGACTCGCCATGAGGACGGCGGTGGCTTGATGAGGCCGTTTAAGCAGTTTCGCACCATACAGCGCCGCCTTGGTAATCAGCGTATCGTAATTATCTGGGCCGAAGATGCGTGCTTTGTACAGCGTGCCGATAATCAAGCCAATGGACTGCAACTGGGAGCGCGAATCGGAGATGGACTCTTCAAAGACGGTGAACGACTGCACGTAGAACTCGTAGGCCAACTCCTCGAACCCTGCATCGTCTGCCACCTCGGCCAGCAGCAAAAACAGACGCAGCGATAGTTCGGGCGTCTCTACGCGATGGTACAGTGTGGAGATCAGCTGGTGCACAAAGTGGAACAGTGCCGTCAGCTTGCGTTCCCACTCTTTCACGTCTTTCGACACCGCGAAGCGACGCACCAAAGCTACGGCTTCCGTGATCAGCGGCGGGTACGTCATCCGGATCGCATCGCCGCCCTTGACATAGTGCTGCCGCACTGTATGCAGCAGGGCTAGCTGCTGTTCCAGATCGCTCGAGCGGAACAAATGCACCATCCTGGCAAGCGCGCCTTGCTGCTCTGCCACTTCGTTCATCACCGCATGATTCGTCTGCGACGTCGTATTGCCAGTCGCAAAGACATCTGTCTGGCCCTGCACGAGCATAGCACACAGCTCCAAGATCCCATCCGCCTCTTCCGGTGTCGATATAATCGTCTGGCGGCGCAGAATCGAGAACACAATCGCCTGCGCAATGCCGCGCTGAATAAGTGGAGGCTGCTCCGACCACAGCGCATGGAAATTCGGGATGGCTAGCAGCGTGAGTGCATTGACGTAGGCATTCACAGGCGCCAGAAGCAGCGACTGGAAGTTGCTCTGCGGTGCGAGCACACTGTTATCACCGCCCTGGATCGCTTCGTTGAACTTCTCCTGCGCAAATCCCAGCACTTGGTCGACGTACTCCAGTCGGTCAGGGTAGCAGCTTAGCGACAAGTTCAGCAACGAGAGCAGCAGGGCCGATGTGTCCTGCATCGACAAGTCAGGGCGCGCACGCATAAGCAGCACAATCTGCTCCCAGAACACCTCGAAGAGACGTACATCTTCCGGAATGCCACGGAATTTGCGGGGGCCTGCCGTCTCTCCCGCAGCCTCGGCATCATCGTCTGTCGCCTTGCCCTTGCCCTTGCCCTTCGCAGGCGGCGTGGAAGTAGCGACATCCTGGCTCTCCGTATCGCCCTGCTTCGGTGCTTCTGCCGTGTTTGTATCGGACTGCTCGGCCGCCGCCTCCTTCGCATTGCTGCTAGCCTTGGACGCTGGCTTCTCTGTGGTACTCTCTTCACCAGACGTCTCTGTCGATGCTTCGTCCGCCCATGCATTGTCGCTCATCATGGGCGGCATTGCCTTCGCTGAGTCGTTCCAGATATTATGGCCATCTTCGTCGGGCAGTGACTGGCTCAGATCCGAGGCCAGCAGACCCCACGCATCGCGAGACTTGCTTGTCTGTTCATCAGCGATCTGCCGCCATACCGACGGCCTCGATGCAGGTGCCGCCTTACGTCGCATCTCTGTCGTCTTGAGCGCAAGACGCTGACTGGCCTCTTCTTCCTGCCGCTTGCGTTCCTCGGGGCTCTCACTCTCCGCTTCGCGCGCTGCATACGAGGCGAGGCGGTTGATCAACGTAATGACAATCTGCTTGATGCTCACCTTGGGATGCAGTCGTGCACAGGCGGAGAGCAGGAGACTGAGTGTCCGAAGATGGAAGTCATCAGGGAACACCTGGATAATTGCTTCCATAAGGTACTCCTGCGCGATAATATCCTTGCAGTTAATTACCTGCTCGAGAATCGCCGGAAGGATCTCTTGCTGGTAGGTTTCCAATGTAACGCCGTCCAACTGACTGAGGCGTACTAGGTTGGTCCCGACCAAGATCCGCAGCTCGCGGCGTTCCAGCTCGCGTTTCTCACGGTCGCGTGAGTGACCCAGGTGCTGCTGGCGGACCCACAACTTGTTCATCTCGACAAAGTTGGTCAGGATGAAGCTAATGCTGTCTGACAAATCTCCGGCTGGACCTGGCTCGTTGCCTGTCGGAAGATGATCACGCGTCACGCCGGACAGGTAGTGACGGAGGAACAAGCCGCGTGTTGGGTGCTGCACACCACGGCACATCTCCATCATATCCTTCATGATTTCCTTGATAGGCGCTTCAGGTACAGACATGTACACACTGCCGACGGTTACCATGAGATAGAGACGTGGCACAATGTTGCCGCAGTACTGCACGAGCTCATACAGGTCGGCAAGATGGTGCTTCCCGCTCATGTGCGCATCGTACACGTAGATAGACAGATGCCGAAGCGCATCGAAGGCGGCCATGTACAGCTCATAGTAGTGTTTAGGCGAAAGAGACGACGTACGCAGTTCACCCAGCATCGTCGAGGCGCTTTTGAGCGCCTCCATGACGCGGTCTGTGTCCAGGTACCGCTTTAGCTGGACGCTCTGTACCTTTACCACGCTAAGAGATTCAAACAACGTTTTGGAAGATTCCTCCATGTCGTGAATAAAGAAGCTGTGCTTGGTCTGTTCTGTGACTCGGGCGCGATACTCAGAGGCACGGAGCTCTGAACAGAAAGGGTCACTTAGATATGGATCTCTGTGCTCCGACACAGAGGAGGACTCAATCTCGTCCACAGGGGCTTTCTTGTTGTAGTAAGGTCGTCGTCTCCGATAGGAGCCTATGTTAGAGGACGTCGCGTCCAAACCCACGTCTTCGAATGAATCAATGATGTAGGGCTATAGGGACCCGTAGATCAACAGTAGCAATCAAAATTCTTGCTTGTTTCCCCGACAATACAGGTGATACAGGTATCCCAACGATGCAAGGGACGTGGGGGACGCGCGGCGTGGACACGGTGGGTCAGGACAGATCCACACGGGTTGCCCACGCCAGCGCCGCCGTATGCCTCCACTTATCATGTTGGAGTGGGGGCCCATCGCTCCAGCGGCGTCGGGAGCGCAGCCCATGCCCAAGGACTACACGGAGCCCACCTCTACATCTCTACCTCGTCTATAGTGCCATAGAACACGCCACTTGCCCCTACCATCACGCCTACACGCTCAGACCATGGTCGTAGGCGATCCGGTTCTCGGCCGAGGCACCTACCACGCACAGTATGACAGGCTCGCCAAGTCGCTCGCTTGCTGGACTTTTGGCTTTCCACAGGTGCCATGCTGCCAACGTCGCCCCAGTTCCGCGCGCGTTCCCTGCGGACAGACGCGTATGACGAAGGTGACGACGAGCAGAATGCGTTCCTCGGTGAGCAGAATGAGGCCATTGACTCCTACGAGCGGGCCAAGCGCCAGTCGCGCCGATGGCCGCCGTGGAGGTGGTTCCGCTGGCAGGCCAAGCCGATGGTGGCGAACCGTGTGATCACCTTGGAGGAGCCTGGTACGTATATGCACCTCTCTAACGCAGACCATGCGCAATCACGATATCCACCTAACGTGGTCCGCAACCAGAAATACAATTTGGCCACGTTCTTGCCGCTTGTCCTGTACGAGCAGTTCAAGTTCTTCTTCAACCTCTACTTCCTCCTTGTGGCTCTCAGCCAGTTTATCCCTGCTCTCAAGATCGGGTTCCTTGTGACATACATTGCGCCGCTCTCCTTTGTGCTGTGTGTGACGATCGGCAAGGAGGCCTTCGACGATCTCGAGCGCCACCGCCGGGATGTGGAGAGCAACAGCATGCCCTACGCGGTGCTCGGCCATGCAGAATCGCCGTTGATGCGCCAGCGCCTCTCGCATCATCGGGCTACGGTGCCTGACTTGGAGACGCCCGCGATGAACGATACCGTCGTGGCGCATGTGCCGAGCAGCCGGCTGCGTGTAGGCGATCTCGTCATGCTGCACAAGAACCAACGTGTGCCAGCGGATATGGTATTGCTCAAGACGTATGCTGCTGATGCTGCTGACGAGACCAACGATGCGGGATCGTCATCACAGTCTGAGTCGGGTACATGCTTCATCCGTACCGACCAGCTCGACGGTGAGACGGACTGGAAGCTGCGGATTGCTGTGCCAGTGACACAGAGCATGGCCGAGGATGACATTACCGCGCTTCGTTCGCGTGCTGTGGTCGTCGCTGGACCGCCCTCAAAGGACCTGCACACGTTTGTCGGCACACTGACCATCCACCCACCGCCCGATTCCCCCGTCGAGTGGCCTGACGGCACAGGCAATCGCCCCATGGCCCTCTCGCCGCAACCCCAAGTCACGCCACTGACGACGGACCATGTGCTATGGGCCAACACCGTCCTCGCAGCAGGCCGTGCGATCGGTATGGTCGTGTACACGGGTCGCGAGACGCGCTCCGTGATGAATACGTCGCATCCACAGACCAAAGTTGGACTGCTCGATATGGAGATCAACCGGCTCTCAAAGATTCTCTGTGCTGTGACACTGACACTCTCCGTTGTCCTGGTCGCCTTGAACGGGTTCCGTGGCAAATGGTGGATCTACGTGTTCCGTTTCCTGATTCTCTTTAGCTCGATCATCCCGATCAGTCTGCGTGTGAACCTCGATATGGGCAAGACCGTGTATGCGCGCCAGATTATGGGCGATCATGATATCCCCGACACGATTGTGCGTACGTCTACCCTGCCGGAAGAACTCGGTCGTATCGAGTATCTGCTGAGCGACAAGACAGGCACACTCACGCAGAACGAGATGGACGTAAAGCGACTTCATCTCGGCACCATGAGCTACGGATGGGATAGTATGGATGAGGTACGTTCGCAGCTCCAGGTGGCGCTGGGCAACAAGGATACCAAGCGCACACGTACGTGGCGTGATATGAGTGCACGTATCTACGACGTGGTCTTGGCATTGGCGCTGTGTCATAACGTCACCCCTGTGGTCAACGAAGACGACAGCGTCACGTACCAGGCCTCGAGTCCCGACGAAGTCGCTCTGTTGGAGTGGACTGGCTCTGTGGGCTTGCAGCTCGTTGCGCGTGATCAGCACTCAATTACGCTCGAATCCGAGTTTGGTCGTATGGCCTTTGACATTCTTGAGATCTTCCCATTTACGTCGGAGCGCAAGCGAATGGGTATCGTAGTGCGAGACCGTGCTTCAGGCGACGTGATTTTCTACCTGAAGGGCGCTGATGTCGTCATGAGCCGTATTGTCACACACAACGACTGGCTCGATGAGGAGTGTGGCAACATGGCTCGTGAAGGTCTGCGTACGCTTGTGGTGGCGCGTCTGCGCCTAAGTGCCGAGTCATGGCGCCTCTTTGATAAGGCATACAGCGCAGCGAAGGTCCAGGTCGAACAGCGTGACGAAGCAATGTCAAGGGTTGTAGCACAGCACCTGGAGCAGAATATGGAATTACTCGGCCTCACAGGTGTCGAAGATAAGCTGCAAGAAGGTGTCAAGACCACTCTGGAACTCTTGCGCAATGCGAATATCAAGATCTGGATGCTGACAGGTGACAAGATCGAGACGGCGACGTGTATTGCGATATCGACTAAGCTGGTGGCTCGGAATCAATACATCCACCAGGTGGCTAAAGTGAGCACGATCACTGCGGCGCGTGATACCCTTGTGTTTCTCCAATCGAAGCTTGACTGCTGCTTGGTTATCGACGGCGATTCGCTCCAGTTCTTCTTTGACCACTTCCGAACGGAATTCATCGAAGTGGCTACACAGCTCTCTGTCGTGGTCGCATGCCGTTGCTCGCCGACGCAGAAGGCGGACGTCACTCGCTTGATTCGCGAGTACACCAATAAGCGTGTATGCTGTATTGGCGACGGTGGTAACGATGTATCGATGATCCAAGCGGCGAATGTGGGTATTGGCATTGTAGGCAAGGAGGGTAAGCAGGCCTCCCTGGCCGCCGACTTCTCTGTGACGCAGTTCAGCCACATCGCCAAGCTGCTTCTATGGCATGGCCGCAACTCCTATCAGCGGAGTGCGAAGCTCGCTCAGTTTGTGATTCACCGTGGTCTGATCATCTCTATCATCCAAGCGGTGTTTTCCTCCATCTTCTTCTTTGCACCTATCGCGCTGTACCAAGGCTGGCTGATGGTTGGCTATGCTACCCTATTCACGATGGCTCCTGTATTCAGTTTGGTCCTCGACCGGGATGTCAGTGAGGATATGGCCATGCTCTACCCTGAGCTCTACAAGGATCTTACAAAGGGACGCAGTTTGAGCGGCAAGACCTTCACGATCTGGCTTATGATCAGTGTATACCAGGGTGGTGCGATCATGATAGCCAGTTTGCTGCTGTTCGAAAACGAATTCCTGAACATCGTAGGCATTTCCTTCACTGCGCTGATTCTCAATGAGCTCATTATGGTGGCACTGGAAATTACGACGTGGCATATTTACATGTTCCTCTCGGAGATCGTGACGCTGATGATTTACTGCTTCAGCATGGTCCTTCTTCCTGAGTACTTCGATCTGAAGTTCGTGCTGACGTACAATTTCCTCTGGAAGACGGCCATCATCGTGCTTGTGAGCAGTTTTCCACTTTACCTAATCAAGGCTGTTCATGCACGCGTGGCGCCTCCTAGTTATAGCAAACTTGTCGTGACATAGATCCATTACGTGTATGATGTATATCAATCTTCATTCCTGCGTGCACTTTGCAGAGCGAGCTCTCTTGCTACTCCCTCGCTGAATGGGAAATCCTTAATACGAAGCTGCTGCCTTTGTTTTTTCCGCAGGTACTGGTACAATAAGACGAGACTATCCTTCAGCACGATGTACAGCCCACCGCCGAACATATTGCGGTACCATATCGGGTCCAATTCATCAAAGAGTGCAGTGGTGCTGGGATCAGACCACAGGGCATCGAGCTCGTATCTTTCCCTCGAGAGCGTTTGCATCGGGTCTTGAGGCCACACAAGATTCCACCAGAACCCAAAGTCCGTCTCAGGAACAATGCCCGGCGCAATACCCAGCCACGTCCGTAACCATTTCACATGCTTGGCGGCGACGGCCAAGAAGCCACCACTCAAGTTGCAAATGAAGGGGAAGGCAAGCGATTGTACAATCAACTTTGATAAGCTGTAATAGGTCACATAAATCGTGGAGGGGAGTTCATCCGTTTCAAACATCTCCTGCTCTAAGTCTTCCAGAAATACACCTCGATCGCCACCGATGTTTTGCACTAGAGTCCCATCATCAAGCGTCTCATAGGTATCTGTATCCACTGCACCCACGTCTGGATTCGCATCCACCAATTGCCCAGCACCAGGGTACTCACCCATAATCACCATCCTAGTACCTTGTCGTGCTGTGTCGCCTTGCTGTGACCGGGGAGGGCGGGGTCGTCGAGACGGCGATTTTAAAAGATAGTAGTTGATATGGCGCTTGAGCGTCATATATAGAACGCGAATCCATGGAAGCAGGAGAGTAATGAGAAGAGGATTAGGTGGGTATCTCCGCTGCGAGGCAACCCGCAAAGGCTGCCTGTACAGCATCATACCGCCATGCATTGGCACCGCGGTACCCGTCAAAGGCATCGCGACTAGGGTAGGCAGCCATGTAGTGAAGTTGGCTAAAAATGGAAGTCTGCTAGCCACAAGAATAAACGGGATGAGTGGCAAGTCTAACCAATACTGTCCATGTTAGTGACGCCATTGTGGCTATACTCACATGCCAAGGCCAAGGGCCAGCTAGAGTCCGATGAGCTGCTCGCTGACCCAAAAGGAGTCGAATTGAAAGACACCCATGTGCGGTAGCTGCAACCCAAGCTCCCGACACAGCCGCCATTGAAACACCAAGAGGGATAGTTGAGCGGACTAGCCTGCGCACACGCTCAAGAATTCCCAGCATCACTGATTGTGGTTGCTCAAGTTGGTAGGGAGTCTTGCATTGTGGGCAAACAATAGGCTGACCTGGCTTATCCTTATTACACTGGCGGATCCATGATAAAAGACACTTGAATTAACCGCTACCTCACCATAAAAACATACCTTTTCATGAGCAACAAGTGAGCATTTACAAGGATGAATGAACGAAGATCGTGGATCTACCGAGGAAGACGATTGGAGAAAAGCAGAGCTAGGATCTCTAAACTCTTCCTCCGAGCATACCCAGCAATAGGCGTATGTTAAATCGGTAGTACGCGTTGGTAAATTGGGGCTCATCATCATCCCAGGGTATCCAACTACCAACGCGGAGGGGATCGAAGCCTCGCCACACGACACTACTCCACATTTACCCTCCACATATATGAAGAAAGGGGAATGAATGGCGAACGCTCATTGGTCGATTCGACAAAAAAAAAGCGGAGGCAAAACAATATAAAAATGTAAACTAAATATATATTCTAACATAATATAGAATTTTAAATATAATGGAAAAACTTTTTAACAAAGTTATAACACATAGAATTATAAATACTAATAATTTTTATTATAAAATATAAATAATTTAATACACTAATTAATTGAGTATATAATAAAAATAATAAAACATAATTAATACAATACAACATAGACAAAGGAAAAGTAATAATATTATAGACAACAAAGATTATATAAATTAACAAATTATTAACCCGTTATAATAAATAATATTTTTATATGATTAAAAAACTCATAGAAAACAGTTTTTAGATTCTATGAAAATAATATTATTTATTTCTATAATATAATAAGTATTTCCTTTATATGTTACTTTTATTTAAATATATTTGGTTCATATTATGATATGTATTTTTAAATTCAATAAAATATTCATAATTACATATATTACATTTTACCTCTACTATGGACCAAAACTAGATTACGTAAGTTGTACTCAGCCTCCACATCTGTGCACTAGGCATTTCTTTCCTGACCGAGAAAAAGTACCGCGCATGATCGCATTTTGTTAACCGTTTACCACACTATTTTGATTCAAGATGGGTATGTATTTCTATCATTTGTATATATTCGCTAACATCGTAGCGCCTAAGAAGAATAAGATGTCCCTCGGTGACTTCCTTGCCGACGAAAGTATGTTTGATTTGCGCCATTAACCGAATCTTAGCCACTGGCACTTCCTGGGCTGATGAACTGGATGACCTTCCCTCTGCTCGTATGTATATCTAATAACGGGTTGTCTTAACCATTTAGCTGCTCCTCGTGATGCCCCTTCCGACTTTGGTGGCATGCCTCCTTCCCGCCCGATGGGCCATTCTCGCTTTGACGGGCCGCCGCCGATGATGCGTGAGGAGCCTCCTCTGCCAACTGAGCCTCCTTTTACTGCTTTTGTCGTCAACCTTTCCTTCGAAAGTACCGAAGACGATGTTCGTATGTTCTTTGAGCCGCTCAACCCCGTGAGTGTTCGTCTTGTCAATGGCCATGACGGACGCCCACGCGGCTACGGTTATGTTGAGTTCACCACGCTGGATGAGCTTAAGGATGCGCTTACCTACACCGGAAAGCCTATGCACAACCGCAACGTACGTGTTAGCGTTGCTGAGCAGTCTTCGCGCCCAATGCGTAGCGCAGCTGCTGATGATGCGACCCAATGGCGTCGTTCGACTCCCCTGCCGTCGGACTCCCGTCGTGGCCCATTCGATGGCAGTGCGGGTATCTCAGGCTTTGACAACATGTCGATCTCATCTGATGGCTCTCGTGCGGGCTTCGGTGGAAAATTCACGCCTGCGCACGATGGTCCTCGCCGTCGTGGCCCTCTTGAGCCCGCGGAGCCGAGCGCTAGTGACATGGCATCGGACTGGAGGACCGGTAAGCCTGTGACTGGCAGCAAGCCTTCGCGTTTCGGGTTCGGTGATGGTGCTGCCCGGGGAGGCTACAACCGCCGTATTGTGGACGATGGTATCGACAACTGGCGCTCGCGCAAGTCGGGCTCGGAAGACAGCGCTGCTGTACCTGAGCGTCGCAAGTTGGATCTGAAGCCGCGTTCGGCTGTGCCAAGCGAGAGCACTCCGTCGCCGTCAGGTGGCTCCGCTCGTTCCAATCCCTTCGGTACGGCTAAGCCTGTCGATGTGAACGAGCGCCAGCGTGAGATTGATGAGAAGATCCGTGAACAGGACCGCATTCGTCGGGAGGAGCGTAAGAAAGAGGAAGAGCGCAAGAAGAACAAGGGCTTTTTCAAGCCCCGTGCCGGTGATGCTTGGTCGACGAAGGCCGATGCTACTGAAGAGACTTCTGAAGAAAAGACTGTTTCCTAATTTAATGAATGAAGGTCTATTGAAAACGCCTACTTTAGCCATATCGTTAGGATAGAGTGGGTAGATAGATGTACCATACAAATTGAACCGACCACATCTCAGCCTGTCACGTGTATGCCTCATTTAGGCGGAAAAAAATTTGGGCGACGCATTGATTATCACAGTCATGGCGTCCGTGCAACCCAAGCCTGAGTATCCTGGAAAGCTGTTGCAAGCAACTGCTATTGCCAAGCCCTTCCAGGAGGAGATCCAAACAGTTGTTAACCAGCGAAAGGAGAAGGGCCTTCGCGTCCCGAAGCTGGTTGGCATTCTGTCTAAGCCCAGCCCCCCTTCTATTGCCTATGCTGAATGGACAGCGAAGGCATGTGAAGCCGTCGGCATCAACTTCGAAATCTGGAAGACATGGGATGACTCTGTTGAAGTGACTGAGGACAACAAGGGCGGCTCTGATAGTCTGAATAACATGGGTCTTGAAGCCGATGTCGAAGACTTGATTCTCGCTGCGAACCGTGACAAGAGCATCGACGGTATTATGGTCTACTACCCCATCTTTGGTGGACGTCAAGACACGTACCTCCAGCAGATCGTGGACCCGCGAAAGGATGTTGAGGGCTTGAACTTCTTCTACTGCTGGAATATGTATCACAATGTCCGTTGGATTAAGCCAGAGCAGGTCGGCAGCGCTCCTGGTACGACCAACGAGTCTGAGCTCTTGGATCTTGATTCGAATGTTCTGGATGAGAATAACATCCCTAACGGCTACTGCAAGAGCATCCTTCCTTGCACCCCGCTGGCTGTTGTCAAGGCCTTGGAGGCTGTAGGCGTGTATGACCCCAAGCTGCCCTATGGTGACCGTCTGAAGGGCAAGACCATCACGGTGGTCAATCGCTCGGAAGTAGTGGGCCGTCCTCTTGCTGCTCTCCTTGCTAATGATGGCGCTCGCGTTCTATCTGTGGACATTGACTCAATTGTTGAATTTGCCAAGCGTTACGATGACAATGATGACACCGACGCGTCCCTGAGTCCTTACAAGAAGTCGTCACAGGTAGTGCAAGCGCACAAGCAGAACAGCTCTGCACGTCTCCGCTCCTCTCACACCGTTCGTCCAAGCCCCTTCCATGACTCTGAAAGCTGTATTCGTGCTTCTGATGTAGTTATCGGTGGTGTGCCTTCGCCACAGTTCAAGATCCCGACGGAATGGATCAAGCAGGATGCTATTTGCATTAACTTCAGCTCTGAGAAGAACTTCCAGAGCGACGTGCGTAGCCGTGCCTCTGCGTACCTGCCCATTGTCGGAAAGATCACTGTGTCGATGCTCCAACGTAACTTACTTCGTCTTGTGGAGTACCAGGAGATGGTGCACAAATAGGCGTTTATAGCTCTACGGATTGATAATGAGTTAATACCAAGAGCAAGTCCTCCGGTAGCGTATCGACCCAGAATGCGCTAAACCTTTCCTTTAGCTGGTCTTTGTTGATAGTCTCCGTACTTTTGGCATCTTTTCCCAACTCTGCCAAGCTTGTCTTCACCTCTTCCACCAGGCGGTTCAAGGCCCACTGTTGGATCTGCTCACTCTGTTGGGTCTTACCCAGCCAATCGCCCATGACCTGAATGGGGATAAGTTCGGCATCCTGCGTCGACAGAGTACCTGTAAGCACACCAATCGGTCCCAGCAACGTTTTGAAGCTCGACGGGCCCAGTTTCCGCAAACCGACCAATGCACCGAGCTTGGCCTCCACAGAGCCAGACGCTTCCAGAGCATTGGAAGCTGTGCCGTCATCCATCGGTTCAACCAGGGCTTGAAGGAGTGTGGCGACGAGGCGTGACTTCAGTGTCGGGTAGCTGTCGGCAAAGCGGTCCACCACGTAAACCAGCAGCGACGCCGCATAGACGCGCAGACTCATCGCTAAGGTCTCCAGCTTCTCGTTATCCGAAGAGCCAAAGTACGAGCCTAAGAGAATGGATAGAACTGATGGAAGGAGCTGGTGGAGATAAGGCTCGATGAAAATTGACGGATTGATCAACAAGGCATGCAATGTGCTTAGCATCGTATGCAGTAACTGGATCGTCTGTGTTGCATCCGTGTCGGCGCCACCTGCCTGGCTACTGGCACGTAGAGCATGCGTTACATTGGATCCCACCCATTGGATCAAGTACGGAACAAGCTGGTGGATACCTGCATCGCCACGCAGACTTGCCAGTGCCGCATCACGCACAAGGTTGCCGCTTGAAATCTGTGCAAATTCAGAGAGTGACTTGGCATCATCGGGCAATGTAGCATTGTCTGTTGCTTTGGCATCTGCGGGTGGACTCAAAATGGAAGAAGTGAGTCGTTCGTAGTACAGCTGCAATTCGCGTGACAACACATGCTTTACCAGTGGCTTGACTGCCACATTACCAAGGTCTGCTGCAGCTTCGACAGTATCAGGTAGAGCTTCCTCAGCAATCGCAGCCTTGCGCGCCAGGAAGACTGGGTTCTCGGGAATAGGGGGCTGAATGCCTTCAATGGCGAGCCAATGCGCATGCCAGCCTACCCCACGGCCCACACCTACACGAGGGCCATTCTCGAGAATCTTGTCAAAGTCGATTTCTTCATCTTCCGTGACATATAGAGGAGTTCCTGATGGCGTAGGTATGCTGCGGAACCATGGAACTTGCTTCTTGCCTCCTGTGTATGGCGGAAAGAATCCATACAATGGCTATCGTTAGGAAATAGAAAGTACATACCTCGATGTTTTTCTGTCGAAGTGCATTATCAATATCTGATGTTGTCATGCGGCTTCGCTTAGCATGCTTCATATACTTTGATGCACTTTGGACAATATCGCGGATACGATACTCAATATCGGTCGCTAGCGCCATAGCAATGTTGTCGCGTAGATTTGTAATACCTAGCGACTCTGCTACATCCTTAACCGAATCTTTAGGATATACAGAGGCAGGAATATTGGGGCCAAACACATTCTGTGCTGCCGGTGCACTCTGAAAAGCGGTATTTGGGCCCTGCCGTTTCCCTCCTTGGTTCGAATTCGACATGGTGGGGGGAGCGACGGAGACGCGTATGAGACCTCCACCCATTCGACCGCATTTCTTTTTCCTGTTCTGAGCTTTTGGCATGGCTCGTAGCACTAAGTGATGCTCTACAGAGAGACCCAAAGAGTCAGCTACACGTTCTTGCCACTCGGTTGATTGTTAATATATGCAATAGCTATAGTTATAGGGGATTTTGGGGGGACATTATTCACAAAAACGCCGCAGGTGTTCGCACAATAGTCTCATAGTCGCATTGTACGATCAGTCAATAGGATATGGTGCTCAAGCCAAAAGGGCCAGAAGAACAATAGCAACAACGAAAGCAATAATAATTGTTAGACAAAGTGCTCTGCGGCCAGCCCGTCGCTGATAAGTATGTGCCTGTAGCAACTCGCGATCAGCGCCTTCTGCATTCGATGCAATCGTGCCAATATTGTATTCAATGTTGTCGATCATACCGCCTTGCTCCTGTACCATATGACCCAAGTCACGGAATATTTCATTCAGCTCTTGTACACCTTGCTCGATTTCGCGAATCTCTGCTTCACGCTCAGCAATGAGCGATTCCTGGAACTCTAGTTCTTCCTGGCTCAAGCGCGATTTGGGCAGCTGCGTCTGGAGCTGTTCGACGGGTGCACCCTCCGTCTGCTCTTGTCCCTCGGCCTCCTCTGCTGGTGCACCGCTACCGCGCCGTTTGGCTTGGGCCAACGCCACTTTTTCTTTACGGATGCCTGCCTTCTGGATCTTTTGGAAAGCAAAAAGGGCCTCTTGAAAATCGTTTTGGAGCTTTCCCTGCAGAAGACGTGAAGGCGAAGAGCGACGCCCACCATTCGACCCATTCACTGAAAAGAGCGAGAGAGCTTTCACGTCTTCCGATGCATCCTTCACGATGCTGCGAGTCTGCTCACATAGCTCGGCAAACTGCTTCATCATTTCGTCGGCCTTTTTCTGGCCCATATCAGATGCATTACGAAGTTGGCGGTCCAGTTTCTCCAGTGTCGACACATTGGCATTGATACGGAAGATATGCAAGCCCACTTGCTCTGTCAAGTGCATGAATTCGGTGCTTTCTACACTGCTCGCGCTTTCATGGTTTCTGAGAGTGTGCACACGCAACGGCTCGTCAGGGACGCCCTGTCCCCTCTCCAAATCGTTGAAAGACATGGCGGCAGCAGGGAACTGAAAACTATCCATGTGGAGACAAAAGTCCCTGCTCGTGCAGACCAAAGCTGCCATGCCATTTGCCTTGCATGAAGGGATCAGCATTCGACAGGAGGCAGCACCCAGCTACTTTGAGAGTCTCTCGGAAGTAGACACTTATGCTAAGTCTTCTAGTCACATAATACCCCGACATCGGGTGCCAAGGAGCTGTCCAGGCAAGCCCACACTCCTTGTCTGCCATGACTTTCAGGGCGGGTACAACGAGAAACCTCACGACCAAGGGTATGTATATAGGTAGGCTGATGACAGCTATACGTTCGAGCATTGGTACGCAAATCAACACTTACATCAGGTCTTGTACAGATACGTTTGTCTATTTCTCGCACAAGTGCATTTCCTTGCCGCCGCCTGGCTGGATCCGTGCTGCTCACCAACATGGCGTTCCCATCCTAGGCACGCTCATATTTGAATGGGACGAGTCCAAAGCGAAGCTGAAGCAGCTTCTTGATGGACCTGTACCACGACGTACGAAAGGCATTCGCTCCTCCCTGTCTACGTATTATGCGGACCAGCTGATTCAAGTGGCGTTGGCGCATGGGATCGATGGCTTCCTAGTCAATGTGGAAACGCCTCTGGACCTTACACCCAGCTCGAACCCGATCCTATCGCAGTTGGAGCGACAGCACAATGCTAGGCGACTCCAGAAGTGGGTGCAGTACCTCCGTGATACAGGCCTGCAGCGGCATCCGGGTTGGCAGGTGGTTTGGTACGACTCTGTGACGTACCCAGATGGACAGCTTACTTGGCAGGATGCGCTCACACCCAGTAATGCCCCTTTCTTTACCAGCAGCACCTCGATCTTCACCAATTATACGTGGGCTCATCCGAAACGACTCGACTTTGAAGGCTTTCATCCCTTGCTAGTGCTGTCTGCTGCGATGGCCGACTCGCTTTCTCGCCCACGCTCAGATGTGCTAGTAGGTATTGATGTGTTTGGACGCAACTGCTATGGAAAGCATGATACGTACAAAGCGTTAGAGATGATTGGACCTCATCGTGTCCGCCTGCCTGCGACCTCGAATGATATGGCACAAGAAGGGTCTGCGCTGGGACTCAGCGTCGCCCTCTTTGCGCAGGGCTGGACGTGGGAGCATGACGCACCACCCTCGCGTCCATGGTCGGCATGGTGGTACGAGGACTGTGCATTGTGGCATCAGCAGCATGGCGGCGTATCGCAGTACTTCCCACCCCGTGCGCATCCATGGCGGGGCGATGCCACTTCCCGACGCTGGGGCTTTCGGTCCAACTTTGCGGTGGGCGCAGGCACAGCGTGGTTCGTCCAAGGCCGGAACGTATTCTCATCAACGCACCCGTGGACAGACGCTGGTGTCAGTGCGCCCAAACCCCACCTGGCCTGGCCGAGCGTGCAGTACGTCCTCACTCCTGATGTCCGGCGGTGTGATGATCGCGTGGAGACAGATCTGAGCATGGACGATGCGTGGAGTGGAAATACTTCGCTGCGCATTTCTGTCCACCGACCACTGTGGATCCCAATTGTAGCTTTAGCACCTTTGCCGGAAGGCGCCGATCGATGTGTGACGTTGCATATGATCGTCAAAGGCGAGGCGACGGCGGCTGCGATCTACATGGATGGTCATTTGTACCAAGGCACGACAGCGCCACCAGAGCCACTCGACCATGCATGGACTCTCCTCACGACCAGCATCGCATGGCCCTCGCACCATGACGGCGATATGCATATTCTGCTCTATGCGACGACAGAAGTCACGGTCGGACAGGTTGACGTCTCGCTCAGCACGGGAAGCGACGAGCCCGTGGAAGCAACATGGCACGACGATACCCTTCAATGGCCTGACTTTGTCCCGTGGTGTGCCTATTACGAGCTGTTTGCCTTGGGCGACGAAGCCACATGGCTAGGCACCATCTCTGCTACACTGGCGCGGACCCAAGTCACCTTGCTGGGTGGCGATCACGACACTGTTTTGCACATTCGCTCTGTAGGCGCTGGGCCCCACGAAGACGGCGCTCTTGTTATGCGGGCGTAACCCGCGCCTTTTTGGAGGTCGTCGCTGCTTTCTTCGTATCTTTGCGTTTCTTGCCGGTCGGCAGCGTACGAACAAAGCAGCATACAAAGAACCCATTCGTAGCATCACAATGTACAGTACCTTCTTCACATGGCACATGGCCACCTGGCGTGCAACGTACCAGGCACGAGGCCATCTTCTCGTCGCCCCCGCATGCCTCAGGCCGGCCACGCTCGTTCCACGTAGGCAGGACGTCTGAGCGTGGGGCTAGGGACCAATGGCCCTCCTTTGCTTCGGGCGACTCCAGCACAGCCTTGACCACATGTTCGTTCTCTTCCTCGTGGACAGAGCAGGTCGAGTATGTGAATCTTTCCAGGCTCGGGAACGTCATGGCATGCCGGATCATGCGCTGCTGCAGCGCAGCTAAGCTCGCAAGTCGGGCATCGAGGGGCGCAGGGCGGTTGTCGTCCGGTAGTACCTGCTCGATATTGTCCTGCTCGTCGTCTTGGCTGGTCAAGTAGTCTAATCGGTTCACAATGCCGCTGCCTGAGCAGCTAGGATCGAGAAGCATGAAACGAACCAGTGCACCATCGCCCAGCGGCTCCATCGCGAGGAAATCGTCTTTCTTCGGGTGCACATTTCCGCCTCTCGAGGCAAGGCAGCCGGCCCGATCAAGCATCTTGACCAGCGTCTTGAATCGCTGCGGCGCACGTTCCAGCGCGGTCAGCGTGCCTTGGCCCAGCATAAGGGCACTCAGGTGACTCGTCTTGTTCCCTGGCGCCGACGTCGCATCCAACGCATCGACCTCCGATGAGGCCCACGTGCGTGGATCCAGCACCTCGGCAGGGAAACAACTGGCCAAGTCCTGGAGAATTAGGCCGCCTGTGCGAAAGAGGGGCAAGCTCATCAGTTTGGACGTCGCTTTCGGATGGAAGGCAAGGACATGACGAACGTGCCGTGACCTAGCAAATTGGTGCCTGGTGTTAGTGTGTATACCACGTACTCCTGGTCCAGTGTCTCTGTATCGACGAGGGTGAATCCAGCCTTTTGCAGCTGATTGATTGCTTCAGCCTGCGATACTTTTAGGGTATTCACTCTGCACCACCGCGGAATTCTGCCGGCAATCTTGCGCTCTGCTTCACCACTCCGAAGCTCTTCTACGCTCTTCTTTTTCCGTCGAATCTGGAGTCGTACTAACTCTGCATGCAGCTGCGACTTGTACTTCTCCAAGCGCTCTTTGGGCGGCCACGCCTTGGCGGCCTGAATGCCTCGTGATGCAAAGAGCAGGTCATGTACCAGGACAAGCAAGAGACATTCAGACAACAAAGGACCTGAAGCCCGCGTCTTGTCTGCGGTACGATTCAGCGATGCACCTGGACCGAACCATTTCGGCTCTCTCTTGGCTATATCGACACTGGCCAGCACCTGCTGCAGCGTCTCTTTGTACGAGAGGGTATTTACGACCAGCGCCATCACTCGCTTTGCATCATTGACACTACTATTCCCAGAGGTGATGGCCTTTATGGAGCCACGATGCGATAAAATGTCCTGTAACGCGCGCCCTGCGCGCATATAAAAATCGGCCATGGTGGCCGTGCGTGCGTGTGCAACTCTCAGCGGTGCCTGTCGTACAGTCTTCGCCCGATCGCATCGGGCCTGCGTACGTATGCAGCCAGTCGATCTTACGCTGCCGACGTACGATTCTGTCGCTTGCCACCTGCAGCACGAATTGCATCGTACATTATGGTGGTGGATACCAAGTTGTATGATGTGCTGGGCGTTGCTCCCGATGCATCTGATGCAGAAATCAAGAAGGCGTACAAGAAGCAGTCCCTAGCCAACCATCCTGACAAAAACCCTGGCGATGAGACGGCGTCGGAGCGGTTCCAGGAAGTGGCGAATGCATACGAAGTACTTTCGGATCCAGATGCCCGTGCTGCCTATGATCGCTATGGAGAGACAGATGGCAATGGTCCAGGCGGTCCAGGCATGAATATGGATGATATTTTCGGTACGTCAAACACGCCATGACACGCATACTTATACCAGCATCGATGTTCGGCGGTCCGTCGTTCGGCATGGGCAGTGGCCCACCACGCCGTGCGCAAGACTCTGTCATTCCGTATAGTGTGACGCTAGAAGACCTGTACAATGGAAAGACAGCACACTTCGCACTGGAAAAGAATGTCGTGTGCTCTCACTGCCAAGGCACTGGTGGCAAGACAGGCGCTATGCCGAAAGACTGTGTTACGTGTGGTGGCAAGGGACGTGTGTTGCAGCAACGTCATGCTGGCAACGGCATGATCTCGCAGACAGTAGCGCCCTGCTCCGACTGCGATGGTAAGGGCAAGAAGTTCCGTGAGAAGGATCAGTGCAAAAAGTGCCACGGCAAGACGGTCGTGAGTGCCAAGACGCGCTTGCGTTTGGAGGTGCCGCGTGGTGGCTACAACGGCCAGCGCATTGTGTTTGAGGGCGAAGGTGATCAGTTGCCGAACTCCAAGCCTGCCTCCATCATTTTCGAACTGGAACAGAAACCGCATGACACTTTCGAAGTGAAGAATTTGGACTTGCTTGCCAAGGTCCGCATCCCTCTCTCGGAAGCACTACTTGGCTTCTCACGCACCATTCTTACCCATCTGGACGGTCGTCATATCCATGTCACTAAGGCCAAAGGCGATGTCATTCGCCCTGGCCAAGTCGATGTGATTAAGGGCGAAGGTATGATGGACCAGCGCTACTACGACCAAAAGGGCGATCTTTACATCTCATGGGACATTGAATTCCCATCCAAGGAGTGGGCTCAAACGGTTGATGAAGAGGTGCGTACTTCACACGCTAACGTTAGACTTTGGCTTCGCTGCTGCCGCCGAAGCGCCCTATTTTGCCGACCAACAGCGACTCGATTGTGGACGAGGTCTCACTTTCTCCAGGTTCTATGGATATGGTACGTACTTGCCTCCTTCCTCACACTCAGTACGGTGCGAATATGGGTACACGCCCTCGCGGCCACGACCATGACCACTTTGACTCGGACGAACCAAATGTCCAATGCGCTCAGCAGTAGTTATCGACCTCCACATGCACGTCATACCCCGGCCTAGTCATTTATTTATCTTTAGTTTCCTTTCTACTATATTTAGCATGTCGGGCGAAGACTTTACGAAGAAAAAGTTGTGGGGCGGCCGCTTTACTGGCGAGACGGACCCAGTCATGCATGCGTTTAATGAGTCTCTGTCATACGACAAGCGCATGTGGGCGCAGGATATTCGTGGCTCGCAGGCGTATGCTCGTGCCCTGGTAGGCTGCGGGATCCTCACCTCCGACGAGGCCTCGCAAATCGTCGACGGACTTTCGCGCGTTGGTGAAGAGTGGAAGAATGGCAACTTCAAGGCTGCACCTGAAGACGAAGATATTCATACGGCGAATGAGCGTCGCTTGAAAGAGCTCATTGGCCCTGTTGCTGGTAAGCTCCACACGGGTCGTAGCCGGAATGATCAGGTCGCGACAGATATGCGCATGTGGATGCTCGACGAGGTCGATGCTATGGTATCGTTGATGAAGGAGCTACTGAGTGTCATGGCGAAGCGTGCTGAGCAGGAAATCGATGTGTTGATGCCTGGCTACACGCATCTGCAGCGTGCGCAGCCGATCCGGTGGTCGCATCTACTCCTGTCCCATGCAACATACTTTGCCTCGGATCTCGAGCGTCTGCGTGCTATGCGCCCGCGCGTATCAATGCTACCGCTCGGTGCTGGTCCACTGGCTGGCAATCCGTTCGCGGGCTTGGACCGAGAGGCACTCGCAAAGGATCTCGGCTTCGACAGTGTGGGACCGAACAGCATGCACAGTGTGTCGGACCGTGACTTTGTGGTCGAGATGCTCATGTGGGCGTCGCTGTTCTCTGTGCATGCAAGCAAGATTGCGGAGGATCTGATTATTTACTCGTCGTCCGAGTTTGGGTTTGTGCAGCTTAGTGATGCGTACAGCACAGGCTCGTCGATCATGCCGCAAAAGAAGAATCCTGACAGTTTGGAGCTGCTGCGTGGTAAGAGCGGTCGTCTGTTTGGCCACATGAGCGGCTTTATGATGTCCATCAAGGGTATCCCCTCGACGTACAACAAGGATATGCAAGAGGACAAGGAGCCGCTCTTCGACGCTGTCGACACAACGAAGGCGTGCCTGCAGATCCTTACTGGTGTGCTAAGCACCATGTCGGTATGTATATACAATATGCTCACGCAAGATCAATGCGCCCAAGATGCGCGCTGCGCTTACGACAGATATGCTGGCGACGGACTTGGCTGACTACCTGGTGCGCAAGGGCATCCCCTTCCGTGAGACGCACCACATTTCCGGCTCGGCCGTCAAGATGGCCGAGGACCGCAAGTGTGAGCTTTCCGACCTAAGTCTCGCGGATCTGCGTACACTGCACCCTGCCTTTGACGAGGATGTGACGCTCGTCTGGGATCCTGAGCAAAGTGTGGAACGCCGCAACGCTATTGGCGGCACAAGTCGCCGTGCGGTGCACGAGCAGGTGGAGCGCCTGCTGGCGCAGCTTTCGTAGTCGCATAGATGCCACGTGTCTACTCCGTGCGCATGGGCCCTCTAGAACGTTCGGCACCCCCCTGCCCTTCTGGGTTGGGTTCCACGTGGAACGTATGTAAATGCACGCATCGATCCTCGGTCCTGATTTCCCCCAGAACCACGTCCAGTTCATGAAGTCGTTTAGCGCTGTGACTACTGGTGCGCTTGCGCTGCTTGCGTTGCAGGCCACCTCGACTGTGGCTGCGAAGGAACGCCCCGTGTTTGTCCCAAGCGAGGTGGAAGGCTACTTTGTTGAGCAGTTCACACCTGGCTGGGAAGAGCGTTGGGCTACGTCGAAGGCCAGCAAGCTCCAACGCGGTACGGAGGAGTTCAAGTACGATGGTGTGTGGTCCGTCGAGGAGGCGACCGTGTTCCCTGGTCTCAAGGGCGACAAGGGTCTGACAATGAAGAGCAAGGCGAAGCAGCATGCTATTAGCTCGCTGTTTGATAAGCCGATCAAGCTCGACGGCAAGGAGCCGTTCGTGCTGCAGTACGAGGTCAAGATGCAGAACGGTCTCTCGTGTGGTGGTGCGTATGTTAAGCTGTTGAGCGCCGACGAGGGTCAGCTGAGCACGGAGGAGTTTGGCGACACGACGCCCTACTCGATCATGTTTGGCCCTGACCGTTGCGGTCCGGACAACAAGCTCCACTTCATCTTCCGCCACGAGAACCCGAAGACGGGTGAGTACGAAGAGAAGCATCTCAAGGTGCCGCCGCACGCGAAGGTGTCGAAGGTCTCGTCGCTGTACACGCTCATCGTGAACCCGGACAACTCGTTCGACATCCAGGTCAACCAGGAGTCAGTGCTGCAGGGCAATCTGCTGGAGGACTTCCTGCCACCTGTGAACCCGCCGAAAGAGATTGACGACCCGACCGACTCGAAGCCTGCAAACTGGGTGGACGAGGCGGAGATTCCTGACCCGAAGGCCAAGAAGCCGGCCGACTGGGACGAGAATGCGCCGCGTACGATCAGCGACCCGAACGCGAAGAAGCCTGTAGACTGGCTGGAGGATGAACCGCTCATGGTTTCGGACCCTGAGGCCGTGAAGCCGGAGGAGTGGGACGACGAAGAGGATGGTGAGTGGATTGCGCCGCTGGTGCCGAACCCGAAGTGTGACGACGCCTCGGGCTGTGGTCCCTGGACGGCCCCGATCATCCCCAACCCCGAGTACAAGGGCAAGTGGTCGGCGCCGATGATCCCGAACCCGAAGTACAAGGGTCCGTGGTCGCCGCGCAAGATCCCGAACAAGAACTACTTTGAGGACAAGCACCCGAACAAGTTTGCGACGATTGGCGGTGTTGGTTTCGAGCTGTGGACGATGGACGACGACATCATGTTCGACAACATCTACATTGGCAACAGCCCCGAGGAGGCTGCGAAGTTTGCCGCGGAGACCTTCCTGCTGAAGCTGCCTGTGGAGCAGAACCGTGAGGAGGCGGAGGCGTCGAAGGACTCGGAGTTTGATATCGGCCACAACTCTGTGTCGCCTGTGCTGCAGCGTGTCGCGAACAAGATCCGTCACCGCACGTCAGTGTTGATCTCGCGTCTGCAGACTGAGCAGGACAAGATGCGTGTGCTGCGCACATCGAAGGACATTCTGGGCTTCTACGCCGCGGCTGTCGCCGTCCTGCTGGGTCTTGTGGGCCTTCTCGCCTCGCTGGTCGGTGGCGGTGCCACCAAGGCGCCAGTGGCTGCTTCGAAGAAGACGGACAAGCCCGCTGCTACCACCACTACGGAGACGGCTGGCAAGTCCACCGCCGTTGAGGCCACCGAGTCGCTCACGAAGCGCACCACCGATGCTCAGTAGGTAGATAGACGCGCCCTTGCGCGTTCATAATCACGTGATACGAAGGTCCGCGCGCGTGTGCGGTCTGTGGAAGGCAGTGTCGAGCACGTACAGTGCCTGGTGACGGACCTCTGCGCGGCACGTCGATCGTAGTTCTAGAAGATCGAGGATGCAGACGTGGTCACTAGGGCTTGTGCTGGCCACCTATGCCCTACTGGCCTGTGTGCATGCATACACGCCAGCCAAGCGCACGTACGACACACATCATTACTACGTCGCAGAGCTAGCGCCGCCGCGTGGCGATGACCGTGAATGTGGCCAGCATGTGTCGCCTGCGCACGTAGCTCAGGCACTCGGTGCCGAGATGGTGGAGCAGGTAGGCGAGCTCCAACACCACTATCTCCTTCGCGCTGAGAAACTCGATGCATTAGCGCGACGAGACGTGATGGGGGAAGTCGACGAGACGTTGGATCCGGTGCTGCAGCGCTGGGCTGCATGGCAGATTTCGCCACCTGCGAAGCGGTGCGACGCCATGGATCCAGACTGCGTGCCGGCAGGGTGCATCGCAAGCCGGGTTCGCTCACTGGAGCGACAAAAAGTCCGCTGGCGTCATAAACGAAACGTCATCTACGATCCTACAAAGATGCCCGACGTATACCCCATCATCCTCCCTCCGATTCCTGCCACAGAGCGCTGGATGGCTGAAGCTCGTGCACCGATTCCCTTGCGCAGAAATCTAACCAAGCAGTTTGCCGAGCAATACCACATTAACGACCCCTTGTTCTACAAGCAATGGCACCTCGTCAACAACGATGTGCCGGGCCACGATCTACACCTGGAGGGTGCGTGGCGCAATGCGTCAGGGCATGGGATCACCGTGTCCCTTATTGATGACGGTATTGAATCGACACACCCTGATCTCGCTGATGCGTTCAACGCCGAAGCGTCGTACGATTTCAACGATCATACAAAACTCCCTGAGCCGCGGCTCGTAGAAGACATGCATGGCACACGCTGTGCGGGTGAGATTGCAGCAGCGAAGAACGAGTACTGCGGCGTAGGCGTGGCGCCCGGGGCCAAAGTCGCTGGCGTACGCATCTTGTCAGCGCCCATCAGTGATGCCGACGAGGCCGCCGCGTTAAACTATGGCTACCAGGACAGCTCTATCTACAGCTGTTCCTGGGGCCCTTCGGACAATGGACAAAGCATGGATGCACCTAATGGACTCGTCGCCAAAGCGATGCTCAACGGCATTTACAATGGCCGGAATGGACGTGGGAGTCTGTTTGTGTTTGCCGGTGGCAATGGCGGTGCTTCGGATGACCAATGCAATTTCGACGGGTATACCAATTCGATCTATACCATTACTATTGCGGCGGTCGATAGCCAGGGCCATCGACCGTACTATTCAGAAATGTGCAGTGCGATCATTGCCAGCAGCTGGAGCTCAGGGAGGGGCGATATGATCTACACGACCAACGTCCGCCGCTTCAACCGCACTTGCACATCCTCGCATGGCGGCACAAGCGCCGCTGCGCCGCTGGTCGCTGGCATGCTTGCGCTTGCGCTGGAAGTGCGGCCGGACTTGACATGGCGCGATGCGCAGCATTTGATCATTAAGTCGACCATTGTCAACAATCCCAAGGACCCGGATTGGCAGCGTACGGCCGCTGGATTGCTCTACAGCCACAAGTTTGGGTTTGGTGTGGTGGACGCGACCAAGCTCGTGGAACATGCACGAAATCATACGCTGGTAGCGCCGCAAACCTGGCTCGAGACGCCCATGTCGAACGTGTCGGCCTCGCTGACGTACGGCGTCTCACGTAACGCATCGCTGGAGATTACGCGAGCGATGGTCGAGCAAGCGAATCTGGCCTCGCTCGAGCATGTGACGGCCACCGTATGGATCGAGCATGAACGCCGTGGCGATATCCAAGTGGTACTGTACGGTCCACATGGGACGAAGAGTGTGCTGGCGAGTCCACGTAGGTACGATGGCGCGAATACGGGGTTCCCAGGGTGGACGTTTATGACGCTCAAGCACTGGAATGAGGATCCAGTAGGCACATGGACGTTGGAAGTCACGGATCACGGCGCGAATCCCAACGACGAGACGGAGGCAGATGGCACGCCCATCCCACTGCCTTCTCGTGGCAACTTTACGGCGTGGTCGTTGTCGTTCTGGGGCGCAGCGAAAGACGCCAGTTTGGCGCGGCCATGGAACTTCCCCACGGACTCGGAAGAGTATACCATGGTCCTCCCGGGTGCACCCAGTACCACCATCCTCGGCGCAGGACCGTCGCAAGGCATGGCGACCGGTGCGCCAGCCTCGACATCGCGCAAGCTGGTCAAGCCGACGCATGCTCTGCCGAGCGATCATCACCAAGACCCTGGCGAGGCAAGTCACGTCTTTGGCCAGCCGATGGCTACTGCAACACGCCCAGCCGATACCGCGTACTTGTCAGGTCTCGTACATACCTCGTCCACGACTTGGTTCATTGTTGCAGCGGTGCTGTGCTTAAGTGTCGGAGGCGGCCTTCTGTTGTACTTTGGCCTGCGCCGCTGGGGGGTCTTGTCTTCGAGCGCGTCGCGTGGCGCTTATGCGCACGTGCCAGACGATGATGAGATTGCGATGGGCTGGCTGCGTCATGACAGTGCGCCTGCTTCGCAAGTGCAGGCGCATGACCTGTACAATGCGTTTGCGTTAGCAGACGAGGACCTGGACGAGGAGGATCGAGAACACGATGAAGACGATGGCCAGACTATCAAGCCGACGTCGCCCACGCCCTCGTCACGTACATTTACACCCAGGGCATCGGTATCATGATCGCCAACTATGTAGAATTTACCAAAGTAATCGTAGGGTTGCAAGTACAAGACTGTGCCAGGTGAGCATACATCGAATACATACTTGATCAGGAAGCCAAGCAAAATGGCTGCTAGGGTATAGGGCGAGAAGATAACATATCGATCAGGGCTGGGCGGTTGCCACCGGAAACGACGGCGTAGTGAGGGCGATGTCTCCGTCCCTGCCTCTTCCTCCTCGTCGTCCTCTTCGTCGTCATCATCGTCGTCGTCGTGGTCACCGCTACGTTGCGTTTCGCGCGCTGACGTAGAAGAGGTTTGCGACTGGGCACGGTCTTGCGCTTGCCGAGAGGCAACAAGGAAATCCAGCACGGATGTAATGGCACGTCGTGTCTCTTCCCGTTGTGCCTCCATCTGCGGCCCGGAAGCGGCCTCCCGCGTCTGCATACGGGCCATGGCATCCGATAAGGCAGATTCCAGGCGCTGCCGCTCTTCGGGGCGGCCCATCGCTGTAGGTAAGTCCGGCAACGTAGGCTCAATGCGTGGCCAGCGAATTGGTTTAGGATCGTAGGCGAACAGGAAAGGGAGGATGGGGAAAAAGAAACCAATCATGAGCCCTTTCAACACGCTCATGGGCACCGACGTACGGGTCTGGACCATGGGTGTCTGAGCCATGGAATCAATCCATTGCTCTTCCAATTGATACGCCATTTCCTGTTCTTCCCGCCGACGTAACAGGTCGCCCGATCGCGCCGCTTGCAAGCCAGATCGCTGATGGAATTGCTCACGCATCAGTTGGATATCGAGCGCGGACATCCCCGCAGTTTGTCGTAGCCGATCAAAGCCACGAGGCTCATGCGCTGGCTCAGGCATGTGCTGCCCTTCGGAATGCTCTGGCTCCTCTTCAAGCAGACCGCCGATCGAACACTGTAAGTACACTGTCGGCTGGCGCCACACTGTGGTATGTAAAGGCCCATCGGCATCCAAGTCAGGATCGAGAGAACGTTGTTTTCCATGCCATTTGTCATGCAATGCATTGTCTATGTCTACGCCCGGCTCCAACGTATACATGTCATGCTCTGCTGGACGACGTCGCAAATGCATCATCTCGGCGTGCGGCTCCTCTTCGACTAGAGACAACGTGTCGAGCCATGACGCAAGACGCACACCATTCGGCAAGATCCGCCCCAGATGGATCAGACGTAGTCTTCGTCCCTGCATTTGTGGGTACATCTTCGACAGCTAGGTGGTGAGTGCAGGGTATACATACGCGTTGTTTAAACTCGCCGACGGTTTCTTCCGCCAGACGTGGCCATTGCCGATCCTCTCCATCCGGCACTTTTTCGTAGACAAGGTCGACATGCACATCGTCGATGCTCGGATCTGTAAATCGTACCACAAGGGGGCGCAGCGACAGGCCGCCACCACGCAGAGCGGCCGCCACCATGCCTGCCATCAGAAGTCACGTCGGCTGCGCGCGTACCCCACGCTGACAGCGGCGGTGGCACGGCCCTTGCGGTGGACCTCCAGCCTAAGAGGTGCAGTCCCTCCACATTCAAACACGGCGACGGCCGGGCGGGAGAGAGCAAGCAGATCCTCGACCGTCGAACGTCCCCTACTTACCTGTGTGTGATACCATGACCCGTCTGTCGCTGATCACCAGCGCGACTGGCGCCCTTGTGGCCGGTACGATTGTATACGCCGTGCATGCCTCTATGCGGGACCAAACGCATTTCATGGTGGCAGAGATGCGGGCCAAGACAGAAGGTCTCGAGAAGGCCGAGGACTTTGACAAGACGAGTGGCCGGCGGATTGTGCGGGCGCCTGTGTCTGCGTACAATCCTGGTATGCCGACATTCTGGGAGGAAATGAAGTCGCGCTGGAACGTATGTATCTTCGGGGCACTCACGTCTTTAGCACTACCTTACCAAGGCAGTCTACAAGGTGCACAGTCTGGACCCTATGGACGCCATGGGCCCAGCGCACGGCCACACTGCAAACTCGACAGGCGAGTCGATTCGCGATGCTTTGGAGTCTCTTGCACCGCACGCTCTGGATGCGCAGCCCAAGTTTGGCATCCTGCACCGCCGATTTGGCGACGAAAACACACATTACATGGGCCAAGGCGCTTCGTTGCGGTAGTCATGCATAATGAAATCTCGTTGATAGATCTGAGTGTGCGCTTTAGCTGGGGATGCACGGTAGCATCGCATTCGCGCCACCGCCGTTCCAAGCGGGCGTCTCGCAGCCGCTCGACTCGACGGCCGACAGCGCTGACGGGCGGCGGTAGTGGCAGATTTGCAAATATCTATGGACGCGCTGACCCGGCACGCGTTGATGCGCGCGCCGTTGTTGGCCTTGTCTTTTGACGACGAGCAGACGCATGTCGGCCGCGGGCGAAGACGAAAAGATGTCGGACGTGGTCCCTGCGACGGCGGCTGATCATCTTGAGGATGCTGCACTGACGGGTGCAGAAGAACGTACGCAGCGCCGCGCTGCACAGACACAGAGCTTGAATGCCAGTCGCTCGGTGATGAACCGGCAAAAGACTGTCGACAGCTTAAAACGCTTCAGCTACCTGCTGGGCCAGACGGAGCTGTTCCAGCACTTTATCGATATTAAGAAGGACCGTGACCCTGAGTTTGCGCGGCTCTTGGAGGAATCGGCGCAGCAGCGCTCCAAGAAGAAAACGGGTGGCAGTGATCAACGGCACCACCGCAAGTCGGAGCGGGAAGAAGACGCTGAGCTGCTGCATGACGAGAATGCCGAGGACGAAGATGAAACGTTTGTCTTCCGTGAGAGCCCTGGCTACGTGAAGGGCGGTACGATGAAAGAATACCAGATCCAGGGCCTCAACTGGCTGATCTCGTTGTACCAGAACGGTATCAATGGCATTTTGGCCGACGAGATGGGTCTCGGTAAGACGCTACAAACGATTTCGTTTTTGGGCTTCTTGAAGTTCTACCGCGACACCCCTGGTCTGCACCTGGTTGTCGTGCCAAAGTCCACGCTCGACAACTGGGTGCGTGAATTCGAGAAGTGGGTGCCTGGTTTCCGTATCATTACGCTGCAAGGCAGCAAGGAAGAACGTCAGGCGGTGATTCAGCAGCGCCTGCTGCCGCAGGACTTTGATGTGCTGGTGACAACATATGAGATGTGTCTGCGTGAGAAGCCATCGCTGCAGAAGATGTCGTGGGAGTACATTGTCATTGACGAAGCGCATCGTATTAAGAATGTCGACTCGGCGCTGTCACAGATTGTGCGTGCGTTTACGTCGCGCAGCCGTCTGTTGATTACAGGAACGCCGCTGCAGAACAACTTGATGGAGCTCTGGAGCTTGCTCAACTTCTTGCTGCCGGATGTGTTCTCGTCCGCAGAAGACTTTGAAGCATGGTTCCAGCGCAAGGGCGAGTCAGAGAACGACGATCAAGGCACGATCGTGCAGCAGCTGCACAAGGTGCTGCGTCCCTTCCTGCTGCGCCGTGTCAAGGCGGATGTCGAGCACAGTTTGCTGCCGAAGAAGGAGATCAATGTGTTTGTCGGTCTCACAGACATGCAGCGCAAGTGGTACAAGTCGTTGCTCGAGAAAGATATCGACGCAGTCAATGGTGCGCTCTCGAAGAAGGAGGGCAAGACGCGTCTGCTCAACATTGTGATGCAGCTGCGCAAGTGCTGCAACCATCCATACTTGTTTGACGGCGCAGAGCCTGGTCCGCCCTTCACGACCGACGAGCATTTGGTGGACAACAGTGGCAAGATGGTGATTCTCGATAAGCTTCTGCGGAAGATGAAGGAGCGTGGCTCTCGTGTTTTGATTTTCAGCCAGATGAGCCGTATGCTTGACATTCTCGAGGACTACTGCCTGTTCCGCGAGTACAAGTACTGCCGCATCGATGGTAGCTCTGTGCACGAAGACCGTATCGCTGCGATTGACGAGTACAACAAGCCGGACAGCGACAAGTTTGTGTTCCTATTGACAACGCGCGCTGGTGGTCTGGGTATCAATCTGACCACGGCCGATATCGTCGTGCTGTTCGATAGCGATTGGAACCCGCAGGCAGACTTGCAGGCCATGGATCGCGCTCATCGTATTGGCCAGAAGAAGCAGGTGTATGTGTACCGCTTTGTGACGGACAACTCGATCGAGGAACGCATCCTCGAACGGGCCGCCCAAAAGCTGCGTCTCGACCAGCTTGTGATTCAGCAGGGCCGCACATCGGCGCAGCCCAAGACCGGCCAAATGAAGGACGATCTCGTGGATATGATTCAGCATGGTGCAGAGCGCATTATCAACTCGAAAGAGTCCATGGAAGTCAAGGACGATATCGACGAAATCATCGCCAAGGGCGAGGCACGGACCGCCGAACTGCAGGCCAAGTACCAGCAGTTCACCAGCCTCGACGAGCTGACCAACCTGCGCAGCGAGTCGACGTACGAATGGGAAGGCGAGCAGTACAAGGGCCGCAAGCCCGGCACGGGCATCTGGATCGAGCCGGCAAAGCGCGAGCGCAAGCAGAACTACTCGATCGACAGCTACTACCGCGATGCGATGCGCACGACGGCGAAACCCGCAGCGCCTAAAGCCCCGAAGGCGCCCAAGCAGGTGCCCACGCCCGAATGGCAATTCTACCCGCCGCGTCTGATTGAGCTGCAGGAGCGCGAGACCGCGGCGTACCAACGCAGCGTCAACTACCAGGTCCCCAAGCCCGAGTCGGACGATCCCGCCGCAGAGGCACAGCGCGCCGAGGAACAAAAACGCATCGACGAGGCAGAGCCCCTCACCGAGGAAGAGCAGGCGGAGAAGGAGCAGCTCATCACGCAGGGCTGGAGCTCGTGGAACCGCCGCGACTTTCAGCAGTTTGTCAAGGGCTGCGAAAAGCATGGACGCACGGCCTATGCAGCCATCGCCGAGGAGATTGGGCTGGGCGAAAAGAGCGAAGAAGATGTTCGGGCCTATGCGCAAGTGTTCTGGGCTCATGTCAACGAGCTCAGCGATGGCGAGCGGATCGTCCAGCGTGTTGAGGAGGGCGAGAGCAAGCGCCAGAAGCTGCAGCACCATGAGCGTCTGCTCCGCCGCAAGATGGCGTCGTATGCTGCGCCGCTGCATCAGCTCAAACTCACGTACAACCAGGCGAAGGGCAAAGCGTACTCGGAAGACGAGGATAGGTTCCTCCTTGTCCGTCTCGCTGACTATGGCCTGAGTGGCGAGGATGTTTACGAGCGCATTCGCGCGGACGTGCTGGGCTACCCCGAATTCCGCTTCAACTGGTTCATCAAGAGCCGCACACCGCAGGAACTTGCGCGACGATGCCATACCCTCCTCCTGCTTGTTGTCAAGGAGGAAGAAGAGGTGGATGCTGCTGCGCAGGCCGCCTCCAAGAGCAAGAGCAAGAAACGAAGCGCGCCCCCCGCCGAGGGACGGCCTACGGGCCGCGCACGCCGGTCGTGAGCCTCGGCTCACCCATGTTCATAGGTCGATCGGTAGCGCGTTGTGGGTGGAGGATGCCGTGGCCCCCGGCGGATTGGCTAGCGGTTGGTAGAAATTGCAAATATACCAACAAACACTGTTGGGTGCGCGAAAGACGTACGAAAAATTCTTCTACTGCCCATCATGAATGTCGGTGAACTGCTCACCAACTCGCTTTCGCCGGGTATGTGTGTGTGATGGAATACTGACGTATTGCTAGATCATGGAACACGGCAGGCCGCCGAGCATGCGCTCGAAGCAGCCGCACGCGATAACTATGTACGTATTTGTGCCGCCCTGCGTAGCCCGCGGGCGGCACGACCCTAGGCCGAGACTAACATACAGCCCATGTACATGACCTCGCTCTCCAGCGAGCTCGCTACGGATGCGACACCTGCGCACATTCGCTCTGCGTCCGGTCTTGCGCTCAAGAATGCGCTGGTAGCGCGTGAAGCGCAGCGGGCTATGGAGTACGCAGAGCGGTGGACCGCGCTGCCCGCTGACGCACGCGATCAAGTCAAGAGCAAGGTCTTGATGACGCTCAGCAGCAGTGAGCCACGCGCCGGTACTGTCGCTGCGCAGGTGATTGCCGCCATTGCATCGATCGAGCTTCCACGCGGCATGTGGCCCGACTTGATTGCGCAGTTGCTCGCGGCCATTGGCGACGTGAACAACCCGCGCCAGCGTCAGGCAGCGCTCCAGGCGATTGGTTTCACATGCGAAGTCGTCGATCCTGCTGTCCTCTCGGCCCAGTCCAACGAGATCCTCACCGCAGTCATTCAGGGCGCGCGCAAGGAAGAGACCTCGCCGGAAGTCCAGCTGGCCGCTCTGCATGCGCTCCTCAACTCGCTTGAATTTGTGCGCAGCAACTTTGAGCGTGAAGGCGAGCGTAACTTTATCATGCAGGTCGTCTGCGAGGCGACGCAGTCGGCGCATGTGCCCGTTAAGGTGGCCGCGTTCGAGAACCTCGTTCGCATTATGCAATTGTACTACGATAAGATGCGCTTCTACATGGAGCAGGCCCTCTTTGGCCTCACGATCCTTGGTATGCGCGACAGCGAGCCCAACGTGGCGCTGCAAGCCGTGGAGTTCTGGTCGACTGTGTGCGACGAAGAAATTGAGCTGGCGCTCGAGGCAGCGGATGCGTTGGAGTTCAATGAAGAGCCTGCGCACGTCTCGCACCACTTTGCTCGTGTGGCACTCCCAGAAATCGCCCCGGTGCTGATGGAATTGCTCGCTCTCCAGGACGAAGACAGCGACGAGGACGACTGGGACACCGCCAAGGCCGCCGGCACGTGCTTGGGCCTCCTCGCGCAGGTGGTCGGGGACCAAATTGTCTCGCTGGCTGTGCCGTTTGTGGAGGGCAACATCAAGTCGCCCGACTGGCGTCGTCGTGAAGCAGCGCTCATGTGCTTTGGCAGTATTATGGACGGTCCTGACAGCAAGTTGCTCATGACGCTCGTGACGCAGGCGCTTCCAACCGTTATGGAGTCGCTGCACGACCCGTCGACGGCTGTGAAAGATACCACGGCATGGACATTGGGCCGGATTTGCGAGTTTGTGTACGACGCCATCACGCCAGAGATGCATCTCGGACCTATCATCCAGGCCCTGCTGGGCGCGCTCCAGGACCAGCCGCGTATCGTGACGCACTGCTGCTGGGCGTTAATCAACCTGGCGGAGCGGAAGGGCATCTTGGCCTCGCTCGACGATATCGACCCACCCACCACGTCGCTCTCCCCGTACTTTGAGACGATCGTAACGCAGCTCATGCAGGCGACAGACCGCAACAACAACGAGTCGAACAGCCGCACGTCTGCGTACGAGGCGCTGGCGTCGGTGGTTGCCAACAGCGCCACAGATTGCCTGCCGCAGGCCAGCACCGTCCTGGTCCACATCATCGAGCGTCAAGAAGCGCTCAACGGTATGGTGCAGCAACTCGTGGGTCTCGATGACAGGAACAACTGGGCTGAGCTGCAGAGCAACTTGTGCAGTGTGATCATTGCATCGGTTCGGCGCCTGCAAGCGGGCATTGCGCCGATTGGTGATCGCCTCATGACGTCTCTCCTCACACTCATCCAGAACAGTGCGAAGCAGCCGACTGTGCTGGAAGATGCGTTTGTGGCGGTAGGTACCGTGATCGTCGCATTGGAAGGCGAGTTTGAGAAGTACATGGAGGCGTTCCTGCCCTTCCTTGTGGAAGGCCTGCGCAACCACGAAGAGCATCAACTGTGCACTATCAGCGTCGGTATCGTGGGCGACGTGTGCCGCTCACTTGGCGAGAAGGCGACCAAGTACTGCGAAACGCTTATTGCCGCTCTGTTTGAAGACCTGCAGAGCCCAGTTCTCCATCGCAATGTCAAGCCCCATATCCTCAGCTGCTTTGGCGATATTGCTATGGCGATTGGGCCTGCGTTTGAGCCGTACCTTGCCACGGCCATGGCCGTGCTGCAGCAGGCCAGCATGGTGCAGAACCCTGCCGACACTGCTGACTACGAGATGATCGAGTACGTAAACGACCTTCGTGAAGGTATTACCGAGGCATACGTCGGTATTGTGTCCGGCTTCCGGGCTGGCGGCAAGGTGGACGTGCTGCTGCCCTACATGGAATACACGATCTCCTTCATTGGCCTCGTCGCCTCGGAAGGTGTGGACCGCTCCGAGTCGCTTCTACGTGGCTCGATTGGTCTGCTAGGCGATATTGCCACAGCATTCCCACAAGGTCCGGTCATGGCCAAGCTTCAACAGCAATGGGTCCTGGATTACATCAAGGTCGGTCGTAGCCGCGGCAATGGCTCCGAGACACGCAAGACCGCCAACTGGGCCCGCGACGTGATTAAGAAGTCCGCGAGTGCAGCTGGTACACCTATTATGTGATACGACTTTCTATGATCCTCCTCCCCCGCCCCCCTTTCGTATCGTCCTTTCGTTAGTTGCACTATTCTCGAGACGCTCCCAGTGAAGGCTCTGTCATAGCATATCATTAAGTCGGCCTGTAGATGACGTAATGACACCTGATGGCTGAGTCAGCGTTACAAAGTTCTGAGAAAATGGCGATTATGCATACCGGTTCGCTAGACCTTCGAACCATGAGCGACGGAGTTGTATACGCCCAGGATTCGCGTGTGTCGGGCTACGAGCCCCTCATTTCGCCCATGCTGCTCACACATGAGCTCCCTGTGACAGATAAGGCCAAGAACACGATTGCCAAGGGCCGCTACGAGGCCGCCCAGGTCGTGCATGGCAAGGATGATCGTCTGCTAGTGATCGTCGGTCCATGCTCGATCCACGACGTCGACCAGGCGAAGGAGTACGCCCGTCGTATTAAGGAGAAGTACGATGAGCGCTGGAAGGACGGCCTTGTGGTGGTTATGCGCGCCTACTTCGAGAAGCCGCGCACGACCGTGGGCTGGAAGGGTCTCATCAACGACCCTGACCTCGACGGCTCGTACCACATCAACCGTGGTCTGCATATTGCCCGCAAACTCCTTTTGGAGATCACAGAGATGGGCATCCCTGTGGCCTGTGAAGTGCTCGACACCATCTCGCCGCAGTACCTTTCGGACCTCTACTCGTGGGGCGCCATTGGCGCTCGTACGACCGAGTCGCAGCTGCACCGTGAGCTGGTTTCGGGTCTCTCGCTCCCGGTCGGCTTCAAGAACTCGACCGACGGTGGTATCGGTGTGGCCGTGGATGCCATCCGTGCTTCGTCGCAGCCGCATGCGTTCATGGGTGTGACCAGCCAGGGTTTGGCGTCGATCGTGAAGACGACCGGTAACGAGGACTTGCACATCATCCTACGTGGTGGTAAGAAGGGTACGAACTACGATGCGGAGAGCGTGCAGGCCAGCAAGGATGAGCTGGTTAAGGCCATTCCGGGCCGTCATCCTAGCATTATGATCGATGTGAGCCACGGCAACAGCAACAAGGACTACCGCAACCAGCCGAAGGCCGCTGCTGTCGTCGCTGAGCAGATTGAGCAGGGCCAGGACGCCATTACTGGTATCATGATCGAGTCGCACATCAACGAGGGCAAGCAGGGCGAGCCCAAGGACGGCAACCGTGATGCATTGGCCTACGGTGTGTCGATTACCGATGCCTGTGTGAGCTTCGAGACCACTGTCGAGATGCTCGACCGTCTGCACAATGCTGTATTGGCACGTCGTGCCAAGGCTGCCTCGGCCTAGGCCATATCGTAGGCATTTCTTGTGTAGTAATGGAGGCAACGCACGCACGCTGGCAAACAGTACACGATGCCATGCATCTATCCATACTACATCGATGGCCATACGGCCTGAAACGCCGCAGAAGCGCGAAGCAAACTACCTGTCGGTAAGGCGGCAGCCTCATCCGCACTCATCTGTAACACCTCCGCCCATTCACGCAGTAGGGGCGACGACGCTGTAAGCGCTGAAGCCATTGTGCCCAAATACTCGACATCCGCGGCTAGCTGGGCACGATCATAGCCCGGCGTTCGTACAATCATAGGCAATGTATCTTGTTCGAACGATACCAGCAAGGTCCGTGTCAAAGACCGAAGCCAGAGCGATAGCACTTGGTCCAACGACGATGACAAAGTCGTGGAGGTCGTCGATTCGGCCGCCGCCGCTGGCGTCTGTGTCAGGTCGTGGAAGGAGAAAGAACGGGGTGTCGATTTGCGTGCGCTTCGCGTTGTCGCACCCTCATCGTCATGCGCATATGGCAACATGTCCACGTGGTAGGCAAAGTGGCTTAACTCATGCTCGATCAGGGCCTCCAAAAGGCGAGGCAGGTTGAGAAGAGCTTCGCCTAAATGTACCATACCTTCGGTAGGGCTGCGACTAAACGATGGGACACGGACACGCGTCTCTACAGCCGCTGGCGGGGCTGACCATGCTCCGTGGGACCCATACGCTTCCAAATGCTGCCGGAACGCAGTCAATATGAACTCAAGGAGGAGACGCTGTGCTGCTTGAAGGACCAAATCGTTATCCATATCGCATTCGAGCTGCGTGAGCAGAGCTGAGGGGCCTAGGAGTACATCATCTGCCCGCGTATGCGACGTGACGATACGCGCTGCTCCCAAAGGCACGGTTTCCACGGCTTTGGCCACACCTAGCAGGGGCGCAGCAGCACGGACCAGCTGCCAGTCATGCCGCTCTTCCATATCATCAGATGCCAGAATGTCGGCAGGCGGTGGCGCTGAGGTATGTGCATGCTGCCGGTAACGCGTACGTAGGGTATCAAGGATGGAAGCAAGGCGTCGGTTGAGCGCGGGGTACAAGGCCTCCGACAAGCCAGAAGCAACAGCGGGCAAACCGTCTCCATTTGTCAAGGCATACATCCGGTGCAGGGCATCAGCTTGAACGTGTTCCGCTAGCGCCACCTGGTCATGTAAGCACGTCAAGAGCTGTGTAGCACAGTTGGACCATGGCGCCTCATCTTTTGCCAATGTATCGACCCAAATCCGATCAACACGAGCGGCTAAGGCGGACTGTGTATCGGCCCACGCCCGTTGTAGGCAAGCATGCTCCAACGACCCATACTGAGTCTGGTAGGGCACAAAGGCCAATAAGATAGCATCTCGCCAGTCCCTCGATGCGTCCAAACGCAAGCGAGGCGTAGAGAGAGATCCTTTCAGCTGCGTGGTCCATGTGGTCGCAGCTGTGCGTATACGTTGCATGGCATTTACTACGTCAGGCAACGCCGTATCACGTTGCTGAAGGTAGGGCGGCCATGCCGGCTCGAGGTGGTGCCATATATAGGTAAGCAGTTCTGCGGCATAAGGTGCGCCACCAAGAAGAGCAGGTGCATATACACTCGTCTCCTCCGTGAGCAGCTCTGTGATGTGTGTGCACAAGTGCGAAATGGCTTCGAGTGTATCGAGCGAAGACAAGCGGTCATTCCATGCCGACAAGACAGAGGCAGCCCGCGTTTGGAAGTAGATCGTACGCACTCGCTCTTCTTCATGCACGAGATCACATACTTGTGCCATGGAGCAAATACGATCCATGTCGCGAGCCGTAATAGCATCGGCCAAGGCTGGTGAAGCTGCATCTACCAGCTGCTGGACAAGTTTGGCGATCAAACTCTGTTGTGTAGCCACATGTGGATCATTCGCATCAAAGTGGGATAGTGATTGAGTAGCATCCACTAAGCGCTGAGCAGCATGCTCATACTCGGCATCGCGCACATAGGACTGGATATCCGCTTCGAATAAAGGCCATGAATCGATCGCCTGCAGCATATCGCGAGTACGCTGCATACGTGCCTTAACTTGAGCTAGATCATAGACATGAGCTAGCGCTGTTGATACAGCTACCTTGTCCGGATTCGCAGGCACACAAAGCTCGTGGTAGGTGAGTTGCAAGGCATGCATTTCCGCCTGCAGAGACGTAACCTCTTCAGTAACACGTGCAGACTGCTGGGTCGCTTTGGGTACAGCGGCCGTCGCAGCTTGGATCAGAGAATTGATCTGTGTGGACACTTGCGTCGTGGCTGCGATGACATCCTCTTGCAGGGTCTGCAAATGCGCCAGAGCCAACGAAGGAGAGCTATCACCGGTCTCAGTGTGTGTCACCTGTGTGGCTAAAGCGTTATTAAGCCATGCGACACGGTCTATGGGCGCGGAGACCGATGGGAGGCTCTCCAACAGCGCTTTCACACGCTGTGCCTCAGTCATCGTCGCGCCGTTCACAAGAGGTGGAGGTGCACGACAAAGTATAGCGTCGCTTCTCCACTAGGTATATCCTAGGTATACCCGCCAGGCGTCTCCGACTTCCTACGGAGGGGATCAGAGTACGTTAAAACACATATATCAAGATACAGAGCTACATAGCCCCCTATTTAGAGCTTGGTAGGCTTGAACGAGATACCCTTGGTAATGTTACCCTCCAGAGCCTCGACACCCTTCTTGATCAGCTCGCTCTCGTAGTCCGAGAGCTTGCCAAGACCGTGGATCTTCTCCACACCGTTGGGGCCAAGAGTGATCGGGACGCTGAAGAACGGCGTCTTGTCACCAATCACGTCCTTGACCTCCTTGGCACCAGCCTCATCGGCGGTCAGGTCAATGTAGCTGTACTCCACGTCGATCTTCTTGCCCTGAGCGGCCGAAAGAATCGAGTCGGCGAAGCGAGCACCGGCGTAGGCCATCGAGAGAGTAGCGCTACCAGTGTTGTTCTTGGCCTTCACGACGTCGTCACCACCGAACTGAATGTGGTTGGTGACCTCCTCAATGGTCTTCTGGTCACCCTTGAACGGCGGCTGCGACTGCGAGAGCAGAGGCACAATCGTCACACCCGAGTGACCACCAACGACGGGCACCTTGTACTTCGGGGCAGCCGAAGGCTCACCGTTCGACTCCGACACAAACGTCGAAGCACGCACCAGGTCGAGCGAAGTCACACCGAACAGGCGCTTCGGGTCGTACACGTTGTGCTTCTTGAACACCTCCGAGAAGATGGGGACCATCGAGTTGACAGGGTTCGAAATGACCAGCACGAACGCCTTGGGGGCCGTCTTGGCCACAGCCTCGGCAATACCGTAGACAATACCGGCGTTGGTGTTGAACAGGTCATCACGAGTCATGCCCGGCTTACGCGGGATACCGGCCGGAATGATCACAAGGTTGGTGCCATCAAGAGCCTTGTTCAGACCATCGTTCTCCGGCAGGAAGCCCGAGCACGGAGCCTGCGAGTCGATGTGCGACAGGTCGGTAGCGACACCCACAGCGTTCACCACATCGTAGACCGAGAGCTCAGTCACGTTCGGCGACAGCTTCAACAAAAGCGAGAGAGGCTGGCCGATACCACCAGCAGCACCAATCACAGTAGCCTTCATATTTATAGAGAGTTGGTAAGGTAAAGAAGAACTGTATGAGGAACAATTGCGCTACCTATATACTCCATCCCCCTTAAACCGGGGCGGCGCTAAGGCGGCCCGGGCGACCCCGGGTCTACATCACGTGAGAGGTGCATGGGCCACGTATGGAATAACCGAGAAACGTCACTTATTCCTATCGGGGACGTAGGCTACGAAATGCACCACCGCTTGCCCTGCTCAGTGGAGGTTTCGAGAGGTACGGCTATTCCATGGCTTTGCCTTTGCCTTTGTCTTTGCCTTTGCCTTTGTTTTTGCCTTTGCCTTTCTTAGTAGAGCTCGAAGCGTTTGTGTCTGCCTGCTCAGATTCAGTCTGTGGCGCCTCTGAAGCATCAGTGTCAAGCGCCGATGCGGAGAGCGCTTCGTGCGACGCTGCCGTCGACATAGGCATATCAGTAGATAAACTAGAGCCCATCAAAGTCGCTGGCTGTTCCGATGCAGATGGTACCTCCTCCTTCTCAGGCTGCGAGAATTTTTGCTGCACTTGTCTGTAGTGCTCCATCTCTTGTGGGCTTACGGATGGTGTAAGTTCCGCTAGAGCTTGTTCAAAGTGCTGCCGTGCCACTTTGACTTGCACTTCGTCCGGCGTTGCAATTTCAGAAAGATAAAACTGCGGCGTGAGAGGCGTTGGCCAGTGCCGCTGCTCTTCTGTCCGGGACATCCTATTCAGCTGCTCCACTTTCTTGTCAATCTCAGAAGCCTTGTGTGTCATGGCTTTGAGCATGGCGTCAGAGCACAATGCATAAAAGTCGGCACCTGTCAGGTTGAAGGGGCATTGCTCTGCAATAACACGCAAATCGCCCACATCAGGATCCAGGGTGAATTTCCGTGTAAGCGCTTGTAGAATATTTAGCTGTGCGTCGTGCGTTTCTGCCACAGACAAGTAGAGAAGTCGATCAAAGCGACCAGGACGCAGCAGTGCAGGGTCGAGCAAGTCGGGTCGGTTCGTAGCACCAATCACAAATACGTCGCTAGCAGCAGAGCCTGACGCCATACCATCCAGTTCCGCCAGCAGTTGGCTGACAATACGATCCATCACGCCACCCGAGTCGCCTTGGTTGCCACGTTTCGGCGCGATAGAATCGAGCTCATCGAAGAAAATAACACAGGGCTTCGCATCACGGGCCTTTTGGAAAACGCGACGAACATTGGCCTCCGATTCACCAATGTACATGTTGAGCAGCTCAGGCCCTTTGACGGAGAAGAAGTTGAGAGCACATGTGGTAGCCACAGCCTTGGCCAGAAGCGTTTTGCCTGTACCAGGCGGGCCATAAAGCAGCACACCACTGCGTTTCTTCACGCCATCGCTAAAGAGCTCAGGATGCTCGAGAGGTAGTTGAACAGTATCCAGAATCTCGTGCTTCACGCTGGCCAGGCCACCCACGTCGTCCCACGTCACATTCGGGATCTTGGGCGCGCCGATACTTTCACTGTAGCTCGCACGAACATGCGTCAGTGCCTGGTCCAAGTCCGCCGCAACGATGATCGGCTTAGCAGCCACCACATCGCCCACAGAGAACGAGCCAGCACTAAGAACACGACGCACGCTTGCAAGCCGTGCATGTTCCAGTACATCCATCAAGTCGCTAGCCAACAAGGCGGCCGTCTGTACTGCCATGGCATGCAAATCCACATCTGCACCAAGCTCATACGGAGCCGCAGCAATCTGGAGCCATTGCGCACGTTCCGGCTCAATGGGTGGATCCAATTTGATGGTCTCGTTAAACAGCCCACGCAACGCAGCAGGGCATCGCTCGCCGTCTTCTGTGGTGGCAACAACAAGAAGCGGCATAGCTTCAGCCGTGTCAGAGGGCGGCGTAAGGCACCGCTGCAAAACTTTGATCATAGCGCCTTGGGCAGCCTCCCCAGCACTCTTGCGTATGAGCACATCAATGTCACGAAGTAACAAAATACAAGGCCCACAGGCCCGTGCTCGTTCACATCGCGCTTGGAAAGCACCATCGGTATGAGTATCGGTATCGCCGACGAGCATCGTGCACGAAAGCTCAAGAATATGAGTGCCTGTGCGCTGCGCGACCCAGCGTGTGAGAGCACGCTTTCCAATGCCCGCCGCACCTTCGAGTAGAACAAGTAAATGTACGTCAAGCTGCTGCGCAGCTGGTGAGAGCGCCGCATGAACAAGCGATGCGAGTCGAGCAAATGCGCTACCCGGCTGCGTCAGTGGGGTGCCATCCGGGGGACACACAGGGCTGTCCGATGTGAGGCCCAGCCATGCATGTACATCGGCTACACGCCGCTGCACTGTACCTTGCTGCACAATGCGCGTATGAGCCGCATCCACCCAGCAGCCAGCGCCAGCCATACTACCTGACGACGCCAGGGTCATATACCATTGTCGCAGGGCGGGTAGAGTAGACGGAATGAGCGATTGCAGTGTGTCAGGGTCCATCAATGAGGGCGTCAACTCTGCCACGTGGAAAAACACGGCATGACGATTGTAGGCAGGCGGCCAGCCTGGTAGCTGTGCATGAGCAGCCCAGTGTTGATGAGACTCGGACAGGTTCGAGCGCTCCACATCCACTTGCTGAAAGCGAGCCTGGCCACCCACCAACGCGACCGCAAAGAGATCGTTCGGCTGCCATATCCGCGGATGAGATGCCAAGAACGCTCGCAACGCGTCAGCGCACTGCTCTTCGTACGCCCGATCTGTGGTGAAAGGCGAAGCGACTTGGGCGAGCGTCACAGATTCAGCCCGTGGAATCAAAGGCGGCTGTGCTGCATCGCCACGTAGACGCTCATCGTCGACCGATAAGAGTTCATCCGTGACATGAGGCGGTAAGGGATCGAGGGTGAGCGCAACAGCACCCAAGGGATCGTACGCCGTTGTACGGAACAAGTTGGCGATCAGCATCGGCGGTGCATAGGCTTCGTCTGCTTTCAAGTTTTCATGCGACGTAACAAAAACACGCACTACACGCGGCCGGTTTTCGGTAAGCACACTGGCCACGGCCCACTCGCCATCAAAAAGGCCCAAATCGGCCAATGTGCGTTCTTGAACCAAAATAACACTCTCCTCATCCACGTACATGTCATTACCACGTCGCTTCCATGCTTCGATGCAAGCAGAGACCATACTTCGTGTAGGGACGTACCGTGCAGCCAACGTGGGCGGCGGCGTGTCACGCGCCAGAAATCGATGCATCGAGGGGACGTCAGGCAAGGGCATGGATGGCGCTGGAGGTTCCGTAGACGACGAAGTGATATTTACTGGGTATGATTCCTCGTCCTGCAAAAGAAAAATACGAGTGCGCGCCATGTCCACGACACCTTGTGCCACAGGCTCCGTCATCAGAACACGGCATGGAGTATCGCCATACATGCATGTGTTCTTGGTGTGTAGTATTCTACCATCAAGAGACGCTTGAAATGTAGCATCCTTCGTACACATCTCGTACTTGTTCGGTGGTACAGCAATGTACGCGGCGGTGAGTGGCACAGGCTGCACGACACGCATCGTGACACGCATAGCCCCCTCCTCGCTACGCGGCACAAAGACCGCAGGTGCTTGGTTTGGTACACCAGCTTCATCTTCCCATTCAGGGGGCGCGGGCTGTGTCCACAAGACGTGGCCTTGGGCACTAAGCGCTGTCGAGGCGGAAGACGAGCACGACGGCTCTAGCGCGACCAAGGAGACGGCGATAGGCGCCGCAGACGCTTGGTGGCCACGCAGTTCATCTTCCACAGTAGCATTGATATATACGACATCCCAGCTAGATGTCGGTGTGGCTATCGGGTACGATGCAGCCGTGACGTATTTCAACGCCATGATGCGGAGTCCCCCACAATCCGAGGATGCAAGAGACAACCTTGGCCTCTCGCTTGCAACGTCGCCGCCACGTGAGCCAGCCGCACGTCAGTCACGTGGAGGTGTGGACGTGGCCGTGCATTCTCGCGAGGCACACCCGGGGGCTCCTCTCACGTCACTCAGGACCGTGCAGCGAAGTATGACGCTCCTCTCGCTCCAAGCGAAGCGGGATGTTGCGTCTCTGATCCGTGTCGTATGTCTTTGTCTTATTGCAGGTGCGGCGGTATCGTCACGTCTATTTGCTGTGGTACGCTACGAGTCGATTATCCATGAGTTTGATCCGTGGTTCAATTTCCGGGCGACCAAGATTCTCACGAAGGATGGATACTACCGTTTCTGGAATTGGTTCGACCCTACAGCATGGTACCCACTTGGCCGTGCTGCGGGCGGTACCGTGTTCCCTGGCCTCATGGTCACGAGCGGTACCTTGTACAACATTTTGCATTTCTTCAACATACCTGTGAACATCCGTGACATCTGTGTGATGCTTGCACCCCTATTCAGTATATTTACCGTGATTGCGGCGTACCTATTCACATCGATCATGAAAGATGAGGCAGCGGGCTTGCTAGGCGCCATTTTTGTCGGTATTGCGCCTGGCTACATTTCGCGCTCCGTCGCTGGTTCGTACGACAACGAGTGCATTGCGATCTTTTTGCTGCTGTTCACGTTCTACCTTTGGGTGCGCGCTGTGCGTGACGGATCGATGCTATTCGGCATGCTCACTGCGCTGTTCTACTTTTACATGGTGGCTGCCTGGGGTGGCTACGTGTTCATTACGAATATGATCCCTTTGCATGCGTTTGTATTGGTTTTGGTGGGCCGCTTCAGCGAGCGCTTGTACGTGGCCTATTCGTCGTTTTACGCTATTGGCACGCTCGCGAGTATGCAGATCCCGTTCGTGGGATTCCAGCCTGTGCGAACATCCGAGCATATGGCTGCGCTGGGTGTCTTTGGCCTTCTGCAATTGATTGCGCTCACAGAACTCACCCGCAAATACGTTAGTTCAGCGCAGTTCAAGGTGCTTGTGCGCTCGTTTGTCGCGCTCGTGGCAGTGTTGGCCTTTGGCGCCTTGGTCCTTCTAACGTACGCCGGTTACATTGCGCCGTGGACAGGTCGTTTCTATTCGCTATGGGACACATCGTATGCGAAGAAGCATATCCCGATCATTGCCTCTGTCTCCGAGCACCAGCCGCCTGCATGGCCTGCGTATTTCATGGACTTGCACTGCCTACTCTTCTTGTTCCCTGCCGGTGTGTTCTTCCTATTCCGTGAGCTGCGTGATGAGCAGATTTTCGTGATTATTTATGCTGTCATGGCCTCGTACTTCTCGGGTGTCATGGTGCGTCTTATGCTGACACTTACGCCCTGCGTATGTGTATGTGCGGCAGTAGCGCTCTCTCACTGGATGGATGTGTATGCAGGCGCACCACTCGGTACGATGCCAAGCCTCGGCAAGAAGCGCCTTACTCGTACGATGCCATGGGACATGCGCTTCCTTGTGCTAGGCTCGCTGTTCATTATGCTGGAACTGTTTGTGTTCCACTGCACACACATCACCTCGTCAGCCTACTCGTCGCCATCGGTCGTGTTGGCATCGCAGACACCTACCGGCCAAGTGCAAATCATCGACGATTTCCGTGAGGCCTACTACTGGCTGCGTGAGAACACGCCCCAGGACGCCAAGGTCATGAGTTGGTGGGACTATGGCTACCAAATTGCCGGTTTTGCTGACCGTACGACTCTCGTCGATAATAACACGTGGAACAATACACATATCGCCACCGTTGGACGAGCCATGGCGTCCTCCGAAGAGAAAGCGTACCCGATCCTGCGCCAGCACGATGTTGACTACGTGCTTATCCTCTTTGGTGGCTTGATTGGGTACAGCGGAGACGATCTCAACAAGTTCTTGTGGATGATCCGTATTGCTCAAGGCTTGTGGCCTGAAGAGGTCAGCGAGGCCAAGTTCTTCACGTCACGAGGTGAATACCGTGTCGATGACCAGGCGACACCGACAATGCGTGAGAGCCTCATGTACAAGATGAGCTACTACCGCTTCAATGATCTACATGCCCATCAAGCTGGCATGGACCGCGTACGTGGCATGCTAGGCCCGTCACAATCACCACGCCTTGATACCCTCGAGGAAGTGTTCACTAGTGAAAACTGGCTTGTGCGTATATACCAAGTGAAGAAAGAAGATGCGCTTGGCCGGCCATTGCCGCAGGCGCATGCCTTTGAGGAAGGCAAGCGCCTGAAGAATGCGCCTTTCGCGAAGAACCATGGCGCAGTTGTTCATTCGTAGTGTACTAGCGATAACGATGTCTCCCTGTCTCGACCCGCTTCTGGTACCGCTGCGATGTAGACAGACACTGACTGCATCAGCCAACAGAGCGTGGACATATCAAGAAGTGTGTATGGGATCGTCTGATCGCCATACATAGTTCGCCCTGCCATTTTGAGCTGCGCGACAGGCTGAAGAGCCAGTCCCCAGGTACGGAGCCTCGTTCGGCGGGGTACATACTACAAACTATAGATGACGTATTACATTACACAGACAGCACATGCGTCGCACCCATCGCTACTGTTCGTAGAAATTTGGACGACTTGCCTTCGGCTTGCAATGCCGTGGCCAGGTCATGTAGAGGCGCATCCCATCGCTCATCACTCATACACCATGTGCCCCAATGCATCCCAAAACTGGATCGCGCGCCAATGTCCTTCGCGACACACACAGCGCCATGCGGATCCATGTGTTGCAAGCTCAGGTGCCATCGTGGTTCATACGAGCCAATGGGGATAGCCGCTACATCAAACGGACCATACATGCGTCCAATCGCGGAAAAGAGAGAAGGACTGTACCCAGAATCGCCACAAAAGAACAAAGAGATCGTACGACGTCCACGTGCACCACAACGAACGACGTACGAATTCCATAGGCTCCGATTTACGTCCCAAAGTGATCGTGCACTCCAGTGACTGGCAGGCACAGCAGCCACATCCAGCCGTCGCTTGGCTTCACGTGTGGTCGACGTAGCCGTGCGTACATGCACAGTATGTTGCCATACAGTCTCATCCCACCAGCCCAGTTCACTAATGTGCGTCGGAGCGACACCACGTTGCTCAAGCAAGTAGCCTACCCCGGTAGGCACAATCCACTGAACATGTTCAGAGAGCTTAGGCACAATGGATAGATCCAGATGATCAAAGTGGTTGTGTGATACCAGCACGATATCGATCGTCCCCAAGTCAACAAGGTCATGGATCGTACAAGGCATAGGTCGCATACGATTCGGACTGAAAATACTGGGAATCGGTTGGTCGCCAAACACAGGGTCCGTCAAGATCGTCACACCATGCATCTGTACAAGGCATGTGCTTTGACCTAGCCATGTATACGATGCACCCGATTCAAACGCAGCAGGCTTGTCCAGATTTGATGGAGTAGATGTATCACGACTTGTACCCCACAACTGCTTCGTATCTAAGGGGTGCACTGGCAACACAGCTTCCAAATGAGCACGCCCTTTCGGGTCCTTCAAATCGTGTGACAAACCACCATCGAACCCAAAAACCTTGTTCCAAAGGACCGAATCAACCAACTTCCACCACATCCATTCCCAGATGCCTTGTTCACGCCACTCAGGTGTGACATTTAGGTAGCGACCGCAAAACTTCATCGAGCTAAAATGCGATACGATGTTCTTCCGCTCTTCAGAGGTAACATGCCCAAACCACTGCGATTCATCGCCATGGCGTTTAGGAAGCGGATACTTTCGTCGACGTTTTGCCAGCGTCGTACACCGTTTCAGTTCCCGTAGTAGATAGTACGTGCCCCAGGCACCAGCCCATACGCCAGCCACTACCGATATTATCCGAGCTGGACGTGTAAACAGCGGAGAAATCACCTTCCCAGGATCGATAGAGAGGCCAAGAGACGCCATATCGGCCAAGGAGAAAATAAATGCGTGATATCGTATGAAAGTGACGGCTGCGTGCACGCGCACTATGTCTCGTGTGCCCGTAATTAAACAAAATAATAAAACCCACGAGAATCGATTTAAAAAAATTCTCCCGCGGGGACTCGAACCCCGGACAACGGCGTTTCTCTCCGCAGTTAAGCGGGCCGTTCACAGGGGCAATCGCAAATTCGACCTCTATAAGCACCGTGTCATAAACCAACTAGACGACGGGAGAAGAAAATTACTTATGATTTCGTAAATGACTTTATAAGTAGGTGGCATATTACGTGGGTACTCGGGACGCCTGTATGGTATCTAGACCATTTTCATGGCATTATCGCGAGCATGCTCAGCCGAGCGCCTACGATAATGATATTCTCTTTACATAGCCGCAGAAACTAGCGAAGTAGTCTCGCACCCTTACAGCCCATGGCTGTGGGGACTCCTCTTGCCGTATGCGATCAAGTGGCTGTCAGTCAGCATGACCAAAGAATTAGGATGCACACCCCTTACGTCCTCCACCCATTATCGGAAAAAAACTCAGCCAACCCTAGAAAGCAAAACCCACGCCCATATGAAAAAGCGGCCCTGGAAATTATCTAAGCCAATGCAACGTCGCCCTCCATGCAGAAAAGTGCAGGACAGTATGCAAAGCCCTGGCCCCTGAAGTCAGTGAGGCCCCCGATTATAGTACGATATATGGACAGATAGGTAAGGCACACACTTCGCCATTGCTACGATCACTGTCAATACGTTGATCAGAATGACAAATCCACATCAGCGTATGCTTCGACATCGTCGCGATCAGGGCTCAAACAAGGCCTCTTGGCACGCATCGTCCCCACAAAATGCTTCGCCTGCATTCCAGATCAAGCAAGGGGAGCCAAAAGATGCCAACAATGCGCAAAATGCAGCATCTTCTGCCAAAGGCCAGAAGAACGAAAATGCAAATGAAAACAAAAGCAAACAGACTCAACCCTCATCCAAGGCGAATGGAAACAAGGGTACCAACGGCAATAATAATAATAATCAAAGTAAGTATAACAATAACAACAACAATGCGAAAAGCAAGGCCAAGGGTGCGCCATCATCAACAAAGGCCCAAAGTCAAAACAAGGGCAAACCAACTTCGTCTTCTGACAAGTTTTCTTATTCACAGTCGGTGATCAGCAGCCTGGGCCCTACCTCCAGCGCAGCAGCGAACGCCCCTACAGCGAATTTGCATGGAGGCTCGGCGTCGAATAGTAATAGCCTAAGTGGTGGTGCTATTGCTGGTATTGTGGTGGGATGTGTTGTGGCTCTAGCTTTAGTAGCTGCTGTGGCATGGCTCCTTTCACGCTGGCGTACAAAGAGTCAAAAGAAGGCAGTGGCAGCCGCCGCGGCCGTGCCTCCTCCCCCTCCTCCGATGCAGCAAATGGAATACGATCCATCGCAGCAATATGCCACATTCCCTTCGCAGCCATCGTTTGGCTCGACATACCAGTACGATGCGTATCAGCAGCCGATGCCAATGCAAGCAGGCACAACTTATATGGGCCACCAAATGATGCCTATCAGTGTCTCTGGTGTAAGCTCAGGTATGCCAGCTGTGCCCGTCGTGGCTAATTCATCCATGACAGCGGCAACGCCAGCCGAAGCAGCGCCAGGCAATATGGCTCAGCAACAGCAGCCATCAGCGATGACGCACACCAACATTACAGCGCTGGGCCCCATTACACCAGGCGACACGATCACCTCAAAAGGTGTGACAAAAAAGAAGACGCGCTCGAAGAGCTCATCACGTCGTCAGCCTGCACCGGCAGAGGACCCAAGAGCAACAGAAGGTACGCTGGAACCTGACACGAGCTTTTACAGCTCTGTGGATGGCAGTGACAAGGCGAGTGAGATTTATGAGGCTTATGCGCCCTATGAAGACAACTGGCTCGAAGTGCCGCCTGTACGCCGTGAGCGCCGCCGTCACCGCCGTCGCCATCACCAACGTGCTGAACAGCAGGGCACCGTTGCGTCGATGACAGGTGATACGTCCTACTCGAACGGTGACGAGGACCTCTCTCACTCGGATGGCGTGAGCTATCTGGACCAAAAGAGTGATTTGCAGGAGAGCTTTTTGCCTTATACACGAGCTACTGAACCGACGCAGCCTACCTATGTGTATGACCCTAGTAATATTGATGAAGACGCCGCGCTGGCCGCGGAGCGATTGCGCAACAACGCGCGATATGCAGCGCAACAAAGGTAGTGAGGAGGATGTGATATAGGATGTACTACTATGGAGCTTATCATACTGGGGTAGCAGGGGCTGACACGTAAATGAAGGCCCATCTGGAAATAACAACGGCGGCTTTTTTGCCCGCACGCGGACGCGCACGCGGTGGACAGAACGAGCGTGCCTACACGAGAGGCTTCGGCCGAGACGCCTGGGACGGCGACGTCGCTTTGCAAGATCGTCACGAGTTGAGCTTCTGCCTAAATGACACGCAGCGGCGCGTCGCCAATGCAAAGCAATGGCTACGATACGCCTGTGTCGGTCGTTGACCCTGAAGAATCAGACACTCTGGGTCCGTCGCTAGTTTCGCAACGTTTTCAATTCCGTCCTTACGAAGCAAATACACTGGCTGCAGGCTCAGATGAAGAGATACCGAGCCCGGTTTCACAGCCATTCCTATCTTCGTCGTCCTCGTCGCGCTCTCGTGCAGGTCGTTCGTACGATCGCATTGAATGGGCTGGTATGATTCCTTTCGCCCTTTTGTATGTATTTCACTGGATCATGCTGCGTTGGAAGACAATGGTGGCTGTCACTACATTCGGTACAATCTGTGGTCTAATGCTCTTCAACATGGACCGCCCAGAATGGTACGAGATTGCGTACTACCGTATCGACCCAAATGCACGTGTTCCTCTGGATGCGACGGGCCAACCGATCTCGGTACGCCCCTCGCATGCCATCATCCCGCCCAACCTGCAGCAGTGCCCTGGTCCGCATGGTAAAGTGATCCCTGTGGCACCTCTGAATGCGCACCCGACACCTCCCTCCCATCCTAAACCGATTGTAGGTGACTACAAGTTGGTGGGTCTGGATGGCAGCCAGTGCATTACGTACCGGGAACGGTACAGCATGTACACGGACGAAGCGCTTAACATTACGTATCGCCTACCGGAGGAACTGCTGAATCGGACACAGACCATTTACGACGATGATCCAGATAATCCGAAGCCATTGGGTGAGCTGTCCGACGATAGCAACGAGGATGCACGTGTGCAGCTGCAGTACGATCCTTTGATGGGTCTGCCCAAGCCCAAAGGCATGGGTCGCGACGAGTACGAAGATTTGCTGCGCCAGCGCCTCATGCAGCAAAACACGCGTGACAAGAAAGAAGTGTTTGTGCCTGATTGGCGTGCATTGATGGACGCATGCTACCAGCAGCACGTTGCAAGTCAGGATCGCAATGCGAGCGACTACGATGGCCAGCGGTACATGCTGGATCCTACAATCAAGCGCACAGCTCTGGTTATGCGCTCGTACCAAGGCTACCCATGGCGTGAGGATGATATCTTGAACCTTCGTGCGCTGATTAGTGAACTGTCGTTGAACAACCCCAACACGCCCTACGATATTCGTATCCTAGTGGAGGTGAAGGATCCGAATCTTAGCGTCTTTACCTCGGAATGGGATCGATACAAGGTGCTGGTGTCGAGTGTCCCTCGTGAATTTTGGGGTCTCGTGGAGTTTTGGTCGGAGAAGCAGCTAGAAGTGCTTTATGCAGGGTTGCCCGGCAAGTTTATCAACAATATGATTGCGCAGACTTCGTACCGTGCCTGCCTTATGGCGGTCCAAAAGTTCTGGCTCGACCACCAGGAGTACGATTACGTGTACAACTGGGAGATGGATGTGCGGTATATCGGCAACTACTTGGACTTTTTCGAGGGTGTGGAAGAATATGCACGTCGAGAGCCTCTGCTGGCTGGTATGGACAAGTACGAAACGTGGTTCATGCCAGGCGTCAAATCCTCGGAGGAGATTTGGCTAAGTGAGACTCGTGAAACGAGCAAGATTGGCGAGGAGGCCGATTTGATTACGCTCGGCCCGATTTTCGATCCACGTGGCAGCGGATGGTACTGGACGCACGATGTGCAAAACTATCCCAAGGGCTGGGACACGGACCGACGTGCTTCGATCGGTACCAATATGCGTATGAGCCGTGGCTTGCTGGAAGCGATGAACGTCGTGAATGCCGAGGCAAAAAAGTCTTTGCACTGCGAAGCTTGGCCTACTACCCTCGTCCTTCACTCGCAAATGGAGCCCAGCGATGATCACTCGTTCTACAAGCAGGCTGGGTTTACGTACACACTCCCGATTCCCTTCAAGGGTGTGTTTGCACCTCACCCGATCTACTTCCGTCATGAATGGGACCTGGAGGAGCTCAACCGCTTGCTTAACCGCCAGGACTTTTATGAAAAGAAGAATGAAAACTTGCACAAAGACTCGTCGTTCTACTACCATTCCCAGCATGCCAAGGAGCTGTACATGGGCTGGAAGAAGAATCCAGACGTGTGCCGTGCTCCATCCATGTTACACCCTATCAAGCGCGTCGATTAAAGATGCATTCATCATGAATACCTATCTACCCCTTTGTAGTATGTACCCTATTCGTTTGGCCGATCTGTCGTGTCCTCATCACGCTGCTGCATCTTACAAATCACGCGGTGCTGGCGCCGTGTGCGCGCCGTAGGCCGCCGCCGCTGCAGCACATGCAACAGACCTGTGTAGGTCCCTCGCGTAGCACGTGGCCACGTCGCGGGGGAACTGGGCGTCGCGCTGGGAGTGGGCACTGTACTCGTCATATGGCGCAAGAGGCGAAGGGCCATACGCCAATGGGCGCGCGTGGGATCACGAAGCAGCGCTTGCAAGAACAACGTCCAGGTCGTAGCACGGGGGATCGTCCCCATCGCGCGCATATCGGCCAGCATCGACCACATCGTCGGCAGCTGCGAAGTATGCTGCCGCTGTGCGTTCTGACTAAGAAATCGCTTGGCGTCCACACGACTGGCCATCGCAATGAACGCCTCAAAGCAAGCAGCCGTCGCAGTAGGGCCACCAGGCACCATGGCTTTAAGTATATCCGAATACAGTGCACCGAGAGCTTTGCCCTGCGGACCATACCCACGCACCATAGCACGCAGGGCTGTCGCACAGGCATACGGCGTAGGTACGATGCGGGGACGTACATCACGCTGCATCGTCGGTCGTCGCGCGCTATTCCGCGCAACAGCGGCTCCATAGGAAGACGTAGGAGCGTACGTGTGCGGCACAGAAAGAAGCTCCTCCATGCTGGATTCTCGGATACCAGGGAGTGGCTCAAAGCGGAGCTGCCATAATCGCAACGCTGCTTGCCAATCGCCGGATTTCTCCAGCGCACGTAACGTGGCTGTTTCCCATAAGCCATGGCATGGCTGCAGACGGCGTCGGAGTGGCCGTAGAAAAGCCCCAGTCGATACACGATACGCAGGCTGTGCATCGCTGGCTGGCATGAGGATGTGCGTATGCGACAGTGTAGCACAGAGCAATGTCGCTACAAGCTCCACAGGCGGCAAGGTGTTTCGCCGCAGCGCACCGAGCAACACACTGCGCATACGCACCGTATCCTTGGCGCGCTCATAGTAATGAAATCGCATCTGATCATGCTTGGTCATTTTCTGTCGTCTGGTCACAGCCTCGCCACGCGCCAATGCCGACGTCGTAGCATCCCATGGGAAAAACGCATGAGGATGACGTGACGTGGAAGGCATGCCTTCGTGCATAGGCGGATACCGCGCGCGAATCTGTGCTTGGACAACACGTTGAAAGAGGTGCGATAACGTTACAGTGTCGATCCCCGCGCGCTGCAGAGCCGCGGCGATGACGCACCAGTACGGCGCGGCCTCTGTCGTGCCGCCAAATGCGCCTTGGTACAGTGCGAGCAACGCACTTGGTATCGAATGAATGTACTCGCGCTCCGCTGCTAAGAGGATCGCTCGCTGCATGGTAGGGATATCGCCCGATCGTACGAGCCATGCCAAGGTTTGTGTCACGTCGTGATGTGTCCGTCGAGGCGCTTCCGACGCCAGGGGCGTTCGTGCCAGAAAAGTAAGCGCTTCTTTCACAGCACCTGAGGCTACGCACCAACGCGCCATGGAGGCATACTCAGCCAGGGGGGTATCTAGATGTGTTTCCAGCTCCTGTAACTGTCCAAAGAGTTTAAGCGCAGCAGCGTAGTCACCACGATGTATCGCTCGCTGCATGGACGCGACAGGCGCTGGCAGGGACGATACAGTCGCTGCGACCAAGTCTTTCTGTTGCGCATACTCGTCTGACTGCGATTCAAACAAGCTGTAGTCGACGCCTCGGGGATCTGGATCAAGATTGGCACCACGCAACGCTTGGGCACGCAAGAACTCGGCGGCCGTCACTGACGACATGCGCCGTACGCCTTTCGTATGCCATGGCGTGCGGGTTGCCCATGCAGCAGCGGTCCGCGTACGTAGCATGTCCCCACGTACGTACGTACGCTGCCACGACCACACAAGCCCACAACGCTGTGCTGTCCACGCACAAGGTCGTGCTCTCTGCCTAGAAGAAGATCGGCACGTGATCAACGCGACGACGGCGTGGCGCCTCCGCGCGGAGCCAGCTGTGCCTGACGTGGAGGTCACGCCGAGTGTTGTGGTGGGCGCCACAAGTGTTTCTTTCCTCTCTTACGCAACGTACACGCCCTATGTTCGTGTCAATGTGGGGCCGCCTTGCTGCGTGCATAGTGCTGGTGAGCACAACTCTTGTGCACGCAGCCCTCTTTCCCAAAAACAGCCCTGTGCTGGAGCTGACCAGTGCCAATTTTGACAAAGAAATCCTTCAGGTGGACAAACCGGCCTTGGTCGCTTTTACGGCGCCATGGTGCGGGTACTGCCAAAATCTGGCGCCTCAATACGCACGTGTGGCTGGAGAACTCGACGGTGTGGTGAAGATTGCCTACGTCGATTGCGAAGACAAGGCCTCGGCATCGCTGTGTGGCAAGTATGACGTCAAAGGTTTCCCGACGATCAAGCTGTTCCCTGCGACGAAGAAACGCGTGCCGCGGGACTACGTGGGAGAACGTCGCGCGAAGGCTATTATGGACTACGCATTGGATGCGCTTCCCGCGGAAATCATCCGCAAGCTCGATGCCGAGGGTCTGCCGCCCTTCCTTAGCAAATCGTCTGGCCCTGCCAAGCTGGTCCTGGTCTCGCAACTAGGAAAGACGTCGCCTATGTTCCGTTCTCTCGCACTAGACTATCGGCATGCGAAGATCCCCTTCGCACACATGTATGCCGGTAAGGAAGGATCCTTGGCGGCTGCTCAGAAGCACATCGATGAGCACTTGACCAAGGAGCGTTTGCCAGGTTTGTACTTTGTCAAGTCGTACGACGAGGCCACTGGTAAGGCTCAGGCTATCAAGTACCGTGGCTCAATGCGCTACCGCCAAATCAAGCAGTGGATCGATGAGCAGCTCGGTGATAAAGAGGCGCTGAAGGCCAAGGCCGAGCGAGAAAAGGCCAAGGCAGCGATGGAGCAGAAGGAGACAGAGAAGCAGCGCAAGCGCGAAGAGGCGGCGGCCAAGGCGAAAGAAGCAGCATCGAAAAGTAAGATGGAATCGGGCACGGATGCACATGACAAGGGCGATCTGCCTCCTGGTATCACCTCTGAACAATGGGACATGGCGCACAAGATCGGTGAGATGATTGGCGACGACGAGGTAGAGGAGGAAGAGGAGCGCGAGCAGAAGCGTATGCGTGAACTCAATAAGAAGCGTGTTGAGGCGCTTAAGCGTGCCCGCGAAAAAGTGTCGAAAGACGCTGGTGTGGACACGCCGCCTAGCACGCCTCAAACCAAGGAAATGCTCATGAATGAGCTCCAGGACCACATTGGCGAAAAGTGGAGTGTTCGTCTTGCCGAGCATGCCGACCAAGCGCGCCAGGCGATCGAGAAGCATCTGCTGGAGGATCCCGAGGATATTAAGACCGCGATGAACGCCGGTGAAGAAGGTATGATTCGCGGCTTGCAAAAGGATCTAGGGGAAATCGAAACGCAGCTTGAGGCGGGTGCGGACGAAGACGGCTATCCACTCTCCGAAGATGCCGAAGAAGCTCTGCGTTCGTATAGCCAGACTATTGCGGGTCTCATCCACACCATCCAGCTGCGTCTCGACGCACGACGACTCAACCGTGACGCGCGGGAGTTGGCCGATGAGATGCTTGGGCAGCATATGCACGACGAGTTGTAAAAGGGAATGTAGTGATATTCATTATGCATACATGAACGACACCATACGTGCGACGTGTGGTAGGCTGATGTTGAAAATGGGGTGAGTGGGAGCAACAAGCGCTTCGTCTAGAGCGCCCTGCCATGCGAGGCAGGTCGCATAGCATTGCCGCTGAAAGTCGTTATGCTGCGAGGCGGATCGTAACGTGTCGTACGCGCGCAAGGCAGTTTGCGCAGCTTCAGCGTGAGGCAAGAGCCTATGCTCACACAGCGAGAGACCGGACAAATTGTAGCAAGTATGGTACGCGTCCGGACGCTTCCCTGGCTTATCACGTAGGCCGCCTGTACGTGGCACTTGAGCTGCTACTAAGATGTAGGCACGTAATGCATCACGATCCAACAACTCGAGTCCACCTGCAGAGTCAGAGACTGTCTGCCACGACGCATCCGAGGCGGGCGAGGAGACGACAGGCGCAGGGGCAGGGCTGTGGAAGGAGGACTCTTGGGCTACAAGAGCCTCCAACGCTGTCATGAGGCCACCACCACAGAACCAGCCATAGCAACCGTCGACGAGTTTGTTTGTCCGCCCACGGAAGCCACCGCCTTCCATCGCTGTACCTTGAAGCGACGTAGCCCACCGAAGCAGTGGGCGCATAGCAATAGGTTCGGCATAGCGTGCGCCCAGCAATGAAAGATGGGTATGCGCAGCCAGTGCACAAAATGCATAGCCACCATGCGCCTCGCCCTGTGGCACTTGATGAGACACGGACACAGAGGGTACCAGACGGGCCCCGTCTGATTGGTACGTTGCAGCACTCTGTGCCGCGAAGCCGCCCTCATACGTCTGGCAGCTCGCGATGAAGGAGCCCATCCCATCAATGAGCTCTTCGGTGGCGATGCCCAGTAGCATGGCGATCACAAGGACACAGTACGAGGCACGTACATCGATTTCGCCGTGCTCGTGCACAAGAAACGATCCATCTGGTTGCTTAAGGCGCATCATCCATGCATAGATTGCCTCCCTGAAAGTCAGTGGCACTTGGACAATACTTACCGATCAATAGCATCCCAGCCACCGCGGCCTACATCGACGCTGTGGCCCGCAGCGATATCTTCGGCGCTGGGCATCGCGCCAGGCCCACCCACGATGGCCAGAGCACATACAGCCGCATACGTGCTCATCAAGTGTCCTATTTGCCCTGGTCCTCCGCCGAACCCACCCGTCGGAGCTTGGAAATGCAGTAACGTAGAAATGGCACGCGCTTGGTTCGTACCTTGCAGGGGTTGGCCCAGTAGATCCAGGGCATGGGCGACCCAGTACACAAGCCAGGCCCGATTTGCATCAAACGTTATGTACGGTGCAGGTAGTGGCTCTAGAAGACGGTGCAGATATGCAATGTGTTCATGCGCACGAAGCGTAGGAAGAGGCCGTGCGTCCGTGCCCACATACGGCTCGAATAACGCATGGATGGCTTCTTCTGTGTGCCTCTGCTCGATGGAGGTCGGAGAAGGGTACCAGTCGTCCGGTGTAGCCCACATACTTGGGAGGAACGAAAGAAGAAGGATGCCTTCTCCTCGTTGTCACCGTCGATCGACAGGCCATGATCAACTGCATGCCATTCTTTCTTTGTCTGGCCCGATCGCCCGATTTGATAGACAAAGATCTTTGAGGACTATGCAAAGCTACGGACCTCCGTCTCGCAAATATGCTCTAAAAAATGGCGGCTCACGCCTGTGACCAGCTCTGCATCAGCGCCAAAGGATGGCGCATTGGATGAGATGCCAGAGGCATGTAGGTATGGTAGTCGCACAAAGGCTTCGAGAGCCTGTCGATGCGGTGAAGAGGCGGTCGTAGTTTGAGGGGTATCTGTGGCAGAGGTCTTCTTCGTCGAGGTCAGCCTAGGTGCGGACGCCGCAGACTCGTCCGGCGCGCTGGGATGACCCTGCTGAAGTTGATCGACGAGGCCAGCTAAGTGAACCGTAGACACACTGTATTGCATAGAGAGACTCGCAAGTGCGCGTACTGTGGTAAGCAGGGGCAGTCACGTACCAAATCGGTCCATGGTCCATGTGCCCCACATGGGCTCATGTGTGATGGCTTCAGCGCGACTTCCCGAGGCAGCCTCAAGGTACAACACGCGACCTTGCTCGGCGAGCAACTCCATCTTGTTGGCATGCTTGCGCTGCTGTGAGTACGTATACTACGTACCAAACGAGTGCACATCTTCGTAAGTTGAGCCGATGCTTCTTCTAGCTGCATAAGGACAGGAACAAGGCGCGCGCGGCGCTGCTCTCCGGCTAGGGCATCGGTGCCAGGGATGGCCAGAGTCGCAGTAGCCACATCGTCCCATGCCTGTGCCATCTCTGAGGCCCACCGAATGCCATCGAGGGTGTGTTCTTCTTCCCATGCAGTGGCTTCTTTGAGGAATTCCTGCAAGAGAACGCGAAGCTTACGGTGGTGCGTGCCCTCTAGGGTGCGTGGCAACAGAAACGCATCGTGAGGATCGCGTGGCTCAGGGCGTGGTGACGATTTTGGGGTCCGTTGCGACGGAGAAACACTTCCTGCGCGTGATGCATGATTCTCTGCGAGCTTCTGGAAAGGGTTGGCCGCTCCCCCGCCAGCCCCTCGCTTGGCCGGCGTCGCGGGCGTTGGTCGTGGCATGCCGTACACTGAATTGGGCCCATTTCAGCGTAGTGAGCCCTGGGCTGCCATGTGGATCCTCCACATGTCCTGGCCGCGCTCGGTCGTCCGCTCGCCCGGCTTCTCTTTCCAGGCTGCGATGGCAAGTACTTCGCTGACGTCTAGCAGCGACGCGGCCTACCAGACGCTGCGCCGCTTGCTTCTAGCACCACCTGCGAATCGTCAGCACATTGAACTGCTCGATCGCAATGCACTGTATGGCTCCATTGGGCACTACTTGTCGGCCATGGCGCTGGTCAATGTGACAGAGTTTGCCGCGGCGCTTGTGACGTCGCCGGCACTATGGACGCCGCCCAGTGACGTCTCGCAGCATACACGCGATGCTGTGGAGCGGGCGAATGGCATAGCACAGGCGCTGTCGTTCGCTGTGAGTGAGCGCATGTCACTGATCACCAAGGTGCTACGTCGTCGCTCGCCACGCTCTGCACCCAAAGAGCTCAAGGACTGGGTCAAGGCGGTCCTCGATGGAGTCCACACGGGCATGTCGTACCCTGGCGCACGAAGCTCCCTTGCTCAGCTGGCGATGCTCACAGGCCTAGTGCAGGGCATCGCCCACGAACGCAAGAAACGGACCAAGTCCAAAGCCCGCTCGCCCCTCTCGTTCCGCCTGCGCAAGCTTGCTGCGATGCTCGATCCTGTGTGGGCCAGTGCGCTAGAGCCTGTTCTTACGCCTGACAAGACATGGGAAGCCGAATTCGGTGCGGCCAATGTCGCTGTGCGTACCGCCGCGCTGACGCTCGCGGCGGGCGTCGTTGATTTGCTCCCTGAGACGGCCATGCAGGCGGTATCCGATACGGCATGGATCGACAGTGCTCTTCCGCTCCTCCTCGACATTTTTGAGGCGCGTGGTATGCAAGATACCCTTTTCCACGACGCACACCCCCGTGCTGACGGCCTGCTTCTTCTCCCGAAAGGCAGCGTAAGTGAGCAATGGTGCCTACGTGTGCAGTCGCATCCGTTGTTTGCGCATGCCGGACCACTATCGCGCCTCATCTCTGCGCCGCTACGACGTCTTGGCGCCACGATGAGTGCGATGGACTATGCCAGTTTTCTGTGTGACCATCCGCAGGCGACGCTGCCGCATCTTCTCGTGGCCAGCGAAGCCTTAAATATGGCATGGACAACGTCGCCCCTGGCAAACGTTCCCGCTGACCAGATTGCCGAGGAAAGTCGCGCACTGACTACGGATCTATGGCACGTATTCAAGACGTACCTCTTTTCCGTGACGCTGCTTCTGGATGCTGTAGCGAATACCGTGGTGGAGCAATGTCCGTCGCCCGCCGAGGTGTACCCACCTGGCTCCACGGGGTCCAGGTCCGAGGTGCTACAGCGCGACTGGCCTGCGATGCCGACCAGCAATACCCCTGCGCCGTACCTGCTTGTCCTTGCCGCGACGCTACGCATTTTCGGTATGCTGTATTGGATTACATCGACGTTCAGCATGGACGGCTTTGAGTCGTACCGCGTAGTCTTTTACTCTGCTCTCGATGTCCTGAGTCGCGATGCCGAGGCATGCACGCAGCTTGTGAGTACCATGGCCGACGAGCTGCTCCAGCGCTATGACGATGTGCCAGGAGGTCGGTCAGCGAAGGACACGAGTTTTGGCCAGCGTATTCACGCGACGTTTTTCCTCTTGGTCGTCGAGCAGCTGGCTAGCGAGCTGCCTGATACGATGATTGATCACCTAGTCCTGCCCATGTGCCGGCCCTATCTGGAAGACACGCGGTTCCAAGATGCGTTCGAGTCGGCTCATTCTGTGGTCCTGGCATTGTACGCTGCCCAAGCGCCACGCACCAAGGCGCTAACGCCGTTCTATGTCCAGCTGCTGCTTGACTGTTTCCCAGCCCAGCTGAACGCCACGCAGTTGGAGGCGGCTCTGTCGACCGTCGTCGAGTCTTTGTCGGACCGCAGCGATTCGCTGGCGTGGTGGTGCATTGAGCAAGTGGACGAGGCGCTGAGTGCTGCGCAGGCGCAACACAAGGAAGATATTGCCCATACACTCGGTATTTGCCTGGCGGCCCTGGTCCCGCACGTCAATCTGGTGCTTCTGCGTGCGCTGCTGACCAAGATCAGTGCGCGCATTCTGGAACTGCCGGCGGCGTCGCCACCTCGCGTGCGGTTGGTGGAGCGTGTGCATGAGAGCCTTAGTGATATGGACGCCGCCACGCGATCTGAAGCCATGCACTGGTGGCTGGAGCAAAGTTCGCTATTTACAGAGGGTATGTAGAAGCCTACCACATAGGCCGTTCACATCGCGTTTCCGCGTGCGTCTGGACACACAGCTTGCTGCAGCATGGCTCCAGGCAGGCCATGCATTTGATGTCGCCCCAATAGCCACAGACGCTACATAAGGGCCGTGCCTTGTACGTGGGGGCATGGATGGTAAAGGTGGGTATCTGTGCTAGCTGGCCCAGCGATATCGCTTCGTCCAGGAGAGCATTCGCGCCCCGTCGCGACGAGAGGAGGCGACGTACGGCCGGCGACGTACGGTGGAGTTGTTTGTCCACGGCCACCGGGGGAGCCTGAGCATCGGACGCCGATTGCAACATGACATGCTCAATGGCCGATTCGGCGGTCTCGCCCGCCCCGCCCATGGCATGGGCCTGCTCGCGGTCTAGGGGGAAACATGCGGCGCCCATGTCCAGGAGGCGTCGAAGCCGACGTTGGCGGGCCAGCACAGCGCCCCGCTTCTGGCGCACTTCGCGCTCCGCCTCTTTCGCAGCCGTACGAACTGGCTGCACACGTATTCGTGCGCGCAGCGGTAGCTCACGTCCGTGCGCTTGCGCCGTCATGGTCGTCCGTGGCGTTCGCGAACGAAGGAGTGTGGAGGACCAGCCCTCTCACGTGAAGCGACGACGATGACGATGCCTCAGCTTGGCAAATGAATGGACGCCGTGTTTGTGACTAATTATAGCGGGGCCACGGCGATGCGTGCAATAAATAGCCAGCCTCTCCCCAAGCATGCATGGCGTGCATATAACTTGCAGAAAGAATGGGATCACCTATCGAAAACCAATTTTTTTTTTGCTGTATATCACATATGCACATATGAGCGCTAATTACGTCGACACGATGGTAGAGTCGTCGGAAAATCGTCCGCGGAGAATCGTGACATATGACTGGCTTCAGACGAACGATGTGGTTTTATCATTTTGGTGCAGGAAACTCTGGCATGAAACGTACGCCGCACGTAGAGGTGACTAGAAGCAGTTGTAGAATCCGCGCAAACTTAGTAGCCCTGTTGTATCGTACAGTGTTTAGTTCGGCATTCCTGTTTGAATTTGTCGCCTAATCAGGCTCTGCTCGACCTACAACGTGTTTTGTGGCCTGGAGAAAGGTATCTAGGTGCCGCACAGCTTTGCTTCTCTCTTTACTCTCAAGACTGTAAGGCGTCTGTACCTTCTCCTCGCCTCGCCCTCATCCACCCTCACCGCATCGCATTCGTTTTTCCTTGCTTGGCAGCTTTATCGCTCCTGGCAACTTGGGTGTGATGGAACAGTCGCGCCATGATGGAGCGCGGCCTCTCCGGTTAACGGCGCAGCAGCCTATGCTGAAACCGCCTATGAAGCCACAGTCTGCACAACGCATTCCTCGCACAGCCCTTGTCGATGTGAGCAACCGCGATCAGCTTGCACAGGTATGTTTATTTCACACACCTAACCCACTCAGCCTGCTCCAAACGTTGCTCTTCCTGACGCGTACAGCAAACCAGCGGCCACCATGCCTGCCTCGATGCCCCCACCACCGCGGCGCTCGACTGCTGTGGTGGAGCTGGGACCGACGACGACCACCGCGGCGCATGGCGTAACGTACTTGCCAGCTCGATCGTCCTACATGGCCGCTTCGTACACAGCTAGCAAGGAGAGCAAGACGCCTACCGAGCCTGCGAGTCGCATGTCGCTGCCCCCACCCGTGGTCCCAGCGACGGCCTCGTCTACGGCACCTGCGCGAACTGATTTGCCCACGGCACAGGATGTATCGATGACGATGGACACGTCTCATCCTTCTGGCCTCACAGATGTGACGCCAGACGACTTGCCTGTATCTCAGTCCTCGGCCAGCTTGCGCTCAGATGATACCGAGGCGCTGGCGGATATCGAGCTTGATCTCGACCCACAAGGCATCGTGACGTTGACACTGGAAGAGGAGCTGGTGGAACAGCGTCGTGTGATGGACATCTGCGACAAGTACGAAATGTCGGTCTTGGTCCCGCAAGCGCTCGCCGCGCAGGCGGTGCGTCAATCGCTCGTCCGCCAAGGCCAAATGGATGCCCAAGCCGCCGCGCATGACGACGAAATGATGCGTCTCGGCCTCGACACCGAAGAGGCGCGCGATCTGTCCATGGTGGCCGAGTACACGCAAGAAATCTTTGACTATATGGCATGCCTGGAACGTGAGTCTATGGCGAACCCCAACTACATGGACTTCCAGGACGAAATTCAATGGCATATGCGTGCTACGTTAATTGATTGGCTCCTGCAAGTGCACATGCGTTACCACATGCTCCCAGAAACGCTGTGGATTGCTGTGAATTTGGTGGACCGCTTCCTAAGCGCCCGCATCGTGAGCCTTGCGAAGCTCCAGCTTGTAGGCGTTACCGCCATGTTCATCGCGGCCAAGTACGAAGAAATTCTCGCCCCGAGTGTGGAGGAATTTGTGTTTATGACCGACGGCGGCTATTCCCGCGAAGAGATCTTAAAGGGCGAGCGGATTGTTTTGTCGACGCTCGAGTTTAATGTATCCACGTACTGCTCGCCCTACTCATGGGTTCGCCGGATCTCCAAAGCCGACGATTATGATATCCAGACACGCACACTGTGCAAGTGTTTGATGGAAGTAACGCTTTTGAATCATTTGTTCTTACGTATCCGCCCCAGCATGGTGGCAGCTATTGGCATGTATGTATCGAAACGCATGCTGGGCGGCGTATGGGACGATGCTTTTGTGTATTATTCGCGCTTTACTGAGACGCAGCTTCTTCCTGGTGCCAATATCCTGCTGGAGAAGCTTATGGAGCCTGGCTTTGAGGAGCAGTTTGTGTACAAAAAGTACGCCAGCAAAAAATTCCTCAAGGCGAGTATTTACGCACGAAACTGGGCGCTGCGTCACCGGACCTTGCACCCGGCGCCCTCGGACCCTGCCCTGTGAATACGCCTTCCTCGCATCCGATCTGTCTGCTCTGATACCCCTGTTTTATCTTGAGAGCATGCATCGCCGCCTTTCTTTTGTTCTTTCCTTTGCAAAGTCTTCTACGCACGCATCCCTAGTCTTTTCTCAAGTAGTGAGATCGCTAGACGAATTCATGCAGGCAAATGCCAAAAAGTTGTTGGTCAGCTGATCAGCCAGCGCCTCGAGTGAGGGCATCTGCAGGGCCGATTGCATGGTCTCGACCACCGCGCGCGTCTCGTCCGCTAGCACGGACCATTCGCTACGATCCGACTCGCACAACAAGCGCGATACATCACACGCCTGAATCTGCTCTTTCCAATGCCTCTGTCGTCCATTGACAGCCCTTGTGGTGTTAACAGGTACATACGTACGTAGAAAAAGAGATGTACACATTGGGATGCGTTCGCTGGACCTGCTGAATGCTTTGTGCACTCATTGTGCAGCTATGCAACACGAGGGCTGCGGTAAGGACCTGTGGGTGTACGTACGTGTCGTAGCAAAAGAAGGCCATGTTCTTGCTCGTTCCAGGAACTCCAACGTAGGCCCCACGGACCGCACGCTATGCATACTCACACTGCGACGTAGGCGACATGCTACGGCGACCTGCGCTTCCAGTATAACCATTTGGTGTGCCAACGGCGTTTGAAGCTTCGTCAGTTGACGTGGATGCGTATGGGGCCATGGCAAACGGAAACTGCGGTCCACGCCCACTTCGCCGACCAGAGCATGGGGGTATTTCGACAGGTAGGCTTCCAGTTGACGGAGTGCGGCCGCCAGCGAGATGGGCGTGGGCCATGCCGCATAGAGGGTCTCCTTCTCCGGCACGGCATCGCCAAAGAGCTCCGTGTAGTGCTCATACGCCGACGGTGGAGGATCATGAAGCGAGATGGTATGGACAGTCCATGGATGAAAGCCAAAGCACGGCACGACTTTGTCGGGGTATCTGTCAGCGATACGAGCGACCAGCGCTTGGTCCTCGGTGTCTGTGGACATGACAGCGATGTGCGCCAGCGGCACGTCCTGTGCACGCTGAATCCACGCCTCTCGTTCCCTTTCATCGTAGCAACGACCCTCCTCGGTAGGATGACAGTGTGACTGCTATGAGTGCTGCGATGCTACGCACATCGACCAAACGCATACGTGCGCGCCCAGCGGAAGGGTGGCGGCCTCGCCAGGGCAGCATGCGCCTGGGCCACCTTTATATCCCATCCACATAGGATATACACTGTAGGGCCAGCGCCGCGCCACCGGCCAGTGTCCACATCTCAACACCGCTCGCTGGATATTGGCGATTGTCCCTGTCGTCATGGACCAGTCGCTCATTAGTACGTAGCGCTTAGGGGACCTATACACTAACCATACCTCCCTTCGGGGGGGTCTACAGAGCTTGTCAACAAGGTATGTGGGACTCTTTCTGACATGGGTAGCTTCAGGATGCCTTTAACGATGTATGTGTTTGCCCTGGATGACAGGCGTACTTACATGATCCAGGTCGGTATTCAAAACCCCATCGATTTGCCACAGATCACTGTGCTAGGGAGTCAGTCGTCCGGTAAGAGCAGTGTGCTTGAAAACATTGTCGGCCGCGACTTTTTGCCGCGTGGTACAGGTATTGTGACGCGTCGTCCGCTGGTGCTCCAGCTGATCAACCGTATGCCCGCCTCGGGTGAGATGCCCGAGCCTACAGGTGAGACAAACCCCGATGAGTGGGGTGAGTTCCTGCACCTGCCCGGGGAGAAGTTCTACGACTTCCAAAAGATCCGCGAGGAGATTGTGCGCGACACCGAGCTGAAGACGGGTAAAAATGCAGGTATTAGTGCGCAGCCGATCAACCTGCGTATCTACAGTCCCCACGTACTGACGCTGACCCTTGTCGATCTGCCTGGCCTGACCAAGAACCCGGTTGGTGACCAGCCGAAGGACATTGAGCGCCAGATCCGTGATATGCTACTCAAGTACATTTCCAAGCCCAATGCGATCATCCTCGCTGTGACTGCTGCGAACACGGACTTGGCCAACTCTGACGGTCTGAAGCTTGCCTCGGAAGTGGACCCTGACGGCAACCGCACCGTCGGTGTGCTTACCAAGGTCGATCTTATGGATGCCGGCACCGACGTTGTGGACATCTTGGCGGGTCGCGTGATTCCTTTGCGTCTTGGCTACGTGCCTGTCGTGAACCGTGGCCAGCGCGACATTGATACAAAAAAGACCGTGTCGGCTGCCCTCGATGCTGAGCGTGAGTTCTTTGCGAACCACCCGAGCTACAGCAGCAAGGCGCAGTTCTGTGGTACACCCTTCCTGGCGCGCAAGCTAAGCACTATTTTGATGCACCACATCCGTAATACGCTGCCGGATATCAAGACACGTATCCAGTCGCAGCTGAAAAAGTTCGAGCTGGAGCTCGCGTCGCTGGGTGGCGCCATGGGCGACACCAGCTCGGGCAATGTGGTCCTGTCGATCATTACCGACTTTTGCAACGAATTCCGCCAGGTGATTGACGGCAACAGCAACGACCTGAGTGTGAATGAGCTGGCGGGTGGTGCACGTATTAGTTTCGTGTTCCACGAGCTGTTCAGCAACGGTGTGAAGTCGATTGATCCTTTTGACTCTGTGAAGGATGCTGATATCCGTACGATCCTGTACAACTCGTCGGGTTCGTCGCCGGCGCTGTTTGTTACGACGTCGGCGTTCGAGGTGATTGTCAAGCAGCAGATCCGCCGTCTGGAGGAGCCCAGTCTCAAGTGCTGTGCGCTCGTATACGATGAGCTGGTGCGTATTCTCTCGCAGCTGCTCGCGAAGAACTCGTCGTTCCGCCGCTTCCCTGCGTTACGTGAGCGCTTCAACTCAGTGGTGATCCAGTTCTTCAAGCGCTGCATGTCGCCTACCAACAAGCTCGTGCAGGACATTGTCTCTGCAGAGGCGTGCTACTTGAACACGGGCCACCCCGACTTTTTGTCGGGCCACAAGGCTGTGGCGATTGTCAGCGAGCGCTTCAATGCGTCGCAGGCGCAGCAGGCGCAGCCCGAGTTCCGCAGCGGCAAGCCGATCCCGCCCGGTCTTGCGAACAACAACAAGGACCTGGATGTGGAGATCAAGGAGTCGTCTGGCTTCTTCGGCAGCTTCTTCCCGAACAAGAACAAGGTCAAGAAGGGCGCGATGGAGCCGCCGCCTCCTAGTCTCAAGGCGTCGGGCACCCTGACGGACCGTGAAGCGATGGAGACGGACGTGATCAAGCTGCTGATTACGTCGTACTTCAACATCACGAAGCGGACTGTGATCGACATGGTGCCGAAGGCGATCATGCTCAACCTTGTCAACCATGCGAAAGAGTCTCTGCAGCGTGAGCTTCTGCAAGCGTTGTACCAGCCCGAGATCCTCAACGACCTCATGAAGGAGTCGGATCATGTCGTGGCACGCCGCCGCGAGTGTGTCAAGATGATTGGCGCGCTCGAGAAAGCCGCGGAGATTTGTGCTACTGTGTAGTGTTTGTACGATGCCTCCTTCCTTCTGATCGCTGTGCGCGCGCACCGCGGCAGCGGCGTGTCCCTGCGCGGCGTCGGACAAATCAGCGTGCATGCACGTGACATCTGACCCGGCGCATGGACGCCAGCGTGGTCGGTCGGTGTGTCGAACTTTTCGTAGTACGTACATCTTCTCGCTCGCAGCGCGATCCGTTTCATTGCTTAGTGTTCGTCATGTCCCAATCTACTGCTGCTCCCAACAAGGCCGCCGAGGTCGGATGGCTCTTTGTGCCGCAGTACTATACGTTGATGAACAGCGATCCGTCGCGCCTTCATTGCTTCTACACGAAGAAGAGCACCATGGTCCATGCATCAGAAAATGAAGACGCGACGCCCAATGTCGGTCAGCAGGTAAGTGCGCTGCCGCCTACCTTTAGGGACTAACACGCCAGGATATTCATGCCAAGATCGAGTCGCTGGGTTTCGAGAACACCAAGGTGTATGTCTCGAATGTCGACAGCCAGTCGTCGGCGGACGGTGGGATCGTGATCCAGGTGCTGGGCGAGATGTCGAACAAGAACGGCCCGTGGCGTCGGTTCGTGCAGACGTTTTTCCTGGCCGAGCAGCCGAACGGTTACTATGTACTGAACGATATCTTCCGCTACCTCAAGGACGAGTCGGAGGACGTGGAGCCTACCGAGGCAGAGCCTGTGGCCGTGGCCGAAGGCGCTGCGCCGCCTGCGGACGTGCCGGTACCGAGCGTGAAGGAGGAGGTGCCGTCCGGTGTGAAGGAGCCTGTGCCCACGCCGGCTGTCAAGAGCGAGGCGCCGATCTCCAGTGCCATTCCCTCGGAAGACGTCAGCAAAGCTGTGGAGGTGGCCGCGGCCGCTACGGACTCGACTGCTAGCGCGCCTGCCGCCGCGAAGGGCACCAAGGGCCACCATGCCAAGACGGAGACTTCGGCGCCGGCCAAGCCCGCGGCGCCCAAGACGTGGGCGAACCTCGCTGCGAGCGGCGCCAACCGCTGGGGCACCGCGGCCAGTGCCTCGGAGGCGTCGTCGTCGTCGCCCTCCTCTACCGCTGCTGCTACTGCTGCTGCTGCGCCGGCCAAGTCGGCCGCTACGTCAGGCAAGGGCGGCAAGGCGGGGGCGGCGTCCCACGGCCCCCACCATGGCGCGGCGACCGGCCATGTGTTTGTGAAGAACGTGCCTGTGCCTCAGGTCTCGCAGGATGAGCTGCGCAAGGCGCTGGAGACGCAGTTCGGCCCTATGAAAGAGTGCCAGCTGAACACGACCAAGGGCTTTGCGTTTGTCGAGTTCACGCAGCCGGACGCTGCACGTCGCGCTGTGGCGGCCAGCAACGAGCAGGGCGTCAAGGTCGGCCAGGCTACAATCGTGATTGAGAAGCGCCGCCCTACAGCCGAGCGGGGTCATCACCATGGCCGGGGCGGCAGTGGCCGTGGCAGCGGCCGTGGCGGTCAGCACCACCAGACTCATGCATAAGGCCTTCGCCCCCTTTCACCTACCCATCTCCATTATACCTTAGGGGGCCGTCCTCGCTGGACGAATGGTTGTGCATGGGTCCGTCGTACATGCCCTGCAGCGCACGCTGCGTCTTCTTTTTGTCTCTACCTTCTCTCCCTCCCATTTGTTCTTTCCATCGCCCATGTACGTACGTACCGTAGTCATCTCTACCATCTTTCTACGATGTACCATCCTCTATGTACGCATGCACGTCAGCGCTAGAACGAAGCAGGGAGACGCGGCTCCTGCGCTGCGTCGGCCACTGCTGCCGCGGGCCGCTGCGCGTGCTCGGCGGCCGTACGTCCACGGTTGCGCGACGTGCTCTGTGTCATTTCGTAGGCCTCCGCACGCACCGGGCCTGCCGACATGGGGGTCGGGTGCAGGTACTGCCGCAGCTGGTCCTCGACCATCGTACGCACCTCGCGCGTGAGCGTGCCTGCGAGTGTCAGGACCGGCGTCGTGAGGTTCAGACGCCACGTCACATACACACCCGCCAGCACCATACACAGCAAGGTAAAGTACAGCGGATTGCGCAGCACAGCCATCATCTCGTTCCATCCCAGCACCAAGAGCAGAGCATACATCCACGTAGGCACTTGCGACATGTTCGAGACCGTGCTGCGCTTCGCCTCCAGATAGTAGGCATCGGCGTCTTTGCGCAGACGCTGGCCAAGCTCTGTGCATCGCAGCTCCGAAAGCACCTGCCTCGCCTCCTCCCAGCTCGGCGTGTCGTCATGTGCGAGCACATCAGGAGCGGCAACAGCTGCTTGCGAAGCGGCCTGCAGCGGCGCTATCAGCGTCGGATCCTTAGGCTCCACCGTGGCGTACACAGGGATCAACGCCAGCGTCGCATCGCGCGCTTGGACGTACGCGCTGTCCATGTCATCGGTCGGCTTCCACACCCGCGGCACACCCGCCGCATCGTATCGGAATCGATCTTCAAACGTGCCTCGCAGACGCATACTCAGCACGGCATCCGACGTCTGCTCCTGGACTTTGGCCAGCCACAAACGCCATGCAGCATGCTGCAGGGCACGAAGAGTCTCAGCCTCCTCGTCAGGTGTATTGTTGAGACTCTCCGAACGAGCCTGGAACGTCCTCACCGCCTCGTCACTCACACGGGCAAACGCTTTCAGCACATCGTCCCACATGGTATCGCTGGGCGAGGCCAACGCCAGCTCCAACGGCTCCGCCATTTGCCGACGCATCTCCTTCTCAATGGCGTACGATACCTTGTGGCTCTCCTCTTTGCGCAGCGTACGCGCCGTCGCTTGGATCTCGTCCACAAGCTGAGCACGCTGCTCGTCCATGCGCCAGTCGGTATCCGACAGCAAGAGCGACGTCGTCTCGGCATCAAAGTCCGCCAACGCTTGCGCCTGCGCCTCCCTGGCTAACGCGCCAAAGTTGTACGATGGCTGCAGCACACCATCCCGCATCGCATGCTTGAACTGCGTCAGCAGGTGCACATGCATGTTCTTCAGCTGCGTCTGTACAAACGGCCAGAGAGACACATTCAGCTTCGATAGCAGCTCATTGCGCTGACGTGCATACACACCGTGATGGTAGCGACTCGCATCCCTGTCGAACATGGCCAGCGCCTCAGCGCGGTGCGTCGCCATCGCCTCCCCGAGGCCTGGAAGCACCTTGCCCGTCTCCAGCGAGGTACGCAGGGCCAGTACCGCCGCCGAGAATGCTGAGGAGGCGGCTGCTGCAATCTCATCGCAACGGAACTGCGCAAGAAGCTCCTGCTGTGTCGGCAAATCAAGATCCTTGTTCTGTACAATCTGCTCCCACACGCTCTCTAAGTAGTGCGGCAAGCCATCGATCGGAATCCGCTTGTGGTACTGTGTCTGGAACACATAGTCACGGTCTTGGCGGTCCAGGAACCGACGCTGCAGGTCTTGCACACCAGCATCAAACTCTTTCGCTTGCAGCACCTTGTGCGGTAGCGTAGTAAACATGAGATCGAAAAAGTCGCCCAGTTCTGCATCCTGCAGCGCTTCCGGTTTGGTCAGACTTGCCCAGATCCGCTGCAAGTCCACACGAACGGTGGTCTCCAAGTTCGACAACGGCGTCGTCCCGATAAAGTCGCGAATCACAAACAATAGCAGCGTCTTTTCCTTCGCACCGCCAGCTCGGGCACGTCCCGCTTGGAAGAGAGAGAGGTGTACGTCCAGCACCGTCTTCAGCAGGCCCATATTGGCACCCTGGTACAGACCCACTTGGTTCTCCCACATATTCACAATCAGGCACTCTGCTGTCGACAGCGCAAACAGGGCCGACTTGCGCTCAAAGTCCTGGTCCTCGCCACGCTCACGTCCATCCGTACCTTCCACATCCATCACAAGCACATTGCGGTCCATACCGCGACACAGCCAAATACCTTTGGTGGTTTGCTGTCGCGAGCGCTCATCCATCACATCAAAGTTGGTACCAAACAAGCGGTTGAGCAACGTTGACTTACCCGTGCTTTGGGAGCCAAGCACGGCACAAATATCGTAGCCGAATCCCACATGGTCCATATTCCATGCCTCCAAGTGCTCATGGAACTCAGCCGTATGGAATCGCTGCTTTTCGTCAATGAGCTGCAAGCGGTTGTGACCAGACGAGGTCGGCACCGACGATGTTGTTCCCGTCTTTTCCAGCGAACCGTCCACAGCTGCAGCAGCGGAAGGGATCACTTCCGCAATGCCAGAAGGTATCTTCGAATCCATGGATGACGGCACACTCTCACGTGGTGGTAATGCTGGCGGCTGACTCGCGCTCGGAGCGGGAGTGGCAATGGCTTCTAGCCCCTCAGCCTGAGTTGCTTGGCCCAACGGCTCAGAGGTCTTGTGGTTGGCTTCCATTACCAGATTCATCAAATCTTTATCTTCTGTCGCAAATGGAGTAGGAACCTCTTCCTCCTGCGCTAATATGTCACGCGCAAGCTTCACGTCCTGGTCCATGATATTGCTGTCACCAACAAGCGAGCGGGGCACAGACCTCGCGCTGTGGCCAACCGTCACGTGCCGCAAGACACCGGGGGTATTCCGCAGGGCAGCGCGGGGTGAGTGGCTAGGTCCCGACATGTTTATTCATGCGATCGAAGAACAACACTTACTTCCTGGCGTTTCAGGCCCCAGGGCCACACAAGGTCTACGAGTACCCTTTCTCCATGATCCATGCAAGAAGCTCGTAGTATTTTATAGGTACAAGGTGTAGAGGGGACACTATAGCAACATATTGGCGGACAGGCGTGTATGTATTGAGTGTCAGGGCGTAAGTACATGTCATAGAAGGCCAACTATTACATCATGCAACGCAAGGTCTGCCCCCGTGTACCTAGTATGCTAATATGTTACCTCTATAAGAGCATAACATCGCTTCTATTCGATATCCTAGCATTCGCTGTCTCATATGTGATACGTGAAAGAAAGCTAGTCACAAACGATGCCATCGCACAGGATAAATCAACAAGAAAGTATGCACAATGCACAATAGCAAGCAATGCTGATCAACAAACATCTTTTGATAGTCTAAGTAAAAGGCAACCAGGCGTCACTCTATGACCAGATAGATATGTTGTCGTAATGACCGTGATCCATATAAACCATGACTAAATCCCTAATATCATTAAATCAAGCAGATACCTGTCTAAGCAGGCACTGCACGCTTGCTTGCTTGCATCGTCTTTTGCGAGTTGCGTTAAGGTCACGTCCGAAGCAACCTTGATTTTGTGTATTTCCTTAAAAATTAAAAAATAAAAAAAAAAAACAAATAACATGTGCAATCAAGGATATCTTGCACTGTTAATAACAGTCAAAGCGAAAAAAAGTCCTGTAAAAATATTCAACCGAAGTGAAAGGAACAAAATGAACCAAACAAGATCAGTCCCAGCCTGACCTTGAGATAAAGTACTTAGTACTTGTAAAAGTCAACATTGATCAGTTCACCAACTTCAAGATCAGCAAGCTTCGAGAAAGCAGCCTTGCTAATATCGAACCAAGCGCCCGAGTGGCAGCCCTCGCACTTGTCAACCACAGTGACAGTGGCCTTGTGGCCGTAGTAGTCGAACGTGATTGTGTCACCACAGCCGTAGGGGGAGTCCCAGCCCGTAGCCGCCACCATGTCCTGATCAGTCGGAGTCGGCCCACCGCAGTATGGGTTCGACAGACTGTTGCCGCTGTACCAAGTAATCTTGGCACTGCGAGGGTGCCAAGAGCCACGCTTCTCCGCAGGGACAGGAGCAGCAATGACGGCGGTAGCAAGAGTGAAGATAGTAGTAATGATAGCGGCACGCATCTTGAGAAAGTTTCTTGAAGGACTAGGGCGTGGAGGGAAAGGGTGGTCTTGAAGGGAAGTTTGGGTTAGAGGCAAGTGTTGGTGTCCGATCCCTTTTAAGTAGTCCCGTTGATCAAACAATCCGTGTTACAAAGAACCACAGTAGAAAATGAAACACCCTCAAATTGCACTGCTGTGACCCTCTTTTTTGGCGCGTCGCCTAAACGTTTTCCGCTTAGAAGTAACACTTGCAGCGCGCAGGCGTGTTTTGCAGACCAATTGTGAAAGTCGCCCAGTTGATACCGTGCAAATCATCACACTAGGGTCTGTCACATGCATCTTTAGTCAGCAAAAGCCATTTTGCAGCGGTGTTACAAAAAGAACAACACGTTCCTTTTCGCAAGACACCCTTTTTGACTGGAATCCAACCAATAATCATTTGTTTTGGAGATCACTGGAGGTTGTCGAAAGATTGTAATAGAAGTTCGATATCGAGGGGTCCTCTCTTTCGCCCAGTGCCATGCATAGAGAGCCTTTTCTACTTCTTCGTGATATAGTGGGCGTTGTAGAGAGATCGCATGGCGTACATCGATGAGTCAGCATCTGTGTGGATTAGAATCCTTGTAGCTGACTCAGTATTATAAATTTTCTTTTGCCGTTACAAAAGATGGATCTCCCGCCGCAGTGGTGCTTTCAATTTTTTGGGGAATACCCCGGGATGCTGAGGTAAAAATTGCACGCATGATCTCTCTTTGGCACAGTACCTTGATTCTTATTAATCTGCTTTTATTTCCTCCGGTCCTGGTCGGCCGACAGCTTCATTGGGTGGGATTGCAGCCTAGCGTTGGGGAAACCGGCTGCTAATACTGGTCTTTCCAGCTCTCATTCGTGAGGCAAGGCTTTTCAATATCGTTTCCTCTCCTTTACGTTCACTGTATTGACTGGCAATCCATGTGTTAAAGGCATGGCACCTTCTCCGAATTTGGGACTTACAAGCCCAATGATTTCCGATGATGGCCATGACCAAGCCACTTTGCTATCTGAGTATTCACACAGTCGAACACCGACGCCACCGAGCCTCGTATCAGGCAGCTCGCCTGAGTCTGTCTTAGAGCAGGACGATTCTTCGTCCCGTGCTGCGACGCAAACACCACCTCCTGTGACACATAACCAACGCACTGGATCTTCTGACGATACATTCTTGCCGGAGTGGGCTACATTGTCAGCTCCCTCTGCCCCATCTGCCCACATGTCTTCTTTTCATGACGAGACCTTTCATGGTCTTATGCCCGATCATGCTAGCTCCCATTTCACTAGATGTGATTCACATGAGATGCCCAAGCCATCTATGGGCGATATGCACGGCTCACTGACCATGGACTCTGATTTGCCAGCACAGCCATGGGTTCATGACATGCAGCTTATGGGTATGTCCAGCTCCCATATGATGGGCCAAATGTCTGTGACTTCTGAACCCACCCAAGTGTTCGCTGGTATGGTGGAACAAGCGCCATGCGCTCCTTTGACGGCTTTCGAGACGACACAGACGTTGCCGCCTATGCCAGATGTATCGACTTCAGGCCCGCAAGGCATCGCGCCGATGATGATTGAAAAGTCGGAATCTGTGCCTCAGATACAAGCATCTCTTCCACCTACACAGTCTATGCCATCCAATGAAACATCGTTGGGCTTGACGTCGTCGCGTGTCATTCGTCCCAATCGTCACCAACTCCCCTCAGACATGAAGATTATTGTAAATGGTGTGCCTGCCAAAGGTGCCAAGTCGCGCGTTGAAACACAGATTCGTATGCGTCTTGAGCTTGTGGCGCCAGCTCCCATGTCCGACTCAGCTGGCTCTGTGCAATGGGAGCGAATTGGTTCATTCACACACATCAAGGTCCCGCCTCTGAGTGGTACCAAACGCAAGTCAAAGAAGCACCAGAAGTTCAATGTACCGCTGGACTCTATGCTCATTATGGAGGCGAATGTGATCAACGCTACGCCGCCCCATGAGCGCGTCTATGTATGCAACAGCTGTCGTGAGCGCGAACGCAAGCGTGCTCACAGGAAGAAGAGCAAGAACACCACGTCGACGTCGAAGCCGACAGAGGAGGAAATGCGTGCGTTGAACATTGACCCAAGCTTGCCCAATGCTGTCGAATTGGCTGCTGCTCGCATGGAAGAAGAGGAGCGAAAGCATGCTGTTCTCTTCAACTGTGGCGACTATGTGGACTTCCAAGATGGTGAAGTGATCCTCTCCACTCGTATTACTTGCTATTGCCGACACCATCGCGAAAAGGTTGGGTTCCACATTGTGTTCACTCTGCGCAATTCTCAGGGCGACTTTATCGCCACGGGCAGTACTCCTCCCATCATGATTATGGATGACCACAAGTCTGTGTCTCAAGGCACGTCATCCATGCGCACAACAGAAGGTCGTACGCGTATGCCGCAGACAGATGACCAAGTGACATCGCCGAAGAGCATTGATATGGGTCGCATTCGTGATCGTGCGAAGCCATACAATGACATGAACCGCCGACGTCAGCGATCTATGCGTGAGACACCACAGCCAGGATCGATTGATCCTTCGCGCATGTCGTTTATGGTTGACCAGCAGCCAACGTCGTCGTTCTTCGGCATAGATGCAACCCCTTCTCCCATGGAGAGCTTCCCTCAGACTGTGTCACCAGCAGCTCTAGCTGAACAGGCACCGACCATGTCTATGACGAACGACACGTCGTCCATCAATATGGATCACCTGTTTTCACCATTGCACTCATCAGTGGAGGAGAGAGCAGCTAGCGAAGCGGATGTATCTGCACGGGATGATTCCCATATGCCACGGATCACCAAGCTTGTGCCGGCAGAAGGGCCCACGACTGGTGGTATCGAGATCACGATTCTGGGCGAGAACTTCGTGGATGGCATCCAATGTGTCTTTGGCGATACGCCAAGCTCTGTCACGCGCATATGGGGCAGTACAACGCTAGTGTGTCTCTTGCCGCCCAGTTTCCGGCCTGGTCCAGTGATTGTCAGTTTGCAGGGACTGCCGCAAACGTCGTTCCCAGCTTCGACGGACAATCAGCCTCTTCAGCTGTTTACGTACATTGACACCACTGATCGTGCGTTGATGGAGTTGGCCTTGCAAGTGGTCGGCTTACAGATGACAGGCCACATGTCGTCAGCGCGGGATATTGCTATGCGCATTGTGTCTGCGTCGCAGAACCGCGATACAGGCTCGAATGGTGTCCCCACATACGATGCATCTTCCATCACCTCTATGCGACAGAATCTTGTGTCCTCTGGACTGCGCCTGTATGCCCAGACTGGCAAAGGCAAAGGCAAGATGTCAAGCGTGCAAGACTCTTTGCTTGGCTTTTTGACGCTTCTTGATGTGGACTTGGATGGTGAGGAACTCCCCACTGGCATTCATCCGCGCTCCGACGCTATCCATATGTGCAACCAGCGTGGTCAGACGCTCTTGCATATGGCTGTTATGCGGAACTTCCACCGCCTAGCGGACGAGGTTTTGCGTCGTGGTTGCCCTGTCAACGCACATGACGTGAACGGCTATACGGCTCTCCACTTTGCTGCGATGCACGGCTGGGTGAATATGGCTCGCTTGCTCTTACAACATGGCGCCGACCCATGGGAGCTTAACAACGAGGGCTGTACGCCTTTGGATATGGCGCGTCGTTCCGAAGCAATCGATGTGGAAGAGCTTCTCGAGCAGGTGACTGGATCAGAGGAGAATGCCGATTATGGTGATGAGACCTCGGATGAAGAAGAGGAGGACGAGGAAGAGGACGAGGAAGAAGATGAAGAGGAGGATGCATGGATCTCGTACGCGGACCTTGCTGAACAAGCTCGTACTGCGTCGGCTTCGTCTACGGCTCAGTCCGACGACAAGGACGAAGTGCCTACTGTAAAACGGTCATCATGGACGTTGGGAGGGTTGCTGGCTCAGCGCCGGCATGCCAGCCATGATGTACCATTCCTGCGTAACCTTCTGGGCTCGGACTCGGAGAAGAGCCAGGATGCACCATTGCATTCCCCTCCGCCGACCTACGATGAGGCCACCTTCGATGGTACGGCCTCGAAGCATTTGGATGGCGAGAAGCTGCTTATGGATTCCGAATCAGCTCTACGCGCTGCGTCAATGCTACCTGCCGACGAAAGCAGACAATACATGAAGCGTGTATCCCTGCGCGCCACTCGCTCTCGTCGGGCTGGTCGGGACCGCACAAAGGATACAGCCACGGAAACAGTTGTGCGCACTCGCCAAGGTGTTTATGATGACCATATGCTTCTATGGTTCTGGATTCCTGCTATGCTGAGCGTATTGCTGATTTCCATTGCGATCCAAGGCGGTTTCTTGCTTTCATCGCAAGTGGAAGGTACCTCGATCACGCAAGTTTTGTCTTGGTGGTAGAGTTCTTCAATTGTCTTTGGTGAAGGTCGTTCTTTTAGTTATTTTGCATGCTACTATCTTGTTCTTGTATGTCAACATATGATATTTTAATAGAGCGAGCTTGCTATTTTTTCATCTCCTCCAAGTCCTGGTATGAGCAGCGGGGTTTGACGTACCGTGTGTCCGGTGGACCTGGCATGCGCCACCGCCTCTTTTTCACCATGTAGCCTTTCTCCACAGGCATTGCAATACAAGGTGAATGTAGCTGTTGAAGTCGTGCTATGCATGTCAGGAATAGAGGCACGTACTAATTTCGCTGCTGCAGCTGATCGACCAGAGTCTGACACGCATTCTCACAGTCGCTCTCATCAGCTTCATCAAATATGGTTGTGGTCGTCTCGCCCTTGGCTACTATCACGTCATAATGAATCCCGGTGTATGCCAAGATCCAGAGTCCCTTTGCGGAAGATGGTTCTCCCAACACATGCCGAACACCACTTGCTACGTCCCAGCACCATATTTGGACATGATAGTGAATAGAAGCCGCTAGTAGTTCAAGATAGCCACCCCATGTGGCTGGTTCCATCAACTTGGCAGTATACGCTGCAGGATCAGCTCTACATGTCAGCGATGCTTTGTACACCTACCCCAGCACTGCCTCCGAAAATACCGCATCATTTTCTTGAATAGTATGAGCGATGATCTGACGGATCTTTGCAGCACCATCTTGTGATATGCATTGAGATTGAACAAAATGCAAAGCATGGAACAAGCAGCTATTATCGTCAGGCATACGACCTATAGTTAGCTGAGCATTGTTTTTCCATGGCACAATAGGATCCAAAGGCGCTTCGGTCTTGTCAATCAACAATGTATCTCCCGCTCGGATCGAGAACGGCGGGTCACATAGTAGTGCCTGTGGCGGCAAGTCCGCGGTAGTGACGGGGCGTGGGGGAAATCCTGCTTTGTCTTGGATTAGTTGCCATTCCGTTGGTTCTTCATACACACAAGCCTGTTTTTCTGGAGCGATAGAAGACACATCAGCTACGTAAGACTGCAACTCTTGCCATGTCGTTTGGGGTCCCACGCGCAAGGTGGCTACTCCCTGTGGGTGTCGCAGCCGGATCATGGCCTTGGCTCTATGTGTCGCTTGGCTTGGCAGGCGCAATTATAGGCTAGCCTTATTGCCGCTTGCATGCATTTGCGGCATTTTGTTATATAATACTTACGAATACCATCTGGCATAAATTGCGCAATGCACTTTGCGCACTCTGTTTTAAAAGAAATGGATGGCATTAATCCCTCATCTTTACATGGCTCCAATCATACACAGAAGAATTTATGAGCAATACCCAACCCCGTATTTATTGGTGGCATAAATCTCTCAATTTTACTGCTAGGACTGCACTGTGGCGGAGCTCAGCCTTGGTTGCAAAAGTATATATAGACCGTCTTCCGGGTCGTACGACCACCACCAACTGAACTTTGATTATCAACATGTCTTGCCCTTGCCCTAAGCCTGACTCTACTGTTTGCGGCTGCAGCTCGAAGTGCGGCTGCTCGACTACCGGCACCTGCTCGTGCAAGTGGTATGTATTAGATCAACATGGACAAACGCTAACCTCTACCAGCTCCCCTTGCGGCTGCTCGGGTGACAAGGCTGGCTCGTGCTGCTCGAAGTAAGCTAGTAGCACTTTGGCCACAGCCATGTACCGCCTTCTGATTTTGTAAAGCGGTATTTTCGCTTTATTAATCATGTACCCCATACCAATTCGATAGTAGTGTATTTGATCTACTTATTGTTCACGTCGTACAATATCTGGACCTGTGCCATCGCTGAGCGTAGTGCTCCTGCAGAAGTGAGCATCTCCTATACGTACGCTTATGCCATTCGCCCCAAATCACGCCACTGTACAATGCCGTAGTACCAAACCACGTGCACGCAACCATTAGGAGGGATGTCACAATGGAGGGCGCCACGCTTCGGCCATACCGCAGCCATGCACTCGCACACGCGTTGGCAGCGACCAAAACTGTGAGAACACCAAGGCAGACACCAAAGACGCTGAGGTGAGTGTATTGTGATGCCTTGGCTTGATGTAAAGCTTCATGGAGGATGGACAAAACCTTTTCTAGTACTGACCGACGTTCTTCCTCGGTGGCTTGGGGCCGTGTTGCACTGACCCCTGGCACCATATGGAATGTTGCTACTACGCCAAAATGATCGGAGTAAGACACTTGTAGATCATCCATAAGCTCTGTGAAGGCCAGCTCATGCTGCACACACTGCAAATGCAATGCTGCTGCTGCGGGATTGCGATAGAGGATGTAGTCCAATCGTTTGCCATTATGCTTGAGCGCCTGTTCATCGAGTTTTTTGCCTTTCGTCCACGTATTCTGTGGGCTATCGCAGCTGATTCCCACTTCTTCTGCCGTGCCATGTACATCAGCAAATGAGTCCCGGAGCTCTGCAATATGCTGCAATACTGACATGCACAGTGATGAAGGCAGGGAATTCAAGTCACCTATGCACAAGACATGCCTGCCCTTTTCCACACTGGCATTGCATCTCTGTGCAAGTTCATATGATTCGTATGTGCGATGAGCCCGGAGCGATTCAGGTCCGACTTGGCCGCCCAAGGCCGTGAACTGAGGTGAGTATTTATAAACGTACATGTGTGTTCCATACATCCACCAGGCCAAGAGATGGGTGCGAGATGGTAACGCACCCACAGCCCTTCCCTGCAATCCAATCGCCTTGGCTCACATAGACAGGCGTCCCGGTGAGTCGATACTGGTACGTATCCATACTCACAATAGGATGTCGCGATAGGATGGCTAGACCTGAGCCGAACGCTGCCCTATACTGTGAGTCATCCTGTGACATACGTAAAGAAAAATTGCCCATAGGGATAGACCTCCTTACACACTGTGCGCATATAGGTCCAATCCTCCGACTCAACCCAGATTTCCTGGAGGCCAATCAAATCATACTCCGATTCAGCGAGACGATTCGCGATGGCTGTTAGGCGTTCCCTACGAAGCTTTGAGAAGAATTTAAGGCCCCTACTGTCAATAGGGGTCATGCGTACCAGCAATTGAGCGTCAAAACCCGCAGGGTCTGCTTTCGATCTGTGTCCAGCGCTGCCATGCTCGTCAGGGGAGACTCCTTGCTCCACGTTACGTTGTCCGTCCCACGTAGGCACGGACCTGTTGTTATACGGCGGCCTCCACTTCCTTGGACTTCACCGACGCGATGCTCCTGCAAGATCCGCCGAAGCTGTATGTATAGTGTGAACGTCCTCACAGGCTAGAGCTACGACGCGGCGCCCGAGCTGGCGTATAGCATTCGCTGTACTAGCATTTGTGCGCATACTCAGCGCATTATGGATGATTGTGGGTGATTGTGATGAAGGTTTGTTGTGATGTACTTATCGCAGTGTATAATTACTGGGAGCCATTGCATTTACTAGCCATGCACAAGAGTACGGATGAAGATACCGCTTTTGAGACATGGGAGTATGCACCGCAATATGCTATCCGTTCGTGGGCCTACATTGCACTTCATGCGGTTATCCCGCGCGTGGTTTCCTATTTGCCAGGGCCGACTGTACGTCTCCGTTTCCTGACCCTAGTACCTTGGATTCTATGCTTTGCGTGTAACGCTAGCTCTTATTTCAGCTGCATGTGATACCGTACTGTATGAACAGGTAGCACGATACGTCCACGTCCGTGTCGCGCGATACATGCTTGTTTTCTTGGCAGGGTGTGCTGGCATGTTGGGCGCTTCTATCGGTACGTATGTGTATGCTAATAGTAGCGTTCCTACCTTCCAGTTTTGTGATGTACACAACCAGTGTAGCGGCAGGTATGGCAATGCGCCCTGCTTCGATGCTGTCGTCGCAACGTACTATTGTAGCGACGTTGGCCTTCGCGCTGGGCGCGTTGGCGGGCTGGCCATTTGCTCTGCTTCTTTCGCTGCCATTTGTATGGGAAGAGCTTCTGTGCCGTGGTGAAGATGCAACGTTGGCTCTCTTCCGCCGATGTTCCAGGTGGGTCGGTGCTGTGCTTCTTGCTATTCTCACGCTCGCTATGCCCATTTTGCTTGTCGACTCCCTCGCCTATGGCCGCCTGGCTTTGGCCTCGGTCAACACGATTGTGTACAATGTCTTAAGTCGTTCTCGTGGTGTTGGCCCTGAGCTGTACGGCGTAGAACCTCCGTCGTACTATGCCATGTCGATGCTCTTGCATATGAATGTGGTGTTCCCTTTGGGACTGATCGCCTTGCCACTGGTGGGACTGGCGGCATGGCGTATGCCCTCGCGTGTGGCTCAGCCTGCGTCGTGCCATGGTACGTCCCACGCGTATTTGCTCGCTCTGCGTGTACTACCTGTATACCTATGGCTGGGCGTTCTTGGTATGCAAGCACACAAGGAGGAGCGGTTCATGTACCCCATGTACCCCTTGCTTTGTTTTAATGCGGCGCTCAGTTTGTATCTTCTTCGTGCCATGCTGGAACAGATGTACATGCACATCACCCATTCACCTTATCGTGCTTCGCGCACCATCCTGTTTTCTTCTTGTACGCTTGTGCCCCTTCTCGCTGCATGCATCCTCGGGGCTATGCGCAGTATGGCTCTTGTACAGCATTATCATGCACCGCTATCTCTGGGTCATATCCTTTCTTCGCTACCGGAGTCTCACACGGTGTGTTATGGCAAGGAATGGCACCGGTTCCCCTCCCACTTTTTCGTACCGCCTTCCATGCGGGTCGAGTTTATTCCCAGTGCTTTTGATGGGATCCTTCCGCATCACTTCACACGTGGCTCGGACCGATGGCCGGCGCGTGCCCCGTGGGAGCAGACATTGACACAACACCTGGCCCCCCTCACTTGGATGTGGCCCTGGGCTTCGTACACGCGCCAAGTGCCACATCATGTAAACGATCGCAATGAGATGGAGCTCGATCGATATGTACGTTGGTTGGTACGACGACACTTACACACAGGTCCCTCTGTCTACATGCACATTACTTGTGGATGTCGATAGGCCATGGCGCGAGGTGGACAAGCGCGAGCCTCGCTACCGTGATCAAACTGACGAATGGGCGCCCCTCGCATGCCGCTCCTTTTTGGATGCGGAAGCCAGTCGCACCGCTGCCTCTCACCTACCGCGCTGGCAACGTTGGCAGGCCATGCTTGCTCGTACGCTATGGCTTCCGCCATGGCTGGCTGCCCAGGTGCCGTATTGGGATGATACCTTACACTATGGCGACTATTGTATTTTGCAGCGTAGTTCGTCGTCCTCATTTCCGTAGTGTGGTAAAGAGCGACTGCCATGGCGCATTCTCATCATCACTGCCTAGCGCTGCATGTACATCGTCTTCCTGGATCGCCAGGAGGAAACGCGCATGGGCGCCACCGCGCGCATTGCCTGCGCCACTTCCCACCGCAATCACGAGACCCAACGCACAGAGTGAAGCTAAAGGGCGCAGCATTTCATCATCGCTGTAGTTGGGTTCAGTCATACCGCATCGTGCCACCGTGTGTGTGCGACACAACGCAGCGTGGTGCGTCAGCACTTCACTCCATACAACCTCCGTCACGCCAGAACGACGAACACAGGCAAACATGCTAGCGAGAAGCAGCTTCGCATGCAAGGACAAAGACGCCACATGCGCTGCCCGCCCGGAACGTGCCATGCGGTCCATGACCTCGCGAATGTCGAGAATGCCCAGTGGGCTGGGCTCCGTATGCTGAGCGATGGCACGCTCTTCCGCCATCTCGACAGCACGTCGGCACACATCCAGCATACGGCGCGCATCACCCGACACATTGGCGACACGCTTCGACGCAAAAATCAGCGCATCCAGCTTGAACACTGCCTCGCATCCACGCGTAGCCAACGCCTCACTGCACCGCTCGCCGTGCTCGCCCACATCGAGTCGAGCACGTACAATGTCCAGGAGCTGCTTGTCCGTGTACGGCATAAAGGGAATACGTGTCATACCAAGCCGACTGGCCACCTTCGGCTGCAATGTCCGTTCTGGCAAGTCCATCGTATTCGCGACGGCCATCACGATCAAATTGCTTCCTGGCAAATCGGGCCAGTGAAACATATTGTAAATGACATCCTGCCGCGACGTCACAAACAGGTCCAATTCATCCATCAACACAATTGTCGGCGTATGTTTCGCGCCGGTGCCTGCGTTAAAGTACGTCGACAAACGCTGCAAAGCGGCGCGTGGATGCAGACGTTTCCCGCCGCCGGCCATAGCACACCATAGCTCTGTATAGGCCTGCATAGGCGAGGCCAATTTCATGCCATTGATCTCGACGAACGTGAAGGACGGGACTTGCCCTGCCTCACGCTGGGACTGCAAAGAGCGAATCGCTTCGCGCACTGTGGCCGTTTTGCCTGTGCCTGGGACACCACAGATATATGCACATGCACCGACGCCAGATCGCAGTGCATCGATCATGCACTCCAAAACGGCATGAAACTGCTCTTGTCGACAGGGCAGAGATTCGGGCGTCGCGCCAACGTGAAGCAAGCGTCGCGCTCGTTCATGCGGCGACATTTTTTCTAGCACCGATACAGGCAGGGCATGGACAGAGTAGGGGCGGTCAGGGAGTGTAAGGGGCGGAAGGGAATGGGCAATTCGTGATGCTTCTTGCTTGGACGGCGCAGAGGTGGAAGGGGTATGGGCCGCCGTTGTCTTAGGCTTTTTGGGGGTCGATGTCTCCAAGGACAGGGAAGTACGTCGCTTGGCCGCTGTGTCTGATGATGTAGCCGGACTCGTCTGGGACGTCGTTGCATCACTGTCTTGTCGACGCAGTCGCAACGACCGACGCCGCGGCGTGGCAGGCTCGCTCATCGGCGGCGTGTCCCAAAGACAGGGCCGCGTCGTGCGGAGGTATTATATACTATACACACCTACATTTCATCCTCCGCCTCCTGCGTGCTGCTGGGGAAGCCGACGTACCAGTAGTCCGGTGGGGTAGGATCGTGTACGTCGGAGGTACGGTGTCGTGAAGAGGACGTCAAAGTAGTCGTAGGGGTAGTGGCTGCGCGGCCCACCGCTTGATAGTACTGTATGTAAGTCAGCGACGGGGTACCTACAGCGTGACAGCAGGCGCAGTCGGGGGCATGGGTCGTAGCCGGGGTATCGTGGTGTCGTGTCTTCGCAGGCCGATCCGTGGAATCTGTAGCGTAGCGTCCCAGTCCTTTAAACATGGACGGGTGTTCCTGCATCATCGAGCGGACCTGCCGCCGGTGTTCCAAGATCCGCTCGCGCGATTTGCGTGGGCTGACCAGGACGCGTTTCGACGGCGAGGTAAGGGGCGAGGACGTACGTGCCTGCTTTGCTTTCCGCTCACGTTTCTCTGTCAGCCGTCGCTTCCACCACCGCTTGAACTGGCGCCATGCCTGTTGGTCCTTCTCGTACTGTGCACGTAGCTCGTGGTAGTCGTGCTGCAAGCGACGGTAGGCGTCCAGCAATGTGGTCTCAGGGCCTACCTCTCGGGCACGTACTCGCTGCAAAGCCTCTTGGGCCGCTGCAAGGTGATGCAGGGCGATCGATACGTCCGTGTCAGGTCCCTGAGGTCCTGTCGGCGTCGTCATAACAACGGCGCCACGCGTCGTGCGTGAATCTCCACTTCAGGGACATTGGCCCGCCAGCGCCGAAGCGTGGCGTCGTTGTGCATGTCCTTCGCTTCATCTCCACACGCTAGGGCGACGAGGCTAAGCACCTTCCCAATTCTTTTCCTTTTTGTCTCTGGACCAGTCTTCAGTTCCTATGACGTCGTCTGGCGTCCCGCATGCCCAGGACTACTTGGACGAGACAGTTACGGCTCATGTAGCGCGAAACCCATTGCTTTCGCCGAGTACGGTGGAGAAACAGCTGCTTTCACGCCAGGGCGCGCTGCACAAATGGCTGGCCGACTCTCCTACCGCTCATCGTGCGCGTCATTGGAACTGGCACCGCGGCGCTGTAGATCCCAACAATGCGCCACCAAGTGCGGACGAATTGAATTATGTATGTGAACATTTTGGCTATGCCATGGATGGCGACGAGCGGCCCAGTGAGCTTTATTTACAGATGCTGGCGGACGCTATGCTACCGCTGCCGGCACATCCCCTGTACGGTGTCGTCTCGCCGCAGCTGCTTGCTACCACAGGCACGGTGCCTGTATCGATTCTATCTACGGGCCCTGACATTATCCAGCACTACTATGAGTGCATTGTAGCTGCGAAGGAAGAGGTCATTTTACTGACCAACTACTGGCAGCTCGGCAAAAACGTCTCCAAAATTTCGGATGCGATCCGCGAGTTGGATCGCAAGGCTGCTGAAGCAGAGTCTACGATCATTGTAAAGATCATGTGGGATCGTGGACCACGCTCCGTCGCCGACCTCTTTCGTGCACGAACACCGGTCGAGCCCAACAAATGGGAAGAAAATGGACTGCCTACACCGCAGGAAGTACCGCATCTACGGATGGAAATTTTGAACTACCACCGCCCGATTATGGGCACATTCCATGCCAAGTTGCTGCTCGTGGATCGCCGTCTAGCTCTGATCAACAGTATCAATATCCAGGACCGACCCAACTTGGAGTGCTGTATCCATTTGGAAGGCGATATTGTAAACTCTGTGTACGACCACGCCATGATTTCCTGGGGTAACGCTTTCCGGTACAAACTGCCGTGCCTGTCCAAGCCGGCTTCTCACACGCCTGCCACTGAGTTTATGCCAGCATTATCGCCAGTGGAGCGGAAAGAAGCATCGAAGCATGCGTTGTGCGAGTTGGTCGCAGGCGACAAGGAGACGATGCGTAATGAACCGATCCGTATGCGCGTCCACCTCGCCGATTTGGTCGGCACGATGATGCATGCGCGAGCCGGTGCGACAGATGCCACCGACACGCCTACCACCAGTGTGCCCAGCGGGAAGACGCAGGACGATATTGTACGTCGCGCAGCTGCCATGTGGCGAAGCAAAGTGCATGTGCCTGCCCTCTCGACGTCGCCTGTGGCCACATCGCCGGGCTCGGCCCCGACGTCGCCCACGCGGCACACCCTGGCTGAAAGTGCGATGTGGCTGCTGGGCCGCGATAGCAGTAGCAGCTGGAATGTGGAAATGTCGGCTTTGCGTTCGCGGCCTATGGATCCACACGAGGCCGAGTCGCGTCTGCGCTGGATTTCGCAGAGCTTGAACTTTGCGAACTTGTCGCAGGTGCGCGGTTCGTTGGACCCTAACAAAATTACCGAGAGCAAGGGCGGTTGGGAAGCGCAGCGACTGATGGGCCTTCTTGATTTTGAGCCTGTCATCTATCACACGGCGCATGCCCCTGTCCCGATTGCGCTGGTAAATCGGCGACCCCATGGCCGACCTGGCCACGATGATATCCAGAACCCACAAGACGCAGCATGGCTTGCTGGGTTCCGCTATGCGAAGCACCACGTCTTCATTCAGAGCCCGACGTTGAACGCGACGCCTGTCAAGCATGCTGTTCTCGCGTGTGTTCGTCGTGGTGTGCGAGTGCAGTTGTGGCTGGATTTGGGCTTCAACGACAAAAGTGAGAGCATGCCGTTCCAAGGCGGTACGAACGAGCAGGTGGTTGTCGCTATGTACAAAGCGCTGCGTCGTGATGGCCAAGGCCGTGAGAAGCTCCTGGAAGTGTACTGGTACACTGGCAAGGATATGGACCGGCCGCTCAATGCGGTGCGCAAGCAGCGCAATTGCCACGTATGTATGCCTATCGTCTTTTTCCTACTAACACCCAACAGGTCAAGTTTGCCGCGTTTGATGGCCAAGTCGCGATTCTCGGGAGTGGAAATCAAGATACGCAGAGCTGGTTCCATTCGCAGGAAATCAACGTGATGCTAGATAGCAAGTTGATTGTGGGCGAGTGGGTTTCTGCCTTGCGTCAGAACCAAAGCACGCACATCTATGGCCGCGTCGACCCTGCCACAGGAGTATGGCATGGTCGATATGGCAACCAGGTGAGCGATACGGGTCGAGACTCGATACCCAAGCCTCAGGGCAATACGACGTGATCCAGTAACTTCCATAGCGCATCAGGGTCCTTGTAGTTATGGTGCACCACCGTAATGAGCCAGCGCTCGTCATGAATGCGATGCAGCAGTTGTCGTGTCGCCGAGCGCGGTGGGAACAGCATCTCCCACTCGTGCCAGATCGCAAAGGCCTCTTCGCGCCACGCACGGAACGATGCCTCTTCAATGATTGTCGACTGCGCCACTTCGCGGCCAGGGAACACACCCCACGTCACTGTGTTCAGGCCTGTGCCTTCCACATTTGTCTCAAACGAGGCGGGATCACAAGTACCGGCAAAGTATGTCACAGGCTCATCACTCGCTGCAATGGCCGCGACCAGCGCCTGCTTGTCCGCCTCGCTCAGAAACAGCTCCACAAACGCTTTTTGGAAAATGTAGCCGCCCTGCGGCCCGAAACCATAGGTCGGATCACTGCTATCACATCCATCCACGGCTGGCTGCGATCCCACCGTCCACCAACCTTTACCGCCCTTGCTGTGCGGCGCATTTAGGTGGCGCAGCACGGGGAGCAGTCGCGCGGTCTCCTCCCACACAGGTGAATCGCACCATGGCATACACGACAACTCGCCGGCCACGTACGACACAAACAACTTCGAAATGTCATCCTTGTCCACGGGTGTGCCCCACAGCTGGATGGCCTGGTCCGGCGTGACCTTAAGACTGGCACCATAGCCATCCACTTCACCGAACGCAGGACTGCGGGCATCTGTGTATCGACCGTTGGGAAATTCGTCCCATGTATCCGCCCCAAGACCTTGGTGCACATGCCCCTCGCCTACAAACGCACGCGCGACTTGGGTCACACTCTTTTCCAGGTTCAGGGTGTACATGTGGAATGCATGGATCCCTGTCTCCTTTTGGACCTCGCGAATCAGCTGAATACTCAGCTCAATCCCCATCTCTTTCACTTTCGCATCATCCATTTTGATCGGCTCCAGCTTCTTGAGCGTATCCGCCGGGACTCGTACACCACACAAATTCGCCATACGGCGGAAACTAGTATAGTTCTGGATCGGCATAATACCAGGAATGATCGGCACGGTAATCCCAGCCGCTCGGCATGCGTGGTACCAACGCGCAAACGACGACGCGTCGTAAAACAGCTGTGTGACGATAAACTGCGCTCCAGCATCCTGCTTCGCCTTGAGGAACTTCATGTCCTGCGGCACATCGCGATCCGCGCCTTGGGCATGACCTTCTGGGTAGCCAGCGACACCAATACAGAAATAGTCGCCGTGCTGTTCTTTGATGTAGCGCACCAAGTCGGACGCATACTGGAAACGCTGGTCCGTTGCAACCCAGTACTCCTCGCCACGCGGGGGATCACCACGCAGCGCAAGGATATTGCGAATCCCAAACCGCTTTGCTCCGTCCAGCGCGCTATCCAAATACGCACGATCCACATTCGTACACGTAAGGTGCAAGCACACATTGCATGCATGCTCCCTCGGCTCTGTGACAGCCTTGTAGTCCTCATTTGGGTCATACACACCCAGCTGGACACGCGCCGCCAACTCCAGCGACGTGTCACGCGTCGTACCTCCGGTACCCCACGTCACATGGACCCACCCGGGGCCCAGCGACGTGACCATACGCTCAATACGCGAGCACAAATTCGCCAGGCCAAGCGTGGTCTTTGGCGGGAAAAACTCCAACGACCATAGGTAAGCATCCGAGGGCGTCGCAAGGATCTTTTCATCGATGCGCGCAGCCCCATGGGCTGTCGTCGGACTCATCGTAGGAATACAAAAGCGTACAATCGTGGGCTCGCCGCTCCACCCGCTCGCTCTCCGCTGGGGGCCCCTCCACTTCACTGATACGTTCGCCGCCCCAGGCAGCTGCAAGACTACTCTACATACCTATACACGATTGATTTACTCTGTTTCCTGCTGAAGACCGACCCACTCTTCAGCCCATCCCTCCGACTCGGCGCAGCAGTCCTTGCTGCACACAAACACTATTGCCGTGCTCCATGCAATGCCTGTCCGCACATCCGACACACCCTCCTTCGAGATGCCAAGCAACGAAGCAATCTCGGCTTGTCGCTGCTCCTCGGCCGTGCCCTGCACATCTGACTTCTCACTTAGGTGCTCCTTCCGCAAAAGGTTTGCAAGATTCGGCATGAGCTGTAATTCAAACACACGCGGTGCATTGCACCGCTCACACCGCGGTACGGCCGACGAGTCATAGCCGCCCTTCAGGCCCGCTGGCCATAGCTGCTGGAAGAGCGGGCCAGCCGCATGGAACGGAAGAGGCGTGCCTTCAAATTCGTACCGCACGACTTGGCGCGCTTCCGAGCTGAGACGCCGAGCGAACCTCTCAAAGACGTCGTCCACACCGTCAATCGTCATCTTTTCATACTGCTCGCCCTCGCCACTGCTCATGGGTACAGTCTCACTTGGCTCCGAGGCCGCTGCGTCGTCAACGTCCTTTTCGTACATTGGTTCGGGTATCGTGTTCAGGTACAACGGCGTCTCGTAGTGCGATGCCGTGCGTGCCCAGTCGTCTTGCAGCTGGGCTCGCTGCTCATCTAAGGAGGCCTTAATAGCGAGTTCTTCCGCTAGACGCTCTTCTTCATTGAAGTCATCATCATCGTCGTCGTCGTCCTCTTCCTCAGAGATTATGTCCTCTTTCGAAGCTTCGGCTACACGCTCTGTGCTCTCAGCCGAGGCAGGTATCTCGGAAAAAAGCGATGCGCCAAACAATGAAGAACCTGTAGTGGACTTCATACTGAATGGATTGGTCTCACGCTCTTTCTTGAGCCGCTCCGCTTCTGCTTCTTGCTCGGCACGAGCCTTGGCTGCCGCACGCTCTTCACGGATACGTCGTCGCTCTGCTTGCTTTGCTAACTTGGCTGCCCATCGCACATTGTGCTTCATCATACGGATGGCCTTGATACTGTGCGGTTAGCCCCGTCTTACACAAGGGTGGGTACGCAATCAGAAGAAAAAAAAATAGTCAAAGTAGAGTTGGTTTCAGATGATGTCTTTCCAAGCCACCTCAAGTGAAGAAATTTCCAATCATCTTGAAGCGTACCCATGCCCCCACTATACATACCTGCCATGGCCGAGGCGTTGGCACTTGGCTCGTGAACAGCCCCATACAAACAAATTGCGATCAAACGGCGAGTCTTCCAACGGCGCGAAAATCTCGACCAAAAGCTGCATAGGCTGCTGGCAATGCGCACAATTAACCAAAGAAGCAGGAGGTAGCTTCTTTGGCGAGAGTGGCAGCCACGCAGGCCGCCCACCAATTCTTGAGACGAGGGGGTTGAATTCATCGTCGCCTTCCAAGGGGCCATCAGCTAGGCCCAGGTGTACGTTCGAGAATTCACCCTCGACATCAGATCCATAATCCGAGTCATCATCGTATGCAGCGGACATAGTCCAGGTTCTAATGTCGTTAGTATGCTTATGTTCCCACTCGTGTGCGTCATGGAGCTTGTCTCAGGTTTGGTAGCCAGGTTTAGAAGCATCGGAACAAGGCTCCATCATTGTATCAATGACGATCATCCAAGCCCTCATACTCGTCATCTAGTAGTCTTCATCCTCGACAGCTCCATCATCGCTTGGCACACCCACTCACCTTCCTACGATGTAGCTCCCTGTCAGAAACCACGAAGAGGAAAAAAATTGTCTGAACGAAGGAATAATTCCCTACTGTGGAATTATGCTTTCTATGGACAGCGTCCTCCCATGGCCGCCACACTTGCACATCACAGTACCATGTTTGCTCGCCAGGCTGCAGCTCTTCTGGTACGTGGCGCAACAGCGTCGTAGTTATCTAACTTTCCAGCGTCCATCTCTTGCCATTTCGCGCACTGCGCGTGTAGGTGCCTCGCCGTCGTTCGTGCGCCTGCTTTCCAACGATACGCGCGCCAAAATTGAGAAGGCTGTGAAGGATGACCCTCTTGTGGTGTTCATGAAGGGCTCTCCTAGTATGCCGCAATGTGGCTTCAGCCGTGCCGTTCTCCAGATCCTACAGGTGCAAGGTGTGAACCCAGACAAGGTTGCTACATACAACTGTCTGGAGGACCAGGAACTTCGTCAGGGCATTAAGGAGTTTAGCGACTGGCCGACCATCCCTCAAGTGTATGTCAACGGCGACTTCGTGGGCGGTTGTGACATTATGTTAAACAGTATGTACACTCTACGTGACTCACATTGTTAGTGCACCAATCTGGTGAGCTTGAGACTATGCTGCGTGAGGCAGGTCTTCTTCTTGACCCTGAGCAATCTTCGTCGGAGAAGCCTGCAGCGGACAAGCAGTAAGACTCTACTTCCATTTGTTGGTAGCCCAAGGCGGCAGAAAGCCGTATACTTTCGCATTCTCTTTAGATCACGAAATAAAAGAAAAAAATTAGACGAGTCAACATTCACACTTTCTCTATTGTGGAAATTCACATCTTTGTCATACCACTATTTTCATTTGCTACGGCTATGGCCGAGGCGCCAGTAGCAGAGCACGATTACGCTCTTGCTCTACTGACTCGCAGCGCTGCTTCCACAAGGTCACCTCCTTTTCAAGGCGCTCAATCGTCTCGTACAGACGCTTCAGCTCCTCAGCCTTGCGGTGACGGCTACGACGAGCAGCCAAGGTGTTGCTCAAACGCTTGAGTGAACGAGCGTCCATTTCCTGACTGCCTGAAAGTGGGGTACTAGCACCCGACTCGCCAGGGGAGCTGCTTTCCGAGCCCCTTGAATCGCGACGCGACGTCGCCGATTCGGTATGGTACACCCTCGGTTGAATGGGAGCGTCGATGGGCAACAATTCATCAGCATCACGACGGCGACGGCGGCCTGTACCCCGCATCTGCTTCACCGTGGTAGAAGTTTCAGCACTTGACTTGCTCGGCACGGACGATGCGGTGTGCACAGCCGGCGAGCTACGTGAGCTTTGGATGGCCTGTGGCAAGCACGTTCCTGGGGCGGGCGTTACGTCCGTAGGCGACAACGTCAATGGCACTTCGTTTTGCTGCGAGGCATTGAGCTTGTCCAGCAGATGTAGCACTTTCTCACCATTGCCACCATCGACGCTCGCTTTCGGTGAAGAGTGCTCGTTTTCTCCCGGGAAAAGAGTAAAATCGGTGGCCATCAAGCTTGTAGGCGACATGACAGGCTCACAACGCTGACGCTTGCGTATGGGCTCGATAGGTTCACCTCGGCCGGCCATCTTGTCAGAGTCAGAAAGTATCGACTGGCCCTCACCCGTCGGGGAGAAAAGGGACATCGCCTCCAAATCAGGTGGCGTAGCAAGAGTCTGCGACGATTCAGACATGACGCTGCTCATCATGGTCGTTCCCATATCGTTGACCGACTCAAAATCCAGAGAGAGAAGCGAGTCCGTCAAAGAAGGCGACTGTTCATCCCAATCAGCTTTTCCAGCCTCGCAGTCCAAATGCAGGAGAGGAAGTTGAGGAGAAAGGTTTTGCATCAGAGCAACCTCGTTAGTCTTCACGTTAAGGTTGTCGGGCATCATTGAAAAGTTGAAGTTCAAGCCAAAGGACATGATAAATCTTTCTTCAAAGGAAAGTACGCGTATAAGTTTTACGATGGATAGTATTCATGAGCTTCAGAGAATGGCTCCGAAGCGTTAAAAAATGTAGGCATAATCATGGTAACAGATTTGTAGCCAGTTGCGTGTGCACACTGTAGTTGTGTAGATAGTCCAAAGAAGCGCGAGAGTGAAATGCGAGAGCGCTAGATAACAGATTCCTTAATATGTTAAAATAATTTAGAACATCATTTTAGTTTCTGTTACGACTAGGTCGATATGAAGGAACGAAATTATTCCTTTCTACGGTTATATACATTTGCCAGGAAGACCGGATGCAAGGCTGGGTTACCAGCCCCCGACTTTTCCCACTTTCAGGGAGCTATCGAAATTATTTGAGCATCAATTCTTGAAGTGATTCGATATTTTACTTTCCTATGAGTCATAGTGACTGATAAGAACAACGTTTAAATGTGGATTTCTCCAATCATATTTAGAGTTCGGTTCCGATACCACATAGGGCGGGGCACGCAATTCTAAGGATTATCCAATCCAAAGACCCCTACCAAGGGAAAAACCTTGGCGTTGCAGTTGTTGAGACATATGAGTCCGGCACGTCTGCGGAATTGCGCGCCTGTGCATTAGAATTGCCTGATCTCTCGTGATCGGGCGTCTCCGCTGAGGATGGTGCCCATAGCCTTGGTCTAGGCGCCGAGGACAATGGCGCACTCGATTCTTCGGTAATGTCTTCGTTGGGTATCCCCTGTTCCATAGTCGTTTCATAGTCTTGAACCGTAGCGTAGGCTTGATCCCTTGATGTGCATGGTTCTCGTCGTGATGGAGCCGCAGCCGTAGGGATCGAAGCTGGAACAGACACTTTTGTACACGTAGAAGGGGCATCGTTGTGATGTGAAAGCCACACTCGTACTGTGCCGTCATCACCGCTTGATACCATCATAGTAGGATCCCCATTTTGCCAGGCGACTTCATTGACAGAACCAAATTTATGTCGGCATTTCAAGTCCAATTGTTTCCCGGTTAAACGATGCCATGCGATAATACGCCCATCTTTGGACCCACTTAGTACAAACAGGGGTCCCATAGACTCTGTGTACTGGCTTCCATACCCTCCAAATGCTGGGCGAAGGACATCCTCGGCGGCATGCCGACCCTGGAAGCATTGCGTCAGCGATCGGGTGTGAAGATCTAGTAAGTGAATGGCTCCCCCCGCCTCACTTAGAAGAGCACAGCGAGAGTCTGGCGAGATGGTGACATAATTGACGTTGCCTTTGACATGGATTGATCCCACTTCTGCTCTCTCGCACACATCATAAATAAAGACTTGTGTTTGTTCTTCAACGCGTGGCGCATTCGGTTCCGCACGCCTTGACGAGACAGCTTCTTCGTCCTCCTCAGTGCCTGGAAACAAAAAGGAGGCTACCAAAGAATCCGACGTGTTCCGAAGAGCCGGAGGTCTTGCATCAAATGGGATCCAGGAACTGTTGCTCATCGACGTGGGAAGCATGTTAGTGATCTGTCCACCGCGGCGGCGACGCGAATGTACTCCAAGTGGGGCTTGGGATACTTGGGGCGTAATCGATCGCTGGCCGACAGCGACCACATAGCGTCCATCTGCTGTTACGTCCAAGGCAATTACACGATAGGGCGAGAGCGACCATGTCCAGGCTACTGTGCCATCCGCTTTCCGGAACAACACTTTCTGATCCATAGCGCCTGTCACAAACACAACATCATCGCCATGTGAGCGTCTGGTTGGGTCTGGGAGCCATCGTACGGCAGAGACCGTATATTCATGTTCAGTCAGCAGCTTGACGTGTCTTGTTGCTATATCCCACAACGCCACGTCTTCGTCCGCGGCCACGATAAGCTTGGCGTCATCATGCGACCAGTCAATACTTTGCACACCATTTTTGTGCTGAAGCTGCAATACCGGTGTGCATTTCGTGCTCATGTCCCAAATGTTGACGAGGCCATCCCGTCCACCGCTGGCTAGCTTGGTACCAGTGTGTGAGAACCGTATAGTCCACACTTCATCAGTATGTCCGTCCAGTTCGTAGCTCAAATGAGAGGGAAATTGGGCTGGGTCGGCTTGATAATCCACCAGCAACCGACGCGAGTCGTTGAGCGAATCGCACACAAAGTAAGGGCTTTGCATGCGTTGAAAGGCCAGTGCTTGCTCGTAAAGGACGTGCCAGCGGCGATTTGGTACCATCGAGGACGTATCTAGTACACTCTCTATCGTGCTTAGTAGCTGGCGACGTGATTGGCCGAGGGCGCCATCCCACTTGGCTTGCTCGTACAGTTCCTGAGCGTTGCGGCACAAGATCAAGCGACTTAGTTCCTGCAGTATCGTAGGAGGTAGCGACAGCTTTGATAGAACTGTGCGAAGGACGTGCAATGCCTCCGTTTTCTGTTCGTGCTCTAAAAGCTCCAAGTACTGCTGCTTGTGTAGCAGGTATCTCACGCTAGCCAAGGCTCGTTCGCGCACATTCTGCTCCTTGGGGCAAGGCCATTCTAGCGCTGCATCGCTAGCAGGCATATGTAAAGATGTGTGCTTTGTCAAGTCCACAAAATGCCGCTCAGCCTTATCCCACATGCCTTGTAGCACGGCTTCTCGAAGTGGCTGCATCGCAGGTGACTCGAGGTGCACCCCTGATTCTTTCTGCAATGCATCAAAAGAGGCATGATATCCTAAGTCGCTCAATGACTGGAGAAGAAGTCGTACCACCTCTTCACGTACGAAGGGATGCTCAGGCGCTTCCAGCCGAGTTGACGGAGCCAGCTGGGGCTGTGATGCCGAGGGCATGGTTGCTGACGTGTCACACCGGCGGCACTTTATAGGGTATAGTTCGGTGGTAGGTGGACCGTATGGTCTTTGGCGAATACAGACCTTTTTTCGGCGTGCGTCTCTGTCGTTCTGGATGGTGGTCAAGGCCGTGTGTCACCAAAATCTACCCACGTCTCGGTGGCACAGTCCACTCTGACAGGCCGCGACGCCTCCCCCACACAAGGCACCGTGCACCGCTTACTAAGCCACAAGCGATCGGTCTATTATCAGCGAGTGGCTGCCTGGCGCCTCGTTCGGTCTCACGCCTTGTCAACTTATCGGTCTACGAACAATCCTACTGGGGCGCCTCAGACTCGGGCTCTTCGCCTTGCGACGTACCTGTGGTAGGCGGGGGCGGGGGCACGCTGCCACTTTGGCTCGTGTTGCTCGAGGAGCCCATGCGTGGGCTCGACATTCGTGGCATGTCACGCGCACACGAAAAGGCCGACAGGTACGGCGAAATGTTCGAACTCAACGCCGTGTTCGAAAACGGTGAAAGGGTTCCTGACGAAAAGCGGCCCAAGTCTTTTCCGTGGGGGTGTTGGTACATGCCAGCCACAGGCGCAGAGCCATTCGCTTCGCTGTAATGACCAGCGGTATGGGCCGCGTTGGTGCCCGGTGCATACGTGCCGGTGTGCTCGGCACCCGTATGTTGCGACGGGTAGTAGGCTGCAGAGCTAGCTGTGCCGGTACCAGTGCTAGGGCTGTTGGCGCCACTCGAAGAATGCGTGCCGCTGTACATGCCTTGGCCACGCGACGAGAGCTCTGGGTGGATAGCAGCAGTACCAGAGATATAGGGCATATTGGCATTCCGTGACGTTCCACTCACGCCGTGTGCGTACATTTTCGAGTCATGCATACGCGTAGGCATTTGCGCATGGGCATTCATGGGCATACCGGTGTAATGCGCCGCACCCCCCTTGGCATGCGTATAGTCACCCTCTGCATGGTTGGTCGAATGCCCCGCGTACGATGGAGGCGCTGTGTTGTAAGAGTACGACTCATCAGCTTCGCCTGCTGGAGCACCACCTTCCAGCGGAGGCGGCGGCTGTATAGATGGATCCACAGCCGCAGCAGAGAGTGCAGGGTCCACCGACAAGTCCGCCACAGCATCACGGTCATTCCTCGTTCGCATCTGCGACGATGTACGTCCCTTAGTCGAGCGCGGTGTCGAGCGCGGTGTACGCTCCGTCTTGGCGCGGTTATCACTGGAAGCAGCCGCTTGGCCTTCGCCGCTTAGCACCACGCGGCACTTGGTCTTGTGACGCGCCAGCACATCGCTACGCGAGAACGACTTTCCACATGGGCACGCAAAGGGGCGAATGTCCGCATGGCGTCGCTCATGGCGACGAAGATATTCCAGGCGCGAGTATGATGTGTTGCATGTAGGGCAAAGGAAGGGAGGCCCATGCTGTGGCGTCGACGAAGCCGCCTGCGTCGGTGCCTGTGCCGGTGTGGGCTGCGTCTCTGTTTGTCCTTGTGTTGGCGGTGGCACATTGACAAACAAGTTGGAGTTGTTGGCAGTTTCGCCGACGGAGGAAGAGAATGTAGCCAGCGCTTCCGCAGCAGCTGCATGAGGTCCACCAGACACATTACCGAGAAAATCGATCGTATTGTACTGTGGAATAGAAGCCTGAGATGCCGCCTTGCCTGGGTATGACGTGGCATCTTGCTTTTGTGCCTTCATGGGTGGGCCGTCTTCGTGCGTAGGCGGCTCGCGCGCGTCGTCCGACTTGACACGCGACTCGTGGTAGCTAGGTGGGGGTCCACCAGCGTCCATACTGTTGTAGATCTTGGAAACGGTTGTAGTCTTAGAAAAAATAGAGTGATCCTCAACAATCAAACACGATCCAGTCACACACAGGGGCTCTGGTCGTCGTTGTTGCGGTGGAGGTGGAGGATCCACTTACGAGGCGTAGTGGTCAAACTTGCGACACGGTACGCGTTCAGCGAGAAAGACCAAGAGCAATGAGCAATGGTCAAGTATATAGGATACAATGAGCTTCCACGTGCGTTACAAAGCCAGGAAAATGCTCACAATAAATCGGCTGGGGGGACAAAAACGTAGTGTGCCACAGCCGATGAAAACAGTGGAGGGAGGGGGAGATGGGAAAAGCGCGTCAGTGGTGCTGGCACGCGGTGCAAGTCGGGCGCGGCCTGAACGGCCGCCACGGCTTGACTCTTGCGCGTCGACTCGGCACGTCCCGTTGGACCGATACATGCTCTTTGCATGCCGATTACGTACTACCACGTGAGCAAGAAATTCTGAACACGTGGGAGGGTGGGCGCACAGCTCTCCACCGACATGTCATGGGAGCCGCAATTGCGGCGCGTCCGGCAGACACAATCGAAGCTGGACGCCAGGCTCACAGCTTATTCGCAGTATGCTTCCGAGGTAGCGCATGAGACACAGAGGGATAATGGATCTGCGCCGTCACATTCCGTTGCTCTGGATATGACAGGCTCAGGTCGCTTGCAGACTACGCCAACATCATCCAGCGATGCCACTTCCATGGAAACAGAACTGCAGGGCTTGCTGGCCCAGTATGCCGACGATATTGAAGGACTCGCTGCCTCTGTACAAGATGATCCACTACTTCCGCCATCTCATACCCAAATGCATATGATTCAGCGGCATCGTGAACTCCTAGTCGAGTTTGAACGTGACTTCTTCCGATGCAAAACACAACTCCGGCATACGCTGGACCGACAGCAACTGCTAGGGCATGTGAAAGACGATATTAACAATTACCGCGAACAAAATGCTTCTGAAATCCAAGGATATCTACAAGAACGCACACACTTGGACCGATCTCATCAAATGATTGATGAGACGCTCGACCAGGCCTTTGCAACGCAAGCGGAATTCCGTGCGCAACGCGACATACTGTCGGGCTCCCTAGGTCGTATGCAGCAAGTCATTGCGCAGGTACCATCGCTAAACAGCATCATTCATCTGATATCAAGACGCCGTCGTCGTGACACGGTGATATTAGGCATTGTCATCGGTGTTTGTATTGTGCTTCTACTTTTGATGGGCGTGCGTCGATAATGGACTTACCCAAAATATGTTTCCCTTTGTAACACTACTGCCACCTATACCTAGTATAATAGCTCTGTAAACAGTCACAGTTCTTCATCCTCTTCCGTGATCTGCGAGGGTTTAAGCATACCAGGAATCTTGGCTGCATTTTCACGTTCCTGCGCAGCCTTGCGTTGTTGCTCCGCTTCCTTGTCTTCCAAGAACAAGTCCGCGTTGTCCGAACCACCAGCCACCTCACGCGACGTAATAAGGAAGTCACGCAAGTGTACCTTGTACTGCACTAAGTCGGACGACATCGAGCACAAGCCGCTCACGAACTGATCGATGTACTGCGGCTGAACATGCGGGAAGGCGGTGCGCAGCAAGTTTGCAGTGTATTGGCGGATGAACAGACGGTTGTTCATATTCGGATCCTGAACCTGAGCAGGGTCCCACAGCGGCACGGAGACCTTGTCGGTCTCGATCAGCTCAAAGATGCGTGCCAACAACAGACACTGCGTCTTGAAGCCACTCTTGTGGTCCGAGTCCGTGAGTACATAAAAGATGTCCTGCAGCATGTTCAGTAGATACTGCTGGAAAAAGGCGCCCGAGATCGACGGATCCGTGTTGGCAATGTTGTTCAGTAGCTCCAGACAAATGTTTAGGCCCGTGTCGGCAATATCACGCATTGTATGCTTGATAGCCCAAATGATCGAGTCCATGGTCAGCTTGAACTTGGGCGGAGGAAGTTCCAGCAAGGCCGAGAAGCAGTGCAGGTTGATGGCGCGCAGCAGCTTAAAGAAGCCAACACGGTGCTCAGGGAACTCGGCAAAGTCCTGGTTGATCATATTGAGTGTAGGCTCGAATACAGCATCCAGGACCGGTGGAATCTTGTCCGTAAGCAAACCTGCCAAGCGCGTCGTAATGGTGGCCATCACGTTGAGCACTTCCGCATCTCGTGCCGCAGGAATATTGTTGTGGTAGTCGCCTAAAATCGCATCCAGCAATGATGGAATCAAGTTGGTATTCACCGATTCCAGATCATCGGCACGACGAATGTACGTGTCAACCAGGCGCAAAATATCCTTCTTGATGGCGCGAAGACCACGCACCATAGGCGTCTTGGTCGCAATCAGGCCTTCCGCCTCTACCTTGGCGCTAACAATGCCACTCACGCTTCGATAGAGAGCCAGCATGTCGAGGTATATACGACCAATTTGGGGCAGGAAGAAAGGACCAATCGAGGTACACGCCGATACGTTTGTCTTCAGAACGTTGTTGAGTACCTTGATGTTATCAGAGTTGCTTAGCACATCCACGTTATTGTGCGCCTGCTTCATGAGATTGTCCCATGCATTGTTGGGAAGCTCCATAAGTTTCTCAACCAGGCGCTCCTGCATTGCACGATTGGGCTGCGCAGCAATCATGTAGCCCACAGCTTCGTAAAAGGTGTGCACTTGCTGAGGGGAGAGATCCACAGTAATCTGCAGCAGGTTGCGCAGAATCTCGTCAATAAAAGGCTCCTGCTCACCAGCCTGTTGCATGACAAAGTGGCGACGGCACTTTTGTGCAATCTTCGAGAATGTGTCACAGGCCATGTCTTGCACACCTTCATGGGTCTCATGCATGAACTCAAAGTTTTTGTTAACCACTGTCTTCAAGAACTTCCAATGCGCCTTCAGGAAGCGAGGATATTGGCCAACAATGTACATAATGTTGGAAGCCACAACAGCTTTGTTATCCTTACCTCGCTTCATCTCACACAGACCCAGAAGATCCTTAATGACAGTAACCAAGAAACGCTTTTCTGTCTCCTCATTCATAGCACCTGAGATCGAGCCAATAGCCCAGCAAAGAGTGTTCAAGTTGGCCCACGACCATTCCGATCCGTCCACCTGCTTCGCAAGCTTCTCCGTCATGATGTTCTCGGTGTCGAGAACGTCCAAGTGTGTGAGGTACACGAGCACTTCACGCATGGCCTTGTACAGCACAATCGTATCCGACTCCTTCAGGAACTCACGAACGATTTCACCTTCATCGTTCTCCACAATAAGTACCTCTTCTGGCTTGACCATTCGCTCGATCATAACCAGTCGAAGGTTCGACAAGATGTTCACATAGAACGCCTTTCGTCCTGTAGCCTGACGCTGCGCAGCCTGTGCACCTCCCAGGTTAAGACCCCACACAGAGTTGATGTCGTTCATCGGGAATTGCTGGTACTCTTCATACAGCTCGCTGACCAACTTCGCCCAGTACTCCAAGCAAATCTTGAACACTTCGCGCTCAGGTACTTGTGATACTTTGATCAGGTACAGATGCGCATTGAGCAGCACCTCTTGGTTCTCCGCATTCTCCAAGAGGCGAACGTGTGAAATTAAAAAGTTGCTGAGGAACAGCGCCAGGTTCAGCACGAGCTGCTGATCTTCGTCGGTCGACGTTTCGTACACACCAGCGATGTCTGTCGACGGCGGGATCATACGGTTGATCGACGTCATGACCATATTGAACAAGATGACAAACTTGGCGTCGTATTCGCTGCCCACGTTCAAGTTCACAATTTCCGAAAGACACTTGAGAGTCACGTTGCGGAAGTCAGGGACCTCCAGGAAACGATTGATTAGGTTGTCAATCACGTTGGTCTCAAAGATGAAGCCTAGGGGAATCCAGTTGAGGAAGCGAAGCATGGTTTCTAACGTAGCCTTGACTAACGAGGGCTTCGTCGCCTTTTCGAGTACTTCCGTGCACAGCTGGAACACCTCACTAAACTCACCGCAGAACTGGTTCTTAAGGTTGCGGGCTTTAGCCTGCGTCATTTGCTCCGCTGAGAAGTCAAACACTTCCTCGGACAACAGGCGCAAGATGGCCATGTTGTTCTCGCAGATAGAGAGAGAACTGCGTGAGGACGACACGATCTCAGGGATAAAGTTCGGCCAGTTGTGTGGCCACTCCTGTTTAAGAATCTGGATAAGCGTCGTATCAAGCTTTCCCAGAAGTGTGCGCTCACGCCGCAAAGCCTCTTCCTCCGATGACATCGACACAATCATCTCTACGATGAAATTACGAATGCCCTGTTGTTGGTCCACCGGCAACACTTTCCATCGTGTAGAGATGAGCTTATCGAGGATCTGCAGGGAAATGTACTTCGTCTGCGAGCTGCTGCTTTGTTGAAGAATGGCAGGCACGCGTTGCCATGCATCAGGATGCTCCTGGAACTGCGCCAGCACCTGTTGTGCCATACGCTGATCCGCACCAGTTCCCGAAAACATGGCCGTCACAACATTGTCCAAGAGGCCAATGTCGAGGTCTTGGCTAAAATCCAAAATAGCCTACCATCGTGTAAGTAGCCGCCACAGATACTGGTTTCGTGATACGAACCTCCATTGCTGCAATATAGAGAGAATCACGCCTAAACTAGTCGTGTTATTCTTTCTTTCTTTGCCAGACCGCGAGAGGTGATGATATTTGTCCGCTCAGGAACGATGGTCCAACAGCACGTACGCAGTACGAACACGCCTCCCACAAGATTGGTTGACACGTCGCGAGCTCGCTAGGGTGGCCACCCGCTCGCGCTCATCACGTGCTGTCGCCCGTCAGGGCACGTGGGCCCGGGCGTATGCGTGAAGCCACACCGAGCAGCATCGGGTCGACACCGGGTTGCGGTGTGTGACGTTGATCTTAGTCTCTCCGCGAGACGGGAACGCTCGACCGCCTGGCTCGAGATGAAGGTACGTATGTATGAGCTGGCGACTTATGCGCTAGTTCGGAAAGCAAATTCTCAGTCAGCAAATTTCAGGATGGGGGTCCTACTACTTGGACTACAAGTTCCTGAAAAAGGTATGTCACTTAGGCAATGCCTAGATGCCGCGGAACAACTCTTACACGTATAGATCATCAATTCGCTTGAGAAGGGCCGTCTTTCCGATGCTGCTTTGTTTGCTACGAGCGTCCGGCCCTCCGAAGACACGACTAAGGAACCACTGTTGCCGATCGACTCGCCAGGTTCCGACCTGCAAGTGCACAAAGCAGCCTTCTTTTTCCGCCTGGAGCGTGAGCTGGAGAAAATCAACGAGTTCTATTTACAGAAGGAGTCCGAACTTCGAGCACGCCTGTCCACGTTAGTGTCGAAGAAGCGACATCTCATCGCCTTAGCTACGTATTCTACTGGAGGAGCGACCGCACGTCGTTTCACGCGCGAAACACCTTCTTTAGTGGTCTTGTTGGAAGGGTTCCGATACTTTGAGAAGGACCTTGCCAAGCTTCAGGTATGTTCTGAGTGTCTGACGTGTAGCAATTTATCGAGATCAATGCGACAGGATTTCGCAAGATTTTGAAAAAGTGGGACAAGCGTTTCAAGTCGCAAACCAAGGAGCTATACTTGGAGCGGCAAGTGGAAGTGCAGCCCTGCTTCAACCGCGAGTTTATTGCAGAGATGAGTGATATTGCCTCTGCCAGTATCCTTCAGTTAGAGAGCCTCGCTGATGGTCATGAGTTGCCGGCAGCTAAGTACAGCAGCGAGAAAGCACTCTTGCGTGGAAGTCTTCCGTTCTCCGCAGCGAATTTGCCGGAAGGTATGCTACTTATGGACGACGATGAAAATGTCGAGGATTTCTTGTTCAAGTCTGAGCAGCCCATGGATTTCGAGGCACAACGGTCATCGGATGCGAAGACTGATGCTGTGGCTGAGATGGAGGAGCGCATATCTTCGGCCATTCGCGAAGGTCGAATCCAGGACGTTCGCACGATTATGGAAGAGGCCCAAATGCATGTCTCTCAGGACATGGAGGATGCCATGGGTAAGAAGGCCGCCAAGGCGGAAGCGATGGATCCAAATGGCCCTGTCAATACGGCCCTCTCGCATCAACTTTGGCGGGCGCTTATTAGTGCTTCGGCTGAATCTGTTCAGGCCGCTGTGGATGCAGACCTACCTAACTACGATTTCGTGGATGATATCAATGCACGCACAGCTCTGCATCTAAGTGCTGTGGCCAATCAACTTGCCCTGTGCAAGGCCTGTGTTGAGCATGGCGTGGACCCACGCCGCCTCGATGTATATGGTCGCGAGGCACTGGCCTATGCTGCTATGCATGGCCATACCGAGGTGGTGGCGTATCTGCTTTCCCTTCCTCAGGCCGTCGCCGACAAGGGCGGCATTGTGAACCGTCTTGACTTGGACGGCTTCTCGCCATTGATCCATGCAATTGTACGTGGACATACGGACGTAGTACGTTTGTGCCTCAACTTTTTGCGCTCGATGGATGCAGAGCTGCCGGGGAAGAGCGAGTCGAGTGATCTCTCGCCACTGGCTATTGCTGCGCAGCGCGGATATGTGGAAATCACACGGTTGTTGTTGGAGTACGGTGCCAAAGTGGAGGCCAATACAGAGGGCCTTATGCCCCAAACATTGGCAGCGCGGTCGGGGCACAAAGAGTGCTTGCAGCTACTCATTGATGCCAATGTGGATATTAATGCGACGGAAAAGGGCACGCTATGCACACCACTCTTCTACGCTGCTGAGTACGGCCATGCAGCTTGTGTGGATATGCTCTTGAAGGCTGGTGCTTCCATTGAGCACGTGGATGAGAAAGGACGTCATGCAGTATTCTATGCGGCATGGTATGGTTGGCGGGAATGCACGCTGATGTTGCTAGAAGCACACAAGAAAGCGTCTTCCTCCTTGTTGCCGAAGTCCGCGCATGAGCCCCCCGCGCCTGGCGGACCGAGTATGGAATCGGATCTTGACATGGAGATTGATGGTATTCCCTCATTGCATTTGCCGCCGCCTATTATTCCATTCCGGACATATGGCCACAACTACCTTGATAAGCGCTTCCTTCTGTGCTTTACATTGTCCAACACGTCCATTGTACTGCATCGTCCGTCAGCTGGAGATCGTCCGGATATTTTCCCCGGTCTATCTTCCTCGCTGAAGTTGGTGGTTACCCCTCGTGGTGGAGGCTCGAACGCCCAGGTCGCGATTCCTCATACAATTGTGCTGCCCATGGCCGATGAGCGCGAGGAAATCACGTTCCAATTGTCTGATTCGGACCAATTCTATTTGGAATGTGAACTCTTCCCCACATTTGGATCTGCTCGTATTGCCAAAGCTGTCTTACTCCCTGAAGTTCTCAGCCGTCTTCAACGCCGCACGGCGATTCAGCTCCCTCTCCTAGACTGGCAACTGAGTGTCGTAGGCCACATTCGGTTCTTCTTGGAATGTGTGTGTCCATACGGCAGTGTTCAGCTGCAAATTGGTGGTCGTGTGGAGACGTACTGGAAGAGCACGTTGCCTGGTAACAACAACCCGCCGCTGGTGGTGCCCCCGCCAACGCAAACTGGCTTCGTAGGCCGCACTGATGGGCATGACTCGCATGACACATCTTCGTATGTGACTGCCTCGTCGCTGTCTGGCAACTACTTGCGTGTGAAGGTGCAATTCACACGCGACTTGGTCCCTGTGGTATGCATGTCAGCCACTCTCCCTGTACCTGTATGGGGCCCTCGTGTTGCTCAAGTCACTGTGGCGGAAATGCAAGACATTGCTACCAAGACGTCGCACAACTGGGACTTGCCGGACGATGTGACCTTCTACACGTTACATGATTGGGAAAAGAAGCTCAGCCATTCCCTCGTAACGTTGGAGCATCTCCTTGCAACGTTACCTCTTTCTATTGGTGTGGCACTCGAGGTGGAGATGGACACGGATGTGAAGCAATCCTTAAACGATTGCATTGACGCTACACTGCATGCGGTCTATGAAGCAGCTGGACGCGAAAAGCGTAGCCGTCGTATCTTCTTCAGCAGTGCTGTACCCAGTGCCTGTGTCGCTCTTAACTGGAAGCAACCCAACTACGCTGTATTTTTCATCAACAAAGCTACGTTGGCAGCGGACTCATCGGCACATACCTTGCCGCCAGAGGCTGATCCCCGACAATCCAGCATTGCGGAGGCCGTTCGCTTTGCGAAGGGCAACAATCTGCTAGGTGTCATGATGGATGCCTCCATCCTAGAATCAGTACCTGAGCTTGTGCCGGCTGTGAAGGCAGCTAGTCTCTTGCTCATTACACTGAGCCGCCCTGATCCTACCTCGGAACTGGCTCAAATCTCGGCGCAAGGCTTGCTGGGGGCCCCTGCTATCGGAAATCAACATGTTTTCGACGGATTCCTCGAAAACAATATTATTGAATGCACAATGTAAATGAGTTACGTTGTGCTTGTATTATCGTAGATATTATAATATGATAGCATGATGGCCAACACATATAACGGCATACTTTGTACAGCATTTCTATGACACAAGGCATGGGCACATTCTTTGGGTATCGGGAGTTCATTACCTACGGCGCTTGGCCTTTCCGGCCTTCCGTGCCGTTTTGCGATGCATAGGAAGACCACGGGCCTTACGCCATTGCTCATTGCGTGAGCCACGGGGGCCTGATGTGCTGATCTTCTTATTCGGTGCCTCTTCCACCTGCATTTCTCCGTCCACAGCAGTGTCTGTAGACGCCGGCTCCTTCGCCGTTGCGTCCTCCATATCTTTGTCTTCGTCGTCATCCTCAGCTTCGAGCTCAGACAATTTGGGCATAGCAATACGTTGCTTCAATCGGTCAGACACCATTTGCAAACGAGCCGCCGCAGTAACTGCATAGTCGGAGGTATCAGTATAGCGCTTGCGGTTGCGGGCAGCGAGCTTGGAACTAGCACGCAGTGACTTGGCCATGGTGGAACGAGCACAATCCGAGACCAAAAAAAAATAACTAAAAAACGGCAAGGGCTTCAAAATTGTTTGGAACTAGGCTTAGCTAAATACAATCTCGCACACCTCTTAAATGCAACTCTGTGGAATAACGCAGTGGCCTACGGCGTTAGTTAAGGGGTATAACAGTTGCCTTCCATCCTGGAACAGCAACAGTGGGGGGTTCGAGTCCCTCACGCCGTATTTCTTTTTTATTTTTTTATTTTGCTTGCAAAGCTATGACTAAACCCTCCCATGTTATGGCCAAGTTGTAATTCGCTAGGTATAATACCCAAAAATACTTGGGACGTACAGCGTTCTGCACAAGCGTTCTGGGGGTGTAGATTTCAACAAGTGGCATAATTCCTGTATTGATTGGTCGATCAAAGATTTGCGGTTACGGCCAGTGCGAGCAACGTGCGTCTATCTCTCTGTCATCTCAACCTCTAGCCACTCTATCTTGGCCCGGCTATCGTATCCGCTATGGCGGACGAGCCAGAGGGACAGCCAGAAAGCTACAGTGCGTACTTGGTTTACTTATATACCCAGCTAAAAAGAAGGAGTATACGTTTCACAAGACTCTAGGGAAAGGCACGTTTGGTGTCGTTCGATCTGCTGTTCGAACATTGCCGGACGGAACACGTCGCCATGTGGCGATCAAGATCATGAGTAAAGTGTTATTGCAAGGCAAAGAGGAGAATGTTATGAAAGAAATTGAGATGCTGCAAAGTCTAGACCATCCCCACATTGTGAAACTTCTGGACTGGTTTGAGTCCAAAGACAAGTTTTACCTCGTATTCGAAGAGGCAAGTGGTGGCGAGCTTTTTGATCGGCTTGCTCGTGGCCGGTTTACGGAGAAAGTGGCCTGTCGTACAATCTATGTGATTCTGGAAGCTGTTGCATACATGCATAGTCATAACACTGTGCATCGTGATATCAAGCCAGAGAACATATTATATCGATCCAATGCGGAAGACGCTAATATAGTGCTTGTGGATTTTGGGATTGCTGCGCATCTTCGGAATCAAGAAGATACCAACTTGGATGGAATGTGCGGCAGTATTGGCTACGCGGCCCCTGAAGTGGTAGCGCAGAAGACCTATGGAAAGCAAGTGGATATGTGGGGCCTGGGTGTCGTTACGTTTTGCATGCTCTGTGGATATGCTCCTTTTTCATCTGGCAATGCTGATTTGTTCCGTGAACAGCTTGAACGGTATGATATCACATTCGATCCTAAGTACTGGGATACTGTGAGCAAGGAAGGCATTGACTTTGTGAAGCGATGCCTCACACGTGATCCTGACGAGCGCATCACGTCCATGGAAGCGCTAAACCATCCCTGGTTCGCAATGCTGTGGGACGACGAGGATGAGGGCTATGATGTAAGCGCAGGCATTCGTGATAATTACCGTACAAAATGGAAGAAGGCCGTCTCGACAGTGCGAGCTGCGCAACGTTTCCAAATCGCCGGTGAAGTCTCTCGTGTGAATGCCGCGCATTACGCGAATGGAGAGCCTCCTTCGCCACTATACTCAGACGATGAAGACCCAGACGCTTCCTTCTATAATGCCCGCAGCCAAGCTCATACCCCGCAACGTGATGCGCCACCTAGCGCAGCCCCTGCGACTCTCTGGGAGAAGCTTACAAGCTTAGTGGCCTCCTTGCACTAATTTCTATACCTATATATGTATATGTATATATATATATGTATGTATGTATGCCAACGCATGTATCGATCTTGGACGATTTATAGACACCAATTACGCCATGTACATATACTATGTCATGCCTACATGTGGTCATGTGGGTCCTCCTTGGGCTGCTCTGGCGGAATGGTAATGGCATCGTCAATACGGAGCAGACTCGTAGCGGCTTCCACACTGCTCTTCAGGCTGCGCAGCTTGCTCATCGTGGGCTCCAGTACACCAGCGCGAAGATTGTCGCGCACAGCACCGGACAAGAGGTCCAGACCAAAGAAACGCAGCGTCTTTTTCGGGTCGGTTGCGCCCGCGTTTTGGGCGGCGGTATGATACGCGCGCAACTTGGCCACAAGATCGGTGCTGTCCTTGGCCGCATTGACAGCTAGCGTCTTGGGAATGATCAACAGCGCCTGTGCAAACTCGGCAATGGCCAGTTGTTCACGCGAGCCGAGCGTGGTAGCAAAGTTTTCCAGGTAAATGTCCAAAGCCGTCTCTACCGCGCCACCACCAGGCACCACGGAGCCACTCTCCAGCGTACGTTTGATGACCGAGAGACTGTCATGCAACGAGCGCTCCATTTCGTCCAACATGTATTCATTCGCACCACGCAAAATGATCGAGCTAGAGCTGTACACCTTCGAGCCACGCACCAAGATCAATTCATTGTCACCCACACGCTCCTGAACAACTTCGTCGGCAGAACCGAGGCTGCTAGCGTCGAACGACTCCTCGCCATCAAGGTTCGCCAGACTGCTTACAAACTGACCACCTGTGGCCTTGGCAATGCGACGCAAGTCTTCCTTGCGGCAGCGACGTACTGCCATGGCGCCGGCCTGCACAAACTCCTTGAGACACAGGTCGTCAATACCCTTGGTCGTCAAGATGACGTTCGCACCAGTCGCTAGGATTTTGCGCACACGTTCTAGGACCATTTCACTCTCGCGCGCACGAATCTTTTCCAGCTGTTCAGGGTCGTCAATAGTGATGTGCACACCCATATGCATCCGCTGCTTGACAAGGTTGATGTCCAAGCAGGCGATCTTCGCATTCGTAATGCGTGTCTTCATGGCCTGCGAAGCCACAGTGCAGTTGAGGGCATAACCATGCACTAACACGCTCTCACGAGCCGACTTACCATGCGCCTTGAGCACATTTACGGCCTTCACAGGGTACTTGGTCTCACCGCGACCGTTGACAGTCTTGACGGCCAACATAGCATCGACGGCCATTTGTGCGAAAAAGTCATCGTCACTTCCAATGATCTTGCTAGACATGCTCGTCTTGGCCACATTGATCAGGCTCTCCTTGCCCAGGGCATCGACCTTGACGGCCAACACATTCTGGATGTACTTGATTGCCTCACGGCACGCCAGGCGGTAGCCGGTAATGATCGTCGTAGGGTGAATCTTATTCTTTACAAGCTCGTTCGCACGGCGCAGCAGCTCAGCAGCAAGAATCACGACAGAAGTCGTACCGTCACCCACCTCCTTGTCTTGCTGCTGTGCGAGCTCGACAAGGATGCGCCCAGCCGGGTGATCCACCTCCAAAAGCTGCAGAATCGTCGCACCGTCATTTGAAATAGTCACATCGCCAATATCGTCGACCAACATCCTGCACAGTTAGCCTGTTCTACCGCGTAGACACATACTTGTCAAGACCCACAGGGCCCAGCGACGACTTGACTACGTTCGCAATCGACTGCACGGCAAGTACATTCTGATCACGGATATCTGCACCAGACAGACGCTGTCCGCCGATAAAAAGGCCCGCATTGCGCGGGTCCTTCTGGAAGATCTGGGCCATGGCGCTGCAACAAAAGCAAGACTGACCGACAATGCTCGCCACGCGTTCGCGCGACGACAGCGGCGAGTCTCTCCCGGCCGAAAAAAAATTATGTAACTACACACCCCGCATCCTTTCGTCGACACTACGTATTTAGGTACGCCGCTTCTTGCCGTGCGGTCGCGAGGTCTCGACGGTGAACTTGGTCTCGCCCAGGGGAATGGGCTCCAAATCGCTATCGTCCTCGTCCTCCTCAGCATCTGAATCAGCCCACGCGTGAGCGTGAGAGTCATCGTCAGACGCGTCGTCAAAGAGCTCTTCATCACTGCCCAGCACATCGTGTGCTATCGCATTGTCGTTGCCAGGTGTACCCGCAGCCATATCCTCGTAGGCAAACTCGTCGTCGTCGTCCTCTTCTTCCCCAGCCTCGTCACTAGCGTCGTCCATAGCCTCTGTCGACGAAGCAAATGAGACTTTGCGTGCAGCCTTCTCCTGCTTTTTGCGCTCGACGTTGCGTTCCTGCTCGGCTTTGCGCTCCGCTGTAAGCCGCTTCTTCTCCGCAATCTCACGCGATTGTTGTGCTACTTCTGTAGCCGTCTTGTGTACATAGTCGTGGTACAGCACTGCACTGCCATTCAAACCTTCTTCAATCTTGACAAGGCGCAACTCCATACGGGGCCCAATCTCACGAAGTCGCACAGCACGTTGTGTATTGGCCGCATTGCCACGTCCCACGTAGTTTTGCGAGAGTTCCACAGCATTCTGTGGATCAGCCATATCTTCGGCCTCGGACTCGGCTTCACTAGTATCCGTGTCTTCGCCGCCCATCGCTGCACTACCACGCATGACATATTCAGCAATGTCGGTCGCATTGCCCAAGTTAACCAACGCACGCCCATGACGACGATGCTCGCCACCATGGCCCGTCACACTACCTGATGAAGCGGCCGAGGGACGTGTCGATCCTTCAATCACGCGACGCACAGAGCGCGAGACACCCACAGGGCGCACGGAGATCAGGTAATGACGCCAATCAATAGTCTTGGTATCCGGATTGTAGTTGAGCAAAACCACACGACGCACTTGCGATAGCCGCATCGAGTGCACATGCAGTGGCGGGAACATATTCTGGAAGACAGAGACTAGCAACTTCACATGCCGCTCCTCACTGCCAAAGTTGTTCAGCACAAGCAGCGGAGGCGTCGTGAACTCTGAGCCTGGGGCGATAGGCCGCCGTGAACTGCGCATAATATCGCCCGCCAAGGCATATTTGTTCACACGGAACGTCACGGTAGGCCCACGAGGGCAACGCAAGACACGCATGTTGATACCTGCATCGGTCTGGTTGAATATCATCATATGTGATACGCCCAGCGGGCCTGCCATAGTGAGGTAGTCGCGCAACTTGTTCTTCTCGCGCTCCTGCAAACGCGATGCCGTATTGGGCTCCATGATGCGGCGTACATCACGGACCAATGCTGAGACACTCTTGCCTACGCGGCCGCCGCGAATGACAAAGCTCTTCGGAGCGCGTGTGTCTGTCTGGGAGTTGTTGATGGGGCCCTTCAAATGGGTCCTTGTCTTTCTCCGTCGTTTCACCATCGTGGCACGCAGCTATCCATGCACGTCCACCAGCGACGTACAAAAAATTTTGACGCCCCCTTCCCTGGCAGGCCCTTTGCACGTGACGTGCGCGTCCACGCGTGTGTTGTGAGTCTGACCGCCTCCTCGTCCTGTGCCACAAAGTGAGCGACGTGCCGTGAACATGGAGCAGTCATGGGAGGCATCGCGTACACGCGCGACGCCGGCCAAGACGCCGTTAAAGGGGATGGAAGGTTCGCTGAAAACACCTCTTCGTACGCCCCTTCGCTCGATGGAGCAGACGTCGTCTACGCCCATCACACCATTTGAAGCCATTGAGTCACAGAAAGAGAATGTCCAGCCCCTTTCGCGAGGACGCAGTGCTCATGCCTTGAGTGCCGCCCTTAGCATGCAGCACAAGGAGCGCCAGCGTGTACTGGCTGCCCAGCGTCAGGAGCACGAAGATCATGTTACCAGCGAGGAGAATGCTGAATCGGATGATCCACTCGAGGCGTGGTGTGCGTATGTGAAATGGTGCGTGGATAACTACCCAGAAGGGAAGAGTGCCGAGAGTGGCCTTCTTCCGCTTCTGGAGCGTGCTACACGTACGTTCCGTGAGTCTGAGCAGTACCGCAACGATTCGCGCTACTTGCGCCTCTGGATTATGTATGCGCAAAACACCGATGTCCCACGCGATGTGTTCCAGTTCCTGCTGGCCAATGACATTGGGTCCAAGCTGGCAGGTCTGTATGAAGAGCTTGCCCATGTCCAAGAAAGCCTGGGTATGTACGAAGACGCCGATGCTACGTTCAAGCTGGGCATTGCACGACGCGTCTCGCCATTGGACCGTATCAAGCGGCGGTATCAGCAGTATCAGGAGCGCATTCTTGCGATGCCCACCTCGTCGACCGAGGAGGCAGGCGCCCCCACGTATGCGAAGGCGCTAGCGAGTGCCATGGCGAGGGCCGGTCGTAGTGTGCTGGGCACCAAGACGGGTCGCGGCAACGAAAGTGTGCCGACCAATGTGCTAGGCCATCACCAGCCCTTGTCCCAAGCGCCGCACAAACACACTGCACGTACCATGCATGTGTACGAAGACACAGAGAATGAGCCTGTGTCAGGCTCCTCAGGCGCCCGGTGGGCCCAGCTCGGCTCGGCCTCCGAACGACGGAAGGAAAACGCGGCAGGTATGCGCACACTCAAAGCTTTGCCTGGCGCAGCGGCCATGACGCCACGTACACAGGAGCGTGCCCTTGAAGTGTTTTGCGACTCGGACGAAGATGCGAGTCCGCGCCGCACACCGCGCCGCGACGATGTGCTCACCCGCAGTCAGCTCAGTGACGCAGACAAGTTGCGGCAGAACCCATTTTTGTACTATGCCCCTGAAGCGCTGTCGTCCCAGCCGGCCGCTGCGCCTACCCCTGAGCCCAGCAAGCCTGTGGCGCGTCCCGCCCTGTCGGCCTCGCAGCGCAGCACTCGTCCATCGAAGCCGACCAATGCCAAGCGAAGTGCCGAGCGACATGCGGCCCCCTTGGCACGTCTATACCCTGGCGTGGATATTGCCGCAGCCGTGCAGGACAAGGCGCGGCCAGTGCCACGTACCGCGGAAGTGTGTATGGATGAACTATATGCACAGCAGCGTGGCTACGATGTGTCGACGGCAGATCCATGGGCCTACCTGGACGAGCGCGTAGGACGTTGGTGGCCAGAGCCGCTAGCACGTCCGAAAGAACCGACTGTACGACGTGCGCCGAGCCCAACATTAGTCACCAAGGCGGCCATACAGGAAGTGGACTTGATGTTCAATGGCGATAGCGAGAGTGACGAGGCGTCGGACGAGTCGAGTGAGACGGACGATGACGATGTATGCTACCCGATTGTACGCCAGGACGAGAATGGAGGCGTCCAGCCCACGCCGCTTCGTACGCCCATGAATCGACGCCCATTTGGCCTGACGCCTGGTCGTACGCCCTTTGGTCAAACGCCTTCGCGGCCCTCCACCCAGCCGCTCACGGTTGCTGAAGACGAAGACGAGGAGGAAGAGGAAGAGCACAGTACAAGCGGGCCTGCCATGATGCATGTCCCCTTCCAGCCGCTGACGCCCATTACGGAGCGTACGGAGATCTCGCGCTTTACGTCGTACGAGGGAAATGCGGGCGGCGACAGGGAGGCAGCGTCAACGACGTTCATGCCGGTCGGCGGTCTCCGTGCCTTGCCCTCCACCTTGCAACTGCCGAATCCCTGCTCACCCGCGGACCCTGACATTGTACGTACGTTGCTAGCGAACCTGGCTGTGCCTGTGTCCGCGTTGCCTGGGTACGTCGATGCACGTGCAGACTCGACACAGTACTTGACGTACCTGACGTCACGTCTGAGTGGACAAAAGCAGCCACGTCGTTCCTCCGTGGGAGGCGCGCTGGACATGAGCGTGGCGGATATGCAGCTTACCGTGCTTACCCGTTTGGGCGAGGGTGGGTATGGCTCCGTGTTTCTCGCGCAGGATATGAACGATACTGTGCCGAGACCTGGAGATACACATGCGTCGTATGCAAGCAGTGCAGACGACGATGATGTCGACGAGTGGGAACGGCAGCATATGCTAGCGCTCAAAGTCGAGGCACCGCCCAATGCATGGGAATACTATATCCTGGAGCAGCTTCGGCACCGACTACCTACGTCGCTGCAGTCGTCGGTCGTGGGAGCACGGCGGTTCGTCGCGAGTCAGACGGAGTCGCTATTGTTGCTGGAGTACGCATCGCAAGGCACGCTGCTAGAGTTGGTGAATCATGCCTCCGCGGCCGGTGTGAGCAGCGTGTTGGGCGGCGGTGGCCAGGGAGGTATGGAAGAAGTCCTGGCGATGTTTTTCGTGATTGAGCTGTGCCGTGTGGTGGAAGGGATGCACACGGCTGGCATTCTGCATGGCGACTTGAAAATCGACAATTGCATGATTCGCTCGGAGGATGTGGAGGAATGGACGACGACCTATGCGGCGGATGGCCGTGGTGGATGGGCCGCCAAGGGGATCATGCTGGTCGACTTTGGCCGTGCGATTGACTTGGCGTGCTACCCGCCTGACCAGCGCTTCCTGGCAGACTGGCAGCCAGGCCACCAAGACTGCACGGAGATGCGCGAAATGCGGCCGTGGACGTACCAGGCCGACTACTATGGCCTAGCCAGCATTGCGTATTGCCTGCTGTTCGGCAAGTACATGGATACCACGTCGTATGTCAACGAACAGGGACGCAAGATGTACAAGATTCAGCAGCCGCTGCGTCGGTACTGGCAGACAGAGCTGTGGCAACGGTTCTTTGATCTCATGCTCAACCCGACCACGACGCCGAGCGAGTCGTGGCCCATCACGTCAGAGATAGCGGCGCTCCGTGCCGACATGGAAGCATGGCTCACAACACATTCGTTCCATGCCGGGAAGAACCTGAAAGGACTACTGAAGAAGGTGGAAATCTGGGCACTACGACGTATGTAGAACCTGTATAGCACTACGACTTGAGCAGCATAGCAGCCTCTGCATACGACTTGGTACCCATTTCTGTGAGACGCGAGAGAAGACGCGCGAACGCAAACAGTTCCTCGTCACCACTGAAGATCGACGAGCCTCCGATGTCGTCCATCGTCATTTTCAGGTCGTCCATCAACGCACGCATCTGATCAGAGGTCGTGTTGTCCATAGCGCCTTTCCCACTAAACACTTGCATAATCGGCACATCCGACGAGCAGAACAAACGCGTCTTGCTCTCGTACGCAGCATCCACAAACGTAATGAAACGACGTGCCAAGTCACGCATGTCAATGTTCATCAGCGGAATTTCGTCAATAAAGATCGTGTTGAATTCGTTGCACAGCGCAATGTAGTCAGCCGCACTGCGTGGACGCCCGCACAGATCCTGGAACGAGAACCGTGCCGTGTTGGACGTGCTCAGAGGGACGACCAATTGGTGGCCCCACACGCTCAACGAGCGCTCTTCCATCACAGGCTCGTCATCAGTAAGGGCCTCCCATTCCTGCTCGTACTCGGCCATGTCCTGCGACTTGCCGGTCTCAAAGTACGACCGGTACGTCGCTTTCGGCAGCTTGCGGTAGTCCGTGCCAGAGTTCAGATCCGTGACGTGGTACTGTGTCTCAAGAAGGTGAATGCATGGCAGGAAACTGCTGCGCTGAATACCGTTCTTGTACAGCTCGGAGGGCGGTCGGTTCGATGTCATGACTGTCACCACACCGTACCGCAAGAGTGTCTCCAGGAGACGACGCAGAATCATGGCATCCACAATGTCCACGACCTGGAACTCGTCAAAGCAGAGCACTTGCGTCTCTTGCGCAATTTCACGGGCGACAGGCTCAATGGGATCAATCTCGCCACCCTCATGCTGCGACTCCTCAGCCTGCGCAGGCGACGCTGCGGCGGCCGCCGCCGCCGACGCATGCGACAGCACAGCCTGGCCAACAATACCGGAGGCGCGGTGGTACTTGGACTTGTAGTAGTGCGAGCGCTTGTGCACGTCGATCATAAACTGATGGAAATGCACGCGGCGCTTTCGTGTCACATTCGGCGGCAATGTTTGGTAAAATAGGTCCATTAGCATACTCTTCCCGGTACCGACATCGCCATGCAAATACAAGCCTTCGGGTGCGCCAGCGGGACGTACCGCTTCTGTGGGCGTGGTGGCTTTCTTGGAGAAGGCACTTGCCAGCGTGCCAAACAGACCGGATGGATTGTTTTGCGCCGACTGCTCCATGATCTTAGCATTCTGATCGGGCAAGGGTAACAACGACATGAAGAAACGTGACATGGCACTGGGCGGTGGCGGGCCCAGGATGCCGTCTTCTGGCGCAGGAACAGAAGGCTGCTCATACGTTTTGAGCTGTTCATGCAGGTCATCGAGCAGTTTGGCAATCCTGCGCTGGAAATCGTCGCCGCGCAAGTCACCCGCAGCGACCTTTTGCTCGTACACATCCGAGGGCGAAGGCATAGAGTCGGCCATTGTCACAGCTGACGAGGAGAGCCATCGCACACCCGCGTACGTGGTCTGTCCACATCGCAGAGCGCAGCGCGCCGTCCATACGGATCGCACTAGCATGGCCTACCACGAAACGCCAAGGCTACACAGGGTAAGAAAGAGTGGAGTCGGCGGCCGCCGGCCACCCCTTCTCCACGACAGCGGCGGCAGCAGCAGCGGCAGCAGCGGTGCCGCTTCCTCCACATAGGGCGAGGCGGGCGGGCGTCAAAGTGTGGCACGCGTCGTAGACGTTCGCTGCCTGCCTACGACATGCCACTGCTCGTCGTGCCGCCCAACACGGTGGCAGCTTTACAGGCCATCCTCGCACGCGACGATGTGCCGCCATCTCTTCGTGACGATCTCCAAGCCGCGCTTCGCCCAGCACCCTTACATGGTGCAACGCCGGCCGATTTGTCGGTCACCGAGACATGTCTCCCACACCAAGTATTGGTCGACGTGGCCCATTGGGCACAAACCAAAAACGAGCCAACCCTGGCCTTGTCGGAACTTGTACGTGGCACCTCGCTGTATTTCAAGCCCCCACCTGTGTACCAACGCGTATGTACCCACGCCTTCACCACTCACGCCTCACAGCCCCCTGAATTGGATGCCTCGTTGGAAGCGATTCAACGTGCGCACGATGAAAAGGAATATGCACGTATGACTGCCGCACCGCCGCCAGCTGCTTGGAAGGCGACTACATTGGCGACGCTCTACCCACCGTCACGCGAAGCAGCGCAAGCGGAACGTGTGGCTTGGCGTCAAACACGCGCTCAAATGAGTGCCGTTCTTAACATTATGCTGAGTATGGGTGCCGTAGCTACGGCTGCATGGTGGGCAGGCGGCACAGCCAGTCCCATCTGGGTACGTTGGCAGTCCATGAAAAGCTGACATGCAGAAAGTCAGTGTGGCTTTTACACTCTCGATGATCGTAGGCATGGCCGAAGCGGCTCTCTATGCACGACATTGGAATATGGACAAACCACGGAGTCCTCCTACGACCCTACGCAAACGCAGCACTACGAAGAGGCGCTCGCGTTCGTCGGCGGACGGCCTGCCTTGTCCGCGCCTGCCGCCCGACGGGCCGCCAGAATAAGGTCGGCTACCGCATCGATACCCTGATCGAGCTTCACACTGGTAAACACTGTGGGGCCATTGTCACGCATTTTGTCAGCATCGCGACGCATCACCTCGAGCGAAGCGCCGACGTGCTCGGCCAAGTCGATCTTGTTGATCACCAGTACATCCGACTGCGAAATACCAGGACCGCCCTTGCGTGGCACCTTGTCACCACCCGATACGTCGATGACGTACACGTGGAAATCGGCCAATTCCACGCTAAAGGCAGCAGCAAGATTGTCACCACCACTTTCCACAAACAGCAACTGGGTGTCGTACTCAGCCTGCAGCTGCTCGAGCACTTCCATGTTGGCCGAGATGTCTTCACGAATCGCAGCGTGCGGGCAGCCACCCGTCTCGACAGCGCGAATGCGGTTGGTGTCCTGCAAGGCGGCATTGCGTACCAGGAACTCCTGGTCCTCCCGCGTGAAAATGTCGTTGGTCACCACCGCAATGTTGTATTCGTCACGCAGCTTCTTGCACAGCGCCAGCAATAACGCAGTCTTACCGGAACCCACAGGCCTATTGTAAGCATAGATAATACATACCCGCCAATACCCACGGTGAATGCACGCTCGCTCCAGTTGCGCTTCGCATAGTTCGGCATGTCACGCTCGCCAAACTTGCCCGGGTGGTCCATAATTTCGTGCGTGTGACCATGCTCGTTGGCACTGTGTGAGTGCGAGTGCGAGTGCGAGTGCGAATGATCATGCGAATGTTCATGCATAGAGGGCGGTGCACCGGCACCTGCACCGACTTTAAAGTCACATACGTCCGACATGGTTGTGGAAGGACACCAAGTCGGATCAGAGCGCGCACCCAACGTATACCCCGCTTTCGATCGGACGGATCACGTGGTACAACCGATGCGGGGGAACGGGGGAACGGCCGTCCTCCGACGACGTCGTATACACATCCTGGTATGGTGGCTACACAAATCTACTCCCACTGTGGACCTAGGATATCGTAGCGCTTACCACGCACGGCCCAGAGACCCCAGTTCGCCTTTACAGCCACACGTGTATCAAAGTCGGCTTCGCGTCAGTCATCCATCAATACATACCAATCGCCCACTGCTGGCTTGCAAACGCATTCTCGCCAGGTGTCAACAGCCAGTCAAATTCGCCACTCACGCCATCCACCGACTCAAAGGCAAGGACATCACGCTCGACATCCGCCGGCGAGAAGCCAGACACAAAGAGGGCACAGCGTGTCGAGAGAATCTGGCCGATGGCCTGCGCCCACTCACGCTGCGCCTGGACCACCGGAGCGGTCTGGAGCGACGTAAAGCCATGGCCCATCGCCACCACAGCAGGTGATGGCTCATCCGAGGGGACATCACCACCGGCTGGGCTCTTCATCACTTCCGTCGGGCGAAATTCACCTTGCGGTGCATGCGCCGAAGGCGTCGCAGCGGTGGCCTCCTCGTTGGCTTCGAGGGCATTCTTTGCATGGTACGTGTCACGCGCCGCCTTCATCTTGCGCTCTTCATCGCGTTCCTCCGCCCGCAACCGCGCCTGCTCGTCCACCGCAATGACACTAGGGAAGCCAAAGCCAGGAGCAAATGCAAAGAACACATCCGTATACGGATCAAACGGCTCAAACAACGAGTGAACTGTCTCATAGGTCGTCTGGACGACGGTGAGTGTCATACCTTCCGATACCGCGATGCTGCGGGACGGGAAGGGGAAAGGCGCAGTGCGCTCCTTGTACAGCGGGTGATTCCACGGGTGTGGCACAGTCTTCGGGGGCACATAAGCCTCAGGCCCAATGAGGATCACATGAATCGGGACGCGAGGGAACACGTACGAAATCTGGTTCCACACGTCCGGCGGCAGCGTGGCCTCCGCACGCGCACCCACCACAAAGATACGCACAGGATCCAGCTGTGGACGTGCTCCAATCTCGGGATGCAATGTCTGACGAAGAGCTACTGGTTAGTGGCTTGACACGTACGTGTAATAGAGCGCAGACCTTCGTGAGTTAAGCGCGAGCTGCGGCGCGTGTAAGGGCTATGCTCGTGCAGAGCGCCGACAATGGTCATAGGGAATGTAAGCAATTTGGAAACGTGGCGCTTGCTTCGCTCTGACTCGATCGAAGGGAAGTTGCGAGTGTAGAAGAACTGATCCCAGCCTGACAAGTTGACAGCGGCTTCCGGCGGTTGCTCGCGCGGAAGCTGAAATTCCGCCATCGGACGACCGCTTCGTAGGTCATGCTCATCCTCGTTCGCCTCTCGCAGCCGGGGGATGTACCGAGCATGCTCTGTATCTTCACGCCATTCCTTTTCCGAGTAGTGCGTTGGCCATCCACAATCGGGACACTCGAAATTCACGAGACGACGCACACCGTACTTGGACATACTAACAGGGCAAGGCGCCAAGGATCGAATTCGCTCGCCACGCGCGCGCATCGAGGGTATGGGCGACTCGGAGAGTTTATGGAACAAATTGTCCTGGGACAGCACAGGCGGTGGCGCGGCGGGCTTCTCCACCTTGGGTTTGCGCTTGAACAGACCGAAGAACGAACGTGTAGGCACATAGGCTACAGGCATAGTGGGCCGTACCGTAGGCCGTACCCGCGCCATGCGCCATGGTGCGAGAGGTGCGCTCTTCATCATCCTGGATCGCGTAGAAGGAGCTGCCGCGGCGATGGCCGCCGCGCCAAGCCGAGCGCACCTGCTTAGATAAGCGGAGCTCCGTCGTAGAAGCGAGCCTCCGCTCGCCTCGCTGTCCTTAGCATGTCGATGGAGGCGGCAGCCGCCGTACGCAAAGCGCGTATCCATGCGCTACGGTCGCTACGCGAAGCAGAGGAGGCGGGAGACCAGGCTGCCATCGCCGCCAATGCCTTTGGCGCGGTGGTAAAGCAATCCTTTCGGCAGAGCGAGCCACCAGCGTCGTTGGTATCGACACACAAGCCGCCTGAAACCGTAGAGAAGGAAGTGGATGGCTTGCAAGAGCGTGTGATTGAAAATGACCGAGCGAAACAGGCCGAGGATCTGGATTTGATGAACATAGCGCCACGGAAGCCCAATTGGGACCTGCGTCGTGACTTGGAGCAGCGTCTCCAGCAGCTCGACGCACGCACCAAGGCGGCGATTCACACATTGATTGGTACGTACATCTTGTCTTCTCACACGTAGTGCGCCGCGTAGGGGCGAAGAACGATGCTGGGGAAGAAGCGGCCGCTGTCATGGTCGACAAAAACGATATGTAGTTCTATGATCATTTGTACTTTACCTACGGTAGGGGATGTTGTTCTGTTTCTCCTGGATCAAGTCGTAGAGCGTGCCACGCATGTTGCCATGCGCATCCTTGACGAGCCACGAGGCATGGGCCGCCGCCTCCAGCTCGGTAAGCTCGGGCTTGAAACGCGCACGCAAACGATCAAGCGTCGGCTTGCCCTTGAACGACGGAAGATCCGTGCCCAGCATGAGTGCACACGTCGCCACGATGTCGTCCGCGTACGGCCGGCAGCTCAAGAACGCCTTGACGACAAGCTGCTCAAACATCGCAAAGCCAGGTGACTTGTGACCGCCCATCACGGCTACCATTTCATGCGAAAGCTTGAACGAGTACGGCTCGAAACGCATGCCACCCGGCCCAATATCGAACAGGAACCCGAAGTCAATGTGCACAATATGGCCATCGCCATCGATCATCATATTGCCGTTATGACGATCGCGGATCTGTAGAATGTGGCATACCACCGAGTACGCCGCCATCGACTGGATGAAGTTGAGACGAGCACGCTGGAACGCAATGGAGGTCTCGTTGCCGTAGCGGTTGCGGAAAAAGTCGAGGAGATCGTTGATCTTCTGACGGCCCATTTCGTCACGCGACGTGGCATTGGGCACGACGTCAATCACACCACAGCCAGGCGCTGTCGCAGTGACGCGATAGGGGTCGAGGTACACATCCAAACCAATGGACGTGAAAATGTTCTTGAACTGCGCAATCACTTGCAGGGCCAGTACATCCTGACGACAGTCGTCACCGACTTTGAAAATGGCACTTTGCCAGACATCGACGTACTGCGGCGCATTCGGGTCCGCTGCATCTTTCACCGCGACGGGACGACGCACCTTGAACGTCGCCATGAACGGTGCCTTGGCTGCACTTTGCAAGGGGCGACCGGACTTGCGGTCCAAATCGATGACCACGCCGTCGGGGTTCGAAGGCAAGTACACATCCGGCGCCACTTTAATCTTCGCCATCTCCTCGTCGATCTTCGCCTTCTTTTCTGGCTTGGATTTCTTGATATAGGGCTTGAGCTTGCCGGAGATGTCGGTGACTTCATTGAAGAAGGAGAATTCACGCTCGTAAAATGCCTGTGCCTCGCCCGACAATTGCGCGACAATAGCATCGACCATGCGATCAAGAGTCGGCTTCAAAGAGTCTTCCACTTCGCCATTGTCGTCCTTGAACTTGTTGGCGTTCATGTTCCAGATAATTTGGTGGCAGAACAATTGCGACACTAGCGACGTCTTCAAGATGAACAGCGCGACGTATCCGAACTCGTCGTCACGCAGAGCTTGCACCACTTGTGGTACGTAGAAAAAGACGAGCTCCACAGGATGCTCTTCCAGCGCACGCATAGCGTACTGCAACACGAGCGGATTCGTGCCGCCATGCTCTGGCTGCAACATACGAATGGCCTCCACAGGCACGACCAACGACCACATGTGCAGCCAGTGCAGCGCCGCGTCATTGGAAGTGATGGCAGGCGTTGCAGATGCTGCATGTTTCTCTTTCTTACTCGGTGCATGCGATACCGTGCCAAGCAGGTAGGGCAGCGCGTCCGGCACGCTAAGTACGCGGTGCGGCGAGGTCTGGACCAGCCTGGTAAGTTCCGCTTTCAGCTCCTCGTCGGCAAAGCGACGCACGAGGTACACAGCGACACGCGCATCCGTCTTCCATGCCGTGTGCAAGTCACGAACAGAGACACTGGGGTGTGGCGTTTGCGGCGTGTTGGTCGGATTCAGCCAGACCAGCAAGCGCGCATGCTCATTGTCGTAAAGCTGCTGGAGCAGATGCAGCACATCCTGGATATGCGTCAACGCCTGCGCCAACGTGCACTGGGGCGTAAGCGGCTGAGCACTATGCAGCGTCAGTCGGGCCGACGACGACACCGTCGCAGTGGTCACGAGCGAGTCGGCTCGCAGCATAGCGCTATGCAGAGCCTGGCTCACGCTGCGCAAGAGACGCAGCTCATTCGCACCGCGATGCAAATTGCCGCCGTACGACCAGGCTGGCGCGTAGGCAAACCAGTCCAAGGCCATACGGCACACACCGTCTCGCACGCGGCATTCGACTAGGACATCGACATGGGCCGCGTGAAGCACATGCAGACCGAATTGGACCAATCGCAGGCGTGGAAGACGTGTCAGGACATGCGTGCTCAGCCGCGACGTGGCATCGGCCATGTGCTGTACCAGCATCGCCAGCACCGAGACCAGCGCGGCACTGTGGCTCTGAGCCGAGGCCAAGCAGTCAGAGAGCATACTAAGCACGAGCATGTGGCCTGTGAACAGGTCATCGGCACGACGCTCTTCCATCGAAATTTCCTCGCGGTTGTACGCCGACATGTCTGTTTTGCAGGCCATGGGATTGCGCTGATTCAAATCAGTGCTGTACAAGCCCACACGGTCCATCGTCGTGCGCATCCATCCCTGCGAGATAGCCGTAACGACAGCCAGCATCGCCGAGGGCTGCTCGGCCAGCAGCCACGTCCATACCTGCGTCGCGGTACGCAGCGCGGCCGTGGTGCCTACACGGAACGGCACCAGGACCAGGAACGTCACCAAGTCGAGATCCAGCGGGGAGCGGCTCACCGCCAAGGCCGTGCCGCGGTACAGCAACGAGTCCAGCACATCGCCGACAGGCGGCTCATGCAGCGCGGTCGCCAGCTCCGCCTTCAGCGCTTGTTCTTGCGACGCACTCAGCGCGGCCGTAACGCCTTGTGTCGCACCTTGCACGAGGAGCGCATGCGCCAGCGGCCCACTCTGATCCATACGCACATGCGTAGCGCCAATGCGTGACGGGGCACCTCGCGCCACGTCCAACGCCAAGGAGGCGCCAAGGCTATCCGCAGCGGCGTCGTCTTGCAAGTACTTAATTAGCGAGCCACGCAACTCGTTCGGCATATCTTCCTGTACACGTGTGAGAATCGCACGTACACGCGCCAGAAGCGTATCGAGCATCGCGCGACGCTCCGCGTACACATCCGAGACATCGATCGATACATTCGCGAGATGCGAATGGTACGAATACTGCGGCAGGAACGCCTCGGCCAGCTCACTATCACATGCGCGGCCCAGCATCGTGACCAGCTCCAGCATCGTGACCACTGTATCAGGGCGCACAAACAGCGACGGGCATGCGGGCACGAGGCGTTCCAAGTACTCGTGCGCCATAGCCCGCACCGCTGCACAGGTATGGCACGTCGCTAGCAGAATATTGCGTACTTCATCGACGACCACCTGATCCACGGCATGCGCCTCAGCGCGCGTGCTTACGTGCACCAGGAACGCCCCAAACGAGCGCTCCGCAATCGCTTGCAGGGCCTCATGGACAGACGCCTGAGATACGCTCGGGTGTACAAAGTACCACAGCGCCATCGAGGGACGACCACACGCCGCACGACGCCACTCGACTTCCAACACGGCTTGCAGGAACGCGAGACGTACCAGCGACAAATTGTGGCCCTCCACGGGCCGCACGCCGAGCAACGCCTTGAGAGCACGTCGCAAGATCTCAGGCGTAGCGCCCAGCGTGTCCTGCTTCAGCACAGTGTGCGTCTCAATGTCGTCGTCCAAGTAGTTGCGCGACGACTCGGGAATCAACGTCGGCGTCTTCAACGCAATGATGCTCAATGCATCGCCGCGTGGTAAGGGCGCGACCAACTCGGCGCTGCTTTGGTGGCCACACAGTGTCATGACGACCCAGGCATTGCGGAAGAGGTACACCACGTCGTCGCTCGGATGCCAGTGCACATGGAAATCGTCATGGGCTAGCAGCGCCGCCAGGACAGGCACCAGCGAATCGACCGCTGCCGCCGCTTGGCTGCGCCCGCCCTGCGTTCGAAGCCCAGCATCGACAATCAACGCCAGCAGCTCAGGCAGGGCCAGCTCTTTGCGCGAAAGACGCGTCATTTCGCCAGCCACCTCGTCCGCAGCACGACCCCGCGCCTCCGCTTCGGGAGTAAGGCCCCGGGCCAGCGTAAGGAACGCCGTTTGCACAGCGTGAAGCAGCGGCCCACCTCCCTCGCGCAAAGCAATACGAGCGCCTTCGGCCATGGCTGTCAGTACATTCACAAAGCTCGAGCATGGCGACGCAAGGGCCAGGGGAACGAGGTGCGTGAGGACCAGCCCCGTAGGCAGACGACCGTGTCCTTCGAGACGCTGGAGAAGGAGTGAGGTGACCAACGAAGTGAACGACGGCGAGGCCATGTGCCGCGCAAGGCGCGTGACGACGGCCAACGTACTCGCGACAATCGCAGGCGAGGCATGCGTCGATTCCCGCGACAAGTGGTTCAGCAGCGAGTACGTCGTCGACGTCGCCAAATCCGGCTTGCCTGACACGCTCATGCACGTAGCCATACTGGACGCACATGCCGTGAGCAAAGGCGAGCCACTCGCAGCATCGGCTTCAAGTAGAGGCAGCGGTAGTTGGACCCACCGACGCAGATGCTGGACCAACGTCACAGCCCAGGCCGGCTTCGCGCGCGCAAGAATCGCGACACCGTCCAGCGCTGCATGCTGCAAACGTGCGTCCTGTAGCGGCGCCTGCTCGCTCAACACGTTCTGCACAATTTCCAGGACAAACCCTTCGTCCACCGAAGCGCCAGCGGCTACACTTAGCACACTGGCTTTGAGAGCAGTGCAGAGCGCCTCACATACATACAGCTCAGCATGCAAAGGACTGGCCATCTCGGGCGAGTACGCCGCAGCGGTGAGCATTTGATAAGTGTGCATGGCAAGCTGCGACGTCTCTCGGACGTGGACACGATGCTGCGGAGCGCCTTCCACGAGCGCCTTCCAAGCGGAGGCGTACGCCTTAGGCCCCGTAGGCAGCGTAGCCACACCATGCACGGCCTGCGCCAGGAGCGAAGTAAGCACACTCAAAGCGCACCACGCGACAAGATGCCCACTCAGCGGTGTGCCAAGATGGGCATAGTGCTCCAGCAAACGGTCCTGAAACGTCATCGGCGAAGACGTGCTGTTGGTCGCGCCGCCCCTAGTAGGCGAGGGCATGGTAACGCCACGCGCTTGGGCCATAGCACGGCACTGACGAACGGCTTCTTCCTGCTCGGGCAGCGACATAAGCAACGCATCCAAACGCGCGATCAACGCGGCATCATGTACGATCGAGCTCATCGACGAGACGAGCGGCGCGACGGAGGCACTGTCCCATGTAAAGCTCACATCTTGCAGAGCCCGCGCTAAGCCATGCAGTTGCGGCACGGTACGTGCGATAAGCACAGCATCAGGGGTCGACGTCGATGTCAGGTGCGAACCGATGCGATCGACCAACGCCGCAGCGGATGACATGACACGCGCCTGGGTCGACGGCAGACTGCGTCCAATCTTGAGCAGTGTCTCCATAACCGTATAAGTGAGTTCATCCGGAAGCGGCCATTGCCCTTGCACTTGCACCCCCTCGTCAAACGTAGCGTCAGGGAGTTGGTCGGCCAAGTCAAAGAGCGATTGGGCGACGCGTTCCAAGTACGTGTGTGTCGCTTCTTGCATCTCATGCGGCGACGCATTCACGGCATCGGCCGTAGCAGACGCGAAGCGCGCCTGCGCAAGGTGCGTGCGTACCGCGGTGGCGCTCAAGAACGACGTCGAGTGACTCGTCGTAGCCTGCGTGGGCTGCAGGATAGCAAAATCCGACTCGTTGAGCACACCCGACGCCGCCTCACGTGCGAGGCACGCAGCTAGATCATTGAGGATAAGCGAATGTGTCGGCTGATCCAGGCTGTGATGTAAGTCGTGGGTCCTACGTACAAGTCCATCGTAGCGTCGACAGTGAAAGCGCAGTCGGCCCCTCCTGATCCCCACGGCACGGCTCTGGGCCGGTGGAGGATCTATCACGTGCATGGTGCGCAGGGGCCTCAGGTACGCACGTCTATGGACGAAGGACGCGGAGCCTCCGACGAGGCCTGCGTGTAGGGATGCATCGCCTCGCCAACTCGGCGCAAGCCCAGCTCCATGGCCTGCAGAGCCCGTGCGTCTTCTGGGGGCATAGGCATGCCATGCGACGGCGCCGCAAAAGAGTCAGGTAGGTCCAGTGATACGTAGACTTGCGCCACGCCTAGCTTGGCCGCTGCCAGTTAAAAGACGAGATAGGTCGTTACGTACAAAGACGCTGCGCTATGCCAAGCGACATGGTATGCGTGGAGGGGTACAGAGTGGTGCCAGTCGAGGCAGAGCCCTGGGCGTTAGCATTGGTCCGAGGACAGGACGTACGGGTATCTTCATAGCTACACTCCAATCGTCAGCAAGGCGGCCTTCGATCCCATGGCGAGCCGTTAACGAGGACGGCGCGCGGTCTGCCGCATACGTCGCTGTCGCTGAGAGGTCGTCGTCCTTGGCTGGCGTGCCACTTTCGTCCAGCACCGAGGCGGCATACGATGCAGGTACACTACCGCACCATAGCAACAGTGTGTCTTTCATCGCCACAGCTTGGACACCCAAAGCACGAGTATGCGCATGTGGAATCTGGATCACATACGCGCGCGACGTCATGAGAGTGGTGCGTAGCCACGCGCGGGGGAAGTACCAGGTGGAGCCACGCACGCCACGCCACGCCAGGCCTTGGAAGGCACGTGATCGAAACGAAGAAGGCGACGTCGTCGTGACTGACCGGTGAGAGTGCCTCGCAGTCCCTTCCTCTCCTTGTCATGGCCACTCGATGGTGGCTCGCAGCAGGGCCCATGCGCGCCGCGTGGAGTCCGTTCCGGACTTCCATGCAGGTGCGCATGGTCCAATCGGCGGCTATGAGTCTGCGTGCGCAGCTCAACCCCCCGTCGCCCGATCGTGAAAAGCCCACATCGCCTACGTATTACACGACGAAGCCGTCGTTCATGGATACGTTGCAGATGCTCGATAAGCTCACGCGTGAGATTAAGCGTGAGCTGGAGCAGGCATACATCCTTGCTCCGAACGCCCGTCCGCCGCCGATGCCGCAAGGCGCTGCGGTTGCGTGGGTCTCGCGCGAACGACTGAGCGGCTTGTTGGGTCTGCCGCTCCGAAACGCACAGTACAGTAACATTACATCGCGCTTGTCGCTTCTGCTGCGTTACCGTGACCTAGCGCTGAAACACTTTAGCGGCCAGTCGCCACTGGGCGCACGAATTACGACGCAGCAGCGTGAGATTGTCCAGCAGATCGTCGAAGTGCTCGACTCGTTTACCAGTGAACATACACGCGAAAAGCAGACCCAAGGCGAGGCTTCGGACTTTGTAGGCTCGTCGGCGCGTGGAAAAATCGACGATCAGGGCCGTGCCTATGCACGCGGCCGTCGGAAAGAAAGCAGTGCGCGTGTATGGCTCGTCCAGACCAAGCCACAACAGGATGGCACACTGCCCATCGGTCAGATCCTGGTCAACAACGTGCCCATGAGTGAATATTTCCTGCGTACCGCACATCGCGAGGCAGTGACATGGCCTTTGAAGCTGGCTGGCCTCCTGGGTGCGTACAATGTGTTCGCGATTGTGCGTGGCGGCGGCGCGTCAGGTCAGGCAGGCGCCTTGGCGCATGGAATCGCGAATGCGCTGGTCGCCTCGCTTGGTGCTGCCGAGGGTGAGCATGCCAAGGAGACACGCGACCGTGTACGCCAGGTCCTCGTGAAGGACGGTGTATTGAACCGTGATCCACGTATGGTCGAGCGTAAGAAACCGGGTCTCGCCAAGGCGCGCAAGGCCTGGACCTGGGTCAAGCGTTGATAGACGTATATATCCTTCCCAATGGAATCTATATGGCGGGTGCACAGAGGTAGGGACTATAGGCAAGTTTGTTGTTACAGCACTGAGAGGTAAGTGGGAAGAGAAAAAATACGTACTTCGTCGCTTCTTCGGACGGCAGCCGCCAATCTTGATAGGCGTCTTGTCCGTCATGACATTGACCATGTTTCGTACCAGTTCGCCCTCGTTGGCTTGCAAGGCACGGAATACAGCTTCGCGACCCTGGCCAAAGCCATTCCAGACCACTTCAATGGCATTCACATTCCATCGCTTCTTGTTAGCGCCAATGTGCTGGAACACACGCAGCGCAGCACGGTAGCCTGCTTCGTAGCCCGACCGCTGCGCCTTGCGGAAACCGACGCTACCACCACTGGCACGCACAAGGCCTTCGCCCGTGGGCATCGTAAATGCTACAATCGTATTGTTGCGCGTCGACTTGACATGCAAGCGGTGCGGCAATGACCGGCCACGTACAGAGAGCACGTCACGCACCGGCATCTCTGGTTGCACTTTGGTATCCGTGGCACCCGATAGTGTTGGGGTCGGTGTGAACTCGAGCGCGGAGTCCAGGGAGACTTTGGGCGTGGCCTCCGACTCGGACGACGCGGGCGCCGGCGCCGGCGCCGGCGTCTCTGTAGCCTGGGAATATGCGCGCACACTTACAGCCGGGCGCAAAGAGCCTGGATAAAACATACGGCAGGGCTGCACGGCCGCCCGCGCAGCCTGTGCAATGCGTTGTAGCATGGCTGGTATCGACAAGGAAGAATCCTTCCTCGTCGAGTGAGAGAGAAGGTTGCGAATCTAGTAACATGGCCTAGTAGGTGTCTTACATAATAACAAAAGAGGCCCTCGCAGGACCCATCTCTGCCGCGAAAGGAGAGCCAGGCCAAGGACCTGTTGTCCAAGGCCAGCCCCTCTTCCGCCGCTTGTATCGGCACATCACATACAAGAAAACGACTACGAGTCTACTGTCACACCACGATCGCGAAGGTAGTCTTTGGCGTTCTTAATATCCTGTTACGCCGTGTAAATACAAAACTTTCATTCGCTTACGCACCATTAGCAGCTCATCGTAGGCTTTCGGGGTGTCATTAAAGTTGTATAGACCCCATCCCACCTGGTACATCAAGTAGGCACCGATGCTGATGAGCGCCCACCATGGCAACTGCAATGTCAATATCATGCACAACAAAAGACCACATACCGTCGGCAGGATCGCCTGAGCTGTCTCTTGCGAGAGGAAAGGTACAGGAAGTATACCAAGGAAGAATACCAGGTACACAAACGATAGGCATCCGGCCAGCGTCGCGAACCGAGTCGCACGCGTCATGATGAGAGCGACAGAGACCAACACTCGCTCTGGGCGCCCAGCGAGGCGACCCTGCGCACCAGACCGCGGTCGGCTGCCTCTCGGCCGATAGTAGGTGACACTCGCCCGTTTACGACGCGTCGTGCGCATCGCGTTGTGGGTGCGCACGCGTCGTCATGGCCACCAAATGGTCCTGCAATGCCAATGAGGCGACATGCCTTCGTCTGGCAGGCGCGCCAGCGCCGTGTGATGGTGTATTTCACCCGGAATTTACATACCCGATCTTTGGAGAGGCCGAAACGATCTTTGGATACCAAGGCCTGCATATCCGCCTGACCATGGCCTCAGGCAGCTTGGCTCCCTGCTTGGAACTGGACTACAAGGCCAAGAATGCCACGACCACAGCCAAGATCGACGATGTGGAAGGTACGCTTCGTGAATACCTGCCGGACGATGAAGACCTGGTCCCACCTGCCAGCATGGAAGCGCGCATCCAAGCCGACCAAGCGTCGTTCAAGCCGTTGGGCACGCTGGTCACGACGTACAAACGCAGCATACCCAAGGCACGTGGATCCCAAGAGAAGGAGCGTGAATTCGCCATCTTTCATGCGACTTGGGATACGCCAGGGTTCCGTGCTTGGCACAAACGCGCACAAATCTTCACCTTATTTTTCATTGAAGGCGCGTCGTACATTGATGACGAAGAGGCAAACTGGGAATTCTATACGGTGTTTGAGCGGACACAGACGCAGACCGGGGAAGCGTGGCATTTTGTAGGCTACACATCTCTGTATCGTTTTTGGTGTTGGCCCGATCGCACACGATTGCGCCTAAGTCAATTTGTCATTCTCCCTCCCTACCAGGGCCAACGCCACGGCTCGGAATTGTACAAAACGGTGTATGCCAAGGCGTTGGACGATGCATCGATTTGTGAAATGACAGTGGAAGATCCTTCGGAGGCATTTGATCACCTGCGTGATTCCTGCGACTTGCAATTCCTCGCACAGCAGCCAGACGTTGCTTCACACCTCATGATGCCGATCGATCGGACATGGAGCCGCACTGCCCGGGCCAAGTACAAGTTGGCACCAAGACAGTGGGCGCGTGTCTTGGAAATGCTAGCGCTCTTACGACTCCCGGACGACGCAGCGAGCCAGCAGGCCTACCGACTGCAAGTCAAAGCGCGAATTTACGGCGTGAATCGGGAAGTGCTCGAGGCGCTACCTCAGGAGCAGCGTCTAGAGAAACTCCACGAGACATTCGAGGCTGTCATGGATGAGTACGCAGAGATGACAGGCGCTGATGTGCCAGAGAGCCTGCTCGTCCTTCCGCCGCCTTCTCGAAAACGTGCGAACAGTGCATCAGACCAAGGTATGCAAAAGACGCCGCGGTTGGTATAGCTACGTAGATCTCGGTTGCAAGACAGCTACATGAACACACATCCCTTCGCCTTCCCAGGGCGGCTCGGTGGATGGCGCCTCCCCTAGAATCGCAGCGCTGGGTGTCGCCATAGTGATACCAGGGGCTTGGGCTTGCGGTGGTGGGGTTGTGCGCATGCGCCGGGCCTGTAGCTTGGTCAGCTGCTCTGCAACCCATGCCACATTGGTCAAGATGGACAAGTCGTTCGGACGATGCGGCGGCATACATCGTTTCACATCGGCGTATGGCGCTTGGATGCCACGGCATTCGCGGATGACGCGAGGGCACGAAATGGACGATGTGCCATGAGGAAGCATGTCGCCTTCGCGTGGATCGAAGGACACATACATGCGGGTATCGAAAACGCGGAACACAACATCGTCCACACGCAAAAAGAAGCGCTGCAACACAAGCAGACCACTTGGCATCACACGCTATTTTGTTAGTGAGCAGGCGACGTACCACTTTGACATTCAACATACTTGAGCCGTTATCGCCCAGCTCATCCTCGTACAGCATGATATCATCGTAAAACAAAATGGGCTCGCCACTAGACGGGCCAAGACGCTCCACAGGGATCCGATCGCGGGCATAGTCAGTGCCGAGTTGAAACACCGACGCTGCGTTGGAGGGCACCGTAATTGCATGCACATCTGCTGGGGCCGAAGTGCCCGGCAGACCGGGCCATGTGGATGAGTAGGTCCAGTCGTATTGCTTGGTGGTACTAAGGTACGACGGGGGTTGGCCGTGCGTGGCCAGAGCTTGGCGTCTAGACATGAGTCGTCAGCGTATACGTACCGAGATTGACCCCATGCACCTGCATGCGCCACTTTGATCCCACTGCGCGAAAGGGTTCTTTTATGACGCCCTGTGCTTCCTATATCCATACCAGCCGCGCACTCACGCGCACAATCGATGGGCGTGAGTTGCAGCGAGGTACGAATTCCATCGACGCATTGAAGTGCACGAATAGCATCAAAGCAGTAGGTAAAGCCGCTGGGAGCGTGCTCGAGAATCAGTGCATTTTTAAGAAAGGGCATTTCTGGTGGGGGAATATCCAGCTGATCTGACAAGGCATCCAATTCGCTGGCATTGGCAATACTGCCATGTCGCACACGCACGGTCCATGGGCCAATATCAATACCACGTTCGAGAACTTGCTCTGAGGGCACGGCACTTCCGTCTGTAGAACGGACCGGAGAAGCCTCTCCAACTTTATGCTCAAAAAGCTTGTGGGCAGGCCGCCCTTCTTTGGTGCCTTGCGCTTCCATGCTCTCGTTGAGCGAAATGTGGAGAGATAGGCAGCAGGCCGTCAGGGAGACGGACGGATGGGCGTCAGCGGACTCCACAACACGTGATGCCAGGATGCTCAGCGTGGGGTCCGCCGTGGAACGCTCGGTACATGTTCCCGCAATCCATGATCGACATGGACTAGCAGCGTATAATGTGGATAGATCCCAGCGATTCTATGCCTATATGATGATCCAACATTCACGGGAGAGGGAGCTTACGCACGTGGGCATCCCATGAGACTCCTACCTACACTTGATCTGAAGGTTTGATTCTCGCCGGTATTCATAGAGCCCACCCATATGTCTATGCCCCTACCCTCTTTTCCCCACTGATCCTATAGGCCGACCAATTTCATGCAAACTACCTCTGTCCCATTCATTGACTAAGAGGTGGAGCGCCCATGCATAGACACGTGGCCAAAAAGCCGCGGGCACGGGCCCTCAAAGTTTGAGTCCGAACGCCTTTCCCCACCTACGACCACATTTAGACTATGAGCACTCTCAACAAGGCCTGCTGCACACTTTCGCCGGTTCAGACCGACTAGTATGTATATATGGTAGCGCAAAAACTAACAAACAGCAAGCCCAAGGGTACGTGGCGTCCAGAGAAATGTGTGTTAACGTGATAGGTGAGACCCAGGAGATTGCTGGCATGAAGGCCTATGTGACTGGCCCTGCAGACTCGAAGAACGCCGTTCTCTGCATTTACGACATCTTCGGTATGTGGGCCACAACCCAGCAGGGTGCCGACCTGCTGGCCGAGGCCATGAAGACCAAGGTCGTGATGCCTGACTTTTTGCGTGGCCAGCCGTGGCCAGTGGAGGCGTTCCCCCCGCGCAGTGACGAGGAGGGCAAGAAGTTCGGCGAGTGGCTCGAGACGATTGGTAACATACAGGACCGCCTGAAGGACATCCAGAATGTTGTTTCGGCGCTGAAGGAGCAGGGTGTCCAGAAGTTGGGTCTCTACGGTTTCTGCTGGGGTGGCAAGATTTCTAGCTTGGCAGGCAAGGAGGGCTCTCTCTTCGTGGGTGTGGCCCAGGTCCACCCGGCCTTTGTAGACCCGAACGATGGCAAGGACCTCGCTGTGCCTGTGGCCTTCTTCCCATCGAAGGATGAGGAGAAGAAGGACGTGGATGGCTACTGGAACAACTTCAAGGAGGCTCATCCCGAGCTTGTCGAGAAGAGCATGTTCAAGCACTACACGGAGATGTTCCACGGCTTCGCTGCGGCTCGCGCTGATCTGAAGGACGAGACCAACTACTTCGCCTTCCAGGATGTGTACACCCGCTTGGCTGAGTTCTTTTGCAACTTGCTTTAAATAGAAATTTTACGAAGTTTTAGTAGACGAGGTAGGATCATCACTGTCTGATTCAATCTCGATTGTCTCGCCATCGTTATGCAGAGTACCAATGCGAACACGCCCACCTTTCGCCCGAACGATCTCTTCCACCGTGCGTGGCTCGTCTTTCGTTTCAGTAAACCAGCCTAGGTTGTCAGCGATGAGGTGCCTACGGTTAGGATAAGGACAGCACGTACCTATTCTTGCATCCAGGGCACTCGACAAGCACAATACCCTTGGTATAAGAATGCTTCGTAAATTCATGCGTAGACCGAGTACCACAACCAGGGACTGTGCATGTAAACGTAAGTTGCAGCCGCGGTTGGATCTGCATCGTATCCGGTGCATCCCATCGTCGTACGGTTGTGCTCAGAGGTCGAACGACTACAGGAAGAGGCTTTGCCATCCGTGTAGGATAAACGCTCGGACGGAGAGCCGCGCGGCACACGACAGATCCACGACCCAATAGACTTCGCATACTGGTTCCTTAGGTCGTTCGTCACAGTCGCCCACCGGTCTCGACGAGCGCACGGTCGTATCACGTGATACCTTCACAGTGATGCTTCGATACGCGCTTGGGCCGGGCGAGGATGTTGTTCTCTTCGCGGCCATGGTAAGCAGTGCTGCATTACCAACTCAGCCAGATCCTCGGCGGCGAGGAAATATTGAGATAAACAAGGTACATGGTGCTTCTCTTCATGTATCCCATCGCATTCGAATTCATCATCTGCTAGCGTTGTTGCTGACCAAGACCCTAATCGCATCGGCTGCATGGCTTGCGCGTCAATGGCTTCTGATACCCCAAGTTGACTTAGATGCTTTTCGCATCCAGATTCGCGATATGGTCGGTGATAATATGGATTGGTCAGAGATAGCCAAGAAAGAGCAGGTTGTTCATGCGCCTGCGAGCATTTGGGCGGTTGCGACGATCACGACATGCTTGGCTTCGCTTATTTTACTCCTGGCTTTTAGGGTGTGGCGCTGGCAAGTTTCGTGGACGGACCATACCATTCGTCATTTATTAATGTTGGGTATGGTGTTGTTTTCTCAACTCCTTTTATGGCTTTGGTCTCTTAAATACCTTGGCGCTACCATGTTTGTATATGTATGACTATTAACGATCACAGCACTCTTATATTTACACAATTCTGTGAGCTTTGGATGAGAGATATTCAAGTGGGGAAACGTTGGGCAAAATCTGGCGGCCCATTGGTTTTACTAGCCATGGGCGTGGCATATGCCACAACGTTGCTTACGGGCTCCGCTATGTCGATTCGTCGTCCATATGCAGACACATTGGATGAGTTCTCATTGCAGACGATCTCGTTTTCGGCAAGTTTACAGGATAACATCGGCGCTTTGAATGCGACCAAAGGCTATGGCTCCTTGCTTGCCTACGCCGTCCTCTCAATTGAGGCAGGACAATTGATGTTTACAGCTTCCAAAGATGTGGGAGGCCGACGGCGCGCGATGGTCTTGGCCAATGCTATTGCCTCTGTAATTGTTCTACCGCTCTCGACTATGGGCGCTATGCTGGGGTTCAAAATGTTACCAGCACCGCTCGTTCCTAATCATGACCCCACACCACAAGATGCGCTTGAGTTTGGTCATATGGCGGCCTACTTGGTGTTGGCTGTGGGTCTGTTGATTTTTGATGTGCTTGTGACATTGACACTAGAATCTTATGTCACATTGATGGTTCATGCTCTCCATGCCTGGCCTATGGCCATCTTCTTTACTATGGCCATTGGATTTGGTGTGTTTAACGTGAAAGTAAGCATTATGCACATATTAGTGGCGATGTGCGTGGGCTTTGCGCTTTATGCAATTCTCCGTCGGTCGCCCCTATACATGACCACATGGTACCGATCAGCAACATTGGAAGAGCAGCGTGTAGCCCAACAAGGAGCAGACACAGATACCACGGCGCTTTCAGAACTTGTCATTTTGTGGTATCAAACAGCCATCCAAATTCGGAGTATTATCCGTGTGATCCTATCAAAGAGCGATTCTCGTCGCATTTTTCTGTTTTTGTGCATCAACTTAGCATTCATGGGTGTTCAGTTGCTTTGGGGTGTGTGGACGAATAGTCTTGGCCTCATCAGTGATGCGATTCACATGTTCTTTGATTGTGCAGCCATTTTTATGGGTCTAATTGCCAGTGTGATGGCCACTTGGGATACGGATGCCACATTTCCATTTGGATATAAGCGTGTGGAAACATTATCGGGCTTTGCAAATGGTATTTTCCTGGTTCTGATTAGTGTATTCATCCTGTTTGAGGCAATTCAGCGCATTATCGAGCCCCCGGAAATGAACAACATGACCCAATTGTTGATTGTAAGCACATTAGGTTTGCTTGTCAACTTGTTTGGTATGTTTGCGATGGGGCACCACCATCACCATGGTCATTCTCATGGTCATTCTCACGGCCATTCGCATGGTCATCATCATCATCATCATGACCATGGACATGACCACAGCCATGATCACCACGATCACGATCACGATCACCATGGACATTCACATAATATGCTTGGTCTCTACCTACATGTAATGGCTGATACGCTTGGCTCTGTGGGTGTGATTATCAGCACGATTCTAATTCATTACTTCCATTGGACAGGCTTCGATCCCATTGCCTCCTTGTTAATTGGCTTAATGATCTTGGGGTCTGTCATACCTCTTGTGGTGGACTCTGGTCGAATTCTATGTCTTGATATGGGTAGTATGGACACAAGCACTATTTCCAAGGCGCTTTCCAAGGTAAGTACATTTTGCCTGGCAACAACTACTAACACGTGAACAGATCAGCGCTATTCCAGGTGTAAGTGGCTATTCAGATGCCAGGTTTTGGTCCCTCGACGGTGAATCTTTAATTGGCTCAATAGTAAGTCCGACGGGCGCATGCAATTAACAGGCAGCATGTTCATTATGATACCCCGTTATTCTCCGCGGTGGAAACAACCGAACACGCAAAAGTAGTGGACCCATCCCGACTTGTTCTTCAAGTGGAGGCGCTCTTGCGCGGAGATATCCATGGTCTGGACACTGTGACAGTTCAGGCTAACCCGCGCGGAGATTGCTTATAACAGGTGCAAGACAGCACCTCCCAACCTGTAGAGAAACAACAACCATGAGTTCTATGACTAGCCCCGCTTGCTGCAACATGCCCCCGGTCGAGGTCGACTACAAGTCGAAGGGCCGGACGGAGAAGATCCTGGACGACATGAACGCCTACGTCACTGGACCAGAGACCTCGGAGAAAGTTATTGTCGGCATTTACGATGTGTTCGGTTGCTGGTCGACCACCGAACAGGGTGCTGACATTTTGGCTCAGTTGACTGGTATGAAGGTCGTTCTGCCGGACTTTTTCCGTGGTGAGCCGCTGCCGAACGATTCGTTCCCGATGGACACGCCGGAGAAGCAGCAGATTGTCAATAATTTCCTGGGTACCAAGGGTAACCCAATGACTGTTAAGGGTGACCTTATGCAGGTCAGTCAGAAGCTGAAGGCAAATGGTGCCAAGAGCATTGGTGTCTATGGCCTCTGCTGGGGCTCGAAGCCAGCCACCTTGGCATGCTCCGAGAAGGAGACGCCCTTTGCTGCCATTGCACAGCTCCACCCTTCTCTCCTGGATGCGAAGGACGCCTCTGCCCTGCAGGTGCCTATGGCTTCGCTCACCTCGAAGGACGAGCCGGAGGAACTCATGAAGGACTTCTACGCTAACCTTAAGGCTAACAGCGCCATTGCTTCGCGCTGCATTGACCACCACTATCCAGACATCCCTCACGGCTTTGCTGGTTCGCGTGCCAACCTGAAGGACCAAGCCAACCTTGAAGCTTACAAGGATGCGTACCAGCGCACTGCCAAGTTCTTTGTTGATGTGCTGTAATTAGCCCAAAGAGTTCTTTATGATTAGTAAGACATACCAAAGTTTCAGATTATACACAAGACCATCGCGAAGCTTGTCAGTTCACTTGCATGGCTACGGGAAGCATGAGGCATGGGCTCAGTCCTACGGGATCAGAGACTACCAATGCTCATGCCCCATCATACTCAGCAACGATGTCATTTTTTGTGAAAGCGAAATACGACTACTTGCCTACTGACAATAGCCTACTTCAGTTTCGCGCAGGCGCTGTCATTGAGGTAATCAGTCAGTTAGAGAGCGGCTGGTGGGATGGTTTGCTCGATGAATCGACAAGGGGATGGTTCCCATCAAACTATGTTGAGTTGATACCAGATAAAGAGGCTCTTGCATCCATCGATGTGGTAAATAACAAGCTCGTAACGCATCAGGATTGCACGCTTTCTCTTCCCATTGTCACCCTTTCTGACAGTGAATATATTCAATGCATTGACAACACACTCGAGGAGATCACCGTACTCAACCATGTTTCAACCCATCAGTTAATTGAGCCCCTTTCCGAACCTGAAAAGGTGGCTATCGTGAGTCATTTTGTTCAATGCACTACGACCATCGTTCAAAATACCCGCAAGATCGTCTCGCACCTAGATAAGGTTGAACAAGAAAAAACAGACAAGATTCCATATCGAAAAGATATTTGGGTCCAGATGGTTTCAAGAGAAGCAACTACGTCACTGTCAGTGCTTGTGCTTCGTATGCGAGAGTTGACGAAGCACCTATACCAGAGCGCTGACTTTATTAAGATGCGGCATGATTATCTGAATGAACTCCGTTCTGTGAGAGAATGTACCAATGGACTCATCAATTTGCTGCAAACACTCAAAGAGGATTACATTGCTCGCCTCGAAGGCGCAAACGATAGGTCGCCCATGACCATCCATGCTGGTGCCAGCACAAATTGCACTGCGAGAAATGAGATGGATGACTGTCCTTCGAAACCGATATACCCATTTTCAACGACACACGACCAAGCCTCTGCGAGTCAGTCTGACACCGACTCCATAAAGTCAACCGACCAGATGTTATTTTGTGAAAAGCGGTCGTATTCACCTCTCACCATGACAGATTCCAAATCGGAACGCTCTTCAAGATCGGATAAAGATGTACGAGTTCCCATTGTGGACAAGGACCTAAACGATAAGAGTTCATATATGGGGATTGATATCTCTGCAGAAGATATTGTCTTTTCTCCACTTGGCAAAGTGAAAGGCGGCACGTTGCAGGCGCTTGTCGTTCAATTAACAAGACATGATATGTTTGATTCAAAATATACCCATACATTTATGGTCACATACCGTTCCTTTACTACAACAGAAGATTTTATTCAATTGGTTATTGCGCGATACTTCACAAGACCACCCCTAAACCTGACTGATTGTCAACGCCATCAATGGAATGACCAGAAAAAAGTATTGATACAGCTTCGTGCTATTAATATAATCAAATTGTGGCTGGAGATGCATTGTATTGCGGAAGAGGACAGTCAGGCTTTGGACATGATCCAAGAATTTGTTGAAGCTAATACATCCGATATTCACATCAAGAGAATACACAAACTTTTGTTACGACTTATTAATCGCTGCCGGGAGGGAAAGGATGCTGTGAATCGATCTCTCTCCCTGCCAGCAAATACACCCAAACCTATTCTTCCTCATACTATGAATCAGCTGTCGCTGCTATACATCTCTCCCGTGGAACTTTCACGCCAGCTGACTTTAATGGAAAGTGCCCTGTTTGCAAGTATCCGTCCAAGCGACTGTTTGGGGAAGTCATGGGGGGGATCTTGTGGATCTAAACGAGCCAAGGGCGTTATGGATGTAATTGCATTCCATAACGCAGTCATCGGATGGGTCACAGACACCTTACTTACAGAGAAGTCAGTGGCTCACCGCACGGCGTATCTGGAATACTTCATCTTAGTGGGAGAAAACTGTCGTCTACTCAATAACTTCTCGTCGATGTGGGCGATTGTGTCGGCACTGAACAGTGCATCTATATACCGTTTGCGACGTACTTGGAACCTCTTATCGGCGGCACCAAAGGAAACGTTATCAAGGTTAAACCGAGTGACTGAGACGTCACGGAATTACCAACATTATCGTGAGACACTTTGCCTGATAACTCCTCCCTGTGTGCCGTTTTTTGGTGTATATTCCAAAGACTTGACGTTCATTGAAGATGGAAATCCTGATCGTCTCTATTCAGACTCTCGCCTGATAAATTTCAGCAAGCGAGACTTTATGGCGGATATTATTTCCGAAATTAGACGATTCCAAGTGATTCCTTATAATTTCGAACGTGTTGATAAGCTTGTTGCCTTTATTGAGAAGTCACTGGCTCCACGTTGGAATGATGATGAACGTTTCCAAAGGAGCTTGTTACTTGAGCCACGTCAACCACCAACTCTCTCCACAAGCCATCAATCAAGCAAGCTAACAGAGGAGCTTGAGGATCACTTGGCCAAAATGCTACGAGATAATGGATTTATATGAAATGATAGGTTATGAACAAATTTGTTTAGTTGCACAATACAAAAAAGGGAATAAAGGGTATTTCTTGGTAGAAAAAAAGATAGATGATTGATCTGATCTAGTAAAAATGCTTCCGCGCCGGGAATTGAACCCGGGTCTGGACCGACTTGTCGAATGACAAGGTCCCGTCATAGCCACTAAACTACGCAGAAGTTATCTTGACACTGATATGTTAACATTATAAAGTAATGGGATGTCCCTTCAGTCAACGTCGCGCCAGGCCTCATTAAGCTGAGACGCCCTATTCCTTAGCGAAGTCAAGGCAGATATTGTCATGTCATCGGCGTCCGTTTTATCTTGCACAGAGTTTTGTAGTAGTGTAAAATTCGAACCAATCAGCCTGAGCAGCTCTTGTAAATCAGTTTTTAACAAAGGAAGCACAGATGATCCTGACCCCGCTCGATAAGCAGCTGTCCCATGCCACAAGTACCATTTGAGCCAAATGCTTTTATACCATGTGATTAGAGATGGCAGAAGAGAGTCGGACGAGGAGCTCCGACTATCTTTCGTAGATTGGAATTTAGCGTGACAAGGCCAATGAAGTAATTGAGTTAAGAGATCCATATCAGGACGCCTCGAATTTTCGTACAAGTATAATACAGGGATTTGTGCGTTGGTGCAAATGGAGTAAAGGTAAGCGTAGCATATATTTTGGAAGGAAAGCTCTGTGGATGCGGCATCGCACAATACTTCTAAATGAAGAATTGGTAGGCGGGCCAAGAATGGCAGAGCTCTCTGGTATAATGTCGGCAAGTTTGAGGCACAGTGACATGATAGAACTGCGAGAAGCTGAACAGCAATATTGGCACGCTCATATAGCCTTGCAATATTGTCTTCTTCGCGTAGAGTTAGTACATGAAACGATTTTTCGTGTGGGAAGGAGAAGACAAGGCGAATAGGCACGTCAAGAGGAGCAAAACTTGAGTCAAAAAATGTATCACTTTGCTTCCATAACGATAGAAGCAACCGTAATGTACGCCATGCACCTTGCGTGAGTGTAGGCACGTCACTAGAAGGATCCAAATCTTCTTCACGATCTGACAATTGGGGAAAACGTAAGTGTTGTTCCACGAGACGAGCAGACTGGTCGTTACCTCCCTGCCAGAATTCCCTCTGTGTGAGAAATTGTACATCTAAACGTCTGGCAGCTGTAGTGGGTGATTGCATGAGCAGGTCCCACAAAGTCGCAAAGGCACCCAACAACAGTGTATCAGCCCAAAAAGCCAAAGGTGTACTGGCATAGTCAGCCGAGGCAGGACCTGATACCCATGATTGAATGGCTTTTTCTCTAAGGTTTTTATGCGTGTCAGAGGATCCTGGAAGGATAGGATCTGTGCATAAGGGTATCATGCGTTCAAGCAAGACACGTGCAAGTTGAATAGACATAGCCGAGGGCCTTTGGAATCGTGCCACCGTGCGGGACCTCTTCGATAAGAGCGTGGTAGCATGAAGGGACAGAGTATGTGGATGATCGTCTTCCATTTCAGTACACAGGCTTAGGCAAAGTAGTCTTCGTAGTAGGGAACTTCTAGTAAGCAGTCTCTTCCATACATACGCAGGAGGTACATCGGCGCCAGCATAAATATCATCCAGTAGCTGCATCGCAGTGTCATCTGGTATGTAAGCTGTGATATAGGTACATACATTGTTCTTCATCTAGGTAATCCTCTACTAGCTGGACCAACGGACCTGCAGAGCATGGCTCTAGCATGGAGAGGGGAAGGTGGAGTACGAGGCACGTGCACGTCGGAGTAGCTAGTGACAACGGCAGCGCGACGAGCGGCGAACGAGCCAAGGGACGACTCCAACCCGCCTTCCAAGCGCGTATCGTGTAGGTGGAATGACGGCGATTACATATGAGGCGCCTTGTATGTATACATGTGCAGATAGGATGTGACTAACAGCCAGGGCCAGTATATGCATTGGCATGGTCAGGGTCTCAAGCGCGAGGATCTACAAGGCACGTATACATACTGATACTAATCCGTTTAGAACGCATGATCACACCTCGATTCCAACCAGTTGCAGGTTAGCTGTGGGATCTTATATGGAAGAGTATACCAATAGGATCCAGGTCTTGGGTCTCCAGAAAGATGAAGAAGGGTATGTAAAGGCAAACATTAACGCGGTGATAGGCAGCCTCATGTCGATGTCCTAGCTGATGCCCTACATCCCTACCCTGCGACGAAGATTGGATTTCATCCATCCACGCTACGTGTGGGTGATAGTGTGGATGCTTCGGATAAGTCGCGCCATTCAGATTGGAGCGTGACCGATCAATCTGATGCCAATGTTAGCCTGGCTAGTGTTTCGTCTACAAGCACCGTACCAACAGAGGCAGACGCCTACAATGAAAACGATACCTACCCTGATCTTGATTTACTAGCAAGTTCAGCAGACTGTCTCCATATATGGGAAATGGAACGCAATGAAGATGTATCAGAAATGTATGGGGCCATGTCGCTACGGAGCTCCATGGTGTCCAGTAAGAAACCGCCCGCGCCTACACCACGTTTCCTCTTGAAAGAAAAGTGTGCCCTGGCACATGCAAAAAGCACAGCCTCACCGCCAGCGCCTCTTACGTCTTTCTCGTGGAACGAGCCATCGCCCAATTTGATCGTGACGTCGTCCATTGATACCACATGCACAATTTGGGACTTACCTACACGTTCAGCGCTCACCCAGCTTATTGCCCATGATCGGGAAGTGTACGATGTGGATTGGTGCCCTGGTAGTGCCGATGTTTTTGCTTCCGTGGGCGCAGATGGTAGTGTGCGTGTTTTTGACTTGCGCAATTTGGAGCACTCGACGATCATTTATGAGACGACATCCGATGCTATGCCACACACGGACCGTCGCGATGCCCAGGAGGGGTCCTATGGTACTAACGTCCCTCTTTTGCGTATTTCTTTTAATCCATGGGATGCCAATTACCTTGCCACTTTCCATCTGCAGTCTGAGACGGTGCAGATTCTCGACGTGCGAGCGCCAGGTGTTCCTATTTTAGAGCTACGTGGACACAGCGGCTCTGTGAACAGTGTAGCGTGGGGTCCTCCCAGTCAGGGTCTGGGCCGCAATGGTCCGAGCAAGGGTATGGTGTGCACAGGTGGTGATGATGCGCAGTGCCTTGTGTACGACTTGGCGAGTGCGACACTTCGTACGGCCTCCGCCCAAGGACGACGATCGAGGAATAGTATGTATAACCGAAGCAATACGCCAAACGATGGTTTGCGTATCGGTGCTGAGGTGCCTGTACTGGCTTACACGGCTCCATCCATGGTTAACAATGTGAGCTGGATGTGCACACCATTTGGAAGCAAGCGTGCCTCCGCCCAATACAAACATCGCAGTTTCTACCGCAATTTGCTGAATGAATGGACAGACTACACGTCGTCCTCTACGGCAACAGGTGCGGACTGGCTAGCTCTATGTGCGGGCAAGTCTGTCAAAATTTTGCGTGTATAGAGTACGTAGAGCCAGACCCAGTCTTCACGGTGTTCGCGAGGGGGTATATGCACGCTCATTTGCGAGGCATGCTCTAGGAAGGGTTTATCACGTGCTGATTGGCTGGAACGCGACCCTCGTGGAGAAGCTGGCGCACGTCGCCTGCCGCTCTCTTTTGTCGACGACGGCTACAGACGAGCGGCGTAGTGTGCTATGTCGGGCTTTGACGCAGGTCGAGTATATTCGACGCAAGCTGTGTCGGTATCATCATCATCGCAGCCCAGTGATGCCCCTGTCAGAATTGAAAATGCTTTGTATGAGTTTGTCCAGAACTTTCGCTTGGGAGCTGAATACATTTATCGTGATCGTCTGCGTACCAATTTGCTTGTGAAGCAGTATGTCCTTGAGGTCCAGCTAGAGCATGTGCAAATGTGGAGCCCACAGTTGGCACAGTCATTGCGGGAGACCCCTGCAGAGATCCTTGCGTTGGTACGTGTAAGCCTGACTGACATGATTAGTTCGAAGCCGCTGTCAAGCGTGCAGCCCGGTTGATTTTGCACCCAGTCAGCACCACAGGGGAACGTCCAGAGGCACCAGACTGCCAAGTTACGTTGCGATCGACTGCGAGTTTGATGGCCATGCGCGATCTGCACGCTGACAACATCTCACGGCTGGTCCGTATCCCGGGCATTGTGATTAGCACGTCGGTCCCATGCTCGCGTGTGACACGTCTGCATTTGATGTGCCGTGACTGTCGCGCTGTGAAGTCCATCACGGTCACGTCAGGCTTCGGTGGATTTGTGCTGCCTCGTCAGTGTGATGCGCCGAAGGTAGACTCGAGTTTGCGTTGCAGCACAGATCCGTACGTGATTTTGCACGAACGGTGTTCGTTTGTCGATGCCCAAACCATCAAACTACAGGAGGCACCTGATATGGTGCCTGTTGGTGAACTGCCGCGTCACATGCTCCTCTCTGTGGACCGTGCGCTGTGCGGCAAAGTGGTGCCGGGTGCCAATGTCATTGCGACAGGCGTCTTCTCCACGTTTGCAAGCCATCGCAGTGGTGGGCAGCCAAATGCGGTGGCTCTACGAACACCCTACCTTCGTGTAGTAGGGATGGAGGTTGATACTGGCGGCGCTGGTGGACGTGGTGTCTCGCGTGTATTCACCGCCGACGAAGAAGATGAGTTTGGCCGTATGGCCAAGACACCGGACTTGTACGAAAAGTTTGCAGCGAGTATTGCGCCGAGTATTTTTGGCAGCATGGATATCAAGAAGGCCATTACGTGCTTGTTGTTCGGTGGCTCAAAACGTGTGTTGCCGGACGGCATGCGGCTCCGTGGCGACATCAATGTCTTGCTCTTAGGTGATCCAGGTACTGCCAAGAGCCAGCTGCTTAAGTTTGTGGAAAAAGTCGCGCCGATTGCTGTGTATACAAGTGGCAAGGGCAGTAGTGCCGCTGGTCTTACAGCGTCTGTGCAACGTGACGCCAACTCGCGTGAGTTCTACCTGGAAGGGGGTGCTATGGTTCTCGCTGATGGTGGTGTGGTGTGCATTGATGAGTTTGACAAGATGCGCGATGAGGACCGTGTAGCGATTCACGAGGCCATGGAGCAACAGACGATCTCCATTGCCAAGGCAGGCATCACGACCGTACTGAACTGCCGCACCTCGGTGCTGGCCGCGGCCAACCCAGTGTGGGGTCGGTACGATGACCTCAAGTCACCAGGTGAGAATATTGACTTCCAAACGACCATTCTGAGCCGTTTCGACATGATTTTCATTGTCAAGGATGAGCACAACGAGGCGCGTGATCGTACGATTGCCAAGCATGTGATCGGCATTCACATGCACGGAGCCTCGGACCAGATGGATGTGGAAGGCGAGATTGATTTGCAGCGAATGAAGCGGTACATTGCCTTTTGTCGGGCCCGTTGTGCGCCGGTGCTGACGCCGCAGGCGGCGGAAAAGCTCTCGAGCCACTTTGTCGCGATCCGCAAGCATGTCGCGCAAGTCGAGCGTGATCACGACGAGCGATCGGCGATAGCTATTACTGTGCGTCAGTTGGAAGCGATTATTCGTATGAGTGAGAGCATTGCTAAGGTGACATTGAGTCCTTATGCGACGGAAGAGCATGTGGACGAAGCCATTCGCTTGTTCCGCTTTAGTACGATGAATGCCGTGGAGAGTGGAAATGTGGAAGGCATGACGCGTGGCGAGCTGCAGGAAGAGGTACAGAAGCTTGAGCGAGAAATCCGGCGACGATTGCCGATCGGATGGAGTACGTCCTATGCGAAGCTACGTATGGAGTTTGTCGATGCCCAGGGGTATACGCCGCATGCGCTCGAGCGTGCGCTGTACATCCTGGAAAAGCGCGACGTCCTGCGTTTCTCAAACCAACGCAAAGCGATCACACGCACAGGCGTATAGGGAGTGTACTAGTAGCATAGGTATGGAAGACAAGCTAAATAGGGAGTGTGTGCTTGCCTTGTACTACACACGGCGGGCGGTCGAGTCCTTCGAGACGTCCAGCAGCAAGCTCTGTGCATCGAGCATCACACGGTTGTTCGAGCCGGAGAGCGTCGCGGCAATGTCCTTCGCAGCTTCAAGCTTCTTCAGCTCCAAGAAGCCCTTGTTCTTGCGCACAGCGTCACCAATCAGCTCCGCCGAGCGAGCCTCACCGGCCGACTTGACAATGATCGCCTGCTTCTCCTGCAGCGCCTGATCGACCTGGAAAGCAGCACGCAGAGCTGCCTGCTGTGTAATCTGCTTGGCCTCCACGGCATGCGTGAACTCCGGCGAGAAGGAGATGTGCGTCAGCGAGACATCGTCCAGAATAATGTTGAAGCGGCGAGCGCGCAGCGTCAGGTTGTCACGCACCAGACGCGAGACCATCTCACGCTGGGTAATGAGCTGCGACGCATTGAACTGCGCCACCACCGACTTGAGTACCTCGTTCACAATGCTGGGCAGCACACGCTCGTCATAGTCCGAGCCAAGCTCACGGTAAATCGTCGGCAGGTTTTCGACGCTGGGGCGCGAGAGCACACGGCACGTCAGCGAGACCATCTGCAAATCTTTGGTACCTGTCAAGCTGGCAATGCTGCGCGGCTTCGCACGCACATCATAATCGATCGGCGTCTCGAGCCATGGGATCATAAAGTGCGTACCTTCATTGTAGATGGTAGGGCACACACCATACAGACGCGAGTACTTGATCGCACGGTGACCACCGTCAACGTTAAACAACGACGCGTTCACACCGATCGCCAGGCCAAAGAGCGCCACGAGACCTGCGCCGCCCAGCAACGGGTTCACAGGACCGCCACCGCCGCTGCCGCCACCGCCCGAGAAGTTCGAGCCGCCTTGCGACGTCGCGCGGTTCGCATTGGCCTGCATCTGCTGGAACATGCGCTGCATTTGCCTCAGCACATTTTGTGGGGTGCGGTTCGACATGGTAATCGAGCCGAAGAGAGGTTGAGAAAGCAAGGCCCCTGCGATGCCACACTGAAGGGAGACCACGGCGCCGCCGACGCGGCCGCCTCGTCCCCCCCGATCTACGGCTGCCACGTGCTGACGTAACCCACCGCGAAGAGGGGCAGAGGGGAATGGCATGCTGAAGGACAGAATGGGCATCACACTGCGACGCTGCCCTACGACAGTGCCAGCAGCTGGGCTTGAAACTATAGGAACAAGGCATGCTATGGCATGCTACAATCAGGATGACACCGAGGGGCCGACCAGGGCCCGCAACTGATCGTCGAGATCGGCCTCGACAGCAGCGATCCGAGCCATGAGAGGCGCAAATTGCAGATGTTCGTCCTCGGCCCCCGCCGGCGCTGTCTCTGCCGATTGGAAAGGCACGGAAAAGAGACCATTGGACTCGCGCCATACGCGCTCGGCTGGCGTCTCTTCCAGCAATTTGGACATGGCAAACGACGAGCGTTTCAACGCCCCTGTCTGTGGTGACGAAGGAGGCGACAAGTGATGCGACGAGCTAAGGCCCTGGTCCACATCCCCTTGGGGCTTCTCCATAACAAGGGCATCCACAATACCATATAGCGCATGGAAATTGTACTTTTCGTGACCCTGGCGGTCTGTCCCTGTCGCGACGGTCGAGTCGCTCAGCACGCGATCCCCTGTCCGTCGAGACGGGGCGGAGGTCCGCGCTGGGGTGTCCATCGCCATCGCAGCATCACTCGCAGACACGCTGCGCACCGACGAGCTGCGTTGCAATTGCGCCTGGCTTGGCAAGTGGAGGCCACTTTGCAAGTCAGGCAACGGCGTCACCAGTGGCGCAGAAGCAGTGGCTTTGGACAAGGCCGACGAAGAGAGGGGTGAACGCCGTGTCGACGTAGACGACGAGGACGTGGGCGGCGGCGTCGAGAGAGGAGGAAGAGACGAGGAGGACGGCGATGAGTGCGACTTGTCAAGGACCAGGCCACGCATCAACAAGTGCAAGTCGGCTTTGACAGTCGTCTCGGGCATCGTAGGAATCTGCTCCGCAAACCGTTCAAGCAGGTCGTCGTGCGTCATAGAGCGAGTGCCATGCGTGTTGGTAATGCCTTCCAACACAGGCTGCAGTGCCTCACTCACATCTCTGGACGAGCCAGCCGCCGAGAGAAGGGAATAGCGCACACGAGGAGAATCATTGGCCCGCGAAGAGCGTAGACGCACCTGATCGCTCACAATCAAGTCGACACCACTTTCGCCATTGGCCAGGACAGCTGGACGCGTGGCTCGGGGCGATAGGAGAGCCGACGGAGTAGGCCGCGACGAGGACGCACCAAACGGATCCGACGGGAAACTGCGAGACGTGCTCAGGATGGAGGTATCCGTGGCGGATCCGGCACCGAAAGGACGCTCCGGTGGGACGAGGCGCAGGACAAACACGGGATCCGTACTCGCAATGTCGTCCATAGAGCCTGGGGTAATGGCCAAATCCAGGCTTTTGCGTTTGGAGGCGACCTCAATGGTATGCAGACGCGGCAAGGTATCATACGCAGCCAACACTTTCGATGTAGGAGAGAGTGACTGCTCGTTGGTGCCTGACTGCGCCACAAGGCGGTACTTCGCCCGAGGCCGGCCATGCCAGGCACGCGCCTCAACATCATCGCCACCGTCGACCACGGCATCCGGGACTTGGAACGCCTCAAGGCCCGCTTCAATCACTTCTGCTACTGTGGCATTCTTGACCAACTGAAGCAGTCGCGTCTGGGACAGACTCGGCGCTTGGTCGGGAGGGGGCGAGCCACGCATCGGGACACCGCTGGTTGCGTCAAAGTACAAGCCCTCCGGCAAGTCTGGTGCATCGAGGGCCAGCTGAACAGTGAAGCGAAGAAGCGTATCACTGGCTGGCGCGGCAGCGGGCGTTGAAGGCGAGGGCGCCATCTTGGCTTTGGTAGGCGATGTCACGGGCGCAGAGGGTGAGAGCATAGCCGTCAGAGCTGGTGTCGAGGCTAGTAGTTTGTCAACATCGTCCAGGGACGACGTACGACGCACCAGGAAAAGCTTGCCATAGCGATCATCACTGTAGTCAAACATAATTCGACTGGATGACGTGTCGACTAGAGACATGAGCGACGTAACGCTATCATGCTGCGACGAATCGTTGTGCGACGTATTGCCCATATGATCTGCCAACGCTTCCAGCATTTGCAACGGATACGCTGACGATTCCAGCGTCTGCTCATCACCGTCGGCATGACGAAGAACCACCGCATAGTCGTTTTCGTCTTCAGTGAGATGGAAACGCTGCATGGCCTGCCTTAGCAACTCTGACGCCGTGGTGGTGGGACTAAGCAGGACCGTCTTGAACGTCGCATCGCTTTGAATCGTATCGCCCGCAAACAGACGCACAACTGTGAAAGTCTTTTCTGTGCCGGGCATACCCAGCAAACTCGTCCGCTTCGACCGCCGCGTCTCCTCACGTGGCTCGCGACTGGTATCGTCATCCGACGTGGGATACAGCCCAATGGTGGGACTAATGGTACTTGCACTCGTCGATGCCAATCGAGGCGCTTCCCCAGCAATGGGGGTCGACGACATGACAGCAGGCGCCTGGTTTTCGTCGCCCTCGTCTTCCACAGACGCCGCATCGTATTCGTACCTGCCTTCGTACGCCACGGCCGACTCTTCTTCGCCATGCTCCTCAGCCTCTTCGTCCTCTTCGTCCGACGCTTCATTCCCGCTATGCTCCACGTACTCCGACTGGCCGAACAGTACGGCTTGCTTCTTCGGCGGCGAGCGCTGTGCATGCTCTTCGTCGGGATGAGACACTTCACGGCGTGAGAGGGCCGAGAGTTTACCAGAGTGTTTGTTGATACCGCCATACGTGCGTGCCTTGACAAGGAACCCGGAAGGACCCTCAGAGTACATAGGCTCTGTATCCTCTTCGGTCGCGGTAGCGATTTCCACATTGCGGTGCTTGTTGAGACGCGCAAGACGCTCGTAGGGCGTCTCGATATTCTCAGCAGGGATGTAGCCCACCTCCTGCGATGGCATGACGCGGACAAGCCACCAATAGCTGTTGCTATCATCTAGAAGAACCAAATGATCGCCTTTTTGCACAGTCGCTTGACCATCGACAGTTGCAATAAACGTATGCAAGGCGTACACTAGGTCAAAGTTGATATTCTCATCTGGAATCGAAGGGCTAGACGACAACTCATCGTCAAAGTCGTCGTCAAAGTCGTCGTCGTCATACATGGCGTCATCTGGCATGTCGCCGTCATGCTCCGCGCCTGTGTACTCGTAGTCATGCTCAGCGCTGTAGGTAATATAATCGCTGTCCAGCTGCGAATCGACAGCCTGAGCATCGTACGAATCCTCCTCCTCAAGCTCCAGCGAGTGAGGATCGTACGCTTGGTCGTCTGCGGGCCGCATCGTGTAGCGAGTCCCCAACGTCCCAGGCGTCCAAACAAACGAACGCGTTGCGTGGAGGAAACCAACCTCCGCTCGCTGACCTGTGTTCGACCCGCCTACAATGCCACGTGCTACAAAGGGGGGGAATTGTCAACAACAACACCCTTGAAAATAAATGCAGAAACAACACCACAGGCGTCGTCGGCGCGCTGATCAGCCTCCTTCGCGGTCCAGAAAAAAAGGGGGATGTATTATATACCATACTACATGGGAGACATAAAGAGATGCTACACACAATCAAGTGTGTATGCAATGCAGATTGGGTACGTCCTGGACATACCATCGCCGCAGATATCACCAGTCGCTTACTTTTTCGTGTACTCACTGTCCAACGACTCAAATGGATTGGTAGTAAACGAGGAGTCAAACGGCGGGAGCTGAGGGCCATGGTTGGCAGACGATTGACGACGTGCACCACGGACCACTTGACGCATGCTGCCAGACGAGCCCGCCACAGGACCATCATCCGTCAAGCTCACACGCTGCACACCTTGCGGCACCTGAGGTCGCACAGGCGCGCGAGGGAGAGGTGCTTGACCAGGGCCGAGCAATGGCGGTGACGAAGGTCGGATAGCATTTGCACCGGGCGACATGGGCGGCGACGCAGCGTCACCTTGCGGCGGCGGTGACATGGGCGGACGTCCTGGCGCCGAGAAACCTGCCAACGAGGGCGGACGCGGCGGAGGCGAGGAAGGGCCCATAACCGGGCGCATAGGTGGCGACGTAGGCATGCCAGGGCGGCCAGGCATCGCGCCAGACGCCATGGGGCGCACCTGGCCAAAGCTCGCGAGGTGAGTGGGACGCGGCGGAGGCGAGGCAGCGCCGCCAGGCGCGGGAGGACGCGGTGGATAGTTCATTAGGTGAGGAGGACGCGGTGGCTGACCTGGCATCGCGTAGCTCGCCGGGACACCGGGCCGCTGAGGAGGCGATGCCCACGGGTTGGGCTGAGCCATTGGCCGGATCGGTGGAGATTGCGGCGGCGAATGTGGCGTACTGCCCGGCGGCGAGCCAGGGTCAGGTGGCATACCTGGGCGCGGCGGAGGTGAAGAGATCATACCAGCAGGCGGACGTGCGCCCGTCATCGGTGGAGGCCGCATCGCAGCGCTAGTCGGTGAGGGTCCAAACAAGTGCTGCCGCGCCGCCATCGAGGCGTTCGGATTGGGAGTGGGGCTCGGACTTGGGTTCATACCGAGAGGTGCCGGGCCTGGTGGGCGGGACGTAGGGCCCACTGCGTTCGTAGGCGGCGAGGCCTTGCGCTGACGCGCATCGGTGCCCAGCGGCGCAGGCAGTTCCAGGAGCGGCACCGAGTCCAAACGAGCACGTGATCCAACGCGCCGCGGTTCTTCGGGCGCGTTGCTGGCGCTGGCGCCAGCGCCAGGCGGGAGCTGAGGCAGAGGCGCATCGTTCGGTGTAGAGAACAGGCTACCCTGGTCACCACCGTCGCGCGACTCCATGCCAGAGCGCCAGCGGCGTTCACGCTCAAACTCAATCCAGCGCTTCATAATCATATCCGACGAATCAAATTCGCCATCAGCATCACCATGGTGTTCGCCCTTCTTTTCACCCTGCACAACACGCGTAGCACCCCAGGAAAAGTCATCCATGTGCCAGTACGCATAAGCGGGAAGAATTAAATTCCAAACAGGGAGCGAGATCAGGTAAACACATAGCCACAGCACATACATGAAGCGGCGACTTGTAATGACAATCAGCACACCAGGCAGACCTAGAATCAGCGCCAAAAGAACCAACGGCATAAGCGGGAACTCTTCTCGCTGCTCCTTCACCTTGCTTTGATTCGCAATAGGAATTTGGATGGCACGCACAACGACATACAACGTGAAAGCCAACGCAGCGGGCAGCACGAGCGTACCCACCAAATCCATAAACACCACGAAACGCATCGAGAAACAGAACGTACCACACAAGTCCTTGACTTGGATCAGCTCCAATAGATTGTGAACAGTTGAGTTGATCCAACGACGACGTTGCGAACGCAGCACACGGAATGAGTCAGGCACAATCGTCTTGCAAACAGCCGATGGTTGGAACATCATCTTGCGCTTCGGGAACGTCTTGAGCATCAGTGTCGTCAAGTAACGGTCCTCACCCAGCAATAGCAGGTTCTTCTTGTGCAGAGTGTCCACCACATTCTCCGAGTAATGCTCCACAATATCAGGGTTGGCAAGAATCGGCACGTAGAAACCTTTCGGACCCTTAGGCGCCTTGATACGATACGCACTGAAACAGCCGGGCAAACACGTCACACCACCAAAGCATGCCTCAAAGCCTTTCGTTTGGTGGTGAGAAATGTAGTACTCGAACACTTGAATCATCGTCACCCACGACTGTGTCTTGTTGGCAATCTTTGTCTCACCACACAAGCCCATAATCTCGGGATCTTCCACCATCGCAGCCGTCATACGCGTCAGCGAGTCGGGGAACACCTTGGTATCGGCGTCTACCATGAGCACAATCTCGTACTGATCAGCCGTCACACCCGTTACACGCCAGATAGAATTGAAGAACTCGTACTCAAACTGCGTCATACGCTCATCGAACAGGACCTTTTGCATAAAGGCCATCAACATGACCTGCGAGTCACGCTTACCACGGTTACCGGGCTTGGCACTGTCCATTTCCATCATCGTACCACACTTGGCAATCAAAATCATCGGCACACGCTGTTGCTTGGAGCGCTCCACCGTATGGTCATCATAGTCATAAAAGCCAGCATACACCTTCGCCATGTTGTGGCGCTTTGTACCGTCGGCGATGGCCACATACGAATAGCCCTCCACTTCCTCAGGCGACACAATCAAGTCCTTCATCATCGATAAACAGATATCGGGAGTCGAAATGTCTGAATCCGCACCTTTCACAATACCGTCTGCAATCACCAAGAGGAGCTTGTGACTGTTTGGATAGTTGGTCGTAGCCAGACTGTCCAGCGTCGTACGCAAACCTTCAAACGACTCGGAATAGGCCGTGACTAGACAAATGGCATGCACCAGCGGGAAGTTGAAGGGCTGGTAGTTTGACGGCGGCTGTGGTACCACATTGTAGAGGGGGAATGGACATGGGCCCCATGGCGACTCGTTGCTCGACGTTGAGGAGTGCATCGACTGCGATGACGGCAGCATAGGCTGCGTCAACGACATCGAGCTACGACCGGCCGTCAGCAATGGCGAGCCAGGTGGAGATCCCACGGGCGTGCCATTGTGACCCATACGCGCAGCAGCAATCTTGCGCTCCAGCGTAGTAGGTTTGGCCTGTGGCTTCTGGTACGCCTGATTAAAGCGACTTGTCGTGGGAAGGAATGACTTCTTCACATTGGGGCGGTAACCCGCAGGCGCAGGGCGGTAGATATCATCCGTCCACGTCTCGACCTCGTTCATACGCTTCATGCGCTGGGCATACGACTCATTGTCGTAGTTACCAATGCGCCAAGAAAGCAGCCATGCGAAAACCACGGCCATAATGAATTTGATACCCACAGCACCGATAATGAAAATCATGGAAAGAATCAACTCCACTTGCGACGCAATACAACCGTACGAATCGACATCGACCGAAGCAATGCTCCCCAGCTGAGCCAAGCAGTCCAACTCCTTTGTAAGACCGGCACGCATACCCTGTGCCGTGATATCTTTGCCTGTCCAGTTGGTTTGGAAGGGACCTGGTCTGGTCAATTTTGTCATGAAGTCTGTAAGCTGAACCAGAGGTTCTTTCTGACTCAGAATGGTGATATCAATAGCATGACTTCGCCAAAACATCAGGTGGTTAGTGTAATTCGCCATATCTTCCCATTTAACATATGCATCACCCATAACTCTGGGATAACCTGGCTTTCCATTGATCATATTGGTCCTTGTCGAAACGTCGTGGCACGCATCATTACTCTTGAAAATTTGTGTTGTACCGTACTGTTCTCTAGTTCGCAAAATTGCGCATTCAAAGTAGCGCGGAGGGTTGGTTTGTGTGGGCTTCAGTACACCTTCACAAGCACCGCCAGGTTGTTGGAAAATCAAGTTCAAATCGGCACCGTAATTGGAGCCATACTTGGCAATATCAGCAGGGGTGAGAGATTTGTTGGTCAGATCCGCATAACCTTGATCACCAGAAAATCCAGGGTGATGCCATTTATCTAAAGTGAACATCTTACCACCCATAAGCACACTGGGAGCAGCATCGGTGCCAAAGTAAATGTCATGCAGGTCATATCGATTTTGGACGCCACATACAGTCTGTGTGAAACCAAAGGTAATGTAACCAACAATGGCCATGAGCACCAAAATAATACTGATTAGACCCATCTTCTCACGCCACGCACGTTGCTGCTCAGGCGTCTTGATGCCGACCATGCGAAGGCAGGGACTGGTAATGCACGACGTCACGAACCAACTGTAAATCATCCATGGGCCCACAGGACCCGGCGCAATCCAGTCAAAACAGCCATCCTTGGGCGGCGGATCGTTTTGACCCTCCTTGAGCCTCGAGTCTGGGTTGCCAGGAGCGGTACGTCGCATACTCACGCCACGACGAAGGAAGTGGATACCACTTTCCACCTTGTCTTCATTGTGACCCAAAATAGATTTACCACGACGCAGTTGTGGATGGCGTTGGGGTTGTGGGCCGCCATGTCCTGCCAGGCCGAGACCACTTACACCGCCGCCAGGTCCCATACCTGCCACAAAGCCTTGCCCTGACGGCGCAGCGCCATGGTGCGGCATATGACCTGTTGATGATGGCATGTAGGCTACATTAGAGCCATGTGTATTATCCATCTGAGCAGCATGGTTACGATAGTGCCATTGCCGGTGGTTGGGGTCCATACGCTCACGCTCTGGCCGCACCATTGACTTTTTGCGTTGTACACCTGTAGCTGAGCCCGCCTCGATATCGCGGTCACGGCGAGCAAAGCTTCCAGCGCGGCTCAGGAAACTACCACCGCCACCACCGCTCCCGCTTGGCTTGGGCAGCGGAAGATGGCTGCTCATGGTCTCGCTCGACTTGGTAGGACGTAAGTCGTGAGTGTTTGGCTCTTGAAACGATACAGCTCCGCTACCCTGTATGTTGGACGGTGGTGCTAGATGACTCTGCAAAGGGCGCGCTGAAGCGGATGCGCCGCTAGACGCATGGCCGGTCAAAGGACCGTTGTTGTTCGACGGCTGGCTCATTCAGCACAGCCCCGTCACTCTCGTACTTAAAGCAAAGAAAAAAGGGAGACTAGAGAACTGCCTTAGGGTATAGATACGACTCCCACAACAATGAGCTGGAGGACAATACCCAAAGCACAGCGAACAAACCCAAGGAGGCTGTTTTCTTTCTCACCCAAGACTTTAGGCACAAGCTAAGCTACGTTACAAACTAGATGGGCTTGGACCGTAAATGCAATGCGGCGTCTGATTGCACGGCCAACTTCTTTTTCAGCTGTCCATCCAAACAGCGTCGCTCGTGTTGAAACTTAGCCTCGGAGGGGCATTAGGCTTTGATAGCCTGACCTAATAGGCTATAATACATAACCACCCGTTTGTTGATTTGTCTTCTACGACGGAAGAACTGACCGACTAGGGGCTCGCATGCGTCGGGGATTACGAGAGAATTTATTAATAGATCAGCAAGATGATGTCATCCTCTCAAGGCACCAATGGACCACGTGGTGCAGACATCGCGCGCGTCATCGCAGGCTCACACGGCAGCGCTGTGGCTAGTCGCACCGATGTCAGTCGCAGAAGGTCGACACAGTCGAATTTTGTTCGTGAAGAATCTGAATTATAATATCCATGGTGCAGATCTGTACGAATTGTTCGGTCGGTACGGTGCGATTCGCCAAATTCGACTAGGGAATACACAGCAAACGCGCGGCACGGCCTACATCGTATACGAAGAAGCCAACGACGCCAAGAATGCAGTGGCTAACTTGAATGGCTTCCACTTGATGGAGCGATACATTGTCGGTATGTACATACGCCAACTAACAACTCAAGTGCTGTACCACGTCCCGTCAAGACTCTCTGGCAAAGGCTCTCTTGCGCAGCGCGAAGAAGAGCTGGCCAAAGCGAAACAGCAGTACGGTATTCATGACGAATAAAGCCGTGTCTATGTACGGTACAGCATGGCCGACGTATGTGGCACTGTACAATTGTGCGTACAGGCGCCTGGTGTGCGCGCATACCAGCTTTTTTCACTGCCAGCGCAAAATGTGCCGGGCAAGGCCACCACGCCTTCGTCGCATGTCGTTTTTGGAATGTCGTCGAGCGCATGCGACATACCTTTCTCGCCCCCGTTCAAAAACAGATACCTTGTGCGTGCTGGCGGCTGTGCATCGGCCACGGCATTGCCTTCGCCAGTGCGATACATTTGCACAAAGCCGTGTGTCCACTGACTTAGCTCCACTTCCGTATCCACGCCTAGCGTCCCACGCATAGGGTGCCCTGAGTGAATGGTCGTCAGGAACTGCGGCATGGTATCATGCTCATGTGCAAATATACCCATGTAAAACGTCTCGTCTTTGGGGACGTAGCTGGACATGGACCGCAGAGCTTGGGCATCCATGTGCTTCTGAGCCGAGCGCCGTTCTAGGATCAGATGCAAGAACTGCTGCGCTGCATTGTGCTCACCCAACGACGAGATGATATTTCCACGTGCACTAGCGTTAGTGATACCAGGGACCTACCTTGTCAGAGCGAGGCGTGGGCCCATAGGCGCCAGCTGCTCGATCCGCCTGGCTAGATGTGACTTGGATGGGCGAAGGAGTGCCATACCTACCGCGCCCTTATCGTAGATACCTTCATACCCTCCTAGCAATGTATACTCTCGACCTGTCTCAAACGGTGTCAATGCCGCCGTCGCGCCAAGGACGTGTGCGTTGGGAAAGCGGGTATCCAGACCTTCGATGAGGCCTTGAGGGTGTGCATCAGACGCAAAAACAATGGCATCGATCTCCGAAGGCTCTACATCTGCGAGCTCTGGCGGGACAATGCCATCGACGTTCTCTCGACCCCAGAGTGACTGCCATTCCCCTGTCGAGTCTAGGCGGTCTGCTCGGGAGTGTGAGCGTTGATTCCATGCCTCTTTTTGGTTGGGCCATCGCCCTACTGCGATACGCGTTGTACCAGGGATGGTGGATCGAAATGGCACAGCGTGTGTGCTCGGAAAAAGGGCCAGGGCAGCTGTATGCAATGTGCCAGACGTGGTAGATCGTACCGTAGAGGCGCTCAGAGGCGGTACGAGCATACCTACACGCGATGGCACGTGTGCCGTGATGCTCTTGACCATGTGTGCGAGCTCTGAGCGCGGTAGCGACTTGCTTAGCGCTACCAATAGGTGAGCGTTAGGCTGCGTCGATCTCCAGGTCGACAAGGTCGTATCCACGGCCCGCACAAGCGCAGCAGCATCGCTCGCCATGTACGTGATGGCATGTTCGCTGGTGGCGGGGGCGTTTGTCGTGATCCCTCGTCGGATTGGTGAGCACCGTGGGACTGCCCGCCAGGGCCACCGACGCGTCATGGCAAACCTGCAAGAGCCTCCAAATTCGGCCGTTTCTCCACATGACACGATACGCGTGGACGCATGCCATGGGGATAGGGCGAGAGCTGCAGCGTGGGCGAGGATGGACTACGCACATAGGAAGGTCGTATGTGTCTAGAGCTTCTTCGACCTACAGAGCCACTGGCCGACTTGTCCTGGATACCCATGCAGCGTCTCTCTGGCATGCGGAGAGCAATGCAGCCACAAGACGAATTACGCAGGAACTCGCTCGCGCTGCAGCACTGCTAGCTGCTAAGCAGACATCTATGGTCTTGCCTGCACGACTAGCAACGCCCTGTGCGCATATTGATGTATGGATTGAGTCGGCGACATCGTCCACACCTGCACCACAGCCTGCTCTTCCGTCGCAAGAGTCGTCACATATGCCTATGATGGCCTCGCCCCCCTCTCGCACGGGATCACCTTCGATGGGCCCCCAAAGCGATGGCGGGTTTAGCGCTGCGAGCCTACTGGATCCTGATGCATGGCTAGAGGGGGTAGCCTCGCCGCCTTCGAGCCCTGTTGCTGTGCCTAGTCGTTCGTCTTCGGACGTTCGGCCCCACGAGATGTATATTCATTGCCGCACAACGTCCCATGCGGACACGGCGATTGAGGCGATGGCCGGGTGTACAGCCGCATGTATTTCGATGTGTGATGCCGTGCATACAGCTACAGGCGCGTATCCTACCATTGAGCAGGTCCAAATCCTGCCATGAGAACTATTCATCGACATGCGTCATCGATATCGCATCGTACGCCTGCTTACTTTGCCACATCTCTTCAAAGGGCGGGGTATCAGCAAAACCATGGAGCACACGTCGGGCTGTTCGATCGTAGACGACAGCCGTCGGCACACCGTCATGCAACTGTGCCATGGCCATAGATGTACCAGCCGGCTGTCCGACGGTAATGGCACGCAGTGTCTGTGTCGTACGCGCTTGGGATGCCGCACAGAGCGTACTGCCACACGCTGTGGCCACTACAGAGCCTGGGCACGCCGCAGCCACAGCGAGAGACGATAATGCTGTAGCCATGATCGACCGATGGAAGTTGCCCACTGACACGGCGCGGACCAACACATCCATGGCCTCGGCGGGCACTGTCTCGCCGCCGGAGGTCGTGTATTCTGAGCGTGGCGCGACAAGGCACACTTTCGGCGCGGAGGGACTTAGAAGCGCTTGCAGACCAGGTGTGAGGCGTGCCACTTGCTGCCGAACCTCTTCGACGCGCGCCAACAACGCCGTGTCCGTATCGAGCATAGCGGCTGTCTGTGTCATTTGCTCGCGGCCCACATGAAGGTCCGAGGCGAGGACAAGCACGATGGGCAGCCCCGTATCGACGACAGACACACGAACATCACGTCCTTCCAAGCGAATTGTATCGCACACCTGGCCTGTAGGGAAGGGCGAGACGGCCAGTGGCATGTGCACTTGGATGCCTGGCGCTCGTCCAGGGACGCCGGCAATATGCGTATCGGGTGTGCGCGACAGGTGCCAAGCACCCTTGGCCAGCTGGACGAGCGGGATGTGCGCCTCAACACGCTTCCCCGAGTCGGCCATCAACAGCCGAAGGGGGAAGTGAACGGCCGTGGGATGCTGTGTTTCATCGGAGCCGAACTGCTCGCGTAAGTACGATTGCAATCGAGGACGCAATGCCTTCCAATGGTGTGTATAGACATGCGACGCAGCCGCGGCAATAAAGTTGCCGCACGTGCTGGACCAGTCGATATGGTACATATCGTTGATAGGCACTTGGCCGAAGCGGTACACAGCATCGTAGCCTGTGATGGGATCGCGAGCGCGCGCAGGCTCGTCGGCCCATGGCACACCAGGGAAGGCCCATGCTGGGCCAAGTGCACGTAGGGAGGACTGATACTGTTCGTGTGTCGGGACGGAGAGGACGGCGACCTTGGAGAGGGACGAAATGCCGCCGCCGACGCCGTCAATTTGGCGGCCATCGGGGTCAGGGGAACCCACTGCATTTGTCAGGATGGTGAAGGGACACATACTAGCTGTACATATAATCCGATTCCGTGCGGCTTGTGAGTAAGGGGCCAAGGCCGATGCTGGGAAGACCAGCCCACGGCTAGTCCCCCCGCGATAAAACTCGACAGGTACGCGCATCCGAAGGTCAAGCCGTCGCGAGCGTGGAGGCGCACGCGAGATCGATGTGACGCGGTCCACGTGGTTTTGGCAACGCGTGCAGGCCGAGACGACTTTGGTTAAGCAGGCGAGTTTCGCGGGCCACGATTCTTCTTGGTGGTCCTTTCCCTTTCGTTTTCATCATGGTTGACAAGCAACGCATTCTTATTCCTGGCGGTGCCGGCTACATTGGCAGCCACGTTGTGCTGACGGTCCTGAACACCCGCAAGTACCGCGTGACAGGTATGTGAGCAGCCAGGGCTACGGCCGACGCTGGCCATCGTCAACAACGATACTAACCACCAGTGCTGGACAACTTCCACAACTCCAAGCCGGAAGCTGTGCGCCGCATTGAGGAGCTGGCGCTGAAGGCGCTGCCAGCGGACGCGACGGAGCAGGACAAGGCCGATTGCGCCGTGGAGCTGATCCAGGCCGACTTGCGTGACAGTGCCGCGGTGGAGAAGGTGTTTGCGGACCGCCCCGCGAACGACCGTATCTACGCGGTGATCCTCATCGGTGCGCTCAAGGCTGTGGGTGAATCGTCAGAGATCCCGATTGAGTACGTATACCTGCATGACTAATGTAAGCTACTACAATGTGAACGTCGGTGGCCTGCTCAACCTGCTTACAGCCATGGACAAGCACGAAGCGAAGCGTCTTGTGTACAGCTCGTCGGCGACCGTCTACGGCGCTCCGACCACCATTCCGATCCCAGAGACCACACCGATGGACCCGCATAGTCCGTATGGCCGCTCGAAGCAGATCTGTGAGATGATCATTCGCGATGTGTGCCATGCGCACAAGGACTGGCGTGCGATCTCGCTGCGCTACTTCAACCCGGCTGGCGCGCACCCGTCAGGCCGTCTGGGTGAGGATCCACGCGGCAAGCCGGGCAACTTGCTTCCGCTGCTCGCGCAGATGGCCGTCGGCAAGTACCGCGAGCCGGGTCTGAAGGTGTTTGGCAACGACTACCCGACGCCGGATGGCACGTGTGTGCGTGACTACATCCACATTCTTGACCTGGCAGAGGGCCACCTGAACGCCATGCAGGCCTTGGACGACGACAGCAAGTTTACCGAGAGTCGCAGCCGCGCATTCAACCTCGGCAAGGGCGTGGGCATGAGCGTGCTGAACATGATCGATGCGATGCGCAAGGTGACGGGCTACGAGTACCCGTACGAGATTGTAGGTCGTCGCCCTGGTGATGTGCCGGACCTCACGGCGGACCCTGCTCTCGCCGAGAAGGAGCTGGGCTTCAAGGCCACACGCTCGTTGGACGACATGTGCCGTGACTTGTGGAACTGGCAGTCGAAGAATCCGGATGGCTACGACTCGTAAGCAGGCTGCTTTGGATCTCTCTGTGTGCGCACTACCTCTCTGCATGTACTCTATAGCAGCACGTAGTCCACGGCCTATTACTGCTTCGATGCGGAAGCGAACGATTGCAGCGAAGCCATCGTCGCGGAGCGCTGCATAGTCGTCGACGGCGTAACGCCGGGCCACAGGGGCGAGCTTGAACCGCTACGTGCCAAAGGCCGTCGCCGTGAGGAAGCGGAGGCTGCACGAGCCTCCGCATTGGAGGGCAGCTGCGATGCATAGCCTGACATACGCACGACGCGCCCTAGCGCAGCGCGCATCGGATCCGCAAAGCGGCGTGTCATTGTGTGAGAGCGTTGGACGGCCACAGCTTGTGCGGTATACGCTATAGCCCGCATTGACGCATTGTCGATAAAGTGCACCGGAGCTTCTTGGGTGGCTTCTACCGCTTCTTCGCTGCCTCGCTGCCCATCCAAGCCCTCCTCCAGTTCATCAGAGACACCCGGCAAGAGCGAGGCCATCACCGGGACTTCAGTCTGGTCAAGCGCCAACGCATTTTCCATCGTGGAGGTCAGCGCATGAATAAAGTGGAACGGAATCATATTGGGACCCAGTGTCGTCGTCGAATCAGGGACTAGCACTTTGCGCTGGGGCCACTCGTCTTGCTCTTCGTGCCGCGCCTGGGCCCGGGCTTGGTCACTTTCCGGCAAAGGCCAGCCTGATTTGATCCGAGGCGCTAGTTCCGCCTGGCCTAGCGCTGTGTCATCAATAGGCGGGCCACTTAGCCCGTAGTCCAACAGGTAGCGGTATTGCGTCTGTTCAGGTGGCGGCGGCGAGGTCATACCGCGACGTTGGGCCTTGACACGGTCGACAAAGATTGGATGAAAGACAGAGTGCAAGGGTACATCGACATTGACAATCCGGCTGGGTACATCCTCGGCTTTAGGAAGAGCCCAGGCCTGCGTCGCAGCTGGGTCAAGTTGCTGTGCTTGTTGCGCAAACTTGGACACCACAGGCTTCGGTCGCTTATCCAGCCCTCGTGGACCGACCAGCAAATTCGCAATCGACGCGGCCGAGATACGGGTTTGTGAGCCGGATCGCGTGTACGGTATGGGGCCAAGCGGCGTCCCCGATGAAGTCACAGGCAGGTGGAGAGCCGTATCGTTCGACACGACACGGACAGGTTGTCTTTGGCCTGTCAGCAGCTGCTCTAAGTGATCACGCGATGGACTGCCCGTCCATGCTCGATTGGGTAGGCCCTCTGTCAACGACACAGTACTGGAAGACCGTGTTAGTATATCAGGTCGTCGCTGCGGTAAAAGGCCAGAGGCTGTCATGGTATCGGTGCGCATCACTGAGGGCGCATGCTGATGAAGCGCAGATGCACTGCTCTGAGAACGGGTCAGGAAAGGGCGTCGTAGGCTCTCTTGCGACACGTCTGCCGCACTCTCGTCCTCTGCTGGGCCATTACCGGAGCCAGCAACAACGCCATGGTGCATGCCCGTGACAGGACGCGTATCCAGCACAGGTGCTACAGGTTCGCGCGGCACAGATTCGCCCTGGCCAGCAAGAAGCGACCGAATGGAACGAACCGACGACGAGGAGCGGATCGACCGTGGCGAAGCGGCAATCGGTGCCATGGCTGCGATTGCCTCCTTCGTGCTATCCTTACGAGGCGTTGCCATCACGGGCATTGTCTCCGTATGGCTTGTATGTGGGGATATAGGCTCTTTCTCTTGCAATAACATGGGGTTCACCGTAGCTGAGGACACGGCATTGGGTGGTCGTGCACCATCTGGCGTCGCAGAGGGCTTGCGCTTAAGTGCTGCACGCACTTCCAAAGCACCATCGTCTGCATTTTCATTACCGGAAGAGTCATGCGAGCTCTCCCATCCATCTGCGGAGGTATTTGCCGCCGCTTTCGAGGTTTTGGACGATTTCCCAGCTTCGGCCAAATTGACTTTCGACGCGGTACGGCGACGAGCTCGTCGACTTGCATCGAGATTGGTACTCGAGCGCGTACGGCTAGGAATGTCTGTCATCCTACGATGCATAGTAGGGTGTGGTTCATGATGATCAGATGTGGTCATTGCGAGAGACGATCGTACACTGCATGTTAGGCCCTCCCAGATAACGTACCGTGCCATCCCAGGTCTTGTGCCTGGACTATGCGACCGGCGATGTGCGGCGCCCTGTGGCATTATAATCCAACCCTTGCCTCACCACACAAGCTTCTAGAATACAAATGCTCGCTTGCTACCTAGCTAGCTAGGGACGCCGCGCTGCGGGGAGAGATGTCGGTCCCCTCGCCAACAAGCCCGCCAATGACCGCCTCCATTAGTTTTAGTCAGCTACGCTCGGATCGCGAGCAAGGCGCGCGGAGCGTCGTGGGGACGGCGTCCATACCTTGGTGTGTGTGCGGGGCGATGACGTACGCGGAGGAGAAGGTAACCTAGGCATCGGCGTCCGTAGGCCCATGCCGATTTTCGTAGCGGGACTACATTCACATTTATGCCGTATCAGCTGGAGAAGCCTTTGGACATCGTCGGTATGCTGACACTGGATTTGGAAACGATACGAATGTGTCTGTGTAAGAAGAGGAAGTATGTATATATACATACTTTGTCTTCAGGCAAAAGGTATCGGAAACCAATCCGTGTCCCATAGTACATAGCTTGGACATACATCGGTGTTTCGCCAAACTCGAGCAATTCCTATTGTCAGTAGCTGCAGACGTACAAGTACAATAATCTGTCCTTGTCTGTCACCTCTCATTTGTGTGTGCCACTCAATCACCAAACGTGTTTGCTCTGCGCCAGATGCTTCTTTGGCCATCTCGACTCGACAAGTGAGTGGCTGTAACGTAATATGTTGCCAGGTCCTACCTTCTTTGAGCTTACAGGATTGCATACTTGCACGCGAATATTTCTCGACGGTACATACATGCGACTGAATACTTGTGCACGGAACCGTCATCGTACGTGCTCTACAAGCGATGTGCACATGGCCGCCTAGGCGTGCTCTCCAGGCCCAGCTACGCGTGTCTTCAGGGCGCGTTGCCTAACCTCCACTTTGTTGGATGCGTCAAAATCTTGGGGCACCTCAACTGGATTGGTTGCTCTGCAACACCACCATCGAACGCGCGTGGCCTTTTTATTTAAAAAAAAAGTGCCGAACGAGCCATCAAGCCAGGTCAGTGTGTTGTGTTGACACGTTACCTGGCCCTCAAAACTCTCTTTTGTATGCTTCATCTAACGATCCCTGGTCCCTAACGCACTATCCTCCTGTAAAAACGGTGTGATGTACACGCCCGCCTCATCAGCACCCATTAACGTACCTGCATCCCCATCGCGCCGCACCAAGCGCAAGTCACGCGATGACGACGAAGACGCATCGCAAGGTTCCTTTGTTTTTCCTCAGCAGAATGCTGCTGGCCTGACTGATATATGTCGAAAAGCTGTCGTGCGGCGAAGATCGACACACTTAGATGGCTCTAATGACATGGCCGAATTTTATCCCCTGCCTGACGAGCTGAATCACGCTGTCCTCGCTTCCCTGGGGGTTGGGTCCTCGCGCCGGCGTGATTCTGCCACTTTTATATCTGCCCAAGCATGGGACCCACTCACGTCTCGCCCCTCTCCTGGCCTGCTTCAACCTTCTTCGTTGCCAGCATCTGATACGCATCATGCTTCACAAGCTATGGAAGAAGATAGCTCTTTTGCCTCTAAGCATGGGCCACAGTGTCAAAGTATTCCCCGTCTTTCTGTACGATATTTTGGCGGGACGCGCTCCCAATTATGGGCGTACTGTCCGGACTGCCACGCCTTCTCAAAAGTGCATGAAGGTCAACCTGCAGATCTATCTTATTCTCCTTAATTTCTTGTACCATCTGTCTTTTCTCGTTTTTTTATCAATGACTATTTACATGCTAGCGTAGCCCATTTTTCATCTGGGTCCAGCATGATCCAAATGTATGGTGAATGTGCTATGTATACACTCTTCCCACACATCTAGCAACCCATGTCTAGATAGCTATTCAACGCAAGCCATTTATCGCTCCCTAGGAGTTTTTGCTAACATAGACACACCACACAAAGTACAGATGTTACCTCTAGGTTATGAGAAAATCCGTATTACATTGCTTTTTTGGGTTGGGCATGCAACAGGCACGTCTATATATAGGCACCTGCTAGTGCACTGTAATACTAGACATAATGCCACGGACCAAACAGAACGTCCGCAAACACATAAGACGGATAACCACCAGAGGGCTCTGTCTTAGTTGGCTATCCTAGGCCATAACAACGTCATCACACGTTTACTCCTCCGGGATCTCGACGTTACCCTCGTCGATAGCCTCAATGACATCGTGCGGGGGCTGCTTGTCGACAGTGCAGCCAACGCTCTGGCAGGTACCAAGGATCTCCTTGACGGTGCCGGCGAGGTTGCGACCGAACGACTTGAAGCGCATGGTCCGCGCAATCTCGATGATCTCATCCAGAGGGATATTGCCACCGTGCTTAATGTTCTTGACCTTCTTGCGGTCACGCGGCGGCTCCTTCAGGGCCTTGATGACCAGCGACGAGGCCGACGGCACAACGGCCACAGCAGCCTGACGGTTCTGGACAGTCAGCTGGATGGTCACACGGAGACCCTTCCACTCGCTCGAGGCCTTGGCAATGTCTTCACCGACCTTCTTCGGCGACTGTACGGATGTTAGCTACACTGTTCCTTATCTACGCACAAGCGTAGGGAAAAAATGATACATACCAGACCGAGCGGACCGATCTTAGGGGCCAGAGCCGAGGGAGCACCGACCTCACCACCAGTGGTACGGAGGTAAATGATCTAGACGTGTGTTAGTACTTTATTCTTTCTCACGCCATTAAAAGACATACCTTGACTTCGTTCGGGTCGATCTTAGGCGCCATGGTAGGTGACGAGTGTGATGCTACGAACCAAGCCAGCCTGCCAGAAGTCCTCTTGCCTGGGACCACGCGCGGCGAGAAAAGGTCATCGGCCGAAAAGGAACTACATTTCTCACGTGAGTGCACTGTAGTGTCAGCCCAAAAATATAGTTTCTTGCACGCGACCCAATGGCTGGAGGGACTCAATCCAATTTCGCGCGAAGCCCCGTCGAGAGGAGTACGTTCTCAAGGGCAAGTTCCATTGCTTGTTGTACCACCACTAGCAACGTACAGAACCTCTGACATTTAGCAACATGTGCGTACACTTTACTGCGACTTAATGTCGCGGAATTTAAGGACAAAATACTAACATTCATTAGGTCTGAGTCTCTCACTTACAAGGGTAGCCTGTCTGGCCACAAGGGTTGGGTCACTGCCATCGCTACGTCGCAGGAGAACCCTGACCTGCTGCTGACTGCCTCGCGTGACAAGACTATCATTGTCTGGAACCTTTCGCGCGACGAGACGAACTACGGTTACCCGAAGAAGATTCTCCACGGCCACAACCACTTTGTGTCGGACGTGGTGATCTCGTCGGACGGCCAGTTCGCTCTGTCGGCTTCGTGGGACAAGTCGCTCCGTCTGTGGGACCTCAACACTGGTCTGACTACCCGCCGCTTTGTGGGCCACACCAGCGATGTGCTCAGCGTGAGCTTCAGCCCGGACAACCGTCAGATCGTTTCGGGTAGCCGTGACAAGACCATCAAGCTGTGGAACACTCTTGGTGACTGCAAGTTCAACATCACCGAGGAGGGCCACACTGAATGGGTGAGCTGCGTCCGCTTCAGTCCGAACCCTGAGAACCCGATGATTGTCTCGGCTGGTTGGGACAAGGTTGTGAAGGTATGTATGACTACTAACCGCTGTCGTTGCCGAGCCGGTCTGCCTTTTCCCTCTATCTTGTTGCGATGAAGAGCTACGTTATATTTGCTACTACGGAGACCTGCATTGCATGTGGGTCGGTGAGAAGAACCATAACCACCAAGATCACTGAGTGTCACATGATGGAGAATGGAAAATGGATGAGAGGGAGGCTATGGCACAACATGCGGGCCTTTTGTGCAGAATGCTAACTGTTACAGGTCTGGGAGCTTAGCCGCTGCAAGCTGACTACCAACCACTTCGGACACCAGGGCTACATCAACACTGTCACCATCTCGCCGGATGGTTCGCTCTGCGCCTCGGGTGGTCGCGACGGTGTGACCATGCTTTGGGAGCTCACTGACGGCAAGCACCTCTACTCGCTTGACGCTGGTGACGTTGTCAACGCCCTTGTCTTCTCGCCCAACCGCTACTGGCTCTGCGCTGCCACTGCCTCGTACATCAAGATCTTCGACCTGGAGAGCAAGTCGATTGTTGACGAGATCAAGCCGGAGTTCCCTGGCCTCGGCAAGAACGCCACTGAGCCGGAGTGCTTGTCGCTTGCCTGGTCGGCGGACGGCCAGACCCTCTTCGCTGGCTACAGCGACAATATCGTTCGCGTCTACTCGGTGATCTAAATCGCCCGAGTCGCACTCAAAAATGTATCTGCCTTAGTATGACATGGTGTCTACACCTTGGTAAGATAGGTGCAGAATCGATTGGTGAACGAAAATGTCCTTACCTTGGGTGCATTACTATAGGTCATAGGCATCGCACCACGAACGTACTATGTTTAAAATTGGCTGATGGCCATTTAAAATGTGGTGCAAATACCACTTGACATCATAGGAGCGGTCATGCGCCATGGTACATTCGAGCGCCTGGCCCGTGCTACATATGACAATCCCTATTCGACAAATCACATATAGATAGCCTCACCATACCACTCTTTATGTGATGTCCATCGAAATCAGGGCATGGATATATGGGGTTTTCAATCCCAGATATATATACTCTGTCGTGTCGTTAAATAAGACCGATGTACATGCGATCGTGGCTTTTCATGAACAGTATGCATAATCAGAACCTAGTAGCCTTGGTTGCCATAGCCTTGACCGCCTTGGGGAGGCTGGCCCTGATAGGGCTGAGTAGGAGCACTATACTGTTGGGGCGCACCATAAGGGTAGGCGCCCTGTTGTGGTGGGTAACCAGCGTGAGGAGGAGGATAAGCAGCATGCTGCGGGGCTCCATACGGTTGCTGCTGGTAGCCGGGATAACCCGCTTGTTGGCCATATGCAAAGCCAGCAGGTTGGCCTATTCTAGTTAGTGTGCATGAGAGAGCGTACATACCATAGCCGTAGCCTGGCTGTGCAGCACCGTAAGCGCCGGCGCCGTAGCCACCTGTAAGACCACTGTATCCCAAGTTTGCGCCAGACAAACCGCCACCCATCATAGGGGGACGTGAGTTTGCCATATTGACACGAATGCGACGGCCATCGAGCTCTTGCTCATTCAAAGCCATGATAGCGGCATCGGCTTCTTGTTGCGTCATGAATGTCACAAAGCCGAAACCACGCGAACGACCAGTCTCGCGGTCCTTCATCACAATATAGTCAGTCAACTGTCCGTAAGGACTAAAAGCCTGAGCAAGACCATCATCGGTCGTGCTCCAGCTCAGATTTCCAACATATACTTTGGCCATAGCAAGATCGGTGGGTTTAAACGGAACGCAATCACAAAGTCGATTCAAGTGTCGTGCAAAGACAACCCAAACACAATGCACCAGGAGGTTGAAAACAAAGGGAGGCGAAATACAGTTATCTAGCCCGTGTGTTGTCGTCTTCCTCTTGTTGTTGTACGTTGGATACAACCGACGAACTCATTCGAGTTGGGGATAAGCTCGAGGAACGAATGTGTTGTTTCGGCCGGGGTACTCTTGCCCGTTTTACGGCTTCCTCCGGCGGGCAAATTATTTCTCGCCCTGGTTTCATCTCCTCGAGCGGGCATGAACCGGCTCAACATCCGTCTTACTAAAACGAATGAGGCTTAGGCGAGGAAGCAGTCCTTAGTCTTCTTCAGCCTAGAAGGCCATAGATTGTGCCCATAGAAGTTATTTCACTAAAATCAATCAATCAGCCATTTGCCCGAAGCCAAGGCGTGCAGGCGACACTGGACGCAAACTCACTTGCTGTGCAGGCAGAAAAAGCACGTTGCGGATAGGCCAAAAAAGCAATGGACTTCATGCATGTAACGGTAGTCCGCCATCGAAAACACATGGGCTGCATGTGTTGGCTAGGTCTACGTGATTTTACGCTGACACGTTTGGGTTCTGTTGTGCCTGACGTGAGGGGTCCTTTCACACCTTCAACACTTGGTATACACTGCCAAACATTCAGGCTCTTGTCTCTACATGACACGCCTTTTCCTGCATTTCGGCACACTCCTAGCTATGGTCAGCTGGGGGTTCGCCTCGGCTGATAAATCTGCTAATCAATACAATGTGGTACTGCAGGATTCGTTGGCGTCAGCTATGATGCTTGGTTTGGCAAACCAAGATACGGCCTTCATTTTCGATAAGGTTGAAAACAACCCTCAAAAAACGGCATCAGGAAAGCCAACCTGGGCATCTATTGTCAATCTAAATGACTTCAGTGTGCGTGGCCTGGATGCTACCACCAACCCCTTTTGTGCTGCTGGTGCCACCCTTGGTAATGGTTCCTATATTGTTGTGGGTGGTAACAGCGCTATTTCGTATGGTGGCCAAAATGTCAAGGATGCAAGCGGTCAAAACAACCTTGCTGGTCCTGCGGCACCGTACAACGATATGGATGGTCGCCGTGTCGTGCGTATTATGGAGCCACAGGAAGACAGCTCTAAGTTGCAATGGGATGATGAATACAACAGTCCCAATCAAATGGACTCCGCGCGCTGGTATCCAGCCATTGAGGGTCTCGCTGATGGTTCCGTAGTCATCATTGGCGGTGCGACCAATGGTGGCTTTATTAACCGTAACTACCCTAACGTCGATCCTGTTTACTCGACAGATGGTAAAAATCCACCTACGCCTGGACAATGGGACCAGGGTGGCTCCAACCCCTCGTATGAGTTTTGGCCTCCTGCTGGCAAGCCAAAGCCCGCTATTAGTCAATTTATGGTCAAGACAAGTGGCCTCAACATGTACGCTCACACCTATTTGATGCCTTCTGGAAAGATCTTTATGCAAGCAAATTACAGTACGACGTTGTGGGATTGGCAAAAGGACAAATACTATGATTTAGATGACATGCCTGACAAGGTTATCCGTGTATACCCAGCCTCTGGCGCGACTGCTATGAAACCGCTAACTCCAGCAAACCAATACACGCCCTCTATTCTGTTCTGTGGTGGATTTAACAACATGTCAGACTCCGAATGGGGTGACTACACTGCACCACGCATCAATGTGTATGAACGGGCTGGAAGCACGGACTGTTCTTCTATCACTCCGGAGAAGCCTGATGGTACAATGATTAAAAATGCCAAGTATGTTCGTGAAGATAAATTGCCAGAGCCTCGCAGCATGGGACAGTTTATTCATCTTCCTACGGGTGAGATGGTCATTGTAAATGGTGCTTCTCGTGGTTTGGCTGGCTATGGCAACACAACATGGAATACAGTAAAAGCAAAGGACGGTAGTACAGTTTATCTGGAAGGTATGAGTCAAATGCCCACCTACCGGCCCGTTATCTACAATCCTGATAAGCCTTTGGGTCAGCGTCTTCGATACAGTGACTTGGGATCCTCTTCCATTGCACGTTTGTATCACTCTTCGGCTCTTCTTATCCCCGATGGCTCTGTGCTTGTTGCTGGGTCCAATCCGCATATGGATGTTTCCATTTTGCCTACTATGGACCAGCTGGATACACAGTATGAGAGCTTCAATACGACATACGCGGTGGAACAATGGTATCCCGACTACTATTTCAAGACTCGCCCTGTCCCTGATCAAATGCCAGACACTATTTCGTACGGTGGTTCCTCGTTCAACGTTACGATTGGTGCAAAGTACATGAATCCTAACAACAATGCTAATGACATGGCCAACAAAACTAAATTTATGGTAATTCGTCCAGGGTTTTCGACACATGCCATAAACTTCGGACAACGTTCATTGCAGCTGGAAAACTCTTTTGATGTGCACGACGACGGATCTGTTACATTTATTGTAAACCCAATGCCGACCAATATAAACATTTTCGTTCCCGGACCTGCATTGCTATTTGCTACCGTGAATGGTGTGCCTAGCCACGGCAAGTTTGTCCAGCTGGGTGGCAAAGACATGGGTCCTGTACCTTTCGCTTTAACGGCACAATCTTCACCTGCACCGTTGCCATCACCCAAAACGAACTCTAAATTTACAAATAAAGCTACGTCAGAGAACCCTGATGGCTCTGTCAATGACGGTCTATCTGGCGGCGCGATTGCTGGTATTGTTGTGGGTGTTATCGTTGGTCTATTGCTTTTGGCTGCAATTCTTTTCTTCGTACTTCGTCGGAGTCGCCAGAAGCGCTTTTTGGCCAACTATGCGAGCGTGGGTCGGCCATCTGCGCCGCGCTCTTCAGGAGGTACTGGCTATGCTCCTTCCCTTGCTGGCATGTCGACCCCCGGCACTACTGGTGCTCCAGCACCTTACATGCGCTCCTTTAATGACCCCTATGATTCATCCCATTTACCCATGATGCAGGGTAATGATTCGGCTATTAGCCTTTCGAATTTGAGTGGCCATTATGCAAAGGGTCACCCTACAGGTCCTAGTGCCGCCATGATGCCGCCTTCTTCGACGGACTTGTTTGCACAGCCCATGCCTACGCCAAGCCCTGATCAAGCCCCTGCAGGCTACACATACGAGGCCGCACCACCTCGTAACCAAGCGCCTGCGGGCTATACGTACGAGATGGCCCCGCCCACGTCTGGGTCGACGTACTCAAATCCATTCTTCGCGCCGTCCTCACAACAGTTGGCTCACGTGTCCTCGCCCTCCTCTGGCCAAACTGTGGGTTATGAGCGAGGCCCTGTGCTGATGCCGGAAGGACAGACAGAGCATTGGAACGATGTGCCTGCCCAGCCTCATCATCGTATGTCGGGCCCACGTCAGATGCCGACATCAAACTTACAACAACACCTGCGGGCAGCGAACCAACGGTAAGCTTCACTGTATGTCGGTGGTGTTGGCTTCCAGCCAAACACTTTAAATTATTTGAATATTGCCTTGCTTGTCATGTGGCATGTCTAGCACCCTTCTTCGTTCACCACTGTTGTTTTAGTAACACAACTTGTATAGTTATTGATATTTCCTTTCACAAATCGTAGTAGATGGCTCTGTGCATTGTAACTCCATCAAATCGAAAGACTGCATGCAATATACAAACTAATGGAACTACTTGCGATCAATCAAGCCTGTCACAAGCTCGTAGGTAAGGAAGTAGGCGCCTGTTGATGGGGCCACTTTTAATAGGTTGGGGAAGAGGCCATAATACAGACCTTTGAATCCGCTAGTGCGGACAATATTCCGAATGGCATCAATACCACCCTTGTCGCGTACACCCAGCTTTGAGTCCCTCATGCCAGACACTTGCATACGACGCCGGATTACGTCGAGTGGGTACGTGAGTGTCTGACTAACGGCACCGGCCCAAGCACCAATTAGCAGCTTGGTAATCGGGCCAGGTGGTGTACCATCCTTCTGCGTAAAGAAGGCTCGTGCGCTTTCATAAAATACAAAATTGAAGGCCACGTACGGCGCTACACCAACACTGGTTGGAATGCAGCCGCGGTACAGGCCACGAATGCCTCCTTCCTCCCGATATACTTTCACTGTGGTCTCCCATACGCCAGGAACGCGTGGTAACGGCGCCCCTTTACGGATATTTTGCGTGTACATGGAAGCCGTAGCGATTGAGATACGCGAGCGGACCAAATCGAGAGGATATGTGGATACAACACTCGTGAAACCAGCCACAGCACCAGCTACAAGGCGCTCTATCGTGCCGAGCTCACGTACAATGATGTTACTCTTGGATCCATCTTCGTGAGTATACACGTATTCGACGGGATGAGAGAGCCATTGTTTCATGACCTCGTATGTAGAGAATTGCACAGCGCTGTACGGCGCAATGCGCAAGCAATTCAACGTATTTCCCCGCATGAAACCTAGGAACCCTTCTTCCTGCCAGATCTTAGAAAGACCCTTCCAGACACCGGCGTATGCTTTCTTTTCACCCTTTTTGGGCATGGGTTGTACCTGCCTGCCTTGTAAGTCTTCATACACATATCACATACATGATAACTTTTGATGTCAGTATGAACTTCTGAGCCATACGCACTTTTCAAACGTTCTAAAGGGCTGACCAACGTGCGGCTTGTCGCCCCTGCACAGCCACCAGCAATGAGACTAGGCCAGAGTCGTTTCTGTGTTACCACATTTGGCGCATTACTGCGATTTGATGGTGGTGACGGAGCCTCCTCTTGTTGCTCGTTGCTCGTCATGCCATACACCAACTGCGATAAACAAATACGACTCTACCATGCACTTGGAATGACGCGGGGTCTTCCTTCTTCATACCCACGTGGCTGCCAAAACTATCGCCGGCCTGCCGTGACACGCGAGACCAGCTGACCGGGCATGGCCGACGCCGACATCGACGCCTCCTCCACTTGCAGCGCATGACGCGACCAAGTGTTTATGTCCACTGCCTGACTACATGAACGTCTTCCAAAGCGAGCCAGAGCTACTATTTTTATCCTCCTTCCCGGAGCTCATATCCGACGAAATTACGCGGTGGACATGGCACAAGTAGTCAACATAGCTCATAGCGTCGTTGTTTTGGTCTTCGACCAAATTGTTGGCAAACTCGACCTCCATGCCGTCACGGTTTTGACGCGCCATGACCACTTGGAGTGTTGCCTTGCCACGTTGCTCTGCATAGCTCTGGATCAAGCCACGCACCTGCTGCGAGAGCTTTGTAGGAAGCTTGGGCAGTGAAGTCATGCGTGGATCCATCTCATCCAGCGAGGTAACGCCGTACAAGTCTTCCAAGAACTTGGGGTTCACCTCGGCACCGAGCCATAGCAGGCACCATTCGCCATTGTCAAGGAGGTATGCACCATGTGGTTCCATGCGCAAGAAGGAGGGCCGCATAGCCCGAGGCACGTGTACTACTTTGAGCAGCGCATCTTCGACCATCTGCTTCTCCGGGGTAAGACCCTGGGCGGGGACAATAGGGAAACCGTCTTCCGGCGAGAGCGTGTGCAATGCTACCATGCGAGGGTACAACAACGACATAATCGCGCCCACACCGTGAGAAAGCAAAAGGCGGAAGAAGTATACACGCACATCCGAAGTCACATTACCGCCCTTGATGGCTTTGTTCTTCATGAGCGCCAATGTGTACAATGGGAATAGTTTGTAGCTTTCTGGCAAGATAAGCTGGCCAGGACTCGTAGTGGATGCGCAGTTCTTTCGGTACGCCAGCAGAATCGCGACACAGCGCGATGTCAGGTAGCTACGCACATCCTTCAACGACTTGGTATGCGCCAGCGTGGCTGCTTCCTTCGCATAGTGCGCGACCGTGGAGTCCATATCTGCGTAGCGGAAGACGTTGCCCAGTGTAGAGGACACAGGCACCGCCATGGTATGCACACGCACACGACGCTCGCCCCTGGCTGCCGTGTACAGGGTAGCGGACTGGAAGTAGGCCTCGCGTGACTCTTCTAGACGAGCCTCATGCTTGATGAGAGCGGAGAAAGCCTTGTCCGCGTCCCATGTACCCATCTCCAAATCCGTGAGGCCATGGCGATGGAAGTTGCCAAAGTGCTTGACGACACGAAGACCGTGCGAGCAACGAATACGCGTCGTCACATTGTACGCGGTCTCGCGTAGAATCATGCGCTGCACCTCTGCCATCACACGCGCGCCATCACGCACGGGATCAAAGCGAGGATGGAAGAAGAGCTCACCACCCGTCTCACCAGCCAAGTACCCAATCGATGCCACGTCAATGTATTGACTTGGGAAGAAGAACGTGTTGACACCCACGCCAGCCAAAGCGAGATCCACGCCAATCTTCTGGTAAAAGGCGTCCTGTGCTGTAAACAGATTCTTTTCTTGCTCGGTGCCGTAGAGTTTTGTATCTTCGCGATGCTTCAACTTGCCAGGACCCACCGTGGGAATCGTGGAAAGGAACAAGTTCAGCTGGCCACCAATGCCATTGAGCACGGCTTGGGAGGCACGCACGACCGCACCCAGCGCTGCCTCCGCGACGGTGGTCGAAGCGAAAAGGTTGGGAAGATCGTTCAGCAAGCCTTCAATAACACTACGCGAGGCCCATGGATCGACCAACAAACCTTGGCTGATGGGTACAAAGGGGTCTTCAATGTCAGCCATGTAGATCATCTGCGCCTGGCCCAGACTGGCATCCAAGTTGTAAAAGTGGAGCGCCTGATCAAACGTCAGAATGCACACCTTGCTGCCCGGAGGCAAGCCAAAGCCTGGCGCGCCATGCTGATCGTCGGAGGGCGGCGCGGCGCCTTGCTCGGTCGAGCCGTACAATGCATGCTTGATGGCGCGAGTGCAGACTTTCAAGGAACCGCATCGCACAGCACTGAAGCTCACGTCAATCACAAACATGTACGTCATGGGTCGAGGCGCACGCACTGTGGTGTGGCCCTTGCCCAAATGCAGGGAATCCAGGGCCGCATCCCCCGCAGCTTGCGCGACCTTCGCTGCGGAGTTCGCAGACTCGTTGCCAGTGTCGACGTTCGCAAGGCGGTCCACGTTGTCACGTAGCTTGGTGGTGGTCGTGAGCTTTTTGGTCATGGTCGGCACAATCGTCGAGACGGGCAACATCGCCGAGACATCAGTCGGGGCCTGCACAGCCCAGTACTCGGTCGGAACCAAAAAGTCTACGGAGCCATGCGTCAGCTCAGGGCGCTGGTCCAAGTCGGCGCGGCGGCCATTGATATCCAGATTGCAAAAGTAGTCCTGCGACACTTCCGAGGCGGTACCGCACAAACAGCAAATCCATTTCGAGCCACCTTCCACAAACAAGCACCATGGGTTGATGTACGCACGGCACCGCTTGCATCGCGGCGGGCCAGAGGCACCTGGGTCGGTCACAGGGACCGGCGCCTCGTCTGCACGAAGTTGTGCAAACGGCTGCACAGTCAACGCAATCGGAAGCTTCGACGCCTGAGCGACCTCGTCAGACGATGGCATGCAGTATGTTGTGAGCCGCATAAACTTGGGCGAGCAATTGCCCTGATCAATCGCAGCAAAGTTGGTGGTACTCAGCGGCATGCCTTCGCGGCTGCAGGTACCAAAGAACTCATGGTAGAAGAATTGCTGGTCGGCATATTGTGCATCCACAGGACTAGGAATGTGGTCCGGATCAATTTTAGGACGTCCAGCACGATCGTTGGCATTGGTCGTTGGCATACCCTGCAGAGCCGCTTGGCCGGATACATTGCGCATAGGCGCACTTGCCGAACCTTGCAAAGCTGCACGGTTGGCCGCTCGCTGCGCTGCTGAGAGCACATTGCGCGAACCGGGAATCTGATCCAACGCAGAGTCAAAGTTATTGTCGTCCTCCATAGGCCTAGCTTGCTGCGCTGCGCGGTACTCGGCACGTTGGGCGGCTTGCTGCTGCCACTCGGCCTGTGGAGGCGGCGGACGAGCCATGACATCGTTCCAACCTGACGAGGCAGGCGCTGTCGCGTCCTGGTGGTACGCACGCGCCGCACGCTTTGTTCGTGCCACACCAGCAGGGGGCGCTGGTGCCGCGGTGGGCGCCGGTGGACGTGGGACGGCTGCAGTGGGCGTCACCGATTCAGGCGGCTCTGTAGCCGCCATAGCCGGAGGTCGTGCCGGCACACCTTGCAACTTCATGCGCTGCATCGAAGCGGGCAAAGTCTGGGCACTCGCGGGCGTGCCGGGTTGCGACGTAGTGCCTGTGCGAGGCGGAGCGGGAGAGCGAGGGGGCGGCATCCCAGGCCGTGCGCCTGGCGCCGGCGAGCGAGCAGGCATCGGGGGCCGGGCACCTGGTGCTGGAGAACGCGCAGGCATAGGAGGACGCGCGCCAGGTGCCTGAGCCTGGGCAGCAGGAGGTCGTGCGCCAGGCGCAGGAGGCCGTCCTTGCATAGGACGAGCCGAGGGGGCAGGCGAACGTGGTGGCGGCATAGGACTACGTCGTCCCTGCAAAGAAACTTGACTAGGCGGCCGTACCGATGCGGCGTTGGGAGCACCAGGCGGTCGCGCCGGTGCCGAACCTGCACGAGGCGGACCAGGACGCATCGCCGACGTAGAACCTGGCATGGGGGGGCGTGGCGAAGTGCCACGCATGACAGGGGGCCGTGACTCCATGGGTACACAGCCTACAGAGAAACAGGTATGATGCGCAGGACAGAAGCCGCGACAATCAACGTCGTCTCACAGACAACAAAACAGTGTTGCTTTGCTGCGTTGGTAACGCACACGTACGGCCCCGGTTGACGACGATGAAAGGACGTGTGCCTCTCGGCCGAAAATTCTAAACAGTGCCACATGGAGAGCCGCTTCAACGCGCGTGGGCGCGCCAGGCCGCTCAGACACAGCCTGTCACGGACACTTGACTATTATGCCAGTGCCATTGCCACGACTGATCTTGATCCGTCATGGGGCGACAGAATGGGCCAAGAACGGTCGTTATACTGGCCGTACCGACTTGGACCTTCTGCCTGAAGGTGTGCAAGAGGCCAAGCAGTTTGGCGAGATGCTCGTGGGCCTCGCCCCTGATGCTGTGATCCAATACCAGAACATTGGTGCCATTCTTCGTAGCCCACGAAAGCGATGTGTGGAAACGATGGAGCATGTACTGGGTACAGAGGAAGAACGCAAGAAGATGGGTCTGCCGGAAGTCCAAGTGGTCGACGATTGCCGTGAATGGGACTATGGCGGTACGTGTAACCCGATCTACTGACCAGCAGCGTACGAAGGAAAGAGAGTAGGTGGTATGGCATACTCACTCTTAGACAAATGAAATTCGCGAGATGCATCCAGGCTGGGATATCTATAACGATGGTGCTCCAAACGATCCCAATGATCCATCGATGCCAGGCGAATCGCCTCAAGAAATTAGCGACCGCGCCGACCGTATTGTAGCGATCGTACGTGGCCTTCACTCGTCGTTGCACAAAGATGTCATTGTATTTACACATGGCCACTTTAGCAAAGTTCTGATGTCGCGCTTCCTGCGGATGCCTATTACTTTCGCTCGCTCGTTGGTAATGAGCACCTCCGGCACAGCAGTCCTCTCGTATGCGCACCACACGTACGATGAGCCCGCATTGATTGGTCTATTCTCCCCCAGCCTTCATACAAAGCTCCGCTCTACCGTGGACTTACGCCCGTGCCATGAAGAGTACCAATACCTTGAGCTCGTGGCGTCCGTAATTCGCCATGGCGAAGTCCGTCAGGACCGTACTGGAACTGGTACGATCGCCATGTTTGGCCCGAAGCAGTCCCTCCAGTTTGATTTGAGTGGGGGCAAGCTGCCATTGCTAACCACCAAGCGCGTATTTTTCCGCGGTGTCTTGGAAGAACTCCTTTGGTTCATTGGCGGGAAAACAGACTCAAAGCTCTTGAGCGACCGCGACATTCACATTTGGGATGGCAACGGTTCCAAAGACTTCCTGGAGAAGCGCGGGCTGGGCCATAGGCGTGAAGGCGATTTGGGCCCTGTCTATGGCTTCCAATGGCGTCACTTTGGTGCAAAATACATTGATGCAGACACGGATTACACGGGTCAAGGTGTTGACCAGCTAGCAAAGGTCATTGAACAGATCCGCACCAACCCGACAGACCGCCGTATTCTGCTCTCCGCCTGGAACCCTGCGGATTTAGACAAGATGGCTTTGCCTCCATGCCATATTCTATGCCAATTCTTTGTATCGCTGCCGTCGGAAGAAGAAAAGGCACAAGGCAAGAAACCGGGTCTTTCGTGCCAAATGTACCAGCGTTCCTGCGACTTGGGTCTTGGTGTCCCTTTCAACATTGCTAGCTACTCGCTACTGACACATTTCATTGCCGCTGTCACGGGGTGTGAAGCCACGACATTCACCTTGGTCATGGGTGACGCACACGTCTACCTGGATCATGTGGAGCCGCTGAAGCAACAGATCATCCGCGAACCGCGTCCCTTCCCCACAATCCATCTACGTCGTGCAGTGGACTGCATTGATGATATCCAGTACAACGACGTGGAGTTGCTTAATTATGCACCGCACGGCAAGATTGATATGCGCATGAGCGTGTAAGAAACCATAGACGCGCTTTTGATGCGCGCTTTAGCTGCACGTGATGTGACTCCCAACAACCCCAAGTGATATAGCCTCTCTTTCCGTTTTGAGGCCGCCAGACACGTAAACAGCCAATCACAACAGTAGTTTTTGCAGCGCGTTGCGCTTTATATTGGCTAAGCGTTTCAAGACGTGGGGAAAATGCAGAACAAGTAGCACGCGAATTGCGCGCTCGCTTTTTTCTCCGCATCCCAGCCGTTCTTGTGACCAGAAGGGATCGCCTTGGACTCTACCCTGCCGCTACGCGACACCTCACCCCTCTGCTAGCGCGTAAAGTAGAAGCGTACAAGTGAAAGATACTTTACCCCACAAGCGACGTACTTCCTCACATTATATACCATGGTTCTCCCTGAGCGCTACTCGCTCACGACTCCGGCTCAAAAGCCGGAGAATATGCACTGGACGCCGAACCCGAAGTCACTCCTGGTGATCCGCTTTATCTTCACAGTTTTGACTTGTCTAATGGCCCTTGCCACGTCTATTATGACAGCTGTGGTGATTAACTATTTCATGTCACACCAGCCTATGATATTCCCGCCCATGAGTAGTATGATCTTCATGACCATGATTGGTTTCTTAACCTGCATTATCTACTTTGGCTACTTTATCTTCCTGCCCTCCCTCTCATTCATGCGCCGCGGAAGTATGCTTTGGATCATGTTTACCATGAAGATTGAGATCTTCTTCCTCTTTGGTATGTCGGCCATTTGGATCAGTGCTGCCCTGGCTTATGCTGCTGACTACCGTGGCCATGAAAACTGTATTTGGGATGGATACTACCACTATCCGAAGCCCAGCAACTGGAACCACCTGTGTGATATGATCAACTGGGTCGTGGGTATGGCTTATGCTACGTTTGGTATCCAAGTTGCGTTCTTTGCTTTTGATCTGTTCATGGTGGCCTACATGTTCCTATTTGTGGATCAAGACTCGATCAGTGAGCCATTCTATGAATGGGGTACCCGTGCATGGGAGTACAAGCACCAGCGCGAGGCGCCCATTTCGTCTGTACACAACCCTATGATGTACCGTGCCAAGGGTGGTCCTATCGGTGGCGCAACCACCTTGGGCCGCGGTGGTGACACTCGCTACAAGGAGAAGGACATTTATGAAGGTGTTACTGAAAGCAGCAACACGTACCGCGACAGCTCGTACACGGAGACCGACAGCAGCTCCAGTGCTACTCGCCGTGGCTATTCGCGCCGTGGCGCCGCTTACAGCGATCCTAGCAACTCTGATACGATTTCAGATGATTCGAGTACGGTGGCTAGCTCGTCCAACCATTATGGCGGTGCCTATTCGCGTCACACAGTGAACAGCGTTCGTGCTGGACTGGGTGAGGCGCCTATGGCTGCAGGTACAGGCGGCACCAATGCCGGCGTGCCAACATGGTCAGCGCCCAGTATTACCACCGATGGTGACTCGGTCATGCGTCCTCATACATCGATCCGCGGTGGGCCTCGTCAAGTGCGTCATGTGTCCGCGCCCATCTCGCTGGGTTCCCGCGGTCGCCGTGGTACGTCGTACGGTGGCGACTCGGCGCTTGACACTGTCGATGATGACTTTGAGAGCTTCACAGAAGACTATGAGGGCTCAGAGCGCCGACCTTCAACGGGCCCTGCAGCCGGAAGGGATTGGCGCCGCTCACGCCGTCGCGTTAGCATGGATGAAGAAAGTGGCTGGCACTTGCGTGAAGACTAATTTGTTTAGTTGGCCCTTCCCTCAAGCATTGGCATAATTTATACCCATTTCATCATTCATTTTGCTACTTCCGGCCTGTATGACTAGATCCATTGTTTGTTTATTTGTTTACTCTATTTGTTGGTCAAGAATTTGTGTAATTGGAATGGCAAGAGATATCTTTCTTCCGGCTTGAGAAGATGATGACGCTGACATGACAAGCTTTGTACTTATGAGAATGGATGTCTGCACCTGGCCTATATGTGGCTTAAAACAGTACAAATAGAACAAAAAGAATGGACATTACAATATGGGCTCTTGCTCCATGTCGTTCGTATGCGACGTCTGAGGTTCTTGAATCGAGGACGACGGAGGATCTTTCTCGGCCAAGGCTGCCCCTGTGAGCCAGCGCTCAGCTAGTAGACGGCTGCATTCTTGCTTATGCTTTTCCGTTTGAGCCAGTAGATCATTTGCTTCCTGATCTCGAACCTCAGACATTTGGGATTGAGATAATAACAAGGACAGTTTAAGGGCATCGGATAGCAAGTAGAGTGATTGTGTCGCGCGAACCATACTATCAGCACGAGTTTCCATCACAAAAGACTCTCGATTCATATCGTAGTGATCTTTTCCGCCAATCTATACAGGTTAGTACGTCTAGGCGTGCTTTCACGTACACGGCTCAAGTTAATGATTTCCTTGAAGTTGTCCATCAGCGCTTTCACATCAGTATCGATTTGGCGGTTCACTGCCTCTTCCAATGAGTCGAGATAAGCAGCATGCCCCGAAGCATGCTCTGAAATATCATGGCCTCTGGGCCGGAACACCCCTTCACTCATGGTCAGGGCTTACACAGCGTACCAAGAGGCAAAGGGACAAGGACGTAGCACCTAGTACCTCCACATGTGCCGCTATCGGACATTATAGTACGCTACGCAAGGCTCGCTATATGACGTAGCGTTGTAGGCAAGTATACCTGCCTTAACGTATCGGATGTGGACGAGTGGCTATCGTGCACCAACTATCAGCTCCATCAAACTTGTCTTCCAGCTTACAAGCGTCCCTAACCCTATCCTACAAAACAATCTACGACGAGCGCGTCGCTGGCTTTTCCGGATCCGGTGATTGGCTCGACGTTCTTTGAATGACATCGACAGGATGGAAAAAAATTACATAAGTATCCCCTTTGTCTAGTGACGCAAAACCAAGGCCGCTAGGAGCGTTCTTTACCCGCCACTAGTAGTCTGGTTAGGACAAGCTTGTGAACTCGGACTTGTGCGCTTATACGTTGGGTGCTTTGGACTTCCAATCTTAATTGACATTGGCAGTTGTAGACCCAGTAGGATTCTGGTAACACTGTGTGTCCAGAGCCGAGCAACAAGTCTCCCGCTTGCATTTTTGTGCCAGGGAAACCAGGCTTCTAGACAATGAGGGAAAGCAATTTTAGCAACCCGGGTCAGAACCGGGCATGTCTATCCATCAGTGCTGTGGTGTATGATCGTCGAGGTACGTATTCTGAAAGGGGCAGGATATGGTGGGCAGAAGGATGGTGACGCCTGGTTCGTTGTCTATGTTGAGGACAGCGGCTAGGCATGTCACCTTTCTGATGATCACAACCAATATAGAGTCAAGCACGGAACACATCCAAGAGCCTACGTGCTACGGTTGTACCTGTCGAAACATGTTATCTGATTATGACCTTGGCCTACCATGTCTCTCCTCTTCTTGTCGGGACTATACTAACCTATCCAGCATTGGATTGCACAGCGACATTGCCGCTGGTCAATTCGTTGAATCACTTCGCCTATCTGGCATCCACGTCGCCTCGCATTCGCGAGATGGTAACGCTGGATGGTGGTTTGGAGCGACTGATTCACATCTTGAGACAGATTCCACGGAGTCTTGCTCTCTCATCGGTGGACCGCGACCCCAATATGCTGGCAGATATGCAGCTGAATTGGAAATGGAGCTTGGCCTTTCAGTGCGTTGTCAATATTGGTGTACGAGGAAGCGAGGCTATTCGAACACGTGTTGTGGAAGCAGGAATGGTCCCTATTATTATCAAGGTGTTGGATAACTACTTAAGCGCGGCGCATGCGATCCATGCGCAGCAACAACATGCTGTGCAGACATTTCATGACCAGCATTCGACGCAGCAAGAAACGCAGCGCTCGATATACCCGTCACCTACACCCGCCACAGTAACGATGGCAAACTCCGCCACTTTTACGCCTGTGCCTGCGCAAACGCAAATACCAGGCACGTCAGATGTGGATATGAATATGGATACGATTCATGGGAATGACACCACGCTATTCCCCGCAGGTACGGGGGAGCCTCGTTTGTCAGAGGAATCGATGGGATCGAACCGTGTGGTTAGCGATGCAAGTACCAGTGTGAGCGCTACGACGAGTGAATGTGCGGAGGAAATGGAGGCATCGGAAGACATGGATGCGTGTGATACGACGGCGGAAGCATTGGCTACCAAGAGCAATGCCACCGTCCAAACGCCGCGGGCTGAGGCCTCTCGCGTGGATATGGCACAGACGCCGCGTGCACAGCAGGGCTCGTTGCCAGACGAGACCACCCGCGCACAAATGTGGCAAACGCCAACGCCGACACAGCCCTTGCCTCCGCCGGCGCCTGTTCAACCGCCCGTGTTCCGTGAAGAAGAAATTCTTTTGAGCTTGCAGCTCCTTGCGTACTTGTCCAAATACCCCCACGTTCGCCAATTTTTCCACAATGCTGATGTACGTGAAGATATGTTCTTTTGCCCCGAGTGGCCAGAGGATACCCTACCCAACCGATCCTGGCAGCCTAGCGACCCTGTAATCCAGAATGTGTTTAGCGTGGCGGAGCGCTTCACCCACCGTCCTTCGCGTAGCCCAGGCGTATCGGGAATGTTGTGCTCGCTGTACCCACGCCTTGCACCAGAAATCCAGTATTGGGCTGGCGTGGTAATGCGCAATGCGTGCCGCAAAGATGAATCCCGTGGGGGTATCCGTCAATGTGCCAATATGCTTTGTGGCAAGTGGGAGAGTTACCCGCGAGAGTTTGCCAAGTGCCGGCGTTGCCGCAAGGCGAAGTATTGCAGCAAGCAGTGCCAAAGCAAAGGCTGGCAAATGGGCCATCGATACTGGTGCAGTGCCCGTACAGAGGAAGACAAGGCCCGTGCAGCATCCGTCTCGGTGGCCGTGCCCATGCCCGTGCCTCAGCCTGTACCTATGCAAGAAGAGGTGCCCACGACGGTGGCAGGACCTGAGCCTCATGTGACGCCTAGCACTGCCAACACGGGCATGCGGTCCCTCACGGGCCATACGGCTGACACTGGCCTGCCACCTATGCCTACGTCCGGCCCGACAGCAGCGCCTGTCTCGCATTACGACCGGCCTTTGGGCGCCCGTCATGTACCATCTACATTCACATCGGAAGGGCCCCACCTTCCATCGCTGCGTGGCGTAAGTGCTGCCAGCATTGAGTCCAATGATTTGGCGGAAATGAGCGACGATACCACCGCCCTTACTCATCTAAACGACATGCCACCACAAGGCGGGACAGGCCACCACCCTTTCCCACCGCCTATTATTGCTGGTGATTTATCTGTACATGAAAGTGATCCTGCGACAGCTACTTTACGCGCACAGGAAGCCCAAAACGTTGAGGAAAATGGACCCCTAGATTACGTCGCAGCGGCCTCGTGGCCCCCCGTGGTTTCTCCCACTGTTGAGCCTACGGGCACGACGACGGACCGCCACTATGACTTGGGCATCCGTCTGCCGGAGAGCTCGACGACCCATACACCTGGGCCCACCACCGCCACGACGGAGACAGCACCTTCCACAGGCTTCCCCTTACCGGCCTGGCACATTTCGCCCTCCGTGGCCCTACGCAGCGTACACAATGCGGCTCGCGCTGTATCGAGTCTGCTGTCCACGGCGTCCGAAACGAGTGAGATAGAACCGCATAATGGTGCTGTGCAGGCGTCCATGCCTCAATCCCCGACCAATTCTCTTTTCACGTCTCTTCACCCATCCTCCCCGTCCCCAGACCTTCCTAACGTAGAAATGTCTCAGGTGCAAGAGTACAGGTAGCTGTAATATTCCCGCCTATGCTCGTTTCACATACAATATATGCCTGAAAAGAGAAGGCCTGCCTTATGTTCTATGAATACAACGTAGCCAACTATGTAACAAGAGCATTAGTACGGTAAAAGTCGCTCACGAGGTACAAACTCCCACATACGACGACCAAATGCATATGAGAAGTGTCAGACGACGACGTTGCGTGCAAAGCATCGGACAAAGAGGTATACGAGCTAGTAGGCACCGAGAAACGCTGGGCTGATTCCACAAGCTGCGATGGCGGCATGGAGCGAACCCATGGCATGCCTTCTACTGGCGTAGAAAAGGGGACAAACGCTACACGATGCGTCATGCCAGGGTGCGCCGCCAAAAAAATGTCCAGCATACTCTCCACATCTTTGCCTTGGGAGAAAGCCATGATCCAGGATATGGTAACAGGCGGCAGACCATGCAAGCATTGCTCCAAATACTGCCGCAATGCCCAAGCTGATGCCACATTATGTGCGCCATCCAATAGTAAAGGCAGCGAGCCTAAACTATGCCATTCACATCGACCCTCCCATCGACACTGCCCAAGACTGGCCGTGAGAGACGGAGAAGGCTTGTTGTCAGGGAAGAGATGGGTCCGAATGCGCGCGCGGATATCATGCCAACGATCAGGACCAGCTGGAGAAGAGTGCATTGGCAAAGTAGCAATGCTCCATAGTGTTTGAAGTGCGGTGCTCGCACCAGAAACACGAGAGAGGGAAGCCTCGAGCGTGACAGGTATATGCATTTGGGCCGTCGACGAAGCACCTTCCGTGATAGTCATCGGTTCGTACAAAGGCAATGAAAATTGGACAGGTGCACGCAAGGGAGGATGTGTACTGCATAGCTGAATTGATGACCAGGGGACTTGCGTGAAAGCCACAGAAGCTTGCTGCGCTTGGCATGCCTCAACAATACTGCTCATGACCTCAGACGAAGGCGGCGGGAGGAGGGAGGTCGATGGTGGGATACGGAACACAGGCGTTTGGTCCGCTACAACACACAGGCCGTTCGATTTTAGGATACCTACCTTTTCCCGGGCAATCGCAGCAAGGCCATGGCCAAGCAAGTTTTCATGATCTTTGGCGATAGGGCAAATCACGCTGGCCAAGACATTGTCCGAGGGGAAGACATTGGTCGCATCAAGCCTGCCACCTACACCTACTTCAATCACAAGCACTTCCGGTTGCTGTGCCTGTGGTAAGAGTGTGTATGCCAGCAAGGCTTGAACAGTAAGCAGCTCAAACGGTGTCGCCCCAATCGGCGTGTCACGAGCGTCAGCTGCCTGCGTTCGCTGCACAGCGAGATTCCACGTCACTTCATCAATAGGCTCTCCATTTGAAAGCCGTACACTATCACGCGCTGTGACCAAGTGAGGTGAGTTGAAGCGTGCCGAGCGAATACCAGCGCCCTGCGATAATAGTGCAGCTAAGTACGCCGTCGTACTACCCTTCCCATTTGTGCCTGCCACATGAATCACAGGGAACTTGGTATGTGGCGATCCAACACGCTGCAGTAGCGCCTGGACACGTCCTAGACCCAGATCCATGCACACCAACGCACGCCGCAGAGAAGAAAATGCACGTCCCTGCCGCACGAAGACGTGGGTGTGCTTTCGCCCTCGACCCTCCTGCGTGTATGGTCACGTGATAAAGCCTGAGCGGCGAGGGCAGGACGGCCCGTTCACATCGCAATACATCTCGGTGTACCATGTCGGGTTGGACAACAATCGGTGTGCTAATCCTTGCCGTGCTGGTAGGCACTGCCATCTGGATGACTACGCCCAAGGGACCCAACCAAGTGTGCGTTGGAGGCGAAAACAAAGAGACCTAACATATAACAGACTGATTCGCACGAGTGCCGTGATGACGCTGGCTTGCTGCTACATTATGTGGGCCTGTGTGTACCTAGCTCAACTGCACCCTCTGATTCGTATGTATTTTATGCTTTCTCTGACCATACAAAGAACCAAAGCGTGGTGATGTGCGCTTCTTGGAGTAAATGGTGGCCTTCTGCACATGGTTTGCTATGCCCCATATATGCATGCACTCGAAAGAACCTTGTGCCGCTTCACATATCGAATGTGTTTGTACTATACGTCCATATATATCTAAAGTGGTCAATCTATCAAAGATATGCCAATTATCCAGCCGTGGTAAGGTAGTGCGTCTCGTCACTAGCTTGGTAAATGTAACCATCGTTGGCAAGCTCATCAATGGCATCCCTGCACGTGAGAAAGTAGTTTGTACGTACTGAACCTGGGCCGGGTCGGTATTCTTGCAGCGTTGGAAGACCTGCTGGATGTCGACACCCTCCGGCCAGTCCGGTGCCTCGGCGGCAATAGCCTGGTAGATCTTGCGCTGCAGAGGCGTCAGGTGAGAGAGGTCTGTCGCCATGGGATCAGCTGAATTCAATGCAGCATCATTGTATGCAGATGCCTCGACACTGCTGGCTGGTACTTTGGACGTCTGGATGTGAGTCAGACAGGTGAGACGTACCGATCCACCCTTAAGAAGCGCCAAATGAGCCTGAATAACCTCGAGCTGGTGGAAAAGGTACTCATTATGATCCTCAATCACAGCCACAGATGCTGCTGTGATGCTGCGCTTGTTGTTGAATGACTTAATCTCGCCCAGGATGCGCACGAATTGGTTCTCGCTGCATTGTTAGCCAGAACCGTGGCACGTACGTAAACTCTTCCGTCTGGCCGCCTTCATCCAGAGAGTGGTCCACCCATTGACGCACATCAATTTGTCCCGTACCATCATCCAATGTGTACTGCACATTGGTCGTGTTGCGGTTAATACTGCGGATCCACGCGACCAACGAGACTTGGCTCAGTTCCGCATCGTCAAAGACAAAAGGGGCATCTGAGTGTGGTTGCGACGCGTTCAGCACCTGGCGAATAGTCACAGGACGCAAAGAGTTGGTCCCACGCTGCATGAGGCGTTAGTACGAGCCTGGATATGTCTGCCACATACACGAGTATTACCATCCTGGCTGCTCTCACCGCCACCAAAGAAGCCGCCGCCTCCGTAGCCGCCAGCACCACTGGTATAGTTTTGTCCAAACGGATTCTCGCTGTATCCTATGGTAGGTTAGCTGCTGTGGCATTACGACACGTACCGTCCATGGTAGCCTCCGTGTTGGGATACGAGGTGGCGGCGCGTCGCGTCGCGTGCGCCCGCACGAAGTGCACCGCTGACTAAAGCCACCCTCGTTCTGGCCCCAGCCAGGTGCGGACTCCATTACGTACGGACGATTTCGATGGATGGATGGGGTCCGCCTCGCGCAAGGTAGCGGAGGCGCGGCCGTCAGTTGACGAGCGCCGTGCAAAGAAAGACAAGGCAAAACCTCCTTCGCCTCCGATTCGACTTCGCAAATGGCATCGAACGTTCCTGCCTGTGCTACGAGAAATGGCAAGTGAAGTGCATATACTTCATCGGTTATGGTACAAATCGCATGCACAGTTTCGACATATGGTGTGGTGGCGTCCCGTTCAGCGCGTTCATAAGCGTGGCTGTGATGTCATCACTGGCTCACTTGCACAAAGTGTGAAAAAAGCACGAGGCGGCGCTTTATACCCATCCTCGGCAAGTGTGGCAGATGAGCCGGCCATGAGTGTGCAAGCTCTCACGAGCTTGGTGCGGCTGTATGAGGCTTTTTGGTCCGCCACACCTACAGTGTCCTGGGATACGATGCCCAAGCATGATACACCGCCGCTGGAAACGGCATGCGACCCCGTGTACCGAGCCGCCGCGTACGACGCTGTCTTGCAGTGGCAGCAATCTCTCCAAGCGTTGGAGGAAGCGTGCGAAGTATGCTTCGGTCGCTTGCAGACGCACCTGCGAACACCTCCTGCGCCGATGCATACGCCTACGTGTATGGCAGTGATGGCGGTGTGTGCACGTCTCGCCGCGTTGTGTCGTATCCTAATAAAGGGCGACGCAGAAACGAATTCGTACTCCATCGATCGATTGGTTCGTTGGTTGCGTCCTATAGAATAAATAGTCATGGGGGAGAAGTACGTAGCGGTGGAAGATCGCCCTGGCGAGATGGTGGCGCACTCCATGCCTCGGTCGACGCAGGAAGAGGATGCGAAGACGGCAGGGACAACGCCGCGCGATCCTGGTCGATCTGATGCAGCGGTGGCAAGGAGGGCCGTGGCATGGGCATGGAGGCATCGATCTCCAGCCAACCAGATCCGTGCGATGCCTGTAGCATCGGACGAGGGAAGGGCGTGGAAGAAGGGGGAGGAAGGGTAGGCAGCGACACGTGAGGACCACCCTGCGGCGTTGCCTGTCGATCCGGACGTGGAATCAATGGTCCAGGTGCAGGTGTGGACGCAGGTGGCCAAGCGGACGACGTACGTACGTGCGCCCATGGGACCAAGCCCTCCAAGGCCATACGGACAAGCCGTGATCCATCTGGATCGTCGGCGGCGAGGACAATGCTGGGCCCCAATACAATATGTCGATCAGGCGCCACATGGCACACGATTGACTCGCCGTCCCATCCCATGGGGTACGCACGCATCATCGCTTCGCTTACGCCACGGCGAAGCAGGTTGGCCTGTCCGGCGCGATGACATGCCTCGTCTGCCGGTGTAAGAAGAGGCGATGGCGATGCTGTTCGAGCTCGCTTGTCAGGGCGATCGGATGGGGGTGCTGGCGTCGCTGACTCTACGTCGACGTCGGGTGCTGGCACTGCCGGCTCAAAGCCCGAGAGCGTCAGGATGATGCGTTTGTTGGTCATCCACGCTTGTCGTTTCAGCACTGGCTCCGTCTCGGACTTGAGACTCGCTGGGACATCGACAAATACGTCGGGAGGCACATCCAAGTGCCGCGTAGCATCGCGAATCTTGACTTCGGCCCAGGGGTACCGAGTACGCAAGCGGAAGCAGCAGCACGGACAGAACCACTTTTCCTGCAGGCCACTAGGATCGTCAATGCACATGCATGCACTGTGGAACCAGTGGGAGCATCTATCACACTGGACCATGGTCCCATTGTCAGGTCGGCGGCAATAGCAGTAGACGTTGGTCTCTGCGGGCGCCGAAGCTAGGATCTGCTCTTCCATAAAGAGCAGGCGGGCGCGCTTCGCGCGGCGGCGGGACGATGCGTCCGTAGAGCGTGGTGCGCGTTTCTTCTTCAGCGAGGTAGGTTTCGAAGGCTGAATGTGGAAGGCAGGAAGGCATACATCCAGAACACTTGGCACGTGCGCCTGAGGCGTAGCGTCGCCGATGAGCAGCACATTGATAGGGCATGCAAACGCACGACGCGCAATGTGACGGAGTTGCGCACTTGGCGGGGCCGCAGGGTGCGTAGGCTGTACAGGATCCAGCAAGGAGGCAGGCAAAGCCCCTTGGCGGAACTGCATGCTTACGGCAACGCCAAACTCCACAGTCGCACGAACGGCTGCTTGCAAGCGTGCATAGTTCGACGGGACGAAGCGGAACTGATCCCACTGGAATGCCTTGTTCTGAAACAGGGCAACGAGGGGCAATTGCGAGACTGCGCGACGCGACGCTAGCCAGCTAGGGAGCTGCGTATCGTCACAAAAGGCACAGCGCCATGACTTGGGTGGCTTGGACTTGCGCTCTAAGCATCGCAAATGGTACACTGTCGCGCATCCAGCACACGCCACGGACGCAGCCCGATCCATGTGGGGGTCCATACACAAGCATGGAGCTTCCGTTGAGTGCTTCGGAGGATAAGGGACAGGTGGATACGTCCATAGCGTATCGTACGAGGGCGCATCACGAGCCTGGCGATTCACTGCGTCAGCGGACGCCGTGCGAATCGTACGCTCACAGAAGGCACGCGCTGCAGGGATATCCACCTCGTCCAGCGGGACAGGTGCCTTGGCGGCAGCGCCTGTTCGGTACTGCAGAATTTGATGCAGCTCTGCATTCCACTGATCATGCAATGCCACGGCATTGGCGAGTTCGGAGGCCAGAGGGAGGTCCAGGCGCGCGGCCTGCGCCTCGTAGAGGACACGACGTGTCTCTGCCAGAAACAGGGGCTCATCGTCTGCCTTGGCGGCCGTCTCCGTAGGCGGCCCACGGCCATGAGAAGGCTGCGTCGCTTCGTGGACACGCGTGAGTGTGTCGTGCCATTGCGCTGCTTTGTGCTCCAGCGAATGCACGCGCGCCCGCAACTCGCTGGGCGTCGCAACGTGGGCAGGCACGTCGAGAAGCGCTTGTAGATCACCCTGTGTGATCGAAGGCGCTTCGTCCAGCAACGATTGCGCCTTGTGCTGCCACACTTCGCCCGCTTGAGCTCGCGCTAGGAGATCTTGACGACAAGGATGCGAGACTGGTACGTCGCAGGCCTGCGCCTCCGTGAGCAGCTCTTGTACCTCCTCGTACGACAAGAAACCAGTCCCGATCCCATGGACCTCGGAAAACCAACGCACATGCGCAATCCATCGGCGCAGCGCCTTGACCTGCGGCAGATCCACTTGAAGAAGCTCACCTTGACCCAGCGTACGCTCCGCTTCGTCCACGCGCTGCACAGCCTCACGTACCTCGCAGTGCAGCTCCAAGAACGCGGACGCTTGCTCACAGAACGTATTCATCTGCTCGACGACGCCGTCAATGGCTTGCAGTTCCGGCGCTTCAAAGGGCAACGTCGGGATACGAGCTTGGAGCGCAAGCAAGGCATCGGGCGTGCGCTTGGTATCAGCGTTCGTATCCTCCATCGAGGGCGTCGGTGGTGTGGAAGAACGAGCACGCTTCGTGCGTCGGCCCACCTTCGCAGGCTTGGCTTGGCGACGTGACAGGAAAGCCTGTGCTTGCACAATCCATGGCTCGGCACGCACGAGGAACGCGCGTAACTGCTCCAGCTCAGGAAGTGGGAAATGAATCTTCTCGCCTTCCTGGACAAGCATCCGCAGCGTGCGAATAGGCGGCCGAGGATGCTGCTCCAGCAATTTACGCACGCGCTGCTGCCAAGCCACTGGTACGGAGGCACGCTCGTGTAGACGGTGAGCATGTAGTTTCAAGAAAGCATCATCATGGCGCACACGCAAGAGCCAAGCGCCCGGCGCGGCGCCATGCACTTGCGCGGCATGCGCCAGGCACGACGCGACGGTGTGGGAGCGATCCGCCGATACCACGTGACTGAGGTAGCACAGCGTCTTGCAATGCGCACAGGGCACCTCGCCGTCGGTATCGTAGGCCTCTTCCATCGCGCCCCGTGACGCACGTGCGTGAAGAATTTGGGTCCGGACCTGCTCACGCGCCGCCAGCTCGCGCGTAACCATGTCATCGAAAGCCGGCTGAAGCCACAGGGCCGTGGACAGGTGCTGATTGTGCAGAGCAATGGTCACAAGCAGTTCATCATGCGAGAAGACAGGTTGCCTAGCATGCTCTTGGTACCGCTGAACACACTCTAAGCCCTGCATAACCCAGTCAGGGAGCGCAAAGTTCACTGCCTCATTGAGATTGAAGCCCTGATTGAAGCCCGAGTGATACGCCTTGGGGAAAGTGACCACAAACTCGTTCGCGCGCTGATTGCAAGCATAGACCCGGACACCTTCTTGCTGTGCCAACGCTGGGCTCATCATCGTGACCAGCTGGAGTAGGAGATCGGGGCAGGACGCAAAGAGCTCTGGCGCAATCTTTCGCATGGCTGCCTCAAACTTCTCCGCGTCCGCACCCGGCACACCGTACCATGTCTTGGGTGCCCCCCAGTGCTGGTAATTGATCGAATAGGTATAATGGTCCTCGTTGTGCCAGCAGAACGCAGAGAATAGCATCCCCAGGTAAATCCAGGGCACGGTCATGCCACTGATCTCTGATCGAATGTAGCGTAACAAAGATTCGCTCAAGATCGGCATGTTGTTCAGATTCCAGCCACTGCGACTGTACACATTGAGGGGCTGGCACTCCATTGTAGGGGACGCATGCCCATGCGTTGTAGAGTGCACATCCGCCCCGTATTCCACGTCGACCAGCTCGTGCCTACTGTGAACCAGTCGCCAAAATTCGGCCTCAATCAGGTCCTCACGTTCATGGACAGAGAGGGAGGCTCGATCACGCCACTGCGAGGCGCCTTGCTTAGCCGCCCGCTCAGCCCAAAGCGCTTCAAACGCACCACAGCGTTGCCAGAAACTGTACAAACTGTGTGTCTCTCCGTCCTCAAACCCAAAATCTGCGCCTGTCTGAAGTAGACACGCAGGACAGACCCAGTCGTCACGAGGGGGCTCTGACAGAGGCGGGGACACACATGAAAGGTGAAACGCACGCTCGCAGTCAATGCATTGAACACTGGCAGCCTCACGTTGGCACGTAGCACACGCTTTTGTTATATTGGTGGTATCCTTCAGCGCCGCGGTACTACCGTTGGTGGAAGGCGACATAGACAAGCCAGTGGATGCCGCTCGCAAAAACGCTTCGAACGGCGCAACAAGTTGGGTATACGCAGAGGCGAGCACGCTAGATGCTTTCGGGACCAGTGATAGGTCGTATCCGAGCCATTGGGCGATGGCATCCCAGTCCACAGGGCGCTCGGCAGCCTCGACGCACCGCTTGAGTGCATACAGATCCACAGGGCTCTGAGAAAGCCGCGGTATGTGCAAGCGGCCATGCCCTTGCTGGACATGGAACTGCTCGAGTTGGTCCGTATAGTTTTGCGACACACGACGCTCGGCACTCAGCTCATTCAATCGCTGGACGCGAGTTCGGAATCGGAACGTTTGTTCGTCGACAACACAGTCCATTTGCCAGCCAGATGGTGGGACGATTTTAGCGATACCGCAGGCAGCCCCATTGCCACCATCGGGGCGAGCGACCCATTGAATGTACTTGAGTGGGTCTTGGAATTCGTCCCATGTCGGGTAGAATGTAGGCGCCTCCTCAAGGCCAAAGAACCTCGGCCTGGTTCGCGGCTCAGGGTACCGCGGCGTACTGGCGCCAGTTGCAATAGGCGGCGGATGGCCTTTGGATATGCTAGCTCCAGGAGTTGTATCAAAAACAAGCGGCGGAAGGGGTGGCATACGTCCAGCTTTGCGTGTGGCATGCCGGGAGGCATGCGGCGGCGGTGACAGGTTGGACGAGGATGCATCTTCATTCCCCTTGCCCATAGCAGACAAGGCTTGGGTCTTGCTGCGTCTCTCTCCACGCTTTGTTTCTTCCATGTGCATGCGCAGCTCTGCTACACCATCCGCAAAGCGCCCTAAATTACAACAGGATATATGCTCTGGTGACCGGACCGGTGGTCGCGTGGCCCCTGCTGCAATGATAGGCAACGGCACTATAGGCTTCTGTGGCTCTTCTTTGACGTGAGCGGACAGATGTGGCGCCTCACAAGGCGCCATACCTTCTGCAATCGCTGACATCACACAAGCCACCCGCAAGTGGGCACACGAGAGGAAAGAGCACGACAGCCCATCCACCCTGACTCCTCCACAATCGAGCAAGGCTGCATCGCTTCTCAAGGCCGATAGCAACAGCCACGGCAGCTGGAGATGGTATGGCTTTCTCTTACAACGGCCATTACGGCACCCTATCTAGTACTACATACGCATCCTATGTTGATACCCGCTGCCCCACAGAGATCGGAAGGATGATCGCGCGAGCCCTCTACCGTCAGCCTCGCTAGTACACCAGGTTGCCTGGTACAGGTACGTCACGTGCACGACATTGCGTACGCATGGGTACGCGCGGCCACCCTAGACGGGGTTGCATTGACATCTATCACGTCGCCCTGCGAAGATGGTATGTACGGCGCAAGGCCAAGTTGCTAACCGGTGTAGGGACAAGTACCCAGTGGTGGAGCACCTGGACGCAACTCGAACAAGGATAAGGTAGGCAGGTGGCAAACTAACACAACAACAGAAAAAAGAACAGCCCAAGAAATGGGAGCCACCAGTGCCAACGCGCGTGGGCAAGAAGAAGAAGCATTCGGATACGGCAGCTAAGCTCCCTGCCGTGTTCCCTACAACGCGTTGCCGCTTGAAATTACTCAAGTACGAGCGTATCAAAGATCACTTGCTGCTGGAGGAGGAGTTTGTCACTAACCAAGATCGCCTGAGGCCGAAGGATGATCATGATGAAGAGGAGCGAACGCGTGTCGATGACATTCGCGGTAGCCCGATGGCTGTTGGTACATTGGAAGAAATTATCGATGACGAGCATGCCATTGTTAGCAGCTCAACCGGCCCTGAATACTATGTCAGTATCATGAGCTTTGTCGACAAAGACCTTCTAGAACCTGGCTGCAGTGTGCTACTTCATCATAAGACCATGGCCGTGGTCGGCGTGTTGTCTGATGACACAGATCCCAGTGTCAGTGTCATGAAGCTGGATAAAGCGCCATCGGAGAGCTATGCAGACATTGGTGGCCTTGAGTCCCAGATCCAGGAAATCAAGGAGTCAGTGGAGTTGCCACTGACGCACCCTGAACTTTATGAGGAGATGGGCATTCGTGCGCCCAAGGGTGTGATCCTGTACGGTGTCCCAGGTACAGGTAAAACGCTGCTGGCCAAGGCTGTGGCGAACCAGACGTCTGCCACCTTCTTACGTGTCGTGGGTTCGGAGCTGATTCAGAAATACTTGGGCGATGGCCCGAAACTCGTGCGTGAGCTGTTCCGTGTAGCGGATGAGCATGCGCCCAGCATTGTCTTTATTGATGAAGTGGACGCTGTGGGTTCCAAGCGATACGACTCTACATCAGGCGGTGAGCGTGAAATTCAGCGCACTCTTCTTGAGCTGCTCAACCAGCTAGACGGTTTTGACTCGCGCCATGATGTGAAAGTGATCATGGCAACCAACAAGATTGAAAGCCTTGACCCCGCCTTGATCCGACCTGGCCGTATTGATAGGAAGATTGAGTTCCCTCTCCCGGACCAAAAGACTAAGATGCAGATTTTCCGTCTTCATACCTCACGCATGAACTTGGACCCTGACGTAAACTTGGAGGAGTTTGTCGCGATGAAGGATGACTTGAGTGGTGCAGACATCAAGAGCTTGGTATGTGACGTGTTTAAAGCATTCTGACATGGTAGACGACAGAAGCAGGTTTGTTGGCCCTTCGTGAGCGCAGGATGCGCGTGACCAAGAAGGTATGTAAAAGCAGGCCATCATAACTCACTCTCTCAGGACTTTATCACTGCCCGTGAACGTGTCATAGATCGAAAGAATGAAGGCACGCCAGAAGGCCTGTATCTATAGTTTTCTTGGTGCTATATAGGACATTGGCGTAGCATATGACAAACTAGTCTTCGTCCTTGGTCTCGCGACGAAGGAATAGGTCGATGGCGCCACTAAAGGCTGCGAAAGCAACGGCACTGCCGAACGCTGTTTGCGGCCCAGTGTTTCTTGCCAGGATACCACCAGCAAGGAACCCACCGACAACTGGGTTCACAATGTCGTTCTTTGCTCGGAAACTCTCGACACAGCATTCGATACCAGAGTAGAGGGCACCGACCTTACCAAAACCTCGACCACTGCTATACATGCTTCGGCCGGTTTGAATAAAAAACTCTTTTGTACTTTGCATCGTTGCAGAGGGAAGTTGGGGTGGTGGCGCTGGTAAATCCCTAAAGTAGCTTCCGCCTGGAAGCTTGCTGAGCATCGAACCAGTTTTTGACAGTTGCTTGGGGGCAGCAGTCTGTGCGTTAGGAGTGCTTGCAGCAGTCGAGCTTGCTGTGCTAGTGGGCTGTGCTGGCGGTACTGTAGCTGTGGGTGTTACTTTCTCTGGCGTGCTGGTTGAAGATTTGGACACCGTTGTGGTTTTAGTGGACTCTCCCTTTTTCTTCGCAGCCTCTTCTTCCAACATCTTGGCCTTCTCAGCAGCAGCCCGGTCAATCATGGTCTGCCTCATTGGATCATCCACAGAGAACGATGCGCTCATGAGACTAAAGAACGCACCGAGACCAAAGCCTAGGACACCAGAGATGGCTGCTTTGCCTACACAGGATTCCATCGCACTAACCATGTATTTTTGGTATTTTAAAGCCTGATGCATGTTGGCACGTTCTTCTTCTGTCATTCCATATGGTAATGGCTCCTGCCCGGGCAGGTATATAGGTGCCACAAGTGGCATCTTATTCGCCATCTTGAAGACAACGAGACTATGGTTTAACTTTCGAATTCGCGATGCTTTGCATGTGGAGCCCAGAATTGGGTCTTTTTCGTCATACGGGCCCGCACGTGATAAAGCAAGGCCTAGTGAGATGGCTGGCGGATCGATTCAGTCCATCGAGGCCTCTAGCAAGTTTATTCTCATACTGTGGCTTCTAAGGATGTAGAATATCTAGATAGATGAGCTTAAAAGCGAAGAACATGTACAGAGAACGACAGCAGTCAATAAGATGGCATGCGCCCACGAAACCGTATCAGATCATCAATCCATACTGACCACACTATATTCAATCAATGTCTTCATATTCGAAGTCAAATTCGTGGGATATTCCCTTAACTACGACTGTAAAAGTCATGCCTACAAAACATGAGCAACACTAGAAACTGGAGCAATAGAAACATGTCTTCCACCCAGAGAGACAGTATCCTTACTCACAGTTATTGGGACGTCATAAAATAACGTTTACATTTGGATCAAGTGATCAACAATTAGACACATCCCGTCTTTATGCTTTCAGGGCAATGCACTCAAGCACTCACCCCCTACCCGAGAAATGTTAGCAAAGCAACAATTTACTCGTCATCGTCCACCTCCAGACGGGTCTGGAACTGGTACATATCGTGGCCATCATCAGCCTTCTCGTGGACGAGAGTAAGACGCTGAAGGTTGGTGAAGAAGTCCTCAAGGACCTCGTTCTTGACCGAGCGGTTGCGACGGCCAAGGTTGTCAAGGGCCGGGATACGGCACATGATGTAGTACACCAGGGCACAGATAACCATGACACCGAACGAGTAGGCCCAGACACGAACGACAGTCACAATGTCGGTCCAGCCACCGTGCGGGGCAGTCTTAAAGTTGCGCTGCTCAGCACCCGAGAGCCAACCGAAAAGACAGAAGAGGGTGGCGATAACATCGACAATAGCGACGGCGCCCACAAGCTGCCACGACGGGAGAGTGATGTCCGACTCACCACCACCCAGACGGGTGACGAAGATGAGCCAGTTCTCAGTCAGAGCAACCTCAAGGTAAAGAATCTCCTGCACGTTACCGAAGTTCTGGATGATACCACCACCAGTAAGGAACATCGTAGCACGAGTAATCCAGGTACCACCAGCAAGAATGAGACCAAGGACGACCGAGATGATCCAGATCTTAGGCAGCTGCCACTCGACCGGCTGGTGAGCGTGCGGAGCGTTGTCATAAGCAATAGCGATGGTAGCAACATCGGCGAACAGAGCAATGAACACAATCAGCTGCGAGCGGATCGTCTCGTTCAGGATAATGATCGACAGAAGCAGGTAAACCTCCAGGTGGATACAGAGCGAGATACGGTACTGAATGTAAGCCTTCATACGGTGGAAGATCTGGCGGGCCACCTTGATCGAGGTAATGATGGTCGAGAGACCCTCGTCAAGGAACACGACATCAGCAGCAGCACGGGCAGCGTCCGAGGCGCCCTCGACGGCAATACCACAGTCAGCCTTCTTCAGCGAGGGAGCATCGTTCACACCATCGCCAGTCATGGCAGTCAAGTGACCACGGTGCTGGAGCATCTCGACGACCTGGTACTTGTGCTCAGGGAACACCTCAGCGAAACCATCAGCAGCCTCCACAAAGTCGTGGATAGCCGAACCAGCCATACCACCCGAACCAATTAGACGCTGCGAGTCGTACACCTTGGTACCAAGCGAAAGCATACGGCAAGTCTCCTTAGCAATAGCCACGGCATCACCAGTAAGCATCTTCACCGACACACCAAGGCTCTGAGCCTCAGCAATGGTAGCGGCAGTGTCCGAGCGCGGCGGGTCAAACATGGGCAAAAGACCAAGCAGGCGCCACTTACCATCCTCCTGGATAGCCACACCGAGCGAACGGAAACCACGCGAGGCAAAGTCACCAGCCACCTTGCGGTAGAGCTGAGCCTGATCCTGGGGCGGGTTGCAGAGCTTAAGGATGGCGTTCGGGGCACCCTTAGCGGCAACGTAGTCCTTACCGTTCTTGCGAACCTCAGCAGTGATACGCTTGGACACCGGCTCGAAAGGAGTGAAACGGAGTGTCTCCCAGCCCGACTCGAGCTCCTCGACAGCGGCCGGGTAATCCTTCAGAGTCGAGATGGTCACCTTGTCGATGGGGTCGAGCGAGCGAATGTTGTGCGACGAAGCAAGAGCAGCCACAGCCATCATGAAGTTGACATCCACACCCTCCGAGGTGAAAGGCTCGTGGATCGACAGCTTGTTGGCAGTCAAGGTACCAGTCTTGTCCGAGCAAAGCACATCTACACCAGCGAGCGACTCAATGGCGGTGAGCTTCTGCACAATGGCCTCACGCTTGGCAAGGTAAGCAGCACCGACAGCCATGGTGGTGGTGGTAACGCAAGGAAGACCGACCGGGACACCAATAATCAGGAAGACCAGGGTGTAGATGAGCAAGTTGTTCTCCTTGGGGCGGGCAATCTCAATGTTGCGGAAGAAGCCAGCAAACCAGATGATAAGGACGAAGACAATCACGAGAACCAGAAGCGAGGTACCGATAAGGGACATGACCTTCTGGAAGTGACCCGAGCCTTCACCCTTCGAAACCAGAGCGGCAGTGCGACCGACGAACGACTGCTTGGCAATCTCAGTAGCCAGAACATAAGCCTTTCCGCGCTTGCAACCAGTAGTGTAGAAGACACGGTCACCAACGTGCTTGTCGACGGCGAGCGACTCACCAGTGATGGCGGACTGGTCACAAGCAACGATAGCCGGACCCTTGTCCACACCGGCGTCATCATCCTCGTTGTCACCATCCGAGCCGTTCTTGGTCTCCTCCATGCGCTGACGGATAGCGGTTGCCTGCGAGAGATCCTTGTCATCGTAGTCAGCAATGATACGACCATCGCAAGGAACAGTCATACCGTCCTCAACGATGACAATGTCACCAGGGACAACCTCACGAGCCTCGATCTCGACCTCACGACCGTCACGAACAACGGTAGCCTTGAGAGCAATACCAGCCTTAAGCTGAGCGACAATGTCACCAGCCTGCTTCTCCTGGTACCAACCGACGAAAGCGTTAAGAGCCAAAATACCACAGATAACACCAAAGTCAATCCAGTCACGAACACCACCAGCCAGCGCAACAGCCAGCTCCATAACGTAGAGAATAGGACCCTTGAAGAAGCCGAGGAACTTAAGGAAGAGGTTCTCGCTCGGGCTCTCCAGCTCGTTGAAACCGAACATCTGGCGACGCTTGGTCACCTCACTATCGTTAAGACCCTGGAATACATCAGTCTCGAGCCACGAAGCTGGGACTTGCTGAGGAACATCCTCAACCTCACCGTTCTTGTTGACGCGGACCTCTTGCACCTTCCAGGGCATGAGCCAGTTACGCTTCTTAACAATGCGAGAGCCATCGTTCTGGCCCTCCTCGTCAGAGTGACCCTTCTGCGAGCGAATGAAAGCGACCAGCTGGCCGTACTCATCGGCAGGCATGTCATCACCGGCAGGCTCGCCAGACTCCACCTTCTCGTTACCCGAGTTCATAGGAACCTGCTGCTTAGGAGCCTCAAAGGTAGTCGGCTGCGGAGTGTACTGCTGCTGAGAGTAGTCTTGAGAGTACTGCTGCTGGTAGCCAGTTTCCTCGTAAGTAATGTTGGTTTGGCCTGGAGCAGTGTTGTACTCGTTGCCCTCAAAGTGGCTGGGCTGGGTCACCGGTGTCTCCTGGGTGAAGGCGTGGTCCGCCGCGACAATAGGCGGCGGCAGTTCAGTCTGCCCGTTGTAGGACATATTAAAGATTGTTACCTTGAAGTTTCCTGACGCTCAAAAAGATCCAAGTTATCCAGTAACAAGCGTAGTGTTGCTTGTCAACAGTCCACGGACCCCGGAAGACAAAGGAACGTCGAGGGTGAAAGGGTAGGAGAGTGTTTACTTCGTTGCGGTTATCTTTATTTTATAGGACTTTCCCGCTTGCTTACACGAGTTTGCTGTACCTCCGTTGACACGCGCTTGGATACGCGCGGACGAATCGGTTTTGGGGCGTTCTATGCCATGTCCATTTTCGGGTGAGCTGACACACTGGATGCGTAGCGCTACGTCCGAAACCCCGACAGCAGATACCGTTTCTCATTGGCTCCGCAAAATTCTGCACTTCATTGCGACAGCCCATTGAAAGCGTCATCTCATACATTCTTGACTTCGATGACTAAATATGTCTTACTCTTATTGGCTTAGATTCTAGGCATGTATACCAAACGCATCTGGTAATTACTGTCTACTTCCGATTCTCCTTACGTAAGTCCCTTTACCTAGGCCTTCGCCGGTGATAAGCGCAGTGTTTTTTGTTTTTTTGGTGCAATTATGCAAATTGTATATGGTGGCAGGATGTGTGCGTCCATTGTGCAGCTTACATACACTTAGGCACTCGTGTCCAGTTATTTGATCACCTTTGCAGCCTATCGACATCCTCCCGTTTGTGGGCGGCTTATTGTCTTCGGGCCATAGGCGCGTCTCTTCATTATGCATGGTTGATCTGAGCTAATGATGATTCATGCTATAAGTGTGGCTCTCATTGTGGGCTTCTTGATCTTCGAATTTGAATAATGCCGCGTACCTGCCGAAGCATATATTTAGAAATATGTTCATGTCTATCGTTTTCGCTTACTATCAGTTGCGACTATCTCCGTCTCAGCAATTGACTTTCGTGCTTATCGCTGCAGCTTGGTGTAAATACATTTTTCCCCTTCGTAGGGCTTGACAGTTTTACTGCGGTCTGGCGTTTTCTTAGTGAACCTGGTTTTAGGCACAGCACACTCTGGCCATATGGCCGTTCTCAGTATGTACAGGGTGTCGAAGCTGGCAGCTTACATAATTCAAAGAGTTGTAGTGGGACTTTGGCATCTGTTCGCCAATTAGGCAGCCGTTTTTTTTTGGGTACCTTTTACGTAGGTTTCACGCACTTATCGTGCATGTTTTCGACAGAGGAAACGCGAAGCAATAGGAACGGAGTCCGCCAAGAGCCAAGAGTAATACAGTTTTCTTAGCGTAGATTAAATCCAGATCCAACGGACAAGCTCTCCCGTTGTAAACACATGAAGGGTTTGTGTCGTTTATGTGCATGCTTCGTTGTATGGCTTTGCACCAGCCTGCACATCGGCACCTGTATTTCCATTTCGCGTCGTGAAGCCTACCAAGAAAGTTTGGGTAACGCAACATCTAGCGACTCTCCTTCTACTACCAAGGTGCGAACATTCCCGATTTTCTATTACTAACGCTATCAGAAACAACGCCATAGGACAACACCAGAGGGTGCATTTCGCTATTTGTTCCCTGTAACTGAGCACGCCAAGCTTGCAACCTATTGGAGCAAGAATGTGAAAGACCACCAAGTCCGTCATGCTATCATTGTCGTTCATGGAAGTAAACGTGATGCTGACCAATATTGGGACACTATCCATGGTGCATTCGAGAATCAGCTGAAGATGAATAACTCTCATGTCGATCCGCAAACTTTAATTATCGCGCCACTTTTCTACTCGACAACTCTTGACAAGGGGATTTATGACCACAAGACGTTGGCTTGGGACGATGTTAACGTATGGGAAGCAGGTTTGCCCTCCAATCATCCCAGCAACACTTTCATCTCATCCTTTGCGGCTATGGAGTCGCTAATGTACCATGTATCGGACAAGTCTCGCTTCCCTCGCTTGCAGAATCTTACCATTGCAGGTCATAGTGGTGGAGCCCAAATGGTGGGCCGCATGGTCTCAGCTTTTTCCACTCTTCCAGCTGTGCATACTCGCTTTGTCGTGGCTGATCCCAGCTCCAACGCCTATTTTACATCGGATCGACCTCGGGTGAATCTCACCGTGCCATCGGAAGATTGCCCCTTGTACGATACCTGGCGGTACGGGTATAATGGGTTCAATGAAACAGGCTATGACCGTAATGAAACTTCTGACGTATATTTCCAGCGCTACGTAGCGCGCGATGTGGTGCATTTGTCTGGCCTCCTAGATGTGGAGCCCAATGGTGATCAACAATGCATGGCATTGTGGCAGGGTGGTGTGCGTCGTATTCGCAGGAATCTAGCATGGTGGAAGTATTTAAATCTTCTCGCAGGCACGAAGGAGGATTTCTCTGGATACCCTGGTCAGTTCGGCAGTCTGCCGGACTGGTCTCATCTCATGCAAGGCAGCTTTCAACCCCGTCTCACAGTAGTACCTGACATGTCTCATGACGTCACTATTTTCCAACACCCTTTGGGCGCCTCTACACTCTTTGACACGAACGTCATACAAGGTTGGCGACCGGGTGACCAACCTACGTTGGATGGAGAGGATGAGCCTGCGCCCCCCAATGCTGCGGGCCGAGTGTCTCTTCAGCCCATGGGGCTGATCGCTCTGGTCACCACGGCAAGCATGTTTCTTTTATCAAATTAAGTTGGCTTGATAGACCATTTTCCCATATAAATTTGTATATGTATTCGCTCCCCCCACTTTGGTCCAGCTCGGGGTATCGCACCTTGCTACTACATAAGGGCCGAAGGAGGTAGCATCTTGTATACCGGAGAAAACAACAGCACAACTATGCCATGCCCATCCCTTCCATGCCTTCTCCCCCAGCCATGGCCATGTTGGCCGCCTGAGGCGCAGCACCACCCTGACCAGCACGCTTCGCGGAAACGACATCATCGACACGCAAAAGGAGTGAGGCAGATTCAATCGCTGTCTTGAGGATCTGAATTTTGACTGAAGCACTCTCAAATAGACCATACTGCTTCATCTCGACAATTCGACCCGTATGTCCGTCCACACCATATGTGTGCTCGCCGTTGGCATGGCGGGCACGAAGCTGCGTCAATGTCTTGATGGCATTCCCACCGCAGTTCTGGATCAGCGTCCGAGGAATCACCTCCATGGCATCTGCTACCGCATGTACTGCAGCCACTTCCGCTCCTTCCAGCGCTTGGCCTGCATACTGTGCCAGACCCACGGAGATGGCCATCTCTGTAGCACCACCACCCGGCGCCAGCATGGGGTGGAACACAATGTTGCGTGCTACTGACATTGCATCAGCCAAGTTGCGGTCAATTTCATTCAAGATATCTTTCGAGGGGCCGCGAAGCAGAATTGTGCAAGCCTTAGGGTCTTGGCACTTTTCCAGGAAAGTAAAGTAGCTGCATGTCAGTGGGAGGGGTATACGTACTCATCGCCCAGCTTTTCAATGTGGAAAAGCCCACAGCGAGTGCCCACATCGCTTTCGCGCAGGTCTTCTACACGGTTCACAATCTGTGCACCGGTGGCACGAGCAATACGGTTGTTGTCCGACTTACGAACGCGACGGATGCACGTCACATTTGCCTTGAGCAAAAAGTGCTGTGCGAGGTCCGACACACCCTTCTCAGTGAATACCAAGTCCGGCTTGAATTGCAGAATCTTGTCGCACATTTGCTTCACCTGCTCCTCTTCGATCTCCAGAATACGACTCCAGTCTTCTTCGCGTGTGATTTCAATGTTGGTTTGCGATTCGCCCTTCTTGTACTCTAACGAGCAGTCGAGCAAGACAATGCGCGGGTTCTCAATGCGGCGACGCATCTTAGGGTGTGTCACGTCTTTGTTGAGCATGACGCCATCCAGAACTCGGCTCTCCTCAATTTCACCGCCTGGCACCTTTTCCACACGGGCGTAGCGCTTAATGTCCACAGTGACACCGGACTTGGCCGCTTCTTCTGCGGTGCGTGGCACGGTAGTATCGATACTAGCCACCGTGCGTACGGCCTTGAGGGCGAGCTGGCACATCAGATCCGACCAACGAGAGACAAACTTGGTACCGATTGATGTCTTGATAAGTGCGAGCATTTCGTCGTCCTTCTCAACGTGCACCGGCACAGAAATCGAGTCGATGATCTGCAGAGCGCGTGCCAATGCCTTTTTGTACGCAGAAATGATCACCACAGGATGAATGTTGCGCTCCAAGAGAGGCAAAGAGTGCGCTAAGACTTCGCCTGCGAGGATAATGACACTTGTGGTACCGTCGCCGACTTCTTCGTCCTGCGCACGGCTGAGTTCGATCATGCTCTTAGCGGCGGGGTGCGCCACTTCAATTTCACGGAGAATAGCATGACCGTCATTGGTGAGCAAGATACCGCCCATGGGATCCAAGATCATTTTGAGCATGGCGCGAGGGCCCAAACATGTCCGGATCACATCCGCCACCGTCTTGGCGGCGCTGATGTTAGACGCTTGAGCCTTACGACCCGACTGACGCTCTGGCCCCGTGTTCACGACAAACACTGGTTGTTGCGCCGACATGATTGTACACTTCTCTGTCCTTTTTTTGACCAGCGACGAAAAAAGCAATCAGGGCTCGACCGACGCGCGGCGCTTCACCGTGTCGACGCACACGCAATCACGTCCACACACGCCTGCCTGGCCACGGCCTCCGCCTTCGCCAGGCTGTCAGCTTGCCACATGGGCTTCACGTGGATCTCACGTGCCGCCGAGGCCTGCATGCCTGGAGGGAGGGGACACCTGCATGTGGGCCATTAGTTGTGCATACCGCAGACGAGCCACTGGTTCCAATGGAGCGGCTGACATTCCACGGCGCGGGCATTTCGAGTTACGAGGTGCATATTTTTTGCACACCGCGACACGCTTCATTTCTCTCTTTCCGTACGTTCTCCGTGAGCTAGACGTGTGTACTTGCTATGCCGTTCCGCGGTCTCAAGCTCGGGAAGCACAAGTCAGGCGGACAGCCGGCCGAGCGGGCCTCGAGCACCACTGATGCTCCGCCGAAAGCTGCGGCGGAGCGCACAGGCTCTCAGCTCGGTGCCAACGCTGAAGCGCGTCCCGCGTCGTCAGGCGTGAAGGAGTCTGCGGCTACGACGGAGGCCTCGGCTGCGCCTACCTCCGCGACAAAGCCCGTGACCGAGGCACCTACGCCGTCTACGTTGGCGAGCGCGCCGTCTGCGACTGACACGACAACATCTACGAATCTATCTCACTCACATAGCCGTTCGCAATCGCTGGATCTGCGGCGACGTCTGCGAATGCCAAGTACCATGTCGCTAGGCGGCAAGCAAAAGCATGGATTTGGATTCCGCCGTGTGCGCACAGGCACAGATACGCCGGCTGGCGCATCGACCAGCACTTTGGATCTGACGAACGACGCAGCTACGCCTCCCGTGCCCCCTGTGCCGAGTACGCCAAAGAGCTTGAAAGAGTCTGCTAAGCCCGAGCAGGTCGATCTTGTGGTGGTGCCACGCCCGACAGAGATGTCCAAACCGCCCATGACACCACAGACGCAGAGCAAGGGCAAGGGAAAGGCCCGCGAGGAGCCTACGCCACCTGTGCCCGGCCCGGCCAAGACGACCATGTTTGCTGGGGCAGCGCGGTCGCCGTCGGCCTCTTCGTCGAATACACGTTCACCTGCGCGTGGCATCTCTTCGACCAAGGGCGCTGGCGTGCCATCGCCGCAGCACCAGAATGTGACTGCGAAGCTGGCGAGCGCGTCTACGGGGCAGCCAGGCGAAGTGATTTTGCTGCCGCCTCGTATGCCCAAGCCACGTCCTACGGCCGCTGCTACGGCGCCTACGACGCCTAAGCGCGATGTGCCGGCGAAAATGTCGCCCATCGTTGTCCCAGCAGCGACCGCGAAGACGCCCAGTACGACGACGGGGGCCGGTCTTGTGGCCTCACCGAGCTTGGTTGGTGCCAAGCCTTACATGCTGCCGTCGTCCACGTCGGCCGCCATGACGTCTTCGATGACGTCGTCGGTGAGCGCGCCTATGCCTATGCCGTCGACGCCGAACACGAGCGGCCTTGCGCCGTCGATCTCTGGCGCTGGCCTCAACTTGCCTGTGCACTCGTACCTCTCGCCTCGCAAGTCGAATATGACCTCGCTGCCTGCGACGCCGCGGGCGTACGAGCTGCCTCCGTCCGACTCGTTGCCGTACCTTGTCTCGCCTGACCAATCGCGCGAGATCTCGGCGGCCAATACCTCTTCGACTTCGATCGTGGATCGGTCTACCCACTCGCCGCATGTGCCTACGCCTACGCGGGCCCAGAAAGAGGGATGGATTCTGGACGATGATGACGAGGAAGAGAGCGAGGTGGACGAAGCGCACCAGCTTGTAGCGGATGAGCGAGACCTGGCGTCGTTGTCGGACGAGCAGGACGCCGATGAGCTCGCCAGTATGGATGGCACGTACGCGTCGCATGCGCCGACAGTCATGTACGATGCGGAAGAGTTCCTGGACGACGGCGCGTCGACGGCGCTCGGTCACCGCCCAACCGCCGCTGCATCGTCGCTCGGTGGCCACCGCGGCATGCCTGGCTCTGTGCCGTCGGACTTTGGCCATGAGCGTTCTACGCCGCTGGCGCCTGCCGCGCAGATTGCGCCGACGACTACAGCCGAGCGCGATGTCAAGGTCCGACCGCTTTCCACGCATGCGCCTATGCAGTCGTGGCTCAGTCCCTCGGACGATGCATCGTTCAAGGTGAAAAAGTTGGTGGACACCAAGGCCCCTGCCCGTCCTATCGTCAAGCTGCAGCGTGCTTCGTCGTCGGCTTCGACCGCCACCACCTCGTCGGCGCACTCGGCGGTGGCCCCTGAGTCTATGCCGGCCGAGAAGACCTTGCCTGCGAAGACGACGACGCCTACCAAGACTGACACGGCGAAGGAGCACGAGGAGGGCCCTGAGCACAAGTCTCTCTTGTCGTCCATCGGTGCCATGTTCCACCACCACAAGGGCGAGTCGGAGTCGCATGCGTCGTCGTCGCCGCCGCGTCAGGACCGTGCGTTGCCTGCGTCGCCCAAGGATGGCACGTCAGTCCCGCCGCAGGGCACCGAGCCTGGCATTGTGATTGAGACGCCGCCTCTGCCGCCGCGGATGCGTCCTCGCCAGCCCTCGAACGATTCGACGGCCAAGGCCGAGGAGACATCAACGCTGCCGAAGCCTGCGCCGCCAATCAGCACACTCTCTGAGCCTGTGCCTATATCGTCCGTCCAGGGCACGCCTGTGACGGCCTCGACGCCGACTATGTCGATGCCCGTTGCGCCTGTGGCACTGCCTACGTCCTCGAACCCAACGCAGTCTCCGGATGTGGTGGTCCCTGACACCTCAGCGGTGGTCGCGACGGCTTCGCCGTCTGAACCGCCTGCGCCTGAGACTCGGTCTCTGTTGGTGAGCACCACGCCGACGCGCCCTGTGGCGGCCAACACGACGACGCCGTCGTCGTCGTCGGAGCGTGCACCGACGCATTCTACGACTGAGGCGCCTGTACCCCAGTCTGTGGCCTTGGTCGATCCTGTTGTATCGCCTACGCGTCCCAAGCCTACGGCCACCGAGACGACGACACCGGCGCAGGCTGAGACTGACACGGTGACGTCGCCGACAGATGTGGTACAGACCACGATGCCGGCGGATGTATCGACCAAGGCTCCGATGACCGAGGATGTAGCCACGTCGAAGGCCACGACCACAGACGACGTCGTCTCTTCGAAGGAGGACGCGTCGGCCAAGGATGTCGTCTCTTCGAAGGAGGACTCGGCCACGCCAGGCCTTACCGCAGAGACTGCGCCGACACCGACGAGAGACGTTGCCTCGACAGAGGAGGCAGCCGCCCCATCTGCCAGCAAAGATGCATCGACCAAGGTGCTTGCAACGACCGAGGATGCGCCTGCCGAGGTGGCTCCTACGGCGCAGGCGCCGACATCGACGGTCGCCGAGGCGACTACGCCCACCAGCGTGCCGGAGCTTGCGTGGTCCGTGCACCCTGATGCCTCCGTGCGTCCCGTGACTCCGCCTGGCTCCAAGGCCGCGACGACGACGACGACGACGACGACGACGACGACGACCGAGGCCTCCTCGACGCACCAACCGACCGTCACAGAGACCGTAGCAGCGGCCGCTGGCGCAAGTGTGAGTGGCCTCATGACCGGCTTGTCGAAGTTGTGGCACCACTCGGAGGACACGCCGAAGGACGGCACATCGTCGGTCCTGCCGTCGTTCCTGGCCAACCATACGCCGTCGTACTTGCCGTTCCACTCCTCGTCCACGGACGCGACGCCTGCGTCGCCGGCACGTGCGCCGCCGCCGACGACCACCGAGGCGCCGACGTCGCCGCCGCTGCCGCCTTTGCCGACGTCGCCCACGCCGCAAAAGCCAGGGCCAAGCCGGGCGGCGATGCGCTCGTTGGCCGACGAGTCGCCATCCAAGGGCGGGCCCGCCGAGGCCCTGCCTGTGGACAAGGTGGCGATGCCCTCGCCGGCGCTCACATCGAACTGGATACAGACGTCGCCGGCTGTGCCTGTGGACGACGTCCCGATGCCCGTCCCGGAGGTGCGCGAGGTGCCGACCCCTATCTCGGCGCCTGCGCCGTCGTCCGATTCGCACGCACGTGACGTGCCTGCGCCGACCCACGAGGACGACGAGGCGGAAGTGCTGTCCCCTGTGAGTCAGTACGACGACGAGGACGAAGAGGAAGAGCAGCCGTCGCGCAGGTACGCGACAGAGGACTACCAATCGCGCTATTTGCAGACGGTGCCGGAAGAAGAGCATGGCGATGCAACGCTGATGAACTCGCACAACCCAATGGCCGATATCAGCCAGGACCCATCGATGCTGCAGAGCGAGACGCTCTCGACGGAATCCGAGATGCCCACCGCGGCGCCAGCGCTGCGCGGCACGGGTGTGTACGACCCAGAGACCTTGACACAGTTCCTTCGTGCGATGGACGAAGACGACTACGGTCGCGCCGTGTACCGTGCGTCGTCCATGGGCGTCCCGCTCGACGTGATTCCCTCGAATCAACCGACAGCGACAGCTGCCGCAGCGCCGGTGGCGCCTGTCGAGCCGCCGCATCCGCGCCCCAGTGAGCTGTTTGCCGGCAAGGGCGTGCGGTGGGACTCGCCCGACTGGCTTCGCTCGCAAATCCACGGGTCCCGCGCCCAGAAGAGCGAGGCACCTGCTGCCCACGATTTCCACACGTTCCTCAAGCAGCGCCGCCAGCTGGTCCCTGCCTTTGTCTGGCGCGATGCCGAGACGGGCGAGGAAGTGCACTCGCCGCAGGCGCCGCACCACGAGAGCGACAAGTTCCAGGATGCATCGACTACGGTGCCCACCGAGGCCTCTGTGCCCTCTGCGCCCACGACGCCGGGTCGACCGGCCTCGCCTGCACCTGGCCAGTCGACGCCGGGCGGCGGCGCGATGCCGCCGTCCACGTCGCGCGGCTCGTTGGGGTCGGCGCACAGCTCGGATGTGCGTATGAGCCGCTTGCTGTCGCAAGACTCGTACTGGCTGGAAGACTCGGCGCCCATTGAGGCGAGTCTGCTGAGCTTGGACCAGCTGGAAAAGTCGTACCAGGGCAAGCATTCCACGTCGGCGATGCCGCGTCGTGAGCCGCTCTTGCGTCAGCCCAAGCCCAGTGTGCGTGAGACGCCGGCCGCGAGCAAGACGCCGGCGTCTACCGCCCCCCCTCCGGACGTGCCGCCCAAGGCCGACGAGTATGCGCAAGTGCAAGAGCGACGTGCGAACGATTTCCGTACGTCCATGTCGCAGCCGCCGTACGTCACGATTCAAGCGCCGCCCCGTCACGCTGTGGATCCGTCGGAGTTTGACCAACATCTTGAGCAGGCGCGCCAGAAGCAGGCTGCGCAGTACGAAGAGTACGCTCGTCAGCACCCCACAACGAAGCTTGCGACAGTCCCAGCGCCGGCCCAGCCGCAGCCGCCCTCGGAGCCTGCGCCGCCGCCCGCGCAACCGACGCCGCCTACCTCGAACAGTGCTTTGTCGCCCGTGATTGGGCCGAAGGGCGTGCCTCTGAAGCCGCTCAAGGTGCGGCCGGAGAGCTACGTGCCCTACGATGAGTTTGGCGGTGGCCGTCCCCTATACGAAATTGAGGAAGAGCGTCAGAAACAAGCGTCGTCGTCGGTCAATGCCGCGGCCGACTCGGCGGTGGCTACCGAGTACGAAAAGCAGCAGCAGGAGTACGAGCAAAAGATGCAAGAGTACCACGCCAAGCAGCGTGAGTACGAGCGCCAGCTGCAAGAGTACAATGAACAGCAGCGCGAGTACGAACGCCAACTGCGTGAATACGAAAAGCAGATGCAGGAGTACGAGCAGCAACAGGCACAGCAGCAGGCCCAACATGCTCAGCCGCTGCCGTCCCAGAACGCACGATCGTCCTCCCAAGCCATGTACGAGGCGCCAAAGGGTTCGCAGGCGTACGATACACACGATCCGCATGCGTACGCTTACGAGCCACACTCGCCCCAGCCCGGCTACGAGGCATACGCACAGCAGGGCTACGATCCTGCGGCGTACAACTACGGCTCGTACGAATACCAGCAGCAGCAGGCCTCGTACGCCCAGCCGTCCTCACACGACGCGTACGCCCAGCAGTCTTACGATGCGTACGCCCAGCAGGGATACCAGCAGCAGCCCAACTCATACGACGCTGCGTACCAGCACTACGACGCGTACGCCCAGGGCGCGTACTCAGGGGCCGACCAGGCTGCGTACCCCCCTGCGCCAGCGCCAGCGCCGCCGCAGCCGCACCAGCCGCCGCAAGAGTACGCCTACCAGCCACAGCCTGCGTCCAGCCACAGCCCTTCGAGGCGGCCCAAGGTAGCGCATGCCGTTTCAACGACGCCGCTAGCGAAGATGAACATCCCGCCAGCGCATCACTTTAACGATGTGCCTTTTGCGCCGAAGATGCAGCAAGGCGGGTCGACGCGCCCCCGGCGTCCAGACGGCTCGCCAGCGTCTACGGCCATGACGCCAAAGCCCTCACGACGTCGGCATGGCGGCGGCACGCCCTCGGCGTCGTACGCACAGACCTTGGCCCCTGCGTCGCCCCCGACCTTGTCCGTCCCACGCGCGCCTCGCTCGCCAGCGTCCATGCCCGACACGTCACGCTCCCCGATGCGTAGTGCGTCGTACCAGAAATCGGAACGTTCGCATCGCCGCGGCGGCTCCGGTGCGCGGTCCGGCTGGGCTGCGCTGTTGCGCAACGATCCCATGTCGGCAGCGCGCTAATCGGTCTTTGGACATACATGGTTTATAATGTTCCCCCTAATTGCTATGGGTGCTTGCATAGGTACGAGTGTATCCATAGATCGCCACTCTTTTGCTTGGATGGACGCAGGACGTTGCGCCAAGCTCGCAGCTGGGATGAGAGAACGACACACGGACTGATGACGTAACGCTGTCGCTCTCCTCCGCTAGGGCCACCACCATGGCGACGCGTCAGCGACGGGCTGCGGCGCCCCTCTCCTACAAAGAGGAGGACGAGTCAGATACGTCCGATGCGTCGTTCGAGCTTAAGCGCGAGTCGTCGTCATCTGACTTTACCCTCTCGGAGGCGGACGAGCCCGCGCCACAGCTGCCACCGCCGCGCTTGACGCCTCCCCAGGCTGTAGTGGTGCCGAAAAAACGCGCACCCTCCGACACAGAGACAGATAGCGACGTGCCCCTCGCATCGCTCGTATCGAAACGACCGAAGCCCAAGCAGAAACTCACACGCGTACGTGGCGCACTTCCTGACCATACCAGTTTCAACGTTCCATCGCGCAATTGCATGCCGTTCACCCTGACTTGGCCTCTGTTTGGCACAACCTAGCGCAGATGCGCCAGCCGAAAGGTGGAAAACGGCCCGAAGCTGAGCAGCCCACAAACATTACTATGCCTCTCCTCCCATTCCAGCGCGAAGGTCTCTACTGGCTCCAAGCGCAGGAACGCAGCGTGTGGCGTGGCGGGCTCTTAGCGGATGAAATGGGGATGGGCAAAACCATCCAGATGGTCAGCTTGCTTGCCTCCGATCTTAAAGGTCCCAGCCTTGTGATCGCGCCTACGGTCGCTCTGTTCCAGTGGCGGAACGAAATGCAAAAATACGCGCCCAGTTTGCGTGTGACGGTCTGGCATGGCGCGCAACGCACCAAAGAGGCAGCTGATCTGGAAGGCCTCGACGTAGTCTTGTCCTCTTACGCCGTCCTGGAAAGTTCGTTCCGACGTGAGCACCATGGCGTCACGCGTCGTGGGCGGCGCGTACACGAGCCTAGTCTGCTGCATCAACTTCACTGGCGGCGCGTGATTCTCGACGAGGCCCACCACATCAAGGAGCGCTCATCCAACACTGCTCGCAGTGCCTTTGCTCTTCAAAGTGACTTTCGGTGGTGTCTTAGCGGCACACCCTTGCAAAATCGCGTAGGTGAGCTGTATTCCATGATTCGGTTCCTAGGCGGTGATCCTTTCGCATACTATTTCTGCCGCCAGTGCCCATGCAAGTCATCCAAATGGAATTTCCATGGTCACAGTGCATGCCATCTATGTGGCCACAAGCCTATGGTGCACCTTAGTTTCTGGAACTTTATGATTCTCCGACCCATCCAACGCGATGGAACGGAAGAAGGCGAAGGCGAAGAAGCCTTTGCACGTCTGCGTCTTTTGCTGGACTGCATTATGCTTCGCAGGACCAAACTGGAACGCGCCGATGATATGGGTTTACCACCGCGCACTATTGAAGTGCGCCGCGATCTGTTCAGCCCGGAAGAAGAAGATCTGTATCGCAGTTTGTACACGTCCACCACACGCAAATTCAGTACATTCCTTGACCAAGGTACCGTCCTCAACAACTACAGCAACATCTTTACATTATTAACACGCATGCGCCAAATGTCCAACCACCCGGATCTTGTTCTTCGCTCGTCCACCAGTTCCAATGTCGATCTGCTGGGCGACGTCGACGAAGTACATGTGTGCAAACTGTGTTTGGAAGAGGCAGAAGATGCCATTCAATCACGTTGCCGGCATGTATTTTGCCGCGCTTGCATCGCTCAATACCTCGAAAGCTTTGAAGGCGACGGAGATCCAGCACTTCGTCATGAGACGGTTGTGCCTGATTGCCCCTACTGTCATGCCGTCCTCTCTATCGATCTTGAAGCGCCAGCACTCGAGCCGCCACAGCGGTTCAGCGCACCTGGCAATCCGAAGCGCCAAGGCATTCTGACGCGGCTTGACCTGGCTCATTGGCGCTCGAGTACGAAGATCGAAGCATTGGTGGAAGAACTGACCAAACTACGAGAGCTGCCAGATCGGTCGATCAAGAGTCTCGTCTTCAGTCAGTTTGTCAACTTTCTCGACCTCATCGCTTTCCGACTGCAGCGGGCTGGTTTCCGCATTTGCCGGCTGGAAGGCAATATGACACCGGAAGCACGCGATCGTACGATCCGTCATTTTATGGACAATCCAGGCGTAACAGTTTTCCTCGTATCGCTCAAGGCGGGTGGTGTCGCACTGAATCTGACTGAGGCCTCACGTGTGTATCTCATGGATCCCTGGTGGAATCCTGCCGTGGAAGTACAGGCCATGGATCGTATTCATCGTCTTGGGCAGCATCGGCCCATTATTGGTACGTACCCCGATTGCTCACCATGTCAGTCAAACGCATGATCATTGAAAACAGCATTGAAAGCCGCATTATTGAGTTGCAAAACAAAAAGAGCGCTATGATTGATGCAGCTATTGGCCAAGACGACTCAGCGATGGGCCGTCTTAGCGTCGATGACCTTCGTTTCTTATTTACCATGTAATTGTAGCAGTCATAGGTGTATACCAATGAATGGCACGACGAATATGCCACGGTGGGCTCTCGCCTCGCATCGCCCGGCAAGCGGCCCACATTGCCATCGAATCGGTAACGACCATCGCCTGGAGCCATGCATAGGCTGTTGTACGAATGGCGGGCGCTTGTCGTTCATCCAAGGCGTCTACAAGGAAGGGATAGGTAGCCATCGACCAAACACTAGCACTCTCGATATGGGTACCCACCCCTTGTAGCAATTGTGTGAGTGCTTTTAGTACTGCCTGTACCATGTGCCCCAGTGCCGAATGTTCGTCGTATATGCGTGGTGCGGTAGGTGACATTTCTGTGGCCTGCGAAGTAGAAGCTGGCAGCTTTCCCCGAGGCATGAAAGAGGAGCAGGACGACAATGAAACCAAGCACGCTTGCCAACGTGGCCACGCCTCCTGTACGATTCGACGGGCAAATATACCACTGGCATACTGCCCCATCGTACCAATCAAGGCCGTGGCGTGCATCCACACGTTCGGATCTTGCTCGGTCTTACGCTGGGCGGATGTGGTACTTGTCCCGAGACGTGCCAGAATCAAGGGCCATGCACGGTCCAGGAGCGGGTATAGTCCTGCTGTACGCTGCTGCGGAGCAAGAATTCGTACACCGTCTGCCAGCATATCCAACGAGCGAGAACGGATCATAGCACTTGCATGACTCAGGAAGGGAAGGCATCGCGTCGTCATCTCTGTTACAATGGTTTGCAAGCGATCAGGCGGAGGGTTTGGGTCCTCCTTTTCCTCTCCTTCCTCGGCAGGGATATCACCTTCAAGCCCATCCATCTCTTCGGACGAATGCCGCGACGCATACCATGCTGCAAAGGCGTCGGTGGCCGACTTTGTCACCGGCTCTACGGCAGGTGGGGGTGGCGTCCCTGGTGCCATAACTTGCAAAAGGCGTGCAAGGACGGCCAACAAGCCATCGCATACATCGTCGTATTCATGGAACTTGTCGAGCGCTGTCATCACCTCATCAATTGCATCCTCCACCAGGGGCAGTGCTTCGGCGCCTAGCATCTGAATCACTTGGACCAATACCCATGGCGCTGTTCTCGCACTGAGAAGATGCCCCTGCGGCGATGTGGACATAATAGATGCACGAGGTTGTCCGGCATACAATTCGGCACGCAGACCCGCCATCAAGCGATGGCTGGCGGCACCCAAGACGTAGTCGGTATGATGAAGGACGCAGCTCTGGATACTTGGATACGCGCAAGCCTGAGCTATTCTGTCCAAGGCGTATTGTGCTGCAAGCTGGACCATTTCTTCGCGTCGACCCATAGCACTTAGCACGGGGTATAAGGTATGCAAGAGCTGTGTCCGACCTGCGACGCCTAAGAGCTCGGCAGCTGACGCTAGCATACACAAGAGAAGCGCATCGCACTGATCCCGCAGCCGGTCTCGCTGTTGTAAAGCTTTCTGCTCCTGCTCCGCTAAGGGTACAGTCCGTTTCTCTCCATCCACTTGGGCGGCATGCACAAACGATACATCCACAGCGGGACCCGCAGTGATCATAGTTGGCGACGCAGACTCGAGTGACAAGTGCTGTTCCAGTCCTCGCACGAGCTCTGTGCTCGTGTCTGTGGACACCACGTCTGTGATCGCTTGGTCGGGTGCAGCTTGTGGTATTTCGGGTCGGTCCACATCCCCTTGCCATATGGACTGCACCTCTTGCATTATGTGCTTCGCGAAGGCGTGCACAGTTTTGCGTAGGCGGCGATGCGTAGGCTCCACTCGTATGGCTTCAATGTCGGACGTTGCTAAGACATCGCTAATGCCCAGCAACATTTCATTCGCCACGACCAAGCTGGCCAGTGATCTATGCCAACGAGCGTGTCTCTCCAGTTTGGCTGTACGCACAAAGTACATGGGCACAGCAAAGACACTTTTAGAGAGGCCCGTAAGGGGATGGTTTGTGCCTTGGAGGAGGAGGGCAGCTAAAGCCGAGCCCATATCAAACCACATTCTCGCTAGCGCATCGATACTGCCTGCTTCTAGCCGCGCCAAGGCAGGGCGATAATGCGGAACTTCGTCAGCGAGAATCAAGACGGCCGGTATAGGCTGCCCCAATGCGGATACCAATGCACCGCCCCACTGTTCCACTTGGCCTTCAGGCGAAAGAATACGGGCCAATCCCTTGGTAGGCGCAGCCCACTGTGCCTGCACAAGTGATTGTGAAAGAAGGATCGAAAGAACACTAGCTCGACGTGCATATACTTGCACGTTGGTGTCTTGCACCATATGAATACAGGCTGGAAGGGAGTCTAAAATCTGGTCCCATTCATTGTCCAGTATGGCGAAGCGCGTAGGTGCCACGTCGTTGAGCGCTTGCCATGCAGCATCTGTGACCCGGATCACATGATGCGACGAAGCCAGGTCCAAGAGAATGCGCACTAGATCTTGGCATGGCTCATAGCCCAGTGACGACCTGGCAGCCCAGGTCATGGTCTCTGTCATACAAACAAGCAGGGCATATGCGACATCCACCATAGCCAGCTGACTAGGCGGATCTTCACGTGCGGCCACAGAAGGCAAAGAGGATAGGGCTACTAGCACTGGCTGCATTGTACGCGCCAGCCAAGGTAATGGTCTGCCATTGTCCGAGATGGATGTGACAGAGGAAGGTGCCATACTCCTTTCACTTGCCTCGCTCATTGAATCCGTGTCACTCGGTGAATCCAGTTCTTCGATCGCAGCACTGATCGGCTCCTCGTGCGTCCAAGTCATTGTGCCGAAATCTTCAAGACTAGTGGGAATCGTATGTGCTGACGCTTCCGACGGGGCTGGACGCTGAGCTTCTGTCACGACATCACCAAGGCAAATCACCAATGCAGCAGTGAGCACACGAAGCGCCTGTCCCACCAACTCGGCAGGCGCACGGCTTGATGCCAGCTTAATCAATGCACTAGTCATGCCTGGGAGCACAGGCCGAAGTCGCTCTGCACAGGCGCGTGCTGTTGGTAGATTCGTTGTAGGTGTTCGATGGTCGGATAGAACAATGGTGCCTGACGAATCAATGCCATACTCGACCCCCGAAAGCCACACAAAGCTTACGATCCCAGCAAGCTGGAGCATCGTTTTGCGCAGTACTATAGGCGCCTCTTCTTTCCGACTGGTATCCAGTGCTACTTTGAGGATATGCGCCAAGGCTCCTGCACAGGCACTGACATCTCGCGCTGCCCTTGTATGGGAACGAGCGGGATAGGCTTGCGTACTGAGTATGTTGCCTATACTTGCATCTTCGCTCTCGTCCATGAGTGGAAGGTCAGATATGCCATCCCATTCCCATGGTTCGTCTGGTGTAGTCTCACGTCGTGGCGCGAGCAATTGTACCAAGAATTGCGCGATGGCCAGCTTGGTCTCATCGCTATTAGGTACAGTGGTGGATGGGGAAGGGCCCCCGCTGAGTGCCATCACACCTAACAAGAGTAACTGTTCCCACACCTTCCAATCGGTCGACTGCTCCAATGTAGGTGGGGTCGTCAAACCTGTGGCCGTACGCGAGACATGCGCCCACGTCCATGTCTGCCACCAATCGCGTGCCAGACATCCAAGATTCAGAAAGACTAGCTCACGAACGCGATCAGGAAGAGAGAACAAGCTCTGCGTTTGCGATCGGAGTAGTTGCGACAGAGGATAGAACACATAGTGGATCAGGGCCGGGGAAAGTGGGTCTTGCAACGTTGAAAGACACGTATACAGCGAGGCCAGCGACGAAATCAACACGGAAGAAGAGGTAGGAGATGATCCATGACGTAGTACGGCTACACAATGAGGCCGTAGCTTCTGAAATAGGGCTTTTGACGCATCGCTGGGCGCGTCGTTCATGCCATTCGCCATGGACGTGGCAGCGTAGGTGCAAGGTTATGCACGTGGTGCCACGTGCATACGCGTCGACACGCGGCGGGAGTGAAAGCGGCGCGTCGCTTCACGTTGCTCGTAGTCGCTTTGCTGCCATGTCGAACGTCGAGATTGCCGAGGATGAGGCCTCGGCCAACATGGCTATGATCTCCAATGAGGTATGTATACATTTGCTAGAATGTGCTAACATATACAGGAGTACAAGAGTACGTACATGGCCTTCTTGTGCTGACTTTCCTGCAGTCTGGAAGAAAAATTCTCCGTTTCTCTACGACATGGTCATCACGCATGCTTTGGAATGGCCTACTCTCACCCTACAGTGGATGCCTGACAAGGAGGTATTCGCCGACAAAGGATTCACGCGACACCGCTTTTTAATGGGCACGCATACCTCCGGGCAAGACAACAACTACCTTCAAATCGCCACTGTGAACCTGCCCAATTACGATGCCAATGGTATTGAAGGAAAGCTTGATATCAAGGATTATGACGAAGAGAAGGGTGGTATGTATCTGCCATATGTTCACACCAGAAATCGGTTCCTATTCGTCGGCATCCACTCGCATTCAAATTACTCAGCGTATCAACCACGAGGGTGAAGTCAACCGTGCTCGCTACTGCCCTCAGAACTGTGATTTGATTGCGACTCGGGCTGTGAGCGGTCTGACATATGTGTTTGATCGCACAAAGCACAGCAACCAGCCTGACAGTGATGGCAAGTGCCGCCCCGATATTGTGCTTCGCGGTCAGACTCGAGAAGGCTACGGTCTCTCGTGGAATCCCATCCGTCAGGGCCATATTTTGTGTGCCTCGGAGGACACAACTGTGTGCCATTGGTACGTGACTCTTATATGGACTCCACTAACAGGTCAGGGATATTAATGCATACCAAAAAGACAACAACTCTATCGAGCCGCTGCGCACGTACCAGGGCCACTCTGCCATTGTCGAAGACGTTGCATGGCACAATCATCACGAACACCTTTTCGCATCTGTGGGCGATGACCGGCAGATGTTGCTTTGGGACACGCGTGACTCGAGTTCTGCGCCAAAGTACCGCGTTGAGGCGCATATGGGAGAAGTGAATGCAGTGGCCTTTAGCCCTGCGAACGAATATATTATTGCTACGGGTTCGAGTGACAAAACTGTGGGCCTATGGGACCTACGAAATCTTAGCGTGCATCTCCACTCGCTTGAAGCGCATAAAGATGAAGTGTTGCAAATCGCATGGTCGCCCCACCACGAGACTGTGCTATGCTCTGCCTCCTCGGATCGTCGTGTGAATGTATGGGACCTGAGTCGGATTGGGGAGGAGCAGACAGCGGAAGATGCCGAGGATGGCCCGGCTGAGCTTCTCTTTGTTCATGGTGGTCACACGAGTCGTCCGACAGACCTTTCTTGGAGTCCTCAGGACCCATGGAAGGTTGCTACAGCTGCTGAAGACAATATTGTTATGGTGTGGCAGCCTGCCAGTTCGATTGTCGAGCCCGCTGACGTCGAGCCTGACGCAGCTGAGCTGGAGTAGATTTGGCGTGGATCCATAGTCGTTAATGTACACACCTCCACACAGTACTGCCCTGGTGGCTGCACACTCGACGCTGCCACAGCACGTCCGACCACAATGCCGTTTTTGGGGCTGACGGGTAGTCGGCGCGAGCTGTACGTGTTAGCACGCTTGTGACATACTTACGACAATAGTCGCCCGAATAAGCGCCACTTTTTTCTTTTGTTGATCATTATCTTTAGTATTTTGGTGCCACCGTTGGCTGTATTTCTTCGGTTCGGTATCGGGACAGACTTCTTCATCAATGTATTGATGACCATTGCAGGGTACATCCCTGGCCATGTACGTTGCTATTCCCTATCTAACAAACCAGCTACATAACTTCTTCGTCCAGGTAGGTTTGTGATCAGATCGCCTTTGGCTAACCGACCAGCGAATTCGTGATAACTCTCGGAGAGAGGACCGCACACCCAAGTGGCTTCGCAAGCTTGGAGTGATAGAAGGTCACCATGGTGTGGCTAAGAACAGGAAATGGGCGGATCGGTACCTGCGGCACTATTCGCGCCCTGTGCAATATGACGAGGAGGGTCGAGCGTATTACCTAGACATGGACGAGGAGGGCCAAGAGACTGTCGAGCCTGTCCCGGCCGATGCCCTGGTTGAACCTGACCGCTACTTCAACGAAAATCGTCGTCGTCCCGACAATGCAAGCGAGTATAATACACCTTATGCGTCTACGCCTTCGCCTATGATGCAGGAGCCACCTTCGTCGCGGCGTGGAAGTTCGAAAACCTTGCGCTCACGTACGATGCGGTTCTTGGGGATGGGTAGTGGTGGCAACAGCCAGCATGGAAATGGCACATATATGCCCATGCAGGACCGTCACAGCCGTGCAAATACCTATTCTAACCAAGAAGTACATGCCGGCAACAATTATCTTGACGACGACCAAGACGAAGATGAGGATGAGAGGACCGACTATCAACGTTATTCCTCTGCACAGGCCATGTCGAATGATGCGTACGATGATCTGGACCGAGAGCTCATGGGCTTGTCGACCCAAGAAAACTATCCACCTGTGCGTACAGGTCCTCGCAAGCCAGTGAGTCGCGCACGCAATAATGGTTCCCACCGTGCACCACCTGCCTCGCGCCCTGAGCCGTCTGCTTCACGCGATTTGGCACCGGAGCGTGACATCCTGGACTTTGATCATACATTCTAACGTTGTAATATAAAATAAAAAGTTTTCTTTTTTAATTTTTAGGAGGTGGGGGAGGGTAGAGGGAGAATACATAGATGGCTATGTTCACAAAGAGCTGCCCGCAGAGTCATGAGCGAGACAAACTACGCATCATAAGTGTGGTACAAGGGGGGGGGGGGGGGGATGAAAAACATGGGAGGTAGGTCCCATAGAATCGCAGCCACAGAGGCTCGCCTTTAAAGACATCTCCATGGGTCAATTACGTCGAGGAAGGCGTTTCCTTCTGGGTCTGTTGTTGGTTGTTGTTGTTACCACCGCCGCGACGGTTGCGACGACCGCCGCCACGGCGTTGGGGCACAGTGTTGGTAAAGTTGCCATTCTGCTCGACAGGAACGGCATGCATCGCTGCTTGTGTTGGCGGGATGGTCGGCAGGCCCTGCTGCATAATACCTGGGCCTTGCGCCGGCTTGCCAGAAGCAGCAGCCTCCTTTTCGCGCTTTTCAGCCTCCTCAATGAGCGAAGGAGCCACATAAAGACGCTTATCAATGGTAGCTGGGATCGGCTGCACTTCCGTACCCAGTTCCTGCTCAATACGGTAGAGGTTGAAGCGGTCCTCGTACGTGATCAAGTTGATGGCCAAACCCATGTGGCCAAAACGGCCACTACGGCCAATGCGGTGAAGGTACGTTTCTGCATTCTTCGGGAAGTCAAAGTTGATAACCACATTCACCGCCTGAATATCAATACCACGAGTCAGCAAGTCGGAGCAGACCAGATTACGGCATGCACCATTGCGGAAGTCATGGAATACGCGGTTACGGTGGGCCTGGAGCATCTTGGCGTGAGAGTAAAAGCATGAGTAGCCGAGCTCGGTAATTTTCTTGGCCAGCAATTCCACACGGTTGGTCGAATTGCAGAAAATAATCGACTGGTTGATTTGCAGCTTGGAGAAGAGGGTGTTGAGACAGTGCACCTTTTGGCGCTCTTCGACAAACGCATAGTACTGGGTGACACCTCGCAGGGTGAGTTCATCCATAAGGTTAATTTCGTAAGGCTTGACCATGTGTTTGTCCTTAAAGTCCTTCACAATCAAGGGGAATGTAGCTGAGAAGAGCATGACCTGACGCTCTTTCGGCAGAAGGGCCAGCAACTGCTCCATCACTGGCGTGAATTCAGGCGACAGCAACTTGTCTGCCTCGTCCATAACAAATGTTGTACATTGGCTAAGATCCGCAATACCCTTACTTGCCAGATCAAGAATACGGCCAGGCGTACCAACAAGCATATGCACTGTTTGGCCTAGACGGAGGATGTCATCCTTCAGCGTCGTACCACCCGTGCTCACCATGATCTCCACGCCGAGATGCTTGCCCAGTGTCTTGGCCACCTGGCTTGTTTGCAAAGCCAGCTCACGTGTAGGCACCAAAAGGACAGCTTGGATCTTGTTCTTCTTTGTATTGATCCGTTCCAACGACGGAATTACATAGGCACCCGTCTTACCGGTACCATTCTTGGCACGCGCCAAAATATCACGGCCAGACAGAGCAATAGGGATGGCCTCTTCCTGGATGGGGGAGGGATGTTCAAATCCAGCCTCAAAAATACCCATAAGAAGCTCACGCTTCAAGAAAAAGTCCTCAAAGTCATTTCCTTTGGTGGCCGTAACATCTTCCGTTTGCGGCCGCGTGTCTTTCGGCGGCCGCTGCACGGAAGGCAGGCCATCGCTTCCTGGCGCTGTGCTCGCCATGTATATAGTTAATTCACAAAGGAAAAAAAAAAAGGTAAAGTGGATGGCACTAAGACGCGTCTTGTCTATCGGGTCAGTCTCGGTTGCCCAGGACGTACTCTTAGGCACTGCTGTCTATGAAGAAGCATTGGCTTGCGAGGGCATGCTCTTTTGCCCGGGTGCACGTGATGTACTACACGTGATGTTCATGTCGCACCGTGCGCATGCACAGGAACACGCAGCCAGTATCTCGTAGGCACCACTTGCCAGGATGATCGTCTCCATGGTCCGTGCTACGGCCTTGCGTTCGCCGCTACGCGCACACCGACTAGGTTGTGTTGAGAATGAGGCGAAGAGGTACCTTTCTACAGGACCCTCTGCTCCCCAGACGCCCCCTTTGCCTTGGGACACATGTACGTGGAGCCGTGACGTGCTGGACTAACCGGCATAGATTTGCGCCTTCGTCGACAGCGTCGCATTGCAGGAATGGTGACGACGATCCCCACAATGATTGTAACTGGTATTATTTCAGGCACTTACTTCCTTACGCAAGAAATTGATCCAAGTAAGACTTTTGCAGGGGTATGTGTCAAAGCTCTTTTCGTGTTAACACGCTAGATTGATCCGCTTTTCGTGTATATGGGCGCCACAGCTGCATGCACAGGCCTTGGATGGCTTGTTGGACCCTCTATTGGCACAGCTGTTTGGAGTTTGATGCACCGCAGCAAAGCCGCCCAAATGGCCACGCGCGACAGGGAGTTCTTCCAGCACATCCGTAAAATGCGTGCTGATCCTACCCGTCAAGTGATGCACAATCCTTTGCCTGATTACTATGTACGTACAATATCTATGCTTACAGTGAGGGTGAGAAGATTGGATCCCTGCATCAATATCGCAAGTGGCTTCGCGACCAAGTATGTCTGTTAGAGACTAACGTGCCACAGCAAATTTTCCGTCGTAAAGCCTCTCATGGTATCAAGGATATAGAGTAGATGCAGTATCAACTGTGATTTATTATACAAGAGAAACACAGCTAGGCCGAGGTAGCGATGGCAGCTGCCCGAATTCGTTCCAGGGTACGAGCCTCATAGTCATAGTCAAAGTCAGGCGCGCGATCATGTGGTACCGTTGCTTGGATAGGTGCCTTGTCAGCCGTAACGCCTTGCTGTATCCATGCCGCTACGCGAGGCGGAGGATCTGCGCGTGCTTTTCCTGCTTCATCCACCCAACTGATCCAGCAATCTTGTAAGAGAGGATGTGTGCATCTCAGCTCGGCACCTTCGTTCACAGCGCGCCATGCATATACACCATGAGAAAAGGTAGTCAAAACCGTCACCTCTCTGCGCTTCTTCTGACTCTGTTTCGGTTGAAGGGAGGTCACAGAGCCGTAAGCCTCGGCCAATGCCTCAGCCAGAGGCGAAGGCAAAACTGTCTCTGGTATTTCCTCCGAACCAAACATATCAAGGACCTGCTCAGTGGGAAAGCGTATCAATACAGTGGTGTCGTTGGGCATCCATGCCGGCAACCCGTCGTCCTGGTTTACAGGGGTTTGTGAAGATGCCGTTTGTCTGGATTGCAGTGACCGAGTCTGCCATTCTTTTAAAAGCCGCTCATGCTTCTCAATACGCAACGCCCGACCTTCTTCACGCAAAGCAACAATGCGTTGTTCACGTTCGCGTTGTTTCTGTTCGCGCTCCATACGCGCTCGACGGTCTTGTTCCTCACGCTGCTCTAGGTCAGCTGCCATAGCACGCCTTCGATCATCAAAAGCAGCTCTTCTGGCCCGCTTTTCTCGTTCACGCTGCAGCGATTCAGCCAAGCTGGCGCGTTTGGTGGGGTTCATGAGCTCTTCATAGGCCAAGGTCAAACGGTGGAACCGATCTGCCGCTACGTCGGGCGGTACATCTTTGACCTTATCTGGATGAAGTTGCAATGACTTCTTCCTGTATGCTGTACGTATTTGCGCTTCAGTCGCGTCAATTTCAATACCGAGGAGCTCATACGCGTCCTGCAGCAGCAGGGTATCATCATTATGGCTGCTCATCGTGGACGTGGAGCAAGCAATGTTGCGTGTGAGAATTACCTAAGCGCAACAATTCTTTCGTGGTACCTACGAGAACGCCACTAATTTTTTTTTTTTACCCCGTATGCTATTGCCTCACAGTGTCAGGGCGCTCTTCGCGCCTACACTGGCAGTTCCTTCCCATGTACGGTTATGGTATGGGGCTACTAGCTCTGTACCTATGTATTTTTCGGTGCGGCATTTGTCTATGTCGTCAGTAGCACAGCGTCGTGCACGTCAATCGAAGAATCTTGATGGCACTGTTCCTACGCCTACGCGAGCTCGAGCGTCCAAGCGGCCATCTACCAGTATCTATACAGATGCCCCGATGTACACGTACAACCCTCCTGTGAGTGACGAGGACATTTCCTTTTGTTATCCACACTTGCCTCATCCTTCCATGTGGAAGTCTGTGTTTTCCTTCTCGAAGGAACAGTATGCACGGCACCGCTACTTCGTAGCGAATCGCACTACGGTGCAAAACATTGTGAACCGCATGGGGCTAGACAGTCCTGAGCGCCAGGGTATGAAGACAACCATCATCGAAGCCTATCCAGGTACGTATGGACTACATGCACTGACCCTAGGCCCTGGCACTTTTACGCGCGCTTTTATGGAGCACCCCAATGTTGAACGGGTGATTGCGATGGAAAATGTACCCTCTTTCCTTGCACAGTTGGAGGTATGTGATAATATGTCTTACTTTTTAGCATCTACAAAAAGATCCTGCCTTAACGTCGGTGAGCGACAAGCTTCGCGTCATCCCACAAACAGGATATTCATGGGACACCTATGAGACGTTGGTGGAGGAGGGGCATTTGGGGCATTTGGCATCCAAGCTCCCCAAGCTTGGCCCTTCCTCGCCTGCTATGGACTGGGAAGGTATGTGAACACTCACTTCTCACCCCAGCGCCCTGCCCATTGATGTTTTTCGCACAGCTCCCCAACACTGTACACGGCGAGCAACTCTTTGCCCAGCTTATTCATGCGATTTCGTCTCGCTTTTGGCTGTTCAAGTATGGTCGTATGGATATGGTCTTTGTTTGTGGCGAGACAGTAGCACTGCGCTCTATGGCCTCGCCGTACGACCTTCGCACACGGGCCAAGCTTGGCGCAACAGTCCAATGCCTTAGTACGCCAGAAGTGCTCCTTCCGTCCGATGATATGGAGCCATATGCGGAGCACATGTATCCTTCCATTCCATCGATTGGACCACGTGTGCCTGTGACTTCTGTATTCATCCCCAATTCCAACATTTCAACGGGCTTGCAAAAACGCAAGCTGACGACGCTCAAAATCACGCCTTTGCGTGAACCATTGATTGAAGGACGTGATATGGACTCGTTTGAGTTCCTCACACGCAATCTATTTGTACTCAAGTCCAAGACTGTGTATGAAGGACTAAAACACGTTGCGCCCGGTGCTCATAACATTCTCCGGCTCGTAGCAGCCGACCACCCACGAATGCGCCATCGTCCTCAGGATGTGGTGCTGCCCGATACCCCAATTGTGGAGCTTTCCAACCGCCAATGGGCTGCGTTGGCCGAGGCTTTTGAAAAATGGCCATTCCGACCCAATACTTATATCGATGAGGGTCGTGTTCGTCGAGGTCTTAGCGACTATCTTTTCTAGGATGGGCTACATAGAATCACTCTTACTAAAAGGTATGACGCCTTGTATCACACACAGCTAGTAGTACTTGCTCTGACGCATACCCAACTCGTCCTTTAGACGATCCATACGACCTGGGTGGCCATACCGTGGCTCTGATGCTTTCAGCACGTCCTTATAGATTGTGCTGATGGTATGCTTGGTCTTATCCGTCCATTGCTCGCGCCAGAAGTGGATGCCTGCGAGCTTCAGTTGGTGCGCCGAGGCAAAGGCTGAGACGTCCATCGCCTCCCGAGGGATCTCAGCGACGGTGGACTCAGCCGTCTGCTCGAACAATAGCATAGTGTAACGATGGTACGGCGTGCCGCGCTGGGGATGCGGAGGGATATATGGGAGCAGCGCTGCATGGCCTTCAGGGATGGCATTCTTTTCCAACGATAGCGGCACATCTTTCACAAGCCAGTGAACGTACGTCTGGAATGACTGTGTCTCTTCACACGGCACATCCGGGTCGACCAGCATTAACGTGTACTTCCGCTCATCTGGGTGGAAGACTGTCGCACGAATCGAAGGCGGCTCCAACGTACGTGCAGGATCTAGGAACACACCTGGCAGAATGCTGCCGCCCTCACCGCCATGATCACCGATACCATTGCCTGTGCCAAAGAGCACTTCCAAATCGACCGTCGGCTGCACACTAGGCACAACGTCTGGGAGAACATGCATGCACTGCAAGCGCTCTTCCTATTGAGTGTTAGTTTCGATACAATATACATACAAGACGGTCCAAGGATCCACCTAGTCGCCACGACTGCTCGCGCAAATGACGGAAAACAGGCTTGGTCATACTGTCTGACACGGTTAGTGGTTACGGTCACATACATTGGCCCTGCTGGAATGCCCAGCGCGTAGCTGGCAAATTAATTTTGGACACAATTTCCAGAGCATCTACGCGCTGCTGTTGCTCCTTGTCCGATGCATTGCTGTTGGCCTTTTCCGAGGCAATGCGTTCACGGAGTTGCTTTGCATCTTCTTCCAAAAACGCCAGAGCTTCATCGTACACAGGTAGGGCACCTGACTTGAGAGCTGGTTGCCATGTAGATTCCATACGGTATAGATGCACAAACGGAACCGCTGTGCGGCGAGCGGCACGCACAGCCGCCTGCCGAACGAAGAAAGACATGACGAAGATCAGACGGCGTGAGCGATCGAGCCGGCAAATGTCTGGGTTTTGCGCACCTCTCTTCGATTCGATTACATAAGCGCCACGCTTTCCCCTCCCACGCGGCCCCTGTCCAACATGTGTCGCACGGGCGTTGCCATGCGTTTCCGTTGTGTCTCGATGAAGTGATTTTGGCCGCCAAGCCTACGCGATGCATCTCATCGTATCATATTGTGGCAAGGATATCGAAGTAAAACAGTCGCTTACGCAATTCCAAAAGTACGTATTGTATGACGGATCGTGCTCATGCCCCATCCAGGTATGAGCATCTGTTGGACTGCATTTCCCTGGCCACAGGGATCCTGATTGACTCAGTGATATGCATGACGAAAGATGGCGTTCAAGTGGATCAGACTGTGCTGGACCAACTCCAGACCTCTGCGGAGGACGTCCGTGGAGAGTGCTTCTTTATCTTTGATCGAGAGCTGTTGTATGCGGACATGGAAACGTTTGCGTCTATGCTTGAGCTTGATATGGACGTCACGCCGATCGATCCAGGTACGTTGAATTGTACTTATCATAGTTCCCCCTATACCTACGGCACCAAGTGCTCGCACTTTGGCTACCTTTCGTGGATGGGCAAAGGATGTTGAGCGTGTCATGGACGCACGAGCCAAGCAAGCGCGCGAATTGTACAAGAGTGTAGAACTGATTCAAAAGAGTACCAAAGTGGCTTTGATGAATGTACAAAGCCATGCCAGGAGTGTCAAGAAGGCGGCCATGTCTCTCGAGTCGCTGGCTGCCACCGATCTTGGGTCCAGAGAAGAAATCCTGCGTCGTTATCGTGATGACATTTACGTGCTGGGCCAAGTGCCTGTCCATGAAAATTTGCGAGAGCAATGGCTTTCCGTCTCCGTGTTGTCAGACGGTGATCAGAGTGTGATGGCATCCTCCCTCCTAGGCGACTTTGTGGATCTGGCGGATGTGGAATCATGCGCGTCTACGTGCCGTGCCTCTTTGCAAGAGATCCAAACCAACTATACCAATACCATGCAAACTGAATTTCAGCTGCACGTGGATCTTAACGATATCACCGCAGAGATCGAGCAAACGGACTTGAAGCCCTCGTTTGAGTCCTGGCAGACTGTGGAACAGCAACTGCCTCTGCTGCAGTCTCTCGTTCAAAGTGTATGTCAGCGATGCGAGAGCATGGGATCCACATGGTCTGCTGGAGATGCACGTATCATGGACTATGTATCGAAACTCTATACTGATCTACACACTATGTGCGACATGGATGCCAAAGCCGTACACGCCTTGGACTGTTTGATTTCGGACCACAATGAACTTTTACATCGCCATATTAACCTTGTGCAGGACATTAGTAGTCTGCAAAGTGACTTTACAGATCTGGGAGCGACCATTGCGGACGTGGACAGATCGCTGCAATTGCCCCTCGGCCCACCGTTCGAGCGTTTAGCTGGTCTACAGCGCATTGTTTGGGCCTACGGCATAACGTTGACAGAGGCGATTCGTCGCGATGAGTTTTCACGGCGTTTCTTGTCGAAGGCGCAGAGTTTGGCAGAGGTCATGGCTCAAGTGTCCGATCAAGAAAGCACAAGACGCAAGCAATATGCCACCGATGTTGCCCCCTTTTTGCCGTGGAAGCCGCCGGGTCTGGATACCGCACCACCGATCTTGGATATTACGACTCGCCGACGTGAGGCCAGTTCTTGGTTTTCATGTACACGCGACGATGTGGATAGCTTGGTGCAGCTGCTCGATCGTTTGGAGGCCGAGTTGATGGAACGAGCCTCACCTTGCCGTCCTGCTACAGAGACGCGATTGGCCCTAGCACCATGGATGCAAGCGCTGGAACGCAGTGAAGAAGCGTTTGCACACGCAGCTCGTCGTGAGTTGGGGCTGGGTGGATCGGATGATGAAGAGGAGGAGGACGACCTTGAGAGCAGTACAAATTCTCAAGCGCCGTCAGCGCCTTCCCAAATCAGTCCTAGCACGGACACTCTGCGACGTCAGCTGGATGCGGCGCAAGAGCGTATACGCCTCTTGGAATCAGAGCTGCAAACGCGAACTAGTGAGTGGCAAGAAGATCGGCAAAAGTGGGAGCGAGCAAAGTGTGAGGCGGAATCGCGTGCTCGAACGGCGCAGCCGAAGGACATGGCCATCGGGGATGCACGACAACCGTGGATCGAAGCTGTGGCACGTTTGCAGCGCTATGTTTGTGATCATGCGACGTCGGAGATCTCTGAGATGGGCGACATCAGTGACTTGGCGCAGCAAGATCCATCCGACGTGTTGGCTCGCGTGCAAAGCGTCATTGAGTCCGAAAGAGCGCAGATGCGACAGGGTCAGCAAGCATGGAAGCGTACACGTGAAAAGTACATGCATATCTCTGCGCTTGTGCGTACACAGGTATGCGTGCACGATTTTGATGTGGGTTCCCTGGCCCTGTTTCTGCCTACCGCCCCCCAAGGCTGTGTGCCTCGTCGATGGGCGGCCTTCCACGTGGGCGCGCCGCATCATTTCCTGCACATTGACGACTCGCTAGCGACGTTCTTAACCACGCGCGACTGGCTTCTCGCGCGGATTGCCAGAGTGGAACGTTGCGTGGCAGATGCCGCCTCGTCGTCCTCGGCCGGCGTGCCACTCGGCACGCCGTATGCCTTGCTTTCCGTGGAGGGATGGCAGGATCCGAAGCGATTGGTCCATGTGGCCAAGCTCGCGTCCTTGCCGCCCTCGCCGTCATTGACACCGGCGCTTCCCTCTGGGACGACGTGCCCTTCGAAGGCGGAGCTGCAACGTTCTGTCTCGGCACTGGGCCGTATGCCGTGGCGTGCCAAGAAATCACCGGCCTTCGCGACGCCACGAGCGCGGTCCTTTGTCGATTTGACCGTGGCGCCTCTCTGTGCCGGCAGCTCCCCCACGCACGCACAAGGAGAGTTTTCCAGCCCACATAGACTCTCATCGCCCCCGACATAGTCATGAACGAATGTACTTGTACTCTATGTCATGTTCCGCCATGTCGGCGCTTGGCTGTGGATGCTCTCGCCTCATCCGCGCTGCCTTCGGATGCACCACGTTTCTGCCCGCCGCGGCCGGAACGACGGTCGTGACGCGCACGTTCTCTCTCACGACGACTGGGGCGATCACGGTCGCGATGACTAGATCCACGCCCAAAGGCCTCAGGCTCGTATCGATCCTCGTCCACAGGCTTGGGCGGCAGATTGTGTCGTGCACGTCGTGGCTCTTCGTGTGCATGCGCGCCGTAATCCAGCGCATCGCCAGTTCCTTGGGAAGGATCACGATCATTGTACCGCCGTTGGCGCTCGTTGCGTAGAGCAGTGTCACTCCCTTCGTTGGCCTGGCCAGACCGACGGCTCCCCGACGTAGTCCCCACGCGAAGTGAGGATCGTCCATCGTGCGGGGGATGTCGTGAACGCCCTTGCTTATCGAAACGCTGTGCCTCTCCAGGACCACTCTCAGCAGGCAGGGAGGGTTCGTATGGTTCGTACGGCTCGTCATCGTTTTCCTCCCCAGGCGGTGGGGCTGGTATATCGTCGTTCTGAGGCGGATCCATCTCCTTCTGCGGCATTGGCATGGGCGGCATGCCAGGTGGCATAGGCATCGACGCCATATCCATCTGCGGCATGTCCTCCGTAGGCATCATACCCATCATGGCTGGCCATGGCTGCATACCCATCATGCCGCCAGGACCAAACATGGCCGAGAAGTCCGGCATGGAAGGTGCGGCTTCCTGCGGCGCTGGCGGCGCAGGTTCGCCAGACGGAAGAAACGTGGGCGCAGCAGACGGTGGCACCTGTGCAGCCAATTCTTCTTGTGTTTGCGTCATCATCGTCATTTTGGCACACCATAGCGCCCATGTCTGCTCATCAAAGCCATAATTAAACCAGTCGCTCATATTGGCCCCAGGACGACGCCATGGTTTTTCGGGCAGAGAATTGATATCCACTTGGTATATAGTCATAGGCGGGGCGTCCTGCGTTTTTTCCTCCTCAGTTCGTGCATCGTACAATGGCTCGGTCGGGGGATACACTAGGGCGTCTTCACTTGGCTCCAGATGAAGGTCAGGCGCGGTTGATGGTGCCGCCGTAGGTGGCCCTTCTGGTGGCAATTCCTCCAATGAATAGCGAACATCCCCGGTGGCTGGGTCTGGCTTGGGCGTTGTCAGCGAGGTACTTGGACCAGCGTCCGGCTTCGGCGACGGCGGCGGCCGCTGACTGACCTCTGCGACCACAGCGGGCGCTGCCGGCGCTGCAGACACCGTCATAGTGGAAGCAGTCAATACGGTACTCGCCTCCTCTGGTGCCACACTACTCTTTCCTACCGCAGGCTTGGGCGACGCGGCGGCAGGCGCAAACGACACGGCACGCGTAGGGGGCACCATAGGCGCGTTTGGATCAATAATGAACTCGATATCCTGGGATAAGCAGTAGATTCATACGTACAGACTCATCACTGTCCTCCTCCTCCTCCTCATTGCCATCTGCTGTATTTGTCGTGGCTGGGTCGGGAGCATCGGTCGGTAACGAGGCAGATCCATCCACCTGAGACGATGTCATGGTAGGCGCCGAGGCCTCTTCCTCTCCTGCTTTTGTACTTCCATACAGGAATTCATCTTCATCGTCCATCGAAGCATCTGGCGGCCCTTGCATCGTGCGCCAGGAGCTATGCGGAGACACGCTATGGCAACGCGACAAGCGACGTGTGCCTGCCAATCTTGCCTGCGACCGTGACTTCTATGCATGGGACGTAAGTGAAGCATATTTCCACTGCATACGAGAGAACGCCGACCCAAGCCATGGGGTTAGGTTTTCTGCGCCGCGCTTGGCTTCGGATTGTCATACGTGTACACTATGGTAGCGGCCTCATACGGTAGTCGTTTCCAGGCGTTTATGAACCACCCAGCTGGCCCAAAGACTGGTACGTTGAGACTATAGCGGCCTGTGGAGTAATGGTCAGCTAACATTTCACAGTGTTCTTTTGGGCCCCGATGATGAAGTGGGGTCTTGTTCTTGCCGGTCTGGGTGACTTGGCACGTCCCGCCAACAAGCTGTCTGTGTCGCAAAATGCGGCGCTCGCTACCACGGGTATGATCTGGGTCCGGTATGTATTTACGACGCTGTACGCTATGTGCGACATGCACTACGGTACGGCCTCGCGAACAGCCTAACTAACACGATACAGCTACTGCTTTGTTATCACACCTGTAAACTACCCTCTGGCCGCTGTTAACTTCTTTGTCGGCACCACTGGTCTCGTCCAGCTGGCTCGTGTGGCTTAGTATGTATGGCGATGCACAGGCAGTACTGACACTGCAGCTACAAATACACACACCCTGAAGAGGTGGCCGCTGCTCCTCTCACCACGGAGGCCAACAACAAGAAGCTTTAAGTTCATGATAGTTAAGTATGGCATTATAGGACGTAGATGCCGTACCTTGGCATGCCCTTTCTGTTCACAGCTCGATGCCATCTACTGGTAGCCGATTCATGGGGCGCCCTCCCGTGGGGCCTATCACGTGGATGGAGGCGCCGTTTCATGCCGCGCTCTCGGACCACCTACCCCAGCAACCATGCTGTCGTCGTTTCGAACTACGGGTCGTAAGATTGTCGCGTATGTACACCCACGCAATAGCTTATAGTAGAATTGGACGCAACTTTGCCGACCATGCCAAGGAACTGAACAACGCAGTACCTACGGAGCCTTTCTTCTTCTTGAAGCCGACAAGCAGCTACATTAGCAACAACCAGGCCATTGAGATCCCCAAGGGTGTCATTGCGCACCACGAAGGTACGTACGCACTTTCTTACATCTAGTGGAATTGGCTGTGGTCATCGGAAAGACGGGCCGCGATATCCAGGAAAAAGATGCTGAGAACTATATTGGTGGATATGGTACGCCTCACTATGCCTAATCGTTTTTAGCTCTAGCTATTGATCTGACGGCTCGAAACATGCAGGACAAAGTTAAAAAAGCCGGTCTTCCATGGTCGGCTGCAAAGGGCTTCGATACTTTCACGCCTATTAGGTATGTTGGTTTTTGCAAACAGCTAATGTACAGCGACCTTATTGCGAAAGAGAAGATTTCAGACCCACACAACGTGAATCTATGGCTTAAGGTGGACGGAGAGACCCGCCAAAGCGGTAACACAAGCGATATGATCTTCAGCATCCCTCGCCTGATCTCGCATGTCTCGTCGATTATGACTCTCGAGCAAGGTGATGTCATGCTCACTGGCACTCCGAAAGGAGTAAGCCAGTTGAAGGACGGCCAGACTGTGACATGTGGCCTTGGTCTTCCCGGCTCACCCTCCTCCCTAGCTGAACTGAAGTTCTTGGTGAAAAACCGTGTGGGTGGCTACGCATTTGAGGGCTGAAATAGTACATGCATTACAATACAAAAGGGGCATGTCGTATATCTTCGACATGGGCAAGAATCTGTGAAGGCACTAGTTTCCATCTTTCTCCATAGCTTGGACTCGCTCCATTAAAGACATACGCTCTCGTCGAAGTTCTTCCAATTCCCGCTGTTTATCTTCCAATTCTGCCTGGGCGACAAGCGTAGCGACGGTCGGCGATCCAGGTTCGTCGCGTACACCGCCTATAGATTGAGACTGAGAATGAGCCTCAACTTTCGCCAGTTCTTCCGTTGCTTTGTTCCTTAACGTGCGCACATGTCGTTCATTTTTTGCCAAGACATCTTCTGCACGGACAATCAGTTCTCGGAGTAACGGAGCAATCTCAGCAGCGACATGCTCACGAGCTTGCTTCACATCGCGTTCAGATACAAGATCAAAATGCTTCACTGTTAGGTTCAGCAGAAATACGTACACGCTGGTTTTTCAGCACTGTGGAAAGACGAGAGAAATCGGATGTGTGGAAATCAAGCGCTGTATTTGTTTCATGCAGCTAAATGTAAGCATTATACACCACGTACTGTATCGCATGCAAAGCGGATCCGTCCAATGCAGGCATATATATTGTTTAGTTGATTTGCATTGGCGTTGGGGTTAAAGTACACGGACTGGCGTGGAACGTTCGGCGCCATTTTGGCATGCAACGACACTAACCCAAAGCGCGAGCGTGAAAGGTAGGTGTTGCTCTCCACGTGTTTTCGGCCGACGAGGGAGTGCGAGGCCCCCCCTTCCCTCCTAGCCAGCGCTCCAACGTGCTCGGCGCCAGTGCGCGATGCGTGAATTGCAATCGTTGCTAGGATGCACTCTGGGCTCCCCAGAATGGGACAGCTATATCGGATCAAAACAGATGGAAATCAATACGTATCCTGACATACATTTCTACAATAGCAGAGCAGAGGCTCTTAGTTTTCAATTCCTTCCAGACAATCAAACTAGCGATGGCACCCTTGTTACGATTGACGTATACAACGGGCAGCGAAAATGGGGACAATACCCCAACTTTCCTATTGTGATTAGTTGGCTGTCAGGAGACGACGCAAAAACCTTCCACGTCACTGACAGTACAAGGGCTATAGACCTAGTGGAGCAGTTTGGTGAGCCTGTAAGAAAAGGTGGGGGCGGAGGGAGTGGACTCAGCGGCAAGGCCTTTGGACCCGCTCTGTGGATGGAATGGTGCCTGGATACCCCGTTGCCTAGCACTCCCAAGATATACCTTCTTGTAGAAATGGGAGGCGAGGCAGCTAGGGCCCCAGATCGTTGGGAATCGGGACGGGGCAGTCATGCTGTCTGGGCTACACTCTCTTTGTCAACACAACCTCCTAAGACATAATGCTCTTACAAAATGCTAAGAAAACTCCATTCACTTCATACTGATAGGTATCAGGTACAGTAGAGAAAATTTTCAATAGCATGATTCTTGCAATTATAGTGACAATTTCAAACTAAGTAGTACGGCGTCTATTAAAGAAAAACACGACTAGTACCTAGCAATTACTGGCCCAGGGGCATACCACCAGTGTAGGTCTCACCCTCCACAGTGCGCTGGTTGTTGCCCAGGTTCAGGAGACCGGCCTCCTCAATGGTGCGGGTGGTGCTGGTGAGCACACCGCCGCCCTTCAGAAAGTCCTCTTTGCGAATCGGCTGGTGGGCAGTCGACTCGTGCACGATCGGAGCCTCGTGGGTGATGTGGGTGGTCGGGATGGTCGTGCGAATGCGGTGGTACTCGTGAGTCTCCTTCTCGATGATCGGCTGCACGATGTTGTGGATGTGGTGGTGAACAATTTCACGGACAGTCTCACCCTTGTCAATGACGCTGCGGTCAATGGCAGCCTGGGTGAAGGTGTCCTTCGGGTTGCCAGCAACAGCGCGCATGAGAGCGGCATCCTTGTCGGTGTTGGCGTGCACCTCACGCACGGTGGTCACCGGCACAACACGGCTGTGGATCTGCTCAGCAAGGTGCTCCGAGTCCAGAACCGGCTGCACGTGGTGCTGAATGTGGTGCTGGTGGATGTGGTGCTCACGCTCGCGGATGAGCTCCTCAACCTCGTGGCGGTGGTGGATGTGACGGGTGACCGGAGCAAGGTGCTGCACGTCCTGGTCGACGTTGCCGGCGGCGACGTTCACACCCGAGTTGACGCTAGTGGTCTGGGTGAGACCAGTGCGGTTAGCCGAGTCAATCGACTGCGACTGAGGAACGGTTGACTGCTGCGACGAGGGGGCAGCGTGGGTCGAGTCAGCAGCAGCGGCAGCCTGAGCAGCAGCCGAGGCGGTGCTGCTGGCACCAACGCTGGTCTGACCACCGTTCTGCACCGACCAGGCGCTCAATGGAGTGTAGTCGCTGGTGGAACCAGTGCCATTAGTACCAGTGGGACCCGAGGTACCGGTAACACCAGTGGCATTGTGGGTAGCGTTGTTGCTGGTGTTGTTGAGGGTACCGCTGGCGTTGTTGCTAGCCTCATTCGAGAAGGTGGTAGCCTCGTTCTTGTCAGTGTTGAAAACCTTCCTGATAACGTTGCTCATTTTCAAGTATGTAAGGTAGGGATGCAAGGAGAACGGGACACTCTACCCGTATTTATATTCCTATATGCAATAGCGGGACTTCTGGAATGCGTCCGTTTCCACCGGGCCCGAGCGCATTCGAATCGCCTGAAATGCGCCGCATGACATCACTGGCTGAATTGATGATATAAGCAAGTGAATATCGGGCAAAACTTTGATAAAGTCCAATCAAAATGGAATACTCTCCCTTGCAGGCCAATTGCAGCGGTAAATCCTTTCTGTGGAATGCAAGGCATTCTAGGCATAACTGCCATTGCGCCGTTTCAGCGGATAAAAATGGCGGGTCCATTTGCTTCTGCCAAATGGTTAGATCTGATTTCAACCGTTTTTGTCCTTGGGATGCGCCCTATGATGTGTCATGTTTCCCCGATCATATATGAAAACTAGGCTCGTGCACGTTATCACAAATCACGGGCTGTCATAATTACTCCCGAACGGGGCAGGGTGAATAGAATGTCCAACTGGATTTCTTTATGCATATGAAATGCGTTGTCCCTCTTCTGTCCGTCGGATGTCATTAGGAGTTTTTGCGTGACGTAGGCCAATCATGGCGAGCAATAAGTAGTTTTATACAGGATTATGACGAGAGCACTAGGTATCTAAATGATTTGCAATGGCCTCGATTGAGTAAGAGTAAGCGAGGTGGCTTCGTATCAATCTTATAGGCAAAGTTGTACCTGGGACTGGCAATAATATGTGCCTTGTCTTTTATTTTATGCAAGTACATCTTCCCCCGCACTCTATGAGCGAGTATCTTCAATTTTTCGTTTTCGAGTAGAATTTTGCGAAGGTTTGGGTGAGATTTCAGAGACATCACTGTTGTAAGAGCTTGGTGAACGAAAAGGCGCTAAAACTGATGGCTTAGATGCAGCACCTCTGAAAGTTTGCCTTGTTTCTGTAATGTTAGGTTTCCGTTTCCGCGTTATATACTCACGAGCCCTTATACAAAGCGATCGGCATGTGTTTGACAAAGCATCTTTGGCAGCTTGTTGTGGAAGTCCCATGAGTGTAGCTCTTAAGAGGGTCAGACAACGTAAAAAGACACATACAAATTCATTACATCGTAGGGTCCACGCAGTCCCATAACATCAGCAGCAGCACTGGATAGGATCACTCCTTTCCCATTAGTAACACGTAGAATCTCTCTAGCCCCGCTAAACAGATTCCGGCGTGCAGTAGTTAAGTCTTGGTCGTCCCTTTGTGAGGATCCAACGGCCGGTCCATATGCTATTTCGAACACAACACCGTTGGCTAATGCAGCACCAACAGTAGATCGCTTCAAGTAAAAAGGGAGCCGAGGCGCACTAGCCAGATCCAACGAGATTATATCAATACTGAATGGTTTTAATTCGCTCATAGTAATGCAAGCATGTTGAAATGCGGTTTCTGTCAGCGGCGTAACTGCCAGGATATCATATTGTTGCAACGCTTGGGAATTCGACGTCACAAAGCCCGTCCCTGATTTGATCATCGCATCATTGTCAAGAATGAGCGTAAGCCTGCTTAGTTGTGTTAATCCTTCCCGGAAGGCTTCAATGCCTAACCTGGTACGAGTCCGAGGGTCGAGCTTAGGAAATGGTGGATTAGGGAGAGTGGACGGGGCCTTGAAAGGGTATGGGTTGACCAATGGATCATACTTTGATTTAACAATATGATTGAATGCCACCGTCGTATAACCTACTTTGGATCGGTCAGCTTTACAACGTATACAACGTACACTCTTTCAGCTCATACACGATTTCACTCAGGTTTTTTTTATCCACGTCTGATAATAATGAAAGAGAGTCTGTACATTCTGTCGCAGATACCGCAAGGTTTATGGGCTTGGCTCCCTTCTTCCCCTTCTTGGAAGAAAGCGGTATATCCTCACGAACAGGCCACGGAATGTTCAAATCATAAAACATTTTCGCCGCTGGAAGCGTGTGATTTGTGAGGCGTGACAAGTGGAGACTGGCGGAGCTGCCATTAAAAACAAAAATTTCCTATCCACATGGCAATCACTGAGGTACAGTATGACATTTCGTTTCCTATACAATGATATCAAATATGTTCGTTCGTGAGTTCATCAACCATATCATCTAAAAGCTCATAAATTAAATGTTTGTTTAATCGTCGGTTTTGCACCACGTTCATTAAAGCATGAGCGCCAAGCTTGGCGCGATCTTGTCCAAGAATGTGATCGGCATATTCTTCTTGTCAGTAGGATATTGACATACCTGATATAAAAGTCGCCAACGTACTGGCTGCTTCCGTGTGAAGTAAATTCTGCTCTTCCCATGTTCGAGTGACTCGAGTTCTTCGCTTGAAAACATCACCATCAGGCCATAAAACCGCGGTAATACGATGCAAGCCGGCCTTTAGGTTTTTAGGGGCACATGTTTTTTGCAGCATAGTATTCAGCCAGCTGTCATTAGGCTCTAATAAGTAACATACCTTTGTATAGTGCTTCCAAGGAGATTCTTTAGCACCACCAATATTGCTTTACGCCTAAGCCATTCCGCCTTTTGATTGAGCTTAAAAACCACAATAAAAAAGTCACACAAGGGGGCAATAAAGTGTACTTCTTTCGAGGAGAGGGACATGTCTTTATCTTGAAGATTGTTATAAGAAAGAATCACTTGCTGAAGCACAGTGTCAAACATGGAAGGACGGAATTCACCCACTAAATTATCAACGCCATCTGCAAATCCTGTTACTTTTCCAAGGACTGTTTCAAACCAGGTCGGATCGACCATTTTTTGGTCGGGAGCGGAATTGACGTCTGAAAGAAATAGCTTCATGATACGAGAAGTTCGAATCTCTGAATTCGAAATAGCAAGCTTTGGTTAGCTTAGGCACACATACCTGAAGATATTTTTCTAGTGCTTTTCTCCGAGTTTCCACGTAGGTTGAAGTGGTTGAGCCGACAAACTTTCTGCCTGGAAACATCATATCGTACATTCGAGCAGCCCGAAATCGCTTTTTTAGGGCTTGATGTAATTCCCGAAAGGCAGAGTAACGTCTGGATACTGTCCAAGACCGAATGATGGGTTCGTCGTTAACTGCATTTGGGGTGCATAGTTGCACAGTCACGATATAAAGGATGTAAGGTTGGCCAGGCTCATCTTGACACAAGGAGGTATCGTTAATGAATACGGTAACCTTCTGTTTAGGATCAGGGTCAAAAATACGATTATAGCGAATCATTCGAGTTCGAAGGGCTTGGATTTCCCGGTCGATGCGAGTGGTATCGCATTCAATCATGTCTTTCGACTGTTCCAAAACATGTATCTCATCTGCACTGGATCCTGCCAATTCTGCTTTGCTGAGCATGACTTCCGCGAGCTCAGCCTGTTTTTTAAGATTCCGCAACTTGTCTTGAAGCTGAGTGATTCTCATAGAATATTGGCGGTATTCTCCCAGCGATGTATCTGACAAAGTCTTCACCGAACGGGGTAAAATAGTATGAGCCGAATGACTTTGCTGATCACTGTTTTCAAGAAGAATAGAATGGGTATCATCTTGAGACTGTTGCTTGTCCTTAGAAACAGTATCCTCTAAAAACAATGGATCCTGGTCAAATAGAGGCTTCCGAAACAATGAGTTTCCTTTGGTTCTTGATCCGTCGCCTTGGCCTAATAGAAATCCATATTGAATGGGAATTCGATCATCATGCAGTAAATCATGTAGTAGATTGGCTTCCACATGATCTGCCATAGAATCATTAGAGTCAGTGTCCCACTCTGGAGCGTTGGGACTGTGCGTAGGTGGTGCATTCAGAGTGCGGAAATGGTTAAAAAATTGATGGAATAACAGGGAGTCTTGGAATAGGCCCCAATCGTACTCTAGCATCAAGTCTAGTGCATCCATCTGAGCAAGAAATACACTTTGCTTTATCAGGTAGACCTGATGCTCTGAAAACAAAAGGTCTGTAGAATAGGCAGAAGCTATTTCCGCGATCAATCGGCAAGCTTGTCGCACGGGGAATATAGGCGACTCATAGTACGCCAAAATGGTGCCAATGGTGTCTCGCAACAAGTCAGAGTCAGCGCTCATGAGAGTTGTCTGGTTTCCCTGCGTGGATTTCCAGCTTTTTTCTGTCAGTTGAGCCTCGACATTGATGTCCACCTGTTCCAATGGATCTTTGAACGCGTTCACAAAGATCCAAAACTGAATCAATGGAGATCGATTTCGACGTTCCATAAACTCGATAAAGTTGGATAGGCCCACAGAGTCGTGCAGCGTATCAAGGAGCGTGACTGATGTACTTCTTGAAGGCGACAAAGGCGAAGATACTGAGTCCGATGGGCTTGGTTCCACCTGCTTCCCTTCAATCTGCTCTACACGCTCTTGGACTAAATTCAAGGCCAGCTGAATTCGTCGAATGGCACCGGCAGAACTTGCTTTTCCTTTACCGTTTTTTTGATCCGTACCACGTACTTCTTCACTTTGGCGTCGATCCAGTTCGAGCAGCAGCCCGTCTCGAATACGATGAAGCTCTAGCAGAGAGTTGGTGGCAGCGAGCAATGCGCGAAAGGACGTCCATTTGTCAGTTGAGGTGCTCTTGGTATGTTCGATCTTATTATACTTTTTTCTTCCATTCTTCGCTTGGGATCCAGCTACTGCACGAGATGGATGAGTCTTTCCCTGTGTCTGTGGCGGGGAATGCATGGTATGTCCCTTGTCGGAATGCGACTTGGCGCTCAGGTTCCGCTTCAGTCGATGCTGCAAAGTTTGCAGGACCATTTCATTGATCCAATCTGGGTCACTGGCCATATCAATCACAGGGTACAAAATCGAGCACGAAAGCACTTCACGAACGAGGGCCATGCTGGTAGGTGTCCATGTATAATGAGCAGGTGTAAGAGCCCGCAGAAGACGCTCTGATAACGTCCGAAGATATACAAGCTCAGATACCTTGGAATCCAAGCTCGATGTCGTGCCTACCGCAGGGTGAAGTGGCCCTTGGTACTTGCTCGCCAAAAGCAGTTCGTCAAACTTGTGGTGGAAGGCAGTGGTTTTCTGCGTGCCATAGGTATCTAGTTCGGCTTGCTCAAAGCGCCGAATATGCTCTACAATGGTAGGCATGGCATGTTTCATGAGAAATTTGAGCCAATCCGAGGTGCTGGCGCGTAGGAAGAGTGCATTGACGCATGAAGAGATCCTATCCTCGATCAGCATAGGAAAAGCTAGGGCGTCCTGGCTGGTCTCTCCTTGCACCAGCACATTGTGCCAGGTACGTATAAAGTCACGTACAATGAGATGGGCAAAGTCTTGTGTTGCGTCGTTGCCTTGAAGAAGGGGCTGGTCCGGCTCAGGCGCAAACACCAGGGGCTCCGTATAATGGGGCATAGGCTTTACGGGGTATCGGCTTGTATACCATAGCAGACTTACACTAAGGCAGGCAAGCAGACCAACAGCACACAACAGTGCCTGTAGAAGCGATGCAAGCCCAGACGCCAAGAAAAGCAAGAGCTCGCTCATGCTAGTCTTTGGATGACCCATGCTGGAGCACTCGCCCATCCACGCGGCGCACGGACAGCGACGCCTACGAAGCTTAGCTAATCCGAAGCGTTGAGGGGCCCCTAGCTTCATTCATGCTGTCATTGCGCCGCGTTCCTCGTCTGTTTCGAGCCCGACCTCTAATGACAGCTACGCAAGCCTCGCAAATCGCTCCTCTTGTGTCCCAGCAATATGATAAGGCCATTCGTGAAGGCGATGCCTTTTTTTATGATTCGGATGTCCATGTCATTGAGCCACGTGTGGGGAAAGACGAAGAGAGCATCAAGACGGTGCCATGGCACGTCCGTAATGTGCCTGCTCTCTTGAAGAAACGGCAAGCGAAGAGTGAGGAAACTAAAGAGAAGGAAAGCAAGCCGCAGCAGAATTCGTCCGATGTCTTTGCTCCGCCGTACGTACCCAACTTGCTGGTGAAGGAGGGGCCCGACTTCACAGTCTTGGTACGTTGTGTGTATCTGACCTTGGAAGCTCAATAAATTTTGTGTGCAGCCACGCCATTTCCTTATTGTGACGCGAGGTACGTGAAAGAATACTTACTTCTAGACTTTTCCAAGCAAGAGCTTCCACCATCTCCAACCATGCTGTCGACCGTCTACCGAATTATCCAGGCCCACACCCCCGCCGCAGATCAAGAAGAGTTGCTTGGCTTTTACAACTGTGGGCCAAACAGTGGCGCATCGCAGCCGCACTGCCACTTTCAATTGCTGCCGTTAACGCCGTCCGATGGCGTTTCGCATACCGTACCCATTGAAGCGCTTCTTGATCGGATTGAACGTGACGGCAAAGAATTTGGTACGTAACTACCTTGTGGGACGTTAATTGTAGAACATATCCATGCCCTACCGGTGCCTTGGCGCCACTTTGTCGCCCTTTTACAGCCACCGGAAAAGGAGGAGGATTTCGAGGCATACCTCGGCATGCGGTTTTCTCAGCTTCTCGAAGCCATGTTTGCTAGCGCCCTCGACAACAACGACGAAAAGACAGCAAAGCAAGGCATGCCGAGTTTCAATATTCTTATGACCAAGCGTTCCCTCCATGTCATTCCGCGCCGTCATGAGTCATTTGATATGCGAGAGGCTGGCTGGGATGCTTACAGCGACGCAGACGCCGTGCCAGAAAAAACAGGTACATTGAGTATCAATGCGTTGGGTATGTCGTATATATCTACTCATGATTACAGGATATGCTGGTATGCTTCTGACTTGTCACCCTGTCGAGTTGGAAACCTTATGCAAGGAAGACCAGCGTCGTATCTCGCAGGTGTTAACACACACGGGCGTGCCTTTTTAAGAGACTTGTCTCTTACGTTAGGAGTTTGTTGATATTGGCCGCCAAAGCCACAATCATGACAATAACACCATACGCGCCCAATACCATAGACAACGAATAGTTTATCGTTCGCTGTCCGTTGGCAAAAATACAGCAATAGATCACAGAAGGCAGGATAAACGAAACAATCGAGCTGCCAATCGAGCCCACAAACCCAAGGACGATCGACAGGTCATCCACGGCAAGGGCGACCGTGATCCCCGAGAGCATCATACCGAGGGTCAATGCATTCCAGCTCCATGTCGATAAAGGCCGATACGTAGAGGAGCGCGAGCCTGTACCAGAAGGTACTAAATGAGCTTGTTCGTCCATCGTCTCAGGCAGACGCACAGCATCGCGCTGCCAGTAACGCCAGAGGCTAATAAAGCTGGCTCGCGATGGATACAGCTGGACAGGGTAGCTGGTCAGTGCTAAAAAGACAACGGCCAACTTCCCAAAGCCGACAAAGAGACTCTTGTCAGGGTACATGGAAATGATATTGTCCGCTGCATGCGATCCAAAAGTAGCATAGCCGACGAGGCCCACAAAGAGGTAGACCATGGCACTCGCACTCACAGACGATACAGTGACTGTATTGGCACGCTTCAATGTACAGTTGTCCAATTCGCGATACACAGAGATGATGTTCTGAGCGCACGTGTAGGCGAACATCATGATCGGAAACGTGCGAATCGTATCGAACGAGAGCAGGACTGCATGAATAGAGCCTTTTTCTGGCATATGCGACGTGTTGCTGGCGAAAATAGCAAAGTACGTCATGATAAGGAGCAGGTAAGCCACAGCTCCCATGTTGATATAACCAACGATGCTCATCGAGTGCAGCTGGCGCACAAAGCAGAAGGGCGATATGCACACGAGAACCAAGACAGTCCATAGGAACTTGCTGTAAAGCACTTCAGGGACGGAGTCCGTATGGAACCCCATCGCATGGACTACACTCGCAAGGACTTGTGGCATCAAATTGCCGCTAATAATGAGGTAGGAAATGGTCACACCCCAGCACTGCATGGTCAGTCACGATAAAGCGTACCTTGAGGCCGATGGTTAGGTCAATGACCCACACATACGATGGCATTGCACGCAGGACCAAGTCATAAAAATCTGTAACAGTGCCTTCCACGGCATCACAGCTCAGTTTCATGAGATACAAGGCGTAGTTGGTCGTTGTAGCACAAAATACTAAGAGAATGCTGCCCAAGCACCACCCCATGCTGGTGTACGCATGAGGCAGGGCCAGCATACCAGCCCCAATAAGGGTGTTGGTAAGCCCGCTTATGCTCGATGCAATAGAAGCGCCCGGCATCGTGCGTACAGAAAACAAAGGACGGTCCAACTCTATGCACGTTAAGCGGCCTCCAGGCCGGGGGCGACTTGTCCCTTGGACGTTTCATTGCCACGTGCGGGTCCGAACGCAATCAACACTTGCAGATGCAACGCGGTGGCAATCAAGTCGCACGCGTCACGCCTTCTTCCTCAACGCATCATGGCGTCTCAAGAGCCGGCAGACGTAAACGGGACCCTAGAGCCGATCGAAGATGAAAATTTTGGTCCTCTTCCCATCTCTAAGATGGAGGTACGTACGACCACTGCTCATTCCACAGGAATTTGGCATATCCGCTTCCGACTGTAAGAAACTCAAGGAAGCTGGCTTCCATACGCTCGAAAGTGTCGCATTCACGCCCAAAAAGACGCTGCTCACGATCAAAGGCATGTCAGAGCAGAAAGTTGATAAGATCCTAAGTGAAGGTATGCACTGAGAAACTCACTCGTAGCGGCCAAACTCGTGCCAATGGGTTTCACAACAGCGACAGAATACCATCAGCGCCGTTCGGATCTGATCACCATTACCACAGGCTCCCCAGCTCTGGATCTGGTAATTGGTGGCGGTGTTGAGACGGGAAGCATCACAGAGCTCTTTGGTGAATTCCGTACCGGTAAAAGTCAAATCTGTCATACACTCGCCGTGACATGCCAGGTACGTAGGCCCGTCACTCACAGGCAGCTCCCGATAGAAATGGGTGGTGGTGAAGGAAAATGTTTGTATATTGATACGGAAGGAACTTTCGTACGTATAATGCCCTCTCACATGCAGCGACCTGTGCGTCTGCTCGCTGTCGCAGAACGATTCGGTTTGGATGGCGAAGAAGTGTTGGACAACGTGGCCTATGCGCGTGCATACAATGCCGATCATCAGCTGGACCTCCTGGTACAAGCAGCGGCCATGATGGCAGAATCCCGTTTTGCTCTATTGATTGTCGACTCACTCACCTCCCTATACCGTACAGACTTTTCTGGCCGTGGAGAGCTCTCAGCTAGGCAAACACACTTGGCCAAGTTCCTACGCACATTGATGCGCTTAGCAGACGAGTTCGGTGTGGCTGTCGTGGTGACAAATCAAGTCGTCGCCCAGGTGGACAATGCCGGGTTTGGTGGTATGGACACAAAGAAACCTATTGGCGGTAATATTGTCGCTCATGCGTCGACAACACGGTACGTTGTACCTATCTTTCCTTACCATCAGAATTTCGCTGCGGAAAGGCCGCGGAAACCAGCGTATTGCGCGTGTCGTTGACTCACCTTCGCTCCCTGAGGCGGAGGCCGTCTTTGCGATCAAACCAGAGGGTATTGCGGATCCGGTATGTCATTCCTTCGCGCACTGACCATGACTAGGACGATTAGCTGCGCGACGCGACCCCTCAGTATGTGGAGAAATGAGCACATAGCCGTCATCGTAGTCCTTGTCTCCACATTGTTCGCCCACACGTCCGTCATGGCCAAACGAAATGATGGATCTGTGCCATTGGCAAGCCTAGATCCTACAGAAGCATCCACGAAATTTCAGGCCATTTGGAGCTCGACATTCTCCATCATTCAGGAACGGAACAGACTTGCACATGAAATTGCGTCGAGCACAGACACATCTGACCATGCATTCCTTCGAACATTCCCGTACTTTAGCCGTGATAAGATCATCGAAAAGCACCTTGGCACACTGATGGAAGCGTTAAATACGTGGAAAGCGAGGAATGCTTTAAAAGGGGACGATATAAACGATGTCCCGACCTCAGACCAGTGCAATAACTGGACCGCTTCCGTGGCGCAGCTCACTGACTTACTGGGGCAAGCACATCAAATCTTGAACGATCCGCGCGGCTGCGAGATACTACAGCAGTTACGTACAAAATATCCTCATGTATGTGAGCCTCATTCCGCACACACGCAGCCAGACGATAACGAGGACGTCGAGCTGCCAAAAGACCACTTATCACGATCTGATGTGTTTCAATATGTCGATACCATGAAGTCAGACGACCTAGACATGGGAAAGCCCCTTCCTTCACTAGATGAGCGTGAAGTTGCAGCGCACCTAGCCCAAAATAAGGCGTGGGAAGAACAAGATGCGCACTTGGATAATCTGAGTGCGTCGATATCCCGGCAACACAATCTCAGCTTGCAAATGAATGAAGAGCTTGAACTTCAGACAGGTCTTTTGCACGAATTGGATCAAGACGTGGAAGCTACAGGTCTGCGCCTTGGAGGAGCGAATACACGAATGGACCGCTTTCGGCAGAGCTTAAAAGACCAAGGTATGCGAAACCATACTTACAGACAGGTTCACTATGGATGATCTTTTGTCTTATTATTGTGTTAGTCTTGTTGATTGCGCTTGTCAAATAGGGGTATAGTAGCCAGATGTCTAAAGTCGGCTGTCCAACGGGCAGCACAAAAAATCTACAAAGGCATTGCCTGATTCAGACACAGAATGGGGTCGAGATGCTGTCCGAGCACCTGTGATCATAAACTGAACACTAAGCATGCCATGAGTATCGGTGCGCAGAGATGTTTTAAGAGAATGCCGAAGGGCAGGTACCATGTATCCGACGCATTCAATGGGGTATCCATGGCGAATAGGCTCCAAACATACGAACTTTTCAGTGATCACCTGATCGTACGGAAACTCAATCTCTGTGCTTCCATAGTGCCCTTCCGTGGTGAGTTGGAACGATGCAGAGAGGGCATGACTAGCAGGTGTGAATGCGAGTTGGAGCTGCGACTCGCCTGAGCTACTGAGCTCCTGAAAGGCCGGAGCAAGCTGCGCAGACTTCATGATAACTTGTGCCGTGGTCTGATCGGGATTGAAGGTCAGTTCAGAAGTGAGCGGTGAGTCAAGAGTACGCAAGCGAAAACTGGTCTCTAGCCGACCGTTTTGCATGTGAAGGCAAAGTGGTTCACCAACCTTTTCATAAACAATGTCAATATAGTTCATCGGCTCCGCAGAGAATCGAGCAGATGGACGCGAAGATGGAGCTGAAACCCTAGACTCAAACACAGCAAAGCACGATACAAGTACTTTAAGGTTGATTTCAAAAGCGACGCAGGGCGTCAGGGATTCATCAGGATCAAGTTCTTCGTTTCGCTGCTGCTCGAGAGAGAGCCAATTCTCAGGCGCATGAAAAGAGTATCGATCAAAAATGGATGCGTAGAGATAAGCATGGGCTGCGTGTAAGAATACCTGACTGTCCGTACCTTGAACAATATGATTGGCCTCTGTCACAACTTCGATACCCGACGCAGAGAGTGTAATGCGTGCAAAAGACGAAAAATGGACAGCCCGTAGCGTCGAAGCAAGCATCGAAATATCAGAGAGTCTGGCATGAAGCACCTTGCCAGAGTGCCCATTGGCCGCCATCCTCCTTGAGACGCGTACGCTTGGAGAAAGTGGCCCCTGCTCGTGTTCATTTGCGTAACGTATCACGTGCATCGAAACGAAGTTGGCTGGCTGACTGGTTGACTGGGCGCTGCTGCTACTCTCCACATTTGAGATCGCATTGGCGAGAGTGCAAGACGACCATGCCAGACTCAGCAACCGAGCCTGCAGTACGGGTATGTAAATGCTTATACGCTTATCATAGGCGGCTCCTTTGACATGCCCTGGGCACACGCGACCTGTTGTGCATTTGGAGCACTCCCAGAAACAAGATGATGGAACATACTTAATGTTGTCAAGCTGCAAAGATGGTAGCCCCATGTACGTTTGCTTTCAAATCACTGACTGCTAGGCTACGTGACTGGTTAGGGGATTGGGTTGGTACCTTCTTGGGTACGTTTGGAGAAAACTGATGCCAGGTCACAAAGGTGCTGTGTGGAGCGCCAAGCTCAGTGGTGGTGATGCGGCGCGTGCCGTGTCAGGTAGTGCCGATTTCTCAGCGTATGTATGGCCCAAAGCTCATCGCATAGCAAAGTATGGGACACGTATACGGGTGAATGTCTACACACATTCCCACATCACCATATTGTGCGCACCGTTGCTGTGGATGCGAAAGCCAACAAGATGTTGACTGGTGGCAACGAAAAAACGCTACGTCTGTTCGATTTGGGAAAGCCACCCAGCCATGCGGACGAAGCGCAAAGTTTTCGACCCCGAATGCCTGGCGAAGACACATCAACGCATGAAGGACTCATCCGCAGCGTTGTCTTGGGCCGTGATGCGAATACAGAGAACATTGTGGTGACGGCTTCGGAAAGCAAACTGATTCAGTGGTGGGATCTACGATCAATGGAGCCTGTACATGATATGGTACTAGACCATCCATTTGTATCGATGGAACGGTGTGTTGGTTCTTTCGGAGAGTACGTCACGGTGACCGCTGGCCATGATGCCATGTTTGTGGATTTGGGCACCCATGAAGTGGTTCGAACACATACACTTGATATCACGCCCTCATCGATATGCTTACACCCTACGCAGGCCGATCGGTTTGTGGCGGGATGCACGTCAGACGAGTGGGTGCGGATCTACGATTATGAATCAGGAAAAGAACGTGAGCTGCATAAAGGACATCATGGTCCAGTCCACTGCGTAAGTTACTCGCCGGATGGGGAAGTCGCAGCAAGCGGCAGTGAAGACGGTACGTTATGCAAAGTACGCATTGACACGTGCAGGTACGATTCGACTGTGGCAGACCAACCCCGGTGCAAAATATGGCCTGTGGTCGTGACGTAGCACACCGGGCTATCCAACCTGATATGAACCCTGTGACATAGACAAAAATAGATGCGAAGGTTGTATTGTATGCCCGATGATAAAAGTAGGATGAGGATCAGCTTTTGACGCATGCTTCGATGAGAAAGGTATTCAATTGTGTTACGCTATAAAGGACGAATATATGTACACTGAAGCTACTACAATAAACTGGCGCGAGCGATGGACTTGCTAGGTAAGTGCCTACCTTTGGTCTTATATCTCAGAGCTGCTAGAGTCTGACTATTTCAACGTCGCCAAGCCGCATTTGTGTACGCATGCTGGATGTGCCAAAGCGTTTGCACGACGTTCAGACCTTCTGCGGTATGTCGAGCAAGCCTAACAAAAGCCATGTACGTATTCACACCCAAGATCGCCCCTATGTATGTCCTTTCCCAAACTGTGACAAGCGTTTTATCCAAAAAAGCGCATTGAATGTTCATATTAATGTGCATACGGGCGCTAGGCCTTATGTGTGCACGGAGTGCTTCAAAGCGTTCGCGGATACAAGCTCCCTAGCGAGACACCGACGAACACATTCCGGGAAGCGCCCATACAAATGCCAAGTGCTTGGGTGCGGTAAGGAATTCTGCCGGCGTACGACCCTCACACGGCATGTAAAGCGTGTGCACCCTGAAGAGGACCGACCCATGACACCGTCATCTGTTCTTACATTCCCCGATATGCCACCGGTCCCTCCGATCACAGCTATCAAGTCGGAGCCTGTCGCGAAAGGTATGGCAACAGCAGCCGAACGACAGCAGCCAGTGCTCCTTGCGCCCATGTCAGCACCTGTGCGTGGCTCTTGTATGTCATGGCTTACGACGCCACACCCCAAGGATGCTACGCCGCTTTCTCCCATATTCCCTACGCCAACAACAGCACTTTCGGCTCCATGCGTACCGCCCCCACCACCACCGCCGATCTTAAGCCCGATCCCAACGCCTCCAGCGACAGCTCCGTGCTTGCCCATGTCTGTCCCCATGCCAATTCCATCGCAGTCCATGATTCCAGGTGCATCAGGAAGCAAGATGGATCAGATCACACCTGTGCCCTTGGCCCTGTCTTTACCACCGGGCCCCGCACCGCCATCGTCGGCCGCCTGGTTGTCAACCATGAACCCCAACTTCCCACCGACACCTGTTACGCCATCTATGCCCATGCCGCTATCATTACCTGTTCCACAGAGTCCATCGTTCCCGAGTGGTCCGGCGCGAGGATGGCCCTGTCGTTCATAGCACTCCTGTAGCGGGAACCTACGGGCTGTGAATACACGTACGGAATGGTGGACCCTGCGCGGAGGCATCCAACCGAGATGGGTGCCTCCACATTCTCTCTGCGTATTGCAGCCAGACACAACGCGGTGTTGCGCGCACTCACGTGGCACGACAACGCAACACAACGTAAAACTTCCTGCACGCGCCGAGTGCATTGATAGATTTACCGACCACAGCTCAGAGAGATGAGCGTCGCGGCAGCCCCGCTGCCTGCGGCGGTTAGTACAGAACATGCTGTGAGTCATGCAGATGACGAGCTTGTAACACAAGTATGTCATCTCTACTACCAGTCCAGTTTCTATACACAGATTCAAGAGTCCGTGTTGTTGGTTGTGAATCCGTTTCGTCCGCCGATCGACGTGAACAGTGATGAACTGCTACGGGCGTACCAACGCGAGTTTCGAGATACGCGACTCATGGCAACAGGGAGCCCCTTGCAGCCTCATATTTTCCGTACGGCGTGCAATGCGTATTTCTATATGCAGCGCACCGGGCAGGATCAATGCCTCTTCTTTCTTGGAGAGACGGCCAGTGGGAAGAGTGAGACTCGGCGATTGGCGCTTCGGGCGCTTACCAACTTGGGTGTAGCATTGCCTGGAAAACGCGGAGCCCGCCTGGCCGCACAGTTGCCAGCCGCGCTTTATGCGCTTGAATGTCTCGGTCATGCAGCGACCGAGGAAAACATCAATGCCTCCAGTATGGCGTTGTATACCGAGCTGCAATTCAGCGAGCATGGCCGCCTGGTGGGTTTCAAAATGCTGAACTATTTCTTGGAACGTTCGCGTGTGTCGTTACTGCGGAACTCTGGCGCGCCATTCCATATCTTTGGCATGCTCATGGCCGGCGCTTCGCCAGAAGGCCGCCAGCGATGGCGTTTGGACGATGCGCCTATGCGCCTTCTGGGCCATGGCCGTGATCATCCGTCGTCTGACATGCGTCGTGCAGCCGACTTTACGCGATGGACGGATGCGTTGGCGTTGCTAGGCCTCACGCCCGTACAACGAAATTCGATCTTGGATGTGTTTGCGGCCATGCTGCATCTTGGCAACCTGGAGTTTGTCGAGGAGGATGGTCCGCATTCGGCGGCGCGTGTCACGGCGGAGGAGTCGCTGTATGTGGCCGCGTCGTTGCTGGGTGTAGGTGCCTCGGCGCTTGCGAATGCCATGACGCATCAGACGTCGAGTGTGCATGGCAGTCGATATACGGCGATGCTCAGTGCCGAGTTTGCCGCACGCAATCGCGATAAGCTGCTTCGCATGCTTTATGCGCTCGTATTTGCCTGGCTCAACGAGCACATCAATACGTGCTTTTCGCACGAGAATTACGATACCTATGTGAGTTTGCTGGATGTGCCGGGTTGGCGGAATCGGCTGCACAACCATTTGGATGTGTTTGCAGTGAACTTTTTGTCAGATACAGTGCACAGACACATGACGCGGGTCATGCTGGAACGCCGTATTGACGAGATGGAGCATGAAGGACTCTCCCATTTGGCGCCGCTGCCTGTGGCTGCGGACGAGTCGGAGCGCATGCGGTTGTGCACGCACTTCCCTGGTGGCCTCATCCACATTATGGACGACCAAACGCGACGTCGACCACGCAAGAATTCGCAGACGATGGTGGAAGCGATGCAGCGACGATGGGTCAACCATGCTGCATTCCATACCGAGAGTCTGGATGGGGCGGGTTCGCGTGCCTTCACAGTGACGCACTTCCACGGCGGCGTGGCGTACGATCCGCACGGCTGGCTGGAGTACAATGACGAGGCATTTACCCTCGAGCACGTCTCGCTGCTGCGTGGTTCGTACGGCGCGGCAGATGGGACTAGTGGCTTTGGCTCGTCCAGTGCTTTTGTGCGTGGCCTCTTCCGCCATGCCCCCGACCTGCCGCACGCGACGCAGGCCGAGCTGCGGCCGGCGCGTCTGCCCAGCATTCGCCGCGTGACGCGGCAAAAGACGTTGCGCGCTGCGAATTCACGTGATCCGAACGACGACGACGTGTATGGCGGCGCGCTGCAAGAGCAGGCACCGGCCGCAAAGAATGTTGCGCCGTGTGTGCTGGGCGAACTACGTACGTCGCTGGGCACGTTACTGGATGTGGTCGACGAGGCGAAGGCATGGTTCGTGCTGTGTGTGCGGCCCAATGGGAATGCGCTGCCGAATCAGTGTGAGCCACGTATGGTGCGTCGCCAGATGCGGGCGATGGGCGTTGCGCGATGGCGTGCAGGGCATACGAGTGACTACAGTGTGACGCTGACCTATACGGAATTTTGTGATCGATACGGCACGCTAGACCAGTTTGAATCGATGCAGATGCTAGGCGCGCCTGCGTCGGAAGCCAAGATGCGGGTAAGCGATGCGTGTGCGTTGATGAACTGGAGCGATAAGCATGTCGCGATGGGGATGCACAAAGTGTTCTTGTCTCATACTGTGTTCCGTGAGCTGGAAGATGCGCTACGAGCGCGTGATCCTGACGAGATGCAGTACCTGTTGCGCAAGGCGGCGGCTGACGATGAAGCGGCTGCGCTGGGCTTGCACGATGCCTACTCGCCATACTATGGGCAGGAGATGGCGAGCGATGTGCCGTGGGCTGGCGAAGGTGCGCAGGCGTCAAGGACGCCCGTCGAGAAGGAGACGGCGTCGCTGCAAGGTACGCCGCACTTTACGTACGAAGGCGAGTACGACGAGAGCGAGGTGGATAGCTTGCTGCGTGGCGCCGACTCGCAAGTGCTCCTGGACGATGCGCTGGATAGCGGGCCTGGCGAGGCGGCGCCGTCGCATGGCCCACGCGTCGCAGAACAACTGCGTATTTCGAGCGAGCGACGGCACTGGGTGATCTTCACGTGGCTCCTGACGTTTTGGATGCCGTCGTTTATCCTGGCGCGTTTCCGGCGGTACAAGCGGTCGGATGTGCGTATGGCGTGGCGCGAGAAGTTGGCGATCAACATGGTGATTTGGTTCATTTGTTTGTGCTCGATCTTTGTGATTGTGTTTTTAGGCGACGTGGTATGTCCACGCCAGCACGTGTACAGCACGGATGAGCTCGCTGCGCACAAAGGCACTGATGCGTTTACGGCGATCCGTGGCGAGGTATTCAACCTGAACGGGATCATTGGCGCGCACATTGCTACGATCCCTGTGGTCACACGCAAGTCGCTGATGCAGTACGCTGGCACCGACGCCACGTCGATCTTCCCTGTGCAAGTCAATGCGCTGTGCAATGGCCCGAACGGCCCGATTTCGCCGTGGGTCACGCTGGACAATGCGAACAGCACGGATCCCAATGCCAAGTACCACGATTTCCGTGCGTACCAAACGAACGACGTTCGGCCTGACTGGTACTATGAGCAGATGTGGTACATGCGCGACATGTACCGCACGGGCTTTGTGGGGTACAAGCCGAACGAGATCGATGATATGCTCAAGGATGGACGTACCATTGGCGTGTACAACAAGTACGTGTACGACCTCACCTCCTACGTCGCCCAGGGGAACCAGGGCGGCTTCAAAATGCCGCCGGGCGTGGCGCCGCCGCCAGACTTGGATCGCACGATTCTCTCGCCGAACATTGTGCAGCTGATGATGCAGAACCCTGGCAAGGATGTGCACAAGCAGCTAGATACGCTGCCGTTGCCGCCGGATTTGCTGAACGACCAACGCACATGCCTGCGCAACTTGTTCTTTATCGGAGTCGTGGATGAACGTACCTCGGCGCGATGTACGTTCTCCTCCTACATCTTGCTGGCCATCTCGCTGGTCATGGTCGCGACGATTGGCTTCAAGTTCTTTGCAGCGCTGCAGTTTACCAAGCGCTCACCGCCAGAAGAGCACGACAAGTTTGTCATTTGCCAGGTGCCGTGTTACACCGAGGACACGGATTCGATGCGCAAGACGATCGATTCCATCGCACGTCTCCGGTACGATGATCGTCGGAAGCTCATTGTGGTGATTTGCGACGGCAACATTGTCGGCGCGGGCAACGATGCGCCTACGCCGGAGCTCGTCCTGGAGCTGCTGGGCGCCGATACGGAGGCGCATGTGGAGCCACGCAGCTTCCTCTCGTTGGGCGAGGGCACGAAGCAGCACAATATGGCAAAAGTGTACAGTGGACTGTACGAGCATGCTGGCCACCTGGTGCCGTACCTGGTCATCGCCAAGTGCGGTCGGCCTGAGGAGCATGCGCGCCCCGGCAATCGTGGCAAGCGCGACTCGCAGCTGATCCTCATGCGATTCCTCAACAAGGTGCACTTTGGCTCGCCGATGAGTCCGTTGGAATTGGAAATGTACCACCACATCAAGAACATTATCGGTGTGAACCCGACGTTCTACGAGTACTTGCTGCAGGTCGATGCCGATACGGAGGTCGAGCCTGCGGCGCTGGGCCGTATGATTGCAGCGTTCGTGCGTGACAAGAAAGTGATTGGCATGTGTGGTGAGACGGCGCTGGCCAACGAGCAGCAGAGCATCATGACGATGCTGCAGGTGTACGAGTACTACATCTCGCACTACATGGTCAAGGCGTTTGAGAGCTTGTTTGGCTCGATTACGTGTTTGCCAGGCTGTTTCTCCATGTTCCGTTTGCGTGCGCCCGACACGCATCGGCCGCTGTTCGTGTCGAATGCGGTGGTCGACGACTACTCGGAGAACCGCGTAGACACGCTGCATTTGAAGAATCTGCTGTACCTGGGTGAGGATCGTTACCTCACGACGCTGGTGCTCAAGCATTTCCCCGACTACAAGACACAGTTCATCCATCAGGCCAAGTGCTGGACAACCGCGCCAGATAGCTGGAAAGTGCTGCTTTCGCAGCGCCGTCGCTGGATCAACTCGACCGTGCACAACTTGGTCGAGCTGCTCAAGACGCCGCAGCTGTGTGGTTTCTGCTTGTTCTCGATGCGGTTCATTGTGATGATCGATCTTCTCTCCACGATCATTGCGCCAGTGACCATTGGCTACCTGGTCTACCTTGTGATTGTCGTCGCGGTGGACGGCGGAACGATCCCGCTCACGTCGATCGTTCTGCTGTGTGCGATTTACGGCCTGCAAGCGATCATCTTTATCCTGCACCGCCGCTTCGATATGATCGGATGGATGGTGGTGTACATTTGCGGCCTGCCTCTCTGGGCCCTTATTCTCCCGCTCTACTCGTTCTGGCACATGGACGACTTTTCGTGGGGCAATACACGTATTGTCACAGGCGAGCATGGCGAGAAACTATTGGTCCACAATGAAGGCCACTTTGATCCCAGTGAGATTCCGCACATGACATGGGAAGCCTACGAAAATCAGCTGTGGGAGCACCGATCCCAGCAGACCGACGTACCGCTCAGGCTTCGTCGGCCGCCCAGTTTCTTGTCGGAAGACGACGCAGCCTCAATGCTCTCCTCGGCCATGCATGCCAAGGCGTACCAAGAAACGCCGTGGGCCGACGACGCCTCGTTGATGCCGATGCAGGATCGGTCCAGCTGGCTGGGCGAGTCTGCGCCGGAGAAGGACGCGATGGGCGCCTGGGGCCGTCCTGCGCAGGCTTACCAGGAAGCCGACCTGCTAGGCGAACCTATGGCGCCGACGCACACTGTGACAGAAGGCCGCCCGCCGCATGGCCGTCTCCCGCCGAACGAAATAATTAGGTTGGACATTCGACGCCTGCTCGCAGAGAGCGACTTGACCACCGTGACCAAGCGCCAAATGCGCGCTCGGCTCCAAGACTTGTACGGGTGCTCGATTGAGGAGAAAAAATCGTACATCAACGCCCAAATTGAGACAGCGCTGCGTGAGATGTAACATGACCCACGCAGGATCATTGGCAGTGTCTACTCTCATGATAGCTATGTATATACAGTAGCTTAACGAACGATTTCACGGTAAATAAGCTCTTTCAGGTGAGCACGCGATAGCGGCTCCTTCGCAAAGTCCGCATCAAAGAAACCAGGGCTCAGGGGCGGTGCATTCGGCTCATCACTTGGGTCATGGTACGGCTCCAAGTAGGGGTGGGCCAGCGCCTCTTCCACCGTGATACGCTTGCGCGGTGAGAACGTGAATAGCCGCTCCAGCAAATCCAGCGCCATAGGCTCAGCGCGTGGGAACAGGGTGGCAAAGTCCGCCCGCTGGCAGAAGGGTAACGAGCGAATATAGTCGCGTGAGCGTGATGAGGTAATGGCATAAAAATCGTCCATAGACGGCGTGCCGAGCACCTCGAGAATCAGCGAGAGTTGGTGATGGTAGTCGCGACCCGGGAAGAGCGGACGCGCATTCAGCATCTCGGCAAATATACAGCCTACCGACCATAAGTCCACAGCCTTGGTGTACTCTTTGAACGACAGCATGATTTCCGGCGCACGGTACCACCGCGTCGCCACATACTCGGTCATGAACGCCTTGCTATCCGGTTCAGGCTGCTCAGCGCTACGCGCGAGGCCAAAGTCGCAGATTTTCAAGTCGCAGTTTGCATTGAGCAGCAAGTTCGATGGCTTCAAATCACGATGCAGCACACCCGCTGAGTGCAATGCTTTAAGGCCACGCAGAATTTGGTACACAAAGTACTGGAAATGGTCGTTCGACAGGTCTTGCGTACGGATGACGCGGTGCATATCGGTCTCCATCAGTTCCTGTACCAAGTGCACCTCTGTAAATGTCTCGAGTGAGTCCGGCTGCAAGATATCGAGAATCGAGATGATATTTTCATGGTGAAAGTGGCGAAGCAGCCGGATTTCACGCAAGGTCCGCAAGCAAAACATCTGGTGGTCGAACGGCGAAATGCGCTTTACAGCGACTCGTGTGGACGTTGGTATATGCACGGCCGAGCTTAGCAGGGTCAGAGCGCCACACAGGAGATACGTACTATACGACACCATAGGCGCCCTCGCCGATCATCTTAATCAGCCGGTAGGAGCCGCCTAGCAAAGGACCTGCATTCGGGTCGGTCGCCGATGAATCCATACGTGCACTTGCGCGCTGCACTTCGTTGGCGGGAGGCGCCGTTTGCGCAGGTGCCACGGCAGCATCGTCTGTCCCTCCCATCCCAAGTGACAAAGAAGGAAGTCACGTTTTCGTGGGGCAAGGCCTTTTCCCACTGGTGTGGAGAGGCTTGTGGAAGGGCCTCCATGAAGCGAATATTTCCGTGGCGTCTAGGGCTTTCTTGGTCCTAGGCTTTACCCTCGCTGCTCAATCACGTGGTTGGATCGGTGATGTGCGGTGCGCGCCAAGCCACCGGTGTTAATGCAAGAGGCTCACGCCACTTTGTGGAGTCGTGCGCGCAGGCATATAAATTACAACCATTTCCGGGTGGCAGCCCATCAGAGCTTTGACCTAACCTTTGTCTGTTCAACAAAGAAGAGCTAGAGCGAGGTACTCTTGGCTAGCTATAAGCTACCAGGCCAGATGCGTCAAAGCCTATTTCCTACTGACCAAGCAAGACTTGCGTTTCAAGAGGCCTGCGTGACACAACTCACCGCCGTCTTGCCTACGCTGGTCTCCGCGCATGGACAGGATGGTCAGGCTTCCTCACCACTCCATAATTTTGAAGATACCATACGCACGCATCTCTCCGGCTTCAATCCTAAGAAGGTGGCGTTGATACTTGCTCAGTTGAGCCACGTGCCGGCCGCCACAACCATAACGCTGGTCGATACCAACGATGCTTTCTTGCGCTTTTTTGGGTACCAGCGCGCAGATGTCGTGGGTCAGGCACCAGGTAATGTATACCATATGGCGCAGCAAGAAGCCAATATATTAAACGCCCCCGATGCTGAACAGTGTTGGCTGAGTGCATGCCATGGCACCCAGCAGGAAACGCTGCTCCCTCTGCTACGGAAAGATGGGTCGCAGTGCCTTGTCGTTTGTTACTTACTCCCCCTTCCTCTTCCTGGAGGGACTACGTCGCAACCACAGTGGATTCTGGCTATACACGTGCCCGTCCCTTTCTACGAACCCTCTTCACCAGCCGAACGCAACTTGGTTCGTGGCACCAAGGCTCGCGTACAGGATCATATTGACGATCCAGATTCGGTGGACTCAATGCTCCATTTTATTGACGACGAATGGACGATTCATTTTGTCGTGCTAGGGCAGTCGCTTTTATACGTGTCCAATTCAGTTCAATTCCTGCTCGGATATACACCAGACCAACTGATTGGCGCCCCTGCCAGTTTGATTTGCGACGAAAACGACCTAGTTGCAATGCTGCACGATCTAAAAGAAATTAAAAACCAGCGGTCCCCGCGCGACTTTGGCAAGGCCGGGGTTGGCACGCGCATGCGATCGCCGCCTGCGAAACAACTAAAACCCGTACGGCTAAATGACCAGGTTACCTACCAGCCGATTCTGGCGCAGACGCAAGGCCTCTTGCGCATGCGTTCCAAGTTTGGAGCGATGGTGTGGATGGAAATTGCAGCTTCCTCTGTGATGCAGCAGGCCTCGTATGGGCGAAAGCAGCGGATGGTCATCGCCATTTCGGGCCGTCCACGACGCATGGCCGGGAAAAATGTGCAGACCCACCAAAGCGATGGCCTTCCCCTAGCGCGACCTACAGGCCCTCCTGTCCCTTCTGAGTCGAGACCCATGTGGCTGGCTTTGTCCATGACAGGTGTTGTCATTTCATGGCTCGAGACAGAGACGCTAGAGAGTATCCACACGACTATTGTCCAAACATGTATCCGCCAAGGCTATGTTTTACCGGTTTTGTTGGATGCCCAAGCCATGCAAGCAGCGCAGCAGTGGCTTCAGTCTTCGTCATCAAAGCCTATGAGTCTGCTCTCGCGCATTTGTACAACACAAATGGTGCTGACATGGATTCCTGCTGCATGGGGTCAGGCCGCCGATATTCTCAGACCCCTTGGCGCGCATGTATTGGTGCGCATTGATATGCCTTCGGGGGCGGACAAAGACTTGGTACAAAACAAACCGATGGACCCGCCGCCTGCCTTCCTGGATATACCAAGGGACCTGCACCCTGTGCGTCGACCCTTGGGTCCAGATGAGACGCTTTCGTCCACGTTAGCACCCCCTACGATACCATTGCATATGAAAACATGGCAGCATAATGACGTTACTATGCCTCCTTATTCATATACCCCCAACACGACCATGATGCCGCAACTCGCATGGAATACTGGAATGCCCATACCCTTACACACACCTGTGATACCCCTGGGCAAAGAGAAAGAATGCTCGGCCTCGATGATGAAACCCGCTACAGTAATGGAATTAAATGGCTCATCGAGTATTTCGCCGTCATTTGTGCTCCAAGCACCGACGACAGTACCTTCGCATTCTGTGCCAGAGCTGTACAGTATGTACGACCCTGTGTTGGGAGCCACACCTAGCCCCATGTCTCTTCCCTCGTCTACCACTGTGTCTGAACCTTCTCTGTTGGGCGATTCCATGGAGCCTGGCAATTGTGCGTCTTCGGCGCCACCGGTGTCAGACTTTTCTATGGACCAAACGCTGACCACTGAGAGCATAGACATGTTCCAACTCCCTCTGTGGTCGTTTGGGTCGGACAATCCTACGCATCCCCGAGACGAATGTATGACTATGGGAACCCATCAATGATGTCACATCGCTATGTGACTTGCTTATGAGAATGGTGTGGTTGTCCTTTTTTTGTTGTTCTTTTTCCTTTTTTTTATGGATTTGTTTTTATTTCTGTCCTTGGTGTATAGCAAATGTAGATGATCGGGAAATCAGATTTGGGCCGATTTCGTGAACTGCCAAGTTTTCGACACAAAGTGTTGTGGGCCGTGGAGGTTGTTTACATTTCCCTGATTGGACCTACGAGCATCAGCTACAGGCGCCCACTTGGGTGTTGAACAGGTGTCTTATTCGTTTCACCGCGAACTCACATCTCTCTTGCTTGCCATCGTCACTGTCTATGCCGACCTTACCAAACCTCCCCTCTGGATTTGGCAAGGACTCTGCATATCCACCGATGCCTTCGGTGTCACCTATGCAGTCGCCCACACGGCGACGACGGTCTGCACAGCCGTCTCCTGCTGCCAAGCCGACGGCCAGTGCGCCTCGCTTGGCGTTCATGACGGGCGAGCACAGTGATGCTGGTCTGACCCCGCCGCCTGCAATCGTGTATGGCATGCCTCGATCATCCTCTCATGATGACATTGCCCGTGTCACTACCGCTCACTATGAGCCGGTCAGTCAGGACGGCGCAGGCAGTCTCGAAGCGCCGATTCACCTCCGTGAAACTCAACAGCCCTCCTCTGCTATGCTTCATCCAACCCACACCCCATCACATTCCCAAGGTGGTAGTCCTGTCTATGAAGCACCTCGTCTGCGTCGCCCAGCAAGCCACCAACTGTTGCCGCCGTCGCAATCCCAGTCGAGGTCTACCAACCCTGGCGGATCGTCATCGACCGTCAGCTCCCAGCCTGCTGGCCGCATGAGTGCTCGCACATCCACATCATCGTCTATGATGTCGACAGGCTCTATGGATGCCTCATCCAGCTCATTGCCTGCTTCGTCACGGCCAACCTCAGCGTCGGGTGCCTCGGTCCTCTCGACTGGGCCTCGTCCAGCCTCTGCTGCCGCGGCCGCACCTCGACAAGGCGAGAGGCCACCACAGATGCGCACTGCTCCTTCACGTCCTTCGTCGTCGGGCAGTGGTGGCTCCTCACAGGCTCCCAGTGTCTCAACCTTGCCGTCCATCCGTGTGACATTGCCCGATGTTGAATCGCTTCAGAAGCAACGCGAACATGCAGTGACCCACGGCACAGATCTTGATCGTTTGCGCTGGTCTGTACAAGTTCTCAAGCTGGTGGAGCGTATGCAAACGAGCCAGGCACCGATCGAAGATCCTGTGCCTGGATGGATCGAAGAAGCGATCACACAAATTGTGCAAAGCGCGTCGCATCTCCAGCCAGAACCAGAAGCATTGTATGCCCGTGGTGACTTGCTAGCCAGTGGCGCCTTCCCCCAGTATGTGGCCAAGGATTTGCGATCGGCTTTCAGCGACTTTGAGCGATCTGCGAGGATGGGCTGGGCGCCCAGTTGGTTCCGTATTGGACGTGACTACGAGACGTTAGGCGATTTCGCGCGCGCTCGTACAGCCTACACACGAGGCATCCAAGTGAATGACGTGGGATCGATGTACCGTATGAGTATGGCGAAACTGCTGGGCCAGCTGGAAGTTTCTCAGGATACTATGGAAGGCGTAGCGCTCCTTCAAGCGTCTGCGGATGCTGCTACTGTCGATACACCGCACCCGGCGTACATTTACGCCCTGCTCCTTGCCGGAGAACTGTCCAGTGTACCTGTTCCGCTTGAGGCTTTCATCACGCCGGATATGCCATCGCCTACGCGTGCATCGCTAGCGCCCTTGGCCAAGCGTTATTTGGAGCGCGCTGCGTACCTCAACTTGGCGGCAGCGCAGTCCAAATGTGGCTGGTGCTACGAACATGCCCAGCTTTCGTTCCCCTTTGACCCGCTCATGAGTGTGCAGTACTACAGTGCGGCCAGTCAGGGTGGCGATCCCGAGTCAGACATGGCGCTGAGCAAATGGTTCCTGTGCGGTGCGGAGGGCTGCTTCGAGAAAAACGAGTCGCTGGCATGGACCTTCGCGGAGCGGGCCGCAAAGCACCATGTCCCTACCGCCGAATTTGCGATGGGCTACTACTTGGAAGTGGGTATTGGTGTCCCTATCAATTTGGAGCAGGCGCGTGTCTGGTATACCCAAGCGGCGGAGCATGGCAATGAAGATGCGAAAGAACGTTTGCAGGCGCTGAGCGCTTCTGCGTCTGGCCCACTTTCGCGAGCCGATCACCAGGAGCACTTGGATGAGCGTGTATATGCTGTGCATCAACGTGCACGTACGGCTTCTGGCGGCACCAACCCTGTGCCCAGTCCGACCATGGCAGCGTCTGGGGGTGATCTAGCGCGTCGACGAACGTTGCGGATGGCGGAAGACAGCGCACAGCGTCGGCAAGCGCCCACTACATCGTCACCGAAGCCAACACGTCCTAGCCAAGGACCAGCCCTGCCTGCCACGGCTGTCTCGTACCTGCACAACAACAAACCCGGCACGACATCTACGAAAAAAGGACCACAGACTTTCAGCGAAATGGGTTATACACCCAAGCCAGACAAGGAGTGCACCATATGTTGATAGAAAGATAATGTGCACAGGCTCTATGGACATCGCTCCCTATGCGCTAGTGCAAATGCGCTAGTGCAAGTGCATGTTGTAGAACGCTTGCTATCCATACGCGTCTACGAGAGCATGTTTTCACGTCATAAGCATGACTTTTACTTGCCCTGAGGAGCCTCCTTGAACGAGAGAGCGTGCTCCTCGTTCATGGCAGCCACGACGGTGATCATCAGGTCCTTGCCGTCCTCGAACTGGGCAGTGATCTGCTCACCGAGCTCACCCTCCGGGAGCTTCACATCGTCCTTCGACGAGCCATCGTTCGACATCAGGTTGAGGTAACCGTCGTCGATGTTGATCAGCTGGTACTCGCGACGAGTGACGTTCGGCACGTCCATGTTGTGGGTCGACGGCGAAATGTCTTCGTACTTGCGGTTGGTGAAGATGTCGGTAGCGACCAGGTGGACCTTGGCGTGACCGTGCTTACCGGTCTTCGAGGTCGACATGTCGATAATCTAGAAGCGTCAGTGTGCTTCACATAGATACATACCTTGCAGGGACGACCCTTGATCACGACGTGACCGTTCTTGCGCAGAGCCGAGCACTGCTGGGGGTAGGTCAGCGAGGCACCGGCGTGGGCGGTCTCGAAGTTCACGTTCTCAGCCTCGTTGTCAGACTGTAAGTGTCAGTATGCGCTCTTTCTCATCCCTGGCCAGTCTGCATGCTCCTTGTGCTGGACAGGGCTCACACGCCTGACCAAGCCACCGCCACGGGCCCCGTTACGTACCATGTCGTTGGTAGTGGGCACGAAAACACTAGAGGGAATCCACGAAGAAAACTGCGGCGAGGCTTTCTCCAAATCAATTGGAAAAATGCCCCTCCTTATTCACACGTTGACGTGAAAATGCCTCGCCCGATCGGGTACGAGACCCTCACCGGTGCTGCGGCAAGTCTCTCGGCCGGACGTGTTTTCGCTTTCCCAAATTTTTCTTCAGCGATGCCGAGCCTTCGCCCGGGGAGGGACGGGGCCTGCAAAACCAGCCACCCCGTCCGAAACGTGACTTCCTCCTCCTTGCCGCGTCCCGTGACTTGCTCGCTGCGAACGCGCAACGCGTCTGAATCCCAACACCGCGTATTGCTCCACGGCTAGGCTATTTCCACCTTGAGTATGACGCCCCCTACCGGAGCCGCACCTACGGCGCCTAGTGACGCGCCACAAGCGTACGTCGACCAGTCGTCGGCGTACCCTAACTCGGGCACCGCGCCGGAAGGTACAGACGCCACTGGTACGCGTACCTCCGATGGCAGCCAGAACCCCTCGCAATCGGTGATTGAGAAGGATGTAGGCACTATTCTGGCTGGTCTCAACCAGGAACAACTGGAGAGCATTGTGGCTGCAGCTCGTGCTACCGACGGTGGCGATCAACATGGCTATGGCTCGAACCAGTACGATTCCGCGAACGCTTTGGCGCATCTGCCACCTGGCCTGGGCCAAGCCGCGTCGACGCTGACGTCGTTTGCCTCCTCGTTCAAGCGGACGAATGCGGGTGGCATGGCCTCCGAAGATGACATGACGAGCGGTGCCGGCGGCCTCTCGGAGGCTTCCTCGCATCTGGGCGACGCACCTCCACCGCCCGGTATGGAGCATGATATGCAGCACCAACGTCATGTGCATGGCCAAGCGCACAAGGGCGGACCGTCCGCAGCGCATGACCCCGCTGCTACGGCTGCCGCGTTGGCAGCCATGGGCACGTTGGCAGGCCGTCAGCTCCCGCCGCACTCGCAGGCGCATGCGTTGGGTGAGCGCGACGCTACGTTGGGCGCCGACGCTGGCATGGATGCCAAATTTGTCAGTGACCATGCTCTGGGCAATGCACGATACAAGCGCAAGGGCCCTGAGCTGGATCGCCAACGCAAGGACAACCACAAGGAAGTGGAACGTCGTCGTCGCTCGGCCATCAATGACGGTATTGTGCAGCTCTCGCAGATTGTGCCTGGCTGCGACGTGAAAAACACCAACAAGGGCTCGATCATTATTGCGGCCGTGCGCTACATTCAGGACCTGAAGAACAATGAGGCGAGCAACATTGAGAAGTGGACGCTGGAGAAGCTGCTAATGGACCAAGCGATGAACGATTTGAGCATGTCACTCGATGAAAGCCGTCGTGAGGTGGAGCGTCTGCGTGCGCAGCTCGGCATGGCCGAGGCGAATTCTGCGTCGAACGGTGCTGACAAGGCGGGTACGCAAGACAACGCCGGTGCGCATGCCTACCAGGACCAGCGATTCGCTACGCAACAGACCTACCAGGGCGGCGCGGCCGATGGCACGCACGCCGAGCAGGACCTGGGTGTGTCGTTGGAGCACGCTCATAGCGGCAATGCCGGCTTGGAGCATGCGACCAACATGCTGGGCTCGCACGGCCTCGATGCGGAGGCGAACAAGCGTGCGCGCCTTGTGTAGTAGTCACGTTGTTGATGGTTCTTTCTACATAGTGTACTCATAGCGATTGTTTTCTTGTCATACCCATCTATGCCCTATGTACGTTGTTGTAGGAGCACTCGGTACGCCGCCTCTTGCATGTCGGCAATGCGCAACAGCACGCCGGCCGCGCGCGTCGCCGCATCCGCTTGCAGCGAGGGGGCATCTCCGGGCTGAAGATGGGACGCCTCCCATACGGCCTGTGCTACGCCCTGCAGACGCGTGAGCAGACGTGCATGCGTCTGAGCAAAGTGCGCGCCATGATCACGGCTGTCCTCTTCGACAATATCCAGTACGGTCAAGACCAGGGCCATGGCCGCTTGGGGCACTTGCAGGTCCACCTCGTCCAGTTCCGTCGCACATCGTTCGGCCATCTGCAACACATCTGGCGCGATGCGCGTCGCGAAAAACGCCGTGTGTCGGCCTGCATAGCACAGTATACACAGCGTATGCAGCACGGCCGCGATAAGCGTGGGCGTATACACCGCCTCTGAGCCTGCATACGTACGCGACGTCGACTGCCGCGCTTGCTGGCATCGGTAGACCAGCGGCCCAATAAAGTGCGGGCCTGCCACCTGGGTCCAAGAGACTGTCGGTCGGACACTCCACGTAGGCAGCGCTGTGCCATGGGTCGTCCCAGCGGATGTTCGCATAGCGGCCTGCCAACGACGTACATCCGCCTCACGCTGCGGCGACGCTTGTACGATCCGTGTCTCGCCGGCTTGGTGGACGCGCTCTAAGGCATGATCGACCAGTTCTGAAGCCCGATCGGCGGGCGACGACGACGGCGTGGGCATCCCGGCCAGCTCCTGCGCCGCGAGGCCCACTGCACGTAGCATCGCCAAGCGTTGCTGCAAGGCATAGTGGGGCGTAAAGCACTGCTCGTACAGCGCATCGACGACCGGAGCTGGAGCTGCTATGCACAGCGCTGCTAGGGCTGCCGTGCGACGCTCGTCCATACGAGGCAGCCCAAAATTGTCCTGCATCGATGCCAAGGCTATCGTCAAGTCGACGGCCTGCTCTGCAATCTCCGCTCCCCACCCCGTTTTGCGACGGATCAGCGCTTCGGCATGCTTGAGGCCCAGCTTGTTGGCATGCACATCGCGCTCACGAAGAAGTGGGGCCAGTTCATAAATATAGACAGGTGCGCGCTTTTTCGTACGTAGCGCCTCGTCCAGCATGGTCGATGTATCACGCTCGTCGTGGGTATCTGTGGGTATCGTAGCGCCGTCCTCGTCACTGTCGTTGGGCACGTCTTCTTCCTCCTCTTCCTCGCTCTCCTCCTTTTCGTCATGATTCCGTGGCGAGGTGTCTTCCACAACCTCAATCAAGGGCTTTTGGCGCGGTGGGACGCGGCGCGGCAAGCGCGTCGTCGTAGGCGCGGCGCGTGGAGGACGCGGCGTCGGCGCTGTCGCCCATGGTGCGCAGGTCGGCAGGGCGACCGCCTGGGGCATGGGGACCAACGGCGTCTCGTCCATGTACCAAGCACGCAACACGCGGCACGCTTCGCGGCCCTCGCCACGTCCATCCCACACGGACGCAGGGAAACGGAGCGGTGTATGAGCCGCTGTCTCTGCACTAAGCAGCTCGGCGACCAGCATGCCCCACCGCCGCACGGCTGGGTCGGCATGGCTCAAGTAGGCTGATACGCCCTGCAAGAACCTCGGCGAGGTACTGTACGTACGCAAATGCGCCGCACGTTCAGTGGGGCGCCATGTGTGCATGGCTGCGACGACCAATGTCGTGAGTGTCATGACATGCTTCAAGCTGGCGCGCTCTATACGTCGTGGATCGCTCCATACGTGCAGTAGGGAGGTCAGACTTTCGTCGGGCTCAGCCTGCATAGCCCACGTACTTACGACCACACACAGAAGAGGAGCATAGGACGTGTACATGTCGTCCAGCGAGAGCGCCACGGCCCATCGTGGCGCGTCCGCCTCGCTACCAGCCGTGGTCAGCACATGCAATGCCATGGCGGCCCACGCACGGGCGTCCGAGGAGAAGAATGCACGTCCTTCGGAGCCCGGTGTGGTTTCCGTTCGTGGATCGACTAGGTGGGCGAATGGCTGCGTACCGACGTTGGCTTGCAAGGCTTGCACGAGCGTATGTAGGTACGGCCCACGTACGTCCTCGTCCAGGCACTGGTACAGCGCTGCCCATGCCTGGGCCTGGTCTGCCTTGGCCTGCGCCAACGTGGGCCACAGCCGATCCCACCACGTAGGCGGCCGAGCCGTGGAGAGGATCGCACCTGTCTGCAACGCTCGCGTGACAAGGCGTGCGCATCGGGGGGCCGTGGTCTGTGTGAGTACGTCGGCCAACGCGGTAGCGAGACGTGCGTGCCATGTCGCATACTGATCCAGGAGCGATGCATAGGTAGAGGATGACGTGGCCAGCGGTCCATACACATTGGCGACGCGCGTCGGCAGCGCTATGCATTCGGCCACCATATCTGTCCACTGGGCGTCCTGTTGTGCTGCTTTGGTCGTGCGATCATAGACCGCCAATAAGGCTGGGAGCAAGCGACTCGGATCGAGACGCGTCAGCGCCACGGTGAGGGCATCACGTGTGGCTGGATGCAGCGCCGCGGCGGTGGGGCCCGTGAGCAGGGCCGAGCAGGTCGATAGGGATTGAGCCCACACGGAGGCAGTCAAGGGGTGTGTCGATGAAGGCACGAGCCATGCTTCACATAGGCGCTCGTACAGGCCCTTGTCGGCCAATGTAGGCGCCCACGTCACGAGCGTGGATGTCAAGAGGGCATGCTGACAAGCGCCCCACCATACATCGACAAAGCGGGGCGTGAGTGTCTCGTCCGTGCACGTCGCACCGTCCTCCGGCGCAGAATCAATGAGGACGAGCGGTGCACAAAGCGCGTGCACGACGTCCTCCCACGTACGGGCCGATGCCAATCGGGACGGCCACGTCGTGGTCATGGAAGGCAGCAGCCCCGTCAACGTCACCTCCACCACGTTGACGACGCGTGCGTCGTGGAGGGGAACGAGCCTCCACCACTACGGCTGGTTCTTTCTTGTCAGTCAGTATGGGCCACGTCACGGGCACGGCGTTGGCAGAGCGCACGCCCGCCGGTGGCTTGCTGATTGCCTGGCAGCTCAAAGACCGACCCGTTCTCCTCATTGGTGGCGGAGAAGTCGCTGTGAGTCGGGTGGTGCATCTGTACCATGCGTATGCACGCATCACATTGCTGGCGCCTCGTGCGCACCTGCATCCCACGCTGGCCGCCTGGATCGAGGCGGGTGTCATTGCGACATACATCCCGGACTGGTATACAAACCCGTCACAACTGGAACGCAAGGATGGAAACGACGACTACGCGATGATTTTTACGGCAATCGATGATATGGAGCGCAGTCAGGAAGTGTGTGATTGGTGTCGTGCCCGCAAGATCCCTGTGAACGTGGCCGATGTGCCGGCCTCCTGTGACTTTTACTTTGGCTCGATGATTCGGCGTGGGCCATTGCAAGTGATGGTCTCGACGGGTGGCCAAGGCCCACGCCTAGCGCGTCTCCTTCGGCAGCGCATCGAGTCTGCCTTGCCGCCGGCGGTAGGCGCGGCGATCACCAATGTCGGCCTCCTACGATCCAAGCTACGGGAGGCCGAGCCTGCGCAGGCCCTCAGTGGCGAGCGTATGGCATGGATGTCGAAAGTGTGCGATACGCTCACATTGGACGAGCTCGCGGCGCTCTCTCCCTCGACCGCGCAGCACTGGATTCATCATGACTGGCCGCAGCGCCGCGTGCCACGCCGCTCACGCCGCTCATGGCAAACATATATGCCCTGTCGTCAATCGGTGGGCTCCTTTGTCTTGGGAAGCGTGACGACCATGATACTCTACACAGCCTGGGCGTACCGCCGATCGTCGTCGTCGTAGCAGAATAGGTAGTACGTGCAATCTACAAAGAAGCGATATTATCCATACATATCACCGAAGGGTGGCGGCCTCTGCGCGGATGGTAGCATGCCATACCACCGCTTGGCCGTGGCTTCTTTTAGAACGGGCCTTCCTTGACGTACGGCAGGTAGCCGCCTACCTGCACAGGCGGCGCAGCCCGCTCCGCGCTGGGCATAGCGGCGGTCGACGTCGCAGCCAAGTAGGCCGGTGGCTGGGCCTGCTCCGTCTCCGGATAGGCCGTCTGTGCGAGGTACGAGGGGGGCTGCTGCGGCGGCTGCGGCGGCTGCGGCTGCTGCGGCTGTTGCGGCTGCGCTGTCTCCGCCAGCATTGGCGGCTGCTTAGGCACCGATGGTGCCACGGGCGCTACTGGCATGGAGGGGGCCATCGGCATGGACGGCGCGGACGACGACGACGCTACCATCTCTGGTTGCGCAGCCGCTGACGTGGAGGGGTGTGTGTAGGCCGGCTTGGGCATGGGCTCCGAAGGCATGTTCATGCCCGGGCCAATGGGACGCAGCGCCGAGGGCGACATGCTACGTCCTCCTTCGTCCATCGTAAACATACCGGGCGTGTGGTTGTTGTGTGTTGAGTAGTTGTCCATCACCGGGAAGCCACCAGAGCGAGCTGCAGCCGCTTGCAGTGCCTTGGTGCCGCCCACTTCCTCAAAGTACGCACGGTTCTGTAGCCGCTCATCGTTCGGCGTCTCCATCACTTGCGGCATCGGAGCCGACGTCACACTGGGTGGCATGGGCGGATACGCCGGCACCACATCGCTCATGTGGTGCAGACTCACGTCAGGCGCATACATACCGGGCGGCGGCGCTGGCGCTTCTGCCAGCTGCCGTTGCGGCATCTCGTCGTACATATCCGACGGGCCCAACGAAGCGGTCTCAGGCTGCACCGCATGCATGCCAGCGGCGCCTGAGCCCCTCGGCTCCGAGGTGTACCGTCGCGAAGGCTCCTCGCCTTCGTACTGGTCGTCCACACCTTCATGCACCGTAGGCAGACCCACCGGCGCACCATACCGCGCATCGTCCTGCATCGTATCGAGGCCCTGATCCGCCGAGGCGACCCACCCCTGGCTGCCATGCATGTGGTCGTCCATATCATGCGAGCCCATGGTGCCCATACCTGCAGCGCCAGCGCCCCACGCTGCGTCCGTTCGTGGCATCTGACTCACCGACGGCGACGTAGGCGACGCCACCGTTTGGTCCACGTTCATTTGCGACTCACGCGGCTCAAAGTGGATCGACTCCAGCTGACGTACCGCCTCTTGGAGCAGGCGGTTGGTACGCGCCTCGCTACGGTATGGCGCGCGCGCCATACCAGGCGCAGTAGGGGCCAGAGGAATCTCTTCCACAAGCAGCCGACACGACTCTGCAATCACAATGGCCTTCTCAGCCAGCTCCATAAGGCCTCCGCTCTTCAGACTGAGCGCCTCAGCGATCGTACCGCGCTTGTAGTCACCCAGCGCAGCATCCTCGTGCGCCAGCTCATTGTTCAACACGTCCATATCGCTGCGCAGCTCTCTCAAGCTGCTAGTGACCTTGGCGAGATCCTTGTTCTCAGGACCCATCTTGGCCAACTTGCGCTCCATGTTCTCGATCTTCGATGTGAGCGTACGGCGACGGGCTTTCAGCTCACTGAACTTTTCTTCACGCTCACGGATCGACTTAAGGTGCAGACGCATGGTTGAGACATAGTAGTTGTAGCGTGTCTGCGCACGCGCAAGGTGCTCGTATAGCAAAGCCACCTTCGGGAGCACATCCTCCAGATCATCGCCCTCGCCATTGCTCCACACACGCAGGCAGTCCGCCGCGTTCTGGATTTCATTCGCTGCCTTCGTATTCGCATTCACGTACGACTTCTCCGTGTGAATCAGCTCTTGCAGCTTCTTCAGATCGCTATTTCCCAGCGCTGGGATTTTCGAATTATGCGCGACGGCCGATTGCGCCTTCTTAAAGAGCGACATGGCAGGTACGTCCACGCTAGAATGGTCGGTGAGCGTAAAAGAACGCCAGGCTCTCTGGTACACGGCACTGCAACTGAAAGCGGAATTTTTAGTATGGGCTTAGACAGCGCGTGCGTGCATGAGTGCATGCAGGGGCTCGACTTGACTGGCATGCATCGAGCTGACATCATACCACGTGATTGGCTACAAGCGACACGTCCGAGACGAACCTAGCATCGTTGTCCTCGTTTGTGCATCGCGCTGTTGATCTCACGCTGGTATGGTCGCGCGCAGTACGCACAAGCGTAAGCGCAGCGCTATGCGCGCAGACCGGCAAAGAGAGATGCCAGGAGCGCGCGGTCGTGTCACATCATGTATATACCCATGGGAGACAGCATCCCTTTCCCACATTCACAACGCAATCGAGGCACACCCTTTTAATCATCAGGTATGCTCCCCTGACACTGACCAAAGCTCGACCTGATTCTTCCTGATACCTCACGCGGTATTGCAGACGAACTACGGACGACAATGGAGTCCGCGGGACCTGGGCCTTGCATGGCTCAGGTGCCTCTTGCATTGTTCTTGGAGCCTACGTGGATGCAAATGTATATTCATACAGGCTCTCTGTATGCACTTAGCATGACACACCTAGACGCAGGCGATACCGTTTGCTTGGATGGCCAAGGTATGCTTATCCTATCGCTCTGCAAAGATACCTACCAAACATTGGGGCTCGTGGGCCGGCCTTGTCGGTTTAGTCATGGCGCCTCTGGTCGTATGGGCGACCGACGCAGCGGGGCTGTATCACGTTATGTGGTGGAGCTTCCTCTACGAGACCCGTCCTTCGTACCAGGCAAACGAGGGTACGAGCGTGCTAAAGCGTGCTTACAAGCGTGGGATGAACGACGCGCTTCTTCTTCGGGTAGCACTTCTACATGGCCCATGCTTATGGTTTGGACACCACCATCTACGTTGACTGCTTCGGACAAGCCACGGATTTGGGCGCCCATAGAACATGCTGCTTTGCTTCGCTCCTCTGCAGCGCTACGTTTTCTTCCCATGGATATCGCCATCCAAACGATCGATGATGTGGTTGTTCCTACCGGTACAATCGACCTTCATGAGGACGAGAACGAAGCATTTGAAAAGGTATGGGACCATGTCGAATGGGCGGGTATCATGGCATGGCATTCTCCTCGCATCCGGACCTTTGATCGCTGTGATCCTTATGTGGCTTTGTACCGTGTACCCACACCCCATACCCCTAGCTGCTGCACACGTTTCCGTCTACGAGGGTTCTTGCCTACTCTATTGCTGCAGCAACTAGTAGCCATGGTATGGCAAAACAGTGCTTCTTCCTTTTCCGCCTCTACCCCATGGGCAATTCTCTCATTGTCAGGCTTCCGTGATACCCCCATTGCATGGCGAACTAAATATCCTGGCCTTGGGCTTGCTTTGGGATCAGGCAGCTCTTTAATGCAACCAGCGCCTGACGATGGTTATACTGCTGGTCAACGCGCGAAAAAAGTGCGAAGGAAAGGCCATATTCGCCGTGGTGAGTCTGAGCATGGATTTATGCAGTCGGGTGAAAATGGATGGCATCTCTTGTTTTTCCCACCGTCTAGTGATGCTCAAGGTGCCATAGCTTTCCTTGAGTCGATGGAAATAGATACCCGTATGTAACGAGAAAGGCGTTGGACGCGTTCGTGGGTGTTGCTCCACATAAGGGCACGTCAAGGCTGCGAAGTGGAGGGGGTCGTAGCGGTAGAGCCGCGCGGCTGCGCCGCCGCCGAGACCGCTGCGGTTGTCGTTTGTCATCCCTACCCCTTGCTATCATGTCACTCCTGATACGCTCTATGATTACTTCCTCATATGGTGCCCGCGCTGCCTGGGCAGTACCAAAGCGTGCATTTTCCGTGGCTAGTGTTCGTCGTGAAGAGTCCAAGCCAAGTAGTTTGTTGAAGGTATGTTGGCGTTGTGGTATATCTGACTATCATGTATAGACCATTCTTCATGGGTCCGGTGAAGAAGAGGGCGATGAGCATGGACATGAAGTGCACGAAAACCAAGTTTTGAACTATATCTATGAAATTCAACGTATGTGCCTTCTCAGCTAACGTATACAGGCGCCGATGTCAAGCCTGAGTACGCGGAGCAGTATCGCGAGTTGGTGTATGTATGAATATGGTCTTATCTGAATCAGGGCATCTGTGTATCCCCAATTGGAGGAATCATATGCACAATCGCATGCGATGGGTAACTATGAGGTCGTTGTTGGTGGTCTTGGCGGCTTTTGTGCGTATAAACCCAACTTACCCTTCTAGACCATATTTGGCGCCATGAAGGCTACAAGGGCTTTGATGCTGCCCTAAAGCAACAGAAGACATGCCCTATCTACACCAAGTTTCTATCAACCGCTCTTCCCATGCTCCAGCGCCGTCAAAATTATCTGTCTCAGGCCTTTTCTTTCAAGAAGCCCGAGCTGACTTCCGGCGATGATGGCTGTGTGTATGAGATGCGAACATATCATCTACACCCTGGCAACCTGTTGGAATGGGAGCGTTCATGGTATGTATACAGTTAATCTCACATCTAGGCTCAAGGGTCTCGAAGCACGTCGCGTGTATGCGGAGCCCAAAGGTGCCTGGTTCTCGCGTGTAGGGAAGCTGCATACCGTGTTCCACGTGTGGAAGTATGATTCTATGGAGGAGCGTGCGCGCATCCGTGAGGCTGCTTGGCAGGCCAAGGTACGTCTTTTCCTAGCTTTTTCTCACACATGCGACAGGCATGGAGCACGACTGTGAATGAGGTATGTGCACAGCTTCGCGGCAGAGTCACTGACTGACAGACCGCGCACTTTGTGCATAAGCAGACATCAGAAATTCTCCGTCCGTTCTAGCTGGGCCGTGTGGAGGAGGATGACGTGCGCAGGCCAATTTCTACGTGTGCTTCGCTGAAGCCAGAGGGGCGTTGGCGCTGATTAAGCACACGCACCCCCTTGCACCAGTAGAATAGCACATGGCTGATTATAGAGCAAAATAAGCCAATTGATTGTGTGATTTCCATTCACCGCAAGTTCAGACCAGGCCCTCCCCCCAGCTTCTGCGCCTTTACCGAGCACCTGGGCCCAGATTGGCCAGTCTGCCACGCTCTGGACGGGCAGGCTCCGCGTGGTTCCTTGACAGGCGCCCAAGCTTCCACAGTGGTTTCGCCAGGCTAATCCAAACTTGGACTAAGTGTGACAGACCGTAGAGCGGCGCACCCCCGTCTTCCTCGCCTTGGTCGACCTTGAGCACTACTTACTTCCCCTTCCCTCTACCTCTGATTGCAGTGTTGGTGGATATAGAGGCTTATGTTCTATTTCCCGCCAGCACAGCCTGTGACATCAACAGGGTCCGGTACCCGGGACAATATGTCGTCGGCTAATTTCGTGGCATCGTCCTCGATGTCTGCGCCTTCTCTCCCCATGCATGCACCTGCGATGGAAGGTGATCCTTCTTTCTCCTCCCCGTTCGGACCTGGCCCTCCATCGGAGACAGGGCCAAGTCCTCTTTCGCCTTCCGGCGTTCGTCGGATGCCGATGAATGCGCCGACAATGAGCTCACCTGTTCCAGGTTCTGTCCCCGGGCAAGGACTTTCATCCACCGATGGCAAGCGCAGGCGCATGTCGCCCAAACAATTTAGCCCACCCCAAGCGGATGGGCCAGGTTCTCCCTTTGGATATATGGTGGCTCCTTCACCCAACATGAATGGAACGATGTTCTACCCATCGAATATGATGTCGTTTGGGCTGCCTGAATCACCTTCGCCTTCGAATGGTATGGATATGTCCATGCACAACCATCCTATGACAAACAACTTGTCACCATTGGCACACCGCACGTTACGTACGGCGTCGGCTAATGGGCCGTCAGGCATGATGCCATCTCCCATTATCCCTGTGACACCCTACCAAGACAGTCCAGTGATGCGTCGTGCGAACAGCTATGGTGGCGCTACTTGCCCTTGGCCAAATCGTGATAATATGCCTGTGTTCAATGTACACCCATCCATGACACCACCGGCGTCTACCCCGCCGCAGATGATCCCGCCCATGTCGGCGCCTGTTATGATGCAGAGGCAGTACAGTTCGCCTCAACCACGCACGACACGCGAACGGAGTAGGCATTCATCCACGGATGTGTGGCCCGATGATGTGGAAGTCGCATTTTGGGAGGCGTTGCGTCTTATTCCGAAGCTGGGCCGACGAAAAGTGCTCGTTCACGGCAAGCCATGTGGCCGTAATGAGCTTATTGCAGAGTATATTGAGCGCAAGACAGGCAAGACGCGTTCGCGTAAGCAGGTGTCCAGTCATATTCAGGTGCTGAAGAATGTTAAGCGAGGTGATATGGAGTTCCAACAACTTATTGCTGAGCCAACGAGTGAAGAGGACTATTATACGCCCGCGGGTGGTATGATGTATGCACACGCCTTGTCGGAGTACAGTGTTGGCCTTCTGGGCTTCTCTCTCACCTCGTCGGATGCGCTCACCTCGCCCATGAGTATGTCGAGCGCCACCTTCTCGCCTACGGTCTCCAGTCCTCTACCTGTCTCTCATTCACCTATGCAGTCGCCAGCCACAGGTGCTATCTCCAAAGCGCTGGACAATCTGCATGTGAGTGGCTCGCCTACTGCTCATACGCCAACGCGCAAGCCATCGGTGAACAGCCGCATGTTACTTACCACCAAGTCTATCCCGCTTACGAGTGCTGATCCCGTACCTACATTAATCCCCACATCCTTCTCCATGTGGGCGTTTTCCTCCAAAACAGACGATCGTCATGTGTATACGTCTATTGATACGGTAGCCATGTCGCGTGTGCTACATCCAGGTGGTGAGCTGCCTCTCCTACCATCCAACGGTCCTATCTCCACCTCTTTCCGATTCCCTCAGCTCATGGAGATGCAGCGTTCTCTCAAGTGTCCCTTTGTTCATGTCCATGTACCGATGACGCTTCCTCGCGCTGATCCGGCCACACCATCGTACGATCGCATGGGTACGGCTCTTTCTGTGACTAGCACGAGTGATACATGCTTGACGATGGTTTTATCGATCTATTCGCATGGAAAATGTGTGCTCACGCTGGTTGAGAAGCTCGAACCGCCCCGTCGTATGGCGCCTGCACGTGGCAGTGTGTCGGGAGCCGACAGTGACAGCATGCCACGCTCGCCTATCCCGAACGACTCACGCTTTGCTTGGGTGTACCAAGTTCCCTTTGCGACAGATTTCTGGGCGGACTTTCTAAGCCGCAATCATCCTGTGCATCTGTACAATGGCAACAACGTGGAGCCTATGCCGTCATTCAGCAAACAGCCCAGTGAGCGGGCGTCGCTGAGCATGGCTGTCTCGGGCTTGGCCTTTGTGCAAGAGTTTGTCATTCCACGGCAAGATGCTCCTTCCGGGCTGCGGTCTCTGTCCCCAATGTCGCCACAACATCCTCTTGCTTCCAGTCAAGGGTCGCGGCTAGGCGACGTTGTCGGCGTCATTGCATGGGAGTTTGAGTGCATCGAAACAGCTGCCCGTGAGCCTGGCACGCCACGTGTCTCGATCTTGGGCCCTAGCATACCTGGTCCAAGTCACCCTACGACGCCTCACCGTCCATCTGTGCCTAAGCCGACGCCTGAGACACCAGTAAGCCCCACGGCACAGGGGTCTGGCAAGGCACGATCTGACGATAAAAATGGATTGCTGGGTCTACAAATTCAGCCTGCGCCGCAGGCCTCGCAAACGAATGGACCATCCCATGACACCAAAACATCGACAAATCCTTTGCCTCGTCCATCAACACCACTGGCCCCGCCTACCTTGATTCATACGCAAGCTTCTCCACTTCGTCAACCGGAACCTGCTATGGCGAAGAGTGCGACAGCCAGCGAGACGAGAGCACCAGCGCCTGCATCGCTGGATTCCCATGAACGATCCAACAAGTCTGTGGACATGACCCGCAGCTACTCTTCCCCTTCTCATGCCAGCACGTCGTCCTCCCTAAACCCTACATACCCTAGTACCGCTCAGTCCACGCTGGGCACCAATATGGGTTTATCGGATGTCTTTGGCCAAAAGCAGTCGGCCCCTGGCATGGCGTCCACACTCTCCCCAGCGATGAGTCCGATGACCTTGCTAGATTCGACAGCATTGAGTACGTCGGCGTCCTCGTCGGCTTCTTTACTTGAGCCCCGTGGTTTAGGTATTGTGTCGGACCCAGCACCTCCCATCCCCATGCGATCCAACTCTATGAGTATGTTGCCTGAGCAAGATCCCGACCTGTCGCATTCGAATGCCATGGCACTAACTTCGTCAACGTCGATTCCCGATTCACTGCCTTCGCACTTGGATCCTACAGACGTGTCTGGACGACTGGGCCTTTCTACGCATGTGACTTGGAACGGACAGAATGACCTGATGGACGAATTCCTGGATACCTCTTTGATGGAGCCGTGGATGGATATGCCATCTTCGTCGATGCCACCACCATCAACCTCCTAATAATGTCATTCTTTGTGCACCTACCAGGCGCGATGAAACGTATTGCTATGTCTCCATCGGATGGACGTGACCTATTTTTTCTCACAATTCTTAATCGTACCCTGTGTTTATTGTGATGATTATGCCCCCCCTCTAATCCAGCTTTTCAATTTCATGCCGGATCCATGTTTTTCATCATGTATACTTTCTTGTGGAAATTTATCTATGTTCCTTCTTCAGCTTGAAGGAGGGATCTGCACTATGCATAGATCATTTCATAGCTATCTACGCATCCTTCATTATATCGTTGTTTGCCGCGTGGTCTACTGTGGCACGAAGTGGAGGCTGAAACTTCAACATGGCGCTGCTTCCACTATGACTACCACCATGGACAATGCGAACCCCGTTGTGCACGCCACACGTGCATTGCGCACCCGCGACTCCGACAAGCAGGGAAGCGAAGAGATGTGGTGGCACTCAGAGAGTTTGATGCCACAGCAAGCCCTCTTTGCATCGTCGGACCTGGACGAAGCGGATGACGAACGTGCACAGCGCATAGATGCACGTGAAGTGTTCGATTTGGTGCGGTCTGTGACAGATCCAGAACATCCACTCACGCTGGAACAGCTTGCAGTGGTCAACGAGGCACATATCACTGTGGATGAAGGCGATTACTCCGCTGGCCGGGCACCTTGTGTGCGCCTTGAATTCACGCCGACTATTCCTCACTGCAGTATGGCCACCCTGATTGGACTCTCTCTGCGTGTGCGCTTAATGCGAGCCATTCCGTCCCGGTACAAGATTGATATTGCTATTCGAGAGGGCACGCATCAGTCAGAAGGCGCGATCAACAAGCAGCTCAACGATAAGGAGCGTGTGGCGGCAGCCCTCGAAAACAAGCACCTGCTTGGCGTTGTTCACGGATGTCTGGCGACGTCATCGTTGCGTGGCGCGACTGCGGCCTAAATCCTATATACCCAGATAGACATGTTTGTCATGCTATACAAGTACTATCACACATTTTGCTCACGGCTCCTGCTGCAAGCTTTGCAATAGGGTATTCCCATTGATCATAGATGTCGTTGCCACCACGAATCTCCGCGTACGTTGCTGCTGACTCATGAGGCGTAATGCTGCCATCTCCGCGTACGTGACACCACCGACAAAGAACACCACTGTGGTGCGGACCATGTCGTCTGGCATCGGCGCCTCGTCCTCCACTTGCATGAAGTCAAACGTCGCCCCAGGGAGTTGCAATACACTCTCCTCGACACCGTGCCATCCAGCAATGCGTGCTGCGTTAGGAAGTGTTTCTAAATTAGATACAGGTATTTTGTGTAGATGGGCATCGTGCTGGCAGATCGTTTGAATGAGGCGAATGGACAATGGTGCATACCCACTGAACACGTAGCTAATATCATCCGGCGTACGTTCATCCACATCATCATCCACCAGACATAATGGCTTGAGTACCGTGCCAAACTTGGACACTCTCGGGGCTTTGGGGGTCGGTGTAGGTGTGGCATAGAGTATTTTCATCTTTTCTAGGGCCATCAAGACAGGCATATAGGCAAATCCGTAGGCATGGATGACGGTTGTTCGGAATGTTTCTAACCATGCAGGCTTAAGACCTTGGTTAATATACGAGGCGAGGCACGCCAATCGAAGCACTGTCAGCACCGGTGTACCTACATCCACAAGTTCCTCAATAGCCTGTAGTTGCTGCGCTAAGTGGACGCCTGCCACCAGATTCTGTTGCACTTCCAACACATGATGAAACCGTTCCGAATTGCTTGTGGCTAACAGATATTCAGTGATGCACGTATGCAGACGCAAACTTGCATGTTCACTTTGAAGTGAGCCTAGTTTGGTAACAAATGCATGTAGTTCCCGCACGGTATTGGCCTGATGACGGCCTTCATAATCTTTGCTGAGCCGCTTGGCTGTACGATGCAATTTCTCACCTACAATCGCAAAGTTGTCATCACGAATCGAAGCGAGCAAAGCATCCTCCGCGCCATCCATCTGTACTTTTTTTCTGGCTCCTGTCCCAGTCGACTGCGCGCCACCTACCCACGCCGCGTCGACATCGATGAACCCATTGGTAATGCCAATGACTTCGTCGACAAGACCTTCATAAGTAAGCTGCGTCGATAATGGGGTCGCTAGATCCACGGTCCTGTCCAATACAATCAGTGCATCGATAGCTGGGGCTGCTGTACGCAGCGAAAGCTGTTCTTGGCCATCGGACGTCAAATGTTCTCGGCGTTGTCGCACGAGCAGATCGCAGAGACGATTGGCCAAGTCGCCTTTGCCTACAATCCGAGGGAACAAACCATACGTGCGCTGCATAGTCATAAGCGCTTGTGCTGCATGGAATAGAGGGGTATGATCACCGTGCAAGAACAGGCGAGGCCATGCATAAGGGTCTTCCAAGCTGAGTAGGTCGTGATGCAACACCGTAAACTCCAGACCCATATCTAGGACACGAATGTGCTGCAGGAGCTTTTTCTCTTGGAGAAAGTGCAAACACGTCTCTGTTCGATGAGGAAGAAAAGCCACTGTATAGGTGTAGTGTGGTATTCCGTTCGCTTGTGTTGCTGTATCTGCTGCATAGTGCGCAGCGAGCGTCTTCATCCAACTGATTTCCGGTCGACATAAGTACAAAACGTGCTTCGTAGGAGCTTGCAGACGTGCTACACGGCTGGTATTATCCACTTTCTCCATCCAAAACATCTTTTCTACACCACGTTGTCGCAGCGCTGCCAGATCTGTCATTAAGCCCAACGGGCCAGCCAATGTGGGGTCAATGAGGAGCGTCTTGGCTTCAGGGATGGCATCCAGCGTTGCTGAAAACACATTCTGAGCAAGATCCAAGATGGGATTCACATCTAGTCCTTCCCACTCGACTGCCATCGTAGTAGCGCCGCGCCTCTGGCCCTGCTGACGTTGTCGTGGCCACTGGTCCTGCCGCAGGGGAATGTGCGTATGGGTGCGTCAGGCTGGCCCTCCAGCCTGATTAAGTAAGCACTGCACGCGTTGCAGAGTGTCGTAGCACCGACCGCGCACTCTTCCTTGGCGCTGTCGCATGGCCATTGCTCGAGGAGCGACAGCAACTCGGTGGCTACGTGTAGGATTTGTTCGAGCCATGTCATCAGGCAGTACTTCAAATGTATGGAAGACGCCAGAGCCGCGTGAGCCTGCGCCTGAACTGCGTGTATACAACAGCTTCACACGAAACAAGGAACTGTTTGTGCCGCAGCGTGGTCGTCTAGTGACGTGGTACAACTGTGGTCCGACTGTGTACGATGCAAGTCATATGGGTCATGCGCGTAACTATGTGACACAGGATATCATCCGTCGTATTATGCGCGACTACCTTGGCTACGATATTCAGTTTGTCATGAATGTGACCGACATTGATGACAAGATCATTATGCGTGCCCGTCAGCAGTACCTTGTTGAACAGTATCGTGCTCAGCACCCGCATTTGACCAAGGCACTCCTGGATGATGTACAGTCTGCCTGGGCCAACTTCTTCCGCGATACTCTACTTCCACTAGCACCGCCGGCCCCGCCTTTGGAAGCAGCTAAGAACCCGGAGCTTGCCGAGAGGGAAAGAGCTGGCGAGGGTGGTTGGGAGCAAGTGTCACGCATGGCGCAGGATGAAACGTGGCGTGCAGATGTCTCGCAGCGTGTGCCCAAGTTTAGTATGTGGTTCAAAACACTGCAAACCTCGCGCGATGCTCAGATTGCTGCCGCCATGGCCCTTGGCACGGGCGATACCTCTAGCGAGCAGGCACAATCCTTGATTGATGCGTCTGTGGACATTCTTAGTGCCCACCTCGATGCCACGCTGGCACACACGGTCAGCGATCCAGCCATCTTCCGCAAGCTCGCTGCGTATTGGGAGGCTTCGTTCTTTGAGGATATGCGCCGCTTGCATGTCGAGCCGCCATCAATGCTGACGCGCGTCAGTGAATATGTTCCTGAGATTGTCGCTTTCATCCAGCGTATTATCGATAATGGATTTGCATACGTCGACGATGCTTCGAACGAAAGCAAGAACGTATGGTTTGCCACATCGACCTTTGACGGTGGCGTGTGCGAAGCTGGCACACATTCGTATGCGAAACTCGCGCCGTGGAGCAAGGGCAACCGAGAACTACTTGAGGAAGGCGAAGGTGCGCTGGCCGCCAAGGGCAAACGGAGCGCAGCTGATTTTGCGCTGTGGAAGCGAGCTAAGCCCGGTGAGCCGTCATGGCCTTCGCCATGGGGTCCTGGCCGTCCCGGCTGGCACATTGAGTGCAGTGTCATGGCGTCGGAGGTGCTAGGATCGCAAATTGATATCCATTCAGGTGGTATTGACTTGACATTCCCTCATCATGACAATGAATTGGCGCAAAGTGAAGCTTATCATGGATGCACACAGTGGATCAATTACTTTTTGCATACAGGTCATCTGCATATTGAAGGTCTAAAGATGAGTAAGAGTTTGAAGAATTTCATCAGCATTGATGAGGCGCTTTCGCGGTACTCGGCTCGCCAGCTGCGTATGGCGTTCCTCATGCATCCGTGGCACGTGAAGTTGGATTTCCGTGAGTCGAGTATGGCTGAAGTGCGTGCAGCGGAATCTACACTGAACAAATTCTTTGCCGCTGTAGTAGCGGTGGAGCGTGAGTTCCGTGCTAAGGGCCCTGCCTTTAGCGATGGTCAGCACCACTTTGGCACACAGGAGAAAGAGCTTATGGCTGCGCTGCATGACACCCAGTACGCGTTCCGTGCTGCAATGTGTGACAACTTTGATACACCGAAAGGCATGGATCTCCTTCTACAACTCGTTTCGCGTGCGAATGTCTACGAGCGTGGCACCTCACGCGAATCGATTAATGTGAGCGTGCTGGTGGATGTTGCGCAGTATGTCGCGTCGATGTTGCGTATGCTGGGTTTGGGCGAAGGTCCTTCGAATGACGGTGACCTGACATGGGGTACAGCGTCTTCGTCGGGCATGGATACCATGAGCCGCGATGAAATTGCTGCGCCATTTGTGCGTGTCCTCTCGTCGTTCCGCGATCGCGTGCGTCAACTGGCTCGCTCGCAGGCTTCCGCTGGAGATTTGCTCAAGCTAGCTGATGCGATTCGTGATGTGGAATTGGTCGATTTGGGTGTAGCGCTGGAGGACCAGGAAGATGGTCAGGCCCTGTTCAAGTTCGTTCCGGCAGAGCAGCTACAAGCGCAGCGTGCGGAAAAGGAACGCATGGCAGCCGAGAAGGCGGAACGCAAGGCTGCTGCTGCTGCTGCGGCCAAGGCCAAACGACGTGAGCAGCTAGAGCGAGGCCGCATCCCGCCTAGTGAATTGTTCCGTGCGCCACACACATCCGAATACAGTCAATGGGACGAGCAGGGTTTGCCGACGCACGACAAGGACGGCGAAGCGCTCGGAAAGAAGCGACGAAAGAACATTGAAAAGGAATATGAGCGTCAAGGAAAGTTGCATGCAGACTACTTGGCCGCTCAGGCAGCGGGTGAAATAGACTAAGTAGATAGGTGGCTTAGCGCTTGGTAAACCGCATAAGGAATGTGCCACTAGTTTGGTAGGCTTTTCGACGCACTTCGTTGTCATCGCTGACATTGTCATAGTGGAAGTGTTTCTTCAACAAACCAAAGAAACGCTTGTCTGCACGTCGCCGCTTGTGATAGCAAAACAAGATCTCTGTCGTCGCCGTGGCCATCATGCAAAGGGTATCAACCAAAGGCTGGAAAGCCTCTTCACGGTACACGCAGTCCGCCATCAAAATTACATCAGGCTTGGCAGGGACGTCAGCAGGGACAGGTTCACCCCAATTGAGCTCCGCAACGTGACATGGATCTACCATATCGGGGTTGAGGGCAGCATTCTCTTCCATCAAGGGCAGCATAGGAATCTGATCCGTGATCCATGTCGTGCATCCCACACCCAATTTAGCCACGAGAAAGCCAATCAGCCCTGTACCACTGCCTAGTTCCACAATTGTCTTCCCACGCCATGGATGTTGTGTCAAGGCCAAATCCGAGGCGTCTGGTGCATACCGCGAGGGCATGGACGCGATATACGCACCAAGTACTTCAGCTGCCGGCCAAATTTTGCCGCCGCATCCACTCGTCATATCAAGAGTAAGGTAGATAGGATAGTACGTTATTCCGAGTTCTTGATACACGCCTCTTTTCTTCGGCTGATCATCCAAGTGAGACAAGGTTTCGATAGTTGTTCGCGGCTCAACTGTGGGTGCACTCGCATATACAATACAAGCACGTTGGCCGAGAATCGAAGGAATTTGCTCGGGAATCAAGTCATCCGCTCCTGTATCATTCAAGTCAGGGGACAATGGCAGGTCGTCCTCATGCTGTCCAAAGAGCAAGAGTGTTGCCATTTTTTACACACACTGGCGTCCACTGAGAGGCGTAGTATTCTTGGCAGTTGAGGTAATCAATCGTGTTGGACAGCCAGCCAATGCATCGTACTTGGCGAATTTTGCCACGTGGCTACATCGCCAAGCTGGTCGTGCCGCGGATGGAGGAAAGGCATAGATCGGCACACAGCGTGTCACAGCCCCATCGGTTCATTTAGCAACGTTCACTACGATGTCATCATGGCGTCCTGCGCCACCAGGGGACCCACCTCTGGTACAGAATGAATCGTTTCCACAATCGATACGGTCATCTACACTCCAACCACCAATTTTATCGTCTTCAATGACCGGAAATGCGCCTGTATCGCCTTCAGCCACTGTGCCTTCGTCAGCTCAATCGATGGCTGTGCCTTCTTCATCGACAGTACCTATTAAGGAGTCGCAGGCACTGCCACCACCGCTAGTCCGAGGACAAAGCGATATGGCACCTTACAAGAAGACAGGGTTTTCTACGCCTGTATATCCATCTACGCCACGGTCCATGACTTTAGGTGCACCCCCCTCGTCGTATGCCTTGCAAGAGGCTCAAGGGATGGGCTACTTTGCGTTGCAACCCAATCAAGGTTCAAGATTGACGGGTGTAGAAGGCGGTTATATGTCACACTCACCAAATTCAGTCCAGACCTTTACTGCGAATTCGTTGAGGCCTAGCCCTACGCCTACCTATCCTCCTCCGAGTACGTCAGTTTATGCATCAACACCTACTCCTGCATCTATGTCTATGCCGCCCCAAGCTGTACACCCACAACCACTACCAGTGGGACCCTCTACGACAGAGCCCATTCCCATTCGACAATCAAATATGAATGCCTCGGGCAACTTATCTGACGTCTCTTCACGGCTTCAATCCCTCTCTGTGGGTAGTGATAGCACTATGGGTCCAAATTCTGCTCCGATGCCCGCGCCGCCACCCCCACCTGTACGTCAAGGCACTGAATCAAAAGATCTGTCGGACACACAGACGGTCCCATCAATTATGAGCAGTGATGAGGAGGAGGAAGAAGAAGAAGAAATACCCATGACAGCTACAAATCTGCCTGACCTTACTCATGTGAACCGTGCTCCTCCTGTGTTGGATCCTCCACGGCATGTGCCTTTTAATGCTTCTATTTCTGCCGCCACTATTTTCCGCGATCAAATTGCTGTGGTAACGCACGACAAGATCCGTGTACTGCAGGTTCGCCCAGGTGCTCAGTTTGATAAAACTGTGTCAGATCCAAGTACAGAGCGCATTATACCACAAGCTTTGCAGCACCATGCCTTGCTGGGAACACCACAACACCCATCAGCTACGTCGCGCGACATTCGAGCATTATCCCTTACATTTTGCCCACCTATTATTGTGGATGGGCAAGTATATCCTGAAGGGCGCTTTGTCTGGTATGGAACTTATCAAGGTCATATTGGCCAAATCGATACCGCTAAAGGCCAGGTTACACATGTCCGTGTCCATGTGCACAAATCTCCTATTATCTTATTGGAACGGTTGGGTCATTCAATTATATGCGTTGATGATAGTGGTAAAGTGTCCTTGTGGTCGAATCGAACTGAACCACATTGCCTCATAACCTCTACGCCAGAGATGATGCGCATTGATTTACCAAAGCAATCTCACGTGTCTCTTGCTGGTGCTCTTCTATGGGTATGCACGGTAGCTCTTGCACCTCGTATGCCCGGGAGACAACCGCAAAAGACGTTGTATGTGCGCTGCTACAGCCCTTTAACCGACAAACGCCCTTTCAATATGATGCTTCGACCTGGCGAATATGTGCTGACGGATATAAACGGTCTAGGTGGTGTTACTTGTTCTGCATTTATCCCGTCAACGCCCAACCATGTCTACTTTGGCCATGATTCTGGCCATATTTCTGTGTGGACAACACAAGGTCAGTGTGTGGACCAGGTCCCCGTTCACAGCGAGCCGATTGTGTCTATGACTGGCGTATTTAATGCTCTTTGGACTGGTTCGCGAAGTGGCAAGATGAAAGTCAACATCCCTGGTGAATCGTTGCGTGATATTGTTAAGCTTTGGCCAGGTCATCGAGGCACGGTGACTCATGTCTTGTTTGATGGCTACGGGCAGCAGTACATTGCTGATGAACCTGTGGTATGCACTGTGGGTGAAGACAACTATGCCAAGTTTTGGGATGCCACTTTGACCTCCGACTGGCTTAGCAATGAAGTGAGTCGCTCTGCTGAGATTTATTCCAAGTCTCATTCCTTACGAGTACTGTCCATGACGTACAATTTGGCGGCCGCATCTCCTGAGGATATTTTTGGTCTAGTGGATAATATGGGCCTGTTTCAGCGCATATTGCGTTCTTCTTGTGCTTCTCAAACCACGCAAGATGGCAAGAGTGTAATGCTTACGCCCGATGTGATTGTTTTTGCGTTCCAAGAACTTATTGATTTGGAGGACAAGCGCATGACAGCCAAACGGTTCATTATGGGACACAACAAGAAAAAAGCAGGCAAAGAAACTGAAGAACGCGAGCGCATGCCCAGCCATTATCGTGCATGGCTTGAAAAATTGATTTCGTATGTCCGTCTTGTCATGCCCGAAACGCCGTTCTCTGTTGTGGTAACTGAAAACATGATTGGTTTGTTTACGTGCATTTTTGTACGTTCTAGTTTAGTGCCACGGATTCGTGAAGTACATTCCTATACCGTCAAGACAGGTTTAGGTGGTCGATATGGTAATAAGGGTGCGATTATATCTCGCTTTTTGATTGATGATTCAAGCTTTTGTTTCATCAATTGTCACCTGGCTGCGGGTCAACGCAAGGTCCGCCAGCGAAATATGGATGTGGCTACCATTTTGCAGTCCACATCTACGGCGCAACCTCTGGCAAATGACCCAGCCTTTGCCCACGGTGGCGACGGTTTGCTTATTCTCGATCACGAGCTCTGCCTTATGGCCGGCGATTTTAACTATCGCTTGAATATGCGTCGCGAATTGGTGCTCTCGCTTATTGAACAGAAGCGCTTTTCCGATCTTGTCGCCGTTGATCAGTTGCATGACGAAATACGGAACAATCCTGCCTTCCGTCTGCGTCTTTTCCAGGAAGCTCCGATCCAGTTTGCGCCCACGTACAAGTTCAACCGATTCAGCAATGTCTACGATACATCTGACAAAGCACGTGTCCCAGCCTACTGCGATCGTATTTTGTACCATGGCTATATCCCTTCTATGGTTCAATGCACCTCTTATCGACGCTGGGACGCCACGCTGTCAGATCACCGACCCGTGTCGGCTACATTCCTTGTGCGGATTAAATCCATTGATGATACCATCTATTCCCATGTTCTAGAAAAGACACGTGCTGATTTTCTTCGCTACCGCGAGGAACTCATCGAATCTTGCTGTCGATACTATCACTGTATATAATTTGAGTAGGCTATGCTTATTTTAAGATGCTGGAAAGTAATGATAACCGTTCTTTAGCGTTGCGACGGTGCATGCCCTCGTCGAGCCGATCAACGATGTGCTGAGCTGTGCGCCACAATTTGGCCGTACGGCCAGCAGGTTGCTTCGGAAGAGATGTACCTACGACCATTTCGCAGAACAGTTCAGTACACCGATCATCACGGGCAAAGGCATGCAAAGGTAAGTCCTCTTCGTGGGGAATCTTTGACCATAATGCCAGCAAAATCAGGTCTCCTGTGGCATTGGCCACATAATCGTCTACACTTGCGACAACCACACGTTCTGTTTCTCGTCGAAGTCGCAGATGCAATGTCAAAAAGGAAGCAATAGCATCCTGAGCTACACGAAGTGGATCAGGAATCACACCGTCCGGCGGCAGTTCGTGACCTGCCCAAGCCTCCAATTCATATGCAACGTTATGCACTGTGTGGCGAAGCCATTCCATGCCTTCCGACATGACCAGCACTTGTAAGTAGCTTGATACCAACGAAGTCTCTTCTTTGAAAAGACTGTGATCAATGCCCAACTTCAAGTTTGCGCGCACGCGCCGCAGAATTTCAATTTGGGCCGGGGAGGGTGGTTCATCATCTGGTAGGTGATTGACGTACCGTGACATGGCTCCTACTAGAAAGAGGCATACACGGTTGTACGCTGGGCCCAAAGAAATGGCATAATCTAGAGGTGTATGCGATTTGCCTGACCATGGAACTCCTTCTTCCACGCCTAGCAAGAGTTCAAAAGCGCTGTCTCGAATCAGCATGATCTTCTCCACGTCTTTTCTTTCAATGGCCGCATAGACATCGTGCATTTCAAACGGTCGATGAGGCATACCGACTCTAGATGCAGAATGTGTCATTGTCTGCGATTCTTCTGCCAAAAGAGCTGTATCAGATGCTTGCGCAGCCGGAGTATTCTGCACAACTTTGACCTGTGTTAGCAATTGAGCCAGTGCCCAGTAACCCCGGTTCACATCGCTCTTGCCAATCACAGCGCCGTGATCCAAGTTGTATGACACTTTATTATGAGTTTCAACAATACATACGTTCCATCTCGGAAAGAGCAGTGCGAACCAGGGATGGCCCATCCACATTGCCACCCTGGCCAAATATGGCTGCCAATTGCTGATCTGTCACCTGGGGAAACGGCCGCGGCTCTGTTGGCACGTCCACAGACGCATGTATTTCAAGCTCAGATGATTGAGGTTGCTGCGGGGAAGAAGCACTGTGCTCATGTAGTTGTGCTTGCACACCCTTTATTACATTTCGCCAATATGAGCTCATACGCTTTATATCGTCGCGGTGGTCCGTTCGAGGGAGAGAAAGGCGCGCGGACCGATTTACTCCACATGCAAAAACTATGATCGGGCCGCTGGAGGCGATCGGCTTCGTCGCCGTTCACGCGAAGTCGATCCCCAGCGCGAGTCGTCTATAGGAGCAGCCGAGGAAGTCAAGTGGTCTTTATCAAACCCAGCATTCAGTTCACGAAGCCTTTGATAACCCATATGCATCTTGCCGCTGAAATGGTCAGCCAATCGTCGATCCGAGTCAAGGATACTCAAATAGGCACCACAAATATCACACACACGCAGCTTCTGATGTCCACTTGCACCACTATTCTCTTGCAGCGTCTGAAGCTCCTTTTCTTTTTCAGCACGTTCTGATTTCAATGCTTCAACCTTTTCCAATTCTTTTAATGACTCTTCCACACGTCCTTGCTCACCAAGCGACTCCATCTCTGTGGTTGCTGCTATGATGGCCTCTTCCACCTCGTTGATATCACGCATCATAGCATTGAATCGTTCCATTTCTTCAGGTGTTTGGGCCAAGCGGCGCTTGTTTGCTGCTATTTTTCGATCAATATCCGTGACAAACATATGAATATTTCGTTGGAACTCAGATACGATCTGAGGGAAGACCTCGCCACGTTCCAGCGCAGCATCATATAGCTCCTTGTATCTCGGTAAATGGGAGCGTGGACAAGGTCCCAAGTCCATTTTCTAGGGAATGAGCGTGCACACGAGACATACCGTATTGCTAAAGAGGTCGTGCGGACACGTGCCACACAGAAAGTTGCGGCATACTTTGGGATCCGTGAAATGCACGTCTTTTTCAGCCGAGCCCATCACTGCATGTTAAATACAATGTACATACTCTCTGGACCCATCAGGCGCTCTAGCGCTATGCGCTGCACCTCTGCTTTTCGGCCCATGTCGACTTGGCAGTGAGAAGGAGACAGTGTCGAATCGGCCTGCATGCATGCACGTGATACATAGGGATGCGGTGCCATGTTGGCTTCGACGCGCGTCGTCACGCGTAGTTTGCACGTCATGCACGAGTACAAGATCGTGATACCCGTACCTGGGAGTACCGAGGAAGCAGCTGCACAAGGACATGGTATCCATGGTGTCTTGCGCGTGTATGGTCAACCTGAAGAGGCGTCTCTGCCTGCCAATGGCTCATGCGAAGGCAAGCCACTGGCCATCTTTACACATGGTCTTCTCTCGCACAAGAACGCGCTTTTCTTTCGCCCTATGACAGGGATGGTAGGCATGGACTCCTTCCGATGGGATATGGTGTATGTACGCGGACAATCTCATTTGCAGTGGCGAAGGTGAATCTCCTGGAGATTGGAAAGCTGGTGATTACCCTGTACGTTTACCATGCCTTGTTGTGCTAATTGTGTCAGCGCTCCATTGAAATGCTTCGTCATGTGGTTGACTACATTACGAAAAGATTTGGATATCACATCGATTTGATGGTTGGCCACTCTAAGGGTTGTGTGGTAACCTCAGCCTATGTGTCTCAGTACTGCTCTTTGGGTGCCAAGCACCGGGGTCATCGGCCTCCGCGCCGTATGATTTTGTGTTCTGGCAGAATTCGCATGGAAAATCTGCGCCGCAAAGATGCTGTTTTTAATCCTCAATTTGAACGTCATGGTCACGCTGTCATCAATGTCAAGGTCCGTGGTGTGATGAAGGAATACCGTATATATCCAGACGATCATGAGTCCCAGTGCAGTTTTCCAACGCGTCAATATGTGCAGCAAATTCCTCCTCATATCCGCATGTACGTATGACGCAATTGACTCCAGTTTTATTGCGCATGGTACTCTTGACGAGGTGGTGCCTGTGGTAGATGCTGGCGATATGGTCAGTGTCCTAACATCGCATCCATATCGTCAACCTGGCACCGTGCATCTTGAGCTCATCGAAGGTGCTGATCATAACTACCGTGGAGAGTACAATGATATTCTTCTGAAGAAGGCGCAGCAATGGCTCGAATCAAGCGCTCTCGCCTTGGAGACTAGCAAACCTACCACGGCTGTACCTACACCTGTCGGTGTGCGCCGCGGTGCTTTGATTGTAGTGGAAGGCCTTGATCGATCTGGCAAGTCCACTCAAGTGGAACGACTTGTCCAACGGTTGCAAGCACAACTTGTCAAGTTCCCTGACCGTACCACGTCGATCGGCACGATGATCAATTCATACTTGACGCAACAATCAGATGTGAATGATCAATCCATTCACCTGTTGTTCTCTGCAAACCGTTGGGAAGTTATGTACGTGCCTATGTATCGCTAACGCGAAGTACATCCATACTTAACGCTTTACGGCGGGGACAGAATGTGGTATGCGATCGTTATGCTTTCTCTGGCATCGCTTATTCGCGTGCTAAGGTATGTACAGCAGCAAACTTACGGCAGGGACTTGACCTCGAATGGTGCATTAGTCCGGATGTCGGCCTACCCATTCCTGACCTGACATTGTTCTTGGATGTGGATGAAGCTACAGCTACAAAGCGCGCTGCCTACGGCGAGGAACGCTACGAAAAGCGTGCGTTCCAGAGACTTGTGCGCGAGGCCTTTTACAACGTGGAAACACTTGTGCGTTATGCGGGTGCCACTTGGGTGCGGATTGATGCTGGTGCCTCCATTGATCAGGTGTCGGAGCAAATCATGTCTCATGTGACAAGGACATCGGAGCATCTTCCTACCAACCTTATGACCCTGAGTTTGGATGTCATGCGTCCCGCCTTGACCTTTGTACCCGACGCCAATGAAAAGGCTAGTTTGTAGCTATTGACGTATGCACTATATTTACTGTCCAAATTGTGCTTTCAGCTGCAAAATGCTGGCTTTTTGGTCAGGGGGGAGTGCATTGATTTGCTCCGGTGTAAGCTGTAGCACCTGCTGAAGCAATACCCGTTGTTGCTCATCCAGCTGAGGTGGTGCCGATGGCATTGGTGGCATAGAGGCTGGCGTTTGTGCTGGCGCTGCATGAGATGGAGGAGCAGCAGGTGGGACGGCGGTAGGGGCGTGTGCTAGAGTGGGAGGAATACCTGGCCCTCCCGTTGTATCATGCAAAATACGTTGCACCACGGTCGGATCTACCACATTCATCATTAGCATGGCATGGAAAACAGCATACGACAGTTGTGGGTTGGCAGCCAGGAGTTGCCGCGCTTGTTCTGGTGCACTCGTGGTTAGCGACTTCATTTGTGTGAGAATATCCATGAGTTGGTTTGGTGGAAGTGATGCAATGGTTTGTGTGATTGCATCTGTTGATGAAACGCCAGGCATAGGCATAGTTCCAGCTGGCAGCGGAGGAGCACCAACAGGCGTTCGTCCCCGCCCATCGCCTCGTCGCTCATTGTCTTGCATAGGGTCTGCATCAGCGAAGTCCAAGCGAAGAGGCCGTCCACCGACTTCTACTTCGTTCAAGTTCCGCACAGCTGAGGCTGCTGTTTCCGCATCTAGAACATGTTATCAACGCGCGTGCCACTTACCCTCGTATTCGCAAAAGCCATAGCCTTTAAATTTGCCTTGTTCACGGTCATTTACCAATCGGAAGTCGACTACGCGTCCCACCTCAGAGAAAACCTTAATGAGCTGTTCTTCTGAAATGTCATAGGGTATATTCCCAACTACACGTATCAGTGATTTCCTTTCGTACACGTACCGAATACAACGTTGGACCCCGTGCGTTTCGACATCGCCAATGCAAGGAGTACGACCGTCGTGGAGGCGCGTGTCTGGAGGCCCTGTTGAATCACGTGGATCTGGCCACGAAGCAGCGTCGCGCGTCTGGGCGGCTTCGTGATCCATCGCTCTACGGCGCGTGTGGACAAGCGATAGTCATCATGGCAACTGCAAAAGAAGATTCTATCCCTGTGGTACGTGATTTGTGCAATACTCATATCTCTACAGCTCTTAAATTCTGTACAAATGCGTTTGTCGTCGTCACAGCGACAGCTCAGCATTGTGCGCGCACAAATGTCCAACCGTATTCGCGAGGCTAAAATGCAGGAACTTACGATCGAGCAACTGAAAGGCCTAGGCAATGAAACCCGTGTATACAAGGCAGTGGGGAAAATGTATGTTTTTCAAATACTTATGCATCCAGGTTTATGCGCGAAGACTTTGACGACGTCTTAGCAGAGGCCTATCGCAAGCGCGACCAGGCAATGGAAGAGACACAAATGCTCGAAAAGAAAAGCTCGGTATGTGTGTACGTCTCCTAACTCAGTAGTTCTATGAGAAAGAAGCAACAGAAGCCAAATCACACCTAACGGACCTTGTCAAGTCCATCGAAAAAGCCAGCACACCACCTTGAAATAAGCTATACCCTTTTCTACCATATAATAATTTATTCATTCCTATTATAGAGACCGCATCTCCCTACACTTGCCATGGCTCGCTTATTCGATATAGGAAGGTACAATATGGTCTGCCAAGTCATGCAAGATGCTTTGTTCCGCATCTTCAAACTCGCCTGTATGCGACGTGCCAGCTGTGCTGTTTGGTGATAGGTCGTGATCATCACCGAACGAGGTATCATGGGCAGGGGATACAGGTCTATTGTCTTGATTGACAATATCAACGCTAGGTCCTAGACCATGAACAACGCCTGATGATGATGCGAGGCTCAGTGCAGGTGGCGCTAAACCAGCTAACGAATTCGCCAAGGGAAGCATACTGGCAAATGCGCCAGACTCCTTGGCGCCAGGGGAGCGCTTTGTTGCTCGAGAAGCTGGATTTCTATCCAAAGGTTGTGCTGATTGAGGAAGGGACATGCCATGCTTCTTAGAATTCCGAAGTGCATCCGCACGAAGGCGCCGCCATGCTTGATCCCGTTCTTGATCACGTTGTTGGGTCATCATAACTTGGTGTTGATGCTCATTTGACACAAGGTCAAAGTACGCTGGGTTTATTTCCATGAACAACTTCAAGGCATTGTATACAAGCGTGTGAATAGTAGGGTTCCAATGCGTCTTGGATGTTTCATACAAGCTCCCAAATACAATGGGCAAAATAACTTGAATGTTATCACCCATAAGGTTGACAATATACTCATTATTCCAGAAATAAAGAGCGCGTTCGGCCACTTGGAAGTGTTGGCTTTCAACACAGCGAGCAAGTTGCTGGAAAAATGGCACTTGGATTTTGACAAAGTCTGTGGGTTCAATAACATCCAACACTTCCTCAATTTCATTCAAGAACATAACTTCTTTTTGAGAATTGGTCTTGGGCCAGAAGCGCAGTAAGCCAAGCATCACCTCTTCTGTGAGGGTACTGTCTTTTTCGATAAATTGTACAACACAGTACGCAAGCTGAGGATGGTACATAGCCAGGCTTTTCACCTTATGGAGAGGGAGAAGAACCCGCGACAAGAACACCTTGTGTTCCTCTTTCAATGGCAAAGCAAAACCGTTGATAATTGAACCAAGAATTTCGAGTAGTTCCGCAATACCATTGTGCCTTTCGGTCTCATAAATAAACTGGAAAAACACGTTGTTGATAGAGCGACGAATAAAAGCACGAAGATTTAAGAACTTTCCGTAGATTCGGTGTAACGTAGTTTTCAAGAAGTCACGCTCCCGAGGATCTTCACTGTCGAACAAGTCTAGCAAGTGCAACACAAATGAATGGTCAATAAATTTCTTTGCCACACTGGTATTCAGGTCTGAGCTTTCGACAAAGCGCAAGAAAAGCTCATACACAAGTTGGAGGTGAGGCCATGCTAGCTCTAAAACTGGCTCATCTTCTTCAGGATCAAATGCTTCACCCAGAGAACTCGAAGGTGGCGGAATCGTCCGGAATAAGTTCGATGCAAACATGTTTACCATTTCGGGATAAATAGGTTCCGTAATCGTACCGCGCTGGGTAGTGATATACTCCAGCATCTCCTGCAATGCTTGTGCCTTAATCTGCTTCCCTGGCAACTCGAGGCTTGCATCAGTGAAATCAAACACGACGCTGCATTGACGGAGTTTTTTCACAAACAAGGAAGTACGCTCCGATGGCATCACATCGGAGAATGGTGGAAGCGCTTCCAAGTTCATGTTGTCCGATGGCTGAATGCGGCTGCTGCGCTGCTTTCTCGGTGGCGTTCGTACGACGGGAATCGTATCTTTCGGTGCCACCATAGGCTGGACTGGTTGACGTGTACGAGCCAGTGCAATAGAAGGCGTCGTACCTGAGCTTGTTGATACACCACCTAAGGAGCTGGCCGATGTAGAAGGGGTGACAGATCCGCTAGGACGAGGCGTTCCCTCAGCGGATGGCACAGCACTCTTGTTCGGCGATGCATGCACTGGTGCACCCATTCCGGCAGGGCGTGGCATCTGCATAGGAGTTGTGGATGATGCGCTTGTAGTGTTGCTCGTTCCTATTTTGCTGGATTGCGAATGTGTTGACGAGGACGATGATACACGGGACGCTGAACTCGCATTGGACGCTGACGTTAGCCGGAGCCATAGAACCTGTACATACCAAAAGAAGAGGAGCTGTGATTCCTACCCGAGCCTGAAAGGAAGCTTCGTGTTGGTGTGTCTTTCGTTGGCGGAGCTGGTGCCGCATTGGCGGCATTGTTGTTACGATTCTGGCTGTCTGAATGCCGGGATCGTGAAAGGGCCTAAACATGAGATTAATTTAAAAAAAAACGTACCATAGCCTTTTTGAGGCCCTTCATAATGCGTCACAAGTATGCTTTAGAAACCTGTAACTTCTGGTATAAGGTCTAGCGCCTGCCGAAATCTTTGGGAAACGACAGCGGGTTTGCGACAAGATGGTGGCAGGCTGTGGCCTAAACCTGGGCCAATTGGGGCCCTGCCCGTTTATGCACCACCGTGCATCAACCTCACACACCTCCATTGGATAATCCACTAGTCTCACGGACCTCTGTGGCTTGTCAGAGTGATCATTCGTTATGGCGTTGTCGATTTTCGTTCCGATCGCGTACATCGTGACACTATTTGCCTCTCTCTCTCTGTTTTCAAAGCTGTACCGTCGCCGTACCCAGAAGCGTTTGGATAGGTTTCAAGCCGCTTCCTCGGCAGACTCAGAGCTGCAAGCTGATCGCGCTATATACAAAGCGCTAGGAGAAATCCAAGAGGTGTATCCTGATGCGCCTGCTAACTCTGAAGAATGGATTGTTCCTCGTGTTACACTGCAGGCCTCGCTTCTTTCGCGTGCTGTAGCTGCATTGCGCCGTATGAGTGAGCTTCGTATGGATAAGCAGGCTCTCCAGACTCTCTTGGACCGTGGCTCCCTTGGTGACGATGCAGCGGTGATGCTGGAGGCCAAAGAAAACGAGGCACGTGCCGAAGCTTTCGAGATCGCTCGTGAAGCTGGCCGCTTTAACCCGAACTGGAGCAAGCTCATCTTTGAAAATGCAAACCAGATCTCCATCAATCTGCAATTCCGGGATGTGCTGATGAACATTTCGAAACAACGTGAGGAAGAAGGTATGTATGCTTGAAACCAGCGACTTACATCAGTGGCCAAAATGCGTCAAATGGGCCTCGAAGTGCCTGAGCTTAAATTTGCTGTTACGCCTACGCCTGCCTCCAAAACGGCAGAATCGTCGAATTCGACTTCTTCATGAACATACCCCCCCTTTATTACTATGGGACTCCGTAGTTGTTAATGGACCTAAATATTCATTATACACACGCACTATGAGACGAGCCTAGGAAGCTTTAAGCCTTGCGCGCTTTGCGTTTCTGGAAGTCGGAAACTTTGTCGGCTAATACCTTTTGCTGGCGTTCCTGCCAAGCCATCAGACGGCTTGTTTCATGGACTGGGAACCCAAAAATACGGGGCACTACACGCTCGAACTGTAGCTGATGAGGGCTTCCTTCATCCATCACAATATCAGTGCCTGTGTCAGTCTCTTCACCAGCGGATAAGCTGTTTCCAGTTTTTCTCTCTAGAGCCTTGGCACGTTCATGCAAAGCATCGGCGGAAACACCTCCATACTGTCTAGGGGCTAGAGGCGATGGGACCGGCATCTTGACAGTTTTGGGAGGAATCAAATGGGGGTATACCATCAGGAGCATGTGAGGGAATGTGGATCCAAAAAAGGCGCCGTCTACAGCACCATGACGCGAGCTCTTTGGGCGATACAAGTCTTCACAGCGTGGACAGAATAGGCGCACAGGGCTTTGGAAGGGGATATCAGATAAACCGATGGGGAGCAATGGCTGCTGGTAGCACAAGACTCGTGGACAACGACCAAAATCACCACGTTTGTACTTCTCCGCCATTTTCGCCAGTCCTCGTGTGGTCACAACGAAGCGAGCGTGGATCAGACCGTAAAGAATGCGTGCTTGCGTCTCAATTTGCTCGCGATGCGTTTCATTGATATGCTCATCTAGCGCATCGGTAATAAGATCTAGCGCATACATATAGTGTTGCACCTCGGCATTCAAGCCAGTCAGATTAAATCGATCAAGGATGTAATCCTCATCTACTTCGCAAAAGTATTCATTCCCTTTGGTCGATAGGAACCAGGCGATCCATGTGCTAGCAGCATAATCCGATGAGCATGACGAAAGCTCTTCCACTGAGGCTGTTAGCCTTACAACAAGCATACATACTGTCTTCGTGCGTATGTCCGTGACGCGGCCGATTTCCAACGGTGACGACGTGGCCACATCCAATTATAGAAAATGCCCAGAAAGGCCTATTAGGTATTGAGAATTTTTTGGGTTTGTTGGGCGTAGGCGCCCGATCGTGGACGGGGGCAATAACCGACGGGACCTGAAATTCTCTCACAGCTCCCCATTGCTACCAGTGGACCGTGATGATTTCCGCACCTTGGAAGGCTAGCTTGCTGCGTTCTCGCGCTATGGCGTCTGCCATGCGCCCAGCTGCGCTGACTCGTGTTCCGTTCACCATGCCTGTGCGTACTATGGCTTCGGAGTCTGGCCCGCAAGAGATGACGGTTCGCGATGCGCTCAACTCTGCCATGGAAGAAGAGCTTCACCGTGACTCGCGTGTGTTCCTCCTTGGTGAGGAGGTGGCTCGCTACAACGGCGCATACAAAGTAACTAAGGGTCTCCTTGACAAGTTTGGTGAAGACCGCATTATTGACACACCCATTACTGAGGCTGGTTTCACTGGTCTGGCTGTGGGCGCTGCTTTTGCTGGTCTGCGCCCAATCTGTGAGTTCATGACCTTCAACTTTGCTATGCAGGCCATCGACCAGATTGTGAACTCGGCTGCCAAGACGCACTACATGTCTGGTGGTATGGTATCTTGCCCCATCGTATTCCGTGGCCCGAACGGTGCTGCTGCTGGTGTGGCTGCGCAGCACTCGCAGGACTACGCTTCTTGGTACGGTCAGATTCCTGGTCTCAAGGTTGTGAGTCCGTACAGTGCTGAGGATGCGCGCGGTCTCCTCAAGGCGGCTGTTCGTGACCCGAACCCTGTTGTATTCCTGGAGAACGAAATTTTGTACGGCCACAGCTTCCCTGTATCGGAAGAGGCCCTTTCGGAAGACTTTGTTATTGAGATTGGTAAGGCCAAGGTCGAGCGTCCTGGTAAGGATATCACCATTGTGTCGCATACTATTGGTGTGGACCACTCGCTCAATGCTGCTAAGCTCCTGGAAGAAGAGGGCATCAGCGCTGAGGTGATCAACTTGCGCTCTATTCGTCCTCTTGACATTGACACGATTTTGGCAAGTCTCAAGAAGACCAACCGCTTGGTGACGGTGGAGTGCGGTTTCCCTGCCTTTGGCCTGGGTAGCGAGATTTGCGCCCAGATCATGGAGACGGACGGCTTTGACTACCTCGATGCACCAGTGGAGCGTGTGACAGGTGCTGATGTCCCGACGCCGTACGCTCACAACTTGGAGGACCGCGCTTTCCCTACCCCTGAAGTGATCGCACGTGTGGCTAAGCGTGCGCTCTACCGCGTATAAGTGAAGGGATCAAAGTAAACCCACGCTCTGGTCTCTATGTCATATAACGAACTCTCACAGCATGATTGTCCATATCCGTGTAGTGAGTATATGATCGAATTCTCTTCCTTGAAATTTTCATCCTTGGGAATCATATCCGTTTAGATGCTTTTCAATTGACATTATGGAAGCTATCAACGGACAAAGAGGGCAGTTTCTCTAAGAGCTACCCATTTAGTTCGTCGCCGAGCTAATGTAGAACCACTTGTCAATGCTCGGGTCAATTGGCGCCGGGGGCTGCGGGTTCGCAGCCGGAATCGAGGTGGCCGCAGCGTCAGTGGCAGCGACGAGGTTCTTGCTACCCTGCACGGTCGAGTTCTCGAGACGGATATCACCAGCCTGGGCCTGGCCAGTGATGAGACGGCGCCAAGCCTCGTGGCACTCGTGAATAACCTCTGTAGCGTAGTTACGGTTCTTGGCCTCACCCGAGAAGGCGAACTCGTTCTCCGGCTTGCCGTCAGGGATCTTGTAAATACGGAACCACTCGTTGGTCGCACGGATCAAGCCCGGAAGGTGCTTCTCAACGTCCTCAATATCGTTGAGCTTCGAGGCGATCGGGTCGTTGACGTCAATCACAATCACCTTCCAGTCAGTCTCACCCTCGTCCAGCAGGGCCATCACACCGAGGACCTTAACCTGCTTGATCTGACCAGTGTAGCCAACCTGCTCACCAATCTCAACGACATCGAGAGGGTCGTTGTCACCATTAGCCTTGGTGTCAGGGTGCGAGAACGACGGGTCCTCCCAGGTCTGCGGGAAAGCACCATAGTTCCAAATGTAGCCCTTGTGCGGGAACGAGTTGCGCACAAAGCGCAGCTTACCCTTCTTGGTGTCCTGCTTGAAGGGGTTGAAGGCATCCTCCTTGCTAATCTCCACCTTGGCGTTGGTCCAGCGGGGAATCTCAACGATAAAGTTCAGAATACCGTTGGCTTCATCAGCATACAGCGGCACATCGTGGAAAGGCGACAGAGGCTGGCCAGTCTTCTTCGACTCGAGGTAAACGCGGTACTCAAGGGTGTTGGGAGCGCCAACAACGCGAGTCTGGATATCCTGAGCAGAGGTCATTATAGTATTTGATTTAGTCAAGATCGAAGCGGTTTGTTTCAATCGTCTTAACACTGAGGAAGTGCGTGAGAGCATCCGCGGGAGCGCTGCTCCTCACCCATCTCGAACTCAGAAGCCCGGCGCACGGGCGTCATCACGTGCGTCGCCAGCGCTTGCGTGCTTTCGGCCGAAATATTCTTCGAGAATGCGCGAATGTAAATCAGCCGGATGTGATAGGGTGCCTGTGCCGGAAGGTACTAAAGAGGTCCTAGCTCCCGGGGTTAATTTCTCTTCCTACCACCCATTACCATGGCTCAGTTTGGTGACTTTGATTCTGTCCGCAAGGACATTGAGGCTATCCTTAAGAACAAGGACTACGATGATGGTTCGATTGGTCCGGTCATTGTCCGTCTTGCTTGGCACTCGTCGGGTACCTACAGCAAGGAGGATAACACCGGTGGCTCGAACGGTGCTGGTATGCGCTACGAGCAGGAGGGTACCGACCCTGCCAACGCTGGTCTTGAGCACGCTCGTAAGTTCCTTGAGCCCATCAAGGAGAAGCACTCGTGGATCACTTATGCCGACCTTTGGACTCTGGCTGGTGTGACTGCGATCAAGGCTATGGGCGGCCCTGACATTCCATGGAAGCCGGGCCGCACTGACTTCACTAACACGAAGTTCCTGCCCCCGCGTGGCCGTCTCCCTGATGGTGCTCAGGCCCAGGACCACCTCCGCCACATCTTCTACCGTATGGGCTTCAACGACCAGGAGATTGTTGCTCTGTCGGGTGCCCACAGTCTCGGTCGTTGCCACTCCGACCGCTCGGGCTTCGATGGTCCTTGGGCCGTGAACCCGACCCGCTTCTCGAACACCTACTTCAAGCACTTGCTAGAGCTTAAGTGGGAGCCGCGCAAGTGGGACGGTCCGTTCCAGTACTCGGCCCGTGCACCGGGTATGGATGAGGACGATGAGCCCCTCATGATGCTCCCCACTGACTACGCTCTGATTCAGGACCCCAAGTTCCGCGAGTGGGTCGAGAAGTACGCCGCTGACCGTGACCTCTTCTTCAGCGACTTCACGAAGGTGTTCGCTAAGCTCATTGAGCTTGGTGTTTACCGTGACGAGGATGGTATTGCTCGCTGCGACAAGCGTGATGCTAAGGGCTCGTACATTTCTGCTCCTCCGATGTCGGGCACTTCGACCAAGCTTTAAAGAACTCTTTTCAGCTTTTAACTCGTAGAATTTTATTGTTAAGCAATATTACTCTTACATACAATATCACCATGACCCCAGTCTAAGGGCTCCTGAAATTATGTAGAGTATTCCTTCTCTGTATACCTAGGGACTGCAATCTGCATATTCATGGCGACATTTTGCCAAGCAACTGAAATACCAGGTTCGTCTTTCTGCTTCAGACGCACGGATACCGTTCCACGCCAAACGCGTCGAGATGTGGAGGTGTTATGCACAAACTAGAGTTTACTCCTACTTCCCAAACACGGTGCTTTGGGCGGCAACTGGACAGACCCTAAGGGCGCCTGGCATATGGACTGTAGTTGCCAAACAATAACACGCATCGCAAGATCATCACATATTGATCTTTCTGTCGAAGACTGATTATGTCGGGTCTAGGGATCGAGCTTAATCAGTCTTTCCATGCGGATGTGCCGGCTTGTGACTCAACATCGCAAAATATTCCCCCTGCCAAAACGTCCCGTCGTCGTGCTAATGTTCGGAGAAGATTTGGTGAGGATATTACATCGAAAGCATCACAAGCGCAACTACCGTGCATGCCACTACGCGAGAACAAATCTGCGTTGAACACTTCTTCGCAGCCTTCTCCTGTGTATGTTATGCAGCACCCCTTGCCAGCGAAACCTATTGTTGACTGGTCTACAATGGATAATGTTAAGCATGCAAGTGCTACACTTCGTGTTGAGACGCCAAGTGATACCGATTCGTCTCCGGCATTTACACATGGTCAGCCTCCTCTGATTCAATGCACACCTATTAAACAAACGAACTCACGATCAACTCTATCACTTCCGGCCTCGTCCACCCCATCTGCAGGCAATATGGTGCATGTTTTGCCAGCTAAACCACAATTACCCTCTCTTTTCCCACCTGAACGTGATGATCGTGTCGGTATAGAAGTATTTTTGGAAAATGACGTGGCTGTGGAAGGTGGTTGTGTTCATGGTTGTGTTCGGCTTTGTGTCCCCGATTCTACGGATCCATCTACTGCGATGCTACTTGCTCAGCCACGCGTTAGATTGATTGGGTTTGAAACGCTTCCAGACGATGAAACTCGACACATATTTTATCGCCATATGTCTGTTATTGATGGTGATAGGAGCGCTGATGGTCCCACTGAGCCCTATGTTCTGCATGGCTCCCCAGAGTTTGCCAAATTAGAAGGAGCTATACAGAGTATGCTTCCATGCTATGCATCACTACCTGATGCTGATGGCTTCTATTTGGGCAAAGGAGGCGAGCATGTAATCCCGTTTACACTTCAGCTGCCGATGGACCAGGGAGCAAAGGGTGGATATAAGAGCGCAAATGCAGAGGTTGGATACATTGTTATTGCTTCTGTACGTGTTAAAGCGTTTGGTGAACAGTATGGAGGCGTGTCACATTGTTTCCAGCGCTTAAATTTATACCCTTACCTTAACCCTACGGCGATTTTGGCCAGCTCTTTGGTTCCCATTGTGTCTTTTTCTGATTCAACTGAGGCTCAGTCTCGTAAAATCCAGCTCGCTTGTTCTTTACACCGCGAGACGTGGATTGCTGGCCAACGTGTCTATTTCGATGCCAGCGTTTTAAACAATGGTCAAAATATGTTGAATATCCTGCGAATCGCATTGGTTCAAACGGAGAAAATATACCACTCCCGTGGCTCAGCCTCGTCTTTTCCGCTAACTGTGTCATCTACGAGCAATATTATCATGGATGAAACTTTGGCTGCTAGCAATAATGGGCATTGGTGGACTGGGGCCCCATGCGGTGTACCTGTCCATTTTGCGCATTCTATTGTCATTCCAAGTGATGTTATCACCGTTGATAAAAGCCGTCATGTGGATGTACAATTCTCTCTTCGCATCGGTGTCGGAGCTGATACCTCTACGCTTGTTGAAGTTGATTTGCCTCTTCGCATTGTCAACTTTGTGTCATTAGATCCACCACCACCACGGAAGTCCTGGATGGGGGGGCCAGGTCTATTGGGTCTATCAAAACAAAGTCAGTCAGATCAACATCAAATGATTGAGCGATTGCGAAAGATGGAATCACTGAAGAGTCCCAGCTTAGCCTGTGACATAAACTATCTGTCACCTGACACTCATCTGCCGAGGAATCCTCGAACTGCTCATCATAAGCGATCTTTGGTGTTCATTAATAGTGCAATTCGGAGTGCCACAGCAAGACACACGTCGCCTTTGGCATTGCAAGATGAATCACCTACAGGCCTTGGCATTGGACTTGCATCGTCCGCTCCCAGTTCAGCCGCTTCCACACCACTGAATGTAAAAGAGCGCTTACTTTTTGGCCCGTCCTTGCCAGCGCTTGAGATTCAACGTCCTTCTTCTACTGATGCGGACGCATCGTTACCTTTAGGTGATGAAACTATGGATGACTTCGAGCTTTTTTTTGATGGCAGTGTACGAAAATCTGATGAGAACAGTTACTCTATGCAAGTTGCCTGTCATGAGAACTTAGATGCCTCTAACGATGATTCACTTTGGATGCGGGGATACGAAACAAAGGCTATATCACCACAACCTATCTCTACGTCAGTTACGGCACCATCGACACCCACTCGTGAGAACTCTGTGTCGGTGAGTCGAGGCACGGCTAGTGTCCCTCGCATGCCCACGTTGAAATACTCCAATGTTTCTGAAAGGTCATCACCCTTAAAAGCAAAATCAGTTGGCCGCTCTTAAAGGGGTACTCGTATACCTGTATCACATATGCATGCTGTCTAGAATATATGACTGGACGATATTTGACAGGGAGTTGCATGATGCAGAAATGTATCCTGGTTTTATCATTTGAATGACATTTGTTGAATTTGGGCTTGTCGCTTGTTCCTGATGTACATCGTACCTAGTTCACCCAATGGCTAGTTTATTTGGTGTAATTGACACATTTAGACACACATTTGTAAGCAATCTGCATAAAATAAAACGTTGACTTTATGATTCCGAATTCAGAGATACTGCTTATATAATTTGCTCCCTGGTCCTGACAAGATGAAAGTAACAATTGTTGTCCTAAGAGTTATCCATCTTACAGCCAGCGAAAGAAAAAAAAAAAATACTCTTTTTGTTATCCCTAAGTACGAGAGTCTCTCCATGGTGATGAGTGCACAATCTCATTCATTCGGCGTGGGAACCTCACACCAGACCTCGTTTAATCAAACGGAGTGGCCTTCCGTGAGAGTTGACGTACGGGAACATGAGCCAAAGTTGAACTTGAATCCGGCGAGCTTAAATGGTGCTGCTGCAGTCCCTAATTTATCCCCAACAGCTTGCAACATATTCGGGATACCAACAGGCATTCATCCTAGCACTGTTCCAAATCTGTCGCAAGCGTCTTTGGTTCCTGGAAGTGCCTCCGGTACAATGACTGTAGGGTTGGGAATTCCGTCAACGCTGGACGCAAGCACCTCTGGTATTTCCACCAGATCGAACTCTAACGAAACGAATAAAACCAATTTTATGGTAGCGAAGGCCGAAAAGAGCCCTACCATGTCTCTTAATTCTGCTACAATGCAGCTTCCCGTGGCACAAGAAGCTCAGCCACTCAAGACTGTCGAGCAGGAACAGAATTTATCTACTCCTATACAAAGTCCAGAAGTTCTACTTCCGACTATTGGAGCGGCGATTGATGAACTGGTCCACATTGCCTCTGATGCACGTAAGCATTTTCATGAAGGCCAATTCGATGAAAGCAGTAAAAAAATTGATACACTACGCAATGTTGTTAAGCAAATCGATGATGTGGGTACGACGTCGATGGATTTGGTAAATGACGTAAAATTACGTTCGCGAAATTGTTCGCAAACCACATTTTCTTCTGTGTACACGCCAGAGCACGAGCAACAATTATATGCTGCTGCTGCCTTTTCCCCATCTCGATACTCGGAAGTCCGAAAAAGGAGAAATAATAGCGATATTGCTCCTGCCATTCCTCTCAAGTCGTTTCGTGCAGCTAGTGTCGCTACACGCGGCAGGTCTCACTCTGACCTAACGAACTTTGTACCCCCTTTGGTAACACCCACTCGGGTGAATTCTTCATTGTTATCTCCACCGTTGCCAACAGGAAACTTTGAATTCAAAGTCTCTGAAGGTCCAACGTTTCACCCTACGCCGTTGCAATCTTCTCATTCGCCAATGGATCCACACGATTCCAAGACGGGCACGCCATCATTGGGTATATCGCACCCTAATGATAAGACGATTTTGCCACTATCTGATGCGTCTACTGCAGCCATTCTTGGCACGCACACGTCTGTGGTTAACAGTCCTGTACAAGGTTCTTTGAATTCTTCAGCTCAAAATGAGGGCCAAGGAACCATGGCTTTGGGTCAAAGACCTAATACCTCACTGAATGAACCTATGCAATCTATGCAGGCGCTAAACATGGCTTTAGAGTCTCATACTGGCAGTAAATGGTCGGATGATACCACAAATATACTGCAGCCTTCTATCCAGGTTGCTATGGGGCAGCAGCAGCAAGACCAAGTCGTATTGGATCAACCTCATACTTCTAATCTTGACCCAGCGGCGGATGACCTGTGGGATAATTATGGGTCTACAGACCGTGGTGCTTTGAATACAGATTTGCCTGCTGACCTTCGAGCCCATTACGATAAGATTTTCCATGAATTTCTGACGTGTATTTGTTCCAATGTGGAAGCTAAGGACGACCGTGGTGAATTGATCCACCAAGTATTTATGCCGAAGAAAATGGCTCGTTTGGACGAATCCCCTGACTTTAGGCCTTTCAAATTTCGAATTCAGCCGTTTTCAAATGCCTTTCAATCGGAACTACAGCGCCGTGGCTTGAGCGAAGATGATTGCTCGATGCGGAAGGTAAAGCCATACCTGTGGAGCCACCCATACATCTCGCGATTTAATGAAGATGGTCGCAAATCAAAGTCGAAGGGCAACCATATCTGGAATGTGGAAGCCAGACGACTCCCTAATGGTGGGTGGGAATTTTTTACGTTCATGCCCAAAATTGCTGCTCCGTCTAGCAAAATTGCGTATGTGGGTGAACCATGGACATGGAATTTGCGTATCTGGGATCCACAGTCGTCTGCTTCTGATTTCAAAGTGGCATATTCAGCGACCAAATTGCCATCCTGGTTGAAGTGGGAGGACAATGACAAAGTGTTATCTGGCACACCCAGTTCTCCGTTAGACTCTGGAGACGTCTCCATCATGGCTGTGTATGTGCATCTAGGCCAACTTCATCGGCTAGAGCAATCGTTTCTGTTGCGCGTTGTGGACCGGTCAGATCCTAATGTAGCAAGTCAAGAAGCGTCAAGCGCCTCCGTGCCGGAGATGGTGTCGCCCCCGCTCCCAGCCCAGACGACATCTGCTACATCTCCTTTGGTGGATATTCAAGTGACACCGCTCCCTCAGACCGACAGGCACGAGGTGGTTGATCCGTCTCGTGCCTCAGATGTGCTTGCGTCGTTGAATTTCCCATTTACACCGCCAGTTTATATGGAAGGCTCTCATGTACAGCCTCAATTTGGTCTTGATGCGCAAATGATGCAAAATCGCGCTATTATGGAACAGCCTAATGCTGTATTTTCTGAGTCAAGCCAGCAAGTACCGTCGTTTGTCGATAAGACAGCGACCCTTCAACCGGTATTGCCACAAGCAGGGCCGTCTGGCCATATTTCGCCCCCTTTGGCTGATATTCAGTCTACGTCACACTCTACGCCGCTAGCATCACCTGGTATGGTTCCAGGCTCTACCAATACTGTGACCCCTATGATGCAAATGTGGAATGTCATTGATCAGCGCCAGCGAGAGCAGGCCTCTTCGTTTATGTTACTTATGCCGCAGCGTCCACAATCATTTTCGCTGAGTGAACATCCAGGCCAAGGAACGCCTATGTCAAATCTTCCGAATGATATGGGTGCTACGCTGCCTCAAATCTCAAAGCCGTGATTTTTTCACTAATGGATCAAGATACGTGATATGCTTACACCAGAGCAAAGATATTGTTTATATTGTAATTTATATAGGTAAAGGTTGGGATACTATGGTAATTATCGCTTCATACTATATGCACGCATCATACATAAGAATGGCTGATACGAGTGTCTAGACAGCATGTATGATGAAAACTAGTTAAGCTTCTTGCTTGTCGGCAAAGAGCGACGCGTGAGCCACTTGCACACCTCATCAATAAGAATGATGGGGGCGGAAATGCCCAATACAGCCATCCATTCATTCCAGTTCAAAGGCGCGATCGAAAAGATAGCCTGGAAGTAAGGCACATATAGGATCATCATGTGTAGCGCCATAGACAGAATAATGGCGCCGATCAGCCATAGGTTTTTCAGGGGAGAGTGCGTAAGCAAACTGTCCACTTCTGAAAGTGCATTCAAAGCATTGAACATTTCAATCGTCACGAGAATACTCAGACTCATGGTAGACGCATGGCGGGCCTCGTCGCCCACGAACATTTGGCAGCCAATCTCTGCAAACTCACGCGAGCAGCGGTGGAAGTGCGTAAGTTGGTACACGCTGATCTGCGGGCCATCTTGATACATCACGAACCACCAAGCGTATCCGAGAATGGTAGCTACGCCGACATAGACTCCGATAAGCAAGTAGCGAACAAACAACCACCGCGTAATAAGAGGGTCATCTCGCTTACGGGGCGGTAAGCGCATCACAGCACGATCTGGGGGGTTAAATCCAAGGGCCGTAGCTGGCAGACCATCTGTGACAAGGTTCACCCAAAGCAGTTGCACAGGAATCAAAGCCTCCGGCATACCCAACAGCACAGTCAAAAAGATGCTCACCACTTCACCGATGTTGGAAGAAATGAGATAGCGAATGAACGATGCCGTGTTGTTGAAGATACTGCGACCCTGCTCAATTGCCGAAACAATTGTAGCAAAGTTGTTATCAGCCAAGACCATATCAGCTGCAAGCTTGGCAACATCTGTACCGGTACCCATAGCCACACCAATGTCGGCACGTTTAAGGGCAGGCGCATCATTTACACCATCACCTGTCATAGCAACCACCTCATTTTGATTTTGCAGCAGGTCGACCAATTGGCTCTTGTGCGATGGCTCAGTGCGCGAGAGCAACACGACGTTGCGCGCCATACGAGTCTTTTCCTCCTCGGACATTTGATCCAAATCGCGGCCAGTAATCGAACGGCCGCGCACGTCTTCCTCAGGCCCAAACAAACCAATTTGACGGCAGATGGCTTCAGCGGTATGCTGGTTGTCACCTGTGATCACAACAATACGAACACCGGCATCCATGCATGCATGCACAGCCTCCCGCACTTCTGGGCGAGGGGGGTCACGCATACCGACAAAGCCCACAATGGACAATTCACTCTCGTACGTAGAATACTCTGACGGATCGATTTGCGCATAGGGGTCTTTAGGAAGCACATCGTCGCGAATCGCAATGGCAAGCGTACGCAAACCTTCGCTACCAAACGATGCCAGTTTCTCCTTCATGACCATACGTGCTGCATCGTCCAAAGGCCGGCGTGTGGACGCATCGACATACACATGCGTCGCACGAGCCACGACAGACTCCGGCGCACCTTTGACAAGTAAACGACCGTGACCATTTTCATGGCGGACAAACGTCGACATGAGCTTTCGATCGCGAGAAAAGTCCAGCGTTGCCAATCGTGGCAGATCGTGAGCATACCACTCACACACCGCACCTGCACGAAGCGCCGACTGTAGTTCTGTCATGTGCGCCTGTCGGACAGGGTCATGGTGGCCCAATTTTTCCACAAGCACATGTAAAGCAGCCTCTGTTGCCTGGCCCAATGCTTTGTAACGTCCTTGCGCATCCACGATAATCTTTGCATCATTGCACACAGCACACGTCTCAGCCAAGGCTTGCACGGCACTGTTCGGCTCATTGATATTGGTCACCACTTTGCCGTTCAACAAAATGTCACCTTCCGGATGAAAGCTCGAGCCTGTCACAGTGTATTCAAGACCGTTGCCTAGCATAAATACACGAGCAACGCTCATTTCGTTGGTCGTCAACGTGCCCGTCTTGTCAGAGCAAATCACACTCGTGGAACCCAATGTCTCCACACTGGGCAAGTGACGCACGATGGCATTTTTTCGTGCCATCTTCTGCGTGCCAAGAGCCAGACAGGCCGTAATGACCGCAGCCAAACCCTCTGGAATCGCCGCGACGGCCAAAGCCACAGCAATCTTAAAGTAGTACATGGCACCACGCATCCAGCCATGGTGCGAAGGATCACCAAAGTGACGAATGTTCACGACCCATACCAGAATACAGATAACCATAATGGTTTTTGCCAGCAGATCACCAAACTCATCCAGCTTTTCTTGTAATGGCGTTTTGGAGTCCGTTTGGTCACCGATTTGCGCGTGAATGTTGCCAATGGCTGTTCGGTCCGCTGTCAAGCATACTAGGGCTACACAGTGACCACTTACGACCGTTGTACCAGCAAATAGCATATTCGTCATATCCTGCTTTACCGCATGCTCGTCCGCAATTGGGGAGATTGACTTGTATACACTTTCCGACTCACCCGTCAAAATGGCTTGATCAATTTGCAGCGATGCAGAGCGCAGCTCAATGACGCGACAGTCCGCAGGCACGCGATCGCCCGTAGAGAGCATAACAATATCACCTGGAACCAGGTCGCTAGCGTTAATACGAGACGTATTCTTGTCTCGTACAACGATAGCCTTTTCAGGGGAATAGGCACGAAGTGCTTGAATAGATTGATCTGCATTCCGCTCTTGCAACACACCCACCGTGGCGTTGGCAATCAAAATAAGAAAGATGACGCTTGGTTCCACCAAAGCATTCGCTAGGCTGCCCTCATTCTCCACAAGCGCCAGCACCAAGGATACTACAGCAGATCCAAGAAGAATAATTACCAGTTGGTCCTGGAACTGCTCAAGAATCAGCTTCCATAGTGGCGTTGATTCTTCTTCTTTAAGCTCTGACACTTGTTAGCCCACAGAATCTTCTCACATACCATTTGGCCCAAATTTGGCAAGGGCTGCATTAACCTCCTGGTGGCTAAGACCTTCCTTAGGGTTTACCCCAGCTTTCCCCAGGGCCTCGTCCACCGATAGCGTCCAAGCCTGTTCAATCATCGTACGTAAGGCAGAGGGAGCGCCACTGTCAATGCAGTGATACATCCTCCACGCGGACACGTGGAAGGTATTCTGTTGCGCGACAATCACGTGCACGATGAGTGGGCCATTTCCGTGGTCGTCGACTTCCATTCTTCTACGTTTACTAGAACGAAACGCCATGTCTTTTCTCGGCGCATTCAGGCCTACAAGCGCAGCATTTGGTGGTCTTCTATGGTATGTATAGTAATATGTTTGACACAAAAGGAAAAACCCGTGGCGTTTATCGTCTACACGCAAGGCCCGTGTTCGTCAACGTCTTCGTGATGTCGACACAGTGATCGAGACTATTCGCGCCAGCGGTGTCCAATGTCGTGCTTTGGATCGCGACTTGAGGCTCCCGAAAGAACAAGAGATGCATCCCCGCGATAAATATACTGTTTTCTCGCCTACTGGCGTCAACTTCCGCAAGAGTGTGCATAAGGTAGGTTTCTGACGTGCGTGAACATTCTAACATGGTTAGGTGCCGAAATGGACCCGCAAGACCCTTCGTGTGAACCCACGCGGCTTCTAAGCAGGTATGGACTGCTTATATACCCTATAGCCACGTAAACTAACGGCACACGTATGTGTGTTTCTTAAAAGATTTCATCCGATATGTGTAGGTCAACCGATAGCAAACACTGGGTGTATATTACCATTCGAACCGGACTACGAACATATTCCTAATTTCGAATCATTTAAAGGGTACCCGAGGACTTGAGGTCATCAAAGGCAATCTTGCAGCGCTTGCTCATGGTCTTCTCACCCTCACGAACCCACACACGCGGGTCGTAGAACTTCTTGTTGGGCTTGTCCTCACCCTCCGGGTTGCCGACCTGGGTCATCAGGTAACCCTTCTTGTTGAGGATAAAGTCACGGATACCCTCGAGGTAAGCGAACTGCGTGTCGGTGTCGACATTCATCTTCACCACACCGTTCTCCACAGCAGTGTAGATCTCGTGCTTCTCCGAACCCGAGCCACCGTGGAAGACAAGGAACACAGGCTTGGCCTTGTCAGTCTTCAGCTTCTCACGGACAAAGTCCTGGTGCTCCTTAAGCAGACCGGGCTGCAGGGTGACGTTACCTGGCTTGTACACACCGTGCACGTTACCGAAGGCAGCGGCAATGCTGAAGTTGGGGGTGATTTCGCTGAAGGCCCTGTAGATGTCCCAAATGTCCTCTGGCTGGGTGTAGAGAGCAGAGTTGTGAACGTGCTCGTTGTTCACACCGTCCTCCTCACCACCGGTAATACCAATCTCCATCTCGAGCCAGCAGCCGATCTTGGCCATGCGCTTCAGGTACTCAACGCAAATCGAAATGTTCTCCTCCTTGCTCTCTTCCGACAGGTCAAGCATGTGGGAGCTGAAGAGAGGCTCACCAGTCTTCTGGAAGTAGTCCTCATCGGCGGCAAGCATGCCGTCGAACCACGGGAGCAGCTTCTTGGCGCAGTGGTCCGAGTGCAGGATCACAGGTACACCGTAGTCCTTGGCCACCGAGCGGACGAAGTGGGCAGCAGCAATCGAGCCAGCCACAGAGGCAGCCTGGTTGTCGTTCGACAGACCCTTACCAGCGAAGTAGGCAGCACCACCGTTCGACACCTGCAGGATAACAGGCGACTTGGCGTCACGGGCAGCCTCCATGGCGGCGTTGGCAGTCGAAGACGAAGTGACGTTGAAAGCGGGGATAGCGAACGAGTGCTCACGAGCGTAGTCGAACACCTTGTAGACGTCCTTACCCGAGACAACACCAGCAGGAACAATATCAAGAATACCCATAGTTACAAAGTAAAGAGTAGATGGAGAAGAGGCCACTGTAGCAAGACCCCGAACAATGCACGCGACGAGCGAATTAGTCCGACTCCACGTGGTTGCCCCATGTCCCGAACTGCGTGCACTGATCAATTTCTATGCTGCTGTCAACTTGGCTACAATCGATTGGTTAAATCTGGTTCGTCTCCCTAATTCATTGCATAAGAGCAACTAAAAGCCCTTAGAGTAATTGCCTTGACTGGAAAGGTGAGCTTGGCCGATGGCAGATAGACGTACTCATAGAATTGATGCATACGAGCCACAATCTTCTCGAGGGCTTCAAGCCATTCAGAGAGTTGTGGTCGGACTTTTTCTTCGGAAGGTCCCAATTTAGCGTAGAAATCTTTCCGATACGGGCAAGCCTTCATAGCCAACTGACAAGTTAGAACGTCGCCTGTCATGCAATGTCACACGTACCGAGAAAAGAGGGCGCACGACAATACTGTGATACTTGCGTAGACTGTTCTCATACGCAGCTGTAAAGCTTGCACTGAGTTCCTCGGTCGGGTTATCGAGAGATCGATGCAGAGCTTTGGCAGTAAAGTCTAGACCGCTGAAACGTGTAAGCCTGGTATAAAATATACCTACCGCAAGAGCCACATTAAGCCTTCCGTAGCTGTACGCTTCTTATCCCCAGGTTGACCTTCATTCTTCACCAGCAGTTCCAGTGTACCAGACAGATCTGGGCCCGTAGCGAGAAGACGATCACGGATTTTCTACTATTAGCAATTCTCTCTTTCACCCACCTTAATATTTCCATTCATATCATTCTGTACCACAGCAAAGGCGCTGCTTCCAAGAAGATCAAAAAGCTTCACAACACCTTCAGTAGCATCAATAAAATCAGAGGTAGAAACACCCTCATCAGAAATAGAAACTTTCTGGTACGGCTACATTCTCGTATTAAATTCTTAATCCTTTACATACCGTCCGAAGTGTATCAAAATATGTCGTCATGGTATTTTGCGGAGTTCGTGTTGGTCCAAGCAATCGGGGAAGCTTAACACTCAGCTTCGCGTCCGGCACGTGATGAGACTGAGACAGAACAATGTTCTGAAAGCTTTTTTGTTACATTTAACGCTACCATTCCATAAGGGTAGACGCTCAGGGTGGTATGTTTTCTTACCGGATTTAGGACCTAGTGTGCTGCTATGACGAAACTTTTTTCACAGACCTGATCCGATCCCTTCTGGGAACGGCGGACAACTTTATATTGCCTAATTTTTCTGAGTCATTTGCGCACTAGCCTTGTCATATACATGAACATTACTAACGATACTAGGATATCTCATATAAATAATGTCATACTCTTATTGTAGTTTAAGCTGGTAAGCGTAGTTCTGCGTTGAAAAATGTTTGGACATCGTCTTCTGAGTGCCTACTTTTGGCAGACGTCTGAAGCCGGTAAGCCCTCCACGTGCACGTCGTGGGATCGCACATGCATGTTGTGCCAACGCTAACACGATACTTACTTTCAAGCGATTATGGCTCACTGTCATGAATCGCGTAGAACTAGGGATATGGATACAATAAGTGGATGTTCTAGCTCAGTAGTTCATCCTCATTGTGGTAGCAGTGGCTCGTTTATCATTGAAACGGACCCATATGCACTTACGGCCCCGCACTTCGTTACAGCTCAAAGACACGCGCCTCTTCATCGAGGGTGTCTACATCCAGGTGCGAAATTTAAAGGAAAACAAATGAATAAGAGAAATGTATATGATGTTTTGGTTGAATTGACAGTATGTTGGTTTCTTATACTTATACATTAGGATGTTGATTTGCATACGTCTACTGTTGGAGGTTATCTGAAGATTTTTGGTCTCACGAAAGAATGCCCTGAGATTACGACGTATTTCGATGGTGAAATTGTTGGAAGCCACTTTTCTTTTTCTACTGGAAAATGGGATGCTACACAAACTGACGACTTGCGACATTGGGTACGTGAAACGCAGTACACTAACAAAAGACGCGCTTCCCCACGTTTACCACGTTACATCGTGAAATTGGGAGACTAACTGCGCCTATCGATAACAAAAACAGCAATTACGTGTATATGCGGTGGAAAGAACGGTTTTTAGTGCCAGATCATCGTGTGAGCCAAATCAACGGCGCTAGCTTTGCTGGGTTCTACTATATTCAAGTTGCCTTGACTGATACTTTCGAAGAGATGACAACGCGGCAGCCTTCCAGAGAACAACGTACTCCCACGTTATCTGAGGACGAAGAATATGGGGACGACCCACTTTCACACACCTTTGCTACCAATACTACAAGGCATCCCGGATCGGACGCTGCTAAAATTTCCCAGCAAGGTCATTTGCGTGGCTTTTACTTTCACGAGAATTCAGAGCCTTTCCAGGAATTGTCGTTACATTATGTTCCATTACCAACAAGCAGTGCTTTTGAATTTTTATAAGCATGTGTTATTCACTCCTCTTCGCCCTCCAATGGCTCTGCAAGAACGCGTGTGTATGCTGCGCGCCATTGCCGGAGATAATAGATGCCCATACCCAAAAACAAGAGTACAGCGACCAAGCCAAGTTGCCAATATAATACGGAACGTTGTAACCAATCTGACTCATAGGGTTCAAGTACCGTGTCCAAGGACAAAATGCCTCCGCTCAGGACTTGTGAGTGGGTAGTAGGCCGATTCGTACGCCCAAAGTCCACAATTTGTGCTGCATGTTGCATGCCAAGTCGAGCTCTTGCGCCTTTGATGCCGATAATCAAACCTAGTGGGTTTTTCTCCGACACGGCTGTTTTTCGGACGGCCAGGGACCCATATCGACTCGAGCCCCCACTACGCTTGTCCAGCATGGAAATATGTTCCATTTCATCGGTCAGCGCTAGGGGAAGATCCAGTGACATGTGCGGTAATGGCTTACAGTCATCCACAAGAAGAATGTGAAGGGCTACTAGCGCCTTCAGCTGATTTGGATTTTGTTCATACCATGTCATATTAATTTTAGCAAAGGCTGAATCTTCAGGTAGCAACAGAATCAATCTTTGCTTTCCACAATTCCCAAAGCCATCCAAGGTAAGTGTATCATTCCACACCCAGTCAAAGCCTGTACGATTAAGCAATGTAATCATCTGCTTGGCTGAGGTACCCTGGGCTAGCTTGTTCATGGTAATAGGCACAGAAGCTGGGAGGTGCAAGTGACTTGTCCCATGAAGCACACCAGTATCGGTCAATGTATCGATATTGGTGAGATGGTGCGTGATATTAACGGAGTCAGACTTGATATGAATGCCAGAGTTATCACGACATAAAGACAAAAAGGAGCCTTCGTCAGTTTTAAGCGACGTCCAATTTTTGGGAATCGTATCGCTATACCATAACCCTGGAATCGAATGATATGATAAAACGTTAGCCAAGTCATCCGAATGGGTATTAAACAAGTATTTAGCCACTAAACCAGTGGCTGTAAATGCTGCCTCACTGGGAGCTAAATGTGTTCGCAATGGAGCATGGCGAGTCTCTTTTTCCAAATTCGCTTTGGACAAAGCACGTACAAACGTTGGGAATGCATGGTAAGCCGCAGTGTAGACTGGGTCATTTGGCACGCGAATCACGTCGCCCAATAAGTACACCGTCGAGTTACCTGCGGGAATGGGACCGCGAAGCGATGGAACAGTACCAAAGGTAATGTTACTGTTCTTTACAGTAATTCCAAGTCGCTGAGGTGCGCCACTTAGACCGGGCGGGTGAAGTTCTGTGGCCACCATAGAGGAGGCTACTGCGTCTTTTGAGTAATTCCCCGGTAGAATGTGATACTTTAATATTTCACGTATCTCTTGAATGTCCATGTCAGACGAAGATGAAGAAGGTAAAAATGTAGAAGAGAGGTACCATTTGTCAAGCTCTTCACTCGGTGGAATCAAGAACGTGAAGGGACCTTTGGGAGCACCAGGAGGAGGAGGCTCATGTGGATCCTGTGTAATATATAATTCCAGTCCAGCGCTGTGCATAAGGCTCACAAACCGATCAGCCTGAAGCCCTAATAGGTATTTTTCGACAGACATGCCCAAATCTCCAAAAGGCAAGTGCATACCATCAATGATATGCACCACACCGTTTTCTGTTAAAATATCTTCATAAATAACACGTGCATGGCCATAATACAATGACTGGTTTTTCTTCAACGTAACATTGACAACACCGCCTAGAATAGATGTCATAGGGACAGAGCCTGCTTTCCTTAGATCCGAGGCATAAGCAACATAGCCATGACCAAGACCTTGACTTGACACATGCCATCCAAATACCCGCATTCGATCGTCTTCTGCTTGCGGCGACGCACTTAGAAGATAATTTCGTTCCAGTTCACTCAGCTTGTTCCAAGCGCGATCGGTAGGTAGGAACATGGTTAAATGAGGGGTGGTCGATAATGATGCCAACAATTCATCTGGAAAATGACGGAAAAGAGTTGAAATGTTCTGTTTCGTCAAAAAATCATCTGCAGTTAGTGGCCTGCTAGAGTAACATACTTAGAGTGGGAGGAAGATCCAACACTTTGTCGATAATATATAACACGCCCCGGGACGAGCGCATGTCGGAGGAAAGGATGGTAGCACCTTGACTTCCATCATGATTGATACCGATTTTTGTGAGAGACCCTGACTTCGAGCGTTCAATGCGTACAAGCTGACCATGACCACGTAGCAGCTGACCGTCGTCTTCCGCACCTGGATTTGGAGGATTCTGGGGTACAGTACCGGGACGAGTCGGTTCAAAAAGGCGTTTTCGTGATGGCAAGTGCATTGTTTCCACAAACTCCTTAGAAGGGCCTTCTTCTGGCAGGGTATAATTGAGAATGTGGTACCAAAGATGTTGACGTAGCTTGGCATGGATATTGTCTGGGAGAGTGGACGAGTTAGTTAAAAATTCTAGCCATTCCATTGATTTGGAAGCCTCTTCGAAAGCCTGGTTGGATGGTGCAAATATTGTCATACCTTGCCCATCCAAGTCCATTTCTTGCATTCGATTCAGCGACGGGATTAGACGCGTGCGCTGAAGCAGATGCGTAAATGTGGACAGCTCTGGGTGCGAAGGGAGCAAGTCCACCAGGTTATGGAACTCGTGCACCCCATATTGGAACGCTCTTTGCGTAGCGAAGGCCGGCACTGCACATAAGCCTAAGGTAAACCAGAGCCATCGCATCGCGCAGGGTGGCAAGTGCACGGCCTACAACCTAGCGAGATGTCAGACCCTCATCGAAGCCCTGCGATGACTAAACGTGAAAAAATGTGGGCCTCGTCGTTGTGCTCACATCCAGCCTAACGCTTCCTCTGGGTGGTGCGTGTGACACTGCGAGGCTATGGGCGTTACCACAGCCTCAACATCGGCGGAGTGTCTACTCCGAGTATGTGCAGATATTGCGTCGCAGCTTGTGCAAGCACATGAAGAAGCACGACCTGTTTCCCTGAATGCCATTCGAGGCGCTGCATGCAAAAAGCATGGTTATGGCGGCGTGCCGAGACTGACTGACATTATCGCTGCGATCCCAGATTCGTACAAAAAGGCACTAGTGCCTGCTCTTCGTGCGAAGCCTGTTCGAAGTGCTAGCGGTATTGCTGTTGTCGCTGTGATGTGCAAGCCTCATCGTTGCCCGCACATTGCACTCACTGGCAATATTTGTGTGTATTGCCCAGGCGGCCCAGACTCTGATTTTGAGTATAGCACACAGTCTTACACAGGCTATGAGCCTACGTCTATGCGTGCTATTCGCGCACGTTATGATCCATACGAGCAGAGCCGTGGGCGTGTACAGCAGCTCCGTGAACTGGGACACAGTGTCGACAAAGTGGAATACATTATTATGGGTGGCACCTTTATGAGCTTGCCAGAGAAGTACAGGAATGAATTTATCGCACAACTTCACAATGCTCTTAGTGGGTACACAGGTCTGGATGTTGATGAAGCTGTGCGATACTCGGAACGCTCTCAGACCAAATGTATCGGTATTACCATTGAGACGCGGCCAGATTATTGCTTGCGCCCTCATCTCTCACAGATGTTGCGATACGGGTGCACAAGGTTGGAGATTGGTGTGCAAAGTGTATATGAAGATGTGGCGAGAGATACCAACCGTGGACACACAGTCAAAGCTGTGTGTGAAACGTTCCACCTGGCCAAAGATGCAGGCTACAAGGTGGTAGCGCATATGATGCCAGACTTGCCCAATGTCGGTGTTGAACGCGATATGGAGCAATTCAAGGAATATTTCGAGAACCCTGCTTTCCGCTCTGATGGTCTGAAACTCTACCCCACGCTGGTAATTCGCGGCACAGGTCTGTATGAGCTATGGCGTACCGGGCGGTATAAGAACTATACACCGTCGTTCCTTGTGGACGTGATTGCACGTATCCTCGCGCTAGTTCCACCATGGACGCGTGTGTACCGAGTGCAGCGAGATATTCCTATGCCTCTTGTTTCGAGCGGTGTCGAAAACGGCAATCTGCGTGAAATGGCACTGGAACGAATGCGTGACTTCGGTGTAACATGCCGCGATGTTCGATACCGCGAAGTGGGTATTCATGAGATCCATACCAAGGTACGGCCAGAAGAAATTGAATTCCTTCGCCGTGACTATACTGCCAACGGAGGTTGGGAGACATTTTTGTCGTATGAAGACCCTGAACGTGATATCCTGGTGGCGTTACTGCGCCTGCGAAAATGTTCGAGCACAGGTACATACCGTCCGGAGCTACTCAAGGATGGACAGGCATCGATTGTACGTGAACTTCATACGTATGGCAGTGCAGTTCCGATCCACAGTCGTGATCCTACCAAGTTCCAGCACCAAGGTTTTGGTACGCTATTGATGGAGCAAGCGGAAGCTATCGCGCGCGATGAACACGGGAGTGTAAAGATGGCTGTGATTGCTGGTGTTGGTACTCGTGATTATTACCGCCGTCTAGGCTACGAATTGGAGGGGCCATGTACGTTGCACGTTGCGTTTCTCACCCATGACAGACATGACCAAGATGCTGTAGACCCTGTCGCTAGATATCACGTGATAGGATGGTACGCGCACACGCCCCCTATCATCCAGCCGCACGTCGTGGTGCGTAGTTCGTGCAGCCAGTGCCATGACGGACAGTCAGGTTCAAGGTGTATGGCTGTGGCGTTCACATCGATGCTATCCGGTGAGTGTTAGTGTCACTCCGTACCATCTAGTCCTGATCGTTGGTGGCCACCATGAGGAGGTATGCACTCGGGGCCATACTCATATACAGATTGATATACCCCTGATTGCGCATGCATCTCGACGGCCTCTCGTGCAAGTCCCAAGGATTCAGAAGACCCTGTACCCTATATCTATTTATTTATCAACCAACGAGCATGTAATTCTTGGGTTTACCGAGGAGTCGGCGGCTGTGTGCACGCTGGGGGAGCTGAAGCAGGCGTCGAGTGTGGGTACGTATATGCGATCGCTTACACCAGACTCTGTGCAAGAGTTTTACGCATTTCACAGTGGGGCGAAAGCCGGGCCAGGTTGGAATAAGTACAATGTATCCGCCGAGTTTAAGCGACAAGGTGTAGGCTCTCGCAGCAAAGCGTGGCGCTTTTCGACGCTGAATGCCCAGTATGAAGTACGTGGATGGCCTTGCTTACCCGGCAGATCTCACCCAGCTACCCCGCTACATTGGTGGTTCCGTCCAATATAAGCGACAATACACTTCTCTCTGCCGCCAAGCATCGCAGTAAAGGTCGCGTGCCTACGCTGACCTACTTACACTGGGCCAACAATGCGTCCCTATCTCGGTCCAGTCAGCCGATGGTCGGCATGACACAAAATCGGTCGTCGCAAGACGAAAAGTTGGTGGAAGCTATTTTTGCATCGCATCGATACACCACAGAGCCAGCCTCTGAAACGGCTGTGTATGGTGCTACCACCACCAACCTCATTGTAGACGCTCGCCCGACGACCAATGCCATGGCGAATCATGCCAAGGGAGCGGGCTCGGAAAATATGGAGCACTACAAGGATTGCAAGAAGGTGTATCTTGGCATTGACAATATTCATGTAATGCGCGTATCGCTGAACAAAGTGCATGCTGCGTTGCGTGCGGCTGATGAGAAAACCATGTTCGACGAGCGCACAGAGCCGGAGCCCGTGGATGCTTCACTGCTTATGCGCTCGCAGTGGCTCAAGCATAGCAGTGCGATATTGCAAGGTGTGCAGCAAATTGTGCGCAATATCCATATTCACTCGTCACATGTCCTTGTCCACTGCTCAGATGGGTGGGACAGAACAGCGCAACTGTCTTCGTTGGCGGCCTTGTGCCTGGATCCTTACTATCGAACGTTTGTTGGGTTCGTTGTACTGATTGAGAAAGATTGGTTGAGTTTTGGGCACCAATTTCAAGAGCGGCATGGCTTGGTGGGACTGGCCTCGAACCGCTTCGACTTGCGGGCCCCGCAGCATGATCTGGTGTTTGATGCAGACGTGTCCGAGGACGAGCGTGTCAACGATAGCCAGGGCACGTCGCAGTCTTTCTGGGACTTTACCAAGTCTATCACCGCGCATTTCCAAGGTGGCGCAGCTGCGCAATGTGCGCCCATCTTTTTCCAATTCCTCGATTGCGTATGGCAAATTCAACGTCAGTTCCCTGCACGCTTTGAGTTTACCAGTGAATGGCTCACGATCCTGATGAAATGTATATATGATGGCCGATCAGCGAGCTTCCTATTCAACTCGGAACGTGAACGCCGTACGCCTTCGCTGACTAGCACACTGCCCCCCTGCGAAGTGGCGCCGAGTGTATGGGACCTGGATTTGCAACGTGAACAGTACCGCCAACCATTGTATGATCCATCGCTGGATGCCCGTGAAGGCCGGGGCGATCAAGGCGTGATTCTCCCGGAGCCGAAAGACGTCCGCTTCTCGCCTGACTTGTTCCGGCGCCGAGATTCCGAGCTCAACGTTCTGGTGGACGTGGAAAAAGAGAGTCAGACTCGGCTCAAAGAGAGGCTTGCTACTGCTAGCCGCGGTGGGCATACCAAACACGTCGCTCCGCCGTCCACGGTCCAAGCTGACCCATTGATCCCTGAAGAGGCGCTGCACAATGCCGCTCGAAGTGTTCGTGCGTTATTTTCCGATGGATGGGGCCGTGTCCAAGAAGCTATGAGGGCGACAGGCCTAGATGCATCGCCTTTTGCACCCACAGAAAACCAGGCGACTGACTTTGTACCGCCACAATCCGTGGACAATCCTTGGGCGAGCCATACGTTGGACGAGCCTGTAGCAGGCCTCCATACACTATCGTTGGAATCGACACACAGTGAGCAGACTGCCTACAACAATGACACTGCCTCCGTCATTCCCACCTCCTCTGCGGATCCTTTAGGGGCCTGGAAAATCTAAATAGGCTCGATGTAGCGTCCACGCGATGTTTCTTTGCTATTTTTTATGAAATGCTTTGTGGAGGGACGATAATCAGACACGAGAGTGACAAACTTTCTCCTTTGCTCCACGACACGAACAAATGACAGCAGAGGGTGTATTCGACTTGGTCGGCAAAAACCTGAAACTCGACACGAAGGAGGACATTGCGCCGTACCTGTCTGAGCTGGAAAAAGTAGAGCCACTCACAGAGATTCACCTAGGTGGCAACACGCTAGGTGTGGGTGCGTGCCAGGCACTGGCGGAAGTACTCAAGACCAAGTCTTCGCTGAAAGTGGCGGACTTTGCTGACATTTTTACAGGACGTTTGATCACAGAAATTCCCGATGCACTTCGTGCTCTGTGTGATGCGCTGGTCGACCATGAGCATCTGGAGGAAGTCAACTTGTCGGACAATGCCTTTGGCGGTCGCTCGGCAGAGCCTATGGTGAACCTTCTTACCAACAACCACCACATTTGTGTCCTAAAACTCAGCAACAATGGCTTGGGTGTGACTGGTGGTACCATTGTGGCGGATGCCCTCTATGAGGCAGCACAGAAGCTCAAGGCTAAGGGGGAGGCTAGTCAGCTGCGCACTGTGATTTGCGGTCGGAACCGTCTGGAGAATGGCTCAGCGCCAGCCTGGGCTCGAGCTTTCAAGGCCCATGGCAACCTAGTTGAGGTGCGCATGTACCAGAACGGTATTCGTATGGAAGGTGTGTCAGAGATCTGCAAGGGGCTTTCGCACTGCAAAAACCTGGAAGTGCTGGACTTGCAAGACAACACAGCGACGTTCCGTGGCTCTCGCGCCGTGGCCAATGCGTTGCCTCACTGGAAGCACTTGCGCGTGTTGAACTTGTCCGATTGTCTACTTAAATCCAAGGGTGGTATGCTCTTATTTGAGCGTTTGCATGAGGGCCACAACAAGAAGCTGGAGGCACTTCATATCCAGTACTGTGACCTGAACCGTGATGCGCTTCATAAGCTGGGCCATGCGATTGAGTTGCATCTCAGTGAGCTCTCTTGTCTGGAAATCAATGGTAACTTTGCGGAGGAAGACGATGAAAGTGTGAAGAAGATCTTGGCGTCGTTGGAGAAGTGGGGCAATAGCGATGCATTGGATGAGTTGGACGATATGGATCCGGAAGGTGAAGAAGACGAGGACGACGACGAAGAGGACGAAGAACAGGATGAGGAGGGCGACGAGGGTGAGAAGCCCGATGCGCAGGCAGATGAGTTGGCCGACGAGCTGGCTCGGACTCACATTTCTTCATAAGTACATTGTCTATGATCCCTTGGCAAAAGCAACAACTATGGACACGATCATATCTTAGTAGCCATAGCGTCTGTGCGCTCCTATTTCGAGGGGGCCACGACTGTAAACGTGTGAGTGGAAAGCATACATACATCAAAGGGCCCAGGAGCCATACCCAGAAGTAGTAGTGAGGCATCGGTCTCACACCTGTAATCGAATGCTCAAGGCAGTAGATGGCCTCTTCGGCCACTTCTTGCGTTGTCAAAGCACGACCCCGTTGGGGATCCGTAGGCTTACTCTTTTCGTTGACGCCGACCGACATGCGGCTGCGGAAAGACGTGGCCACGGTCGTGGGAGCCAAAACCACAAACTTCACCAAAGCACGGCCAGGCACCTTGGCCTGCGTAGTGCACTCGGTCGCTACACTCTCCACCAGCATTTGCTGTGCAACCTTCGTGGCACAGTACACAGTTCGTGTGGGTGCAGGTACCAGGGACGCCAGGGAGCCAACCACGGCGACATGAGGCGCTTTGGAGTTTGTCTGCATGCTAGGAAGTAGTGCGGCCAAGACCATAGCTGTTCCCTTTACATTGGCGTCGCACGACTGTTGAACGCCATCGGCAATGGCCCGGAGACCGGTAGGTGAGGGCGAGGAGGCATGAGGGTCCTGGCATGGGTCCACACCAGCTACACTGAGCAGCGGACTGGTCCAAATGGCACCGAATACAATGTACAGTGTGTCGACGCCGCCAAAGTCTTCTGTGATCGAGCGCTGCAAACGGTACACGTCGTCAGCGTTAGTGCAATCGGCCACAAAGAGCTCGATCTGGTCGGCACGCTCCCGGCCAGACCGCGTAGCCTGCTCCTCGATCAGCACTCGCTTCACCTCACGAAGTGCCTCGCTACGCCGGGCCACCAGCATAATGTTGTAGGAACCGCGTTTCAGGCACTCACGTGCAATAGCAATGCCAATACCATCCACGGACGAAGCACCAAGGATCACAATGCGCTCATGTGATGGCGGGAGAATAGCGGAGCGTTTTTCTCGCTTCTCCCATACTTGATAAAGTACATAGCCCAGGATGGCGGTGCTCAGAGCACTGCTGATCGTCCAGAGCTGCATATGGGCGCTACAGATCGTAATACACAATAAACGTGGGACGCGGTCCCACAACGTGGAGAAGTTTCCTGCCCCCAGCCTGGCCCCTGCACATCACGTGGTAGCCTTGCAAAATTCGATCTGCAGACCATCCCAAGCGAGGTGCATCGGAGGCACACGAGGATGCGCCGCCGCCATGCCATAGTTGTGACGTAGGCCGAGCGTCTCGGTCTTTTCATTCCGCGGCGCATCCCAGATTGTATGCCACCATGCACCGGTGGGCGGCGAAGGTTGGGCGTGGAGCCAGGCCCGCATGCCACCTAGGAACTCCTGCAGCTCAGCTTCCATGGCATGATGTTCAATGCGATGCGTCAAGTCCGTGAGAAACGTGAGAGAGAGCTCCTTGGGACTGTCTTGAGCCAGCTGCAATATAGAATCGATGGCCTGCGGGATCGAGTAATGACTAGCATGGCGCGACATCTTCAGTCCATCTAAAATCACCATGCTGCTACCGTGCATCAGCGACATGGTCGACGGCGGGATATAATGCTGCGAAGTTAGTGTGCGCATGCACGTACACAGTCACTAATGTAGCTCATTGCGTCAATACGGTATCCTAGGCATTCGAAAGGTGTGCGACCCCCGTTAGAAAACCCATGCTCTACAGGCAAGGGCGTGACAAGGGCCTGCATGGGTCCCACACGGAAAGGTGTGGACGAGTCAATGAGATGCCAACGTAGGGCACCCACGTCGCCCCCACCCGTAGCAAAAGACTTGTCTACAAGGTACGGAAATGTGGACCGTACCGTAGTCATGCATTCCGGTGTGAGATATACATCCACATGGGATTGAATGCATCCCCCCATGGTCCAACTCCGCAAATCGTCCAGGCCCAAGATGGCATCGGCATGTCCGTGCGTAAGCAGCACAGCATCAATCCGACGTAGTCCATGTTGGGGAAAGTATTGCAAAGCTGATTCATAAAAGGACTTGCCACAGTCAATAAGGATCGTGGCCTCGCTCCCCGGCTCGGCAGGATCGCTGCCCACTACAACGACAGACGTATTGAAGCGGCGGTTCTTACTACCTGGCTTCACCGCATCGTGGCACGTAGCACAGTGAGATCCAGGAGAGGTTAGGCAGTGGATACTAGGCACTTGTGAGCTGGTTCCCGTGCCGAGGAACACGACACGGTCAAGCCATTTCGACGGCGGCGGCGGCGTCGCTGTCGTCCACGACATGGTGGCCAGGTGGGAGAAAGGTGTGGAGGCACGTGTGGCAGGTACACCGAAGGCCCTCAAAGGCGCGCGCGGTAGGACGTGAGAGGCGCCTCTAGCATGGCGTACAGTGTTGCGCATACAATTCAGGCGCATGCCGGTGCAGTCCATGTAGCGCGATTCAATGCGACAGGGCGGTATTTACTCACAGGGGGATCTGACCAGCAAATCCATCTATGGAATGCGAAAACAGGTGTGGGCCCTCAGGACGAATTGGACAGCAAAGGCCGTTCGACCTGCATTCAGCGCTACTCTGGCCATTCGTACGAAGTGTTGTGCCTGGATGTGGCGCCGGATAGTACGCGGTTTGCCAGTGGCGGCCCTGACCGTGCTGTGATGGTATGGGATGTAGCGTCAGGTCAGACGCTGCGCCGATTCAACGCACATACAGGCCGGATTCATGACGTCAAATTCGCAGGAGCACGAGACGAAGGCTCTTTATTGTATGCGGCAGGGAGCGATACGATTTTGCGTGCCTATGATCTACGAGCAGCGGGAGCATGGCGTCCCATCTTTGAAGCGACCGAGGCGACCGATGCGATATTGGCATTGGCATTGACACCGGGCAGTGTACATACCGCGTCGGTGGATGGCAAGCTGCGGACGTACGATGTGCGCATGGGCGAGTTACGAACAGATACGCTCGATGAGCCGATTACGTCGCTGTGCCCCACGCAAGACGGCGCTGCAATGCTTGTGTCGATGCTCTCCTCGACGCATCGGCTGATGGATCTGACCGACGGAACCCAGCTCCAGCAGTTTCAAGGACATACGCAAACGTCGTTCCGATGCCATGCGACGCTTTCGACAGATGAAGCGCTCGTGCTCGGTGGGGATGAGACGGGTGCACTGTATGCGTGGGATACCTTGTCGGGGCGCAAGAAATGGGAGGGCCGTCCCGACTACCGAGGGAGTGTACGTTTTCGTCGCGCGCCTCAGACGCCTGTCTCTATTCTGTGGACGGATGTAAGCCCTGACGAGGCAGAGCCGGATATTGTGACGGCGTCCTCGTGTGGCACAGTCCATGTCTGGTGTCGTTAATACCCGAGCTGGTCACGCCGATGTTGCTTCCCTGCCTTGCGCAAAGCGCGTCGCGCGGCCGAATAGGGTGTCCAGACCTTGTCATTTCGCGCTGACACTGGCAACAAGGCGAGGAGCGCATCGGTGTAGGCATGCTCCGCCTCAGCGCCCAACGTAAAGTGTCCATGGACGTCCGGGCCTGGCAACGCCTCGGCCTCCTCGGCGCGCGACGCCGGCCAAGGCTTCCACCGCTGTGGATCGTCGACAGGCCGCATGGCATGCACACGCGGCAGGGGCGGCATCAAGCCAAGCCAGATATGCGCTACCGCGCTGGAAGCGTGAGAAGGTCAGCGCACAACGTACCGTGCTTGCAACTGTGTGAACGGGAAGGGGACAATGCGATTCGGTAGACCGAGAAAACAGAGAGTCGGATCGGCTTTGTACAATAGCATCCAATCATCTAGATGGTGTAACACACTTGCAGCGCGCGCGGTAGGCGCCGTGCGCGTATGGGCATCACGGTGGAGGAGCGGTGCCTCGGCAAAGGGTGCCTCTGTGGGATCGAAGAACGGCAGTTGATAGAGGAAGCCGGTGGCCCACACGATCAAATCTATGCCTTCCAGACGCTGCCCATCGCGTAAAAGGATGGCGCCGCTGTCATCGATGCGCTCGATGGAGCTCACCACGTGGATACGTCGGCACCAGGCCGGACTGGCCGGGTCGCGTGGATCGTAGTCCATGGGGGGCGGCTCGGCTACGTTGTGATACGATTGGAAAACAGTGACAGACGATGGATGCCAGTCCGCCTGGTGTGGCCATGTACGCACACTGCCACCGCACAGCTCACGCGCGATATCGGCGCCGGACGAGTTGTTGCCGACAATCAATACGCGTCGTGTATGCAAAGCATCAGGGTATCGGTACCACGCGCTGTGAAGTTGGCGGCCGCGAAAGTGGGCAAGACCGGGGATCGGTGGGATGTACGGCGCACTGCATCGGCCTTGCGCGGCAATAAGGCAGTCGTAGGTATCTGTGCGTTCCGCCTGGGGCGCGACGGTCGACCGACTTGTCACCTGCCATGCACCGTCGTATTTGGAGGCACGTACGACGCGTGTTTGAAAGCGGATGCACGACAAAAGGTCATAGTGGCGTGCAAACGACTCCAAGTACGAAAGGACCTCGGCTGCGGTGAGTGAGGGGCTGGCTAGACGACGTACCTCGCACAGGAAACATGGCCGTCGTGGGGGGGAAGGGATGATCCCGGAACGCCATGAGCGTCTGGCATGAGTATGATTCGACGTACGTACGGAAGGAATGTTCGTGCGCAGATCTTCGTACATGGCACTGGGGCATAGATCGTCGGGCCACGCGTCCCAGGTGGCGTACCCAGCGTCGCCAGGCTCAGGCGAGGTGGGGACATGAATCGAGCAGGGCCCAGGCTCGGGCGTGTACTGCCACAGCCCGCCTACACGATCGCGCGTCTCGTAGACGACGACCTGCACCGCATGGGCCCCCGCCACGGCACGGAGCTGCTGCGCTGCCGCGAGGCCAGCGCTGCCCGCCCCGATCACAGCCACTCGCAGCATGTCGTAAAGTGTCTCCACATCGATCGAGCCACATTCCAAAATTTACCCAATTTCGTCACTACGTACACCGCGTCAACGAAGGAATGTACACAGGGCCTACTCGTGACGAGCTAGGTACTAAGCTAGCTGAGAATACAATACGCACAAATAGTATATAGTAATGGGGCATCGTCATAGCATGAGAAGCGGCGTAGGTGGCACATCGCCAGTTCAGTCACAGCGACACAGGAAAAAGTCCACGAGACGCTGTCCAAACGAGCGGCGTTCCGCCGTGGCATGCGTAGTGAACGTCTGACCCTGTTGAGCTGTCGGACCGCCCTGAGCATAGTGGCTGGTCATATGGGCAGGGTTGTTCTGGTTCATCGTCTTACTTGTTGCGTGCTGCTCATGGCGACGCGTCGAGCGATGGCGCTCTTCCACCTGGGCCGTGACACCCGTCGTAGACCCACGTACACCAGCCGCCGATGCATTGGGCGAGCGGGCACGCGACGTGCCTAGGGCAGGGGAGCGGGCATGGTCGGCGATCGGCGTAAAGCCCTGCTCTGTACGAATCTCCGCCGTGCTCATGTGCGCGGCCGCCTCACCGCCATTCCGTGTTTGCTTGGCCTGGCTCGCAGCCGCTAGCGCCGCCCCTGTGCCTGCAGCCCCGGTGGCCGTCCCGGTGGCCGCCTGCTTGTCGGCCGTCGCACCCTGGCCGGCTCCACGCTTCTCCGAGTCCGTGGTGCTGTTGCCCTGGTTCAGCTGCAGCCAGTCGTATACGCCATCTTCCACTTCACCGCGGTCACGAAGCACCTTCGTGAAGAGTTCCCGCAAAAAGTCGTAGTCCGGCGTCTCTTCAAAGCCCAGCTTTCGCACATAGTTCAGGTAGATACCGAACTCTTCCGGGTAGTTGTCACACAGTTCCTTGATGGGCGTACTCTGCTTCTTCTCGCCAATCTTTTCGTACTTTTGCTTGTTGGTCGCCGCCTTCAGACCTTGCCACGGGAGACTCCCACGCAGAAAGTATAAAAACACATGACCCAGCGCCTCCAGGTCGTCACGTCGAGATTGTTCGCGGCCCAGATGTGTATTAATACTCATGTAGCGCGCTGTACCGCTCAGGCTCTTGCGTTCGCGGTACGGGATATGCTGTTTCGTTCGTGGGTCACGGTACTGCTTCGCCATACCAAAGTCCACAATGTGAACCAAGCTGGAGTTCTTCCCGGAGCTGCGACCAATTAAAAAGTTGTCCGGCTTGATGTCGCGGTAGATCAGGTTGCGCTCATGAATGGCTTGGACACGTGTAATCTGCCATGTCAGTCCACAGGAGAAAAAAACATACCATTTGTTTCGCGACCATGACGACCGTCTTCACACTGAAACGGCGTCCACACAGATCAAACAAGTCTTCCAGGGAGGGACCTAGTAAGTCAATCACGAGAATATTGTGCAGGCCCTCTTGGCCGAAGTAGTATACTTGCGGGACACCTGTTGTTCCCGCCAGAATCTTGTAAGTACGGTATTCATCACGCAGTTGCGGCGCATCGCTCTTGCGCGGCTCAAATTTGATAGCAATACGCTGGTGCGTAAGCAGGTCGGTACCCTCGAAGATTACACCAAACGAGCCTTCGCCAATCTTCTTCCCGACCCGATAATGGCCGCCCACGACATTGGAGGAGTTCGTGTGGGACGAAGTCATTCTAGCCCCTAGTAAGTACCCAAGTGTTTGCCCTAGATGTGTTTACGCGGCTCGGTCCTATCACACTCCCGAAACCCAAGTAGGTAAGGTACTGCACACGAAACCTTGTGACTCTCGTAGGACGTTCCTCGGTGCGAGGACAAGACTGTACAAGAACAGTCCCACATGTGTTCGGTGCTCGCCTCACATTTTTCTCTATTGCAAAAATACCCACATTGGCGCGTGGCCGGCCGATTAATCTGCTCCTATAGAAATGCGCCAAGTGACCCAGGGCCGAGCGAAGCGCATGGTCCTGCCCAGCATGCGGCCTACATGGTGTGGTAGGCAGAAAGGGCTTGCACATAGCTATGAAGTACGTGGATAGAGGTATATACCGGCATACTATGCAAAGCACTCTCAAGCGCCCTCGGCGCGTGAAGCGAGGTACCTAGGCGGCCAGGTCACGTTGGCTCTCGAGCTTCTTCACCTGCCATGTGAGTACCGACGCCACGTACAATCAGCAGCGATGTGTCCAAAAAGCTGGCTTGTTAGTTGCATCGATGTACGTACCGCTCCACGCAGTTGCTGAGGCACGCCTCCTCGCCACGGCCAAAGTGCGTACCGATCGACGACTTCACACACTGGTCCCAGCAGCGCTCCGTGAACGTGTGCACTGTCGCCTGCACGCGGGCCTTGGACTGCTCCGAGTCCAGAAAAGCGTTGATCTCTTTCTGGTCCTCCTCCGACAAGTTGTGCGACATGATACCGTAGGAATGCGAAGAAGCAAGCGGGGTGTTCGCCACGCAGGGACCGATGACACGCTGCGATCAAATGTACCACGTGACTATGAATCATGACAGGACTACGAACAGGGCGTGGTGAGGCCCTACGGTAGGCGGCCTCTTACGAGGCCACACGCTTGGCGCGTTTGGTGGTCTTGGGCATCGCTGTCTTCTTCGACGTTTTCGCCACCTCGTCAGCCGTGCGCTTGGTTCGTGTAGGCTCCGTTGTGGTGTTCTCCACTTTGCGCAACGTCGCCAGCATCTCCTTCAGTAGACCATGGAGCGACGTAGACTCCCTGAAACGCTCCGATGCTTGCATTTGCGCGCTTATCGCCTCCAGCTCAGAGGGCGGCCAGCAAGCAAGAGCTTGGGCACTATCACCTTCCGCAAGTCGCGCCGTAATACGCACAGCCTGCAGTGCGAATCGAAGTACCTCTTTCAGCCGTTGCGCATTGAGCGAAGACGCACTGCTATCGTCGCTGGCGGCCATCTCGAGCGTCTCGAGAACAGCACGGCGCACAGAGCTCATGAAAGCGAAGATCTTATTCAACGGTGCTTGTCGTGACTCTTCACGCTGTTGCTGCTGCAGCATCGCTTGCAGCATCGCAAAGGCTTGCACCTGGCGGAAGGCGCGAGCTGCTTTTGATACACGGCATCCATCCAGGAGGGCTTCGCGCAGACCCCAACCCAGCTCGGGGAAGCGTCGAATTGCATCCAGGAGAAATGCGGGGCGTACAGGCGAAGCCTTGCGCTCCAAGAAATCGTGCAGTGTTTCTGCATACAAAGACACAGGTTCTGCGACGTGACCATTGCGGATCAATACCTTGGTATACAGTTGGCTCACAGCAGTCGCTAACTCGGCCATGCGCACGTCCTGTGTCGCACGAGCAAAGGCATGCGTAGCTTTCAGCTCTTCCACGAGGTTCGACGCTTCAACATCGCCGCGCGGCACGTCTTTCGACTTGCACAGACGGCTACGCAGAATTTGATTCGCACGGTTTGCCACCTGTTGCGATACATCGCCGGATCCACGCGCCAGTGCATAGAGCGGCGCCACAAGACGCATAACGAGAACGTTGCTACTCTGTTCCTTGGCATACACTTCCAATAGATCCAGGATCTTGTTGTGAAAGAGCGTCGTGTCGCGCTGCAGAGCTTCGCGCTGCTTCCGCTTCGACGACGAGTGTTGTTGGAATATCTCGGCCAATTTGTCGTCGAGCTGCGCCATCTGTTCATCGTCGAACGCCTCCTCTTCGTCCTCGACGCTTTCCTCTTCCTCGGCCTCAGCCATACCACTCGCACGGAAGGCTTCTTCCACACGCGAGCGCAGGATCGGATCCACTTCGTCGTCGTCGTCGTCATCGTCGTCATCGTCGTCGTCATCGTCGTCCACTTCGTCGTCGTCATCCTCATCATCAACATCTTCTTCTTCTTCTTCTCCTTCCTCCTCATCCTCATCCATAGCCTCGTCGTTGTCCTCAGGCTCTTCATTCAGACCCAGCTGATCAATCAAGTGATCCAGACTGTCCTTGGTCATCTCGCCACTAAAGACGCCAAACACTTGCGTCGACATCGCACGTAGGAACGCCGAGGACAGCTCCAGCAATCCAATCAGAGCGTCCGTTAGCATTTCCATACCGCCAATTTCTTCGCGCTGCTGCTGCTGCTGCTGCTTCTTTTTCTTCTTCTCCTGGAATAGCATCTGCGAAGCATCCAGCAAAGGCTCGAGCAAGTCTTGCGACTCGTCTGTGTCTTCAAACGTGACAAGAATTGCGGCAGCCAGTAAGATCTCCAACGCACGCATATGCGACTGACGCGCACCTGTCTCCTTGGCCGCTGCCTTGTCCATACGCTCCCAGGCCGCAAGCGCTGGCGTGATACGGGACTGTGCGACGTCTGTGGCGGTGGATGCAAAGTGCTTGGTATCCTGCGACATTTTCACGACCATATCCATTACGACCAACGGCCATGCCCGGCCCTGTTCGTTGGGCTCCCGAAGCTCTGTCAAGCACGCCTGCAAACGCAAACGGCATACGTCACGGAGTGCGGCGCTGAACGGTACCTTGGGCTGCTGCAACACTTGATTCCACGGCGTTCCGGGGCTCTTTTTCATTTCAAAGTAGCCATGGCCCACAAAGAACAAGAGAATGTCGTAGATCCATGCACTGCTCTTTGTCACCAAGCTGCTACGCACCAAGCCGAGCATTTGATCGCATACCCACTGGCGCTGGGACGCCACATGTTTGTCGTCGTCCGAGGAGCTCATGCCATAGGCCACGCTGCGCAGGTACTCCAAGTACCGCTGGATGCCCGTCTCGTCGAGTGTGGAGAGGATCGATTCAATGGTCTTGGTTCGCGTCACACGATCAAAGTCTTGACGGCCATGCTCGCCCATGAGCTGCGTGACTAAAGCCACGCCAGCCGTAGGGCTGCGCTTCACTGCCTCGCTCACCATCGTGACCGTCTTCTGCGCCATCGTATGCAGCAAACGGTCTTCGCCTGCCAGCTGATTCACCCACGTCCGCATGAGGTTGGGCGTGAAGAGGAAGGGCAAAACGTCTGGCTCGGCCCGTGGAAGAATGCGATGCAAAACCTGGAATCCCCATGACTTGCGTTCCGGCGAGGAGTGCATAGCAAAGAGCGATTCATCGACGACGATCCGGAAAAAGTCCGGGAGGGGCGCGGCACCCTCAGGCAGGGAGCCCTGCAGGTATAGATCCAGGATCAAGTCCCAGACAAACGGGAGATGTGTCGACCAGGTTCCTGCTTTCGGAGCTGGCGCCTCGGCGTCCCAATGCATAGGCGCAGCGTCACGCAAGGTCGTTGCGAGGACCGAGAGGTTCGGCGTGGCGAGGATGCAAGCATGCTTCAGTGGCGGCGATAGGCATGTGCCCACAGGTAGCGACGGTGTAATATGGGAGAGCGTCAGGGCCAAGGCCAACGTATCCGGGGTCAGCGTATGCGCCGCCTTCATGCGCTCGAGCACCCAGACGAGGGCGTCGTCGGCCCACGCCGGACGCGACACTTCACCTGTGCCGAGAGGACGAATGAGCTCCGTAAGCACGTAGCCGCAAGGCTCACTGAGCCACGACTTGTAGGAAGCAATGACCGTAAGGACATCAAAGGCCCGTTGGAACGTCGCGAGGGACGACGTGGGTGTATACAGCAGCTGCGAACGGACCAGGGCATAAATGCCAAATAGCCGAGCGAATTGGAAATCGCGTGCTTCCTGGCCACTGAGATTTCCACGCAGCGTCGTGTACTTGAGCAGGAGAACAAGAACATCGTGCGCGGCGACCGAGGGGATCTGCTGGAGCAATTCACTCAGCGCCACGGCAAAACCCGCACGAGCATTCTCACGCGGACTTGCGAGGCCACGTGTAAGGCGGCGGATCGCATAGCTTACGTCTGGTGCGTTGAGATCGTCTAGGCGCTGCTCGGACTGCTGTGCCTCCGCCTCCAGGACATCGTCCGGCGCGCCAGAGACATTTTCTGCTGGCGCTTCTGTGACAGGGTCGCAAGGCTGTGCCACGAGCGCCTCTATCAGAGCATCTGAAGCACTTATACGAGCCTCTTGCTCTGTAGCGGCCAGGCCCCAAAAGAGCGCAAGCGTACTGGCCATAGCGCACAAGCGTTTATGGAAGGCCAGGCGTACCTCCGCTGGCGTGACGCAGCGCGCTTGCAAAAATTTTTTTTTAGAGGCAGGCCGCCCATCGACATGCGTGGAGGTCTCACGTGGTATGCCACCGTACGTGGGGCGGTATGTGACCGCGCGCTGACGTAACGCATCTGTTGTGTTACGTTCACGTGTGTCATTGGCGGCTCAACGCGTAGAAAATCAAGAAAAGTGTTGATTGTTTGAAGCGAGCTGCGACTGGTAGGGCTTGCTGCTCGCCAGCCGACGAAACGCTGGTCGTAGGTAGACGTTGGTTCCTAGAGCGTCCAGTTCTGGTGGGTGGGCGTTTTCATCGAACTCGGTGTCTTGTACCACTCGCGGTCTCCTGGCGACCGTGGTCCCTCGTCCACAGTTCTTGCTTGACTTTCTGAATGCCTTCTTCCTTTTTCTCCTCGCCGCCGCCTATGACGGGCTGGAGTGCCGAGGAGGACTCGTTTGCCGGGCCTTCGACATCCATAGCGCATGGCCTGCGTGACGGCGTGCTTGTCAACGACTTGGACCGCTCGTTTGGCTCGTCCATGTCGATCTCCTCGCTGGACAGTCCTGCGCGGCACTCCCTACGTCGTGCTCGGCCGTTCCCCGCGCCGGCGCAGGATCTGGTAGGCGAAGATCCCTTTACGATGCCATCGCCTTCGCTGAACATGCGTCCCCGCCTTTCTGTGCCGGCCGCGTTGGTGGCAGAAAGCTCACCGCATGCGATGGAAATCTCCTCGCCGCCTGCGTTTGATACCTCGAGCAACACGTTGCTCGTGCAGACGACCGTCCCTCCGCCCATGCTCCGCCGCCTGGACCGATCTGTCCGCAAATCCATGCCTGTACTCATGCAGTCTGGCCCTGGCCTGTCCCGTGAGCCCCTGAGCCCTGTAAGCCCGGAACATGCTCGGCCCCTCAAAAAGCGCCTTTCGTCGTTGCGACAGCTGCAAGACGCCTCGTTTGAGCGCGATGGACCTGCCCGATGCATACTAACGCAGAACGAGGACGAAGCCAATGTGTCTCAAGACACGGCGCGTTTCCATGTGCGGTCGCAGAGTGTACGTATGCTTGTTTTCTCACATGTAGGCATCGCTATGGTGGCCCGACGCAGGTGAGAGCATTGCCCCGGATGTGCCGCTCTCTTCGCCTGCAGCGCCAGGTCCGATGGCGTGTGCTGACGATAGCACGGCCAGTGACTCGTTCTTGGCACCATCGCTTCTTGCCTCAGCGTCGACGGCTACAGTGACAGCATCCACGGCGTTGGGAGTCTCTCCGTCGCCCATGGGCCACTTTTTCTTCGATCCGCAATCGCCCAGTGTAGCACAGGCACCACCGATGGTCTCCTCGCCCGTGTCGCCCAGTGGCACCGTGACACAGTTCCACATGTTTGCCGCGCCGGACTGGCGCTTGGGCCCGTCAGATGCCCCTGTGGGAGCGACGACAGCGACGACGACGACGACGACGACGACGACAGCCGCAGCCGCAGCGGATACGTCCTTGTCGCTTACATCGGCTGGTGAAAGTACGGATCCCTCTGTGTCGCTCGATGACTCCACGGAGCCTATTGTGCAAAGGGGATCGCCCGTATGTGCGTCTGCTCGCAAGGCCATGTTCCATCTGGGCATGCGACGTACACAGACGACGACGGTACTGCCTGCCTCGGCCAAGGAGAATGTGCCGATGCATGCTAGCGTGATCGCGCCGCCGCCACCGCACCGTACGCAGGACCTACCTGGATTCGGTACGCATGAAATGGAGAACAAGATCTTGCCGTGCTTCTCGGTGAAGAGCGATGGGCTCATGCGTGTCGCGCCGGAGACGGTGTGTGACCTGATGAAAGGTAGGTACGATGATCGCATTTCCGGCTTCCAAATTGTCGACTGCCGCTTTGACTACGAGTACGAAGGTGGCCACATTGCCGGGGCCGTGAACTTGTCCACGGTCGAGCAGGTGCAGCGCTACTTCTTGACGCCAGGCGAAGGTTTGCACCGGCACCGCCCGATGCCAGGGCGTACACAGAGCGGCATGCCAGATGGCCAGGGCGATATACGCAAATTTATCTTGATCTTCCACTGCGAGTTCTGCCATAAGCGGGGGCCAAGTATGGCGCTCGCCTTGCGGCAGTCCGATCGTTCGTTGGCTGGCGACTATCCGAACTGCCATTTCCCAGATATGTACATCTTGCATGGTGGCTACGCCGACTTTTTCAAGGCGTGCCCAGAGATGTGTGTACCGCAGGCCTATGTCCCGATGGACGATCCCCGTTTCTTGCAACGTCGATCGTCGGAACTGTCTGGCTTCCGCCGTCAGTTCTCGCGCAACCGAAGCTTTGCGTATGGCGATAGTCAAGTCGCTACGACGGCGCTGTCCAACCTTGCAGAGATGAGGCGAGCGCCGAGCATGGCGGTGCCTGGCGCGCTGCCGCCCTCACGGACCTTGTTCCCACAAGCGCGCGCGGCGCCGGCGCCTGTCGTCCCCGCTCCTGCGCTCTCGACGTCGAATCTGCTCACGCTTCCCGAACCGGCGCGCGATGCCAGCTTTTCTTCCTGCGACTCGTCTTTCGAGGCGGGCGCCGGTGACTCCCCGTGTGCCGCTGCCGGCGGCCGTAGGCCCCCACTGGGCGAGGCGCTGCAGCCCCGTGCGACGTCGTTCGCACCGCGTCTCTTAAAACGCGCGGATACCACCTCGGTCGTGGTGTTCCCCATGTAATTTTGTTGACATTCCCACCTACACTCCTTTCATTGTAGTTTCGCGTAATGCCTCCATACTTAGTTGTTGACATCACCGGCCCGAGTCTCGCATTTATAGCCTGGGCCTGGGGTAGTGGGGCTTTCATTGGTCTCGCCCTAGGGCGCTGCTTTACAATACATGAACTAAGTCGTGGCATATTTATATATAAAGTGATACAACAGGCTCATCACGCGGCCCGACGTTGGAGACGCGAGCTTCGCGTTCGTGGCTGACGCACACAGGTGCTATCACTCACGCGCGGCCGCTTCGTGCGCGGCGCCAGACGTGGTGGCGACCTGTCTTCGGCCTTTTGAGAGGGGGGCATGTCGTGGGAGTGGTGCGACGACGTGGTCGTTGTCGACTCACTGCTGCCATGGACCAAGGCCCAAGCACGATCCAGATCTGTGAGCGCAATGATCTTCTCAGGCGCATCGAAATAGGTATCCATATCTGCATCGTCCAGCGGCGTTGGATGCATCGCCGGCTCCGAATGAAGCCAGGCAGCTGGCTGCGGTGGCAGATGTACAGGGGAGTGGGGCGTCGACCCTGCATCGTCATCCACCGCAAACTCTGTAGCATCGAGAAGAGGGGCATCAGGGCTAGACGCCATATCAACCACAGGCATCGTCACCACATCCGATTCCGGTGCCGGCACCGGCGACGAGGGCGAGGCCACCGTTGCATGTAAGAGATCGGAAGGCAATGTCGGCTCAGGCAGCGAGCCCAACGACCGCGTCTCTTCCGACCCTGTGCCCATACCATTCTCGCGGTCTGCCACACTGACAGTGTGGATAGGTGTGAGGGGTGTATCGCCATCTGTATCAAGCATCGGCGACGAACGACCGCCAGTCTCGTGCATCGGCATAGGACCCGCTGCAGCTGACGTAGGCGCACGCATTTCAAACGGCAGGGATAGCGTGAGCAGGCCGGCATGCGCACCGCCTTCCGCCGGATTCGCATGCGGCACAGGTAACGCATGGGCAAATACAGTGCTCTCCTGTGGCGTCATAGATACGGGTTGGGGCGAGCAGCTTCGCATCTCGCTCACCGGCGATTCTTTTGTGCCATACGAGGCCGGCGTCGTCACATGACCATCGGTCCACACGGCATCTGAGTCGCTGCTCTGCGGCGAGGTGGTACGAACCAGCAGATCCAGTTCGTCGTCCCGTAGCATCGCTTGGTGAAAGTCCTCTTCTTCTCCCTCCGACTCGCCACCCTCCGGTTCCGTGGGCATGGTAGAGGGCACAGGCGATCGCTCTAGCGCCAACGACCATGCCTGCGCCGCCAATTGCATATGCATAGCATCACGCGCCACTTCGGCCATTCCATGATCCACTTCATCTACATCGTCGTCCGAGTCATCGTCAGACGACGATGCATCTTCCTCCTGCTCGGGCAACGCACTCACACTCATACGCCACACGCCCGTCGCTGTCCGCACAGGCTTGGGACTCAGCATGCCCTGGCTTGTCGTCGACGATAAAATATGTCGTCGTCGCTGCGGCTCCGACATACGCTCGCCACGCCGCGTAAACGTCGCTGGCGTATGCATCTCGTCCACACGAGCGGGCGGTGGCACAGATCGCGGTGGCACACGCAGGGTAATTTTGGTGGGCGTCCGCATATCGTTAGCAGATGCTTCTTTTTTGACATGGGTGGGTAAGACCGTAGGACTTTTGCTCCGTGCTTTCGGCCCTTTGGGCTTGACTGAGGTAGCGCTACCACAAGGCGACGACGCCGCGGCAGACGACATCGATGGCGACGCCGTGTGGGATCGCTTGGCCTCAGCTGTAAGCGCCTCTGGCGGTTTGTACATCGTACTTGGCCGTCGATGGCGCTTGCCTGGGCCTAAGGCTGCTTCGCCTTCCGATGTCGGCGCCTCGGACGACGCTGGCGGAGGCGTTGGCGTTGCAGACAACGGGTCCGGTGTCGAGACCACCGCTTTTTTCTCTGATCGGGCTGGCATCTGAGTGTGAGGTACTATATCAGGCCGGTGTGCCAGAAGAGGTTTGGGGGAGGGGGAGCGAAGTCGGCTTGGTAGTTTTCGGGAGCGTGGAGCACGTCGTCGGACCTCGGCGTCCACGCTCGAAGCCGCTTTGGCTGTGTCAGTCATAGGTAAAAAAAAAAGCAGCTGCGATCTACAGCAACGTGATCGCAGTCAACAAGCCACCCAACAGGGATAGGCTAGCACAAGCAGAACGAGGCGATGCTCTCACACGTTCACGTGTGCCTAGGCAATGGCACGTCTAGAAACCGACGTGGCAACAAGCACCGTACGTACGTCCACGCGTGACGCAAACGCTAAGGAACGAGTGGACAAGCTGGTCGGACGGGAAGGACAGTGGTGTCGTTCGTCGTCGGCTCGACTTGTTCACGAGGATCCTCGGTCTTTCTGGTGGCGTGGAAGGAAGAACGAGTTGGACTTCAAACGCCGGGGCTGCCTTTTTTTTTTTTTGGGCGGGACCCACGCGCCCCGATGCGGCTGGCTTAGCTCACCCTGTGCCCTGATGCGCGGTCCCGATGCGACGCATGTGGAGCACATTCAGCAGCGCGGCAGACGACTAAAACTAAGGACAGCGTTGTTGCGCGTATCGGCCGAATCTCTTGTAGTGGCACCCCCTTGGCCTGCGTCCAGCCCCGGCCGAGGCTCGCCCGCAGAAGCGTGGCCATGCGGCGCTGCATGATCAGGTTGTGACACGTCGCACGGCTTTCTTGAACGTACGCACGTTCCATCTTCGTTGGCTGTGGCCGCGACGTGCATAGGAAGGTCTAGGACTAGCGTTGGCAGAGCATGCCGTCGTCTTTCCCAGAGGTGTCATCCTCGAGTAGGCTTCCTACCGCCTCCTTTCCCTCCTCGTCCGAGGCCGCTGCGACACTGACGTCGCACGCCCCGGACACACAATCTGATCACTCTACGGCGCCTTCTTCCTCGACATTATGGTCGTCCTTGCATCGTAGCCGGCATGTGCCAACAGGCTCACTCTCGACGCTGGCGGCGTTTGTCGACCCACCATCATCGTTGGATGCGGAAATCACAACGCCGCGTGGTCGCGGCCGTGCGCGTGCAGGAACGATGCCCTCACGCTTTGGTGCACCGGGCACACCTGTTCCCACCGCGGACGAACTGCAGCGGCGGGCTCATGGGCCTAGTCGCCTGGCCCAGTCTGTCACGCTGGATGCGGATGATGTGGATCGTATGGCTACCATGCCCTCGATGCGTACCAGCTACTTTGACCCCTTCCCATCCAGTTCGGCTGCCACAGATAGTCTTGGTGATGTCCAGGCGCATTCGTTGGCCAAGACACTCGACTACTTGGGCCTGAGTGATGACACCAAACCCTTGCAGCGTGATCGAGCTTATACCGATACCGGCGTGCCATCGATGCAGCCCCTTACGCCGCCTGTGCATGAAGGGCCATGGAACGTCGCCTCGACACGGTCTTCATCTACCAGCCCCATGTCGCTGCGGCTTCCTGGCTACGGTCGTATGCGCGCAGGCACTGTTGCCGCGTTCTCAGGCACGGATGCACGCTCACGCCCTGACTTTGATGTGCCACGCTCGCTTGGCGTCGCAGGCATGCCGTCAGGTATGTCGCCCCTGTCTGACACTGGTCACTTTCCGCGCATGCGTAGTCATTCTGGATCGATGTGGGCAGCACGGAGTACTATGCCCTCGCAGGACGAATGCCGCGTATACATTCGCTTCCTCAGCGCAGACGTATCCACTCGTCTTCTTCTTCGCCTGTTTGAGCCGTACGGCTCTATCAAGGATATTCAGCTTTTTCCGCATCGCGGTGCGGCACTCATTCAGTTCAATGAGCCGATGCAGGCCCAACAAGCCGCGGATGCAGGCACGGCGTACATCGGTCCGTACTTGGTCGAGCTGCTAGAATCACAAACGACGCCGCCCCAGTTTGAATGGGGCCACACAACGCCGCCTGCGCTTGCTACAGCTTCTGCGCACGATATGCTGGATGTGTGGCCGACGCGTGTAATCCAGGTCTCCTCGCTACCACCTGGCACGACATCGCATGCGTTGATGCAGCTGTTCTCTGTCGTGGGTCCTGTGGAGCATGTCACTATCCAGCCGCAAGGCGCTCAAATTGCGTTTGAGCAGGTCGAGCATGCCCACAAAGCGCTGTCTCTCGATGGTAGCATTGCGCTGGGTGGCCCGTGGCCGCTGCGTGTACAGTCTGTGCCAGATGAAGAGATATGGCCGCATCGACCGCCGCGCGCCGTGCGTGTTGGCGGCTCGTCAAGTATTGTGCCCAGCAGCGACAAGGGTGGTGTGCCGCTACCTACCGAGCTGGTGCCGACACTCTCGCGCGACGACCAGCGCACGATGCTTGCCCAGCTACACTTTTATCAGGGCCCTGATCCTGATGTGCTCATGCTCGATACGCCTGTGACGCGTATGTACCATGACTCTATACCTATGCCGCCCGATGGCGGTCGTTCCAGTCGGCGTATGGACCATGCCAAGTACCGTGAGCTGCGCAAACTCTTAGAGTCGAAGCAGCTATCGCAGGAAGAGGTCGACCAAGCAGCGCTCGAGCAAATGGATGTCATTGTGGACTTGGCACGCAACTATATCGGCAATACGGTTGTGCAGCGCTTCTTTGAGCAGTGTACGGAGGATATGAAGACACGCATGCTGGGGAAACTCGCACCACATCTTGCATCCATCGGCACGCACAAGAACGGCACATGGGCTGCTCAGAAAATCATTGATTGTGCGAATACCGACGAGCAAAAGACGCTGATTGCGGATCACCTTCAGCCATACGTACCTGCATTGCTCCTTGACCAGTTTGGCAACTATGTGGTGCAGTGTATGTTGCCCTTCGGCTTCCCCAAAGTGGACTTTATTCTCGATGCTATGGTCGACCGCTGCTGGGAAATTGCGCAGGGCCGCTTTGGTGCACGTAGTATGCGCACTTGCCTAGAGTACGCGTCGACACCGCGTGAGCAAATCAAACGCGTCGCTTTGGCCTTGATTCTGCGATGTGTGCCGATGGCCACCTCCCCTAATGGCAGCTTGCTTCTTACCTGGCTCTTTGAGTCGTCTCAGCTCGACGGGATTCCGGCTCTGATAACACCGCGCTTGGTGCCGCACATTGCTCAACTTTGTACCCACAAACTGGCGTCCGGGACCATTGTCCGCATTCTCACTCAGACCACCGATGTCGCTTCTACCAAGCTCATCCTTCGTGCCCTCTTTGATATCCCCAAAGCGCAAGTGCTGGAAGAAGTGCTTCTGGATCCCGTCCATGGCGTTTTGTTGGTCAGCCGCGCGCTCATGTGCGCTGCCTTGGATCCCGAGACTCAAGCTCGGTATGCTGACGCGGTGGCCTACATCATGCAGCGCAACGAGTTGGTGCATGTACCAGCCTACCGACGCTTGGCTGAGCAGGTAGGGCTCGTGCAGGAGCCAGCGACTATGCTGCCTAACGTCGTCAAATGGGACGCGGAGACGACGCCATCGTACCCCGCAGCGATGTACGCCCCATCGCCTATGCCAGGGCGCCCACCGATGGCGGCATCGGTGGCTGCTCCGTCTGGCACGCCACATGCCATGGCACCTGATACCTCCCTACCCACCACGGACTCGTGGCCTATGTAGTCCATGCCATGTTGTTGTTGGCTGGTCGGTCGACCTTGTGCCTGTACACAAAGGTCGCCTTGTAGTCGTAGGCACCGTATTATTTACGAAGTATCTCCCGACGCCGGTTTGATAGAGACGATGTATCCATGCATGGAGGCGCCATCCAGCGCAGTATGCACCTGTTGTGCCTCTTCTGTGCTTGCCAGGCAGACACGCACACCAAACGTCGAGGCAGGGTCCAAGCTGTGGAAAGTAGGAAACTCGATCTTCGTTACGTTGGCATACGGTGCCAACAAGGCGTGTACATCCGCTTCGTCGAGTATGGCCGTAGTAACGAGACCATCCACCAAAATCCAAGGACTTGTGATAGAATTCGGTGTGATCGCCGGAGTGGCCTGTCGTTGGATCAGAGCATATGACACCTCAAGTGGGTAGCCATGCCATACATATCCATCCATCGCACGCACAGCAGCTTGGGCACTTTGCGGCGTATCCATATCGACAAACCCACGACGTCGCGCCTGCGTATCGAGCATAGCCAAAATCACACTATGCTCAACTTCCCCAAAAGGCGTGAATAGACATTTCAGGTCGTCTTCCGAGACGTCCAGAGGAAGGTTCAGAATGTACAAGTTCCGTTGAACCGGCGCCGTGTCGTTCGAGGTATGGGCTGTCGGTGCTCCCTGACGTACTACATGGGCCCACGTTTTTTTCTGTAGCCCTATGCCTTGAGATGGTGTCACAGGAGCATCTATACCTGATGGGATCGAGGCCATGTGTCTGTGGTGAGAGCACGCATTCACGTACACTGTTGCCTGGCCCAAGGTAAGTGGGTTACGCAGTAACAACGCAGCCTGATCTTCCGCAGAAGCCATGTCTACAATCACTTGCATGGTGTCTGCCTGTTCTGTAGCCTTTAAAGTGACTCTCTCTGCATGTTGTGGCGCGAGCGCATCTCGAATCGCTTGCAAAGACACTAAAGTTAGGTGGGGAGTAGGCGCACGTAACGTACCAGAGGCAGGTACAGGCTCCAAACACACCTGGTACGCAGACAACATGGTGGTTCTACACAGATCGGTCGTGTATACCAGTCATCCCTATATATACACCCATGACGTGGCCCTCAGTCGGCCCTGCCTATGTCGAGACCTCGTCAAGACGTTGGGTCGTGCGCACGGACATGTCCCGCGGAGCCCATGAAGCGCCCTCCACCTTATCGTCGCTGGCTGGCGCATCGGCCGAGCCGGCTTGGTCCGTGAAGACATGCAGACCACATATTTTAGACTGTATGGGTTCACGGACACCAAGTGTGCACTTTTCTGTCTCGTACGACAAACAAACAGGATTGCCGCTGTGCGTACTCGCTCTCATCCGGTGAAAACCATGGAAGCGGGTGACTTTGTCCTGTATGATGATCAGGGCAGGGATACCGACCTTGGCGATGTGCCCTCGTTTAACCGCCCCATGTTTCAAAGTTATCGTGGGGCAGCCGCGGATACATCGCCATTGTTAGAGGAGGCGCCGGTAGCACAGATGGCTGGCCCAACCTTGTCATCCCAATCCACACCAATGCTCCCACGGAAGTCGCCGCTACAAAGGAACAACCTGTCTCCGACCAACACTCCCCCACAACCATCCAGTGGGACGCTCGGCGCTCCCTTGCATCTGCTTTCGCTCCAAGGCGCTACAGACAGTGATGCGTCGTCGACACCCAAACTAACGCCATTGTTTCCGAACATCAGCACGGAGAGCAACACAAACACGAGCGCTTCTTCGTCACCGAATCATGTTCTGACTCCCCCCTCACAGCCGCCGGCAGATCAACGTCCATGGATCATGCCGACCAACGATGGGAATAGCCTCTCGTTTATGTGGAAACCTAATGATCAAAGTGCAGAAAATATGCAGCGTTGGAAATCGTACTGGAATGCGAATGGGGGCCCTCGGTCGAACCAACCTCTCTCGACCAACCTGGACTTGGCGCAGAATCAAAACCAGGTATCCGCAGGGTTCTTCCCTATGCCAGCCGATAAAATGACCGTGTCACCTCGCGATTTGCATCTAGACTACGACGAGGCCACGACTCCACCGGCTAAATACAAAGACGTGAACTTGTTTGGCGACTCGGCACCCCTGTTTCCTCCTGCGCCGTCGAACGACGAGTCCGGCGCCCAGCCTTCTCTATCCCAGCTCCCTATGAGCATGGAAACAGGTTCTAGCACGGAAGAAGAAGATGATGAGGATGAAAAACCGTTCCAAGGTGGCCCCCATACACAAACGAATATGGGCCAAACGGTACCTAATGAGCAACTGCTGGAACAGTGGAGCCGCCCCATGTATGGCGGCGCGCCGAGAAATATACCCATTCCTTCGCATCCGCACCACCAGGACTCGATGTCATATTCACAATTCGGGCCTGCCTTCTCCTCGGTGTCTACCTCCAGTGAGTCTGAAGACGAGGCGGGCGATCGCACGACGACCAAGCCCTCCACGAAGGGCACGCACTCAGGAGGTCAGCCGTTCCAGCGTTCCGCATCAGGCACACTAGGTGGATATGGCTACATCCCTCGCAGCCAAGACAGTACCATGAGTACGAGCACCGAGAGTGAATCTGCCCCAGATTCGCGTATGTCCATGAGTATGACAGAGAGTGGGTACACTAGTCGCGAAGAATCACAACCGCGTAGCCCTACTATCTTGGACTCCGCGCAGGCTATCGAGCCCAAGACCGAATCCCCTCCTTCTACCCTATCTTCGACAGCTCCACCTGTGCCGACGGCCGGCCGACCACGCCGCTCGTCTAGCCGCACACGTCGTACAAACGATGCCCATGTTATCCCTACTTCCGCGGCAGTTGGCAGCACATCTTCTGACTCGTCCAGCCCCGAAGCCGACGGTGATTCGGATTACGAGCAATCACACCATATTGTGCATCCCACCCCCAGAGCATCTCGACGAGGGCGACCGCCACGTTCTGTGGCAGGTGCACATCGTCGTACAGGATCGGCCAACTCCTTACACAATACTGTCGGCCATCCCTTCGGCACATCACCGACCAATTTGCAGGGGATGACGCGACCTAATACCACCTCCCCTGTGGCAGCAGGCTCCGCCATTCGGTGTGACTATATCTCACCCATTACGCATCAAGTCTGCGGTACAGTCTTCCATCGCATGTATGACCTTGCGCGGCATCGCATTACCTTGCATCTTCGTGAAGAAGCGCAGATGGTCAAAGACGGCGTTCTGAAAGTGGATCAGTGCTTGGTGCTTGGTAAGGAAGTGGATGTTGACAAGGCACTAGCAGAACTGGAATGGAACTGTCGCGTCTGTGGTGCTACATTCTCACGCAAAGATGCTATGCTCCGACATGAACGGCTTCGTCATCATAGATAGATGTGCCATAATGTTGATAATGACCATCGAGACATGAAGAGAACGTCTCGACCAATGTGGAGGTCCACAAAAGCTCGTCCTTCTGTCCTTGCGCGCCCAACCTTCCCAACACGCGCGTGCGTTTCTCTGGATGAACGACGTGCTTTGGGAGGACGTGAGTGACCCTACAGACTGGACAGGAGACTGGTCTGCGCTTCGTCCTTTAGATGAAAGCTTGCGCTGTGGCTTGTGCTACGTACGTACCTATTCGTCTCACGACAGGATATCTTCCGAGCTCCTGTCGCCCTTCGTGAATGCTCACACTTGTTCTGCTCCTCCTGCATCCGCATTCATATCAACCAGGCGGGAGGTAATGGATCTTTTTGTCCACAATGCCGTCAGAAGAAAGCGTATGACAGTGAGCTCATCGCGCAACCGGCACTGGAAGCCACAGCTGAACACTGGCGCAAAGCAAGGTATGCATAGGGATTGACTTGGCCTCTGACAGACAGAACCTTTCTCATGGCACAATCGAAGCATTTGAAGGAGTTGGAGACCTCCATAGCTGACGTGACAATACCCCAGCTCCTAGCCCCAGAAAAGGCCAAGCGACCAGCTGAAGAGTCTCCTTCAGGCCGACAACTCCGTCCGCGCAAACGTGTCGCTGGGACACCCGATATGGACGAGGAGACGGACCTGGATTACCGGCATTTGAAGGAAGATACTATTGTAGCTTGCCCCATTTGCCAGCGTACCTTCGATGCCTTGGCCCTGAACGCACACCTGGATCGTGGCTGTGGTGCAGATACCCCGGAGGCATCGACATCCCGTCCTTCTCAACAGAACTGGCTTGCCACACCTCATTCCATACCCACCAAGCGTTTGACGCGTCCTCAATACCAGCTTAAATCAGAGCGCGATCTCCGCAAAATGCTTGAGGTATGTGACGGCGAATTCTCACTATCTAGGCTTGCAAGCTTCCAACTACCGGCCCTAAAGAACGCTTGGTGGAGCGACATCGTCAATGGGTGAACATGTACAATGCCAACCTGGATGCTGCACCAGCCTTGCGTGAATCTCTACCTGCCTTACGAAAACAGCTGCAGAAGTGGGAATCTGCGCAAAATAATGCAGCAGCATCCAAAGGTGTATCGACGGAAAAACAAGCTAGAGCTTGGCTGGTATGTGGACCATTTACTAACATACAGAAATCCAATCAGACACAATATGCTGATTTGGCAGCGCAAGCGCGTGCTTCGTTACAGAGAGCTCATACTAAGAAATCTGACACTACAGCACCGCCTACCCCACCTTCTTCAGATAGGGTTTGATGTAGACAATCCCATATCGCTTCAAGAGGTCGAATGAGATGTCGTGATAGGAGGCAGATCTGCCGGTCTGTGCAGATCCACGCGCTCTTGGCACCTTGGCAGATTCTATGTGGAGGGCAGGCTGTGTGGCACCGTCACAGTTATCTGGGTAAAATTCTTTCTTTAAGGCGACGACGCGCTGTGACTAGGGTACATGTCCGTTTCTCAGTTTCCCTAGTCACCTCTCAACGTACAATGAAAGATGAAGAGTCAAGCATTGAGAAAGCTACCGTCTATACTGCATCACCCATGAGCTCCATAGCTCCTCTGCCGGAGCTCGAGAGCTCGGAGGATCCACGCAACTGGTCTCTGAGTCATAAAATCTATGCGAATGTGATCTACAATATGATCACACTTCTTGCCACATACACGTCCGGTGTGTATTCGCCTGGTATCAAGCCTATGCGAAAAGACTTTCCTGTGAGCATGCCGGTAGCACAGCTGGGTACGAGCTTGTACATGTTTGGATTGGCGATCGGGGCGCTTTTGTGGGGACCATTGAGCCAGACGCTGGGACGTCGGCCTGTTTTTCTCATGTCGCTTATCGGGATGACTCTCTTCAACTTAGGTGTATGCTTGTCTCCCTCAATGGCCTCCTTACTTGTCTGCCGGACGTTTGCAGGCGCTATGTCTTCTGCCGTGTTTGTCAATGTGGCGGGGAGTATTGTCGATATGACCATTGAGCATGACAGGATACCTTATAATTCCATGTTTCGCTTTGTCACCTTCCTTGGACCACCTCTTGCGGCTATTCTTGGTACGGTCGCTGTGCGTGACGCGTCTTGGCGCTGGAACCTTCGCTCAATTCCTATTTACGCATTCGTTTGCCTTGTTATTTATGCATTTACTATGCCTGAAACCTATGTGCCTATCCTGATTCAGCATAAGATCGAACGGGAAAAGGAGGAGATGGAAGAACGAATTGAACACCACAACTGGGCCTATCGCATGGCTCATCGGATCCAGCATCGGCTCCCAAGCAAGTCCCTTTTATTATTGCTTTGGAAGCGTACAATTGAATCATTGCCACTACCATGGATTCTTCTATTCGAAGAACCATTGGTGATTATTGTATGCTTTTATACGTCGCTGCTGTATGGTCTTTTGTATGGCTCACTCCTCTTTTTCCCCAAGGTATGGGGTGAAGTCCGTGGGTACAGTAGCGTGCAAGTGGCGTATACATACTTTGCCGTTATCATTGGGTTTGTCCTTTCTACAATTATTGTGGGATTTACTATTCAAAATGTACGGTACAAACGCGCCTATGATGCTGGGAAGCACACACCAGAATTGCGCATTCGGTTAGGGTACTTTGCCCTTTTCTTTGTCCCTATCGGCCTGTTTATCTTTGGATGGACAGCACCATTCATACATGTGCATTGGATCGCACCTTGTATCGGGGTGGTATGCTTTGCGTTTGGTATGCTGGCTGTCTTTAATTCGTGGATGGCATATTTAACCGATACCTACAGCAATAACACAGCTGCTGTGATTGCTATTAATACATTCTGCCGGTCTGCATTGGCAGGAGCTTTCCCTCTTTTCATCACGCCTATGATGTCAGCCATGACCTTTCAAGGTGCTATGAGCCTATTTGGTGGTGTATCTATCCCCCTTACGGCGATAGGCATTGTCTTTGCATTCCATGGAAAACGCATACGTGAGAAGAGCAAACACGCTGTATATGGTTGAACAATCTAGAACTTGCCTGTATATAATTAGACAATGCACAATAACGTACCACGCAAAAGGTTCTTGATCATTTCACGCCCAGTAATCATGGCCGTACGCCAGAACGTCGGGAAGTCAAGCGTAGAGGAGAGCGTGTCAACGAAACCAAATGGAAGCATAGGAGGAATCCAGCCTTGGGCCAACTCCAGGGCCCAGCAGCCCGTCTCCGGCATGATGTACTGCTGGACCTCGCCACGCCTCAGGTGGTGCATTGTGCCAGCGGGGTAGCGCTGCATGTTAGTGTTGGCTTTCTAGCGTATGCATACCTCTGGGACAAGATCACCGGCGCTGAAAGCAAGCTGCTCACCTGTGAGGATGTGGAAGTAGTCGTCGGCCTGTAGAGAAATGAGAACATTCATGAGATACGTACAGTGTGACGGCCTGTGTGACCCTCCGTACCGATCGGAGTACCGAAGAAAATAAGGTACTTCATGTCAGTTGTGTCAGGACATACCTCGGTGATTGAAGCATGGATAATGTACATCGATCCCATCGCACCTGTATGGTAAGCTTCATCAAGAACGCGCACGTACCACCGGCATTGTTAAACACCCACTCGTTGTGATCACGGAACGAGTTGGGGTTCAGTGTGCGTGCCACCTTGGGATCCTTGCGTAGCTCTGAAATGATCTCTTCAAAGATCAGGTCAGCTTTGTCGCCATGCTTGGCAATAGCGCTTTTGGTGATTTCATGCACTTTGGCTTGGTCAAAGACATAAAATTGATTCTTACGTATAAGAAACAAGGAAAAATACGTACAAGACGGCTGTCTAAGAATGAGTACAGAGATCCAAGCACAGCTACAATCGTGACCAGAATGGCCAGACCGAAGTATGAACGCTTCGGTTTGGATGAGCAGCACGTCTTCGACATGGTGGGGGACAAGGTGAAGAATTGGGCAAAAATGGTCTGAGTTTATGATTTTGCTGATTAATAGTGCATCATATTGGTAATTTATATGCTATCCCTGTATACTACACAAAACCAACCCTTTTCAACTAGTCGGCTGCTGTCCATAGTTTCTTTGCTAGTTCATAACGAAGCTTAGTCGATTTCATTAGTTCGTCTTGATTAATATCGAACGACGTGGCCACATTTCGTCGTAGGGACCGCACAATAAGTGACGTGATGGCTGCGTCTGGTTCTGTGCTTTCCTGGTAAGGAACGAAACCCATGCCGCGAAACAACTGCAGGGAGAGTCTGAAATTAGAGAATGGTCGTGAAATACGTACGCATTACGATCCATGCCCACTTCCTCTTCGATATCCCAGCTTTCAAGCACATCACTTTCGCGTCGTAGCTCGTCGATTTCAGACTCGAGTGAAGAGAGCATCGATTCCTGCTCATTGATTTTCTTTGCCAAGTCAAACTTTTGATCCTCCATATCCTTCATGATTGATGTATGCTCCTCTAAGGATCGCCAATCTGCAGAAGCACGCGTTGAGCTCTCACGCAGTTCAGACACTGTTTTTTCCAACTCTGTCCGACTTAGCACGTCCACATGCCATGGTACTTACGCTCAATCACATTGAGTACAGACTTACGTTCCTCTTCTCTCCGTTTCCTGGTTTCTTGAAGAAGGGAGGAGAACTCACGTATACGTGCGAGTTCTTCGTCGGGCACCAACACAGAATTTAGCTCGTTTATCATATCGCTTTCATTAGTCATTTCAATACATACGGCAAGCTTGTCTCCGATATAAAAACATCAGAGTCTCGTTGCGCCATTTTGCAAAATATATGCTTTGGTATACTACCGTGTTGGTTGCGATGCGTTAACGAACAGTGTTGGTGTCTTCCACGTGATAAGCAACGCGTCAACAAAAAGTAATGTGACAAGAGTGGGATTCGAACCCACGCCCGAAGACAACGGAAGCTAGAAGCTTGTGAATTAAGGAAACCTTAACGTTGCGCCTTAGACCACTCGGCCATCTTGCCGTGATGTTGGTGTTGTTTTCGATGAGATAGTATATTACTCTATTGAAAATCTTAGAAGCTGCCTACCAATTTCGGCTTTCCATGCCAAGGAGTTGCTGTAAGACATAAAAACTATTCTGCTTTTTTGGCCTGAATGTTAGAAACAGAAAAACTCGTACCTTCCAATCATCTTTAATGATCCATTTTGCTCCGGGCTTCTTACTTTCCTTGGTAGCACACTCTTGTAGACGTGATTCAATAGCTGTTTTACTCACGCCTTTGATCAGAGGTGCGAAATGTTCTCGTAGGTCTTCAATCAAGGCCGGTTTGGAGCGCGTGGAACCGTCGATTAGTTTCAAGAGTTCCGCTAAATGGGTATCGGGGAATTGGAATTTCGTAGGCCGGGCAGGTGTTGTAGATGTGGTAGATGGTGTTGCTGTGTCAGAGGCTGGTTTGGCCTTGGCAGTCTCATTCGGTTTCTCTTCCGTTTCGATCACCACCGCTGCCGAAACAAACGTAAAAGGATTCAAACCCACGTGTGCATCATTGAGCATATGAATCTGGTAGGGTTCAAAGCTTTCATGACTGGGCTCAGAGAACGTCGTTTCCCAATGAGGGCCGGTAATATAAGGCACTAGTTTCGAGTCGAAGCGACGGCCTAACAATTTGAGTTTCTTTTTGGGTTTCAAGGTATTCACAGTCGAGGTCGACTGACTCACAACAGCATTTCGCGAGGCGGCAAGATCGGGTGCCTCCAGTTCTGCTACACTGTCGTCTGTCATCATGGGATCTTCTTCTTCTTCCAGGTCATCTTCCAGCCAATCGTCCATCTCTGAATCTTCTTCGGAGCCTGCGATGCTCTCGTCATCGTCCTTTTCATCCATGGCATCTACATTTTCCCCCTCTTCAAAGTCTTCCCATCCAGCATCGCTGTCGTAGGAGTAGTCAATAGCCAATGGATCTTGGCCCAACGGCTTTCGTGGCGTGATGAAAGTTGAAGAGCGGGTCCATGTACCTACCCAACCTGGGCGTCGGTCCGATTGGAACTGGAGTAGTTTAATAGGTATCAATTTGCGGTTGTTCAGTTCTTCGAGCCCATGCTTCGCTCGCTCTTCAGCATTTCCGCCAAGAACATCTGATTCCGTAACCGCTTTCATGATATCGCGTACATTGATGGGTGGATGAACACCCCGTCGCCTGGTGCCAGTTCTGGATGTACTGTATTTGGCCTGGAATTCTGCGAGAAGATCTGCTGTTAGTAACTAGGGACGCACCTGTAGGCGCACGACTCTGCTGCTCGATCTCGGTCATGAAGTTATCGCTTACATGATGATAAAACTTGTTAATGTCGGCAATGTTTTTAAGTTCACAAGGCAGGAATGTACGTTCAAAGTCTGTCTTGTTCGATGCTTCCTGCTCTTTCTTTGGCGACAACTTAGCCGGTTGCTGGAAGAACGAATTGAACATGCGCACTTGAGCCTGCATGTAAGGTAAATGTACCACATACCTGCTTATCCTTCTCCTCCTTCTCTTCTTTTGCCTGTCGTTCAGCACGCCGAGATTCACGAAGCTTGGTCTTTTCAGACTTTTCCTTTTTGACAGGTGTCGCTGGTTTCGGCGACTCAGGGGCCTTACTTGGAGCCTCTGGTACCGCCGATGGCGTACTCTCACTGGGTGCATCAGGCTCGGAGATTGGTGGCGCGGCTTTGGTGCTGCGCTTCTTCGATTGGAAGAGGGCTTGGTACTTGTCCGCAGGCAAGGTCTTGATAAGGTTGAGTGTCTCGAGCTTGGCCTGCTCACGTTCCTTACGACGTGTTAGGAGTTTTTCGAGATTCTCCTTCGGCAGTAGATCCAAATTGTTAACCTCCCACCGCCAAAGCTGCAGCGACGGCGGCGCAGCCGTGTCGTCTGGGCCATCGTCCATGCCGTAATTTACGCGTGTGGCAATACTTTGCACACTGTTCTGGATTGTTTGCAGACTGAGGGTATCAACCTTTTCACCAGCTTCAGTGGTTGCTTCGCTGCCTTCAGGCAGCAACATAGCCCGAATCTGCTTCGCCAACTCGGTGTCGACCTTGTCGCTTTCCTGTGTTAGCGAGGCTATTACACCGAGATGCTCTGGAGGGATATCTGTGAGCGGCTGTGTAGCATGTTCTGCTAGGTATGATTGAAATGCTAGCACAGCCCGTAGCACGGGCATCGTGCGATCCCAGCCGACCGCCTTTTGGCGCAGCGAGAGCTTGGCATTCTTCAAGGAGACCAACGCTGGCGTAGCCTTTTTTGCCTGCTTGGGAGAGCTGCGAGGTATCTCTTCGGCCTTGCGCTTCCCCGTGTCTTGCGCAGCCTGCGCACCTTGCGGTGCGCCCTCGATCTCGTCCATGGGCCACGTCGAAACAGAGCAGATGGGCAAACGCGCGACGTGACGCGACGCCGTGCCTTGGATGTTAAAGTATTTATGCACGAACCTACTAGGCCACCTGTGACGCGTGGAACCCGACCGACAGCGTGCGCACGCGTCTCTTGACGAGTGTGAGATGGCTGCCGCGGCGAGTGCCACAGAGAGTCGGCCATGGGTCGAGCGCTAGTACGTATCGCGGGAAAGACTCACATGCAGTCGTCCCAAAACCATTGATGAAGTGGCATCGCAGCAACATGCTGTAAATGTGCTGCGCAAGGCTTTGTCCTCTGCCAATGTACGTTGTGTCTTGCTCACTCGCAGCTCCCGCATATGCTCTTCTATGGCCCCCCCGGCACAGGCAAGACATCTACTATTCTCGCGTTGGCACGACAGTTGTATGGGTACGTTGGCAGTTTACTTATGGTAGACCTGAACTCATGAAATCGCGTGTCTTGGAGCTCAACGCCTCGGACGAGCGTGGTATCGCTGTGGTGCGAGAGAAAATCAAAACGTTTGCCAAGGCTGCGGTATCTGCGCCAAGCCCGTACGTGGTCGGTATACTTACGACAGGGATTATCCTTCTCCGCCGTACAAGATTGTCATCCTGGATGAGGCGGATAGTATGACGCAGGATGCGCAAGGTGCGCTCCGACGTATCATGGAACAGCAAAGCCGCATCACCCGGTTCTGTCTGATTTGCAACTATGTGACACGGTATGTTTTTGACTTTCTTACAGTTAGCATCATTGAGCCGCTTGCATCACGATGCAGTAAATTCCGGTTCCGTCCTTTGGATCTGGGCAGTACCGAGGCGCGGTTGCACTACATTGCACAGGCCGAAGGTCTCCAGCTTAATCCAGACATGATACCTGCTTTGATTCGCGCATCGGACGGAGATATGCGTCGATCCATCACGTACTTGCAATCGGTGGCTCGCTTAGCCTCGGCTCGCGGTGGCGACGTTCGCGCTATGCCGGCAGACACTGTAAGCGAATTGGCTGGCGTTGTGCCTGCCTCTGTGATTGAATCTCTTGCCGACAGCATCGGTATTGAAAAGGTGTCCATGTCAGACGAAGACGATACCAAGGGGCCCATGTCTACGTCCGACTTTGATACCATTGCTGCGGCTGTGCATAGCATCGAACGCGAAGGGTATTCGTGCATGCAAATTGTCCTCCAGGTATGTATGATGATGGCTCATGGGCAGTTGCATGACTACATTGTTCTACATCCGCTCCTGAATGCGCGTCAGAAGGCCAAATGTGCTCTGCACCTCGGTGCTACGGACAAGGCACTGATGGACGGCGGCCTAGAGTCGTTGCAGCTCTTGTCGCTGTGCCTTGAGCTCCACCAAGCTGTGACTGTTGCATAGGTGACCTAGTAGGCCCCCGTAGTACTTTCTGACTAAGCGCCACCACGAAGCGTTTTCCTTTCGCCCTCGTCGACCATGCCGTACGTAGAAGACGGTTGTGCCTGGGACTAACCATCAGTTTATACGAGCTGTTCTGCGTGGCCATTGCGTCTGCGGAATCGGTATGTGTGCGATACAGGTTGACTTACATGACAGGCGCCTCTTCGTGACTTGGTCCAGTCCACCTCGAAGCTCGTTGTAGGCAACGGTGGTGTTGTACGCAATGTGCAATACTGGGGTAAGCGTACGTTGCCACAACGGGCACGGCGTCATCAGCAGTACCATTCGGTGGGAGAGTATGTATTTGCCATTTTAACATGCAGCTACTGGCTTATGCAGTTCGATACCAATGCGCCTACCCTCAAGGTGCTGAACGATCGCCTCCGTATGGACCCACGTGTGATCAAGTGGAATACGCTCAAGCTGGGCGAGAAGCTGCATGAGATTGTGCCGCCTGCTGCGTCGGGTGGTGCCACGCCTTCGCAAGCGACGATGGGTGGCCGCTCGATCGATTACTTGGGGTAGAGAGACGTCTTCCCCTTTCTTTCATGTCTACGAAAAAGCCGTGCCTACGTAGCCGGTGCAGATAGTGCAATCTGATCGGTAATGTACAATGAATCCACTGCACCAATTGCATCCATAATTTGTGCGCTATCGAGTTAGTCGTTGTATTACGTACCTTTGCAGTCCCTTGATCCGCTCACATTCAATCGACGTATAGTTCGCCAATGCACGTCCAACTTCCTTGCTCTCGATCGAGCCATCGCTTGCTTGTTTACGCACGACCAAGCGCACCGCTTGCAGACGCTCCCAATTTCCCTCGACGCCTACCACACCCGCAGGGAGGAGTCGGCCACCTGACTCCTTCCGCGAGATTCGTTCGTACGCCCCTTCATCAATGACCAAGGTGCCACACGGGTGCATCGCATGCAAGATACGCCACTTGCGTGCTGGGAGTCGGAATGGATTCGGCAAGAAGAGCGTATGAGGTGGGTCATCGTCCTGTCCCTCGTTGACGTTGAGACCCTTTTCCACGACTTTGGCAATGTTTTCAGGGTGTTCGCCGTTCAAAATGATCGTCGCTACACCAGCCGCTGTAGCTAGCTCTGCGGCAATAAGTTTGGTTTGCATGCCGCCTGTACCGAATGAGGAGCCCATGGTCTTCACGCAAGCGGCCTGACGCGCTTCGTCGACCGAGTGCAGGACACGCAAGCGCCGGGCCTCTGGGTTGGAGCGTGGGTTGTCCGTGTACAGTCCATCGACATCTGTACACAAGAATAGGTAGTCAGCGTTAATGATACCAGCTGTGATGGCGGACAGCGAGTCGTTATCGCCAAATCGCATTTCGTATACGGAGACGGTATCGTTTTCGTTCACGATCGGAACAGCATTGAAATCGCTCGAGAGTAGCGTATTTAGTGTTGTGTACGCATTGTGGTAGCGAGGCGAATCAGCAATGTCTGCTCGTGTGAGTAGAACCTGTGCGATGTTGATGCCCAGCACACCGAACAAGCTGTCCCACAGTGACATGAGACGCAGCTGACCCAACGCGGCCAGGGCCTGACGCTCGCCGAGATTCTTTGGCCGCTCCTGAATATTCATACGAACGCGGCCTACACCGATAGCGCCTGAGCATACCAGGACGACGCGATGACCATTCTGCCGCAGGCGCGAGACGGTCTCCACAATCGAGGCCATGATACGGATTTTGGGCTCGAGTGTCTTTTCCGAGAGAATGGACGAAGTACCGAGCTTGATCACCACCGTCTTCCCCGCTGCTGCTGGCGCAGCGACACCGGAACGTAGAGGCATGATTCTTGTCGGCCCAGCTTCTTCGCAGACGCCTACGCAACGCGCTTTCCTATACGACGTGGGACGAGCCGCGCACGGCTCGCTCGTTCCCCTCACGTGATGCCTGCTTTTTTTTTTGGGCAGACATCGAGACTCCCTTCGTGGGTGGCTTCGTTGTACGACGGACGGTGCGATGACAGATACGAGCAAGCCCGGTGTGTCGCTTCCGTTGCATCGTGCGCGGTTTGTCGACTGGACGCCGTCGTCTATTACCGCATTAGCGTTCTCGCCCGTGCCGCCGATGCAGGCCAGTGCTCATATGGCCAGTTCCATGCGGTCCGTGCTGGCGATCGGTCGTGACAATGGCGATATCGATGTATGCACATGGTGTGAAGATGTTGTATCTACGTCACAAGGGGCATCGATTTCCAAGGGGTGGATGCCGGAAGTCACGCTCTTGGGCGATACCAACTACAAGATTGAATCTCTTGCGTTTACACTCTCGACTTCGTACGACGGTGTGCCGTACCTTCGTCTGTTCAGTACATCAGGTGGCAGTATTATTTCCGAGCACTTCTTGCCACCTTCCATTGCCTATGTGTCGGAGGCCACCTCGCGTATGCGTGTGACCCTGCCTACGTCTGCCACACGAACTCTTTCGTCGCAAGGCGGTACGATTTGGAGTATGGCAGCAAGTCCGACCGGCAAGTACCTTGCGATTGGCTGTGAAGACGGTGTAGTGCGTCTTATCAATGTGGCTGGGGATGCATTTGAGCATGTCGTAGGCCACCGTGCACCCACACCCGGCAGCGCTGCGTCGCGCATGTCGCGTGTCGCCAGTCGTATTCTGAGCCTCGCTTGGGGTCCGCCGCAGCGGCGCGCTACGGCACCTGCACGCCGCCCAACGTCCACGTCGGATACGTCTTCAGACGATGAGTGTGAGGACGACGATACCGAGGCATGGACCGATACCTATTTGCTGGGTGGTCTTGGCAACTCTACGGCAGTCGTGTGGGATGTAAGCACAGGTCATTTGCGTTCGCGACTTACCGTGCTCAAGAACCGCAATGAGCACACGATTGTATGGGCCGTGGCTGTGCTGCGTGATGGCACGTTGGTGACGGGCGACTCGACCGGCCGTGTCACCTTTTTCGATGGACGCACGCGTGTCCCTATACCTGGTGCCTCGTTCCAGTGCCATACGACCGGGGCCGATGTGCTTACGCTGTGTGTAAGCAGTGACTCGCGTGCTGTGTACAGTGCGGGTGTGGACCAAAAAGTTGCCGAATATACCTTTGTCGGCCATGCATGGGCGCACACAGGGACGCGCCGTCTACATGCGCACGATATTCGTACGTTGGCTATGGACCCACCGTTGGATCTACGCAGTTCCGCTTCCTCCACGCCATCGCGGATGCCGATCTTGGTCAGTGGTGGTCTGGATTACCATTTGGTACTTACACCCGCGTCCCATGCCGCTTGGCGTGCGAGCAAGGAGGTCAATCCTATTTCGTCCAGCACATCTACGTCCTTTGCTGATACCACTCAGCGCCGCGTGGCCTTTGTACCTGCGAGCGCTCGCGAAGGCGTAGTGTGTGTAGCGCCTGGGCCACGGTACGTGGTCCTGCGCCGTGAGCAGAGTGTGGGGATTTGGCAGATTGAAGGGACCGATGCCTGGCGCAAAGTCCTGGAGATGGAGTTGCGTGTCAAGTCGAATCTTGGTGCCGTGGCGATCAGTTCCGATGGTCGTTTCCTCGCGGTTTCAGACCTGTACGAAACAAAACTGTTTGATCTGAGCACGTCCTCACCTCGTCGCGTGCCCGGTCTTGGGGCAGCGATTCACCGCGGTCGTGATGTGCCTGCGCCTGGTGCCAGCTCGTTGCTGTTTACGCCGGACAGCACTCGGTTGGTGCTGTGCACTGCGCAAGGGGCGTTCGTACATGTGTTGCAACTGCCTACCTCGAGTACAGGGCCTGTGACGCTGCTCAAATCCTTTACGCAACATCGATCTCGTCGCGCTGCGGCCGATGGCCGCCTGACCGCGCGCCTGCCTGGTGAGGATAGCTCCTCGACAGCGCGCGAGGCGGCCTCTGCACGTGATATGTTTGTTCCCATCGTCCTCGCGGCTGTCTCGCCTGATGGACAGTGGCTGCTTACGGCGGATACCGCGCGGCATATGCATGTGTTCCATTTGGACACACTATCGCACCAGCGCGCGCTGGCCTCCCCGTCGTGCGTGCCCAGTGCCGCGTGCTTCCATCCGTCGCAGCCTAACTGGGTGTGTGTGACACTGCCTACCAACCACGTGCTGTTATACGATGTGGAGGGCGATACGATGCCGAGTTGGGAAGCGACGTTGCGGCAGGAGCTGGATGCACAGCTTGGCCGTATTCGTGAGCCTGTTGTGGGCTGTACATGGGTGGCCACCACACAGGGGGCTACCTTGGTACTATACGGCCCGACATGGCTGTGTACCGCGCGCGCCTCGTCGACCATGGCCTCGAGTCGGAAGAAGCGGCGCAGTTCGGACGACGAAGCAAGTATGCCTGGCACATGGTCCATTCGCACGACATTCAAGTACCAGCCTCTGCTGTACGTCGGCGCTCTGGCGGTCGACAAGCCTGAGCTCTTGGTCATTGAGCGCCCGTACTTTGCCTTGGCCCAATCGTTGCCGCCCGCCTTCTACCGCGGTGCCAAGTATGGTATGTAGTCGTCTATGTACGCTGTTTCTTGGCCTTGCCCTTGCCATTCTTCGTCCCAGCAGCGGCCATATCCGCGTGCGCCGACGAGTTCCGAAGGCCTAGCATCTGCGGTGCATCTGCGGTTAGTGAGCAGACAGATACGTACGTTCGCCGGCCAATAACGCCTTCACAAAGTCGGGGCGGGCCGTGCTGGTAAGATACTTTTGGCTTACGCCACGCGCATGCAAGGGCCGCGCGAGCATCTCCGCCAGCTGCTGCTTGAGACTGGCGACCTTGGCTGTGGAGGACGCACGCTTGCGTTTCTTGCTCGAGACGGCGTCTGCATCCGGATCGCTATCATCGCTGTCCAAGTCCAACTCGGCCTCCTGTGCGAGGTTTCGAAGCCATGCATCGTCATGTGCCTCCTTGTTGTGTGAGTGCATACACGCATCGATTTCCTTGGCAAGCGCGATTCGCTCGCGGATCGGAGCGAGGAATGAGTACTCCAGGGGCAGCGGCGCGACATTGTCGTCACGCTGCAGAGTCCGCCAAATATCCCGCCATAACCGCTGCTCACTGGGCTCAATGAGCGCAATAGAGACACCTGTATGACCTGCACGTGCCGTACGTCCAGCGCGATGCACGTACGTATCAGCGGAACGCGGCAACTGGAAGTGGACGACATGGTCCACGCCTTGGATATCGATACCGCGCGCAGCGACATCGGTGGCCAGCAGAACACAGTTCTTCGTCTTTCGGAACCGATCCAGGTTCTTCAGGCGCTGCTGCTGCTGCAGCTGGCCATGCAGTGGGTACGCCGGAATGCCGAGCGTCGTTAACAGAGGTACCAGGCGGCGAACGCCATCGATGGCATTCAAAAACACCAATGTCCGGCCGGGGTAGCGCAGTAAGATATAGTACAAGTAGGTATCCTTTTCTTTGCCGAGGCACTCCACTTTGGCCTCCCAGAGCGTTTCCGCGACGTGCTTTTGAGGCGTGAGCTCAATGACCAACGGCGACTCGTCACGGAAGTCAATGCGCGACAAGAGATCGTCGAGTGTGTTGCTCGCCTCGCCTTTGCGTTGCTTGCGTCGCCAATGTGCTTTCGAGAGGTTCGTTTGCAAGGCCTTGGTCATGGTGGCCGAGTACACAAACGTCTGCATGGCCTGGTTGGCATCCACGGCCGTGCCCTTGGTCCGCTTGACCATCCGCAAAATCGCATCCATCTCAGCAAAATGCCCAGCTTCGACCATACGATCCGCCTCGTCGATGACCAGGAAACGCGTACGACGCACACGCATCGCCAAGTGGTCGTCATGCTTCAGCATGTCCCACAGACGACCTGGCGTAGCGACTATGATATGTGCACCGCCATGCTGCTTTAGCACACGTTCCTGCTTCTGTACGGACATGCCACCACACACCGCAGCGACATTGGCAAAGCGGCCACCGGCATCAACGACCGCCTGCAAATGCGTGCATACTTGAAGCGCCAGTTCACGTGTCGGCGCAACGATCAGCGCATCCAACGGCCGATCGCTATCGTCCGAATGCGCTGTATGCTCCAGAATGTACTGCAGCACCGGCAGTCCGTACGCCAGTGTCTTACCGGAGCCGGTCTGTGCAATGCCGACCACGTCGCGAGGCGGTCCTTCGAGACCCAGCGAGGGTGGGAGCGTTTGGGCCTGCACAGGCGTGGGCCGCTCAAACTGCAACGACGCCAGCGCCTTTTTCAGGCGTGCATGCAGTGGTACAGAGGCCCAGCCTGGCAACGCCGTCTCGGCCGCCTCCAGGTCGTCGTCGCCTGCATCGTCGTCTTGCAGCAAGTTCTGCTCACGAGCTGATTGGAGAAGGGAGCCCAGATCGCTATCGGAGGGCAGGGACCGGGCGTCTTGCTGCGCCGCCTTGCGTGGGCGTACGGTGGGCTCGTCCGTGGATGGCGCAGGTGTGCTAGGCTCTTTCTTCGCGGGCGCCTGCTTCGCCTTCTTTTTCTTGTCGTCCACTTTGACGATGCGCACACGCTTGTGCTGCCCTGTCTCGTCCAGGTCGTACACCACATCGAATCCTTCGGCCGTTTGCAGGCCTAGAAAGTCATCGCCGCCCATATCCAGCGTCTCAAACCCGTCGTCGGTGGTCTCGTTGACCATTTCTGAGGCCGAGGCCACAGGCATCGTGATCCACGGCACATCGCTCTCGCGCACCACCGTGCCACGCACAGGACGCGTGCCCTTTTTCCGACGGACGCCCATAATGGAGGAGGACAATGCAGGGCAAAAAAAGGCAGGTGGAACGACGGCCATGACCAGCGCCATGTGCCTCCACAAGCCACGCGTGGGTTCCGCGCGTGGCTAAACAAACATCGAGCAAGCGTGCGTGCCAGGGTCGGCCTGCCTAAACGCTCCTCTCTTTCCTGTGCGAGCCACCGGGGTGCGTCTTTCTAGTGCCACCCCACCCATATTTCCAACTATGGGTGTTCAGGACACGTCATCGCGGGCCGACCTCGCGATCGAGTCCCAGGCGGCGCCAGCGCCAGCGCCGGTGCGGGAGAAGAAGCGCCGCCGTCGGACGCGTCCGCATGAAGTGAACATCCTCATGTCTGCATATGTACAGAATGCCTTTCCGAACGAAAAGACACGGGAGAGGCTTGCAGAGATGGTGGGAATGACACCTCGGTACGTACGACTGCTCATCTAACAGGGCACAGCGCTGTATCGGTCTGGTTCCAAAACCGACGCCAAGCGGAAAAGAAGCGCTCAATGCGATACAATGGCACAGGGATCGGTGTGACCGCGCACAACATCCCGCGCGGCATGATGCACAGCGTAGAATTGGTGGTGCCGCCACCTGTGCTTACGCTGCCCCCTCGTGACGCGATGCGGCGGGTCGTGAGCACGCCGTGTGTATCTCTGATGACCACGTCGGGCGGTCGAGCCGCGTTGGGGGAAACGATCCTCTCGCCTGAGAGCAGTTCGCCCACAGATGCCCCGGCCCTGCCATGCGCCTTGGCAAGCACCAACGATGGCCATGGCATCATCGCAGGCGGTGCCTACGATGACGACTGTGCGATTTGGAAGCGCATGGAAAGCTCCAGTGCGATTGGGAGTAGCAGCGATTGGGACGAGCCAACGGCGTCTGCTAGTATGGATGAAGACGACGAGGAACGTACGCTGCGGCGTCTTGCCCAGCGCCGTATGGAGCGCCTTCGTGAGCGAAAGCGTGCCCTGAGCTTAAACGATGCGAAGCGGCATGCTACCGACGCGCGCTTTGCGATCCAGGAACGCATGGCACCCCGCAGGACTTCGAGTCTTCAGCGCAAGCCATCGCTGCGTCTTGAAATGGCGACGGATCGCAATGTGTTTGTCGACAAGGAAAATGTGCCGATCGCTCCACCGGCTGTCCCTTCTGCGCCTGCGATGAAGCAGGCGCCTGTGCGCAGCCTGCGCCGCGTGGATAGTCAGCCTGTGCGCCCTCTGCAGGAACGCTCGATGAATATGCCATACGGCATGGCGCCGCCCTCGAAGTACACGCGTGTCGCGAGTCTTCGTCGCACCGTGTCTGCCACGGCCACGCACCGGCCCAGCCAGCCGACCCCGAATTGGACACGCACTTCCAGCGCGCGCAGCGACACGGAGCCTGTCGGCGGCGCGAAAGAGGACGTGCAGGACGATAGCGGCTTTTTTGAGGACGGAGATCGATCGCAGTCCACGTCCCCGACCAGTGTGCCACGCGCGCAAAATATACTTCCAGCGTTCACGCAGCATGACCGTGAGGCGGTAGAGCTCCTTCTGGGTCTCCGCTCACTTTCATAGTAAGTAGTACGACATACCCGACGATGAGTCTTTTTAGGACTATGTACGTACTGTGCGATGTGCACCCCTATTAACGATACAGCTGGTTCTGCTCAATATAATGGATGACGCTGTTGGGCAGCAGGTATTTGATCGAGTAGCCTCGGCGCACAAACAAGCGCACTTTCGAGCTGCTGATATCATTGTAGATCGTCTGTTTCACGACCAGCAAATTGCGGCGGTACTGCCACAACAGGTCGTGCGAGAGCAAAAACGACCATACATCGGCCCCTGTTCGCTCCACAATCAAACAGCCGTAGCGGCCTAAAATATGGTGCAGATCCTCACTGGCCCAGACGCCCGGCTCGCCCATACTCTGGATCAGGTCGCCGCCGGCCAGCAGCATAATCTTGATTCGCCGGCGAGTTCCGTTTCGCAGCACCATACCACGCTCACCATGCGCACCATTCAGCTCCTGATCAAAGTGATCCAATACGAGCGCTGTGCGTTGGTACTCGCCCTGCAGCGATTCCCATGCATCGACCATGAGCCAGTTGGACGATCGCTCTACCGCCAGCTCACACATACGCACGCGATGCGTCGCCTTGGCCAGGCCTTCCTTTTTGTATTGATCCGACACGGGCGAGTAGTAGCCGGCCAACAGCTCATAGTTGCCCGACTCAATCACTTGGTCCTTGGCCATTTCAAACATGCGCCTGTATATGTCAGCAGATAGATACGTACAAATGAAGGTACGTCGGCGGCGAGAAACTTCCACAAGCCACAATCACCAGCGGTGTCTTTGTCTCGTCGATCATTTGCGTAGGAAACCGATGGCGTGGAAACTCGTACGTGTCCTGTCTGTCAGTCTAGCCAGAGACTTACCATCGATTCACCTTGGCGCGGCACAGGCTTGGGCGAGCGCAGTTTCAGCGTCTCCTGCGTATCCGCGGTCTCGTACTCGTCCAACTCATCGTCCAGGCCGGTATCCAAGGCCATGTTCGGCACATCTACGTCATTCACAGGATGCACCGAGCCAACATGAGCCGCAGCGTGGAGGTTCTCTGTACTCTGTCCCAGCTCTTGCGTCACGGGACCTGCGCCAGATACCGCTGCCCCTGTGAATGGCGGACTGTCTAGACGGTAGGAATCGACATTCAGGGCTTTGTATCGTAGCGTTTGCACACTCTCGTGTGCAGGGCCCGACGGTCGGTTCGATACGGACATCCAGTGTACAAAGGAGGGAAACCCACACGACGTTATGTCCGAAACCGTCGTCCCCCAACCTGCGTGTGGTCGATGTGTGGAGGTGCGCGCCTATTCGCCGCCGCCGCCGCAGCTGCCTCTACCTCCACCTATGACCCCTACGGCTGCCACATAAACTCCTCCAGCGCGAGAGGTCGATTGACAATGCGAACATCGCCCACGCTTCCGTAGAAGAGCTGATCCAGCTTCTTGGCGTACTCGTAACCGCCAATCATCCATGGTTGATGCAGTGTTGTAAGACCCGGGGTCCATTGGTCCGGATTGCGGGCGACTTCGGAGCCATCAACGTACATCTTCGTGAGGGTTCCATTGTTCACCACAGCTACATGCCACCAGTGATTCAGCGGCGTCTCATGACCCCAGTTTGTCGATCCACCATCCTGATGGAGCGGGTAAACACGCCATTGCAGCTCCCGGTCATTCGATATACTCAGCGTCACAATCGGCTCGTCCTTGTCCGTATCGTCACTTGTCTTGTTCGCTTCGCCTGCTGTACCCCAGCGACTCAGGATCGCCGACCATGCATTCTGCGTCGACGACCACGAGTCAGGAAGGTAATAGAAGGCTTCAAATGTGTAGCCATGCTCGAACGTCTCATTGTTCAGCGGTGCTTCATCAACGGTCTGCAAGTACGCGCCCTCCAACGGTATCTTCTGGCCCGTGAACACGATACTTCCATGACCGCTCTGCTTCGGATGGTGGTCATTACTCCAGTGCAAACGTGTAATGTCACTGCCATTCGCCGGTTTCACCACAAGCGTGTTGCCATGTCCCGACAAGTCTTCGATCGTATCGGACGACGACAATGCTGCGCCGTTCTTGTGGCCATCAAAGCGCCAGTAGGCCAGCGTGCCCTCCAACACCATCTTGTCTGCGCTCGAGTCGCGCTTGGTCTTATTCGTAGAGAATCGCGTCGCGAAATCCACATGCATTGTGAATTGGTCCACATCTGTCGTCAACGCTTCTTCACCCTTTGCCAGTGTATTCGCGAGTTTTTCGCGCACGAGACGCTGTGTCCATGGCGAGAACGTGCGCACGTCGATCGTGTTCTTCTCCATGTCGAAACGATACGCACGGATCATACCTGAGCCGCCATAGTACCTGTTCTGGTAGTTGGTAATGTGGGCATCGACCCTCAACCCTGCTTGATTTGTGCGGCTCGTCCGACCTGGCGGCCAAAAGTGGCCATTCAGTGTGAGGAATACATTGGCATGGTGCTGAATCAGACGCTGCCACACTTCCTCACCATACTCGCTAAATACGGTGTCACCCGTGTCAGCTGTGACCAATTCATGGGTCGTCAGAATGGTCGGCAAGGACGCATGTGTCTTCAGCACATGGTTCGCCCAGTCGAATGTGCCATTCGACATGCGCCAGTCCAGGGAGAGTAGAAGCCATTCGCGGCCACCGGCACGGAAGATGTGGTAGTTGTTGTAGCCATCCGGAGAAGCGCCACGCCACGTTGACGACTTTTGGAAACGCGACGTGGGGAACGCATCCAAATAGGGCGTCGAGCCACGTTGGTCGTCCGTGCTTGAGTCGATGTCATGGTTGCCTGCAAGCACACTGTATGCGACGCCTACATGGTCCAAACGATCAAAGGCTTGCGTCGCCATAGCATACTCTTCGGCCAAGCCGTTCTGCGCTACGTCGCCGAGATGCGCCAGGAACACCATGTTCTCCTTGTTCTCCTTGCATGACATGACATACTCAAAGGCCTCTTCCATCGGCTGTGGATGGATACGGTTTTCGTCAAACAGATACTGCGTATCCGGCATAACAACCAACGTAAATTGTGGGCTCTCTGCGTCGGGGTTCCAGCATGCTGCAGGCGCGGACTGCAGTGTCGTCACATCATATGGATCATGAACCCATTGACCAGCACTGACTGTAGAAACCGCTGCCACGGCGGCCAGCAGGGACCAGCGCCACATGATCATCGTCGTGAGAGAGGGTACATCGCGACGCGGCCAGCCTATTTAGGAAGCGACTTGGTTCAGGTCTGTGCGTGTCTCCAACATAACGCGTCAGCGGCTCGCGCCCTGCCATTTGCTACGATCGACCACGTGCCTACATGTGTTGCTTTCATTTGCATGTCAGACGAGGTGGTTTGCCATGGCCACGCACCCCCTACGGTTCGACCAGTTTGTCTACTTGGACGTCGGATGCGCCTTTTTCATCCAGCGCACAGTGCCTGGCTGTTGGTTGGTTTTGAGCTGGAACCAGTCAGTACGTTGCCCTACACATACCGCGCCGAGTTCCGCGAGACGCACAGCCTCTTGATTCGCACTCTTGGGGATGTGCCAGAAGCGGCAGTTGCAACTGTCGCGTCAGTGAAGGCTATACATACTCAATCTTCTCGTACTGTCGCACCGTGTAGTCCAACAACTCCCATAGATCACGATCCGGCACAGACTCTTCCGGTAGACCTTGGGGTCCTTCGCGTGTGAGACGCCATCCATTCTTGCGCCATTCCCAGATGCTGCTGTAAGCGTCGCCTGTACATACTCATTCGCGATACCACGCACGATCCAGCCATGGTGCGTCGCAATAACGATCTTGTCGAATCCTTCCTCTTCCCACCGCACATACTCCAACGCGGCCACGACGCTGCGCAGCGCCGCACGCACACTTGTCGTCGTCGCAGGGAACGTTGGACGCTCCAACCGTCGTGAAAAGTTGGGCTCCACACGCGAAGTATCCACCTCTTCCTGCAGTGCCTCGCCCAGCGACACACTCGGGTTGAACACTACACCGACGCCAGCCTGCAAATCAGTGTTTTCAGTCGTGCCATAGTACGATGCCAGCGACTTGGCATCTTTAATAGGCCCCATTTGGCCCGTAGCGACTTTGTGCGCGAGCTGCAGCGACTGAATTTGCTGTGGCGAGAGGGCTGTGCCTGCACACATCAGCAGCACTTGACGAGGGTTGGTCCGTCGGACCAGGCGGTACGGATGCCAGGGACGTGGATCCGGCACAAACAACTCGGCAATCACATCACTCGTGACGTTGTGGTAGTTCAGCGACTTGGTATCCACGGAGCTGGCGCCCTGCCCACTAATAGCGTCCCATTGAGTACCTGCATCGCGTTCTTTCGGCTGGCGCGTGAGCATTTCAAAGGTACGGTTGCTGCTCCACGTCTTATTGTCCCATGGCTTCTTCGTATAGCTCATATTCGAGACACTGGGCGCTGGTTTGTACTCTGTGTTGTACAGATTCTTACGCACAACAGCTGGCAAGCCATCGCCTTTGCCAGGGCGAACATTTTCTGCAAGAACAGACAGGCCACTAACAGATGGTGCAAACGCGGAGAGCCTTGTCACGCTCGACATTACTGACGAGTTGGAGGAGGCAATGGACTTGGGTCGCGGCGCACTGGCCGTCGCCTCCATCGGTCCACGATGAACATCTGGCTTTACTTCGTCGTCAAGATGTGCTCCATTCTTCTCATCTTTCACCACTGTGGCTGGCTTGGTCTGGCGATCTTCAAACACCGACGTCCCCTCGTTTTCCTTGCCCTTCACAGTTGAGGGCGATGAAGAAGGTACCTTGGCGTTTTCTTCCTTCGCTGACTTGGCAGGCTTGTCATGCGCACCCTCTTGAGTCGCTTTCTTCGCCTCCTTTGGCTCAGGTGCCTGGGATTTTGCCTGAGATGAAGTGGTAGCTTTGGTCTCACCCTTGGCTTCGTCTGACTTGCTTACTACGTCTGCACTCTTCGACGTGTCAGGCTTTGTCGCCTGGCTAAGGGCCGCTTTCTTTTTGGGCGCGTCTTCTGCCTTCTTCAACTCCTTCGCATCTGTTGCCTTGGTGGATGCAGCAGACTCCTTCGTGTCTCGACAGTTCTTTTCTTCTTTCAATGTTGATGACTCATTCTTCTCTTTCGAATCGTTAGACACTTTCCCATCCTTGGCATCCTCAGACTTGTTGTTGTCTTTAACATTCTTGGAGTCTATATCATTCTTGACATCCTTCGTGCTCTCTTTAGCAACCTTGCCATCCTTGGACTCGGTTCCCTTCTTGGAAAGCTTGGAGTCCATACCTTTCACGGGCTTTGGATCGTCTTTGGTCTCCTTTGAATCTCTGGCACTCTTGGATTCTGTACTCTCTTTGGTGTCTTTTGAATCTTTGGTACTCTTGGACTCTGTACTCTCCTTGGTGTCCTGCGAGCCTGTGCCTTTCTTAGACGGGGTGCCTTTCTTTCCATCCTTCGAGGTGGTCATCTTGGTCTCCTTGGCATCTTGTAGAGATGCAGTCTCCTTCGATTCCTTAGCATTGCCGTCTTTGGTTTCCTCCGACTCTTTTGCTGTAGTGACATCTTTGCATTCTTCCGAATCCACACCGGCCTTGGAGTCTTTGTCCTTGCTCGTCTCCTTAGCGTCCTTGGATGCCTTGGCACCCTTGTCGTCACTGGAGGTCGCTCCTGTGCTTTCTTTGGCCGCGTTGGAATCCTTTTCGTTCGATGACGTCGCATCGCCAGGCTTAGACTTGGCCGCTTTATTGTTCTTGCCCGATACCTTCTTCTTGACCTTATTGACCGCATCAGCTCCTTTTCCACTTGCCTCCTTCGATGGGGATGGGCTGTTCTCTTTCGTGGACGCTTTATCGTTCTTCGCCTTCGCCTCGTTGGTATCGTTGGTGGGCGAAGATCCTTTCTGTGCGTCGTCTGTCTCTGTAGCGTGGTCGTTCGAGTCTTTCTTGACATCCTCACCTTTCACATCTGCCGTATTTTTGGACGTGTCAGACGAAGCGGTCTTTCCGGTCGCACTCTGCGCCTTCTTCGATGCGTCGACTTCGCTAGTGATCTTGGAATCTTTGGCCTCGGCTTTCCCAGCATGGCGCTGGTCTTTTTTCGAGGCTTTGGTTCCTCGTGTGTTAGCAGTTGATGCAGTCGGATTCTTTGCCCCCTTCGTGGGCGTTGACGAGGAGTCTTTGGCCGTATCATCTACTGCATCTTCAAAGTCGTCTTCATCGTCGACCACATCTTGCTCGTTCTTGGGTTCAGGCGCGCTAGTCTCTTTTTGGCTTGCATCCTGAGTGATAGAGTCCTGGTTCTTGTCGAACGTGTTGGACGATTCGTCTTTCGCGTCTGTCTCTGACTTGGATGCAGGTACTTTGCTCTCCTCGTTTTGCGCACGGCTCCGAACTTCTTGGGCCAGTTTTTGAGCTGATGTCATCTCCTCATCGCCACCCAAGACAAAGTAGCTCTTAGGAATGTACTCACGTCCTTCATGCGCTGCAATATCACGTTCGAAGTCGTAGAGAGACTCACGCGGTTCAGGAAGTTTCGGCACTCGGAAGAGTCGCTTGGTAATGTTGTGCGTGCTCCTCTGGTCTGGCGCGTACGTAAATGCACCAGGTACGTCGAGTCGAACTTGAAGCTTAGTCGACTCTGGCTTAACAGACTTCATCCGCCAAGCATCTAAAAAGTGTGGGTCCGCCATGGTGGAAACTACGCACGTCGCGGTGTTAAACGCAGGTGTTACAATATATCACAGCGATCACGCACGCGCGTGGCTTAGTCATATGGTAAGAAGATGTCATTTTTTCGGCTTTACCATGTCTCGTCCAAGTCTAGTGTCGAGATGGTTTCGCGTGTCTGCTGTAGCAGAGCTGCCAAGCAGACTTGTACGCGGATTTGCAAGTAAGGCACCGACACCGGATACCCATGGTACCTCGCTGTTTTCGCGCTTGAAGCAGTGGCATGTCGCTCGTGTTCTGTGTCAATCACTCACAGGCGTGCCTTTTCGCTTTGATCGACTGACAGATGTGCAGGAGCGTGTTTTTTCTCTATTCCCTGACATTGCCAAGAGCTCTACTATGCTTCCTGATGGCCAGGGACGTGATCTCTTGTGCAAAGCTCGTACGGGTACTGGAAAGACGGTGGCGTTCCTTGTACCTGCTATCCAAGCGCGCTTGAATGCTCTTGAAAACATCGATAAAAACATCCTCACACCCTCTTTTGAACGCTATATGAATGAGAAATATCCGGCGGATATGAAGGAAAATTTGTCGCCCAAGCAACTGAAGCACATCAAGTCGATCTTTCGTCGCGAGAGTGTAGGCACACTTGTGATTTCGCCTACGCGAGAGCTTGCTATGCAAATTGCCGAAGAAGCCAAAAAGCTCGTCCGTGATGATCACCGAATTGGTGTGCACTTGCTTGTGGGCGGTGTGAAAAGCATTCGGCAACGTCGCCCATGGGAAATGAAGAACCGTGATATTGTGGTCGCCACCCCAGGTCGGCTCTTGGATTTGATGAGCATGCCCATGTTCCGTGACTCGTTATCGACGACGCAGACCCTGGTTTTGGATGAGGCAGATATGCTCCTGGAAATGGGGTTCCGCGAGGATATTCAGTCTATTATTGCGCAACTGCCATCGGTGGAAGAGCGTATGACGTTTCTTTTTAGTGCGACGATGGATGCCGACATTGCTGCCATTGCTCGCGCCTCGCTGCATGAGCAGCACCGTGTGATTGATTGTGTGCCACCTGGCGAAGACAATGTTCACACCAAGGTTCCGCAAATGGTGACGACACTAGGCCATCCAAACGAGGCTCTTCCTCACTTGCTGCGTCTGATCTCGCACGATCAGCTTTTGCATGGATCTGACAGTAAGATAATGATTTTTACGCCGACCACCAAAACGACGGATATGCTCTACAAGATACTGCAAGATATGCAGCCAGCGTTCCCCACGACCTCTGAAACGCGTGTCTTCCGCATTCACAGCTCCTTGGATCAGGCGAAACGCTCCAAGATTAGCCAGCAATTCCGGCAATGCAAGTCGCAGCCCAACATTATGGTCACCAGCGATGTCAGTGCTCGTGGCGTGGACTACCCGTCCGTGACGCGTGTTATCCAGCTTGGAGTGCCGCCTTCGAAAGAAATGTATGTGCATCGTGTGGGTCGCACAGGTCGACGTGGACGAGACGGTCGTGCGGATCTGGTAATTTCGGACTTTGAGAATGCCTTTGTGGCGTTTGAACTGAGCGACATCCCAGTGGTAGCGCTGGACCAGTACGAATTTGAACAGGAAGTGCTGGACTTGGCTTCTTCTTCCCATTCGGCTGTGCGCGATCGACTGCAGGATGCTGAGCTGGGCCGTATTATTGCCGCAGCGCAGACGCGTGTGGATCCGACGAACGTCCAAGGTGTATTTTCCAGCTTATTTGGGTATTACTATTCCATGCGGCAGCTGCTACGCACAGCCAATGCAAGTATTTTACATGCGGTACAAGACTGGGTTGTGGGCTTGGTCGGTCTAGACAGCCGCCCTGCCCCTACCTGGGCTATGCGCCAAATGCTGAGCTCTTCGTCGTCCAGCCAGACCACGTCAAAGAAACGATCATACACAAAGAAAGATCGGTCCTTTTCCAAGCCCTTTTCTCGTACAAACCAGTCTGGGTACCCTAAGCAAAAGCATACCAAGGTGTACAAGACGCCATTCTAAGCGTCATCCTCCATGGCGTACGAGGTCAAGTCCCACACTGTCCGGCCGACGTGCTCCACTTTTCGGCTGGTGGGCCCCACGAGCCCCATATGTGCGAGTTCGTTTACAGCCAAGCTGAAGCGAACCTGCGCCGAGGCTGTGTTCTGACCTTGGATGGCGATACCGGCACGTTCCATTCGTTTCTGGTCACCTTCCAGTGATTGGACGAAAGCTTCATACCAATCTGCCAGATTGATGAATTTACCTGTATCTTTGTACAATGCATACAAACGGCATACATCAGGGACACTTGCTAATTCCAAATCCTTCTGTACAGTTCGTAGTCGATCCACCTCTGATATATGTGCCTCATACTCTGGCCATTCGGCCATATCCCTTTGGAGCTGCCCCGACGCCATGCGCGAAGTCGCCCACATAGAAGCCAAGGTCTCTGTAGGGGCATCGAGCGCCAAAAGCACATTGGCGCGCGACGCGCCTTCCAATACAGTGGAGACGGGATCGGCAAAGTCGTATGTCCAAATCGCAGCAGCTAGGCCTGGGATATGAGACGCTTCCAACGTATTGGTTGCAGCCGGCCAACGTGTGAAGTATTGCTGCACAAAGGAAGCCAATGGAGCCTCCTCTTGCGCATCCGACGAGGGTGTGGGCGCTGACGCCAGCTGTTTCTTCGCCACCTGGACGATGTCGAGATCAATCTCGTCCGGTATGGCTTCAAACTCTTCAAGACGTCGCAGCAATGCATCCAGGAGCTCGCGGGCTAACGTGTTAGTCAACGTGGCATAAACATTGTTCAAGAGCGTGTCAAACTGGGCCAAAAGTGGCGTCGTAGCTGTCAGAGCGTACGCAGCTGTTTGCGTATAGTTCCAGTCCGTGAAGGGCGGCGCCCACTCCAACACGGCCGCGATTGCTCCGGTGATGCCAAGTTTTGTTCCATACACGCCATTCATACGCGTCACATGCAGTAGGGTTTCAATGCCGGTGAAGTGAAGCAAACATCGTGTCATATATGAGCGAAGTTCGTGCCGGAACATCGGCAGAGAACGCAATAGTTGTTTCTCGTCCGACACAAGCATTCTGATATCGTGAGGCAGATCCGAGCCTTTGGGGTAAGGCGATGTAAGTGTGACGAGTAGGTATGCTTTCATTTCTTCTGTCCAATGCTGGGATAGCAGAGCTGGATCTGGCACCTCGTCGAAAAAGGCTGTGATGGCTTGTGTACGAAAGTGCTCCAAATAGCACAGCCGGATGCATTGAGCCACAGCATCCCAACTGGGCGATGTATGCCAGTACCTACGTCGCACCATTTCAAAGACACTGCGGCCTAGCCACATGGAGGTAGTGGGACACAGAAAGAAGGGACAAATAGCACGTTCCCAAAACTCTGACTTGTCAGGCCATGCAATGGTGTACACATCCATGCGCATAAGGACACGCGACATAATAATAGAAGGAAGCCATGATTTGGTTTCGTACAGTGTGCTTGGCATTTGCTCACGAGGAAGCACAGGTATAGGGGCTGTGAATGTCAGCAGAATGTGTAGCTTCTTTTCGATGCCGTTGTTGTCCGCAGAGGCCCACAGAAGAATGGACTGCAGCGCATCATTCAGCACGCTAACAGGAAACGTCTGAACCTGGTCTACCACGAGAAGGAACTCTGGCATGTCCATTTGAGCGGCAGCGTACAGCCTAGGGATGGCTGTTAAATCACTCTGCTCCGCGGCCTGGAAAAGGTCTGTCCCCTGTTCATGGCACTGGAGGACAGGCAGGATCGCTTGTGATACAAAGCAGCTTAACGCAGACACCAAATTTGGACATTGGGATACATTCATATAGATACAGCACTGGTGAGCCTGCTCAACGTGCTGCATGAGCAACGTAGGAAACATGTCGTCTGAGGCAGAGGCACTCACTTTCGGTCAGCGTGAAAGTACGTACTATCCAACACAGTAACAGGGACAAGTGGCTCGGCATTGTAGTGTATACGCTCTTTCACTTCGTTGAAGAAAGGTGCGTAGAGGCGTTCAACAAGAGAACGAAGACGATGCTCGGCTTGGCGCCATGTGTTCTTATAGGCCTCTTCGCGCCGTTGGGCGCCATATTCGTCTCTTTCAAAGCGCTCAATGGGAGCAAAAAGACTTTTCTTCTTCTCTACCGTGTCGTCATAAGCAAATATAGTAATAGGCTGCGGTTACCAGGCGTGCGTACCTACCTCAACCTCCAACAGCCCAGGCGTTTCACTGGCCATCCCCAACCGTGCGTCGTAGGAGAGAGGAAGCGTTCGGCCGAATGGAAGTAGCGCGGAAATATTGCCGTAACGCCACCTTCCGTGACGATCATCGGCCACGATGGCGGCTTCCAAGCGAAAGCAAAGTGGGTCGCGCGTCACGAAGAAGGCACAGGAACAAGCAGCACTGTCCCACGGAGAAAATGTATTCCTTTTTGTGCCCAACCTGATTGGTATGTGCTTGTTCTTTGCTTATTCCAGGTTACACGCGAGTGATTCTTGCGGCTATTTCTTTGTACTACATGCGTGACAACCCACGCATCTGCACTGTACTCTACTGCATTTCATGTCTTCTTGATGCATTTGATGGCATGTTTGCACGCATGCTCAACCAAAGCACCAAGTTTGGTGCTGTCTTGGATATGGTCACGGACCGGTACGTGGCTTTTTTATCGAACTTACACGCGAAGATGCACGACAGCCTGCTTGCTCTGTTTCCTGACCGCTGCATACCCAGAATACACTATTCTGTTCCAAGCGCTTGTCACTCTTGACTTTAGTAGCCACTATATCCACATGTACAGGTATGTGTCGGCCCCTCTTATACGCGCAGTACCATGGTTTCTGGCTCTTCGTCCCACAAAAAGGTAGACTCCAAGCAGTCGCGCATTCTCAACTTGTACTACACGAACACTGTACGTATGTTCTATCTAACGCCAGCGTGTCCTGTTTATTTTTTGTGCGGCCAATGAGCTGTTCTTTGTGTGCCTGTACTTGATGGCCTTCTACACGCGTCCGCTGGGTGTGGATATCGTGCCCTTCTTACCACGCGCTGTTCTGGACTTGATCAGTCAAGATAAGAGCAGTCTCATGTTCCACCTGGTGTTTGAGACCATTCCCGCTCTTACCTGGCCTCAGATTGTGGGTGCCCTGACCTTCCCGATCTGTGCAGGCAAGCAGATTATCAACGTGGTCCAATTCTGGAAAGCGGCAAAGACGCTGGCTGATAGTGACCTGGCCGAACGTCGCAAGAATAGGCTCTAACACGTCAAAATGCCATTATGTATGTTTGGTATCATAAATAGACTGCTCTATTAAAAGTCCACAAAGTCGTACGAAACGTCCAAGTGATGATCGTTCTTCTCAGACTCCACATGTCGGGTGATGGACTCGATGACGGACCAAGTGATGCCATGCGATATAAAGCTGCGCAGCACACTGATTCCCAGTCCACGGTATAAACGGAGGAAGCGACGGAAGGGAATATCACTTAGGCGGACCTTCTCTGGCGGCTCCACGCCGTCCTTGCTACTTAGAAGGAGGCGCCGGAAGACCATGTAGGAACTTTGGTTCGGCAAGCCTGCCAAGGCATTGCGTTGCACTTGCGTCTTGAGTAGATCCAAGGGGTATACGACTTGCCAGGAAACAATGCCACAGAACGAGCCGATTAAGAAGGACACAACAGGGCTGGGCAACATCGTAAGCTTGTTCTGCGCTTCGAGTCTGTCGCCCACTTCGCGCACAGTGTCATAGAGGCCAAAGTAGAACGCCGTCCCAATCAGATCACGAAGCATATGAATGCGCAAGCCGAGATAAAAGCCGCGGATCCCACCGTGGTTTTTGTAAATGTCCCATGCAGCTTGGGTACCAGAGCGAGGCTTAAATGCGAACTGCGTGCCCTCTTTCTGTGCACGCTGTGAGGCGATAAGAAACTCAAGTTGCCGCTCAATTTTCACAAGCTCGAAAGGCGCGGCCATGCAACTGATAACAACACCACTCGCAACACCGCCGACGGAGCCATACATGGCGGTGCGCCAAAGATGCGGATCAGACGGCCCCAATATGCCCTCCAGCCATTTTTTCGTATTATTGTAGATCACAAAAGACATAGTGCGGACAAATGTTATAGTAATCAGAGGAATCGTCACACCTGGGGTAAGTGTACGGCCGGTTGCACGTACCTCGAAACAGACCCTGCACGCCCTCTTCCCGGACAACAGCACGCGTGCAAGCCCATACGCTAGGGTAGTTTTTCACTTGAAGGCGGCTCTTAATGCTATCAAACTGATGATTAGATGCAAATTCACATACCGGAAACGAAGCGATGGTCGAGATGAGAGAGGCAGGACCCGCGGAGACCACAGTAGGATGCTCTACAATGTCAGCCCAAACTGGGCTACTTACCTTTGGCGAACTGCATAAATATGCGATATTTCGCCTGAAACATCGACTCGCCCGTTTGCCCGCTCATCGCCATGGCGTCCAGCGTCACTAGGACAGTGGAGCGTAGTGGGGTTGACGACAGACAAGCTGGCAGGCAAGCGTGCCGGCGAGACACGCACGCGTGGGCCCTTGCCTTCCGGTATGACTAATCTTTGATAGGTCCGGGTCGACTTTCTCCAGATGTCGCCCGTTGTCAGCATGCATGCAGGTGCAACATGGCTTAGCCTATCCTATGCCATAGAGTTAAATCGCTACAATGGCTACATGTCCACCAGCTTGGGGGCGTCGCGGACTCACAGAGGCCGACCGATGGACTCGCTCCATGCCGTCCGAGTCATTAGACTGCATACGGAATATGCCAGAGACAGATGGCACGCCATGATGACATCGATGTTCAGACGGATGCCTGGGCAGAGACTCGTCCGTAGCTGCAGAACACAATTCTGGCTGGGCTAGCTGTAAAATCATTTTGTACAAATCCGGCCAGCACATGCCAAAGTGGACACAGAGAGCATCATCACAATGCGTCCCATCCAGCATGTCAGCTAGATCAGCTGGCACACGCTTTTCACGGACGCTGTTTGTGGATTGCGTTCGTGGCATGCCTCGCGAAGGACCTGCAGCTTCCTCCTTCGAGAGCTCAATACTAGCATTCTGGGCCATGGTACCCACGTCCACAGCTGTCGCGGTCGGGCGTCGTAAAAGCGGCCGGAGTGGCAATCGGAAATAGCTTCGTGACTCTTTGCCACGTGCCATGAAGGTAGGCGTAGTAGGCGTATAGCCTGGATCTGCTTCCCCAGGACTCTCTGTCGTGATGTTGGATATGCCAAACATAGTGGAGAAGAAACTGGAGCGGCCATGCGCTGAGGTCGAAGCAGGCGTCTCAAAGGCTGGCCCACCCACTGACGAAGAGAGTCCAAGCCCTTCCACGTCCGTAGGAGTTTCCGTATTTGGTTCGTAAGGAGAAAAGATAGGGTATTGGTGAACCCGACGGATAAAGCCCTTGATCACACCGAACGTAATGAACCGCCGAACATCTACGCAGTGTGCATGATGACCCAATGTGCCCACCCATTCATGCAATGTTCGGCCATGACGAAGCATGGAATACATTCGCCACAAGATCGGGACCGCCAGCGGCGCTTGTCCAGGTTTCGCCACATAGGTCGCGCATTCTGTGCCCATATTAGTCTCGTCTAGCAAACGCGCAATCTGCGGCTTCACGGCATATATATTCGAGAATTGGAAGATGTCGATGATGATCGCGATGTAGTAGTACAGCAAATGCTCCACCGTCTGACGCACCAAGGTGAGGTCGGTATCTGACAACTGCGCAATGCGCTTAATATGGTTCACACCATCCATGTACGGAATGAGCTTGACCAATGTCAAGTCCCACCCGGGCGTCACAAACTTGCGCAAGTCAATCAACAGGACAGGCACGTCCCAGTCGCTTACAGGCTGAGGATTCGGTAGAGTAGGAAACAGTTTCAGATTGATAGCATCACGCACAGTTCGACCAAGACCATGCGGTAGGCCCATACCCCGCTGTGGCGACTTGTCACGCGAACGTCGCGATTCGGAAGAAAGCTGGGGCGAATGTGAAGATTGAGCCGTACGCGATGTGTGAGAGGCCATCACATCCTCGTCAGTAGATTGTTTCAGAGTAGCATCGCTGTCACCCGCCACAGTATGGATGGCCGTCAGGGCCTGGATTTCTTGCGGCAGCTTGATAGAGTTGTGCCGGGATCCCAGCTTGTTCTTCCGTGCTTCTGCCAGCGGCCCAGACGCCTGGCTGATGAGTGTATCCAGCTCCTGCGGATCCACCAGCGTCAGGTTGCCAGACGCACGTCGCTTGGCCTTCACAGCCTCAAGACCGTCAATAGAAGCACTCACAGCTTCAGGAAGAGCAATGAAAGACTCATAATAGGCATTCAAGTCTTCATAGAGCTGCTCGACGATCCCATACAGACGCGGTAGATTGTCCATGCGCGATATGAACGATTCCTCAATCTCTGGTCAATGCGACGGCATACATACCTCCAGTTGTCGCAACAATCGCGCACACTTTCGCACAATGGGCTCATAGGGGCGTACATCCGAATCGGCTGTGAATACAAAGCACAAATTAAAGATAAAGTGATTCCGCTCGTACTTCTCTGAACCGTCTAAGAGAACCGGGTGGCCCAGCACTTTATAGCTCCGACGGCGGCCATTGACGCTCGCATTCGAAGATACGACCCATTTGATGAGACGTCCACACAGCGGTCCTTTTGGGATGACATAGTCTGACATGGAGATGAAATCCAGCATGAGTTTCTGCCGCTGGGTGGGTAGCGTATCAGGGGTTGCAGACGCGGACGGAGCATCCTGAAACGTATACTCAGGCATCTGAAAAAGCACTTTGGGCCCATCCACAGGGTGAAATATCGAGAGGAACGTCGCCTCTAGCCGAGGCAAGAACCCTTGCCTTGACTGCCCAGGCTCCATCAGCGAAGCACTAGCGCTTGGACCGTGGCAGGAAAGCCGCAACACGCATGCGCGCACGCACTGAGCACGCACCGCCGTGGTGGCCCGATTTGGCCCCGTTTGTCGATCGGGCTTGTACGTACGCCGTGCACTCCACGACCCCGCGCGATGGCATGGCTCGCACGATGGATGCTCATCAGCACGGTGCTGTGGATCACATATGGGTATGTGCTCGCTCTGAATATGAGTGAGAAGACGCTCACGTCGATCCTCGAAGCAGATGGATCTGCTTACCTGGACCTGGCTTCGCCGACTTCGCTTCTCTCCCAGCTTCTCCGGCCCCGTGTGCCAGGTACAGAGAACCATACACTCGCTCGTGAAGCGATTATTGAGGCTTTCGGCAAGATGGTAGATGTATCAGGGCGCCCGAAATGGCATGTGGAAACGATCCCTTTTGAGGCCCAGACACCGCTAGGCCCAATCAACATGACCAACATTGTCATGACGCGTGACAGGTACGCACCACGCAAGCTTGTCCTGGCTGCCCACTACGATTCAAAATACTATCCGAAGGAAGCGCCCGAGTATGGGTTTATTGGTGCTACAGACAGTGCGTTCCCATGCGCGCTGCTGGTGGATATTGCCATGGCTCTGGACGTGCACTTGGACAACTATACACAACATCAAGCTATGGCCCGTGAGGCTTGGGAGCCATTGGCGGACGATACTACCCTCCAGTTTCTTTTCCTCGACGGCGAAGAAGCGTTTGAGAAATGGTCGCGCCAAGACTCTGTCTATGGGGCACGACACTTGGCATCGCTGTGGGCCGAGACATGGGACGAGCCGGCTTGGGACGCCGCACATGTCCCGCGGCATACTGTCGGACGCGCGGCGCCTGTGCGCCGCATACAAACCATGAACCACTTTGTGCTGCTGGACCTGCTAGGTACAGCCCAGCCTCTCGTACCCTACTATTTCCCTATGACGCGCCATCTGCACGAACAATTGCAACACATCGAGGCGCGGTTGGTTGATGCCAATCGGCTCTGGGAGCCAGGCTCACGACATCCTCGCATTTTCCAGCCCTACCAAGGACCTCTCTCCATCGACGATGATCATACCCCCTTCCTTGAACAGGGCGTTCCTATTTTACACTTGATTCCCTGGCCCTTCCCGAAAGAATGGCATACCATTCACGACAATGCAGAGGCATTGGACCCTCTCACTATGCAAGCATGGTCGAAACTCATGCGTGTATTCACCGCCGAGTATTTGGGCTTTGCGTAAGCTCGAGCAGCAACGTTTCTTGCACGTCCGCGACGCGTGCCGCCAGGCTGGTGCCAGCTTCATCAACAAGCACTTGCTGTAGGTCACGTAGACTACGACCTCCGAGCTGAGCTGTTAGCCACTGTGCGAGGACCAGGCGTGTAGTGCTTTGCTTCGTTTGAACAGGGGCCTTGCTGCCTTGATTGTTATCCTTGTGTTCATCCTCGCGTGAAGGACGCTGATACTGTACAGCTTCCAGCATAATCTTCGCACAGCTAGCCTCCAGCCCAGGTACATCTTCCGTAAAAGGCGTAGCGACGATCGCTCGGTGCGCCGCATCCGAGATGGTATGCCAGTGCAGAGCTTGATGGGCCAATGCGACGAGAGATAGCACTTGGTCAGATGGTAACCTAGTACCAAGGCGCGTGGCTGTGATACGCTGTCCCTCTACCACAAGAAGACCGAGACGTTGTGCAAATTCCACAGCCGCATCCACGCCACGAGAGAGCGCGGTGCTAGGGTTCGTATGCCCTGGCTCGCCTTCTTCGCCATAGTACAATGGATTGGCGTGGATACGTTCCGCCCAGAACGACGTAGCAAGCCACTGAATAGCCTGCTCGTATTGCTGCACGCGCCCCGCTACGACTTCAGCCATGAGCGCAGGAAGCAAATGCGACGCCACCTCGCCTAGCTCTGACTCCAGAGGTAGTGGCGTGCTGAGTTGGTGTGCCCATAAATCGCGACGGCTTTGTTGGCACAGTACCAGCACATCACCTTGCGCTTGCCCGGGCCGTGCTGCGTGACGCTGCATACGCCAGATTTGGTCTGTGTTGTATTCTTGCACTTGTCGCGTCGTGGATGCGAAGTACTGCGTGCCAAGCACCACAACGAGGGCCGCCTGCAAGGGTACAGCGGCGTCCTGTGCACATAGCACAGCGTGAAGACATCCCATATCAAAGAGCTGCTCGACCAAACGGCGGTCTTTCGCGGAGAGGGAGGCATCCCATACAGCTACACCTTGCCGAACAAGGTGGCTCAGCTCTGTATGCGTGATCGCTTGCGCCATGCTTTCCAGCTCAGGCGACGTCGGTAAGGGGTTTGTAGCCAATCGAGCGACCAATTCACGCGCGGCTGTAAAACATTGCGCTCGAGTAGGCGACCATAGCAAAGCAGGTGTAGCATGGGAGCTCATACGGTCCAGTGCAGGCTTCACATAGGCACGTACTAACGTATCCGAATACGCCAAGTCCACCGTATCCAATGTCAGCGATACAGGGTAGGGCGTATCGCTAGGCCCGAATGTATACAGCGCCGTGGAAGGTACCTGAAGCCAGCGTGCCAAACTCAGTGCAGATTGACAGCTGACAGCTGTAGCCACCATTCGCGCGGGCTGTGCCGTGCGACGCACGTGCATAACAGCACATTCGTACGTTGCGTCTAGGCGATGGAGGTCAAAGCACAGCAGTAAGGCCAAAGCCGGCCATGCATGACGGGACGCTAAGGCTTGGGCAACATCGGGCGTGCACACAAAGAGGCTTCGTGTGCGTGGCACCTCTGTTTTGGCCTTGGTAAGCACATGAATAGGCAATGGCTGAGGCCATAATGGTATCATGGCCTCCAGCGTACGCTGGAGGTCCTCCAGGCGCTGCGCTTCTGGCTCAATAATTAGGATACTTCCTTCCGCAGGCACGCGTTCCAATGACCATAATGCCACGGTGCGCTTGCCTGCTGCATAGGGCGCACAAAGAAGGGCGTTCGCACGTGAGTGGGCCATAGTATGGAAGACCTGCGTTTGCATCGCATTCAATGTTGTGATGGACTTTACAGCGCTCAGTGTGGCGGCCATAGGAGAATGCTCTAGTTCAGCCAAGTTCAGCAGCGGTACATCCAGCAAGCGCATCGTAGGCATAGGCGCCGGGTTGACAATGTGATCCAATGAGACATCTACGCCTCCTTCGGCGCCCAGCCAGTGCAAAGAGGACCAGGCGACGCGACAAGACGTCTCACTAGCCGGCCGTACATCCGCCGGCGATAGTGGGACGTACACGGAGAGTGTCAAATCCACGTGAGTATCATCGCCCGGCGGTTGTGGTTGCGGTCGAAGCGTTATGCGATCAGTATACACAACGTGCTGCTCTGCATTTTCGACCCAGACAACGAGAGGCAGCGATGTGCCATGCAGACGCTCATCCCACACGAAGTCGCGTCGCAGTCCAATATCCAGACGTACACACGCATCTGCCTGTGGACGTACGTCGATACGAAGGACGATCAAGGGGAACGACATAGCCGCATTGTGGACAATGGAGGCAATGCGGTCATTGGTATGCAGTACACGGGCCAGCACAGGGACACGCAGAGCACGCAACTGCCCGATTTCCAGATCGTCGGCCCAGGAAGTAATGCGGTGCTGGACATCAGCCGACAATGTGGTATATTGCCGCAATGGATGCTCAAAGGGCCATAGACGTCGATCCACAGCTTTCGAGAGCTGAAGGAACGCATCAGCGGATGTAGCATAGCCCTGGTCTAGCGAGTAGTCAAAGAGCGCCTGAAGAATACGACCGGCATTTTTTGCGACATAGCGGCCATCACTGACGAGGGCAAAGTCGTCAATAAAAAGCTGCGAAATGTGTGCCTGAAGCAGAATATTCACCTTGCCCGTCGCTGTACTTGTGCCGCCGCGCACTTCGCAGGGTACACTTTCCAAGAGCGACGTCAGCTCCGCTTCTTCGTTATCGCGCAGCGCAATTTGTGAAAAGTCGTTGGCGCGTGACATCAAATCCAACGCATCGGCCTCACGTAGGCCATTGCGCAATCGCTCGGCAAAGATGGCCATCGTCTTGTAGCTGAGATAGTACCGCGAAGCGATGCGGCCCAAACTAGTCGGCCGGAGTGTATTGGTATCATGATCCAGCACGACCATATTGTGCTCGGCTAGCACTTTGGCCGCATGCAAAATCCAATGACGACGACGAATCGACAAGCTAGGATCCGCCTCGACGTCATGTGCATCCAGCCCATACACCATAGGCGCTTTGCGCAAACGTGTAAATAGATACGTGTACCCCAACCATGAAATGCCATCATCGATACTCGAGACAGAACCCAGCGCGACCTCAGCATTCAAAGCATCAATCAGGCCTTGCAAGAAGGCTGACTCAATAGGGTGTGCGGACGTGATTGCGTCGATATAGTGAGAGAGTTTCTCACTAGAAGTGCAGATGTAACTCACACCCACATCTTCAAACTGTGGACGACCTGCACGACCGAAGATCTGCAGTACATCCAAAATACCTAGATCCACCATTTTACCCTGCTCGGCGTCGTACACGTCGGTGCCTTTGATGACTACAGCGTAGGCGGGCAAGTTGACACCCCATGCCAGCGTGGCCGTACAGTACAGGACCTTGGTCGCACCGGACGCAAACAGACGCTCACTCAAGTCACGATCACTGCGGAGCATACCAGCATGATGAATACCGATGCCATGAGCATACAATTCACGCAGTTCACGATTCCGACTCGCCGTGACTTCGCGCTCAAAGCGATTGACGTCGCGACCATCAGTCAGGAGACTAGAAATATCATCCTCCTGCCCAAGCTCAAGAAGCGACTTGGCCGATTTCACTGTGTCTTTGCGCGTATGCACAAACACCATCACCGGATGTCCATCGCGAACGAGATCCAAGACCTTTTCATAGGTCACACGGTCTAAGTGCGTGCGTGCCAAAGCGGATCCATGCTTGCCACGTACACCAAGGAAGTGCTGCTCGAGAGGCACAGGACGGAAAGCTGCGCCAAAGTAAAAAAGGCCGCGATACCGATTGACGCCTAGGAAATCTGCCACGTCGACAAAGTTCGGCAAGGTAGCGGAAAGCCCGACAATCCGGATCATGGACTGCGTCGATTCGACCAGGCGCTGTGTACGTGCAACGATCGTCTCAATCACAGCACCACGATCTTCATGCAAAAGGTGGACTTCGTCGATGATGAGCAAACGCACAGTCAGGGCCAGGTCACCGTCACCAGACGGTTTCCGTGTAACGACATCCCACTTCTCCGGTGTTGTGACAATCATTTGTGTCTCAGCAATCTCTTTTCGAGAAAGTTGCATATCACCTGTAAGTTCGCGCACTTTCAGGCCAAGGAACGCGAGACGTTTGGAAAACTTGCTCACGACCTCTGACACCAGCGCCTTCATGGGCGCCACATACACAATTTTAAACGCATTGCGGTCCACATGAATTGCACTCTCAGAAATACGCGCAAACCGGCCAATGCACTGTAAGACAGAGAGCATGGCGACATCCGTTTTACCAGCACCAGTGGGCGCACACACCAGTAAGTTCTCATTCGTTTTGTAGGCCATGGGGTATACAGCGCTTTGTAGTCGGTTCAGCGTTTGGTAGTTCTTGAAAGCACCACGACAGAGTGGGTCCATCTCCTCTAGTGTAATCAGGCGTTCATGACTTCGGAATGGCAGCGGCTTGCTGCGTGGTATGATGACTTCCTCAAAGTACGACTCATGGATACGCTGCGTACCCACAGGCAGCGAGAACTTAGTGCCAAAAGCGCTTAAAACACTACCATGTTCACCACTGCTGTACACATTGGGGTATACTTCGCCTTCTGCCGATGCAGGCGCCAACTGCAATGGCTCCTTGGCACTACCTACGCCCTGTGCACGCTGGACCATACGCTTATGAATATGTGCGGCCGTGGCAGAAGGCTTGGCAAGGAGAGCTGCCACTAGATCAAGCTGATCAAAGCCTAGCAAGTCGGCCAGCTCCGCTGACGCCATGTCGACATCCAATGGCGTTTGATCAGTGTGCAACGTGCGATACACAGATTCAAGAATGCGATCTCTATCGCTGCTGTCAGGATAGGCCATATCCACATGCCGAAACAGTGCGCTGGCTGCCCCGCTACTTTGCGAAGTCTGCACATCTGTGGCGTTGGCCAGCAAGCTCAACTCTGACCAGATATGTGATGATATTCTCTTGACGGGGACAGCGGAGGTGCTAGCCCCGCGGACGAGGGTAGGCAAGTTCCCTTCTATCGGTGGTAAAGCACCTGTAGTGCCATCCACAAGCGACAATACATGCCGTCGCACATCGTCCATCGCGGCAGTTGTCGTCCGTCGATCGGCCGTGCGCGTTGCAGAAAACGAAGACGAGGAAGGTCTCGTGGCAGGCCAAGTCGCATGGGAATTAATCTGGCCTGGGACTTTTCTCGCCCGCCCAACCAGACATTCTTCTTTTCCAACCACAAACAAAGTACGTATTTCGCCTGACAGCCTATGGCCTATCCAAAGATGATTCCTACCTTTTAAATATTCAATCTGTCAATCCACTGAAGGTACCTCCTTCTGATAGATACAAGGATCGCTGAACGGATAGAGCTGGCTTTTGGTTGTGAAGAGCCGTACTAACCTTTCAGGTATGTATGCGGAACGACCAGTGTAGCGAAGATGAGCTCCTTTCATGTGCTTATAGAATCGTGACTCCACCGAAAGGTGCTGGACGGACTTGAAATATGCGTTATTGTCCTGAGCTACATGCATCGTTGATGGGTTGGCAGTGCTAACAAACAGATGTCGGAGCATGCCGTAGAAAAAGATGCGGCTGTCTTCCATTTACCCGGGCATCCACTCCCGGCTCTTATTTCGCTAGAAAGTACAGATGGCAAGCCTGTGGACCTTTTCATGTTGTCACTTACACGCCCGGTTTTGCTGAGCACCTTTGGCTTGCCTACGTCTATGCAACCGACAGGTCGTCAGGTAGATCTGGAGGCAGCAGGAGACCATGAAGGTGCTATCCAACTGCTTTCCATCAAGGACCATTTACCGCAATTGCGGGAACGCATGCCTGATCTGGTTGTATATGGCCTGAGCACACATAATACCACGTGTCTGTCACAGGTGCGCGACAGGCTACAACTGCCATTTGAGTGCTTAAGTGATGCACGGTGTGAGTTGATGGACAAGCTAGAGCTGCCCTACATGCATGACGATGAGCACCGTCTGTTGCGAAGGTGCACCATGCTATTGAAGGAAGGTCAGGTCACGCGTCTCGATTTTCCTATTTCGCAACCCTCAGAAGCTGGGCCGCGTGCGATTGAATTGCTACGGCGCGATACGGGCCGTCCGTAAAGTTCTCAGATGTACGTAAATGCTTCTTCTATATACCCAAATACAATTCAGCCTCCCTTAGTTGGCCTTGGCCTTGTTGAGTTCAGCCTTGTACGAAAGATCTTCCTCGGTGTTCTGCTTCTCATGCAGGCGGCGGATGTGCTCGAACTTGTCGTGGTGCAGCTTCTTGAGCATCTCACGAGCCTTGGTACCGGCAAAGTCGTTGCCAAGCACTTTACGACGGGAGGCAAGGAGGCGCGTGTACAGCATGAACAGACCCGGAATGTACACCGGAAGCAGGGCAAGGAAGAACAGGTCACGGTTCGACCAGTTCGACGCGTCGACCCAGGGCCACGCGACATTCTTCGGCAGCGAGGCCCAGATGAGCTGCATCTCACCGAGCACACCCATCGGGTAGAGAACCACGAAGAACGAGTATCGGGCCCACATCGACATGTACGAAGGGGTCTCCAGAATCTGGTTGACATAGAAGGGGTAACGAGCCACCTCGCTCAGCGACCACGCAAGGATCATCACCGTGTAGAATGGCGAGTGCGCCGCAGCATCGTACTTCTCCACGACGAACCATGCAATGATGATGCGCGAGGCCACCTGGATCATGGTCACAAGCGCACTCGACTTCACCCAGCCCAGGAGGGCGTGCACGACCTCAAGGAGAGCCAGAGACTGCGTCACGGTAAGGAGGGGGCCCAAGTAGTCGTACATGGTCGAGGCACGGTACAGCACTTCCCGGAACATGGAGGGGTATCCAGCATAGCTTGGGATCGACGATGTAACCTTGGTATGGAAAAACTTGCTGCATAAATCGGACATCCACTGGTACGTCACGGTGCGGGCGTCATCGCCACGCACCATGTACAACACGATGCCACACAGCACACGAAGCCAGAACATGAACGACACGAGGTTGTACACAATAAGGTACGCGTTCACGGCCGAGCTGTTCTGTTTCTTTGACACGTTCTTCACACTAGCTGTGCGTCCAGACATGGTATGTAAGGGAAGAGTTGGATGCCTTGGCGGGGCCGTTTTTACCACGTCGGCGCCTACGTACACCTCCACATAACCACCTGTGAAAGTCGGTTGGGGCGAGAGGGTGTGAAAGTCGAAGGGGCCGGGGTAAGGCACCGGACATGCGACGCGGATGGGCCGCCGCCGCAGGCACAGACCACATGCGCATTCGTGCAGCGCAGATCCTTGGTGTAGCTTTGGGCGTGACGCTATGTGGGCAGGTCCTCCTATGCCCGTATACTAAGGTCGAAGAGAGCTTTACTATACAGGCCGTCCATGACATCTTGACGTACGGCGTGACACGCGATGTCATTCCTATGGTAGGTGCGCACAATTTCTGACCACAGTACGATCATATCACGTTCTCAGGCGCTGTACCACGTTCATTTTTAGGGCCTCTTTTGCTTGCAGGGGCAGCGGCGCCTTTTGTATGGGTGGCCCAACAGCTAGGCGCTTCGTCTGCCCAAATTCAAACGCTTGTCCGCCTTATCTTGGCCGTTGGGGCATGGATATCGCTTTGGTTCTTCGCTCGATGCCTGTTTCCACGAAGCAGTTTGCACCGTGCTGCGATGTACGCTGTAACTCTATCTCCATTTCACCTGCCGTTCTGGGCTAGCCGTACAACGCCAAACGGTGTTGCTTTTCCCTTAGTGACAGCCTCGCTCGGCGCTGTGATTCACGCACGCTCAGGTAGGTGGCTGGGCCTAGCAACGTTGGCGTGTGTGACTATGGTACTGCGTCTAGAGCTGCTTGGCATGACGATCCCATGCTTCCTTTGGACATGGCTGTACCAACGCCAGTCTTTCCAGCGCCTATTTGTACTGGGCTTCGTAAGTTGTGGGGCGGCTATAGGTGCCAGCATCGTTATCGACTCGTACTTCTGGCAAACCTCCTGGCTCTGGCCTGAGCTGCATGCGATCCTGTTCAATGTCGTGGAAGGCAAAAGTGCGGAATGGGGCACATCACCTTGGCATGCATATGTGACCCGTGAACTTCCTCGGCTTCTAGCCTTCTCGTTGCCATTGGTGCTAGTGGGCAATTTCACGCCATCAACACTCCGAGGGCCGGTGTATGCCCTGGCCCTCCCGCCTATAACCCTTCTGAGTCTACTTCCCCACAAAGAATGGCGCTTTATCCTTTATACGGTGCCATTATGGAACGCCCTAGGAGCCGTCGGCATGCTACGACTAGGCCGATCCTGGTGGGGCAAGCTCCTGTGTCTCGCGCTACTGCTTGGCAACGTATGTTGGACGGGCCTTGGCACGTGGATGAGTATGGGGAATTATCCTGGCGGTGTGGCTCTAGCGGCCTTGCATGCCCATAAGGGTGATCAGGCTGTGCACGTCCACATTGACACGCTGGCTGCTATGACAGGTGTGAGTTTGTTCCAAAGTACACATGTGGCCCGTCCCCGTTCCTCGCTGGTGCCGCACTTGCCCCCACCATGGGTGTACAACAAGACAGAGGCATATGACGGGCCATGGTGTGCCTTTACACACCGCGTGAGTGAATACCCTTGCAACGCCACAGAGACACGCACACTAGTGCCACCTATCCAGGCGCTGACCGGTCGTCAAGTTGTTCGTCCAGCCGTGTATGCAGGCCGCCTGTACGCTATGCTACGAGGTACGCAGCCACGCTCTCTTCGTGCTTTCCTCCCGATCGAAGTTCATCAGCAACCTGCTCTATGGGTATGTGAAACGCTCGCGCCGTGCTAGCTACGCTAGTCAAAGAGAAGGCGAAGGTTTTCCATGGTATCCGATGTGCCATCGCGTGGCGTACTGGCCAGTGCATGATGCACCAGCTCGTTTTTATGGCGCTGAATGGCCAAGATGCGATCTTCAATCGTCTGCTCCACTAGCAAGCGATGCACGGTGACAGTGCGTGTCTGCCCCAAGCGGTGGATTCGGTCGATGGCTTGGTCCTCGCTGTTGTTAGTGGTAGGATACGTACATGCTGCTATTCCACCAACAATCCATAAGCCATACATGGTTGGCAGCCGTTACTGTGGTCAGAAACAGCGTGTGTACTCACAATTCAGGCCCACGCCGCCAGCACGCAATGAAATGAGCAGAAACAGGGGCGCAGGTTCAGAAGCAAACTGGGAAAGCACACGCTTCCGTTCTTTTTGCGACGTACGTCCATCCAGGCGCACGCAAGAGTAGCCTTGCTGCTGCATATGTGTCTGGATAAGGTCCAAGAACCTAGTGAACTGGGAGAAAATCACACCCTTGCAATCAGGCTCTGCGTGAGTGATCGTGGCCAGCTGGGCCATGAGCGCGTCCAGCTTCGTGCTACTCCGGATAGGCGCCGTAGGTGGTGCTACGTCTTTGGCTGGTCGCACACTTTCCACCAAGTCTTCCACCTGCACAGGTCCACGACGACACACTGGGCAATGGGGCACTTCGCCACGATCTTCACAGGACTGCAAGTACTGGACAAGGCACTCGCGGCAGCCATGATGCATACATAGGGGAAGGAAGCACTTTGATGGTTTCAGCTCCATGCAAAAGGGGCATTCTTCTTCCTCACTTGTGTCGGACGATAGCAATGTATCCAGCACATCGCGGGCATATGCGTCTTCACTCTGGTCGCCAGCCTCGAAGCGGCGTACTAGTTCGCGTAGCTGGTCTTCGTAACTGCGCTCTTCAGGCGCAGAACTCTCGTTGGCGCCTTTCTGTAGCACAAGGTATGGGTGGCAAACAGCCTGTCGAAGCCGCATAAGAACAGCAAAGATCAAGCTAAAATGCTTGCCCACCAAGCCCTGTCGTACCAAATCTCGGTACTGCGTCCGTGCTCGCTCGTACACATTGTTGTAAATGTCTCGCTCTGCTTGGGAGAACGTCAAATGCTGCGTATCAATGATCTTCGGCGGTAGCTCCACAATCAGTCGGCCATCACGGTCCTTGCTGTGTTTTTCGCGCCGAAGCAGAATGCTGGACAAGATCGCTTGTACAATATCCAAGGCTTTCTCGTTCTGGCTGGCAAAGGGCTTGGCCAGAAAACTGTTGAAAAAGCTCACGTCACCCCATGGCTCCACACGGAGGAAACGAAGCAGGCTGTACAGATCCGTCAGCCGATTCTGAATCGGTGTGCCTGTCAAGGCCCACCGACGATCCGCATCGAGTTGATACGCAGCCCGTGCAGCGAGAGTACTGCGGTTTTTGATCGTATGCGCCTCGTCCAGAATGACGCGATGCCATGACTCGGCAAAGAGGGGCGATGGCCCCTTCTTTTCGAGCTGCTTGTAATCACTAGTGAGCGTACCATACGATGTAATCACGACGTCCGCTTGCGATTGGGCGAGTTGCGATGCAAGCTGGTCACGTACGTCGCCATAATATACCACCACGTTGAGCGACCCTGGTGCACTCGCCCGCTGGAGCTCCGTCCTCCACTGGCTCAACAAGCTCATTGGGGCTACTACCAGTGTCGCTTTGGACGGTCCCTGGCGTTTGGCTGCCTTGGTAAACGAGAGAGGCGTTTGTTGCATGCGAGTACGAGCAGGCCGAGATCGGGTCGTGTCGGCCATCCGGTTGGCATGAATCAGACTCGCCAGCATGATCGTTTTGCCTAGACCCATTTCATCGGCTAGAATACCGCCCCGAGCTCCACGACTCATAGGCTGGAAATCCAGCGAGAGGTCTCCGATGTAGGGGTTCATGTAGAACGTGCCGAACCCCGCGTCTTCATCGTCTGCCAGGGGAAATTGGTACTCTTCCCACAAAGGATGCAAGGTCTGCTCACGACTGGGCCCTTCTGCCGCCTCCATAGTCTGCATCCAGCCAAGAGCTTGCTTTTGGTAAGGTCGTAACGTGAGGGCAAACGTGGAGGGCGGCTCCGCGAACGGGAGAGAGGCATCGTCCTGCTGTGCCTTGGCATAGATATCGTGAAGACATGTATCTGAGACTTCTGTGCCATCATCCTCATCATCCCGCTTGACCCTAGTAAGCTTGTGATGAGGTGTATGTGTGGCTTTCTTCGAAGGCACTAAATGGCATGTCCGAAAGAGACGCTGCAAGGAGACTTTCCGATGGCGAAGGTGGCGCTCCTGCTCACTTTCCTCCGACTCAAGCATCGGTTTCTCTGCCATCTGTGTAGTCAGGTGGCAGGATCGTGTAAGGCTCGACTCAAACGTGCTCCGACATAGATAGGCCTGCGTAAGCTTGCCAAGGACGTACCTTGATTTCAAGTAGAATATCACTGCCGACCTCCAAAGAAGAAGGGCAATCAACAACGATGCCATCGAACTCGGCGAGCTTGGCATCCAAAAGGCACGACATCCATCCAGCTACATCGATAGGGATACGCCCCACTTCAAAACCTAGTAGAGTAAGGGAAGCGTGTGAACGTACCTCTTGTATTGCTGAATCGTACCACATAGTCAGCACGATCCTGCTTCTTCCCACCACGCCCACGCGTACCTTTGGGCTTGGCGGTCGCTTTGGCTTTCCGCTGGATAAGGACTCGATCGCCGGCATGAATGTAGTCAGATCCTTTGGTCATCGAGTAGCCACATAGAACAAACGTGCCGAGATACCGTCGACGCCACGATTCTTCTGCGGGATGGTCGGAGCGAGGACGTTTCTTAGCAACAAGGTCGGTAGACCCTGCATCACCTTCAAGAAAAAAGAGGGGTGCACTGGTGTCGTCTGCCTCCAACGACACCATAGCCAAGACCAAAGAACCGCGTCGCGTCACGCGTCACGAGACATTCGCGAAAATATGGAGACCTCCACACTACATAAGGCTGCTATAGTACATCGTCGTCGTCCATGTCGCCATCGCCTAGGCCATAGTCCGCGCTGCTCACTTCGCTAGCCCAGTCGTCGTCATGTTCGACTTCATCCTCCCATTCCTCAGTGTCTACTTCGTCCACATCAAGACCAGATCGACCTTGCCTGTGTACGACACTCTCCGATTGCCCTGTCGTGCTTGCCTCGTCACGGGTTAGCAAGGCTTGAGCGACTTGGTCTGATTTGGTACGGTGGACATAGCTAGCGCGTGAGCCATGTCGGATAGGGGATTGTAAAGAGAGTGTTTCGATTTGCGTGAGATGATCACGACCTTCCAAGACGTCCTTCTCTAGCACAGGGGCGGTGTCTGCCACGTCAGTCGTAGGTAGAACCAGCACGTCGTCGTCGTTGTCATCGTCGTGATGAAACCTAGACGCGTCGCGGGCTGAGCCATATCGCATATAAGGAAGCACAGAGATCTGGACCTGATCTTCATCGTCCACCTGAATCGAGGTAGGATCTGGTTGTACCTTGTGCAAAGCCGGAACCTCAGCCGTAGGATCGGCCCCCACACTAGCTTGAGTAGGCGACGATGGGAAAGGCTCTTCTGTCATCAAAGATGGTTCATCACTGTGAAACAATGGCTTAAAGCCTCGCTGCCGGTTCGACTTCTGCGGTGAAGGACCCAACACGTCAGCTTCCAGCGCCTGCTGCGAGCCGGAGAAAATACGAGAAAAGGAACGACGAGAATCATCAGGTTGGGATGCCCTTGGGCTCTGTGCCAGCAATAAAGCTTGACGTGGGTTGGATGAGGAGCGAGCCATTTTAGAGTGCGGCGGCGTTTTCACATCTTCTCCACGGAGCCTTTTGCGCGCTTTCGTGCGCGGTGTGTACAACGTGAAATCCGTTACCACCTTCGTAGGCGTGGGCGAAGGCTGACTAGCGTGAGGTTGAGGATTCGGTGGGGCTTCATCCACGTCACTTACGTCTGACTCATCCGCCTCGTTCTCTACGGCCCGCAGCGCCGATAAGGTATTCGTAGCCTCCAAGCTGCGTAGAGGAAATGTGGGAGCTTGGGTATACGACTTGGCCGGCTTTTGAGGCGAGCGAAAGGGGTTGCCGGGACTGTGCGATGGTGCAGATAAGGACTGTGGTTTCTTCTTTCTGGGCGTTCTGGGAGCTTCCTGTGGCTCAGCGCCTGATCTTTTTGAACGACTGGATGACGCTGACACGCCTGAAAGGGCCAACCACGTGTCGTACGTCGAGGCCATGTCAGGGTCGCGTCGCATATCAGATTTGGTGGGATCGCGTCCATGCTAAGAGTATAAGAGAATGATAGCACGTACCTGTTCTCGGAAACTGCGCTGCCATTGCTTGAGCTGCTTGCGCAAGATGGCTTCCATCGCCAGAGCTGGCTGGCAACGTCGACGCGTGAGCGAACGCAGAGGTGGAGTTGCCACGTGCTATAGAGCCTACCGAAGTGTTTGTGATAACGTCATGAGGGACCTCTGCGCTGTGGAAGACGACGAGGAAGATGAAGTGGACTCTAGGGCCTTGTGTGAATTTTGTTTCATGATACGTTGGAGCTGCGCTACAGCCCGTTCGTAACCGACACGTTCCACCTGTCGCCTAAATGCCTCCGTTTTCATGCCTTGTTGCACGAGACGCTCAGTAAACAGGGGCGCTTCCATAGATTTGCTGTGTCGTAGAGAAAAAGCACTCGGTCCAGGGGGACCGAAGATTTTTATGCATCGAATATGTGTATCTTTTCCGTTGAGATGATTGCCCAGAATGCATATTTGTAATACAAAGATGTCAATGGGGTGAAGAGCTTGGGTCGCCTGAGCTGACCCAGGCGAGGCTTCAAATTCCTCCGCCTCCATATCCGCTTGCGGCGCTAACACAAAATGAAACCACCCTTGTGGTTCAAGGAATTCGCGGTAGCGAACGTCAACCAAATCATAGGGATGGGAACCGGCTTTGACTAGAATTTTTGTCGGGGTATAGGAATCATCACGATGACAGTCCAAATAGATAGATACATGCTAAATGTGAGATGGACTTGACGTACAGTAACGGGTGTTCGCCGGGGGAAATGAATATTGACCATATGAGGTTGTGATCCATCGCTCCTGTTGCTGTGAGTAGGGGGTAATACATACTGCCAGAGTGTATCGAGGTCTTCTGACATTAGCTGCATAACTCCATGTCCAGTTTTTGCCGAGCTAAGGGACCAGGAGGTGCCCTCAATACTTCCCACATCTGATTTGGTCGTCAAATCTGCCTGTCAGCGAAGTTGGTCTTGCTAGCTACCTTGGACATCCAACATGTCGCATAAACGCGACATGGTAGAGAAGTGGAGGGGCGTACAACGGCCCAGGCGAATTAAAACACAACGCCGAAGAGCGCCCCCACGCTGCCCTGTGCTTTTGCTCTCTTCGCTGGAGGAGGGACGCGTGTGACACAATGGAATGCACACACCCGATCCAGGTGGCTGGGCTCTGTGCTATATGTGGTAAAGAGATTGATGAGTACGTACTTGGCTGATAATGTCAGAACTCACCAGAAAAGGGGGTCGTTTGACCAGCCTACATTCGCTACACTGCACTCCTCGGCAAGTGTGAAAGTGTCTCGGGACGAAGCAATCCGAATGGATTCCGAGGAAACGCAAAGACTTATTGAGCAAAGAAAGCTTGCGCTTATTGTGGACTTGGACCAAACTATCATTCATGTAACAGTTGACCCGACAGTCAAAGAGTGGGCGCATGACATCAATAACCCGAATTGGCCAGCCCTGAAAGATATTGTAGCCTTCCAACTAGGTGCCGATGGGAAAACTGTATCGCATCAGCCGGAACACATTGATGAGGAGCATGTGAAGAATTTTGCGACTGACGGTGATGAAAATGGATGCTGGTACTATGTGAAACTTCGACCTGGTCTTACATCATTCCTGGCCACATTGGCAGAGAAATACGAGCTGCATGTTTATACTATGGGTACAAGATCCTATGCTGACTGCATCTGCCGCATTGTAGATCCAGAAGGCCACCTCTTTGGAGCAAGGATCCTCTCGCGTGATGAAAACGGCAGTGATGTCCAAAAAAGTCTGTCGCGGCTTTTCCCCATTAGTACCGATATGGTTGTAATTATTGATGATCGCGCAGATGTATGGTCCTGGAGCCCCAACCTTATCAAAGTAGAGCCGTGTATGTGCTTTTTTGTACTCACCAGCAGATGAATTCTTTGTGGGCATTGGTGACATAAATGCATCACACCTGGGACCAACTAAGCCATTAGTGCCGCTCACGGGTGTACCGACACATCCAACAACTGTGCCCAGCATCACAGACGAACAGCAACAAAAGTCGATTCAGGAACAGAGAGATGCACGGCCTCTCAAGCGCATTCAAGAAGAAAAGCTCGAGCAACAAGCGAAGGAAAAAGAAGAGATGGAGAAGGAGGAGAAGCAGCTTGATGTTGAGCTACTTCACGATGACCTGGTGCTCAAAAATGACGATACGGAGCTAGAACTGATTGAATCTGTACGTTCAACATCACTAACAAAAAAGATTCTTCTAGAATTGCATGCACAATGGTACGAGGGATTTGATACGGAGAAGACAAAATATGCTCAAGCTGAGTTTGTTACATCAAGGCCTGATGTAAAGGTACGTGGTATCCTTCTCACGAAAGAATGTGCTTCGTCGAATGAAGAAAGAGGTGCTGAAAGGCTGTGGCCTTGTATTTTCAGGGCTGATTCCCTTGGGCCAAGAACCAGAAACGTACGTTGCTACGCTACACTAATTATAGTGCTGCTATTTGGACCATGGCGGAAGATTTTGGCGCCAAATGCTACCAAAATCTGGAGAAGGACGTAACACACGTCGTGACAGCCAATGTACGTGGGATGACCACTAACAAAAGCCACATACGCTCAAGGCCGAGGAAGCGTACAGACGCGGGAATATTCATGTGGTATGGCCCTCTTGGCTCAACGACTCCATCTGCCGGTGGATGAAGCAGGGAGAAGCGACCTATATCATCCCACGAAATACCAAGCTGTCGTTGCTTCCAGTGGAGGTGCAGAATATTTCCGAGAGCACATACTCGGAGGCAGACCCTGACGCAAGTGCAGCGATGGCCAATTTGGCGAATATGGACTGGGGAGAGGCCGAAGATGAAGTGGATGCATTCCTCGATGAAGAGGAGGAGGATGCCGAAAGTGAATACGATTCACAGGCTTCTTCAATATTGGGTTCAGAGTAAGTACCCTGGAGACCTAACATGATAGTGTGGACCAAGCTCAGTCGGAGGTGGACAAAGAGTTACTTTTGACTCCTCTAAGTAAACGACGACGTCTAGCAGCATTGCGTGGCGGACCATCGAAGCTGCGACAGAGTTTCCTAGCAGAGGATGCTACAAACGAGCCAGATGAGGGCGCAGAGGCATCATCCAGTCCTGAGTCTTCACCCAAACGGCGCCGCGTAGAGCCGAAAGAGACAAATCGGCCTGCCAAGCCGAAAGAAGTGGAAACATTGCAGGAAGCTTCAACGCAACCAGCCTCAACAGAGAGCGAAGACGAGCACTTCCTTGATGACCTGGCGCTGGAGATGGAACGCGAACTAGGCGAAGGTGGATCCAGTCCCAAGTAGAATGTAATCTGTACTATGAAGAACGCGAGGCCCCGCGTTTGCTCTTAGATCCGCGCGAGGAGGGTCGGTCGGAGGCAAGTGCACTGTCGCCCGACTCTGACATGAGCTTATCGAACACCGCCGTCAAATGACTGAGATCAGCATCCCGTGCTTGAGCAACATGATCCAAAGCATCAAGGCGCGGTGCGACCTGCTCCTCTAAGGGCGTGGAAATATCTGTCATCTTCTCGTCGGTACCAAGTGTGGAAGAGACGGGCCGCTTTGGAAGAATTGTGTCCGTGTAAGCATCCAGCATACTTGACATCGGGGGCAGCAAATGCGGTGGCGTAGCAAAGAGATCCATAACAGCCGTCAGAGGTACGTCCCCCATAACTTTGTGCAGTCGAGATGCATCAGCTTCAAGTGCCTGTGCGACGCGTTCCTTCTCCGCCTCACCTACGCCGAACAACTCATCAAAGAGAGTAGCACGGGCATCAGCCATAGCGACACTATGCAAGGAGGATGCTTGCGATGGCGGTCGAGACGCAGCCTTGCCAATCCCTACCAAGGCGCCATTTCTGCGCAGACTCAGCAAGCATAAGGCATCAGGCTGAGTTGACGTAGACGCATTGATGAGCGTTTGCTGCAATTTGACAGGCACTGTCCAGGTGCATTCCACTTTGTGTTCCGAGGGGCGGATATATTGAAGGGCCGAACTATTGTTCTCGTCCCAGCACAGCGTAAGGAAGCCATCGCCATAGCCTGTCATCGCATGCACATCCGTAGCGACCCATACAATAGACTGAGATACCAAGTCCCACGCCACGAGCCGCGAGGCGCCACCCAGAGCTACGAGGTATCGGCCCTTGCGCCCAACAAAGTCGCAAGAGTGCACATGTTTCAGCTCCGGGGTAGCAAGTCGCGCTTGCATGACAAGAGTCTGTGGATCCCACAATGTCACAAACATACCCTGTGCAACAGCAAAGAGCGATCCATCAGGGGCCCATGCCACATGACTAGGTACAGTGTCTCGGTACGCAAAGGAGGAGCGACATACCCAGAACAGTTCTGTACGCGAGCCCTTCAATGTCCGTGTGCCCATCCGCCAAGTCTTCACTTGACCGTCGCCGCCCGCCGTCACGAGCATGAACGATTCTAGATGGTTGTCCGACAAATACGGCGAAAAGGCCATGCTAGTAACCCCCTTATCATGCGGATGGTCAATTCGCGTGTTTAGGATATAGCCATTCGTGCGAGCATCCCACTGCCAAAACTTGAGGGAAAGCTCTGTCGTGTACACACCACCATCACGTCCATCTACGGTGGCCATCCATTCCGCATGCATGGCATGGCGTGTAGGTCCAGAAAAGGCAACCAACTGTACACTGGGCGGTGTCAAGACCTGCTCATCTGGGCGCGAAACCCGATTGGATGGGACAATCTCCATGTCACGAACGTGGCAGCGTGTTGCAACATCAATGAACTGCAACGTGGATGGGTGACCGGAAAGCAGCACAAGATGACCAGCAGCACGATCCAGCGCTACGGGCTTAGCCTTGTGCTTTTGCGACTCTGCGCCATGTAGAACTTGTGTCGCATCACACTTGATAGTGGAGAAAGTACGTGTTGGCTTTAGACTGAGACTAGCCACAAAAACTGCACTCCCATCAGCAAGTCGAGCAACGTATTCTTGCTCCGTACTTTCGTAGCCAGAAGCAATACCGAGGGCCACAATAGGAGCGCCAAGACGTGGTACAAACTCCCGTGCATCATTACCAGCGGCATTACCGTTGTTTAATTTCCACAGGACCAGCACACCCTCTTCACCACCTGATAACAGTTGCGAACCATCGGGAGTGTACTGTAGAGCAGCCACTGCATGAGCGTGCCAATGCAACGTTGTCGTTAATGCCATAGGTTGCCACTGCTGATCGGTATTGGACGGGGCAGTAGAGGCCGCCATGTCTTGCTCCAAACAATGCCATATTTTGATTTTGCCATTAGCCTCACCTGTTGCAAAACGCGATACATTTTTATCAGGATGAAAAGCAAGAGCAGTGATACGTGTTTCTGTGGCATATTTGGTAAAACCATCACCTGTGTCATTCAAATCCAGTACATGTACTTTGGCCTGGCTTGTCGCGACCAGCCAGCGGCCATCCGGCGATACGCCGATATGAGTGACGGGTCTGGTCTTCCCCAGTCGCACAAGCTTAACAGCCTTGTGAATGCGTGGGGAGCTTCGGCCTAGTTGCACAGAATACATTGTACTGGATGCTTCTTTGCTCTTGTCCTCTGAAGGACCCGCATGCGTACCGCGCTTGCATACAGCCACAAAGATCCGGTTTTTCCAGTTCGTGCTAGCGGTCATTCCAACAATGGCATGGCCGACGTGTACATTATCGTGCAGCTCGGAATCCAGGTAGTCCCATGTCTTGATCGTTCCATCTAGGGAACATGTGATGAGCTGCAACGGATTTGATGTGCTTAGCATCATTCCAGTTATAGGAGCAGTATGTCTCTTCTCCTCTGCATCAGAGTCACTTGAGAGCATCGACACCACCCGGTTTGTAAGACGTGATACAATCAATACGGAAGTGTCTTGAACGAGAAAAACGTAACTGCCATCCTTGGTGAAAACGGGGGAAATGGACGAGACAGAGTCCCCTTGCAATGTAACCCAAGGTACACTCATTGAGATTGTCTTTGATGTTTTGCGTGGCTGTATAGCAGGCCCTGCTTTCGACTCCTTATTTTTGGCAGGCATCTAAAAAAGCTCAAGGCGCATTGATGCCGTAGTGGACAGGCTTGGTCAGGGCGTGGAAGAAAAAAAGTTGTTACCCCTCGGCCGATGCATGTCTCCACTCGGTACACCTTACTCCCCCTCCACACAGTCGCGAAGTGACAAGACAGTTCGATCTATGATACTATCACAAGGAACGACTCTCATGAGTGAGTGGTTAAAAGTGTGCAGAAGTAGAAAAAAGACGGCATAAGGGACTAATACATGGTACCAAAGTCATCACCAAATGAATCGTATCCCCCGTCGCCTAAGTCATATCCACTGTCAGGATAGGACAGACCACCTTCGCAATCTGGGGCGTACCCTGTTTGGGAATCAGAAGCTCCCTCATCAAGGAATCCATCGTCGGGGGAGTATTCAGGCTCTCCCCATTCAGGAGAGCCTGAATCCGGCTGAAATTCAGGCTCTTCACAGTCGGGGCCCTCCTCATAAATGGGCTGCTCACCCGACTGCTCACATTCAGGGCACTCAGGGGACTCGAACGGCTCGGGCTCTTCACAATCAGGGCCTTCTTCATATACTGGCTGTTCAGGCTGCTCAGATCCCTCACAATCAGGACCCTCCTCGTAAGTGGGCTGTTCGGCTGGGGCTTCACATTCAGGGCAGTCTGGGTACGCTGGCTGATCTTGAGATCCTTCGCAATCAGGGCCTTCTTCATATGCCGGTTGTTCAGGCTGCTCGTAATCAGGGCTCCAGGTAGGCCATGTGCTACCAGAATCATCGCATCCTTGATCACTACCGGTATCGGGCCACCAAGGCGAACCATTGCCATTGCCGTTGGAGTCACTGGGGCTTACACCACCATTACTTGGACTCCATGGTATATTACCGCCAGATCCTCCACCGCTAGGGATCCAAGGAATACCTCCTCCTTGGGTTTGAGGACTGCCTTTTGGACCGTTATTATTGGGGACTTGAGGCGGGAATGTCAAGCTAGGATAGGGTGTTGGCGAAGAAGTGGTTGTTGTTTTTGATGTTGGTTTAGTTGAAGTGGACGTCGACGTGTTGGAAGAGGAAGTATGCTTTGGCCGACTTGTGCTTGTCTGCAGGGATGTACTGGTTGTATTTGATCCTGAATTCCCACCAAAGCCTGGCGAACCTGGCGAACCCGGAGAACCTGGCGAACCTGGAGAGCCTGGCGAACCTGGAGAGCCTGAAGAGCCTGGAGAACCTGGCGAGCCTGGAGAGCCTGGCGAGCCTGGCGAACCCGGAGAACCTGGCGAACCTGGAGAGCCTGGAGAGCCTGGCGAACCGTTGCCACTGGGACCCTTGGTACCATTGCCACCATTGCCACCATTGCCGCCGCTACCACCGCTGCCAGCGTTGCCTCCATTGCCTCCGTTTCCACCATTTCCTCCGTTGCCGCCATTTCCGCCTTTGCCTCCATTTCCACCGTTACCAGCGTTACCTCCATTACCGCCATTGCCGCCATTGCCGCCATGGCCCTTCTTGCCATCTCCTCCGTTGCCTCCATTGCCGCCGTTGCCGCCATTTCCCCCGTTACCAGCGTTACCTCCATTGCCGCCGTTTCCACCATTTCCTCCGTTGCCGCCATTTCCGCCTTTGCCTCCATTTCCACCGCTGCCAGCGCTACCTCCATTGCCGCCATTGCCGCCGTTGCCGCCATGGCCCTTCTTGCCATCGCCTCCGTTGCCGCCATTTCCACCGTTACCAGCGTTACCTCCATTGCCGCCATTGCCGCCATTGCCGCCATGGCCCTTCTTGCCGTTGCCGCCATCTCCACCGTTGCCTCCATTACCTCCATTACCGCCGTTGCCGCCGTTGCCGCCGTTGCCTCCATTTCCACCGTTACCAGCGTTACCTCCATTGCCGCCATTGCCGCCATGGCCCTTCTTGCCATCTCCTCCGTTGCCTCCATTGCCGCCGTTGCCGCCATTTCCCCCGTTACCAGCGTTACCTCCATTACCGCCATTGCCGCCGTTGCCGCCATGGCCCTTCTTGCCATCTCCTCCGTTGCCTCCATTGCCGCCGTTGCCCCCGTTGCCAGCGCTACCTCCATTACCGCCATTGCCGCCATTACCTCCGTTGCCTCCATTACCACCATGTCCGTCATTACCTTCCTTGTCATCGCTTTCATCAGGCTCTTCGCATTTTTCCTGGAGGGCATCAGGGTTAAATTCATCATTATTTCTGCGAATCGGTGCTTCCCTTGCAAGGAGATGCGTTTCACCTCTTGTACTTATATCAGTGATATCTCTGACTAGAATTGATTTCTCATCTTTGCCTGGAGAGTCAATTGGCAATGCTGTTGAATGCAGCACCAAGTTTGCTAAGATGATAGCTAGAGCCACCTTTGAAACGGAAATGAATTTCATCTTGCTTTTGAGCTTTGAGTCTGCGTCTACTTAGTAGAGCGACTCTGCACACAATCCTTAAAAAAACTTGACGTCTGGTGTAATATAAGTCGAAACGCGATAGAGGCATGACATTAACTGTTGCACTACACAGCTAGTAGGATGCTGAAAGCCAATGACGTGCTGAAGTGGGCCCATGCTATGATGGATACAACACGACTTACAGGGAAGCCAATGGGCTAGCCAGGCTCACATGAGATGAGATTGTGACATCATTGCCCATGACAATAATCGCTGGTCCAAGCTGGTAAATATACCCGGGGCATAAATACGCTATAGGCCTATGACGAAAGGTAATGCGTAGTTGGGCATGCGCGAAGGCGTTCGGCTGCGCTTTCCGCTGTAATGTCACGTTGAGGTTCAGCCATCATTTCAAAACTGAAGCAATGTCAATACAAACTCAAAAAAAAACGTACCCAACAAGGAATTTCCTCACAGTTGCACTGCGTAGAAGAGGAGGATAAAAGTGGATGTGCAGCACAGCAAAGTCGGACAAATCCTCGCCCGTTGGTTCTGACTTGGCAGGGATTGGTCTTTGGTGCAGACCCATAGAATAAGGGAAAGAAGTCTGGAAGAGATTGTCAAATCGGCACGCCACTTCTCCTAGGATATGAGCGAGATTTAGTGCCTCACTCTCATTCAGCACAGCCACTGAAGCAATGAAACGCTTGTATGGAAGCACCATGATTTCGAAGGGCCAGACAGCCCAGAAAGGTACTAGCGCCACGAAATCATTGTTCATACAGACAATGCGTGGTCGCCCCTCTTTCTTAAGCTCCAAGTGCACATATTCCAACAGCAGACTAGGTCGACCCCAAGGATCGCGAGGGCCCTGAGCATTGCTATGCTTGGTATCAAGGGCAAAGGCCCGCATACTTTCCAGCTCCGTCAAAGGTTCACATGGGATATGATCCAAGGCCCAAATTTGGCCATGTGGGTGTGGATTGCTGCAACCCATAGCGCTGCCCTTATTCTCGAAAAACTGGATATACTTGACAAAAGGATTCTCTTTAGGAATGCGTAGGTACATGTCACTCCATGCTCGAACAATCGGCAAAATATGTTCCTCTGCTGAGTAGGGAAGCGTAGTGAGATGAGCGAGTGTCAAGTTGTGGTTGGGATGGAAGCATAGAACATAACATTTGCCGCGGCTGGGCTCCATGCGAAAAAGATCAGCTTCCACAACATCCGTCGAGTTTTGGGAACCCTGAGATTCGACTTCGATATCTTTGAGCGCGGCAAAATCGTTCTCGAAGATAAATGTCGATGTATACGCCTCGTTTGTAGCACCTGTAGCACGTGTATTACCAGGACACAGGTAACACGACGAGTCGTATGCAGGCAGATCGTTGCCGCTTACACGCTCCTGAGCGCCCTGCCATGGACGTTGGGTACGATGAGGTGAGCAGATCACGTAACTACGAAGCAAAGGGTTCCATCGACGGTGTGGGTGCTCACTGGGGTTAAGCATTGTCGTCATGATGTCGTATGCTATGAAGATGCCCCGGGCGAGTCGGCGCAGGGCTCTTATTTGCGTTTCAGGCACGCCCAGGCGCGCCCACATTTGGGTGGAGGGAGAGGCACGCGCTATTGTACAGGAGCAGCCAAGTGTGCAAAAGTGGCACACGGGCATCAGGCGCGAAGAAAGGGGCGAGGGTATGTTCCAATGTTTGTCTTTGTAGGGATGGATTGGTGCCCAACAAGAATCGAAGATACGCTAAGGTGAGTACGTCGAGTACCTACATGGAGTTGCGTGCCAGCATCGATCGCACAGACTTGGCCAATCGCGTAAAAGAGGCGAGGGAGGGGAGACAGGCTTCTCTAGCGAGGTGAGGATCTGTTCGAGGATAGTTTCCACTGTTTCCTTTGTGTATAGGGTATCAATAACGAGCTGTACAAGAAGTCTGGGGTCAGGATTAGGGCACGTACGGATCAAGCCAGGACGAGGTAAGGCGAACGATGGCGAAGAGCCATGCATAGATGAAAGCTCCGAAAGGACTTTCAGATAGTTGGAAGCACTCGGATAGAAAAGCGAGAAGGACGTTCGTCGGCGATGAGCCATGGTACGCTATGCTGGATGGCGCCGGCGTTGGTGGATAGGACGGTCGGGAGGAAGGCATATGCCAAAGTGCGGAGCATGACTGGAATAGCAGCATCACAGCGGCGTAAAGCGTGCTCCTTGTGTATCTTGCAGCCCAGCAGAGGCAGACTTGGACGGAGATTCGCCGGTGCTGGAGGCGATCCAGCAGAGAATGAGCTGTCCCGCAAAGGACAGACGGTGTAGCGCGTTCCAACATCAGATGACTAGAAAATACAAGTACATCTCGTACAATAATTAGCTCTGGCTTGGACCAAAGCTCGCGTTCGTCTGATGATATATCCTGCATAAGGTGATGAAGAAGAGAGGTCACACTTGCACGGAGATAGGTATCTGATAAGGCGCCATGAATGACACCCGGGTGAGCACCTAGTTTCTCATACGTAGAAGCGACATCTTCTTTAGACGAAGTATGCTGCTGTGCACAATGATACTGTCGTACATGTTGAGTGAGGATGCAAGGCACGCGCTCACAGAGGATCGCTGCAATGCGGACGCGTTGGGCATAAGCCGCGTCTCGGTCTTGCAGAGGCAAGGCAGATGTGTCGTAAGCTCCTGTATGTTTTTGAACAGCGTGGACCAAGGGTTGCCACATGCGCAATGCCTCTTGCAAGAATTGGCGGTCGTTCGAAATGGTGCCATACCATGATAAGATATATTGGCGGCATACCACTGCGAGAACCTGGTATGCAGCTACATCAACGTATTGCGACTTGGAGCCCTCGCTGTGAAAAAAGAAGGGTGGAACATGTGTGTCTGATGGAAGCGATGGGAACAGGACACGCCGGTACGTGGCTGCAGCACGGTGGGGCATGGCGAACCCTCAAGGTGGCCCATGCGATCCATGGAAGGGCCACGTGCTTTCTTCCTCATGGACCACGATGCCCCTCACGCCATGGCTGGCCATGAAGGCCATGAAGGCCATATGATGCCAGGCCATGAAGGCCATACGATGCCGGGACATGATGCGGAAGCGGCGGCGTGCAGCATGGCTATGGTGTGGAATACAGAGACTAAAGGCATGTGTATTGTTCACCAAGCATGGCATGTACAAACGGAACAAGGCTTTGCCATATCGCTCGTGCTTATTTTTGCGCTGGGTGTGGGATATGAGTTCCTGAAACTTCTGGGCCGCCAGTTGGAGGTAGCTATATTGCATGCGGAGACGGCCCATGGGCTACGATCGCGACGTGATCTGGATGAAGCGACGCTGATTCGCTCCCGCCCTTCGACACGGCGTGTGATGCCTCTGAACACGGAGGATCTGCTCGATTTGGATGTGACGAAACGACCTCCTATTTTATCGTATATACCCAGCTCGCTGCATACGCCACAAGGTCTGCGTGGTGTGTCCTCCGTGATCTACGGCATCCAAGTCGCCTTGTCATGCTTCCTCATGCTGGTGATGATGACGTACAATGCATGGTTGATAGGTGCCATCGTTGTTGGTGCCATGGTGGGATCTTGGTACGTCTCATCGATGCCTGGTGCAGTGGGTACGTCTATACGCAGTGCAGTGTGTCATTGAATGTCTGAGGATCTCTAAAAGGGAGGGAGGTACTTACGAAAAGCGACGCCAGCTTGGGCGAATATCTGTGCGCTGCGGCTATCCATACTGTATTCCAGTTGATAAACCACTTCCGAGACGCCTGTCTGCACGATCTTCACAGCACATCGTAGACAGGGGCATCTGTTGTTAGTTCGTGAGCGTTAAAACGTACGTGTTGCAATAGAGGACCGTGCCTTCGGCCCCGCCGCGGTCACGGCCCAATTCGAGCAAGGCGTTTTCTTCCGCGTGGAGACACAAGCACTCGTCGAGGCTGCTGCCGCACGGAGCGCTCTCGTTGCAGCGCACACACCCACCTTCGTTGCAGTTGGTTAGTCCACGTGGAGTCCCATTGTAGCCTGTGGACAGAACGCGGTGGTTGCGAACAATGACCGCCCCCACGCGGCGCTTCATACAGTTGGACCGCATCGCAGCGAGTGTACATAGACGCACAAAGTACGTGTCCCAGGTGGGACGAAGGCGATGCATAGAGGGCAAGGCGAGAGAATCGAGGTGGGCATGCAGTTCATCCACGCGTACGAATGTGTTGGTAATCCGCAATTGGCACCGCTGCAAAAGACCTGCGAGGGACAATTGTGCAGAAGGAAGCGACATGGACATCATCGCTCCATTGTGACTGGTGAATGAAAGGTTCGATAAGTCGTCAGATACATCTCCTGGTGTGACTGTCGACACGCCGTACAGCACAGCATCGTCGCGTGCCACGAACGACTCCAGACTGGCAGGCGTCTCGCCAGCAGCCGTAGCACGCATACGCGCGCGATTCCAGCGCTGCATAAGAGGTGCTTCCACTCCCAGCAATAAGAAGAAGGGTCTCTTTTCAAACATCTCAATCAATGGCGACGAGTCAAGGGCCAGAGTTACAAAGTTGGTCCGCCAATTCGACGTGACATGATGCAGCATCGCATCAGGACTCGCAAAGTCGTTCTCGCCTCCAGACGCATCCAATGTAATGATTTGGAACCCATGCCTAGCTACAAGATACTCGGCCACAGCCGATTTGCCTGAGCATGCCAGGCCTACAATGGCAATCAGCATAGCAAAGGAAAGAATAAGGCGATGCGTGCTGTCCACGCGTCGGCGACTATGTGGAGGGGGGGCGGCGCGGGGTCCACCGGCGCCAAAGCGGCATAATGAACATTCGCGCCGTCGCAGGCGCCCATGCTAGGGAGAGGGCAATGCGTACAGGAAGCAGCAATTTGACGGCCACGTACGCGGCTGTAAGACTAGTCAGCCATACGGCCGCAGCGGGCGCGCCTTCTTCGCCGTGCAGGACCGCATCGCATCGTGCGCACATGCGCGTCGCCATACGACGTCCTCGTGCGATCCATTCGTGAAGGACGGCGTCTTCCTTCGGCGCAAACTTGTTCACCATATGATCGATCGCTTCTAGCAGTACATCGCCGCCACCGAGAAGTGCCAGAATCGCCGCAATGACGAACAAGGGCACGATGGCCGTCAGTTCGTGCAGTGCGAGAAAAGCGACCAACAACGGCGCTGGATCAGAGCCTGTGCGAGCGGCCAGCGCGCGAATACGCTGCTTGGCCCGCTCCAACGAGCCGGAAGACCGCTGGGCCGACGTGTGGAAGGATGCCTGTGACTGTGACGGCCGCCGTGCGACATGGCTCGACGTAGCAGCAGTGTGGCGGGCGACGTTCGGCTCGAGCCAGCGGACACGCGCATCCGTCGGGCCGCCCAACCAGAAGGGACGGAGCGAGGCAGGAAGAAGGAGGTGGTCTTTCGATGGGTACGTCTCCAGCAGAGCTACAATCAGCCGTGGGATCGCTGCAGCGGTTGCATTGAGGGTATGAGCATAGTGATTCTGGCCATCCTTTTTGTACTTGATGGCCAAGCGGCGAGCCTGGTAGTCCGTGCAGTTGGAGGCGGAGCAGATTTCGCCCCATGAGCCACGGCCAGGCATCCATGCTTCGATATCGTACTTGCGGTACGCACTCGCGCCTAATTCTTCCGAAGACATGTCCAGAACACGATAGGCTAAGCCTAGGCCTTGCACCATGTCTTCCTGTACACAGCGAAGAGCCTCGAGCATGACGTCGCTCGCGTCAGCCTGTGTCACAGCGAACATTTCGACCTTGGAGAACTGATGAATGCGGTACAAGCCACGAGTATCAGCGCCCCGCGCACCAGCCTCCGCACGGAACGCATGGCCCAGCGCGGTGAGCTTCACAGGCAGCGAATGCGTCGCGATGAAACCGCCTTCGTTCGCCGTTGTCTCTTGGACGGAGTATGTCTGTTTGGCGACCAACGAGGCCAGCGGGATTTCAGCTGTGCCAGCCAGGCACAGCGAGGAAGCCTCGTCTGTGTCGTCCATACGACGAGTATCCACAAAGTAGGTCTGCGCCGCCACTTCATCGCGGGGTCGGAAGCCACATCGCTCTGCCACGTCAGTCTTGATCACGTCTGGCACAGACACCGGCACAAATCCATGCTGAATCGCTTTCGATAGGGCATACTGGCTAATGGCATGCTCCATCATAGACATAGTCCCCATCAAATAAGGCCACGAGGGACCTGTGGTATGGATGCCCGTCGTCATATCAATCGCGCCATCACGACGAGCTTGGGCCACAGCGAGATGGTCATGCGCCGGATTCGCTTGCAGAGCCTCCTTCCACGTCGCCGTCTGCTCAAAGTCTGCGATGGAGCATGGCAACGACAATGTGGGCACACGTGTAGGGTACCACGTAGCATCGCGAGCATCGACCACACGTAGTACCTGCGACACGCTTTCCGGCCCCACAGGCACGTCAGGGTGGACACGGTTAGGCCATGCGCTGCGAATGGCAAGCGAACGTGCGGTCAGATCTGACACAGTCTTGTCCAAGTCACGCAAGGCGGTACGAAGAGTACGAGCTCTCTCGCGCTTCGCCGCGAGATCAGGCGATGACGGTGCGGCCTTGGCCAGGGCAGGTATAGCCTTTCCGACGTCTTTTTGTTCCTTCTCGAGGCTTGCGCGCTCCTTGCGAAGCTCGACAAGGCGTTGCTGCAAGAGGGGCAGCTCAGCGGCCTCGTCCTCTTGGAATTTCATGTGCTTCGCCTGTGCCACACGTCGCGCCTCCTCCACGTCGTCTGTGCGCCAAGCGACGCTAGGCTCAGGCAGGGGCCGATAAAAAGGCGTGGTAGCGGCATGTCGTGCAGGTACGTAGCAAGACGACCGCCAGAGCCTCGAGGCGCTAGGACGAAGAAGCACCCGCATGGCCACGACCAAGCCAGCGAGGGGGAAGGAGAGGAGTGGATGGAGTGTGTGGAGGAAGGGACGGACAGACGGACGGACGAAGGACGACGCCCAAGGAAAGGACGAAGGCAAGGCGAGGCAAGCGGGGTGTACAGGCTATCATAACAAAAAGAGACTATGAAAGGCGGGGGCGTTTAGGGGATGTAGGGGTTTGTTCAGGCAACGAAGCATCCTCGTCGGCTTCAGCGGGCGTAGCATCAGCGCGAGGCCGTTTGGGAGCAGAAGCAGGCGCCGGCAACGTATCGGAGGCAGCCAACGGCATGGATTCAGACACCGCCGACTGATCGTCGTCGTCGTCGTCGTCGTCCGAGTACTCTGTCATGGACGTAGGCAGCCGGCTACGGTGTGACGTCGACTTGGCTTTGCGTACAGGTGTCGAGCAGGAAGCACGCGCATGCGACGGGCCAAACCGCAGCTCGCCCAGCTGAGCCTTGTCCTGCCATTCCGAAATAGCATCGAGAAGATAGCTTCAGTTAGTGTGGCATGAACATACTCGACTTCTTCCTGCAGTGCTTGCTGCTTCGCGATCATTTTGGAGACGGTGTTCTTCAGCTCCGATTGTTGCTGCACGGTTAGGAGCAAAGTGACGTACCTCCATGACTTTGTCGTACTTGGTCCGTGCCTTGGTGAAATGCGCCTTGTAATCGTGTGCCTTGCCATGGACAGTGGTACTCTTGGTCGACATGCCGTCGAGACCCTCGCGGCACAAACGAGCAGAGCGCGGCGCTGCGCGGCGAGGCGAGGCGTGTGAGAACGCTCTCCGCGTTGATATGACGTAAGCAACGCTGTCATTCTTGAGGCATCGTAGCACGCACGCGATGAGGTCGACCTTGCTCCATGATCACGCCACCAAAGGCAGAGACGGAGGCGGAGGCGGAGGACGCGAGAGCCGACGAAGGCGCACCGTCTAGGAGCGCCGAGGAGTGGTCGGCAAACAGGGACGGCAGGCCCACAGCCACGTCACCCCTTGCCGATGTGAAGCCCGCGTACTTTTACCCCATGCCCTCGACGTCGCAGCAGCCTGCGAGGGAAGACGATCTACCGGGCGTGCCTGTGTTTGAGCCTACCATAGAGCAATTCTCTGACTTTTATGCGTTCTGCCAGGCGATCGATACGTGGGGCATGCAAAGTGGCATTGTCAAGATTGTGCCGCCCCAAGCGTGGATCGATGCCTTGCCCACCTTGCTGCCTGCGGCCAAGCACGAGGGAGCGGATCTGCGTGCTATCCGCATCAAGCAGGCCATTACGCAGCATTTCTTATCGGCTGGCCCTGGACGATGGAAACAGACCAATGTGACGCGATCCAAGCCCTTGGACGCGAAGCAGTGGGCCGACATTTGCAAGGACGCACAGCATCGCGGGCCCGCCATGTCCCGCATCCAGCGTCAAGTGGCAACGAGTCGTGCGGCAGAGCAGGCGCATGCTCACAGCCGGTTGTACCGTACGACGAAGACCGAGGCGCCAGAGGTGTCCACGGATACACCACGTAAGCTCACACGCAGTGGCGGCCAAGGCTTAGCGAGGCCGGTCAGCCATCCACGCAAGCGCCGTGGGCCGCCTGTGACCAAGGACGAAGACTGGGCGCAGTTTGATTATCGTGCGAGCTGGCTGGACGAAGCGTTGACCGACGCCGAAAAGGCGGCGGGCGTGCCTATGTCGCCGGCCGCGTGGGACACCGAGACGTGCCGTGCCATTGAGGCAGAGTATTGGCGCACGCTCAACTTGGGTGCCCCGCCCATGTATGGCGCAGATCAGCAGGGTACGCTCTTTGATGCGCGCACGACGCAGTGGAATGTCGGCACGCTCGATAGCTTGCTGTCACGGACGTTTGACTGTGCGCTGCCAGGCGTCACGACGCCGTACCTGTACTTTGGCATGTGGCGCGCGTCGTTTGCGTGGCATGTGGAAGATATGGACCTGTACTCGATCAACTACATACACTTTGGGGCGCCCAAGCAGTGGTACGCCATTCGCCAAGCCGATCGAAAACGCTTTGAGTCGGTGATGGCCGCGTCGTTCCCGACAGATGCACGCAAGTGCTCGCACTTTCTGCGGCACAAGTCGTTCCTGGTCTCGCCGTCGTTCTTGCAAAGCCAAGGCATCACGCCGTTGCGGCTGGTGCAGCATGCGAATGAGTTTGTGATTACGTATCCGTATGGCTACCATGCGGGCTTCAATTTGGGCTTCAATTGTGCGGAAAGCGTCAACTTTGCGCTTCCCACATGGATCGATATTGGGCGGCAGGCCGACTACTGCCGATGCTCCCTCGCGCAGGAAAGCGTGCACATTGATATGGAGGCTTGGTGGCCCACGCAGCCGACGGCGCAGGCTCCAGCGCTGCCGCCGCGTACCTCGCCGACAGAACGCAGACCGCCTTCGATACCCCCGCCTTCAGCGCTGTACCCGTGTGTATTCTGCCCCCGCACGACCAGCGATGCGCTAGTCCCGTTGCCTGAGGCAGTAGGGACGCAGCTTGCTCACGCAGCCGCCTCGAAAAAGTCCCTCGAGGCCAGCGCGCAGCCATGGCACGCGCATCAACTCTGTGCGTGTTTCCTACCGGAATGCTGGGTCGAGCACGCAGGCACGTTGTCATCCATGGTGCAGGGGGCAGAGACGATCGATCGCGCGCGGTGGGCCCTCAAGTGCCAAGTGTGCGGCCCAGCGTCGAAGACGGCGCGGCATGGCTGCAAGATCCAGTGCACCAAAGGCAAGTGTCCGCGGGCGGTGCATGTGAGTTGTGCGTTGGACGAAGAGAGTGGCTGGTTCATTGATCTTTGCGCTACGGACGTGGCCGACCGGCTGGAAGGCGTAGCCACCGCCTCGTCGACCGCTGACGAGCGCCTGGTCGTCCTATGCCGTGCGCACAATCCGCTCCGCCTGGAAGCGGAGGCGGCCAAGCGCGAGGCGGCATGGGCAGAGAAGATTTGTGCGCTACCGTGCCCTGGCCCTATCCACATCAAGACGCAGGGCGCGGTCTGGACAACGACGCTGCGGTCCATCGACACCGCCACCAAGGAGGTGGTCATCGACGCCGCGCGGAGCGATTACACGACGCCGCCGCTTCGTGTGCCGTGGTCGCGTGTATGCATGCAAGACGCGGCGGTGCGCGCGATCGAGCACGAGTACGAGCGGACACATCAGCCCATCACGAAAAAGCGGCGTGTTCACTGTGCCGTGGATGTACCAGCGGCCGAGCCCGAACAGGCAGCTACGTAGGGCAGTGTGCGCACAACGCCTAGTAGATCGAAACGAATGACATGACGCTATGTACGTAGATAGGATGCCTGTGGGTCTTAGCCCTTGTGCGTCTTGAAGAGCACAAGACCACCGAGCGCAATACCATACCCGACAAACTGGAGACCCGTAACGGTGCTGCCCAGCAGCCACATGGAGCCAAGAATGAGGAGAATGTCCTTCAGCACACCGGCCAAGGTAAGTGTGAGGGAGGACGCGGCGCCGATGAGGAACACGGACGCGATATTCAGACCAAAGGCCACGCCGGCATTGCTCAGCAGAACCAACGGACCAAGACTCGCAAGCGCACGGAAAGGCGCCAGACCCTCGCTGAACGGCAGCACCACCATGTTGAAGGCCGCGCACACGGGCGAGAAGTAGTACAGACTCACAAGCGGGTCCATTTTCAGGCCTTGCAGAAGCACTTGCACCATCACAAGACGCGTACTCTCGAACGCAATGGCCAGCACCTGGTATACAAAGCCTGTCATGTTGAACTCCAGCTCACCATACGAGGCCATCGCCACACCGAACGAAATCATCATGACAATCGCGGTGAGCGTCGTCGACATCTGCTTCAGACCAAACGAGAACGAAATGATGAGCACGGCGACCGGCGTGAACGCCTTGAGCATCTGGATGAACGGCACACTCAGGTGCAGGTATGCAATGTTGCTAAGAATCAGACTCGCAGAGAACAGGGCACCAATAGGCAAAATGTTGCGGTACCACCGCTCCATCGTCATCTCAACATTCGACAGACCCTTGAGCATCGTAGTGTAGCGCGCCAGCAAACGCGTGCCGACCGCGGCAAAGGCCATATGGAAGGTAGTCAGGAACACAGGGTACGGGAAATTGAGATTCACCAGAAGGTATCTGACGTTAGCGACGTGTGTACGCTTCCACATACTTGTTGTATACAATGACACCGCTGCTGAAAGCGATCCAAATAGCAATGATCACCGATGGATGCAGCATGCGCTTGTTCGCCGCACGCTGCTGCACAGCCGGCTGCGGAAGTCCTGCATCATCCTTAGAGACATTGTCAGCATGCGCCTTTTCTGGCGGCGGTGCCGAGGCACTCGAAGAGGCAGGTTGCGACATGGTGCGACTATGAAACGTACAAAATAGAAATGCGACGCGCGCGAACGCGGCATGGGATGGCTTGGGAAGGCATCAGGGCGGGAGTTCGCACGTGACACCAATCGAAAACGGTCTTCTCGTAATCCGGAACCAATCAACAACCGAGGCCCTTGCAAACGCGGAAGAACCTACGATCGAGCGCGTGAAGAGAGAGTGGTAGACACCGCGTTGAGCGCGCGACGCAGATGCCGTTGCAGATCGGTCCAGGGTGCATAATAAATAGATGCGGTGCCTACGAGTACGTAAGCCACGTCTGGGCAGGGCGTTAGAGTCCTCCTCGTGGAGGGAGAAGACGTACCTGAATGAATGGGCAGCGCAGGGAGACGGTCCTCTTGCAAAAGCGCTTGCAGCGCAGCTAGCAGACGCGTACGACATCGATTGCGCACGACAGCATGCTTATGCACACGCTTCTTGCCGATCATGACGGCAACATGACATTGCGGCGTGTGCACCGTCGACGGATTCATGTACGCAGCATAGCGACGTAGATGCCGTGGCTCATGAGTAGACGATGTCGGGGGGTATGGGAGCCATGTCGGACCTAGCATAGGGGGCATGCGTGTCGTAGACGACGTAGGGGTGGGAGGCGAGCGTAATGGGTACATATTTAAGTTGAAGTACGTGCAGCGGTACTGCGCAAGAGGGGGTCGGTGCATCATCACCATCGAAGAAGGCGGCTGAAAGGCCGCCGGGGCTAGGCGAACCAGTCGTACCGGGTTCGTCATGCCAGGCCGTGCCTAGAAGTCATCCAGAGACGTGGGCGTTGATGAGAAGACACGCACGGTTGTCTGACGTAAGAAATTAAGGCCCTTTTTTTCTCTCGTGCGCATGTCGTGTGCATGTCGTTCTTCGTCCTATGACGTCGACCATGGACACATCTGCAGTGGCGGCGGCCCCCTCGTCGTCCAACGGCCCATCACGGGAGGAACGACGACGGAGGCCACGACGACGTGGTCAGGCTCCCAAACGGAACGACGCAGCCCCCACCTCGTCCATCTCCGCAACAGCGCCTGTCTTTGTCCCTTCGTCGTCCCAGACCAAAGCGACACCAGAGAATGCGACGCCAGCCAAGGGACCAAGCACTACCAACAAGAAAAAGACAAAAAAGCAGCCTGCTAAGTCTGACAAACACGATAAACCTACCCAGGCAGCCACGGCATCGTCGCCGCATGTCAACAAGACGAGCGTGCCCCCCAAAAGTCGCCGAGCTACAAAAGGTCGCGGATTCGGCGCAAAACTGTCGGATCCCACTGTGTCTCAGACGAGTGTATCGTCGCATGCTCTCACAACTACCACGATACCCGACTACTCGGACCTACGCACGCGCCTTATATCCGAGCTGTCCAACGATGAGTACGATTGTATTATTTGCTACAATACGGTGATGCGCAAGCAGCCTGTATGGTCGTGCAGTCGATGTCATGCTGTATTGCATTTGTCCTGTGTACGTACGTGGGCTGAAAAGAGTGTTGCCCAGATGGAGGAAAAGAATCGTATGCACGAAGACCCTGAGATCCGGAATGCACGCGGACACTGGCGATGCCCTGGCTGCCAACATGTTCGTGAGGCCATCCCACGGACGTATACATGCTGGTGTGGCCGTGTCAAGCAGCCCAAACCTCACTCCATCCCTCATTCGTGTGGCGGCCAATGCCGGCGTGGATGTACATGGCACGGTTGTGCAGCCACAGTCTGTCATCCCGGCCCATGCCCGCCCTGTGCAGCGACTGTGATGATCGCTTGCTTCTGTGGCAAGGACATGCACAAATCCATGCGATGCTCACAACTTCGTGATGTGCTTGACCCCTCGTTGCTTGATGCGCCTCTAGATACCCTGGCGACCAAGGGGGTTGTGTCGTGTGGACAAGTCTGTGGCAAGCCACTCGCTTGTGGTCTGCATACTTGCACGCAGTCGTGTCATGCTGGTGCTTGTGAGCCATGCTCTATTTCGTTGCCCGAAGCACCGTGCCACTGTGGACGGCATACACGCGCTATGGTGTGCGGGAATAGGTCAGCGGAGGCCTACGGTCTCGCTTCGGCGTGGTCGTGTGGGGAGCCCTGCGATGCGCCTTTTGCATGTGGCTTTCACCACTGTACCAAGCCATGCCATGTACGTACAGGTGTGGCGCCCTGCCCCTTTGACCCTGCCCACGTGAAGACGTGTCCATGTGGTCGTATGCGTGTGACGGACCGAGCTGACTGCCGTGCCCCGATCCCGACATGCGGTGCGCGATGCAGCAAGGTCTTGCAATGTGGCCATACCTGCACATCGACATGCCATCTAGGCGCATGCCCCCCTTGTACCGAGCCAGTGGTGCAAGTGTGCCGCTGCGGCACCTCCAAGCGGCACGTGCCTTGTGATGAGGCAGCGACACCGTTTGAATGCGACGTGGTGTGCAAAGCTTCGCGCCACTGTGGCAAGCACCAATGTGGTCGGCGGTGCTGCCCCTTGGCGTACATGGCAGCGCTAGGCAAGAAGGCCTTGCCGGCAGACACGTCTGAGTTGGATCCGATGCAGTTCCATGCCTGTCCGTTGCCCTGTAATAAATTGCTGTCATGTGGCCGTCACCACTGCGAGCGCTCGTGCCACCGTGGACCCTGTGCGCCTTGCCTTCGTTCCTCCTTTACGGAAGTGGCGTGCCCGTGCGGCCGCACGGTCCTCGAGCCGCCTGTGCCATGCGGCACACAAGTCATCTGCTCCTACCCATGTGCCCGCCCACCGCCGCCTTGTGGTCACCCCAAAGTGCCTCATGCATGTCATCCGTTGGACGTGCCATGCCCGCCTTGTGTGTACCTTACCAACAAGGTATGTGTGTGTGGCCGCACGACTCTCTCTGCTGTGCCATGCAGCCGTCAAAGTCCTCGCTGTGGCGTGCCGTGCGAGCAGACACTGGCCTGTGGCCAACATACGTGCACAGGCACGTGCCATGCCCCCGGCGAGTGTCCTCCGTGTACCCAGCCGTGTGGACGGCCGCGTGAAGTGTGTGGTCATCCTTGCGAAAAGCCATGTCATGCCCCTGCACCCTGTGACGAGACAGAGCCGTGCCATGCCGTCGTTCACCGACGATGTGCTTGTGGCCACCGTGAAAAAATGGAAGTGTGTGGCGCTTCGATGGGCACGGACTCCAAACGCTCCGCGACCGAGCCGCTGGCGTGCACGCCCGCCTGCAAAATAGCCCAGCGCAATGCCCGCTTCGCGAGCGCGCTAGGTCTTGACTCGAAGCTCACACAAGCCACCTCAGCTTCTGTGACCTATGCGCCATCCCTGGTACAGTATGTGGGCGAAGATACTCGCGGAGCCAAGGCCGTGCAAGATGTGCTGAATGATTTTGTACAGTCGCCGCGCGCTGCTGCGCAACTTCGGGCGATGCTCACCTCGTACAGTTTACGCCGTGGTTGTGAACCTGTGCGTGTCCATGGCGCGCTCCTTACGTTTGCCGAGCAGTTGGCCACTGCCTACCAACTGGACGTGGAAAAATGCACGCCCGAAGGTCTGCAGCGGATCGGTCCTACGCCTCCGAATGGCCGCGATGCCGATATACGTGTGCGACGTACACGTACTACTCGTCTTCCTGCGGTCTTACTCACCGACTATGTGTTGACGGCCCCTACGCGTGCGTCTGTACCTCCCTCGACCGCGCCCAAACCTGCGGCTTCGACAGCTGCCATGCCGCGGGCGAATGCGCTCGTGTTGGAGATGCTGCCCGCTTCGTTGCGAGACGAGCCAGCGGTCCTGCAAACGGCGCTTGCACCGTGCTTGCAAAATGGCCGTCGGTCTTGGCACATTCAGCCCTCATCGGCATGGGTCCTGCTTACGCAGATCCAGTTGGAGCCGTTGAGTCTGGCAGCCATTGCCAGCCGTCCGATCCCATCGGGTACGGAGCGATTCTTGCCGATGGAGCGCCGCTTGGTCTGGCTAGCGCAGGATGTGCAAGCGGCGTTGATGGCCGCCGGGGCCTCTACAACCACGGTCCGGCTGGGCCATGTCGAGGCTGGCCAACTCACGTCTATGTGGCATGACGGCCGCTGGTCCACGCCTCGTCCGCCACCCACTCCTACGAACATGCCTACCAACTCCAACGATCACGATTTGGCTACGACAACCTCATCAGCTCTGCATCTTTAGCATTTTTTTTGGCATATATAGGACATGCTATAGATGACTCGCCCTCCATATGTGCCGAGGACCATGCGCATATGCAATGCGCGCTTTTCTTAGGCCTGCACCAGCAGAGCCTTGGTAATGTTGTAGATGCGCTCCTTCGAAGCAAAAAGAATGGCCGCTGTGAGGATCGACTGCAGCAGCTTGGACGAGATACCGCGGTAGAGACCACCGAAGCCTTCTTCCTGAACGACATCGGTCATGGCCGTCCACACGTTGACCTTCTTCTGGCTGTACGCATTGTCGTTGGACAGCGCCTGCTGACGCGACTTGATCACGATCTGAGGGTACGTGATGCTGGTCGCAATCAGCTTGCTCAGCGCGCCAAGCCAGAAGAAGTCAATGTCACGCAGCAGCGGCTGGTCGGTCACCTTACCGCCACGAGCCGCGAGACGGCTCTTGAGCACCCAGTTCTTGATCTGCTCGAACACCGTGTACTGCAGCACCGGGTTGGTGACCAGTACCAGCGCTGGGCCGATACCCTTCCACAGCGCCTTCACGCCATCCTTCTCCACAATGCTGCGAAGCGTCTCAAGGAAGGAAAGGCGCTTGACGACCTTCTTGGTGCCTATCGTCGAGTCTTCGTCCTTTTGCGTCACACGCACAGTTTGGCGCGTGTTGACGACCCAGATGGGGTTGCTGATCAGCGCTGTAGCCGTACCAGCGATCAGACCTGCGACAATGCTTTCGAGCGTCGTCAGGGTACCGAGCTTACCAGACGTGCTGCGCGCCAAGCGCTTCGAGGTCACGATAAAGTCACGAGCTGCCTCGAAGAAGAAGTAGTACACAAAGTTCGCAACACCAATACCGATGAGCGAGGAGCTGAGACCATCGTACAGGCCACGCACACCTTCCTTCGCAATCACCGTCGTGACGGCCTTCAAGAGCGACTCACCAGGGTTCTTCGAGCGGTCGACCGCCGCGCGAGTAGAGATACCCATAAGCGGGTAGGTCAGCGTCATCGAGACGAGACCACCGGCACCGCCGGCACATGCGTGGACAAACGATTCGCTAACCATGACAGCAATGAAAGGAGAGAAGGAACTGAAGTAAACTCGATTCGCTGCGGGTCAACTCCCCCGCGCACACACACCGGGGCTGCTGACACGGGGCTAAGCGGGGTAATATCGCCGATGGATCGGCAAGGTATGAATACGTAAGACTGACTCAACCAACTTCCTCCACCCAAGGGAGGATGTATTTCACATAATTCCACGACATACAGGTGGGGCCACGCAGCGCGTGGGCGCTGTCGCCGTGGCGGCGGCCCTGGTGGATCTCGCTTTTTGTCTACGAGGATGACGGGATTGTCGCCAGACTACGATTACTTGTTCAAGCTCTTACTGATTGGTGACTCGGGTGTCGGTAAGTCGTGCTTGCTGCTTCGTTTCGCCGACGATACCTACACGGAGTCGTATATCTCGACGATCGGTGTGGATTTCAAGATCCGTACCATTGAGCTTGAGGGCAAGACTGTGAAGCTGCAGATCTGGGATACCGCCGGTCAGGAGCGCTTCCGCACCATCACCTCGTCGTACTACCGCGGCGCTCACGGCATTATTGTCGTGTACGATGTCACGGACGAGGCGACGTTCAACAACGTCAAGCAGTGGCTCCAGGAGATTGAGCGTTACGCCTGCGAGGGTGTGAACAAGCTCTTGGTCGGCAACAAGGCCGATCTGACCAGCAGCAAGGTGGTTGACTTTGAGACGGCGAAGAAGTTTGCTGACGAGCTCGGCATTCCCTTCCTTGAGACGAGTGCGAAGGATGCGACGAACGTCGAGCAGGCGTTCTTGACGATGGCCAAGCAGATCAAGGACAAGATGGGCACGTCGGCGATGCAGGGCAACGCTGCGAACGGTGCCGGAAAGTCCTCGCTTAAGGTCGGCCAGGGCCAGAGCGTCCAAGCACCAGGCCAGGGTGGCTGCTGCTAGAGACTGAAACTGTCATGCTAATACATAGTTTCCAACATTTTGCTCTTGGTTGTATACAGTATCTATGAGGCATAGTACGCCAACATCAGGTGGTCGTCTCGGCGGGGACCGTCACGTTCTCTGCAAGCATGGGGCGCAAGTGCGGTCGAACGGCATCGAGCGTACGCCACGTCTCGACCCACAACGCCCGGTGCAGCGTGCCCGGCGGCCCTTCCTTGAGGTGACCCGAGGCATGCATGACCAAAATCATGTTTTTTAGCTGCTCGTCCAGCGCTTCTTGGTGCGGAAGTGCGTTAGTGTGCAGGAGTTTTGCTGTCGTGGTCACGATGCTCTTCCACAAACGCAATACGCGCGTAGCAGGTGCAGCGTCCAGATCGTTCGGGACGCCTTCCATGAGCGCTCCCACGTCGCGGACCCAGGCCTTGCAGATGAGCAGGCACACCAGCGATCGGCTTTCTGCAAGCGATGTGCCAGGCGGTCCAGGCGTCGCTGCGTCAGCTTGGGCATTGGCTGAGGCATCCGCTTTGGCCGTTTCCGGTGACAAGAGACTCTCCAGCAACGGTAGCAGAATGTTGCCGTACATCGCATCCAAATGCACACTCATCTTGGCTGGGCCGGTCGCCATCTCCGGCGCCAACACGACACTCGGCAAATACTGAACGGCCGCTGCCCGCGTCGCGCGATGAACACTAACACAGGGCTGGGCCAATGCCGCAATGAGCGGCAGCCAATACTCGGGCCATGATGCAGGCGGATCAGGCGAGGCTGCTTGCAAGCTTGGAATCAAAGCGCGTGTTTGAGCCAGGGCGGCGAGGGCTTGTGCACTATGTGCATGCACGGCGGCGATCCAGTCACTTCGCTCGCGTTTCTCGGTGAGCGTGCGACGTGGCGCACCTTCCTCGCCTAGCCACAGCGCGCGATCGGCTTCGGAGATGATCGAGCGAACCAACTCCATGAGCGGAGCGAACGTCACGGGTGTTGCATGCGGCAGCCATAGCATGGCCAGCTGCAGTGCCGCCCGCGCCGTCTCCGCTCGGCGTACACGCGCTAGTGTCGTGAGCAGGTGCAGGATTGTGCGCCCCTCATCGTTCGCATCCATCGACCACGCTGACGTCGAGGCCAACATGGCGAGGCCATCAAGGAACGGTGCAGCGACGGTGGGATGAAGGGCGCTGGGTACACGGCGCAACGCATGCAGCACTTGTTCCAGGGCTGCCTGCATCGAGGCGCCGTGTTGCGCTTGCAGATGCACAAGACGCATTGCGCCGGCCACAGCACGCTCGACTTCCAGGGGAGGTAGGCGCGTAGCGCTTTCAATGCGCGTGGTATGTGCTTTCAGAGCTTCGTCCCCGTACCGCGCCAGCAAACTCGGCTGCTTCCATAAAGTCTCAACCCACTGGTCCAGCCAAAAGAGCGGCGTAGGAGAGTAGCTAGGCGACGCACGTTCCATGGCCTCTGTTAGGCGGTGCTGGACGGCATCAAGGTAGGCATGCAGTGCCTCTTCACCCATCGCACTGCGCTGCGCCGTCCAGTTCTCCAGCTGACACGACGCAAGGCAATCCAAGGTGCATAGCGTGCTCTCGCGATCGTTTGACGACACGTCCCGCACGTCCGAGGCCGTACCGGACGGCGACAAAAAGTAGCTGGACAAGGTCGAGAAAAGTCCGCCACCACTGCTCTGTGCCGCGCCTGCGGCAGTGGCGCTTCCCATACCTGCACTCTTGCCTTCGAGGGGAATCGGGACACGAGCGCCATACGCCTGCATGGACGCTGTGGACGAGGGCAAGAGGCCATAGCACAGCAAACTCTCCACGCACGTAAGCAGCTGGGGCCAGCACGTACGCAGCGCCTCGCCATGGCTATGCGCCATCGTGAACACGACGACGGCCGCTAGCTGCTGTTTAAACTGCTGGCCGAACGACGTGGACAGCGAAGACACTGTGATCTCCATCTGGTCGTGTCGTACCGTCGTCAGCGGCGTACGATCACGTGCAAGGGCCTCGTCCAAGAGACCAGTGTACTTGGCGAGGTGCTCGACCAGGAAATCAAGCACGGCAGGTACCTCGAACGCCAGCGCGAGGACGGCACACTGACGGTACCCGGCAATCACACGCTGGAGCACATGCTCGTCCTGGAGGAGCGAGAAGGCGTGCACAATGCTCGCGACAAACGGTTGCCAGCTGTGGCGGAACAAATCACGATCCCACGCTGCGCCTGTGGTGGCGACCAGCTGATTGCCTGCCCGAGCGCGACGGAGCAGCTCTTTCCATGTATAGTCAAACCCAAGCTGCCCTGCATGCTCTTCCGGCATGACAATCTCACGACGGCGGATCCCATCGTAAATCCCGGCGAGGTACTCGGGGTCAAAGTCCTGGCCATCGTTCACGCCACGCAAGTTGCGTTGGTAGTCTGCAATTGTCATACGCCGCGTCACTTGGGGGTTGTGCAGGTCGGTATTGAGCATAATAATGCTGTACGCTAGCACGTACACGGCATCTTCACTGCGAATACCCGCAGGTTTGGTCATAAAGTATTTGTGCGCAAACGTCTCGGTGATCCGTGCAATTTGTTGCGCCTCGCCAGGGAGACGGAACGCCTCACAAAGCGCTCGCATCGCTTCCGCCACGTCGCATTCGGAAAAGTCGAACAAATCGAGGAAGGCTGTAAGGACAGCTCGATTTTCGGCGCGCGACAAGTAATCACCCAGCAAACGCTTATCGACCAACGCCGAGTCTTTAAGGAAGCGCGCCAGCGTCTTTGCACGCTCCGGCTCCCTGGCCGCTAAAACATGCTCGCGCTCCAAAAACGCAATGCCGTCTTTGGGCTTGTGGTTGAAGGCTGCAGCGCCATCGGCCAAGAGTCGTTTCCGTTGGCGCTGTGTACGCATGGCTTCCACATCCGGGGTGGTTGTGATCGAGGGCTGTGCCTGCCACCGCGCTGTCATACGTGCGACAAAGCACAGGACCGCGTCCAGGGCTACAAGCTGCATGCCTGACATGGTCGTGCGTGGCGCCGCATGTACGCCCGCGGCAGGCTGCGCGAAGATCGCACGCGCCAAGAACCGAGTAAGCTCATCGTAGACATCCGAGCAGTCCAAGTCGCAATCATAGTTGCGCCAAAGCGAGACAAACACATCCGCCTCGCCCTCCATACTGCTTAGATGGCTGCTGAGCGCCTCAATAAACAGTTCGCGCATTTCCCCTGTCGCCGCCGAGTGGAAGGATGTCAAGGGCGGCGGCGGCGCCGCGCGAGTCGGATCGTCCGACCATGGCGCATCGGCCCACGGCAGGCTGGGACGCAGTTGCTGCAGGAGGAACTGGAGCCAGAGTTCTTGTTGCCGTTTCAGATGTGTGTGCAGACGATCGAAGAGGAGCGTAATCACACGCAAACTGCCGGCCACAATGCCAGGCTGTTCGGCATTGGCCAATTGGAAGAGGTAGCGGCATGCCGAGTCTTCCAAGAGCGCTCGCAGCGTGGGAAAACGTGCCAATGAGGCACAGTGTGTATCCAGGACGCCATTCAAGAGTGACAGGCCGAGAATACGCATCGTCATCGTATGACGTACACTGCCGGGATCCAACAGGGAGATCACGACACGCAGCACTTCACGCACAGCCGGCAAAGAAAAGGGCGGCTGTGTCGCCTCCATTGTGGGCAGCGTCTCGTCCATCGAGCCGAGACGGTGAGCCATTGGTCGCGGTGGTGCGGCCGTCGGCGGTGTCTCTTTGGTTGTCGGCGGCGTGGCTGTAACGGCTGGGGCCATCGGCATTTCGGCTGGCTCTTCGACCACCGGCGCTGTCTCAGCCTCCGCCTCGGTCTTCTCCTCCTCCTCTTCGTTGTTCTCTTGCTCTTCCGGCGTCTCTACACTCCCGGCTGCAGGAATTTGCTGGCTCTTGGGGTCGGGCATCGCCATACGTAGACGTCGATCGTCCTCGGCATCCGCGCCCACGGGCTCCGCCGTGAGTGTTGCAAGCTCGGGCTCTTGTGCACGCTGGCCACTGGCAGCGTACGCCTCATCAATCTCCAAAGGCATGGTATCCAGACGCGCAAAAATCACACGCATCATACGTAGCATTTTTTGCTCCGCCGTCCGACGCAAGGCCGTACTCAGACGAGTCTGGCAGCACATGCTTAGACATGTCTCCATCAACTCACATACGCCTTCATCACCCAGTAGATCGACCAGAGGCGTCCCTTGTGAGCCGTCGTCGTTCGTGGCGTGGCCACACACGAGCGCAAACATCACATCGAGAATCGAGAGCAGCACCACCTCATCACGTCCCGCTTCTGAGGGCTCGAAACGGCAGTGACTAGCCGCATGCGCCATTTCCTGGACAGCACGGTCCAAGTCGGGCGACGAGGTACGACACAAGCCATGCTCCAAGAACGATGTGAGTGCTTCTAACGCGACCTGCGTTACAGCGCCCGAGGTTCGTGCGCTTAGAATCACGCTAATAAAGTGGCTTAGCAACGACGTAAGAGGAATTCGTGACACATCGTCGACCATCCGCAACTGTGCACGCAGTACCGTAAAGCCGCCCAACAGGCCGACACTGGCAGGCTCATTGCCACTTTCCTCGATCGGTGCCGATGCTTTGGATACATCTGCACTGGCTAGCACATACGCTGCGCGCGTGAGGCTGAGCGCCGAAGTGCTTGTCGTCGCTGAACTGAGATGCGACGTGCTGGACGCTTGGGACCAGCGTGGACTAGTCCGCATCGCGGACGTCACAATATTGATATGGCGCACGACCAGGTGCAGAAGCGACGCATTGGCACGCGCGTGCGCGTGCACGACGTCGTTCGCCCCCTCTGGAGCGCCTGGCATCGCGTCCTTACCCAACTGAGAGCCGTGCAGGCGAAGGATGTGGACGTCGTTCGGGCTACGAACGCCTCCAGACGGCGCGGTGTGTTGGTGTGGAATTATGCATTGTGGAGGAAGGCGGCCTACGCGCGCCACTGCCAGCTAGGTAGCGAGCTGGCCAGCGAGCGAACCCCGCCTCTTCGATTACGGTCGACGGCGATCCATGGCAACGGGGCCAGACGTGCCTACATCGCTCGATTCTGTACGGGTTGCCAATCAGCAACGTTTCTCGCGTGACTTGGAATTTTTATCCGCGCTCAGCAACCCCTTCTACCTGCATCAACTATCGCAGCAAGGCTATTTCGACGACCCTGCGTTCCTTCGTTACCTTGATTATCTCAATTACTTTCGGGCACCGCGCTACGTTAAGTACCTCACATACCCCCAGGCACTATACTTTTTAGATCTCTTACAACATGAATCGTTCCGCAAAGCTGTGGCAGATACTGCGTGGCCCCATGATACGGCCGCTCGGCAAATCGCCCATTGGGCTACCTGGCGACGTACAGCGGACGTTCCATTCAGCAGCCCGCCGCCTAGCGGAGGCCACACAGAACCAGAGGCGTGACGAAGACATTCGCGCGCCATTGATCCGGCTTGTTGACCCACAAAGCGGTCAACTGCAAGGTCCCTTCAAACCTTTGGATATCCTAGCGAAGATCGATCGGAAAGAGTTTATGCTTCTTCAAGTCACCGAGGGCCCTAAATCCGTGGAGAAGCGCCAGGAATGGTCGATGAATGAGCTTCCTATCTGCCGCTTGGTCAGCAAGCGCGAATCATACAAGCGCGAACGCGAGAAGAAAAAAACAGCCGCACCCTCGGCCCCCAAAATGTTCCAGCTAACATGGAATGTCACGGGCAATGATCTGTCTCACAAGGTCGCCAAGGCACGTCGTGATCTGGAACGTGGTCATGTGGTGCGTGTCGTGGTGGTATCGAAGAAGGGCACAGCGCGTGTCATCCCAGGTAGCTTGGAAGAAGAACGTCGGTTGGCCATGGTTGATCAGCTTCAAGCGGATCTATGTGCACCCTCATCGGAAGGCGGGGGCAACATTGCTCGTATGCGTTCCGAGCCCTTATGGAAGAACCGACGTGTGATTGCGGAATTGACACTCGACCCCATAACGAAATAGACTAGAGCTACCCACCCAATTTTGCCTTGGCCCTACCGCTTCGTCTGCCTCCACACTGCCTCTACGACGCTCGCTCTATGACTGGCGCATCATCGTCGCATGTCCAAGAGCTCTATGACAAGTATGGCTTTCTTCTGTTGACAGGTCTTCCGCGAGGCTCGTATCTCACATTGGATGCGCATGCCTTCCGTATCGATACCTCGTTTCAAGGCTTTAAAATGATCCCCCCTGGCTTGCATGCATTAGCGTGGCAGGCTGCAGCAAAGGCAGACGACGATCACATGGAGCCCATGGCCGCGGAAGGCATTCGCTCTATTCTATTCGTCTATATACATGAGAATCAGGTCTTAGCACGGACGTACAATGCCTCGTCAGATGCATGGACTCTTTTACCAGGCACCACGCCGCAGGCTGAGATCATTGTGGGGCGCGAGCATCTGCAAGCCATGGATAAACAGCTTGCTGCCTATCCTATGACCGCTCGAGACTCATGGACTACTCTCACAAAGCACTTAGCCCAACATCCAGCCATTCTCCAACGTATATTTGGTCTACAGTCGTCAGACGCTACGTGTGATTCCTTCACACCTGTCACCATACAAGAGAGCTCTGTACCACTACGCCATGCCTCTAAAGAATCCACCCTCTTGGATCAGGCATCTACCATTACACATTCTCTTCATTGCACACCCTTCGTCCTCGCACGTAGCTGGCCGCCTTCCGCGCAAGGCGTGGAGCGAACGACATGGAGTATGGACAAATCCTGGCTATTGCAAGACGTCCTGCATCGTGCTGCCGAGCCAGGTATATCTCCTACCTATACCCCTCTCCTTTGCGAGGTCGAGCTATGCTTCATCCTGTTCCTCTACGCTAACAATGCAGCTGCGCTCGAGCATTGGCTTTCTCTTCTGACCCTGTTCGCTTGTTCTGCCTCTATGCTTGGTGCGCCTGGACCACACAGTATGCATCCGTGTGAATGGGACCATACCACGACCATGCCATCCCCTTCCGCGCCAGCCTTAGAAGCCCATATCGCTTGGATGCATACCCTTACGACACAGTTCGAAGCACTTCCGTCTTCGATCTGGACGGAAGAATTAGCCACGTCCGAAGCCCGCGTTCTCCGCGATTTGGCTCAACTACGTGCGAACATTGCGCGAAGTCTCGGTGCATGGGCTGTCTCTCATCCTCCAGCTACCCCGTCGTCCACCCATGAACGTCTTGTCCAAGCGTGGCGGGCGCTTAGCACAACAGCTCGGACCCGCTTTGGATGGACGCTGGATCAGTCTGTTGACGAGGAAATCGAGGCAGACGAATGGGAAGAAGGGGACAATGCACCTGTCATTGTAGATACTGAGATACTATAAAATCCTCTGTAGGCGGTTAGCTCGTCTGTCCACACGAGGGAGGCAGGACGCCGACGGAAGACCTAGATAGCGAAGCTCAGCATTGCAGAATTTAACGAGTCCTTCATGTACTGTCGGAAAATGCTGATAGTAATGTGATAGGTGGTTCATCCGGGCTTCGATATCGTGGGCCTCCTCCATACTGGCCTCCTCCGAGCATGTACGTACCTGGATTGCCGTGCGCGACACACGACGCGCAGCGCTTGCGCGTTTGTCAGCCACGGCTGCTCTCCAGGCCCTCAGGTTCCCTCCACGCGATCAGACGATGTGTTCGGCCGAATGTAAAACTACATGAAATCACGTGTGTTGAGCCCAGTTTCGGTGCGCGCGTACGAGAAGAGGCAAACCGCCTGCCTGGCTTGCTCTCCACCACTTCGAGTCAAGACAATGGGACGCGGTATGTATCGATGACAAGCGAAGGCGAAGCATCGAGTAGGACGGACGTACTAACATCCTCTAGTGATTCGTGCTCAACGTAAGAGCGGTGGCATTTTCACCGCCCACACGCGGCTGAACAAGGCCCCGGCTAAGCTGCGCCCGTACGACTTTGCTGAGCGCAACGGTTACATCCGTGGTCTCGTGAAGGAGATCATCCACGACGCTGGCCGGTATGTACTGATTGTGTGAATGACGCTGACATGACAGTGGTGCTCCTCTCGCCCGCGTTACTTTCCGTGACCCTTACCGCTACAAGCTGCGCACCGAGACGTTCATTGCTGCTGAGGGTATGCACACTGGTCAGTTTGTGTACTGCGGTAAGAAGGCCGTGCTCAACGTTGGTAACGTTCTGCCGCTCGCTTCGCTGCCTGAGGGTACCATTGTGTGCAACGTCGAGGAGAAGGTCGGTGACCGTGGTGCGCTCGCCCGTACCTCGGGTAACTACGCCACTGTTATTGGCCACGATGCTGACGGTGTGACCTCGCGTATCCGTCTTCCGTCGGGTGCCAAGAAGACCGTGTCGAGCGATGCTCGTGCTACCGTCGGTATTGTTGCCGGTGGTGGTCGTATTGACAAGCCGATGCTCAAGGCCGGTCGTGCCTACCACAAGTACCGCGTCAAGCGCAACAGCTGGCCTCGCACTCGTGGTGTGGCTATGAACCCCGTCGACCACCCGCACGGTGGTGGTAACCACCAGCACATTGGTCACTCGTCGACCGTCAAGCGTGGCTCCGTGCCCGGTCAGAAGGTGGGTCTCATTGCTGCCCGCCGCACTGGTCTCCACCGTGGTACCGTCAAGGTCCGCGACGCTTAAGCTGTCGTCATGCTTGTATTCCTTGCTTGGGTGGCATAAAATGGAAGGATCCAGTAGACGCTTCCCCATCGGCAACTCGATGGGCCGTCGTGATGTACTTAACGGTCCTTTAGTTGCATACTCAGGACAAAAATTCATGCGTTTCCGCACCGGTAGTGTATGTGTGTGTGTGTTTATTGGTAGAGAGTGCCGTGGAACGATCATGCTGGCTGGCCTCGCAAGGTAGCTTGCCGAGGCTCACGCGGTGCCTCCACTTGTCCCCCGCCTACGACGACGTGATTGACCTTGCCGGCGGAGCGCGATGGCGTTGCGCATTTTCCGCTGGGCAGGCGTACTGTGTGTATTAGGAGGCCTAGCGCATGCCCTTGATTCGGAGCTCGAAGCGAATAGCACCTACGATGCGCCGTTTGTCCATTTTCTCCCGCCCATCTTTCGTGTTGTGTTAATGACGGCGCTGTGTATTTTGGGCTTTGGCGTCGACTTGCACATCCTCCAGCGATGGGGCATGAACTTGTGGACCAGCCGTGGGTCGGTATACTTGCCTGTAAGCTCGGACCTAGGGCCACCTTCGCGGTCGGCGGAAGACAGCGGCGCAGGCCCACTGTTCCTCCTGGCGCTGTGCCATGTAGTCTGGGCAACGTTCTGTTGGCTCATGTACCGCTGGCACTTGGATCCAACGACAGGTGCACGCACGATGGCCTCGCAGACATGGGAAGTCACTACTATTGTGGGCTTGCTTGCCATGTGGCTCGTCCCTGGCCCCTTCCGACCGCTCTTGCGAGCGTGGAATCGGTACGTATAGCGCCCTTGGCTTACCTACAGGACACTCTTCCGACTTCTCACGCCGTCCCTGCGCCAGACTATCCAGTTTTCCGACGTGATTGCCGCCGATATGCTCACATCGTTTGCCAAGGTCATGGGCGATGTCTGGCTCTCGATCGTGGTGGTCGTATACTTTATTCGTGGCCAAGCCGTCGACGATCAGGTGCTGGTACAGGCTGAGATGCAGTGGGCCGTGCCATTGCTGATCAGTATTCCCTATGTAATTCGACTTCGGCAGTGTCTGTCCGAGTACGGCTCGTCGAATCGTGCGATTGGCCGGCCCAAGCGGCCTCTGTACAATGCACTGAAGTACGCGTCAGCGCTGCCTGTGATTTGGCTGCGTGTATGGCAGCCTAGTACGACGACGTGGTTCTCATCGTACATCGGTGTGGACGCGTTGTGGTACATGTCTGTGTTGGTGAATACCCTCTTTTCATTCTGGTGGGACGTGACGAACGACTGGGGTCTGGACCTCCTGCAGTATCCTTCCATCCAGACCATCTGGGCTCAGCCCCAAGCCCATCTCCCACCTCTGCACCGGCGCACAACGTCGGACACGGAGGCCAGTTCCGCGCTGGAAATGACGGAGCCTAGGCCGACACATGCGCGACGCAACAGCATGCTGCGTGCGCCAGAAAAGCATCTTCCATTGCCCGGTAGCGTGTACTGGGTGTTCTTAGTCGTCAACCTATTCCTCCGCTTCACGTGGTCGCTCAAACTCAGCTCGCACTGGCAGTACCTCGTGGAATGGCAGCGTGGCCTATTGTTGTTGGAGGCGCTGGAAATTGTACGTCGTACCGTATGGGTCCTCCTGCGTGTCGAGTGGGAGCTGGTCAAGCACAGCCCTGCCGAACTGCTTTCGTAGACGTTTCTGTATACTATATATCCCATGTACCAAAGCCAACATTCGACTACTTCATACGTTTCTTGGCCTGTGTCACATGCTTGCGTAGACGCTTGCTCTTTTCGCGCAGCGATGCATTCTTCTTGCTGCGTACGCCCCAACTCTTGGCAATCATTCTGATAGGTAAGTAAAAGGCCTGCTATACGTACTGGAAATTCTTGCCCTTGGCCTTTTGGCGGTTCGTCGAGCTACTGGCCACCTCCTTGTTCTTCTTGCCTTTGCGGCTACCGTACTTCTCACGACCTTCACGACCGCTGTTGATACTCGCCATGCGCTCTTCATAGTCGGCCTTCGCCTTCTTGCGTGGACCCAAAATATCCGACTCGTCGAGCACCTCACCACCTGCGCTGCCACTGGCCGACATGCGCTTCTTCGAGAGCTGCAAGGCTGCAAGCTCGCGACGTGCACGAGCGCCGGCAGCTCCCCCCACCTTCGCCTCTTCTTCCGCCGCTTGAAGTCGGAGTTCATTCAGTTTCGCGAAATCGGCCGGTGTCAGAATCTTGGTCATCGCCAGCTCGGAGAACTGGTCAGGCTTGTCACTGGTAGGCTCCTCCTTCTGGTCCTCGTTAGCCTCGTCCTCTGCCTCGCTCTCGTCGCTCTCGCCGTCACCCTGCTCCTTGCGTTTGCGCGCCTCACGACGTTCGCGACGTGCCTCACGCACACGTTCGCTCATAGGTCGCGTATCTTTCGGCTTCGCATCTTCATTGTCACTTGCGTCCAAGTCACTGTGCTCTAGCGAGAAGTGACTGCCGTCCTCTTCGTCCGAGCTTACATTGATCCAGCCGCCAGAGCTATCGCTATCTGACGCGCTTTCGAGCTCCCAGCCATCCCAGCCAGCCTCGTCCTCCTCGTCATCGGCACGTTCTTTCAGGTGCTGCTCCAACAATTCGATACCTTGAATGCCATGCACTTCGCGACGGTCCACACCGAACCGCTCTGGCATTTTGCCCTGCGCCAGCGCCATCGAGCCTGCCTTGCCACGCTCTGCGCGACGCAGCATGGCAGGATTTACTTCACGGTACAGCTGCATCAAACCTCGCGAGGCGGCACTCACACCCTTGTCTTTGGAGCGGCGGTACGCCACAAGGTCTTCCAACAAATCCTCTTCCATGCACCATGGCTGACGTCGGCAGATCTCGCGAATGGTATTGATGCCGGCCGCCACAACTTCAGCACCTACACCCGGGTGCACAAACGCATAGGCAATCTTGCGCAACACAGGCGTCAGGACATCGGTCGGCGTCTGATCGTGAACCGACTGAGCGAGGGATACGAGAATGAGTGTAATGTGCAGCTGGTGCGGCATAAGGTACTTTGCCACGTAGCTGTAAAAGCTTAAAATCGTTAAGCGGTGCGTACTCATTACGCGACTCAAAAGCTGCAGGAGACGCACTTTCATTTCCAGCGGGTGACGTTTATCGCCCTTGCTTAGGTTCTCAAACAAGCCTTCGGCAAACGCCTGCGGGTCGTGGAGCAAATGAATCGCCGCCATATTGCTCGTGTCTTGATCTTCTTTATCAAGCGCTTTCGATGCTTGCTCTTTCCGACGCCGACGTGCCTGCGCCTGCGCCAGCTTCAAACGACGCTCGCCAGCCTTGGTCTTCTTTCCGACCTTGCGTTGGTGTTCTAAGCGGCCAACATCTGGGCCTTGATCGTCGTTCTCCTCATCGCTGTCCTCTGCGCCCTGTTCAGAGGCATGCAAATCGCCCAGGAAGAAACGCACCGCTGACGCCTGCACTTTGGGATGCGGATGCGTGCACGCCATCGCCAACAGCGCCACGGTCCGTGTATCGTTCCAAATCCGACGTCGCCACATTTCTGAGGCGACTCGTACCGCCCATAGAGCTTCCGTGCGGCCCTTCAGCTCGGCATCCGCCCGGCGCAGCACGACGCTGGACCCGTCGGCATTCATGCCACGCTCGACCATGCCGAACAAGAGTCCTTGGACCATGCGGTTCAAGCGTGGATCCTTCGACTTGTGATTGGCCAGTTTAAGATCCTGCACGATCGTATGGAGAATCGAAGTGCGCATTTCTGATGAGGTCGTGACACTCAAGAGAGGGAACAGGGTCTTGAGCAACGCCTCACTCGAAATCACATGACGATTACGCAGGAGCGTCAAGGCGCGGAAGCACGTCTTACGAAGATCAGGGCTCAGACTTGTATGGTGCTCGAGCAGCAATTCACTCACATGCTGCGGGAACTCGGCGGTGATCTGTGGATAGCTTGGCGCGAGTTGCGCGACAAACGAAAGAAGCTGCTCAAACTGCTCTTGCTGATCTTTGCTCATACGTACGGCATGAACGCCTGTGCCATCGGCAGCACTGCCTTCGACATGCTGCCCAATGCCCGAGGCATAGATGCGGCGCAAGCTTTCGTAATGATTCCATTGTGCCAAAAACTCTTCGGTATACGCGGCCGGCTCGCGCTTCAGCAGATTCTGTAGCGCGGGCAGGTTCGATGTATCCTGCAAGCCACGGGCCTTGGACCTGTAGATCAAGCCATTCTCGCGTACCACCGCGGTGGGTCGGGCCGGTGCCACGGCTTTGCCCATGTCTCGTGGTCGCACGCAATGGGACGTCTGCGCGCCGCGGCGGCGGAAAAAATTTTCCAAGTGGAGGTGCGTACAACGTGCCTTTCGTTGGTGCTACGATGGACGACGACGGGCTGCTGCTCAACTTTGATACGAGCACGCCAGCCTCGGCGCCTGGACGACGACGTGAGAAGAAGCGTAGCCGCGGCTCGGAGTCGCGTGATCATGGCCTTAAGCGTGCCCGCCCAGCGCCGACACCGGATGCGCAGCAGGCTGCGAAGGATGCGGCGGCGGATCGACGTACCGTGGCGCTAGCACACGCCATGGTCAGCGGTGCACAGAAAGACTCTGCCGTGAAAGCGCCCCCCAAAGCCGGTACGGGCTACATCTCCTCCTTGTTTGCGCGTGACGAAGCGAATGCCGATGAGCCAGCTGCTGTGCCCTCGGCCGGGCCTGTCATGCCGTCCAATGCGCCCCAAGGCGAGGCGACATTTGAGTCGCTGGGTCTTGATACCCTTATTGCGACGCATCTCCGTGAGCGTATGGACATTTGTGGACGGCCGACGGACATTCAACGCATGGCCATCCCGCCTCTCTTGGCCTCGCCCCCTTCGTCCTTGGCGATGCGTGATGTGCTTATGCAGGCGCAGACGGGTAGTGGCAAGACATTGACGTACCTTCTTCCTATTCTTCAATCGCTACTTCCTTTGTCGGAAGAGAGCTTTATTGATCGCAGTGTCGGTACACTGGCGATCGTCTTAGCCCCGACGCGTGAATTGGCGCGACAGATATACCAAGTCCTTGAACGTCTCCTAACACTCTCTCTTTCCTCGAAAGACGATGACGGCGCACCACGTCGGCGTACGCGCTGGATTGTCCCAGGTCTGTTAACTGGTGGAAGTACGAAGAACCACGAAAAGCAGCGCCTACGCAAGGGCTGTACCATCCTTGTCGCGACCCCTGGCCGACTGTTAGATCACTTGCAGAACACGTCAAGTTTGGACGTGGGTAAGTGTCGTTGGCTCGTACTGGACGAAGCCGATCGTCTTCTGGAGATGGGCTTTGAGGAGCAGCTCAGTGGCATTGTCAAGGCATTGGAAGGGCGGCGTCGACTTAGTCTTCAATTGGCACGAGACGCCTTGCTCAACAGTGGTGCGATTCGAAGTGATACACCGGACGAACAGGTGACAGATTCGCTAGGCATTGCATGGTGGGCGTGGCGACGTCGTGTCGTGCTTTGCTCTGCCACGCTCGATGAGCGTGTTCAGGCGTTTTCTGGGACGACGCTGAAAGAGCCGTTGCTCGTTCGTGCAGGCATGAAGTCGGCCCCATCGACTGTCGCGACGGCGGTCCCGACAGAGTCCTCGGCCACGGTGCCTGTCGCATCGGCTGCGACCTTTGCTGCGCCGACGCAGCTGGAGCAGCACGCGATTATCGTCCCGCCGAAACTTCGGCTGGTCACGTTGGTCGCGTTGCTTCGACGCAGTGTGCCCAAAGTGGCCGAGATGCCGACGCGTGTGATTGTGTTTTTGACATGCACGGACAGTGTCGACTTCCATTGGCATGCGCTGGGCGGCGCCTCCATGGACGGCAAAGCCGGCGCGGCCGAGTCTGCTGAAGCGGAGAAGGACCAGGACACGCCGCTCGCCCAGAAGAGCGAGCTGCTACCTGGTGTGCCGATCTACCGATTGCATGGCTCCATGACGCAGAAGGAGCGCATTGCTTCGCTACGTCACTTTCACAAACTGACCGATGGGACGGATGCGCCGCCAGCGACGCGGGGTGGCGTGTTGCTATGTACGTCGGTGGCCTCGCGTGGTCTGGACTTGCCACAGGTCCGGTGCGTGATCCAAATGGATGTCCCGACCGAGGGTGGCGTGGAAGAGTATGTGCACCGTGTCGGCCGTACCGCTCGTGTGGGTCAACAAGGCACAAGCTGGCTGATGCTCATGCCTCACGAAAAGCCCTGGCTTACAACGCTCGCGCAGCGCATGGTCGTGGGCCAGCCGCCCCGTCCTGCCCACGTCTCGTTGGTCGGCTACGATACGGTGCTGTACGAAGGGTTTGGCGGCGCCGCGCGCGAGTACGAATCACGTGCGACCGACGTCCAAATGGCGCTGGAACGATGGGTCCTTGCTGCGCCGCATCATGCTACGCTGGCCCGCACGGCGTTCTTAGCGCACATTCGTGCGTATGCGACGCACCCAGCGAGCGAGCGAGCGATCTTCCACGTGAATCAGCTGCATCTTGGTCACTTGGCGAAAGCGTTTGCCTTGCGTGAGGCGCCGAACACGGTGCAACGCACGGCGAAAAAGGAGCATGACAAGCAGACCAAACCCGCGACGAAGGACCAGGTACGGGCGCAGAGCACCGAAGAACGCAAGCGCCGTATGCTAGCCAATCTTCCTGTGGAGTCCATGTAGTAGCTATGTATGTATTTACGCCTCGGTCTTGCTACGCTTTGGTTCGATCGAGGGCGGCTCGCCTTCGTGCTTGCGCTTCTCATGATGGCCGTCACGGGTGCCACCACGGCCGCCGCCGCGTCCACCGCGGCCGCGGTGACCGCCACGACCACCGCCACGACCACCACGGCGCGGGGCATGACGGTCCGCCTCGCGACGGTCCAGCAAAAAGCTCGCGCGGAAGTTGGCACGCTCAATGTAAAAGTTACGCGCCTTGGCCTCGTCCAGGCGCTCCCACGCCACGGTGTTGCCGCCGACAGTGATGCCCTTGTCGACGATCTCCTTGAGCTTGTCGTCGGTCACTGGTTCACGGAAGCCCACGACACCTTCAACGGCATCGTTCGGGAACTCGACAAACGATGTGGGGTGCAGCGTTGTGAGCGTGTCCTTGAGTTCTTTCCAGCTGCCGCCCTGCGCGGCGTTGGTAAACTTGAGCACACTGCGTTCCGGGAATGTGACCTGATCGCCATCGATCGTGCCGTCTGGCCGCGTCGTGAGCGTGGTGCCATTGTACTCAAACGACAGAGGCTCCGCACGCGACGAGGCAGCCTCCGATGCGGCATGGCCATGCTGACGCTCCATCTCGCGGAACGCATTGAACTTGCGGCCAGAGGGCTTGGATGGGTTGTTGTTCGGGTCAATGCCCTTCTCCTTCATCTTCATAGCGACGTACGCGGGCTTGCTCATCACCTGGAGCTTCGTCTCCTTGTACACCACACCGTGGCCACCATCCTCAATGGGGTCCATGGACTTGGCCTGCGCCAAAAACGCCGTCATGTCCGCTGGCTCGGCGAATTCCACAAACACACTGTTCTTGAACTTGCGTGGCTTTTCGTTCTCACGGCGCATACGCACACTGTTGATCCGACCGAACTGCGAGAAGTAATCTTCCAGCTCCTTCTGCAGGCCATCGTACTCGTCCGGGAAGCCCTTGGCGTAGACACTGCGTGCGTGTGCGTCGGGCACCGGCACCAGCTCGGTCTTGCGGCGCACACGCGTACCCTCCTCGTCGACCTCCAGCAGTGACTCGGACGTACGGAGCGCCTCGGCAATCTCGCTCGTGCTCAGTACCTCGCGCACTGGCTTCATACGCTTGAACGAGGCCAGCGTCTCGATCGGGACCCAGCCTTGCGGGTCCTTGCGCGTGAGTGTGAACAAAAACTTGTCGAACGGCAAGTTGGCATCGGCAAAGTAAAACTCAACCTGCTTCAGCGCCGCGCTCTTCGCCTCGTCCTTCGAAAGAGGAGTGCCTGACATCGTGGTAGCAGCCCCGAAACCACCAGCGTCGCTGCCTGGCGTCGCTCGCTCGCCCTGTGCGCGCAAAAAAAAAGTGCGCAGCCACGTGATGCGATCGATGCTGTGCGACATTCTCATTACCTACAAGACAGGACACCCATCTACTATGTATGTATTGCTTTAATTCGGCACGCCACGAAGCAGGCGCGCTTCATGCGACTCGGTGTATCGCATCACAAAGTTGACAATCGTCACAGTGAGGATACCGAAGCACAAGAACGTGGGGCCGTACGAGTCCGAGTACACGTTCGAGGAGCTACGCTCCCGGATCTTGAGGGCGCGCCACATGTACAGCACACCCGAGTAGGCCAGCGCAAAGAGCGCTAGCAGCGTGAATAGAGCACTGGTCACCAAGCCAGCCACATCGCCAGGACGGTGGAAGTTCAGCAGACCCGTAGCGATCGAGGCAATGAGCACACTGAACTCGAGCCACTTGAGGAACGTGCGTTCGTTCGCAAAGTACACCTTGGGCTCAATGCGGATCGGCACCGAGACCTTCTTGCCCGGCTGCGCCTGGAACTCAGTAACGTACTCCACACCCGCCGGCGGGCGGCTACCCTCGCCATGCGGCTCCTCTTCATCGCGGCCTTGCAGCGCACGAAGCGCACGCTCGTCCTCCTCGTCCTCCTCGTCCTGCGGCTGATCAGCCGCCGCCGACGAGGCGGCCTGGCTCGAGGGATGGTGCCACAAGCGGCTGATATTGTTGCCCACTTTCTGCAGGTAGTTCTTGTCAAAGACATTCGAGGGCGCCAGAATATCTGCGCGACTCGTAGCGACTCGCGCATCCGAGCGCGATGGCGCGGCCGTCTCCTTGATCGGCGCCTTGGACGCTGCCTTCTGCGCGCCCTCCGACTCGCGGCGGTGCTCAATCAGGTACTTTTCGCGCTGCTCACGAATCTCCTTGATGCGTGGATCAAACGCCGAGAGACCCACATTGTCAGCTTCCTGCTGCGCATTGGCGATCTGCGACGCAAGGTGGTCGTCCTCGCCCTCAAACTCGTCCTCGCTCACCGGCTCGTAGTGGGGCTGCTGCTTGTGGCTCTGGCTGCTGCCGCCACTGCCATGCGACGCCTCCGACGTCGCCGAGCTGTGCTGCGGGCGGTCCAACGCCAGGTTCATGGACACAGGCTTGCGGATGTCAATGTCCATCTGCGGCAGCCAGAAGGGCACCAGGTCCACACGGTTCGACAGCAGCGTCGCACAGCCGTGAATAAACTTGGAGAACTTCGGCACTGCCTCAACCAGGTGGCTCGACACAAGCTCACGCACCCACTTCGGCGGCTCTTGGCCCATTTGTGTCTGCAGCTTGACTTCCAGTACGCCATACGGGAAACGCTCAACATCGCCTTCCGGCAGCTGGTCAAAGGGGTAGTCGATGCCGATGTCCATACGACGCCAGTTCTTGCCAGCGCGCTGCACACCGTCCCAGTTGTCCTCACGCACAAGCGTAAGCTCCGTGTCGAGCGAGATACGCACACGCGCATCGCCTGGCAGCTGGAAAGCCGTACGGTTGTAAAACGAGCGCATCACAGGCACCAGCTTGCGCGAGAGTACCGAGTACTGCACTTCCGACGCAAGCTGGATCATCGAGTCGATTTCCTTGTCGGACTTCTTGCCCTTCTTGCGCATCTCTTCGAACGTGTCGTTCATACGGTATTCACCGCGCATGTACGCATTCACAAGCTCCTCCTTGATCGGGAAGCGTGCCTTGACACTCTTCTCACCCGTCCAGTCTTCACGATGCGTCTTACGCTCCACAAAGATCGTCTTGTTGTCCATGCCACCGTACCAACGCAGACGGATGGCTTCCGCACCCTCCGTCTTCTCCAGCCGGCCCAGGTACAGCTCCAGGTCCTCATTGTCGTAGTAGATCGAGGTGATCGCACTGTCCTCCGGCTGGTACTCCTTGTCGCTGTTGAACACAAGCACTGGCAAGTGTTTCAGAATGAACAGCTTCAGTGGCACAATGTTGTCCGGGTGCACCCAGTACTTGGTCGTCTGACGCACAAACGCACTCTGCGAGCCACCCGCACTCGAGTCACCCTTCACAGGGTGACCACGCGTATGCACAATGTCGAACATCTTCGAGAGCTTGACAATCAGCGCATCGTAGTTCTCCTTGTAGAACGGACGTGTGCTCAGGTAGTGCTGCACAAACTCCTTGCGCAGCAGGCGGCCCGTCTGCTTGTCGTGCTTCTTTACAATCTTCAGGAAACCCGTGTAGTTCAGCTTGGTAAACAGCGCCAAGTCGTGCACATCAGCAATCACATTCGCCAACTGCTCCTCCAGGTCTTGGAAACGCTCCTCAAAGTGGTCAGGCTCGTCACTGTCACTGTCGAACTCGTCGTCCGAGCCCGCATTGTGACGTGCCTGGTACATCATCTCACGGTGCGCGCCATGCGCACTTGACTCCAACTCGGGCTCGTGCGCATGCTCGTCGCCCTCGGCATCGTGATGGCCATGCTCATGCGCCGCCTCGTACGCATCGCGCGCCTTCATAAGCTGCGTCACTTCCGTGTTCACCTGCTCAATACGGCCAGTAAGCTCCGAAACCTTGCTCTTTTGGAACGAATACACCTTATCCAGCTCCATGCGCAGCTCCTCAACAAACTCATCCTCGTCCTTGTCTGTCCATGTACCCTGGTTCTCAGCCATGCGCCTCTTAATCTCTTTCTTGAGATCAGAGTACTGCAGGTACTGAGACGACCATTCCGGATACAAGGACGTCTTAATCGTCCGTCCGAACTTCATGGTGGTGCGTCGATTGTGAGCGAAGGGCTACCCACGCACTCTCGCCCCGGGCGAGCGCTCCTGGGCCTAGTCGCTGGGACCATCTGGCCTGCGTACCGCTGCACACGTGCACATTCTCACATATCATTGCACCAAACGAGCACGTGCGCTCCATGACGTACATGTAATTTGCATGTCACTTACGGCTCCACCCCTCGTCCACGTCTGTACATCACATTCTCCCGATCCTAGGCACAGATGGTCCGCCATGATAGGAGAGGTGAGGACAGGCTGTCTTAGAGAGCTAGAAGTGCTGGCGCGGTAAAACCTCCGACTATTGTTGGGTCATGCTCATGGTATGACGCTTTTCCTCAGGGACGATTACACAGCTCTTTCCCATCGCCTCGGCCTGGACCAAGCCTCGGGCCTGGCCTTGCTATAGCGTCTTTGGTAGATACACCGCTCAAGGGGCGCCCGTGCAACAGCGTCCCTTCTTCCTCTACACCAGCCGCGTCGCCATGAGCCTACCTTACCACGTGACTGGGTGGCTAGGCTTGAGTGGTGGGTGGCCCAGGCGGCTTCCTCCCCGCGGAGCTGGCCGGTTCGTTTCTTTTCTTCGTGCCACCTTTTCCTTATGTGTGTCCGCGGGACGATGCTGCGCCCAGTGCGCATGCTTACAGCCCTGAGCACGTCACGTATGTGTACACGCCTCTCACGGAGCGCGGTGGCCACACCGATGTGGACGGCAGCTCCGGCGCGATCCCTCCACGTCCGTGCGGCCGTGCCGCTGCATGCCAAGAGCATCACGCCTGTGCGCACCGTAGCACGTACGGCTTCGATGCCTGTCAGGAACATGCTCCGCCTGTACTCCAATGCGTCTTTTTCTGGGCCAGAAAAGCTGGTCTTCCCACCCACCACGAGCAAGGTGGTCGCATACCATTTGCTTGCGTCGGCAGCCCTAGTCTTCCTTATTATTATTGTTGGCGGTATTACGCGTCTTACCGAGTCGGGTCTCTCTATTACGGAGTGGAACCCCGGCTTGAAAGGTATGCGTCTTCCTCAGACGGACGAAGAGTGGAATGCGGAATGGGATAAGTACAAGCAATCGCCGGAATTCAAGATGCTGAATTCGAATATGACGCTCGAAGATTTCAAGTCGATCTTTATGTGGGAATGGTCGCACCGTATTCTTGGTCGGTTTATTGGTACCTTCTTTGTTCTTCCTGCTGCTCTTTTCTGCCTTCGTCGTGGTATGGTCACGCCCGACATCAAGAAGAAGCTGTTGCTCATTGCTGCTGGTATTGGTTTCCAAGGTTTCCTTGGCTGGTTCATGGTGGCAAGTGGTCTGCAGAACCCCTATGAAAATGAGCCACTGACATCGCAGCCTCGCCCCGACTGGACGCCGCGTGTGGATCATTTCCGGTTGGCGGCGCATCTGGGTACGGCGTTTGCTGTGTACATGGGTATGGTCTACACGGCCATTTCGATCCTGCGCGACAATGCCGTCGTGAAGCAAATGAAGGCATCGCCGGATCAGCAGGATGCTATCGTGTCCAAGTTTTTGAACTCGCTGACCAACCCTGCTGCTCGTAAGTTCCGCATGGTGGCTATGGGCATGCTGGCCCTTGCCTTCACTACGGCGATGTACGGCGCGTTTGTCGCTGGTCTGGATGCTGGCTTGGTATACAGTGAGTTCCCCTTCATGGGCGAGAAGCGTTTACTACCACCTAAGGACGAGCTGCTGGACCCACGTTACTCAGTGCGTACCTCGGATGGCAGCACACCATCCTCCTCGTACATGGTGATGGGCAACGTGACACAGAACCCTGTGACGGTGCAGGCGATTCACCGGTACCTGGGTCTCACGACTTTGACGGCTGCTTTCCTTTTCATGCGGTACGCATCGCGCAACAAACTGCAACTTCCGCCTGCCGCGTCTCGGTTTGCCAAGGGCGCGGCGCACATGTCGGCTACACAGGCTCTTTTGGGTATTGCGACACTGATCTATATGGTTCCGATTTCCCTGGCATCGCTGCACCAGGGTGGTGCCGTGGTTGTTTTGACCATGCTAACGGGTGTCTTGGCCGTGACACGCAAGCCTAGCCAGGCAATCAACGCGTTTGGGCATGCCCGTCGACAAGCCGCATCTCTTCGTACATAGTATGGGTAGGGCGTCGTACAAGCCGTGACACGATGTGGAGGCGGGGCAGGTCAGGGCCATAGTGCCTTGCGCCGTCGTACCTACCTGGGCTGCCTTTTTGCCCGATCGCACATCGTCCTGATGGCATCGCCGTTTGCGCTTCCAGCCTCGGAACGCCAAGCGTTCTTCACGCTGCTTGATGAATATTTTTCGTCTCGGCCTCATGTTTTAGACCATTTCCAAACACCATTGGCGCCGTCCGTGACGGCGGCCCCCACTGTGTCCACTACGTCAGACACGCCCTTGGCAGGGAAAAAAGCCGCGCCACCCCCACCTCCCCGCCGAAGCAATAGTACCATGTCTTCGGCTTCGACACCTGCTCCCCCCTACTCCCCACCCGTGGACCACCTCGCATCCGAGATGGAGGACAAAGCTCATGTTTCGTCCGTGCATCACGGCATTCGCAAGCCTGCAGGCTTGACGACCACCAAGGTACGTTGTGATCGCTCCCTCACGCATGAAAGTCTATTGGATTTTTGGATACTTCATCGAAAGGGGCTGCTGTACGTTCCGTAATTGGGCATGCTGTTAAGCGGCCGGAAGACCGACCTGCTCCCGGGGCTGGCGACTACTACACCTCGCCCCCTGCTGTGGCAACGCCAAGCACATCAACGTACCCTACAGCTGCCCCCGTTTCTACGCCGGCGTCCGCCGTATCGTCCTCTTTTATCGGTACCGCTGAGGCCTTGTATACGTATGTATATGCCTATCTAACCCCATGTAGCTTTGCTGGCACAGAACCTGGCGATCTTCACGTCGAAAAGGGCGAGACCATTCACCTGCTAGAGAAAGTCTCCGCTGACTGGTACCGTGCTCAAAGTGCGGATGGCACACGGGAAGGCATTGTCCCGACCAACTACATCCAAGTATCGTGAAGCGGCGTACCGCAGCACTGGCGGCGTTGCGAGCCATAGTCTCTGTCGTAGCGAGCATCCCAGGCCACGTGCAACCACGTGCGACCACGTGCGCAGTTGACATGACGGCTAGGTCTCTTCCGGGACAACGTGGCAGCCCGCGTGGCAGGCTCGTGTTTTTGCCACGAGGTCCTTCACGGCGCGTAGACACGACATGAGTAACGAGGCCTTGGGTTTTGTTTCATCGTCAGCTAGTCAAGGAGCGGAGGGCTCGTCAGAGATCGTTTCACTCGAACCTCTGGACTCGTCGTCGCAGCATACTCCGCCGGTGCCGTATACAATGCATTCCGCCACAGGCAAAACCGACGGCACGAACCTTGGGTTCCAAAATGGACATCCCCCCGCATACTCGCACGGTGCGTCAGGGAAGAAGGATGGCAGCGAGGTGGATGCCCATACTGCTGCTGCGATGGACCCGAGCTTGACGGGACAGCGACGTGCCGACAACGCGCAGGCCAGCTACACGGGTGTGCGACAGGAGCAACAGCCGTATCGATTGGATTTGTTACAAACGGACCCCAACTTGGAATCCAACGCGCCGCTCGCAGGCGAAGGCGCCGAATCTGGTATGTACACAACTACCTAACGTTATTCAGATCATGTATCGCGCGCGTTCCCCTTCCTATCGAACTCGATTGGTGCGCAGGATGGCGATAGTCGTTCAGCCATTTTCTCGCCCAACTTCTCCGGCATGGGTGCGGCTCAAGATGCCAATGCGAACAATCTTGCGTACAAAAAACAAGGGTCGGAGAGCTTGCCTGGTGCTTCGGTCACTGATTCGAATGCTGGCTTGCACTCCAAGGCGCAGCGCGGTCCTTCGTACGACTCGCTAGCGCCGCCGGAAAAGAAGGAGACGCCATACAGCCGCAGCCCCAGTCTGCGTGTGACACACAAGATTGCGGAGCGCAAGCGTCGTAAGGAGATGAAGGATCTGTTTGATGAACTGAAGGAATATGTTCCTGTGGACCGTGGTCCCAAGACATCGAAGGGTGACATTCTCAGCAAGGCGGTCCTCCAGTTCCAAACGATGCATCGTGAGCGCGAGCAGCTGATCGAGGCATTGGAAGCGGCGCATCATGAGATCAACCAGCTACGTCAAGTGGCTGGGAATACGGAGCATGCCAACTCGAGCTTGTCCCAGCATGTGTACCCTCACTCCTCGACGACCGCTGCTGCGCCCTCGTACCTGCCGCGTCCCCCGGAGTCGCGTTTGCATGGTATGCAGGAGCAGCATGTATCGCTCCCACGAAGCGACAAAGCCGATACGGCGTCGCATACTACGGGCGTGAATCTGCAGCCGGGCGCACAGCGATCTGGCGAGCAGTTCTTGTCGGAGTTGCGACTTGATCGCCTGCGTCAGTCTCACGACGCAGTGCATCCGAACTTTAAGCAGTTGGATCATGGTGCAAACGTGCTCGATCAGTCGCTCAATGGAGCTCGGTCGTTCCAGCCAGAGTCGTACCAGACGTCACTGGTCTCGACTGAGTTGCCCGCGGGCCAAGAGGCGTCCACTATGAGCTCCGATGCGGCTGCAGGCTCTCATACCAGCCGTGCCATGTAATGCAGATTGGAGTACGTTGATAATATAATAGCAGGCGGCGTATGTGCCGTGATGGTAGTGTAGTACGTCAAGACAGGGAATGGGATGCTCGCGTGGAGAAAGAGGCAGGAAGCGCCGCGTGCCTACCTCCACAAAAGAAGCACGTCGCGTGCGGGCGCTTGGGCGCGTAACGACGACGTTCTCTACGAGGTGCGTGGGTGTGACGAGAGGATGGGCTCGTCGGACCCGCCACGCGTATACCCTATGTTTGCAGGACCCGCTGCGTCGTCTGCATCGGCAGAGCGTGGTGCAGCGGGTTCGTCGCTGCCCAAACGGCCACGAGCGGTACGTCGGCCTCCCTCTCACATACAGGAACGCGCCAGCAAAGCACGCGCTATGGCGGCGAATACGCTTCTGGCTGCATGGGGCCAAGCGCCGTTGGAAGACGAAGCTAAGGTGTCAGAAAGCCCACGCAACGGGCCTACCCCCTACTCTGCGCCGATCCAACGGAAAGTGCGTGGGACGACGACAGGCGCCTCTCAAGTCCATCCATTTTTCGCACAGCGCATTTCCTCGTCATCCACACCCAAAACACGCGTAGAAGAGGCCAAGGCCAAACTCGGTACGCTTCCTGCGCCATGGCCATCTCGTGATATGATGCATGTCGTACCATCCACAGACGTCCCGTCGGCCACTCTCACATGGCCTCGACGATCTCGCAAGCAAACCGCTGCGATGCCATCCACATCCGCCCCCCCTTGGGCCCGCCGTAGTGCATGGCCCACGCATGATACCCCGCCCATTCTCTGTGAGGCTTCCCTTCGGCCTTGCACGACAGAAAACAATACACCGAACGCGCTTGCACGTACGCCCTTGGCGTTTGTCGCCTCGGATCTGGCGATGCACACACGCCCGACGCCGCCCCCGGTGATTACACATCTGTACGAGCGGCTTCTCTCACAGCCCGTTCGTGCCTTATCGCATGAACAGCCCCTGGCAGAACATGATGCGCTATGGACGGATCGTTGGCGGCCTACGTGTGCCGCGCATGTGCTGGGCAACGAAGAGCCGGCGATCTATATGCGCGACTGGCTGCACAAGCTCCGTGTGACGTATAGTGGTGTCAAAGCACGTACGATCCAAACGCGTGTCGCATCGCGCAAACGTGGGCGTGCACGCGCAGACTCCGACAGCGAGTTTGACGCGGATGAAGCGGAATGGTTCGAGCAGTTTCGTGCGCCTTCCTCCTCCACGGAGGCGGCTCCTACCAACGATGATGTGCTGACTAACTGCCTGGTATTGACGGGCCCTACAGGGGCGGGCAAGTCGGCAGCAGTGTATGCGTGTGCTGCCGAATTGGGGTTTGAAGTGTTTGAGATGTACCCTGGCATGGGCCGTCGCAGTGGGAAAGAGCTGGTAAGTGCAGTAGGCCACCTCTCGCGGAATCACATGGTCCAACGAGAGCAACATCAAGATGTTCCACCGCAATCGCTCATTTTGCTGGACGAAGTGGATATCCTTTTTGAAGACGATGCAGGGTTCTGGCCTGCGGTGGTCGAATTGATTGGTGAGTCACGCCGGCCTGTCATTTTGACATGCACGGACGGATCGACGCTGCCGTGGAATGAGCTGCCTGTCCAACGTACGCTGACGTGGACGCCACCGCCGGCGCCTATGGCCTCGATGTACTTGCAGCTGGTCGCGTTGGCTGAAGGGTACATTGTCTCGCAGGCTGCTATGCAAACGCTGTACGAGCAAACAGCTCCGCGCCCCTCGTTGCCAGACCGCGGAAGTGGCCCTACCGGCCCCACAGCGCAGGTGTTTCCGTGGGACCGGCAGCATAGCGCAGGCATGCCAGCGTACGATCTACGTGCGGCGCTCATGCAATTGCAATGGCTGTGCCTGTACACACGCGCCCAGCATATGCTTACGACGACGCCCTCGACGACGGACACGTGCGAGCGTACGCCAGGGCCCTCGTACGAGGCGCGTTTCGCCGCCCTGGATCCCACGGCCGCCGCTCTTTTGCAAGGGCTCGCCACGATGCAGCAGCACGCCGACCAACTTTCGTACTTGGACGTGATCGGCCCCCATGACGAGGTACGTACAGAATGACTCACCGAAGTACGCGGACGAGTACATCCCGTTGCCAGGGCGAGGCCGAGCGCATCTCGCACCTACGCCGGCCGCGCCGTCGTGTGGACCGACGTTGCCATGGTCGACGTATATGCGCACAGCCTTGCCAGCGGCGTTGCAGCCTACAGGGTCGCCTGCGCTCGAACAGCCTGCGTCGCTCTTGGACCGTGATCGGTACGTATTGGTAGCGCTTACGATGCAGTGTGTCGTACTGTCATCACGTACATGCCATGCTTCACCTCTTGCACGTGCCTCTGACCGAGCAGCTGCCACGCGCCTCGGTGGCGCTGGAGTATGCGCCGTACGTACGTGAGATGTATCGGATCGATACTGCGCGGCAAAATGCGTGGGCCGCCCAGCTGTACGAAGCAGCCCAAGCCCAGCGCATGACACGCAATGCCGCACGCCTGCTCCTCGATCCGCAGGCAATGCGGGGGTACGAGTTCCGGGCTTGGCTACCGTTTGGGCCGAGTGAGCAAGCGGCGTACCGAGCGACGTGCTTTGCATCGCGGTAGTAGGAGTGATGCGCAGGCAGCGCGGCACGTCTGTAGACAACAACACTGTGAAACATGGATAACGACTACCTATGTACCTAGGGAATCGACGGTGGGGGCAAGCCTGCCTCGCGCTCGCGTTGGCGCTGCTCATCAAAGGCGGCCCACTGTTGCGAGAGGTCCGACGATTGCGCTTCTTGCCGAGCCGCTGCTCGCTGCGCGAGGCGTTCCTGCCGATGACGTTCGGCGCGGTCCTGGCGGGCCCGCTCAGCGGCCAATTCGCGCTGCACTTCCAAGTAGCGACGATCAGCGCGCGACAAGTGCATGTGCGCATGCGCATCGTGGTCGTGGGGCATCTCTGCATCCAACGCCTCGACGACTTCCTGCGTAAACACATCGGCCGACGACGTTTGTTCGACCGGCGCCGGGATCTTGGGCGACGTCGCGGACACGGTGGGCATGGCCGCCGTGTGTGGGGGACTGGACGGCATGAGGGGTGTTGCGGCGGTGCGGCTCGTAGCAGCTGGCTCAGTGGCCTGGCTAGCGATAGCTGCCGTCGGCACAGAAGGGAACGATGTCGAGGTGGTCATGCGTGTGTAGTGATGGGAGGGAGGGGGCAAGGCCTGGGTCGACATTGACGACGGTACGCCTTGCTCCCACGGCAGACGCGTATCGCCCAAGGCGGAGGGGAGGGCGCCATGGCTGCTCGTGTACGATGGTGCGGCGCTCATCGAGACAGGGCGAGCACGAGGCGCCGACGTAGCAATGGTACTCGTGTACGACAAGGCAGGGGCCAGCGAGGATGCGGTCGGCTGCGACGTCACAGGGACCGATGGCTCGGCAGATGCGGTCGGCGTTGGCGTGTCGGGCGTGTCGGGCGCGACTGGCGTGACTGGCGCAGGTTGCGTGGCAGGTGCGACGGCACGTGCAGGCGAAGGGGGGGCTACCATAGGTGCACGGAGGGTGCTAACAGGCAGCGGCGGCGCAAGCGTCGGGGCCTGACTCGACCTAGTCGTTGCTGGCGCATACGCTGGCGAAGCGACCATCGACGTGCCCACCACCTGATCCGGCAGCTGCTCCATGTACATCGTACCTGTTGGCTGCGGCATCACAGCTACAGGCGCCTGCGATTCAGGAGCACGCCGACGCGAACCTTTGCGGCTTACTAACGAGCCATGTCGACTCAGCGGCGCGCCTTCTTCCTCGCCGGTGAGCGATGTGTGGAAGAGTTTGTGGAGGGCCGACGACGCCTCGTCGGACCGCGTTGAATGGAACTCTGTCGCAGGATGAACGTCGTCGACAGGGTGCGAAGACCGCAGGGCGTCTCTGCCATGGCGACGCGAGGATTTGGTACTGCCATGGCGCTGCAGAAGGCCTGCGCCAGGCACAGGATCGAGCACGGCCGAGCCATCGGCCGTCGTCGAGTCGGGATGCAAAACGCCGGCGCCTGGCACACGCTCCAACACGCCCGAGCGGTCGTGCGAGGCATGCTTGGCACGAAGCACACCATCTTCGTACTCTTCTTCGACGGTGGGCTTTGCACGAGCAAGCGGTGTAGGGGCCATGGCCACCGATCGTGGCGTCTCGCTCTGCACGGGCAGACGAGGACGCATGGGATCCGGCACGTTTGCGAGCGGCGTATGCGCGAGCCCTGTACGGCTACGCTGCGTCGGCGTCGTGTCGTGGGTCGACGCGATCGGAACAGCGGTGGCTGTCGGCCTAGGCGCGGTGGTGGGTGTTGTCTGCGTCGGCATCGCCTGCGTCGACATAGCCTGCGTCGGCTGCGTAGGAATCGGCTGCGTAGGCATAGCCTGCGTCGGCTGCGTAGGAATCGGCTGCGTAGGCATAGCCTGCAACGACACCGGCTGCGACGACACCGGCTGCGACGACACCGGTTGCGTCGGCATCGGCTGCGTCGGCATCGACTGTGTAGGCATCGACTGCGTCGGCATCGACTGTGTAGGCATCGACTGTGTAGGCATCGTCTGCATCGGCATCGTCTGCGTCGGTATCGTCTGCGTAGACATAGCCTGCATCGACACCGGCTGCGACGTGACAGGTGGTGGCTGGGCAGGCGCCACTACGACCGCAGGCACGTCCGCTGTCACCGCCGCGGGCTGGGCCGGCTGCGCCGCTTCAGCAGGCACGACAGGCATCCCCTCGTTTTGCAGCACCGTAGGGACGCCTGGCGAGTGATCGCCTTTCGATCCAGAGGTCATCTCCACAATGGGCTCGCCTTTGGCATCGGCGCCAAGCACTTGCACAGCATCGCCTTTCCGCCACGACAAGAGTCCACGGCGCTTGGGCTGCGTCAAGCGCGACGTCGTAGCATTGTTGCCGATCAGCGACGTCGAGTAGAGTGGGACTAGCAGCAGCGAGACCGCTGTATTCTTCGATTCCTTCGACGAGCCAAAGGCATGCCACGCGCGAGCGCCGAAACCCATTCCCGACTTTTTCGTGTTGGTCTTCGTCTTGGTCTTGGGCTTCTTAGCCTTGGATTTGCGTCCATGCGCACCCAGCTGCGCCTGCAACGTCGCATCCTGCTGCAAACGCATACGGTCCGTCGCCGTCGCCAAATCGTCTACCGGCGCCGCCACAGGCACGAGGCCCGCGTCGTTGGCTGTGCGGGACGCGACGGGCACAGCGTTGCGTACCGCCACAGGCGCTGCCACAGGGACGGTACGTTGACCTGTCTTGGCCTTGACAGGCGCCGTAGCGACGTCCTTCATCGGCACGGCAGGCGCTGCGGCCAGGGCGGCCTGGTGGGCCTGTGCTGGGGCCGGCGCAGCCACGGCGGGAGCAGAGGCCGGGGCAGGCGCAGGCGCGGGGGCTGGTACAGGCGCCGCCGGCAGCGGCGCATTCACACGTGCCGCATCCTTGCTGCGCACAGGCGCCGCACTGGGCGTGTATGCGGGCGGTCCACGCGGTGCTGGGACAGGTGCAGGGGCGTGGTACACGCCGGAGGCCATGCCCTCCGTAGGGATCGTTGCGCTGGTGTACAACGCGCTAGGCACTGGCGGCTCAGGGACGCCAGGGCCCAAGCGGCGAGGCGCAGCGCCAGGCATGTCACGCACAGCCTTGTGCACCCGTTTCTTCGAGGGTTTGGCGTACGCCGGCCATTGGCCCAGCTCGGCGAGACGCGCACGCGCCTGCTCCCCTGCCACGCCATTCGAGCGTGCGAGGCCTTTGAGCTGCGCAAGCTGGTGCGGATCCATCTCGCGATCGCGATCAAGCTCGTGAGAGGGCACGGCAGGGCCTAGTCCGTCGTACATGCGACGGTGCACACCGTTGCCGGCCCCACGTGCCACGACGACGCGGTAGCCCTGGCGATAGTCCGGGTACTGGAACGCCTGGTAGTTAACGGTCGGATGCGCTTGCACAGAGGACGAATGCGACGACGGCTCTGTAGGCGGCGCAATCGTGTACACAGGCTTCTTGTACAAATGATCCCTGTCGTCAATGTTCACCGAGTAGTCGTGCGCCGGGCCCAGGTCAGGCAGCTGCAAATCCGGGAGTGTGTAGCCTTGGTGCAGACGTACGCTGAGCGTTAGAAGGCTGGTACATACACAATCTCGTCGCCATGCTCGAGCGTTGAGCACTTGTGATCGTCGGACAGGTCCAAGCCGCAATCGATCTCGTCGTTCCCTGGCAGCTGGCTACCGCCTTGCACTTGGACGAGATCCAACATACGAAGCCGCCAGCCTTGCACAGTCATCTGCTTCAGCTGCTCACTGTGCGTGAGGGTCTGCGGCGCAGGCAGGCCCTTTTGACCCGTGAGGATCCGCAGCACCGAAAGCCGAAGCATCGACATGTCCGTGTCAGGCGGCGGGATCGGAAACGGCATGCAGAACGCCGGGAGCGGCGGCTCAGAGCGGAGGATGATCACGGGCGTCATCCTAGAAGAGGGGGCATTGCCACCTGTCGCGCCCGTGGGCATCATAACGCTCTCTCCTCACAATAACAGAGAAACGATCGATGGCTCGCACCCACGGAAATGACTTTCCCAAATCGGGCACGCACGACGCACGCGCCCGTGGTCGGCGCCGCAGGTGGGGGCCAAGGGCAGGCAGGTGTGGAGGCAAGGCCCTCCACCTCCAAATGCGGGCCGGCCGGAAATGGCAGCGCGGCTGGTCGTGCGGCGGCTGCATCCATCAAACCATCGTGCAGCCCATCGGTGATGGCCGATCCTGACAATCCTTGCAAGCCCCTCGCTTGCGATATCCAAGCATGCATCCAGAAACACCAATTCCAGCAGGAAAAGTGTGAGCATCTCGTGCAACGTCTATACAAATGCTGTGCTACATTCTACCGCGAAAACGGCCGCGATAAGGAGTGTGTAAGCTGCCCAAAGCCCGACGCGGTCGATCGCAAGATGAAGACTTGGGGGTGGCAGTGAGAACTATACCCAGTGCGTCGGCGAAGAGCCGATGGCTCGAAGCCACGTATGGGCAGCCTCTGCGTCGTCCGAGATGCTGGGCACACTACTGCAGCTTGAAATGCTAGGCGACGAGGCACGCGAAGAGGTATCGTTGCCGTCGCTGTCATCGTTAGCCGCGGCTGGTGCTGCTGTGACCGCCCCCGGCGGCGCGGTGTCGGAACGCACAGCCTCGCGCTTCATAAACGCATCGAGCGTAGTCTGTTGTTGTGTCTTTGGTGGCGCACGCGTCTGTGTGGGGGTATCTGTAGCGCCATGCCATACTTGTTCAATATACGCAAACTGATCGCGGCCGTGGTGCCATCGCGCTGCACACGTCGGCGAGCGCATCGTCGGCGCGTGCGACGTGGTTTTCGACGCACGATCGTCCGGCGACGTCTCCATGTGCGCCCACTTTTTGTACTTAGGCATGTGGTCTGCCAAGCCCCGCTGCCAGGTGAACATGGGCGTGGCAGGCGATGACGACGACGATGGCGACGTCGTAGGTGATCGAGGTGCATGATGCCGCGACGACGGCACCAGCGCCGGCGTATGCACCTGGGGCGTATCGTCCATCTTGCGCTTCCGGCTCGCCGACGCCGGCGGCGTAGCGCGGATCCAGCCAGACGAGGCAGGCATCAGCCCTCGCGCAACGCGTGCAACGTGGAGGAGAACGCGTAGGTGGACGCCCCCCTCGCGCCCTGCGCATAGAGTTTACCGCACGTGACCAAACGCGAGCGCTCGCAGTGTGGGTGTATATATGTGTTGGTCTCCTAGGGTTTGTTGTGTTGTACGACGACGAGACGATTGCCCTCGGCTCGCCGTGGCCGACCATGACCTCCATCGTGACTGCCAGAGATGCGCCTGTGCATATGGCCCCAGATGAGTCCGACCTACTAGATGCCCCACTAAGCCCGATGCAGGAAAGCGCCGCAGCGACCCCACGGCGGGGCCCACCGCCTAGCAGCACGCAAGCTACGTTGATTCAGCCGTTGATTCCTGTCTCGACTCGGTTCTGGTTTGGCGTGTTCCGCGATACCATGCCAGATGCCGACAGCCTCAACGAGCGCGATGGCATGGGCTGTGCACGCCTGCCAACCGACCTCCCCGCCGATGCGCGGCCTGGCAAACTGCAGTGGTTCTGCATTGATGAGGACCTCGTATACCTGAGCTTCTCGAACGACTGGGGTCCCCTGAACATTGCCATGTTTTACCGATTCTGTGTCCACGTCCACCAAATGCTCATTGATCCCGAGACGCAGGGAATGCACCTGGTCCTGTACACCACTACACACCCTCACCATAAGGCGAATGCTGCGTTGCTGTGTGCATTGTACGCGATGACCATTGACCACTTGACACCGGCGGATGCATTCTACCCGTACAGCGAGATGGAGTTTATGCCGTTCCGCGATGCGGGCTATGGACGTGCTGACTACAGTCTGACGATCCAAGACATCCTCTATGGTATGCGCCGGGCCTTGGATCATGGCCTGCTGGACCTGACGACATTTGACTTGGAGTCGTACGAACATTACGAACAGGTCCAGAACGGCGACTGGAACTGGATCACGCCGCATTTTCTTGCGTTTGCGAGTCCCAAAGACCGTGCGTTTATGGCGTCACTGGCTGCGGCTGGCCCAGCCGCCGCGGCAAGTGCGGCCAAGCGTATGCCGGTCAATCCAATGCTCCAAAGCACAGTCAAGTACTTCCAGGAGCACAACATCTCGTTGGTCGTGCGGCTGAACAATGCATTGTACCATCGCTCCGTGTTTGAGAATGCAGGTATGCAACACAAGGACCTGTACTTTGACGACGGCTCGAATCCGTCGGAGGACATCATTCGTACGTTTATCCACGAAGCCGACCGCGTCATTTCGCAAGGCGGCGCAATTGCCGTGCACTGCAAGGCCGGACTGGGTCGGACAGGTGTGCTGATCGGCGCTTATCTGATTTGGAAGTACGGCTTCTCAGCCAGTGAAGTGATTGGATACATGCGCCTCATGCGTCCTGGTTGTGTGGTCGGTCCCCAGCAGCACTTTATGTACGAAAACGCCACGACGTGGATGCGGTGGGGCGTCGAAGATCGCCTTCGTGCACAGTGGGCCAAGGAAGCTACGCCCTCGCCTGCCTTGCCTGTGCCAGAGACGCCGGCCAAGGTCGAGGCGACGACAACTTCCCTGCCGCACATCAAGCCCACGCCATGTGTCGGCCAGCCCCGCAAAAGCCCTAGCCCGAAACGCCGCCGTGTTGGCATGGCCGCCCTGGCTACGACCGAGACGCAGGCGACGCATACCCCTTCTTCCGCGGCGGTGTCCATGCCCGCCGCACGTTCGCGTGTCGTCTCGGATGAAAAGGATGCCGAGTCGGTGGAGGCGCAGCTCAAGACACCACGCACCGATGCCGAGGTGCTGGGCGTCGTAGAGCGTACGCCGTCATCCACAGCGGCCTCGCGCGTACACGACGAAGCTCGTATGCCTCGCGCGACCGCGCTGTCCACGCGCTCACCACGCCGAGCGATGGCGCCAGCGCAGCCTACCGCCACATCGACACGCTCGACGCTGCCGAGTCCCAAGGCCGTGGCGCCTCGCAGTGCGACGCGCATCACGCCACGGCCCGGCTCGGAAAACAGACCGCCGACGGTGCGAAACCTGTCGCGCGCCTCGCCACGCGCTCGTCCTTAGAGAGACATAGACAGGATACCATGGTTGTCTATAGGAACTAGTTCTTCTTTTTGGATGGCATGTCAAGCACGACATGGCATAAAAGACATGATGTTACACAATACCCCAGAGATCTTCCAGGCTGCAGCAAAACTTACCGCACGCCACACTGGCACTAAGGCTGTACTCACTGATAGAGATTTTTTCGTCGACGACATCGTCCGCAAAGTTGTCTTCGCCATGCGCCATGGCACCGACAAACACAGCAATGCTGCGGTCTGCGGGAATCGTGGCAAGATACGACGTGAGGCGCTGCACAGGCGCATTGTACGACAGTGTGATCTTATGGGTGTTCGCAGGGAAGTAGTCTGTCACAGGGTTCTTGATCACACGCAGCAACTTCTCCGAGCCCTTGATCGAGCGAATACTCAGCCGATGCAGCAGCTGCACCATAAGGCCACTGAACCGCTTAAAGGTACGTGGAATACGCACTTGCGGATTGACTTCAATCAGCACGCCCTTCGACGTGTGGATGTACACTTGTAGGAGACCGGCCTTGTTCAGAGGCGAGTCCAGCAGCGTGAGAAGGCACTGGTGCGTAATGTCCGGACGGGCCTCCGCAATATCGCGGCCCATCTTTGCCAGCACCTTTTGGTGATCATCGCAGTTAAGAAGGGCATACTTCTCACTCGCCTCCTTGTTGCCTCGGGAGTGCGTAGCACTGCCACTTGAGACTTTGTACGTCTCCAAGCACGCTTGCTCCAGCACCACAATCAGACGTGGCGTCGATTCCTTATCAGCATTGGTCTTGGGCACCTTGGGTATCGCAGGGACCATGCTAGGGTCAGCTCGTGTACGTTTGGACGGCAGCTGCGAGCCGCCCGTCGATGTAGCTGCTGCTGCCGCCGCTGAAGCCGACATGAGACTTTGCTGTTGCTGTTGCTGTTGCTGTTGCTGTTGCTGTTGACGCAGCACAGATGCTGGCGTATGTGGCGCAGCCGTCGGTGACAGCACTGACTTTTTCTTCGGCGCCGCCTCTTTCACGTCCGCAGTGCTGCTGCTCGGCGTTGCCTCCGTCTCGGCCACTTCGTCTTCCTGCATCGCTTCGGCGCTGTCCAGGTACGAGTTGCGCAGTGCAGCGAACGAGCGCGTAGCGCGTGGTTTGCGTGCTTCGCCAGTCGGTAGGGGCGCAATAGGACGATGTGAGGCAGGGGCGCTGATCGTCGAGCGAGCCGCCTCATCATCGGACGAAAAGTAGTCGGACTCGGTCATCGTGTCCACCCACGTCGTCGATAAAGAAAGTCCACCACTTTTTTTCTGACCAGCCCTGGAGGACCCAGCCGAGTCCAGCAGCCCCGCTTGCTCGCTTGCGCGGCCTGCCCCTTGCCTGGCCCCGGCAAAGAAAAAAGGGGCACGTGGTAATGGAGGTGTGTGTTCCGAACAGGACGCTCGGCGCGAGCGCGACGCGGGCGGCACAGAACCCTCCCTTCGTCTGCCACTGTGAGCGCGGGCGACCGACACGACGCTGGGTTGCTACGATGCCTGCCGTGCCAGAAGGGCAGATTTTCAAAGCGACCTACTCGGGTGTGCCCGTGTATGAATGCATCATCAAGGATGTGGCGGTCATGCGCCGTCGAAGCGACGCGTGGCTAAACGCGACACAGATCCTCAAAGTCGTGGGATTGGACAAGTCCCAACGCACACGTGTCCTCGAAAAGGAGGTCCAAAAGGGAATACACGAGAAGGTCCAGGGTGGCTACGGCAAGTACCAAGGTATGTGGCACGGTCATGCTCACTCGGTCAGGGACATGGATCCCCATGGATGTAGCGATTGCGCTCGCGGAACACTATCGCATTCGCGATCTACTCGAGCCGATTATTTCGTTTGTGCCTTCCGACAAATCGCCGCCGCCCGCACCTAAGCATGCTGTCGCAGCAGCCGGGCGCTTCAAAAAGACGCCCAGTGAGATAATGGATCCCGTGCGATTGCGTGCGTCGAGTGACGAAAACAGCAGCGAAATGATGGGCGGCGACGACTACAACGGCACTGAAGGGAGTATCAGCCCATCGCCCAGCGACTTGAGCAGCTCAAGTCGTACGCCCAGCCCCATCGCTCCAGATGCTGCGAAGCCAGATACGTATTATGGTGGGTATACGGATCCACGGCAGGCCGCTAGCGGCGCTATGTATACACCGACAGGCCGCATGGGCCAGCCAGCCTATGCGCCATACCGCGATACCATGGCGCCATCATACGACGAGATGGACCCGCAAGCGCGCTATGCGGAGATCATCCTGGACTACTTTATTAGCGAGACCACGACCATTCCTCCGCTGTTAGTGAATCCGCCGCCTGACTTTGATCCGAATATGAGCATCGATGAGGATGAGCATACAGCTCTGCACTGGGCATGTGCCATGGGCCGCATTCGCGTCGTAAAGCTGCTTCTTACCGCCGGCGCCGATGTGTTCCGTGTGAACAGCAACGGACAAACGGCGCTGATGCGGGCGGCCATGTTTAGCAACAACTATGACCTGCGCAAGTTCCCGGAACTGTTCGAGCTTTTGCATCGCAGCATTCTCAATATTGACCGCAATGACCGCACAGTGTTCCACCATGTCGTGGACTTGGCCTTGAGCCGTGGAAAGCCACATGCGAGTCGCTACTACTTGGAGACGATGGTGCATCGCTTGGCCGAGTATGGCGAGCAGTTAGCCGACATTTTGAATTTCCAGGACGACGAGGGAGAGACGGCTCTTACGATGGCCGCGCGGGCGCGATCGAAGCGTCTGGTCAAGCTTTTACTGGAGCACGGCGCCGATCCCAAGATCCGGAATCGGGAGGGCAAGAATGCCGAAGACTATATTGTGGAAGACGAACGCTTCCGGGCCAGTCCTGCACGACCTGGCCATCCGGCAGGTATCCCGCCCAGCAACACGCCGCACTCCTCGGAGGCTGGGCAACGAGCGGCCGGCCGCTCAGTGGGCCTGGTGTCCACGTTGCTGCATGATTTGGCGGATAGCTACGATACGGAACTCTCGGTCCTCGAGAAGAAACTGACACATGCCCAATCGCTCCTGGTCCAAATCCAAAGCGAGATTGCGGATAGCAATCGTATGGAAGCGTCGATGAAGTCGGATCAGAACACGTTGTCGTCGGCCACATCGCTCTCTTCGCTGGAACACACGTACCTCCAAGCTCGGCACCTGAAAGACCGGACGGAGGCCGAGGCAGCCTGGTCAGAGGCGCACGCACGCGTCCAGACGGCGCGACCTGATGGCACGCTTGGCGCGGCGCCGGAAGCGGAGGCAGCGACGCAGGCGCTGTGTGCGGCGCCGACGAACGACCTGGCGTCTGAAGTGCAGGTGACACTGGCCCAGGCGAAGGAGGCGTGGGCGCAGTACACAGCCCTGCAGCAGCAGCATCTGACAGAGCTGCGTGACGAAGGTGCCGATCGGACCATGACGATGTACCGCCGCCTCATTGCGGCGGGCTGCGGCGGTATTTCTACCGCCGAAGTCGATGCGGTCGTCGGCGTGCTGAGCGATTTGCTGGAAGAAGGAGCCGGGGCCGCCGATACAGACGTTGCCATGACGCCCAAAGACAAGCCTGTGACGTTGCCTACGCCGATGGCGTCTGTAGAGTCGGCCCCTGCGCCTGTCCTGACGTCGTAGTCCTATACCCACCCTGAGCGTAGACTTGATAGAATGGCGCAGCGAACCGTCTTGGGAATTTGGGCCCATTATGTGGAGTGCCTACGTTTTTTTTCTGTCGTCTACGACCATGTCGGCACCTCGTCGCAGTGCGTTGGCCGTCCGACGTGAGAAGGCCGCGGCTGCTGCGGCTGCAGCAGCAGCGCCAACGGTGGCAGCTACGGCGACTCCCAGTATGCCAGCGTCGTCGTCCACGACACCGTGGCCAGACGCAGCGCCGTCCTCTCGTCCCAAACCCAAACGTGCACGAGCATCCAAGTCACGCAATAGTCCAGCTCCTCCGCCTTCGGCCGCTCCTGCCACTACGCTCCCGCCGCCTATGCCGCCAGCGCAGCCCGAGGTGCCTACCGAGAGGCAACTACGGTATCTGCATGTCCAGCACGATGCAGCGCAATTCCAATGGAATGATACCTCGCTCACATGTACGCTGCAGTCTCACGAAGGAGTGGTCCTTCGGGGCGTATGTACCCTGCACGTCGTACGTGGCTCTGTACGTGCTGCTGGTGCGGTGCTCACGTCGGCCTCCTTGCCGATGCCAGTGTGGGCGCCTGACGTCGCGCCGGCCGTGGACGTCGTCGCGTTGGCCGACGATACATGCCTTCGCATCGAGAATGCTGCGCCTGGCATTGAGCAGATCGGCCGCGTGTGCCCTCTGGCCGGCGCTGACCCATTTGCGCAGCTGCATGCCTTGCCCCGCCTTACATTTCACCTGGTCTCGGACCTGACCGAGCCGGCGCTGCGTACGCCTATGGAATGGCGCGATACCATGACGCAGCTCTGCGAGGCCGCATCGCCTATCGTGCTGCTTCGTGGCACCAAGAACACGGGCAAATCTACATTTGCACGCCTCTTGCTTCATACCCTAGCGACGGCCTCCTCGCAGGTGCCTCGCTTTGTCGCATGGCTCGACATGGATATCGGCCAGCCGGAGTTTGGGCCGCCAGGGATGCTGTCGCTGCATGTATGGGATACGCAGCGCGAGGCATGTGTCGCTGCGCCTGCGTGGTGCTCAGCGCGTGTGCCTGTGCGTGCTCACTACCTGGGCGACGTATCGCCGCGAGACGATCCTGCGCACTACGTGGCGGCCGTGGCCGATCTTGTGGAGTTCTTCCGTACCGAGTTGCAGTATACGACGCATGCGTCGCAGGTGCAAACGCATCTGGGCGTCCCGCCCACGCTGTGCGACCCTACGCCTACTGCACGTTCGCGGCAGGAGCAACGTATGCCGCTGCTGATCAATACACATGGCTGGCTCAAAGGGCTCGGTCTCGACTTGGTCCAGCAAGTGACCGCGCTGGTCCAGCCGAGCCATATCGTTGACCTAGGCGACGTGCCGCTCCATGGTGCGTACGCTACGCTGCCTGCGTACGCTGATACGGCGGAGGGACGTGCAGCAGGGCCGTCGCGACGACGCATCAATGCCGCCGAGGCACGCACGCTTAGCCTGCTGTCGTACTTGCACATGACGCAGCTGCCGCGCCCGGGGATCGCCATGTCTGTCGCTGCGTGGGACTTTACGCCGCTCGTAGCTTCGCCTCCGTGGATCGTGGATGTGCATGAAGGCTTGGCTGCAGGGATTGGGTGCTTGGAGCGCCGTGCTTCGGTGGATCCGCCGCTGCGTTTGCTGGCGCTGAACGGCGCGATGGTAGCCATTGTGCAAGCGCCTGCCATGCCGATGGAGGAGTCCACGACTGCAGCGACGCCATCGGATGTGTGGCCGACAGCATGGCAGCGCGGCGCGGCGTTGGTCGCCCCGTCGTCGTTGGCGCCTGCGTATGGCTTAGCGCTCGTGCGTTCGTTGGATCGCGAGAAGGGGCACGTCCACCTCCTTACGCCGCTCTCGGGGACGTACCTGGCGGACCGTATGCAAGTGCATGGCATGCCACTTGGTCTCGTGCAAGGCGCGATGGAGCTGCCGTTCTGGGGCGCGTTGGATGCCGATGCGTATGCCGATGTCATGCAGTACCGTCGTGACGCGCCAGCTGCGCGGTTAGCAGGCGTGCTTCGGCAGCATGTCCCGTACCTGCAGTGGCCCGCGGACCTTGTGCCTGGCGACGCGGTGTCATTACACACGGAGCCTCTCGGTGCTCGGCCACGCAAGGTGCGACGCAACCTGATGCGGCGGCGGTACAATGCAGGCGGCGGCGGCGGCGCCTAAGCTCCATAGATTTTTGGTAGTGTGGAGGGCGACTGACTGGCAGTGCGACGTTTGTGGGTTTCTGCGTGTGGCGTTTTCACGACGACGAGTCTTCCGCGATGAGTGCGTCTGCGTCGAGTGAGCCGACGTACTTTTCGTCGGCGGCCCTCGATCGTGCGTGTGCAGGGATGGCCGCAGGAGTCATATCGACGATGTGCATGAACCCGCTGGACCTGGTCAAAACACGATTCCAGGTGAACCAAGTGCCCTTTTCCGCAGAGCCAGCCGACCGATCACGGCTGTACCAGGGCATTGCACGTCGTCCATGGCTGTTTTATATGATGGGCGGCAAACCTGTGGTCGACATTGTCGATGCGGTGCGTGGGATTGCCGCGCAGGATGGGCTTGCAGGGCTGTATCGTGGTGTGATGCCCAACATTGTCGGCAATGCCTCCAGTTGGGGTCTGTACTTCTTGTGGTACACCATGATCAAAGACTACATGGCGCAGCACCATAGCCGCGGCGCATCACAGCCGCTCACGGCCAGTGAGCACTTACTCGCAGCGAGTACGAGTGGCGTGATCACAGCAGTGATGACCAACCCCTTGTGGGTCATCAAGACGCGCATGTTCACCTCGTCGGCCCTGCAGCCCACGGTGCGGCCCAGTGCTGCTGGCACCCATAGCGCGACAAGTGAGCCTGGGCGCGCAGGCCTCGCTACGTCGAAAACCAACGCGCCGATCGTCTACCGCAACATGTGGCATGGCTTTGTATCGACGTGGCAGACCGAAGGCATTGTCGGTTTGTACCGCGGCGTCGGCCTAGCGATTATCGGCGTGTCGAACGGCGCGATCCAGTTCATGGCCTACGAGCAGCTGAAACAGTGGCGCTCCTCGGCGTACTTACGCCGCACGAGTAGCGACGCCCGCTTTTCGGAGCAACAGCTCGACAACGTCAAGTTGCCCAACGTGGAGTATACCCTGATTTCCGGCGCCGCGAAGCTGTTTGCGATTCTCCTGACGTACCCTTACCAGGTGATCCGCTCGCGGGTACAGTCCCTCGCCACGTCGCATCTCTACCGCAGTACATGGGACTGTGCGCGGATCACGTTCCGCGACGAAGGCCTGCGTGGCATGTACCGCGGCCTGGCGACGAACATTGTGCGCATTCTCCCGGGGACCTGCGTCACCTTTGTCGCGTACGAAAACGTGTCGTGGATGCTACGTACAGCTGCCGCGCGGCGGTCCTCTACATCGACGTCGGAACAACACACTGTATAATTAGGGCGGCGCACTGCTGCTAGAAAGGTCCGCGCCGTCGTTCTTCGCGCGCAGCGCACTCGTACCTTGCAGGATGGCCTGCTGCCGCTGCGCCGCGTCCCATCCACTGACGTTCGGCACCGCGTCGCTGGCGGCGCTGTCTGTGGCCGTGGCCGCGGCAGCAGCCGAGGACGCCGCGTACGCGTCCGTCAACGACGCTTGCGGCGCGCCGCTGAGTGGCTTGCGGTGCAACACGTCTGGCAGCGAAAAGTGCCACGCATCGTCGTCACCGTGACTCACCTGGCCCGGTCGGTTGACCACCGACTCAAACTCTTTGTAGGCACGGAGATGCTCTGGGAAATCAATACAGTTAAAGTCCCAGGAATCCAAAAGAATCGCATCGCCACACGCCGTGTTCGTCCACTGCGAGGCGTAGGTGATGGGCGCATAGCGCGAAAAGACCAGGCATGCGATCACGCTGAGGCCCAGCGCCGCATACAATCGGAAGGTGGGGCGCACACGCATCGTCAAGGCATCAAACACGGCCGCGAGCAGCAAAATACTAATGTAGAGCGCCGGCAGGTAGTGATGCAGGAACAGCTGCCGCTTCATCAGGAAGAACGGCACATAGTGCAGAGCGTACGCCATCGCCAAGAAGCCACACACACGGTCGTACTGCACGACAGCGCTGCGGGTAAAGTCCTGGTAGCCACGCTGCGCACGAAGCACAAGAAGCACACGCACCGCCACGTACACCAGCACCGCGACGGTCGCCGTCCACCACACGAACGGATTGCCGATCAGGTACACTTGGCGGTGGTGCTTTGTCCAGAAGTTGATGCCGCGACGCAGGATCGGCCAAGTATGCGGGCGCGACTCGTACACATGGTGCGCTGTCAAGTGCGCATTGACCGACCACATGACCTTGTGCAGCTCAAGGAACTTGCCGAGGAAGCCGGGTAGTACATAGTTCACTTTGTGCGTGAGCTCTGTGAACTGGGGATGCTCGCTCGTCTCGATGTACCACAGCGAGTTGGGCAGCGTCGGGCTGGTATTGCACGTCACTTCCTGCTGGCCAAAGCCCCAGTCCGGCAGCGAGACTTTGTGCGAATACAAGTAGCAGCCCAAATTCGCATGCTTCAAACGGAAGACGGTGCGCAGCGTGTGCAGCTGCTTGTCATCGTACGCACGCGGGAGGTACTCTTGGTCGTGGATTTCCACGATCCAGTTGTCGTTGATATCACCACCGAAGCGCAACGCAGGGAAGCCATAGCCCGTCACTTCGTTTTGGTAGTCCGCCTCGCTTACCGGCGGACGGTGGTCCGCATGCGAGTGCAGGCGCATGCTGGTCGTAGCATGAATGAAACGCACCACATCGCCATGCTTGACGTACGTGATATTGTGGTAGAACCGCGTAATCTCGTCGTCAGGCGTGATCGCATGCCCGTCCTTGTTCAGCTCGTACTTTTCCCAGTCCTCATTGGGCGCCCGAATGAGGATCCATTCATTGTTCTCATCACGGAAGGGGTACAGCGTCACCTGCTGCTGATGACTGCCTGTCTCATAGTGATGGTCGTGCGAATGCAGGTAGCCGCCCAGCGTGTTGTAGTGCTGCAAGCGCACCGTGGAGCCTAGCGCTACCTCCGCATAGGTATCCTCCATCCCATTGCCCTCCAACGTGTGGCGGAAGGCCCAGCTCATAAACGTATCGCCTTGCCCCGCCTTGGTCAGCACGCTGAAGTGGATGGCAAACATCGACATGTACACTACCAGCGGGACGACAAGCAGGCACACAGCACGCGCCACAAAGTGGCGTACCAGCGTAGGAATCGGCACACGAAGATCACCTAGATGGTACCACAGCTGCACGATCACGGCGATGCCAACACTCGCCAACGTGAACAGACCGACCCACTTGCAGCTCAGCACGAGGCCGAGGAAGACGCCTGTGGCGATCAGGCACGCCCACCACACGCGCGAAAACGGCGCACGGGCATCTGCCTGCATAAAGAACACCCATGCACACAGCGACGATGCCACAAAGAACACCAACGGCGCATCCAGCAAGATCAAGCGAGACTGTGTCGTGAGTGCATTGTCCCACAGCACAAGCATCGCGCCGAGGATTGCACTGGCTGGGCGCATATGCAGCGCACGCAGCGTCAGGTACGCCGTAGGCACAGTCAACGTGCCGAACAACGCACCGACGGACCGCATCGCCACATACGGCACGGCCTCTTTACCAGGTGTCGTGAGGTACTCGGTCCCAATGTCCGAGAAATCAAAGTCGCCACGGAAACCATGCAGCCATGCAGCAAGCGTAATCATCAGCTTCGCCAGCGGAGGGTGCACATCCATAAAGAAGGCGCGCGAGATATACTTGGCCGCAAAGCCACCGAAATGCACTTCGTCAAACCTGCACATGGTTAGCTTTCTCTATACGTACACGACACTACTGGGCCGCTCAATGTGGTAGAAGCGCACGATCAGCGCTAGGAACGTGATCACGCCTAGCACCACCAGCTCCATGCGGGTGATCAGCAGCGGGCGGGTGGGCACCTCGGCGCGTGCTGTGCCATTTGGCTGCGTCGAGTCTAGCAGCTTTTCTTTCTCTGCCGCGGGCACATACGAGTCCCGCGTGGGGATCCATGTATCGGGCTGCGAAGTATGCGGCGTCTGGCGCGCACGCATCGTCGAGCCACGTCCCAGATCCATGCTACTTGCGCTGCCACACTCGGCGTGAGAGTGTTGCGTAGCCGCGCCCGCACGCACGCGCCGCGCCCATCTGCACGTGATGCCTACGGAGGGGTGTCGTACTCCACTCGTGCGCCCCCCTCCCGCTAGGAACCATGTCTGTGCGTGCAGCGAAACTGGCGCTGCGCAAGCGGATGCGCGAGAGCCTCGCTACGCTAGCACGCCATGACATTGAAGTGCAATGTACGTAGGCACCTGCCTCTCCCTGACGCCAGCGGAACGTGTATGCCAGCGTCTTCAAGCGATGCCTGTGATGCAGCAAGCGCAGCGCATTAGTGTGTTTCTCAGCATGCCTACCGCGGAAATCGATACGTGGTCCCTCTGCCGCTGGGTGTTGAGCCAAGGCAAGGACCTGTATATCCCACGCTTCTCTACGATTGCGGATGGCGCGCATGCTACGACGAAGCACCAATTCACAGAGATGCATATGCTTCGCGTCATGTCGGTCGACGAATTGGATCACGGGCTTACGCCCAACAAATGGGGCATCGCTGAGCCTTCGTGGACCCTGGATAATGGCGCACCTCGTGAGAATGCCCTAGAGCCAACGAGCCGCGGGCTCGATGTGATTGTCATGCCGGGCCTGGCGTTTGATCGGCAGGGCGGGCGTCTGGGCCATGGCAAGGGGTACTATGACAAGTATCTCCTAGACGCTCGCGCTCGCACCCCCGGCGGGCGCACCGCGGCCATTGCCATCGCGCTCGAGGAACAAGTGCTCGACGAGCCTGTCCCACGCGACGCTCACGATATGCCGTACGATGCCCTTATCACAGCCGAAGCACTGTATTCCGTTTCTACATTATAATGACACATTTCGTGACGTTTCCATCGCCACACCACCAACCACAGCGCTGGCCAGCAGCGCACGGAGCGCTGTTCGCCGGCCTGCCGCATTGGTTAGAAAGTCCAGCCGTCCGCCGAGTCGGCCCAGCAGACGCAGCGCAATCCATGGATCGCCTCGGCCAGAGAGACGACGCAACGCTGCGACGGCCAAGCTCGCTAGGACGACCACCGACGTCATATCCAGCAAAATACGGAACGCCAAACTCGCCATGATCATAGCAAAGCGGAACGGCGAGCGAAGTAGCGACCATAGTGTCCCACGCCGAGTGCCACGCGCACGCCATGCCTCGTAGCTCAGCGAGGTGGTATCGCCTTGGCTGGATCCCAGCCCGAGGAACAACGCCATGTCCTGCAGCGCATGCCGCGCCGCTTGCATGGTTTGCTGCAGCACCACACGTACCTCGCGACCTTGTTTCTGCGGCGTCATGGACGATTCGGCGCGTTCCAAGCGCTCCGTCAAAGCCGCGAGCGAGGCCTGGATCGCCCGTAATGTTTGGTCCATATCAGACGCTGGCGCTGCTGGTGCCGAGGAGGTAGGCGGCCCAGCAGGCGGTGCAGCTCGTGCGACCATCGCTGAGGATGCACGCTTCGCGCCGCCATGCACACTCGACCGACTGCCGACCGACGAGGCGTAGCGGCCAAGCGGTCCGCCCTGGATCGAGCGTGACGGCGCAGTGGATTCCATGGCCGAAGCAAACGAGCGCGAGCCACGGTCACTCGCGGCAGCGACGCCAGAGTAGACCGATTCCTCGCGACGTGATGGGCGTGGTCGGGCTGCCCGCATGGCTCGTCGCTGGGACGACGTACGTTGGAGCGATGTAGCTGTCTCCTGCGCCCGCTCTTTCGGCAGCGTGAGCGGGCGTGGCGGCATATCGCTTCCAGTTACTGTATCATGCGAGCCGCTGCCCGTATTGGTCTCTGCCTCCGTCGTACGTGGCCGCGGAAGAGGTGGCGGGGCAGGAACGAGGACATCGTCTGCGATGCTGGACGATGCTTCATCGTACATGGCGCTATGCTCGTACGTCCGACTTGGTGCTTCTTTCCCGATACTAGACGAATGAATACTGGACGTTTCTGCGAGTGTGCCTGGGGTCAGCGTCGTGCCACGTACCGTTCATCACTTGCTCGGCTACGTCACCGCTGTACGCCTCGAGCTCGGCCATGAGCGAAATGGCTAGCGGTCGATCCTCAAAGCGGCGGAGAATCTAGTGTGAGGGCCAATGTACATACCTTGAGCATGCTCTCGACATACAGCTGCTTTGCATCCTGCTCCGAGTACCCCTTATGACGGTCCCATGCATCCCTGCGTGTGAGTCGCTCGTCACGTACCATTTTGCACGGCCGAGCATATCAAACATGCCAGGGCGACGTGTGCGTACGTCGCCTTCAGTGGCTGTGGATGGTGAGCCAAGATCGCAGCGTACCCTGCTTAAACAAGCTGCGAGAGCGTGAGCAAGGCGTGCATCGACATACCCATACAAAGCCAATTTCTCCTCGTACGATGTCTGAATCGGGCCAGCCGACGGGAGCGACTGCACAATGTCGACCGTGCGCTCAAAGAGCCTACATGTGAGCCAACAAGCCTACGTACGCGTCAATCACCTTGGCACTGCTCATCACGGCGCGCACGTACGGTAAGCGGCCGCCGCGTCGCGCGCGCTCTCTCCTCGGCATACGTCGTGGGGAACGACCTACTAGGCCGGCCCTACCACGCTGACTCAGCCACGTCCCTCCGGCTACGGCGTTGACACCGTGGGTCTTGGTCCCCACACGAACGTTGCTTGACATGCGCCCGCTCTCACGAGGGAGCCGTACGTGGCTCCGCCGCGGTATGAATGTGGCTGCTGTGGCGACTGGGCTTATTGGCGGTATCTATTTGCTAGCTCAGTTTACTCTGTCGAAATTCAACGATATGCAGGAGCGCCTTCTGCGCGATCGCGTCGCCCGCGAAAAGTACGTACGTCTTTGTGTCCCTTCTTACCGACAGCTTGCGTCGTCGATTCCTGCAAAACCAGGAGGACTGCTCTTTTACGATCATGGCATTGCTTCCGACCTTGTCGACCCAAATTTTCGAGGCGATGGACGTCGAGTCAATTAGCCAGGAACTCCTAGCGCAGAACAAAAAACCGGCTTCGGAGGTCGTCGCCGAGACGCCGGCGCCTGCCGCTGAAGCATCGGATGCGACGCCGACGCCTGGCACTGCTGACGCGGCTCCTCCTGCTGACGATGGCGCCGTTCCCTCCACGACGGCCGAGGCAACTACGCCCACGTCGGGCCGCTCGACGCCACGTCCCCAGAGCTTGGACTTGGTATCTGAGCAGCCCCCAGAGCCGATCTCCGCCACGGCCAAGCTGCCTACCGCCTCGAATGTGGTCTCGGAGGAAGAGCGCCGAGCCAACAAACTGCGCCTGTGGAACCAGATCAAACATGTATCCTTTGAACGAACCTTCACAACGCTCTATACTCTCGTATTCCTCTCTTTGCAAACGTATATCCAACTCAACCTGCTAGGTCGCCGGGCGTACCTGGCCGCCCTGGAAAACCAGTCGAAGCACGATGCGGTCATGTCGTCGCAGGATGATGGCATGCCGCTTGAGCCCCACCACATCACGCTGCATGGCGACGGCCTCGATGACGCCATAGCGCCGGACAGTGATGCCGACTCAGCGGAGGGACGGCTCTCGCAGGACACGGAGCGAAAGTACCTGACCTCCAGCTACTGGTTCCTGCACCGCGGCTGGCAAACGGTCGCGACGGATGTGCGACGCGCGGTGCATGAAGAGCTGGGCGATATGCCGCTCAAAACTGTGCTTACCTACCAGCATGTCGAGGCGCTTGTCGAGCGAATTCGTGCGCGACTGGAGCACGAGCCTACGGGAGGACGTGTCTCGACATGGGACGGCGTCGATGGGTTCCGCAACATTTTGCTGCCCGAGTCCGAGTCGGATAGCATCGAGATGCTGCAGCAGGCCGGCGCGTTGTCTGACGACACAGGGCCCTTTGAGGCGATTACGCCGCAGCTGCGTGCGCTGTTGGACGAGACGAAGGACTACATTGATTCCCCTGACTTTGCTTTTGTGTTCCGCGCCTCGTGTGATCGCGTGTTCAAGCGATTCGTGCGTAGTCTTGCGCCATCGTTTGGCGTGCGCGACAAGGGCCCGAAGCGCGCGGAAAAGTCGCTGTTGCTCGCCAAGGTGCTTCCCTTGGTCTCGCAGCAAGCGCAGGTCGCACTGACTTCGTCGCCCAACAACTATGTGGAGTCGATTGTAGAAGGCCACGAGCTTCGGGCGCTCAGCGTGCTCATTTATGCGGCATGGGACGACGAGCTCGACATGTAGGTTACCATCCTTCTCCTAGAGGCACACCGGCTGTCTGGGCGCTCTGCGCGTGGCACGGCCTGCTTGTGGAGGCAGCGTCTTTGCACGTGCGCATGAAATTTTCCTTGCCTTTTTTTAGCCGCGCGGCGAGCACGTACCTACACACGCATACCGTCTCGATGGCGACGTGCGCGGCTGTGGAAACGCTGCTCCAAAGCGCGAGCACGGAAGATGCCCATAGTAATGCAGAGCTGTTGGCAGAGTACATCAACACCCAGGGCTTCCGTACACTGCACTCGGAGCGCATTCTGACCGAGCTGGTGGACAAGCTCAAGAGCAAGAAGAATGCTGAGGAGCGTGAGCGTGCGGCCATTGGCTTGGGGGCTATTGCGACCAAGGTCGCAGGAAAGAATGCGCCGATGCCACTGGGAGCAGAGCCGTGGCTTGTGCCTGCGCTGGCTCCGTTGCTGGATGGCTATGCGGACAAGAACGACGCTGCGAAGAAGGCGGCGGAGAGTGCCGTATCGGCTATGGTGACGCTGTTCCCCCCTGAAGCGGCGGTGGAGCTGCTGGAGGCACTCTACGAGGTAATCAACAATGGTGCAGCCAAGTGGCAGGCCAAGGTAGGCGCGCTGAAGATCATTTCGCGCCTCGCCGACTTGGCGTACGAGCAGGTAGGCGACGAGCTGACCCAGCTCACACCTGTTCTTACGACGGCCATGCACGAGACCAAGGCGGAAGTGTCCAAGCAGGCCATCAAGACGGCGACCAAGGTGTGCGGTGTTATTGACAACAATGATATTCGTCCCTTCATCCCTGACTTGGTCGGCTGCATGGCACGTCCTGACTCGGTCCCGGCATGTATCAAGAAGCTCTCTTCCATTACGTTCGTGGCCGAGGTGACGGGCCCTGCGCTGGCTGTCATGGTGCCGTTGCTGAGCCGCGCCCTGAACGAACGTAGCCAGACCGTGCAGCGTCAGTCGGTGATTATCGTCGACAACTTGTGCAAGCTGGTCCGTGATCCACACACAGCGGCTCTGTACCTGCCTACGCTTCTGCCGCAGGTCGAGCGTATTGAAAAGGGCGCGTCGTTCCCTGAGGTGCGTGAGCATGCCAAGAGCGCTGTGACGACTCTTCAAGGCGCGTTTGCTGCTGCCGATGCGTCGAAGCAGGAAGCGTCCGACCCCATTGCCGCTCGCACAGAAGCACAAAGTGCGGCGCTCCAGCGCCTTGGCGCGGCCGTGCAGCCCCGCGTCCCGACAGGGGTCGTGTTCTCCGCGTTGGGCGACGCGTTTACCAAGACGGGGCTCGAGTACGTCGCGCGTGTACTCGTCCGTCTGGCCGACAAGCGGATTGTGCAGGCGGAGGCGTGGAACGATGTATACGTCCTGCCGTACCTGCGCCGCGTCTGTGAGACGCCCGAGGGCGCACAGGCGGCGACAGATGACGTACGTGCGACGTACGTGCAGCTCGACTTGGACCGATTCGGTAAGCCCGAGGACGATGACAGTGATATGGAAGGCGAGAAGCTGTGTGATACCATTTTCAGCTTGGCGTACGGTGGTCTGCTTTTGCTGAACCATACGCGACTGCGTCTGTACCGTGGCCATCGCTACGGTATTGTGGCTGCAAACGGTAGCGGAAAGTCGACCTTGCTCAAGGCGATGCGCGATGGCAAAGTCGAAGGCTACCCGGACCAGGACCAAGTACGTACCGTCATGGTCGAGCACTCGCTGCAGGGCGAAGATGGCTCGAAGCCGATTCTTGACTTTGTTGTCGGTGATCCGAAGCTCGCGCACAAGACGCGCGATGATGTGGCCGCGGCGCTGCGAGAAGTGGGCTTTGACGATGAACGTCAGCAGACGCCGGTCGGCAGTCTGAGTGGTGGCTGGAAGATGAAGTTGGAGCTGGCCCGTGCGATGCTCATTGGTGCGGATATCCTGCTGCTGGACGAGCCGACGAACCACTTGGACGTGCAGTCGATTCGCTGGCTGGAAGAGTACCTGGTCTCGCACAATGATATTACCGTGCTCACCGTCTCGCACGACTCTGGGTTCTTGGACAACGTGTGCACAGACATTATTCACTACGAGCAAAAGAAACTCAAGTACTACCGCGGTAACCTCTCGGAGTTTGTCAAGACGCGGCCGGAGGCGAAGAGCTACTACTCGCTTGCTGCGACGACCGTCAAGTTCACGTTCCCGCCGCCTGGCTCACTCATGGGCGTGCGTTCCAACACACGTACGATCCTCAAGGCCTCGCATGTTACCGTGCACTACCCCGGCATGCCGCGCCCGTCGCTTGTCGACGCCAGTGTCGCGATCAGTTTGTCGAGTCGCGTGGGTGTGGTCGGTCCGAACGGTGCCGGTAAGAGTACGCTGATCAAGGTGCTTACCGGTGAAATTATTCCGACGGAAGGCAAGGTCGAGAAGCACCCGAACTTGCGTGTCGCGATGATGGCGCAGCATGCCTTCCACCATCTCGAGCAGCATCTCGAGAAGACGGCGTGTGAATACATTCGCTGGCGGTACCAGGACGGCCACGACCGTGAGATCACCGAGAAAGCTACACGCAAGCTCACCGCGGAAGAGGCTGAGCAGATGAAGACGCCTATTGTCTCAACGACGGGCGAGAAGCGTATGGTCGAGTTCATTGTCGGCCGCAGCAAGCTGAAGAAGAGCTACCAGTACGAGATCAAGTGGGTCGGCTTGGAGCACCGCTACAACACGTGGATCCCGCGTGAGCGTTTGCTGGAGCTGGGCTTCTCGAAGCTTGTGCAGAAGTTTGACGACTTTGACTCGTCGCGTGAAGGTGCGGGCAGTCGTGAGCTGAGCCAGAAGGCCATCCGAGCCGAGCTGGAAGCGGTGGGTCTCAATGGTGAGATTGCCGAGAACAATGCGATGGGCGGCTACAGTGGTGGTCAGAAAGTCAAGGTCGTTCTGGCTGCCGCGTTGTGGAACAACCCGCAAGTTTTGGTCCTCGATGAGCCGACGAACTATCTGGACCGCGAGGCGCTGGGTGGCCTGGCCGTGGCGATTCGCGAGTGGGCCGGGGCCGTGTTGATTATTTCCCACAACCAAGAGTTTATTAGCGCGCTATGCCCGGAAATTTGGCAGGTCGAGGGTGGCCGCATCATCTCCAAGACTCGTACGGACATCGCTGCGGAGAACTTTGCCGACTCCAGCGCTTCGACTCCGGCTGGCACCGAGCCTTCTAGCGCTGCGCCAAGTGCGCCAGGCAGTGTCGCCCCCAGTGCACCCGGGAGCGCTGCGCCGAGTGCGCCAGGCAGCGCTGTGCCTAGTGACGACGAAGACATGTCGAAGCTCAAGGCGAAGAAGGGCAAGAAGAAGCTCACACGCAACGAAAAGAAGGCTCAGGAAGAACGTCGTCGCTTGCGTTTGAACCGCTGGCTGCAGTACGGTGGTGAGCGCGAGCCCGATACAGACGACGAATAAGTAGAGTGTACGAAGTAATAGTGGTGGTCTTTCACGTGATGGTCGTGAGCGGTGGAGGTGGTAGGCGCGACGTCGCGCGGCCCACGCTCTCCATTTTTTTGTTATTCTTCGTTCGCAGCACGATGCCGGAGGCGACGCTGACGCCGCTGCCTGTGCATGCGATCGATGTATCGACGAAACATGTGATGGCCCTTACCGGTGCCAACATTCTTGTATACGACCGCGCCTCAGGTGCTTTGCATGCCTCGTTAGAGGCCCACATTGACGCGGCGCCGCATGATGGGCCGATTGTCAACGTAGCGCATTTCCCTCGTCTGTGTGCCTTCTCGCCCAGTGGCGACTATGTTGCTGTGGCATCGGACGACAAGATATTGCGTGTATGGCATGTAGACCACCTGGCCTATGGCGAAGAAGTGATGCTGCAGCGCCTCGCGAAGCGGGCTGGTACGCTGCAGTGGACATGCTATGCGGACCATGGCGAAGAGGTCGTGGTCGCCGATAAATTTGGCGACGTATGGAGTTTCCCGTTAGACCTAACACAGCCCGTCATTTCTCTCGATGCGTTGGCAGAGGTCAATGCGGATGCGGATACGAGCGTGTCTGCATGGCAGCCGCGCCTGGGCCATGTGAGTATGGTGACATGCTTAGCCTTCTTGGGCGAGGAGGGCCACGTGCCTCATACGATCGTGACGTGTGATCGTGACGAGCATATCCGTCTCTCACGGTGGGGTCCACACCGTGCGGCGTACGTGGTCGAGTCGTACCTGCTCGGCTCCCGTAGCTGCGTCGGTGCGTTAGCCGTCCTACCTGCTGCGTCGGCATCGCAGGCCGGCTTGCCTGCGCACGACAAGCCTGTGCTCATTACCAGTGATGGCGGAGCTTGCCTGCGCGTATGGTGTGCGACGGCACAAGGCGCGTACCAGCTGCATGCGACTGTACATCTGACAGCCACACCGCTGCTGGAGCATGTCACGATCGATGCGGGTGTGGAGCGCCGTCGTGAGAAAGCAGCGTCGAATCTGGCGTTCCAGGGCGTGTTTGATCCTAGCGAGCCGGAGCCTGCTTCCAAGCGTACGAAGCGCTCGGACGGCCAAGACGAAGCCTCTTCGACGCCGACTAGCGGCACAACGCTGGTCATCCAGCGTCTTGTGCCATACACCTATCAAAACCGCACGTGGCTCCTTGTATGTGTGGAGGGCGCAGATGCTGTGTACAGTGTCGCCCTGGATCAATTGCAGGCCGACGCCACAGACATGGAGCCTGTCACGAGCATGGTAGGCGCGCCTGTGCTTGGCGCAGCCCTAGCCTCGACCTCGGATGGCGTGCCGGAGCTCTGGGTCTGCTGTGACGATCGTGCGGGTCTCGGGTGTGCACCGCCGGTGCGTCGCCTTGTATGGAAGGACGACAAGGTATGTATAACGTCCACTTACACGCAGTGGGTCATGGTGCCACCCCCCTCGGGCGACGTACGTGCCCTCATGGACGCCGAGACGGCTTCAGAGACGCAGACGGTGGACAAAGTGCCTCAGCCAGCGCAGGGCGCAACCTTGGTCGCGGTGCCGCATACACCTCGTGCGCTAGGTATGTACATGAACGACTCACCATGCAGCACCACCAGCGACGTTGTCCAAGTTGTGCCTGTATTCGCAAATCATGACATGGCCCAAGCCGCCGCAGAACAATGCGGATGGCTCTCCTTTCCCGAGCTCTTTCCTGGCACAGCGCTCGGAGCAAGTCGCACGCGATATGGTCGAGCGATTCCAAGCGGGCAAACGCGCTGCAGGGCGTGCGAAGAACCAGCAGAGCATCCAACAGCAGTTTGGTGCGGAGCCGGCCACATCATCGTAACAGCGGTATAGCTCGGTATGTTTTTATAGGTACCTGTTGTCTACAAGGGTCTAGTCGGAATCGCTATCGTCGTCGTCGTCGTCGTCTTCCTCCTCATCCTCCTCCTCGTCTCCTTCGTCTTCGTCCTCCTCCTCTTCATAGACCGCATTCGAGGGCTTCACACGCTCGCCACGCATAATTGCCATCTGACCAGCAATGGAGTCCTCTTCCGGATCAGAGATCTCATCTTCCTCCTCAGGCTTCGGCATCAACTGCTCTGCCACGTAGAGCCGCATGAGTTTCGAGGCGTTGGAACCGACGTACGAATCCGACGCGACGTCCACCTGGAATACATACAAGCCCGGCTCCGGCGGCGCAATAATAGGCATATGCACGACGCGCGTCTCCGTTACGCCGACGTCGCCAAACTTGGTCGGCGAGAGAATCAAGTGATCGTTCTTGTTATCGCCCATCTGCATGAACCACTGTGGACGGCGCTCCTCACAAAAGTGCGGCGCGTACACGTAGCCCATACGTTGCCGACCGCTATGCGCTTCGTTCGGCTTGGCATCTTCACTCGTGCCGGGACGCACACTATCCTGCCCGTCCTTATTCTTGGCATCAAGACGTCGGCCATGTCGCAGCAAGGAGCCATCACGTTTCAAAGGCAGCAAACGCAGTTTCAACACGAGGTGCATCATCGAGCCCGCATTCACACGCTCCTCCCCGACCACAGTAAAGTACGCATCGACCATTTCAATACGCGGCCATTCACTCAGCGCACGCATGCATTCGGCGTACTGCTCGTCCGTCATACCTTTTTCGCCGCACAGCAGCGCCTTGCGCTCCGCATCCGGCACCTTCCACAGGCCCTGAATACCTTGCTTAGCCACCATATCGTGCTCTGCTACCTTCTTCGCCAACGTCATGGTCATATGCGGCAGCTGCAGCACTTCCGAAATACGTCCGCCAAACAGAGGCACCGCTTGCACAACATGCGCCGTCATATCGCGAATGGCATTGGTCTGCTTCAAGCGGTTGTGCGCCGTGCTCATCGCCATGAGACTCGTAAGCAGCTTTTCCGAGTACCGACCCACGGCATGCTGTACTTCCGCTACATGGTCGTTGCCCGTCTCCACGCGGTGCAAGTACGAGGTGAACAGGATCAACGCACGTTGCACGGAGCGTGGGCCTGCTGTCTCAAGGGAAAGCTCCTTGTTGTACACGTCCTTGTACGACAGCAGCGTGGCCGATTCAAGTTGCTTGTACGCCGTCTCATCACGAGGCTGCAGCGATGTCGCATACGCCTGCAATTCTTCAGTCTGCGCCAGCATCAGTGGCATATCCTCTGCTGACACTGTAGGCTTCAGCTTCATGAAGAACGCCAGGGCCGTCGCATTCAGCACGCCATCCTTGGTACGCGATCGTGCACCGTACCACCAACGCGCTACCAGCACAGGCAGTACTACACCAAAGAGCAGGCCGTACCCAGCCAAGACCCACACATTGTTTTTGCTCTCGACGACCCATGTAGGAAGCGCAATGCCCATCGACATTTCCTGACGGCCATCTGGGTGGCCGTACTCTTCGTAGTTTTTGCGGATCGTTTCGTCCGTGAGGCTATGGTTAGTCTCGCAGATACGTACGCTTTGTACGCCTTCGTCAGCTCAATGTAATGCGACTCAATTTCCTCCTTCGTCTGGTTTGACGCGTCAGGCTTGACTTTGTCTGGATGGAACTCGAGACTGAGGCGGCGGTACTGCCGACGAATCTCGCGCTCCGTGGCCGAAGCCGCGATACCGAGGATCGCAAACGGATCGTAAATCGTGTGCTGTGTCGATTGCGCAGCGGAGGCAACGCGGTGAAACAGATACACCACACCGCACCAACCCACCACCAGGATGGAGGCACGAAGGATCCACACAGATGAAGGCGTGCGCATCATCCACTTGACGATCCGTGTTTTGTGCCCACGCTGATCCAGCCAGCCATGCACTTGAGCTGTGACGGAGTAAGTAAAGAAAGACACGTACCTGCATCGCGTTTAGGCCGAAGAACACGATAGGTATACGGGATGATCAACGCGAGGAGCGCCGTCAGCACGAATGTGAAGAACTGACCGCCCTCCTCATCGTACTTGTAGCCCGACATGGAAGCACGTACTCTGTCGCGTCAGCAATCGTTGTTGCCGCTGCCAGCGGTTTGGCGCCGTGTCTGCCACGGCGTCCAGCGTTTGTCTTCACGTGCTGATGACTAATGTCTCCATCAGCCCATCCACTCTGCCTCCCAGTGGGGTCCATGTGTGTGTGCCGAGGCCGATTCTTTTCTCGGCGTACCCCATCTTTTTTTTTGCTCCAGCACGACGATGTTGAGGCCTCCGGCCGCCTTGCCAGTTGATGTGTGCCGTCGTACGTACGGTGCACAGATCATGGTAGACGAGCCTGAGACGCCAACTCGCACGCGTGATGGCCACGACATTTACCTGCCCAATCACGTCGAAGGCGTATCGCATATCGCGGTGGATGTCGGCGGCTCACTCGCCAAGGTCGTCTACTTTACACGCACGCCTGCTATGAACGGGCGCTCCTCTACGTCTTCCTCCGCGCGTGGAAAACCTACGCTGAATCCTGTGGGCCTCACGTCGAAGAACGCCAACATGTCGTTTGACCCTAGGAACCTGCGTCGTCGGTCCTTACCGCCGCAGTTCCCAGGCGGGCGTTTAAACTTTACCAAGTTTGAAACGGGGCACATGGATCAATGCGTTGTGTTCCTTCGTGAGCTTATCGAGCGCAGTGCTGCTGCGAACCACGTGTCTGTGGAAGACATGCAGAAGAGTGTCAAGATTATGGCGACTGGCGGCGGAGCTCATCTGTTTTACGAGCGCTTCAGTAAGGAGCTGGGTGTCGAGGTAGAGCGTGCTGATGAAATGGAGTGCCTGATTTCTGGCCTCAACTTCATGACGTTGATTCCGGACGAAGTGTTCTGGTTCTCTGACGAATTGATCGACGATATGACCAATGGTCCCCTCCCAGAAAAGCGTGGCGATTCCAGTGTACTGTCTGCTGAAAACACGTCACTTCCACGCCCCAGTCCTTGCCCACCCCTGTACGCTCCCTTATTTGAAAGCGATCCGTCGCCCAAACTGCCCTGTCTTTTGGTCAATATCGGCTCTGGTGTAAGTATTTTGAAAGTCGATGAGCACGGGCAATTTGAACGTGTTAGTGGGACAAGTTTGGGTGGTGGTACCTTGTGGGGTCTGTTGGGATTGTTGACCGATGCGCAAAACTTTGATGAGATGCTCGAACTATGCGAGCGCGGCGATAACAGCAATGTTGATATGCTTGTGGGTGATATTTATGGGCCTGTGGGTTTGGACCATTTGGGCCTGAAGGCGTCCACTATTGCCTCCAGTTTCGGCAAAGTCTTCCGTTGGGACCGGCGAAGTGAGACGCCGCCTGACGAGAACCGCCCTCAATCTGCGTCGGAGCGTCGTCGGGGTCGGTTCCGCCAAGAAGATATATGCCGCAGCCTGCTGTATGCTATCAGCAACAACATTGGCCAAATCGCACACATGAACGCGGAAAAGTACAAGTTGGATCGCATTTACTTTAGTGGTTGCTTTATTCGTGGACATCGAGCGACAATTGCTACGTTGTCGTATGCCATTCGATTCTGGAGCAATGGCCGTCGACGTGCGTACTTTTTGCGGCATGAAGGATACCTGGGCGCTATTGGTGCATGGGTTCGCCATGTAGCAGCTGGCGGTTCGTCGGACGAGGACGTGGATGCCAAGCAAACACACAGTGCGCCTGCAGAGCCGTCTATGAACCCTATCTTGGCCGAAGCGCTGGGTGGCTTGCCGCTTGATGCGCTGCCCTCCGTCGCATCCAAGTCAGCGTCTACAGAGTCGGATGACTCGCCGAGTGAAGCGTTGACGCCGCACACTGAGACCATGACGTCTCATGTGGCTGATTTGTTAGAAGAATTGGCCGATCTGGACCACGATGAACTGCCGCATGATCCCAACTCGATTGCCAAGCTAATGCAACAGCTGGATCAAGCTCACCAAGTGGCTGAGACCATTGAGGCGCGAGTGGATAGCTTGTTATCCAAGCTGAACGACCTGATGCCTACGTCGTAGATGTCATGAGTTACCATGTATAGTATACAAAAAACTGCTACATACCAATCCCTATGTCAATGAATGCGAGGTTGGCCTATGCCCGGATCGTGCTCCCCATGCGCATGCCATTGCATGTACAGCGCAGGGCTGGTTTATTCATAGCCTTCTGGGAGGTGACCTACGACCTTGACGGCGTACAGTCCCACCATGCGCTTTTCTGCACGTCAGGTAGGTAGCATACATACCGATACGCTGCCACTTAGCGACCCAGCTTTCTTCCGGCTGTAGCATGCAGATAAGACCGTCAAAGTTCGACGTAGTAAAGTCGGCCACTCGCTCCTGACTGCCTTGCATCTAGAAGGCGTGTGAGTGTGTATCGTGACATACATCCAACAAATCCTGGCAATTGGGGCAGCCCTTAGCATGGAACTCTGCGGCTGTCTGTGCATAATGGCATCGGAGGCACGCACGCAGCTTCGCTGTCGTGGACGACATGTCGGCAGCCACAAACGAGCGATCAAGCGAAAAAGCGGTGGGCGTGTTGGCCCCCACGTCGCCTCGCCGTCGGCCACGCTGACGTAAGCGTACCAGGGCGGCGGGGCGTGTGCGACGTTCATCGGCGCAGGCAACTGGGCGTGGACTTTTCTTCGGTGCGTTCGTACGATGGTGCGTGACGAACGGGCGCAATGGGACGCTTCTGATGATGCGCCGCCCCCTCGACACAATCGACGCGGCTGGGGCCGTCATCGCGGTGGGCCGCGTGGTCCCCATGCGCATGGCGATGCACGTCATTTTTCTGCGCCGCCGTTTGGTGCGTACGGTCCTTCGCCAGATCGTGCGAAAATGATGCAGATCGAAGCGACGCGGCATATTCACCAGTCTATTTTCCAGCTCGGTGAACAAGACTCGTTTGACTTTGCGAGTGAGATTCCCAAAGTTTGTGCATGGCTGGAGAGTCAAGCGCTCGAGTTCCCTGCCGCCGTGGTGAGTGCGTTGCGTATTATGGCCACAGAGCAGCCACACAAAACCGCTTTAACCGCAGCGCTGATCGGTCAGCTCGCGCTTGCGCCTACGCAGGCGCCACCGTCGAGCGGTGACAATGGGGGTGCAGGTCTCTCGCTGGGTATGCGTGTCATGGACCATCTCGCGAATATGTTTGTGCAGGATATTGATGCACACTACTGGCGCAATGTGCGCTTATCGCTGCATGTGTTTGCTGCGCTAATTCCACTTGGCATTGTATCGCCGGCCTCAGTCCGAGCCGCGCTGCAGGCGCTTGTCGACGTGCTTGCGAGTGACGGTGTGAGTCGCACTGTGGCTGATGCCGCGGCCGACTGTGTTATTGAGACTGTGTGCCGAGCGGGTGCGGACTTGCTGCAACCAGAGCAAACACCGACAGATGCGCCGGGGCATGCGAAAGAACAGCTGGACGCGATCGTGCGTGGGATCCGTGCCTACGCTGACCGCCGCGAGGCACCCAGCACCCTTCTCTCGCCCTTTTCGCTCGCCCACGACGAGGGCGAGTACGCGTTTCTCAACGAGGAGGGCTGGGTCGATCGTGTGCACGCGCTAGAAGCGATGCAGGAGTATGGGTACGTCCGCCCAGGCTTCCTCCCATCGGCATCGCATCTACTTCCTACCACGGTCTCGTCGATTACGAGCACTGTGCCTCTGGAACAACGGACGATACGTCTGCCCGAGATTCACGTCTCGCCGATTCGCAGCGCCAAGTACGATGATCAGGACGACGATCTCCTAGCGCCACCGCCTCATCTCAACACGGGCAAAGGTATGGCGGATGTCGTGCGTGCCCGCATTGGCGCGCCTACGCCTGAATGTGCAGCGCGATGGATGGGCGATAGTGTGCCGCAGCTTGGCCGGGCGAATGGCCTGGTCCTTCGTGCGATTGTCCAAGATGTGCTGGACTTGTACGTGGTCAATCGCAAGGAGTGTGCGCATGTCCTCCTGGCCCTCCCGCAGTGGCTGCGTCGTGGCACGTTTGACGGGCGTGTTCCGCCGACACGGGGTGTCTTTGGAGAGAGCGATAGCGAATGGCTTGCTACGCAAGGTGATGGACCCTGGAGTTTAGAGGATGTGCTGCTGGAGTGTGTCCTGTCCACCGCGCTGCTCTTCCCACGTCCACCGCAGCTGGAGCTGTACTATTCGTCTCTGCTTCGTGAGATCGTCACGCTGGCACCGCAGCAAGTTGCTCCTTCGATTGGGCGCACGATCCGGCGCTTGTACAGTGCCTGTGCGGAGGGCCGTGTGCACGCGGATGTGCTGCGCCGCGTGGCTGACTGGTTCAGTATGCATCTGAGCAACTTCAACTTTACGTGGGCGTGGACCGAGTGGGCTGACGATGCCGCGCTGCCCTGGTCGCATCCACGACGTGCGTTGGCACGACGCGTCGTTGAGCTGGAGGTGCGATTGGCCTACTACGACCGTATTAAAAGCACGCTTCCGCCCGAGTTGGAGTCGTCGCTGCTGCCCCCTTGGGAACCTGCGCCTGTCTACCTCTACGGTGATCCTTCGCATGCACACCATGCCCTGGCCATGCAGTTTTTCAACTCTCTCAAGGCCAAGGCCAGTGTGCAAGTCGTGCAGGCCGATCTGCAAAGTTTCCAGCAGCGCATCCTTGCGCCGCCTAGCGATGTGCCATCGCTCGACGAGACGCATGTCGAGACGCCCGCTGAGGCCGAGCAGGTCGTCCGCGATATGGCCGTGCAGACGCTGCTCAATGCTGGCAGCCGCAGCTTTTCTCACTTGCTCAACGTCATTGAGCGGTACCATGAACTGCTACGTGCGCTCTCACAGACCCCGGAGGCCCGTGTATCTATTCTGGCCAGTACGGCCGCATTCTGGACGCGCTCGCCGCAGTGGGTCCTTATCGTGTGTGACAAACTCCTGCAGTACCGTATTGTCGAGCCTGTGGATGTGGTGACCTTCGTCTTTTCGACGCCCGAAGCCACTGAGGCAGACGACGAGGCTGGCAGTGCGTTCGCGCTGGCCACACCGTCGGCCGTCTGGGGCTCGACGTCCCGCGATTGGAGTTCGTTCCATTGGTGGGCCATGCTGCGTTTGACCGTCGACAAGGTCCTGGGCCGTGTGGGTCAGCTTGCTCGTCGTGTCGAGGAGCTGAAACGTGCCTCGTCTACTGAGACAACAGCGAGTGCGGACCCGACCTCGCACAGCGTTTCGTCGTCGGACGCTCCCCCGCGCGCTGCAGCCTCGTCGGTCGACGAAGCGCAAGTCCATCTCGATGCCATCCAACTCGAGCAACGCAAAGTGCTTGTGACGATCCTTACACAGATGGTCGCTCTCCTTCATGCACGTGGCCTGCCCACCTTGGATGCTCATGCTAGTGCAGATGCATGGCAGACGTGGTGGCTACACGAATGGTACCGTGCGTTCCTGGGCGTGTACGCACCTGTGCTGGCGGCACACCGTGAGATCCTTCTAGCGAACGTCTTTGCAAAGACGGCTAACGACGATCCTGCGCTTACATTGTTCGAGCAGGCAACGACATGGGCCGCGTCGCTGGCACTGTAGTGTGTCCATTTCTCCTCTACATATCATACATGTTGTAGTTAGTACTGCAATTCTGTAATCTCGCCGCTGGCAGCGCCGTCCAAGTCTTGATAACATCCAGGCCGCGAGGATCGTGGCGCGGCACGCTGCTGGACTGCGCGCTCACCGGCTCGTAGTGGACTTGCTGGCCGAGGTACATCTTCACTCTTGCCATCTTTAGGTCCATTTGTCGACATCATGCGCATGGGATCACACAAGTACGAATTAAAATACGAGGCAAATGCGTACCGATCGCCCCCACGCTCTTCGAGCCAGTGGGTATGACGATTGCGGATATGTTTGCGTGTAAACCCAGCAGCCTTGAACAGCTTGCCACAAGCGCCATGCGATGTAGGCACTGTGCATTGAAACTTACCCTCGTCCAGCTGCACAATGTACTGCGACGTAAGCGACTCTTCCAACGCATCACGATCAATGCCTCCTACCATCGGCAACACATGCGCAGGATCGAGAAACAGCTTGATTTTCGTATCATGGTGGTCCAACCACCAATGCTCCACGTCGACATATGTCGCCTCCTCATCCACCTCGGCTGGCTGGCGACGCACGTGGCAAGCACTACGTCGCTCTAGTTCTTCACGCGAATCGCACTGGAGACAGAGGTAATAGTCCACATGGTATACACGCCGAAGCGCATCCAGGTGCAGATCCAAGGCCTTTTTCAGCTACGTGTGAGTCCACATCGGTTCACATACCTGCACACGCTTCTCTTTGTCAGAATCAGCATCGCGGGGCGCTAGGCGCTGCAGATGCGCGGCAATTTCGTCGCACAGCGATACGCCAAGCCAGGTCCATGTATCACCTCCCACGAGGAATTCGTCCGCAAACAGGGAAGTACGATCTTCGTCTTCCATCTTGACGAGCAACTTCTTTGCACGGGCCAAGTCGGTCGTGAGGCGTGATAGGGTATTTGTCGAGGCAGGTGCGATGCGCAGACGACTGTTAGAAGGCCGGTCCATAACAGCCAAATGCAGCATAAAGTCGCCGAACATTTTGCCATCCAGCCTGCGAATCGCTTCGCGCATATCTGTTCCTGGTTCAAACACGGCAATGCCCGCACGGTGGTATCGCCGCTGCGGGATCGGCTCTAAAAGTGCCACGTAACGAAACCCAGGGCATGTGCGCAAATGGTCTTCCAGTTCTACGCGTGGAAGATCAGGTGGCCATGTGCGCACCAGCAATTGATGCTCTGAGTCAGGTGGGATCGTTAGTATGTCGGTATCATAATGCTTCTCGTTGCCATATCGGTTCGTCACAGTATACATCGATGTCGGCTGTGTACTTGAACTAGCCTTCAAATCAAAACATACATGGTCCAACACGCCTGCGCGCAGCTCATTCAGCCACGCTTTTTTATGCCCTATGCGACCAGCGCGGCGACGTTGTTTACGCGCTTCCTGAAACCGCACGTCAGGTGAATATTTCTCCTTGAACCACTCGTCGCCTTGATGATGCAAGAAGTACGACCAGAGGGCCTGCCATTTATATTCAACACGATAGTTCTTGTACTTTTGGATCCATTCTTCTTGCGTGGGAAGAGCTTCGCCAGTCCGGTGAGCATGCTCACTCATGTATTTGACGTAGTGCCTGAACGAAAGTCGCTCGTCAAAGTACAGTGGATCTGTGAAAGGCTCTGCCAAGCTATCATCATGGGCTCGCCCACGCTTTCGTATTGGTTCTCCGTCCTCATTATCACACTCATAGGGCCGGCGGGTTGCCATCCTGAGATACCCCTTGCTTGGTAGAGAGGCGTGATGTCAAGTGACAGCTGCGCTTGTATGGCCCATGTGGGGTTGTGGTAGCTTTAATTCACACGCACGTGATTCAGAGCCGCTTATATACATGCCCTCTATAGACGCCTCGGTCGCGTAGAACGCGTAGGTGTAGGAGCAGGGGACGCTTGTAAGCTTGTGTTTGCACTTGCTTTCGTCAAGGAAGAGGCGGCACGCCGTAGCGGTGTGGATCTTGTGGACCGTAGACCGGTAGATGGCGTATCTTCGGCAGCCGCATCTGACATATCGTCCCCCCCACTGCTGTCTTTCTTCTTGTCGTGGTCTTCCAGTTGTTTCTGTTGGCGCCGCGTAAGAGGCCTAGTTGGCGTTTCTTGCACTTCGTCGTCGGCCTTGGCACCGCGTCGGCGCTTGCCTGCACGCGTATGCGGGCCTTGGCCATCGTCTTTGGGCGAGTGCAGCGTAGTATCCGTTTCAGTATGAGCACGCTTTCGCGTATTTCGCCGCAAAGTAGTGCTTGCACCACGATTGGATAAAGATCCTTTATCATCCTCGGTAGCTGTGTCCATGTCTGCATCTGAATCAGACTGTGCGAGATCATCGTCCGACGAGGGCGGCACTACCTCTTGAGCACTTTGCTTGGTCTTACCACTCTCCTCCGACTCTGCGTCTTCTGTACGCCGAGAGGTCAAAAGATCATCAAAATCCATGTAAGGGTGCAGTGAAAACTCCTCTTCATCTAGGCCAGCCACATAGCGTGTTCGCGCTTTCTCACTGCGTTGCAGCCGTGCGACATGCTCATTGTACTGGCTAATCCACTCAGGCCCGTCCTCCTCATCACTTCCTTCATCCAGCTCATTCAGGCCATGTAATTCATAAAATTCTTCCAGCTTACTCCATACATCTGATGCATGAAGTGGGGTATCAATAGGGAGAGATTGACTTTCTCGAGCTGCTTCGAGCGACTGCAAAATCGAGATCATATGAAAATGGCGGTGCTCTCCCACCGGCCTGTATATAGAGATAGCACGAAATAGTGCTACATCAGAGCTGGTATCCCACGTGGACGTAGAAGCTTGGCCAGATGTGACCGCCATGGTGACGCGTCGATCACGTCGTAGTCCGTCGTGAAGTGCGATCAAGGATTACAACAAAATACACCTCCACATTATCTACTTGGACAGGGTTAATTGCTACTTGGGCGGGCCTTCGACGGACACGCGCCACCATTCATTCATGCAGGAATAGCTGTCGCGGTCAAACGACTGCAGTGTTAGTCTCTCATGTTATGCCCATACATACCTGCTCAGGTTCGCACAAACATTTGCCTGTATCATGGTACTTGGCACGGTTGGCCGGGCAGTGGTTCCACGGGTTGTGGCGGTAGCCAATGTCCTCAAAGTGATGGATCTGCGACCTGTTCAGGAAGATAGATGCCGCAATGCTATGCACGGGCGCATCACCCCAACGCTCATAGAAGAACTGCATTGTTAGTGTATTCCATACATACACCCCCCGCCTTGTCCAGCGTCGTAAAGTAGTCCATGTATTGCTGACCACGCCAGAAGCGCAAATCACCAATCTCAAAGTTGCTCCAGAAGTGGCACATGTTGTATGTAGAGTCTGCAATATTGTTTGGCTTGTCCGTAATGAAACCCATGGCATTATCAGGCGCCACGTACTCTGGGTGCGCCTGAACAAATTTCTTGGTCTCATCCCACAGCGTAGGGATCGTCAATGGGTACTCGTGGATGGACATAGTGAACCCATACGCCTTGTTGTTGAGCTGCATAAACAGGAATGGATCATAGTCGACATCACAGAAAATCTTAATATCCGGCTCCACACGCCAATAGTACTCCAGACCAAGCTCGTAAGTAAGCGGATGGCGCCAGAAGAAGCCGCTCTGGAAGCGGCACATGTGCCTGTACGACTCCGAGCCACCGTAAATAATATTCGCCTCATGCATCTTCTTGCGCTGCGAAGCAGCCTTATCCTGGTCGATCCAGCTTGGGTAGCTCCAGTGTTCCTGGGGAACAAGGCCAAAGTGTACAGGTGAGCGTGTCATCTTGGAGACACCCTTCTTGAACTCCTCGGAGAATGGTTTGTCTATGGTGAGTGAGGAAAGCACATACCATTCAAAAAGATCCATGGGTAACCGAATTTCCGATTGAAGCGGTCCTCAACTACATGTTAGACTTAGAATACATACCTTCACGCATGCTCGACTTCATCCCCTCCAGTTCTTCGTTACGGACCAAACTGATAAAGGCAGCCTTGGCACGCGGCGCTTTGTTAATGTCTTTAGGATAGAACTCAGGCGGGTACAGATTGCCATCATCACCACGAACGGCGTAAGGACGAAGATCCTCTACTGTCTTAATATTGCTCATGAATAGATTAGGCAGTGAGCTTCCGTTCGAATAGGCAAGCAAGTCACCTGTGGGACACGTTTGGTTACCAAACATGGCCGGAATATGCTTCAGCTGAGTACGGATTTGCTCGGAACCCCATGAGGATAGAGACAGATAGGTAGATAGCAGCAAGATGACCATAAAGGCCGCCAAGAGGACAAGAAGCCTTTGAGGGCGGCGCAACAGTGACTCCAACATGACAGTTCCAAGTGAGGCGCTGCACACTGCGTGTTGTTCACAGACTTGGACCGCTGCGCTATGCTCTCGCTTATATAATCACGTGTGCGCTTCGTCGTTCGCCGCGGTAGGGAGGATTGCTTCACGCTGCTATACGACTTTACGGGCCGCCATGGCCGCTGTCAACGGGATGTATGTCCCTAATAATGTTGCAGGCGCCGATCAGAGAAGATCCACTGGTCAAATGCAGATGCCAAATGTTATCATTCGTGAGATCAACAATTCACATGCTGATTTTATTCTGGAGAACTGTGAATTAAGGTTCGTCGTGTGGCTCTTTTTTCCTCCTAACACAATAGCTTTGCGAATGCGCTGCGTCGTACGATCATTGCAGATGTTCCTACTGTGGGTGCGTAGTATTCTTGCTGACGTGATAGCCATCGATATGGTGGAGATTACTGTGAATACCACTGTCTTGGCAGACGAATTTCTGGCGCATCGGTTGGGTATGATCCCACTTCTCAGTATGGATGCAGCCAAGGTGCTTGTGGACCAAAGAGTATGTATGGAACGACAACTAATGATCAGGACTGTTCTTGTGAAGATGGCTGTGATCGATGCTCTGTAGAGCTGACCTTGGATGCCATGTGTACATCGGACCGTGGTGCCATGTTTGTGACATCAAAAGACCTTGTTCGCAGTAATACGATTGCTAATATGTACTCTGATGAAGCGGCATTTGGTCCTGTTGCACCGAGACATCCTGATTTTGGAAAGCCTGTCGGACATGGTTTGTATCATTTACTCACTGACCATAAGACGACCCCAATGCCCCTGGTATTATGATCGTGCAACTACGAAAAGGCCAGCAAATTAAGGCGCGATGCATTGCGCGCAAGGTATGTATACCCTACCGCAGTATCACTGACATCTAGGGTTTTGCCAAAGAGCATGCTAAATGGTCTCCTGTATCGGCTGTGGGCTTTGAGTATGACCCACACAATGCACTCCGTCACACTACATATTGGTACGAACTGGATGCCAAGAAAGAATGGCCTGAGAGCAAAAATGCACGCGAAGAGGAGCCGCCAGCAGAGGGTGCTCCTTTCAATCCCAATCTACGGGCTAGCCGGTTCTATTTCGATGTCGAGTCCGTGGGCAGTTTGCACCCTGCAGAGATAGTGGAAACGGTATGTTTACTACCTTACCTAACTGTGTCAGGGTCTTTCTTTGCTTGAATACAAAACAGCGCAGATTGTACAAGAGCTGGGTATGTTGTTCCAACCTGCCGATGCTGCAGCGGCTGGTGGAATGTACGACACGTATGGCGCGCCAGAGGCCGCGGCTCCCTATGCGTAGACAGAATTTTCTTTAGTCAACACCCACAAAATCGTCACACCCGCGCACAGAGATCTGCCTGGTGATATATACCAGGGTGCCTGATGGACACCGGCACTACACCGGCAAAATCTGATTTGGTGCCTGCACCGTTGTTGTATAACCCCCTTGTCAATGTAGCTACAAGAACAGGGTATACTCCAGAACTGGCGGACCATTTTCCTACAGGAGCAGCCATTGCGCGTACAATCCAGTACTACAATAGGCTGCTTCCTGGCAATGAGGTATGTATAGAGCACGTACCGCTCATATATCAGGGTCCTTTGGATATTCGATACTGGGAGCAGCTTGCAAATGAGTTTTATGTTCCTGAAGGGATTCTACGCTTACACATGATCAACGAAGAGACCAAGCAGCGGATCAAAATTGATCTTACGCGTGAGACACTGAAACATTTTTTCGCGTCGTGTTATCACCATCGGATCCGTCTTTTGCAGCACCATCTTGGAGATATCAAGGAATACTACTGCGATCCCGCAAACCCACCTTCGTTACCCAGTGGACTACACTCCAATGTTCCTGAGCCACCTTTCTCCGTGAACACAACGCATGTTATTGAAATGCCAACAATGAAGCAACTTGTAATATATGAAAATGGATGGCAAACACACATGATTGGTATTGTGCATGTGTTGCTTTCCCCTTACACAACGGTGGAATATATGCCTGCCCCACCAGGCGTGAAAGGCAACGCGGAAGGCAAGACACCGCAACTTGTCACCACCCTACGGCTACAATATTTGTGTCTGTCGACGTTGGGTCAGCGTTTGCTTGTGCCCTACGATGTCATGCTTTCTCATTTGGAGATACGCGAAATTCCGCACTCGCTGGTGGAAGAGATTATTGCGTACGGCGTCAAGCGCGAGCGCGAGCGAGTCTCTGACACAAGCGAGCATGGCCAGCAGGAGCCTGAAGTAAAGCGCCGCAAAATGGAGGAGCCACCGGTTTCCAATCCTACCTTCACCGAGCCTGAGAAGGCTAGCCTATCTGCGCGGTCCCCACGTTCAATCACCAGTCATGAATCCTCACACGACTCTAATGCACCGAGGTTTATGCTGCCACGCCCAAGGATGACAGCCTTCCGTTTTATCGATGAATATGGTTTCCCTTCCCGCATGGGACACCTCACTACTGTACGTATATGGCTTTTCCCTAACAACAGTTGTATGAATGTATTGGTCAGATGAGAGAGTTGATGCAGCACCATATCAGCCATGGCCAAGGCCCTATGGAAACGCTACAGAGATTCGCTGACTCGATGGATACTAAAAAGGATACGAACACATACCATATGAGCGATAAGGACGGCACTTCTGCGAATGTGTCGAATCCTTTCCCTTTGGAGCAGACCGATACCGTGAATGAGGAGTGGTAGGGAATGTACCATGACGTTATGTGTACCCTATCATCACGTGCCTTGCGCGCTATACGAACTGTCCATAGCATAAAAATTGGTAACGGAGATACGCGGCACCTCGTCGTGCAGCTAGCATAATGCCTAGTGTAGAGTGTGACCGTGCGAACGGGCTCTATGTCCCCAAGGACAAGAAGGTCTGCATAGCTGCTCCATTTGCAAGCAGTGGCTTTGTGTCTCGCAGGCCTAGCACTTGGAAGGAGTGGGTTTGGCTCGGTCCTTTGACGCTGCAGCAGAAATTCTACATTTTTATCATGCACGGCTTCGGCGCCATGATACTAGCAGGTGCTGCCAACTTTGGGGTGGCGTGTGCAATGTACCGAACGCCTGGGCCTAGGCCTATCCGTGTGTGGCCTTTCCAAGATAACACCATTGCCGGTGATATGGGCGTAACGGTCATTATTCAGCAGATCGTCACGTATGTGATCACTTCGACGTTGTGCAATTGGGACCTTCGGCATGGCACCAAGTCACTTACGAGGCCATGGCCTCCGATGATGCACTTCCCCTCGACTTGCCGCCCTGAAGGAAGCTGGCTGGGTGTGAAAATGCCCGCAGATGTTGCGCAACGTGGGCGGCCCTTGTATATGGGCAATGCTGAGGACAAATCGCGCTTTGTACAGTTCTGCCTTTGGTTCTTACGGGCCATGTCGACAGGGAGTGAACGCAATGTGATTTTTGCGCGTCATATTACATTCCGTCAACGTATTGAGCGTCTGCTTTGGTCGGCCTTGCAAGGGCTCTGGTGGGCCGTTATTACCTTCTGGTGGTTCTGGCCTATTTCTATTGCGATTGTGGCGCCCATTTTCGAGCACCAAGACATGCGTGGTGGGTGGGCACCACCTCTTATCAAGCTGGTGTACGGAGGCGTTCTGGGCCTCCTTACCAACCCCCTCATCGCGCTCTTCCAGGTCGGCGCAGAGTCGCAAGTGCGACACTTTTACCCAGATCACGCCCTCTGGAAGGAACAGCAGGAACAAGAAGAGCTTTCCCTTCCTACACTACCTGTTCAGACTGCTACTTCGGCGACTGTCAAGGAATGAGAGTGCGCGTGACGATGACCAGCCCTTCTACAGATTATGTTAAACAACGACTATATTAAGGATAGAAAGTTAATTATTTACGCGTCATCATCGGCAATGACTTCGCGACTGACACGGTGTACGGCCATGAGGAAAGCACGCATGTGCTCAGGGTCGACATTCGGTGTGATACCATGGCCCAAGTTGCAAATCAATGCACCGTTGCCGCCAAAGCCGCTTGTCGAGGATTGGAACATGCGACGCACACGCTCATAGATCACTTCGGGCTTGGCATACAGCACAGCAGGGTCCAGGTTGCCCTGCAAGGCAATGCGATGGTTGCCACAGCGCGTTGCTTCCACGGTCTTGAACTTCCTGGCACTCGTCTCCGAGTCGTGGACGACCTTACGGGCCCACGACGGTGTGACGGTGTGATCAATACCAATGACATCGTAGCCAGCCTTGCACAGTTCAGGCAGAGAGTGGTTGACAGCGCCCTTGGCATAGACGATCATGGGAGGTGGCGTTAGCGGCGTCGTCGCTAGAGTGTCCTTCACTTCCGTCGCAATGGATGTCATATACGGAAGCGAGAATGTGCGGAAATCGTCCGGTGTCAGCTCACCAGCCCAGGAATCAAACACCTGCAGGAGTTGAGCACCTGCACGCACTTGAGCGACCAAGAACTCAGCACATACACTCGCAATGCGCTTCAGCAGACGCTTACTCTCTTCGGGGTGATCAAAGATCCAACGCTTCGCCTTCTCCCAGGTCTTAGAGCCACCACCCTCAATCATATAGGCCATGAGCGTCCAAGGCGAGCCACAGAAACCAATAATGGGAACACGGCCAGCGAGTTTGATCTTCGTAAGGCGAATAGCTTCCAGCACATAACCCAGATCTTTCTCAACATCCACACGCTTCAGCCGATCCATGTCCTTGGGCGTGTTTAGAGGGTCCAAAAAGCTAGGACCCTTGCCTGGGATCATTTCAACTTCCATGCCCATGGCCTGTGGCACAACGAGAATGTCCGAGAAAATCACAGCGGCATCAATCAGACCTTCGTATCGACGAATAGGCTGCAATGTAATCTCAGAGGCGAGCTCAGGATCACGGCAGCACTTAAAAAATTCGTATTCAGCACGCAGCTTGCGGAACTCTGGCATTCTGTAAGAGATGTGGCATACATACCAGGCAAGTAACGACCGGCTTGCCGCATCACCCACACGGGGGTGCGCTCCGTCTTTTCACCACGAGCGGCACGGATAATCAGGTCATTTTTCAGTCCTTCCGTCGCGGTGTCTTTTTCAAGCTTCTTGCTCGTAAATGAAGAAATGCCAGGGATCTTTGGCATGTCGATGTGCAAAGCGGGGTGGATAGGGTCTCCTTCCAACGCCGAATTCTTGGCTCCACCCACACTGTCACGTGCAACTTTCCCCTTAGCCATGACAGCAGGGGCCACACAGGTAGGTTGGAGCATGGAAGAGCTTCTTACAGCAGCGCCTGTCGAATGAGTATCGTTTACGGCAAGCCCGTACGCCTAAGACCTGCTTTGTCTGCACCAGAACCTCCCCATGGGTGCTAGTCTCCCTTACGGCACCAATGTACGACTTTTTTTACGTGTGCCTCGCCCACTTGACTGATCGCTCCTTTGCGACACGCCTTGATCCTTCTACGCCGTTGTCGGACGAGCCAGCAGTTCAGCCAGCATCGTCTTCTCAATCCAATGCCACGAATGAAGTCCAAGCAGCGACAGAAACGCTGCCTCCCAAAGACGAGAACCCACCGTTGCATTCTCGGTATGCTTTGCATCGTGAATTCTATGCGAAACGTGTTCGGCAGTTTCAGCCAGCTCGGACACCTATACCAACATTCCCTGCTGTACCGGGTACGACTATCTAATTTCGCTACTTAGGCCACATCCATGGCTGTACTTTCCGTCGCTGGCGCTGGTGCCGGCGCCGAGGTCGAACTGGCCAACGCCAACTGACGTGCGGACGAGCGTGCGTCAAGGAACAGGCCGTTGGTCTGTGCAATATCGTCCACGGTAATATCCGAACGACCAGCCACGTTAGCAAGCACGGATGCAGGGGCGAGGAGCTGGAGGGCAAAACGCAACGATGTGTTTTTGCCGAGTTCCGTAAGCTTGTCCAGCGCAGCATCATCGACTCGGATACCCTCTGTGGCAATACGAATACGAATCACTTCCTTAATCTCCTCGGCAGAGTATGGCAGCGTGCGCACAATCATGCAGCGGTCCAGCAAATCAAGTGGAATACCATGCGGTGCGACAATGCCGGCGCCGGAGCCAGCCTCGTATTCTGTGCCACGCACCGTAGCCTGGCCGCGATTGGTCGCAAGAATCACATGAGGACTGATGGTCGATTCCAAAGCCCGGTTCAAGTATGTAAAGCACTCCATATCGAGCATGTGCACTTCGTCAATGAACAAGACACCAGGCACCAGCTCAGCAATGCCTTGTTGGATATACTTGTCAACCACCTTGTTGATCTCGCCACGAAGCTTGTCTGTGACTTCCGTGCGACGGCCCTTGACCAGCTGGCCCACGACACTCATGATATCTTGGCCGCCCTGCGGACGGGCGTTTGCCATATCCAGGTCGTGCAGCGTAACATCTTGCACCACCTCCTTGCGCTTCTGCACATCGCCCTTGGGGAGGGCTACATATTCATCGGCTTCCAAGTCGAATTCGGTGGCATACGCGTCAGAACGGCCCACGCGCTTAACAGCGCCTGTATTCGCTTCAATGTAGATGACATCGCCGACAGTGATGCGCTCTTTCAAAATGCTTTCATAGATGCTCGGATCCAAGCGCAGCTGCTTGGTGCCCTTGACGGTCTTCAGCGCAATGACCACATGCACAATGGTCTTGCCATAGCCAGACAGTGGGTTCTCCATCTCAGTCGGCGTAAGCTCCGTGAGCTCACCTTCATACACTTCCTTTGTCTCACGAACACGGAGACCAATAGCACGACGGAAGTTCTCCATGAGCACTTCTGTCTTTTTCACTTCCGAGCTGTACACCTCCGAGCCGACCATCGGGCAGAATGGCACCTTGTGACCCAGCTCGTGTGCCATACCCAACGCCAACGCAGTCTTACCAGTACCAGGTCCACCTGCCAGCAGAAGAGCACGACCAGCAAATTTGCGCTGACGAATCAAGTCCAAAACAAGACCGCACGCCTCACGCGCTGATTTTTGGCCGACGAAGCCGCGCGCAGTAGGAATCGCCAGGCCATGTTCATCCAATCCCAGGCCTTTGATGTGGGAGTGCGTGGCAATGCGGGACTCGCGTGACGTAGACGAACTCGTGCTCGAAATAGGCACAGCACCGGCGCCAGCCTCGGTAGGAGCAGCGCTCATGGTAGCAACGAACAGACGGTGACCACGTCGTCTGGCGTTTGTCAGTCGACTCGAGACCTGCACGATGAATGGCACACGTGGCAGCACGTGGCAGAACTTTTTTTTTTCTTGCGTTTGCTCACTCTGACTAGCGGGCTCTCACCCCCTTGTCAAAATGGCCAAGGTATTCAACGACAACCTGTTGCCCACGTCTGCGGCGAAGTCGGAGCTCAAGAACTACGAGTCCGGTGACGGTCTTAGCGTCTCTGAGCTTATCAACTCTCGCAAGAACGGTGGCTTGACATACAATGACTTTTTGGTCTTGCCGGGCTACATTGACTTCCCGGCGTCGAAGGTCGACCTTCGCACTCGGGTTACGAAGAAGATCGTCTTGAACGCTCCGTTCTTCTCGAGTCCTATGGACACTGTGACAGAAGTCAACATGGCGATCGCCATCGCTCTCATGGGTGGTATGGGTGTGATCCACAACAACATGTCCCCACAGGAGCAGGCCGCTATGGTCCGCAAGGTCAAAATGTTCGAGAATGGCTTCATTACAGAGCCCATGGTTCTCAGCCCGAATGAGACGGTGGGCGACGTGATGGAGATTAAGGAGCGTCTCGGTTTCGCCGGTATCCCGATCACAGGTATGTACAGTGAGGCGGCACCAAGAACAAGTGAGACAAGATGAAAACCTTGTACTGCTGTAACCTTCGTTCTGCGTAGGCTCGGCCTGAGTTGGGTCAAGCAATGCAGATTCCTTTTACCTATGTCCACTGACCTCACTTTGTTCTTGGGCCATGTCTTTTTTTTTGCATGAGAACCGAATGCTAACCAAGACAGAAAGCGGTGGCTTGAAGAGCAAACTCATTGGTATCGTGACAGCGCGTGACATCGAGTTCCGTGACCCGGCTACTCCGCTGTCGTCGATTATGACCACTGAGCTGGTGACGGCCCCTATGGGTGTCAGGCTGGAGGAGGCCAACCGCATTCTGCGTGATAGCAAGAAGGGCAAGCTGCCGATTGTCGACAAGGAGGGCAACCTGATTGCGCTTCTTGCTCGCTCGGACTTGCTGAAGAACGAGGACTACCCTCTGGCGTCGAAGGACCCTGAAAACAAGCAGCTGTACTGCGCTGCCGCGATTGGTACACGCCCGCACGACCGTGAACGTCTGGCACTCCTGGTGGACGCTGGTCTCGACGTGGTTGTGCTCGATTCGTCGCAGGGCAACTCGACGTACCAGGTGGAGATGGTCCACTGGATCAAGTCGACGTACCCCAACTTGCAGGTGATTGCCGGCAACGTCGTGACGCGTGAGCAGGCTGCGACGCTGATTGAGGCGGGCGCCGATGCGCTCCGTGTGGGTATGGGCAGTGGTTCGATCTGCATTACGCAGGAGGTCATGGCTGTGGGTCGTCCGCAGGGCACGGCCGTGCGCCAGGTGGCAGAGTTCGCGAGTCGCTTTGGCGTGCCTGTGATTGCCGATGGTGGTATCCAGAACGTGGGTCACATTGCCAAGGCCTTGTGCCTGGGCGCAAGCGCGGTTATGATGGGTGGTCTCTTGGCCGGTACCACGGAGAGCCCGGGTGAGTACTTCTATCGTGAGGGCCAGCGTCTTAAGGGCTACCGTGGTATGGGCTCCATTGAGGCAATGGAGCACCAGAGCAAGAAGCGCAAGCGCATTGACGGTGCTACCGGCCGTGCCACGAAGAAGCTCGACCAGATAGGCACCGATGTCGCGTCAGAGAACGCTGCGACGCAGCGTTACTTCTCGGAAGGCGATGCCGTGAAGGTGGCCCAGGGTGTGTCTGGCTCGGTGCAGGACAAAGGCAGTGTGAAGAAGTTCCTGCCCTACCTGTACACTGGTCTGCAGCACTCTCTGCAGGACATGGGTATGCAGAGCATCGATGCGCTGCGTGACGGTATCAACAATGGTGCGGTGCGCTTTGAGCTGCGTACTGCCAGCGCCCAACTGGAAGGCGGTGTGCATGGCCTTGCGCACTATGAGAAGCGTCTGTTCACTTCGTAAATGTAGAGTTATAGCTATGTGCTACGCAAAAGATACGATTCAAACGCAGGGCCGCGTGAACGGCCGCTGCCTACATCGGGGTGGGCCCGATCAGCACGTGATAGACATCGCGCGACGGCGGCGGGCGTGGTCGGTACGTGACCTGGACGTCATCCCTCGAGCAGGACCGGTACAAGGCCTGAATGTACGTGATGGAAAAACGTGCTGAGCCTGGTGATGCGACTGATGCGGACGCGCAAGTGAAGAAAATCAAAATAGAGCATGGCTCTGACGATGCTCCCATGCCGCTGCGCGAGCCAGAGCAACATGCCCCCTCGCCGCTGCCGCAGATTGTTCATACCGCGCCCCCTACGCGCCAGCCCAGCGGGACCAATTCGCCCATGTCCTCGTCGCTTAGCAACTTGGACCGCCTTGCCAACCTGGCAGCCCAGCGCTCCGAGACGCCTGGCCAGGGCCCAAGCTCGCTAGCGTACCGCGTAGGCAGCCCTTCGCTGCTGACGACGCCCACAGGAGCCAATACGAGCACCAGTCATCTGCCGCTGTCGCTTCAGCGTTTACAAGCGGTTCGGCAGTCACAGTCAGGGCCAAGCACGTCTTCAACACAGGGCGCTAGCTACGACCAGCTCGTTGATGTGATGGGTTACAGCGGTGTGGACTTGCGAGCGGAGGAGGCGTTCATCCAACAATCTGGAAGTGCTAGTGGAATCTGGGATGATGCCCAAGCAGCGTCCGTGATGAACACGGCGAGCATGGCTCATGGACTGTACCTTAATGTATACCCCTTATCCAGCATGGTCCACCGTATTGCCAAGCAGTACGACCTCAAAGTCGACGCTCCAACGTTGGACTACCTGTCCATTGCTACACGTATGCGGTTCCGCAACCTGCTTGAATCTATGGTCCGAGCTTCACGACATCGCGCATGGTCCTCCCACCAACGCAAGCCGCCTCTCTCTACGCAGCCTGGCCCAGATGGTACACGCGTGCCGTTGTACCATGAAAAAATGCTATCCAATCCTACAAAGCAGCTAGCCGCTATTGAGAAAGCCGAGCGTATAGAAGAGGGAAACTGGCGTCGATTGCGTCTGGAGCGTGAAGAGGCCGAAGCTGCTGCATTGGAAGCCGGTGGTGAAGACGGCACACCGAAAAACAAAAAACGGCCCTCGACGTCCTCGCGCAACCTGTCGGAAGATGTGCGCAAGCGCTTGGCCGATAGCACAGCGATGCGCCATCTCGGCGCCAACAGTGTCACGTCAAAGTATGCATGGCTACAATCACCCGGTATGCGGTCGGCGCCTGCGTCCCGGACGCGCGAAAAGGACGAGAGTGCAGCAGCTTCGTCCAAGGAGGACACAAGCGATCCTTCATCGCAAGCCAAACCCTCTTCATCCAACCTCCCCAAGCCGAAATTCGCGCCGAGTGCCCCGCGGCGCTCATCTGCACAGCAGGCGGCTCATGCAGGCGCGTGGAGCGACGTCGCTACACGGCAGGCGGCACAGCGCGAACAAGAGCGCGTGGCGCGTGCGCGTATTACACTGCATGATGCTCTGGCTGCGTTGGAGCGTGAGCATGCCGCCGGTGCTGGGCATGGCGCTGGCCGACGGGCCCTGTACATGTCGCAGGCTTATGGTCGGGGTCGGGGCTCCTTGTAGGTCCGTGGAAATTCGGTCTATAGGATACTAGAGTGACGATTCCTTTACCCTTTCCCATGGACGATCGTAGGGAACATTATAAAGGAAAACATGGACCTTGGGAAGACTGGTATACTGACTTACCTGCACCAAAAAAAGAAACAGGGCGTATGTTTGTACAGAACAGGGAGGCATAGTCATGGCTGCGCACGATCAAACATCGCTTGCGCGCGATGCAATAGGGCCGCAGGGAATGCACGTGCTTTCATCTTTTCTAGAATGGCCAGAGCTCGATCAGTGTGCCCAAACGCCAGTTCGGCACGAATCATTGCTTCATACGTGCTGGGCTCTCGGTTGACCAACGCGCCAAGGATGTTAGTACGATCCACGGCCTGCTCACGTCCCGCACGATGCGAGACTCGCTCACGCCGCACACCAAGAGCGCCTGCGCCATGGTGTCTTGGTAAGTGATTTCCCGCGGCCGCCACGCCGGCAGGTGGATCGATCATCGCGTCAAAGACACGGCGTGCTTCGACGAGGCCAAGAGGTCCATCTTGCGCATAGCCTTTGATAAGTAGGTTGGCAATGTAGGCCGTCGGTAAGATGCCTTGGCTGACCATGCGTGCAAGGTACATAGGCATCAAATCGGTACGTCCGTGTGCCACAAAGACCGCAAAGAGCGACTCGTACACGACAGCGTCAGGAACCGTCGAGCCACCGGAGCGACCAGGCAAGCTGGGCGGTGCACGATCAGCAATCGACTCAAATGTTTCGAGCGCACGATCCAAGTCATGCAGCATCACACCTTGTGTTTGGATGAGTGACGCCCAATGTGTGCCTTGCACGCCCACCAACCGATCCGCAGAGAGTCGTGCAAATACAGCCTGCTGACGATCGGGCTGCACAGGTTCAATGGTACCCCATACGTCCAAAAGCAGTTTGTACGTATGTGCACTAGGACGGACGCCGGCCTGTTGCATTTTCTCATAGTACTGCAACGCCTTCTCGCGATCCAAGGCAGAGTGCACATAGTACTGAATCATCGTATTGTACGGCGGCACACGCGGCTGGAACGATGGCTGTGACTCCATCTCGGCAAACAGCTGAGTAGCACGAGCCTCATCACACGTACGTACACAGGCATTGATCGCAGCACCATACGTCACACTGCTTGGCCGCAAGTTCGCTGTCCGCATCTCATCAAACAGACGCAACGCCTGCTCGACCTTCCGCGCACGTGATAACTTTGAAATCACCGTATTATACAGGTACGTAGTGGGCCGCACACCAAGTCGCTGCGATTCCTGGAAGAGCTCTTCGGCGACCACAGCGTCGTCTGTGCGTTCCTGGATCGTCGCAATGAGAGCAGCGTACGCACTAGCACTGGGGACTTGGTGGGCACGAATCAGACGCAAGCGGTGTGCATTGGCTCGGTCCGCCAACATCGCATGCGAAAGCGCTGTGATCATACCGTCCTCCAGCTGCGTCCAGTTGTGCAGGCACCAATCCGAACTCTGGGGCTTGGATGCAAGGATATGCCGTCCAATCCGGTAGAGCTCATCAATCTGCTCCACTTGTGCGTTTCGACCAAAGGCATTGATGAGGACAGCCAGCGCGCTGGGCGTAGGGTATACGCCCTTCTCCATACTGGAACGCAGCCGTTCGTACAGGTCATCAGCTTGAAACTGACCATGTGGCCGAGCAAGACTTTGCACAGTGCTGGAAAGGGATGCATCAATGGACTTGACTGGCGGCAACGTAGGATCCAATACGCCATGCATGTGCAAGTCGTCCATGTCTGCCACTGGCACGGTCGGTGGAGCGGGGGCCGCCGGCGTCTGCGCCGACGTGTTCGAGTCAATCGAGGCCTCCTCATTGAGCGTGCCCCCTGACATCCAACCTTGGGCAATCTGTACGCCAGGTTCGCCGTACTTTTCCCGCAGACGCGCTTCAATCTCTTCAAGGGCCAACGACGGCTTATTCGGAATTCGTGCGAGCTGCGTAAGCAGCTTACCCAACCCTGAATGCCCATCCGGGCCAGGGAACGCGCGTGGCGAGGCTAGCTCCGCACGAAGGAAAGCATCAACGACACCAGCCCAAGATGAGCTGTCAAGCGAGAGCAATGCTAAGTTGCCTTGCACATCGCGGCTGGCCGCTTCGAATTCACGTACGAGTGCCGTGTTTGCCGTGTCTACAAGCGAGCAGTCCATGCCACGCAGCGCTGGGATGACCAACATGGCCAGCGTCAGGAAGCGTATACAGCTATCGCTGAGCACATGTGGGGACGATAACGCTGCATCGGCAATGGCCATCGGCAAATGGCATGCATCGCGAATAAGGGAGACAGACGAGGGGGACGACAAGTCAGCATGCCGAAGGGCCATGGTCGCCAACGCAAACAGAGCACCAGCTTCTTCCGCTTGTCCTGCGACAGATTGATGCGCGGCTAGTCGCAGAATGGCCGACACTGGTAAGGCTTGTTGCCGTGTACGCAACGGACGTTCGGCGCTGTACGTAGAAAACAGGCGAACCGCAAGCGTGTGCAGCGCCACGTAACAGGACGACAAGTCCTGAGCACTAAGCTGGCGCTCTACCTTTCGTATTTCAAGCACATTGGCTAAGTGCATGACACATCGGGAGGAGGCCAGCATCATACCACAGGTAGGCGCATCGCGCGCTGTCAATGCCTGTGCTGTATCACGCAACAGCGTGGCGGCCATAGCAGGCGTCTGCTGCATCGCTGAAGCCACAATCCCTTCATACGCTGCGACATGAGGCGCTGGCAGATGCGATGCATTCAGCTGATGCAGCCATTGCACAGCCGAGCGCACATCGCCGATCCGCACGAAGCCCATGATCATGCGACTGACCACTTGCTCGTCCAACACAGGGGTAGAACGGTCTGTGGCAGCTTGGCCAAGCATTCGCTCAAAGAGCGCCACAGCACCGAATGGATCGCCCAACGCAAAGTGTACGTCAAACATACAAGCCCACACACGTGCACATTGCTCGCGCGAAAATCCAGGCGCTTGAGGCTCGATAAGCAGTTTTGCTGTAGCAACCCGCTGGAACGTCGTAAAGATGAGCTGACACGCTTGCAGGCACCTCACACGTTTGTCCTCCAAAGTCTCGTCAGGAAGCTGAGGCACATCTTGGTGCATAAAGATCTGTAGAAGCAGCATGTATGACTCGGCGTCTTTCGTCGTCTTGAGATTGCTCTCTAAAAGTGCTAGCACAGCAACAGCCGTCGAGGTATCGCCACGAGGAACACAGCATTGCAGAAGCTGGTTGTACGGGACTGTGGAGTCAAATACGCGCTTGAGTGCGTGCGCTTGCGTAGCGACTTGGAGGGCTAGCGCCAAGTAATCGGTCGCAACACGATGTGGTGCAGCCTCTGGGGATCGCGCTACCACCTCAAGGTCGCGCCGACATAACGCATCAATGACGATGGCATAGGCCTTAGAGTCCAGTGCAGGTTGGTCCCATGCTCTGATGCCTTGGTAAAGGGTGTACATAGTGTCCACATTGTGCAGTGGCACAGGCGTGGAAGAGGGAGCTAAAGGCGCTGGCGAGCGCAGCACAGCTTCCAGCATAGTGCGTACACCATACAGCGTGCGTGCATCGGAGGGAAGAGCAAGATAGGACTGTACAGCTTGCTCAACATTGCCATCCGCGGCCAACGCCAAGAGAACACTCTCTTCCTGAGGCGTCATACTTATGTGAGGATCGGCATGCGGCGCAACAGATTGTGCGAAAGTAATGGTCCTCCCTGTGGAATGCGCCGTCACAGAGTTCCGACGGATGTTGCCCATTCGCGCACGACGCTCCGTATCGACACGGCTTAAACTGGCGCTGCGACGGCGGCCTGGCATCGGCACCGACTCGGAGCGAGTTTGCGGTTTCCGAATGGTATATGTGTCGTTGAAGGGTAGCGAATCTGTAGTCAGCATAACCTTGGCAGTCGCAGGTTCATTTTCCGACGATCCAGTCTGCGGAGAAGCTATCGCCGCGTTGGGCTTGGTGTCCACGGACAAGGAGGGCACGGCACCATTAGGTATAGCGGAGCTCGACGCTATCGCCGAGCTTGGCGCTGCGGCTGTGGGTATCGTTGCATAGCGGGCTAATGGCCCCGCAAGCTTAGCAAAGAATGGCATCGGCTACAATATGGAAAGATGGCCAAGGTAGTGGTGGCACTGTACAGAATTAAGAATTCTTAACCCCAGGCAGACGGTAGCAGTATGAATTGAAAGGCTCAATGCACCACCACGCGATTTCATGCTTCTCCGGCGACGGCCTCCACTCAGGTCCGGAGTGCCTCGGAATATTATGAAGTCATTGGTGGATGTATATTGGTTACATTCATTCTGAACCCAATCAGGGCTATGAATAGGTAGGCTCTCTTTAAACCAACTCGTTCCCGTTCCCTGGCCCAGTGTGAAGAAGCCGAAAGAAATATGCACAGCACGATAGCGTGAAGCATGCTATAGACAGGATCGTGCACAACAGATTCTATAGAGTTGTTACTCAGCAAAGGTAGTACGCTTGCCCTCCGACGGTACAATCCCGTACGCCTGCCGCGGCGCAGCGGCGTTCGCAGCACCGGGGCGAATCCGTCGTGGAGTTGCAGAGCCTCGGCGGCGCGGCGCTGGCGTCGCCGGGGCCGCCACGGAGGCGGCCGGCGCCGTGTCGGTCTCCCCTTCGTCCTCACGCACAGAAGCGGCCTGGCCCAGGGGCTCTGTATTGGTAGAGGAAGCAGGACGGCGTCGACGACGTGTAGGCACATAGTCTGGTAACAAGTCTTTAGATGCGCCACGGCGCACAGCGTCAAGGCCAGCATACTCGATCTGGAGCGTGCGGCCGAGAAGCCGACCATTGCGCGGTTCAATCAGAGCCTTGGTAGCATGGTGAGCCGAATCAAAGTCAACAAACGCAAAACTGGAGGTGAGTGCATAGACAACATACCCTTTGCATTTCCCGGTATCTTCAAAGGTGCCCATGCGAATTTTACGAATGCCCGCCGAGGGTGGCGCAGGTGCCTCGCCCTCAGGGGTTTCATCGACATAATGGCGCCTTGCTGATGTCTCCAGCAAGTCGCGAATATCATCTTCCTTTGTCTCAAAACTCAAGTTGCCCATAAACAACGTAGGCGCTGGCGCGTTTTTTTGGGAGCGCAAGATCCTCTGGGCCGTTTTCGTTAGACCTGTGCGGCCACCGGATGTAGTGCTCCCGAGATCCATCACAGAGGCATCCAGCCCAGGTCTACCGCGGAAATCGGTGCCACTTTTGATGAGAAGACGACGCCCGCCTAACGACGTCTCGGAAAGCGCCACACACTGCTGCACCATGTCGTCCGACGGCAAGTCCACGTACGCGAAGCTGAATCGTTAGTCGTAGAGAGACATACCCTTTGTTATGGTCTGTACGCCGAGCACCAGGTGTCATATGGACACGACTCACGCCCTCGATAGCATGATCGGAGAGCCACTGACGCAGGTCATCTTCACTTGTGGTGAAAGACAAGTTACCGATCCACACGCTGTAGGGGCTACGCTCAGGACGTGCCGGAGCAGCGGCTTCCTTGTGCATAGTCCCATATTTCTCGGCCATTTTCTCCATTTTTCGACGCTTGCGCTGCTCCTTGTGCGAGAGCGGCTCCACGTCCTCGTCTGGCACCTCGTCGGCAGGCGCCTCATCGTATTGAGGCTCTTCCGCTGCTTCATCAAAGTCGCGCTCTTTCCGTCGCTTGGACGGCGCCAAAGCCTCGTTGCTATGCTCTGCCTCTTTTTTCTGCTGGCGTTCTGCCTTGCGCGCCATACGGCGCTCTTTATTTGTCAACGTACTCTCACTCATCGTTCAAGGTACGTGGAGAGAAGAAAAAAAGAGTGGAGCCTCCACTAAAGAAAACTACCGGAGCGCGCGACGAACATCTCGACGGGGCGTAGCATCCACAGAGACATCGGCCAAGTGGTCCATATCGTCCGCCTGAATCGCCGTTTGCGGGCGAAGCCGACGCATGCGCTTGATTGGGCTGGGTGTTCCACGCGGAAGAAGGGTATCTTGCGAGTCATCGGAGAGAATCGACATGAGCACATCGCTTGGCACAGACTTGGTCTGAGAGGTGGGCGACTGCGAAATGTTGTCCTCTTCTTTTTCTTTCAATGCGTGGAACACAGCGCTATCATCGTTTTCTGTAGCCGAGGACATGGAAGAGTCACTTTGCTCTGTGCGTGATAAACGTGCGAATAGATCAATTTTGCGGTCCACAAAGGCATCATTGGCATCGATCTAATAGGTGAGTAGATAAGTACGTACCTCAGCTTGAAGCTGCTTTTCATAGTACAGTTGCATTTTCTTCAGCGCCGCCTCGGTATATTGCGCCATTTCATCACGCACTGATTTTTCCATCACTTGCAGCAGACTCTCGGCACGTTCGCAACGCTGACGGAGACGCTCATTTTCGGCGAGCAACATGTTGACAAATTCATCTTGCTCGGTCTCCTCGACAGACTCGTCGTCAGAGTCATCCACACCATCGTCCAGCTGCGATAGACTTGCGCTGCTTACACTCCGTGGCACGGCGTTCGATGTGACTTGAATGCCCACATCTTTGGCCATAGCACTAAACCGCATCACATGGGCATTTTCTTCGTAGCCTGTGCCGTAAGGGTTGACATTGACGATCATCACAACTTTGCCATCGCCAAGGAAAAACGACTGGAAGAGCTCGGTAAGTTTCGAGTGACGGAACGGCACAATACTCTGCCGCCGCCGTCGGGGTTCACTGGATTGCGATTGCGATAGCGACGCTTTGTGATCGGACCCGGTACTTATACCCGCCCGGATTTGGTTCTTGCGCATCGTTTCTAGGCACTGCCCTAAACACATCAGGCTTTTGTTGATGCTGCCCGCTTCTTTCAGGCGTGGACCGGCAGAAATATCAGTATTGGCAATCCGCTCGCTGCCTGCGAGATCCACAATGCTCAGCCGCGACACAAAGTACTTGCGGCTGAGCCCAGCGACGTCATGCCCTGGCAGATCCACACCTGTGTATTCGCGCAACACTTTGATCGTAAACACGCTGTGCGATCGCGAACTGGACCGATTGGCCATGGTACTAAACACAGATCGATTCTCCTGGCCACACCGAATCAGATCCCGGGCTTCTTGGATGGACGATACTTTGATTTCTTTGAGACCACCGACGTATTTCCCGCCACTTTCCACCTCGCTCTTCAGAAGCAGAGGACGCCGTGTGGGCGCCTGCTTGGCATCCGCTTCGCTCGTACCGTACTCGCGCCGCGTATCCATACGTGTAAGAAGCGATGACATGGGCATCTCAAATAGGTCGTACAGCTTCTCATTGTACACTTCCACATAGCTGACCCATATACTGTAGCGATAGTCCTTGTCAATGTCCAGCTTGGTAGGATCGATATCGTACGGCTCTGAGATGATGTCCGAACGTGAGACGTCGCCTGCCTCCCGTGTCTGGCCAGGTCGCAGACGAGGTCGAGGTCGAGTTCGACTGGCCAACAAGCTTTTGCTGGAGTCGGAGATGCCAGGCTGCACGCCTGTCAATCCCATAGGACGAACAGCTCGCGTGCACTCGTACCCATCGATGCTGTTGAACAGCACATCAATGGTGCGCAAAAGAATACCAGACTCGCCGCGACGTGGACTGCCTTGCACAGTGTACGTCTTGCCTGAATTTGTAACGCCATACGTGAACACCAAACTGTTTTTCCCTTCAAGCAAGTCTTGGACCAGAGGTAGCGTCGTGACCTGAAAAAACTGCGATTGCGCCGTAGCACGCTGGGCACCAGGCTCGCCCGTTTCCATGCCCGCTTCCGGTGGGAACACTTGGGAGAATGTGTACTTCGTGGGCCCGGCCGACGCGGCTGAGCGCAAACGCGACATGGATTTGGACGACGTCGACTCGGGCAGTGGCGTGAGAATAACATCAGTATCAGACACCACTTGAATGTACGGCTGCGTCTCGTTCGCGTCTTCCTCGTCGATGGACGCTGGACGAATACGCAAGAACGCCTGAATCGGCTCACTGGGGACGCCTGCCTCCGTCAAACGAGCTACCGAGGAGGAACTGGGCGTGCGAATGCCCGACATGGGCACACGTGCCCCTACAGTGCCTGCGATGGATCGCTTCAAAGGCGAGTCTGCCTTGCTAGGCGACAGGCCACCACGTCGGTCCACCAGCGGCATGGCCAAAATACGTACGTAGGTGGAACGCACGCGCGTGGAGACACCAGACCAACGCTGCGAGACCCCTGCCCCTCACGCGTCTGATCACGTGAAAGTGCGAAGGTGCGAAGGTTGGTAGGCAGGTAGACGTCGGCCTGCATACGTACGTACGTACAACGCTGTGGGGACGCTACCATGCAACGCATGCTCCTCCGTGCTTGGCCTTCGCGCGTACGTTGTCTTGCGACCAAGGCCGCACATGAATCGCTTCCTGTCTGTGGCCAGCCACTCCCTCATACCCATCCGCACCTATTTCCTAAGGACTTTCGACGTGGCACGGACCCTGCCACAGGTGGCGACGTTGCTCTCGATCACTTGACTCCAGGTATCCCTGCATCAGAGTACGAGCAGCGTCGTCAGTCATTGATGGATCGGCTGCCCGAAAATAGTGTTGTGGTGCTCATGGGCGGACGAACCAAGTACATGTCTCGGAATATCTTTTACAAGTTTCGTCAGGAGTCCAATTTCTGGGTACGTTGTGCGCCATACTCATAATAGTACCTCACTGGTATGCAGGAGCCAGATGCTGCGCTTGTGCTGGAAAAGAACTCGAGTCAGCGTGGCTACAAAATGACCATGTTTGGTACGTACGCTGCTTCCTCTGACGTGCAGTGGAGCCATGTCAAGCGCATAAGGAGGTCTGGGATGGCCCGACCTGTGGTTTAGAAGGCGCCGAGCGTATTTTCGGTGCGAATGAAGCGCTGTCCAATGATCCGGCCATTATGTTGCAGTACCTCAAGAGCAGCGTGAGTCGGTGTGATCATCTCTACGTGGACCTTCCCACCCAAGTCACGGTCCCGCGCCAGAGTCTTCGCTCGCCCCGCTTCAGCATTCATGATTTCCTGGCACCCCCCTCCCCCACCGGTTTTGATCTGTTTGTGCGCAAGACTGATTTCGACAATGTGGTGAAACTTTTGAGTGATCGACGGAATACGCATTCGCTGCAGCGTGAGCTGGACCAGTTGCGCAGTCGCAAAAGTGAGAACGAAATCAAAGTTATGCGTCAGGCAGGCGCAATTAGTGGCGAAGCGATGACGCAGGTCATGCGTGCCGCACGTCCAGGCTTGCCGGAAGCCGAGGCGCAGGCCGTGTTTGAATACGAGTGCGCGCGTCGTGGAGCAGAGCGACAAGCGTACGTCCCTGTCTTTGCTTCTGGCCGCAATGCGCTAATGATCCATTATGTACGAAACGACAACCTCATGGGCCCCAATGATGTGATGTCCGTTGACGCTGGGTGTGAATTCCGTGGGTACGCCTCGGACATTACACGAACGATGCCTACGTCGCAGGATGGCCGCTTCACCGGGCCGCAGCGCGACTTGTATGAAGCGCTACTACGAACGCTCAAGGGATGCACGCAATTGGCCACAGCACGCCAGGGCTATTCTCTATCAGAGCTGCACCGCCGCAGCGTGGAAATGCTAAGTGCAGAACTTCGTGATTTGGGCTTCCAGCTGGGTTTTGGCACCGTGGAACGTGTGTTGTACCCTCACTACATTGGGCATTGGCTAGGTATTGATTTGCATGATACAAGCACGGTCGAGCGCTCTACACGGCTGCAAGAGGGCATGGTGCTCACGATCGAGCCTGGCCTGTATGTCCCGGACGAGCCTGCGTATCCCAAGGCCTTCCGTGGGCTGGGTATGCGAGTCGAGGACGATGTCGCTGTGGGGTACGCAGACAATGTGGTGCTGAGTGCCGAAGCACCGAAAGAAGTAGCAGACATCGAGGCTGTATGTGGTGGTCGTATATAGATACATTACAAAAGATCAAAGTCGTCCAACTCGTCGTTGTAGTTCGCAATGGCACGGCGGACCTTGGAGGTGTCGACCCATGTCACGAAGTCTTCCATATTGCGCGTCACCAAGAACGCTGGGTCAGTGATGGTATCGGGTCCCACCCGTACATGTCCCTGCTCGACGTATTTGACAGCTTGGGAGACCGATTCGCTCATATGCAGCCGCACCATCACTACCGGCAAACGCCGACGACAAAAGGCACTGACATTGAGCTTCTCCATAATATCACTCATTTTGGAGCCTGTATCCAGCAGGCCCATATCGTACAACTTGTTCAGCAGCATGGATTCCTGCTGCGCGCGAAAGGGGTCAGCAGCCGGCAGGGTCGATAGACGCAAAGCCAGTTGCCGCGTCTTGCCTACCAGCACGTTGTATTTGTGGTAGTCATCGCGGTCCTGCAGATGGTAGCGCCGCATCACTTTAATTTCACGCAGATTGTGCTCATTCTTCCACTGCAGAAAGTCGTGCCTGGTCGGTAAGCAAAACGGGATGGAAACACCTACTTTTTGAGCAGCTTCTGCTCATGATATTTGAGTTGGCGCATGGTAGAGGGAGGGACAAAAAAAAAGGGTGGAGGCTGACGCCAGCGCCTCGCTTCGCTGGACAGGCGAACACCGACCGACGCGCACGACGAGCGTGGCAGAGAGAGGATGGCGTTGTCAGGGGCGTTGGTACGTATCATAGAGACGACTTACCTAGACTCTCACCGACCTGAACGACTATCTGGGCCCGTCACAAGTGTGCATCAAGCCTGTGGATGCGCCACCCAACGATGAGGCGCATGCCAACACGAACATTTCCATTGAAGAGGGCGTGTACGTGGAAACGCCAGCCAATGCGCCTCGTGCACGTACGAAGCTAGAGACTGCACAAATCTCGCTCAACGACTGTCTGGCTTGTAGTGGGTGTGTGACCAGTGCCGAGACGGTGCTGATCGGTTTGCAAAGCGTCGATGAAGTCCAGACGGAATTGGAACGCAAGGGAGAGCGTGTATTTGTCATGACCATCAGCACACAGACTCTCGCGTCGCTGGAAGCGGCATTCGGCCTACCCCTTTCGGACCTGTTCCCACGTATAGAAGGGGCCTTGACACAGATGGGCTTTGACGTGGTGCAAGACACTACGTTGGCACGACACATGGCCCTTCGTGCGCACGTACGCGAGTTTTGTGCGCGTCGCGATGCACGACAGCGTGGCGATAAAAAGGCACCGACGCTTCCAATGCTAGCGAGTGCATGCCCTGGCTGGGTGTGTTACGCGGAGAAGGCACACAGCGAACTCCTGCCGTACGTCGCGACGACCAAGTCGCCACAGCAAATGGCCGGCCTTCTAGCCAAACGTATTTGGGGGCCCGAGAAGCTCGGCATCGGCACGACGACAGGCTGCATTACGACGAACCATTCGAACGTGTACCATGTAGCGGTGATGCCCTGCTACGATAAGAAACTGGAGGCATCTCGCGCTGCTATGACCGATGCGGCGGGCGTGAAAGACGTCGACTGTGTACTAACCACAGGCGAGTTGCATGACCTCCTTGTGCGGCATGCATTCCAGCCGGACCAAGCCGTGGCGACACGGCAATCCATGCCCGAGCCTGAGCCTGGCTCCAGTAGCGGTGGCTACCTGTTCGCCATCTTGCTGCAGGTATACCAAGAATGGCGCACAGCGCATCCTACGGACGAAACGCCGACAATCGATGTGCGAACGATTCGGTCGTCGGACTATACAGAGTACGTGATGCGGGCGCCTGATGGTACGACTCTGTTCAAAGGCGCGACATGCTACGGCTTCCGCAATCTGCAAAATTTGGTCCGCAAGCTGCAGCGCGAGACAGGTGCCAAGGGGCAGCGTGGACGTGGCATGGCGATCCGGCGTGCCGCGGCGCAAGAACCTGCGTACGACTACATTGAAGTGATGGCATGCCCAAGCGGCTGCGTCAATGGCGGCGGACAAATGCGCCCGCCCGAGGCTTGGATCGAGATGCAGCAGCAAGCGCAGGATGCGAATGTGGCGCACAACGAGGAGGAGAAGGCATGGCCGGCGCCGCCGCCAGGCTGGCAAGGCACTGATCGGCGGTGGGTCCATGTCATTGAGCAGACGTACTGGGGTACGACCGAGCGCGTGTCCAGCACGCCAACACAGACACAGAAACTGCTAGCGCAGGCGATCGACGGCCCATTGCAGGGATGGCTGCAGACGTGGGACGCTCATGCCGCCTCCATGGAGACGCACATTCCCATGGCCGACGTTCATACCAGCTACCAAGGTGTTGAAGCGCCTACAAATGGCCTGGCTGTGCAATGGTAAAACAAGGTATGGCTACCTGAAAAAGGGGCGTATGACCAAAATCGCTATGAGTAACGCAATGCACAGCAACAGCAAAAGGATCAGAGAACGACGATTCGAGCCAGCCTGGTACGCCATGGCGCGATTCAGCTCGGACGACGAATGCTGGACGTCTGTGGCCATGGATTCGATATTGTAGTCAATGCGATCCAGCATCGAGCCTTGCTCAATGACCAACGCAGAGAGGTCCTGAAACAAGTGCGCCAACTCGGAAATGGAGCGCGCAATTTGTGTGATTTCCTCGTCTCGCGCTTGAATGGTCGATAGTGTATGGTCTTCGACATCGAGAAGTGCTTGCTGCTGCGAATCACCTTGCACACGTTCCGACTGAGGTCAGCTGAGCCTAGACGTACCAAAGCCACATCTTCCTGTATACTTGATTCATCGTCCAAGAGCCATGCGTCACTAGGTTTTTTCTCTTCTTGGACTTCCATACCTTGCAAGCGACGTAGATACTGCGACTGTTTTCGACGGAACATAGACGACATGTGCTGGACGCGCGTAGCCAGTGCGGTTTGCGCATTGCGTGCGGCCATGGCCTCGTGCTTCGAGAGCCGCTTGGACCGAAGGGCTTCGGTTGTTTGCGCTACCAGCTTCGACACATGCTGCGACGCACGCCGAAAATCTTGCGTCACATCTTCCGTTAGTGCCTCGATCTCGCGTTTCTGGGCCGACTTGTCGGCAAACGAGGGAAGAAGATGCTGTGCATGCAAGCGATCGAGCTCTTGGAGTTTGGGTATCATCGCTGTGAGAATGGCATCCACTTCGTCTGTCGTATCGACCCAGAATGGCGGAAGGGATACAGACACATCGTGGCGGTCCACATCAAAGTATACATCGTCCGCAGGCGATACGTGATGATCGCCGTTGTCGCCGCCTAGCAGCGGCGCATGGGATGACGAGGCCGCCGTCCCGCCTGGTGCAAGCGAGTCGCGAATCGATAAGAAGAAGAGCGTACGTGATCGTGTCACGCCAAGATGCGATGACGACGGCGCATACGGCGTAGACGAGCCTTCTACGCCTAGCATCGCGACGCACTCCCAAGCGAAAACGAACCGAGGACGCAGCGCCTCGCCGTCTTGGGATACATGTGGAGGCCCACGGAGGCCTCGTCCCCACAACCCCATAGGACGCCGCCATGCTACACACGCGACGCAAGAAGCGTAGCGTCGTGCATGGAAGTGGACGCAGAAGGGAACAACATCTAGGCCTATCTAGGTATGAAAGGAGAAAAACCACGCCTGCCTAGGCCAAGGCAACCTGTGTCGTTTCTCAGGGGTCTATCGGCGCCACACGAAGCATTTTAGTCGAGCATCGAAGCGCCACCAGACTGCACAGCGGCCATCTCCGCCTCACTCCATTGCAGAGCAGGTGTGTTCCAGAAACGGGGTGGCAAGTCGTACACGCTGTCGCTCACGTTCGCCGAGGACGACGACGACGACGACGAGCTCGAGCTCGAGCTCGAGCTCTTGCCTTGGTGCAAGCTGAACGGCTTCAGCTTCGAGGCATCAAAGTGAGGACCCGACTCAAGCACCTGGCGGAATCGATCAAAGTCCTTGGCAATCTCAGACGGCGCATCGGGATGAGGCTTAGGCTCATGCTTTTCTGAGAATGTTACCATATCATACATACATACCTTTAGGAGCACGACGATCCGGGAAACGGATCATGGGTGTATGCGCACGCGCCGCACGGATACATGTCGATCGAAGCATGGTGGATGCAGCGAGGGACGTGACTGGGGCCAGCGATGCACGAGTCCCTCGCCGAGATGGAACTGCCGACCTGCCCCTCGGCGCCCATTCGGCCGAGAGTGGAGGCATGGACGAGAGCAGCGGATGCGTCGCAGGCAACCCGGTCGGTGAGTCGGCCACCGCACTGATCTACACTTTACGATGACGGACCACACGGCGTCACTCGAAGAGAGCAACGCGGCGCGCCTGCCACTTGGCTACCGCGACTCGTGCAGCGCGTATGTATACAAACAAACTAACGTGATAAGGCTGCTGATCCCGCTGAACAAGTGCCGTCGGAAGACGTTCTACGCGCCGTGGGCCTGTGAAGAGGAGCGGTATGTGTTTCCAGTACGCTGACCTGTAGCCACACCTACGAGAGGTGTCAATACGAGGAGTATGTGACGATCTTTTTCGCGCCGTGACTAACTAGACCAGCTTCCTCCAGCGCCAGAAGAAGCTGCAAGCGCTTGCCGCTGAAAAGGCCAACGAGGCGGCGGAAGACATGTAAGTAGGCGGTACTGAGTAGGCCTACGAATACCAAAGGCCCTGATGGGTGACCTAACGTACGCTTGGTGTAGAAGCTGTGCTATACGACTGGCTTACGCCATCCACGGAGTGCGTCGCGGACGTAGCCGCAGGCACATCGTGTGTCTTGGTGGTATCTGCGCGTGGATCCAGCGCTTTGCCGACAAACCCAATATAGTACATACGCGACGTGGTACCAGCCAACGAATCGCTCTGCCGGATGAGTGAATAGAATACATACCAAGAGGAGGCTCACGCTGTTCGTGTGGGCGAAGCGCGAAGCGCTGACAGGGTACGATGTGACCTGCGCCGCATTCTCCAGCAAGGCAAAGTCGGCCTGTGCACGCCCACTGGTTGCAGGGCCGAGACGGCCATCAAGGACCGAGAGTGCCTCGTCAAAATCGATGCCATGCGGCCGGTTCACAAAGGCGGCACATCGCTGCCTGTCAGAGGCATAGATACGTACCCGTACGGCCATATCGCTACGGCCCGCAAACAACAGAATACTTTGGATCCGAACGGGGCATGTAAAGGGAATAGTCACAATCATCTGGTCGTCCACGCCACTTTCCATATAGCGATCCATCGAATGTCGTTCGTCCCATGGCTTGAGCGCCACCTTGGCAGACTCCGGCGGCTCGATATTCACGCCCCATACGCGATCATGGTCAATGTAGTTGTACAAATTGGACCCATCACCTGTGCCGACCAGGGGACGGCGGTCGTCCGACGTGGCCTCGCCCCCACACTGCATGGCCCTAGGCGTGGGGCAGCACGGCGGGCGCCCACGTCTCTTCTCCACTTCTCGGCAGCCTAGTAGGTGACGAACGCATTTTTCTGCGATCGCACGGCCTCCACGCGCAGGACGTGAACGAGACGGCGAGCCTCTTGCACTGAGGCGGTCTATCGCAGTATGGTACGTCGTTCCACCACTTACAGCAGGGTGTGCCTGCCTTGTTCAGATGGCTCTCGAAAAAGTACCCCAAGATTGTCCAGAGCGTTGAGGAGGACGAGCCAGGGCAGATGACGGGCCCGGATGGCGAGATGATTGAGGTGCCTGTGGACATTTCACGTCCCAATCCCAATGGCGAGGAGTACGATTGTTTATACCTAGATATGAATGGTATTGTACATCCATGTACGCACCCGGAAGGGAAGCCGGCGCCGGAGACAGAAGAAGAAATGATGGCAGAAGTGTTCCAGTACACAGAGCGCGTCGTCGCTATGATCCGCCCACGGAAACTGTTGATGATGGCCATTGACGGTGTAGCGCCCCGTGCCAAAATGAACCAGCAGCGATCCCGTCGCTTTCGTTCGGCGCAGGATGCCAAAATCATGCACGACCAGCGCGAGCAGGAGCTGGCCGAGCGCAAGAAGAAAGGCCAAGCGGACGACGACGAAAGCGTGAAAAAGTCGTGGGACTCGAATGCCATTACGCCCGGTACGCCGTTTATGGACCTGCTTGCCTCCTCGCTGCGATACTGGATCGCCCACAAGCTCAATACGGACCCTGGCTGGAAGAATTTGTGTGTTGTGCTCTCAGATGCCAGTGTGCCTGGAGAAGGTGAGCACAAGATTATGGACTACATCCGCCGCAAACGAAGCGACCCGAACCACGACCCGAATATGAAGCATGTCATTTATGGCCTAGATGCGGACTTGATTATGCTCTCGCTGGCGACGCACGAGCCGCATTTCAAGGTGCTACGTGAAGATGTATTTGCGCAGGACAACAAGAGTCGTGGATGTCATCGATGTGGACAGGAAGGGCACTATGCCGCCAATTGCGTAGCTGAGCGTGTGGAAAAACCTGTACCGGCCAAGAAGCCGTTCATTTTCCTGGATGTGCCGACGTTGCGCGAGTACTTGGCGGTGGAGCTGCAGACGCCCGGCATTCCGTTCCCTTTTGACTTGGAACGTGCGATTGACGATTGGGTTTTTCTGATTTTCTTTGTAGGCAACGATTTCTTGCCGCACTTGCCCAGTCTAGAGATTCGCGAGGGAGCGATTGACACGCTGCTGAAGATCTGGAAACGGGAGTTGCCTCGCATGACAGGGTATGTCACGAACAACGGCCGTGTCGAGTTACGGAATGCCCAGCTGATTCTCGATGGGCTCGCGAATCTGGAGGATGAGATTTTCCGCAAGCGCAAAGAGACCGAGGAGCGCCAAGAAGCGAACAAGCGCCGTCATGCTGCGCGCGATGGCAAGCCCAGGAACACAGAGGCATCGACAAAGCCTGTGGCTGCCCCGCCAGTCGTTGCGCCGCCCGTGGTCGCGCCGAGCAAACCTGTGCCAGGCGCTCGTAACAAGGGCCCGATCTTGCTGGATGGCGATAGTATGGACGTGGTGAAGAACCGCGCACAGATCCGCATGGCCAACATTAGTGCGGCCGAAACGATGCGAGTAGAGCTGGCCGCCAAGAAGGGGACCAAGCGTGCGGCTGGCGCCCTCGATACGTCTCGCAAGCGCGGCAAAGTCGAAGACTCGGCGCTGTTTCCGATGGACGAAGAGATGCCGCGCGATACAGCTACGCCGTCAGAAGATCGGGCCAAGGCGCTGGCCTCGGCCTTGGAAGGCACAGCGAACGAGTCGGACGACATGCTCAAGAAGGATGTATTGGGGAAGGAGGCGCTCGTGAAGCAAGAAGACGAGAGCAGCGAGGCGGCTGTGAAGGAAGAGGAGAGTCCAGCGCTCAAGAAAGAGGAGGACGAAGAGCAAGACGAGAGAGGTGTGAAAGACGACGACGATGAGGATGGTGATGACGACGACGACGACGAAGAAGAAGAAACGAGTCCTCTCACACGCAAAGTGAACGACGACGGCACGGTCGAGTACGAGGATACCGTGAAACTGTACGAGCCAGGCTACCGGGAACGATACTACCGCCAGAAGTTTGGCGTCGAGTTGTCTGATACAGCGTTCCGTCGCGCTGTGGTCCAGAAATACGTCGAAGGTCTCTGCTGGGTCCTTGCGTACTACTACCAGGGCTGCCCGTCGTGGAAATGGTACTATCCGTACCACTATGCGCCGTTCGCTGCCGACTTTACTGATATGGCCTCGTTGGCCATTGAGTTTGGCGAGAGTGAGCCGTTCCGTCCGTTTGAGCAGCTGATGGGTGTGCTGCCGGCGGCCAGTAAGACCAATTTGCCGGAACCATTTCAGTGGCTCATGACCGATCCTGAGTCGGAGATTGTGGACTTTTACCCCAGTGAGTTTTCTATCGACATGAACGGCAAGAAAATGGCCTGGCAAGGTGTTGCCCTCTTGCCGTTCATTGATGAGAAACGCCTGCTCACCGCGCTTCATAAACGGTACGGTCAGCTGACCAAGGACGAAGTCCGGCGCAACTCGTTCGGACGCAATGTGCTGTTTGTGAATGAGGATGCGGATCTGTACCCGGCCATCAGCCGCATGTATGCGAAGCGCAACGATGGCCAGCCGCAGCCTATCGATACCACGCGCATTCGTCAGATCGCCGGGACGATGGAAGTCGATCCCTCGTGTGTGCCAAGCTCGACATTTTACTCGCCGCTCTCGTCGCTGCCGGATATGAAAGACATTCATAACGACCACAGCGTCTCGGTGTATTACGACTTTCCTGCACAGCGTACACCGCATCGCAGTGTCCTGCTTCGTGGCCTGCGCCTCCCACCACGCCGCCTTACCCCTGCGGACGCCGACTGGGTACGCCGTGGCGGGGGCGGTGGGCATCGCGGTGGTGGCTTCGGAGGTCGTGGCGGTCGTGGCGGTCGACGAGATGGATGGAGTAGTCAAGGCGCCCTGTATGGCCGTGATGCACATCCGGGAGGGCCGTACCATGCGCCTTCGAATGGTCCGTATGGCGGTGGTCCTTATGGCGGTGGCCCCTATAATGCTGGTCCCTATAATGCTGGCCCCTATAATGCTGGTCCCTATAATGCCGGTCCCTATAATGCTGGTCCGTACCAGCCAGCGCCCAGCGGGCCGTACGGCGGCGGGGCCTATGCAGGGCACTATGCGAACCCCTACGGCGGACACAACTACCAAGCCTATGGCTACGGCCAGGCGACCAACTCCTTTGGCGCGTCGCCGTATGGCCATGCAGGCACGGCGTATGGCTCTGCGTATGGCCAGCCATCTGCGTACGGCGGGTACGGTCAGGCCTCGCATCCGTACAGCGGCTACGGTGGTCCGCCGCCGAATCGCGGCGGCCGTGGATCGCACCGCGGCGGTGCGTACAGGTAGTCACGTAGCTTTTCGCCAGTGTCATTGTGGAGGAGACCCGTGTAAACCAAAATTCGCCTCTTTTCATACGTCGCGAAAGCAACGTGCGCACGTTCCTTCGATCTACGATGGCGTCCCAACGTGTGAGTGTGATCCCGCTCGTGCCAGGCGTGCAGTCGTACGAATGGGGCGTACCAGGACGTCGTTCAGATTGTTTAGTAGCGCACTATGCAAGTGCGACCAAGGAGCTGCACTTTGACAGGAAAGACGACCAACCGTATGCCGAGCTGTGGATGGGTACGCACCCTACGCTGCCGTCGTACGCACTGTTGCCCGATGGCTCGAAAGTCTTGCTGCATGACTACCTGTGCGAGCACAAGGCCTTGGTCGGCGACGAGGTCGTTGCTCGCTTTGGGCTGGACGAGGGACGTGGCGCGCTGCCTTTCCTGTTCAAAGTGCTCAGCATTAACAAGGCCCTCTCGATTCAAGCGCATCCCGACAAGGCGCTAGCCGAGAAACTGCATAAGGAAAAGCCGGCTATGTACAAGGACGACAACCACAAGCCGGAAATGGCGCTGGCCTTGAGCGACTTTGAAGGCTTCTGTGGTTTTAGGCCCTGGGCAGAGATGGCCCACTTCGTGGCTACGGTCCCAGAGCTCCGATCCGTGTTGGAAGCGGATGCAGCGTGGGACGCGGTGCAGGCGACTTCGTCGTCAGCGCTTCATGACGTATTTGGCATCCTCATGCGTGCGTCGCCAACCGTGTACGAGCCTGCCGTGGACGCGATCGCAACGCGCTACCGCCAGCGCACAGGCCCCGTGGAAGTCACAGACGAGGTCGCGGACCTCGTAGTGCGCCTCCATGAACAGTACCCACGCGACATTGGCGTATTCTGCACCTTCTTCCTGAATATCGTGCACTTGGAACGTGGCCAGGCCATGTTCCTCGGCGCCAATGAGCCGCATGCGTACTTGGCTGGCCACATTCTCGAATGCATGGCCGCGTCGGACAATGTCGTCCGTGCCGGTCTCACACCGAAAGCACGCGATGTGGATGTCCTGCTGTCTATGCTGACCTATAAGAGCGCTAGTGCGGACGAGCAGCGTCTTCGCTCGCCCGTCTGGGACGGCGATGCCCAAGGCCATACACTGTTGTACGACCCACCGATCCCGGAATTCACGTTGCTCTTCACAGCGCTGCGTGACTCGCAACGCAGTGAGCACCGCGCCGTGCATGGCCCATCGATCGTGCTGGTGACCAAGGGGCAGGGTGAGCTGCTCGTGGGCGAGACGTCGATCCCTCTGGACGAGGGCCGCGTGTACTTCATCGGCGCTCACACCCCTGTGACGTGGACGACGCAGGGCACGCTGGACGTCGCGCGTGCGTTTGTCGAAGTGGCATAGGTTGATAGTACGTACATACAAACACTATCCTATCATACAACCAGGGCACCTACTGGGCTGTTAGCAAGCTGGTCCACACCCAGCCCTCGCTGGTCCCCCACGCGAACGTACGACGACGGTGTCAGAGTAACTATGACTGATAGGCTGCACAGAGTCTTTGCTCCGAAGAGCTCGAGCCAATGGCAAATGTTGTCATCCTTCCAGTCGTGGCACACCCGCGCAGCGAGACCGAGGGCGGAGCTTCGAGTACATACCTTGTGGTGGGCCGGAAAGAAAAACCAAGAGCGAGGGAGCGCGATGAAAAAAATCAGCGTGGGTCAGTGACGACCTACGAGGTCGTTCAACATGCCGGCCGTGCTGACAAACCCACCGACGACCTTCGCGTGTACGATGGCCTCTGGTTGTGCGCCAGAAGACGACGAGGACGACCACGTCGTGCATCCATATACCCCGGGGGCGTCGGTGTGTGTGCCTTGATTATCCCTGCGCACATGAGTAGGCGTCCGCCCTTATTATATCGGTCGCTGCGCGGATCGGCGGCCGTCCGCGGTTTGTGTCACACCCTACTCCGCTCTACTCAGCCGCAGCGCGCCGTGTATGCTCGACCATATCTTAGCGCCTTGTATTCCACCCCATCGACCTACCGCATATGGCCGCCCACTACACAGGAAAGTGCGCGGCTTGCCGCGAGTGTACATGCGGTGCGGCTGTGCTTACAGCAGCCCGACGATGCAGCTACATGGCTGCCTGCGATCACGGCGCGTACCCAAGCGTTACGAAAAGAGCTCGATACCATGTATGCGCCCTCCCATGAAATGGATGAACTGCTCTGGCACGATCTGGTCATGATGTACATGCACGCTGCGGAACAACTATCGCTCCTCGACGCTGTGCGTGTATACTTGGACCTGGCCTCCCTGGCACCGCCTGCCATGCCCGTCGCCAAGGCCCGAGACGTAGGCCTGCATCTGCTTATGCAGCTCGAGGCCCTGCCTGATCGGTCGCATATGCGGGCGATGTGGAAGGCCCTCTGCAAGGTCGGCGATCCTACCCCGAGCGATACCACGCCGCTGACGCGTCGCCTTATTCTGAGCAATCGACTCGGCGAAGCGATGCGGATTCTTCAGTGGCACATTCAGCAGCACTGGCTGCGTCAGGCCCCTGCACCATCGCGCGCTGTGATGCATACCCTCATGATCCAAATGCGCACGGTCGAACGCGTGTTACGGCTTCGCACACCACCATCGCCAGGCCGTTTTGGCGCGAGCCGCGCTTTGTACACCGACTATTGCTACGCTCTCGTGGCTCTAGGGAGCTTGCTCCGTGAGAACTACCTACCGCTTGTCCCTGCCCACAAAGAAGACATTACGTGGCTCATTCAGCTGCTCGCTCACTTCCCTGCCTTGGAGTACCATGCGCCACACGCCGCGCAGGCCGCGCAAGAGATCCGCCATGTGCTACCCGTGTGGATAGAACAGTTGCCCTGTGGTCGCACGCCGCAACCTGACTTTTTCACACCGCCGCCTCAGCGCACACGTCGTAGCGATCGCGCTACCTACTTTGTGCCTGTGCTCAGTGAGCGTTCGTACAATGCCCTGCTGCAATACACCTTGCAGCATACTGACAATCCTCAAGCCTGCTGGCGGGTCTTGGAGCACATGACACGCGAACGATCACCACCCCTGAAGCCAGGACCTGTTACGGTGAACATCTTGGTCCGCCAAGCCGCTCGGCGACGTTGGCCGGCCCTTGGATCGTATGCGTTAGCGCTGCAGCGCGCTGATCCTAGCGCTGTGGCCCTACCTGCTCTACCAGCGCCCACAGCCTCGATACGGGAGGCCGAGCCGCTGTACCTGTTGGCGTCCGTGGACGAGGCATTGCGTGATCACGATACCTATCGTCTCGTGGCTTTGCTGCAGCATATTCGGCATAGCCAGCTACGTTCCCCTCAGCAACCTCATGGCATACGAGCGACGAGTGTGCTTTTGCGTGTGTACCCAGAGCTACGACGCAAACGTACGTGGCCCAGCGCACCGATTGCGCACCATCCCCACGTCTATGTCGCCTCCCTGCAACTGGCCGCTGCGGCAGGGCATATCAATATGGCGATGCGTATTTGGCGCCTGCTAAAGCAGATGTGCATTGCGCATCGCCAACCTGTGCCTACGCAGGCCATGGTCGAAGTCTTGCGTCTCCTTGTGCGCGTCGGACGACGTCGGCGGTGGGTCTATGCGCGCCATGAACACGAGCGTGATTCGTACAAGACGCAGGCGTGCATGATTGCCTTGCAAGAGTATGCATGGCTCTTGCATCACTGGAGCTCGCTGGGAACGCCGCCAGAGGTCGACGTGTACGTTGCGCTGCTGCGCTTGCTGCGCCGTATCGGTGACCAAGACGCCGCGTATGCACGCGTTGTCGACGATATCTATGCTCTAGGGCTTGCATCTATTCCACGTCTACAGCAGGCGCTTTCTACAAGCGCGCCACGTTCTTTTCCAGATACCCATACGTAGCAATATATATATATATATATATATATATATATTTAAGAAAAAAAACTGTCATTCTTCGCCCACGGCTTGCAAATAGGTATAGGGGACCAACCCACATCGCGAAGGATCGTCCACGAGTTGGGCAAGGACCCAGCCGCCGGGGATTTCGCTCATGATTTGCACGGGGGTACCTGCTTCCACACTCAGCTCATTGGCCGCTTCTGCGTGGAAATCGTACAATGCGACATACATAGGCTGGGAAGGGGCAGGGATCACAGAGCCAATACCATGATGCCGCTCATCCTCGTCGTCAAAGGCAAAGTCACGCACACGCAAGATCTGCTCCTTGGCTAGCTCTTCGGCCCAAGGCACCGTGTCCTTCGCCTCGCTCTCTTTATGGGAGGCAGCTTCCGACGCAGCAAACGCCCTTGGCATCCACACCCTGGGTTGCTCAACATTATCGTATGAGTCAGGAGACTTCACTATCGCCACATGCGACGACGCATCCGTCTCGGAGGCCTCGACTGTCATCGTTGTCGTGCCGAGGTCTCACACAGCAGCAAGGCACGACCACTTTGTCTCCCACACCAAGGAAGAAGAAAGCCGATGGACGTCGTCCCCACTGCAACGGCGCCCTCACGCTTTCCCAAGACGGCGTGCGACGCGCGAAGCGAGGGGCACTCTTCGAATTATCTCTGCAAAGAGCACACCTCCATCGATGCATGTCGTGGCCCCTTGGGAGAGAGCTCGCACGGCCCCTGTTCGCTTAATGACGCCACCTGCACGAATGGAGGTGGCATGGTGCAACGTATGTGCCCAGCCTGTAAAAGACGAACGATTCAAGTGTACGTAACAGGATGTTAACGATAGGCTTGACATGCCCTGACTGGGACTGTTGTGCAGTTTGTGAGCCACGCCACGAGCAAATGCATCCTGGCCACAAACTCGTACGACTCACCGCAGCGAACGACATTCCAAAGAACCCTTGTCCTACGCAGTGGGTACCCCATCCTGGCGTCACTTGTAATGGTACGTGTATATGCCTTCTAATCCAGACTGTGCCATGCCGATCGTAGGCCCGCGTTTCAAGTGTTCCCTATGTACCGATTTGGATTTGTGTGCGTCCTGTGAGGCGAACCCTATGACCTCGCACCAAAAGGAGATGGGTGCAGAGCACTTGCTGGTGAAGATTGATGTGCCTCTTCCTGATGAGGTATGGGCACGTACGCTTTTCGGTAGCGCGCCTACGCGCCAGGGCGTAGACAACCCTGTCCACGAGGATGCTTCGACTACAGCCGTGGTGGCCAGGCCGTCCACCAGCAATGACCATGACGACGACGACGACGACGATACGTTCCCTCCTCTCCCTGAGGATCCATTCAGTGGGACAGGTACACCTACCCTCGACTTTCTCAGCGCGATGCGGGGTGTCACCCAGGTAGTCGGCTTGGGCCGCGGCGTCATGAGCCATCCTTACTTACAGCAAGCCGCACCGGCTTTGCAACATGTCACGGCATTTCTGTCGGCATTGCAAACACCGGCGAACCCTCAACTCTCGCCTCATATTGATCTACAAAAGCTGAGCCGAGCGATTGAGCAGCTCATTTCTGCTGCTACCGCTAGCTCCATGTCGACTCCATCGCCCATGCCCACGCAGGCCGACATGGAAGCCATGCTGTCGGTGCCTCGTGATCCTATGGATGACCCTGACGATGTGGATGATGGTGCGTCGACAGACCCTCCTGTGGTTTTCAATGCACCTGCGATGAGCAAGGGGACTGATCCCCTCTCCTCTACATTCACAGATGCCCTATCCGATAATTTTCGCCAGATGATGGCAGAGCGTGTGTAGGCCCAAGTAGCCTTTGTATATATATATATAGGCCTCAACGCACGTCCGCTTTCCTCCACTTCAACAGTGACACGCGCGACATGGCGGTGTCACGCTTAGGTCTGCGTCTCCTAGCGTGTACACTCTGGGTCAGTGTAGTGGCCTATACGGCCTCCTGGATTCAAAGACATGTCCCGGAGCCTTACATGGTACGTCCCTATTCACGCTGATCATTAGGATGAAATCTTTCATGTCCCACAGTTCACGCACTATTGCCAGGGCAAATGGACATGGGATCCTAAGATCACGACCCCAGCTGGGCTATACCTTGTTACCTTGGCGGCACATACTGTCCTCTCGTCCTTAGGCATGCCACTTGCCTGTACCGACCTCGCATGGATTCGTTGGACCAATGCAGGAGCATTGCTCTTCCTGCCGATCTTATGTTTCTTTCTACTGCGTGCCACGCACCGACACATGGATACACTGACGCCTTTGGTATGCGCATCCCTACCGCCACTGTACTTCTTTGGATTTTTGTACTATACGGATGTTTGGAGCGTCGTCACCATTCTGGCAGCCCTGGCAGCAATGGAGCATCGGCAACATGTCCTAGCCTCTCTCCTGGGCTTTGTCTCCCTCTGGTTCCGTCAGACCAATATAGTGTGGGTCGCTTTTGTGATGGGGGCAGCATTGGTCAAGGATATGCAGCGCCTAGCGCGCGTGCCTTCCCACATCACACCCCCACTCCTACGCCTCGCCCAGTCCTGGGCTACGTACCCTGCGCTGGGCCGTACGGCGGTGATATACCTGCCGACCTTTGTTTGCTTTGGTGCTTTTATGGTCTGGAATCACGGTACCATTGTGCTTGGTGATCAAAGTCATCATCAGGCCTCCTTGCATTTGTCGCATGTGAATTATTTCTTTGCATTTGCTCTCTTTTTCGGCGCGCCTGTTCTTGTTTCCCACGCGTATACGCGAGTTTCCTCCCGTCTGGTAATGCTAAGCATAGCACTAGGCGCTCTCAGCACCTTGGCAGTGCGATATGGCACTGTGGTTCATCCCTTCCTTCTTGCTGACAACCGACACTACACCTTTTACGTATGGCGTCGCATTATCAATCGCACTTCATGGAGTCGGTACGCTCTTGTGTCTATATATACCAGCAGCGCCTTGCTATGGTACAAGGCGCTCTCAGTGAAGCAGTGCACACTTTGGATTCTTGGATGGTGTATGGCTACATGCCTCACTCTCATCCCCTCGCCCTTGATGGAGCCTCGCTATTATCTTGTACCGTATATGATACTACGCTTGTATGTGCCTGCGCCACCAAAGATCTGGCTCTACGCCGAGGCTTTGTGGCTGGTATGTATCAACCTGGGCACCATATGGGTGTTTGGTCAGCACACATTTGCGTGGCCGCAGGAAGCAGGACTTCAGCGGTTCATGTGGTAAACAGATAGTAAAAAGTTTATTAACATATACTTCACAAATGTAGAGGAGCAACGGCGTCCAACTCCATGGGCAATGGCTCAGCCTGGGGGTACCATGACTTGAAGATGGTATCAATTGAGGTCAAGTATGCACGATCACGCCACTCCTCCGATTCACGGCACTTGGGCTGTTCATCAAAAGCATGCGCCTCGTTGGGGACTTGCAAGAAACGGCAGTGCTGCTTCTGGCCGATCGTGCCTGATTCCACCATGTGCTCATACATAGCCTTCGAGTCGGAGTACATCACGTCCGACATACCAGCCACGAACAGAACATAATCTGGGAACCTATCAAGCGGTGAATTGATCACAGAGAGATAAGGGTCGCCAGGATCGGTTTGCATGGGCACAAACGACGAAAAGAAGCCGGAGAAAGCCCATGGCAGCAGCTCCACGCCGCTGCGGAACTCCTTGGTATAGTTTCCACGGAAACCCACAGGCGCGCCCGAAGTCGTGGCATCCAGAGGCGCATAAAAAGACACCACAGCCGTGATCTTATCACGACCAAGACGGTTGGTCGTGGACAGGGCCAAGTTGCCGCCAGCGCTAAAGCCCGTCATCGACACACGCGATAGATCAAATTTGTCTGGCTGCGTAAAGACCCAGTTCACCACGTCTTCTACGTCTTGCGTAGGAAATGGGTACGGGTACTCGGGCGATTTGCGGTAGCACACATCGATGGCATAGCATCGGAGCTTTCGTGCCGTCAAGTACAAAAAGAACCGCGAGTTTCCAAAGAAAGCAGGAATACAGAAGCCAGAACCGTGTGCATTGACATTTACGGGTCGCGGACCCTGCGGCATATCTACCGGTTCGTATAGGGCAGCCTTGATTGTACGCCCAGGATCTCGCGACGGTACTTGAATCATCGTCACCTTGACATCATCTTTGACCTTAGGACGCAGATTGTCCGTCAATGCCACTTCTATATAAGCCAGCATGCGCAGGAGATATATTTGCATCAAAAGGCAAAAGTATCGCCATGTCCACTCATGGTGCTGGCGACCCACAGACTCAGGCGTATGCACGGCCATGGTGGAAGTCTAGTCACGACGACGTTCTGGCTGCTGGGTAAGCCAACTAGGAATTCAGCCAATCAAATATGTGTCTACAGCGCCGTCTACTTAATCCTGCCAGGATGCACGGATCATGCCCATCGCTGTGTCTTCGACCTTGTGGCGCCATTCGTAGGAAATGTCCACCTCCGGGAAGTTGTTGAACTCGTGTGCTTCTTGCGGAATGGAGATCATCTTGCGCGTGCTGCGTAATTCAGATCCAACGTGGTGATGCAATTTGTCCAACATCTTGCAAGCGTTCGGATACAGCGAATCAGCATCACCACAGGCGATAAACACATGCTTCGGGAAGCGCGACTCATCATAGTAGAGAGGCGAGAGACGTGGCTCATTGATTTGGCTCATGTCGCTACCCACGTAGGCACGGATAAAGAATTTGATGACCAAGTCGGGAATGACAATGCCACTGCGGAAGCGTGGGTTTGGCGCGATAAGCGTCTTCTTGGTGCGCTCCAGCTCCGTAATGTAGGTGACAGGGTACAGTGAGAAACAGCCACGAATACGCTCAGGGCCAAGGTGAGCACTGATCGAAAGTGCCATACTACCACCAGCACTCGAACCACCGACAGTAATGCGTTTTGTGTCGTACAGCGATGGGTTCGCCAGCACGTACAGCACGGCGTCCTCCGTATCATTGTGAGCCGCAGGGAATTTGTGCTCAGGAGCCTTACGATAGTCGCAATCCAGGACAACACAGCGCAGTTCCTGGGCAAAACGCACACACATGTGACGGTCCAAGCCCAGGCGTTTCAGAACTGAGAGTTAGTCGGATCATTCCACATATACATACCCCATCCGGAAGCATGCCAGTTCAGATGCACAGGCAGAGGACCTTCAAAGCCCTTAGGCGAGTACCGAATAGCTGAGATCGTACGTCCAGCATCACGCGAAGGGATCTGGATGTGCTCGACAAGCACGTTGTCCATACGAATCGTGCGCGACTTCGATGTGCGCCAAATCTTGATGTAGTCCAGCACTCGGAAGAAATAAGCGAGGACGTATAGCAATACTGCTTCCAAAACCGAGGCCATGATGTGAGGAACGGAATGTGGTCAAAGCGAGAAACAGCGTACGGACGAACACCGATTTCGTTTATTCATCACAACGTAAGAGGGCGGCACGTACGATGCAAATCTCTGGCTGTCTCCCTCATCTCTATCAGGGTATTCGTTAATGAAAAGGCGCTATTGTTCACGTGTTCGGCAACACTGCTCCTGATCTGCTTTCCTCCGCTTGAATAACTAGATAGATAAAAAAGAGGGGATATCTGTTCCGTGTTCAGTTGGCGTGTAGACCGTAAGTGAGCCATTTGTGGAAAATTCTCAAGCACGGCAAAAATGAACTAGCTGACCTTATATAGTGTGCTCTCTGATACATGCTTGCCATGGCTACGTCAATATGAGGGCTATCAACGAAGCACTGTACGCATCCCATCTCCCCAAGTGTACAGCCATGCATGGCTGGCTTAAGTGGAGAGGCAAGGTGGCGGGCGCCCTAATTTTTTGCGGGGTAGTGAAAAGTGACATCCTGTAATATCACATAATATTATTCCGTTCTGTCTTGGACAAATCACCCCATCGGTATGGCTGTAGAGACTGTACAGGTGGGTGAGCAAGAAGAGGAAGCGCTGCCTGATAAAATTGAAATTGTTCCCTATAAAGATGAGTCCGATATGGACGACGTAATTCGGCTGATTGAGGCTGAGCTGAGGTAGGTAGTGACGCTTCCACTGATGCCAGCGAACCATACCATATCTATACATATCGCTACTTTTTGCATCAATGGTACGTTGAATGTCCCTGACCGTAATAGGCCGCATCTTAGCTTTCTTGTACGTACACACTTACTTAACCTCAGGCATGGGCCCATGTCAACAATGAACGAAAAGCGGTGGGTGTCATTGTGAACAAGCTCGATCGTCATTTACGTGGATCACGGTTGTGGCGCGGATATATTGCGATGTTGAGCGTCGATCCGCAATGGCGTGGTCGTGGTATTGGTATGTCCCTCTGAGACTCATGTCAGCCACCCGCCTAGTTCAAGCGGCTCTTGAAAAAATGACTCAGTTGGGTGCGGCAGAGGTCACGCTAGAGACGGAAGTGACCAACACAGCAGCACTAAAGCTGTATGAAAATTCAGGGTTTATGCGCGAAAAGCGTCTTCATCGGTTCTATTTGAACGGTAGGTTCTCTGGAAAGGCACTCACTGTACGAAGGCAATGATGCTTTCCGCTTACTGCATCCTATCAAACCACCCAGTGGGCAGGCATACCCACCACCTAGACGTATGGATTCGATTGAGGAACATATCTTGTAATCTACATAGACATTATCGTTCGTACGTGCTATTACTCCGACTTCTTTTCCTGGCGCTTGGCTTCCGCCTTCGAGCCATCGTCTTCGAGGCACGCGGTGACAATGTAGCCAAACAGGACCACATTGGCTACCAATGCGGCTAGACCGCCAGAATATACAGCATCGCCTGGGATAAGTCTAAAAAATACGCACCACCGAACCAACGGTCTTTGCTATAATAGTACGCGGCAATCGGTGCCACAAACAACGAGACACTGAAAAAAGCGAGCTTGAAATAAACACGCCTGTATATGAGCATATACATAGACGCACTTACTTGGCAGGATCAGGGCCGGGCTTTCCGACGCGCGACGGCGTGACTGGGATCGACATGACGGGGATTAAGGTCTGTGCTAAGAGAGCAAGCCGCGCGTGGCCCTCGAGACGCTTGCATGTGGAGGCAAGACGAGATGACAGGCGCGGCCATGCAGACAGACGGACGAAGGTATATAATATACTTGTACGTACGACACGGCTCGTGCGCTGCACTTTTGAACAATGCCGGCACAAAAAATGTATGTCATCCATGGACTGACCATAGACTGCTTCTAGGCCCAGCAGCTGGCCGCCTTCGCGCATTGGTCGAGAAAGTAACAGCCATTGAAGCCAAGCATGGTCCTTTTGTCGCTGCTTTCCTTGTAGGCGACGTATTTGAAAAGGGCGATAGCTTGGATGACGATGAAACGGCACTTCTCGATGGGTCTTTGAAACGTACGTATTCCGATCCAAGATAACACCAGTGCCTATCCCTACCTATTTCTTCTATGGCACACATATGCCGGACGACGTGCAGTCCAAGCTAGAGGCCAAGTGTCCTGAACGAGCAGGCTTGGTACAGCTAGTTCCCAATTTGACGTACATGGGAAGTGCTGGTTTAGCTGTAGTCCATGGCTTTCGCATTGCGTTCTGCGGCGGTGTGTCCCTGGCCGCTCCACCAATGGGATCAGAGAGCCACGACGCAACGAGGGCGCCAGAGATCGACTGGCACGCCTCCTTGCCTGTCCGTGCTGACGCCGTGGAGAAGACCAGTACATGGACGCCTTTGGATACCCCGGCCGCCGTGACAAAGGCCGTTCATCATATGCTATCTCATCCAGCCATGGCACTAGGTGAAGCGCGTGCACCCCCGCCACCTTCCGATCCAGAAAGTTTACAGCAAGCACGTTCCTTCCAGTATGCGCAGGCCGCGTACGAATTTCAGCTGGAGCGTGACGCCGAGGTGCTACAAGCGCGGCCGCCCGTGGACTTTTTGTTGACCACCTCATGGCCCCTTGGCATTGATGTGCTGGCCCAGGCGCCTCCAAGCAACGCTGCCGTATGGGGTCAGCCAGCTATAGCGCGCCTCGCGGAAGCTGCACGCCCACGATACCATGTCGTGCATGCGCCGATCCACAGCGCTGAGCCTGGCGTGTTTTGGGAGCGGGAACCGTACGAAAATCCGCCCTTTGCAGCTTTGCCGCCGCCCAGTGTGCCACCCATTACGCGTTTTGTTTCATTAGCGACGGCAGCCAATGCCAGTAAAGTGCGTTGGTTCCTCGCACTGCAATTGGCACCAGCTGATGAGGTCACGACAGCAGCGCGACCCAGCCCGCTCACGCCTTCGCCGTTGTGGATGGTCGCTTCGGAACCGCCTTCCCACAAAAAAGGCAGCGCAAAACGAGTGCATACAGGTGAAACAGAACGTTCGGGCGCACGACCACGAAGGCAGAGACGCACCGAAGCGCCTGTTGGGCCTGATCAGTGTTGGTTCTGCCTCAGCAATCCTGCTGTGGAGAAGCATTTGATTGTGGCGGTGGGCATGGAATGCTACGTGGCTCTACCGAAAGGGCAGCTGCCAGTCTCGTCGGACGAACATACCTTGGTGCCAGGGGGTGGACATGTGCTCATTGTGCCGATCATGCATACACCGTCTTTGTATGCCTCCGCCTCGAGCGAGGCCGTTCGGCATGAAGTGGCAGCGTGGAAAGCTGCGCTTACATCGTGCTATGCGTCGATGGACGCTGTACCTGTAACTTGGGAGGTCGTGCGACGTGGCACGCGGGCGGGCCATACGCAGACCCAAGTCGTGCCGATTGCTCGTGAGCTAGCGGAGGCCTGTGAAGCGTACATTCGGCAAGCAGGGGAAGACGCTGGGTATGCATGGGAAGCGCCTTCGGTGGCGGACGTCTGGTCCCACGAGGATGCCCCCGTCTCGCCCCAGGACCGGGAAGACTACTGCTGCATCGAGATCGATGGTCGGCGGCTTTTGTTGTTGCTACATGGCACGCGATTTAATATACAATTCCCACGGTACGTACACTACTGACTCATTGGCAGGGAGACGTTGGCCGCCTTTCTAGAGATGCCGGAGCGCGGCGACTGGCGTTCGTGTGTGCGCGCGCCAGAAGTGGAAGAAGCAGAATGCAGCGTATTCAAGGACGTGTTCCAGAAGTATGCAGCGCCTGTGACGGAAACCTAGGCTCGTTTCCGCGTTGCTCGAGTCGGCCGGCGACGTGTGTCAGCAGGGGCAGGCGTCGTGGCTCGCTCGGCTGTGGCTTCTGCAGGGACGTCATCGAGGGGCATGGCCTCTGTCGTGGCTGAGTCCTGCGTCGCTTGGGCATTGGCTTGATGCAGTACATCTTCAAACTCTCGCACGCCTGCCTCGGCGACTTTGCCTTGATGCATCTTGGTGAGTATGTCTTGGAAGCGCTGGTACACTTCGGGTACGTAGAGCTTGTCTTGGTAGTGGGGCACGCCGTCCAAGAGCTTCTTAATGGACCGCTCCGATCGGTACGGCAAGAGGGACAAGCAGTAGGCAATATCGCGCCATTGGCGCTCTTCCGTGGTGAGGCGGAAGCGCTGGCACAGCTTCTCGATTACATTCTCTGCCTGGCGCTCTTTATCGATGAAGGTGAAGATGAAGCGCATCGTGTTGACAAACGTCGCTTCATCCACGGCATTTTCGCCACTCGATAGGTGACTGATAATGTCCGGCAGGTTGTTGTAGACGGCATTTTCCTTCGTCGCCAGCTCGCTAAAGAACAGCTTGGCGAGGTCGCTCACCCGCGTTTCCGTATCTTCCAAGCACTTGGCCAGCTCACCTAGCTGGCCTTTGACTTTGATCATGCCGTTGAGAATGAGATGCGTCAACACCATCAGCGTATTCTTCTTCACACCGAGATCCGAGTCGCCCAGCCCCGCATACAATCGCCCACTGTTCTCATCCACGATCGTGCCGAAACAAACAGCAATGTCGCCCAGACCAATCACAGCATTCGCACGAACCACTGCATCCGTGGAAGAGCGAAGCAGATGCAAAAGCAGCGCCATATGCGCATCGCAGAACTCTGCCGAAATGCACATGAGCTTGCATAGCGTAAGCGCTGCAGCGCGACGTAAAAATACGTCGCTGTACGTCTTGCTGTTCGTGCAAATGTGCACAACCACAGGCCCGTACATCGCCAGCAGGCTCTCAGGTCCATACAACAGCTCGCGATCGCGAATGAGCGCAATGACCTCGCCTATATCGTCTTCCGCCTGCTCAGCCACCTGATCGAGATCGGACGCAGGGGCAGCGGCGGGCGTGGTAGTGGTAGCAGCGGCGGTAGCATCTTTGGCAGCCGCTTTGCGTCGTTTGTACTCGCGCTCCACCAGCTCCAAGTACACGGTCTGTTTGAGAGCGATATGGCCCAAAGCAAAAAGCCATTGTGCCACACGGAAAGCCTCGTCCGCTGCATCGCCACTGGGCGTCACAGCCGCGAGTGTCATCGAGCGCAGGATCTCGGTACAGAGCGCATCCGGCTGCTCGCCAAGCAGATAAATAGCGTCAATGGCATGTTCTGCTACAGCGAACCACACCGGCGAGCGAGCTACGGACGAAGACGGCATCTCCAGGAGCGCCCGCAATCGCACAAACATGGGGTGCTGCATGGGATAGCGCACGTTTTCGTCGCTCAGCGCACCTTTGACCTTCTTCGCACTTCCACTTACACGCTGCAAGGCCATGCACGAGTACTGGGCTAGCACCAAATCCTGTTGTCCGTGTGGCCCGAGACCCATACGAAGCAGCACATCAATCTTCTCTGCGACGAGCGTTCGATCAGCTTTCGCTAGCATGCTAAGCACCATGATTGCACCACGTCTCTGCGCTCGAGAAATGGGCCGTGGACTAGCGTACACGTCCCACAGCATATCGATTACAGCGGCATCGACGAACCCTTCGCCTTGCATCACACTGAACAGCTGCTCCATACTTGTGAGCTCGGCCAAGGTCGCGCCAAACGTTCGTTCAATCATGTTACGAGCAATGCGTGTGGTGTTTTCGGCCGGCGTAGCATCCGCGTACGTGTCAAAGTACAGCGAGCGGTAGACATCAATAAGACGGCTGCGAATGCCTTTGAGCTGACTCCCGTCTTCCATCACAAGGGTATTGTCCTTGGTCCAGATCAAATGCACCATCGCACGAACACCCGCCGAGGCACCAGGCAGCTTGTACTCGTACGCCACACGGAAGAACTCCATACTTTCCAGGACCTCTGCTTTGTTGGTCGACGCCAAGAGCTGCTGCAAAATCGGCATGGCATGTGTAAGCCGCTCCATGAACTGAAGTGCATCGCGATAGTATTGCTTGGTCAGTCGCAGCTTGACCAACTTGTCCTGGTCCGCCTGCGTCATGGCTTGCTGTGATGCCGCCAGAGCCGCCACATCGAGCTCCGACTTGCGTGGCTTTCTTGGCTGCGAGGAAGGCTCCACGTCCACATCCACCTCTGGGAAGGTCAGCGCCTCTTCAGCGCGAGCCAACTCGGCCTCTACGACACGGTACCGCTCTTCCCAGACCGATACATCCAGCTCACCGCCATGCAACGCGCCGTACGGATGCGAGAGAAGCAGCTTGACAAGAAGGCCAATGGCATTCCGACGCACGTTGCTGCTCTTATCTTCGAGGGACTGTACGGCCAGTGTGGTCATACGTAGACGCTGCGTAGGGAACTTGACAGGCAGTTCACACAGCATACCACAGACTTGGATGACCTTCGTACGCACAAAGGTCGTCAGATCCAAGAACCGCTCAAAGAGCCGCTCAAAGAACATATCGATTTGCTTCTGCTGCGCGCTGCGCTCGTCATCGTCGTCGCCCTCAAGATCACGCGGCTGCGGCCCGTCCATGTCCTCGCTCAGGCACAGCTCTTTGATAAGCAGTCCCTGCACTTCGATCATGGCATTGCGCATAGGATACGATTCGCTGTCCAGATGCTTTTGCAAAAGACTCACCTGCTTCAACACACTTCGTGGATTCAGTTCGGCCATGCGCACGAGGAAGCGGCCGAAACTCCGAGGACTCTTGGTATCTAAGCTAGTAAACGTCTTTGCGGCCAAGTCGCGCAGCACATCTTCGCCCAGTCGCTCGACATCAAATTCGGTGCGCAAGACCGAGAGAAGCTCGGCCATAGGCTCCGAAAGGTGCTCATAGTACTGAAGCGCTTGCATAATACTTGTTTGGACCGTGAAGGCTTGGCCATGCTGCTTGACGGCCAAGCACAGCACTTTGAACAGGCCTGTCTTGATCGGCGCTACCTTGACGTACGCTTCGTTCTCCAACAGAAGCATCACAGGGCGAAGATAGCATCGCGACACATACGTATCACGCATCGATGTCGCTGGCCATATGCGATCCGATACAAGTCGTAGCGTCTTGGCCATTACGCCAAGGACGCGAGGCAACGCGGACGTCCACGTCCATACGCCGTCGCCACTTGGACGCCGCGCAGCGGGACGACGGGTCTTGGCTTTGTCAGACGTAGAGGAAGATGACCACGTATCGCGGCTTTTTTCCAGATTCATGATGAGCCATTGCAAGGCAAATGCGTACCGTTCCAGCGGTTCCAAGTACTGTGCCCATTGCGATGGCTCTGTCTCTGTCTCTGCCAGTTCATCGAGCAGAGCGCTTTGGCCACTTAGCACAGCATCCAAAAGATGCTGCGCTGCATCGGCAGAGAGTGTGGATACGTGCTTAATGCAAGAGAGCAGTAGGCCAAACGTCGGCCCATCTACGACAGCTGTCGACGACGAGGCCATGGCATCGACAAGGTGCGTCACGGACGACCACTGCTCCTCGGTGCTCTGTGTATCGATCGGGACATCGTTATCAATATCCAAGTCATCTTCTTGAAGACGTAGCAGCTGATCTGCCAAGACAAACGACGAGGCTGCTGCGTCTTCGTCCACCATGCTCTGCAAGACGTACGACGCGCGCCTGGCTGGCCGCCAGTGTTGCACACGCCCCAGCCGCACGCGTGGGGGTCATCATCACGTGATGCCAACAGCGTGGAGGACGACGCAGGGTACGTCCAGCCCAGCAGGCGGCGACACGGCGTCGTGTTGAGCCAAGGCACAGACTAGACAGGCGACGTGTGGGCACCATGGTACGTACACGCAAAGTGATCTTACATGCAGGATCGCCAAAAGAATGCACCTCCTGAGGCACGGAATGTAGTGAACTTCCTCCGCAACAAGGCGGGCATGAAGACGCGGCCAGGCATTGTGAATGGCCAGCGTGCCGACTATTTCAAGGGCAGCGCGGCCATCAAGGCTGTGTTGTCGCCCGAGTATGCCAAGCTGAAGAATGTGCCGGCTGTGGCCAGCGAGGAAGAGGCAGAACGTATGCTGCATGGCCTACTACCATACGCGTTCTACTTGAAGGTGGAGCGTGGCGCTGTGCCCGCAGCGAAGGACAAAGACCAGGCCGCTCGCCGCCCGTTGCAGGTGGTACAGATGCAGATGTTTGACCGTGAAGGCTACTTTGTATGGCTCTTTGAAGGGTCGCAGCTCCTACAGAAGCTGGCGGGTCTGGGTCTGATTGCGGTTTTGCTGGCGGCTGTCATGTTCCCACTCTGGCCCATGTTCCTCCGTCGCGGTGTGTACTACCTGAGTCTGGGCGTGCTGGGTCTCTTTGGTCTGCTGATGGTGATTGCTGTGATCCGCCTGATATTCTGGGTGATCACCATTGTAGTGGCGCCGCCTGGCATTTGGATCTTCCCGAATCTGTTTGCAGATGTGGGTGTCGTCGAATCGTTCATTCCCCTGTGGGCATGGGATGTGCCGCCGCCCAAGAAAAAGCTCAAGCGCACGAAGAAGAAAGGCAAGAAGGCCGTAGTGGATGGCGATGCGCCTCAACCTGACGAGACGGCGGACGCCGACGTAGAGACGGCCACTGCGACGAGCACGGCCGTGGACCCCGCCGTAACGACCAAGGCGGCGAATGCCGAGGACGCGGCGCCAGCGGCGGACGCCGAGGTAGCGGCCTCGGCTGCGTATGATGATATCAACTAGTACCGTAGACTGGCTATACACTATGTCCGAGCAGCGGCTTTGCGGTTCGACGACGACGACGACGAGATACTCCATAACCCGGACGCCAGCGCAATTTGCACCTGCTTCTTCAGCGTCCAGAGCCACAAGAGGCCCAGCACAGGCACGCAGAGCAGTACATTCAGGACGGGAAACAGGTCTGGGTAGCGCTGGAGGAGGCGCGTGAGGAGCGCCCATGGCATAGACGGCAAGAGGTATTCCAGGGCGAGCAAGCCCAGCATCGCTGCGTACGTCGCAGCCGCGAGCCAAGCCACAAACGAGGCGCGCGTGGTATGGAGCGCTTCCCATGGCCGGTACCCAATGAGCGCATTCCATCCAAGGAGAAGGAGCCACCAAGCCATCGCCTGGCCATCGCGTTGGAGAAGAGGCCACATGCTAAAGAGGCCGACATTGTTCGCCAGCACGCCCCATTCCCAGTCGGTCGCCGCTGCGCCTGCGCCTGTCCGATCGCCCTTGGCTGTCATGAGCAGAGTGAGCGGGAGGAGGGGAAGCAAGATGCTTTTTTCATGCGTCTGGAAACCAAACAGGAAGAAGGCCAGCGAGGTCGATGCGAGGGTATAGGGCAGCAGCTCGGCTGCCGGGGAGGGCGTAGCGGAGGGCCGCTTGTGTGACGACGGGAGAATGGCGGGACGAGGACGTCGCGCAGAGCTGCCGTCCTGCATCCACGTCGAAGTACTACCGCCCAATATCGAGCTGCCCGTCATTGAGCGGCGATCGGAGCCACGGCTGGACTCATGCGCTGATTCGGCATGCGAGGCGCCTCCCTGCGACGTAGCATACCCTTCGCGCACACTCGGCGGGATGCGATGCGAGATGCCAGAGGCGACAGACCCAGCGCGCCGCCGCACATCCGCTACGACCTGGGCCGCTTGTGCATCGTCGGCCATCGATTCGCGACGTACCGTTTCCACGGACGCCATGCACAGCAAGACGCAGCTGGGCAGAATGGCCAAAAGCACAGTGCCAAGGCTGAGCTTGGCCAACGTCGTGACACTAAGCATACGATGCAGCTTCCAACGTGCGCCCAGCGGAAGTACACTGATCGCGCACCATACATTCGCCACCTTGTCCTCAAAGAGACCACGTGCCAGCGGGAACACACGATGCACCACCTGCCGCACATCGTCCATCGAGCCGAGCCATGGCGCCAGTAAGATTGCTGTCACGGCCAGCGTGACGCTGCCCAGCGCGAGGAACAGCGCGAGGCCACGCAGGATATGACGCTGCATCAGCCCCACACAGCGGCCTAGCATCACGGCAAAGATCGCTGGCGCATAGTACAGCGCCATCTGCTTAAAGCACAGACTCAGTGTGAAAAACACCGCGGCGGCCACGTACTGCAAGCTGACATGCCGGCTAAGTGTGTCCAACACCAAACGCTGCAAGGCCGCCGTAGCCTCCGCATCGGCACTATAGCCTGTCCGCACGTTCGGCAGGTTGGATAAGAGGCACGCAAAGCTCAATGTGGCCAGGCCCAGCATCACACCATTGTACTGGAAATGCCCATGATCAATGAGGAGCAGCGCAGGTTGCAGCCACACAGTAAGTAGCGCAATGTGACGTACACGCATGCTGCGTGTGTGCAAGCGACGAGAGAGGAACCAAGCCACGGCAGGGAGGTACAGCAACATATCCAATAGCAGTACACTCCACCGCATAAACAGGACCAACGCCGCTCGCTCCTCGCCACGCGACGTACGCAGCGCCAGTGCAGGATGCACTGCAGGGAACAGGGAACCGACAAAGCCACACGCCAAACTCACCCATGCTGTGAGAGGCGGATAATCCAGGCCCCAGTACTGCACATCGTAGCGGTACCAACGTCGGACGGGCAAATGCAACGTAAGCTCCATCCAGTGTCGCTGCGCCTCAAAGTCGCCATACATCGGCGGACGGCCACGCCCACTCCAGCTGCCAAGGGCAAGTAGACACCGCAGCAAAACCGCCGCAGCGTACCCCAGCGCCCATGTCGAATGCGCCATCTCTTCCTGGGCGAGCGCACGAAGCACAGAACGAAGCGGCGTCTCAGTCCCCGCCGCATCGTCGCGCGTCGCGAGCGGACGTCGCACATCGGTAGGAGCTACACTAGGCTTCCCTTCTTTGCCTTCAGAGGCGCGCGCTTGCTGCTCCCGCCACTGCGCAATGCGGTCATGCGACTTCGTATCGCTTAGGGCCTCCGTCCGAGCCGACACCGAGGCATTGGAACGTAGTAGACGCGAACTGGACGACAGGGCTCGCGCACTCATCGCATCAGATCGATCACCTCGTCGGTGCGACGCCTCGTCGATACCGCGCTGCGATAGACGCGACGATGTCGCAGCAGAGGGACCCCGCGCCTCACTCATAGTGCGATAGGAGGTAGGGATGGCTCGCGTACTACTCCCGCCCTGGAGCCAAGTGTAAATACGATCGCCAGTGGGCGTCACTGCATCTTCGTCAGAAATGTTCGCTAAACGCGACGTGCCCTCGCGTCGCGACGTCGTCGTGCTAGGGTACACACTACTCCCCAGCGACGATGAGGAGGTGCGTGGCCGAGGTGCACGGTGACGCGTGCGCGTCGGGCCTAGTGGGATATCAGCCGCACGATCTAGATCATCCATATCACCGTCCGTCGTGGAACGGCGCTCGGCGGAGAAGCCGAGATTCATCATAGGAATCGCTCACTGGCTCGCACGGAGACGTGAAGGCGGGGGGAGAGGAGGGCGAGGGGGTTGTGTTGCTTGCTTCATGCTGACTAATCGACGCGTCGTCCACAGCGTTGGCCCCGGCCTCTGCCACGCCGCGGTAGCGCACGCGTGTCGCTTTGGACCCACCGCAAGAGACGCACATTGGTGCGTGCGAGTCCACAGCAAGATCGTCACATCATGGTCACAGAATTCGACGATGTGCTTACGAACCAACCTGTGGTGATTGATAATGGCACAGGTACCATCAAGGCAGGTTTTGCTGGCCAAGACACGCCGAAATGTTTCTTCCCTTCATGTGTCGGACGGCCCAAGCATGTACGCGCGATGGCAGGGGCCGTTGAAGGCGATCAGTTTATTGGACGCAAAGCTCAGGAATATCGAGGGCTCTTGCGTATGCGATACCCCATGGAGCATGGTATGGTCACAGACTGGGCCGACATGGAGCGGATATGGAGCCATATTTATGCGGAAGAACTAAAAATTCTCCCAGAAGAGCACCCAGTCCTTCTCACAGAAGCCCCATTGAACCCACGCGCGCACAGAGAACAGGCCGCTCAGATTTTCTTTGAGACATTCAATGTGCCTGCAATGTACGTCAGCATGCAAGCGATTCTCAGCTTGTATTCGTCAGGACGTACGACCGGTGTCGTACTTGACTCCGGGGATGGCGTCACGCATGCGGTGCCCGTCTACGAAGGGTTTGCCATGCCTCATGCGATTCGGCGGGTTGACGTGGCTGGTCGCGATGTCACAGAGCATTTGCAGATGCTCTTACGTCGTTCTGGCTACCATCTACACACATCTGCTGAAAAAGAGATTGTTCGGGCCATCAAAGAAACGTGCTGCCAACTGTCTCTCCATGGCTCAAAGCACGAGCAACAAGTGCAGGACAGTAAGAAAACTGTCGAGTTCACGTTACCGGATGGCAATATTGTTCGATTGGGCCAGGAACGATACCGCGCGCCAGAAGCATTATTCCAGCCAGAGCTCATCGGCCAGGAAGACGTAGGGGCTCATCAGGTCCTTATGGATGCTATCGGACGGGCCGACTTGGACTTGCGGCGACAACTCTACAGTAATATTGTGCTCAGCGGTGGTACAACGCTTACAAAAGGTGTGTGGACATACAGACATACTGACAGTACCCAGGATATGGAGAGCGCATGCTTTATGAAGTGAAACGGCTCGCGCCGCAAGATATGAAAATCAAGATCTCTGCCCCCCCAGAACGCAAATACTCGACCTGGATTGGTGGCAGTATATTTGCGGGTCTCAGTACCTTCCGCAAGGTAAGGTATTGTCACAGCGACCCACTAACTAGTCCAGGTATGGATTTCCGCAGAGGCATACCAAGAGGACCCAGGTATTATTCACCGAGTACGTATAGGGACCATGGCACAATGCCACGTTACTGACACCTCCGCGCACCTCCGAAATGTGTTATAGGCTTTGTAATCCAGACAAGCGCGCTTTTGGCCAGGCACACTGGGGTGGGGTCCCCCTTTCTATATTATTGGTCGCCTCCACGAATGGCGTGAAGAGGGGGTGTACAGCCCAATCACATAAGCGACATATTAGTAGGCGTTCAGATTTCGAGAGCTGCGCACTGCGGCCTGAAACGTGCCGAACCGAAAAAGATACGACAACCTATCCCCTACGAAGAACCGCGCGAGTGACAAGTGATCTCCCAGCTACACGTAAGACTGATCCGAGCATTTCGTCGGGAATACCCATATACAGTGAAAACATGGATCCTGGAGCCGCGAGCGGGTTGAAGCATCAGCCCGTAGTGGTGGTCCAGCCTTTCTGTATTAGCCATGAGTGGCTAACCAATGCTCGATTGGAATCAAAAAGAGACTATACGCCGATCAAGCGCCTAGGTACGGGGTCCTTTGGTAAGGTGTTTGTCGCGGATTGGCATAGCCCTTTGCCTAACGGCGCTATGGTCCCAGCCATGCAGCATTCTTATACGCGACCAGCCTACGTTGGCAAACGCATTGTGGCCATCAAACAAATGAAGCGTACGTATACCTCTTGGCAAGAGGGCATCCATGTCACAGAACTTCATGCCCTCTTGTCTATCCCATTGCATGACCATATTGTTACATTATACGATGTGTTCGTGAACTCGTTGTCAAATGAACTTTTCATTGTTTTTGAATGTATGGAAGGCAACTTGCTTCAGTTGCTCAAATCACGAAAAGGCCAGAGTATGGCTCCTGGCCTCGTCGCTTCTATCAGCAAGCAAGTTTTGTCTGGGCTGGATCATGTCCATGCTCATGGCTTCTTTCATCGCGACATGAAGCCTGAAAACATTCTCATCACGACGATAGGCCTTGGTGAGTACCCGGTGACACAAGGTATGCAAGCCACTACAAGTCAAGACGTTCTCGTCTTGGCAAAAATTGCGGATTTCGGACTGGCGAAGAGAATCGAGAGCGAGCCGCCCTATACGGAATACGTTTCTACTCGATGGTATCGGGCCCCCGAAATTCTACTACGCGACAAAATATACTCGGCCCCGGTGGATATTTGGGCCTTGGGTACCATTCTGGCGGAAATGATTAACCTAAATCCCCTCTTTCCTGGGACCAACGATATGGACCAGCTTCTATGCATCTTTCGGGTGCTAGGTACACCTAGTCGCACAAGTTCCCCTACAGAGGAACGACATGCTCTTCGCGGGGGAGGCGCATGGCCTAAAGCCTTTGAATTGGCAGCTACGTTGCAAATTGAGCTGCCCAGTTTCGTACCCGTTCAATTCTCGTCACTGTTTCCTCCATTTATATCTCCGCACTTGATCGATCTCGTGTTTTCCATGCTGCGCTACGAGCCACAGTCTCGTTTGACGACAAGGCAGTGCCTAGAGCATCATTACATTATGAATGAGGCTCGTTTGCTTCGTCCTTACTCTTGTATGCTCCCTGATCCATCCCCGCCACTCCCTGAAAACACCGCGCTGGGCCCTCCCATTTCCCTGGCAGCGGTTGAAATGGACGGAAGAGCACTTGAAGAGCCACAAACTGTCATCCAGCGAGTGCAAAGCCCCGTTCCCGTAATGGAGAAGAGTCCTTCGTTCTCCGAGAAAGCAGCGGATCTTCCGTATGATAATTATGGATCGGCACAAAGCTCCAGTGCATCAACAGCTCATGACGAATCCCCACAATCCCATTCTATTGCTAAACTACACCTGCTTAACATGTCATTGTCTCCTCCACGCCCCAGTATGTCACGAAGACTGATGCATTCGCTGCGCATGCATCAAACTTCGACGCCGCCTCCACCGCCACCCCCGCAGGATGCGTTTGAAACGGCGAGTTTGCCATCGCCCCTTGCTAACGACAATCGACCATGCAGTGAAGGTTACATGCCCCCCTATGAATTTCAGAATGATACCACCTCTGTACCTTTGTCTGCTGGTAGTGGTGGTGGGTTCTTGGGACTACGGAAGAAGCAAAAAGACCCTACTGCCAAAGAGGCCAAACAGGCCGAGCGTCAACGACGAAAAGATGAAGTGATTGCGATGCGTGAACGTTCTCGTGCTGTGATACAAAAGCGCGTTGATATCATGAATAAGGATCACGTATCCAAAGCCCCTGTAGGATGGGTTGACTACAGTGTGTAAATGACACAGAGACATTATAGATAACGACAATGTGATGAGCCTTTATGAATGCGTAAGCGTACGATATTTCTTCTTTAAAAAGGAGCCATTTTTGGGGGTCTCCACTATGATCACATACATCGCTTCCCATAAGGGGGCTATGATAATATCCGACTGAACCTGCTTCGCCATGTTTTCCTGCCCACATCTTCTTTCCCAGAGCGAATAGGTATACCTGAGGTCTCTTTGATTGGGGAGAGTGAGGAAGGTTCATAGGGCGTCGACGCAGAGCTCTTCGAAGGAGACACTGGCATCGTATCATGTGCAGAGACAATGGAAATCGGCTGCGCCGGTACACTCGTAGTCATTGTTTTGTTGGTTTCCATAGGTGCTGTTCCTGTTGTAATGGGAATAGGTTGTACTGCCTCCTGGCTGACAGGAGCTGCACCCATCTGGGCGTTTGGAATGGTTATGATTTTAGGAGAGGTAGGCGATGGTGCATCCACCATCAGAATGCCACTGGAGGCCTGCGTTGAGGGAGAGGCTGGTACTGTAGGTGTGGGCATTATTGGAGGAGCACTTGTCGTTGGCAGGGAGGGAAGTACCGACGCATCTTTGGGAAGGGCTATCGATGTCCCAGCCTCACCACGGAAGGGCGTAACCACGGTGGATGTGGGAGGTGCTATGCTTCCCTGCGATGGCGGACTCACCGACGTGGACATGGCAGGGGGGCTTAGCGCAATGGCTGACATTGTCGATGTCGGCGAAGTAGGTGTTCTTGAGAATGCCGTATTTTGGTCGCCTTGTCTCATGGCTTTGGGCGATGGCGTCTTCATCGGCTGCATGCCCCGTTTCTTCAGGTCGGCCGCCTGGTAAAACAAGACATACGCGCTTCCAATCTCTGGCACATCCCCATAATACTTCCCAATATCGGACTCCGAGATAAATTCCACGGATTCATCATCAAACAGAGCCCATTGTTCCCCGATCTTGATAATAGATACATAATGGCCCTGATGAGATCCTGAGCCAATATGGACGACAATAGCAAACAGCTCATACAGTTTGTCCGGATCTTCAGCCTCATCTGTCGTATTAAACAAACGCAGATCCATCGGAAAAACGACACGGCATGCATGCTTGACATACGCCTGCTTGCGTTCATCCCATTTGAAGCGTTTCAAATGCAAGGCAAGAACGTCGGGCGCATACTTGATCTTCATTCGTTTCTCAGCCTCTTGTAAACTCGAGCAGGCATCACAGAAAAATTTGTTGCGGCCGGAAAGCATCTCGCTCTCTGAGAATTGGCGCAGACATGATGTAACAGAAGTATGTGGCGACACATTGATAGAGAGATCCAAGAATTGTTCATCTCGATTTGATATCGTTTCACATGACAAGCAGCGAGTCTCATTCGTCAACACACCTTGGAAAAGGCGGTGCACGTACGTAGCGTCTGTGTCCTTACCATTCCCACCGGTCTGTTTATCTGGACTTGATCGTCTGATCAAATCTTCACCCACATGGTTTAGCACGACGTTGAGGAATTCATGTGCATCATGATGCATCCTACTATCGAACATGTCTGAGCTTCGCTGAAGTGTATCGAGGAAAGACTTGATCACATTTTGATCCACATCCTTCAAAACAATGGCCGGTGACAGACCCTTTCGCGTCGTGACTGGTTGTCGAATCGTGGCTTTATCGGGATTGGTCATGAGCCGGCAAGAAGATAGGGCCATGGTATGGAACAATCGAGTCAACGCATCCCTCATACTATCCTGGGACCCCTGCCTCTCTTCGGACTCATGATCTGGGTCCAAGACTGCGTTGCGGAACAGTTCACAATGATAAAGCGCTTGTAGCACAGAGTTTGCATAGCACGAGTTACCAAAGTTTTCCATACCCAGCAACACAGCTCGGGAAGGAGAGGCATGGACAGACATGCCATTATCTTTCGACCACTCGGCCCATTCCGCGGTCGTCCAACCATACTGGGAAAAAGACGAAGGTGGTGGTCCACGAGACTCAACCGAGTCTGTTGCACTTCGGGGGGCCGTTACAGGGACCGCCGCCGAGGATGGCACAGTTACTGGCTTAGACAGTCCCGCTGAACTTCCTAGACCCCAGTTGAGGCTTGTTTTGGCATCTCGCCCTTTCTCCTGTATTGCTAGTGCAGGTGCAGCGGTCGCTTTCTCACGACCAAATAACTTCGTGCCTGCTACCTGATCCTCTTGTGATCCATTGGTAGCAGTGGCACTAGATCCAAATCTCTTCTTGAAACCAGAAAACGACATATCTGTCCTTCCCAATGAGCAAGACAGAGACTTCTAGTATCACGAGATCGTCTTCAGCGTATATGCTGGGGAGCATTCAGATCGTGCGGGTTCGGACATGTCAGCCACCTCCACAATCTGCAGGACGGGGACATGTCGCGCCCAGCCTGACCTGCCTCATAGTGATTCAAGCGAGGAATCACCCATCTCCGGATAGCCTTCGCCTACACAAAGTGGATCAAAGCACGCATTCAGTTGTATATAAAGATAATATAATAGTCTCAAATTTTAAGCAATAAATAGCTATAGGTGTAGCTACCAACCAGTAGTAACTACACGCAACAAAAATCGTCCAAATGAATATGGAAGAAAGACAACAAAAGTCATCTTTAAAGCTGGAAGAGGCTAGCACAATAGCAAACCAGTTGCTATGCTAGAACAGAAGAGAATTTTTTTATTCTTTTTTTTTTTTTAAAAAATGGATCTCTCATACACCTTTACGCATGCACCAGGCAATGTTCATAACAGCTTTACAAGGGATGTGTCATATACATAATGCATCATCATCGCGACAGAGTATCTTTCGTTCTTCTTACGCCTGGAGCTTGTAGGGGCCAAACAGCGAGAAGTCCCATGGGTTGGGTTTCTTGCTGGTCCACATAGACAGACCAGTAGTAATACCCTCATCCAGCGTGCCAGTGGTAGCCAGGCGGCGGAAGGCACTCTTGGTAAGGTCCACGTGGTCTTGGCTGCAACCAGCGCACTCGTCAACGATACGCACACGGACACAGCGTTCAATCTTCGGGTTGCAGAGACGGATAAAGTCACCGCAGCTGGGGCCACCCTCCCAGTGGGTCATAACAGCACCAATGTGGTTAGTGTTGGTCGGGTCCCAGCTACCGTTGCCACAGGCCGGGTTCTGGAGATCGTGGGAAGCGTACCAAGTGATCTTGACATTGTCTCCCCACTTCTCCTCACCCTCTTCAGGAGCGTGGGTGAACATCTGAACGTTCTTACGCTTGAAGTTGGCCATACCGAAGTTCGACTTTCCGCGGATGTTAAGCGAACGCTTCTCAGCAACGTCGTCCTCGAATTCGTTGTCACCAACCTTCGAGTCGAAGAAGACAATCTCCTTGCCATCATCATCCAGGAACGTCTCAGCACGAGCCACGGCGACGAAGGCGGCAAGAGCAAAGCACACACATAAAGCAAACTTGACAAAGCGAGACATGGTAATAATAAAACTTACTTGCGATTAATAGGTTGAGGTTAAAGGTATTAGAGATCCAAGTACAGGCGACTAGCGCTCTGTATCAACGAAAGGGGGGGGAGTAAGGTAGGGTGCCCAAGTTGAGGCTGTTTGTCCCTATATACCTACACGCAGAGGCAGTTTGTTGCTACCTGTCCCACGAACACTAGGAACGCTGACTACAATTGGAAGACTTCCGTTGGCCAAATTTGCCTCTTAGTGGCCAATTTGGCTGCATGGGACAAAGTACGCAGTCATCTGCTATGCGATCCTCATCCTGATCACATAATCAATTTTCTACGCTGGTGTTATTATTGGATAGTCTTTGTGTCACAAATGTTTTAATGTGAGTTATCACAAACAATGTGGGAATGGGGCGTGATCACTAAATTGTGTATTGACATTTCAGCAACTGTCCCTTTTACCGAGTATCGTGGTTTTCCATAGGTCGAGAGCTGGGCTGTGATTTATTTTTATGAGAACTCCGCAGTTGACGCAGCACAGCCCTGAAAATAGTAAAGGCTCTTGGCAGGCTGGCTCATGCTGCAAAAAAAGTATATGATATATTCGCTATCGAGAGTCTTTTAGAGATATCGTATCAGTCGTTAGGGCTTGGGCTAACCTGGCGCAGTGACTGCCAAGCTTGTTGTCTGCGTGCCAGACATTGCTGAATGCGATCCGTTTCCAGAACATACTTGCCCTCTTTGTACTTCTCAGAGGGGGTATGGGCACGAATCTATCCATACGTTAGCACTCAATTTGGTAGGGATCATACGTACATATTTCCAGCCGATATAGTCATTGCAATGTGTGCATACGATGTCGCATACAGTGTGTGTGCCTGTTCGCATAGTTCGTTCTTCAGGCTCCATAATATCGACATTCCATGCCTTCTCAACTAAATAGGCACGTCCAAATTGGCCATTGAATTCCTTCTGTGTGAATGATGATAGAGGCTCACCTTGCTTATCAACAACTCATACGCTGTGATATGTGTCTTACAATTGCTGCATCCATATACGCGACTTGAGTTTAAGTACTCCCTATGTCGAAATCCCATATTACTATACCCTTACAAGGGCCTTGTGTCTTTACCAGTGGCGTTCTGACGACCTTTCCTATCACACTTTGTCATGGGATGGGGAGCATTTCCCCACCTCCCCCGGCCTCGCTCTGGTCGTACTGGTGCTCAGGCCACCTACCACGTGATTTGATCGGGTCCAATCCTGGTAGGACCATCCTTCTTGTGTTCGCTCTACGCACGCATACTCATGTGGGTTCAGCATAGCGTTACCCGGCTGGGCCTGGCTTCGCATGCTAGACCATATTATCTACCTTTGATTCGTGTAGCCTACAATACTCGTTCTTTTGCTACCGAGCCATCGCACAAAGGTGATGAACAAAAGTTGACCAAGGAACAAGAAGAACTTCTGCGTTTACTTCGCGAAGGGCAAATCAAGGTGCAAGCTAAGTCTATGGAGCGCCCCCTCGGTCTGGCTGGTGCGGCTTTATCGCAAGGCTCTACTGGTGGCTCACGTCGTATCGACAAATGGATCGGGCAGGGTAAGAAATGGCAAGACTTGAGTGGCGGCCAAAAAGGTATGTTGCTTCTGTTACCTTAGGAAGCTTACATTTAGTGGCTCGTGCTACCGTCAACACGTCACGTCTATTTGTTATCGGCACTGGTGCGCTTCTTACTATTGTGATCGGTTATGCTCTTTCCACGGAACTGTTTGCCCGAAACAGTCCGACCGTGATTTATAGTGAGGCATGCAAACTGATTCAGAAAAGCGACAAGATTCACGCCTACTTGTTGGAGCCATACCGATTCCAAACTTCGCTGACAGAGTTCCGAAGCGACTATTCGCCTTTGAACCCGCCATCGCATCCTCATCGTCCCTCGCAGACCGTTCACTCTATGCGGTATTTGGATCCCCGTACTGGTGAGGATAAGATGATGTTGCATTTCTATGTCGAGGCGCGTGATAAGGACCAACCACTAGGATATTGGCAATATGCCCGCTCTAGCGTGATTAGTGGTGCACAGTGGCTTAAAGTGAAGGCCATTGAAGGGTACGATGCTGCCCAGGCATGGTGGCATGAGCAGGCCGAAGATACATCGGCGAAACCTGTGCCTGTTCTTCCGCCCAAACCAGCCAGTGAGCCCTGGTGGATTACACGGAAACTTCGCGGCTTTGTGCACAATGTGCATGAGGTCGTGGGCAACACTAGCGATGCGGTTGGCATGTCCTCGTTGGACCTCGCTGGTCTTCGCACGGTGCCAGGCACGTGGACCGAGGGCGAAGTGCATGTTGAGCTGGTTAAGGATGGGAACGGCACGTATCAATACAAGCATTTCTACGTGGATATCCCGAACTCGCACTCGCCGCTGCGCCGTCGCGTGCGTCTTGACCCTCGCCATGGCGAAGTGCCTCAGCGATAAAACAGTCACTAGATCCCCATAGGACAATTATATCCAAGTACGGCGTACGAATACATCTACAGCTTCATGCCCTCTGGGAGCATCATGGCTTGGTCACGAGCCTCAATCACATCCAATTCGCTGGGCTCATCGTCCATTTCCTCGTCATCATCCATGTCGTGGGAGACACGTCCACCCTTTGGCTTCAGGTTGGCGTTCGAAGAATCAACCAGTATACGGTCTTCTTCTGTCAGTGGCACCTCGATGACAGCACCTTCGCCCTCATCGCCCGCGGCACCCACAGCCGACCAGTACACAAGAGGAATGAGGCGGAAGTGTGCCATTTGCACGAGGAGGTGCTTAAGAATCTGGGCCTTCTCCGCCGTAAGTTTCTCCCCCTTCTTGCACACACTGAACTCCTCCAGGAGTGTGGGCACGCCGCGCTTCAGCTGCGTCGGCATACCCAAAGCACGCAGCTGTGGCTCCATGTTATGCGGCAGAGTCTCGGGCGGGTTTGTCCGACATTCCACAGGACCAGCCGGCATGACAATCGTCTCCGTCGCACGACTACCCATGCGTGCGTAGTCTAGACGGCGATAGTCACTGCACCAATCCAACACTTCCGCTGGCGGCGAGTCGGTCATGAGCAAGCCGACGTTGCCGCGCAAACGCTGTGCAATCTTACCGAGGCCGGGTCGGATCTCCTCTTCCGGCGTCTCTCCCAGAGCACGAGCAATGACACGGAGCTTACCGAAGAAGATCTTGGAGCCCTTCCACAGCGAACGCACTTCGCTCAGGTATGTGTTGCGCATATTGCTCACGGCAAAGATCCAAATATAGTTGTATTCGTTTGCGGCATCGCGCACAGCATTCATAAGGTTCTCCTTGTGGTCCCGTGTCTTTGCCTTGGTCTGCGTAAGCGAGACCACCTTGGCTCGCTTCGTTCGCGCCATGGTAGATGGTCTCTTAGCACTACAGGCCCGACGCCGCTCGTGCTGCGAGGCCTCGCAAAAAAAATCAAAAAAAGTGTGCTTTGTCAGCACTCTTCGTGCCTACATGCGAAGCAACGAGTTGGCTCAAGTGCCTTGGCGTATTCTCTCCTTCTTCTGATGCTCCCTGATCTAAGTAAGCTGGAGGCGTCGCTCCTCAACACATCGGGCGATGTCAAACTAGATGTGCGCTTTCGCACTCTGTTTACGCTCAAGGGTCTCGCCGCTCTTTCTCAAGACAAGCGCGAGCGTGTGATCGAAATCATCTCGAAAGGCTTCAGTGACGACTCTGCGCTGCTCAAGCATGAGATGGCGTATGTGCTCGGCCAGATCAAAGATACACGTGCCCTACCCTGCTTGGAAGGCATTCTGCGTGATGAGAAGCAGCATACTATGGTCCGCCACGAAGCGGCAGAAGCGATGGGTGCGATTTCTTCGGTCGAATCGTTGCCTGTGCTGCAAAAGTATTTTGTGGAAGACCCTGACGTATCCATTCGTGAGACATGCCACCTGGCGATTAGCAAGATCGAGCTAGACAACTCGGACATTGGCCACACGGAGCAAGCGCTGCAGGCCGAGCGCGACAAAGCGCATGGCGATGCCCTGGACGCCGCGGCTCGGGCGGCGGCCCCTATCGATCCAGCGCCGGCCATCGTGACCGTACAAGGCTTCTCAGATCAAAAAGAGAACGTGTACACCCTATCAAGCGTACCGACCTTCCGTGCTACTCTCCTCGATACGTCGCTGTCGCTCTTTGAGCGGTACCGTGCGATGTTTGCCTTGCGGAATACTGTGCAGCGTGGCGATGAAGAGGCGCAGAAAGCGGCTGTACGGGCGCTTGTGGACGGTTTGAAGGATGAAAGTGCTCTTTTCCGGCATGAAATTTGCTTTGTGTTTGGCGAACTGTGCCATCCCGCCTCGATTCCAGCCATGTCACACGTTTTGGACGATGCACACGAGCATGAAATGGTGCGCCACGAAGCCGCCGAGGCCCTGGGCGCCGTGTTGGAGGAGTCTGGTGGTGGGGATGAATCGGAGCGCGTCATTGCTATGCTTCGGCAGTACGCCAATGATGCTTCGGCACCTCGCGTAGTGCGTGAGAGCTGCGTAGTAGCTCTTGATGAGATGGCCTATAACAATGATCCTACCCAGTTCCAGCCCATTGAGTCGTAGATTTGAATGTACAACAGACACACATCCTATCCCAACGAGAAAAAGCTTGTGTTGTATGCATGTGCTAAAGTACTACATTCTTAAGCCTTACCAGCGTCCTTCATGGCCTTAAGCATCAGATCTCCGATCTTGGCAGGGCTGTCGGCGACCACAGCGCCAGCCTTCTCAAGGGCGCGGACCTTGTCTTCAGCACCACCCTTGCCACCGCTAATGATGGCACCGGCGTGACCCATGCGGCGGCCCGGCGGCGCAGTACGGCCAGCAATGAAGGCCACAACGGGCTTGGGGTCAGGGCGCGTAAGGTTGTACTTCTCCAGGTACTCAGCAGCCTCTTCCTCCATACTACCACCAATCTCACCGATGATCACAATACCCTCCGAGCGGTCGTCCTCAAGGTACATCTTCACCAGGTCGATGGTCGTCGAGCCAGGGTAAGGGTCACCACCAATACCCACGCACAGCGACTGACCAAGGCCGACGTTCGTGGTCTGGTTGACAGCCTCGTACGTGAGAGTGCCCGAGCGCGACACAATACCGATCTTACCCGGCTTGTGGATGTGCGCGGGCATAATACCGATCTTGCAGCCCATCGGGTTGATCACACCAGGGCAGTTGGGGCCGATCAGACGCGACTTGCTCTGCTGCTTGAGCACGTTGGCGACGCGGATCTCATCCTTCTGCGGGATACCCTCAGTGATAGCCACAATAAGCGGGATCTCCGCCTCGACGGCCTCAATGATGGCATCAGCAGCACCCGCCGGGGGCACGTAGATGACCGACGCATGCGGGTTGGTCTTTTCAGCAGCCTCACGGACCGTGCCGAACACAGGCAGACCTAGGTGCGACTGGCCAGCCTTCTTCGGCGAAACACCACCCATCAGGTTGGTACCGAAAGCCAGAGTCTGCTCACAGTGGAACGTGGCAGTCTTACCAGTGAAGCCCTGGCAAATAATGCGAGAGTCGCCCTGGACGTAAATGTTCTTGATCGTGTCTTCGTAGCTGCGACGGAGAGCCGAGGTCGAGAGCGAGCGGGCACCAGCTACATCATATAAGCACAATACATCTTCTATACATACCAGCACGCTGGACACCACGGAACATGTTCACAGAAGCCTTAGCAATCATCCTGTTGCCTTTCGCTGTGTCAGGGACGGCGGGAACGTCTGTCCGTTTGCCAGCTAGCCTCACAATTTGCCCGGGACGGTGTCACGTGCCCTCTACTTCACGTGGTACGTGCACACGAGCGGTTTATGCGCTGTTTGTGCTATCCAACGATGCGTGTGAAGCTATCGTATCCAGCATAGAGAGCGCTTGCTGCAGGTTGGTACGCGCTGTGGCCCAGTCTTCATAATCCAGTGCACTGGAGGCCCAGCGTGTTAGTTTTTGAATGTGTGTCACTTCCGCCACATCTAGTGGAACAGCCGAAGCGCTGGTTTTCCACGATTCTGTAGACAGCGGCTTGGCCAGTGCTTTTTTGTGGGTGGAATCAGTTGGTTTCTCCGATGATGGATATGCTTGACTAGTGGATGATGAAGTCGATGCCCTTTGTGGAGATGGGTCAGATGATGTTGGTTTAGACTGTTTCGGTGCTTCGTCCTCGTCAGACTGGGCAGTCATGATCTGAACACATGGCGAAGACTCTTTGTCGTCCATAGTTGGTGCTGATGGCAGCGTAAAACGCTCGCTTTCGTCGATTGGTGCCTCTGTAGGGCTCGTTGGCGCACGTACTTCCTGCAGATGCATGGGTGTAATTAATTGCGCAAGCACTTGTTCCTCATCAGCACGCTCACCTTCTTCTGCCGGGCCCGATGTAGGTTTCGTACCGCTTCGTAGTGCTTTCGAGATCTGTGCAGCTTTCCACTTGGCATATTTGATTTTTGATTGGACCTGAAAGATTAGACGAGACGTTCGCATACCTCTTCCTCCAATGGGCCAAAGATCGATAAGAGCTCCAAAAACTTTGACGCAGCAACAAATGCATGGGCTGTCTCCCTATACCGTATAAGCACTAGCAATACACGTACCTAGTCGCTTGCCCTGCCCGATCTTGATCGTCTGCCTTGAGAAACACCTGATATGCAAAGTTCTCGATATAGGCATGTCCCACAGTATCATTTGTTACGGCGTCCTCCTTCTCTAGGGACGATTTAAGCTGCTCCAAGTCGTCCATCAGCGAAAAAAGAAACGACTGTGCCTCTGTGTTGCCACTCATCTTGTCGATGCCCAGCTGCGCCGCATAATATTTACCTTCGCGTTAGATTATAGAGAACATACACCAATATGCAATAATAGGGTCTACTTTCTCGACTTCTTGTGCTCGTTGAAGAAATGGCGCTGCCTCTTTCAGCGTCAGTGGCACCTTTAAAGGTGGCATCGTTGAACGAGGGAGGCTCTGCGCCAAGCCCCGCACGTCCACACACTCCCTCCACATAGCGCAGATAGTCATCATTCATACTTTCATACCCAGAACTACAATACAACTTATTATACAATATATTACAGATCATGATGGCGATCCGGAATCGCCGGAATAGAGCCATCAAGGGATAAAGTCGGTACATATTGCTGACCTGGCCCGTCTGGACCGAGCAATTGTTCGCCATAAGTCATCATGTCCACCAAAAGCGGCAAAGTGGGTTGACTAGGCTGGCGCTCCATCTCTAGCCATGATGCATTGACCTGTGAGGCAACAACATCACGATACTGGAGATCCCACAATGTCTTCGCATAGGCTGGCAAGGCCGACATATCTGATGTGCTCAGGTCCAACACAATAAAAAGCGACATAGTCTGTTCCAGCTCCGAGAGGAGATCCGGATTTTCTTCTCCCAAAGGCGCCAGGACCTCTGTTGCAAAGGCCAGCGCCTTTTCCACATCACCTGTCCGCAACAGCTCAATCATTTCAAGCTGGCGTACATGAAAATACAGGGCAGGCGATGTGTCAAGCATCTATTCGTCAGCAACAACTCTTACCACATCCAATGAGGCCGCAAGAACGATCAGTCGAAAGATGGTGATTAGGTTTTTTGTCTCCGCATCGCTGAGCTCAGCGTGGTGCATGAAACTTTTTCGTCCCTTCGTCTGCGGCCATTGGGGCATTACACGCACCTCTGGCTTTTGCTCACTTAGGAAATCGAGAGCTTGGCTTACATTTCCTTTCAGGATATGCTGCCGAACAGCATTACGAAGAGGCAATGTTTGAATGGCTTCAGGCACAGACAATCCTGTTTCTTCACAGAAGCGTATCACTGCCTGTTCGTGGCCCTGGGTGACCAAGAAATCGAGGACCCATTGATCTGTATTTCTGTCCATGTCAGTCTAGTTCTAGTATGCATGTCCAAAGATCAGCAAGCAAAAGAAAAAAAGTATCCTCATCATTGATAGGAGAGATTCCCACTTCTGCGATAGACTCATCCGAGAAACTGGACTGGGGCGATACCTACTGTTTAGTACAGGGAATGGCTGTGACCATCTTTTCCCAATCGGCGGATGGACGCATCGCGCATGGGAGCCATGAAAGGCAAGCAGAAGAGGAGTTGGTGGGGAAGAGGAAGAAAAGATGGCCGCGCCCTCGTTTGTGCTGCGGCCGGTGGCAGAGGCCGTCCAGCCAGCCTTGGGCACGTGATTCTGCAACCGCTCACAACGTCAGAGCGCAGCCAGCCGCACCATAGTGCGTCGTCGCGTGCGTTAGGGGCGGCACGCGTTTGTAGTGCCTTGCGCCAAGAGGTCTTGTTAGCAACCCACGATGGCGACATCAGCGGTCTATTACAAGTTCCGCTCGCAGCGTGAGCCGCAAAAACTCACATTCGATGGAACAGGTATTAGCGTATGGGAGCTGAAACGCGAGATTATTTTGCAAAACAAGTTGGGCAAAGGCACAGATTTTGATTTGGCTGTATACGATGCGGATACCGATGAAGGTATGTTCTGCGATGCGCTTACGTGAAAAGAATACAAGGACGACAATTATACCATCCCACGCTCGTCGCATGTGACGGTGCGTCGTTTGCCTCCTTCAAAGCCTGGTCGAGGAACAGCGCAGCTGTACGTGGCTGATCTTCAGGCGCCAGCCGGTGGTACGAGCGTTCCTGAGACTCCTGCTGCACCAACGCCGGCTCATTCGATGTACCGAGGCCCCATGTCGAAGCGCTTTGACGGCAAAGATGGGCCCCACCCTGGCACACCTACCTCTTCTGCTGCGTCTGTCAAGCCGTCGGCTGCGCTGGACAGTCATCAGGACGAAGCGTCTCGGATTGCTGCCATGTTTCAAGCAACGACTGAGCAATGGGAGGAGACGCAGGAACGCATGTCACAGTACGTACAGTCTAAGCTAACGAGTGCAGCGCCACCTATCGCGAGCGAACAGGCATGCCACGACGTGGTCCGCCGCCAGGGCGGGGTGGAGCACCACCACCCCCGATTGATCGCCCACCCCCACCGCCTGGCTTCATTTGCTACCGATGTGGTCAAAAAGGCCACTGGATTCAAGATTGTCCCACGAACAACAATCCCGAGTACGACAATCGGCGATTCAAACGCACGACCGGTATTCCTAAGAGCATGCTGAAGACGGTGGAGCAATCGACAGCGGAGAACATGACGGGTGTCATGGTGACACCGGATGGCTCGTATGTGATTGCTACGCCGGATTCGGGGTCCTGGCAGCGTAGTCGTGCGCGTTCACGGCCACTTTCCAAGACGGACGTGTACAAAACTGTGCCCTCTGATCCAAGTCTCGCCTGTCCTCTCTGCTCCAAGTTGCTTCGTGAGGCTGTCAAGACGTCTTGCTGTCATACCACATTCTGCGAAGAATGCATTCAAACGCATCTTTTTGAGCATGACTTTGTATGCCCTGAATGTGAGAAGCGCATTCCTGATTTAGAAATGCTAAAGATTGACGATGTGAAGCGCAAGCAAGTACGTGAGTATGTCGATAAGACCATTGCACAAAGTGAAGAGGCGTTCGAGCAAGGAACCGGTGTGGACGAAGAGGCCGCTCATCAAGCTGCTGTCTCCGAGTTTGCCGCCACGGGCGCGAGCGCAAGTACGACTGCCGCTCCTGCCCCACCTGTGCCTGAACCTGTGCCGAAGAGCGAGCCTTCTACGACGGCTGCTGCGGCCCCAGCGACGTCTTTGAACGATCCCACGACGACGACGACGACGACGACGACGGCGCCGCCGCCGCCGCCGGCTGATGGACCGACGTTCAACCCACAAATGGTCCAACAACTGGTGGCGATGCTGCAGAACCCACAGCTGCCCATGCCGATGCGCATGCAACTGCAAATGCAACTGCAGTTCCAGCAAATGCTCTTTTTCCAGACGTTTGCTAAGAACGGCGGACCCCCACCGCCCTCGATGCCGGGCATGCCCATGCCCATGCCAGCGGCCTCGGCTGAAGGAAGTCACAAACGTGGGGCGATGGACGAAGCGCCTTCTTCACGGGACAAGCAGCCCCGTTATACCTAATGTACTATAGTTCGTCGTTATCCATAGATCGGCTCAGCAAGATCCATTCAAAAGCGTCCGTGCCCGGCGCGGGTATAGGTTGGCCATCGGCCATATACAGCCCTTGGAGTAGCAGGGCGTCCTCGTCCGGGCACGTCCACTGCAACGACGCTTCTTTGCGTTGCGCAGCGAACAAAAAGTAGTCGTCCAAGGGCGCGCCCGTCTCATCGCAGGGGGGTGCGTACGCGAAATGCGATGCATGCGTGCCGAAGGGGCGCCATGGCGCCGCTGGATCGGAGGGGGTACATTGCACCCATGTAAGATCGAACCAGGCGCTGAGCCCTGTCCAGAACGGCTGCTCTTTGGTCAGGGAGCGAATTTTGTAGGCCAGGTACACGGTGGCGTTGGGCGCCTGTTGTGTGATCTGCAATAACGAGCGAAGGAGAGGCGCAAGGAGTTCCGGGAAATAGATCAAGTCAGAGCACAGAATGTGCGTGGGTGTCCATGTCTGCAGGATGACCTCGGCATGGCCGGCGTCGCCCCAGGCCAAGGGGCGTACGTGGACATGTGCTTGTGCCCATGGCGTCCATGGCACATTGCGACGTAGCAGCGATTCGACCTCGGGCAAATCGGTGAGGATCACATGATGAGCCTCGCTTGGACACGCAGATCGATGTGCTAGGTACGACGCGGTAGCCAAACCAGCCGTGCCTACGCCTGCGCCTAGCTCCAGCAACGTCACAGGGGCGTCGAGCCACGAGTGCGGCGGATCAAAAGTGTGTGTCGTATTTTCGATATACGCCGCCCATAAAAACGCGGATTCCCAAATACGACCGGCGATGCCGTACTGCGCAATGTCCTGCTCACTATCGCGCATCCATGCGTCTTGGGTCTCGCGTGGCGCATTGGGGAAAATACGCAAGTGCGCTGGAAAGTTGGGACGTCCGTTGCTCATCGCGGAACCCCAGCGCACCTCGCCCCCACGCCGCTGTCCCCGGGCGGGCGAGCAGGGTGTGACACAGGTATCACGACACCAACGTACGTGCAGGCCTTCGTGCCTTTCTTCTCCACACGTCGTTGGGCATCGGCCGAGGCCCTAGACGGTCCCTGCGGCGGCGACAGCGTAGCCCCACCGACGACCGTGCATCGCGCGTGCTTGCTTCCACTTGGACGTCATGAAGCGTGTGATCGGCGGCTCGAAGCGCCAGCGCCCCGTGATCCGGCATGAGAATTCTCATCTCGGTACCGGGGCGGGCGTGACGAGCGGGCCGATTCAAGTGCCGGGCCACAATGCGTTCCCTACCAGTGCGTCGCCATCGCGCACTGGGAGCGTAACGAGTATTCCACCTGACGCTGCGTACCATGCGTCGCCTTCCCGCTCGCACTCTGGCATGGTCGCCGCGCCCAGTGCGAGTGTGCCACCCCCTGCGCCCACCCCTGGCCTTCTCTCCCCGTCCGCCGGGGCCCTCTCGCCCTCGCCGACGTCGTCCCCCGCGCCCATGATGGCATCGCCGCCGCCGACACTACCGCCGCCATCGTCGCCGCCCAGTGCACGACGTACACGCATACCACCGCCGACCGTCGCTGCACAGGAACCTACCAGCCGTGCTTCGCTGGACGATGGCGTGGCTGTTGCGCCGATGCCCGACGCACCGCGCACGTCCGTCAGCACCTTGCTGGATGCTGACGTGCTTCCGCCGCCTAGCGCTAGCCCGTTGCCGGCGATGACGGCACAGGTGCCACCGCCCCTTACGCGGCGCTCGTCCAGCCGGCGTGTCGGCTCACTGACGCAAGATCGCGAATTGGCGCAAGTGCGTGCCCAGCAAAAGCGGCGTTTGCTGCGTATGGCCGAGCGAGAGGCGCCAAGTGTGCCGCGTACGGCGCATCGCATGACGCCAGGCGTGCCGCAGCCGATTACCTCGTACGTCCAAGCGACCGATGAGCCCAAGTTTCGCGAACTGTACGCCGTCCTTCGCAAGCTGAAGCAGGAATGGGGGTTCCTGCTCGAGTCGGAGTTCAATCCTGTGAGCTTGTCCCTGGCCTTGCTTCCGCAAGGCGCTTTGCACTCACACGCCGAGGCCTTTGCGTCGCTGTCCCCCCTGATTGAGTCGTCGTTGCAAGGCACGTTGGACGACCACTACGATTCGTTCGCGACGGCCATCACTGTGAACCATGGCATGATTGCGTCGCTAGGCACATCGCAGGATGGGATTGCTAGTGCGCGGCAGCAGCTGCAAAGTGCCCGCGACGCGCTAGGCGCTCGTCGTGCAGACCTCGTGCAAATGTGGCAGCGCATGCAGTCCGTCAAAGAAGCGACGCGTGTCCTGTCCTTGCTAGAGCAGCTGCGGGGCGTACCTGACGAACTTGAGTCGCTCATGACCGAGAAACGATTCCTGGAGGCGACGCAGCTGCTTATGCGATCGCTCCGTCTGATCCAGCGTGACGACTTGGCCGAGCTGGGCGCGACGTCTGATCTACGTGCGTATCTTCGCTCGCAGGAGCATGCGCTGCTTGACATTCTGATCGAGGAGTTGCAGAGTCATTTGTACCTGAAAAGCTACTGGTGTGATGGGCGCTGGCGTGCGTACGTCGCCGGGCAGGATACGCTCCCGGATCTTGTGCTGGGCCTCGATGCAGGTCCCGCGCCGGCTATGGCCGCCTCGCAGGCGCTTGTCACAGCGGCGAGTGGCACGGCGAGTAGCAGCGGCACGTCTGCGCCGACGTGGACCACGCTGCAAACGTTCCTACGGGATGTGCATGCGCGACGAACGTCGTACATGGACGACGCTACGACCGACCCACTGCGACCGACCACGGCGGCGACCACCGGGTGGGACGAAGTGGCGACCCCCGCCTCGCTGACGGAGCCGCCGACCTCCACTTCGACGCCGGCGGAAGACGACAGTTTCCTGTACCTCGAGATGCTCTGTGAATCGTTGGCGCGGCTCGGAAAAATTGGGTACGCCCTAGATACCATTGCGCAGCTTGTGCCTACGGAGCTGCATCAGTTGATCGATACGACGCTTGACGAAGTGGAAGCGCGGCATGCTTCGCGGCACAATGGCACACCGATTCGCACGGCCGCCGTGCTGATTGCGCCGCAGGCGACGCATTCCGTGCTGGACGAGCCGCATGTCCGCCGCTCTTTCTCACAGGCGGCGTGGGCCTCGGCGACGCAGACCGCCGCGTCGACCGACGTTGCGATCCTTCAGCAGGATCGAGAGACGATGCGTGACTTTTTCTATACGCTGTTTTCCAAGTTGGAAGCGGTGCTAGCAGCGCATCGCGCCTTGCACGAAGTCGCAGGGGTGCTTATTGGCCGGGCCAGCTCGCTCACGGAAGGTGCTGCGGATCGCGCCAGTGCCGAAACGGGTGTCGTGGCCTTATCGCGTGTATGGGACGCCGTGCAGGACGAGGTGCAAGGCCTGCTCATGGACTACCTGGCCAACGATGCAGAGCGTGTCCAGGCGAGTCATAGCGTGCCGCCTCTGGAGGCCGTGCTTCGTTCGTCGCGGTACGAGCGTGAGAAAGCGCCGCTGTTCCGTCTCGCTGCACCTTCGAAAATGTCAGCGGATGTCCGCGCCGCCAGCGACGCGTTGGAAGCATCGCTGCATGTCTACGTTCCTGGGCTTGTCGGCCAGGATGCAACGACCCCGGCGCATGCGCTCGAGCCACGAGCGCGCTTTGACGAGGAGGTGCAGGCGGGGCATGGCCACCGCCGCCTCGTCCCCCCGATGATCTTTGTCGTCGCGGCGTTGCTGGCGCCTACGCACCGGTTCTTGGACCGTGTCTCGCTGATTCTGCCGCGCGATGCTGCTGGGCCTGGCCAAGTGGACTTTACGACGTTCCTGCGTGGGTTTGTCCACGATGCGTTCCTGCCGCAGCTGGGCGAGCAAGTGCATGCGCTTGTCCAAAGCACCAGCAGTGCGCCTGATGCGTTCCAGCCGGAAGCGGGGATGCGGATCGGCGCTTCGCGTGCGGTGATGCGCAGTGCCGTGCAGGTCGCGACCTTGGTCGACAGTTTGTATGCGATGCTGCAAGCGGCGCCGTTCCAGCGCGCGTCGTACACGCGCCTGATTGTTTTGGCATTCTTGGCGTTCTACGAAAAGTGCAACGATCGATTTAAGCGGCTGGTCGCTGAGGACCCCGAGTCGGCGGCAGGGCCGTATGCCTTGTCGATCGTGTGGGTCCAACGTCCCGAGCTGTATGCGTGCCTCACAGCCGCTCTGGATGCAGAGCCACACTCGACGCGCGCGCAGGATGCGCGTCATGCTGAAGCGCAGACCGAATGGCACTGGGCCTCGTCGATGTCTGTACGTCGTGCGGATTTGATCACCTCGCGCAAACGGCACATGGCGCTGGGGACGTTGCAGCACAGCTTGCATTGGCTCAGTACGCATATGCATCAATTTGCCATGGGCCAGCACGACGCGATGGATGCGGCTTCGACCTCGACCGAGTCGCTACTACCGCTCCCAGCGTCCAGCGATGTGGCCGCGCTGTGGCAGGATGTGCCGCGAATATATACGACGCTCTGTCGTACGGTCCTTATGACATTGCGTGTCGAGTTGCGTTTGAAGACGCTGTACTACCTGCACTTGGCCATCCAGGGCAACTATGTATGCGACGCACTATCGATGGAGCCTGATACGCACGTCGTCGACTTGAATGCGGAATTGGCTGCATGCCATGAGACGTACAAATCGACTATACTGCCCGAGCATTACGCGTTTGTCTTTGACGGCCTTGATGTCCTGATGGATCTGACGCTCACACGAGCCATCCTGCATGTGCCCGCGCTGAATCGGTATGGCGTAACCAAGATGCTACGCAATCTGCTCAGTCTGCAGCAGAACCTCAAGAACATCGCCGAGGAGCCACGCTCGATCGACATGGAAAAGAGTCGGCGGCTCTGGGATACGCTCGCCAAGGAGCCTGAGGCTTGGCTCGCCGCCTTGCCCGCGCAGCCACCCCACTCCGCAGGCGAGTACCTCGCGGCGATTCGATTGTGCTTGGGCCTTGCGGACGATGGCGCTCCTATGCTGCACGCTGGCACGACGCAGCAGCCCGTGTCCGATACGCGCTACCGCGCCTGCGTCGACATGCTGCACCAGGTCCTTCATACCGAGGGAAAAGCATCTACTACATAAGGCTATAGATCAAACTCTTCCAAACGACGTCCACGACTCAACTCCATCGCACGACGCGAACGTGCGCCTTGCCCCTTGTTGTCACGACGCATCGGACCACGCACGCCGCCGCCCATACCGATCGGCGCACTGCCGCCCCATAACACTTGCAACGCAGCTTTGACCACGTTCATCGCGTTGGACGAGCCGTATACAGCAGCGTTCAAATCGGTAAACCCAGCGGCCCGAGCAATCGGATGCAAGACGTTGGGCACACGCAAGCCGAACCCGGCAGGGCGTGGCCGGATGACGACACGCGTCGCTCCCCACCGGCCTTCCACCGTGGTCTCCACCGTGTTTGAGCCACTCTTGGAGCGGTGCACCGCTACCAAGTCCATATTCTTCACAGCGGCATGGAACGCCTTCTTATTCGCACGACCGGCATTCTCATCTTTGCCTTCGCCGTAGCCGACCAAGCCATGCCCATTGCCGGCAATCACCAGTGCGTACCAGCTTGCGACACGGCCCTTGCCCGTCATATTCACGACACGCTTCAGCACAATGTTGTACCGGTGCAGCCGCGTAACCTCTGTAGGGGAGAGGGGTGTGACGTTCGACAAGTACGTCTCTGTATGCACTTCCTCGCTACCACTACCACCCGCCTGCATAATGGACTGCACACTCGGTGGCGGGGTCGGGAACAGCGGTTGCCGATCCGCATCGTTGTAGATCGTGACACTACCACCGTAGGGGCTCTGCGCATCCGGCGGCACGACGCTCTTCACACCATCATGCATCGCATCTTTTTCACGCAGCAGGCGCGGAAACTGCTCCAGATCCACACGGTGGAAAAGGATCGGCAGTGCTTTTTGCATGGCCGACGGCTTTTTGGGCGCCTTGGATGTAGACGGCGCAACCTCACGCAGCGGCGGCGACGACGACGACGACGTGGATTCCCAGCGTGCTGGCACGGCATTGATTCGCGCGATCGACCGTCCTGCCGGTGCGGCCATAGCACGTGCAGTCGAGGATCCCAGACGCACGAGCATATCTGAAACAGAACACCTCACACACACGAGAAGAGGGAGTGACAGCCACCCACGTTGGTCCTGGCAAGCGAACGAACGAACGAACGATCCTCGAAGGCCCTGGCGGTCTTCGTAAGGCACGTGACATGGGGCCAGTCACAGCGAGGTCCACGCCGCTGGCTGGCTGGCCCCACGCTGGGCAGAGCGTGTCGCACCGCACGCATTGTGACAGTGTTCGCCCTTTGGGGTTCTTTGTTTGTCCACACAGCGACGCCCATTTTTTCCTGTTCGCAGAGTACCTTGTGTGTATAGGACTGGCTTTGTTGTTATCGCCTTGACCTCTTCCCCTCCTGTACACACACGCTTCTTGAGAACGCAGTGACGCTGATGCGATTTGTGCGGTCTCATGACAACGCACCGCGCCCTCTGTCACTCAATGGCACGCAGGAGGTCAACATCCATGCGTACCCTCACAGCGCTCCAGGGCTTGTAGCCCTTGATGCCAAGTCCACCAGCCCCCGTAGGAGCGATGCGGGGCACTCTTCGGCGGCTCTGTCGGACGCAAGTACCTCGTCGTTGATTGCCCCATACCCTTGCTCGTCTCACCATGCCTCTCATGGCTCCGGAATTGCGCTGCCAAGTACAGCAGACGATGCCTTGTTGCGAACGCATCCCACCGGCTCTCCATCGGCAGCGTTTGCAGCGTTGTCACGATCGTCCCATGCACAGCCACAGCGACCGTCATCGGCAGTGGATTTGCAGTTCCCACTCACGTCACCCTTCTTGCCAGAGCGTACGTCAAGTCGCGCAGAGCATACACGGCCTCGTGCACGTCGACCTGCCGATGATACCGACGCTTCGCATGTGACGTTGCATGGGGCCGCGGCAGGCGCCCATGCCGCTGGGGATCAACGTACTCAGCTGGTCGTGCAAAATCTACCGCCGCATGTCCGTTGGCAAGATATCAAGGATCTATTTCGTCGTGCTGGCACTGTACTCCGTGCCGATGTACATGCGCCTGCGCCTCTTGTATCGACGCACAATGGCGAGCGGCGCTCGTCGTTGAGTGCTACAGGCACCGTCCTCTTTGCGACAGAAGAAGATGCGTACCGCGCCATCGATACGCTACATGGATACACGTGGCATGGCCGCGTCCTCGATGTGCGTTTGGACGAGTCCATCACAGTCAACGAAGCGGAGCGTGATAGGACCTTTGGGTCGACATCGTCGCATTCCGTGCCGCCACGTCCCTCTTTCCCATCAAATGCGCCATGGCCGACACATCCCACCTCATCAACATCCATGCCATCGTCCACGGTGCTGCCTTACCCCGGCCGCGTGTTGTTTGTGGGCAATTTGCCTTTCCACTGTCAATGGCAAGACCTAAAAGATTTGTTCCGTGCAGCAGGCAATATCCAACGAGCCGATGTGGCGTTAAATGCGGACGGACGTAGCCGTGGATTCGGTACCGTGCTGTTTGCCTCGCCAGAAGATGCACAGACCGCTGTACGTTTGTACCATTGCTACGAGTACAGTGGCCGCATTTTAAAAGTACACTTTGACAGACATGCCTTGTACGGCCCTGTGAGTGCGGGGATCCCTACGGACCCATCGCAGTACACTGCCGCTTTTCAAGTGAATATGGGCCCTATGGCACCCGCCCCTCCTCCTCCTTCCATGCCGCCGACGCTGCCCCATGGTATGCTAGACATGGAGGATGGATGGCCTGTCCCACGTCCGGATGTGATGCCACCAACAGCGGCCGCCGCCGCTGCATCATCTGTAGCGCCTGCCCCGCCGACACATCACCCAGGCCGGATCAATATTCCACCCATGGGACCTATGGGCGCTATGACACCTACGTCTCTGCACATGACACTCACCCCTGGTATCCCTAACTACGTTATTCAATCAGTGCTGGAAACGCCACCTGTATACCCTTATATGATGAGCCCTGGCGTCGCGTTCAATTCGGCGCCGATGACGATGGGTCTGTCGTCGTACATGGGCAATGGCATCGCGCCGCCGGGCCCTACCATGGACACAATGCATGCGCCCACGACCACGCTGCCACCGACACCGCATTGGTCGCAGCCACCTCGGCCACGTGCGCAAGCTTCCTCGTTTGCCCACATGGCAGGCACACACATGGACACGCCGATTGCCAAGCGATCGCATGACGTGCTGGCCCCTGTCGGGACACAACGTGAGCGAGACGAGAGTGGGTATCCATTCCCCGTCACAGATGCTGATCTGTCTACGGCTGCCTCCTCACCGACAGAGCCGCACAGCACGTTGCCTTCGCTTCCCTCGGCGGCGGAGACTCAGGCGCCCCCAGCGGAGTGGAATGAGGACGTGTCGCCCACTAATACGTCAGCACCTACATCGAAAGAGTCTTCGTCCTTATCCATGTCCTCTAGTACACGTGAACTGACAGAGGCCATCGCGAAGCTCAGTGTGCATGGCACTGCACGCACAAAGCGCACGTCCAATACGAATGAACGCGTCGCGGCGGAGGCTGCCATGGATCGATTCCGTCGGAACGTGGCGGAAAAAGATCCTAGCGCCGCCGCGACGACTCGGTCGTCGGTATCGTCGTCCACATCGTCCACGTCTCTTCGAGGTGGGAGTGTGGATTTGTCGGTCGCCCCTGTACGCCAAGAGTGACGTGCATGAAAATGAGAAAAAATAGACATGGTTGGTCATGTATAGGAAATGTCTACGGTCGTCGAATGGTATAGCCGTGCACAGTGGCACGTACATGCTCGTCACCCGGGTCCTCTGGGAACATAGGCTGCAGGATCCATTCCTGGATTTTGTCGCAGACATACCCTCGCTCCCTGGCCACATCAAAGAAGGCCAAGTCACGATCCACCAAGTGCGGTCTGTGATGACTGAAAAAGACAAGAACCTGTGCATTGGGTGTAGAGGCGAGGCATTGGTCGACCGTATTCATAAGCGCAGGATGTGCTTGGTGATTAAAAATGAGGTCCGACATCAATATCAAACCAAATCCGTTTGGTGCATGCGCGAGGAGAGACGCGGGATCGGTGCCCCAAATATACCCTTCCGCCACGCCTGTAGGCTCGCACTGGTTGTGCGTGAGATTGTAGCGTACGTTGCCCATCAAATCTGGGTCGGGATAATCGGTCGCAACGACAGACTGTGCGCCCATTTTGACGCAACCGATGGACGGCAAGGCAGCCGCTGCGCCCAGCTCAAGCACGGCCTGGTTTTTCACCAATGCAGGGTGGTCTTCCAAGTAGTTGGTCAGCGTAGGCGCTGCATTCCATAAATAGTGACCCCAGAGCGGATGTGTACCCACCAAACGCAAGCGAATCACCGAGCCATTTTTCATAACATGCTGGGTTTCGGTGGGGGGAGGCGTAGGCGGACGAAAGTCTTTGGGCTCTTCAAACAGGGCCCATGATTCGCCCTCGTCGCTCATCCGTGGGAGGTGTGTCTGATGCGTGGAGGCCGCGAAGCATAGGTAGGTAGGCAGCGCGTCGCAGACTTTGAGTCACATGGCTCCACGTGTAGAATACATGCATAATCTGATTAGATCCTGGGTTCACAGTCTCCGCTGATGACATCGTGTCACACAGCCTGCCACAGAAGCTCTCGCCACAACGTTCAGTCCTAGTCCTACATCCTAGAAAGGGACACATACCACTTCGTTGCATGAGTGCCACGGCCATTGATCCCTCGCATGCTGTACGACTGGGCCCTCCTTCACCGATGTCCCTGCCATCCTCCACTGACATCCCTGAGGTGATTAAGCCTAGCAAAGAATGGGTGCTGCCTGCGCGTGGCAAACCAGGTCGAAAGCCTTCCGCGTCAGTTCCTTTGACAAAGCGCAAGGCACAAAATCGAGCTTCGCAACGTGCTTTCCGTGAACGACGCTCTGCGTACGTGACAGAGCTTGAACAAAAAGTGGCGCAATACGAAGCACGCGAAATTGAAGCCAACATTCAAATGCAACGGATTGCGCAGCAGTATAAAGAAGAGGCAACGGTACTCCGATCAGCCAACGAAGAACTTAAGGCACGGTGTGAGCAGTTGGAAAAACAAATGCAGGCGCTTCTTCCCTCCAAAATCAAGTCCTCTCCCACCCAAAGTCACCAGTCCATGTCGCCTCCCACGATACCCACACCGACATGTGCCAAACCAGACCCTACCTTGGAGCATGGATCGTCGTATCCGTTGTCGTCCCTCCCTCTCAAGGTGTCACCGCACGCAAAGTCTGCATCCAGCCCGCAGACGCGCGCGCCGATGGCGTCGGTTACATCGCCTTCTTCGAAATCACTTCCGACAGCCGGCTCTGTCACAGATGGGGCTCCTTACATGCAGGATGCCGAAGAAGATGATATGGAAATTGACTGTGGTTTTTGCACTGATGCTGAAGTGTGCGTATGCCGTGGTCAAGCCCGTCTAGATTTGGGTGAGGCAGCATCCAATCCCCCCCCTTCCTCGACGTCGACGTCAGTCAAGCTCACTGCTTTGCCACTCCGCACCATGCACAAGCCACGTTTGTGGACAACGACATTGGAGAGCGAGACGCCGCCCAAGCTGGCTTCCGCGCTGCCGTACTCTGTACAAGGACGTTCTACGGGGAATCGCAGTGCGCCACGCGCTCGCCTATGGCCGTATACAGATGCCCGCGCACCCCCGTCTACTCCATCGTCCACGTCCTCGTCAACAGGAATGATGTGTACCGGCGATCCACGCCACTGCCGCGCCTGCAATTCCGATCCTGCCTTGGCGGAATTCTGCACGGAAGTTCAGCGGACGATTCGTTGGCCCACGTCCACGCAGCGGCAAGGGACTCCCCTTCGTCAAGATAGTCAGGAAGAAGGAGAGTCGATCCCTCATGCCTTTGGTCGCCTGCGTAACCATCCCAACTTTTCCTCATGGCGCGGTGGCCTGGATATCCTGGCCGAAGTGGTGGCGCGTGATCCTGTGAGTCATCAAATATCAAAAGCTTGTGAATCGACCGCTCAGCCCACCTCCGCGTCAGAGCTGCCATCCACGGAGCGCCAGAAGCCCTACATCATAGTACGCGAAGAGGCTGTGTCGGAGGCTTTGTCCATGCTCGACAAGCCAGATACGGCCACGGCGTCGTCGCCTACGACGAACCAAGCAGCCCCTTCCCGCCGGCCATGGCCACGTTAACCCATGGAGTTTTATGTACGTATATAGCTACAGTTTAGCTCGGAACACCAGTGAGTCGTCCGATGGCGTAAATGGATCATGCCAGTCGGGTCCCATACCTGGCTCTGTATTGTTGTCAGGCACAAACGAGAAATCCCAGGCGCGTTCTTCGCCATGCAGCAGAAAAGAGGTAGCGCCATTGTACTCTTGGTGCCAGACATTGCCAGCCCGGGTATACTTGCTTACACTTGCCGTGCCTGCACGAATAGGCATCTCGCGTACATCCTCATACGAAGCGATCGTCTGAATCATACGGCCTAATGCAATAATAGAGGCGGCATGAGATACAAGGAGGACCCGCTCAATACCCCACGCAGCACATCGCTTTTCAATGCGCCGCATCACTTCACGCATACGTTCATGCAGCGCTGGAATGGTCTCCCCGTGGGGATCTGGGTATAACAACGGTGTCCATGCCAGCGAGATCGTCGGAAATTCGTCCACAACATGTTCGCCTGTGCGTGGACTAGGATGCACGCCCGTATCTTGAGGAAAAGCAGGTGCAAACCACTCTGCTAGTCCAGGTTCAACGCCAACAGGAATATGGAGACACTCAGCTACTGGCATGGCTGTGCGCAGACAGCGTGTATACGGTGAACACACAATCCACTGCGGCTGCTCCTCTGCCGGCAACGACGCAAAGAACGATGAGAGCTCGCCTGTCTGTTCTTCGCCGCGCGCCGTCAGCGGTGGATCACGGGGGATTACATTCCCTCCGCCAAAATGATTTGCATTCATACGGTGGGCATGTCGTGCCACATACAATGTCGTCAACATGGGGCAACCGAGACACGTCATGGATGTGGAGTGACGACGATCCTCGCGGTATGACGGACGCGTGGCTTGCTCGCTATGCCCCACAACCTCGGCAGGGCCGGCCGTGGGTCACATTGACCTTTGCACAGTCGCAGGATGGGAAAATCGCTGGTGCACAAAAGCAACAATTACGTCTGAGCGGCGAGCGTAGCATGACAATGACACATCGTATTCGATCCATGCACGATGCTATTTTGGTCGGCATTGGTACTATGATGGCGGACAATCCCCGTCTTAATGGTGCGTATACAAACACTAACAAAAGTGCGTCTAGATGGGTATACAGGTCCCTCACCACGACCCATTGTTCTGGATCGCGATCTTCGTACGCCACCGACTTGCCGTCTCATGGACGTCGCACGGGTCTCGCCCCCGATTCTGATGGCGTGCCCGCCATCCGAGCCTGACGCCTTGCATGGATGGCGCAAAAGAAAGGAAGCTCTAGAGGAGGCTGGATTCCTCGTTGAGTGTGTCGACATGGAGGGCACGCAACTGTCATGGTCGTCCATCTTGCAGCGACTAGCAGCGTTGCACCTCTCGTCCGTGATGATCGAAGGAGGCGCAGGTGTCATTGATAGTGTTCTACAAACACACACAGTATCGCCTATGATTGATGTGGTCCTTGTCACTGTGGCACCGACAGTAGTAGGGGAAGAGGGCTATGGGTATACGACATCATTGTTCGATATGCCAGCATGGCACGAGGCGAGTAGATGCTCCCTTTCCCCTGATACGGTGATTGCACTGCTTCCCCTTTAAGTTTTTGATAGAATACTTGCCACAAGCGCTGTTGCGTCGCTCAGTCGTGTTCGCTGGTCAAACAAAGCGCGTGTGGTAGCGCGAAGATCGCGCTGGGTATCAGAGCCAGGCTCGTTGGTTGTGAGACCCGCCAGACCATGGGCTTGAAGATGCTCAGATAGGGCCTGAATCTGTGTCTGCGCTACATCAAGAGCATCTTCAACAGCTTGGCCATCCGCTTCCCCAGCTAAGCCGATCGTTCTTTGATGTCAGTTGGCACAACGACAACACGTACATGCGCTCGAACAAAGCATCCATCGCTCGGCGTACAGCAGGTAGGTGGACTTGCTGCAAGGCATCGATGGCCTGTATCATTTTTTGCACGTCCGTCGAGGACGCTGTGCCATTGGCGGCCACGGACGACGACATGGCTTGGCTTGTGGAGAACGTGCTGGGCGTGTGGAGGAGAGAGCGGGGATGGAAGAATGACGTAATGCTAGACTTGCCCCGGCCCCGACATGCATCTAACGGCGATTCGTAAACCACGGAAGCGGGGCTAGTAGGCGCCGGATGAGTAGTGATACTGGGTCGGATGCGACACCGGCGCTCCCAGCACTGCCGGACCTACGCGTCGAGCAATTATTTTTGCAAACAGTCAAGCAACATGTAACCATTGAAGAGACAGAGGGCCAGCCATCGCTGCTGCCGACGTCCTATACAAATTGGCATCGAGTCACTAATATCCGATGGTACGTACAAAAACTGACTGATCGTAGGGGGGCTCTCTTGTATCAGCTCTTTTGGGAGCAAGTGCTTAGTCCCATATGGCAAGGCATGTTGTGGGGTTTGGCTGGCATCTCGTTTGTTCAGGCGCGCCAAGCGTTCGCGTTAGCGCGTGCAGCCAGGCTACAGCGATCATCCTCTGCTGCGGCACCGGCACGCGGTCGAACTCCCATTATCGGTCCATTGCTAGCTCGCATTGGATTAGGGCGCATAGCTATATAGATACCATTACCATGTATGAACAGCAAATAGAGATAAGAAAAGGCAAAGATATATACGTATATGTCAAACGGGTGTGTGGCGTTAATCTTACTTTTCGGTCTGCGCCTTCACGGCATTGGCGCAGAGGGAGAGGGCTTGCAGCCTAGGTGTACACTTTTCCGCTAGCACATCCTGCGATGCATCTTTGAACTGGAACAGGCACTGGTCGTACTCTTGAATGAGTGAGCCACATGTCTGCTTGATCGTCTGGAGCATCGGTACGGCATTCGCGGCGCAATTTGCCAACTCTTGCTGCGTCTTTTTGCAGGCCATTTGATTGCCATTGTTCGCAAGAATGCACCGCTGGAAAGAGGCTGCATGTTAGCAATGGGATTCCTCATGACAACCTACCCAACTCGAATTGGCACTCTTTCCCGACCGAGTCCATCATATGTTCCATGTGTGGAGAAATGTGGTGGAGAAAAAGGAAGCGTACGCGTGGTCTGACCGCAGCAAAGCACGCCTCACGATTGCCTTGGTATGCCGGCCCCTCTCGTGGGAGCGTTGCCCCCTCGACGGCGACTTGTCGGTGTACTCCTCGCCACCCAACTTGACTATGTCGGTACGCAGCACTACGTGCGTGAGGTTCTGCGTGAATACAGCGCCCACCCAGACAGCCCCTTTCTGGAGGCAGAGGGCACGCAAGCTATGGATCTGCTGGTAATCCCTAGTGATGTATCGATCGTGCCACTCCAGGAACATACGCAGGCTGCTTCAGTTGCCATACTTGTTGGAACACATAGCGTGCCTTCCGACATTGTGTCCCTTCGTACACTCTTTCAAGCGGGATGCCGTGTGATGGACTTCGGGCGTGTTCAGCGGAGATGCGGCGCCGAAACGATCATCACGGACGTGGCTGTCCTTGGCATGATACCCTTACTACGCTTTGGCGAGACAGTATGCACTGAAAGTGCAGCGCAGGCAGCGAGCGAGTGCTGGTCCACTCTCGAAGCGCTGTATACACGGCTCCCAGAGTCTTCGCATATCATACTGGTATACGAGCCTGGAAGGAGCGGGGTGAATCCAAGCTGGATGTTGTCCGTTGTGCAAGCTGTACGACGGCAATGCCTAGCCGCCCAACCTGCTCGCAACGACGCATCCTTGATTATACTATACAAAGGGCCCGTTCAGCCAGGGGTGTATGAGCACCTCTACGATGGTATTGATGGCATTCTAGTAGAGGCAGATACCTGCACACCCCAGGCGTTCATGCAGCTAGCCGTTGAGGTGTATCAGGCAGGTCGTACGACGGCGCAGCTAAGGTAGAAAGGGTATGAGCGCCGCCATCGATAAGCAGTAAAGCCTTGTATCGATCATTTCGCATACGATAGAGCCGCTGGAACATAGCCGCGTGATCCGTAAAGGCGATGCGAGTATTGGTAGCAGGTAGTGAGAGTTCGTGCCATAGGGTATAATGTGCCATCATTTGCTGGACGATGCGGGTGACCATAGGCAAGGAGACATTGAGGCCGGCTAAGAAAGAGACAACATCGTCCGTGGCCATGGACTGCTCGTTGGTATACGTGGCATCATATATATGTTCGGCAGTGGTGGGATGCAATATGACCGCGAGGTACAAGCTGGCGATGGCCAGCATATACGGCGGTTGCTCCAGCGGAAGACTGGTTCTGTACATATCATTCACAATGAGCCAGCACACCTGCAGTAAGCTGTCAGACTTGGCATGATCCCCATCCTCCGCATACACGTGCGGTGCAGGGCGTCCTCCGCGCTGCGGAGGCCGATGTGCGAGGCAGGCCTGGCAGAGGTGTGGTAGGGAGCTGTAGGGATGAAACACGACGAGATCGAATTCTAGCTCTTCGAGCAGGAAGAATTCCATTTCGGCAATCATCGATACGCTATTAGGCAGGTCTTTGTAGCCCCATTCGCTCATCATTTTGGCAGCCTCGGCACAGAAGGTGCGAATCCGGACCGGCGACTCTTCCACTTTGCTGGCCACATATACGCATGTCACAAGGACCAAAATGGGATCAGTGGCAGCGTATGAATTGTGAATATAAAATCGCTGGAAATAGACACTGGCAGTAGCCACTACGCGTTGCCGAAGTTGCAGACGTTTCGCAAGGGTAATGATTGCTAGCGGTAAGTGTATGCAGCCACCTACTGTCTAAGCACCATGTGCTAATAGCCAAGATCTCATGAGAGTCCGCATACCGTCGATCCTCCTCGCGTGCTGCCTCGATCTCAGTCGACTCCAACAGCCAGCGATGACACTGTGTCGAGTGCCAGTAATTGGCGGCCATGGCGGTCGTATAGCATCCATTTCTGTTGTGGAGGCGATGTACCCAACGCGCGTCGATCGATGAACGTATGACAACACTGCGACGCAAACGCGTGCGCACCGCGGACAACTGGGATGTACAGAGAGTCGGTGCGCTGCCTAGTTCGATTGAGGAAGAGCAAGCGCAGTTGAGAGCGGCCTTGGCCGCAAGTGCAGCGACGGTCGCATGTCCTATTTGCGATACGTGCTGGCCGCCAGACGATATCGAGCGGCATGTGAACCAGTGCATTGATGGCCCATCGAAAAAAGCGCCGGCACCCAACGACGAAGGGAAGGAAGAAAAGAATCCTGCTATGGTGCAGCAGCAATGGGCATCGATTTTGCCAGGGGAGAAAAAGGTGGTGGGATCGCGGCGTATGCCATTCTACAAAATCTTAGACGGCATGCCGATCAGCGTAGACGCGTTTCGATACGGCGCGATTCCTGGGTGCACAGCGTACATCTTAACACACTTTCACTCGGATCACTACGGCGGTCTCACATCCAAGTGGGTGCATGGCCCGATCTACTGTACACAGATCACGGCGCGTCTCGTCGAGAAGCATCTGCATGTTGATCCGCAGTGGCTGCATCCGCTGCCATGGGACAAGTCTGTGCTATTGCCAGATACAGGCGGCGTGCATGTGACGTGCATTCCTGCCAATCACTGCCCAGGCGCAGCGATGATCGTTGTAGAAGGGCCACATACCGCGCACATTCACCCACATAGTACGCCGAGTCCCTACATCGGACTGCCTCGTACGTTTCGGTATCTGCACTGTGGCGACTTCCGTGCATGTCCAGCCCAGCTTGCGCATGCCGCCATGCAAGCGCCCTTTGACGTGGTGTACTTAGACACGACGTACCTGGATCCACGCTACGCCTTCCCTCCGCAGCCCCATGTGGTGCAGGCGTGTGTTGATATGCTGACAGCACCTGCACCGGAGCCCACCTTATCGACATGGCTACAAAAGAACCCCGTCCTTGATGCCCCCCTTGTGGTCGTGGGCACCTATTTGCTAGGCAAGGAGCGGCTGATCAAAGCGCTGGCCCATGCGCTGCAGACGCGCATATACTGCTCAGATGCACGCAAGTACGATACCTACGCTCTGCTTAACGATCCTGCGCTGGTCGAGTGTCTTACACGGGACCCACGAGAGGCGCGTGTGCATGTTTTATCGCTGGCCGGTGTCCAAAAAGAGGCCTTGCTTGAGTATACGCAAGCACTGCAGCGCCGTGGTCTGCGAATTACACATACGATGGCTTTCCGGCCTACAGGCTGGACGTACCGCCAAACCACGACGCTTACACCACAGCAATCCCTAGCTGATATCATGGCGCATTTTACACCGCTGCCTTCCTATACCCGCACATCGATGCAAGCGACCAAAGACAGCACACCGCAGCTTCGGATGTACGCTGTGCCGTACTCGGAGCACTCGTCGTTCTTCGAGTTGATGGCATTCATGCTCTCGCTCACCTACCGCCGCGTCGTGTCCACGGTTCATAGTGGCGGCGCGCAGCAACAGAAACGTGTGCAAGCCTGGCTGCATATGTGGACCATGGCCGTGCGAGCGAAGCGCGCTCCCGACATACATCCACGATCCGACGAATACTGGTAGTACCTATAGAAACGTTATCTACACGGACAACTCCGCCGCGTGCGCATTCTTCAGCGCCTCCGCGTACGGCTCCAGCGCAGGACGCACCCACTTAGCCAGGAAACTGTCAACCTGCTGCGGCGCACGACCAATGAACGTCGACGGGTCCAGCAGCTGGTCGAGGTGGTCGACGATCGGCTGGAAGTACGGATCCTTGCGCACCCGGTCAATCAGATCGTTCTCGCCGCCCTCTTCCTTCACAACACGCGCGGCCTCACGCGAGAGCACACGGATCTTCTCGTGGCACTCCTGACGGTCGCCACCGGCACGCACCATGGCCATGATGATGTTCTCCGTCGCCATGAACGGCAGCTCCGCAGCGATGTGGCGCTTGATGATGGCTGGGTACACAACCAGACCCTCTGTAATGTTCTGCAGCACAGTGAGAATCACATCCGCCGTTAGGAACGACTCAGGGATCGTCAAGCGACGGTTCGCACTGTCGTCGAGCGTGCGCTCCATCCACTGGCCGCCAGCCGTCTCACGCGCACTGGTGATGGTGTTGCCCAGCCAGCGGGCGAGACCACACACACGCTCCGACCGCATCGGGTTGCGCTTGTACGCCATCGCACTCGAGCCAATTTGGTCCTTCTCAAACGGCTCCTCGACCTCCTTGAGGTGACACAGCAGACGAATGTCCGTCGCCATCTTCAGCGCGGAAGCAGAGAACGAAGCCAGCGTCATCAGCACATCAAAGTCAATCTTGCGCGAGTACGTCTGGCCCGTCACAGGCATCGCATGCGGGAAGTCAAACAGCGAAGTGACACGCTCATCCAGCGCCTCAACCTTGTCGTGGTCGCCATCAAAGAGCTGCAGGAAACTCGCCTGCGTACCTGTCGTACCCTTCACACCACGGAAGCCTAGGTCATCACGCGCACGCTGAATGTTGCGCAGATCCCACAACAGCTCCTGGATCCACAGCGTAGCACGCTTACCGACCGTCGTAAGCTGCGCCGGCTGCATGTGCGTGAAGCCCAGCGTAGGCAGGTCACGGTACTTCTCCGCAAACTTCGCAAGACGGTCAATGACTACGGCCAGCTTGGGCAGAAGGAGGTCAAGACCCTTGCGCAGGAAAATGAGGTCCGCATTGTCAGTCACATAGCACGACGTCGCGCCCAGGTGGATGAACGGCGCAGCGGCCGGCGCCACGAGACCAAACACATGCACATGCGCCATGACATCGTGACGACGACGCTTCTCCTCCTCTGCAGCAAGCTTCATTTGCTCCTCGTCCAGCGTCAGGTGTGCACGCATCTGCTCGATCGCCTCATCAGGAATCGGCAAGCCCAGCTCCTTCTCCGCAATGGCCAGATTCAGCCAGAGCTGACGCCAAGTGCCAAAGCGCGTCTACCTATTAGCAGTTGATCAATATACGTACGGCATTCGAGAAGAGATTCGACATCTCCTTGCTCGCATAGCGGCTAGAAAGGGGGGATTGCCAGCTGTCCATGGTGTAGAGAAAAGGAGTGACTCCGTCACTTTTCGCTCTCGGCGCACGGCGTCGTGCTGCAATGGAGGTTTACTCGCTTGCTGGCGGCCTCCTCCACATTGTCACGTGCGTCCCACGGTGCGACCCCTGGTGAAGCGCCGCCGTTTTCTTCGTTTGCCCTCATGCCCCACTAGAAGGGGGCCTCGTACTATAGGTAAGTCTCGTCCCCGTCCCCCGCCCCTCCTCGAATGATGAGCCTTAAGAACCAAGCTCTAGAATTACTCTGCATGCAAAAATGGAGACAAATTCTTAGTTATCAGTTTCAGCCTTGTCTGATTCTTCCTTTCCCTCCCCTATCGTGTACGAAGAGCATGCTAACATGGACAGCTGTGTATGTATCAGACCATATCCACTGGGATGAAATGTTTTCCGATGGGCGGACCTAATCGGGGAGTCTCCTGGCGCAAGCCAGCCTCGACGCGAGTGTACAAAATGCGTCTATGGGGTCGTGGGGCTCGCTGTTGAGGATTCATCGGTTGCTGATCTGGTGGTCACCTACGAACACGACTAACAGGACCAGATATGATAGACACACCATCGCCGGCGGCTGACACGAACTCGGGTGAGCCGACATGGCCTCTTCCCGATACATTGGTCGATCAGTATAAGCAGCAAGGTCACTTTGATCAGACCCGAAAAGCACTTTATCAAGCCTTTCTTCAGAGCGAGCAGTACAAAGAAGTACATGCAAAGCTCCATGCGTTCATGCAGGCATACGTGGAGAAAGGAGCGGATCGGCTCGTCTACCGCGATGCTCGGTTGCGACACAGTGATTTGATGCATGCGCTGAATAGAGAGCCCTGGTTCGAGGAAGCCATGTCGGCGTTGGCCAATACCAAAGACGAGTCACAAACCACGTCCCAGCCTTGGCTGGATGAGCACGGTGACTTGGCACAGCAAGTGCGTGCACAGCTAGCTTTGATGCTCGATGCGAGGACGGAGGAGAACGAGGCGAGTTAATGCGAGAACTTTGTATAGTATTCATATGCATCTATATATACCCAAGAAAATCACAAATCACTGGTCCTCTTTGTGGCTGCCAATGTTAGAGAGCACGAAGCAAGACATACGCACAAACTCAACGAGATAGAATTGACACAATGACGTTCATCGGTCGGCGTAGGAAAGCCTTCACCATAGAATACATGGCCCAAGTGACCGCCACAGTTTTTACAGGTAATTTCGGTGCGGCGCTGCGAATGAGTAGATCGTGTGCACATACCATGCCAAACGAAAAGTCATCATGACGATCGATAGCACCCGGGAAAGCCTCAAAAAATGCTGGCCAGCCACACCCGCTATCAAATTTGCTTGTGCTCTTATACAAAGGAGCCTGACAGCCTGCACAGCAATAGACACCATGATCGTAGTGCTTGTCATAAGCACCAGTACCAGCACGCTCTGTGCCCTTTTGACGCAGTACACGGAACTGCTCAGGGCTGAGAACGGCACGCCATTCCGACTCCGATTTGGGTAGCGATGTCATTTTGTGTGCAAGCCGAAATGAAACAGATAGTCGAGAAGGGGGAGGCACGCGTGTGGCAATTCGGACCACAGAGCCAAAGCGGACCATGCGGTGGAGAAGCAACCTGACTGTCTCGACGGCGCCGCCCCTAGCCCCCCCTCCATGCCCCTACAAGTTCTCCCTACGATGGCCATAGTAAAAAGCAAACAAAGTCGTATTGACTATAAGAAAGGACATATATACGTAGGCAACCGTACGAGGCGCAAAGATCCATACACTAGAATGAGATGACCACTGCCTTTACAGATCCGATTTCTCAGGAAATTGAAGAGGTACTTCCTTCTGAGCCTCTTCCTTGGCACCATTAGCCTTTTCTTCCTCATTAGCACCTAGAGGGTGCTTGTGACCAGTGTTACGCTCGTAATTTTCCATCGTTTGACGGTATTTGCTATGGGCCGTAAGCCTTATCATAGAATCACATACATACGCTGCAAGGTTCCTTCCCTGCATTTGGATACGCTCAAAGGCAGAGGAAGCGTCTACACTTTTCTCACTCATGGCGGTGTAAGGTAGAGAATGAACGTTCGTAACCTATTCAGGACGCATGGACCTTTCACCTTCCCCAGATCGCGCCACGTGGAGGTGGCAAGAACTTGGCACGGACACTTGTCCATAGTTTCATAGCCGCCATGATGCGGCGAGGGTGGGTCTGCCTTTTTCTAGGGCTATGCATACTTCTTTGTATAGTGGCAGAAGCGAAAGAGTCTGATTTGGAGCGCATTGCATACGACGATATTAAGGCCCTCTCATTTTACGATGGGAAAATCACAACCAGCCGTCGGAAGCCCCCCATCCCGCAATTGACATGTGAGGGCGAGCTTTGCAAGAAGCTGAAAGTTCGTGTTATTCAATGTATCCACCGAGGCGATGAGCAATGGCGTTGCGAAGCTCAGCTTCCTCTGTATGCAAACCTGGGAGCTGTGCATGTATCCTGTGAGGGTTGGGACAATGCGAATGACAAGTACATCGTCAAAGGCTCGTGTGGCTTGACTTACGAGCTCATACCCCAGAATGAGCCTGGACAAAGGTCTTGGGGTGGGTTCTTGTTCCTCGTTGTGTTCTGGACATTCGCGATATTCATTTTGCTGTCCTTCTTGCACACTTGCCTTGGTAAGGAAGTAGCACCAACCCCAGTCTCTGACCCTGGCACAGGTGCTCCCCCTCCATACAAAGCATCACAGGGGCCTACATTTACTTCGCCAGTTTCTCGATTCTTTACAGCCATTGGACTAGGTGCAGTGGCAGGGTATCTCTTCTCATCCAGGCCGGTTGGTCAGCGCGAGACGATGGACGAGCAATATCGCCCCTTCCCTGCCTACGGAACAATGCCTCACCATGGTGTATACTATGGAGATGCAGCGACACAACTAGGAAGTCAACATACCACCTCTTCCAGCACACACACTAGCACTGGATATGGCGACTCGGACAACCGTTAACAAATTTGTCATAGTATTAGGTACACACATACACTAGTGACGTGGTCCAAGCTCTCCCCTCCACTTCCATCATCCCAAACGGTACCTGCCATGCGATGGGGATGGATCTTAGCCATCGCGGTAAGCGGTTCGCTTCCTACGGTTTTAAGTGAAAGGAATGCGAAAATATTCGCTCAAGAAATCCTTGCTACGGACCAATTCGGCGTGGTTTTTGAAGCGGAGTCTCTGCCGATCACTCAAGCTCTCGAACTGTTGCACCGAGAGCCTCTCTCTAAGCCTGTATTGACCAATAGTACCACCAAATGGGACAATGCTGGACAATACGAGATCTTCAGAGCTACGGAAGCTGAATCGTATCTATGCAAAATACCCACCGAAGAAGACATTATGGCTAAGAGAGATCACAAGGAGAAAGTTCGCTTGACGCAGGCTGATGCAGATGCGATTCTCCAACGTGGACTGACCATCCTGGATACACTCTCTGACTTTGAAATTCGTCACAGAATCGGGTACTTCTCGCATATTTTGCGTTACGGGAAACACTTCTTGCAAATGCCGAATTATATCCTGGAGTACCGGGAAAGTAGTGGCCTTTCAGCCCCACTTTTCGACGACGCAAGTAACATTCCGAAAGACCATTACTTCTTGGGTCGATGGCCAAAGAGCAAGGGCATGGAATCAAATCCACAAAACTCGATACTTGTGCCGATGCTTGCTAAACCATCAACAGAGACGCATGATGGCAATGATGATCTGTACTCGTCAGATGTATTTTATATCCAACAAATCTGGGCAGATGGTACAATCTGCGACTTGAATGAAAAACCTCGTACTACCACAATCAAGGTATGTGTGTTTAGAAAAATCTCACATACAGTATTACTGTGGCTCCCACACAGCGATTGAGTTGCTGACCGAGGTACAAACATGCGAATAGTACGTAACAGAGAAAGGTCTGCTAACTGTGGCAGTACAGCCATTGTCTCTGTGGAAGCACTCTGTGATGAGCCTTACTTCCATCTACCCGACATCAAGCCTGTCAACGAAGTAAATTGCCGCCTCATTGTCCCGGATGAGGAGAAAGAACAAGAGGCCTACACGGAGTATGTTAAAAAGCTTCAGAAGGACATGCTGAATGCTCATGAGCATGTTGATGAGCAGTATTATCAGTACCCTCCTGAGAAGGACAATTTTGATGTGCTCGACGATGCAGCGCTAAACTTTGAACTGGATAAAGATCCAGCATTGACACCGGAGGTCCCTGCGAAGGAGGAAACTATCGATGATAAAGATCTGGACCAAATTCTGTTTGAATTGTTTGTCAAAGCTACGGTCAATCCTGATATGCGTGACAGTAGGGTGGATGAGGAAGAGGGAGACGTTTCACGCGACACAGAGGTAAACGATCAGGCGCTGCATGATTTGTACGATTTGTAATAGAATGGTATCCAGCCGTTGATAATAGCACCATGTCGAAGACGTCCGTCTGATGTCATCGTGCCCTACCTGGAGAGCCCTACCTATAATTTGCACGACATTGCGTTTAATCGTCCGAATTCTGGCCATTTGGGTACCTCCACCAAGCCGACAAAGCTACTGTTAACCAACATTTCCTTTCTCGGCCATCTGCGATGGATCCAGATACATTTTTACCGCGTTCTTTACGCATAGAGGCCACAGAAGAAAATGCGGAGAAAGTTCCTAGCGTGAATGCACATCTCATGCCTTTCTCCATTGATTTCAATGGTCCCGCACCTGTACAGACGTACTTTGTGACACATCCAGTGCACGATCCGTCCGATGACCCTACCTCACACAATGAAAACGAGCTAACAGCCTCATTCCGTGGTCGGAGAATCCATGCAATAAAAATGCCATTACCAAAGAACTATCGACTCGATTTTTTTCGTGTTGAGGAGGACAAAAGCACACCACGGAGCACAAGAAGGACATCTTCTGCACCGAAGCCTGTGTCACAACCTATTCGAAACGTGAGTTCGCATGCACCTGTTCGTGGCTCTCGTTTCACATTGGATGATGAAGATGAAGATAAAGATGAAGAAATGACGTGCATGACTGCTATTCGCGATGAATTCTCGGCCATCCCGGATGAAGACGATATCCCTTCTACATTTTTGCATGAGGCGGATTCATCTACCACAGTCTTAAACCCAACCCATGTTCTTCGGCCTGCTTACATGTGTGGAACCTCTGTGTGGATATGGGGGCCTGATGGCCCTGTTGATGGCGGCTATGATCCTTTTATTTTGACGTGCCAGGACTGGGTTGGACAAGTGGCACCTCTGGTACGTATCTCTTCGATGTTCTAATGCTTTCCAAGCTTCACGAAGTCTAATTTACATAGCGTCGCATACCCAGCATAAATAAATAGTTAAGGCAAAAATTTATATCACAAAACATATTTGGTGCAGTTGGAAACTATGTTACAAATTATAGACCAACCTAGTGATCACGACGGGCGATTAGTAGTTGCCGCCGTAGCCACCCTGGTTGCCGCCGTAGCCGCCCTGGTTGCCGCCGTAGCCGCCCTGGCCACCCAAGCGGTCGGAGCCACCAAAGCCACCCTGGTTGGAGCCAAAGTTGTCCGAGCCGCCGAAGCCACCCTGACTGCCCATACGGTCGGAGCCACCGAAGCCACCCTGGTTGCCCGAACCGTAGCTGTCCGAGCCACCAAAGCCGCCCTGGTTGCCCGAGCCGTAGCTGTCCGAGCCACCAAAGCCGCCCTGACCGCCCAAGCGGTCGGAGCCGCCGAAGCCACCCTGGTTGCCCGAGCCGTAGCTGTCCGAGCCACCAAAGCCGCCCTGGCCACCCATGCGGTTGGACTCACCGCCAAAGCCGCCCTGGTTGCTCGAACCGTAGCTGTCCGAGCCACCAAAGCCACCCTGGCCACCCAAGCGGTCGGAGCCGCCGAAGCCACCCTGGTTGCCTGAGCCGTAGCTGTCCGAGCCACCAAAGCCGCCCTGACCGCCCAAGCGGTCGGAGCCGCCGAAGCCACCCTGGTTGCCCGAACCGTAGCTGTCCGAGCCACCAAAGCCGCCCTGGCCACCCATGCGGTTGGACTCACCGCCAAAGCCGCCCTGTTTGCCCGAACCGTAGTTGTCAGAGCTGCCGAAGCCGCCCTGGTTGCTCGAGCCGTAGTTGTCAGAGCCGCCGAGGTTGTTGTTGCCATGGTTGTTGCCCATGCCGACCTTGTCAGCAACCTTGTTGATGATTTCGTTGCCCTTGCCGTTGGTGAGGTTGTTAAGCATGTCCATGTTGAATAAGTTGTTCGATGTGAGGCCTTTGCCACGAAGTACGCTGCTCTTATATGTTTCTGAAGCTCATCCCGTCCAGCATTTAGTTGGCCAAGGCGCAATATGGGGTCAATGTTTGCATGGGCACGGGCCAATTCGCAGCGGATATTACCTAAGATACGTCACATTGCCACCACTCAATTTAGGACCTATGGTGCCCGTGGGCGGGCATTATTACGGACTTTTACAAAAGCCCCAACACGTTGCTAGCACAATTGTCCCGGAGGCAATGCGGTGGATGTTGATAGGTGAGTATATGCAATGATGGTATTACTAGATTGGCATAATATGCGCCATACCCGTCGCCTCCACGGGGTTGATGCTCGGGACTGAGGCGGTGTCAGAATCTTCTGGGCCACATCCGCAGTCATACGTCTCGTTGAGTTTCGTGCAGTCGAATTCTGGCTTGCCTAGGCGCTTGTTGACAATATTGTGCGCTGCGCATAGCCATAATTCTGCATTCTTCCGCGAGGCGACTTGCGGAGGCCAATCTTTGAGCAAGGCTTGAAAGTGAGACGCACAGTCACCACAGGGGTATAGAAGTGAAAACAGACGAATGAATTCGCGAAGATCTTCGCTTTGCTGCTTTGTTGGATGTTCTGGGAAGCGAGCCATCATGGTATGCAAGAAACGCCATGTCGCTCGGCCTAGCTCAGCTCTGCATTGTTAGTGAGTAGGCTGTACGTACTTTGCTGTAGCATTCGTCATTTTCGGGGCGTACGCGCCGTCCACAGCTACTTCCGATGTAGGAAGTGACGCTTGGGTAGTAGTCGTAGTAGTGGCGATGACAGCATTCTCGGCCATCTGCAAGCTGCTCAATGCCTCCTTGGTAGTAATGAGTTTGCCCCATTCACCCATATCGAAGAACGGCGTAGTGGTCGCTGTTGACATGAGCGAGGGGTTGTATCCTTGAACAGATTGCATGATCCCGCTGAGAATCCATTCACCCGTGTGTGGATCCCGCACTGCATCCGCTCGTCTGTGTGACAAATACACAAACGACGGTATCAGCAGTAGCAGGGCAGCGAGCACAAAGAACCGCAAAAACCGTGAGCTCATCAGGGCTTCGTTGTGGGGTGCTATCGAAGGTGTGTGTTCGCGCGCGTAACTATACCACGTGACTACTACGTATGCCAGGACGGCAGATGTGGAGCTACTGCATGGGAGCTGTAGAGCGTATGCTGGGCGGCGTGCTGGCCCTTCTCCACGAGGTCCAGCATAGTTTGCATCGTCCATGAAGTGATAGGTTGAGAAAGAGTGCTTGCACGAGCCAGAACGGCGCCGGCAAAGGTGTCACCGGCCCCCGTTGTATTGATGACCTTGCGAGGATCCAGCCGTCGAGCATGGACATGTATCATGTTCGGCAACGATGTCCGTGCCTCTGCATGCGAGACAAGGAGCACGCCTAGCTCTCCAAGTTTGATGAACTGCGTATGTGTTACTTTCGAAAGTGTCAATGCATCATAGATCAAGGATTGAGGCAGCTGCAGTTTCCGTGACATTTGTTCGAGCTGCAAAGACGAAATAGCATGGTGGATAGGGAGGACGTCTTGCAGACGAGCTGCCATATGGCGTACTTCGAACTGGTTTGGCGTGATCATATCGAGCGGATGAAGCCGAGGAAGCAAAGCCAGGGCGTCCATCCCACGGCCACATTTGACCACCGAGGTAGGCTCATAGAGCACAGGCACACCGTCTGACGCACATTGTCGAACGATCGCCGCGATGGTATCCGGAGTGAGATTCGCATCCATACCGACCACAGAAGGCCGGAGCTCGCTGAGTTTTTGCTGAACAATGTCTGGCGTCAGTGTGTCTTCTACGCATGCCATATCCGCTACGCCCGTTAGGAGATCGCCTTCCTGGTCCAACACAAGGTTGCAAACCGCACTCTTCGAGGAAGATACCAATCCATCTGTACGCATTGCCTTGTCGTCCATCTGAGAGCGTAGTAGAGCACCTATCGCATCGTCAGCACACGGCGCGACCAAGGCGACGGCCTTCTTTTCCTGCAACGTCGCGTGCGCTGCCAGCGCGATATTGTGGGCAACGCCCCCTGTCGACAGGACCACGTTGCCAGGTGCCGTTGAGCCCGGGGCACTTGTACTCTGCTGCGCCGTCACATCCATGGCGGCACATCCCACCACGACCACCTTCACTGTGAGCTTACGACATACACACCTTGGGTTTCGGCGTGTACACCTGTGCCACCCTCGAGGGGCTAGGTCCGGCCAGTTCCACAGCACACTCCGAGGCGACACGTGCATTGTTCAGGACCAAACCCACATTGCTTCTCACAGAGGTATGCGCCAACTGACTCACCCGTTTCAGCAGCCACGGTGTGACCTGCTTGCCCAGACGATCGATGCCTTGCTCCACGCTCTCCTGCACTGCTTGTTCAACAGCGCGCTGGATTATCACGCCATCCTGTTCAAATTCACTGGGTATCGGCACACCAAACACCAGACCATTTTCGAGCCCCAGCGTGGTATTGAGTTCGATCGTACGCGCCGCCTCTTCCGTGGACGAAACGATGGGGACGTGACACCCTGACTTGGCGGTATAGAAGCATGGAAATTGGCCTTGTGGATGGAAGGTGAGCACAGGTACACCTTGCGTCTCAAGGTACTCCAAGGTCCGAGGGATGTCCAAAATGGACTTGGCTCCGGAGCAAAATACAGCCACCGGCGTACGTCCCAGCTCGGTCAAATCAGCGGAAATGTCCATGGCTGCGTAAGGTAGGTCAATACGTACAATGCTCAGCACCACGGTGCACACCACCAATGCCACCTGTGGCAAAGATGCGAACCCCCGCGCGATGGGCCAGGGCCATAGTCCCACTCACCGTAGTTCCACCGATCCATCCACGGCCTTTGGCCATAATATGCGCCAGACCTCCGCGACTTGCTTTGACCGTGCGCTCTGGCGGGCTATCAGCCACACGCTCCAATTGCGATCGGGACAAACCAATATGCGCTTGGCCATCCAGAACGGCAATCGTGGCAGGCTCTGCGCCTGCTGCACGAACTTGGTCCTCTACAGCGACGGCTGTATCGAAATTGATGGGGCGTGGCAGTCCATGCGTAATGATCGTAGACTCCAACGCTACCACGGCACGTCCTGCTTGGAGTGCCGCCTGCACGCCTTCGCTCACCACCAAACGAGCCTGCGACCACATCGTCTGCGTCCAAGATGTGGAGGCGGAGGTCGCAGCGGCTTTTTGACAGTTAGGCCGCGGCGTCTTCGTTGCTTTCGCAACCATGGATGCTATACTGCCACCCCCTGTAGGTGCTGCGTACAAGGGATGCACAGAGGATCGTCTTAAGGAGGCGAGGGATACGGCCGGTGACTCGTACCTGCCGACTGTATTTAATCCAGCTACGTTGGTGAGCAAAGGTCCTTTGCGTGTGGCCAAGGATCGCATTCCAGGGAGCAAGACCGAGCCTGAACCGGGTTTCGATATCTACTATGAGCTCCACGGCACAGGCCCACGCAAGTTGGCATTTGTTATGGGCTTGAACAATTCGTGCTTTAGCTGGCTAGACCAGGTGGAGACGTTCGGCAGCGATCCTAACTGTTCCGTGCTCGTTATGGACAATCGCGGCTACGGCAATTCTGGGGCTCCGATGCAGCGCTATCGTACCTCGGACATGGCACAGGATGTGCTGGATGTGATGGAGCATATTGGATGGACCGACAACAAGTCGGTTCATCTGATTGGTGTGTCCATGGGTGGCATGGTCTCCTTGGAGATAGCGCGTGCCAAGCCGGAGCGTCTCGCATCGCTGCTCCTGTTGAGCACGACGGCTGGCGAGGGCGGTAATCTTCCGCCGACAGGTGGTCTGCAGGCCATTGCCAAGAGTGTCGGAGAAGCCATGGCTGGTCGTGTTGATATGTCGTCGCGTGTCAACCGCATGGTCGACGTCCTCTTCCCTCCCTCGTGGCTCGAGGAAAAACACCCGACCGATGCCCAAGGACGCACCAAAGGCGAAGTCACCCGCGAAGTCTTCTTGTGGCGCGCCAACTTTATTCGCAGACCTACTGGGCATGGTCCCTTGTATCAGATTGGCGCTTGCCTTACGCATCGCGTGTCTGATGCTGATCTTCGTACAATTGCTGACAAGGTGCCCAAAGTCGCGATTCATACTGGCGATTGGGACCAACTCGTTCGCACATCCCATTCTGAACATTTGCACAACATCATGCCCAAGGCTGAATACCGTGTATGGCCCGAGACCGGTCATGCCATTCATTACCAACACCCAGACGCCTTCAACGCTTATGTGCGCTCATGGATCGGCTTGGCCTAAGTAGGTAGATCCTTCTCTAGACGCATCTTTCCCTCCACATCACAGGGTCGTTGTCGACAGGGGTCGGTTTTTTCTGCGTTTTCCTCCTGCCTTGGGTCGTACCCTATGTCACAGACCATTCGGGCGGTGCACCCGACCCCTGACGTCGCCAAGGGCGTTGCCTATTGGGAAGATGTGCCTGCGACTGTCGATGGCGTGCTGGGCGGGTACGGCAACGGGACACTGCCGCGCGTCGATGCACTGGGCTCACGGACGTTTCTTTTGCGTACGTTGCCGTATTTGAGTGCGACACCTTCGCCGGCATTCAACGGCGTGCCACGCCAGTGGATGGCGGAGCGACTTGAGCAGCGTGGCGGTAAAGGTACTACTGTCACGCGCGCGCTGGACTGTGGCGCTGGCGTCGGCCGTGTTACCGAGCATGTATTGTTGCCGCTGGTCGACGAAGTGCATCTGGTAGAACCGGTCGCGAAGTTTTTACAGGAAGCTAAGAAACAGTCTGTGAACTGGCACCCTATGAAACAGACTCTAGAGACCTCACCGTTTCACGCCCGCAAAGCTGTCTATTTCCATATCTCTACGCTGCAAGGCTTCCCTGTGGCACGCCCGCAGACGTGTCAGGATACCTCTGAGCCCATTGCGCCTACCTTTATGGATGAGACCATGACACCGATCGGCACAGAAGAAGTTGTTTATGACATTGTTCTTTGCCAATGGTGCTTGCAGCACCTATCTGAGTCGGACTTGGTGACGTTCCTAAAACAGGCCAAGACAACGCTGCGTCCACCGAAGCCGGCCTCGGATCCCACCTTGGAATGGAATGGCGGCGTGATCTTTGTCAAGGAAAATGTGTGCCGGGATGGAGAGGATGGCAGTGAGTATACGTGGTACGACGATGAAGATCATTCTGTGACGCGATCGCGTCAAGTATACCTGCGTCTCTTTGCCGAGGCTGGGCTCACGGTAGTACGATCGGAAGTCCAACAGGGTTTCCCGCCGGAACTATTTGAAGTACATATGTACGTTGTATGGGACACTAACCCCAGGTGGGCTCTTCGCTAGATATCAATAAGCCAGTGTTGTATCAAGTGGTGCGTGCGTCAGTGTACCTCATCTTAATTGGGCTTCCGCTTGCTTTCCTCTACAGCGGCAGGTCCTCATTCGATGAGAAGAGCCATTGGGTGCCCAGGCGCTTTCCTAGGTAGCAAGCATACTACCTGCCTAGGATGGTCTTGGGCGCCTACAATTTTTAGTTAGTCAGATCTGGGTTTATAGGGGGGCGGTCCCCAGCTAAAATATGCCTGTGGAGATGCAGGCCACAGGTTGGCACTTTTTTTTTTCCTAACATCTGTGTACCTCTAGCGCATGATTGAGGTTGTAGAGACGGAGCTTTCGCAGATGTCGAAAGGCTTCGCCATCATGGGCGGCTTTGTCGTCATTTATGGCTTGTTCAGCTACTTTGTACGAGAACGGCTGTATATTTCTGAACCGATGTTAGCCGTCGCGATTGGGGTTATCGTTGGACCCCATGTGCTTAACTGGGTTGATCCCTTTTCATGGGCCGAGCCGGAGACTGTGAATGAGGTGACCTACCAGGTCTCGCGCATTGTCATTGCTGTTCAGGTGCTGTTCACAGGGATTGCATTGCCTGAAAAGTATCTGTGGAAGCAATGGAAAAGTTTATCTGTCCTTCTCATCCTCATTATGACGACGGCATGGTTCGTGACGGCATTGCTTGTATGGGGTCTGATCAAGGATTTAACGTTCCTGGAAGCGCTTTGCATTTCGTCGTGTGTGACACCCACCGACCCTGTACTGGCTAACTCTATTACGTCGGGCCGATTTGCAGAAGAGCATGTCGAAGAGCATGTGCGCCACATCATTCTCGCAGAGAGCGGTGCAAATGATGGCCTGGGCTTCCCGTTCCTTTTTATGGCTGTACTGCTTCTCGCACGTACGCATGTAGATTCGGGCGAGTCGGTGGGCCAGGAAATCTGGCGTTGGTTCTACGGTATTATTGTGTACGATATTCTGCTCTCGTGTGCGTATGGCGCTCTGCTCGGCTACATTGCACGCAAAGTGCTTCGCTGGGCGGCTACACACAATCTGATTGACATGTCCAACTTTTTCAGCTACGGTTTTGGCCTTGCTCTGTTCACTGTGGGCACAGCGGGCCTGTTTGGGACGGACGATATTCTGGCGTGCTTTGTGGCAGGCAATTCGTTTACATGGGACGACTGGTTCCGCCTACGTCTGGAAGAAAACGATTTCCAGGAAATTATCGATATGCTCTTGAATGCAGCTGTGTTTATGTACATCGGTATGATTATCCCATGGCAAGACTACAGCAATGAAGAGATCGGTATCAATGGATGGCGTATTGTCTTGCTGGGCATCGCTGTGATCCTCTTGCGCCGTCCACCGTGGGTGATGCTTATGTACAAGATCATTCCTGTACTTAAATCGTTCAACGAGAGCATTTTTGTGGGCTGGTTTGGGCCGATTGGCGTCGGAGCTGTGTACTACATTGAAGTCGCGCTGCGTGCGGTGCCTGACGACCATACACGTGAGCACTTGCGTCGTGTGATCACGCCTGTGGTCCTTTTCTGTGTGTTCTCCTCCGTGTTGACGCACGGCGTGACGATCCCTCTCATCTACTTTGGGCCGCACGTCGTGCGTCATACGCGCACATTCACCATGGCCTCCACACAATCCGAAACGCGCCGTCCTCTCTCTATCCTCACACGCATCTTTTCACGCAACTCTGCCGACGTAGAATTGAGAGAGATGGACGATTACCCTAATGAGCCTCGGCCTCTGAATACGCGCATGCACCATCATAGCCCCTTCTCACGCTCGGATCATGGTGTGCAGCCCCCTGACTATCAAATGCATCCACGCTTGCATTCTCACCGTGCTTCGACACAGCTCGGTGAGGTCGACGAGAAAAAGCCACCTTCTCCACCTCCAGACTCTATACCTGTTGCTATGCCCTTACCACCTCCCGTGGTGGTGTGCCCCGCGCATCTTCGGTAGCCTGCGGCGCCCCGTGCCACTCACCTCCACATGCATGATGCAGGCCTTTTTCCGTGCGAGAGAACGCCCGCGGTGCGGTGCGTGGCGCGACGCCCCTCCTCCCACCGTGATGTCTGTGACTCCTGCGCAAGAAACGCAGGCGCTGTCTGTAGAATATGTGTTGAAATTCGAGGGTCTTCCTCTTCGATATGCCCAAGGCCAAGCACGAGCGCCTGCGTCTGTGATGGAGGAGCGTGCGAATGAGCTGACACGGCTCATGCAGCGGCTCCGTGATGTCGGTCTGCAGTGTGTATCTCGGCCTGGCAAGAAGGGTACGGGCGACGTCCTTGTGTTTATCACGGCGCCGGATCATGCACTCTATGCGCTGCGACGTGCTGAGAGGTATGTTGGCCCTTGCTGACCATCAGAACGCACGATTTCCTCTACGGCGTCGTCCCGCCTTCGTCGCACCACGCAGCGGAAGACCGCCTGACGCCTGCACAGCGTCTCCGCTACATTCACATGCTTATTACATCCCCCTTCCAAGCAGGCCAGGCCTCGTCCACTACATCGTATCGTCATGGCGCTGGCGTCCGTCCTCGATGCAAAGCGTTCCCCAACGTTGTCGACATGACACCCCTGCACGATCCGACGTTTGAGAAGCGTTGGGTGTCGACGTGGTCGAAAATGTCCCTCCGCTCTATGATGTACGGTATCAGTGACGACGACATCGATGAATTGCGGGAACATCTTGGCGAAAACATTGCTATGTACTTTGCGTTCCTGAACTGCTATTTCATGGCGCTGGCGCCGGCAGCGATGCTAGGTTTGGTGTTTTGGGCATCCGGTCGCTCGTACGATCCTACCTATGCCGCTGTGCTGCTTGTTTGGGCGACAGCCTTCCTTGAAGTATGGCGCATTCGCGAACGCAAACTCGCTGTGCGTTGGGGCATGTCAGGTGTGTCGCATGTAGCGGCACGCAATGAATCGTTCAGTCCACGTAAGATCGTTCGCGCCTCCGTGACTGGCGAGCCTGAAGAGGTGTTTGAGTGGTGGCGACGTGATTTGCGGTATATGGTGACGCTCCCTATTACGCTGGCCTTTGTCGCTCTGCTTGTTCTCACCATTACCGCACTGTTTGTCTTTGAGGTGATTTTGAAGGAAGTGTACGATGGTCCGTTCCAATCGGTGGTCCCGCTCATTCCTACGGTGCTCTTTGGCGTGGGTATGCCGCTAATTCTGTCGGTATGGCGGTCCATGGCAGGGTTCCTTACCTGGTTTGAGAACTACGAGACGGAAAACGCCTTTGTCGCCAGCCTTACCGCCAAGATTTTCGGCATGCAGTCTTTGGTCACTTTTGCAGGTCTGACATTTAGTGCGTACATCTATATTCCGTTTGGCGAGCGGATCGTTGCTGAGTTTATTCAGCGTGGCTATCTCGCACAAGTGATTCAGATGTTCTCTCTCGACAACTATGTCAAAATGCCGAAAGATGTCCACTTCTCAATCACGCCAGGCCGTTTGCACGCGCAACTCTTTGCGCTGATTGTCACCGGGCAGCTTAGCAACACCTTCTCCGAGCTCGTCTTGCCGATTCTGCTTCGCACAGGCGGCCCTCTTTGGGCGCGGCTTCGTAAGCGTCTGGGATGGGCACCGCCACCGCCACCCAAGGGCTATGCTGCTGTAAGCTCCGAGACCGAACGTGCGTTGTTAGAGCGTGTCCATGATGAGATGGCGCTGCCTGAGTACGACTTGTTCACCGACTATGCCGAAATGGCGACGCAGTTCAGCACGATCACCATGTGGTCGGTTATCTGGCCGCTAGCGCCTGTGATGGGCTTCGTCAACAACTTCTTCGAGCTTCGCTCTGATGCGATGAAGCTAGTCATGAATATGCGTCGTCCCGTACCCCGTCGCAGCGAGAGCATTGAGCGCTGGATGGATGTCTTGGCGCTGTCAGTGCGCTTGGCCGTCTTCACGAACGTCTCGCTGATCTACCTGTTTGAAAACAAGGCCAAACTCAACATCTTGTCGGGTCACTCGGTCATGCGCACGTACCTACACCCGCATCTGAACGCGACGCACCCCGTGAAGCAGTCGGCGGCTCATGTCATGCCGTACTTCCTGCCTCGTTCAAGCTCGGCAGGCGCTGTGATGGCATCATTCCTGTGTGCCTTGATATGGGAGCAAGTATTTAAGCTTGTACCCATGTTCCTGCACCATGTTTTCGAGCGCGTGCTATGGCACAAGAGCGAAGAGGAGCGTGCTGTGCGGCGCAAAGAGCACGAGAACCGCATGTCGATTGTCGAACGTATGCCTGATCCTTCGTCGTCGTTGGCACCATCTCTGCCCTGGCAGAACAGTACTATTGCCTCTGCACATCGCACTAGTGGCGTGGATGCTGCCTTCTGGGATCCTGTACATGACACGGGTCTCTCTGTCATTCAGAATGCCGCCAAGACCTCATAGTTGTGGTAGCTACGGTACGCACAGGCCTCCTCCTACCTCGGCCGAAACCCCACCTCGGCGCGCCCAGCAGCGCCTAATGGTTCGCACCCCACGATGTCGGAATCAATGCTGAGAGCGCTACGCGACGAGCTGGTCCATCTAGGCCTCGACCCAGCCGCGCATCCTGATGAAGACGTGCTCCAGATGATGCTGGATGTCGAGCAGAACCATGTGGCTGCGGCGGCGCGCGCTATCGTCGACGCCCAGACGGCCGAGCAGCGTGCCTCACAGGACACGACCACGTCGTCGTCTCGTGCCGTGCACGCGTCTCCTAGCCCTCCTATCCACCACGTAGGCACGGCACAGCCATTTCGTACATTGGGCCCTGTGAATGCTAGTGTGTGGGATAGCCAGTGGCTCCTGGCACTGTGGCGTGTCGTTTCCTTTCCCTTCTCTGTTCTAGGCGCGGTGGCCATGTTCGTCTGGCGTCTGATCTACGGATCACGTAGCACGTCGGAACGCTATGAGCTGAGCCGGCTCTCGCAGGATCCTACGGTATGCGCACGCAACTGGGTCCTTGCTCTAGAGCGCGATACGCAAGGCTCCACGTCGCCCGAGGCCATCTCCATGGGCCGCGTCCCCCTCCCGCCCTTTATGATCGGGAGCTATTCGGAGGCATTGCTGCGTGTGCGTGATCACATCCAGATCCTCATGGTGGTGCTGACCAGTCGGGCGCATAGTGACTACGATGCTTTCCGGCAGCAAGTACTGACAGATAGCGCCCTGGTACGTGCGCTGCAATCGCCCGACTTTGTCGTCTGGGGCGGTGATATTCAGGATCGGGAAGCCTATCAGGTCTCGAATTTGCTTGAGGCGAGTACGTTCCCCTTTGTCGCTTTCATTGCGCTGCAGCCACGTCGCTCGCGCTCCCGCGGGCGTGTCGTGCCCCACCCTGCTGTCCTGAGCCGCCTGGAAGGCTCGCCCCAGTCTGTACTAAGCGCTTCGGCCCTGTGCACTCACATTACCGAGATGATCCTCCCGCGCACAAATACTTACCTCCACCAACTACGCCGTGAACAGCATCAGCGGGAGCAAGAGCGTGAGTTGCGGGCGGAGCAAGACCGCGCGTACGAAGAGGCAAGTCGGCGTGATCAAGAGCGTGTGCTGCAACGTCGTGAAGAAGAACAAATGCGGCTCGCGCAGGAAGCTTCGCTGGCACAGGCTGAGGCTGCCAAGGCATCTATGCTTCAACGGGCCGCTCAGTGGCGCACATGGGCGCATGCTCACTTTGTGCCTAAGGAGCCAGAAGCCGGCGTTGCACCGACCATCCGTGTCAGTGTGAAACTGCCCGATGGCCGAAACCTCCAACGTCATTTCCGTCCTTCGGACACGCTCGAGCACCTTTATGCCTATGTCGACACCATCGATGCGCATGTGGAGGACGCGCCTCTCTCGCGGCCGACGGGTTACGAACACACATACCCCTTTCAACTTGTCCAGACGTACCCCCGACGCCTGCTATCGCATGACATCCTCTCTTCGGCCTTGCAGGATGTACAAGGGTTCGGGCCCAGTGCTTCGTTGATCGTGGAGCCTTTGCACCCTGACGAGCCCTCAGGAAGCAGTGAAGAGGACGATGACGATGACGATGATGATGATGATAACCATGAGTGATATCCCCTTCAAAAACACCCTGCCTCGCTCTGTGCAGTCTTCTCGTAAGACGAGAAAGCGTTGCTATGCATTCAACCATTGTTCACTAGATCCCTCCCTAGTCAATGTACAATATGGAAGGGTCCTATGTATTAGTTGTTATCCGAAAAGATATGCTTCAGGCTGTAGTAGTACGCCATTGTCACATAATCCTGATGCGATGCGCCTGCAATGTAGTTGAGCGTGTGCTTGTCAGACCAGCCAGCTGTAGAGTTGCCTTGCGCCAACACCCATTCCGTGCCGCGCGCAATGCGGTTGGGGCCTTGGGCCATGGCCTCGCAATGCGTCACACCTTGACCATTGTCGTTTTCAGAGATGGCAAAGTGGATATGCCGTTCACGGAAATTGCGAATCAGGGTCGCACCATTTTCTCCAGCACGGCTACGCGCATATTTGGGGATCGTCTTGATGTCGGACACGCCGTACGGCCAGTTTGTGTAACCATCACATCCTTTGGTAGAGAACGGACGGCTATCATCCAGCCATACGTACGAACCTGGGTTGCCGACCCAAATACGCACGCGATCCTCATCCGACGTGGGGTTCTTCAGCATCGCATAATGCAGTGCAGCCTGGCCGCCCATCGAGTGTCCCGCCACGACCGTGGTCTCGAGATTGGGGAAATGGTCTTTGTTCAGTGTCTTGTTTACGAAATGATCAATTACGTCAAACGAGCTCACATGCTTGAATACTTCCGGTGAGCGTGCGGTACCGCCAGCTGACCAGCCCGACTTGGCAAACACAAGCTGGTCCTTGGTCGCAGCGCCAGCACTCATGTCGTCCTCATTCAGGAACAAGGGTGAGATCATAAGCACCTCGCCATCATGTACCTCCAGCTCTGGGTACTTTTGAGCAACACGATAGGCATTGCCGAGCAGGTTGATAAACTTCCACGAGTCACGCCATTGGCCTGGCCAAATGATCACCGCACGCTTAATCTTCGACGCATCGTAGTCTTTGTTTACATAGTACGGAATCTTTCCTTCTGTACCATTGATCTTCCCGATCGATTCAGAGCGGTCCAAATGGAACATGTCAAAGTCCGTGGGGACCCACACGTACCCCGTCTCAAACTCACCCAGCGCCCAGGGGTTCCAGCTGAACCAGGCACCACGGCCCCAGGGTACTTGGGCATCGTCGCCTGTGCCTGACACATTGTTGTTTTGGAACCACAACGAGGCATTCTCCCTGAGGATGTGTGGGAACTGGATCACCTGCTTCGCGGCGCCAATAGGGTCAGAGCGTGAGAGTTCTGACACACGAACTTGCTCCAACATGGTTCCCTGCGCCCATGCCAGTTGCGTGCAGCACCATAAGCAGAGTGTAAAGAGACCAAACCAACGCAACATGAACTGATAGGCGGTGTACGTGTTGATTAGAGTGGTGGTCTGCCAAGGTTTCCTGATAACCAAAACCATGCGGGTCTTTACACCGCTTCCAGAACATCTGGGCCTGCATGATAAATTGTTGCTCAAAATAGAACAGTCCTGATTGTTTCATCGGCGTGGGTTTATTGGATCGATGTGTGCAATAATACTGCTCGTTAGTTGTCGTGCATGAGACTTAAGCGGCGGTGGCCCCTTAGCACTTACACTGGAACATGATATAGGTTGGGCCAATGAGACTATTTAGATTAGCGGAACGCGGCCTTTTCCACACACCCTTGCAGACAGGGCAGTTCAGATAACGGCAAGGCTTTGGTCCTACCACCATGTGGCTATTACCTAAGACAAGGCAGATGGATAATGAGAATGTGTTGTGTAAGTGACCTAGCAGGTCGGAATTATTTCCTCGATTCTCTCTCTACTAGGCTGGCATGGCCATCACCGCACGAACCAGTGCCAGCGGCTTAGGATCTGTGTTGGCTTCTCCTGCATGTCGGCGGCACGTTTATGGACGTCGTCCAGGGCTGCTGCTGCAGCTGTTGCGGCACCAGCGCGTGTCCGCAACTTTACAACATCACGAACTACTCTTCAAGCAAGCAAAGTCTCTGCGCTTGAATTTCAGCTATCGACCGAGGATGCTGTGTATCGTGCTAGGTTGGCTGCATTGGAGCAGCTGCTACCTACGATCAAAGGTCGATGGGGCGGCATAGGATTTGCTGTATCGCAGGCTTTGGGTTTGGGATGGATGACTGACTCAGAGGAGTCGGTGATGCGCATCGTCTCGTCACGCGCGATGTACTACCCGACGTGGGTCGTAGATGCTATGTGGAAAGTGAAGTGCCGCGGCGACAATGGCGAGGCCACCGCCTCGTTTATTTCGACAAATTCGGCCTTCCCTGGCAACTCTTGGAGGCCTATGGATAGCCTCCCGATCCGGGCGCCACCGCCTCGTCTGCCCTCGACGCCAGAGCGTGCGCCGTCGATTATTACCTCGGCTGACGAACCTATGACGTATGCCCCTTTCTCGAAAGAGCGTCACTTGCATCCTGAAGTGGATATCGATGGACAAATTAGTATCCTTCCTTTCAATATTACACCATTGTGTCTGCCAGATCTCTGCAAATCGGCTGATTTGCGCAGCTCAATGGTCGACTTGCTCTCACAAGGGCCTGCGCTGCATATCAACCGCCGCTTTACCATCCTTCCTGGCGTGGAAATCCAAGTAGCCAACTTGGATGACCAGAGGAGCGAGAATAAGAGTGCTATGCTACGTATGGAATGGGATACATTGCAGTTGGATATGCTGGCCTGCTACCCAGTGATGCTGCCTATGCATCTCGTACAGTTCCGGTACGATGCACACGGGGAAAAGGATCGCCGTGCCACTGTGGCACTGGCTGCATGGGATCCAAGTCTCTTGACATATGCTTTGCAGTGCGATGAGCAGCCAGGCTGGGTCTTTAAAGGCGATACATCGTGGCTGGATGTGGACATGTTGGACTTTGATCCTCGTGTCCCTATTTCTCCTTCGGTCCTCGACCCGCAGGCCAAGGATGCGACAGAGTCTTCTGATGCTCGGATCATTGATCTGATGGCGCAACAGACGCAGATGCAGAGCGTGTTTGAGGGTCGAGTGCATGAGCTCATGGAGAATGCGAACTGGTCGTTCTGTGAGTCATGGCAGCGCGAGCAACCATCGTCGTCCGATTCAGCTGAGGCCCGTGCCGGCCTGGGTAGTCACATTACCTGGGACGATGCTCGAATCCGGCCCTACGCGGTCGACATCGAAGCGAACCGTCGCTACATTGCCTTGACCACAGAAGAGATGTTCTCGGCTCGCCTCTTGGAAGGTATTGCCAAAGACCAGCAACGTGGCGCGGATCTGTCTCACGTGCAGACCTATCATCAGGGCCAGCTTCTTTCAGGTATGTATTCTACGATGCTGCTAATACCACAGGCGAGCAAGCCATTCAGGTGCTTCGTGACCGACTGAACGATATCCAAGCCAAGCGCGATGAGATGCGTCCACCTTGGCTCTAACTAGTGGATAGGTCGAATGTAAGCGGAAGCGTATGATACCGAGCTATCCTTTGGGTGTGTGCATGCGCTACTTTGCTGGCATGTGAGTGCGATGAGTGATACCTTACCTCATAGTGCGTGAACTTGCACTCAAGTGCCATACCTTGCTTTTCAAGCTCATAAAGCATGAGCAATAGCAGCAGAATGGGGTGCTGACCACATATCGTATTCCGTGTAGTCATTATATACGATTTGAACCTGTCATGTGCATGCCATACGCCCCCCTTGTCAAACGAGATGCGTGCCATTGCATCGATATCCAGGGCTTCAATCGATTTGTGGATAGGGCATGCCGCATACGCCGAGCTGGGTGAGCGACTAGTGAGCACTTGAGGCGCTGCATCGTGAGAGGCTTGATAGCGTGTGTACCTAAAACGCTCCCCCCAATGACAAAAGTCACTTGACACGACGATACCCACGCTCGGATCCGCAGCATACTTGGCCAGGTATTGGGCTATTTTCTGACGCGTGAAAGCGGACATGTCGCCCACCAAGATCGGCACGATGGTCACAGGGTGGCTAAAGTTAGATAGAGTGTACGTACCTGTCCCACACCTTTCTAATATAGGGATAATGCATCTCCAGACTGTGTTCTCGGATATCCAAATCGTGCTCCATCATTTGGAAGAGGGAGGACTGGCGCAGTTCTTCATTGACTTGAATCAGTATAGATGTACGTACGCTGCGCATTGACCTCAATGGGGCCTAGTGGTGTGTCCACAGATGCGTACTGCGTCAAGGCACATCCACGTAGGAACGAGACATGGGATGGCCCTAAGACCAGCACTGTACGGCTACGGTTAGCCGCCTGACCATACGTACATTGTGGATGGATCCATGCATGCATAGGCCCATGCGGCTGAAGGTCCCGAGTATCTATACCCCGCGTGCCTGTGTAAGTCGAACGTGTACCTACGGAGCAATCACGGCTTTGCAGCCTTTCACCGGCGTATGCCGAGCCACGTCGGGCTGGTCGATTGGCGGGTATGTCCCGTAGACACTCTCCAGCCAGGTAGAAAGACTTTTTGATAGCTCCGCGCCTGCTGTTAGTACTGGTGTACATACGGTCGGCGGAGTACCATGTCCCTGCATGCGAGGCTGGTCGTGTGGACATGGTGGCGGCAGGGGCCGTGCGAAGTCCGAGCCTATGTGGAGTACATCGCTTGCTTGCGTTGTGCCGCTCATGGTTGGGCGGGCGCTGGCACGATGCCTGGCTTGCGCCCTGCCGTGGAGGGCGGTGCAGCGTCTCCCCCGTCGAGCAGAGTACACTTCATCGGCTGTAGCATCACATATTGCGCTCAGGCCCTATCAAGAAGACTGCGTCCGTTCCTGCTTAGAGGCATTGGCCAGAGGCTGTACACGCATCGGTGTCTCATCACCTACAGGCAGCGGCAAAACGACCATGTTTACCTCGCTGCTCTCGCGCATCCAGCCTATGAATGAGCGTGCGACACAGTCTTTGATTCTTGTGAATGCGATTGGGCTGGCACAGCAAGCAGCTGATCGCGCTCGAGACATGTTTCCCCATCTCGCGGTAGAGATTGAGCAAGGGGCACGCCATGTCGCTTCAGGCAAGGCAGATATCACGGTGGCTACCGTGCAAACGCTTCGTCAACCTTCACGACTATGTAAATTCGACCCTTCTCGCTTCAAGTGCATAATCGTTGATGAAGCTCATCACTCTACGTCTGCCAGTTACCTCTCGGTTCTCGCCCATTTTCATAAAGAGATCCAGCCGCCGTCCTCACCAAAAGTACAAAGGCACCACAGAGTCCCTATTATTGGGTTCTCTGCCACATTCACACGTCATGATGGCGTGGCTTTGGGTCATGTCTATGAAGAAATCGTCTTTCACAAAGACTTTTTGGAGATGATCGATGATCAATGGTATGTGATCCACGCGACTTACGCAGGCTGTGCCCCGTGCGCTTTACACTCGTGCGAGCTGGCATTGATTTATCGCATGTGTCCTCAACCTCGTCAGACTACGTGGTGTCGTCGCTAGCGCAAGCTGTGAACCAGCCAGCGATTACCGAAGTCGTTGTCCGGTCCTGGATTGATCTGGCTTGGCCTCATCGTCGATCAACTTTGGTTTTCGCTGTGAATGTGGCTCATATTGGATCCATTGTTAGAGAATTTCAGCGGTGCGGAGTGGATGCCCGCCCCTTTCATTCAGGTATGCTGATGTCCGAAAGGGATGCCACGCTCGATGCGTTTCGGCAAGGCACTTTTCCTGTGCTGGTGAACTGCGGTACGTATGAACAGCGACTTACAATAGCTATCTTGACCGAAGGCGCTGATGTGCCTCCTATTGATTGTGTGCTTCTTCTTCGACCGACCAAGTCCAAGAACCTTTTTTCCCAAATGATTGGACGTGGTATGCGGCTGTCGGAAGGCAAGAAGGACTGCTTGATTTTGGACGTCGTTGGGAACGTGGAAAACGATTTGGTGTGCACGCCGACTTTGTTCGGCCTGGATGCCAATGCGGACATACAAGGTATGAATATACGCACTTACGCTAGATGACACTGTGGACGAATTACGCGAACGGGCTAGTGCGATGAATGCCCACAGAACACGTGCTTCGTCGTTCCTCGAGCCTCCTGATCATATTACATATGTCGACTACAATGATCCACGTGAACTGCAAAAGGCAATGGCCAGCAAAACACCTGACGCTTTGTCCAAGATTTCGCCCAATGCGTGGGTCGATTGTGGAGACGATGTCTATGTGCTTGGTTCTTGGAATGGCGCCTACCTCAAATTGCGTCGGCAAAGTGATCAGTGGATCGCTTACTACTACTCGAAAAACGCTGCATTCTGGAAAGATTACCAGCACGGTATTGCGAATACCATACCTTTTTTCAAGCGTCAAGTGGTCACATCCAACGACTTTGTGCATGCAATGCATGGCTGCGATACCTATATGCAACGCCTCTTCGAAGCTGCGAATCGATCTCCCATGTGGCTACGGCGTTCAGCACGCTGGCGTTCGCTTCCCGCTTCATCGAAGGCCAAGGCCATGTTGCAAAATAAAATGCAAGGTCGATCTCAGGATGGTCTATCGATCCACGAACCCCTCTCACAGGGCGCCCTGCAACGAGCACTGCTTCGCTTGAGCCATGGCGCGCGAGGTGTGTGGAGGTCGTCAATGAAGCGGCGCAACCGTGAAAGTGCCCGCAACAAAGTGCAGCAAGTCCAAGTAGGTCCTCTTGCGCGAATGTAATCTAGTCAGGCCGATCTCGTGCCATTTTTTTAATACCCTTCACGCGCGTAATTTTGCGAGGGATACACACGATGGACCTCCTAGTGAGCGCGCTGAAGTTCATTTTTCGAGCTCTGCTCGGCGTACGTAGGCCCGTGTGAACTTACGCAGAATCTTCTGAACCGCTTATTTAACAAGCACCAATCTCATGGACATCATCACCAACAACCGCATGGCGGTTATCCCTCGCAGTACCAGCAGGGCCCGGCCTATGGCTATCCACCAGCGCCTCAACCAGCGTACTACCCAGGCGGAGCAGCGCCATATCCTCAGGGCTTTCATCCAGGCAATGAGGCACCAGGTGGTCCTGCGCCCAACACAGCGCAGATCCTAGGCACAACCAACATTCATGCTTTCGACGACAACAACAAGAACGCTCAAAATCCTCATTACAAGGAGCTTCGGAACAAAGCTCGCTCTGAGGGCAATAAAATGGCCAATGCGTTTGCCGAGTCAAAGAAGGCCTACTCGAACGGAGATGGCGCGCGTGCCAAGCAGCTAAGTGAGGAGGGGAACCGGCACAAAATCAACATGGAACGTCTCAATGCCGAGGCTCGTCAGTGGATTTTCGCCGCGAACAACGCAGATAGCCCACTGGATACCGTGGATCTACATGGTCTGTACGTCAAAGAAGCACTGGCCAAAGCGGAGGAAGCCGTGCAAAAGGCCCAGGCACAAAACTTCCCGGAGCTTCGCTTGATTGTTGGCAAAGGCCTGCACTCCAAAGACCATGTGGCTCACATTAAACCTGCCGTGGAAAAACTTTTGAAGCAGTACGTTATTTTTGTCGTTGTGCTTACATCAGGTATCATCTCTCGGCCCATGTGGATCCCCGGAATGCGGGTATCATTGTTGTGAACTTGAACGGGCCTGCTGGCGGCGGCAATGCCAACTTTACCAGGGATATTGCAATGAATGCTACAGGCAATGAACAAGAGGTATGTGGGCACGGTGCTTATCTCAGTGTGTTATCATGTAATCAAGAGAGTCATCGCCAGCGTAACCACGACATCCAGCTCCGGCTCGGTTTCTCTACGGGCTGAGCACTGACATTCGTTTTCCATTTTCCTCGTAATCGTGCACTTATAGCTTCAAGCAAGACAGGATAGGCGTGGTCCAATGTTGATTGCAAGAATTTCTGTTTCGTGTATAGTTGCTTTCGTGCAGGCGTTGGGGCCAGAAAATTGTACTTGCGTATCGTCTGGTTAAGCTTGTGCACTGCTGCTTCATGATAAGACGCCTGCTCTCGAACCCAGGCTGCATCCCGGAAATTGCGAGCCCACGCCAAGGTGTTTTGCTCTTTCGGCGTGGTTGCTTCCACAGTGTACTCGAGCATATCGGGTCCTGACATGGCTCCTTGGGCAGAGTGAATCCAGTGTACTTGAACCGGCGAGAGCTCTTTCCATTCGTCTGTCTCATTCAAGCGAAGAAGAGCTCTACAGATCCATGCTTGCTGAATGTTCTGGCGAAAGCATCTTACATCTGTCATCAATTCCGAATTCAAGTCCACCCACGGCGGCATGCCGCCTTGACGCTGAATCATGCGGTTCAAAAAGAATTCTTCGCGTCGAATGTATGGGTTTGATTCATTGGTATCCGCTGGTAATGGCTTGCCACGCAACGAGTTCTCTTTAAATAGTCCTTTTTGGCGCGCCTCCTCAATGCGCTGCTCCGCCATACCAGCGAGTCCTTTCAGTGTTCCGATAGGGGAATGTGGTCGATCTTGTACGTCTTTTGTATCGTTTGCCCCTTTTTCTCGCCGGTATTCTATTCTTGCATCCATCACTCTTTCAATCCTGTCTTGTTGCAGCGACTTGCGGAGCGAGTCGCGGACTTGGCCCATCGACTTGCGATCTTCAAGTGGAAGCTGAGAGGGCGATAAGCCCATCTGGTGTAATTTGGCAGCCATATCCGACTTAGGGGGATCAAGCGTAGCATATCGACCCCTATATACTCGGGGTGTGTCTCCTGATGCATGCGACGGGCGTACAAATGTCGCATTCCATGGCTGTCCCTCTGGGGTATACGGCTTTGTATGGATAGTCTCTTTTGGCGTGTATGTAGAGATAGGGAGTTCAGTAGGTTTTTGTACGTTTTCCAGGTTTTTCGCCTGGGCTGTACGCCCATCGGACGTATGTCGTAGGGGTTTGTACTTGTCCATCAGCATGCGCAGCACTGTATCTTCCATACGTTCGTCGCCTGTCCAAACGGGCTCATTAATAGTCGAAGCAAGATCTTTTTGCATAACAGCTTTCTTCTCGTCCTCCAGCGCATCGCGAAAAAGCCGCTCCGAGGCTGATCGCGTGTAGGCGCGACGCCATACCCAAGATCTTGGGCCTGCGCGCAGGACCTGCATGAGAGGAGATCAAGGGCGTAAGTAACTCCACATGGCCATATTTCGCTACGAGCTACGTTCATTCTCATTCACGAGCTGACCCACGATCGGGTATTTTCCCGCGAAGTGGGCCTTCCATTCATTCATGTTTTTCCTGTGCGATTAGACAGGTATATACATACCGTTCCTCCATTGTCAGGTCCTCCAATGTATCCAGAGGCTGGTCAAGTGGCGTGATCATTTCTAGCACGTGTAAGTACGAATAAACACATACCCAAGTCAAAAGACTGCTTGGCCATGCCACGCGACGCATCGCGGCCGGCAAAGTTGCCATACGGGCCACTAGGACCATAAAAGTGACGGCCACTTGATACATCAAACACCTGGCTATCAATGGCCAGAAGAATCTTGTTATCGGGGTTCGCCTCGTTGGTCCCCGAGCCATCAAAGAGGGCCAGCGTACGTGGCGTATACTCCACGAATTCAATAGACTTAGGATGGCTTTCAGGTAGGGTTGAGTACTGTGATCCAGGATGCATCTTGCGTGCGTCTGACACTTTGGGCATCACAAGGTCGGACGAGGAGTGAGGAATAAAAAACAGGAAGATAAGCAAAGGTCCACATATGCTGAAGAGAAAGAGGTTTAGCGGGTTCTGTGTATACCTAGAGATAAACTAGCATATAAGTTACAAAGTACGTACCCCATAGACAGGCGGCGGCAGCACATGCGATAGGAGCTGGCCCATGGTCAATGCTGGTGAAAGTTTGGACGACGTGGGGCAACAAATGGTGGGTCACTTAGGTTTAGTCATGCGCCCAGGCTGGGTCTGTGGGCGTACGTTATCTACCTGCACGAGTCACTTCATTTACCATGTCGTACCAAAACCACGTAGCCCAGTCCCACCTCCAAACGCGTGTCTTGCATGCAGATCAGCCCGACAGCGAAGTTCACCAAACATTTCCTGTGGCACCTTCGATTTCAGTAAGCACCACATTTAAGGAACCCCATCCTGATAGTGCTTTGGGCCCCAAGAACAATGACCTGTTCAAGGACCCACACAATGCAGAATGCCATATCTACTCACGCTACGGTCAAGACACGCGTATGCGTGCTGAGCGTGTTATTTCCAGCGTAGTAGGGGGTCATGCGCTCACGTTCTCTTCGGGGCTCTCTGCTGCGGCTGCTGCTTTGGACTTTTACATGCCATCCACTGTGGCCATCCGCCGTGGCTACTTTGGTGTTCATGAAGTGCTGAAGAAGTACTGCTACGGAAGGAACGTCAAAATTATTGATTTGGACGACGAATATCCTATGGAAAAGGGTGCTGTGGCTGAAAATTGCCCTAGCTTACGTCTTGGGACTACACTGGTTTGGCTCGAGACACCGTTGAACCCCACAGGTGAAGCTCGTGATATCAGATACTATGCCAAGAAAGCTCACGAAGCTAACGGATACATTATTGTTGATGCTACGCTTGCACCACCACCTCTGCAGGATCCATTCAAGTACGACGTGGACATGATCATGCATTCGGCAACCAAGTATTTCGGTGGTCACTCGGATCTCTTAGCGGGTATTCTGGCCACGAGAAATGTTGAGCACTTCCATGTTCTTTGGCACGACCGAAGTCAAAATGGTGCTACGCCAGGCAATCTAGAGAACTTTTTGTTGCTGCGCTCACTTCGCACCATGCCTCTTCGTGTTCGTCATCAGTCAGCGACGGCTTCCAAAATTGTCGCTTTCTTCGATAGCTTAACGAAAGGCAAGACACCAGACCCGGATGCGCCGAGTGAGATCACGGACGGCAAGTTCATTGCCCAGGTCTGGCACTCTGATCTTCAACCTCGGAGGGCCAACGAGAACGAAATCCAAGACACGGAGAAAGACAACCATGATTTCGATCCCAAGGAGCAGATGCCGAATGGCGGCTCGCCCACCTTTGGGATTTTGACCGCCACGCCCAAATTTGCCAAGTATCTTCCCTTCAATGTCCATTATATGGTGGTATGTATTTTTTCCCTCAAGTGTGCTAACTATACGATAGCCAGCTACATCGCTCGGTGGTGTCGAGTCGCTGATTGAGCAGAGGTTTCTCGCTGATAAGACTATGGATCCTCGCGTGCTTAGGGTATCTGTGGGTCTGGAAGACTTTGAGGATCTAAAGAAGGACTTTATTCAAGCTATGGTCAAGACGATGAACGAACATAGCAAATAGTGAACATACATAGCCTGCATTCAATCAAACACCCTTTGCATATATTCTGCGCATCGGGCGATCACTGGTAATTGGTTCCGTCGCGCTTCTGCACCCCACATATTTCACTTTGCGCGACCCACGTGGCGGACCCCATCCGGCAATCTTTTCGACTCCCAGGGGAGAACTTGCGCTCTCTGAACTACGATAGTAGAGGGCTACGATCTATGAAGGCAACAAGTCTCTCTCTAATCCTGTGCCTTGTTTTTGTAGCCTTAGCCACACTTGCTCAGGGCCAGATTGTGGATGATTTAAAGTACGCATTCTACTATATATCGACTTACACATTCTAGTAACGACTTTGCATTGCCTATACTGAAGAGGGCTGAAAATGATGCCCCTAAGAATGGAACGGAGAACCAGGTGAAATCTACTGCCAATGCACAGACCCCTCCTCCTAAAAGTCAAGGTCAAGGAAACAGTACAGCGCCAGCACCCCAGACGTCGGCCCCTGCCCCCAATTCGCCGCCTGCCAACGCTACCTCCAATGCTCCTACTCCTACAGCCGACAATGAGATTGAGCAAACCGGTGCAGCTGCGGCGGGTGCTACAGCGACAATTACGGCCGATACGGTGAATGGCGTTTGCACTATGAGCAATGACTTAGATGCTAGTCAGCAGGCCAGCTGGACTGATGCAGTAATTACCACTTGCTGTGCTGGCGATCAAGCGTCAGCCTGCTGGTTCCGTATTCAGGATGGCGTCAAGCCTGAAGATGCGTGCAAAATTCCTACATGTGGTGATCTTAACTCCAATGATCCGGACCGCATGATCGGTTTCCGACCACTCTCTGGCTCTATTGGCAGCGGCAAATACCAAAACATCTTCCCTTTCCTTTTCTTGAATGGTTCATCACGACCAGTGATCTCTGCTCTGCTCTTTATCGTGGCGCCATTTTGTGTCTCTTTCATGCTCTTGCTATGATCAAGGAACATTTAGTTGGCTCTATCCAGTCATCGTTAGTCTGGAACAATGCAATTATGTATAGTATTTTTAGATTCATACTAGTTACACAGTTACTCGACTCGCTACGATAGAGTGGTTGCCACAAACTAAAAGAATCAGTTGGCGGTGTTTTAAAGCGGAGGCAATGTGCGGAGAATTTCGACCACGTGGGTGGCAAATGACAACGCCACCGTTGTAAGCGTATAAGAGCAGCTCATGCCATGAGGTCAAATAGCTGTCCTTTACGCATCGCCCAGGAGGCAGTACTTCACCCTCATGCGGCTACAGTCCAAATCCCTCCTAGAAGTGGGAGAGTCTGTTGCCAGATGGGCTCGAGGCAGTCGCCCTCCTAGGGCTGCTACTCCCCCATATGGCTATAAGCCCATGCGCATGGGGTCCTCAGGCGTTCGTGTCAAAGTCACATCAGGCCAAATCCGTCCTGCCAAATTAACATCACTGCGCCACTATGTCTACTATGTCCTCAGACATATGACACCGATCTACAATGGTGCCCTTCGTGTCTTTCTGCCCAGTCAGGCTCGTGTGGCGCTGCGACAGAGCGTGAAGACACCATCTGTCTCGCACGGCGGAACACGTACGACTTCTTCGCCCCTCGGTCGATATGCATGGACTAGGGCTCGGCTTCCTCAAGGGCAGATAGTGCATCGCTCTATGTCTTATGGTGTCGGCTTGCAAAGTGCACGATCATACAGCACAGGCGCCCCTGGAGTACGCCTGTTTGAGAATGTGGTGTCGAATTCACCGCTTGCGTTACGAGCACTAGCGCTGAATGCTTCGGACGAATCCCACTGCTTGCATCGTGGCTCAAGGCACCATGTTGTCGCTCAGCGTCAGCGGCACACTCGTGAAACAAAGAAGTCGCGTCACACCTACATGCCGTACGTTCCTTCGAGCCACGCTCACGAGAATCGCAAGGTAGCTGAAGCATGGAGCTCGCTTTGTGATGCAGATGTTCCACTTAGTAGTGGCGAGCTGGACACATTTTTCCCTCTGGAAGCCATTGTGCCTAGCCAAGACCCTGCACCAATGAAAGTGACGAGGATGCTACTATTCTTGAGTCCTTTGCAGGTACCAGATTGCTCTATGAATGCTGGTGATATATTTTCAAGTCTGCAAACTGGTTTTTTGGACAATGAGCTACAAGAGAAATTGGTTTCAATACGGTATGCTTACAAGAATCATGCCAAACGTCTTCGCAGGATTGAATACTTTATGCGGAAAAACGGGATGTGGCCGAAACATATCGACATCGCGTCTCTAGTGCTGGCATCTGACTCGTCTACGAGACCCGCCCTAGAACTTGTCCTTCCAGGGTGGCATAGAGATGATATTGAAGCCACTTTGTTTGAGGCTCTGGACCATGAAAAAGAAAATGGATCGAATTGGCCATGTAGTCCGTTGTGGGAATTTATTTAGCGAGCAATGTCATAAACTGTCGTACTGTGTGCATTTCGATTCGGAAATTGTGGAGATCACAAAGACTTTGTTTGTCCCTCCTCCACTTCCGTTCCTTTGTGTTGCTTGGCCGACAAATCCCCTGCAAAGCCATAAGATGGTGGAAATTGAGGAGCTGTCCGGATCTGGATCTGACACTAGTTCCAGCGAAATGGAGTTTGATCCTTCGTCTCATATTTGGGCAGACCTAGTTCCTGATGATCAAATCGATGGGCCAGAGCCACTATGTCCCATTCTCTACGACCCGGATTGTGCGTGTATGTGTAACTAACTTATCAGACAGGCGTGTCATGGGACTTTTCCGTGCTTTACGAGCGAAATATAATGGAGAGGTAGAAGTGTCTGAACGCTCTTTAGCTTTGACATTCTATCTTGTTCATTTGAATCCGGCAAACTATACCATCTGGCAGTATCGTGCACAAGTCCTCATTCAAATGGCTACAGATGAGGATCATGCACTTCTTTTAAAAAAGGAGCTCGAATTTCTTGATCATTTTGCGTTGATAAACATGAAAAATTATCAAGTTTGGTACGTGTGTACTGGCTAATGAAAGGCAACACCGCAAAGTCATTGTATCTATGCTCGGAGACCCGTCGAAGGAATTGGATTTTACAAAAGCTGTGCTCTCAGAAGATGCCAAGAACTATCACACATGGGCCTATCGTCAGTGGGTCCTTTCTCACTTCGGTGGCTTGGATGTGACCCCTATCACCTCTAATGTTCCCGGTGCCGGTAGTTCCCCAGAGCTCTGGCAAGGGGAGAATGAGTTTACCAAGACACTGTTAGAGCAAGACATTCGCAACAATAGTGCCTTCAACCACCGGTGGTACTGTCTCTTCGGACGACGAATGCATGGCCGTGATCAGCTACCAGCCGAGGTAGAATCAGTTCGTGATGCAGAAATAAGGTTTGTGGACCGCACAGCGTCGTTCTAACGCTTCAGCTATGCTATGACGTTGATCGATCGTGCCCCAAACAATGCTAGCGCATGGAATTACTTGAGAGGGTGTGTATTTGGATATTGACACCAGTCTCTTTGAGTCGATTTCTCCTTCTCGACAGTTTGAAGAATACGATCATGAAGTACTTAAGCTACTTCGGGTTCAAGACCATGCCTACGCTGTAGCGCACCCTGAGGAAGACGAAGCTGGACGAACGCCTCCGCACGCGTTGGAATGGCTCTTGGATAGCGCTGCGCAGCAACTGCCGCATACAAACAAAGATACCCAGCGCAAAAAGATCCAGCTTGTAGGTCTTGTGTTTTTGCTAACATAACTAGCTTCTTCAGCGTCTTCGGCATGCTGATCCTGCGCGAAACAAGTATTGGTCCTACGTGGAACAACAGCTCTTGTAGTGATAAATGCTAGTGGAGGTTCCTTTTCACGTATCATTTGTTTCGGGGACCATGCAAGGGTTTGGCAGTACGTGATAGTGGCTTATTGGTAACATAAAGTGGGGCGGTATCGCCCAAGAGATGAAGAGAAGGAGCGAAGAGAATTAGAAGGACGCCCAACGACCTCATCACGCGTTACCAAACGGCGTTCTAAAGGCTCCAAAGTCGTGAGATGTACGTGCCACAGCATACTCTGTAACCATACCAGTTGAGCTTCCTTTCCACATTTGGTGGTACAGTATCTCCTGGTACTAATAACAGTGAATCTTGTAACAACCATATCGCACAAGGTGTAAGGTTCAATGCGGAAAAGAGCCAGGTCGGAAACTACTATTCCACACCGATATGGCAGTTTCGGTGCAAATGTCACTTGTGCCAAAACTGGTTTGCGATACGCACAGACCCTAAGGTAATTATCTTACTTTCTTACGATAGAATACACAATACGTGGTGGACTACGGTGCTCGAAAGCAAGTGCAAGACTGGGAGCCATCGGAAGAAGACAACGTCCTTGTTGTTAGTACGTGGTCTACAACATTTACAATACAGATGATAAACCAGATGATGCGCCACTCGATGCCTTTGCTCAGGTAGAAAAGGCAAAGAAGACGAAAGAACGTACCTCTGCGCACGAGGCACGTATTGCCGAGCTAGAGGAACACTCCGCGAATCATTGGGCTGACCCATTCCGCGCCAATGCTCACCTGCGATCTACTTTTCGTGAAGAGCGACGAGCTATGTACGAACAACAAAAACGGGATGTTGATCTGCGCAAGCGCATTGGTTGGGACGATGACCGCCTTTTGCTTCCGCGTTCCTCCAAAGAGGCGGGTTATTCTACACCTGAAATTCGACGTAAGTGGACACAAGCGCAAGAGGAAAGGCATAAAGCTCAACTCTTTGCCCCATCTTCGAAAAGAGCCCACTCTGCTATGACGAAAGAGCTTAACCCAGCGGCACGAACTCTCGCAGAACGACTCTTGTCCAAGTCGCTGATGCCCAAACATAAAACGCGCAAGTGATATGTAATGTATGTATGTATGTATATATGAACCATATACCTAAAGAAGCTTCTTTGGTGCAGTCGCCTGAGCAGGCACAGAGGCAGGTAATGTGTCGTCATGAGACAAAAGAGAACCGACCTTGAGACCTGTCCTCTTTTCCACATCACGCACACCCGTAGCAAGTGCCTCCGAAGTCGACTCGTATGCCTCTTCCAGCTTGTCCTTGCCCATATACCAGTGCTGCTGGAGCAGCTGGACAAACTTCTGACGGCGAGCCGAGAACTCAGGGAAGTACTTCTCCTCCTTCTTCTCGTAATACGCAGCCACATTGGTCGTCGTGTTCGGCAGGAAGTAGCTCATGGAGCCAGCAAGAACGAGTGGGGGGACGAACCAGCGGATCGGAAAAGTGCCTATATTATTAGCACGTAAGAAGATACATACGGTAGCGCGTGAAGACCATGCTGGCTAGGGTAGCGACACCCACGTAAAGACCGTTCGGTGTAAGCGTCTCGTCCTTGGCGACGAGGCTATTCACACGGTCTGCATGTTAGCGCATACACCCAAGTCATACATACTTTCGACACGGTTTTCAGCATGGATCACAGAGTCAACGCCAGAGCGCACAGCACGAATACCTGAGCTGGCATACTTCTGTACAGACTGGCGCGCAAGGGAGACTTGCCTCTCAAGCTCAGATGATGTCTCAATAAGTGTGATCTCCTGGTCTGGTTCAGGGTACACCGAGAGTTTCTGCTGCTAGGCAATGTTAGTCAAAATCCTAAAGCTAAAATGCATACCGGCTGCGCCATGGCGGTTGATGGGACGTACTGCTCGTCTGGACCCCGGCGGAAGCCGTAGATCGACCCGATCGTGCGTAGGCTTTACCGTACATAAATCCACAACATCAAATATCTCCACTCGAGCGCGACTCTCCACACGCCTGACAATATCGACATGTCAGACGAGGAGGTGAGTGGGGTATAGCTGTGCTGATGATCGCAGTTTATGATGGAGGATACCCTCGATGAGGAGGTATGTGGCCATATTGATTAATCGTAGTACGATTTTGATTATGAGGATGATGACGAGGATCAAGATGATGAGGCCCACATGGAGAATCAATACTACAATGCCAAAGGTGTGTGATTGCTCACTAACGGAAGCCATCAAAGCGGAGGATCCTCGTCAGGCTATTGAAGATTTGCAGAAAATTTGCGATACTGACACCCCTCCATCGGAATGGTACGTGGCCATGCTGACTTACGCAAAGGGGATTCAAGGCATTGAAGCAGCAGGCCAAGATTTTATTCCATATGGGGCGTTTCGAACAGGCTTTGAAGAAGTATCAAGCGCTTTTGCCATACACCTCTACTACCATCTCCCGAAATTATGCGTACGTACGCGCCATACTTATCCCAGGGAAAAATCAATCCTGTCCGTTCTCGATTATGTCTGTGCCTCGACCTCAATTGGCGCAGACATTGTGGATGCCTACATCGCTGCAACGCGACAGGCACCCCAATCACTTCTTACTGATCGTTTTTTAACCAAAATACAACTGAAACTCTCGAAGCATTGGCTGCAAAGGCAGGAATGGAGCCGATTGGACACAGTACGTTTTACAGCTCGCTCACAGTAGACATTGAAAGACATTCTTTACATGAATGGTGGCGATGGCCGAGTAGATGCGCAAATGCAAGGGACAACCATGCTTGAACTTCTTTCAATGGAGATTCAGATGCATAAGAAACTAGGCAATCTGAAACTTGTTCGGGTACGTATGAGCACACTCATGACAGGAAACGTATGAGCGAGCCTTGCAAATTAAGAACGCAATTCCTCATCCACGAACGATGGGCATGATTCGCGAGCACGGAGGGATGATGCATATGGCAGAAAGTACGTTCCCTACACACTTATGATAGAAAACTGGGAGGCTGCGCAGGTGGATTTCTTTCAAGCGTTCCGTAACTACGATGAGGCTGGAAGCCCTCAGCGAGTACAAGTGCTGAAGTATCACATGCTTGCTCATATGCTCATGGGAAGTGGCATTAATCCATTTGATTCGCAAGAAATTAAACCGTACGTTTCTATGGTACTAACATCAGATATAAGGAAGACCCGCAGATCTTGGTCATCTCTGAGTTTATGAATGCATATGAAAAGCGTGATGTCCAACTGGCGCAAAGCGTGCTAGCTCGTACGTACATGAAGCACTTACGGAAGGCAACAACGACATATTCCACGAGGATGAGTTTATTCGTGACTTTGTCCCTGATGTGATGCGTGAACTGCGTATCCAATATGTCCGAGACCAGGTCCTGCTATACCGTGTACTAGATTGGCAGCACTTGGCAGAGGTACGTATTCAGATTCTGACCTGGAAGGCACTCCATATACCTGTTTCAGATGTTCGAGAGCTCCTTCTCATGCTTATACTCGACGGGCGCATTCAGGGAAAGCTTGATGATATTAGCCAAGAACTGCATACGTCATCGACGGCCGATACTTCTGAATCCATCAGCACTGCAGACGCGTTGCAATCTTGGAGCAGCCATTTGGATACGATAGCCTATGTCCTCGCTTCAAAACAAGGGGCTCTATGATAGGTTCGTCCGTAATTGGCGCATTAGTGTCGGCGCTTAACGCTGCGGTGTATAATTTTAGGACATAGAAGTTGACTGTGGTCATACCTGCAGAGGTCACTCCACATACGCCAATAGCAACGAGATACAGGAGATGAGAAGTCACATGTAAGTGGAGAATTGGCCAGTGAATCGAGCCGTCAAAATTGAGCATCTACTATTGCACCCTACGTGCCTAAAGAAAACGCGGGGGAAATGTAGAATGTCTCAACGTCGCAGGGTTTATAATTGTAGCCGCTGGGAATCCTCGCCTGCATCCCCTTTCCTTCTCTCTTCATCGGTTCTGGTAACCGACTAGCCATCTATAGGTATAGCGTTGATCGCATACCTACTACTCCCTACCACAGTCTCTCTTCACACACACACTCCTTACTACACGTTCCAAAATGCAGTACTTTGTACTCCCCGCTCTCGTGACTGCCACTGGCATGTTGGTGAACGCTGCTCCTGTTGCCAACACCGGCATGACTGGTTTCCAGCCCCTTGCTCCTGCCTCTACTCGCCCTGGTGAGCAGATGGCCGTGCAGTGGAGCCCAGACCTGTCGGGCTCGCAGGAGTGGAAGCACATGGACATTTCGCTTGTGTCGGTCTCGAAGAACGGTAAGCATCACGTCACGAAGCTTGCTTCGAACGTGGATGGTACTAACCCTAACAACAATATGTACACTGCTACTGCTCCCGCGCATATGCGCAACGACAACGTGTACTACATCCAGTTCTCGCACGGCAACTCCAAGCTGAACTCGCCCCAGTTCTTCATCGAGAACCCGGACAGCTCGTTCAGCAAGTTGCACGCCCGCAGTGGTGCAAGTGCTCAGACCTCGGATACGCCTGGTGCTGTTCCAGACGAGTCCCTGTACCCCAACGGCAACTCGGACTCGACCTCGGGCGGCCTTGATTCGCTTGGCGGCAGCTCGAGCACTGACTCGACGGAGGGCAGCGACAGCGCTGACAGCAGCAGTGGTAACGGCAACCTGCTCAACACTATGGTGCAGCAGGGCTCCGCGGCGATGGACCACATTTCGCAGGTGTTCCAGCAAGCTGCCGGTCAGAGCAACGGTGACAGCGGCAGTGGCAGTGACAGTGCCATGCCAAGCCTTTCCCTGAGTCCTCAGGCGGGTATGCCGTTGACGATCGACGGTGTGACGTACGTTCCTGTTCCGCCACTGGTGCTCAACCAGCTGACGAGCAACAACGGCAGCAACAGCACTGGGTCGAGCAGCGGCAACCGCGACAGCAGCGACAGCAGCGGCAACAGCGGCAGCCTTTCGGACCGTCTCCAGAACGCAATCAACGTTGGTGGTGTGACCTACGTTCCTGTGCCTCGTGAAGTGGCCGAGCAGCTTATGAACGGCAACTCTAACAGCACGAGCACGCACACCAACAGCCGTGAGAGCACACGTGGTCGCAACAGCGAGAACGCCCTGGACACCAACGATGCTCAGGACGCCTCGTCTGTCGCAGACTTGATTGGCCAGAACATTTTGAGCCAGAGTGCGCTCCCGACTGATGCTTCTGCGATGACGAGCATCCTCAGCTCGATGCAGCAGGAGGGTGCTACGTCGGTGGATGACGTGTCCTCGACGTCGCGTTCGCACTCGAGCTCGCGTCATCACCACCAGTCGCCGTCATCGACGTCTAGCCACCCCCGCTCTTCGTCGTCGCATGCTCGTCCGACCTCGTCGTCGTCGTCTCACTCGCGTCACCACAGCTCGTCGTCGTCTTCGTCGGCTCTGCCCACGTCGTCGGTGGACGCTTCCTCGGCTTTGTCGTCAGCCACCGTGTCTTCTACGGAGGCTGTGCCTACCTCGACCGCTGGTGCTGCTACCGATTCGGATACGTTCCACAACGCCATGGCTGCGACCGCCACTGGTGATGCTGGCTCGATGGCTGGTCTTTCGCGCCGTGCCGACGGTCCGTTCAACCATGCCATCTCTCGCATCGCGCAGGCGGCTAACTCGGCGTCACTGGACCCGTCGTCGTTCACGATGGCGACGGGCAGCTCGTCGAACGCTACTTCGGCGACTGGTTCTGGCTCGAGCTCCGACTCGGCCTCGTCGACTTCGTCGCCATCGAGCCACCACCACCACCACAGCCACAGCCACAACAGCACCAGCACCAGCACCAGCACCGGCGCTAGCACGGACTCGGCCTCGGCCTCGTCGAGTGCTACGCGCAGCTCGCATCACCATGGCTCCAGCAGCACGGCTGTGCCCAGCTCGGTCGTGGAGTCGATGGCCAGCTCGCTGTCGATCAACCCGGAACGTGCTTCCTCGCTCCTCCGCTCTCTCGGTCGCTCGGACAATGACGTGTCGGACTCTGTGTCGTACTACCTCGGCATGGACCCGCTCGCTGGCTACGGTGACTCGAGCGAGACGGCCACCTCATCCTCGAATGCCGTGCCCACGTCGACTGCTTCGGGCTCGATGACGCGTATGCGTCAGAGCAGCAGCGCCGACAGCAGCAGCAACACCCGCACTCGCAGCCGCAGCAGCCAAGCCAGCAACACCGGCAGCAGCAGCGCCTCGTCGGGCCGTGGTGGCAACAGCCGCAGCTCGTCGCGCTCTGCGGCGGGTGACAGCAGCGACAGTGTGATGCAGGTGCTTGCGCAGGGTATTCTGGGCAACTCGGGTCTGTCGTCAAACCAGATTGACCAGTACTACAGCGAGATGAACGCGCAGCCTACGGGTACGTCGAACAGTCGCGGTAGTGGCAATGGCCAGATGGGTGCTTCCCTGCACTACAGCTCGGCGGCTGCCAGCATGTCGGAGGCGTATTAAGTGTGTGTGAATTTACTTGGCACCAACATGGCCATCCATACCTTTGTATGGATGAGTCTAACGGGTACCAAGTTCCTTACAGATGATCTGTGTATTCTTCCCCTTCCCCCTTCCCCCTTCCCCTATTTCCCCCCTCCATGATTCGTGTGCCTGTCTTTCTTTGCATGTGTGACTTGTTTCTGCCTCGGTACGTGAAATATGGATCCCATACATAGTTTTTCTTGTCCTTTGTCAATCCAATCTTTTTTTTTATATATATGTGGGCACATTAGTAGCTGAGCTATCTAGGATGTCGTTCACTACAGGCGGGGCGTAGTCCCGTCGGCCATTGGGCCCAAATAGGGTTTGTGCAAGAACGCAGCAAGACGCTGTGCGGTAAGTCGACTTCGAGCGCGCAAGGCATACCTCCAGCTGCTCCACGCCAAAACTGCAGGGTGAGTGGTAGAATGGTACGTACGCAACGCATGTATCCTGACCAGAAGTACGATGAGCAACCATCCAGCTGCGTTGTAAGCGATCACTGGCCATACGTACGGGAATCCAAAGGCGCCATTCTCTACCAGCTGTTCTGACTCGGCCTTGAGCAGGGCGCGTGTGTCGCGGGCGTAGGCCTTCTTGATAAGCGATGAAAGCTGGTCCCCTTGAAAGCAGCGAGAGGCCAGATCCTTTAGATCCTCTTCGCTCTTTACACTGTGGCCATCGCGCCAGATGTATTGGAACGACGCTTCAATCATCTCCTCAAGCCGGTCGGGACACTCGGCCTGCACAGTACGAAGGAGGCCCATCACAGGGAATGTATCGAACGGGAATGATGCGGGGAAACGCAATTTCACTGTGTGTTATCGTGCCATATATATACATACGTCCATACATGCGATCCACAGAGCTGAGTTGGTTCATCATATGGGCGCCTTTGTTGGGCACTGTGATCGGCGGACTGTTCTGGGAAAACTTCATCACGTACGCCAAGCTTCGAGGCTGGAACTCGAGTTGAACGCCCCATGTAGCACGATAGCGCCGCAACACTTGGAAGGCGATGTACGACCACGGCGAGACACAGTCAAAATACAACACGATTTTGCTCGACATGATGGCAGGTGGACAAGTGCCTGCCCCGCATTGTCACGACGACATGTGGAGACGTCAGGTGTCGTTTCATGCTACGAGCTGCTATGACCACACTTCGGCCACATCCACGCTATGTAGAAATTGCGGTGAACTTGGGCGATCCCATGTTCCGTGGGATTTACCATGGCAAGGAGAAGCATCCAGGTACGTGGGATTCACGACTTACGCATAGACGACATCGAGCATGTTCTGCAGCGCGCCGAGCAAGCAGGTGTCGAAGCGCAAGTCATAACAGCTGGCTCGCTGGCAGAAGTGCCTGACGTGCTATCCCTGACGGAACGCAAGCCGTACCTGTTTGCTACGGCAGGATGCCACCCGACACGCAGTTCCGAGATGGAGGCGTACGAAGGCGGTGCTGCCGCCTACGTCGCACAACTCCATCACTACATTCAGACCCAGCCGAAGATTGTGGCTGTAGGCGAGCTGGGCTTAGGTATGCTACGACATGACTCACACTAGATTACGATCGACTTCATTTCTCGCCAGCCGATGCACAGCAGCGATGCTTTGACGCGCAATTACGCATGGCTGTCCAGGTTCAGCGGCCCTTGTTTTTGCATTCGAGAGCAGCGCACGCCGACTTTGTGCGCATTCTGTCGCCTCATCTTCCAGCGCTGCGTAGACACACGAACAGCGTTGATGCAGAAAGTCCAGGCAGTGTAGGTGTAGTGCACAGCTTCACAGGCACAGCTGAGGAACTCCACGAGTTGCTGCAACTGGGTCTGTACATCGGCATCAACGGATGTTCTATGAAGACGCAAGAGAACCTCGATGTCATTCGACAGATTCCTTTGCACAGACTTATGCTGGAAACAGGTACGTGTCTACAAACTCACCCAGTAGATGCGCCGTGGTGTGATATCCGACCGACACATGCGTCTGCGGCTCACTGGACCGCCTTCGAAAAGGCCGAACCTGACCTGGCCAAACTCTATATGCCCCCCCGCGTAAAGTCGGAGAAATGGCGCGAAGACTCGGCTGTAAAAGGACGATGCGAACCATGTCATATTGGCCAAGTGGCCGCAGTTGTAGCTCAGCTCCAGGGCGTGCCACTCCACGATGTAGCGCAGCACGCCTGCGACAACGCACGGCGCCTCTTCCAGCTGCCTGTGGTGGAGGCGGCGGCGGCGTGACAACCCATAGATGCAAAGCCACGTGGTACGTCATCCACTTGCCTCCGTACATCGACAACGCGACGCAATCCACATTGGGTCGTGGCGGCGATGGATTCCGAGCACGATGATGCGATTTCGCAGCTGGGCGGCTTGGCACTCGGCCAGGTCCTTGAGGATCTAGGGGTGGTCACCGCCGACTCGGATCTGCGCCGCATCGGTCTAGGTGGTTCCAAGACGGCGGCGTCTCAAGCGCTGAAACGTGACGAAATTTATCGTAACGACTTTGATGACGAGTTGGAAGATGATGGTAAAGAGGAAGAAGACATCGAAGCCGCGGAAGAGGATACGTCGGCCCATCCCGAAGCGGCGCCATCCTCGGGTATTCGCCCTTTACGTCATGGCAAATTTAAAGTGCGTGGCGAAGACGACGACTTCGCCGACGAAGACGATGACTACGACGAGGTATCCACAGCGCCGGCCAGCCAGGAGGCCAGTACAACGCTGCCTGTGTCGAGCAAGGACGTAGTCATGGAGGAACCGCAGGCACCCTTGAGTCCACGGACGGAGGCCCTGCATTTGTTCCCTGATTTCAAGGCGGGGACCGTGCTGGACTTTACCGAGCTGTTCGGTACGCGCTCCCAAAAGCGACGTAGGCTGATTGGACGACTTCCTCACACGCAGTGGAGTGTGGACGAAGTCATCGAGCCAGCGTCGTCGCGCGATCAGCTGCTATCGACCGAGCCTGTGGCGCCTACGACCTCGGATACGCATCTTGTCACACGGTATGCCAGGCCTTATATTCCTGGACAGGAAGAGAAGGAGGCAGATATCCAGTGCCAGGTGTTGTTTGACGATGCGGCGCATGATCGCGCGGCGCATCGAGCTACGCGACGGATGAACAGTGTCGAGATTGACGATTGGGAGCGCCGCGTGGTGACTCGACCCTCTACGTCCGAAGAGCGTATGCCAGTGGATGTGAGTCGTCCTGTGAACAGGGAGCTCTCGAACGGCGTGTGGTTCAACAATATTATTTGGAATCCGTACAATCGTTTCCGCCCGTTTGACCGTTTGATTATGGATATGAACGATGCGGAGATGATTTTGGAAAATGAAAAGACGCAGGACGAAAAGCAAGTCTCTCTTCTCAGGGCCGATGCGCCGCCGAACCTGCTCAAGTCGAGTAAGTATACGGGTGAATTGGACCCGTTCAATATCTCGAACGATCGTATGTATGAGATGAGCAAAGAACACCGTCACCGCGTTCGCCAGACGCTAGGCCAGCTTGTCGTTCGTCATGCATGGCCAGCGATCAAATTACAGCTTCCTTTCTACAAGACGCGTCTTTCGAAGCACGAAACACGCTCGTGGCATAGGCCGCGCATTCAGTTCCCGTCTAATATGCCAATTACGTTCTCGCGTGTGCGTTCTTCACGCAAATCCAAGGATGGAGAGCGAAAGTCCAAAGATCCTAGTGAAGTGCTGCACAGTACGCGTGATCTCACGTTAAAGGATGCGAGCAACTATATCTTGTGTGAGTACTCTGAAGAGTATCCGCCGCTCCTGTCGAATATTGGTATGGGCAGTCTTCTCGTCAACTACTATCGTAAGAAAGACGCGAAAGACGATCACATCCCCAAGGCAGAGCTGGGCGAATCGTTCGTTCTCGACGTCACGGATGAGTCGCCGTTTATGAAGTTTGGCAGTGTCGAGCCTGGTCAAACACAGCCTGTGCTGTACAACAACATGACACGAGCGCCCTTGTTCAAGCACAAGCCAACGCAGAACGACTTTTTGTTTATTCGCAGCACGACCAAGGACGATGTGCGGTACTACCTACGAGAGATTCCCAACCTGTTTGTCGTGGGCCAGACGTACCCGACGACGCCGATCCCGGGCCCGCATGCACGTCTGGTCACGAACAACATCAAGTACCGTCTGCAAATGATTACATACAAGCTTGTGGAGAAAAGCCATGCGCACCGCATCAAGATCCATCGCGTGATGAAATACTTTCCAGACCAGAACGAGCTGCAAATGCGGCAGCGACTCAAAGAGTTTATGGTATACAATCGCAAGTCAGGCGATGTGCACCAGGGCTTTTGGCGTCTGAAGCCGGACGTGCCGATTCCAGACGAGGCGGAGCTGCAGAAGCTGCTGACGCCGGAGCACATTTGCCTAGTCGAGGGTATGCAGGTCGGTCAGCGGCACTTGCTCGATGCTGGGTTTACAAAGACGGCGGAGGGGGCGGATGACGATGCCGACGAAGGCAAGATGGAAATTGAGCAGCTGCTTGCGCCGTGGATCACCAGCAAGAACTTTTTGCATGCGACACAAGGCAAAGCGATGCTCAAGCTGCATGGTGAGGGTGATCCAAGTGGCCGTGGTGAGGCCTTCAGCTTTGTACGTGTATCGATGAAAGAGATTTTTCTTCGCGCTGGTGAGGATGTGGATGAGCGACTGGCAGCCGAGGCGGAGGCGCGCGCCAAGTCGGGCCATCGGTACAACGTGGCCGAGCAGCAAGCGATCTACCGCTCGGAAATTGACCGTATTTGGAAAGCGCAGCTGGCCGCTTTATCGAATCCCGAGCCACCGCGCATCACAGCGAAGGAAGAGCAGCTATGGCGCGAAGAGCAGCGCCGTGAGAAGAAGATGCAGGAGCAAAAGGCGCCGAAGCCCTTGCTAGTCAAGCGCCTGTTTAATGGTGTATGGTACAAGCACATTGTACGTGATCCCTCTGTGATCAATGCCTACGTGAAGCAGCGCCAGGAGATTGAGGAGCAGAGCATCGTCACCGAGTCGCTTGTGCCGACAGGCGATGCTGCCTTGGACGCCATGCGCAAGAAGCGCTTGGAAGAAGAAATCGCGGCGCGTGTGAAGAACCAGGACCGTCGTTTGCAGCGCAAGAACGCCAAGGCTGCGGCAGAAGGCTTGATTGGCGGCTACAAAAAGATGCCCAACAAGACGAACACGAAACGTCGATGTGGTCGCTGTGGGATGGTCGGGCATATGGCCACGAACAATGCCTGTCCACAGTACCCGACGAACAACCAAGGCGGGCGTGGCGGCAGTGGCGGCAGTGGCAGTGGCCCCCATGCCGTGCGTCCGCCCAGTGTCATGCCGATGCCGAACAGTACCTATTATACCAGCGCTGCAACGAATCAGCAGCAACCACCGCAGCAGAGTATGCCAGGCTTCCCGCAGCCGTTCGGCATGGGCCCTTCCTCCCCTATGTAACGATAGTGAAAACGCTTCGTACTATACATGGTAGTCATACCTCGTACTCAGGCAGCGGCAGGCGGCAACTTGGGCACATGTGCTTGATGTTCATCCACGGCATCAAGCACGACGTATGGAAGATGTGACGGCACGGCGTGACCATGACGCCCGAAGGCCGTGTCGTCGATGCATGGCCCCATGCGCGCCAGGAGCCATGCGACGTGGGCGGCGTCCACGTCTCGTCGAGTGTCCAATCGTTGGGCATCAGGCAGATGGGGCAGTCGCCCAGGGGTATCGAGGCAGGGTCCTCCATCGCAGGGGATGCGCTCTCGGGAAGATCATCGTGCGATGGCAAGAGCGCAGCCAGCTCCGTGGGTGAGGGGTGCCAATGCCATTGACGCTCCGTCCGCCGCATCGCGGATGGCACAAAAAACCGCGGGCCTAGGTAGTGTTGCCCAAGCAAGACGAGCATTTGGCATAGACACCACAGAATAGGAATCCATACATACGGCGACGTCTCCACCTTGAACAGGTTGTCTGGGTATTGGAACAGGTACAGCGGCATGTAACATCGAGTGAGCGTCATGCCGATCACAGTCGATGGCTGAAGGCCGGTAGAGCCTCGGCGTACATTGTGCACGATTTGCGGCACCCAGAACGAGCAGAGTATGGGGAGCAGAATGTAGCCCAGCAGCTCAGGGGCCGCAAAGGACATGACGAAGAAAGCGACGACCAGCGCATTCGACAGGACACTGCGCATATTGGCACGCACCTGCGTCCGTGAGCGATTCATCCAGTCGCGCGACCAGGCCGTAGAGGTCGCCTCAGTAGCCTCAGGATGCGGGGGCGTGTCACGTACGCGCGCCCGCTCCTCCTCCATCGATTGGCGCACCATCGCCACGAGCAAGCGGTACTCAAAGACCATGAACAGGGTGCCGGACATGAACCCCAGTGCCATCATCGCCAACGACAAAGCGCCTTCCAGCTGGAAAGCGGCCATGAAATGGCCGAGGCTCAGGAACGCATCGCAGTTGGTCTGAATGAACCATGTCCCACTGGCCAGACGTGCATAATCGCTGTGTGTTTGGACACGTTCACACTCTTTCGACATCAGTACCAACTGGAGAAGAAGGACCAGCGCCATGCCCACGACGTAGTACCGTGCATGGCCCCAGAACACAGCCCGAGGCACAGCTTCCATCTCGCGCGATTCCAGGTACAAACCACATCGCGAGGATACCGCGGCCATGTCCAGCACCAGGTTCGGCGCGCGTGGCACGACAATGCCGCGAGGTTCGTTCATTTCACGCAAAATCCAGTCCAGCGAGGCTTGCTCGCTAGCTGGCCCTGCAGGGTACTCTTGGCCATACAGCTGCAAAGTGCAGTTGTGGGACGCCTGGCCTAGCGTGGGCGTGTACGTGATGGGCGTGCTCTCTGCAAGCATGGACTTTACACGCGCTATGCGGTCTTCCAAATCAGCGAGGCACGCTGTGTATGTATCGTTGCGTAGTTGGTCGGCCGACGAGGGCAAAAGAGCAAGAACTTGGCGCATATCCAGCGGTATTGGCGACGTCTGTGGCGCGCCGACCATGTACAAGCGACCGGTGGATGGATCATGCACGCCAGCCATGTCCCACGCCGTCATCGACAATGTCCCGTTGAACGAGAACGCCCTGAGTACCATTTCGCCCCATACACGAGAGACATTGGTGTGCGCCACCGGCTCTGCACTCAAGGCGTAGGACGACGTAGGCGTGCGATGCCACCACAGCCAATCGCCACGCTCACGTCGCTGTGTCTTGGTCGAATCAGACGTATTGTACGCGGTAAAGTTGCCGCGGAAAAACGCGCTGATATTGCGATAATAGGCAGCATCGTTGGAGCGTACATGTTTCCAGGAGGCCTGGATGGCATCGAGGTGAGGATCTTGATCGCGATGGAGAGTAAAGTTGCCTTGCTGCGTAGCATTGTGATGCATATAGCCATGCAATTCGGACCGTTCGCGCTCCATGCGCCGAAGCGTGCGACGTAGCATCGCTGTATCGTCTTCGTCGTCATCCAATAGCGAAGCATGCACGATAACAGCGGTGGCAATCAGCCACCAAAGGCACACCCATACGCCCCCCCGCATGGTGAGCGGATGGACGTGCGGCGGTGGCGTGCCCTCGCGTGGAGGTACGCAGCGAGAGTTTTAGTCATCCACCCACACAGCGACGAAGAACGGCGCTCGAGTCGATCCTGCTACGACACGCGCACCATGCATGTCCATGTCCTGGGCGTCGGCGCGATAGGTACGCTGATTGCTGCGCATGTACGTGCTATGGTCCGGCAGCGTAGCATGGCGGCTACGGCATCGTCGGTGCCAAGCTGGCGCTTCTCGCGTGTGCCTATGTTTGTCGTGCCGCAGCATGTAGCCCCCTTCTGGCCTGACGCCACGACGACGACGGTGACACTGCATATGCGCGATCGCATGTACGATCGTGCGAAAGAGCCGCGGAAGCCCGGTGCTAGCGTCACGGTAGAGCGCGATGGAGCACGTCTGACCGAGACCGGATTCCATGTCGAGCTCACATCGCCCGCCGATCCCAGCCAGCCACGCTACTTGGCCCCCGATGCCCACGGCGTACTGCAGGACCAGCCCGGTACACCGCCTCTGCCGATCGACAGCCTGATTGTGACGACGAAGGCAGATGCCACATATGCGGCCCTCGCTCCGTTGGCGCCACGTATTACCCCCGCTACGACGATTGTCCTCCTCCAGAATGGCATGGGTGTGCTGGACATGCTATTGGAACGGATATGGCAGCACCCTGACTCGCGCCCTCACTTTGTGCTGGCCAGTGCGACACATGGCTGCTATGTCAAGCGGCCTCTGCATACCGTGCATGCCGGGTTTGGGAGTATGCATCTTGGCCTTGTGCCCAGCGCGATGGCCCCCCGTGCCGAGACAGACGCCTCGTTGGAACGGCCGCTGCCCCCTGTCACGAATGCCACTCAGCCAGAACTGGATTTGGCTGCGATACCCGATGCTCCATACACCCGCAGTGTCCGCGAAACGCTCGCGTTGCTTCTCTCGCTGCCGCTGGATGTGCATTGGGAGCCGATTCGTGCCTTCCAACTTCGTGCGCTACGTAAGCTGATTATCAATGCGTGCATCAACCCGACCACCGCGCTGGCAGACTGCAAGAATGGCGACTTGTTTGGTGCGCCCAATGCGCTGGACCTGTTCCGTGCGCTGTGCACGGAAGCAAGTCAAGTGCTGGAGGCGCACGCGCGCGATGCCAAGGCGGCGCAGGCCTCGCGGGAGACAGATGCGGCGCATCTGAGCACACTGCCGCTAGCGGATCTACTCACGCAGACCGATGCGGATGGCCTGCCGCTGCTCGATACGTCGCTGAAGCCTGCATCGATGCTGCATGAAGTTGAGAATGTCGTGCGAGCCACAGCGGCGAACTGGAGCAGCATGCACCAGGATGTGTACCAACGACGTGGCCGGACGGAGATTGACTTTATGAATGGGTATCTATCGGAGTTGGGACGCGCGTATGGCATCCCTACGCCGACGCACGACATGATGACGAATCTCATCAAACTCAAGACACAGCGGGCGACTGGCTCGTGGCGCACACGCGCAATGTAAAGTAGTTAGGCACGTCGCTCTGGGTCCTGCATACGGTGAACTTGCACCTCCCTGCGTGTGAGATAGTGAGATACGTACGGTCCCAAGGATACAGAGCCCATATTCTGCGGCGTGATGAGAATGTACTGCACGCCTGCAGAGGCACGCGCAGCGTCGATCTAGAAGTGAGCGAGACAGTGCGACGTACAATCATTTTCATGGACACTTTGCGGTTCACCGCGTCCATAAACACGTCGAATTCGTCCAGGCACCGAATAGGGCATCCAATTGCCTCCCATAACGACAACAGCAAACAGATCGTCGCAAACGACTTTTCGCCGCCAGAGAGCGCCTTGGGATCCTTGCCATACTGCGAGGCATCGCCGGTGTGCACACGCAGCTTGAGCGTCTGCGCATTGTGATCAAAGTGGAGAGAGCCAGCAAATCCACGCTGCTGAAGATGCAAAGCAAAGTTCGCGCGTGCGCGAATCGCGACAAAGCGGCGGAAGTAGTGCCATTTCTCCAGGCGCAGTTGTATAGCATGATCCAGCACGTGGATCGTCGTGCGCGTGTGCTCAAGCTGCTGCTTGGCGTCATGAAACGCCTTGTTCTTCGCACGCAAATCCCGTACGATCTCGTCGACAGAAAGACCAGTGTGCGCCTGCACTGCTTCCATATGTGCTTCAATCGTACGTATCTGCTCCTCCAACGACGCAGGCGTACGCTGCGTCTCGACACGAGCGCAGTACTCCGTCGCCATGACGGTCCAGGACTCAAGGTAAGTGTAGGCCATACGTACATCAATCAACGCCGCAAGCGATCGTTCTTTGCTTTCGTCTTCGTGCATCTGGGCCTGCTGCGTCTCAATTTGACGCGCCCAGTACTCTTTGTTCTTCTGCAGACGTACGCGCTCTGTGTACGTCGCCTGCAAGGACGCCTCGGTACTTTGCTTATGCCCTTCGACGAGTTGAATCTGCTCCTGGAGCTGCGCATGCTTCGTAGTAGGCGCTGAAAGCGCTTCTTCCGCTGCTTCCTTTTGCGATTCAATGTCCTTGAAACGGTCAACAATGTGCGCCATTTCTTCTTCCGCATCCGCTTTGGCCTCTTCCAGAGCAGCGACATTCGCCGGCTCTTCTTCGCGCATGCGATCCTCCACAGCGGCCATACGGTATCGCACCTCACGCAATGCCTGCTTCGCCTCGTCCTGGGCCTGCTGATGGGCTCGCTCATCCGCCTGCCATGTAGCCTCCTGGCGCTGCCATGCCGTCAGGGAAGTTGCGACATGCTGAAGCTTGACGTCGTTTGCGGACATCGCCTGCCTCGCCTCGTCCATCTCGGCACGCGCATCGGAAACCAGGCGCGGGACACCTGTATACGATGTCACTGTCTGTGTCGAACTGCCTGTAGGCCCACCAGTAATCCGGAATAGGTCGGCGGAATAGCACTGCTGGACATTCGCCCAGCGCTGTCGCATAAGTTCGTCGCCTTGCACACGTTGGTGGACCAGGGCACTTTTCTCAATACGGTGCGCATCAATGAGGACACGCAGAATGTGCTCGTCTGTGTCAAGTACGCGAAGAATAGTAGTGATGGACGGATCTGGCTCGCCACTGGTATAATCGAACAAGTCGCGCGCTGCCGTGATGATTTGGTTCGAGGCGCGGCACTCGCGTAGGATGCGGGCTAAGCGTGCACGGTCTTCGTGGTTGGTCACCAAGAACGCATTCAGCGAGTCGTTGAGCACACTCTCGATCAGCGGCGCCCACCGTGCATCGTGCAAGCGAATATGCATGCCCAGAGGGCCCACAGGCTTGGAATGCCAGTGCGTCTCACGCTCAATCGCCGCGAGAACACGAGGGATGGACGCACCGCCAAACGCCGTACTTCGATTCGCCGACGCTTCTTCACACCGCCGTAGGAAACTGCGCAAGTGGGCCTGCTTCTCCTCCAACGACTGCTTCTCTGCCATGATCTTGGCACGCTCGGCAACATGTGCTTGACGCTGCTCGGCTAGGGTCTCAGACGCCTGGCCTAGCGTCACTTGCCGCATTTCCAAGTCGAGACGCTCACGCTGCAGCGCATCGCGCTCAGCTTCTTGGGCCTCACGAATCGCTCGACGATCTTGCGCTTGACGGCGCGCTTCGTTGTCGATTTGCGATTGCAGTTGGCGGATCATACGCTGGACACGATCTGCCTGCTCATTGAGGTCACGTTCCTGCGTCTTAAGAGCGCTCAGCGCCGCCTTGCGATCACGAAGCTCATGCAGGATCTCGGCGCGCTGCTGCTGCAATTGCACTTCCCGTTCGTTTTGCTCACGATTGCGCGTCTCCAGCTCAGCCACCGTCTCGTCAAGGCCAGTCGCGCGCTGCGCCTCCTCATCCCGCTTCTTCTCCATCGCAGCTACCTTGGCACGAGCAGTTTCGAGTTGTTCGGCCAAGGCGCCAAGTTCCTTCTCCTTGGCAATCACTTGACTCCATACAAGTTCTTCTTTTAGCGCATCCAGCTTCTCCTGCTCCACGCGCGCTTGTTCCACCTGCTGCCATCGGGCATTGGCTTCCCGCGCTTCACGCTCCAGGTCAGGCAAAACATCTTCCGACAAGGCCATCGCACGTTTCATGCGCTGAATGTTGGTCTGAATGAGCTCGTATTCTTGCGCAAGCTGCGTCAGCTGCGTGCCACGCAAGAAAAAACTGTACTTATCCTCGGCATGCGAGCTTCCGAGGAACTGGCGGGCCGCATCCTGGCTAAGAATGTTCATGGGATTGTCCACTTGAATATTCGCATGATCACATATTGCATCCAGCTCTTCTCGCTTGGTCGATACGACGCGGCCTGCCGACGTACGGATCTTCCACGATCCACCACCGTCCGCATGGATACGCCGTTCAATGGTGATACGATCCCCATAGATGTCATGCCGGAAAGCATCGGTACCATGATTGCGCAAGTGCACACGAACCTCCGCTGCGGAGGCACCTTCACGAATAAAATCTTTGAGACTGCTGCCGCGACTGGTCGTGTTCGCTTTCCCACCCAGGGCCACAGTAATCGCTGTGAGAATGGCGCTCTTTCCACTGCCATTGTGTCCAATGATAAAATTAATACGAGGGCCTAACGAAATGCTTAGGTTTCGGTGGCACATGAAATTGATCATATCCACACGTTCAATGACGCCCATCGTATCCCATGATGTATCAGTATGCATGGGTGCAGGCGCCGTAGAAGCAATCTCCATCTCTTCGGCAGGCGGCTGCGACGGCGACGGTGACGACGACGATGGCGATGACGATGATGGCGACGGCGTGTGGATCCGTGCGCGTTTGGACTGCGTAAGTAAGAAGGCCCACGTACCAACAAAGCCAAGTCACGTAGCCCCTCTTCGTCATTATCCTCCTCGTCTGATCGTGGGCGCCGCATGGATGCTTTGCCCGCCAGCCTCCTAGGGCGCGAGCTACGGCGTGCGTGTCGTACACAAGACACGATGTAGTGTCAAAGCCTCCTCAACACGCTCGCTACGCGTGATTAATTCCTCGACACATCAATCCCATCCAATTCGTCGGTCGACGTCGTGGCCTTCGCTGAACGCCGCCTTCTTACGACATCCACGTTGAACATGTTTGGTGGTATGTACGCACAGATGAAAGCGACTAACACACAGGTGCCCCTGCTCCGTCTCCTCTTGAGCTAGCTATTGCGCGTACCCAGGCGCGTCGCACGATCCGCTCGTTCGTCTTGGTCGCAGGTATCCTGCACTTCAGTACGTATGCTCCCACTGCTCATGCCAGCGCCCTACCTCTTCCACTACCTGAACACGGTGTTCCGTGTGAAGTAAACAGAATCGATGCACATACTCATTCTACGGGCAGTGCTTCTCATATAAAAACGACAACACACAGATCCACCCTAGCATAGAATGGATCCATCTCACTACAAATCCTCCTTGGGATGCTTCGTGAGGTCCTGCGTTTGCGAGTTCAGCATGGCTTTTTCTTCACTCGCTGTTAGTGGCACGTAAAAGTCGTTCTTGTTAAGGAAGAGCGCAATTGCATCAAAGTAGCTTTTCTTCGCAAAGTGAGTCGTATTGCACAGGCCACACATACCGTGATCCACGTATCGTCTGCGCCGAAGTCAGTATACCTGTACGTACTGTGCATTGCATCTTTGAATGTATGGAATTCCTTCGCTGTGCTGACAGAGAGCTCGTAGAGTTTCTTCATGTGCGCCGGAGGTACCAATTCATCGTTGGCGCCGCTCAGGAAAAGGATGGGGGTTGAAGCAGGAATGCGTTGGATGGCTTCGTTGGACGGCCAAATTTCACCTGCACGTAAGATAATCGGATACATACGGCAGAGGAACGTAAAGTGGCGTAGCACAGGGAGCACCGAGGGAATGAGAAGCGGAATGCTCAGGAAGCTGAAGGGTGGTCAGCGTACCATCCACGTACGTGTTTTCCACAATCACACTACGGACCTAGAGCATAAGCACATGTACAACGTACCGTAGAAGGGTTTCGGGCCGCCAGATCAATGGCAACAGCACCACCAATACTTTGGCCATACACAAGGATCTTAGATGAACGAAGCTTTTCGTTCGAGCGAACCCAGTCAAGAACCGTTTGTGCGTCAATGCGCAGACCTGCTTCGGTAGGATCGCCTGTGGAGAGGCCATATCCACGATACGAGAGCATCACGACATGGCACCCCATGCGCTTGTAAAACTGCAATGCGATGGGCAAACGATGGCCCATATTCCCGGCATTCGCATGGAACAAGATCACCGTAGGACGCGATGCGTCATCCTCATGCGACATCGCATATACATGCAGCTTAACGCGATCAGGTGTCGTTAAGCGATGCTCTGTGTACGGCATATCCAGGGAATCGGGCGTGTCGACATGCGTCCGCGATCCCTCAGGGAAGGTCGATGGATAAACCAGTGCACTTTGGTACACATACAGCAGACCAGCAACAGACGCCACAGCGATGCCGACAAACCCGGCAGTCACACGTACCCACGTACCTAGACTCATAACAACGTTGGTCGTAAGGCGCGTACGCGCGCACGTAGCACAAGCCACGCTGCTCTGCAGGGGCCTTTTTACCTGCCCGATGCCGATGTCATCGATCGGCCGAAGATCCAATCGTCGCGCACGCGCACGGCTTGTCCCCCATGGTTGCTATACACGACGATGGCCCCCCCGCTGTACAGTACGTAACGCGTGTGTGAATACACTAACGAGGCAGCCACGCAGTCTGGCCGCCTCTGGCATGCAGGGCAGATCTTGATCATGACGGTCGGGTTGCCAGGCCGTGGCAAGACGCACTTGGCGCATGCGATTCAGCGCTATCTGCGCTGGCTCGGTGTCCGATGCCAAGTGTTCAACCTGGCGAACATGCGACGTGACCTACTCGGCTCCGTGAAGGATCTTCCGGCCGACTACTTCGGTGATGGATGCAGAGCAGAAGAAGAGACGTTAGCGCTACGTGAGCAGGTGACTACGAAGATTACAGAGAAAATCGCCGCATTCTTTGAGGATGGTGGTCAAGTGGCCGTGTATGATGCCAACAACAGTACGAAGGAGCGCCGATCTCTGATCCGCGAGCGATTTGAAAAAGAGCTTAACGTGCAGATCATGTTTGTTGAGTGCCTGTGTGATGACCCCAAAATTGTGGAGCGCAACATTCGCTCTATGCACCGATTCAACCCAGACTACCGCGGATGGAAGCTGGAGGATGTGAAGAAACACTTTTCCGACCGCATTTCCCGCCATGAGATGGATTACCAGCCTATTGATACGACAACGGCAGCGCATATCCAGCTGCACAACTTTGGCCAGCGTGTTGTCGTGAACAATGTGAAGGGCTACCTGCAAAACCGCATTGTATTTTTCCTCATGAACATGCACAACGAAGACCGTACGATATACTTTGCGCGAGCTGGTGAAGCGCTGATTGAACATCTGTACAAGGCCGATGCAGAGCTTTCCTCACTCGGTCACGAATACGCCCAGCGTCTTTGTGAGTTTATGATGATGAGGCGCTCGCATGATAATGCTGTGGACGAAGACAAACCAACGTTGTCACAGGAACACACGGTCTCGTATATCTCGTCGCACGACGAAAACGATGTGCCTTTTGAGTTTGAAGAGACAGAGCGAGAGTTCCAGGTATGGTGCTCGACCAGGAAACGCTCAGAAAACACCGCGGCGCCCTTCCGCGACTACGATGTGAGGATCATCGAGTGGTCCCGCCTGGCCGAGATGAACCCTGGTGTGGTGGATGGCATGAGCGAAGAAGAGATTCTTTCGCGCTTCCCCAAGTACCACGAAGAGCAAAAGAAGGATCCGTACACGTTCCGTTTCCCACGGGCCGAGAGCTATCATGATTTGGCTATCCGTCTAGAACCTGTGATTCTAGAATTGGAGCGTGTGCGCAAAGATGTCCTGATCATTGCGCAGTCGTCGGTCCTGCGTTGCTTGATTGCCTATTTGCAGGGCAACAAGCCCACTGAGATCCCATTTATCCAAGTCCGTGAAGGTGACTTGGTAGAAGTGCATCCCCAAGCTTTCGGCGTAGCGACGCGTGTTTATTCATTCTGGAACCCTGAGAAAGAGCGCGAAAAGCGCGATATTGAATTTGCTACACGTGCCGCTATGGCCATTGCCCAACAACGGGCTGAAAAAGAGCGCCAGAGCAAAGTCGGCCAGGAGGAGGAAGACCTGGAAAGCAGCACCGTTACGGAGATGGCGGCACAGATGGAAAAGACGATATCACTGTAGGTTAGATGTAAACTAGGACGGGTAGGACGTACCTTGGCGTACTTGTCACTTTTCAACTTCGCACGCCGATCCAGCATGGCCTCTGCTAGACGGCCTTCCCGCTGCGCTTGGACCAATTCGCGTCGCGACTCTTTGGTAAAGTGATGCGAGGTGCCAGCATTCCAGCCCTGCCTTGAGCGAGAGAGTCGTTCTTCGTCAAGCAAACTTGCTTGCGCTGTAGGAGCCACTTTGGTCGCGCGATGCATTTGTCGATAAGCATGCCGGAATTTCCACTGCACGTTCAAATCCCACACACTCAACGACGTCACCTCTTGGCCGTCGGCACGCAAACGACGCTTAGCCTGCGTCTCAGTCGGATCGTCCAGGGCAAGGTAGCCGCCATACATCGACTGGAACGCGAAACCACGGCGCGGACCAGCCAAAATACGGTCGTCCGAGGATGGCATGACATCCACCTGATACAGAGTCCATTCTTCCTGTGGACCCCGCGCTTCATTGGTCGCGATGACTTCGCCATATTTGTCACAGCCAAGGAACGTGCCTTGTGTACTTTTCAACGTCCATTTGCTGCTCATAGGAATATTCGTAGCCACCCAAACCTGGTGCACGGTGTTGGGTGCAACATCAGTGGCCGCAATGGTTGCACCGTCTTCGACCATTTCGAGAGGGATGTCAGGCTGCTCGACAGTTGTCGTCTCTACTTGTGAGAGAGGAGCATTGTACGTGAGGACGAGCGCAGATCCATTCTGTTGGCGCTGGTGTACAAATGTCGGCCCAGTGACTTCCCCACATGTCGCAGGCGGGACCCACGCTGGTGTAAGCGTCTACGAAGCACGGACGTACCTTGTTCATCGCCTCCATACATTTCAACGTCGGACTCGTCACCAGTCACTTGGGCACGCTTAGACGCGCGCTTTTCATCACTACTCTTCGTGCGTTTCCGTTTGGGCTATGTCAGTTATATTAGCACGTACTTTGTCGCCCTTGAATGTCAATCGCATCGACTTGCCTGTCATGCTGAATGTGGACGGTGGAGGTGTGGACCAGTGACCCTGAAATGGGCGCATTTCTCCATCTGGAGAGGTTCACTTGTGTGGCATGCCTACCCCTTGGCTAACATGGGTACGTGCGCTGTCAACCGCTTGGCAATGTCCACGAAGAGCACGCCTTTCACGCTCTGCATTGGCACAGGTGGCTATGGATCTTCTCCTGGTCGGTACAGGGTTTCGTGTCGCCACCCTACTCGATGTAGATCGCCTTAACTACCAGCAATGCATACAAGTATCGCATTGCGTAGCACAGGTACGTCCTCGACCTCCCTCCCTCATACAGCCAGTATTGGCCTGATATATTATTGGTGCTCTATGTTCCATCACAACAAGTCCTAGCTGTCCATCGACATGCTTTGAAGCATACATGGTCTACTCATACGCCCTTGTATATCGATCCCTCTGACCCCTCTGATCCTTTCCTCCTTCCTCATGGCCCTCATACGCTGCTTCACACTATTTTTCAAGCATGCTTGGACAACCAATCTCTCCTTATTCTCGATAGTCATGATCCTCATGCATCAAAATGTGGCATCACGGCGTGTGGTTGGCTCCTGGGCTACCCCGTTGTCTATGCCTGGGCCGACAATGACCTACTCACACTCCAAACTCTGGACCCGTACCAAGATACCACAAAAACCGCTTGGGATACAGATGTGTGGGATCATGTACCGACCACGGCAACTCACTTAACGTTGTATCTTGTACATGCCCATCTCTCTTGTGCCCCGTTGCCAGGCCTCTCATTACCGTATGTCACACGTACATCACTCACATGCAGGCACAGATACCTCGCATTTAGTCTACCTGCTGCCATGCCTGATGCGCAAAAACACGGCACTCAATTTTCGGAACGTCTTCAAACGCACGCTCAGCGCAATTCTGCCCTGCTGCCCTCGTTTTTGCAGCCTGTCACACTCTCGACTCACTGTGAGTTGGTCCATAGGGACCGTATTGCCTTATAGACTATGCTTGGTCTACGCATTTTGGCCTGCCTTCTTCGCTGCTGCCGCCTGATGTGAGTATGGCATGAATGCGTACCTCCTGTTTCGCACGAAGGGCGGCTGCGTCACGCTCTCGTCGCTGCGCAAGAGTCATGCCGCTGTCGTTCGGTTTTCCCTTGTTTTGCTCAGCCTGCTTCTTCTGGTTCTTGGCACGAGCAATCTCACGGGCATTGCCACCTGTGGGTAAGTTATAACGTCTACATACGCGCCATCGTGAATTGTTCGGCGTTGGTAGCGGAGAGGAAAAATGGGAGTGATGCCCCTTTGTCCTTGTAGGCCGATCCTCCACTTTGGGTGAGGTGGTCTTATCTAGGCCAACCCAGTCATTTAATTAGCCATTATCTTTTTTTCCATCATGTCGTTCACGCACTTGATGCAATCACTTCCTCGCACTGCGCCTGCCTTGGCAAAGTCAGCATGCAGGCGTTCTTTGTGGACGAACAGTGCTGGTGTGAAGAGCCTGCTGACACTGGCTGATCTCCCTGTCGAGCAGATTGACGGACTGCTGCAGCGTTCGGCTGCCTTGAAACACATCGCCAAACACACAGTGCAAGGTCCTTCTGGTTTGGAAAAGTCTTTGCATAGCAAGACCATTGCTATCATGTTTAGCAAGCGTAGCACACGTACGCGGGTCTCAAGTGAATCTAGTGTTGCAGCGCTGGGCGGCCACCCCATGTTCCTTTCCCCCTCTGATATCCAACTGGGTGTGAATGAGTCATTGTACGATACTGCCAAAGTTGTCAGCTCTATGGTTGATGGTATTATGGCTCGGGTGGGTGGACATGATGAAATTACGGTACGCTCTATCTACACTAACGAGAAAAGACCCTCGCCGCCAACTCGACTGTACCTGTGATCAATGCCTTGTCGAGTCGCTTCCACCCCACGCAGATTCTCGCCGACCTTCTTACGATGCTGGAAGTGGAAGCCAATGGTGGTCCCATTCCGTCCGTGACTGCCTTGGCTGGCAAGAAGGTGGCCTGGGTCGGTGACTCGAACAACATTCTGAACGATATGCTTGTGGCGTACCCACGTATCGGTATGGACCTTAGTGTTGCAGCACCCAAGGGATCTATGTATGCTCCTGATCCTATTGTATGGGACTTAATGGAAAAAGAGCTTGCCGCCATGCCTGCCAGTGCTACGAAGGGCAATGCCACCTGGAGCCACGATCCAGCCGAAGCAGTGCGTGGCGCTGACTACATTGTCACCGACACATGGTATGTTCTACACCATTACTCACATCACAGGATCTCTATGGGTGACGAGGCGCAAAAGGATCAGCGTCTCCGCGACTTTGCCGGGTTCCAGGTGACTGAGACCCTGGCAAGCCAAGGCGGCGCGAAGCCGGATTGGAAGTTTTTGCACTGCCTTCCCCGAAAGGCTGAAGAAGTATCTGATGAGGTATGTTGAAATGGTCAGCTCACATCGATAGGTATTTTACGGCCCTCGTTCCCTTGTTTTCCCTGAGGCAGAGAACCGCAAATGGACCATCATGGCTTGCTTTGAGTACGTATTCTCCATCATTTCTCCATTAACATTCCCAGCTGGGTCTTTGGTGGGAAAGACTTGTAAACATGCGAATAGAGTTATGCTTAGTCTCTCCGACTGCTATGCCATTCTTGCTGTCAGCCATATAGGACTTCCATCGGACCTGAAGTTCTATGTATCTACGCACGGACACTCCACGTGGAGGTGGCAAATCCTTCCGCGGAGATGGTTCGTCTTGGGCGATCGATGGCTGTAACTATGGCGCCTTTATATTGACCGTCATTCGACTCTTTCGACGTACTCTATCTACTTTGTCTAGAATGGTGAACTTTTATGATCTGAAGGCTGAGATGCCCCAAGGCAAGACTTACGACTTTCAACAACTGAAGGGCAAGGTCGTTTTGATTGTGAACACGGCTAGTAAGTGTGGTTTTACGCCACAGTTCGAAGGTCTCGAGAAGTTGTTCAAGCAGTACGAGTCTCGTGGCCTTGTGATTCTTGGCTTCCCATGCAACCAGTTTGCGTCGCAGGACCCTGGAAACGATTCTGACATCGGTTCTTTCTGCGTCAAGGTAAGCTAACCCGGATCCTCTCTCTAACACCCAGAACTACGGTGTCTCGTTCCCCATCATGGCCAAGTCTGATGTTAATGGTGAACACGCAAACGAAACATTCAAGTTCTTGAAGCACGCTAAGCCAGGTCTTCTAGGTACCGAAGCCATTAGTACGTATACATTACCTTACTCACACTCTAGAGTGGAACTTTACCAAAGTATGTGCTTGGAAAACAGCGTATTCTAACCGGCCAGTTCCTTGTCGACAAGCAGGGCAATGTAGCGCACCGCTACTCTCCGACCACGAAGCCCGAGAGTATTGCGCAGGACATCGAGAAGCTGCTTTGATAGATTCTTTTAGCCGTATAACACAATGTTCCACTCATTATTTACCAGCTACTTTCTTGTCCCATTGCCGCTCCAAGCTCGCAAACAGTTGTGCAACAGGGGATTTTTGTTTCGGATTGTCCACATGTGTAAACTGCTTTGGGATCTTCCCTGCATCTTACTCCATGAGTCATGCGATATACGTACCAGCGTTCTCCAGCTGCGCTTGCATGGTAATATAGTCTTTCTTCCTTGCGCGGAGAACCGACTTGAGGACAAAGTATCCTGAGAAAGCTGAAACAAGCATCACACCCCAGCTATTTGGTCAGTCATGTACTACATACGCAATAGCCATACGTTTTGGTGAGCCTTCATATATACGATTCTGTGACGAGACCATGGATGGTGGCTCTATGTGGAGTTCTTGGCTTGCCGCCCAGCCATGACAGACCCTTTATGGGAAGAGCTGTCGTTGCTACGCTCTACCCTATTGCCTGAAGAATTTGCCTGGCGTGGATCACCTGATGAACAGAAAGTATGGGAGTCAGACTATGACGCCTTTCAAAATGGAAGGACTCCATCGTCTAGTCAAGTCCATGTATCTCTATGCGTGAACCAGGTACTTGGCATATGGCTGCATGTCAAGCTAGATGTCACGCAAGAGACGCCTACGATGACGGTGATGGTACAGCGAAGCGACATAATCTCGCAAGAGAAACTTTCTATGATGGCACAGGATCGTTTGCAACAATTGGCGTCTCAAGGTTCGTCCTCTTCTAGCTTACATGCAGATCTCCCATTTCGCACATTTGACGTTCTCACTCTCTTGCAAGAATATGCCTCCAGTATTCAAGAAGAAAAGAAAGACCAAATCCTCTCACATCCGGTTATTGAAACTACCTCCGATCGCGATGCATTCACGCCGTCCATGCTCATGCACCGTGTTCTTTTCTGGTCGCATCATTTGGTCTCTCCGACCAAGCGGAAGCAGTTCGCTGCTTGGTGTCCCGAGCTTCAAGTATGGGGCCTATATAAACTTGGATACCCTGGATTTCTTGTATTTGAAGGCGCGAAAGACGACGTGACAGAGATTGCAAAACGTGTCAAGGTACGTTTGGATTCGCTAATAGGTAGAACATGCAATGGCATGCCCTTTCTATGCGTATTGAGTCGGAGTGGGTCTTCCAACGCCCCCAGGAAGAAACGCTGCCAACGCACGAGGCAGCTTTGCGAGCTTGTCCTATTGCCAAAGGGCGCACTATTTCAGGTACATTGCGCACAGACACCGAAGAGGTCGAAACGATGGGTGCCTTTATCACACGGTATGCACTATCTACCTAACATGCAGGCTGCGTGATATGGGACTACAGGATGATGAGATAACAGAAGCATGTCACCTGCGTGTATCAAAATAGGGAAAAATTCTCCATACCTATTCTCCCAGCACGGGCCGAGGCCCTAGTGCAGCGTCGAGGCAAAGCTCTTAATGGCTGCACGGCTCGTAGAATAGGAATGGCAGACAGAGAAAGTACTAGAACCTCACTCTTCACTTTCTTGTTCATTGTGGGGTCTCGTGCAAGAAAGGAAGAGTACAAGAAAGAACACGATGTATGACGCCCACAGCTCTGATGCACATCAAAGACTTTCCACAGGGTCATGGAAAACAGCCACAAAGACTGATTCTAGCCTGTATGCAGTCAAAACTAGTGAGGAGTACAAGCCTTGCTTGCCTAGTGTGCTGCAGCGAATAGTGTTAGTGTGATCATGACACACAACCAAGCCCGAATCCAGGGCAGCGAAAGCGCATCCTTCCGGACCAATACCAAGTGCTCTAGGAATGAAGTAAACAAACCGAGCTTCTTGGTACGTGCTCCATCGACTCCAGGGCTAGGCGTGTACACTGTCCGAAGGCCGTCGTACAAGCTCTATACCAAGACAGGATGACGCGGAGGACGCGCCTTTCTTTGCCTTACATAATCTTGCTCAGTGTGGAGAGGGCCTGTGCGGTATGGTGCTGTTCCTGCGCCTTCCTGTGAGGCGAAAGCGTACGTACCATCAACGACATGATGGAGCCAAACTTGGGGTGAGATGTATTGCCTGGTGTAAGGCGTGTAGGTACATACGTAGTACTTGGTACAAAAGCGAGTCCGTACTGGATATATGCACTCCTGCATCTCGCAATGTCTGTAAATGTGAGTCAACCTTCAACGTGCCTGTAATGCTAACGGTGTTTGTTCCGCACGGGTAGCACTAATTGCATCGTGAGGAATATGGACTTTACATCCATGCTTTCTCAGATCAAGCGCTGTCTGAAGAATGCATATATGCGATTCTACGTAAGTCTGCTTTGTACGTACCCATGCCGCACAGAATATAATCATACTCCTGCCATGCATCTTGCTTCTGTGATGCCTGCTTCAACATGCTGGATAAAATACTATCATCCAGCATACTGAAAGCTGTCTTTGCTTGTATGGCGTGCATTGGTGTACGCTGAATTTCGTGTCGAAGGGGCTCCCACGTTGGACCAAATGCTGCATGGTCAGGCCCACAACAAAGCATACCCTGAACTGACTGCTCTGTGGCAAGGACAGGCCATTCGAAAATCTGGGCTGCCCGCACCATCTTCTTGGACATGCGAGCTACATGCTCAAAAGCAAAAATGGACGAACTTGTGTTAGTGTCGTGATACATACCGAAACTATGTTAGCCAATTTACCTCATACCTTTCCCTGCACATCGCTGGCCGTTAGTCACCTATTACGTACCAGATCAGCAATGCGACAGGCTTGGTCAAGTGCCAAGGCATGGTCAGTGCACAGTAATGGTGGCAGGGGGGCACGTGATGGAAAGCGACGGCCCGCGACATATCTCCTCTCGCTCGCAGGCCCATCGCTGGACTAGCTCGTCCTACATATCGTCCTTTCACTAATAAATAAAAAGTGTAATTGAAATTACCTACGTCTATATCTGTGATATAGATATTTACTCGTAGATCCACTGGTCAATGGCACGGGTGTAGGGGATGGTGCCATCCTGCTCACCGAACCAGAGAGCAATCTCAGCCTTGGCCGACTCCACCGAGTCCGAGCCGTGGCAGATGTTGCGACCGACATCGATGGCAAAGTCACCACGGATGGTGCCCGGAGCCGAGGCCAGCGGGTTGGTAGCGCCAAGCAGAACACGGCCCTGCTTCACGACGTCCTTACCCTGCCACACCATAGCGACAACGGGGCCCGACGACATGTACTTGACAAGACCAGGGAAGAAGGGCTTCTCCTTGAGGTCCTTGTAGTGCTTCTCAAGGTGCTCAGGGCTGGCGTGCACAAGCTTCATAGCAACGAGCTGGAAGCCACGGTCCTCGAAACGCTGGATGATCTTACCAACAAGACCGCGCTGAACGCCATCAGGCTTAATCATAATGTAGGCTAGACGTTAGCTTACCGTATACGATTCCATACATACTCTGCTCAGTAGCCATGGTGAATGAGTTTTGGTGAGGAAAGCAGAAACGTGCACGACGCCAGCACATGAATATGGTCGCACGTGACGACCGTTTTGCTCGCGCAACGTGCATGCATGGGTATGTTGGATGGACCCTGCCTTGGCCTTACCGCAATATGCACGGGTGTCTGCCAATGATGGCCTTACGGCGATCATGCATGTCCCTCCGACCTGGCGTACAACGCCATAGCTCTGTGTTACCAGGTCGGATATGGCAGCACTCTATCCATTCTAGTGTGCATGCCGCCACCCGGCAAGCCACGTCGCGCTCGATCCGTTACTGGGCGGCCGGTCTTGCCGGTGGCATTGGTCTTATGACCTACACGCTGTTACGTTCTTCGGCATCGCGTACGAATGCCGTGCAGGATCTCAGTGAATCTACGGATACTGCATCACCGACATCCTCATCATCGACGCCCAAAGATGAACCGCCACCCGCTTCGTTTGCGCAGAGCATGTGGGGATGGACAGTACGGTACTTGATTGATCCATTCTTTGTGTTGAAGAGGTTTATCTACTTATCTATTCTATTCTTGCCTGTACTTCTCACTGTCCCTCTTCTTTTCTGCGGAGCAAGTTCCACTGTCACGGACGATCAAGGCCATACGGAAGAGCGGCCTGGTTGGGGCGCCCGGTTTTGGTTCGCTTTCCTGGTGAAGCAAATGGAGTTAGCTGGGCCGACGTTTGTCAAACTGGGGCAATGGGCCGGATCGCGTCGTGATCTGTTCCCTGAGGCCCTCTGCAATCAGCTAGCCAAGCTGCATTCAAGCAATCATCCTCATTCAATGAAACATACTCGTAAGGTGCTGGAATCCGTGTTTGGACTACCATTTGACGAGATTTTCACCTCCTTTGATACGGAGCCAGTAGGTGTGGGTGCTGTGGGTCAAGTGTACAAGGCTGTGCTTCGCTCGGATCTTTTGCCGCGCGACTACCTGGTGGAGAAAATTCAGGTAGACAAGCTGCATCAAACAGCGGAGCAGATTGGACGTGAACTTGCGTTGACGTATGATCACGACGAATCATTACGCCATGTTCCAGGCGCTGCTGTGGCTATCAAGGTGCTTCATCCGAATGTCCGCTCTACCATTGACTATGATATTCAAATCATGTCGTTCTTCGCTGGCTTAATTAATATGTTCCCGGGCATGAAGTGGGTCTCTTTCCCCGAAGAAGTCGAGCGATTCTCCGCGCTCATGTTCAGTCAATTGGATCTTCGCACAGAGGCTTCCAACCTAACGCGCTTTGAGAAGAACTTTGTTCGTCGTGGCGGTACTGTCACATTCCCTCGGCCGCTCCAAGTGTTCTGTACTCGGGAGGTGCTAGTTGAGGAGCTGATCGATGCTGTACCGCTGAAGCATTTTATGAAGATGGGCGGCTTAGATTATGATATGGCCATTGCCGAAATGGGTTTGGATGCGTTTTTGCAAATGCTACTGATTGACAATTTCACGCACGCTGATTTGCATCCAGGCAATATCATGGTAAAGTTCTACCGTCCTACCACTCGTTCCATGCTCCAAAATGCCTTCTCACGTATTCTGTCACGCTTCGATCCTTCCTACCTACTGGGCCATCCGAGCCGTACAGGCATTCTTTCGGATGAAGTCGTGGTAGAGGAGCTATTGTCGCGTACAAACGATAAACGAGCATGGCTCTCTGGCCTTCGCGCGCTTGAGGATGAAGGATACTTGCCTGAGCTTGTCATCCTGGACGCTGGGCTTGTGTCTGAGCTTTCGCCCAAGAATCTGCGCAACTTTCTCGACTTGTTCGCAGCGATTGTGACATTTGATGGTCGTCGAGCTGGTGAGCTCATGGTGGAACGCTGCCGGACGCCTGAGCTCGTCACCGACAAGAAGAGTTTTGTGAATGTCATTGGGTCAATTATGGATAGCGTACATTCAGACTCGTTCAGTTTGGCGTCACTGAACATCGGTGACGTTTTGTCGCAAGTCTTGTCCTCTGTGCGTCAGTACCACGTGAAGATGGAATCTGACTTTATGGACACCATCCTGAGTATCCTTATTCTCGAAGGCATTGGTCGTCGTCTCTACCCTGACCTGGATCTATTCACCCGGGCTGTTCCAATTCTTCGCTCGCTTGGGCAAAAGATGACCACAGACGAAACACAGCTTGCGTCGTTCCGTGAAAATATGAGTGTGGCTAATATCTGGCCCATGTTCAAACTCTGGGTGTATTTGGAAGCTCGTTCCTTATTCGCGAATACACAGCATCTTGCGCATGTGGTGGATGCATTTGTGCGCTACGGTTGGTTCTCCGACTAATTACAAGTTCATGTCATCATTGTCTGAATCCAGCAGGTCGCCGTCCAAGTCCACGTCCCCTGTATCATTATCACTTGCGTATTCCTCCTCCAAGTCAAAGTCTCCTTCGTCCATTTGTACTTGTGGGACCATTTCGTCAGCGTCCGAAGGAGCCGCTGCCGAACCATCATCATCTGATTCGGACTGTTCTTGTTAATATACCCATCCAGCATATACATACAGAGATAGAAAGGTTGGTAGGGAAATCAATTTCCTCAAAGTCATCGTCGTCCGTACGATTCGTCGCCACAGAGGGGGCCCTGGCCACAGATGGTGGTTTGGTCGGTGTTGTGGTTGTGTCAGCTTTGCTGGTATCACTTTTGGGTGTGTCCATATCGTTGGGCATGTGTGATGTGACCATAGGCGTGCCAGGTCCTGCAGGTATAGGTGTAGACCGTTCTGGCTTTACTTGTTTGTCTTTCGGGCCTGCTACTGGCGAGGCGCCTCGTTTTCGCGGTAGGGTCGTTCGAACGGCTGGCGATGACGAGCGGGAGTTGGTATTGAGCAGGCGTTGTGTCACGGCATTTGAAGCCGATTTGGCTGAGCGGGAAGATACTTTGCGCATACTCTTGTTTCCCAAGCCCATACACTTTTCCAGGTGTGTGGCATATCGATTGGACGATACCTGGCGGGAGCACACCAAGCATTCGAATAGGGGGTTGTTGGAGTAATAGTCCGTCTTTCGTCCATTTTCGCTGCTATTAGCGTCGACGATATCTTCCGTTAGCATAATTTTACACACCATGCACAGAACATCTGCGAGTGAGTGAGTACGTCATACATACTTTTGGCCGCAGTGAATGCAAGTTCCACGGCTACGCTTCACACTGGCATGTGCGTCAAGAGCCGTCTCTACCACGATTTCATTAATTAGGGAATCTAGCAATCTTGATTCCTGCGACGTCAGCTCGCCCTCGCTCACGCACAAAAAGCCGTTTGGGATCCATGTCATTCCTTCCTCGCGTGCGTTCGTGCGTAGGTGGTATGGTGGGAGCGTCTCCATGTGGAGGTGGCACAGCCGGCCGAGCGGCGTGGCCTAGAGGGTTCCGTGTAGTATTCCTTGTAGGCTCTGTCTTGCCAGTCATCCTAGGCGGCTGCTACTTTGTTATTGTGGGTGTCGTACAGGAACGAATCGAAAGATGTCATTTACTCTACCACCTCCATTAAAACAACAGCTTACCCTGTATCGGGACTCGTTGAATAATCAAATTGAGGCATGGGCTGCGGAGTACCATGTGAATCCTGCCGCCATTCGCCGCCATCTCGGCTTCTCCCGCGAATTCGGCAGACAACCCAACTCATGGAATTTGTACCAGCGATACCTCGCTGAGCAAAAGCGTAAAAGTGCTAATGGAGAGCCCACAGCGTTGGGTATGGCCATTTCCTCCATAGGGTCTGACTCCAACACGACCCAAGCCCAGCGAATTCGTGATGAACTAGCACCGCTGTACCAAAAAATGAAAGAAGATCCGGAGTTCATGTCGCGTACACAGCAGGAGATTAATGCATGGGAGCAAGATAACCGCCTTGAAAAGTCAAGTACTGTGACCAGGTCGGAATACAAGCGCGCTGTGCGTCGCTTTGAGCAATTCTCTCAACAATGCTCCCAAAATCTAGGCGCCGAATCGTTTACGATCATTGCTCACCCTAATATTGGCTCCAACCATGTACAAATTGCTGCCTCTCCGGCGGGTCTTCACGCCTTCCAAACAGCGCTTGGTGCTGGGAAGCCATTAGAGACGTTCCAGAATCGATTTGCTGCATGTATCTGTCTTACGATAGCCCCTACCGATGACCCTACGGCTCTGGACCGTGACCCTCACCTCGATGTTCAGGTGCCTCTGCAGCCCCAGGAGCCCATTATTTTACCGGAAGATCCTACACTGCTCACCTCTATTCAAAAACGCAAGCTAGCTACGCCGCTGTTCCAGCGGTTGGTCGAATCCGGCTTAGATCCCGTGGGACTGGCCAACTTCCGCAAAAAGTCGCAATCCCGATTCCCCTGGAAGGGTTTAATGACATGGCTTCACGAAAATGGGTACCGGTTCAATTATTGGCCTAATGATTCTACGTTGTATGGTATCCGGCATGCCACCGGCGAAGCTGCGTTGTTGCCCGCTCACCTTCGATGCGAAGGTTTAAATACGCCCAACTGCTGGAAATCTGAGGCTATGAATGCGATCCTACGAGCCTGTGTAGACCCCACGGATCCCTTGCGTGTGGTGCGAATGTAATTGTAATTTGATTCTTAATACTCTCGATAGACAATTTTCTACCGCTTCTAGGTTGCCGTGCGCAGTGCCTATTTCGGCTCCAAAATATCACTATCACTCTATTTGCAAGCCTTAGTACACTGTATACCGCTTGGTCGCTTAAATTCTTGCACGGGATTGGTTTTCTAGAATAGGCCCAAGCGTTTACACATCTCCGCGGCATTGCTGACGCATTCTGGCCTCAGACCAGTGTAGTTTTCCTAACGCACGCCTGCGCGGATTTTTAGAAGTGGCCTAGGCTGATTGGAGGCCATGGCCCACGATAATTACGTGGGTCAAGGAACTGTCTTCTGACGCGCAGTCAGGTATAAAGATCCCTTGCCACTTTATTTGCACTCCTTGGGCGACACCTTCCATCGTCACCATGTCGAAGGTAGGTGAGCCGGTAGGCGAAAAGTTGAGGGGCTCCCTCGATACGCCTCCTGACTCTGGTCAAATGTATGATCCTACTGATTTTGGGCCCATTGATGAAGAAAACGGCGTGCCTATGCACCCTAAGCAGACGCAACACAAGGGTGACTACAATACCAAGCTGGAGGACCGCACCGGTAACCAGAAGTTCGGTGTGCGCGTTCGAGAGCATTGGTGGCAGTTCTGGCGCTTCAAGAATCCTCCGCCGCCGCCGCCGGATAGCATTGACGATGCAGACCTACTTCCTCTGGGCAAGGCCAATATTTTCTCCGACTACACGTACCATTGGATTACACCTATGCTTCTACTGGGCTATCGACGTCCACTGGAGGCCACTGATCTGTGGGCCATGGATGGACCACGCAAGGCTGAAGTCCTCAGCACTCGCCTTGTCGAGCGCTGGGAGGCACGCGTGGCCAAGGCTGAGGCGTACAATGCGAAGATCGTTAGTGGTGAGGTCAAGGTGAAGAGTAGTCTTCGGCGTAAATGGCGCAAACAGGCAAAAAAGGAAATGGCGAACAACATGGGTGGTGAGGCTACGTTGGAGGAGCGCATGCATGCCAAAGAAACCATATGGCAAATGCCGGACTTCAATATGCTAAAGGGCTCTGATATTACACCCGAACTGAAGCGCATGAAAGAGTTGGCGGGTGAAGCGAAGAGTGGGCACAAGCGTGCGGACCTTTTCTGGGCCTGTTTCGACATTTTCTGGCCGCATCTGTTGGAGGCCTTTACGGCGAAGTTGCTGGCTGATACGGCCCAGATGACCTCTGCGCTGGTCATTGAGTCGCTGATCAAGGCCATTATGGAGAACAAGGTTGGTCTTGGATGTGGCTACGCTGTTGTGATGTTTGTGATGCTGGTGATCGGTAACTTGTTGTCTAACCGTTTCTTCTACAAGAGTCTGTACGTTGGTGTGTTTTGCCGTGCTGCTCTTGTGTCGGGTATTTTCCGCCGAGCTCTCAACATGCAGGGCCGTGATCGATCTACAGGTAAACTTGTGAACCATATCAGTACCGATGTAAGCCGTATTGATTTCGGTGCGCAATGGTGGCTGCTTGCTTTCACTGCCCCTATCGAGGTGATTGTATGTTTGATCATCCTTCTTACGCGGTTCGGTGTGTCTTGCTTGTCTGGTTTCGCCCTTATTGTGGTTGTGATGCCCATGCAAATGCTGTATATGATGCACCTGTTCACGCTGCGTAAAAAGTCCATGTTCTGGACAGATCGCCGTGCGCGTCGTACACAAGAAGTACTTTCAGGCATGCGCATTGTGAAGCTCTTCTCGTACGAATCCAACTTTGTGAACCTCATTTCCAAGCTGCGCAAAGGCGAGCTGAAGTATGTGCTGTATCTGGCGATTGCCCGTGCTGGTCTTATGGCTTCGGCTGTGGGTTTGCCTCTCCTGGCCAGTGTACTGGCTGTGGTGACCTACTACTTTGCGCATGACCGTCAGCTTCATGTGGAAAAGGTATTCCCTGCGATTACCTTGTTCAACCTGCTACGTCTTCCACTGATGTTCATGCCGTTTGGTCTTAGTGTTATTGCAGACGGCTATAACAGCTTCCTGCGTCTTCGTGATGTGTTTTACGCTGAACAGCATGACACGTCGTTGAATGCGGATCCCTCGTCGGCGTACGGCCTGAAAATTGACAATGCAACGTTTGTTTGGGAGGGCGTAGATGAAGACGACACACTCAAGCCTGTGAACAACGGTAAGGAGAAGAAGAGCAAAGCAAAGAAGGCCAAATACATTCGCATGTGGAAAGCGCTTCGTCGCAATCGCAAGAGTACCAAAGCACCGAACAAGTTTACCAAGATCTTCCGACGCAAGAAGAAAGGTGCGTCGGGGGCGGAGGTCACAGAGACGGTCGTGGTGGATGAAACGACTACGAAGCCCAATGAAAAGAAAGAGAACGAGAGCGATGCTGGCTTTGAGCTGCAAGATCTCTCGCTGGCCGTGAAGCGGGGCGAGCTGTGTGCGATCATTGGCCCTGTGGGATCCGGCAAGTCGTCGCTGCTTCTAGGCGCGATAGGCGAAATGGCTTGCAAAGAGGGCAGCGTGACGTGGTCATCGAAGCGTGTCGCCTACTGCTCGCAGTCTGCGTGGATCCAAAATGCTACACTGCGTGACAACATTGTCTTTGGGCAGCCATGGGATGAGGTGCGGTACTGGGACTGTGTGAAGCGGGCCGAACTGTACTCAGACCTGGCGATGCTGCAAGGTGGTGATATGACCGAGATTGGCGAGCGTGGTGTAACGCTGTCGGGTGGTCAGAAGCAGCGTGTCAACATTGCTCGTGCGCTCTATTTCAATGCGGATGTGGTGTGCCTTGACGACCCTCTTTCTGCTGTGGATGCGCATGTAGGTAAGGCGCTGTTCAACAATGCGATTCTGCCGTTGAAGGAAGAGGGCAAGACCATTCTTCTTGTCACTCATGCCATCCAGTACTTGCCCCAATGTGATCGCATCGTGCTCATGGAAGATGGTCGTATCGATGAGACTGGCAGCTACGAGGAGCTGATGAAACTAGGCGGCAACTTTTACAACACGATGATGAACTACGGTATGCTCAAAGATGAAGAGGAGGATGCCGAAGAACTGGCGGCGGAAGCTGAGGATGCCAAGGCGCCTCCCAAAGAGTACAATCTCTCCGAATTGAGCAAGCCAGGCCAGGGCAAAACCATGGAGAGCGAGGAGCGGAACACGGGTGCCGTGGATGGTACTGTGTGGCTTTCCTACCTGCATGCCGGCAAGTCGTTGTGGATCGTGCCTTTGGTTCTCTTGTCAGGTGCATGCATGCAAGCGTCTACCAATCTATCTTCGTACTGGGTCGTCTGGTGGCAGAAGTGGTACGTCAGCCATGTATCGTCGCTGGGTATCGAAGTGGGTATCTATGTCCTGCTGGGTATTCTGCAGCTGATCTTCAACTTTGTTATGGATGTGGCTCTGGGTCTTCTTACCTTCTTTGCATCGCGTGCTTTGCATGACCGTGCGATGAAGCGTGTCATTTACTCGCCCATGTGGTGGTTCGATACGACGCCTCTAGGTCGTATTATGAACCGGTTCGGGAAGGACATTGACGTTCTGGACAATCAGCTGAGCAACCTGATTCGTCAGTGTGCGTCGACGGTCCTCTCGATTTTGGGTGCGGCTATCATGATCATTGTATTTACGTACTACTTTGTGATTGTGGTCGTGTTTGTATTTGTCGTCGCCTACATTGCCGCCTCGTTCTACCGCTCCTCAGCCCGTGAGTTTAAGCGTATAGATGCATTGCTTCGGTCTACGCTCTACAGCCACTTTGCCGAGTCACTCTCCGGCTTGACAACGATTCGTGCATACCACGAATCGGACCGCTTCCTGCACGACAACTACAAGTACATGGACCTGCAGAACCGGGCGTATTTCCTCACGGTGACGAACCAGCGTTGGCTTGGTCTGCGTCTCGACTTTATGGGCTCCGTGTGTGTCCTCATCACGGCCCTGCTTTGCGCGGCGCAGGTCGGCACCATCACTCCAGCCACGGCCGGTGTGGCCCTGTCGCAGGTGGTCACTGTAGCGCAAACGCTTGGTTTCCTTACGCGTCAGCTCACCGAGCTGGAAAACGAGATGAATTCGGCAGAGCGTCTGGTATTCTATGCCAACGAGCTGGAGCAAGAGCCAGCGCAGCAGATCCCTGACTCCAAGCCGCCGGAATCTTGGCCACAACATGGCCAGGTAGAGCTGCGCAATGTATGGCTGCGCTATCGCCCAGGCTTGCCGAATGTCCTTAAGGGTGTCGACTTTATCGTGCAAGGTGGTGAGAAGGTCGGCATTGTCGGTCGCACGGGTGCCGGTAAGAGCTCGATTCTCACAGTGCTTTTGCGTCTGTCAGAAGCCACGGAGGGCTCTGTGCTCATCGACGGCGTGGATGTCTCGAAGATTGGGCTGGAAGATTTGCGTCGCAGCATTGCTATCCTGCCACAAGAGCCGCTTCTGTTCAGTGGTACCCTGCGCTCCAACTTGGATCCCTTTGATCGCTTCGACGACGCTCGTTTGTGGGATGCCATGCACCGCTCGTATTTGACATCTGCCTCTTCCACAGAGAGCCAGCCAGCGACGGAAGCGGTGACGCCTGTGGTCACGGCCGATGGTACGGTGTTGGAGTCGTCGACCCCTGCAGCTGCGTCGAAAGCGCTGACGCGTCTGACGCTGGACTCCATTATTGATGAAGAGGGTGCCAACCTCTCGGTCGGCCAGCGCAGTTTGGTCTCCCTCGCGCGTGCCCTAGTGAAGAACTCCAAGATCATTCTACTGGATGAGGCTACGGCGTCGGTGGATCTGGATACTGATGCGAAGATTCAGCGCACCATTCGCACAGAGTTTGCTGACCGTACCCTTCTATGCATTGCGCACCGTCTTAGCACGATTATTGGCTACGATAAAATTATTGTCATGGACGATGGCAAGGTGGCCGAGTTTGGCTCGCCTTTGGATCTGTTCGATACACAAGACAGCATTTTCCGTGGCATGTGCGAACGCAGCAGCATCAAGCGCGAGGAAGTCGTCACGGCCCGCGCTCATCAGTAAGCGGCCAGCGAGTCGTCCGATGCGCACGTGCCACGTGCCATACCAGGTGCAGATGTACCGTGATCCGTGCATGACAACTCACCGCCGCTGGCTGTCCTATACCTCGCTTGGCACCTTGGCACGGCGTGTGCCCGCCCTTTCTTCCCCTGTTGTATTTTGAGACTCGTTTCCGTTTGTACACCCATAGTTGGTTCAAGTAATTCTAAAACTTACATGATACCTGTTTTCTCAGCACTATAGAAATACCAGCAGTATTTTCTCATGGTTGTAAGCCCATCCAACCTCACGCCTGTACACAGTGGTAGGGTATACATGCACGGCCAGCGAGCAATGGTACGTGTGGTTGAACACATGTCCACAGCCAGTTCGACGTTGAAGTTTGTCCGTAGAGCTCAGTCCATTTAGACCACGTTCTCCTTCGGGAACTTGAGAACAGGGCCGACCTGACCAATGCACATGCCGCCGAGGCGGTGGCCCACGTCCACTGCCTCTTCAATCGACTTGCCGAGGATTAGGCCAGCGATCACACCACCAGCGAACGCATCGCCAGCACCGTTGGTGTCCACAATGTTCGCAGCGTCCACCTTGGGCGTAGGGTGGGTCTTCACTTCCGACTGGCCCTGCACAGCGCGGATGGTCGACTCGGCACCGTGGGTAATGAGCACTGTACGCGGCTTCGAAAGCTCCGAAGGCGAGTCAGCAATCTTCTGCGCAATCATCTGCAGATCCGTGGTGTCAAGACCTGACGCCTTGGCCCACGCCGTGGCCTCCGTCTCGTTACCAATGACCAGCTCTGCGTAGGGCATCACCTGGTCGACCTGCGCCTTGAAGAACTCAGGGATGAACGGCGCCGAGAGGTTGAACGCAAACGGCTTGCCCGTCTCCTTAGCATACTTCGCAACGGTCAAAGCACTCTCCACACCGTGGGTCAGGAAGAAACCACCGATGTAGAAGAACTTAGCCGCCTCAATGCAAGCCTTGGCGTCCGCCGACTCAAGGTGCGAGGGGCTGAACTTCTCAGCCGCACCGAGGTTGGTGCACAGAGAACGGTCATGGCCAGTAATGACCACAGCGCAAGAGCCGGTTGGTGTGTCGTTGACCACCTGGTACACCGACTGCAGACCCTCACGGTCGTTGGCCGAGCGCAGCTGCTGCGCCAGATCATCGTTGCCTACACAGCCGAGGTAGGCGGTGGAGCCCGGTGGCAGCACGTACTGCACAGCACGCGCAGTGTTCTGGGCTGCACCACCAGCCACGTAGGTCACCTGGTAGTTCTCCACGAGGTGCTGGTAAATGCCGAGCTGCTCCGGCGAAGCCAGCACTGCATCGTTGGCCTTGAGGTTGTACTTCTTCAGCACCTCTTCACCATCGCGGATCTGCATGTCAAGCAGGGGGTTGCCCAGTGCAACTAGCTTCAGGTTCTCCGTCTGGACCATTTTCGTTTCGTAGATCGACGTGCGTGTGCAGGGGCCCGAAATCGGTCACCCACTGCTGGCGTATGTGATCACGTGATATGAGCCACGCCCTGACGATGCGATCGGTGACGTTGGCGGCCACCGAACCTACCATGAGCCAAGAGAAGCAGGAGGCGGACTACACGGCGGAGGTGGATTCGCTCCTTCCTCAGCTTGAGAAGCTCAGTAAGGTATGTATGGATATAGCTGATCTCTAGGCTGGCTCGCTGCATGAGGCCTTGGAGCTGATTGCCCCTTTGGAAAAGCGCGCGCGTGGCGTACGTATCACTCCCTCGTTGGCTAACCTGTCATAGTCGGCTGATCTGCTCAGCACATCGCGTCTATTGATGACGGCTGTTTTGCTGATCCGTACCACACCCGATGTATCCAAGACTGATGTGCAGAAATTGTGCGACACTATTCATACCTATGCGAAAAAGCATGGTCAGCTCAAGCAGGCCATTACGCGTATGGTGCAGCTAGCCATGCTCTTCTTACACGACCCAGATACGTCTCCCATGCGTGCACCGCCGTCCATCTATGCAGTTCTCAGCAAGGACTCTCTCACGCCGTCCAATGAAGAGATGGCAATTGACGAGGAGGCAAAGCCGTCGGACGATGCGGCAGAGGATCGCGAGGGCAAGGAAGATGACCGTCTCACTGCGCTTATGGAGCATGGTCGTGCTATTGGTAACAAATCGCTCAATGATCTTGATAAGATGAAGTTGATGGAAGCCTTGCGCGATGTCACAGAAGGGAAGGTGTTCCTGGAGGTGGAGCGTGCGCGTGTGACATGCCTCATGTGCGATATGCTATACAAGCAGGGCGATGTGAACAAGGCAGCTGATACCCTGCAGGATCTTGCGGTTGAGACGTTTGGAAGTATGGATCGTCGCGAGAAAGTGCAGATCATCCTCGAGCAAATGCGCCTCAATCTAGAGCGTGGCGATATGCATCGTGTGAATGTTATTAGCCGCAAGATCAACACGAAATTCTTTGAGAAGGGCGCGCACCAGGATCTGAAGCTTTTGTACTACAACCTCATGATCCAAGTGAGTACGCATGACGGCAAGTACCTGGATGTATGCAAGTACTATCGCGAGGTCCTTCATACGCCCAGCATTCAAGAAGAGGAAGCGAAGACCAAGGAGGCCTTGCAGCATGTGGTTATTTTCCTAGTATTGGCCCCTTTTGACAATGAACAAAGCGATCTTATGGCGCGTGTCGAAGCGATGGAGCCCCTGGAGACCGTACCGGAATATCGCAGTTTGCTCAAGTGCTTTACTACACCAGAGCTTATGCGATGGCCAGGTATTGAGGCTTTGTACGGCCCTATGCTGCGCAGTCTTTCGGTGTTCTCTGGAAGCAAGGAAGCAGAGGCACGATGGAAGCAACTTCACGACCGTGTCGTGGCCTACAATATCCGAGTGGTTGCCAAGTACTATACACAAATCCGCCTCTCGCGTCTGGCTCAGCTCCTGGACCTGCCGCAGGACAAGACGGAAGAGGCATTGGCGGATTTGGTTTTCAAAAAGACCATCCATGCGCGCATTGATCGTCCCTCGGCGCTTGTGAATTTCCAGGCGCGCATGTCGGATGCTGAGGTTCTGAACCACTGGAGCCAGGATATGTCGAAGCTCCTGACGACCGTGGAAAAAGTGTCGCACCTTGTGGAGAAGGAATGGGCGATACAACGCGCCGGTCTAGTGGTCAAGGCCAATGAGTAGAGCATGCCCGTGTGGGTCATATAGCCGTGCTGCCCATAGCGTGCATGATAGGCCCCTCCGTGCGAGGGCTTTTGTATCACGTGGCCACCATGTGGATGGGAGGTCCAGCGACCGCGCGCCCGGGCCTCATGTGTTTCGTTGACGACGTGCGCCCCGCATGAGCTTGTCTGTGAGTGAAGACGAGCTGTTGCAGGCATACCAACTCTCTTCGCTGTATCCTCAGCGATGGGAGGATGGTGCGGCAAGGCAGGGAGATCGTGAGGCCGTGGAGAAGACACATGCGGCCATAGAGGAGTGGTCCGATCCCATGGGCCTTCGTTCCACGGTGCCGGCATCACGTCTCACTGAGCCTAACCAGCTCGACAAGATCAGTATTGGAAGCAAATCCTTTGACCCAAAAACATTCTTAAATACGGTGCATCCGAATGCATCGTTTGCCGAGCTTTCACAGGGCGCAAAGCAGCTTAAAACGAGCATCGAACAGCGCTCAGAGGCGCTCAAAGTGTTGGTGGACGAAAACTTTGACCGATTCGTGAGTGTGAAAGCGACGACCGATGAGGTATTCCGATCCATGACAGATCCTGACGTGGGACCGCTCGCTGATCGATCCGACCAAGGCGTACAAGGTCTCCGAACATACGTGACAGATGCAAGTGTCAAGGCGGATAGCGTATTCCGACCTGTCCTAGAAAACTATGTCAAGTCTATGAAGCTGAGAAATACGCTTGGTGTATTCCAGCGGTCGCGTTTCTTTTTCAACCTGCCTGGATCACTGCAAGAATACGTGGAGGCCGGGAATTACGAGGCAGCCTTGCGTGACTACAACAAAGGCAAGTACTTGCTAGAAAGTCGGCCAGCACAGTTGTTGCCCATTCATAGCGATGGCACCAACACGGACCCACCTACAGAGGCACAGCTCGAGCAGCAGCGCCGGATTTTTGCGCGCGTATGGGACGGCGTGGAAGAGGTGATGTACGATATGCAGTCCAAGTTGCTGGGTATCCTCCGTGAACCGCATCGCAGTGTGGACGAGCAGGAAAAATGTATTGAGTACGTACAGTGCTACTAACGTTCTAGGGTCTTGTTGGAGCTGGACCCCACCTCAGATGTGGTGGCCGTGTTTCTCGAGTCACAGCATGAGCATATCAAACAAGTGCTGCATTCTACGTACACACGTGAAGAGCAAGTGTTTTCATCCTATCGGGAAGCCGAGAAAGACTGCTCCGATCTGGAGCTGGCGAAGAACCTGTACGACTGCCTGTACTTGGTCCGTACCTCACCCGGAGCCAAGCCATCCTTTGACAAAGTGCTGGGTGCGCAAACCTGGCAAGCGGCCGACAACCTCGTAGAGCAGCTATGTCAGACGGCCCTGCATACGATTCCTATTTTTTGGCGCATTGCGCGTGACCATGCAGAGGGCAAATTCGGCAAGGACAAGGCCTTTTCTACCTCGTCTATTCATGCCGAAGCCAAAGCTTGGGGCGTGCAAAGCATTGATCTATTCACGAAAAGTCTCACGCAGTTCTTTGGCTTGGAATCTTTCCGTGCCCGCTCGAAAAAGCCCCTCTTTTCGCAGCTGCCTGCGTGGGTGTCCGCCACGACGTGCTCGCTGAGCGCGACCCACGCCATGAGCCAAATCCTCTCCACATTGAGTGACACCGTACGTGATTTGCGCAATTTGGCGATCCCAGGTACATCTACACAGCTCCATGCTTTGCTGCTTGATACCCGTTTCCAGTTCACCGAAATTCTGTGCTATTTGTGGCTGCGTGACGCGCGACTATGTCATTACTTGGAGAACTGGACCCCCAATACGCAGCAGCCTGCCATCACGTCGTACCTCTTCGCTTTCTCTGTGTTCAATCGGTGGAACGCACGTGAGGGTTTCGTCTTGGCCGATGTGCGGATCAAGAATGGTAGCAAGAACCCTGAAGGCGAAGTGGATACTGCTTTCGTGGGTCGGCTGAAAGAGTCCTTCACACAAGTCTTGCATACCTTCCTTGACGGTATCGTGACTGCTGCGCAATCGCCTCTGGACATGCCCGAACTACAATCTCTCCTTCGTATACCACATGAAGGTCGCTTGCCTCCGCCACGCGATCGCGATACCAGGATTCTGCTCAGTGCCTCGAACTTATCACATCTGCACTCCCATGTTATACGCGCTTGGGTCAAACAGTTCGAAGAGGCGTATCAGGTATCGCTAGGGAGTGAGCAACAGCATTTGCTGGATGTATGTGCCCAACTGGATCGTGAATTGCTAGGCGACTCAGTGCGCCAGAAAGGCAAGCTTGTAGCCTCCATTGTCCGCAAAGGCATCCTAGAGGAGGGGATCAATTGGGGCCAGCTTGGCAAGCCCAAAGGCGTCAATTCGTTCGTGTACCATGCGCTTTTGTCGTTGGTCCAGGTTCATGCGCAGATTCGTGCGACAGTACCTGCTCTCGTATCGCGGGTGATTATGGCGCTGGTGGAGATTCTGGCCGATGCCATTCTGGATGCCTTCAGCAAAGTACCCACGTTCAATATGGGAGGAATGCTACAGGCTACGCTGGAGATTGAATTTGTACATCAGACCTTGGCGTATCATGTTTCGCCCAAGGCTGAAGCGACACTCAAGCATGTGTATGAGACGATCAGCACGAAATACTCCGCCACGGCTGGTAAAAACGACGGATCCCTGCAAAAAGAGCTCGAGGGTGTGAAACAAACGCTTGTAGCGAGTCGAAAAGCTACGGCCTTGGAGTTCCTATGCTTCCGGCGCCCTAAGACGGACGACGCCCGAAAAGTTTCCAAATCTAGTTCCAAGTCCTAGGTAGGTATGTACTTTAGGCTGTTCCACGACCCTTGCGAACCATGTACACGAACATGATGGTCGATAGCGCAGAGAACGTAAACCATGTGGCTGCGTACTCTGCATGCTGGTTGCGCAGCTCAATGCGGGGCGGGCGGCCCACAGGCTGGCCTCGTCGCATCAGCACACCAGCTTCAGCGAACGAGCCATCAAACACTTCTTCCATATAAATCGGGAGAGTAGGCTCGTTCTGCGAGCGGCTAAATGCGTCCTCGGGCGATGTCGGCACACGCTCACGCGTCGACGTAACGCGACGAAGGAAGGCCACTGTACGCGACTCTTGCGGCGTTTCCGGCGCATCGGCCGCCGTGGCCATGCCCGCCTGCTCGTTGAGCCAGTGAGCCATGTGCGTTGGGTCAAGCTGCATCCATAGGTTGTTTTGCGGCTCGTTGGTGAGCGCAAAGCGGCTAGGGGGGTATATGCGTGGCATCAACGCCACAATCCGAACCGTTCGACCCGTCTCGTCCAAGGGGTACTTCAGACGCTTATTCATACCTTCGCCTTCCACTTGATCAGCTGCAACAAATCCACGGCTTACAAGGATATCGGCACCTCCAGAACGACGCTTGAATGGCATGACAACATTGTAGCCTTTCTGACCTTCACGAGTTCGTGGGCCCACAAAGAGTACACGCGACGTGTCATACTCGCCCTCCAATTCGAACAAGCGGAACTCAAAATCACGCAACACTGCCATGTTCACATTTTTGGGAAGCTTCAGTGGGGCACGACGCAACTTCTCGTCAAGCTCGTTAATCAACGACACTTTCCACTTCAATCGACGAACTTGCCAGAACCCAAGCCATAGCGTAAAGAGAGGCACGATGCCCAGGACATAAATCACAGGCGATGTATACCACGGCTTTTCACGAGGTCGCTGCGGGCGATTGTACACGAGGGGCTCGTTGCCTTCTGACTCTACGACAGGCACAGGCATCGTAGGCTTGTTAGAATAGGGCCGCGCTGGCTGCAAAAGAGGCACATTATACCGATGGAACGGCATAGAAGCAGGCTTCCACACAGGCACATAGGCCCGCGTTGCCATCCATGCGCGCGGTCGGAGCATAGAAAGCATGTCACTGTCGCTCGTGGAACAAGGACCACTACGTCTGTGCACCGACACTGGCGAAAGCGCTGGTGTACGGCAGGCCGCGCCAAGAGGCCAGTCTCTCCTCCGGCCGAGTCCATAAGTGGTATTTTTGCAATTGCCTGTATTTCCATTTTCTTAATGCTGGTTGGCCGGCCGAGTAGCGGCTCGGTCGAGGATGCGGCTGGCGTTGAGGTCGAAACACTTTCCCGAGCCATATACTCAGGACGATGCAGAGCGTCGTTGCTAGTCGTGCCGCCAGCCTTGCCTCGAAGGCTAGCCGTGCTGGCGTTGCAGTTCCCATTCGGCGCGGTCTTGCCACTGTATCTGATGCTCCTAAGCGTACGTACGGTGGCTTGCGCGACCAGGACCGTATTTTCCAAAACTTGTATGGTCACCACGACTTTCGTCTGAAGGGTGCTATGGTATGTACATTCATTTGTGACGCTCTAACATTTGCAGGCCCGCGGTGACTGGCACCGTACCCGTGATATTCTTGACAAGGGTCATGACTATATCATTAACCAGATGAAGGCCTCTGGTCTTCGTGGTCGTGGTGGTGCTGGTTTCCCCTCCGGTCTCAAATGGAGCTTTATGCTCAAGCCCGGCTGGGAGAAGGACTTTCGTCCCCGCTACCTGGTTATCAACGCTGATGAGGGTGAGCCTGGTACGTGCAAGGACCGTGAGATTCTTCGTCACGACCCCCACAAGCTCATTGAGGGCTGCTTGATTGCTGGCCGTGCTATGGGTGCCAATGCCGCTTACATTTACATTCGTGGCGAGTTTGTGGAAGAGGCCTACAACATGCAAGTCGCCGTTAACGAGGCTTACAAGGCTGGTCTGATTGGCAAGAACGCTTGCAACTCGGGCTTCGACTTTGATGTTTACGTTCACCGTGGTGCTGGTGCCTACATTTGCGGTGAGGAGACTGCACTGATTGAATCGCTGGAAGGCAAGCAGGGGAAGCCGCGTATGAAGCCGCCGTTCCCGGCTGACACTGGTCTGTTCGGTTGCCCGACCACGGTAACGAATGTCGAGACGGTGGCCGTGGCGCCTACCATCATCCGTCGTGGTGCGGAGTGGTTTGCGAGCTTCGGTCGTGAGAAGAACCAGGGTACCAAACTGTTTGCCATTAGTGGTCATGTGAACAAGCCATGTGTCGTGGAGGAAGAGATGAGCATTCCTCTGAAGGAGCTCATTGAGCGCCACTGTGGTGGTGTGCGTGGTGGCTGGGACAACCTCCTGGCTATCATCCCCGGTGGCTCATCTACGCCTTTGATCCCTAAGCACGTGTGTGAGGAGGCACTCATGGACTTTGACTCGCTGCGCGACAACCAGACGGCCCTTGGTACTGGTGCCGTAATTGTCATGGACAAGTCAACAGACCTGGTGAAGGCTATTTTGCGTCTGAGCAGGTTCTACCAACACGAAAGCTGCGGTCAGTGCACGCCCTGCCGTGAGGGTACCTCGTGGCTCGCGAACATGATGCAGCGCATGACGGAGGGCCGCAGCTCTCTGCGCGAAGTTGATATGCTCTGGGAGATCGGTCGCCAAATGGAGGGTCACACCATTTGTGGTTTGGCGGATGCTGCGGCTTGGCCGATCCAGGGTCTTTTGCGTCACTTCCGACCTATGGTTGAGGACCGCATTAAAGAATACGAGGCGAAGAACGGTCCGGTTCTGTTCGGTGGCCGTCTTGCTAAGGAGCGTGACCCGAACCTGGCTATTCCGGGCAACCTGTCGTACCCTAACCAGGAGACCAAGGACAACTACCAGCCTGGCATTTCCAGTGCGTAATTGGCAACTCGCACTCGTGTAGCACATGTAGTACTGTTACAATGTGACGAAAATATCTTTTCTAACTGGCCGTTCATGACTTTTTCTGTATCTACAACGTTGGTTATTCTTGCTTAGACCCTTGCTTCTGCTGCTTTTCCATCTCACGACGCAATTCCGATATGAACCTGGACATTAGCTTGTGACAGTGACATACCAGTTGATCGACAAAAAGAGGGCCAGCGACAAAAGAAGAAGTGCCGCAACATGGATATTGCCTCCCGTTACGATGAGTAGCAAAACGAGCGTGACGAAAAGCCCGTAAAATACCCAGTTCATCACATTGTGCGTCTGGGAGTTTACGCCTTCGTGAAATATGTTGTCGAAGACGCGTTCCAGAGTTTGTTGAACGCCCATAGCGTAAGCGAATGGAGGAGGAAAGGCAGCCAGGTGGTACGCGTCTGTGCCGATTTTAGTCAGCGCCCAGGGACCTGCCAATCCAGGTGCGAACCACGCTATTCCTGCACATCGACCATGGGCTCCACTAGTCAGACGACAGGGCATCGAGTCGTTGCGCCCAGTGTGCATATCGACTGGTCGCTGTATGGAGGTCTAGAGACGGCCAAGGAGATCCAAAGGGATTCTGTGGCTGGTCGGCCTTGGATGCCACACATATCGGACAAGCCGTTGCCGTCCGATGACTTTTTGTGGTCCCTGAACGAAGAGCCTCACAGGACACGCCGCCTAGCCATCCTCAAGGCTCACCCTGAGATCAAGAAGCTTATGGGACATGAGCCACTTACCAAATATGTTGCGACAGGCGTCGTGGTACTCCAAATTGCCATCGCTGTCACTGTAACGTACCTTGGATGGCATCCTTTGGATTGGCGGACTCTTCTTATTGCCTACACCATCGGAGGCATTTGCAACCAGAACATTTTTCTCGCTATTCATGAAATAACTCACAACCTTGCATTCAAAAGCATTGTGGCAAACCGTCTGCTAGCTATCTTTATCAACCTTCCTGCTGCTGTGCCATTTGCCATGACATTTAAACCCTATCATATTGAGCACCATAAGCATTTGGGCGAAGATGGAATTGATACGGACATGCCCACACGCTTGGAAATGTTGATTCTCAACAACGTCCTTGGAAAAGCGTTCTTTGCCACTTTCCAGCTGTTTTTCTATGCGATTCGCCCTGGGTTTATTCGCGTGCAAAAGCTGAATCGTTGGAATTTCCTCAATATCGGCGTTCAGCTCGCCTTTGATGCTCTGTTGTGCCATTTGTGTGGCTCTCTAACGCCTCTGTATTATCTTCTTCTAAGCTCGTTCTTTGCAGGGTCCCTTCATCCCGTGGCTGGCCATTTCATTGCTGAACACTACATGTTTAGTAACATTGAACAAGAGACATGGAGCTATTACGGGCCACTGAATGTCCTTTTGTACAATGTCGGCTACCACAACGAGCATCATGACTTCCCCTCTGTGCCATGGACGCGTCTCCCAGCTGTGCGGGCTATCGCTCCTGAATTCTACAATGTACTTCCCTACCATACGTCCTGGACAATGGTGATTCTTGAATTTATTTTCAGTCATCACTCTGGAATGAACAATCGAGTTAAACGGCAGCCTAAGTTTAAAAAACTACACACAGAAAAGCCTGTGGAAGACATGCCAAACCATACGGGATGGGAAATGCAGGACTCTAAGACGAGTTGATGTGGCGGCACCGTAGTCAATGTATAGTTACCTCCACCTCTTGTATGCACTGCGCGAACATGGCGTCATCTCCACATGTGACACATGGCCCGAGGCCCAAATGGCCAAAGCAGGACATTAGATTTTGGAGTAGTAAGACCATGTCGAATATTTCAGCCCTTCCTAAATGGCCTCCGCAGGTTCTGTTGGAGGCCGGTCGTAACATCTTTGTGACGCGAGACGCTCGTGATTATGCATTGGGCCATGGCATAGTGTACCGAGCCCTTCCTACAGAAGAAGGTGGCCTTCCTCCGCAGGATACTACCATCCATGCCCCAACGACAATTGTACCAACACCCTTTCCCCGTGTCCTGTTCGAAAAAGCACAAAAAATCCAGCCATTATTCAACAGGCTCTATGCCAAAGTGGCGATGGACGACGAATTCCTTGCGTCTGTGATGAAGGATTCGGTGATCAAGGTGGATGATTTCCAGCGTCGTTTGTTCGATATTTGGCGCACTGTCAAGGAAGAAGGCCTATCCCAGCCTATGCACCTGGGTCTGTTCCGAAGCGACTACCTTATGCATGAAGAGGCAGATGGATACCTTGACATCCGTCAGGTGGAGTTCAACACGATTTCTTCGTCGTTTGGCGCATTGTCTTCGCGGGTGTCACAGATGCATCATCACCTTTTGCAGATTGGCGCCTACTCAGCCGGGCATCCATGCCTTTTGGCTGAGAATATGCCTAAGAATGAGGCCCTTGACACACTGGCTGCCGGGTTGGCTGATGGTCATCGGTACTACGTCGAGCAGGCCAGCAAGGCCGGTCGCAAAGTGCAGCCTGCGATTTTGTTCATTGTGCAACCAGAGGAGCGCAATACATTTGACCAGCGTGCCATTGAGCATGTTCTGTCCGAGAAGTACAATATTCCTGTTCTGCGCGCCCCCTTGGACCACCTCTCGACCCAGGCCTCCTTGCACGGCAATGACCGTGTGCTAGTGATGCACTCACCCCTTTCTTTGACTCCTACTGAAATTTCTGTGGTGTACTTCCGAGCTGGCTATAGCCCCACTGACTACCACAACGAAACTGAATGGGATGTCCGTCTGATGTTGGAACGCAGTTATGCAATCAAGTGCCCTACCATTGCCTTGCAGCTGGCTGGCGCGAAAAAGGTGCAACAGGTCCTGGCTGAGCCGGATGTGCTGGAACGGTTCATGGGTAGTAATGCACATGATATTCGCTTTACTTTCTCGCAACTATGGCCTTTAGATGACTCGCCTCTGGGAAGAGAGGCTATGTCATTGGTTCATGAGGATCCGACGAAGTACGTCATGAAACCCCAGCGCGAAGGTGGAAGCAATAACATTTACAAGGAAGATATCTTACCTGCGCTAGAGGCCATGGAGAAAAGGGATAAGGACCGTGCCGATCGTGGTGAAGATGCCTCTGTGAAAGAGCGGGAGGGCTATATTCTAATGAGCCTAATTCATACGCCGAAAGATCGGGGCTCGATGATGCTCCGCGCTGGACATGGCGATGTTGCTGAGCATGTATCCGATACGGTAAGCGAGCTCGGCATCTACGGCACAGCGCTCTTTGGCCCAGATGCAGAAGAATCGTTCCGTGATGGCGGTTTCTTGCTCCGAACGAAAGCGAGCGCAAGCAACGAAGGCGGCGTAGCTGTTGGGTTTAGTGTGATTGACACACCTGTGCTTGTATGATATACATAAATCGTGCTACATAGCTACTCATTGAGATCCGTGAGCATTTTTCTTCGTACTTGCATGTCTTCTTCCAAAAGTTTCAGCTCTGCCTCGATCTCTGCCTTGCGCCTCAGCAAGCGTTGCTTGTACTCCATATCGGAGATAGGCTGGATAGGACTGTTCTTTGATACAAAGTCCTTTGTTCGCTGCCACAGCGAGGGTTTAGTCTGGTCTCGGCCCGACACTTCATTAGACGCAACATCGGGGGAGACAGGTGTTGGCTGAACCACCTCTGTCGAAGGGAGAGAGGCCTCCTCTTTCGAGGTCCACAGCAGCGAAGCTTCATTCGCAATGAGTTGTGCAATAACACAAAACCCAGATATAGTGAACATGCCTGGTACAATAGGCCGCTTCAAAACGGCGGCAGTGATCCCGCCCATGACACCGCCGCTAAAGAGAGTGGGAGCCATGTCATGGAAATGGCGCTGATGATCCAGCATGGGCCATACTTTTGAGGTCCATGGACGCATCACATATTCACGAGTTGCTGAAATGTTAGAACTAAACACGTACCAAAAAATCCAAAACCAAAGGCGAACCAGATTTTGGACATTCGGATAGCCAAAAAAGCAGGCTCCACAGCGGGTGCTTGAAGGACACCCATGATAGACCCAGTGAGTGCTCCAAGAGCACCAGACATGAGCGTATTCCTGGCAACCAGCAGAGGCACATCGCTCTCCCAGGGCGACGCGCCAGAGGCGTCACTCGAAGACGCCATGGCAAGTCTACCTTCGTGTGACAATGCGCACGAGCATTTTGTCGAGCGTAGTCACGTGATAAGAAATGGGCAAGATGCGGTGGTAGCTCAACGCTGATGCCCTTTCCAGCGACGATGGTACGTAGATCAAGAGTGCTTGGTACACTAACATTTGCAGGCGACCATCTCAACCACTCCGGTACAAACAAACGTGCAGATGCTTGAGCGCATCGGTGCACACTCTCACGTTCGAGGGTATGTATTCTGCGGTGACACTCATTCGAAATTAGGCTGGGTCTCGACGAGCGCCTTGAGCCGCGCGATAGTGCGCAAGGCATGGTGGGCCAGCACTCAGCTCGTAAGGCTGCTGGCATGATTGTCCGTATTGTTCAGAATGCGAAGATTGCTGGACGCGCTGTTCTTATTGCTGGTCCCCCTGGTACTGGTAAGACAGCTATTGCTATGGGTACGTATTATTGTTGGCAATTGCTTATAAGATAGGCATGGCGCAAACACTTGGCTCGGATGTGCCATTCACGATGTTGTCTGCGTCTGAAGTGTTTTCTCTGGAAATGAGTAAGACTGAGGCACTTATGCAAGCGTTCCGTCGCTCAATTGGTGTTCGCATCAAAGAGGAGGCCGAAATTATTGAGGGCGAAGTGGTGGAAATTCAAATTGATCGAAGCCTGACGGGTGCTACGAAGACGGGCAAGATCATTATTAAGACCACGGATATGGAAACAGTGTATGAGCTGGGTAACAAGATGATTGATGCTCTCCAAAAAGAGAAGGTCACAGCGGGCGATGTCATCACCATTGAAAAGTCAAGTGGACGCATTACCAAGCTGGGTCGTAGCTTCGCTCGTTCTCGTGACTACGATGCTATTGGCAGTGACGTACGTATCAGTAAACCTAACCATCAGACTAAATTCGTCCAATGCCCTGAGGGTGAGCTGCAGCGTCGCCGTGAAGTCATGCACACTGTGTCGTTGCATGAAATTGACGTCATCAACTCGCGAACGCAAGGCTTCCTTGCGCTTTTTGCGGGTGATACAGGCGAAATCAAGCCTGAGCTTCGTGACCAAATCAATGCGAAAGTGGGTGAATGGCGTGAGGAAGGCAAGGCAGAAATCATTCCTGGTGTACGTATATGACATGTCGATCTGACGCAATATAGGTTTTGTTCATTGATGAGGTGCACATGCTGGACATGGAATGTTTCTCATTCCTGAACCGCGCACTTGAGTCGGAACTGGCACCCCTTGTGGTTATGGCCTCCAACCGCGGTCAGACACGCATTCGTGGTACGCGTTTCACTAGCCCGCATGGTATCCCCATCGATCTATTGGATCGTATTTTGATTATCAGCACCAAGCCTTATACGGAGACAGAAGTGCGCGAGATTTTGTCGATTCGGTACGTTGTATTGACCTAACAAAACAGTGCACAGGAGGAGGAAGTTACCCTTAAGCCCGAAGCTCTGGATGTACTTACGCGAATGGCCATGGAAACTTCGCTGCGTTACACCATCAATCTTATTACTACCGCTTACCTCGCCGCCAAGCGGCGAAAGTCCGATGAAGTGGATGTGGCTGATGTTCGCCGTGTTTACAGTACGTATTTGGCCTTTGGCATGCGCTAACCTCAGATTTGTTTGTGGACGAAAAGCGTAGTGTACAATATCTTCAAGAACATGCTGCCGAGTTCCTCAGTGAAGAGGTAGCCTAAACTCGTAGTAGTTAGTACCTAGTCGGACTCCCTATGTACCTGTCTCCATATATTACGTCATCGAACCGCATGCATACGCGTCTCGCACGGTGGCGCGAAGCAAGGATGGGATGGTTCGTTCTGGAAAGCCACCTTGCACCGCAAGCGATGCGTCGACAAGAGTTGGTAAAACATGTTTACTTTGGTATGTATGCGAAGCACTCTGACGAAAGAAAAACAGGATGTTGGAAGCATGATGTGCGCTCAACATGCCCTCAATGCCATTCTTCAGGGGCATTATTTTGACCCTGTACAGCTCTCTCAAATCGCTAAAGAGATTCAGGACTACGAGCAAGACGAGTTATGCATGCCAAATGAACTCAATGGTCTATCAGAAGCGAACCATATGGATGAAAGTGGCTACTTTAGTGTAGAAGTAATCGACCGCGCATTGAAGGCGTGGGATATGAACCTGGTTCGATGGCGAGATTGCAGCGAGCTTCGATCCAGGTATGCACATCCCGAAAGAGAGTTTGCTTTTCTCCTCAACCTTGGGAACCACTGGTTCGCTCTACGTGGCTTCGGACATACACAGAGGCAATGGTACGTGACGCGCACGCCTAACAAATAAGGTTCAACTTGAACAGTTTCTTCACCGAGCCTCAATGGCTAGGCGAAATGTATCTTAGCACGTTTTTACAGCAGGTTTGTACAGTGCATCTAACACACAGGCTGAACATGAGAATTATACCATATTTGCTATTCAACCACAGGATGGCTCTGCGCCTCCAGACACTATTGCAGATGATATGGCGGACGTGCAAACGCCTGTAATGGCTCCAACCCAGTTCGTTGATGATGAAGACGATAAAGATCTTCAAGCAGCTATTCGTGCTAGTCTCGAAGAACATACTCAGCCCTCCACAACGTTGGAGTTCAGCAGTGCTAGGGATCTACCGCATGGACAACGACGTGCTAGAGGTGATTTATCCAGCCCAGGTTCATCGGTTGAGGAGCAGGAAAGTTTATTCACGGCGTTAGATCTACCGCCTAGCGGATATCGATCTCGGCGCCGTGCCAAGGCTAGACAAACAGATGATATTGAAACATCACACATGGTCATCCGCGGACAGGGCTCACGAAGAAAGTCGGCCACCGGGACATCAAAGATTGAAGATGATGAATTGTGGCTCGCGTCGAGTAAACGCAAGTCACCGTTTTTACATCCCACCCTGTCAACGGCCTTCACAGACGAAGACAATGGCAATGACGATGTGGATAGCATCGAAGAAGAAATGGATGGCGACTCTGATGTAGAATGGATGCCATCGCCTCCTACCATGCAAACAGCGGTGCCGAATATTCGTGATGAAGATGAAGAGCAACTTCAAGCGGTCATTGCAGCTAGCCTTGGCCAAGAGTATCATGTATCAGACCGAATATTACAACGAACGAATCGAGTATTTTCGCAACGAACAGAACCTGAAACCGTTCCCGAAGATGTCGAACGCATACGCCGCATGCGTGAGAGCCAGTCTAATGCATTTCAAGCGTCTCCTCCCCCGTCTTCGGGTGCCACAGAAGTGCCTATGGCGCCCACGGCGTGTGAAGAAGATAACGAGGAGGTGGATGAGGAGGTTCACGACACAGAGCTAGATCATGCTTTGACGGCCGAGGAACTTCGACGACGACGCCTGGCACGCTTTGGGTAATATAACTGTACAACATCTAGAAACTATTCAACAGGACCATTAATCTCCATACCTTCGACTGCATGTAGCACTTCATTGAGTTGAGAGTGTAATTTTTTGATAACCAGCTGATCAAAAGGATTCAGATGCTTACACAAGTTTGTTGTTGCAGTCTCAGAACTCTTGTCCAAGGGCAAGCATGCATTAGTATTAGGGAAGTCTTTCATGGCAATAGCAGGTGGTAGAGGCTGCTGCGACGCACTTTGAACACGTGCAAGAGCACGTTCTAAATCCAATAGCTCAAGCCTCATAGCATACAACGCGATCTTTCGGGAATTTTGAGCAGAGGGAACATAATCACCAATCCTAACGTCGACAAAAGATTTTTGATGCACAGCATCACGAGAATGTTTATGCTTATAAGAGCAGCCGCAATCCTTGCACCCTTTTGCATCGCATTTGCAAGAACTCGAATTATCACTCAGAAGCACTTCTTGGAGGATCTGAAGCGCCCTCGCATAAATCTGGAGAGCAGTAGATATAAGTAAGCCTGCACTCGACCTGTACGATGGACTTGATTTACATGTGGGACAGTCAGCACTGCAAGCACAGTTATTGGATACGGCTTGACTCATGGACAAAGTAAAAACAAGCGACGAAGACGCATCACCATCATTCGGAGAGTTCATAAGTTTTGTCCGTAGTTTTCGCTCCAGCGATAAAAGCGCTAAACTATAATCGCACTGGCATGAACATTGTGTGCCACTGGGATTTGGCACACAGTGCACCTTATCCGGATGCGACATAGGTGTCCGCAGAAGAGATTGACCAAGGACAGCCGGTAAAGAGTTTGTCGATAGAGCATTATCACCTTCGGCGGTATTTTTACCATTGCAGCAGCTTGTATTTGCATGTGACAAATGAGACATCATCTTGTTTGCGCAGCAAGCATTGCTGGTCGAGGGAAGAGATGTGTCCATAGAAGGCTTACCAGAGTGCATGTGTGAAGGACCTTGCGCGGCACTTGAAAAACTTGGGTGGTTCGGCTTTTCTTCAGACACCTTAAACTCGGGTTCTGTATAGTCTGAAAGGGGTAAGCTAAGAGCAGCATTCCACCATCGTAGATCTGATGGCACCGAGAAAGTCACATTGTCTTGCAGAAAGGCACTCTCCGTATATTGATCTGACGCGCTAATGATGTCCTGAAAAGGCAGGGGAGCAATCGAATCTTTGTCCGCTGTAGGCATAGCTTGACCCAAGTCTAAGAAGGGTGGTGAGTGAGACGATGCGCCTAGCAGCGCATTGGGAGTCAATCCATCCGACGGTGCAATCTCGAAAGTGTACAAAGACTCGACGAATGCAGCTAAAGATAAGTCGGACAAAGAGGCTTGATACCCTGGATCTACTAGAAGATCCTCTTCACATGAATTTGACACGCTAGTCCCTTCTCGACTAGAGAATCTAGGCTCGGGTGAGAGAGTAGAAGCGAAGGAATTACTGGTAGGAGGACTTCCCTGTACAAACATATTGGGTACAGCATAATCTGCTTTCAGCGTGCGAGAACAACAATCGTGCTCTTTCTCGACCTTTGGACCTTCTGTTGCAGTAGTGGCGTGAGAGGTGGCGACATGGGGGGAGAGAGGGCGCTTTCGTGGTCGGCCAATTCGACTTCGTGTGGCTGGTGTAAGCAATGTAAGTACGTACAGAACACGCATTCCGAGTGATCAGCTTTACATCGCGCACAGGGGCTCTCGTCCGGGGATATGCCTGAACATCTCAATTTTCTGCCCCGACATAAATCGCAGGCATCTCGGAGTTGATACCCCAGACTCCTAGCATCGTCCAAAGATATACGCTGGCCATCATTGGAAATAGCATATTGCTTGTTTATGCCTGACGGTTCCACATATCCATTCACGTTAGAAACCGCTAACATCTTTTAGGAAGACATCAAGGGCTATTGTAAAGAAAAAAACTGATGTGCCAAGAAGGCGATGATGCACTCTGCCTGCGGCGCATTTTGATGAAAAATCTCAAGACTTGGACGCCGGCTAGCCCCGCATCATTATTGGGCCTCCACGACTACTAGTGGAGGTGTTGGGCCCTAGTTCCATACCTATTCGAAACGAGCATGACGCCAGAGTCTCCAAGGGTGCAGCCGCGCAGCTCGAGGACGGAAGACGCCACTTTTGCCTCTTCTTCACGCATGGACGAAGATAATGAAGATTTCGAATTTGATTATACGGATGCCATCCTGCAGTTGGCGCCCACACACGATGACGGCGAAGGGATAGAAGAGCAGCGACACCACCGCTCAACATCTTCACATGCTCGGCTCACGTTATTTGACGCGATCTCCTTGACAATTGGATTACAAGTAGGCAGCGGTATCTTTTCTTCGCCGGGTGTCATCACGGCATATACGGGGTCGATTGGTGCAAGTTTGCTTATCTGGGTCATTAGTGGAATCTTGGCGCTGACGGGCGCTAGCTCGTATGCCGAACTTGCCTCAGCCATCCCACTCAATGGTGGTCCTCAAGCTTATCTCCAGTATGCATTCGGCCCATTAATGTCTTATTTGTACTCTTTTACGGCTATTATTGCGATGAAAGCCAGCTCTGCAGCGATCATCTCTACAATTTTTGGAGAATACACAACACGAGTAATTCTCCATCTTATCGGTGGCCAAGGACGAGAGTTTCATAAACTATTGCCTAAAGATTTACCTATGTTCCTTGTGAAGGCACTTGCATCTAGCGCGATTTTCGTCGTGTTTCTAGTCCATGCTTTCCACCCTATGGTTGGGCCACGAGTCCAGCTATCGGTGACCATCACCAAGATCTTGCTTCTCGGCAGCATCCCAACGATTGCAATTGTATTGGCTCATCAGGGTAAAATACCTGAAGCGTCATCGCAGGCTTTTTCTTCCATCCCATCATTGTTTTCTGGTTCCACGTCGGATATTAGCAGATACGCACTGGCATTGTACAGTGGTTTATGGGCGTACGATGGTTGGGACCAAAGTACGTTTGTGGCAGGGGAAATGGTTAATCCATCTCGTGACATATCTCGAGCCATTTCCTTCAGTACATTGACCGTGATGGCGCTATTCTTGACGACTGTTATCTCCTATTTTGTCGTATTGCCACCCGATGTAGTGGTACGCACCAACTCTGTTGCTCTCGATTTTGGCTCCTCCGCTTTTGGCTCCATTGGCGGCATTTTGTTTGCCGCTCTAGTTGCCTTCTCTTGCCTTGGCGCATTAAATGGCCACTTATATACATACTCGCGCCTGACAGCAGCTGCAGGTCGTGACGGATTTCTTCCCCATGCGATCGGGACCATGAACACTCGATTCCATACACCGTTGAACGCTTTGATATTGACATGCTGCCTTGCTACAGCATTTGTGGTGTTCGGTTCAGGCTTTGCCAGTCTTGTTAACTTCAGTGGTGTTTGTGCCTGGTTTTGGTATGGTACTACTGTAACAGGACTACTTGTTCTTCGAGTGAATGAGCCTCACTTGGAGAGACCATTCCGTGTATGGATTGTCATTCCGATTGTATTCGTAATGATTGCATTGTTCCTACTTATTATGCCTGTCTTTTCTGCTCCATGGGAAGCCCTTGCTGCATTTGGTTTCATCGCAGTGGGCGTACTACTCTACTTTCTTACACAGTCAGAAGGACGCCAAGCTTTCTTGGCACGATTTTCCCAGTCACAGTATTCCTTTGAGCCTATTCCCACTGAAAACGATCAACCGCTGCATCTACAAAGTGACACTCCTGCGGCACAAGATCGCAACTGATGGTCAAATCATTTTATACCAAGTATATACAATATAGACAAGCTTGATGAAAATGGAAGATTATGTACTGTTCACCTTCTCCGTATTCAATGGAATAACAAAAGACCCAAATGCCTTTTCCTCTTCGGACCATCCAGCAAGATCGCCTTTGGTCTTGCATACGTTGAGAATGGGATCGTGAACTTCAAGGCATGGGCTAGATAGGGCGCTGGAGTTCTCATACGTATGGGCAGCTTGAATCAAACGCTCGAAGCGCTCTTTTTTCAGTCGTGCCTGGACGGAGACCCTTACTCGATCCATTTTATACCAAAGATATCCAGCGATACCAACCGTTACAGCAGCAATGAACACCACCACACTAATTTGCACAGCGCGCGAGCTTTTCGAATTTTGGCCACCTGCCGTGCCTCCATCGAGGGCTACACCTAGATAAACAACAGCGAGATATTTTGGCAAGGAGAAGATGGCTGCAAAAACAAAAGTCCAGAATCCCATTCCAACAGTGGCAAAAACAGCTGTAGTAATGTGGCTGGGAATAGCAGACAACCGTGTAGCCAGAGCAAGGAAGAAGTTGCCGTTTCGAATAATCTCTGCGAAGCAAGCGTACATGAGACTTTTGCGCTCGATTTTATCAGCAGGCTTTTGCAAGAGATATCGGAACAGATAAAAGTTTCCAAGCTCACCTAGAAATGTCCCTAAAGCCACAATCCCAAACCCCACCCAAACACCGTAAACAATACCGCACAATACAGCAATGATCTCACCACCGAAAAGGGGAGGGAAAGAGAGAGCAAAGAGAACTAGAACAGGGATAATCCAGCCCCATAGTACAGTCCTAACCTTTAAAGATATTGGTCTGAGCCAATGTATTAGCTGTGTATGAAAAATTGACACACAAGCTGCAATCGCAATAAGGAAAAGAACGACAAGATAATAGTCTTGTATTAGTAGGACGGCATAACATACGTGTATATCTCCATTTTACGTAGGAGCGCCATTGTAAAATTCCACGAAAGAAAGAGGCATACAAAGATTTGTACTCTGTATCTAGATCAGATGGATAGTCTGATAATATGGCTTTTTGTTCTTCATTTAATTCATCATGGTTGGGAGGCTTGCACCAAAGATCATTGTCCAGTGATTTCGCTGAGATCATCATAGCATCACAGCTTATATCAGAACGAGTGCTAATTGGTGAAGGTGGACATAAATATGTGTTGTCCACCGTAATAGTAGGATGAGAGTCCAAGGCGGGCCCCTTGGATGTAACCTCGCTATTTCGTCCATGTTGTGCTACACTTAGTTCATTCATGTGCTCAGGTGCATACGAGATCATGATGGAATGCACTTCTTTATTTCCGTCATAACCAAATCCTGCTACGGGCTCAGGCATGACGTAGTCTGGAGATGAGTGAGCTGGAAGAGATTCAGTCAGGTCCATGAGCAGAACCCTGTTGACTAGACGATGGAAATAGGTCTGGTGGAAAAGACAAACTCCGCAAGCCAACTCCACGGACAGGTCAATGACAGTGTGAGGAAGGATTGAGCAGGGCTTTCATGGCTATGATTGATTTGGAACACACTCTAGTGCAAAAAGCACGCAGCATTATTATACACAGCCACCGCGCAGGTTGTTAGAGCCAATGTGAGCGAGGCTGAGTTGTGGGGTTGGCGCCGAGAATGCACGGGCCAGATGACGTCATAGTGCGTCGTTTGACAATTTTCCGTTCTGTCGCATCGGAAAGCGCTCAAACCCTTGGCAGGGTCCCGTTGTTACTGACTTCGACCATGGCGCATCATTACATGGGAGAAGGCTGGTCCGAACGAAATCGTATTCCGACTGTCCAAGAGTACCTAGCTGAAAAAGAAAGACTAAACCCTGACGAATCGAACAGCAGTTCATGGTGGCCATGGCCTAGTAGCAACGATGAGAACAAAGACGCCGCCTCCGAGACTGACCTGTCATATTTGCAATCAAGCGCAAGGTCTAGTCTGGATACGGGCAAGCAAGGATATAGCTCATCAGCGGGTCCAGATCAAGCTGATGTAGGAACTGCATCAATGCCCGCACCGCAGGCGCAAGAGGGGTACAGTACACCCCCCACGCAACCGCAACAAAGCAGTGATGCTACTTCTTCGCATTCGAAACTGTCGAGGAGCAAGTCCGATGTTAATTCAGTCTCTGTGGCCTCTGATGCTCCTTCACGCGAGCACTCTACTCGACACAATCTTGTTTCGGACAAGGGTGGCGGACAAGAAGAAAAGGAGCGTATCAAGGAAGCAGCACGGGCAAGCAAGGAACCGAAGAAGAACAATTTTGTTGCCAAGGGTAAGCGCAAGGTAGATGACCCTGTTACTGGTGGCGAAGTAATTATCCAAGACACTGCCGACTTTGATATCGATCCTTCGACTTTGGATTCACGCTACCGTGGGGGCTTCTCGACAAAGAAGCCCGTTTCTGCTAAAGCGTACGACGCCGAGTATGTCAATCCCAGCCCTGCTCGTCCCACTTCAATTCTCCTGCAGCGATTCCCTGAGCCCATGAAAGCTGAATCTTTGAAGGAGATGAGTGGTATTTTTGAAAAGATTCTATACGGCTACGCTGCGATAGTTATTCTTGTGTGGGGTGTGGCCACAGTGGGACATGGTTGGTTTGCATTCCTTACTCGTACCATTCTTTTGGGTATTGCTGCATTCGCTGGCTACATGTCTATTGGTCTTGTGCAGAACAAGATTACAGCCGAGTTTGAGCGTATTCGTGCCCATATGCACAAGCAACGTGGTGAGCGTTTTGCACCCCCTTATCCGGAGAGTGTGGAATGGCTGAATGCCGCAGTGGCAACGATTTGGAAGCAATTGAACCCCGAAATGTTTACGGCAGCCCTGGACCAGGTGGAGGATATTATGCAGTCCTCTTTACCTGGTGTTGTGAGCTCGGTGAAGATCTCGGACTTTGGTATGGGCTCCAACCCTTTGCGGTTCATTGCCATGCGTGCTTTGGCCGACTTGATGACAGATAAGGAGTACCCACGCGATATGTGGATTGAGCGCAACGAAGACAAGGGTGAGGCCGCCGGCCCCTCCGTGGACCAAGTTGAGGAGAAGCTGGATGACGATATGGGCGCCGATGCCAGGCGTGCAGAGGCCGAGGACCTGGCTGGTGACTTTTTGAACATGGAAGTAAGCTTTTGTTACTCGGCTTTGCCAGGCCAGTCTGGCAAGGATCGATCTAAGAACGTTCATTTGCTGATTGAATTCTTCATTGGTGCTTTTGACTGGCTTGAAATTCCTTTGCCTGTGTGGGTACAAGTGGAACGCGTTGTGGGTACCGTCCGTCTCCGTGCGCAGATTATGAGCGAGCCACCATTTTTGCGAAACTTGACGTTCTCGCTGATGGGCGTGCCGAGTGTTAGTATCAGTGCGATCCCTATGACTCGTATCTTGCCGAATGTGCTGGATTTGCCTCTTATCTCAAACTTCGTGCAATCGTCGATCGCCGCTGCTGCGAACATGTATGTGGCGCCGAAGAGCATGACGATGAACATGAGGCAGATGCTGAGTGGTGATGGTATCAAGAAGGACACGGATGCCCTTGGTGTGCTGGTTGTTAACATCCATCATGGTGAGGGTCTCAGCTCGCAAGATTTGAATGGCAAGTCGGACCCCTACTGTGTGCTCAGTTTCGCCAAGTTTGGTCGCCCTATGTACTCGACTCGTATTATCTTTGAGGATTTGAACCCGGTATGGGAGGAGACAGCGTTCCTGCTGGTATCACGTGAGGATGTGCGGTCCGATGAAAGTCTCTCGGTGCAGCTTTGGGACTCGGACAAGCGTTCAGCTGATGATATTGTCGGTCGTGTTAACGTAACACTGCGTGAGCTCGTGCGCAATCCCAACAAGATTTTGCCGCGTTTGTCGGATCTGATGGGCTTCGAAGATGCTGATACGATGGAGGGCCGACTCAACTGGAGTGTAGGCTTCTTCGAGAAGGCTAATCTAAACACAAAGCTCCGTCAGAACCAGAAGGATGAAAACGAGTCGGCTGCAGAGCAGACGGTAGACCGCAAACCAGCGCCCATCGACTCGGAGCAGGAGGCTTTGGCTCTGGATACGCCGCCGGATCCGCAGTGGCCTAGTGGCATTTTGAGTGTCATTGTGAAGTTTGTTGCTGGGCTGGAGCGCCGCGATGTGGAGAAGGGTGTCAAGGAAAAGGATCGCGAGGGCGCAGCTGGTCAAGATGTGGAAATGGGCTCGTCGCATTTGCCGAGCGGTTACTGTGAACTGATTCTTAACGACAACATGTTCTACAAGACGCGTGTGAAGCAGTACTCGAACATGCCCTACTTCCAGGCTGGTACTGAGATCTTTGTGCGTGACTGGACCAAGTCGGAGCTGCGTATTATTGTGCGTGACTCGCGTTTGCGTGAGCACGACCCGATCATGGGTATTGTGGCGCTGCCGCTCAAGTCACTGTTTGAAAAGTCGTCGCAGGTTGAGCGCGCGTTTAGCCTGCAGGACGGTGTCGGTTACGGCAAGGTGTCGTGTGGCATTGTGTTCCGCTCTGTGAAGTTGTCGCTGCCGCGGGAGCTGCGCGGCTTTAACACTGTATCGATCGACTTGCTAAGCAATGTTGAAGTGCGCGGCAAGACGGAGGAGCTTACGCGCAAGCTGAACAGCAGCAAAGTGCACTTGATTGCTGGACTGCATGAAAAGAAGCTGGGTTCGTTGAAGAAGCAACCGAATGTAGGTGAGAACGAGTCACTCATCCGCATGCCGGTGTATGACCGATACTCGACCAACCTTATTTTCAGTTTCGGCCGCCACATGATCCCTGGCAACCTCGTGCCCGGTACATCGAACCATATGGCTGTGGCGATGCTCCCACTGCGTGAGCTGGAAGACGAGCAAGTAACGGATATTGAGCTCCCTATCCTCACAGGTAACAACCTGCACGCGTTGGAACGCAACTTTATCAACAAGCAGACTACCAAGACGCACGAATTCGAGGAGATTGGCTCCCTTTCCGTGCGTGTGCGTGTGAACCCAGGTTTGGATGAATCGCATCGTGAGTGTCTGGATGGCGCGCGTGATCGTCATGAATTCGAGGTGTATGAGCGTCTGGTGGGTCTGCCGCAACGCTCAGAAGAGAACTCGCATGCGAACGATGATGGTGTAATTACGCGTCAGGAACGCAAGGCGATTGAGAAGCTTCAAACACAGCAGCTTCACATGCGCCACCGTGGTGCGATGGGCTATACACCTGTCCGTACAGCCGTGTGGGCCAAGGACGGTCTCAAGTCGCATCTTCGTCAGCTTGGCCACTCCATGTTTGGTGGTATGGGCAAGCGCGACCAACACGTGCAGTCAGAAACATAAAAATAGAAGCCATAGATGTGCCCATACACAAGTCACAGAGACCGTGTTCGATGCTATTCACGCCAGTGGAGGGAGGCCACTGCCACGCTGTGCCTAGGTGGAGGGAGAGAGCGGGCGCGCGGCTGCGTCGTGCCTCGGCTCCGACGACCAACCATGTCGTGGATCAAGTCTGCGGTGGGACGTGCCAAGGTATCCACGCACGATGCCCTACCGCCATTGCATGCGCGTCTGGGTGACTGGACAGGCGATTTCCGGGACCCTAGCAAATTTGCCGAGGGATTCGTCGATCAGCTCAGTCTGCCGGGCGAGATCTCCGCGATGGCCTATGAGCCTGGTATGGGCTACCTGGCCGTCGGCACCTCTGCGGGCAGTGTGCATCTGTATGGCGCGCCGAGTGTGCGTATCATGTTTATGCTACGTCCTGCGCTGCGTGTGAAGCATATGGCATTCAAGTCAGATACGTACCTCCTCATTTGTATCGGTACGTATGAGCGCCTACTTACCCGCAGATGAGAAGGACAATATCAGTATATACGATCTATCACGGCGGGATCCACATGCCTCCGTTGTCCATGGCGCACGACGAGCGCAAGCGAGCCAGATGCCGGCGTGTGCCGATGCGCCGATGCGAGTCGGGATCCATACAGCCCGCAACCATGTGCTGTGCATGGAAGTGACCTCAGAGCATAGTCACTTGTTCTTGGGCTTGGCGGATGGGACGGTGGAAACGTATGACTTGGATCGATTCCATGTGTCGCCGTACCGCATTCCGAACTTGTGGTGGAACGAGGAAGAGATTCTGCGTCGGTCCAATGTACCGCAGGCGCCCAGTCGTTTGCACATCCCGCTGATGATTGATATCCAGACGCATCCGCGCGACTGTAACATTCTACTCCTATGCTATGAAGGCGGCGCGGTCCTCTATTCGCTGCGCGACAGCCATGCGATGAGCACGTACCAACTACGACTCCTTCCGGGCGCACCAGGGCCCCATGCTGATGCGCCCATGGAAGAAATTTGGAGTGAGCGTATGTGCCCAGCCACGTCCATTGCATGGAGTCCATGTGGTGAGATGTTCGCAATGGGCCATGAGAATGGTGCGCTCTCGATTTGGAGTATCAAGGACGAAGACAAGCCGCTTTTGGTGCGCACGCTGGACGAGATCGACATTGATCGGCCCGTAGCCCCAGAAGATCTATCAACACAGAGCATGGGCCCCCGTGAGCCGATTTTCAAGCTGACATGGTCTGGCTTCCCGGCGCAGGGCTGGTACGAGTATGGTGCTCAAGCCGCCAGTGCGTGGACAGGCAGTGGCGCCGCGCCGACGGAGCCGACGTCCAGCAATGCAGCCTCGTCCTCGACGCCCACGTCCGAGTCGGCCTCGTCGCGTGGGACGATCCTCACAGTGATGGGTGGCACGCCGGTGCGCCAGAGTGCGGCGTGTTTGTACGCGTTCCATTTACCGCCGCCTCCAGCTGCAGGTCTGTTTAGCACATCCTCAAACTACGAGGCACAAGCCAAGGCGAAGGCTGCGCAGCGTGCAGCGCTGATGCCGACACATACAACGGTGTATCGTACCACCGGCACAGTGGAAGACTACTGTCTTCTTCCACGCCTCAATCCTCATTACCGTGGTACGTTTGATCCGTACGGAATCCTGGTTCTGGTCGGTCCAGATGGCTCGTTGCCGACGATTGCCGCGCAGAGTACGCAGCGTGGAATCGAGGCATACACCTTCCCACCACGACGGAGTGAGCCAGCATACGATCGCCTAGGACTGCCGTTGCCGCTGCAGCTGGCTGGGCGCGGTACGGTCCTGGGCTGCACAGTCGCCACCGTCCCACTGGCGCAGTACCGCCGCTGGGTTCAGGCGGCGCCTGTCGGGGCCATAGGCTCCATCAAGCCGGACGAGTTTATGGGTGGTTGGGCCACGCCCAATCTGCAAGGCGGTGCAACGCTCGCGCATGCCCCGGCCTTTGCACGACAGGGTCAGCCGCGTCTGCTAGTGACGTGGCATTTGGATGGGACCGTGCGTATGCACGACGTGAGTCCGCACCTGCTTCTCCTGGGCGAAAGCGATCCACGACGCGGCGTCCTTTTGCATGAGCCGTTCCCTGTACCGCTACCGCATTTGACTCTGTCTGTGCGTGACATGATCATGCATCCTACTATGATCGGTATGCCGGCCCTCGAGCCCTTGCAGCGGTTCCCGATGCAGATGCAGATTGAGCATGTGCAAGTGGCTTGGGACGCTATGGAATGCATTGTGAGCCTTACAACAGGGCACGTGGTGCATTTGACGATGGGCACGGGCGTTCTTGCCGGGCAGATGCATGCCTTGGCCTTGAGCGACAAGACCGAAGGGCCTTCCGCATCCATAGGCCTCTCCGACGGCGAGTCGGCCAATGGACCTTTGCCGGAATTTACGTCGATGGAGACAATATGTGACTTTGCGTCAGCGGGTTTCCAGCCGCATACCGTGCTACACGTTCTACCAGGCCCTGCGACATGCCATGCGCTAAGCGATACAGGCCTGTATGCGGCAGCCAATGGCGGTATGCTTGTCGTGGCTGACTGCCGCTCGCAAGACATTGTCATTCGCTCAGGTTTTGGCCATGCCGACTTTTTCTCACGTCAGATCGGTGCGCGCGAAGCGAAGATCATCGAGGCCGAGGCACAGAGCGAAATCGCTTGGCTTACGTTTGCCGTTTGCCGCACCCGCAGTGATCCCGTGTTGGCACTGCGGCTCCTTGTGGGCCGTGTGAATGGCTACGTGACAGTATGGACCTTTGAACGGAGCAGTTTGGAGCAGTGGATGGGCTTCCGCTCCGACGCGGTATCGCTCGCTCTTCCAACCCACGCTCGCATTGTCCATGCGCAAGTCGTGGGCGTCGCAGGCAATGTGGCCTCGACCAACGAGGCTAGTGTACAACGCGCCGCCATGGAGCAGACGTCGCCGGACACCGCTGAGAGTATGCGTGACTTTTACATGCTGCTCGTCGCCACGACGCAGGGCGCCGTGCTCATGGACCAAGTCACAGGCTCTCGCATTTCGCATGTCGAGTGGCCTGATCCTGTGCACTCGGCCCACATCGTCGAAAAGCAGGGAGCCAAGACCTTGGTGGCTGTGGCATCGAATAGCATTTTTGCATCGTCCTTGCCGCGCTTCGATACGACGCACCGCGTGCAGCGCCATGTGCCGCCCAGCCAGGAAGTCGTGACGACGGCGCCACAGGTCTGCATTGAGGACCAAGGTTTCTTCTTCGAAGTGGCCAGCGGGCATCAGTTGCGTGTATGGTCGACCTTTGCATCCCTACCACATGCAGAACGGCCGACCGTCCACTTGTTCACGCCACGGTCTCTTCCGCTAGCGCCGGGCGCTGGGGCAGGTGGCTACATTGCCAGTGTAGCAGGGTGGCTCGGTACCTCGGCAGGTCAATCGCTCTCCCAGGCCGCGCAGACAGATGCCGTCCTGGCAGGATCGCGACGTCCCGCGGCCCCGACGCTCCCGCCGCGCATGACATGGGAAAAACAGAGTGTCCCTGACCCTCCCGCCAACGCATCAGGACCACCTAGCTCATCGTCAACGCCGCGTGGATCGGTATCCGGGGCAGCAGGCGCGCCGTCCAGTGCGTGGGCCCTCCCGAGTCTCCCGTCGTTGTCCGGCACACGAAGCTCAGTCTCCACACCCCCAGTCCCCCCCCCTGCCGATCCCGAAGCCGCGGCCAATGGCTGGTGGTTCGAAGGGTATACAAAACAACTTGCCAACTTCACCAACAACAGTGTGCGTTCACAGGCCCATGTCAACATGCAGCTCCTGCATAAACGCGATGAACTTCTTGCGACATTGGACGAAGGCATGACATCCCTCGAACGTGGCGCTAAAGACTTTTTCAAGCAGTACGTATTGTCACACACTAACGCACCGCAGAACACGCAATGCCGCCCTCAAAGCCGCTGCGAAAGACAAACTTAACTCGTACTTGTAGTCGTACATAGGTCCTTGGCCCTTCCCACGCGCACAGTCCGCCCATGCGGGCGTAAGGGATTGTTGAAACTCGCTCGCACGCGTCTCATCCACGTGCGCGGCCAGCCACGCCATCTGATGGGAGGCCACATCCTCCACCACCACTGGCACGATATGAGCGGCATCGACCCAGGGCCACTCCTCGAGGCCGTGCTGACCTCGATTGATGAGGTCAGTGCAGCGTACATGGCATGGAATGCGGCATCGCCGGGATGGGACGCTGGTCCTGACTTGGAATGGCGTGAGGGCGCCTTGGTCGCGACGCAAGCGGCTGTGGCTCGAACGCAAGTGCCGGTCGTAGCAGAGCTATGGCCTGAGCGCACTGGACAGCCGCTGCCAGGCCTGGCTGCCTTTCGACAGGCTGTACAGGCCGAATATGAATACGTCACAGGTACTGGGACGATAGATACGTCTACAAGCAATGCATCGTACTTGGTGGCCTTCTGGAGCGAAGTATTGCATGCGCTGTGTAGTTACGGACCAGTGACGACCCTGAACGTAACGCGAGCAGCCTCAAAGCCCAAAGGTAAGCGAAAAAGTTATGACGCAGGGCCCACTACGTCGCCTATCCATATTGTCGGGCGACAGGGCACCCATTGGATTCGTCTCCTTCCTATTCGCTTGGATGCTTTGTTGCGGGAATGGCAAGAAATGGACCATGTGCTCGCCAATAACATCGAAGCAGACGAAAACAGTGCTGTTCCGCCTACGTCGATTGTCCAGGCAGCGCGAGAGATGCTCGCGGCGCGGACCACAGAGAGTGTGGAGCTTGTCCTCACACGGCTGTCTCCCGCAGACGTAGAGCCTTCGTCTGGTGAGGTAGCACAACGTCTAAACGACACAGTGCGTGCAGTGGAAGCCATGGGTGTCCATGTTCGCATGGGCGCCTCCAAGGCCGTGCCTCTGCATATCCAACTACCACGCCCTCCCCCGCCGCAAGTATGGCATCCCACGCGGACCATCAATGTGGATGTTAGTGCAATGATTGCGCTTTGTAGCGACCTCTCGCATGGATACACGCGGGGCCTGGAAATTCATGCGAACCGCGCTTTGTCCTTGCAGGCCCAGCACGAAAACGACATGCCGTTGTGGCAGCATTTGCTGGATTATGCGTCAGGCCCTCTTCACCTCGTGGCCACCCCTGATACGCTGGCTAAATTTACTTCGATTGTGGATGCGGTGGCCTCGCCACGTGAGAAAGAACGGGCTCTCTGGCTATGTGGACATCGACAAGGTCTCCGCCCCTGGGGCCCTTTCCAACGTGAATGGGAAGAGTGCCTGCCTTTGCCGGTACGCACCCTATCGATCGAGACCTTGCCGGTGATCCCGGAAGAACAAGTGCAATCCCAAGCTTATGCAGATGCACTTGCCACATTGAAAGGTCGTACACGTGCCAAGTCCTTAGGAACATCGCCTCATACGTGGCAAGCGCTGCAATATGGACTCGCCCTGGGATACACAACATTGTTGGCCCATGCGAACGGCATCGAAGAGCTTTTACAGACGGCTGGCCCGCTCTTAAGTGCCTTGGATGCTTCGCCGCACGCATTGTTCTGGGTTATTCAACCGCGGTCCTTTGTGACGCATATGACGCAAGCTGCATCGATGCCAAGTATGCGGTCTGACTCGGCCTCCTCTACATCTAATTTGCTGGCCAGTAGTGATGCTGTCTCGCCACTTCGGCCTAGTATGCTTATGTCCCACGCTCGAACTACTCCCGTTCAACGCATGCAGCGATGGTCGGTAACAGCATGGAAATGGCTACAAGGACCTGAAGTGGTGTCCAACCAGCCGTTACGGCACTATCCCTGGTGGCCATGGGCTACTTTGGAAGCCAAATGGTGCCAATGGACAGAACCCATCGCATGGACGCCACCTCCTAAACTCTCAGATCCATTTGTGTCGGATTCGAATGAGAGAATGGAACTCAGTACTTGGAATGCCCATTCGCCGTCAGTCCTCTTGCCATCGTCATCCAAGCGGTCCTCATTCACACCGACCCATGTACGGCCATTTTCATATACGTCTTCAGCGACGCCCTCCAAGCATTGGTGGGATGCCATAAAAAGAGATGTACTGCGAAACAAGTGGCATTGGATTGTACTCGCTGCCGTATGTATCGGCTGGCTATTTGGATTTGCTGTAATCGTACACGAAACCTGGTTCGAGGCATCTGTGCTTACGCCTACAGGCTGGGTGAAGCCCACGCCACTCGATTGTACAGCTACATTTTGGGGCAGGAACGCTCAGTGTGGCTTGGATGGCAGTGCATGCAGACCTTTTTCTGATGCCAGCATGCCATTCCGGTGCCCCAGTGGGTGTTCAGGTGTTACCCTTCTAAATGAGCGCATTGTGGGTGATACATCCTATATTTACCAGCCACTAGTGGTCGGTGGCGGAAATGGTACTCCGTACCGTGCTGATTCCTTTGTGTGTTCGGCGGCCAAGCATGCTGGTCTCATTCAGCGCCATGGTGGATGTGGTATATTGCGCATGGTTGGCACATTTTCACGTTATCAAAGCAACGAACAAAATGGTATTAAAAGTGCGCCTTTTTCTAGCGCCTTTCCCTCGTCTTTTGTACTACAAGCGCCGCAAGACCAATCCCACTGTACAGACTATCGCTGGCGACTGTATGTCTTGGACGTTGTATTCTCTGTCTTTGTTACGCTGGTGTTGCGCCCTATGCCTGCCGTTCTCTTCTGGATACTATCATGCATGGGATTTTGGCACGTGAATTTAGCATCAGAATTGCGCGATATGCCCCCGCCTATTGGCGATGCGGTCGGCGATTTTGGACCTTTCCTGTTCGTGTGCTTCGTCATTTGGTATGCCGGTTTACGTCACGTATGGCCAGCATTCCGACCATTGCCGCTCGAGTTTGGCATTGGATGGCTTGGTCTTTGGTGGATCGGTGTCCTTCTGGATGTCGTGTTTGCCGATGTGCCACTCTCGCGTTTGACGGGACACGATATTGCTCAGCAGCCAGGTGCGCTGACGTCACTGGTGATTATTGTGGTTGTGGTCATTTGCCTGGCCATTAACCAGGTCCGCGTTATTCGCAATGCAGGCGTACTGCCCAAGTTCCTTACATTGTACATTATTGCTGCCATCATCCTTGGTCTATGTGCTGCGGTACCTAATGAGGTTGTGCGTTTACATCATTATATCATTGCGCTAGCGCTCTTGCCAGGCTGCTGTTTCCCTACGCGTGTTTCGATGCTGTGCTGTGCCATCCTAGTGGGCATGTTTATCAACGGTGTAGGACGCTGGGGCTTTGATGGTCTGCTCCAGGATGATGCAGTGGTGCAAGGCGATGCGACAGGTTCCTCCGCCTTGCCCGAATTTAGTGCGTCACAAGATCAGCCAGGCGTCATCCAATGGATGCCCATCCCATCGCATCTGACCGATACGTGGACAGGCTTTTCGCTGCTGGTGGACGACGTGGTTCGTCATGTGGGGCCTGGCACGTCTTACAATTTGACGTCCTTGCTGGATACTTTTATGACGGATACATCGGAACGACTCCCTGCGACTGACATCCGGTCCACAATTGAAAACAGTGTACATTACATTCGTCTCGCATATGCTTCCATGACAGGGACAGGTGATTTTACCATGCCGGCTCTGGCATGGCTCAATGGAACCTTTGTTCCACCGCCCCCCGGTCGTTCATAGTTCATATCTACCGACAAGCTCATAAACCCTAAAGTCATGTGGAGATAAATTCGTCGTATTTTCTCTATTACGATCCACCCTTGTCGCCCATGTCTGACCAGGACAATGGCGAGAGCTGTGAACAGCTCTTGAATCTCCTGCACCAACGTTTAATTGCTACAGGAGAATGGTCTAGTCTTCTGATGCAGCTGCGTCAGATGCTAGAAGATAGCGGCTGGGAAGCCAAACTGCGGGATCATGCTGAGCGTACGTACATGTTCCTTGACTTACATGACAGAAGAGGCCCGCTCGCAGGAATCCTTGCATCTGGCCACTATGGTTGACAAGCTAGGAACTTATGCGCATGGTATGTGTGCTTGTACTACTTACACACGCCTAGATACGTTCCCCGAGTCGATCCGTGCATCGATCGGTGCCAAGCTGCGTGACTTTCTTGATCGTAACCTAGAGGACGCATAAGACTCTATGGCGCTACTTCAGAGCTTGTCCATGTACGCTTCTCTTGCCGCACAAAAATTGTACGACGAGCATGCTGCAAATCCAACATGTCAACCTCTTTTGGGTCGATGACGACAAGCGCAAAACTGTCACACGTTAGTATCCTGTCATGCGTACTTTTCAGGTAGCGTTTCATTTGTATTATTGGCCATCATATTGCTTGACATGTCTTTGACCTGGGCAGAGGGCTGGCCTGGTGGTGGGCCGTAAAAAGCACTCTGCATTGTCTCACTGAGGCTATTCCATACACGCACGCGCTCACGATCCCAGTCGAGTTTCGATGTCTTGCCCTGCAGTTTGTGGTCCGGAAAGCGGTGCCTCTGTGGATGTACGCTGGACGGAAGAAGGTAGGCATGCCCGCGTATGCGATACTACTAGGTTGGCCACGCGTATGTAAACGTACCTGTCTACGCTCCGGTGCGATGTACCATGCAATTTCCACAGGCGCATCTGATGCCTCTAGGATTTGCTCTGCTTTCGCAGATCGCAGGTCCGTTGTTGTTAAAAGACAATCACACTCTTCACCCTCGGGACATGCATCATTAACAAAACCACGATGAACGACGTAGCGTACACGCGGTATAGGGGCTGGATCTCTCGCTAGTGTGGCCAAAGCATAGAATACTACACCACTTAGCTTCTTTTATACGCACATATCGAGCGGTCTGTATTGTACTTTGCCAGGGCCTCGGTCAATGCGCCTTTCCACATGGCAAGTGGCACCCGGGACTTTTTGTGGAGAACCTTGCCCAAGTGTCAAAAATAGGGCCGTTGAACAAGTTAGGGAACTCATTTACATCACCATGCTCCATTCGTCCCCGTACAAGCCTTTGGAGATTCCAGAGGATCTATCTGTTCCAGATTTTGTGCTTCAAGCTACATCTGATCAGGATGAAGCTATGCCGTTGCTGTATCCATGCCCTCAGACAACACGGAAGTCCACTACGCCTATTTCGTTAGGCCAAGTGCGGGCCCAGGCCAAAGCCATGGCCACGTCGCTGCTTTCGCCCCACATCGAGGGCGGTGCGTGGAAGAGAGGCGATGTTATAGTGGTGTACTCAGAGAACCAACACGACTATCTCTTGGCCGTCTTGGGTGTAATGATGTCGGGCGGTGTGGCTGCCCTGTCAAACCCAATGTACAAGCCGGATGAAATGCGTCATGTATTTGATTTAACGAAGCCACGCGCCATTCTAGCTTCGGTTGCTACGTACGAAAAGGCTGTACAGGCGGCTAAGAGTTATGAGGAGCTTTGCAAGCATGACATCACCGTATATGTGTTTGACGAGGACCACGAGCGCAGCTACTTAAAGCTCCTAGTGGAGCCTGGCATGAAGCTGTACAACGACGGGGATGACGCTGTGCATCGTGTACCATTTTCCCCGAAGGAGCAAGATGCCATTTATTGCTTCAGCTCCGGCACGTCTGGCTTGCCCAAGGCCGTCCGACTTTCGCACTTCAACTTGATCGCCAATGCTATTCAAATGACGGCGACTCTAGGTGGGCGTATCAACAAACCCTCCGAGAAGTTTATGCAGTGGTATGATCAGCCAGAGGCGCCTATTCAAGACGGTAAGAATGAGATACATTACTCCATTCTGCCTCAGTTCCATTGCTATGGAATGCTCACTTCGCTTATCAACTTACACACACTCACGCCAGCCGTCATTGCAGCGCGCTTTTCACCTGAGACCTTCTTTTCTACCGTAGAAGAGTTCCATGTTACTTTCGCATTTGTTGTCCCCCCTATCAGTACGTATACCGATGTTTGGCTAACCTCAGTGATTGCACTCGTTCGTTCCCCTCTTGCGAAGAAGTACGATCTTTCTTCCATCAAATCACTTGCGTCCGGTGCTGCGTCTCTCTCTAAGGAGCTGTGCGAGCTTGTGCGTGACAAGTATGGGCTCCATGTAACGGATGGTACGTACCTTTACAACTCACCATCAGGATACGGAATGACGGAGAGTATGTTCTGCGTCTACTCACAACAGTGTCTCCCATCATTGCCTTGCAAACGCAGCGTGACCTGCAGTATCATAAGCTCAATGTCGGCCGTCTCGTATCTAACACGGAGGCATATGTCATTGACGTCAACACTGGCAAGAAAGTAGGGGTAAACAAGCCGGGCGAGCTTCTGGTTCGGGGTCCCCAAATGATGCAGGGCTACCTTGGCAACGAAAAAGCAAACCAATCGGCGTTTGCTATGGATGACGAGGATTCTGGCCGTTTCCTACGTACAGGCGACATTGTCTCGTTCGATGATAAAGGTACGTGGACATGCATACTCATAGCAGGCTACATTACTATTCATGATCGCGTCAAAGATATCATCAAGTACAATGGGTACCAAATCGCTGCCTCAGAAATTGAGGCCATCATCAATTCCATCCCCCATGTCCTTGAATCAGCTGTTGTGGGTAAAATTGTAAAAGAAGATGTCGCAAAAAATGAGCTGCCTTGGGCCTTTATTGTACTCCGGTCAGATGCACCCGATATGTCTGAGGAGAAACGGTCTGAGGAGGTGATATCATATGTAAACGAGCGTGTGGCGGGGTATAAAAAGCTCCGAGGCATAACTTGGACTGACCAGTTGCCACGCAGGTATGTTGTTTTCTTTTAACATCACAGCGCCGCCGGGAAAGTGCTCAAGCGCGAGCTTAGGGACCAATTATCGCTTGATTAAGCACACATGTAATTGATCTGTTAGTGCATACCATACTTGTCCATGATTTTGAGTGTGTCCACGTCTGGTATTAGACCTTTTGTATGCAGGAGATAAGTGACAATATCCCACGCCTTGGATCGTACAGCTGTTTTCAACAAGGCCAGGTCCACAGAACAACGATCTGACAGTTTTTGGCGTTTCGGCGGCGTGGCATCGAGAGGGGGAACAGCTCGTGCACTAGGGCGCTGTGGCCGTCTCGTCCGGCGAGCCTCTGTCAGAATACGCAGATTCTCTGCAATCAATCGAAGTCGACTACGCCATTGGTACTCCAATTTGTCGCTTTGTTCCACCAGCAGCTGAACGATGGGTAGATGATGCTGTTTTACAGCCACGTGCAGGGCAATGTTCTTTTTGAGCGACGGATCTGCACCGGCCGCCAGAAGTAGGCAGATCATAGGAACGCTGTTGAGATGAACGCACATGGCGAGAGGGTATCCATGTGAAGAGTTGGGCGATGCATGGTGCAACAGGATCATGCGCAGTATTAACTCAAGGTGTGAGAAGGGCGGCAGAAGGATCTTCGTATTTGACATGGACGTAGGGACCAGCTCACAGACAAGTTTGACAATGACTTGGTATATAGGTTTCACATTGGAAGGTACCAATGAATAGTAAGATATAGGATCGTAGAGATCAGCCTTGTGGAAAAGTCTTTCAGGTAGTGCGTGGCACGAGATGTGCGATGGCACAATGGCGTATGCACCTTCTCGCGTAAGGGAAAACATCCCATAAAGCTGGGATATATTGCCGAAAATTGGTGACTGAATCATAATTCGTTCCACTTTGGCTACAACCTCCGATGTGCAAATACCATATCGAGTTACATAGGACAATATGTCGCTCGTCGCCGCCCGTCTTAGTGAAGTCGCATTGCCGGAGGGAGGGTGCACTGTAGGTAAGAACGCATACTGGAGTGACACTGCCGTGGAGCCACTACCGCTTCCTTGTGTAAATCGAAGACCATACGAATCAAACCAGCAGCAGAGAAGGTACTCAGCCTTGATGACATTCGGTGCATTGTTGCATGCATATCGTAAAGCACGACAAACTTGGGCAAGATTGGGGCTCCGGGAAAACAGAAGGATGCACCAAATTATCTGGACATGAGCATGCACAGAACATACCTCAACAGGCAGGCTTGTTAACTGTATTGGCTCCTGCCCTGCCATGCAACACGCAAGCAGGCCAGGCTGTGCAAATGCAGCGGTGCGATCGCAAAAAAATTGCTTGGCAAGAAATGTCGCTACCTTGTGGAGGTTGCATGAAATCTTCTGCTCGGCGCGTTGATACACTTGCCCAGGGCCGACTCTTTGTGGGTGCAGCTAAGGTGGCTGTTTGACGCTACATGCGGTTTCCTCTTAGTCTACTCCCTTCAAAATGGCCTAAACAAAAGCTTTATGACTACAGTTATGACCTGGCAGCACCAATGTTCCTTAATATTGCGTTGCTGCCATTTGTATTCGTCAACCCGGTGCGTCACTGGTTGGGAGAACGCTCCTTTCTTTGCTTCGTATTTGTTCAGTAAGTGCTGTGCCCACTAACTATAGCCTTGCGTTTTATCCAGGAGGGAGTACTGTCGGGTCCCATCTCGAGTTGGTCTTCTTGGGTCTTATATGCAGCACACTATGGCTGGCCGTAGGCTTCCTTATTGTCTGCTGCCAGGTGTGGCTCGATCGCCCCAATCCCATCTATACCGGTCTTCAATCTCGTGGCCTTGGTTCAGCTTACATCTTTGTCTCATTTTTTATCGCAGCTCTTATATGGAGTCGCATTCCACGTCTTCGTCCAGCTATGCGAGTGTCGATGTTTGTATCGACATGGCAGCTTACTGGATCCGAGCCTGAAATCTCTGCTAGGAACTTCACGAATCTGTTTTACCCCATTCTTGTGACGGCAATCCTAAGTGCCTTGAGCAACTTGCTCTTCCCACAAACTGCTTATGGCTCGTTCTTTCGAACATCATCTACTGCGTTGCATACCATTTCCAAAATGGTGGAGAATGTAATGGATGATTTGGATCACGAGCTATCACACTGGTTCGATAAGCTATCTACATCTCGCCCTGTGTCAAATACACAGCCTCTTTTCAAGCAATCAAAAGCTTTTATGGATATGCAACGGAGCCTCCATGGGAACGTCCAAAAAGTGCAAGTGTTACAGGCTGCGTCTCAGCACGAGCTCTCCTTGGGACGTGTACCAATATCCTCGTGCGGTGCAATTATTCCTTACTTAGCAGATGTCAACACTTGGATGCGAAGTGGGTTCGGCCTCTCGCAGCCTAATGAGGACTTTGAACTCCCGATTATCCAAGATGTACTGGATCATCTGGACGAAGAGTCTCCTCCTTGTTCAGCTCCACATACCCAATCTACATTCGAGCGTGTAAGCGTTGTGGAAGTCGAAGGTCGGCGTGATTTCGAGCATGCCGTGGAATCCTTTCGTGTGCTGCGCTCGTCTTTGCTCGATGCACTGGCCATGCTCGAGGCTCTAATGGATACCTGTAGCGGCAAGAAGAAATTGTATACCAGAGAAATGGCCACCATTTTTGCATATTCCCTTGAAAATGTCCATTCCGATGATAAGCAGAAGCTCAACGATCCCCAATATCTTCTAGCTCAGATGGCTCATCAACTAGAAGTTACTAAACTTCACTGCCTTCATGAACTATACGGTCTACTTTATAAGCGTGGATTAACGAACCCTGACTTTGCTGATCTTGATGCTCCTAATCCATCTGCTACCATTTATACTCCCCCACATTCCGCAGCGGCTACGCCTCTGGCTCCTACGGGGATCGAGAATCTATTTCGAAAACCGATGGTGTTTCGACCAGAAATGTATTTGTTGGCACAGTTTTCACTCTCTATATTTCGACTTGTGGATCAAACTACGGACGTGCTCAACAACTCCAAAGCAATCGCACAGCATCTAACAGAAAATCGTCTCTGGAACCTTCATCTTCCTCGCATGAATTTTTGGAAATGGCTTACCTCCTCGAGTGGGGTAGATATTTTGCAACCTACCTCGAACTCTGACTTTTTCACCGTATTCCTGCAAAACTACATGCATCACTCCAAGGCCAACAACGATTTGCATTCCGACGACGAGGACGAGGCTGGTTCTGCCAGAGATGTTACATCGTTTGTTATGGATGAAGGCACGACGCATACGCGATACAAAACGTATGCGGAAAACATTGCTCGCGCCTCATATCATGTCCGTCGCCAAACAAAACCAACAGGGTTTTTGCAACGGATAAGGCTGGCATGGACGAATTTTACTCGTGCTAAATTCGTATTGTGGTGCCGAATCCGGCTGTCTCTTTTATTGCATGACCTTAAAAGCTCGCATCATATCCACCTGGCTCTTAAGCTTGCCTCGGGTGTAACTCTGTTTTCTATGATTGCTTTTCTAGAACCTGCGAAACTGTCGTGGTGGCACAACGAGAACGGACAATGGATGATCATCTCCTATATTTGGTGTTTGGAAAGTACAAGTGGTGATATGTTTCGTGTTTCTTTGTGTCGTTTCATTGGAACTATTTTGGGTGCGATTTCTGGGTTGATTGCCTACGAGATTTCTCGAGGTAATGTCTATGGTCTGTGCGTCCTTATTACGGTGCTTGAGATTCCGCCGTCGATCCTTCGTATGCATTCTAGTTTTCCTCCACCGTTGGGAACTGTGATGGGTTTAACGACGCCGATCGTCGCTATCGTTCCCTACCTCCAGCCTAAATGGTTTGGTCCGGTTCATGTTGCCCTTGTCCGAAGTTATATGATTATTCTTGGGATTGTTGCAGCTTTGTTGGTGAACCTTATATTTTGGCCCTACCATGCACGGACGAAATTGTTAAAAAAGCTGTCGAATACCTCTTTGCTGCTGCAGTACTTTTACTTGGGTTTGGCTCGCCAGATGATTGAGCACGGGTTTAAAACGACGCCTGAGATGTCCAAGAACTTCAAGGATATGGAAGGAAATATTCGCTACCAGCTTGGTCAATGCCAGGGTCTTGTGGGCATTATGAGTAATGAGTTTAGCCTGGTTCCTAAACCAGTGGCTATTCTCAACCGCATTTACAGCCGACTTGACTCAATCTTCACACTCTTTGTGGCCTTACGTATGTGTCGTGAGACCGGCTTGCTACAACATCACCAGGAAGCGGTATACGATGTTCTTCCTTTGCGCCAAGAGCTTGTCTCCACAGTTCTTTTAGACTTGTGGATGCTTGGCCAATCCCTTATTACTCACACCCGAATGCCACAGTTTTTGCCATCTACGAGACGCTCGTTGGAAGAACTCATTGCTGCCATTGCCCTCAGCTATGGAGAAATTTTGAACGAAGAGAGTATGACAACAGCAGCATGGCGCCGTACGTACGATGGACCATCCGTGCCCCAGCGTACATTTAAAGAGCCGTTGAACTTGGATATCAATGGTCATCCTTCCTCGCGCAAATCGAATAAAACTGTGGAAGGAACGTTATATATATTGGCTGAGCACTCTATTCTTTCTCAGGTGGTATATTCGCTTGAGGCATTACTCCAGCTTATGCGATACATGCTGGGAGAGTTGCGTGTTGTACATTAGTGAACCATGGATAGTTAAGAACGCCGTAATCCTCTCAAGGGCGGTTGTGTGCTATCACCAGAACTTAACATAAAAGCGCCACTGATTTGTTTCATGACAATACGTGAGTGCGTAAGCTGCGATTCCATGCGAAGCTGGTATTAGTGGGCAGGAAATCTAACGTACAGGGTCCGTCTCGTTGCGAAGTCGCTCTATCTCTGTGCGAAACCAATGCATCGTTTCCCATCGTGCCTCCATCGTAGGAATAGCTAGCATAAGAGATACTTTTTACTCACATCTAGTAGACCGAATAAAGCTCCGATACAGAGCTAAAGCCTTCGCTTGTAGAAGAAAGGCTTTCAACGAGGGACCTTGGGTCGCCATGATTGCAGCGTAGGCAATTTCGTCGGTAGCTTGCACGGACCTTCGCTCGCGAACGAGGGGCATCACGTGTTCTATGGTTGCAAAAGTGAAAGGCGCCGCCTGCCTCAGTTTTTCTTTCTTCGTGCGGCAACGACGTCCATTTCGTGTTGCACACCGAATGTACAAGCTATGTTCTGATGTTGCATTTGCACGTTGGACTAGCTTTTTCTTATTATGTGCTCGGGGTGTATTCAGCGGGCGTCCAGATAAAGCGACTCCAGGGGGATTGCCATCCTTCGTGCCTGTTCTTGTAACAGGCCCGCATGGACATCTTAGTACCCATGCGACTAACAATGCTTGTTAGCCGCGGGTCGGTAGTCCATACATACTCATCAGATTGCGTGTATATTCGCTACGTAGTATTGGCATCCATTATCTAGCAAAAGCTGACTTGTTGGGGCACGCTATTTATTTCCTGTACACTTTACGCTTCAGACATCCATCATGCCTGCGATTCCTGTGGCATTGCTTGGGTACGGTAACTCGGCCCGTACTTTTCATATTCCCTTTGTCAAGTCGCTTCCTGGTCAATTTGAGCTCAAGATTGTGCTTCAACGTCCGCGCTCCAGTACATCCACTTCGCCCGATGCTCGGGCTGACCTACCAGATGTACAGGTGCTGCCGGACCTTCCTGCTGTGCTGGCCGCGATGCCTCAAGGTCCTGGCCTTGTGATTGTAACAACTAACAATGCGTCACATGTGCCTTACGCTAAGCAAAGTCTTGAAGCAGGGAAGCACGTCCTCATTGAAAAGCCTGTTGCTGTGCATGAGCGCGAAATTGAAGAGCTTGCCAATCTGGCGCGCAACAAAGGCCTAGTGTGCTCTGTGTATCAGAACCGACGTTACGATGGTGACTTTCTCACCATTAAATCTTTGCTGGCAGACTCATCGCCAACCAATCCTTCTGCGATCGGTATCCCTACATACTTTGAGTCTCGCTTTGATCGGTTCCGCCCGATTGCCAAGGGTACGTACTTTGTATGCTAACAAGTAAGGTGGCTGGCGTGAAGAGGTGGACCCTGTAAAAGAAGGCGGTGGCATGCTCTGGGACCTCGGTGCCCATCTTGTCGACCAGGTGGTATCGCTCTTTGGTCCTCCTAGCACCATCTTTGGCACTGTTCGGAATCAGCGTGCACAGGGCGCCACGCAGGTCGATGACGACTGGATGGCCATTTTGACGTATCCCACGATGCTCCCCCTTCCAGCTACGGCCTGCCCTGCAGGAGCACGCCTTGGTGGCTTGCGTGTCGTGCTTGGATCTTCGTGTCTTTCCACGCACGTCGATGCCGAACAATTCCGTTTCCGCGTAGAAGGCACGGCAGGCTCCTATGTTAAGCATGGCACAGATCCACAGGAAGGTCAGCTTAAGCTAGGCTGGACACCTGCGTCCAAGGGTGATGCCTTTGGTGTATACCAAGACCATGAGCCCGCAGCTGTGCGTCTTGGTCGTCTTACTACGACAGTGCAAGACAATAAACCCGTGACGGCAGCAGCTCCTCCTAGGCTCACTGCGAGTGATATCCCTACTCTGCCTGGCAGTTATATCTCCCTCTATCTTAACTTGTTCGATGCTATTCAAGCCGCTACACAAGCCGCTCAGAGCGGCCAGCCAGCGTCGGATGCGATCGATTCCATCCTTGACATTCAGCTTGGGCAAGTGGCTATTAGCACTCGTGTTTTGCGCTTGATTCGTCAGAGCTCGGAGGAAGGCCGAGTCCTTGCGTGGGCGACTGCCTAACTTGGGATGACGCCTCCACTTGTAGTACTCGTAGGTCAACGTGTTCGAACCATTGCACGGTCCATGCATGGCGTCGGGCGCATTGCAAGCCGTCTATTATACCCCTTTCGTGTGATGTCAAGCCCTTCGAAGCGCGCAAGCCACTTGTTGGATCTTTTGTATGTCGACTTTTCAAGCGCTTCTAGGCCCCCTATCTCGACACCGTCGCCGTTTTCGTCATGGCGTGTCGTGTCTCTCAAATCTGAATGTCGTCGGTTGGGCCTAGTGACATCGCGCAACAAGCAAGGCCTCATTGCTCTACTGGATCAGTACTATGCAACACATCCTGAACTCTCCATACCGCTAGAGGAGCCACGTACTTCGTCCGAGCCAGCTGTCCTGGTCATCTCAGATACGGACTCTACTACAACGCATTCGTCGGATTTTGAAATCATCGAGTCAAAAAGCTCACCGAGGAAAAAAACAGATTGTACTACGTCCTTGTTAGAAAAACAAATACGGTCTATCCATCTGGATAGTGATGTATCCGAGCACCATGAAGACGAGAACAATACCTCGACGTCGTCCGTGCAGAACGATTCAGCCGACGATACGGACGATGGCAGCTTCTCCACCGTGGAAGAGACTGTAGACCTCTACGGCCCCCAGCGCAACGATATGGACGAACCTTTGTGTACTGCCATTTTTTCCGACACAGAACTATACCAAAGAATTCTACGCATGGAGCCTATCAGCCTGGACGAGTTTATGAGCGTGGCTCAGCGATCTGGCACCCTTACAGGGTCCATGACGCGCAATCGGGCGCGATTGCGCACATGGTTGGATACCCAGGGCATTTGCTTTTATGAAGCGGATTTATGAGAGCCATCATGCCCTACTCTGCCACCAACTCAAATCTACGCCATTAGTCTCATGCTGTACGTACTGAACCACAAAATAGACTTGATCCGTAGCTGCATTTTTGCAGACATATCGAACGGGCTGACCATCCCAGTATTTCTGTACTAGTAGGGTTAGCAAGTACGATGCAACGTACGGTCAAAGCGCAGACCTCCGTAGGGAATCACAAGTTGGAGTCTGGGGTTAGTCACTGGCACACGCACGTATTGAAGTCAATCTGTATGTTAGAGCACTGACCCGATATACATACATATCCATTGCAGAAGTCGGATGTAATCACGTCATGGGGCGTAATGAGCAGCTTTTCCCGACGCCGTGCATCTCTGAGCCAAGCCGCTCGTTGCTTAAATGCGTATACATTGTGCTTTTCATTCAGCTGTTTCACGCCGTTCTCATCCAAATCGAGATCTTCCAAGAGAGAAGGCTCCGAGTCTTCGTCGATGTGCTTGTAAAACAACGGAGAAATGTTGTCACTCAGGTAATCCTCTTCTTTCTTCGGATCGGGGAAAGCAGGCCATGCACTGGAGGCAAAACACTCCGTCGCAGATGTACAATCCTCAAAGGCCGTAGTTGACACCCGATCTGCTTTCACACGATACATCGTTGCGAGAAGCGGCGAAAATGCCCATGGCTGATCCGAATACAGGTCGTGTTTCACTTGAGTGAGTTTTTGTAAGACGTACATGTTGGATCCACCACGGAAATAAAACGCAGAGCCACACTAGTTCCATAGGGCAAATGATCCTGGTATGTAAGTACATTTCGGTCCACATACGCGAATGGGCTGATCAAACTGATTTCCAAACACTAAATCGTTTGCAGACACCTCATGCAAGAAACGCCCTATTTAATGAGATACAGATCGGTCCACATACCTTGAATTTGGATGCTGTACGTCATGTGGTTACCATACGGCAGGGAGAAATAGGGAGCTGTCGTAGACTCTTCGTCCTGGTCTGAAGATTCTTTATGAAAATCCTTCACTCGGACAGTAATACGACCTTGAAACTCATCCGTATCGATGATGAATGGATTTTCATCGTCGTTCACAGACACAGGTTGTAACTCAGTGGCGGTTGGCCCCGCCGATATGCGAAGCTGCGGCGGCATGTCAAGAAAAGGCTGAGGTGTTGTGGAGACAGCCTAAATTTAACTGTTAGCTAAGCACGGGCCAATTGAGGGGTTTTCCCCGCCACGAATCCATCGGGCAAGGATCCTTTACGATACAACATCATGGACAAGGTAAGTAATAGGAAGGGTTGGTGCTCATGCGCAGATTATTGAGAAAGTAAAGAACAAGCTCGATGGTAACAGCAACCATGGCATGACTGCCAACACTGCTGTGCCTCAGCTCAATGCTCCTCTGGACAAGAAACTCGTGTACAAGGTCCGCAAGCAACGTGGTGTAAACCTCGGCTCATGGTTCTCGCTTGAGTCGTGGCTGACAGGTAGTCTTTTCCAACATGCCAAGGATCCGAAGGGTAGTGAGCTGGATATTGTCTCGGGCATGAACGCCAATGATGCCAAGGCCATGCTGGAAAACCACTGGGACAACTTTATCAACGATGGTGACTGGCAGGTACGTACAAGCGTAAATTCTGACCATGCAGTGGATGGCCGGTCATGGCATCAACTCGGTGCGCATTCCAATCCATTACGTACACTTCCTTGCTGGCAACCCGAATGTGCACGGCCTGCTCAAGGGCACGGAATTCGAGCCTTACGCCGCTGTGTACGAGGGTGCCTGGCAGCGTGTGGTCCGTGCTATTCAGAAGGCTCAACAGTTGAACATTGGTGTTCTTATTGACCTTCACGGTGTGCCCGGTGGCCAGAACAAAGATGGCCACTCAGGTAAGAGTGATGGAAAGGTGCACCTGTGGCACGGTATTCATGCTAGCTCGAACCGCAAGCTTACGATTAAGATTCTGGTGGCTCTAGCTTCTGCTATTGGTGGCTATGAGAACGTCATTGGCCTAGAGCTGATGAACGAGCCAGAGAACTCGGCAGCGCTGGAAGGCTTTTACATCGATGCCATCAAGGCCATTCGCTCCGAAGCCTCACCTCAGGGCGCTGAACTGCCATTGTACATCGGTGATGGCTGGGACACGTCACACTACACCGGCTTTGTCAACAAGCACAACGATGCTGGAAACCCGTTGGTCGTTGACCACCACTTCTACCGCTGCTTCACGCATCAAGACCACAACACCACGGCGAGCGACCATGCGAACCATTTGGAGCCAAACGGCGGCAAGACGGCTGTTTGGCTCAAGAAGATGTCGGACAAAGCGAATGGCTCCATAATTGTGGGTGAGTGGAGTGCCGCCTTGAACCCGAAGTCGCTGCACGGTCACGGCAACAAGCAGGAGGCACAGAGGGCCTACGCTTATGCCGAATGGCAAGCATTCGAGCACTTCACTGCTGGCTACTATTACTGGACGCTGAAGAAAGAGGGTGGCCCTGACCCGGGCTGGTGTCTGTACACTGCCATGGAGCAAGGTATAATGCCTCCTTCGCTGAACCCTCGCCAGGCTCTCCGCGGCGGTAATGCAAGCGTGCAGGAGATGCAAAGCCGCGCTGACAGCGTTTTGGAGCCAATTTATGAAAGGCATGTTAGCCACTGGGACTCTATGGGTGGCAAGTTCAAGCATGATAACTTTGTGGAAGGCTTCAAGTCGTCGTGGAGCGACTCGCTTGCTTTCCTGAACCATGATTCGGAGATTGGTCTTATCCCCTACCTCGCCAAGCTGCGTCTGGCTGCCTTTACGAACCAAGTGCAAGACAAGAACACGGCCTGGGAATTTGAGCACGGCTATGTGCAGGGTGCTATGGCCTTCCGTGAGTCGTTGATGTCGTAAAGCATACATCCTATAGTCGGCCTGTATACACGCCATGGGCAAACAACTATAGTAGGTACGAACCGCATTGCATTAGTTTATTCTTCTTCCTCTTCATGTATATTTAATGTAACACCCGTACTGGCATATTGCGCTGCAGGCGCTGGTGGCTCTGCAGGGATGGAAGAGGCATAAGCGTCCATTGTCTCCGGTGCCCCCTCGGGTTGGTAAGTTGGCTCTTCGTTGTAGGCGGAACCCAAGTTGGGGTCTTCCCATTGTTTTTGTGGCTTAGGAATACGATCTAGTATGAGTTGTAAACATACTTACGTAGCAATCCAAACCCTATGCCGCAGCCAAGAAGGCCTTCACCTCCCCAGTCTCGATTCGGCATTATGACCACTTCGCGCGTGTGATCGTAATCGCTGTTGTACACATACAAGGCCAAATTATGGTTAGCGTATTGCTCCACTAGCTGAAAGAAATCATGCTCTTTCTGCAAGGGACCACCAGTCCATCCCAAGATATAATCACCATAGGGGACCAAACCAGCCGAGTCCGCCGGAGATCCCTCCACCACATCAAGGACGTGCCAAACATGGCTAATGGTATCTAATGGGTTGCAGAGACGAAGTGTCAAGCCAAGTAGAGAGGGTTGATCTTGTGATGAGGTATGTGTTTCAGCCCATGCACGAGAAGGGACGAGATTGACATCGCGATACTCTTGTCGTTTGGAGTTCCACACGTTGAGCGTAATCATTTGACCCTCCATTTTCTCTATCATTTGCCAGGTTGCGTGAGTAGGAAATGATGCCTGATTAGTCTGAGATGCAACAGGTGGCCGAGCTGTCACATTGACAAGCGACTGGCCATTAATACCAACACAAAAATCAAAGAACGGCTCGCTAAAGGTCAGACGAAAGTATAAACATACAAGCCAGCATGTTGTGCAGGGCTCTTTTGTGCCACTCTGATAACATGATACCCGAGTTTAGGTGCTACTCAGTTAGCATAAAGCTACATACCATTTCCGTCGCCTTCAGGTCGACTCTCTGAGGCGCCCATGACGGCGGCTGCAATGCGGTAGTGAGGGACGAGCGTCGTGGGGTATCACGTGCAATTTCTAAGCCCAACAGGCAGGCCCAACAGGCAGGCCAATGTACCACCACCACAGGCAACCCTTTGACAATAAGAAAATACACACACATCTTTAAGTTCTTAAGTGCCTATGAAAGAGGCGCCCTACAGAGAGCCCCATTGTACTTGAATAGAGAAGCTACATAAAATCCAATGCAGCAAGACATAAGAGAAGAGGTTAAATCAAAATATGCTTGAAAACAAAGCTGCGATATAGTTAGCTTAGTTACCAAGAATGATCTCAGCAGCAATTTCAGCAATACCGTACACAACGGCCATCAAGTGAGTCGACATGGCCAAAGGCGTAACCGAGGCATCGACCACACGGAGGTTGCGGGTTCCGTGAACCTTCAGGTCGGTGCCAACGACACCACCATCACCACGCGGCATCATAGCACAGGTGCTGCTAGGGTGGTACTCGGTACCAGCCGAGCGACGGATCCAGTCCTCCCACTCAGAGTTAGACTGCACTTTGTCACCCGGAACGTTCTCCTGGCCAATGAGCTCCTTCAGCGGCGACTGCTGCGAGATGAGGCGAGCCAGCTTGAAGCCCTCACGGAGGATCTTAAGGTCAAGGTCCTCAGCCAGATAGTGCGGGTTAATAGTCGGGTAGTCGAACGCATTCTTGCTGTTAATGCGAACCGAACCACGAGACAGAGGGTGCTGAAGTGCAGCCTGAATACTAATCGAGCCAAACATGACGTTACCGAGAATCTCCACCGGAGACACATTCGAGGTGTAAATACGGTTAGCGATAGCTTTGTAGGCCTTGCGCTGACCTTTCTTCACCGAGTCGGCCACATTGTGGTTGTTCACAATGCTGTTCGCACGGTCCTGGATTTGGCTGATAATGCTGTCCTTGTTGTTGAAGAGGCTGTCCATGCTCACGTACGACACAGCCGAGTTCACATACGAGTCCTTACGAGCGTTGCCCGTCACCGAGGTGGGGCCACGGTCCTGGCTGTGCTTAGCCGAGAACGACATACCGGCCGAAAGGTGGTCCTGGAGGTTCTCACCGACACCCGGGAGGTCAACAACAACGTCGATACCAAGGCTCTGGAGGTGGCCAGCGTCACCAATACCTGAAAGTTGGAGAAGAGCAGGGCTGTTAATAGCACCACCGCAAAGGATAACCTCCTTGTTGGCGTGCACAGTGTGGACATCCTGACCCTTGCCGGACGAGTAGTGAACGCCCGTAGCCTCAACGTTGTCACGGTTCGACTGGTCAAACATGATCTCAGTAACCTGGTGGCCAGTCAGGACGTGAAGGTTACCACGGTCCAGAACCGGGTCAAGGTACGCGTTGCGCGAGAAGCTACGGTGCCAGTTGTCCTTGTTAATAGCCGAGTTAGCCATGTAGGTACCGTGGTTCTCACCACCGTAAGCATCGCTAGTGTAAGGAGAAGCAACGGAGTTGGCAGCCTCCATGAAGGCACCGATAGGGCGGTACATCACTGCGGGCCACGTAGTGTCAACAGGACCGTTATGACCATGCGAGTCAGGGTTGTACTGAATGTGAGCCTGGTCACGAACGCTCTTGAGAGGAGACTTGTTGTGCTCGCTCTTCTTCATGTGCGAGAGCATGTTGTCCCAGTTCCAGTGGTCATTGGCGTTACCACCGGCAAGGTCAGCCCAGACCTCCTGCTCGACACGGCTGTGGCGGACATAGTAGAGACCGTTGATAGCACTGCTACCACCCAGGACCTTACCACGAGGCCACGAAGCACGACGACCGTTCATGTTCTTCTGCGAAGTCGTCTTGTACTGCCAGTCGTACTGCGTGTTGACAGACGAGTCGTACAAAGTAGCATCCGGAGTGGTAAACTTGTCATTGTCATCGTAACCACTGTTACCGGCTTCAATCACGGCCACAGAGTTGCTGCCATCCGCAGAGAGACGGTTAGCAAGAACTAGACCAGCAGTACCACCGCCGACAATAACATAATCGAACGACTTGCCGTCCAGGTCCCAGCCGTTAGCTGTCAGAGAGCGACGATCAAAGGACGTCACGTTAACAAAGGCCATGGCCTGCGAAGCAGTCAAGACCAGCGCCGTAGAAACGGCAGCCAAAGAGATGAACCCCTTCATTGGGAAATAAAAGAAAGACGGTAAAAGAGGGGAGGGTGAGGTAGTTCTAGTTAGGATGTAGAAACAGGTGAGGCTAGCTATAAATCTATACGTGCCTAAAATATACATTTACTGCCACCGGGCTGTACTTCTGAACTCCGGCGCGAGAATGCAGTAAGCCGCATAAGTCTCGCTTGAAAACATCTACTCTGCATATTGCGCGGGTGAAAAACAAAATTATTGGCAGGCGAAGATCTTATGTAAACTTAAGAATGTGAAATGTCTACTACATCAGCTTATAGTCAGATACGCCTATAAATAGGGGCGTTATAAAGAATGAAAAAATATGGAGCAACGTGCTTTACCAACAAACATCCCTTGCACGTGACTCCAACTTAGTCCAAGGATTTTTTAAGTCCTTAATCACCAAACAGATAGGTGCTCATAGGGTAGCAAAGAGGGCAGACAGAATCAAAGACATGCTGATAAGTACGGCCGATGCCTTGTAAGAGCTTGCGGCGTTGCTTCCCTTATTGTTAGCAGCGACAGAGTCGGACGGGTTAGCGGCACCCTGCTTTTTACCTGCATTGTTGTTCGGGTTGTTGCTAGCCGTGGCAGCTGCGGCACCACCAGTCGCACTGGTGTTGTTGGTCTTCTGCTGCGGTGCAGTAGCAGATTGCTGCGCAGCCTTGATAAGATCTGAACCAATCTCAGCCACACCGTAGATAACCGACATAAAGTGAGCAGCAAGAACAACAGGAATAACCGAAGCGTCAACAACACGCAAGTTCGAGGTACCATACACAAGAAGGTTCTTGTCAACGACACCACCCTTCTCGCGCGGAAGCATGGCAGCAGTACCACATGGATGGTACTCGGTACCCACACGACCACGGATAAAGTTCTCCCAGTCAGGGTTGCTGGTGACACCAGTACCGGGGTTTGTTTCACTAGCGAGGTAGTTGCTCAATGGAGCAGTCTGACCAACAGTACGCGCAAGCTTGAAGCCCTCACGAAGCATATCCATGTCAGAGCTCTGCTCAAGGTAGCGCGGATCAATCTTGGGGTAGTCGAATACATTGTTCGACTTGATCAAGACAGAGCCACGAGAGAGTGGGTGTTGAAGAGCAGACTGGACCTGAACCTTGCTGAAGGTAAGAGAGAAGATAAGCTCAATAGTGCCGACCAACTTCTCCATGATGTCCACTGTTGTTTGATAGGTCAAAGCGTAACCCTGCTTGACGGCATCAGGAGCGTCGTACGCATTCACAGCGTTTGTCTGGTTGTTCTTCACGTTCGTCAAGAATGTGTTCCATTGATCTTTCATGACGTTCGAGCCATTGACATAGGCCACGGCAGAGTTGACATACGAGTCAGTAAGGCTGTCACCAGTAATACTCTGTGGCGGCACTTGAGAAGGGTCCTTAGGACCCCACTCAACACCGCCAGCCAGGTGGTCCTGGAGATTGTAACCCACACCGGGAAGATCAAGAACAAGAGTAACGTTGTTCTGCTTAAGCAAGTTCGCATCACCAACACCAGACACCTGGAGAAGCTGAGGGGTATTAATGGCACCAGCGCTAAGGATAGCCTCACGACCCACATTAACAGTATATTCAGTACCATCACGGCTTTTTTGGAACTTGACCTGGGTCGCCTTTAAGTTGGAAGGGTCCGAGTTGTCAAAGACAATCTTCGTCACCATATAGCCAGTCAAAACGTTTAGGTTCGAGCGGAATTGATAAGGGTCAAAGTAGGCGGGGCGGGCAAAGCTTCGTGTCCAGTTGGCCGGGTTGATGGTCGAAGTAGCAACATATGTACCGATGTTGTTACCGCTGTCGGGATCCCGAGAGTAGGGAGCAGCAGCGGTAGTGCTAGCGTTGATATAAGCACCGACGAGCTCATAGGTCTTTCCTGTGTACGAAATTTGGACGGGACCACCATGACCGTGAGAGGAAGTCTCCCACGAAATACGGGCAAGGTCAGCAACATCCGGCTTAGCACCAGTGAAGTTCTCAGCCTTCTTCATAGCGTTATAAATCTTGTCCCAGCTCCAAATATCCTGACCGCCAATCATGTTAGCCCAGGCATCCTGCTCAGCCTTGCTGTGACGGACATAGTAGAGACCGTTGATAGCACTGCTGCCACCAAGAACCTTACCACGCGGCCACGGTGGCGTAGCACCGTTCAAGTATTGCTGGGCTTCCACAGTGTATTGCCAGTCAAGATGCGTCTTTGCCGGCGAGTGGTAAAGATTAGCAGCCGGTACGTTGATTCGGCTCGCATCATCACTGTCATAGCCAGTCGGACCCGCCTCAATCACGGCAACGTTAATATTAGGGTCTTCTGTCAAGCGGTTAGCTACAACCATTCCGGCTTGACCACCACCAATAATGACATAGTCAAAAGTCTTGCCGTTCAAGTCGTTGGGGCCCGACGCCAAGCCGCGACGGCGAAGTTCGCGAATGAACCCCTTCGAGTGCGCTTGGTCCGACACAGAGGCCAGGACTACATGCAAGAATGGCACCAACAAAAGGAGCCTTGTATAAAGCATGGTAGGATACAAACAGGCAAGCTGTTATCGGTAAGGGACAAAAGAGATCAAACTTCTCTCACCTACCCACGTGTGTGGCAAAGTTGTATTTATGTTGCTACGGAGGGAATTTAGCGCTTCACCGGATTCCCGCAGCAAGAATGTAACATTGCAGCAAATCAGCGGTAAAAATAGAATCGCGGCTATGCAATGCGTAGCTGAGGGGGACCAACAATGGCTCTCCTGTAAGGCACGAAAGAGAGTACAGCCAATGGACTGGCCCATAACGCAGCCTTATCAATTGTCGCGACATTGTAAAAGCGACGCGTCTGTAGCGCTAAATTACACCATCCCAGCTTTGGTAAGAGCATCACGCGCCGCACGGTTGATGTGTTTGAATCGTTCAGGGCCCAGCAAAACCCCACCGAACCAGCGCGTAACTACAACAAGTGCATTTTCAATTTCCTGATGATTAGACTCAAATTACACGTACTAGTAATTGGAGGAGATGCGCCAATCGTCCGCCAGCGGCAGCTTCTCCATCGTCGTCACAATCTTCTGTCAGCCCATATAGTAGAACCTACCGTGATGAAGAACACCATCCGGTGTCCGGCAGACCCAAGCATATATAGTGGGATGGGTAGCTCGTTGAATCCTTTTATCTGAATCGAGTATATATGCAAGGACGATGGGGACCTGTCACGGTTGGAGCAGTGTACATACGCACCTCGTCAGGATGTGAAATTCGAATAGCATGTCCCAGAAACTCTGATTTACGCTCACTAATAACTTCGCTTTGAACTAGTTTGCTCATGTCGACTTGTCGCTGTGGGGGAAGCGTCGTGTCTTGAGGTTCTTTTTGCTTCGAAGAATCCTTGTCGGTAGAAAAGGACATGCTTTCCTCCTTCGTCTCGGACCAGGATCGAATACGTTCAAAGGCTGAATCAAGTCCTTGGAAGAGCAGAGGTTCACCTCGAACCCAAGGAACCAGCCCATCAGGATTGAAGGTAGCCTCAACTTCTTTTTGGATTGAAGAATCAATCGGCAAAGGACCGAGATACCTGTTAATAAGATTTAACTGGGGCTTCTCATCCGTGTTAGGATACCCAGTGGGGAGTCGTAGAGAGAAACGAATAGGGTCATTCAGCTCCTCATGAGGCATACGAATGATGAGAGATATGGCATCCGTAAGCATATTCCCCGACAAAACCTCAACATTGTCTTCGCCATAGATTGATTGTAAGGCGATTAGCTCATTCGATAACTCTTCAGCTGCATCTGCCTTTTCTTCCGGATCCCATTGTGACCTGTCCTGCAGCTGCGATATAAGCACGTCCATGTCAAGAAGCAAGTCGGTTGCGCATTGACATTTACGTAATCTTCAACCAACACTTCTGTACCGCAAGCTCCTTGTCATGGCCTCGCTCTGGAGTCAGGCGTCGTCTTATCTGTATGTATAATGATGGCGTATCTCATGTATCATAGAGGGAGGACGAATTTATCAGTCAATTATGCTATTGAAGACGGAACACCATCGTACGTATTTAACAAAGACGTTGACATTATGCAGGTTTTATGTGGGCCCATGGAGAGTGTATGCTGCCAACAAGAAATCAACTAGCTCTGTGAGCTCTTCTACGTCTCATATTACGCGGGATGCTGTGTCTATATGGACGTATATGCCCTCCGAAAGAGGGCATCAACGCATAAAGGTGATTGAGCATCTAAAGCGACAAGTTACAACACTCTCACGTCTTCGTCACCCTTGCGTCCTTGAAGTTGTAGAGCCATTGGAAGAGGCCAGGGGTGGTATCTCTTTTGCCACAGAGCGGATAATCTCTACATTAGCCGCATCTGCGATGGAATCTTCTAATCCGGATTTGCAGCTGGACGAGACTGAGATACAAAAAGGCTTTTTGCAACTGTCTAGGGCTCTTGAGTTTCTTCACGATACACAGCAAATACATACAAATCTGACGCCCCTTTCTGTCTTGATCAATGCTAAAGGTGATTGGAAATTAGGGGGGTTTGGCTATCTCACAAATTTGAAAGAGGCAAGAGAACAAGGACACTGGGCTGGGGGAGGTGAGGAAGACGAATTGCCTCTATCCTTGCAGCACGACATGGACTATATGGATCCTATGTACGCCCTGGACCATAAGCTCAGTACAAGCAATGACATGTACTCGTTGGGTATTCTCCTATTCACTACGTTAAACAAAGGTACCACGCCCTATCAAACGCAGGGAAGCCTTAATGCCCTGTCGTCGTACGCAAATCAGCTGCCGAAGAAACTGCATATTGCTAAATGGGATTTGCTTCCCTATGATGTACAAAAGATCCTAACTAATTTGATCACAAGGACGGATGAGGGGCGGTATACAGCAAAGACGTTCCAATCCCTGCCTTATTTCAACAGCATGATGGTCTCGGTGCTAAAATTCATGGAACGTGATAGTTTTGCATCTCGCACTCGCTCTGAAAAAGTTCAGTTCCTCCGTGGTCTTTACAAAATTTTGCCTCAATTCTCTACTACACTGCTTCGCCGAAAGCTTCTACCGGGTGTACGTATAGAATGTACTTACAACAGCTTCTGGAAGCCGTGTCAGACAAGTCTCTCCTTCCTTACATATTCCCTAATGTATTTTATATTGCAAAACAACTTTCTTCCCTGGAGTTCTCGACCAACGTACTTCCGCGACTCAAGACGCAATTCACAGTGCATGACCCGCCTCAGTGCCAAATGTTATTGCTGAATCAAACCGATATGTTTGTAAGCAAGACAACACCGACATTGTTTCGAGATGAAGTCATGCCGTTGTTTTATTCTGCCTTGGACAATGAAAGCATTGCTATCCAGGAGAATGCGCTGCAACGTATTCCGCAAATTTGTGAGCTGCTTGGGTACTCACACATCAAAGACAAGTTACTGCCAAAACTTGTGACTCTTTTCACCAAAACAAAAACACTTTCCTTGAAAGTAAGCAGTTTGATTTGTTTCCATGCTATGGTCCCCCTTCTGGAATCCCCTTCCATGTCGGAAGTTTTGCTTCCCACGTTAGGCCGCATAAAGACACGCGAACCTTCTGTCATGGTAGCGGCCTTGGCTGTGTATGAAGCTGTTTCGGAAAAGGTGGACCGACACATAAAGGCTGCATCCATTCTGCCTAGACTGTGGGTCATGGCTATGTGTCCATCGTTAAATGAGCGGCAGTTCTCACGGTTCATGCGGGCTATTAAAACGATAGGTGACTCGGTGGAAAAAGAACAGTTGGCACACTTGCGCGATAAAGAGCAAATGGAGAAACATACAGATGAGCATGCAGTCCCACGAGAGACGAAATCCAAGCCAGCTCTACCGTCCACGAATGGCGGCATTAGTACAGGAGGCGAAATTGATTTTGAGGCGTTGGTGGGATATGCTCGTCAAGAGACCAATGCTACCGAGATTGATGACCTGTTTGCCCCTTCGGATGCGATGGTGTTCAAGAGTGGTGATATGATGACATTGCTTCACAGTACGCCTGCGCAAGTATCTTCGTCCACTCGAAGCACACCCAGGACCTCTATGAGCTCGTCTGTGCCTGCGCCGCCGGCAGTGCGTTCGTCCACGGAAGCAGAGACTAAAGAAACGCCAAGTTTGTTTGATACACTTGTTTCTGAAAAGTCCAACATGACTACAGAATTATCCAAAAGTACAATGGCACTCGCGCGGCCAACACTGCCAGCTTCGACGCCATCTCCACGCTCAAGCGTCTCTGCACCGCCAGGCTGGGGTGGTGGTCTTCTTGTGCCCGAAAGCAAGCCTATTTCAAGCACAAAACCGAAGACGACAAAGCATGACTGGTCAGATTTTGATCCGCTGCGGTAATTGCTTTTACTGCTCGGCTACGTCTTCACAAGCATCAATCCATTGACTTGTGGGTGAGCGAGATGGAGTACGTACGAGTATACATCGATAGGCTGAGATAAGGTGTCCGTATCGGCGGAGAACTTTTGTCCACAAATCTTACAGCTGAGATATCCGATCCGTGCTTTGTCATCGCTGGTAGGAGTGAGTGTCGTTTGTAGTGCCTACATTTTGCAAGTCACGGCCTTCTCGTGATGGCAGAAGAGACAGGTAAATACGGTGTCTAGGTTTCGTCAGTAACCCATTTCACGTACCAAGAGGGGGTACCTTTTTACGCCCGGCGCCAGGTGTACGCGAAGACTTCTTCCGCTTTCCCATAACGCGGAGGAGACAAGCGACACCTGTGCGTTGGACGGCAGCGTCACTCACCAACGCGCACACTCCGTCACGTGCCCCTGGAAAAGCAGCAAGCAGTGCGCGCAACGCTTGGACCGCCTGGACTTGGCTATAGGATGCCTGTACCTGCGCTCAGCAAAGAGGAGATCTCGGAGCGCATTGCGAATGGACCCAATGTATGGATCGCCGCAAGTGACGGTGATTTGGACCGTGTCAAGTTTTTGCTAGATCACGCTGGTATGTGAGAATTCTTATTTATACCGATTAGATGTCACGCCCACGTCCAAAGATGCAGCGGAGTATACGCCCTTGCACGCAGCTGCGTCGTATGGCCATCATGATCTACTGTATGTGTATAGAAATGACTGACAACAGGCGCTTTTTAACGGAGTACAAAAACCAGCCACCGGAAGCCATTGAAGTAGAAGATGATGAAGGCGATACGCCGCTCTTCTTCTGTGACAAGGAAGAGACAGCCAAATTCCTCGTGGAGGAGCTGGGTGCCAATGCGAAGCATAAGAATCATGCCGGCTTAACGGCAGCGGAGAATGCGCTGGTCAACGATTTGGAGGATGTGGCGCGCTACCTGGCCAGCGTGACAGGGGCCACTCTTCCTTCTCGCGCCGAGTTGCTGCTGCGCACAGGGGAGGAGGACGAGGACGAGGAGACTGAGAATGCCGCCTTGGAAGCACGGTTGACAGAGGTGCCAGAGTCGGACGCAGAGGGCGTTTCGGATGAGCAAGTGGACGAGCTCATGCAACGTGTCGAGGAGATTATGCGGAACGCGGACGAGACAGGTGCCGATCCTACAGAGCAGCTCCGTGAGGTCGTGGGTGCAGGCATTATGCGGCAGATCATGGAAGGCTATCAACGAGACTAAGCGTCGGAAGTGCCAGCCATCTCAAAGGCTCGACTAATCAAGGTGGAGATGCTGCCGAGGTGCTCGTCCCCTGGTTCATTACGGAACACTGTGATAGTTAGTAACAAACCCCAAGTACATACTAAACAAGAGCGACTCTGATAGAGCCAGGATATCGTTCTTCGACAATTTTTCTTTGCCGTTGGCATGAAGGCGGAAGAACCATGCCGTAGCACCAGCCATATCACCATCAAGGAACATGATCTCATCCAGGCCGGTGACGATGTCCTGCAGAGTCAATGAGCCGCACTTGTCCTTGTCCCAATAGTCAAAGATCCGGCGAGCCAGCGTCTGATCAGGCACGCGACGCTCAATTCGCTCCTGGAATCCATTGCTAACAATGTACTCATCGCGTGCCCACGTGGCGATCTCGCTGAGGAAGAGTCGGAACGTGGTAAAGTTGACACGCATTTCCTTGAGATCCTGTGTTGGGTCCGCGGCGCTTAGTACTTTGTGCTCGCCCTGCGTGAGCGATTCAGGGGCATGCCGTGCGCGGTAAATAGACTCCACAACATGATCGTAAATCAAGATCAGTTGAGGCTTGGTAAAGCGGCCATGGAAATGCAAATTCCGAATAGCAGAGCGACGTGCGAAAGCCTCGATTTCCTGCACAATCTGTTGACGGAATCGTTTGCGCTCATGGTCGATCGTGTCGTTAGTGACTACGCTAAATTCACGGAACGCAATGACTAGCAGCTGCTGGAACTTGGTGATCTGTCGCCGACGTTCGTCCATGCTTTCGGGGTATGCGCTATCGCCGAGCGAGCGGAAATAGTTGCGCAGTAGGCCAATCATGGTGCCATCGTCTGTCACGCTGAGAATGGCTTCGCCGTTGATCTTTAGGATGGCCAAACCCACCTGGAAAAGCACTTGAGCACCAAATGCCATAAAGCAGTCGATAATACGGAATGCAAAGACCATCGGCATGCTGTTGATGTACAACGACAGGAGCCAAGGCAGGGTGACGATGCTCAGTTGCATGTCATTCTTCACAAAATGCTCATGTAGCACAGGCATCGTTTGCTGCACCAGGTTCTCAAACACCTTTTGGTCCAGCAACGTACCTGCCATGGACTGTGTGTAGTAGCCAGGCAACAGCCGATCACAGAGCGTGTCCAGAACCCAGAAACACTGCTCCTCTGACATATAAATCAAAAGTGCAGCCACAACGATATTCATGGCTTGGCAGTAGCCAAGCTCGCGGTTCTTCCAGCTGTAGGCGACCAACACGCGTCGCAGCGTCTCGATCCCTTCCGGCGATTGGTAGGCCGCATATTCCGGCAAAGAACGATTCAGATCTTTCTCGATTTCTTCCGTACTCAAATTGGTCTTCCCTTCATGATCACGGAGGAGGGACTCATAGAGACCTGGGTGCGCCATACGCTGGAAAATGGAGCCGCTTGAGACTTCCCAGATCTCACCGCGAAGCATATTAGGCAGGCCAACTTGCACGAGCTTTGTAAATTGGGGGTAGCGAAGCAGTGTAATGTTGCGTCCGTGTAAACGCAAGTACTCTTTCCACAGTCGCATCTTGCTTTTCTCCTTAAGCTTCTTGGGATCGCCGGGGAACCCAAACGTAGCTCCGAGGCCCATTTGGTAGGGCTTGAGCGCCTCAGAAGCGTCCGCCTCTGTGCCTTCTTTGCCTTTGCCTTTCTCTTGCACATCGTCTTGGCTCTGCTTGAGCAAGAATTCACTGTAGCATGAGTCGAGAAAAGGTTGAAGCTGCTTCATTTCCCCGAGATGGGCACGTAAGCGCACCCGCATGGCATTGCAAAAGCCCTCACAGGAGGGACGTAGCGCGTTCAGTTGGAAAATCTAAATGCGTAAGACGCATGTTACATACCATATGAGTACCATGCCATACCGTGATGCCCAGAGCGAAAACAACATCCCGTGTATTCAATCGCTCAACACGACGCACGGTAGAGAGCGGAATAGCAATACGGCATCCACGACCCCGGTCACCTTGACTTGCAAAGCACAGGAATGAGGGCGTCAACGTGAGACGACCGGCAAACACCAGATCTTCTTGGGCGCCGTCCATATCGGGCGTTGACAGTGATAGAATCGCAGAGAGAATTTCAGCGCGATTCCCAGCGGCATCGACGTACGGAGCCTCATCATCAGGGAGTCCGAACGCCTGTGCGAATTGCTGGGCTTTGGTCGGCGTACGGTAATCCCGCAACGAATGGACAATCGTAGACATAATCGTCCGCGTAAGGCACAGGGCCAAGCTGTGCACAGGCCTTTGGCCGCCGTGCCAAGGGGCGGGGGAGGTCACGGCCTCCACACGCGGCGCAGGCCGGCCGACGTGGCAGGAACGATCTACCATCCAAATCAGGGCACACCGACATGCTGAGAAAAGAAAGTACGTAGGGTCCAGTTTATACAAGTACTATGGCTTAAAGCAAAAATAATGGTAGGCACATGTGACCACAAGATAAGCTAGCTTACTGTGCCTTCAACGAAGCAGCATACTTGTCCAGTTCATCAGCCTGCTGACGCAGCTTCACGGCCTTTTGCTTAGCACGCGTGCGCTGGTAGCCACGGTCCGTGCCAAGCAAATGGTCCCACCAGCGGAAGCTGGTCGAGTAGCAGCCAAGGAAGGCCATATGGTGGTAGTCGTGGTGGTCCGCACCAGCCCAGAACGGCAGCCAGTTGTGCAAGCTAATTGGGAAATCGTAGCCCGAGTGCGCATCCACAGCCTGGAACAGACGCAGAACCACCCAGATATACACAGTAACGATGTGCAGGTCACGCGTGAAGAAGCACAGCAAGAACGGCGAGCCAATGGTACCCAGACCCAAAATGAGGACCTCGAGTGGGTGGGCGTACTCAGCAGCGAGACCAAAAGGAGCGCTGTACTCGTGGTGAATCTTGTGGATGTGCTTGTAGAGCGGGCCATAGTGCATAAGACGGTGGACAACGTAGTGGTAAAAGTCCTCCATCACAAAGAACAAAGCGATTTGCCAAGCCATCTTGTACACGCTCGGGAAGGGAACAGCATGCGTTGTCAGACCAAAGTACTCGCAAATCGGGTGGAAACTCCAGATCTGCGGGAGCTCAACAGTAAAGTGACTGAGGAGCACAAGCTTGGTGCACCGCCACTGATCGGCAGCCGATGGTACATACTTGGGCTGCAGCTTGTACTTGCGCATCGAAGGCATAGAGTCAATGATGATCCAGGGAATCGAGCGACCAAAGTAGACAATTTCGTGCAACACGAAACTCATCACACCTGTGGCAATAACAGGGTTACCCCAGTACTCGTACCACTTCACCCAGAGCTGCTCCAGGTACGAAAGCTTGCTGGTATCCAGACCGGCATAGAGAACCGACGCAGGCGTTGGGTGGCCAGTGATGGCCTCAACCGTACTATTGAACGACTGCAACCACGAGTCCATAGCAAGATGGGTTGAGAAGTAAAAATTACTGGTGCCTATGAATTTTTATGCGTTCACAGAAGCCAAAAGTCGCGTGGCTTCGGAGGTGACAAATCGCGCGATTTTGTCCTAGACACGTGCGCTTGGCAAACCACGTGAGACAGAAAGAATAGACAGGCAGCGAGGGCGACGGTTTTTTCTTTAACGCTTAATTGCCTAAGGCAATAGACCCCGGTTTCTATAAAAGCACCTCTTCAGTAGAGCCAGGCGTTCAGCGATGGGCGTCTTTCGATGATTGTGTGAGGTCGTAAAGGATCCGGAGATTCATACTTTCCCGGCATGTCTGGGAGTGGGACGATGGGGCTGGGTGCGGCAATGGGGATGATGAGTGTTCGTGCTCGCAGATGCCTGTGGTCGCAAGGTCTCGTTGTACATTCTTTATGATAGTTAAGTACAGTAGAAGAGCATTTGTATGAAGGGGCAATAAAAAATCATTTTCTACATAACGTGAATGGGTCGATGATCTACATCGATCAGCTGCTAGTTTGCTTACATAGAGCCACCCGGTGGAATACATACAGGTTTCTTGGGTGGATTGGAGCCTGACAGGATCGAGTGCACCGTCTGACTGCCTGCAAAGAGAACACAAAAGACACCAAATGCAAAGACCAGCATGTCCGTGATTTTGGCCCGTCGTGTCGTAGCGCAGCCGCGGTAGTGGAGAAGGGGCGGATACACGAAGCACAGCGGCACACAAGCCACAGACCCAACAAGACTCACAAACTTGTCTAGGTCATTGGCACCGACCCACGCCGTGAGCATGGCCACAATCACTGTGCCAAATCGGAAAAAGTTCTTGCGCATCTTGGTCCGGAAATCGTATTTGCCGCTGCGCTTGAACAGACCCAATTCCAAAATGGTCAAGGCGGGGAAGAGCTGCAAAGGCATCGAGAGCAGAATGGCTGCAGAGTACAACGCTTGAATGGCCTGGACGAAGCGCGAGTTGCCGGGCAGGTTCGTAATCACCACAGTTTGTGTATCACTGCCAAAGGCCATGTACGACAGAGCACCAGCAGATGCAAAAAGGATCGCGACACCAAACATGACGCTGGTCAACGTGGCAGGGAACTTTTTCGGCTCCTTCATGCTTTCCGTGATCGGAATCACCAGACCCACGCCTTCAAACGTAAACACAGCCGTACCGATCAGTAGGGGGTAGTTGGATTTGTTGAACATGTGAACGTCCGCCAAGCCTGATTCCAGCAGAGTACCGATCTCGTAGTAGAACAAGTACACAATACCAGCCAGAATAAACACATCGGCAATGAGGGCAGTCGAGGAGAGTTTTGCGATACGGCGCACAAGGCTCAGAGGCAAGAAGATGAGGCACTGGAAGAAGATCAGAGCGCCTTTGGAGACCTCCGTACGACACTGTGTGACAGAGAGTACAAACGATTGCATGTTCTCAGCAACAAACACAGTGTAGGCCGATACGAAACCCAGTTGCGAAACGACAATCGAAGTGAGAATGGCCGTGCGCATATACGGGCCATACAGCGCACCGCCCAAGTCACCGAAGCCAAGATGCAGTTTTTGATTCACTTGCACCAGCAAAAGGAAAGACCACAGAGAAATAGCTGCAATGATACACATGACCGTAGTCGAAAAGAGCAAGCCACCGTTGAAGAAGGCCTTGCCAAGGAAAAGAATACCTGTGCCCACGAACGACTTGAGTAGCATGAGCACAGCATCTGTCACGGTAGCATCACCCTTATGCTCATGCTTACGGTGGCCACGGAAGGAGGGAATAGAGCCGTGGACAGATCGCCCTTGGACCAAGTGCGAGGTCTCAAGATTGCCTTGGCCAGGACGCACAGAGGAAGCGCCAGGGATCGCATCGCCAGCTGTCTCGATGTCTTCTTCTTCGTCGTACAGCTCGTCTTCATCCAGTTCCTCGCCTGCAAAATGACCGTACACTGAGGTGAGAAACAAAGGCATACGTACACATGAGAAACTCGACAAAGCTCTTCAGAGCACGAGGGGGCGGCTTGCCCTGCTCGGCCGCCTGGATCAGGACGTACGAACGGCGAAATCCACCAGGCTGCTTCAGCACATCGATATCGATGGGTGCATTGATACCATTTGTATTGGGGAGATGCATACTCTCAGAGCGGCGCTGCTTCGGACGCTTTTGGTGCGCCCATCGGTACAGGTCTTCGGTGATAGCGCCGCCGGGAAGATGATGCGGAGCCTGGTATTCATCATCCACAGCAATGGAGCTACGTGTGCCTGGTGTGGAAATGAGAGAAGGGTTCTCGCTGGGTACTTCCTGTTCGTCACCCTTATCATCGCCCCTAGCCAGGTACCGCTCCACCAACTTTGCTTTTTGCTGATCTGGCAGAGGATGTTCCTCCAAATCTTCGGTTAGCGACGTGCGCGTAGTAGATCGGCTGAAATCTGGACGTTCCTGCTCCACAGATCCCTTCGAAGCCGGATCGTGCGACGACGACGAGGGGGCAGCCATGGTGTGTGAGCACTGGAGTGGGAACGTGAGCGAGAAGGGGACGCGAACGTGCGCACGCACCGCCGTTTTAGTCAGCTGAGCAGCCGACCCGCCGCCGCCGCCGCTGCTGGGCCCCCGCATGGAGAGGGCCCGCTGAGTGGAGGCGGCAGCGGCGGCTGGCGGCTGGCGTGCGCGCAGTAGGTGGACCCTGGATGAAATGCCCGGGCAGGATTGACGCCACCATAGATGAGGATTGACGTCCCGGCCACGGCGGCCAACGATGTGCCAGCCCGCCAGGAAGCTGCCGTCCAGGCACGCGATGCTGAAGATGATGCCTATGAGCCACTGACTTCACGTCAACGTTCGTCACTCAATTTCCTGCGCATGAATACGCCCGTGAGCTTGTTGTGTTGTATCACCACAGCTCTGATTACAGCCCTGATTGTCCCGTCCATTCACTATGTCTTCCGCAGCCAGCCTACATACTTTACAATGGCGCCGCGGATGATGTTAGCTTACTTTGTCGTGCTCATGCTCTTTGAGACGGGCTTTTGTGTCTTTGCGCTGATCTCGCGCAACTTGCATTCACAGCACTGTATTGTGCAGGGTGTGGGCTCGCGTCTAGCGTTCCAGAACTATTTGCTAGCCATCTGGCTCTTCCTTCGTGTGATGGACACGTATGTGTCTATGGGCCTCGGCTTTTTCGTGCTCTTGGCGATCACACTGATGGCCGGCGTTAACGGCATCATCTTGCAGCGTAAGTTCCCCATGCACTGGCTGCATCCATTTGAGACGCTGTTGGTCCATGTGCCCAATGCACTGATGGCGATGATTGCAGGGCAGGTCCTCATTTGGGACCAACTGATGCTCTGGTGGGGTTGGGATCGCAGCAATGGCCGTGCTGCTCTCGCGGAAGGACTGGTGATTTCCATCATCGTCGAGATCGTCCTCGGTATTGGCTTGGCCGTATGGGTAGGAATGACCTCGGACGTGGCCGTGTATGCCGCGTCTATGTTCCTTGATGCAGCTGTGCTCAAGTTCCACAAGATGCCAGTCATTGGGCCTAATTCACGTCCCTTTGCCCTGACTGTGATCCTGTGTGTCTCCATGACCATTCGTACATTGGCGTTGGTCGTGCCCAGTCTCTTACACAATGGCTTCTTAATTGTGTGCCATACACATCGCCGGCACACACCCGAGGCGGCGTACGAGAACCCCACCGTGGAAGTGCCTGTGGATGTGCCGGCCATCGAACGCACAACGCCACGTCGCGTCGAGGCAGAAGTCGTGCCTGCTCCTGCCGACAGCTCGGAACGTACACGTCTTGTTGTGAAGAAAGATCCTACGTATGGATCTGTGCCACCGTCTTAAAGTACATACATACATAGAAAGGTCTACAGTAGGGGGATTTTCTCAACCAACGAAACGGAAGCTGTCCGCCTGCACAAAGTACTTGGCGACCGTGCGCGCATCCGTTTGCGGTTGGTTCTTGTTTTTCGTCGACTTGGGTGGCGTCCATACGAACGGCACACCGCCCTCTGTATTGGTGCCAGCGCCGTTGATCAAGACAAAGGTCTGCGAAAAAACACGAGGATGGGATTCCAGCGGGGCATCCGCATCAAACTTTTTCTTGGACGAGCCTGTAGCCGAGGCGGATTTGGGCGCATTCCCTGGCTTGGTGAGCAGGGATTCGGGCGTATAGTGCGCTACGGTGCCCGACACGGTAAGCAAGAGGGAAGGCGCCTCGTTTTGTTCTGTGTAGTTAGTAAGAATGTCGGCTTGGCATACTACTCGTCCGTAGCGCAAGACTCTAGCACGGTGAGTCCTTGCAAAAGCCACCAGAGTTTGGTTCTTGGCTCTAGCCCTAGGGGTGCGAGCGCAGATGTAGGCAGACAAATCTGGGCTCACGCCAAACCCCAGTGGGCAGCAGACAGAGTAGATAGGTGGGCATACGTACCATGGGCATTGTAGGGCCCAAGTGGGTGACAATCAAACGATTGAATTTCATGTTGTGAGCCAGGCTGGGCATCGAGCCACTGTGCATAATGCGCAGTGCCGCTAATGGGGTTGCCATTCCATGAAATGGACGAGTTGGGGAGGTACAGTGATGGCAGAAGCTGTGCACGCTGGGGCGAGTCGGACGCAGCATAGTACGCCGTTACAAACGTTTCCGCTGCGTTGGATGTGAAGTCCATGAGCCACGCAGGCGTGCTCATCTGCCTCTCACCCGACATGTAGCACAGTGATCTCGACGATGAAAAAAGACGTGTACCTGCAAAGAGCGGGTGGAGGTTCCTTAGAAAGGAACCCCAATTTGGTCCGATTTTGTGTCTACAATTCTTCTACGACCAGGTCGTCGTCCGCTTCGTCGCCTTGCTCGTCAGCGTCAGGCACTTGCACATCCATCGGCTCTGTATCGTTCTTGGACGACTCTGACTCTTCACGCTGTAGCAAGTTAACGAGACGAACAATCGCTTCAGTAATTTGTTCTTTCGGCTCGGCCAAGTGTGCTTCACGCACGACAATGTACGCGCCACGCTTCCGCAGACATTCACGACCATAGTGCGACGTACACAAAAGCAACAGAGACTCGATCAACATGAGACGCAAGGCGCTGTCTTTCTCCCGTGGCTTGTCTTCGTCCACTAACTGACACGCCTCTGGCAGCGATTCTTGGTCTTCCAAGTCGACTTTCGCCAGCTCTTTGCCGTCAATGAGTGGCATGAGGATGTACGGTAAAATATCCAGCGCTGGACGGTCCTCATGCGGCTCTGAAGGCGGCGGCGCCAGTAACAGCTTGTGCGATGTCTTGAGGAAGAGAATGTTCTTCAGCGCACTAATCACACCGCCACGTCGAATGAGATCCGCATGCTCCGTGTATACCATAATTCGGCCAATGGGGTAAGCATCGGCGACATGAGCGTCGGCCCCCTCCATGGACGTCACAAAAAACTCACGGCCCTTTGCCAGAACAGTGACATTCGCAAACACACTCGCTAGGAAGTTGCAGTTGGCCCGTCGCTTCACTTGAGGACGGCCATCAGCGCCAATTTGCACAGGCTGATCAGACGCAGTGTCTTTCTTCGAGGCTTCAATGCGGTTGCGCATATTTGCACCACTCGCTGAGCTCGATTCCACTGTCGCACCCTCTTCAAAGGCACGCAGCAATTTGACCAACGCTGGCAATTTGGCTTTCGCGTCGGCATGCATAGAGTCAGCGATACGCTTGGTTGCTTCTTCGGCCTTTTTCTTCTTCTCTTCATAGTCGGGTTCCGATGGGTCTGCATCCATACCGTTGAGAGACATTTGCAGATCCAAGGGCGATAAGAACGAGTAAAACGGACGGTCTTCCACCTCCAATTCCAACAGACGAGCACTGATGGCGTCAAATTTCGTCAGGTTCGAAAGGAGCATGCACGCCAGATCAGCCAACAAGGAGACAGAATCACCAATGTACGATACCAAGAATGCCAGGAACTCGGCGTCGCCAATACGCTGCGCCATCGCCGCATTGTCGCACAGGTTGATCAGCGCACTGAACGCATCGTGCACCGTAAGCTAGAGGTTCGTAAGGGGACATAGACATGAATACATACAGGCTGGTCACGGCAAAGACGCTTGATTTGGTCGATGACGTCCAGTGGCTCGCCATCGGGGCGCTGGAGTGGCTTGCCATCATCGTCCAGCAGTGTGTCTGTGAAAAGGTGTCGCTCTGCACTGCCCTTCGCACTGAATGAAACGACGTGCGACATAGCTAGCTGCCGCACCTGCGGATTGAAATCCGCTAGGAAAGGGATAAGCTCTTGACCGGCCGATTTGGGCATGGTAGTCGGTCTAGTGTATGCAAGTGGTACAGATGAACGACGGTCGTCCCTGAAATTTTCTATAGCACGTGGCACTTGGGCGAACCCCTATGAACGGCCGCGTTGGCCTGGTGAAGATGGCGCAAAGCGCCAAGGCGGCTCAGCCATGTACATTAGTGTGAAACGCGTGCTTTTCCTTTCGCACGTCGTCGTACCAGCACTTTTTTACCGGTTCGCGAGCGCAGGCGTGCAAGGAAACCATGTTTGCGCTTGCGTTTGCGCTGCGATGGCTGGTATTCGGAGCCATACGTTGTGAATCGCACGCCACCTAGGGGTGTATACACAGGTATAGGGCGGGTAGCAAGGGCCTGGCGGGCCATGGCAAGCAGGGGAGAAGACACGCGCATCGTCGTGGGCTTGAAGCGTGTGCATGACGAGGACGCTGCCTGCGAGAGCAGTGAAGGGGTGCGCGGTGTATCCACATACACTCTCGGCACGACCTTGGGTGGCGCAAGGAGCCGGACGTGGCGCACACTCGCGAAACGAGGGAGCGTCATAACGGCGACGAGCGTACGAAGACAGAGAGCGTTTCGACGACGACGACGAGGTGGCCTCTAAGTATCACGTGATACGAAGGCTCGGCGCCTTCGAGAGGGGGTGGCCCTACCGCTTGCTCGTTCGTTCGCTGGCTTGCTGGCTTGCTTCGTGGACGTTCATGCCGCTGCCTGCCTCTCTGCGCACGCTCTTGAACGCGCCCAAGTATGCGGCGCGTGTTTCATCTACGTCCTCTTCTGTGATGGTGCCTGCCGGTCTGGGTGGGCTACCGCGTGATCCGCCACGCGCGCCTTTGCTGCGGGAGCTGTTTGACCGTCTCGCCACTGATTCGAAAGCCCATGGCGTGGGGTGGGGCGAGTGGCTTACCTTGTCTACGGCTACCATGTTTGCGCTCAACTCGCCTGGGAGTCTCAAGGCGATGCATGCGTATGTGATGCAAGACCAAGGCGAGCTTCGTCCTCTTGCAGAGCGTGTGGACCGTGCCTGCTTGATGCGCGAAGCCGGCTTGAAGTGCCTTGGCTTAATCGGTACACCGAAAACGATCAACAACCTTGCTGCGCTGCGTGCTATGGTTGACGCAGATGAGGCCTTGGCCGAGGCGATGCCGACCGAGGCACGCCGGGATATCCAACCGCAGCAATGGGCCAAGGTCGTCCAAGCTGGCTCTGATCTATTTGATGATATATATGCGAAGCAATCGCAAAAGCTACGTGGCGTTATGGCCCACTCTCACCCGGATCTCACGCCGTACATTTTGCAGTGCGAGTACGGGCCTTTGTTTGCGCCGCCGCCCATGTTCCTCGGCACGTCGGAGCCGAGCTGGGAGGTAAATCGGCTACGCATGAGCTTGGTCGCCATTGCCTCGCTGCATGCTCAAGGCGGTGTCGCGCCGCAAGTCGTCAGTCACATTTATGGCTTGCTTCGCGCACGGCCCAGCATTGAGCAGATCGAGGGTCCGTCACAACGTGGTTTGGAGTTCCTCACAAGCGAGGCTGGCGCTGAATGGGCCATCCGAATGATCAACGAGATCTGCCGTGTTGTCGATGGATCGGACGATGCGGATCGTGCGCCGTGGCCTGCACATTTATAGGAATGTCAAGTAGGGGTGAGGGATGTGGAGACGCTTCATCCTCGCGTCGTCTGTCGTTTCGCATGGTACTCTGTCGGCCTCCACCATGGCAGACGACAGCGACGATGTGCATACGTGTGCGCAGCGCGGTGATGTGCCTGCGCTGGAAGCGCTGCTGGACGCAGGTGTGGATGTGAATCTGCGCGATGCAGACGGTGTGACGCCGCTGCACTGGGCGGCCATCAATGCACATGTCGCGTGCTGTGAATGGTTGTTAGAGCGCGGCGCGGACGTGCACTGCCAAGGTGGTCAACTACAAGCTACGCCGCTGCATTGGGCGGCACGGCGAGGGCATACACAGGTTCTCTCTCTTCTTCTCGCCCATGGCGCTGATCCACTTAGGTTGGACGGCCAAGGGTTCCATGCGTTGCATCTGGCGACGCACAGCAGTATGGTTATGGCTGTGATTTTCTTACTGCAATGCCCTGCTTTCCACGCAGATGCCTCCCTAGATGCACGCGATCCGCAAGGGCACACCTCGCTCATGTGGGCTGCCTTTCAAGGCGATGCTTTGTCTGTTGACGTGCTTCTGAAGCATGGTGCTGCTGTCGATGTAGTAGATATGGATGGACTTACGCCGCTGCACTGGGCTGTCGTGCATGGCAACTGGCTCTGTATTAAGCGGCTTGTGCAGGCAGGCAGCTCGCTAACCATGGAGGAGCATAAGGGCAAGACGCCGCATGGTCTCGCGCTCGAGCTCCAGCATGGCCATGCCTTTACCCGCGCGATGGCCAGTCTAGGTCTGCAGCCCGATGGCTCACCATTGCACCGCTATCTGACGAAGCCTGTAGTGCATACGCTGGTTTTTCTTGTGCCATTCTTGCTGTATGGCGTCAACTTCTACGTGACCAGTCTTATGCCATGGTACCTGGCGCCCTGCACGTTTGTGCTGGGCATTCTTGGGACCCATATCCTTGTGGCTCGAGGGATTCTCGAGGCACAGAGCAGCCAGGCGCTGCATGCGACACCCTACTTCCTATCTCTGCTGACGCTCACCCTGGCGTACATTGCATGGATGCTTGCCGTGTTTGTGGGCCCCGGCCTGCCGTCTCGCCTATGGACGCCGCTGCTTTGGGTGCATGTGGTGGTAGTCACAACCTCGCTTCTCGTCTGTGTACATACGTCGCCAGGCCAGTGTGCCGTCCCAGCGTCCAAAGAGGAGCGGGCACGTACCATCCAGGCACTCACAGCGCGTGGCGAGCTGCATAGCCTCTTTTTCTGTGCGACATGCTTAGCCCGACGACCATTGCGTTCCAAGCATTGCCCCATTTGCAAGATGTGTGTCGCGCGGCATGATCACCACTGCCCATGGATCGCGAACTGTGTCGGCGTCGGCAATCACCGCGTGTTTCTGCTCATGTTGATCGCTGCGCAGAGCGGTATTTCCATCTATCTCGTGCGCGTATTTTTGTACTTCTACCACCATGTGCCCTTGTCGCTCATCGCGCAGCAGCGATGCCCGGTCCCTGTGGCATGCGCCGCTGTGGCATACAATGGCATTCTGTTCTACTCGTCGGTGTGGGTGGTCATCACGCAGCTATGGCTGGCTATCCTCACCGTCGGCCAACTTATCTTTATTGGCTACCAAATGACGACGTTTGAACGTAGCAATGTCAAGAAGCATGGGTTTATGGGCGGCCATCCTGATGCAGGCATGCAGCCTCAATCCGGCTTTATCAAGCTTAAAGTCGCGGCACTGCAAGCGCAAGGACATTCCCCTGCTGAGATTCAGCGCTTGATTCATGGGCGAGCCCCGCAACGCAAGGGATTGTGGAATGCGATGCAGCAGTCGGGCTGGTCGTTGCTGGCATTGATCGGCCTTGACTTGTATACCAGGAGCCAATCGTCTCGTCCTGCACCGCCTTCGTCCAATCCCTTCCATCGCGGATGCGTGGCGAACTGTCTCGACTTTTGGACGGCTGGCCAGTACTCTGGGACAGACTATACAACCCTCTATGACGTGCCACCGCCCCCTACCTCGCATGCCAAACAAGCGTGAAAAAAAAGTTACAGCAGGTTCTTGTACAGCGACGCAAGCGCATCAGACGCCGTGGGGCGAGCCGATGTAGGTGGCGGCGTGCCCGCTGGCAGGTACGACTTCATCATCTCGTCAAAGTCCACTGCAGGGGTAGGCGCGGGGTGCGGCGCTGTCATCGCAGCCAAACCTTCCAGGATCAATGTGCGCTGCTCGTCACCAGTAAGCGGCTGTGGTATTGTTAGTGCTGTAGTGGTCTTTGTACATACCTTGGCAGCCGGCGGCGGAGCAGCCTTGCCGTCGTCCTTCTTGGCCGACGCGCCAGAGAGGTCTGACATGGTCGTATGATGCGGGCTCGCTGTGCCGTAAGGGCTCTTCGATGTGCCGAGGTACGCCATCACGTCGCCTTTCGTCAGCATACCGTGCAAACCCGTGCCCTTGATCTTCGACTCTGGGTCCTCAATGCCGTTCTCATGGAGCAGCCGGATCACCGATGGCGGCGCTGGCTTGCTGAGGTGCACAGGCGTGTGGACCTTGTCGGCAGAGGCGGTGTCTTTCTTGGGAGCCTCCTTGGGCGCCTCCTTGGGCGCCTCCTTCGGCTCTTCCTTGGGCGCCTCCTTCGGCTCTTCCTTGGGCTTCTTGGACTGGAACTCGGAGGCATCGGGCAAGTTGGAAAGATCATCACCCTCTTCGGCCAACATCGCTATCACTTGGTTCACTGGCACATCCTTCGAACCCGACGGCTGGAAAATCTTGGCCAGAATACCATCGTCTTGCGCTTCCACGTCCATCATGGCCTTGTCGGTCTCAACTTCCACCAGCACATCACCCTGCGAGAACGCTTCACCTTCTTTCACTTTCCACTGGCCTAGGTTGCCGTGCTCCATGGTAGGGCTCATTGCTGGCATGGTAAACTCCTTGATCGCCAAGCACTGCGCCGATGTGCTCATACGCGCCACACGACCCAACACCTGGGATGCGTTCGTCGTACGTGCCATCGAGCGGACTGCCAACATTGTCGCCATGGTCATCATGGTCACTCCGTTAACACCGCTGGGGACGAATGCGATGATGGGGCGAGGTCGGGCCACGTACGTACGCCTAGTAGGTGCCTGACAACATGGAGCCAATCGCATCGCGCGGCTACGCGCATGGTCCACACGCCCTCTTCCTAACACCGAAAAAAAAAAAAAATAAATGTAGGATCCACTATGTGCTCGTCTTTTTCAGGACGCCCAGCGATTGTAACAAGGCGCGGTTGCGTCCACCTTTCTTGACGACGCCCAGACCATGACGTGGCGTCCATGGGCCTAAAGAGGCATTCGCATAGAAGTCCATAGGGTAGTCTGTGCGTTCTGTTTGGTCCGTGTCGTGTCGCGCGCCGGGGAAACGAATCATACCCAGATCCTCCGAGGCATCTGTCCACAATGGGGCGCGGCCCATAGCTGCAGCTGCCTCGTACGGGCTCAGCAGCGGTTTCGGGAACGCAGAGCCCCAATCAATCGATAAACGCGGACAACTGGTTTGGACCAACACCGACAAATGCGGGCCGAACAATTGCGCTTTCTGCGGTGAGAGCTCCGAGAGCAAAATAGGTACTTGGGGTATATTTGCGTCACGCTCACGCAGTGTAGTGCCGAGATACTCGAGGACTTGGGTGCTGCCTTGACGACCCAACGTGCCCAGCACCAAACCCCACGATGCTGCTGCCGTAGCGCCTTGCTGCAATGTCGCTTGCGCTTCGCCAATGGCTTTTTTACGCAGCCGGCGCATCGACGCATGATCATACAATTCACGCTGGAGTCGTTTCGTGTACGGATCATACCGAAAGGCAGGTACGTCCGGATTTGCGATCATAATCGACTCTAGATGGAAACGACCATCACCCACATACAGAACAGCATCAACATCGCTGGGGAGTGTAGGCGAAGTACACCCTAGAATTTCGCCTGGGCTTAGTGGCTTGATTTGTGGGACTGTGATGGTGTAAGCACCTGATGCTGAAGCTGGAAGCGCTTGAGTTTCGCTGGCTTCGTTCGACGCCGCAATGGCCAGTCGAGTCTCGTCCCCCCTGTCGGTGGTCAGCGACTCGCGGATCGCCTGGATGGCAGCCACAAACTGAATTGTGCCGACCAAGGCCAAGTGTGTAGGTTTGGGTGTGTCGTCAGGGGCTACTTCAACCTCAACCGCGGCGTTTGCACTGCGGTGGTCCGGTGCTGTCAATACCGATCGTTGGAATAGCCCTTGGATGCTGGGCAAATTCAAACGTATGGTATTGATCAAATGCTCGGTATCCACATGGATCTCGACAAACACATACAAGGTACGAATCATGGTTTGGTCGACAGGTACTGTGGTCAGTGCTTTCATCACGTACCAAGGCAGCTGTGGCCGTAATGAACTAGCATATCACAGCCTAGCGCCATGGCCGTATAGTCATCGACGCAGCATGCGCCGTATGTCACATCGCCCATAATCACCGAGGTAGCACCTGTAAATCTGTACTGTAAGCCAAAGGAAAAGAACGTACCGTTCCAGGATGTCTGCAATGGCTGTGGCCCACATTGTTAGGCCTTCCGGCATTTGCAGTGCGACACAGGTGGCGCCATACTTGCGCACCTGATGCACTGTCTTGTGGATTTCAAAATTGTAGTTGCTCGGTAGCAAGCTATCGATAGCCGCATTCAGCAGCGGGTCTTCCAGCACCTCGGCAGGAATCCCACCGCTCACCGCCGTTGCTGACGCTGCCTCAGCGCGTGTGAAGCGCCGCTTAGGATTCGCAGCGTCGTTGTTCATCGACGTGTGGAGGAAGTGTCAAGAGGATTTTTCCCCTGTCTTTTAGTGTGGCCTCCGACGCTCCATCCCTGCAACATGCCCGAACTCGACTCGATGCTGGCATTTGTGGCGGGTCAGGGCGACAGCATGCCGCCTTCTGACGCGCATATTCATATTTCTGATACGATGGATGCCTCTGGCCAATTTGTGCTTTTGCATTATGCATTGACGGCGCTGCAACGCGGTGCTTCGGTGGTATGGCTATGTGCCAGCGCTAACGGTCTCACACACTTGGCGCATATTGCGCGCAAAGCTGTACGTTTTCTATATTCTGACCGGCAGGGTGTGAACCTTTCTTCTTCACACAAATTTTCGTATCTGGATGCCCATGCCTACATGAACGAGCCTTCCTTCCTTCCTGCATTGCTCTCACAGCTGCGCCGGGCCATTCCCGAGACGGGCATCGCGCACGAGATTGCTCAGACACTTGTTATCGTTGATGATTTGTCTGTCCTTCAATGGTGTATTCCTGGGTCTGTGGCAGAATCCCACTCGCACATAGTCCAATGGCTTCGTGCACTGCGTCAAACATGTGGCCTTCGTTCCGCTGCCCTGGCTACACTCCAACACTCTGATGCATGCGCTGTCGTGAGCCCCAATGGAACTCTAGACCAAGGAGATGAACGTCTCTTCAGATACCTTCTTCAAACTGCCGATCTATGGGTCGCCATCAATGAGTTGCCTAGCGGGCGGGCAGCTGACTGTGATGGTGAGGTGGCTGTCCACGCGCTGGCACGACCTTCTATCGCTACCACTTGCATGGCCGAGGCGCCATCACCTCTTACCTCGTTTGTGCTCGATAGGTACATGCCATCGTCCGAAAAGTGCCTCTATCGCATTCTACCTGAAGGCACGGGTCCTAAGCAAGACAATGGCACACGTCTCATCGCACGAGTTTGGTCACGAGGTGGTGGATTGGTGTGAAGTTCATATATATATATATATATATTTCCCTTTAAACGCGTTTTGCAATTTCAATAGCACCCTTGCACCCATACTCGACCACAGCGGACAACAATGCGTGGGCAGGTGCCTGTTGCGAGTCATGCTCAACAGCTGTATCCAAATGCTCCAATTCGTCATCACGAAATTCAATAAGTACATCGCGGAGGAGCGCAATGGATTCCTTGATCTCCTCAGCCTCCTTACCCGTATATTGTTGCGCCAGTTTCTCGCCGATCTGCTTCAAATGCAATAGTTGGCTGACGTTAGTTAGCTATACGCATACGTACTCATCATAGTGCTCTCCGATCACCGTTTCTACGGCCTCCGTACAAGCCATAGCACTCTTTTCACCCAGCACTGCTGTCACGCCACCCAGTACACGACCCGCTAGAGACCACAGGGGCACGAGCGCGGAAGGACGCGTTTTGTATTCATCCAGCATATTGGACGTGGCCAGCAGGTGCTTGCGCTCATTGTCCCACATATCTAGGATCAATTCTTTTGTCGCTTTCTTTCCTTGAAACCCAAACACATCTGCTTGTGCTTCATAGATTGTATTCGCTGCAATTTCCCCAGCATGATCGACTCGGATCATAGAGGAGACGGCATACCGGTCGGCTGGTTCTAACGCGGCCAAAAAACGCGTGGCCTTCGCAAGACGATCCGCACGGCTGCCTGCAGCCTCCTTGGTAAAAGCATCGGAGGCAAGTTTCCCTGTACTGTACGCTCTTGTTCCTAACCGCGTCAGCAGGCTGCGAGACCACAACATCTGATAGGATGGCATCGTGGCGCAGAGACAGTGTGGAACCTCCACTTCCAGGTGATTGCGTTGGGGGAGAGACCGCACGACCTATCGCTTCGACCCTCTATGATGCATTTCTTTTGCTCACTGCCGTGCGAGGCTATAAAATATTCTATGACATGTAGGTAGACAGCAGGACAATCTATCTGTTGTGTCTCTTCACAATCTTACGTTACGTGGGGTGTCCTATTTTCATCTTCCTACTGTCCGTGACCCTGCATATTGCCCTTTGACACTACATAGCGGCCAAAGCGTACATACTTCCCTTTTTGGACGAACAAAAAAACCATACGATATGGTGGCTTCCCATTGTTCACGATCAGATTAGCTAATCTTCATTTATTTTTCATAGCAAGTTGGACAGATGCAGTGCATGTGATATACATATACTCATGCCGGGGTAAATAGGAGGTCTTATCAAGGTGAACCAAAAATATAAAAGGCCGTATGGGGATGGTTGTAGGTCAGCTCTCCCTCTTTTAGCAATGTGGCTCCAGTCTACTGTGGTTCTAGCGAGCTGCGCTGCCCTTGTGTCGGCAGGATTTGTGAAACCGCCTACGGACCTCAAGAACGTGAGCAGTTATGCTGGTACAAATGTTAGGTACAAGGAAGTGCCTTCCGGTATTTGCGAAACCACCGAGGGGGTAAAGAGCTATTCTGGATACGTTGATACGGGAGATAATGACCACATGTTCTTTTGGTTCTTTGAATCGCACAAAGACCCTAAGAACGCCCCTCTTTCCGTTTGGTTCAACGGCGGTCCTGGATCGTCGTCGATGATCGGTCTGTTCCAAGAAGTGGGTCCTTGCCGCATGTACCCCAATGGCACCTTGTACAAAAATGAATATGCTTGGAACAAAGACTCGAATCTTTTGGTGATTGATCAGCCTGTAACGACTGGTTTTTCCTACAAGGACCTCGCCAACGTCATTTATGATTCAAAAAATCTTACTATGAAAAAAGTTGATGGTGATGAGTGCCCTTCGAATCTCGGTGAGCATGAAACATGTATGACGCTCTCCATGCCTTCAGCGAAGAGTGTGCCTTCTTCTACTTCAGGTGCCGCTCCTACAGTTTGGAAAATCCTCCAAGGGTTTTTTGGTGCTTTCCCTGACTATGCGAACACCACACTTCACTTGCGTACCGAGTCATACGGTGGACATTATGCACCTGTGTTCGGATCGTATATCCTGGACCAGGATGCGAAGGAGATTTCTAATGCGATCAAGCTGAATCTCACGTCGGTTGTTATTGGGAATGGCTGGATTGATCCTAAAATTCAATATGCGTCGTACTACAACTTCACTGTTTCGCCAGGAAACACGTACGACTACAAGCCATACAATGAAAGTACATCTACTCTTCTATTCAACAGCATGTATGGTAAAGGCAACTGTACAACTCTTGTTGATAAGTGTGAGAAAGAGAACACTGATTCCGCTTGTCGCAAAGCGGAGAAATTTTGCGCTGCTAACGTGGAAGAAGTTTGGGATACATTGAATCGTGATTACTACGATGTGCGAGAGCTTTTGCCTGATCCTTTCCCATACGAACGCTACGTTAAATACCTGAATGAACCTCATGTACTGGAGGCCATTGGCGCATACCAGAGCTATTTGGAGGGCTCGGATTTGATTTCTAATACATTTTGGGATGCTGGTGACTGGGGTCGGTCTACCATGCCATATATCAGCCACCTTCTGGAAAGCAAAGTGCCTGTGATTATGCATGCCGGCGACTCGGACTACATTTGCAATTGGATTGGCAATGAGGTCATTGCTAACAAAGTAGGTGGATCAGACTTTGTGAGGGCCGGCTATGTGAATATGGAGGTGGATGGCGTTGATACGCCAGGTCAAGTGAAGCAGGCTGGCTCGTTTGCGTATGCCCGTGTGTATTACAGTGGCCATGAAGTGCCGTGGTACCAGCCTGAAGCTGCGTATGCTATTCATCACCGCGCTTTGAATGGTATGGATATTGCTACGGGTAAGACGAAAGTGAGTGAAGACTATGCGACGAAGGGAACGCCTACAAGCACCTTCCGTGAAGGTAATGCCACCATGCAGTACCACGTGCTGCCTTCTGGCACCATCTATGACTACGAAAAGCATGCTCCTGTCTCCTCACAGGGAAAGCAAGCTCGTTAGTTTTTTCATCATATCACATAATTTGTGCTTTGTTGCTGCATTCGTAGTACCATCTAAGTACCCTGTCGTACACTCATACTATCAAGTTAATTTTTTACAGCTCTACGAAGGTCCCTCGCATTGAGACACTTTCCTTTCCTATTGTTATCTAGACTTACGGTCACAACGCGCCACGTTTCCCTATCCCTGGGCTATATCAACGCAAGCACCTTTCGGGACCTATATCTGGTACCGATCGAAGCAGGGTAACCGAACTAATGACACACTTCCCATTTCGGTTAGGTGTCAGAGTTTATGGCGCTGGTCGATTGGTTTTGCTCCGCAGTTTGACACACATTAGTCATCTTAATTTACCACCGGAAAGGTTGCTGCTGATTGCTAGGTTCACTGGGTGAGGTGATAAATGTTCATCACCGCGCAGCACATCTCGTGACTAAGAGCCCTTCTAAAAGGTATTTGAGCCCAGCAGATAAGGTAGTTGTTGAAACTGCCCCCTCTTCAATATGTTGTTATACTCCATTGTAGCACTGGCTACTAGCATTACTGCTGTGTCAGCGCAATTCGTAAAGCCACCTACTGACTTGAAGAAAGTGTCTGGTCATGCGGGTACCACTGTCCGTTATAAGGAAGTGCCTGCTGGTATCTGTGAAACAACGGAAGGGGTGAAGAGCTACTCTGGCTATGTCGATACAGAAAAAGATGAACATATTTTCTTCTGGTACTTTGAGTCACGCAAGGATCCCAAGAATGCTCCTCTTACTGTTTGGTTTAATGGTGGGCCCGGCTCTTCTTCCATGATTGGCTTGTTCCAAGAAGTGGGTCCTTGTGGCATATATCCGAATGGGACCTTGTATAACAATGAATATGCCTGGAATTCGGAGTCTAACCTGCTCATTGTTGATCAACCTGTCACTACTGGATTCTCGTACTCGGAAGTTGGGCCTGTTATCATGGATACTAGGGGTATTGTTGTAAAGGAACTTGAGGATAACAAGTGTCCTGACGATACTCATTTCTTCGAAACGTGTGCGACATTGTCGTTGCCTAGCAAGACAAAGGCACCGAAGTCCACCAGCCAAGCTGCGCCGGCGATGTGGAAAACCGTTCAAGGCTTTTTGGGTGCGTTCCCCGAACTTGAGAACGCCCCTATCACTATTGCTACGGAGTCATACGGTGGTCATTATGCCCCTACCTTTGCAACCTACTTCTTGGAACAAAATGATAAGAATGTGGAAGGCGCTATTCTTCTGAACTTGAAGTCTGTTATGATTGGCAATGGTTGGTATGACCCAAAGGTTCAGTACATGGCTTTCTACAACTTTACTGTGAGCCCCGGAAATACCTATGACCTCAAACCCTTTAGCAAGGAGAAGGGTGAAGATCTCTACACGCAAGTCTTTGGACATGGCATGTGTCTTGATCTAATTGAGGACTGTTATCGTACCAACAGCGCCAGTGTCTGTCGCAAGGCTGATGGCTTTTGTGCTTCATCTGTGGAGCAGTTCTTGACTCGCCACGCCCACCGCGATGAGTATGACATCCGCCAGGTTGACCCTGATCGCTTCCCTTACTCGAGGTATGCGTCGTATCTAAATGAGGCGCATGTCCTGAAAGCCATCGGTGCCTTCCAGAACTACACGGAATCGTCTGATCTTATCTGGAAGTCATTCTCAAAGACTGGTGATGATGCTCGTCGTCGTGGCTCCATTTCCAAGCTGAGGGAACTAGTTAAGCGTGGCATTACTGTGACGCTTTATGCTGGTGATGCGGACTACAATTGTAACTGGCTGGGTGGTGAGATTGTGGCTGAAAAAGTTGGTGGAGCGAGCTTCTCGAAGGCCGGCTACCAGAACATAACGTCAAAGAACAAAGATGTACCTGGTCAAGTGAAGCAGCACGGTCGCTTTAGCTTTGCTCGTATTTACTACAGTGGCCATGAGGTTCCCTTCTACCAGCCTATTGCGGCTTCAGAGCTCCACCACCGTACTGTTCATGGGCTGGACTTGGCTACTGGTCAAGAAGCTGTCTCTGATGGTTACGTGACAAAGGGCTCTCCGAAGAGTGAATTCCGCGAGGGCGGTGATACGGTGCAGCACCATATTGCGAAGACCGGCTCTCTCTACGACTTTAAGAAGCACATCCCTGTCAAGCCGAACTAAAGCTATTCTTCAACATCATCGTTTATTGCTATATATATATCGTATATATGTTGACTCTTGAAACGTACACATATTTATGATATCATGACATAAAGTGAGACCAGCGAACTTGCAGCACCAAGTTGAGTTTTACGACAATCTTATATGTTTCCTTGATGCTGCCCTGCATTTGTACAACCGTCAGGCAGACATAATAGTAATCGTGATTTAAGCCTGCGCTTTGGAGATTAATTCGTCAATTCCTGGAAGCTTTGATTGACTTGAGCGAATGTTAGATGCAATGGGCGGCAGGGTACCCATGCTTTCAGTTGATACAGGGTGTTTCCTGTTTGCATAGATGTGGTGATAGGAAGATGCAGGCGAATAAGACGATGAAGAATTATGTGCCTCAAAAGCACGCGAAAAAAATGATGGCCGGTGTTCAACACGCCGGCGAGCATATTCGCTTGCATAGGGATGGTGATGATGACGATATAATGGCCATGGTCGTCGTTTCTCTGCCACTCGACCCGTCCAAGGGAGGGGATGTGCACTGTACTCCTGAGGATAGTATGGTTTGGAGACAACAGTTTCATTCGTATTGTTTGGCGAATACACTGTTGATTCAATGTAGGGAGCCTTCCTCGAAGCCGGCATATCCGAGTATACTGAGTTTGTGGTCTTCTCTGATTCTTGTGGCGCCGATTCCATAGCTGTAAGAGAAGGCGGGTGGTAGCGTGGGATAGGTACCTGTTGAGGTGTTGGCGTGGTTCGTTGCGAGTTGTTCATGCTGGCCCGTTTTCTTTGCTTCTGCCGCTTGTTCTGGAAGAAAACCTGGACCTTTCTAGGTGAGAGACCCAGCTTGGCTGCCACGGCCTCTCGGACTTGAGTAGACGGAAAACACGTCTGCTGGAGTAGTTCGTGAAGAACACGGCTCTGTTCCAAAGTAAGCAGTGTCCTAGCACGCTTCCCTGTGCCTTTTCCCTTGACTTGGTTCTTTTTGGCGGGTCCTTTCTTCTCAGTTGCTTCATCATTGTCTTTTTCTGCCTCCTGAGTATTTTCCGAAGACGCCTCCGATGCAACAGAAGCAGCGTAGTCATGGGCATCCTTACTGTCGGGCGAATATAAAACATCATTTATCTCTGATGAGCCCGCAGAGGTATTTGCCTCGGCTGTTTCATGTCGCATGGTGACAAGAGAAAAAGCGCAAATTAAGCGGGTTTATAAAGGTAGTGTAGAAAACAAGGGGAGATGAATGAATTTGTCAAAGAGGTATTAGTCAATTATACTTTCGACAACTATCACACTGTTTGTCCCAGTTTTTCCCAGTTTTGTGACGTAACTAGTTTAAATTCTGCAGGTCGTAATTCGGACATAACACAGCAACCAATCATCAGCTGTATATCGAATGCAATCTTCACCAGAACTACAATAGCGTAATATTCTATAGTTCCTACACACAGCCACCAATCCAGGGTTTAATTTGTGAAAGAGACGTGATTTTAAACGAATAAAATTACCCCCCGCTGTTTTCCCGTGTTCAGTTAGGCCCGTGCGTTACATAATTGTTCAACTGAGCCCTTGGTTTTACGGACGATGCGTCGTGGGCCTGGCCTGGTGGCCTTTGATAGGAAGGCCGCATCTGACGATTATTTCGCGTCGTTATCGCAAGAATGGAATGGAGCCAAGCTTGTCGAACTTAAGGAGCAAATTGATCAATTTGCTACTGCCCTGAGGACTTTTGCCGTAGCGCATCGCCAAGATATTCGAAGAGATCCTGTCTTCCGACATGCTTTCCAGCGGATGTGCGCCAGCCTTTGGGTAGATCCCTTGGCTGGTCATCCAACGACCACGGGTAAGGGTGGGAGACTGGGAAAAGTTGCCAATATTTGGAACGAGCTCATTGGGTTTGGTGACTGGCAATATGAACTTGGTGTCCAAATCGTGGATGTTTGTATTAGTACTCGGTCCCAGAATGGGGGCATTATTGCTATGGATGACCTGATTGAAGGCGTTATACGTTTACGGCGTGGGAGGTTTGCATCAATATCAGCCCCAGATACGTCAGAAACTCGGATTACCGCCCAAGATATTGAGAGAAGTATACAAGCACTTGGTCCATTAGGTTGTGGATATGAAGTATTCACATTAGGTGGTACCCAATTGGTCCGCCATATCCCTCGATCGTTGAGTACAGAAACCCTTCGCATACTAGAACTGTTCAGTGACAGTCAAAAGTTGGAGACCGACGTCCAGAATATTACGTATGCTACACCCTCCTCAGTCTCGCATGCTTTAGGTGGCACGGATTTGTCTTCTGAGACCCAAGCCGCGCGAGTCCTTGACGACATGTTGTTGAACGATGGCACCCTATGGCTTGATATTATTCCTTCTGACCTATCCTATATACCCGAGCAAAAACGCAGGCGCTATTATTCCCTCTCCCTTGCCGAAAAGGCACTGCGAACCCCAGCGCCTGTCCTAGATTCGCGAATTACCTAGTGTAGTACAGCCAATAAATTCTTTCTTCTTGCGATCGAATCAGGGGCGTAGAGCATGGGGTGGCGAGCTTGTTGTATACACGTGCTATTTGTGGGACTAGTTGTTGAGGGCGTTATGCTAATATCTGATTGGTCCGATAGTGAATGTCGGAATTTGAATGTACCGAAGCCAGCGTCTCCGAGATACAGGTTGACGATACACTCCCCTCATCATGGCGCCAGCTCAGGGTGGTTTTTCTTGGTCGAACATCGCCGTTGGCGCTGTTATGAACATGTTTGAGGTGACCACTCTTGGTCAGCCTTTTGAGGTTATCAAGACGCAAATGGCTTCGAACCGTACGCAAACCATGGGCCAGGCTCTAAAGACGGTTTGGAGCCGTGGTGGTGTGCTCGGTTTTTATCAAGGCCTAATCCCGTGGGTACGTATTCTTTTTGGATCTTTTCTTACATGTGAAGGCATGGATTGAGGCCTCTACCAAGGGCTCTGTCTTGATGTTCACGTCCTCCGAGGTCCAGCACGTGGCCAAGTCGTTTGGTATGGGCCCTGGTGCGGCTGGTCTCTTGGGTGGTATGACTGGCGGTATCGTGCAGGCTTATGCAACAATGGGCTTCTGCACATGCATGAAGACCGCTGAAATCACTCGTAGCAAGCAGGCTGGTGCGGGTATTAAGCCCCCATCGACTTGGCAGGTGTTTGCGGACATTTATCGCCGTGAGGGTATCCGTGGTATCAACAAGGGTGTGAACGCTGTGGCAGTCCGCCAGATGACCAACTGGGGTAGTCGTATGGGCTTCGCTCGCCTTGCTGAATCGCCTGTGCGTAAACTGAGTGGTAAGAATGAGTCGGAGAAGTTGAGTGCTATGGAACGTATTCTCTGCTCTACCATCGGTGGTGCTTTGTCTACATGGAACCAGCCCATTGAGGTGATTCGTGTTGAAATGCAATCCATGTCGAAGGCTGCAAGCCAGCACCACCTGGCTGAGAAGCCCTCGATTCTTGGTACTCTGAAGTATATTTACAAAGAGAACGGTATTCGCGGCCTCTACCGCGGTGTGAGCCCGCGTATTGGCTTGGGTGTCTGGCAAACGGTATGTACATGAAGCAAAGACACTAACTCTGCCTAGGTTTGCATGGTGTCCTTCGCTGACACACTGCGTGAGTGGATGCACATTGGCAAGTAAAATGGCTCGTCTACGTTCTGTGCATGGGTGCAGAAGTATGTGTGTGTGAATCTATGCCTATCTATATATGCATGCCAATAGGTTCAGTTTCAAATTGTGCTCCTTGTCATGTGGTCGATCGCTTACACATCGTAGTAGGGTCTTAGCACCCAGCGGCCCAGCGTCGTTGCCATCAGCCTCTCGTACGCGAGCGATGTCCGTCTGCTGACATAATGGTCCCGTGTAATCACGTGGAGTGGTACGTCAGGTACGTCGGGGCGGGGTGAACCGTAGCGGGGCTCGGGTCTACACTCTTATTTTCCTCCAACATGTCTATCAAACATATCTTTGATGATGCGAATGGCCTCGTAGAGAAAGGTCTCTACGGTGTAGCTGCTACGAACCCTGCTCTTCGAGTGTATGTACTGAAATCGAGGACGAAACTAACTTGTCTCCAGGTATGCCCCTCACAAGGGAGAGAGATGCTTCGCACGATCGCAGCAAGGTGGCAATTTTGGCTGGTGGTGGTGCCGGTCATGAGCCGACCTTTGGCGGTATGACGGGCCGTGGTATGCTTTCTGTGGCTGTTTCGGGCGATGTTTTCGCATCGCCTAGCGCTGCGCAGATTTGCAGTGGTGTTGACTTGGCCCCAACCGACAAGGGTATCATTGTGGTGGTGCTCAACTACACGGGTGACTGCTTGAACTTTGGTCTTGCCTCGGAGAAGGCTCGCTCGGCTTTCGCGTCCGAGGGTAAAGGCAAAGAAGTCGAGATGGTCATTGTCGGTGACGATGTCTCCGTGGGCCGTAGCAAGGGTGGTCTTGTCGGCCGTCGTGGTCTGGCTGGTACGCCGTTTGTCGTCAAGGCCCTGGGTGCTGGATCGGAGAACGGTATGGACGTCAAGTCTCTCGCCAAGCTTGGCCGTACTATGGTGAGCAACCTTGTGACTGTCGGCTCGTCGCTCGACCACTGCCACGTCCCTGGCCGCAGCACGGACGACGAGGAGCGTGGTGCGCTGGGTCCCAAGGCCGTGGAGATCGGTATGGGTATTCACAATGAGCCTGGTGTCAAGCACATCGAGGAGAAGCCCTCGGCGGATGACCTGATCAAGGAGATGCTGTCGCTCTTGCTTAAGGAAGACGACCCTGAACGCTCGTTTGTCAAATTTGAGAAGGACGACGACCCAGTGCTGATTATTAACAACCTGGGTGGTATGAGTGTGCTGGAGCTTACAGCTGTCACATCCGTTGTCAAGGAGCAGCTGGCTCGTGACTGGAACCTCAAGCCGGTGCGCGTGTACTGCAGCACCTACACGACCTCGCTGAACGCTCCAGGCTTTGGTATTACGCTTCTGAACCACAAGCGCGTCTCGAAGGAGGCGGGTGTCGATGTGCTGGAGCTTATTGATGCTCCTACTGATGCGCCTGGCTGGGCGGGTGTCGTCCAAGGCTGGAGCGACAAGCCCGTGCTTCTTTCGAACGACGAGCAGCTGAAGGAAAGTGAGAAGCTCGTCAACTCGAAGCGTGAATCCGGCCACGCTGTGAGTGGCAGTCAGTCGGGTGGTAAGACCGCCACGTCGGGTCCGAAGAATGGCGACGAGTCCAAGACCAAGAAAGTGGTTGAGAGTCTGTGCCAGGCTGTGATTGATGTCGAGCCGACGCTCACCAAGTACGACACCGTGGTGGGTGACGGTGACGCGGGTGAAACGCTGCGTCACGCCGCTGAGGCCATCCAGAAGGCACTGAAAGACGGCAAGGTGAAGACTGACTATGCTACAGCGACCGTGCTGAGCATTACCGAAGTGCTTGAGTCGGTGATGGGTGGTACCTCGGGTGCCATCTACCAGATCTACCTTACTGGTCTTGTGCAGGGTCTGCTTAAGAGCGGTGAAAAGACCAGCGATGCTGCCAACGCGAAGCACTGGGGTGAAGCGGCTGTGCATGCGCTGGAGAGCCTGGGTAAGTACACCCCAGCTCGCCCTGGTGATCGCACGCTGGTGGATGCCTTGGATCCGTTCTGCCGTACGCTGCTCAAGGCAACCGAGGGCGGCAAGGGCGACAAGGAGGCGCTCGAGGAGGCCGTGAAGGCCGCCAAGGAGGGTGCCGAGCACACTCGTGAGCTGACTGCGCGTCTGGGTCGTGCTACGTACGTCGGTGAGACCTCGGAGAAGGTCCCTGACCCTGGTGCGTGGGGTGTGTGGGCCCTTGTAGAGGGTATCCTCAAGGCGCTTTAAATGTGGCTACGATACATGTGTAGCACCGACGTCGTATCTTATATATGTACCAATACGCCGTCTGTGCCAAGGCCCTCCATGCCCTCGTTGCCTATGTAACGTACGTACATTTTATAGTCTCGTATCTCTGTGAATGTCATTTCTGCCTACCGTGGCGGAAGAAATACATACAACCCATTCATTCTACTACAAGAGCCAATCAGTGTCATCATTGTCCTGATGTTCGTCTGTAAAGGGCTTGCCCACTTGTTGTACACTCCATGCGCAAACAGGGCATGTCCCTGCCACGATGGTATTCATTTCATTGCGCACCGCATCCAGCTGCGCATACGTATCAGACGTAGCGGGTCTCGATGTTACCTCTGTAGCCGACTGTGTTTCCTTCATAACAGGCGCTTGCTGCATCCATACACGTCGCGAAGTATCGACACTCGCATGCCAGCTCGCCGTAATGGCATCGACAATGGCCTGGGGGCGTACATGCTCGCGCATACGCTCCAACGACGCACCCAACGGCAGCTTCGATGCCGTAGTAGACTTGGTAGGCGTAGACTGTGTTTGTGCTTCTTGGCGCTGCGACGTAAGCGTACCCAGTTCATCTTGCAACTGCAGTAAGCGACGTAAACGTCGTGGCGGCAGGTGCTGTGTGACTTTGGTAGTGAGGCAATCGGCATGAAAGCCATGTCGGCATCCAAACACGTACATCGAGCGCTGAAGAAGAGGTGTACTGCATTCCATGCAGGGCTGCTCGGTATCAATATCAATAGCACGTTTCGATAGCTGCTGAATATCCGCCTGTATACTCGCAGCTGTAGCTGTGGTATTGTCCATTTTCTCTTTCAACGTGTCGATCTTGGCCACATACTCTTCGAGTGTCGCACAGATTTCCGCTTTAAAGTCGTCAATCACAGTAAAGTCTGGGAAGAGCGGAAGAATATCCTCAACAGTCAGCAAATCGGTTCGCCGCAAGAATTGCATCGCTTCATGCATATGTGGCTTGGCCTGAATTGCATGCTGCGCACATTGGAGCCACAATTCCCGACGTAGTGCTTCGTCCTGTGTCACCAAGTCGGCACACGCACACGCTAAATCCACATCGTTCGCCTCGAGGGCTAGATGTACAGCTAGCTCAAATTGCTCCATTCGCGCATAGAGTCGTACACAGGCTTCTTGGCACTGTGCCTGTACGCACGTCCGAAGCGCCAGGGACAGATCGAGGGCCTCTGGCGAGGCCCTCTCGACAAAGGTGAGCAGCGCAGCGCGATCATTCGGTCGCTCCACCAAACGCGTCAAACGCATGGCATGTGCTGTGCGATCCATAGAGCCACACTCGTCAATGGTATAGCGCAAGTACTCTAACGCGTAATCGGGCTCTTTCGGCAAAGGCCGGTGTTGCAAAAGCGCGGGAAGGAGGCGGGCTACGTCTAACGACGTACATCGCTTCCAATACGTAACGGTAGCTTGGGGCGCGTGGCGCATCAGCACGGCAGCAAATTCGTAGTAGAGGTCTGGATCGGATTGTGCACTCAGCGCTTCCAAGGCCCGTTCCCACTTCCCTGCCTGGATCCACCGCTCGACCACTTGCTGCGTATTCCGCTGCGTCTGCGCAAAAGTCGTCCATAAATCCATACGGCCCTGTCGTGCCAGCAGAGCATATGTCGTTGACGGATCTAGTGCCGAAGCGTACGTCTGCAAAACATGTGTAGCTTCCGCATGCAGCGCATTGTACGTCGCGGAAGTGGTATCTTCAGCATCCATGGCACGCAAGTACAGTTCAAGAAGCCATGTAGCCAGCATGAGTCGCGAGACGTTGGCAGTCACCGGTGTATCGTCCAAACGTTTCAGCACGTACGTACGCAGCGCTTCCCATGCTTGTGCTTCAATGAGCGAGACTGTGACCTGCTCAAAGGACGGGGCATGTGCCTTCAAGAAGCACGTCACAGCTGCCATAGCATCGCCTTTGGCCAGGTATGCCTGACCTTGCGCCGCGTAGACATGGGCACGACTAGGCTCATCGTGGCAAAATGCCAGCGCAGCCTCGTATTCATGCTGTGTAAGGAGCCATTGCCATGTATGCCGTGATTCCTTTTCAACCACCAGTTCAAAGAGACTTTGAGACGTATACAGCCAACAAGTGCCTGTAGCAGGGTCCATTGCTACGCCACGTACGCGCTCTTTCGCTTGCAGAGGGAGCGACGTACGATACACCTCCTCATGGGAGAGCGCATCCAAGCATACAAGGGCATCAGAATATACAAGCACAATGTGCAAGGGTGTACGACCCACGTAAAGTGGAGATGTATCTTCGTCTGTAGGGTAGGGCAGTACATCCGCGTGCTCTACGCCATGCGCAGCGTCCATGGTAGCATCGTATACGCCGGTCCCTGTGAGCCAGCTTAGGACGCGTGTAGGCGCGTGAGGTAAATGAGGAGGTGGGATGGCTGTTGCTAGGCTCGCAGGTCCAGGAGGGAGCTCTGTCTTGACATGCGGCAACGCCGTGCCGCGGTACGGAGCAAAAATAGGGTCCCAATGGGGTGCCGACTCTGAAAAAGGCTGCGTGGGTCCCAGAAATTCATAGAGTCGGGTTGCAGTAGCCATAACAATCAAAGTATGTGGGCCCTGGGTCTCCAGTGCTATACCTGTAATAGGATGCGTATCATCAAGGGTAAACAATCGGTAAATGCCTCGCTCCAATGGCGCGTCATGAGCGCCGGCCGACTTGCGCGCCCAGCGGTCTAGTAAGTCGCGACGCGCAGGCGGTGTACTGATGTGCAAATGCACTTCAATCACATCGCCACGAGCTGTGCCAGCTAAGAAGGCTGGCATCGTGGGTAAGGTCGGCGAAGTCGTCCAGGCTACAGCGGTAATCGGTACGCCTTGGAGTCGTGGAAGCAATCGTGCGTGTGGCCACGATGGAGTCCAGTACCATGTATGTGTATCTGTGCATACAAGTATGTGCTGCGCTGATGGATGCGCAAAGATACGTACGTGTTCCAACGTCTGCACACCTGGCACAGTAGCGTCAGCTGCCCGTGTTGGATCGTTGAGGTCTAAGTACAGCAACTGAATGGGCATGCCGTCCGCTGCAGGTTCCATGACAAGGATCAAGACGTTGGACGCGGCGGCCACGCAGCCTAGCGGCGCTGGGCAAGCGTACTGTACTCGCCCTACCTGGAAGAGGGGCGTGGAGGCTGTAGTGGACTGCGTACTGGCCTCCGGCATGCCCATGTCGCCTGATTCGGCAGCTAAGAGCGATGCCGCATGAGGCTGTTCGTAGCCTGAAGCAAGGGACATGCTCTCTCTCTCGTTTCTAGGCGCCACCCAGGATACGATCGGTCGTACGTTCGCGCGTATACGTAGGTACCAACGCACATCGCTCGCTATGCGCTTGTCGCCTCCACGTGACTATGCTCGATGCCGGTTCCACTGGCATGCAGGCCCACTACGCAGCCATTGACTATGTCACTATGTCATCAACTTGGCGATAATAAACTTGACGCCGACCAACGCCGTCGCGACATCGCCTGACGCCATCGTTGCGAGTTGCACGTGCAACTGCTGAGCCTGGGGCTGCTGTCGTGCCCGAATCGCTTGCGCGAGCTGTGTGAGCAGGGGCTGGAGCGATGCATCCACAAGTTGATTGTTCAGCAGGTCCAAGAGGAGCTGCACACGGCGCTCTGCATCGTCCAGAATACGACGAGGCTGTGCATCAATCGACCGCAGACGCTGGAGTTCACTTGTGAGCGTATCCGCGACAGGACGCATCGGTGGCGCAATGTGACTTCGGTCTCCACGCGCTGTCATGTGAGTGGTCAACGAGGGTACGTACGGTACTGGAATCCAGGGCGGTGGCCCGATGGCGCTTGGCCACTTGGCGTCGCGGAACGCGGCGCACCAAAGCCACCGCCAGCCGGAGTGCCGGTGCGTGACGGCGGCTGACCACGCGCACGAGGTGGCTGCGAATGAGCACTTGCCGTGCGTGGTGTCATGGGGGGCGCATTCATACCCGCCGAAGGACCGCGCATGCCAGGGCCCGGGTGCGTAGGCGGAGCGTACGCACCACCAGCAGGACCTGTGCGATGCGGCCGCAAGCTCTGTTGCGGCGTCGCCTGCATACCGCCGTTCGGACGGCCTGGCATGGTCGGGGTTTGAGGGCGCATGTACGCCTGGCCATCAGCACCAAGGCGGCCTGGCCCATTCATCGCATCCGGCTGATACGATGGATGGCCCATGCCCAGGCCGGTCCGAGGCGACGGCGGCGGCGGCATGTGCGACGATGCCGCGCTGCTGGGTCGCGGCGGACCACGTGGCGGCGGCGGCAGGGTGGCGGCTGTCGAGGGCGGCGCACCGCCGCGTGTCGGTGGTCCTGGCGGTGGCGCGGTCGTGGCCTGCTGCGGGAACGGCGACGTGATGGCCGACGCTGTGGCCGGCGGAGCCGCCGGAGCTACCTGGCGCTTAGGCGGGAGCTTGGTCGCTGCAGGGACATCGTTCCATCCGCCTTGGTCACGCTGCACAGGCGGGGCAGCTGGCGGGGGTGGCGGAGGTGCCTGCATAGGCTGCATCGGCTCCGGGATCATAGGCGGGCCCCCAGCCAGAGGCGCGCCCACCATCGGGGGAGGCGGCGCTTGCATAGCTGTCGGCGTACTGTAAGCGCCTTGGTTGTACGCTGGCGCCGCAGGCGATGTGCCATACGACGGCGCATACGGTGAAGGGGCCATAGGCTCGGGCGCCATGCTCGCTGTGGGCGCCGGCATCGGCACCGTAGGTACCGTCGTCGCCTGCGGCGGTGGGGGCGGCGGCGCCATGGCCGAAGTCGTAGCGGTCGGCATGCCGTAGGGAGAGTATCCGTGCGAAGGCACCGCATCGTAGGACGTGGCGCCATACGACGACGTAGTCGGCTGGTTGTACACGGTAGACAACGACGCATAGTCGTAGCCCTGGGCCTGGCTGGCCCGCAGCAGACGATCATGCGCCCACTCGGCGTCGCCGGTGGATGACATGCCTGCCGGGGCATAATCCGCAGGGGTGAGCGCGACAAACTTCAGGGCAATGTCGACCAAGCCCTGCTCGGTCAGCACATTGACGTATTCTAAAATATAGTCATAGAGTGGTGCCAACTTGAATGTGCGGATGGGCATTGTGCCATCTTCGTTGGGCGGAGGGACAGTGAGGTCCTCGTCTGTGTACTGTACAGCATGCTGGAAGACCATGACCTTCTCCATAAAAGTCTGCAGTGCCTCTGCATGCGCCGAGAACGCAGATTCTTCTTGGACGTGAGCACCCGACTGCCGCGCATGCTCTTCCTCCTTCATCTCCTCAATCCACATCGACATGACCTTCTCGAGACGGCCCGCCGCAAGGTAGCACATCACGGCATTCTTGCGGTCCACATACGCTTCGCGCTGCGCACCTTGCTGCAGTTGAGCAAGGTACCGCTCTTCCAAGCGCGTGCCCAGCATCTCCGCCAAGCGCTGGAAATCATCCGGCTTGGCAAAGGTGCAGAGCACAACAAAGATTTCCTGCCATTCTGCCAGATCAGCATACTGCACCACATCGGTCAGGTCTTCCATGACGATGCTCTTCAACAGGCGCAAGTACGGCAATCGCGACGCATGGCGCTTAAAAAATGCACGCTGCGTCTTCACGAGCAAGTCGTCGCCCGCTCGTGTAGCCAATGCCAACGCATCCGCAAAGCGGTCCTGAGACACGAGAAGCGACACAGCACTTTCAAAGTCGCCCAAAATCAGCGCCTGGGTTACCAATCGATCCGGATCCTGCGCTCCGTGAGGATGCAGACGGAACGGCTCAGCAGGCACCGGCGGCGGCGGCAGCTCCGCCGGCACTTGGTCGAAGAATGCCGTCGGATCCGCCGCCGCTTCGCCGTCCACGTCAGCCTCGCCCTTGGTCTCATCTGTGGCAGGGGCCTCCTCTTCCGCAAACTCAGGAAGGCCCAGCGTACCGACCGCTTCCTGGATTTGTGCAGATACTTGCTCTTTGGAAAAGCCTAGCAGCTCGACAAGCTCATCCCGCGACGACGCCTGGAACAACGTCTGCAGCACTTTCCAGTTCGTCACATCCGCAGGCCGCGTAGCAGGGTCCACACTTTGCGCCGCACAGTATGACTCCAACGTCTGTTCATCCAGCGCTGCACTTAGGGCCTGGGCACGAGCAGCAATGTGCGGCTCCGTCCGAATCTCGGTAATATGCACCGTAGTAGAACGTTGACCTGGTGCCGCCTTGGGGACAGTCACCAGTTGCCCACCGAACCCAAACGAAGCCGTAATAGGACGACGAAGCCATTTGGGCGCGACGCTGAGTGGCATACCACCCGAGGCTGCAGGGGGCGCACTGCCGAGGGCCGTGAACAGGTCATCAGCGTTCATGTTCTGTGTGTCCGCAACCATATCCTGTTCCTCTGCTGCATTCGTCGATTGCAAAGACTGCACAATCACATGGCCGTCAAAGCTTGCCGTGGCCAGCAAGTTCGGGTTCCGCGGATTCCATTGCACGTCAAAGGCCCAGTTCGTACGTGGCGGCAACTCGGCCACAATTTCATGGGACTGTGGGTCCCAGCACAATGTGCGGTTGTCCTTACCACACGAAAGCAGCATATTCTCGTCTTGACGACACCATGACAGACCCAAGACGCCAGATTGATGGCCATGTAGTACTGACTCGGGCGCACGCGAGTTACGCAGATCCCATAGCACAATGCCTGGGTTGCTGTCGTCCTCTGTTGCTGTGGCGACACGAGTAGGACTGAGCGGGTGCCATGCCAGCGCACTAATGCTGCGACCGGTACCGCCCGGGCCACCACCCGCTGCCGCGTTGCGCAGCACCGCAATCTCGCGCTTGTGACGCAAATCCCACACTGTCGTGCATCCATTGGTCGAGGCAGTCGCCAGGACATAGGGCACTTGACCGTTCCATGCCAAACTCGAGATCTCATCCAAGTGCTGCGAGCGAGCGCCAGGCGTGTAGGGCTTACCGGGGGACTTGAGATCCCAAACGTAGATCTCTGCGTTGACGGAGCCTGTCGCGATCAAGTTAGGCTGCGGCTGGTTGAAAGACAGACCACGCACAGAGCCCTTGTGCATCGTGTTCCGCAGCACTTGCGACTGAGGCGCTGTCGAGGGGTTTAGCAGCATACCTACATCCCACACGCCCACCTCACCGTTCTCGAGACCGGCTGCCAACAGGCCATGCGGCTTGTCTTTATGCGCAAAGCCCCACCCAAGCCGATTAAAGCGGGCACTGGCATTGACAGAGGCAGCGACACTGGGCGTTAGTGTAGGTGTCGCCTCCTCAGCCGATGTATTCAAGTTCCACAGTTCCAGAATGCTGTCATTGTTAAAGCTTTCATCCAGCGCACCGGCAACAGTACCGGTCGCCAGCATAGGACAGCTTGCATCCGCATTGGCAGGTGCCCATGCGAACGCTGCCGTACGCGGCAAGTATGCCTTCATGCTTCACTGCAAAAATCGAAACGCGAGTGAAGGCCGACGCTTAGGCGTGTCGTGGAGCACAACTCGTTGCGAAGCGCCCGCCCCGAAGAGGGGCCGCCGTGTTGCCCTCTGCCGCCATGTGCTGGCAATGGCACGTGGGTGCCATGTGATGTGCATGGCTCGTCACGGTGCGGCAGCCCAAGTGCGCATCCGATCGATCGTGTGGAGTGTGGCATAGTCCTTGCGGTAGCACACGAGCATGAGTCGGCGCGACGAAGAGTACGTGGATGGGGCCGAATTTGATGACTCGGATGAGCTTGTTGAAGAGCAATCTGACGACTCGGATGAATTCGACGCGCTACCATCCCTACCTACTGCCGCACGACAGACGTTGGCAGAGCGTGTGAGTGCGAAGCGCAAAGCTGCCGACGCTGCAGCCGATGCGCAGGCCAAGGCTACGTCCACGGCACCAAAGCCGAAACGAAGTGCCCTCCAGAAGAATGCCGCTTATAGCTGGGAAGCAGCATATCAACGCTCATGGGATCATGTGCAGGAAGACGAAAGTGGGAATTTAGAGAGCGCTGTGCGACAAATGCTGGAGATTCACAAACGAAAGCGGTATGTTCGTTGTTTTCTTATGCAACAGGAGTATGCGTGATAGCAACCCGGTTCAACGCGGTATTATCCGCCACTTTGTCTTGGTGCTGGATCTAAGTGAAGACATGATGGATCGGGATCTGCGGCCCACACGGTATGCATAGCCAGTGTTGCTCACACTCAGCTTTGATCTTACGTTGCAATTGGCGCGTCAGTTTGTGTCAGATTATTTTGATCAAAACCCAATCGGCCAGCTTGCCATTGTATGCACCCGCAACGGCCTCGGTGAACGCCTGTCTTTGATGGGCGGCAATACATTTGATCACAGCGCAATGCTTGCGAATAAACGGAAGCTTGAACCAAGAGGTGTCCCAAGCATCCAAAATGCGCTCGAAATGGCGCGCAGCTGCTTAACGTATGTGCTTGCCTATTCTGACCCTAGACATTTGCCCAATTCCAATACCCGTGAAATCTTGTTTTTGTCTGCATCGCTAACCAGTGTGGATCCCGGCAACATATACCAAACGGTGGACAAACTTGTACAAGATCGAATCCAAGTGTCTGTGATCTCTTTAGCGGCGGAAATTCATGTGTTAAAGGATTTATGTGCTCGCACAGGCGGTGATTTTAATGTGGTAATGAACGAAGATCACTACAAAGAGCTGCTTCTCAAGCATGTCCCCCCTCGGGTCATCACAGAAGAAACGTCGACGCAAGCATCGGATACCAATGCAGCTGACTTACTAGTGATGGGCTTTCCACGCAGGTTGCCGTTTCACACGCCAGCCACACTATGTGCTTGCCATGGTCGGTTGGTAACACCGTCGAAGGCCAGTGAGAATGACAGCCTTGCTGCGCCAGCTGGGTACCAATGTCCACGGTGTTTATCGAAGGTGTGCCAGGTACCTACGGACTGCCCTACATGTGGAATTACTATTATTATGAGCACACATTTAGCGCGAAGTTACCATCATTTGTTTCCCGTGCAAAACTACGAACCTGTCCCTTGGTCAGCGTATGTATTCATTCTCTTGTCTGTGACTGACTGTTTCAGTGTCTACGATAAATCCCCTGCTGCTTGTTTTGCCTGTGCATGGCAATTTCCTCCCAAGAGTGATGATGACAACACTTCTATGCCGTCCGGCGACTCGACGTTATCGCCTTCTTCACGATATGCTTGCCCCAAGTGTCAGCACCATTTCTGCCTAGAATGTGATGCATTTATCCAGGAGCAGCTTCACTCATGTCCTGGGTGTACGTAGATGTATTATTTATTCATACCCTTGTTATGCCAACCAAGTTGCAACAAAAATGTTCTCACGAACGCTACGTGTGATGCTTCTGCGGCTTGGAGCCCACCGCTGCGAACAAGAGTAGCCAGTGATCGGTCTCCATGCATAATGATTGGCATCTACTATGTGGAGGTGACAAAATATCAAGTAAGGTGACACCGCCCTTTGGGTCTTCCTTGTGCGTTGGGTCGTTTTGGCAAAGACACCAGGTTGTCCCCAGCCCTTCACATCCTCAAACATCCTCTTTCGCACATCTGTTTGTGTGTTGTGGGAAGGCTCTAAACTACACTTTTTGTGCTGTAGGTGATCTCGTGGGGAAAAAAAAGCTATGCCTTATCCTTCGATTTCTCCTCAGGGACAAGGGTATCACGCCGTGGCTGATGAGAGTTTCGATAGATCGGCCGCATCGAAGACCATGTCGGCCTCAGATCCTCCGTCATATTTCACGTCGGATGATGTGCCCCTAGACATCTTGTCCAGCTATGATCAGCCCGCGGCAAGCCAGTCCGAACCCCCGGCTCGAGACCCTCTTGTGAACCCAGGCAAGGGACGTGTGCGCTGGGGGGAAACATCTACCGAACCGCGAAGTACGCGGATCCGTGTGCGAACGGACGGAAATGGTCCCACTATTACAATTTCACAACCTGAAACCCCTACGGCTCCGCACGGTGCTGCTGTGGCTCCCATGTCGCCTGTGCGTCAAGAACACACAGGTCTTCAGCGAGCGAATCGCCCTGGTCATATTAATCTCGACGATTTGAAACCCAAGTTTGAGCCTATGACGCAGCCCCATGTAGTGTCCCATGGTGATGGCGATATTGGACATACTGGTATGCACCAGCTTGAAGACGATGACAACAATCGCTTGGCTGCATTGGCACATGAGCTGGATGGCCTGGATAGTGAAGCGGCGTCAGAACGACCGCCGCCTGGACAAGTCATTATTCGTGATGAGGCTTTTCTCCCTGGATTGGCGACTGCGCCCCGTAGTGAAGGCTCGCAAGATCACGAGCCTTTGCAAGGTGGCACGCATAGTGGTACAACGACGCCAGGTACTGAGTCTGACTATGACCCTGCCGAGTACTTGGAATATGTGGACATCATCCCTGGTGAAACAGATGGTATGCCTTCAGTTCCACGAAAATCACGGCGAAAGCGTGCCCAAGAAAGCACGTCCAGAGGCTGGAGTCGGTTGCGTGGAATTATCGGTGTGCCCAACAAAGACGAGAACATCGATGACCTGGCTGAAAAGGGAGCATTGGGTGCTGATGCTACCAACCAAAAGAGCGTTCCTGTCTTAACATCTTCTGGTCTTCGTGGTACAGGCAGCCGCCATCGTCCTTCTGCGTTGGAACGTAAAGCGGCGAAACTCGTGCGGGCTCATAAGCTTCTTAATGGTCTTCCTACGTCGGATGAAGAAATTGAAAAGCTCGATCAGATCCCTTCGATTAACCGTGAGCACCTGCCACCATCCGATGCTAGCACGCCCGATGCGCTAGAGACTGCAGAGCAGCTGGACGCACGGCCTGTAGCATCGAGTGGTGTCTTGGGCCAACTCTTGAAGCTGTATGATCAGGAGCGGGAAGGCGCCGACTCTGCATCCCATTCAGAGACGGCTCCTCTTGCGCCTCCCAGTGAGACGGAGCAGGCCACATCCTTGGGTGGTGGTTTGAACTTGATCGGTGATCAAGTGGTGGATGCGTATGGTAATCAGGCCGCTGTGAAAGACGTGCACCCTGAGGTCTTGGAGGCCGCCGTGGCGCGAAAGGGTATGGGAACACCAACTCATGGGCCTGTCAGCCCACGCCGCTCGTCTCTGTATTCCGGCTCAGGCCTCATCAACCTGGCCAACCACAATATTGCGACAGTGGGCAACGTAAGTCAAACGGTGATGAAGCATGTGGCGAATGATGTCGGTATTGATGTGATGGATGAGCGACCCAAAGCGGCTCGGTCTGCCGCTGGCACTATTGGTGCCCTCGTAGCTACGACCGGCAATCTGATCGGTGCTGTATCGCCATTGCATGCACAGCTCGGCCCCAATCCACGCAGGCCTGGGTATACGTTGGATCGGTACTTGCTGCCGGAGATAAATGAAAAGACGCTCCGTCGAACGGCAAAGATTGTCGCAGAGGCGGCGCCTGTGCCCAAGCGCCTGCGTGAGGCGCGAACACCTGGTGGCAGCTTGATGACGCCGACGTATCTGTCTACAGTGACCCCTGGTGACAGCAGCTACAACCCCTACTTTGGAGAAGCGAAGTCAATTACAGGGCAATCTACAGGCTCTTCGAAGCGTTCAGCAGATATACTTACTCAATCCGGCTCGGCCCTGGGCTCGGCCGGCCGCAACCTTCTCCATAAGCAAAAGCCATCTATCTCTGTATCGGAGGATGGGATGGAGTACATTGACGGGAAAAGCGCGGTGGAAGTGGCTAAGAAGGAATGGCAAAAGAAGCTACGTAAACGCAAGGCAAAGACAAAGAAGCAGGAAATCTTTATCACCATGCATGTGGCAGCCATCCTAAAGCGCCAAGAGTTCCTTATGAAGCTGTCTCGTGCCCTTATGATGTTTGGTGCCCCGACGCATCGCATAGAATTGCAAATTCAGCAAACTGCCAATGTGCTGGAAGTCAATTGCCGATGCATCTACTTTCCGAACTTGATGATTTTGTCGTTTGGTGACGACACCACACATACGTCAGAAACCAAAATCATTAAGCAAGGCAGTGTAGTCGACTTGACCAAGTTGACGGATATGCATACCATTTATTGGAATGTCATTCACGACAAGATTGGTGTTGAGCAAGGATCGAAGCAACTAGATGCACTTATGCGTCGCAAGCCTATTATGCGCAAATGGCATCATGTAATTGTGGGTGGCCTGGCCTCTGCCTTTATTTGTGTGGGTCAATGGGGCTTTAGTGGCTCGTTTTTAGATGCTACTGCAGCTTTTGTGTTGGGCGCATTCATGATCTTTTGCCAAGAATCCGTGACATCTGAAGTCTACTCCAATGTATTTGAGATTGTCTTTGCCACAATCAACTCTTTCATTTCAATGGCTTTGCATCAGATCGGATCAGAAGTCATTGATGGTGAAAGAGTGTATGGCCGTTACTTTTGTTACCAAGCTGTGGCTGCCGGGTCTATTGTGCTGATTCTTCCTGGTTTTATTGTGTTAACAGGTGCTTTGGAGCTTCAGTCTAAGAACATCGTGGCAGGCTCTGTGCGTCTTGTCTATGCCATCATTTACTCAGTGTTGCTTGGTTTAGGTATTATGATTGGCGCCTTACCCCTGATCAAGGGCGACGATGACCAGGGCCGTGCCCAGTGTGGTGCTAGAAATCACGCACAACTGATGCATTGGTATAACACAATGCCAGGCGGTAAAGGAAAGGCTTCTTTTGCTTGGGCATTTTTGACAGTGCCTGGTTATGCCACCTTGCTTTCGTTGCGTAACCAAGCAAAAGTGACACGTAAAGAATTCCCAACAATGGTACTCATTGCCATATCTGGATGGCTTGTTAGCAACTTCGCTGTGATTGCTGACAATGTTACTACTGGCTCTAATCCTGTCCCTTCTGTCCTGAGTCAGCACCCGTATTTGTTCTCCGCCATGGGCTCTTTTACTGTCGGTGCACTGGCCAACATCTACGGACGCCTGTTTGATGGTAGAAGCTTTGTGGTGGCTGTCCCTGGCATTTTGTATCAACTTCCATCCGGTATGACAGGTGGCACAGCGGCTTCCCCTACATTCCTGTCTTTTGCTACTCTTGCAGCGAACAGCACTGGTGACAGCAAAACGAAAGAAGTCACGTCAGGCTTTCAAATTGGTGCGCAACTCCTCAATGTGTCACTGGGTATTGCGATTGGTTTGTTCGCCTCTACACTACTTATGTACTTCCTGGGCGGCCGCAAAGTACGCGGCGGCGGTATGTTCTCTTTCTAAATGTCAGCCATATTTCTAGGCTCAATAGACGTTACGATTTTTTTGATGACAAATCGCTCAATAGACAGTGCCCCCCTTCGCCTCGCGTGCATGCGAAGCCAACACGGCCATACAAAGACAGCATCCCTGCATAGTCCATAGGCCGTGCCTGTGTGTTGTCTTCAAATCACTAAATGGAGAAGATTTAGAAGGAAACTACCAGAGAAACATTTGCGATAAAGTCATACACTCGCACAATAGACCACCTAGTAGGCCATTAGTGCTCCTCTGTGTCCACCTTTTGGAACCGAGTACCGCTGCACTGTTAGGATTATACTGCAGAAACATACCAGTATGGGCATGGGTGTGGGCCCGGCTTATCCTATCTGTGTTAGTTTAGAAAAAAAAGTTAGTACGCACCAAGTTGATGTACACACGCGGGTGACCCAAAGGACCTTCGCCTAAGCATGTAAGAAAACATAGGAGAGAATACGTACCACCATCGCAGGACACCACACGCTTGGTTGACATCTGAATCGGGTGGTTGTTGATAAGCTCCATAGCCGACAAGCTTTGTGGCTGGAAACGAGGGTCCATCTGCTCAAAACGCGGACCCTTCATAGCTTCCGACTTGGGACGCTGAGACAAGCTCCAGGTCGAGGGATGGTTCGGAGCCTGATCCAAACCGTACGCTTGCACCTCCGGAGGGACCTCAGGCTTGGCAATGGGCATCTCGACCTGTGCTTGGATCGAGCCGCCTTTCACCCTCGGACGCACAAATTCACCACGGGCAAGCTGAGCCGGCGCCTGCTTGGTTGGAGCAGAGCTGAAAATAGGTGCATATACAGAGAAGGAACGCACACCAGACACCTGGGCACGAAGCGCACGAGTAGGCGCAATCAAGGCACGACTGAGCATGATGTTCTCAGCTGGGTCCTGGATCGGTCGGGAGAAGTGACGACTACGGCAGCGCGGCACACCTCGGTAGACCGAGGTCACGTGAGCACATAAAGAGGCGCAGGCGCTGCCAAAATTTTGTCTCGAGCCACTCGTACGTACGTGCATCCGATAAGAGGGACACCTTGCCCTGCCACCCTTGTCCACTTGCCTCAGTCATATTTGCAAGGATGGTGTCTGAAGAAAAAGGACCTGGTATGACCACTGCTGAGAAACTTCCTAATGCCAACGTCCCTATTGCAGGGAAACAGCGCAGTAAGCGGTGGGAAGAGCGTATGCAGCAACGACAGAAAATGCAGGCTATGAAGCTTCGTGAACGCGAAATGAAACAGGTGAAAGAAGACGAGGCGGAAAGGAAGCGCGAAATCCGGCGTGAGCGAGAACAAAAGGCGGCTGAGAAGGCGCGCTTGGAAGCAATGGCTGCTAGGGTACGTATTCCCCTTTCAAAGAACGCAACTAACAGGCCTACAGATGAGTGCCAAAAAGGCTATGCGTCATGCTCGTAGGATGGGTCGAACAAAGAAGGTGGCTCACTGATGCTGAGTACCATGCCTCTCGCAAATACCCAGTCTACTTTTCCTCCTACGTACCGGTCACTGTATTATAGAAGAAAAAAATGAAGAATATGTTATGTTCTCTGTTGTCTATTCTTACGAAGGCACAGCCCATAGAATCCACATCACACCTTGGCTAAAGGGTAGAAGTACGTAGTAGGCCTGGGCACCGAGACGCTGCTACTTCCTCCACAAGTCTGCTTCATGCCTCCAGTGCCATGACCAGCCAGAAGTCAAAGCCGGGGACAACGCCCATGCCGGCCAAAGGTTTGGACGAAGATGCGCCTTATATTATTGAGTCATATCAAAGCTCGGATGGGCAGTATTCTGCCCCCCAGGCGCCACCGTCATACACGTATTCAAGAGATCCGCGACCACCTTCCCAGCCACGATCATGGGACGAGGCTGCTCGTGCGAAGACCATGCCCATCAACCCTTCTGAACCGCGCTCGATAGGTCATGTGTATGTGGATGTGGACGAAGAAACTCAAGAATTCGGTCTGGGTGGCACACCCTCTACCATGCCGGGCTCGTTAAACTCAACGATCACAGGATATGCGACCGGGCTTGGATGGGAGCTCAGCAAATTGTGCGCACTGGCGTATATTCTCCCACCCTTCTCTAGCGTGCTGCTGCTTGTTTTTGAGACTACCAATGTACGTACGTGAGTGTGCTCACATCAGGATTTGGTCCGTTTTCATGCCTACCAAGCAGGGTTTGGCGGTGCCGCTGTGATTGTCGGAACTTGGATCCTCAACGGACTATTGGGCTTTCACTGGCTCTCTTGGCTTTTGTTGAGAATGTCGCTTTTTGTGTCATGGTACTGCGGATATCTGGCGCACCAATCCGCTACATCCTTAGAACGCGAGCCATTTTGGCCAGTGTTGGGTGCTTACGCTGTACAATGCGTCGGTGATGAGTAATGCTGAAAGCCATTTATATATATGTCAATATACTCTACTGAGTCTTTACACGCTGAATAGAAACAGACTGACGTCGTACAAATGCAGCCATGATAAACAGAAGAAGCGCCGCAATGGAGACAGCCATAGGCTTCCGCAGCTGCGACCAAATCGAAAGAGAATACTCGATGTAAATCATCTTTCCGTGCTTCCAAATGCATCGCCTGCGTCGAATCAAAACAGATGGACGACCCACAGTATCCAGGTATGTAGGGTATACGTCCATGCTAAGGGCGTCCACAGCGAATGGCAACGTCACATCAATATCCGTAGCACCTTCTGGCAGAACAATACGAATTTCTGCGTCGTCCACAGCTGCCGATTTGGGGGCAATCAAGAAGGGCACAGCTACACGAACCCGACCTGGCTTAGTGAGAACAGAGCGAATAAGACCATGTGTGCTCATGCGCTGGTTCCATCCCGTAGTGAACGTGTAGTTCCAGCCTCCCAGAATAGGGAAGCGAGGACGCAAGTCCAAACGACGCGCCCCCGTGGCAGGAGACGGGGCAGAGAGCATCGAAGTCGAGACGTTACCAACCGCATCGACAAAGTACACATCTTTCGAGCCCACCGGTAGCATCAGAGGCACACTAATAATTTGTGACATCCTTTCCTGAGCAGGGTTGTGGAAGTTGTTGATCATATGCTTAGCACGGCTGAAGTGTCCCTTTAGGGCCGGGCCATCGTTGCGCAGCCAGATATGGTCTTCCGTAGCCATATTATCGCCCCAGTGACTGATTTCAACATGACGACGATACTTGGCATAGGTCGCCACCGGATTAAGGTAGGCATAATGGACGAACCCAGAGAGTGAGCGCGAGTCTGTCGGGTTGAAAGGAGGCACATTCTGATGAGGTCCAAACGACACTGACTTGCCGGATTGCGAGGCAGAAAGTGTTGGACCATACGACAAGATCGGGTCATTAGTATTCAGGATAACTGTGGCCTTCTCAATAGGGTAAGGGGAGCGAGGCACGGTATCGCCCTGCCAGTACAAAAGCTGCTCTTTGCCTTGTTCAATTTCAAGTGGGAGAGGGATAGAAATGTGTAGCATAGAACCAGAAACCTTGAGGTGAATGGGCTCATTGTCTTTCAAAGCCGACGATGGCACTTCTACTAGGTAAACAAAAGTCTCCTCATCGTCGACGGAGGGGCCCCAGAATAAAACATCAAGGTCAGCCTTGGGCTTCCCCTTCGGCGATGACGAAAGAGTAGCTGATATTTTTGCCAGCTTCTCATGCTCTTCACCAGAGAGGTATACCTTGTAGAAGGCGCGATCGCCAGAAGGGAGAGAGGCAGGCGAGGCGGAAATGGAAAGCTCGAAGTTGGAGACAGCTCCGCCAAGATCGATCACCTTGTCATATGAGGCTTGGACCCAGTCGATAGCCTCAGCAGAGCATGCGGATACATATAGTAGTACCCAGATACCAAGGAACGCCAGAAGCCTAGCAAAGTGGCACGGCGACTGCATTTCAATGACAACGTTAGAAGACACTGCAGGTCCACGTCCAGCGATCACATCGGTCCGTGCCTCCAGGTGGCACAACTTGAATTATTTTTAGTGGGGCTGGATCGAAGTGCCAGCCACATTGCTCTACCAGCCATCCATCGCTGACTTGTCCACGATGAGCGGCAACATCAACAAAAAAACTGGGACGGATGCCATGAAGTCAGAGGAAAAGAAAGAGAACAAGAAAACAGTTCCATCTCTTGGTGCTTTGGATGAAGATGACGAGTTTGAGGAGTTCGAGACTGACGGTATGTGTTAGTTTTAAATTTGGACAGGTTTAACAATGTAGATTGGGACGAATCTGAAGCATCTATGCAACCTGGATCTACAGCTACGAGCAAGACCGGTCTCGCTTCTACAGCGCTGGACATGAGCGGCTCCGCTGGCTCAGGCGGTGACCATTTGTGGGAAGACAATTGGGATGATGATGACGTGGAAGACGATTTCAGCGTTGCACTTCGGTATGTATAAGGGCCGTTCCAAATGTACTTGTTTTGGAATGGCGAGAGAATGGTACTAATAAGGCAGGGCTGAGCTAGAGAAAGTGGATGGCGTTGAACCTATGGCTGCTTAATATGTACATGAAACGATAAATTTTGGGGAAGTGGGTATTCACTTTCTTATTCTGTTTGTGATACACTAGAGTGTTTCTTTTTCTTGTGACGCACTTCCCCTGTCGTGTATAACACTGCCCTTTGATATCCCAACATAGCGAGTAGAACGACTGTCCTGTTCGTCTGGATGATTGATCTCGTCCTTACGCGTCAGTCTATCACGTGATATGACATTGGACGTGCATCGCTCACTCCCTAGCAACGTCACGCTTGTCCTTCTAATGGCTACCAACGAAGCAAGTGGTGATTTGGGTGCCTCACGGCCAGAGCGCGAAGCAGACATTTCACAATATGAGTCTGAGAATGTGGATGGGCCTGCAAGCCGAGAGGCGGATGTGGATGACGCTGATTTGGAGACAATGAAGCAGCGCGTTGCAGAAATGGAAGCAGAAGCTGCCAAACTCCGTGAGATGAACGAAGCGGCAGAGCGCGATATGGGCATGACATCTGCTTCTATACATCCAACGGAGGAAGAAAAGATGGAAGTGGATGCACGAAGTATATATGTGGGAAATGTAAGTGAGAGCATGACTAACAACTTTAGGTGGACTACGGTGCCACACCGGAAGAGATCCAGCAGCACTTTCAAAGCTGTGGCACAATTAACCGTGTGACAATTTTGTGTGATAAGTTTACAGGACATCCCAAAGGGTTTGCGTACGTGGAATTTGCCGATCCATCCTTTGTTGAGAACGCAACGGTGCTGAACGAGTCGCTATTCCGTGGGCGGTTACTGAAGGTGACGCCGAAGCGAACCAATGTACCTGGCATGGCCACTCGTGGCCGTGGTCGTGGCCGTGGAGGCTTCCGTGGCGGGTACAGGGGAGGCTTCCGTGGCGGCTACCGTGGCCGTGGCTCATGGCGGGGCCGGGGTCGTGGCTGGTAATTTGGCTAATTGGGTGTGTGCCAGAGACTATGTATTCTGTTCATACTAGACATGTGACTATATCACAATACGATGATACGCCTTAGATAAGATCGCGTGGTAAAGAGGACATCGCTACCATCACGCAAGAATCATAGAGAAACAGGTATCAACCAGGTAGATGAAGCTGTCTTTACCCTTGTGACGACGAAGATGATCGGTGATGGGAAGAGAAGGGAGGGGAATGTAGTGAGTCGCGTATTTGCTTGGCAATCTCATGGGTAGTGACACGCGCAACTTCAGCAGATGAATCAGGGGACGTGTTCTCGTCCGAACTTGATGCTGGACTGTCCTCTGTGGACGATGACTTGTGCTCAAGCAGCCACTTTAGTTCTGAGGGAAGGGCCTTCGTATCATCCATCCATCCATTTTTTTCTGCCAGCGCCCAAAGGACTTGGAGCGAGTGAACCAAGGAGAGATACTCGTTGGACATGTTGGATGGCTTTTGAGTAAGAATCGATGGTGCCAAGGTGTGTGACATAAGTGGTGTCTCCTCGCCGTCTTGACCATAGTGGATCTTAGAGTTCAGTTGCTCGATCTGCTCTTTGAGCGACACTAGCTCATCTTCCACACGGTCACGTTCATGAGCGCGACTGCGGCTGCCACGATACGTTTCTCCCAGGATAATGAGAGCCGCCACCGCAAAAAGGAAGCCTTCTGAAATGGCATTGGCTCCGTTCGTGATGGCCTACATGGTAAGAAAATAAGAGGCGTACCTTGGCATCATTCAGTGGACGGACCTTGACCGGCTCGCCGTTGGCCAGGAGATTAGCCCGAAGCCGCGCCTCGGAGCGATGCATGAACTGCGCGAGGGAAATGCAAATCTACAATGAGCTCCTCATAGCATACATACTTTTTTGAATTTCTCATGATGCACAGCCTGTTGTTTCAGTTGCGTTGCGATAGGCTTCGCAATCGTGCGAATCGCAAGAGAGACAATCTTCGCACTGGCCATAGCGGAAACGATGGGAGTCTGAGGACGAGTGGAACGGGCCTCCACTTGGCTTGATTGATACGGTCTATGGTACTACGGCAACTCCGCTAGCCCGACCACTGAATGGACGAGAGGTCAATACCTTCTTGCACCATCTCCCACAGCGGGCTAAGCTCGCGGAGACGTTCAACCACAGATACAATGCGGTCACAGACAAAGTCAATTTCCTGCTCAGTCGTGAAGCGGCCGATACCAAAGCGCAGACTTGAGTGAGCATTGGCATCGTCCAGACCCAAAGCACGAAGCACATACGATGGCTCCAGCGATGCGGAGGTGCAAGCCGAGCCAGATGACAAGCAAATGTCTTTCAGAGCCATGAGGAGCGACTCTCCCTCAATGTACTGGAATGTAAGGTTCGTGCAGCCAGGGTAGCCTTCGGGGTCACCGTTCAAAATCACTTTGTCGACGCGCGACATGATATTGTCCTTAAGACGCTTAGCTAGAGCCGACACGTGTGCATGATCATACTGTATACGTTAGTGTCCGTTCGCATAGTGCGACAAAGCAAGCGCCATGTCATCTCAAGTTCCCTGCAGTAGCTGACCCTCACTCCGCGACCTGGTAGGCCATCGTGATGAGCATACCCTCCAGTGACGATCTGCAAAGCGGATGGGAAGACCTGTCCCTCTGCAGGAGGCAAAGGAGAGTAGGTAGCATGTCAATTTGGGTCATGAGCGTTGATCATCTTTGATGCCATAGCGACCTGCCTTGCCACACATTCAAAATACGTACCGCCATCTCATTCTTCGCAATGCGAGCTGCCTCACCAAAACCGACCACGAGAGGCGTAGCGAGCGTACCGCTACGCAGACCACGCTCCTGACCACCACCGCTAATCAGTGGCTCCATACGCACACGCGGGCGACGACGAACATACGCAGCACCGATACCCTTCGGACCATAAAGCTTGTGGCTTGACATGCTCATGACGTCAATTCCTGCTTCGTTCACGTCCAAGGGGATTTTACCGAGCGCCTGTGCTGCATCGGTATGGAAGAACGGCTTGGGCACACCTTTACCCAGCTGCTTACTGAGCTCGGCGCCGTGCGTTTTCAGCATTTCACCAATCTCCTTCAGTGGCTGAATCACGCCGATTTCGTTGTTCACCGCCATAATCGATACGATGCTCGTAGTCGGACGGAGCTCCTTCTTCAGCATCTCAAGGTCCACTTGGCCGTTTGACTGCACGGGCAGATATGTCACTTCAAAGCCTTGCTCTTGGAGCGTACGACAGGAGTCCAACACACACTTATGCTCCGTCTGCGTAGTGATGATATGGTTCTTTTTCGACTTGTAGAAGTTGGCAATGCCTTTCAGGATCATGTTGTTGCTTTCCGTAGCGCCGGAGGTAAAGATTATTTCCTTTGCATCCGCATTGACAAGAGAGGCAACATGCTCGCGGGCAGTATTAACGGCCGCCTCGGTCTCCCATCCGTATGCATGGGTGCGAGAGTGAGGGTTACCGTATTGGTCAACATAAAACGGCATCATTGCGTCAAGGACACGAGGATCCACAGGCGTGGTTGACTGTGCATCCAAGTAGATAGGACGCTGCGATCCACGCGGCACAGAGCCATCCATCACGCGATGAAAGAGGGCCTCGCTCTCCTGTGGCGTTTCTGGCATAGTGGATGTCGGGAGTTCCTTCGCCATACGCTGCGCCGAAGATGGCACCACGTACGACCTAGTTGACTTCATCATGGTGGAAGCCATTGCCTTGCGTGATACAGAAGGCCATGGTGCCCCAACACCTTTCCGAAGCACAGTAGCAATCATGGTTGGCAGCGAGACGTGACGGGCAGTGATGCCTGGATGTCGTCCCACCTCCACGAGGCGAGATATCGGCCGAAAGCGATGAAGCCTCACTGGGTGGGCCCTGCTATAAATATATATAATATACCTGCACAGCATATTTGCAACAGTCTCACGTACGTAACACAAACCAAGAACGCCTATTTGTTAAAACGTCTCTGTGTCGTCCAGAGGTTCTGGCTCATGTTCCGGCTCGTGGCCATGCTCAGGCTGTGCATTAGTAATTCCATTGATAGTCAATGCCACCTACCTCCATAGCATCTGGGAGCTCGAAACCTTCTTCTGTCTGATACAATACACCCTGAATCTGCTTGAGTGTCTCTGCCTCTGAGGTAAAGGCAGGATCTGTGAGCTCTTCCCCACCATCTTCTTTGGGCTGCAGCAACTCAGCAAGGCGCTCCTGAATAATCACTTCAACGTCACGCAGTTTGCCAAAGTAAAAGTCACGCTCACGCTCCAAACTGTCGACACTGAGCTTCATTTCATCGATTTCGGCGGTAAGCTGATTAATCGTTTCAGTGGGGATAGACGGACCACGTGCCATACCTCGCGGCGCCATAGACATACGTCGGCCAGTCGTCGCGTTGGCAGCCTGGGTGCGAGAAGTATGTGCCGCTGACGGAGGGCGCGGACCAGCCGCAGGGGTTCGAGCAGCAGTTGTTGAGGGGCGCGGCCCCACTGTTGAGGGGCGTGGGCCCACACCTGAGGGACGAGGGGCCACGCTGTGACGCGGGCGAGCACCGGCACTCGACACAGACCGACGGCCCATCGCAGAACCAGGTGTGCCAGGGTGGCCTGCACGACGACCTTCGGCATCGTACATGCCTTCTCCCGTGTAATTCATGTCCCAAAACTTCTTGATCCATTGCAAGAACTCGAGGTTGTCCTGCATCTTGCATCGAACCAAGCGGTCCACAGGGATCGGCTTGTCGATCCTATTCTTGATGAATACGTTCTGCAGTACTTTGTAGTTCGCAAGCGACTCGTACTCTTGCCGAGCCGCAAAGTTGATGCGAGACATGGGCACATTGCCTTCGAGGTCAATACGACATATACGTACCGTAAATAGAGTCAATAATCTGAGCATACGCTGCACCTGTTCCACATTGCTCAACTTTGGTATAGTTTAGGCCTAGGAGTTCATTGACCCAAGCAATGAGCTCAGTACGCGACGCTGACATGCTGTTGCCCAAAGGAACAACCAACACTTGGCTGGAGCGAGCTATGAAACACACGCACGTACGTACGTCATCACGTGCGAAAGGCACGTGAGATGGGACGTGCGGACGATCGCGCTCCGTGCCTGTCTATGAAAGACTATAGAGCCAGATGGGCGACGAGCGTGCTGTGGCTTGAGCTGTGGCCGCAGGATCAGTGCCACTATATGCCAGCAACGGCTTGGATGGGTGCCATGCAAGAGAATTGATTGTAGAGGAGACAGGAATTTTGTGGGCGATGCGCTGAGATACCGTAGAAATCTAAGATTGTAAGCCACGTTCATACGTACCAAGAACACATGCGCGTCTTCGCCACCTGCCGCTAACCATTCGCCATCGCACGAAAAATCAATGCAGCGTGGTGGGAAAATAAATTCAGAAAATACATGCACAGAATCCCAATCTTTGGCATCCCACAAGGCCAGGGTACTGTCCGCGGCCGTTGTAGCCACAAGACGTGACTTAGGGTCCCAGGCAATACAGAAAATAGCCGCTGGGTGGGCGGGTCGTAGAAGGATACGCTTCCAGCTAGGATGAAAGCCGTGCTCACGTGGTGCTCCCGCCTCCTCTGTCACGGCATCGGGGGTATCTGGCGCACGCAAAAAGCTAATGCCGCCGCTGCCCATTGGAAGCAGGAGAAGGGAGCCATCCGGGGACCAAGCCAATTCATTGATCTGACTGTTTAGTTACGCATAGTCACATACCTCTTCTCGATCCATGCTACCGTCTTTGATCGTGTGCAGTAGTGTGCCTTGCTCGGCGTCAATCAAGCTTACCGTTTCAGACTTATCGCCCACAGCCAAGTAGCGGCCATCAGGGCTGTACGCCAAATTAATATTCGCACCTGGCGTCGTCACTATCCGAGCGGGAGATGGTTGTCGCAGATCCCATAAGCGCACTGTTCGATCCAGGCTTCCAGTGGCTACAAGGTGTGGATGGTGGGGATGGCATGCTAGGGCAGATACTTGATCAGTGTGCCCTGTGAGCTCGACCGAGGAACGGATATCTGTCTATTTCGTAAGTCAAACTATCACACATACACCACGATCTGGATGCCATGCCCGAACAACTCTGTCATGTCCGCAACTAATAAGGCTGTCGCCATTTGCGTTCCACGCCAACGCACGAACGCCGCCAGAATGTCCACCCCGCAGCTCCTTCAGCGATCGGGCAGAGGAAAAGGAGGGATAGGGCATTCCTCGGCGTGCGAAGAACGATGCGTCGGACCATGGCTCTTCCAATTGGCCGACGCGTCGGTACGCCTCAAGGCCATCGGCTGAGGCCCCACTCACCATTGTGGAGGAGAGCGAGCGAGGCGCGACAGCGACGCACGGCTTGGTTCTCTCTCGTTCGGCCGATACCATAACGAACAACACTACGCGCTAAGGAGGCAAGACTATGGTGTGTCGATCGTAGGAGCCTGGGTAGATATACGTTCTTGAATGGGATCATGAATGCCCGCCAAAAGAGTGTCGAGACGTTTCTGCGCTTGTGCAGACATGGCTGGATCGGTACCCTCTGTGTCCAGCGAGGTACCAGAAAACGAAGCCAGACTGGCTGACGTGCGCTCCTGAAGGGCATGCGCTGCGCGGTGCGAAATACGTTGGATATAATCGTGCGCCAGCCGCTCCATTTGGTAGAGGACATGAAGTCGTTGGTGGAGTTTGTCGACAGAAAGCTCCAGTGTATCCAAGCGAGGATCTACCTCGGTGCCCGCCAGGTCTGTGCGTGTGCTATGCGAGGCATGATCGTCCGCCAGGACAGCTTGATTCAGTTCATCGGTGGCAGAGACAATGGTCTGAACTAGGTCCAATTGCCGTCGCGTATGTTCGTCAGCATCGTCGAGTGTCCAAGGCAAGGTGGCCTCGCGAGAGCCGGACAATCCACGCTCCACTTCTTCAGCAATGACCTGTTCTTCATCAGCCTCCGTGTCCGACGATACGTTCGAAGCACTCGCTCTGCCTTTGCGCCTTTCTGTGGCCTGTTCACGGATATGAGCAGCCTGCGCTTCCATTTGATCGGCTTCTGCATGTAGCCGCTGCATCATGTCTTCGTACTCCTTCCATGAAGCCAACTCTGTATCTAGTTGGTGTAGCATACCGGACAGTTGTTTTACAGCCTGTCGATTCGACTGATTGCGTGGATGTGGTTGGAGGGGATGGCTTTCTTTGCTCTTCGCATGCCGAAGCCAGCTAATACCAATAAGGCCGTCGTTTAAATCTCGCATGGTCTCATCAATCACTTTGCGCAGCAGTGGTGATACTTCGGCAATTTGCTGTTTCTCGTGCTCAGACAAAGTATGTGCGGCCTCTTTTGGCACTTCGTGCAGAAGCGAGAGACCTCCATCTTCCACAGCACGCGATTTGCCGTGCCGACGACGCGAGAGTCGTGGCATTGGCGATTCGCCAAGCGCTTGGGCCAAAGAACGGTGCAATGTCCAGCAGAGCAAGTGTTTCATGCGCACCACAGGAGGGACCTGATCAGAACAATGCCGATACAGTATGTCATCGGGTATATCATCGTGAGGGTACGCGGGTGCGCCATCCCGCAAACTGGATGTGCGACGCATCCCCTTGATGTTCATGCTTGTACGCCGCGGGCCGGAGACAGGTGGTCTGGAAGATGTCTCTGTACGTTGTCGTGGTGGTCGGCGGATGGAAGCTGCAGCATCAGTAGCTGCAGGCTGGGACGGCGCCTCCACGCGAGTGAATACAAGGCCCTCTGACGTTTCTTGGGGCTCTGTCGAAGCCATTCGACGAGGCCGCTTGGACGAGCTTTCGCCGCTACTTTCAGCAAGAATGTCAGACAGATTCCTCGTCCGCATGGGTGCCCCCCCTTTCCTAGTGGAAAGGGGTCTCCGTGGGCTCCTACGCGCACCTGACATGGCCCTGGAGATGCTACGCCTACGCGGTCGTGGCAGCGCACGGTAGTAATGAGCTGCCATCACGCGCGTGTTTGGTCGGCGCGTTTATCACGTGATCTAAACGAACCCATGGACATTTCTAGCTACAGGACATGACACCGACACGGTGAGCACACGCGACTTAGTAGCCAAGATGCTCACTCGCATAGCAATTGAGCAGTTTCACAATACCTGATGTCAAAGTCTCAAATTCGGACACCTCCCGGTCGGAGAGACTGCGGGTCATCGGTGGCATGGGGTCAGCATCTTCCTCGGCATCCGAATACCAAGAAGGCTCTGCCGTGTCTGAAGGAGGAGCAGAGCCGTCTGTTGAGGGACCTTTGGACTTGGAAGAAGCCATAGCACTTGGCTCCGTGCTCTGGATACCTTCGAAGACTCGAAGCATACACGAATCCATTACCGATTTAATACGCTCCACCACATCCAGCGCATCGTAGTTGCCTGTGACAGGCAGCCACGAGTCACACTCCAGACCTTGCGCTGTGGCATGTGCATCAGTAGCACCAAAGAGCATATACGTTAGAGGGTCAAGTCGTGTACAAGATCTCAAGAATGTCATGCCACTTCCAGCCGCTCCAGACGAAGAGGTTGATGTGTTCCGCACCTTTTCAGCAAAAGCATAGATATCCTTCTCGATCGCTCCAGCTCCCTTGGACGGCTTATCCTTGACAAACTTAGAACTGCACACACTCGAGGGATGTACAAAGCACGTCTTGTCTTGGACTGTCCTGAATGTACGTTCGCCCGTGCGAATCGCAAAGTTGGGCGATGATGCCACCGCAATCAATGCGCAGAGCAATGGCGTGCTGCCCGCATTGATGTTGAATTCAGGGTCGGTTTCACGAGACCGACGTCGATAACGAGGCACCATGGAAGAGGAGCGACGGATCACTTTGATCACATCCGCCTTTTCGAGACTTTGAAATAGGTTCTGCTTCACCTGCTGAATTTGCAGCATGGTCGGACGACTCAACATATTGTTGTATAGAAACCGATTGGCTTGGGACGAGCTCACAGACTGCAAGCCCGTCCATTCATAAAAGGCATTCAACACACAAAGAGGATCGGAACGGAATGTTACAGGGCACCAACTGTCCCTGATGGCATTCGCTTCTTTTTTTAGATGCATAGGAGACATAAACGGATCACGATTGGTCAGCACGGCCGCCAAGGCAAGTACAGGATCCAAGCATCGGAAAAATGCGCCATATAAACACATCTTCCCAATAGATACCTCCAGTGGTAATTGCAGGAGAACCTTGCCTAGGGAGGTTAGGTTCAAATGATAGTCTAAAGCACCAATTCGCTTCAAATCTGCCATCGCAGCATGGACGCGATCTGAGGCTGGTGGCTCGATGGCCGCAGCCAGGACGTCTTCCACATCCATGCCGGGCAGGTTCAGAGCTTTAATGTGCATCACTACATTGCTTAAATCCACGCGCTTCATCTCCACAGTTTGATGAACACGCAAACGATTGTAGCGACTTTTTGATAGGACACCATAGTATTCACCAGCACGGTGACGACCAGCACGACCAGCACGTTGATTCAAGTTCGACGTGCCGACCCAGGCCGAGACCAAGCTAGAGAGGTGTCGCTGCGGGTCGTAGCGTTTCTCCTTCACACGACCGGTATCGACCACATACACAACATCGGGGATCGTTACCGAGGTTTCTGCAATGTTGGTCGACAAGATAATGCGGCGGATACCAGGAGCGCGCACAGGCTCAAACACAGCCTGTTGTTCTTCCACAGGTACAGACGAATGAAGAATGTGGATCTCGAATAGGTTTTCGTCAGCAAATGGCACGCCGAGAAGCGATCGGCCATCGGTCGATAACAATAGCTGATGCACCACTTTGATCTCATCCCACCCCGGCAAGAAAACCAAGATATGCCCATCATCTGATCGCGTTACAATGTCCGCAATCATTAGAGATACCAGCGGATACGGAATCTCCAAGTCGTCAACCACATCCTGGTCCCCGTCTTTCGAGGCATCCTCAATGTGACCGCCATGGTGAATCACTTCACGTTGCACGTACTCAACCACATTTTTTTCGTCCCAGACCCAGCCACCCTGTTCGCGAGGCAAGGCTAAAGACTGCAGACGTGCCACTGTTTCCTCCAAATAATGCTTCTCCACAGGAAAACTACGCCCAGGGATCTCCACGACCGGCGCTGGACGGCCCGAAGGAGAGAGCTCGGCAAAGTAGTTCTGGAATAGCTTGGCATCCACAGTGGCACTCATAAGAATCAGTTTGATATCGGTACGGCCGCGCTTCATACGGTCAGCAAGCACACGCTTGATCACAACAAGAAGCAAATCTGTCTCGACATCGCGCTCATGCACTTCGTCCATCAAGATATGTGTTACACTGTCCAAAAATGATGCACCCGCAGGGTCTTCCATCGCCGCCTGAAGGCGACGTAGGAATACACCTGTGGTGCAAAACGTAATGGAGCCATGAGGCTGAGGAAGCTTGCTGTCAAAGCGCACCTGGTAGCCCACGGTTTCGCCAATGTTCTCGCCTCTCTCTTTTGCCACACGTTGAGCCACACTAATAGCCGCAATACGACGAGGTTGTGTACAGATGATATTGCAGCGAGAGCCCTGCTTACGCAGAATCGCATCATCCAGCAGAATTTGCGGAATTTGCGTCGTCTTACCAGAGCCCGTCGCCGCCATGCATACAGTGACAGGGTTCAGCTCCACTTTCACCAAGACATCGCCTGATCGCTGATGAACAGGCAATGCCTCACGTGCACTTCGCATGGCCTGGACTCGGTCGTCCGTTTGGTAAGCATTGAGCGACTCAAGCATGACCTTAGACTTTTCGGCATGCTGCTCGTCCGTCAGTGAGGGGGTCTCGCGGTAACCACGACGGCGCACCGTTGACACCTCATCCACCGACGACTTTCGGAAAGCAGCTGTCGTGCGTGGACGATTGAAGTATAGTTCACTCTTACGAATTTGGTCGTAGAGCTCACGCATACTGTCGTCCAACGATTCAGAGGCATGGAAAAAGATCGGTGGGGCTTTGCCCATCGGCCTATTCTGTGGCACTTCCAAAAACTTGGCCCACATGTCCCGATACTCGCCCTCGATCTGGGCAGCTGTGTTGAGATACGCCATGTTTTGGGCCAATTTTTTGCTCGTGCCCATACCTTCAGCGACTTCTGTGCCACCAATGGACATGACGGCGCGCCAGCCTGCAATCAAGGCTCGACGGCCATGCTGACCATGCACCTCTTCTATAGAAAGGTCTGGGTTGCCGTAATGGCATTCGTGGCAGAAGTAGTCGAGAAACTCGCGGGCACGCTCCACATTGAGCTCTGTCCCATCAGATAACGAGATCGTGAGAGTTTTGGCATTGGCCTTGGACGATGTGCCGAAGAGACCGGGAGGAGGATTTGCAATGAAATCACGTTCCATGAGTAGAAGCATACCATGGAACGCAGCCGCCCGCTCTGCCTCCTTCTGCGTCTTGCCGTCGCCCGCCGAATGAATCTCAAATTCCTGATCAATTAAGAACGTGCAACGCACAACCTTGTTGATCGGGCCAGGAAACCGACCTTCCACGAACTGGAAGTCGGGTGTGGTGCCGGTACGTGACTGCATGTAAGAGTAGACCACATTTTTAGGATTGTCAATCCACTGCGTTTTTGCCTGTGCGATAAGAGAAATATAGCGCTTTCTCAGATCATCCATGAAATTGGAAGGCTGGGAAAGAACCGGCAAGTCCTTAGCAGGTGCTTTAGAGTGTTTTCTGGATGGTTAGATACAGGGAGAACATACCCTTTTTTACCACTGCGGCGAATCGAACCTCCCCTGCTATGGCCCGCGCTGTTAGCCCCGCTCAGGGGAGTGCTGCGAGAGTGGGCAGCGTTGCTTGCCGAGCGAGAGCGCCAGTTAGCGCTGTCAGCCATAGCAGAGAGAGGATAGCAAAAAGTACGTCTAAGAGGTAAGAATGGTAAAAGTACGTTTACTGGAAGACCGTGTTGCCGCCTGAGAAACGAATTATACTGTGCCAGAGTTGTTCGAAAAAATCGATCCATACACTATGGCCAGGACTAAAATATACTTCGTTCTCAGGCGACACACGATTCGACGCAGCAAAAAAGCACTAAAGCTGGGCTTGGAAAGAGAAACGTTCCTTGTCCTGTAAGAAAAAAAGGAGGCCTGGAGCTGGAAGTGATACGTAAGCAGCTAAGTTTGGCCTGCCTCATTTGACTCAGCGACGGACAAATCAGATAGGCGCATTTATTGACGGTTTGCTACGTTGACGCATCTAATCATCTGGTTCTAATTACCCCACGTGTCCGTGAGATACTGCAAAATATTTTTAGACACTACGGCAGATTCAACTGACCAGGGCTGCTATGCCTTGGCGCAAGTCTGAATTCAGCGAGGCGAAAAACCCTGTCAACGTAATGAGAGTGTCCTCGCTTGCAAGAAGGTTGGAGATCATCTGTTATCACGTAAGTAGCTGTCATTAGCACGGACCTGTAGCGTGACAAGCATGGGGGACGACATCGTAGGGATCAGCACGGGGCATTCAGGGCAGTCCACTAGCATACGAGTAGGATCGGCAAATCCAAGGGGCCAAGGCCTAGGCAATCGATCAGCCACACCTGCTTCAGAGAATGGCACAAGACATGATACACTTTCGCAAGTCCGCGGATCAATTGACTCAGCACCAAACTGATAACGCTGCCCACACTCTAGGTTCGGCATAATTTGCTCTAGAGGGTACCATTGGTTGTCCATCGTATCAAGAAGCTCGGCAGGCTTGAAGGTGCCTTTGTACCGCATTTTTTGGCATGTATGTATATAATAGCCTGAGAGTAAGCCCAATGCGGCAACCTACCCAAGTAGTACCACGAAAGATCAGGAAGGGTAGTCGCTTGGAGTGATCTGGCCAGTTGGATCTCTACCAATGCGCTGACTTTCCCCAGCTCCCAAGCTGTATAGGCAGGATCATAGAAAAAGTAAACGCTGCTCACGCAATGAGGCAAGATATCGACTACACCCACTGCAATCAGCTGGCCGCGATCTTCTGAGTTAGGGATGCAGGTACGTACATCGATATGCCTGGTGATAAAGTCCAAAAGTAGGACTGTCCACAGAACCTTGATCATCGTCATCATTCTCAGGAAAAGGGGACTCGACCAGAAATTGTTCCCACCCATGTCGCGAGCTAATTTCGTCGTGGGCCTCGCCATGGATGGCAGCTTGGTACTTGCGAAACAACTGGTACTTTTCTGACGTAGCACTAGCTTTGTCCAGAGAGACCTGTATAAGTAAACAGGAAAATACGCACTTCGATACGCTCATGAGACGTGGACGAATACGGCCCGTGCATGGGCGGGGGTCGCTCGTGTCCGTGCTGGACAAAGACACGCTCAAGGTGTGCATCCAGGTCCCATGGTCGTGATGCGCCCCATTTCCCCTTCCATTTGGAGGGCTTGGTATCGCCGCACAAGGTCCAGTACAAATGACCCACAGCTCGACGCTGAGCTTTGGAGGGCCGAAAAGAGGAGGTACGCAACCTGCCAAGTAAGCATCGCGGCAACGTACCGTATACTGTGCTGGGGGCAGCACGTTCGGAGATTGTCAGGCTTGTAGATATAGATGCCTGAACGACGCCATCCCTGATCAATCAGTTGCTGGTAATGCGATGGTGATAGTCGATAGGCCTAGCATGTTAGAGGTGAACAACATACAATAAACCCGTACGAGAAGCTCGTCTCGTTGGCATCGCGTCGGCTTGTTCCTTTGGGCTTGCAATAGCCACACGACGACTTGTTATACCCCACAGGCTGTGCGATGCTCAGACTAGACATGCACACGATGGCCAGACGTATAACTCCAAGCCTCCACTCTCGCACGGTCGCCATACGCCACGACGTGGCCTCGTAAGGGGGATGGCCGCCGAGCCCCATCGATCGCGATGGGCACCGATCACAGGCCGAGGCCGGCGACGTGCCTCACAATCACGTACCTCGAAAAAGGCGCCTACGCTATCTAAGAGGCATGAGCAGATCCTTGCGAATGATACGCTGGAGACGCAAGTGCAGAATGAAATGTCGCCCTTTCCACCGGCGTCTTGGGACCATGTATCTCGAAGAAGTGTGCCGGAGAGTGTACAAGCACGCTATGTTGCAGAGTATCGATTACCCACGCTACGTGATGTGTGCCTGAAACGCGCTGCGCAGTATTTCTCGACACATATTCTGCCGACGCCCGACGTGCTGGACACGTTGCGCCTCGTCGAAGAAGGCGGTAAAGCGCCACCTAAGAAGCGAGTACGTGTACAGCGGCAGAAGGACGATTATATACCGGATGAGGATGAAGGGGACGGCGATGCGAGGGATGCCGGGCGGGCAATCATGGAAGAGCCTCGGTCGTACCAAGAAGCGTTGTGGTGGTATGAAGCCAATGGCATGCACCTAAAATGCCTGCCTTCTGCGCTGATAGATGAGCTCTATGACTTACTGTGTGAATATGCCCCACGTTCACTGACCAAGGAGGTGATTCAGGCGTACTTTATGCCCTACCCTACCACCTCGACCCAGAGAGCGCGAGTTCGCCGACGATTGTTTTTCCCGGCTTCCCTCCCCCTTTTTTCGCAAGATACCAAGTGTGCATCACTCTTGCTGGCGAGCCTTACAGGTACGCTTGCACTTAGTGATGATGCGGCGTTGCTCGCCAGTGGCCTACGTGAGCTTCGTTTCCCTGGCCTGACGCGTCTATCGCCCATGTCTTTGATCCGACTATTCAAAGCGCCGAAACAGCCTTCAGCATGGCGCCTTACGCAGGTATGCCTACCCGGCTGCCTATCTATGAACGATACTGTCGTGCAAACGCTGGTCGCAGTGTCAGGCGCTACGTTGGAGCATGTGGACTTGACGATGACGAGTGTATCGCCCGAGAGTCTGATGGCACTGGGTATGCATTGCCCCGTGTTATCCGTTTTGAAGCTCGCATGGTGCGAAGGATTTACGGACGATAGTGTCGCTGCGATGGTCAGTGAGTGTGTTGCGCAATGTACCCAGGCCACGCCGCCCAGCATTCCGTTTCAGCGTCTGACGACGTTGGATGTATCGCACACGCTTATGGGCGACGTGGCTGTAGGCGGGTTGTGCCGTATGAGCGGGCGGCATGTGCGTTCGTTGGATGTGAATTACACGCGGGTCGGCGAGAGTGGCGCGCTGGACGTGCTGTCGATGGGGTTAGGGTTGGGCCCTCTTTCGCAGCTATGCCATACGACGTCGCAGATCTGTCATTTGGGCTTGGCAGGGCTGTGTGTGTCAGGCATATCGCTCGTCCATTTTCTGCACAAGTGGCTACCGTACCCATACGAGGACGACCGAACACCCAGCCAGCTGCGCTCTCTCAATCTTGATGACATGGTGGAGTATGCACGTCGGCACCAAACATCGCTACAAGGGCGACGTGGTTTGTCAGGCGATACTATGTACATGCTAGCTAGCATGATCGAAGCACAAAGTCAAGGGCATGCGCCGATGGCATGTGTCCGTATGAATGGGGAGAAACGTAGTGCATGGGTATCCAGTCACTGGGTCCTTCCACGCGACCAAGTCATGATCCCCACGTCATACACGTTGGGCGATGCCATGTATAAACTGATGGCACATACAAATACGCTGCATCTAGGTGGTCTTGATATGCCTGTATCGCATTTGGATCCAAGTATGCCTGCGCCGCCGCTACCGGAACGAACGCAGCGCTGCTTGGCCGAGCTGCATCTCCCCTCTACGGGTCTGCGAGACGATGCAGCACACTACATCGCGTCCTGGACAGGCGCTCTGACCTCCTTGTACTTAGACGACACGCTGGTGACGTGCGAGGGCGTGGATGCATGGATCGACGCGAATCCACGTTTGGCCTTGCTGAGTCTCTCGCAATGCCGTGGCCTGCCTGTGCGTCGCCGTCGGGGGTACTTTGCGTAGTTCTGCCTAGTCCTCCACATGTCGTATTTGGACCGATTTTTTGGTAGTCTGGTTCTCTAGCGATGAACGACCATGGCGCGTCGTCGGTGAGGCATGAGTACTTGTCCTGTGCGGTGAATCGCACGCCGCATCAGGCCGAATGGCTCACTGTGACGGACGAACATGGTACGGAGCACGACGTACTGGTATTTGGTGTCCACAAGGCATTTGCCATGGCCGTATCTCCCTGTGTACGTATAGGAACAACGTCTCATGTCTAGGATCCCATGTCACAAGTGCAGTACAAATGGGCCACCAACTTTGCACATGAGGTCCATGTGCTTCGCACGCTAGAGAAGCCTGGAGAGCAGCCGCGTGTCCTTCTCGGATCGTACGGCGGTGCGCTGGAAGTGTGGCAGGCGCGCCCTTCTTCATCGCTGCCTGTGACGTGGACCTGCGAGGCGAGTGTGCCGGATGCTCACACAGCCGCAATCACAGCGATCGGTGTCGTGCGTGATCCGTACTCCCGCGAGCATGCATCCAACGTCTTTGTGACAGGCAGCTCTGACTCTCATTTGCATGTATGGGACGTAGCGAGCATGCAGTGCGTGCAAACCATCTCGCTGGATGGTGCGTTCCCGATGGATATTGCGTTGGTTCGCATGCCTGGGCCCGCTCCAGTGATGCTAATGGCCGTAGCGCTGACGGAAAAGCGGTTGTTTCTGTACCAGCGAGACGGCGATGCGCCATTTACGTTGTGCCTCCGTCTCGAAGGGCATACAGACTGGCCACGTGCGCTTGATTTCACCGTGGCAGCGGATGTGCACCGCCCGACAGAGCTGAGTGTGTACTTGGCGTCAGCATCGCAAGATTCCCATATTCGACTATGGAAATGGCAGACGGATGTGAGCGGCAGCTGCGGCGATACCAACGACACTACGCCACGCGACACGTTTGAAGAGATGGCACAGGATCTCATGCCCGACGATCAGGGCATCAAGACCAAGACGCATTGGCTTACGATGGGTGGACGCCCCTGGGCCTTGTCCCTGGACGCGCTACTGCTGGGCCATGATGCGTGGGTCACCGATGTGCGTTGGTGCCCGACGCGCGCAGGCACAGCGCCACGAGCCGTGCTTCTTTCTAGCTCGGTGGACAATAGTGTGATGATGTGGTCCCCGCATGTGCTTTCATCTGATGCGACGTCGGCCTGGTGTGCGTTGTCGGACCCTGAGGCTGCGCAGTCCATGTGGCTGCCGATGCACCGTCTGGGCGACGTAGGCAGTCTGAGTGGCGGCTTCCTTGGCGCCCGTTGGCATCCCTCGTCGGCATGGCATACGCCGGCGGTGGCTGCCCACGATCGGCAGGGTGCCTTGCATGTGTGGCAGCGATCGGCCGACAAGAAGTGGGCACCACTGTGGACCGTGTCAGGCCACGCAGGTGCTGCCCAGAGCGTAGCTTGGGAGCCACTAGGCGACTATTTCCTCAGTACAGGCCTGGATCGGACGACGCGGCTGCATGGGACATGGCACAATGCCGACACGCGAACCTGGCATGAACTCGCACGCCCTCAAACGCACGGCTACGATATGCACGATGCCGCGTGGCTCGATCGTACGACGTTTGTGAGTGCCGCCGACGAGAAAGTGTTGCGTGTGTTTGGCGCGCCGCAGGCGTTTGTGACAAGCGCACAGCAGCTTCGCACCTTCCAGACTATGCCCCAAACACGGCATGTGCTTGCTTTGGAGGTGCGTGAACGTGCACAGTGGCACCAAGGCGAAGCGCTTCGTGACGCTATGTATGCAGCGATGGAAAGCCGGCCAGCCGCCCTCTCTGTGCTGGTGTTTGCCGAGGCGTTGCACGACTGCACTCGCGCCTGGCCCTCGTCCACCTGCTCCTTACGCGATGTCGAAGCTCTGCTTCAGCAGCTGTATTTGCAGGCATGGGCCGCGGCGGTAGCGCAGGATCACCTCCTGGCAGATATCACTGTGTACATCCTTCCTGCCGCCTCTTCTACGCCGCAAGCCCAGGCGCTTGTGACGCAGTGGGCACGTACGCATACCATGGTGCAAGGGCTGTGGGACGTCGAAGGGGCTTTCCGCCCAGCGTCGTCCTGGTCCGTATGGCCGTTGCCCGTACACACGGTGCCACTTGGCCCATGCTCCAGCGACGTACCACCCATGGAGTATACCAGTGCCGCGCAAGGTCCCGTCGTCGCGGTCGGCGGCACCTTTGACCACTTGCACATTGGCCACAAACTGCTCCTGAGCATGGCCGCGCTCTGCGCTACAGACACTCTGATTGTCGGCGTGACAGGGCCTGAGCTGCTTACCTCGAAGAAACATCGCGAGTACGTCGAATCCATCGAGCATCGCCAAGCGGCTGTGCGTCACTTTGTGCGCGATCTCCGATCGACAATCGCTCCGCTGCATACGGACTGCGTCGCGATTCACGACGTATGTGGTCCAGCTGGGACCGCCGAGGCGCTTCGTGTGCTGGTCCTCACGGAGGAAACGGTGAGTGGTGGCCAGGTCATTGCCGATACGCGCGCGAAGAACGGCGTGCCGCCTGTCCACACCTATGTCGTGCGCCTGGTCGATGCGCATGGCAACGCCTCATCGACTGCAGCCAGCAAAGTGGGCAGCACAGGTATTCGTGCGTGGCTGGCTGCGAAGCACATAGAGCCGGGCATGGAAGCGACGCAGCTCCTGGGTGGCGCCCTAGAAACACGCGCCTCTGCTGCACATGTTCCTCCGCTGGGCCTATCGAATCGCGCGGTAGAATCTTCGTCGTCGTCGTCCGATGTGGCTACCCCGACGTTCACTACGCCGCCCGGCCCTGAATCGTTGGCTTCGCTGACTCTCTGGCCGGAGCTGGAAAAGCTCTATGGCCATGGCTACGAGCTTTTGAGCGTCGCGATTGATCCTGTGACGCAGCTTATTGCCAGTACATGCAAAGCGACTACGGCGACGCATGCTGTCGTCCGCCTCTTCGACGGCCAAGCGCGCTTCAAGCCATGTGGCTCGCCGCTCGAGGGGCATGCACTTTCGATTACGCGCGTCGCCTTCTCCCCCGATGGCCGCTACTTGCTTTCTGTGAGCCGCGATCGATCCTGGCGCGTGTTTGTGCGGCACGCCGACGAGTATGTCCCGTGGATCGGCGAGCGAGCCCACGCACGTATTTTGTGGGATGGCGCCTGGGCATGGGAGGCGCCATCGACACTCTTTGCCACCGCTTCGCGCGACAAAACGGTCAAAGTATGGTCGCTTATCCCTGACACTTCCAAGCCCTACACGTTATGCGCGACCCTCGCATTGAAGGATGCTGTAACGTGCGTGGCGTGGGGTCCTCAGCATACATTGGCCGTGGGCTTAGAAGGCGGAGATGTCGTGGTGTACACGGCAGAGCGCACGACGTCGTCTACGTATGAATGGCGTGTACAATTCACTCTCTCGCGGCATCATACAGGCACCGTGCATCGCTTGGCTTTCCGCCCGCCGGGCGCCTGGGAAGACTCGTATCATCAGGTGTCCTATCAACTTCTATCGGCCGGCGACGATGGCTGCGTGCGTCTCGTGTCGTGGCCATAGCATGTATAGCGACTAACGTCCGTACCTAGCGGTGAGTATATGTAGGGTACCTACTTTTGCAATACCCATTCACGGTTGTCCAGTGGGCAGACAGGCCGCGTCTTGAGCCAGCGGGAAATGCAGTGGAAATGGAATGCATGCTGTGTGTCAGTTGGGCGTCACGTACATTGCAAGCGCCCCAGGCCACCGTGCATTCCTCGATTGTCGTAGAGCCCTGGTTGGCTTGGCACTCAATACCTAGATGTGAGTCGCTCAACGATACCTACACAGATCCATAATTTGGTTGCGGCAGATGGCGCACTGACAGTTAGATCCAAGCCACGTACATTGTCCACCTGGATATCCCAACTCCAAAGACAAACGCTATTCCACTGCTACGTCAGCATTCGTACGCGTACCTTCTTCACTTGGAAACGCGGCGCCTGCTCACCACCTTGCGTTGTCGAAGGCGCCTCAACATCCATCGCAGTGTCCGACATGATGGAGGAGCGTGGCGGAGCGACGAAAGTGGAGGGCCGCGCGTGGCGGTCGTCGTTGCCTCGCGACGAGTGGGTCCTTTCTCTTGCCTCCCCACCGTCGACTATGCCCGAGGACGACGAGGCGCGGCCCTCAGCGTCGTACGATACCCTGCGTGATCGGTCGCGTCAGGAGTACCTGGCCAAGCGATCCAAGCAGCAAGTCGAGCTCCTTCGTCAGGAAATTAAGGATGAAGAGACATTCTTTCGAGGCGTGCAATTGTCCAAGCGCGAACAGCGCGAGCTTGATCACAAACGCGAAATCCTGCGTCTTGCCGAAGAATATGAGGCCTTGGATGATCGTGAAGAAGGGTATATCCTGCCTGAAGACTACTTAACCGAGCAAGGGCGATTGGATCGTAAGCGCAAAGAGGCGGCGTTGCATGATCGCAGGTACGATGATGCGCACGACCGCAAATCCACGCGCAAAAAGCTCACATCCGAAGGCGATGCCTTTGAGAAGGAGCAGATTCAACGCTCGCTCTTGCTAGATCAGCCTGCGGTGCCTGAAGAACAAGCGTTTGACTATGTATTTGACGAGTCGCAGGCGATTCAATTTATTATGGACAAGCAAAAAGAAGGCCAGCTCAATACCATGTCAGAAAAAGAGCTGGCCATGCAGAAACAGTTGCAGGAGGCGGAAGAACGCGCTTCCACCATTGAGGCAACGCGTCGTTCGCTGCCTGTGTATGCGCTGCGTGAAGAGCTCCTAGAAGCCATTGCGCAAAACCAGGTGCTCATCGTTGTCGGCGAGACCGGATCAGGCAAGACGACCCAGCTTCCGCAGTTTCTTCATGAGACAGGCTATACGAAGGACGGGAAGATGGTCGCATGTACGCAGCCCCGTCGTGTTGCTGCGATGAGTGTCGCTGCGCGTGTCGCAGAAGAAATGGGCGTACGGCTTGGCCAGGAATGTGGCTACAGTATCCGGTTCGAGGACTGTACGTCAGACAAGACGGTCGTTAAGTACATGACCGATGGCATGCTGCTACGCGAGTTTCTTACCAACCCAGATCTCGGCTCGTATTCTGCTATCATGATTGACGAGGCACATGAACGTACGCTGAGCACCGATATCCTCTTTGGCCTTGTGAAAGACATTGCACGTTTCCGCCCTGATCTCAAACTGCTCATCTCCAGTGCGACACTCGATGCGGAAAAGTTTAGTGAGTTTTTCGATGATGCCCCCATTTTCTATGTCCCTGGCCGCCGATTCCCCGTGGACATCCACTATACACCGCAGCCAGAGGCGAATTACTTGCATGCCGCCATTACAACAGTCTTTCAAATTCATACCACGCAGCCCAAGGGCGATATTCTGGTGTTCCTCACTGGCCAGGATGAAATCGACGTGGCCATGGACAATTTGCAGCAAACAGCGCGTGCATTAGGCGGACGTATCCCGGAGCTGATTGTGTGCCCCATTTATGCCAACCTACCCAGCGATATGCAGGCCAAAATCTTTGAACCTACTCCGCCCGGCGCTCGGAAAGTAGTGCTGGCGACGAATATTGCCGAAACAAGTATTACGATCGATGGCATTTCGTTCGTGATCGATCCAGGGTTTGTGAAACAGAATTCGTACAATCCTCGCACGGGTATGGCCGCATTAACGGTTGTGCCATGCTCGCGTGCCTCGGCCAACCAGCGCGCGGGTCGTGCAGGCCGAGTCGGCCCTGGCAAATGTTTCCGCCTGTTCACCAAATGGGCCTTCCAAAACGAGATGGAAGAAAACACCGTTCCGGAAATTCAGCGCACGAACCTGGCGAATGTGGTACTGCTTCTCAAGTCGGTGGGTATTCATGACTTGCTCAACTTTGACTTTTTGGATCCGCCGCCGACGGACACCCTCATTCGTTCCTTAGAGCTCTTGTACGCGCTCGGCGCACTCAATGACCGCGGCGAGCTGACCAAGCTGGGCCGACGTATGGCCGAATTCCCTGTGGATCCGATGATGAGCAAAGCCATCATTGCGAGTGAAGAGTACCACTGCACGGAAGAAGTGTTGTCCATTGTGTCTATGTTGGCAGAGAGTGGCAGTTTGTTCTTCCGGCCCAAAGACAAGAAGCTGCATGCGGACAGAGCACGGCAGACGTTTACGCGGCCCGGTGGCGATCACTTTACCTTGCTGAACATTTGGGAGCAATGGGTCGAGAGCGGGTACAGCCAAGTGTTTTGCATGGACAACTTCCTTCAGCCCAAGACGTTGGGGCGTGTACGAGACATTCGTGAGCAGCTCGCCCACTTGTGTGAGCGTGTCGAGTTGATCCCCGAATCGAATCCCAATCCGGCGAATATTACAGGCATCCAGAAAGCCATCACAGCAGGCTACTTTATGAATACCGCGCGGCTGCAAAAAGGCGGGGAGACGTACCGCAGTATCAAGCAGAATACCACCGTGTATGTCCACCCCTCATCGTGCTTGTACAAGCACGTGCCACAGCCTCGTTTCCTGTGCTACTTTGAGTTGGTGGAGACTTCGAAGAACTTTATGCGCCAAGTAATGGAGATCCGTTCGGAATGGCTTATGGAAGTGGCACGGCACTACTTCTCGCGGGACGATCTGCAAGACGACACGCGCCAAAAACGCATGATGCGAGGTACAGGGGCAGCGCCTTCCTTCAGGCATGGTGAACAGTATGCGTAGAGTACAGGTAGGTATACTATGGAGCTATGCATCTGATAGTTCGCTCAGCGACGAGCTATCCGCTTCGGCTGCGTCGGGCTTGGCAGCCACTTTGACCTTTTTGCGCAGCCGCGGTTTCGGTGCGCGTGGCTCCGGTCGTGGCCGGTTGCCGCGGCGCGTGCCGGGGGGAAGGAGCCAGCCCACGTTGAAGTACTTAAACGAGTCTTTGGCATTCAGCTCCTCTAGGACGCGAGGCTCGGACACGGGCCCCGCGGGCTCCACGTCTGGCGCTGCGTGACGTGTGCTTCGCCGCGTGGGCGCCGCAGGGATAGAACGCTTTTGCTTCACCGGCGCCGCTTTCTTCACAGGCGAAGGCGCTGGGGAGGGCGAGGGCGACGGTGTAACCTTAGCAGGTGGGATTGTGTACCACTGCGTAAGGAACGCCTGCATCATATCTGCGTTGTCAGGCGGTGCCTCCATAGGCGTATGGCCTGGCGGGATGGACGCATGTGGTGCGCGCAGCATGGCCAGCAAGGGCGCTGGGGGTTCCAAGCCCGAGGTATCGTCGGAAAATGTGTCATCTTTATACTGCTGTGTAATGCTGGGAAGCTGCTTCAAGATCTTTTGCGCGGTCTTGTGGATAAGCGAGTCAGCCCGGTTGTACTGCATCGCGTTGGTGCATACCAATGTCACATCGGTGGCCCATTCGTCCCATGTATTGTACGCCATATCGTCAATTTTCTTCTGGATCGTTGTCCAGTCCATGGGGTGTGCAATAATATCATAATAATCCGGCACGTCGTCCACGGACACAGGCAGGAGGAACCATTCTGCTTTGTCGAGACTGGGGTGAGTGCGTGATATACATACCTCTTTACGCTCGCTAGCGCTTTGCGCAGCTGTGCCTGCTTGTGCAGAAGACCCATATCCAGCATAGACTGCCACAAGGTGAGCTGCCGCAGCTTCTCTTTTTCACGCTTGCGCACCAATTCTGTGAGGAGCCGCACTTTTTCCAAGTCTTCTCGTAAGCGGAAAAGGTACTGCAACTTGGCCAATTTCAGCGCCGATGTTCGCTCATCGACAAAGTGGCCGACCGTCCATGGCTCAATGTGCAAACGTTTCAGCAAAGGCGCGCCTCGCATATCCTGCCGTTTCAAGCTCCAATAGCGCACAATCATCGAGACAGCCAGAGGTTTGCGTCGAAAATGAATTCGCTGAATATAGTCCATAACACGATGGACCATGTAGTTCGGGACCGGCAAGGGACCTGACGAGTACAGCTTGTTATAAGCTCGGGCACTTTTCGAGACGATAGAATTGTACGCGGACGTCCCGGGCCGTGGCGGCTGATGCAATAGTTCGCTGGTTGATACGTCCGACACGCTGTCTGTGTCTGACATGGCTTCGTCTCCGCGAATTCGTTCGCGCAACGTTACTTTCTGTTCGGGGGGTAAATGATGGTGACAGTACGCTGCCCATGTCTCTGGCTTGGTATCCTCCGTCTCTTCGTCGTCATCGCTGCGATGCCGTGGCTGGATGAGAAGGCCAGCGTGTCGGGCACACATCACATGAAACGCAGTGAAACAAGAGCGGTGTTCGCACTGAATACAGGCGCCACCTTTCTTGTTGCACAAGTAGCAGCGAAGCCGCCAGCGCGCTTTGGGAATCGCCTTTATGCCGTCGATCGGCTCCATGTAGACCGTATTGCCGACCCCTGTCTCAGGGATCCACATAGCACATAGCAAATGTGCCCATGCCCCTTCGGTGGTCTGTTTAAAGGCACCTCCTTCGTTAGGACACAGCACGCACGACACAGGACGGTCGGGCGAGACGGTGCATTTGCGGCAGAGCCATTGGCCTTCGGGGATGTAAGGGACACCGTAGCATTCCTGGTGCACAGCCAAATTGCATCCATCGCAGAACACAATGGCATTCAAGTTCTCACATTCATTGTCGTCGCAGATAGCACAGTAAGAGTCCTCTGGGAATTCGTCATCGTCCATCGCAGCGCCAATGGAGAAGCGTGAGGGAATTCGCTTTACCAAGGCAAACCATTCCTTCTCTAGTCGGTCGATGATGATCTCAAAGGCCTCGTAGCTAATAGGGTCTAGTTGCTCTTTTCGGCGCTCTGCATTGAGGGTATCGAGCCACTGTTGATCTTCACGTCAGTGGTAGGTTGGCGTACCTTGTTCATCCATATCGTACTCTACACGTTGGTCATATTCACCTTCTGTGGGCTCAATGTATCGCACTAAATGCTTCGGCAGGGGGTGCAGGTTCGTGTCATGGTATCCATACTGCGCCATTTGTGATCCATGCACACATGCAGCTTCCAACGCGGCCGCCTCTTCCTCGGCTGAAATGCGATGGAAAATAGGCGCGAGTTTGGAGGCCCCCTGTTTCGCTGCCACAGGATCATTGGTGGGTCCTGGCATCGGGGCAGCACACGCACGTACGAACAACGCTGCCAGGGCCGAACGCGCGAGAGCGACGTGTAATACGCGCGTAGAGCGTGAGGGGTGCCAGAGGTTGTGTCGCGTCGCATCACGTGGTAGCGGCCAATCAGTGCGGCGCATCGTGTCGCGTACGCGAGAGCTCTCATCGACCTTCGTTCGAGGGGCCAGAGAAGAGCGTGGCAACGCGTAGCCAGCCCACGGAGATGTCGCCGCGACGAAGCTCACGCCATTCGCACGGCGAAGCTTCGCCTGTGCATGGTCGCTCGCAGCGCAAAGCGGCGCAAGGTGCTTTTTACAAGCAATATTTTGAAGAGGGCGAGCTGGACGAGGTAGGTCTAGTCATGTCGCTGACCAGCTAGATGGAAGACACGTACGAGGCTCCGGAGCATGAGCCCAAGAGGGAGGATGCTTCGCCGGAAACGATCCGGCCTGTGCGTTATACACGCAGTGGGCGACGGACGACGAGCTACGTCGAGCCTTCGTGGGACGACGACGAGGAAGCTACTGTGCATGCACGGCCACGTCGATCGACGCGTGTGAGTAAGAGTCTGCGAGACTTTGTTGCTTCGGACGAGGACGAAGAAGAAGATGACAATGCGGACTATGCAGAGACGATTCGCGCACGGCATGCCAAGGAGCGAGCTGAGCGAGCTCGGCGGCGTGAGAACCTGATGAATTTGGCCGCCTCACGCTCGTCACGTCGTCTTGCACAGCAGGCGGGCAGTGAGTCGTCGGCGGAAAGTGATGATCATGAAGAGCCTGAGCACCGTTCATACAGTTTTCGGGCGCGTAAGAAGATCAATTACTCTCTCGTTGCACCGCCGGCCGAGCCGCTGCGTGACGGCTTTGGACGACGCATTCGTCGCACATCATCACGGTCGCACTCTGTACGCGCGACTGAGCGCGATCACGACAACGATGGGACGTACACCACGCGATTCCCACGACTGCCGAGCCTGCCGTTCTCTTCACTGCCGCGACAGCGCTCAGGGCGTGAAGGCTGGGACGGTTTGCCGCTTTCTATGACAGGCAAAGACTATGCAGATGCCTTTGGCGATATGGACAGCTCGGATGACGAGCCACCACGCGCCAATCTGACTGGCAACACAGGTGGGCACGTGTTGGGGGGTGCCAGTGCCAACTCCATGCTGGAAAACGGGCCTGCGCCCGCGCCCGGTGGTGGGCTGGGCTCCTCGACCGATGCGTTTGGACGCCTTACGCGCGAAAGTGATCCATTGGCCGATATCGATCCGCTGGGCGTGAACATGGACGTGAACTTTGACCAAGTCGGTGGTCTGGAAGACCATGTGCAGCAGCTGAAAGAAATGGTCAGCTTGCCTCTTCTGTACCCAGAAGTCTTCCAGCGCTTTGGAGTGACGCCGCCTCGCGGTGTGCTGTTCCATGGGCCACCGGGGACGGGCAAGACACTTGTGGCGCGTGCGTTGGCCGCGAGCTGCTCCACGGATGGCCACAAGATCAGTTTCTTTATGCGCAAAGGCGCTGATTGTCTCTCAAAATGGGTCGGTGAGGCGGAGCGGCAATTGCGGTTGCTGTTTGAGGAGGCGAAGCGGTCGCAGCCCAGCATCATTTTCTTTGATGAAATTGATGGTCTGGCGCCTGTGCGCTCCAGCAAACAGGACCAAATTCATGCGAGTATCGTGAGTACTTTGCTAGCGCTCATGGATGGCATGGATGGCCGTGGCCAGGTTGTTGTGATTGGCGCGACGAATCGGCCTGACTCGATTGATCCTGCGCTGCGCCGACCAGGCCGCTTTGATCGTGAATTCTACTTCCCTCTCCCGTCACGGGCAGCGCGTCTAAGTATCATATCCATTCACACGAGTCGATGGGAGCCACCGCTGGACGCGGCCCTTCAAGAGGTTCTCGCCGATGCTACAAATGGCTTTGGTGGCGCAGATTTGCGAGCGCTCTGTACCGAAGCCACGCTCAATGCCATTCAGCGCAGATACCCACAAATCTACCGAACCACAGATCGACTTCTTCTGGCCCCAGAGACCATCCAAGTGGACGGCCGCGACTTTATGCTGGCCCTGGAGAAAATGGTCCCGTCGTCAGCACGATCGACCAAGGCCGCATCGTCGCCCTTGCCGCCGCATATGACGCCGCTCTTGCGGGCTTCCGTCGACACGTGCGAAGCGCTTCTGCAGCGCATTCTCCCGCGTCGTGCGAAGCGCAATGCTCTTGACGAAGCGCTGTATGAGACCGAGTCACACTGGCCGGATCAGGCTCCTGTCACTGCGGCAGGTATGCTGGAGCGCGAACTGCTGCAGCAGTCACTGGCCCAGGCTCAGGTGCATCGTCCACGTCTTTTGCTTCACGGCAAGGCGGGTATGGGCCAGCGTCTGGTCGCTGAAGCCGTCCTACATGCGCTGGAAGGCTACCATATCGTTACACTCACCGCCGCGCAGCTGCTTGGCGATAGCACGCAGACGCCCGAGTCGATACTGGTGCAGCAGTTCCAGGAAGCGAAGCGTCTTATGCCGAGTGTGGTGTATGTGCCGGATGTGGATCGCTGGCCACTGCTGCTCACGGACCAGGTGCGAGAGGTGGTGGGCGCTTTGTTGCACGGCTTGCAGGCCAGCGATGCGATGATGCTCTTTGCTACGAGCGAAGTGCCATGGACAGAGCTTCCGCACGATATCCAAGGCTGGTTTGGCTACCGACCCCTGCATAAATACGCGCTCACGTCCCCTAGCGATGTGCAACGTACATTGTTTTTCCAGGACGTGGCACGACAAGCTGCCCGGCCTCCGACGGAGTTTGCCGATGCCATGCCACGCAAACGCCGCGTCCTCGAAGAGCTACCGAAAGCGCCACCACGTCCGCCACGTATGCCTACGACGGTAGAGCTGAGCCAGCAAGTGGAAAACGATGCGCGGTTGCTCGAGCATCTCAAGTTCCGACTAGGCACTATCCTCTCGGAGCTGCGCAAAAAGTACAAAAAGTTCACGCGCGACGTATGGGACGAATACAATCTACGTGAGCTCATGGAGCAGTTTACATGGCGCCGCGAGAAAGGCAAGATTGTCATTACCCTGCGGTACGATCGACACGCATCGCACGAGTCGGAGGCGGAGGCGGCGTCCGAGTCGGACGTGGAGGCTGGAGCGGAAGCAGAAGCGGGCGCGGACGCGGACGCGGATGCGCCAGCCTCGCCGCCTGCTGCGCCAGCGCCGCAGGATGAAGCTGAGCTGGAGCCATCCACCACGACGGAGGACCCGGCTGATGAGGCGATGCGTGACGACGTCCCGTCGCCGGCGGACAAAGCGGAGGAACGTTATATCCTTCGTGACTTTACCATATATACCATGTCGCTGGACAAGATGCAAAAACGACTGTACCACAATCAATACCTGACATGCGACGACTTTATGGCCGATCTCAACAAGATCGTCTCCAATGCCGAGGAGGCCAGTGAGGTGGATGCAGACCGTGTGTTCCGTGCACACCAAATGCAGAATTTAGCGACGATCCTCATGGATCAGTACGTGGAGTCTTCGTTCCGCACCGAGTGTCAGGCCATGGCCCAGCGTGTGCTTGCGCGTGAAGAGCAAGCACGCAAAGAGGCAGAAAAGAAGAAAGACGAGTTGGTGCATCATCGACGGCCCGATGGTGTGCGATACAGTGCGCGTGTCCAAGGCGAAGAGCCGGATGCACGGCATTTGGTGGACGTGTCGACCATTGAGCGGGCTACGAAGCGCGCACGGACAACGTCGCGACCCGGCAGTGAAGAGCCTGCCGAGACAGAGACACCTGGCCCAGCGCCTATGCCTATGGAAGAACCGGCTAGCACCTTGGAGCCTGCCATCGAAGCAGAGCCTGTGCCACATCGCTCCGCTTTGCTGGACGATGCTGCGCAAGCGTCCCTAGTCGCCTCGCTGGTGGATCTCACTCAAACACTCAACGTGGAACAACTGGAACAGGCACGAGCTGCGTGCTATGAACGGATCATGGCCCACCGCGCCTCATGGGACCGAGCTCCTCTTCTTCACGACCTTGTAGACGTGGTGCGTGAACTGTCGCAGGCGATCCACGCCGCACAGACGATCGTACCTTCTTCGTAGATGATAGATGTGGAGGTGTTCGTCGCCAACCGAAGCTTGTGGAATTCTCGCGACGAACCATCGGCGCTGGGGGCCCGTCTCCTCCACATGTACTTATAAGGGTGCCGTGCGCCACTAGGGCCCCTGTTTCGCCAGTTACCATGGGCAAAGACTACTACAAGATCCTCGGCGTATCCAAATCTGCCGATGACGATGAGATTAAGAAAGCCTACAAGAAGGCCGCGCTGAAGTGGCACCCTGACCGTAATAAAGACAACGAGGCTGTTGCGAAGAAAAAGTTCCAGGAAGTCGGTGAGGCTTTTGAAGTGCTTTCTGATAAAGATAAGCGTGCGATTTACGACCAGTATGGTGAAGACGGCCTGAAGGGTGGCGTACCTATGCCTGATGAGGGTGGCCCTGGCGGCTTCCCAGGTATGGGTGGCTTCTCAAGTGGTGGCCCTGGTGGCCGTACCTTCCGCTTCTCGACAAGCGGTGGCAACCCCTTCGGCAGCAGTGGTGGATTCCACCCATCTGACCCCAACGATATCTTTGCGCACATCTTTGGTGGTGCAAGCCCCTTCGGTATGGGTGGTATGGGCGGCTTGGGCGGCATGGGTGGCATGGGTGGCATGGGTGGCATGGGTGGCATGGGTGGCATGGGCGGCATGCACGATGACATGCCGGGCTTTGCCTCCTTTGGCGCCGAGCCGGAGCCCAAAGCCGCGCCGGCCAAGGACTTTGAGACGCCGCTCAACCTCTCCCTGGAAGAACTGTACAAGGGCACTACAAAGAAGCTCAAAGTGGGACGCACACTTGCCAGCGGACGTACCGAAGAAAAAGTGCTTACCATTGACGTCAAGCCTGGCTGGAAGAAGGGCACCAAGGTCCGCTTTGCAGGTGCCGGCAACGAAACCAGCTCTGGCAAGTCCCAGGACTTGGTGTTTGTCGTGGACGAGCGTACGCACCCTCGATTCACACGCAATGGCGATGACTTGCGCTTGATCCAGCCGTTGAAGCTGGTCGATGCGCTCGACCCGCCCAAGCCAGGCACGCCGAATTCGCGCCGCAGGGTTACCACGCTGGATGGCCGCACAATCGATGTTCCTCTGCCCTCACCAGGGGCTGGTAAGACGACCATCAGCCCGGGACGCACCACACGCATTGCCGGCGAGGGTATGCCGATTTCCAAGACAAAAGGCACTCGCAAGGGCGACCTTGTTGTCGAGTGGAATATCGAGTTCCCGGACCGACTTACCGATTCGCAACGCTCGAGCCTGCGTCAGGCGCTCGCTTAAGACGGATACACACGTCTTCATACCAAAGATGTTGGATAGGGGCATAATCATGTATTACTATTTTTACATAGCTACACGCTGCGATAGAAAAGAAAAATCCAGCCTGTTTAAATCAAGAGACGCTCGATCGCCAGCTTGATCGTCTGGATCTGGCTCTGCAGCTCACGAGCTTCGTTGGTTGTCACACTCGCGGCCACCACAGCGCGAGACACGCCGCAAGCACGGCCCAGGGCGATCTTCGAGGGCACAAAGACGTACGGCACGTTCTTGTCCTCACACAGCAGAGGAAGATGGAGCACAATCTCAATCGGTTCGACATCGGCAGCCATGATGATGAACTCACAAATACCACGGTTAAGAGTCTTGGTAGCTTCGTTCGCACCCTTCTTAAGCTGCTTGTAGTGCGAAGCCTGCTGGACAAGGTCCAAAATCTGGTTCGTCAGGGCAGCATCAGCTAGCGGAAAAGCCTTGGGGTTCACTTGAGTTTCAGACATGATGAAGTTGGATCGGTGGACCTCACGTCAAAAGGATCACTGGTCGATGTAGTGAAGCCGTTTTTTTTCAGCGGTGCTCGTGTCCCCGTAGACCACGTGACCTCCACCCTCCTGCCGTTTGCACGACAACCGTGCGTCACAACGCTAGGCTTTGTGACGCTCTAGGCTGTGCTCGCCACTGGGAGGATCAGGCTGAGTGCATCTCAGGTGAAGCAGCGGGCAGGTATACGCCAGCGATGTTTGAGATAGCGCCTCGTGATGATGCTGTATCGTTCCAGGATGGTCTTCTTGGTGTGGGAGGCACGCCGACGTGCATTTCTGGCGATGTGCTCACCAAACTTGACATACCTGATCATGAACTGGCCATGTACCAGCGCTGGTATGTGAAACTCGTACTCACACTCAGTACACTACTGTTTACTGCCACAGAATGGGTTGACGAACCATCCTCTGAAGTCGTTGAACTGCAACGCACGGAGCAAACATTGTGGGAAGCCCATGATGCGTCGGCACGTGTGCCATCCACCTTGCCATTTACTATGGAGCTGACAGAAGACCTACCTCAATGTATCCATACCCAACATGGTCATTTAGAGTACCGTATCACAGCGCATCTGCATACGTCGTCGGGGCCCGCTCTGACCACGCATGCCCTGATTCACCCCCGTCGGTTTTTGGATTCACAGACAAATATGCGCATGTATACCAATACTGGACCCGGGTCTAATACCATGATGTGGCCTGGTGATGCAGAGTATTCCTTTGAGCCCTCGTATTGGGCGGTCGATACGCCTGTACGTGCGTATTTTCGTCTGGACCGTTCGGTGGTCCGGCAAACTGATCCTATACCCTTGCACGTTCACATTCCCCCACCAGCCGATACTCTGGTCCTGGAAAAAGGATGGAAGTTGCAAAGTGTCATGATGATTCTGACCCGCGTAATCCAGTCACACCCTACAGGGCAGCTTTATTCGGACTTTGAGTTGTTGCAGCAGCTCGCTTCCGAGGCACCTTTGTCGCACGAGACAAGGGGCACCTCTCACGAGACGTTGCATCAGCTCCCTCCGCGTATTTATTCGTCCTATATTGCTGTCACAGGCAAATCATGTCGGTTCCATTCCCATCGGCCTGTGCATATGACACTGGTACTGCACCCCGCCAGTGTCCTAGGCGGTACGTCGGCCGGCAGCGAAGGGCTTGCAGCCGCAGCACCGCAATACGCAAAAGGTGGTGCGTGGGTGTGTGAATCCATCTCCCAGGATACGACCTTGCACAATATCCGCTTTGTACTTACTGCCCGTGTCGTGATTCGCAACGAAATGGGTAAGCACAAGGATATTGTAACACGGCGCATTATCAAGATTCTGCCGAGCGCCATCGGAAACAACCCAATGCCTGCGCCATCTGAGAAATACGTGAGCGGAAAAGCAGCTGTTCACTCAGACGATGAGTATGCCATGTTCTTCCAGGCCCAAGAAGAGTATGATGGGTACGACGATGCAAGCGAGGCTCCGCAGCCTTCAGGTGCCAATGCATTTTGGACGGGCCACATTACCCCTCCTATGGCAATGGAGGCAAGCGATATCACCATGAACACAGAGACGGCGTTGCCTGACTATGCTCCCACCGATAGCCTACCTCCCACCGCGGATGGCGATACATTGCCTGGCTTCGAGGAGGCTGCTGCCCAGCCGCAGCCTACGATCTCTCTCTCCCTACGCGAATGGGATGCACCTACGACGTACGAAGCCATGACGGCAGAAGGCCCTCCATGCCTGCCCACTACCATGCACGAGCCACCGTCGTATTCGGCGGCGGCGCCATCTAGCCAGCCTCCACCTCCGCCGCCAGATTCGATGCCGCCGTCGTTGGAAGAAGCGCTACCGCCGTCGTATGCCGCCCACGACACACGTGAAAATTCACCCCATTTGCATGATGACACTCTATTTCCTCCTTTGTATGAAGCATAGTTTGGTGACCATTGTACATCTACTGATTTAATTCACGATCCAGTAATCGACGTAGCGTTAAGTCCTTCCACCAACCTTCTTGGGCATGAAGTTGCTCGAAAACCGCCTTTTCACTCATTTGATACTGTGCATAAATCTGGTCTTGTGGCGGTGAGGTATCGTCGCTGATTCCATAGACATCTCTACGCCATACACGAATTGCACCTTTATTAGTGCCATGCAGAACACTTTGAAGTTCCTCGGTATCGCGTACATAAAGGCGAGGTTCAAGGAGCGAGACCATCGCAAGAGCAATGCGGAACAGAATCGCGTCGCCTTGCTCCAACATACTAGTCGTTAGTACACATACAGTACGTACATAATGTCCCACAGTCGTGATACGGTATCAATTTCAAGCCATGGGGCAAACATGGTCTGAATCCATGGCCGTACATAATCCTGTGGTCGGATACCCATCTTGTGCAGGTTGGCATAAATATCAGGCATACGTTCGGCCAAGAGCGAGCTAAACACACGTTCGTACCCCTGCAGCTGCTCCTGTATAGCGTCTCGGCTGTGTGAATCCACCGACTGACGTCTTTCGAGTCGATGCAAGGTTTTGAGCCAGCTCTTGCTCGCAATCAAATTCATGAGGACAATTAGGGCATGAGGGGGAGATACGTTCATAAGCAGCATGGCCGCGATGGGCGCCGTGCCTGGTACGTAGAGGTCATAAAGGTCGTGCAAGGATGCCAAATCCAGCGTGGATTGTTGTTCACGTTGCGATGCCTCATCAGCCCTCACATATACATACGCCAACAAGAGGTGGGTGAGATCTTGCGACAAGGGCCCAGCCTGCTCGTCAAACAAGCGCAAGCTTGGCAGTGTGGAGGCCATATCCACCTTGATGGCGTTCAGCAAGGAAGCAGGGAATTGATCGGCAGCCTGCGCTGCCTGCACCGCCGCCAGCGCCTTTGCAAACAGATTGTGGGAGAGCATTAGATTGTTGCCGCAGGCGCGTGGCCAAAGTCGGCCCCGCAGCGAAGGAGGTATACCGCCCCACCACAGGTCATGGTACTTGCGCTCTTCGCGTGCACGTGTCCAGCATGGAAGAATCTCTTGGTCCCATACAGGGCGTACTTGCGCTTCTTCGTCCATGCGCTTGCGTCGTTCTGAGCTGCTCGACAGAACGCGCTGCTTTTCCGCCTGCTTAGCAGCCTGCATCATCGCCGAGAAATCGGCCAGGTGTTTTGCTTCTTCTGCGCGCGGTTTGGGAGGTAAATGTGGCATGCGCGTCAGATTTGACGACGCATTGGCCTTGGGAAGAATAGCCTGAGCAGGGGGGGCGGGGGCGGCCTCGGCCGGGGTCTCTGGAGTATCGGTATGGGGGGGAGTCTCGGGGAGAGGCTCCTCTGGGGGCACATCGTCCTTCGCCACGGGACCAAGCGAAGAGACGGACTGGGAGAGAGGGCTGGGTGCTTGTGGTATCGAAGCAGAGGAACGTCGTGGCTCGCCAGGGATCGCAAACGAAGTCGTCGATGGCGTGGAAGAGGCATGCTCCGCGCGTAAAGGGGATCGAACAACCACCAATTCTCCATTTGCATCAGTGACTGTCATGCTCACACCTGCTGCCAAGAATGAATCGTACTGCACACCCTGGGGAGGACGTAAATCACTGGACGAAAGTAGCAAAGGTCGTAACTTCCCGCCCTTGGGGTGTTCGCGCCGGCTACGATACCGCCCTTCCACGATTCGTTTTTGCGGCACATCATCTGAGAAAGGTACGCTTTGCCTTCGTGTAGGTGCAAGTGATGTGGTGCTCGCGGCAGCTGCTGATGCGATCGCAGGGTACGATCGTTCCGTGGAGGCTGTACGCTCTGGTCGCAAATTGGGCGTCGAAGACGAATGCAGATGGTAAAAGCGTTTTCGTCTTTCCACCTCATTCATAGTAGGTCCATCTATCTGAGCTGGTTTGGAAACGAGGGACATATTGGACCTCCATCCAGTGCGAAGGTGCGAGCCAAAAGCGGTCAGGGCTGACGAGGGATCGACATGCAATGCGTCGGGCGTCAAAGACACATTGTCCTTATCGTCTAACTGTACGTCTTCAAAGTACACATCTCCATCTTCTCCATCCATGGCACTGATAAAGCACGCACTTGTACTCACGGCTCAACGCAGGCACCGTACGGCGAATCAAGGTGACGCAACCCCGCGTCGGTGCCGCGCGGTACCGTGGGCCCTCCTACCCTCCACCTCCACTACGTGCATAGTTACGCTCCTTCGAGGGCGTCGACTCTACCTAGACAGCTACGCAGAGGGCCTTGCACGTGGAACGGCCAAACACATCTATATTGGATCACACACGTACATAAAGATTATGAAAGAAATGGGCTCAACGAGTAAACGAATGCTTTCGAAGACATATTATAGATCCATTGTCTCGAGTATGCACTCAGCCCGCATACTTAATTTACGTTCTTTGTCTTGAAGCAGTTCAAGCGAGAGAGCAGACTGGGCTTCTTCTTGTTGGCCATCGGATCAATAGGCTCACGCATCTTCTCGTTGTTCTCAGCAATCGTATCATGAGCGTCAGGCTTCGCGAGGTTGGGGAAGCCGGCAAGGTGAGCATCGTTCTCGGCCTCAGGGCGGGGACGACGACGGCCGGCCGTAGTACCGCGGCCCGAGCTTCCGCGTGCAGCACTCGCTGATGGGCGGTGCCGACCACCAGCCGCCATACCGCCAGCGCCATACGCCGACTGCTCCTCCTCGTACCCTTCTTCGTCCTCAAACTCCTCGTCATAGTCGCCCTCTTCTTCCTCATCCTCCTCGATCAAATCATCATCGTACTCGTCCTCATCGTACTCCTCATCGTCGTACTCATCGTCATCGTACTCGTCCTCATCCTGGGCAGGACGACGGCGATGAGACAAAGGCGCCGCTGCGGCACCACCAGCCACAGTGCCGTTGCGTGAGCGCGATGTCGGTGCCGCTGACGAACGCGTAGCGCGCGACGATGTCGGCGCTGCTGTCATGGGGTGACGCGAGGAGCCACGAGAAGCGCCGCGCGACGAGGCACCGAGGGCTGCCATGGAGCCGCGGGGCAGGTCTTCCTCATGGTCCAAAAAGTCGTCGGCATCAACGAATTCGTCGTCACTCATCACTGAACGAATCGACGAGGCCGTAGAGCTCTGCTGCGAGCGAGCGCGGTTGTCGAGGTACGACAGGTCCGGTTGGTTCGCATGGCTACGGCCGGCATGGCGGCTTGCTGCAGCAGCACCCACTCCGCCAGCAACAGCCGCGCCAGCACCGGCCGCTGCTCCAGTCTTCGCAGAGCGCGAACGGGTCGTCGGCGCTTCCACAGCCTGGCGCGAGCGGCGTGGACGCGACTCCTCGACGGGCTGGCGAACGCGGCGACGCTGAGGCGCTTCTTCGATAGGCGGCTGAGAGGTACGATGCCGTGGTGCCGACTCCCGTGGCTGATCACGCGAAGCGCGCTGAGAGCGCTGGCGCTGCACGGTACCGTCCGGTCCACGCGAAGTGCGACGTGACGGCACATCAGAGGAGCGGTGACGCGAGCGGCTCTCCGCTGCAGCGCCCGCAGCGCCTGCCGCTACAGCGCCACCCGCCGCAGCTCCACCAGCAATAGCGCCCGTGTGGTCGTCGTTCTGACTAGCCGTAGCCTTCCTGCGCTGCGACTGCGACGAGGTTGGCTTGGCACCATCACGTCCACCGACTTCCTTCTTCAGGGCAGAAATGGTGTGAGCAGCGCCAACTTGGTGCTTGATAACGGAGCCATCCTTCTGCTTGTACGTCCAGTCGAACAAAAAGTCCGACGTAATGATACCAGCACGGTGGTACATCGTACGGCCACGGAAAATCTCATCGTTTTCCAACCAGGCCAAACGCGTCTTCTTTGCAGCCAGGTCACGCTGGGCGTACAACTGATCATCCTGGCCGTCCGTGGCGATCCACTTCCTCGTGATTTCTTCGTAGTTCTTAGCCTGGGACATGTACTCCGACCACGCTTTCTGAAACGTGGGGTCGTTGCGAGGCATACCGCTCTTCTCACCCGGCTGTGGCGGGGTCCATTCCATAGGGTCAACCAGCTTACCACCCAGCTTTTCCTCAAGACGATTCAGAGGAATCAAATCAAGATCGCCAGGCTTGCCAGTAAAGTCAATCTTGGCACGCACATTCGGGTCAAGCATGGGCGAGAGTGCCTTCCAGATACCCTGGAAAATCCATGGAGCAGCGTGAATGTAGAGCTTCGAGAGCGTTTCCGGGTAGTATGCCTCCAAGATGGACATGATCGTCGTAAGCGAGTGCCAGTCCATGTTCTTCATACCAAAGCCCGTCAAGTCAAAAACGATCACAACCTTATCGTTCGGGTAGGTTACCAGGCAACGGAAGGACTCAGCGCTCGAAATGACAAACTTGGTCATCGTTTCAGCGGACTGCATCTTGGCAATGTGACGCGCGACATGAATGTAGATAATAGGCATAAGGTTGTCCGTCATACCAGCTGCAAACGTCTTCGCTGCAGGTCCCTGAAGGCCGTACTTCTCATCTTCTTTGCCGAGACCCAGGTCACCCTTGATCACCAACTCCATGACTTTGGACTCAATGCGCCATTTGACACACTTGCAAAGCATGGCAAACGCACGATGCACGTTCCACTACATGGTAAGTACAATAGCCACATACCTTACGCGCGCGAAGGAACTTGAGCAGAATCATATCCGGAATGTCGGGACCAAAGAGGAACCAAAGCTGCTCATAGAACTCGTCCACACCATGTGTCTTGAAAAGCTGCTTCAGCGCCTCAGCTTCTTCATGGAGCGACTTGGCCTCTTTTGCCTTGTCTTCCTTGCTGAGGTGCGCATCGTGCGATGCGATTTCGTCACCAGGAGCGAAATGACCTTGTTTGGCCATCTCGGGATCCTTCAGCACGGAGAAAATCAAGTCCCACATGTAGGACAGCTTGCTTTTCTGATCTTCATTGAGATTACCTACATAGTCAGGTCGCATCTTTGCTGTTTACATACCATGATGGCCAGGGGCCGATGGGATTTGCTTCACCGGCAGGTATTCTGGCATGGTGGTGTGCGCGGATCCTCGGCTCCCCAAGCCAACTTTTGCCTTCCCCCGCGTTTCCCACCTGCAGGGGGTGCATAACCGGCGGCATTATTAGTCATCGCTTCCTGCTGAGCGTATCCTGGTTTCAGGCTTGCCAATTGTGCACGTGGCTGATGTCAGCCGGTGTAGCCAGGAATGAAAGGAAGACCCGACACCGGCACATGGACTAGGGCATCGGGCGATCGAGGAGTCTGATCGTGAAGACTCTAGCTAACCACATAATCCTCACGCAATCGCTGAAAAAAATGACAAATCCATGCTAAGGAGGTAATAATTTGTCGTTCATCCCGGGGATAGTACGTGGAGTTCATAGACAAAAATACAACTTAAGCCCATAAGCGGTGCTGCAAGACATGCCTCGCCACTTGGTAGCGGAAAAGTCGTCAGCTCACCATGTCTACTGCGCAAGCTGTAGGTGTTAACCACATCGCTTGGTCCAACAGTTGAATTCTATGCCTTAGATATACAAGCGAGATTGCACCATCCAATGAATGGTGTTACACCTACAGCGGACTTAATTGGGTTTAGTGGAGACCAATCATTTCGCGTGGCCAAAGATCTAAGGAAGCGAGCGTTCCAGGGACATATCAGTATTTCCATCTCTAATATTTTTTATTGGCTCTTTTACCGGAGATACACAAAGTTTTTCTTTTCTCGGGTCCCAAAATTCGAAGAATCAGCTGTTCGCGTAGCGAGTTTTAAACGTTGCGAGCCGGAATGCCGCGGATCCAGTACTTATAAAAAGGTGTAGTAGATTCCACAAGTCCTGCTCTAAAGACAATGCTCTTCTCTCGCATTAGTTCATTTGCTTTGGGGTGCGCGACCATGGCCACAGCGGCTATGGCTGCTGTGATCCAGCCTCGTGCTGAATCGTCTACAGCGGAGCCTATCCCTGTGCCGTACGACCTTCACAAGTTTTCGCTGGCCGCCGGTCTTGTTCAGCAGACCTACTGCCCAAGTACCCAGGACAAGAAGGGCCTTAAAGTTGGTGACGCTACGCTGCTGTGGACCTATGGTGATGGCGGTGACACTCAACAGCGTGTGAACTTGTACCACTCGGACAGCCTGGGTATCGCCGTTGCTATCCAGGGAACTAACATCTCGTCGTTAAAATCTATTGTTGATGATGCCCTGCTTTTTTCTGAAAAGCCTGACTGGCGTTACCGGAAATATGTACCTGATGACGTTGTCGTGATGAATGGCTTTCAGGAAGGTTACCAGGATGTGGTGGACGATGTTTTTGTGAACGTTCACAAATACATGCAGCTCAAGAACGAAGAGCGCGTGACAATTATCGGACACTCTCTTGGCGCAGCGATCGGCCTTATCCTGGCTGTGGACTTTGACAACCGTCTCGACAAGGGCATTACTGGATCATACTTGTTTGGCTTACCTCGCGTTGGTAACCCTGCATTTGCCAACTATGTGGACGCTCGTCTCGGTAAGAAGCTTCATTGGGCTGTCAATGGTCGTGACTGGGTTCCTACCGTGCCGCCGCGTGTTCTTGGATACCAGCACCCGTCAAACTATATCTGGATCAACCCTGGCAACTCCACCCACTGGAAGCTATACCCAGGCCAGGAGAATGTCCATGGCTTTACCAATGTGCTGGACACACAGTTCCCTAGCTTTGACGACCATCAGGGTGTGTACTTCCACACGCAGATTGGCACGATCCCTCGGTTTGGCAGTCACTGCCCTGCTCTGGTCGGTCAGGACTAAATGGCTTTTTTTAGTTTCTTTTTTTCATAGCCTTGCCCTTCTCATTGAAACTTGAGTTTGGCTGGCTATAACAAAGTCTACATACGTACGTAGCGCGTATCTATATTTCTCCATTTGCATAAGTTTCAACGCTTGGAGGATCCCTCGATATAATAGAACCTACTCAAACAGGGATCGACGCCGGACGAACAAATAGGTGGAGCACGGCGATCACCTAAGCGAGAGAATATAGTCGTGCGTGACCCCGTGTGCGAAGCAACCGAGGTATGCAAATTAAGAAAGCAATTTACCACAGATTCATGCAGGCCGAGAAATGCAACAGTCGGAAAAGAACATGGAATTTCTTCCTCGGGACGTTGCTGGGTCGTGATGTGGTGGTACCGGCTAGTACAGGTATTATTATGGCTAGGTACATTCGCTCTGAGTGTACATGCAAAAAACGCCCATCGTCGAGCCATCTCGTCGAACTTGCCGCCTATCCCTGTCCCATATAACATCACCAAGTTTTCGCTCGCTGCTGCCTTGGTCCAGCAATCCTATTGCGACCCAGAGAGTTACGGACCCGGCCTGCATGTAGGCGATGCAGAGCTCTTGCAAACTATTGGTGATGGCGATAAACGCCAGCGTGTTCTGCTATACCATTCAGAGAGCCTAGGTATCGTTGTGGCATATATGGGTACCAACGATTCCTCACTACAGTCCTCTATGAATGACTTTTTGTTCTTACCCGAGCCTGCCAACGATCGGTACCGACACAATATGCCCGGCAGTGTTCGCTTGATGCATGGATTTCAGCAGCCCTACGTCGATCTAGTGGATGACGTCCAGGCTGCTATCACCCAACACAAGACGGAACGAAATGAGTCGCGTGTCACCGTTATTGGCCAGTCGCAAGGCGCTGCCATAGGGTTGCTCTCTGCAGTTGACTTCCACCAGCGCCTGGATGGTGGTATTTACCGCGCCTACCTTTTTGGCCTTCCACGGCTTGGCAATCCAGTTTTTGCAAATTATGTTGACAAGACTATTGGCGATCGCCTTCGATGGGTCGTCAATGGTCATGATTGGGTACCCAATGTGCCTCTGCGCATTGCAGGATACCAGCACCCGTCTAACTACGTGTGGATTTTCCCCGCAAATTCGTCTCATTGGAAACTCTATCCTGGCCAAGAAAATATCCATGGCTTTGCGTCGGTACCGCTTGATTACTTTAAGAGTTGGGATCATGAAGGCGTTTATTTTCATACGCAGGTGGGCACGATCCGTGGCCGCTGCCCTGCCGTAGCGGGGCAAGACTTTCAATAAGTGATATTTGACACCATAGCATGGGTCTTCTGGGCACCCCTCTCTACATAGACAGTCCTGGTCAGCAAACCTAGGTACAATAGGTAGGATGTAACGGCACTTGGCCCGAAAGTGGGCCGCAATGTGGAGGTGCGCCCGAAGTGGGCACGGACCGACGACGTAGCGCTTTTTGGCGCCCTAGCGTGTTTTCAATTAAACTCATCATGACTGAGAAAAGGCGTCGTTTGGCTATTCTAACGTCCGGTGGTGACTGTGCCGGCATGAATGCGGCTGTATGTGCCATTGTTAAGCTGGCCATTTTCAACAAATGCGAAGCCTATGTTGTTCGTGAGGGCTATTCGGGCTTGGTGAAAGGCAATGGTGATTACGATATGAACCAGGATGGAGGACAGAAGTGTGAACGCATGGTCAACAATGTACCTCTGTCTTATGGCTGTGGTGATATGTTCCGTCTTGGTGATGTGCAGGCCAGCGAAAGCGAGTACAGCGAGCGATACATCGTTAAGATCGGCTGGGATGATGTCCGTGGATGGGAAGGCATGGGTGGTACACTGATTGGCACGGCTCGTTGCAAAGAGTTCCGCGAACGTGATGGCCGCCTTCGTGCTGTGTACAACCTTATACACAACGGTATTGATTCGCTAGTGGTGATTGGTGGTGACGGTAGTCTGACGGGCGCCGATATCCTTCGCCAAGAGTGGCCCAATCTTGTGGACTCGCTGCATTCCGAAGGTCGGATCTCTGATGAGCAGGCAAGGGAATTTAGGCACCTACATATTGCTGGCCTTGTTGGATCAATTGACAATGACCTCACAAGCACGGAGCTCACAATTGGCGCCTCGACGGCCTTGCAGCGTATTTCTGAATCGCTCGACTCGATTGAGAGCACAGCCTCATCGCACAGCCGTGCGTTTGTGGTCGAAGTGATGGGCCGTCATTGTGGCTGGCTCGCTTTGATGGCTGGTATTGCCTCGGGTGCCGACTACATCTTTATTCCAGAGCGTCCGCCCCCTGAAGACTGGCGCTCGGATATGCGCGAGCTGCTGCTCAAGAGTCGTGCTATGGGGAAGCGAAAGACCATTGTGATTGTTGCAGAAGGTGCGACTGATCGTGATCTTCAGCCCATCAAAGCGGATATGATTGCAGAAGTGCTTTCGAACGATTTGCACTTGGATACACGTGTCACAACACTTGGTCATACCCAACGCGGTGGCCGTCCTGACGCGAACGACCGTATTCTGGCTACATTGCAAGGCATCGAGGCTTTGAAAGCGATCCTAGAGGACAACGATACGAAGCCATCGTACATCATTGGTAACATTGGTGGTCGTGTATGCCGTATGCCGCTGCGGGAGTCGATTGCCGAAAACCAGAAACTTGCAGAAGCAATCTCTGAGCGTCGCTTCGAAGATGCAATGGCGTTGCGTGGTGCCGATTTTCGTGAAGGCATCAAGAGTTTCCTATACAACTCGACGGTCGATGCCAGTGTGAATCCACGGACGCCATCGGAATTGCTGAATATTGGTATTATGCACATGGGTGCACCATCGGGAGGTATTAACGCAGCGGCACGTACGGCGGTACGTTTCTGTTTGAACCGTGGTCACCGGCCATTGTTGATCCAGAATGGTTTCCGTGGCTTGATTAAGGGTGCGATCCATGAGGCACCCTGGCTGCGTGTGGATACATGGGCGACGTCTGGTGGCTCAGAGCTGGGTACGAACCGTATTCTGCCAGAAGAGAACTACGAGGCTGTGGCCGAGCAGCTGGAGAAGCACAACATTGATGCCTTGTTGATCATCGGTGGCTTTGAAGCTTTCCTTGCTATCAAGCAGCTTAGTGAGAAGCGTTCGGAGCATGCCGCGTTTCGTATTCCGATGATTGCATTGCCAGCGACACTCTCGAACAACCTGCCATTGAATGAGTATACGGTGGGTACGTACACGTCGCTGAACACCCTGGTCAGCACGTGTGATATGATCACGCAGTCGGCCTCCGCATCGCGCAACCGTGTATTTGTCGTGGAAGTGCAAGGTGGACAGTGTGGCTTTGTGGCTGTGGTGGGCTCTCTGGCTGTGGCAGCGACGGTGGTGTACACGCCAGAAGATGGTGTTGCGCTCGATCGCCTCCACAAGGATATTGGCTTTATGCGTCGCCGGTTCCAGGCGGATCCAGAAGACGCCAACGACGGTCGTCTCGTGATCTGCAACGAGCGTGCTTCGTCGGTGTATACAGCGCAAACTCTGGCGCATATTTACGGCGAGGAAGGTCATGCCATCTTCGACAGTCGCTACGAGCGTCTGAGCCACATCCTCCAGGGAGGTACGCCCTCGCCACTGGACCGTGTGTACGCCTCGCGCCTGGCTGTGCGCTGCTGTGAGTTCTTGGAAGAACATGCAGGTGCATCGGCTGCTTGGGACCCTCCTTCGGCTATGATCACCTTGCGTCTCGGTGAAATCAACATCCTACCCATTTCCAAGATCGTGGAGCACGCGGACTTTGAGAACCGCACAGGCAAGGATATTTGGTGGGCACCGCTGAAAGACTATGTAGAGATCATTAGTGGACAGCCGATTATGTAGAATGCTATGTAGAGAGAGTTTCTTCCGTGTCTCGCATCCGTTTCTTTTCACGTGCACGCTCTAGCATGAGCTGTTGTCGCAGTCTGCCTTCTTCACTACGGGCGGCACGACGCGCCTGCTCCAAGTTGTTTGCCACCATCGTAGTGTGCTGTGCCGCCAAGCTGCTGTCATGTGTGCTGTACATCTTAATGCCCTCAATCTGGACGCCCGCTAAGATCATACCAGATACAATTAGGAGCAGGAAGATGCGCTGATTCCAAGGCGCTGCTTCTTCTTGACGCCGCTTCGCTTCATCCGGTGAGACATTGTGGAAGCCATAAAAGTTCGAGGAGGTAGAGTTGTGCTGTGCCATACGCTGCCAAGGCGCATGATGCCCTTGGTGTGCAGCACGACGAAGAACCTCAGACCACATGTGCCAGTGCTCCCATTCATCGGCCGTTCGTGGACGGAACTGACCACGACCTTGCCAGGCGGTAGATGGCTGTGTTGGTGATCCATAGTCCCATCCAGCAGCATATTTGTCATATAAAGACCGTTTCTTGGGGTCTTTCAGTAGTTCATACGCCTTTACAACAGCTCGGAACTTTTCAAGCCGCTGAGTTTTTTCTGATTCAGAGATCTCGGCTACGATAGCATCTGGGTGCAATGTTTTGACATGCTCATAGTACTTGGCCTTAATGTCCGACGTGGACGCGGATTTTGGCAGGCCAAGTAGCTCATATGGCGACGCATGAATGGCCTGGACATGGTGACCACAAGAGAAGCAACGTCGACCTACATATGTGTGACGCGCTAGCGTGTGGATGGATCGTGTGTGCGTGCCTGGCCGCCACGTTGAAGAGGCGTGCGACGTGGCACTGCGCTCCAGTACAGAGGCATGGGTATCTGATTCCGTATCGCAAGGCGACAACTGCGATGGTAATGTCAAGTGAACGGGAGAAGGATCGTCCATATAGGATGAAGAGGCCTGCCATACCGCCTCTACAGGCTGCGATGTCATGGGCTCATCCTCCTCTGCGGCTTCACGACGAGACTCCTCAATCAAATCCATGGCGGCGCTGATGTCTGGATAATAAATAGGGGGCAAGTCATCGTCGTCCTGGTCCGTAGCCTTAGGACATTGGTAGGACTTGGATGTGGCGACAGCCGAACGCGAGACCCATCGTTTCAGGCTAGGACTTGCAAGCCTCTGCGGCGGTTGCGCCATACCATACAAGAAGATGCGTATATACGCTGTTCTAGACATAATGGGATACATGGTACGGAACAGATATGGCGAAGGGCAAAATCAACCCAACGTCACGCCAGGCCTTCAAGGCACAAAAAGATAGCTCCGGTGGGGCTCTGAGCAACGTTTGCCACTAAGATGTGGAGGCATAGCATGGCTCAAGAAAACGCGCCGAGAGGCGGCGGCTAGAAACTGGGCTAGACGCGAGCGTCCCTTCATCTACGTATCATACAGATTCGGGAAGTTGGGTATATAATAAGATAAAAATGAAAAAGTAGACTGTTAGTCCATGCCAGACACAGCCAAACGCGCGTTGGCTTGCGTGAGAGCCGTATCCAGGGCGGCGATCAGCTCATGCGAATCTACGTGTCAGTGGAATTGCTTTTGTCGTACCTTGAATTTCCTGCTCGCATGCTTTGATATGCTCCATGGATGTCGTCTGAAGCAGGTCATCAATGCGTTGAGCTAGGTCATCGTTCTCCCTCTGGAGCTGATCAACGCGTTGCAAAAGACGCAACCCCAAAATAGGATGCTCGTGCAATGCATCCTCTTCGTCTGGCTCGGACATAGGGTTGCCCGTCTGCAATGCCTTAAGACTTTCCTCCGCTCGGAAACATAGGGCAGAAACACGAAGCTCTAAAGCTCGCTCTCGCTCTGAGAAAGCCTCAAATATACGCTTCAAATCGTTCCATGAATATTTTTGTATGTCCTTGTCCTCCAAAGGAAGAGGAAGGGTAGGACGTGTAGGTAATGGAGGAAAGGACTTGGACAAGGGTGCATTTCCTGCATGGTTCATGATGATGATGGTCAAGAGAAGCAGGAACGCGGGGGGGTTCCTGTGCGCTCTCTCATGGACTTCGGCCGATAATCCATATGAAGATGAAGGTTCGTCCCTGACAACAGCCACCACCAGTACTATGATCTGGGCCTTCTGGGAATGGCTCCAGAGTCTGTTCTACACGAAGGAGCTGGATATATGCCTTGTGGGCCTCCCCAACGCTGGTAAAACTACACTGGCGGGAGTGTTAACGAACGGCGAGTATATCGAGGGTGTATCACCCACTGTGGGGTACAATCTTCGGCAGCTTCGCAAGGGGTATGTCCAAATGAAGATCTGGGACCTTGGGTATGTTAGTATACTACTTACCATGGAGTGGACAGCCGCGATTCCGGACCATGTGGGAACGGTACTGCACTGGAGCTTCGGCCATTGTGTTCTTAGTCGACGCAAGTGTACCTCGTCCGAAATCGCCAGGGCCTCCTGCTAGCATGGAGGCGGAAGAAAAACGAAGCCAACAATGGACAACAGCTCGAGAAGAACTGCATACCCTGCTAACGCATACGTCGCTAGCCAGTGTCCCTCTACTAGTCCTGGCTACCAAGTGTGACGTGCCTGGCCATGCGACACACGACGAAGTGGTGTCGCAAATGAAGTTGACATCAATTCGGGATCGAGAGGTGTTTTGCTACAGCATTAGCAGCCGCACAAAAACAAACATTGACGTCGTACTTCGCTGGCTGTGTGCGCGTAAATGATGCACGACAATATATGAATGTAGTTTAGGTCATGTACAGTATAAGAAAAAAATTGGTATATTGGGCATAAGACGACATACATATTTACATGAAGCGCATTGAGCGGAGCTCATGGGCTTGTTCCACCTCCGTGGTGGACGGAGAAGGGCCCAAAAACGGTGGCGTCAGACCCAAGTGATGTGCGAGTTGTTCGTCTAGAGAACGGTTTTGTGACGGTTGCTCGCCGTCTGAGGAGAAAATGGTATGATGACGCATTCCTAAGCCAGGTCGGATCACATAGTCTTCCGCCGAGTGGTCCAAGGTCGAATTGAAGAACTGGACGTCGGACATGAGGGACTGACCCAAACGGCCAGCAACTCGAGTTACAGCCCGAACAGGATCAAAGCCCATCAAATCATTCCACATACCGGACGACGCCGGCTCCTGCGTTGTGGCAGTCTGGGCAGAGGGCAACTCCTGAGCCGCAGCAGCTTGTGCCGCGTCGCGCTCTCGTTGACGCGCAGCTGCAACAAGCCGCGCACTCTTGACGTAGAGAAGAACAAACCGGACAGTCGATTCCACAACCAGAATCAGGCCAATGATGGCTATCGTTCTGCACACAGTACGTGACCATGCGATGTACTCAGGGGAAGGCAATGGATGATCGTCATGGTTCTTTTTCGATGCGGCGTCATCGGGAGACTGTGCTTGCTTCGCCAAGGCCTCTTTCACGGCAGTATCGACGCTTTGGAGCATATCTGTTCCGTATTGGAGCAGTGCGACACCAAGACCGGCACGACTGCCAAACTTGGCAGCGTGAGTCGAATGCAAGAGAAATGTAAGAACAAACCCGACAAATTGGAACATAGAGCTGACAAACAGATTCCATAGAAAGGCAAAGATCGTTCCCACCGTCATACCATAGTGCAGCATATCTTCAGGCTCTCCAATGTACACACTCTCAGGCGTCCATGCACCATCTGCCTCCGTAATCAGGCCACCACCAAACACGGTGCTTTCAAAATACGTCGGCGCTGCATCAGCTGCCGCGTCTTCATACGTGGGGGGCAAAGTATCGTCAGCCAGGTCATCATCATCACCACGGTCGTGTGGGTCAAGCGTTTCCCGCGCACGCTCAGGCTTAGCATTTATGTTGGAAAACACACCGTCTTGGACAATGCCGCCACCATACCGACGGCCAGCTTCACCATGCGAGTATTGTGTAGAGAGGTTTGTGTACGAGATACCAGGCAGATTCATACCAGCTAAACGTCCAAATCGTGCCAAAGCCAATCGAGCGCGATCAAGCCATGACGATGCATGCTGGTACTGCGTGGATGCGTTACCGTCCAAGGAGGCTTCTAAATCCTCATTGTTCTGATCAAAGACGACATGATGTGTGTCACTCCGAGACGATTGAGGCGGGAAGGTATGCACACCGGAGCTGTCGCTCATCCCTCCTGAGGCCATCCGTGTTGCGGAAGCTCGGTGTTGGATCCAACGTAGCACGGACAAACAGTGTAGCGTACCCCGATGGGGTGTCGATTCCATGTGTGTAAATCCCTGTCTTGGAAATAAGAACTTCGTCGGTCGCTCTTCGCGCTTGCGAACGCTTGGCTTTCGCGCACGACGATGTCGAAGGTGTCCCAGCCTGAGCTCAAGCGATTCCTAGACAAGCGTGTGCTTATTAACATACAAGGTGGGCGTAAGATTCAGGGCACGCTGCGTGGATATGACCTGTTCCTGAACCTTGTGGTGGACGAGGCGGTCGAGCAAGTCCAAGCAGAAAACAACCAAAACCTCTGGAAGGACGGTGCTCACTGTGGTACTGTGGTATGTATTAACACAAATTCCTCAGATATATGAAATACTAACACAGCTAGGTGGTTCGTGGCAATAGTGTCAACAGTCTGGAGGGCCTTGAAGCTATCAACACACGGTAATCAAGATGGATTACGATTCGCATGCCTGGAGAGTGAACAGCGTCCGTGTTATTGGCGCCGCTCCATCGAATGTATGATATACATGTACTGCCATCCGTGCAATTGATATGGTATACCGATAGACACAATGCATCCTGTGTCCGACATTTAACTTGGCCGTGCACTTTCACGCCGAAGAAGACATTAGTCTTGCGCTTTATAGTTCTAGTGTCATGCTTTCGGAGGGCAACTATCACCGTAGATAGGGTGCTCTTACGCCATCGTGATACGCCAACGAGGGGCACAATGCTGTCATTAGATAATCATGTAGGTGTCATGCCAAGCCCGCTCTTGTTTCTAAACGCCAGTCTATCACCATGGTGACGCCCAAGATCCGCGACGCTACGCCTGAGGATATACCAACGATCCTTCACTTTGTACGTTCGTGCTATCTAACATTCAGATCCAGCAACTGGCTATCTACGAGAAGGCACTTGATCAGGTCGAGGCTACAGAGGAGCTGGTATGTACCGTTCATGCATATTAACTGTGACAGCTGAAAGAAACCCTGTTCACGAATCCATATGCGCGTTGCATTATTGCCGAAATTGAAGATGGTACTCAGGGGCTAAAGCCTGTAGGTTTCTCCTTGGTATGTATGCACAATATCTAATCACAGTACTTCTTTGCATACTCGACATGGACTGCACGACCGACTTTGTTCCTTGAGGATCTGTTTGTGCTGCCAGAGCACCGAAACGCTGGTATCGGCAAACACCTCTTCAAACGTCTTGGTGAGATTGCAAAGGAGAACAAGTGCCCACGCGTGGACTGGCACGTCCTTGATTGGAATGCGTATGTACAGGATAAATGCCCTAACGACAGACCCTCTATTGCATTCTACGAAAAGTCTCTCGGCGCAAAGATGCACTCTGAATGGCGCCTAATGCGTCTTGAGCGGGACGGCATTGAACGTTTGGCGAATTTCATCTAAATAGGTTGCCCCGCACCATGCGACTGTCTACATAGGCAAACAGGCGTTCCAGTGGATGTCGTTATGTCATTGGTCGGGTTAACGGCTGGCCCATCCACCGCACTAGGTCACCGCGCGCTGGTGTCACGCCAACCCCTATTTGTGCCAGCATGGACCCCTCTAGTATTCCAGGTGGCAGCGGTGGCTACGAGCTGCACCAGAAGCTGCGCACGAAGACAGTCCGCCTTCTTCGTAAGAAGAAATATGAGGAGGCGATTGAGACGCTGTACAGCGGCTCGATGCAGCTTTTGGACATGAAGGAAGAAGGTAGTGCCTGTGATCTGGCAGAGTACCTGCTGGATGTGTATACACAAGCAGATGTGTCTGTGACAGACGAGTCGCGTGGTACGTACCAAGATTCACTAATGCCAGACCGTATCACAAACATTCTAGGCAAGACGACGTCACCGATGTGGCGTAAGAAGACGATCGCAGCAGCGATCAAGTGGTCGACAGCCAAGGCAAAGCACCCTCTGGGTGACGAGAAGCTGCGTATCTTCTTGGCTGACCTACTTCGTAAAGGTACGTATAGGTGCCCTGACATCGCAGATAAGCAGTACTTTGATGCCGAGGCGCAATTCATCGCAGCGTGTGCATTCAGCAGTGCCCCGGCCAAGGTGTTTGCCGAGATGCTTCTGCAATGGAATGCAGAGTATGCCGAGGCGCTTGCGGAGACAGACCCAAACAAGCCAAGTAAGGATTCGGTGGAGCGTGTTCTTACTGGTACCTTTGCCTTACGCGGTTGGATTCCGTATGTATCTATGGCACTTACGTTAGGCTGCTGTTAGTGAATGCTCCGAAGAGCGCAGATGAGTTCCTCAAAGCGTATGTGCAAGGTGCTACGCAGCGACATTCTACGCTGCTTCTCCCTATGAAGCCTAACCCGCGCGAATACAAATCGCCCGCCAAGGCTTCGACGCATGAGACGACTATCTACATGACGGCCAGCCCGGCGCTCAACTTTTCGCAAAATGCCATTGCATTGGTGATGGATGCGGATGGAAAGAAGCCTGTACCTGATGAGATGAAAGTAGCGTGGCAGATTCTCATGCGGCAATTCCTGCAAGAAGGTGGTTTGAACGGTTTGGAATCGGTCTTGGAGGTGCGTATGATGTACGAATAACATGAAGCTTCTCTCGCAAATTTCCACGCGTTACTTTGACTTGGAACCACCTCGCCGTCAAATGGACATGATTTCGAGCATGTTTTCGAGTATGATGGGATCGGGCGGTGCGAGCGAGGCAGCGGATGCGAAGACAGCCGTGTCGATTAAGCAACTGCCACGACCTGCTGAGCCGGAGAAAATGAAAAAAGAGCATGCTTCTGCCTCATCTGCCCCAGCAGCATCGGAAGCGGATGAGCTTGTGGACGACGAAATGGATTAATAGGAACACAACTATAGAACGCTCATCATTGTAGCCTTCTCTCCTTCGTTACAGGCGCTGTTGTTGTAAGGTTGATTAGTCAGCACATGGGTCTTCCGTCGGCGCGTGACGATGATTTTCCTCCTCATCGCCACGACTGACGACTGACGTCACGTACGGCTTCGTTGAAGGTTCGTGAGTGAGCAGCCAACATGGTGGTACCGCCGCCGCCAGGATATGTCAGTACACCAGGAGGTGCTCCGCCTGGGTACGTGGCGCCTGGGCGTGAGCCTCAGCCGATGAGTGCTGCGGAACTGGCTGCGAAAGCACGCAAGTGGAAGCAGACACAGAGTCGCAAGTATGGTGACCGCCGTGAGAAAACGGCGCTTCTTGACACAGGAAAGCAGGAACTTCCTCCAGAGCATGTCCGTAAGATTATCAAGGACCATGGCGATATGAGCAATCGTAAATACCGTGCCGAGAAGCGTGTGCATCTTGGTGCACTGAAATATGTCCCACACGCGATGATGAAGCTGCTGGAAAATATCCCAATGCCTTGGGAGCAGGTGCGTGAAGTGCCTGTGTTGTATCATATTACAGGTGCCATCACCTTTGTGAACGAAACGCCACGTGTTGTTGAGCCGATTTACCATGCACAATGGGCGACAATGTGGCTGGCTATGCGACGCGAGAAGCGTGATCGTCGGCACTTTAAGCGTATCCGATTCCCTCCCTTTGATGATGAAGAGCCGCCGATCGACTATGGCGACAACATTTTGGATGTTGAGCCATTGGAGGCGATTCAGTTGGAGCTGGATGAGGACGAAGATGCAGCGATCATTGATTGGTTTTACGATCACAAGCCACTCATCAAGGATGCGCGCTACATCAATGGCCCTTCGTACCGATTCTGGACGCTGGATTTGCCGAAGATGGCGGCACTGTACCGCCTGGGCCGTACGTTGCAAAGCGACTTTGCGATGGGTGATCGCAACTACTTTTATCTGTTTGATCTCAAGTCGTTTTACACGGCCAAGGCACTGAATGTAGCGATCCCCGGTGGCCCCAAGTTTGAGCCCCTGTTTAAGGATATGGACGACTACGATGATGATTGGAACGAGTTTAACGATATCCGCAAAGTGATTATTCGGCACCAGATTCGCACAGAGTACAAAGTGGCATTCCCTCATTTGTACAACAGCCGCCCAAGGGCTGTGGCGCTGAACACGTACCACGAGCCGAAGAACGTGTTTGTGCGTACGGACGACCCCGACCTGCCTGCGTTCTACTTTGACCCTTCGCTGAATCCGATTTCCAGCCGGACGCTGGGCACAGATCACCTATTCCGTCCGCACTACAACGATGGCGAGCCTGTGCTGTCGCATGAGGATGTGGTCTTTGGTGAAGGTGTGCAAGGCGACGATGAGCTGCCAGATGAAGAGGCCTTTGTCCTGCCAGATGGCATTGAGCCGTTTTTGCAAGAGGCGCCACTAGAGAACGAGCTTACAGCAGATGCAATTGCGCTGTGGTGGGCTGCGCCGCCATACCATCGCCGAAGTGGCGTGACGCGACGGGCTGTGGATGTGCCACTGATCAAGGCGTGGTACTTGGAGCACTGTCCTCCAGGCCAGCCTGTCAAGGTGCGTGTGAGCTACCAAAAGCTGCTCAAGAAGTACGTGCAGAACACACTTCATGCTCGCCCCTACAAGGCACAGTCGAAGAAGTATTTGTTCCGCCAGCTCAAGTCGACCAAGTTCTTCCAAACGACCCATCTTGACTGGCTAGAGGCGGGTCTGCAAGTGGTGCGCCAGAGTTTCAATATGTTGAATCTGTTGATCCACCGTAAGGCGTTGACGTACTTGCACCTGGACTACAATATGAACTTGAAGCCAGTCAAGACGCTGACGACCAAGGAGCGCAAAAAATCGCGATTCGGTAATGCATTCCATCTTGTGCGTGAGATGGCCCGTATGACGAAGCTGATTGTCGATGCGCATGTGCAATTCCGACTGGGCAACTGTGATGCGTATCAGTTGGCCGATGGCCTGCAGTACCTGCTGAACCATGTCGGCCAGCTGACGGGTGTTTACCGATACAAGTACAAAGTGATGCACCAAATTCGTGCCTGCAAAGATTTGAAGCATGTCATTTACTACCGCTTCAATGCGGGGCCTGTGGGTAAGGGTCCAGGTGTAGGCTTCTGGGGCCCCTCATGGCGCGTATGGATTTTCTTCATGCGTGGCATTACGCCACTACTTGAACGCTGGCTTGGCAACCTGTTGGCGCGTCAGTTTGAAGGCCGCAATGGACGTACAGGTGGCAAGTCTGTGACAAAGCAGCGTGTAGAGTCGCACTTTGACCTGGAGCTGCGTGCGGCTGTGATGCACGACTTGCTTGATATGATGCCGGAAGGGATCAAGCAGAACAAGAGCAAGACGATTCTGCAGCACTTGACCGAGGCCTGGCGCTGCTGGAAAGCCAATGTGCCGTGGAAGGTGCCGGGCATGCCCACAGCGATTGAGAATGTTATTCTGCGGTACGTCAAGTCCAAAGCCGATTGGTGGACGTCAGTGGCCCACTACAACCGTGAGCGCATTCGCCGCGGTGCCACGGTCGATAAGACGGTAAGCCGCAAGAACTTGGGTCGTTTGACGCGTTTGTACCTCAAGGCCGAGCAGGAGCGCCAGAATGCGTACCTCAAGGACGGCCCATACATCACCTCCGAGTCGGCTGTGGCGATTTACACGTCGACCGTACACTGGCTTGAAAGCCGGCGTTTCCAGCCGATTCCCTTCCCGTCGCTCAACTTCAAGCACGATACCAAGCTGCTGGTCCTGGCGCTCGAAAAGCTCAAGGAGGCGTACAGTGTCCAAGGCCGTCTGAATCAGACGCAGCGTGAAGAGCTCGCCCTGATCGAGCAGGCGTTCGACAACCCACATGAGACACTAGCGCGTATCAAGCGCCTGATGCTAACGCAGCGTGCGTTCAAAGAGGTGGGACTGGAGTTCTTCGATACGTTTGCGAAACTGGTGCCGACATACGACATTGAGCCGATGGAGAAGATCACGGATGCGTACTTGGATCAGTACCTTGCGTACGAGGCGGACAAACGCGCTCTCTTCCCGGCCTGGATCAAGCCCAGTGACCAAGAGCCTCCGCCGCTGCTTGTGTACAAGTGGTGCAATGGCATTAACAATCTGCAGGACGTTTGGGAGACGTCGCAGGGCGAATGTACAGTGCTTATGGAGACGACGCTGTCGAAGGTGTTTGATAAGGTCGATATTACGCTGCTCAATCGCCTGCTGCGTCTGATTATGGACCACAACTTGGCCGACTACATTACGGCGAAGAACAATGTGTCGATTGTCTGGAAGGATATGGCGCATGTGAATTCGTACGGTCTGCTACGTGGTCTTCAGTTCTCTGGCTTCGTGTTCCAGTACTACGGCATGATCCTTGACCTGCTTATCTTGGGTCTGCGCCGTGCTAGTGATATGGCTGGCTCGCCCAAGATGCCGAATGGGTTCTTGCAGTACGAGAGTCCTGAGATCGAGACGCGGCACCCTGTGCGTATGTACATGCGGTATGTCGATCGTGTGCACATTCTCTACCGCTTTACGGCAGACGAGGCGCGCGACTTGATCCAGCGGTACCTGAGTGCGAACCCTGATCCGAACAACAGCAACATGATCGGGTACAACAACAAGAAGTGTTGGCCACGTGACAGTCGTATGCGCCTGAACAAGCATGATGTGAACCTGGGCCGGGCGGTGTTCTGGACGGTGAAGAACTCGCTGCCGCGCAGTTTGACGACGATTGAGTGGGACGACACGTTCGTGAGTGTGTACAGCAAAGACAACCCCAACCTGCTTTTCTCGATGCAAGGCTTTGAGGTGCGCATTCTCCCGAAGATGCGCCAGGGTGATATGGGCGAGCAGCGCGATGGCGTTTGGTCGTTGGTTCACGCTTCGACAGGAGAGCGTAGTGCGCAGGCCTACCTGCGTGTGTCGGACGAGTCGATTGCCGCCTTCCACAACCGTGTGCGTCAAGTGTTGATGGCAGCGGGCTCGTCGCCTTTTGCGAAGATTGTGAACAAGTGGAATACGACACTGATTGGCCTCATGACGTACTTCCGTGAAGCGGTCATTCATACCAATGAGCTGCTGGACCTGCTGGTGAAGTGTGAGAACAAGATCCAGACCCGTGTGAAGATTGGTCTGAACAGCAAGATGCCCTCGCGCTTCCCGCCGGTGGTATTCTACAGCCCGAAGGAGCTCGGTGGGCTGGGCATGCTCTCGATGGGCCACGTGCTCATTCCGCAGTCGGATCTGCGGTGGTCGAAGCAGACAGATACAGGTATCTCGCACTTCCGCTCTGGTATGAGCCATGATGAGGACCAGCTGATCCCGAACTTGTACCGTTACATTCAGAGCTGGGAGTCAGAGTTCCTCGACAGTTCGCGCGTATGGTCCGAGTATGCCAATAAGCGTCGCGAGGCGAACGCCCAGAACCGACGATTGACGCTGGAGGATTTGGAAGATGCATGGGACCGTGGTATTCCGCGTATCAACACACTGTTCCAGAAAGACCGCACGATTTTGTCGTATGACAAAATGTGGCGTCTGCGCAACGAGTTCAAGCAGTATCAGCTGTTGAAGTACAATCCGTTCTGGTGGACGTCGCAGCGCCACGACGGTAAGCTGTGGCAGTTGAATCAGTACCGTACCGATATTATTGCGGCGCTGGGCGGTGTGGAAGGCTGCTTGGAGCACACACTGTTCAAGGGCTGCAACTTCCCTACGTGGGAAGGTCTCTTCTGGGAGAAGGCCTCAGGCTTTGAGGATCAAATGAAGCACAAGAAGCTGACAAATGCCCAGCGGTCCGGTCTTTCGCAGATTCCCAACCGTCGCTTTACGTTGTGGTGGAGTCCGACGATCAACCGTGCGAATGTGTATGTCGGTTTCCAGGTCCAGCTTGATTTGACGGGTATTTTCATGCACGGCAAGATTCCCACGCTGAAGATCTCGCTGATCCAGCTGTTCCGTGCGCACTTGTGGCAGAAGATTCACGAGAGTATTGTCATGGACTTGTGTCAGGTGTTTGATCAGGAGCTGGAGGCGCTGCAGATTGAGACGGTGCAGAAAGAGACGATCCATCCACGCAAGTCGTACCGTATGAATGCGTCGTGTGCGGATATTGTGCTGTTTGCGAGCTACAAATGGCCGATGTCCAACCCTTCGCTGCTCACGGACTCCCGCGACGTGATGGGCGGCGCGACGGGATCCAAGTGGTGGATCGATGTGCAGCTGCGTTGGGGCGACTTTGACTCGCACGACATTGAGCGATACTGCCGTGCGAAGTACTTGGACTACACTACCGACAACACGTCGATTTACCCGTCGCCGACCGGTGTGCTCATCGGCATTGACTTGGCGTACAGTATGCATTCGGCGTATGGCTCGTACATCCCGGGCGCCAAGCCGCTGCTACAGCAGGCGATGGCGAAGATCATGAAAGCCAACCCTGCGTTGTACGTGCTGCGCGAGCGTATCCGCAAGGGTCTGCAGCTCTACAGTTCCGAGCCGACGGAGCCGTACTTGAACTCGGGCAACTATGCCGAGCTGTTCAGCAACCAGGTGATTTGGATGATCGATGATACCAACGTGTACCGCGTCACGATCCACCGTACGTTTGAAGGCAACTTGGTGACGAAGCCCATCAACGGTGCGATCTTTATCTTGAATCCACGCACAGGCCAGCTCTTCCTCAAGGTGATTCATACATCGGTATGGGCGGGTCAGAAACGTCTGGGCCAGCTGGCCAAGTGGAAGACGGCCGAAGAAGTCGCAGCGTTGGTGCGTTCGCTGCCGGTGGAAGAGCAGCCGAAGCAGGTGATTGTCACACGCAAAGGTATGCTGGATCCATTGGAAGTGCACCTGCTCGACTTCCCGAACATTGTGATCAAAGGCTCGCAATTGCAGCTGCCCTTCCAGGCCTGCATGAAGCTGGAAAAGATTGGCGACTTGATTCTGCGGGCGACGCAGCCGCAGATGGTCCTCTATTCGCTGTACGACGACTGGCTCAAGAGCATTTCGTCGTACACGGCGTTCTCGCGCTGTATTCTGCTGCTGCGTGCCTTGCATGTGAATGCGGAAAAGACCAAGGTCATCTTGCGGCCGAACATCAACACGGTGACGCAGCCGCATCACATTTGGCCGTCGTTCTCGGACGAGGAGTGGATCAAGGTGGAGATTGCGTTGCGTGATCTCATCTTGCAGGACTATGGTCGCCGCAACCAGGTGGCTGTGGCGAGTCTTACGTCGAGTGAGATCCGTGATATTATCCTGGGTATGGAGATTTCGTCGCCATCGCAGCAGCGTCAGCAGATGGCCGAGATTGATCAGAACCAGGCACAGCAGCAAGTCACTGCGACACAGACACGCACGGTGAATGTGCATGGTGACGAGATCCAAACGGTCACCACGACGCAGTACGAGAACCAGGTGTTCAGCTCCAAGAGCGACTGGCGTATTCGGGCGCTGAGTGCGACGAACCTACCGCTGCGTTGCCAGCATCTGTACGTCTCGAACGACGATGTGCGCGAGGATGCTGGTGCGTTGACGTATGTCATTCCGAAGAACATTCTCAAGACGTTCATTATGACCAGCGATCTGCGTGCGCAAGTGGCAGGGTACCTGTACGGTGCGTCGCCGCCAGATATGCCTGCCGTCAAGGAAATCAAGCTGATTGTGTGGGTGCCGCAGCGTGGCAGTAACACGGGCGTGGAATTGCCGGAGCAGCTGCCTACGCATGACTACATGCTCAAGGATCTGGAGCCTCTTGGCTGGATCAAGACGCAGGCACAAGACCTGCCGCACCTGGCGCCGGCCGACGTTGCGACGCATGCACGCATGATGGCGGCGCACCCAGAATGGGGCGCGCACAGTGTGTGCGTGACATGTGCGTTTACGCCCGGCTCGGTGAGTCTCTCGGCGCATACGCTCAGTGTGGAGGGCTTTGAGTGGGGCCGCAAAGCGTCGGCGGCCGATGCCATGGGCCCTGCGCCGGGCTTTGCGCCGAGCATGGTCGAGAAGGCGCAGTTGCTTCTGAGTGACCGCATCCTTGGCACGACGTTAGCGCCGTCCGATGGCGCGTGGAACTATGGCCTGTCGCTCAGTGCGCAATGGACGCCGCATTTCCAGTACTCGCTGCAATTGGCGCCGCCGGCGGCCTACTGGGACGAAATCCATCGTCCGCAAAACTTCTTGTCGTTTACCGGCGCGTTGCCGGACGACGAGAATGCGGCGGATTGGCAAAATGCTCTCGAGTAACGAGGGTGTTTGGTATACATACATAGACAGGTCTAGATGTTAGGCGGTATCTGACAAGTACAACACTTCCACGCCAAGGAGCGGCGGTGTCGGCTGCAACGACGATAGAGAGGCTTTGACGCCGACCGAGAGGAGGCATCGATGCCATGCGCCCTCCCAAAGAAGAGCCAGCAGACCTGTCGCACTCAGGCGCGCCTTGAGAATGCCCAGGTAGGGTGTAGTGGCCGTCGTCCCTGTCGTCGTGCGCGCGGAAGTGTCGTCGGACGCAGCGGCACGCAGGATGGCCGGTGTCCTCGGCTGGACTGGCGTCGATGGCAGCGCAGGATCCAGCTTGGTGTCCCGCAGCGACATGTGTACATCGTCTTTCGGCATCGCGCATACGCCTACACGCTCGCGCTGCGTGGGGCTGGACGCCGAATCCACCGACGAGAAGGACGCGCGGTCGTCCTCCGGCAAACGATGCAAGCGGTACTCGGCGCCCAGCGTCCAGTCCGACTGGTACGAGTACACATTGAAATCGTAGCGTGTGCTTACAAGCACATCGTCATCCAGCTGAGCCGCGTACGAGGCACGTACATGCCCCATCATGGGATTCAGCGTGAGCGTCGCTACGGCTGGCGAAGCTGGCGAGGACGTGGCGCCTACGGCGTACGCTGCGCCCTGCGGCATACTCCAGCGCGAGCCGATCGAGACACCGGCGCTTTTTTCTGCGGCGCTGAAAAAGACCTCAGCGCCGGCGCTAACAATTCCACGCTGCGTGAGCGATGAAAACTGCCGCAGGTATCGGAAGCCCCACAACGCGTCGTCCAGCGAGTAGCTGTACTCGGCCGTCGAGTGGGGTGTCTGGTGCTGGCACGTCAGCAGCAGGTTGGTCGTTCCCGGTGGACCGAGGACCAGGTCTTCTTCTGACAGGGCCGTCGTACTGGAGGAAGAGGCGGTAGTGCTGCGTTCCGGGCGTGTGAGAAGGCCCAGGCGGCGGCCTAGCGGTACCAGTGGATACCGCGGTGCACGTGAGAGAGCCGTGGCCATGAGCTGCCAATGCTCTGAGAGGCGCGTCACACACAACGCCTCGACACAGCCGCTCGGGGCATGGATACTGCCGAACAGCAACGCCTCGCGAGGGGCGCTGGGATCGAAATGAGGCGTGCCACGATGCTGTTGGTCAGGTAGAAGGAAGTACGAAGCGCGTGTCATGCGGTGCTTGGGATCAACGACGCATGTGATATTCAGTGGGGCCTTGGTCGATGCGTATGCATACGCCAAAGCGGCAGAGAACGGCAGCGATGACGTCCGCGCACTAGCCATGAACGACGACGTCGGCACGGACGCCGACGAGAAGGTCAAATAGCGTGGGATCGGGAAGTCCAAGAGCGCTGCGGCTTAGCAGAATGTATACATACTCTCACTCGCACGCATCAGATGCAGGTACGAGCGCTGCTCGTCCCACCCAGTTGCGCGGTAGTACGCGCGCAACAGCACCGATGCGGTATCGTACATGGTGGATAGGCCTACGTAGTTCTATGTGGAGGCGATGCGAAAGTCGCGCCGCGCAGTCCCAACATGACAGAACGCTGGGCGTGGCGGCTTAGGCGCCAAAAATGTGCTCGACTTCGTCGATGCCGCCAGGCTTGGGCGACGGCAGAGGCACGTCGGGGATGAGAATGTCTGGTTCAGGTGCAGGGACGTTGTCGCCTTGCTCACTGGAAATCGCATCTTCAACGAGGTCCTTCATACTCCAGTGAAGGGGTGGACGTTGCATGCCTGGACTGGAATTCACACGGCGATGGTACGCAAGGGCCGGCGACGACGTGGAAAGCAGCGAGAAGGAGACATTCCGCATGTGACGGCGTGTTTTTGTGGAGGCCGAGGTCTCCGACGTCGGTGGCGCAGCTACCGTGGACGACCTACGCCGCGCGGACGGCGCCGGGGAAGGCGAACGTGTAGGCGACGGTACCGACGGGGCGAGGCGGGGCGAGCGTGATAAGTAGGTCATTTCGCGGGGACTGAGATGCTCCCAGTCGTTTTGGCCAGCGTCAGTCGTGGACGACGACGAGGTAGAAGCCGCTGTGGACGAAGAGGTAGGCAGCATCGATGTGGCATCAGGGTGGGTGGGTGTAGGGGCTGTCAGTGACTCCAACGGGACATTGGCAAACAGCTCCTGGAGCATATCTTCGTACGCATCCAGGTACCCATCCGTCGGGACGCTGGCAATGTAGCGGCCTGGCGTGCTGGCCACGCTGGACGTACGCCGAGCAGGGAACGCCTCGCGCTCAAATGCATCTCGATCAGCCTCCGCATGGGAGGGTGCCGTAGGCTGGTGGGGCGCATGCGCGCCAGACCCATGCTTGGCCCCATCCGTGTCGTCCGCTGCTGAGAGTGTTTGCTGCTGCAAGACGGGCGGCTGGAAATGGTAGCGCGTCTGGTTGTAATATTGGATCAACGTACGAAGTGTCTGCTCGTCCGCCAAGGAAGTCTCAACCTCCGACTCCACATCGCCGCCGCCTGGCCAGTCATCACGGAGCGACGGACGGCAGCGCAGGTAAATCTGTGTGATGATCCGCATGTTGGACTGACGCCATTTGCGGCCACAGTAGGGTATTTGGATTTTTAGGAGCTTGAGAACGTACAGTTCCAAGTCAGGCTGTGGGACTTTAAGAGTGCGTTTTAAGATGGCAGAGCTCTTGTATTGGACTAGCAAGAGAATGCGATGCACTTTGTGCCGGCATACAAGGTATAGGATGCGGGTAAGGCACCAAGCCGAGGCCATATTGCGCCATGAGAACGCCTGCGATAAAGGCGCGTTGGCCGGTACGTGGCGTAGCCGCGCAGGATCGTCGGGATACTCCGGCCAGACATCACCGATACGCAAATGTGTGCGATCCAGCACACTTTGGGGCGTTTCCTGCGAGCCAGAATGGCCTACTAAGCGGCAATATTCAAACAGACCGAACGGATACGCTTCACAGCGTGATCGGATGGAATGACCGACTTCGTGCAAGCCAAAGAGTTTGAGGATGAGAAGGAGGACATTGGAGTCCAAGAGAATCTGAGAGAGGTACTCAAACTGCAGCATGTGGTTCACTCGGAACCAACGCAGACACAGGAGAAGCACCGCACTGATACCCTTGTTCATAATTTCGCGATGGCGTACCACGTCGACATCCTCCAACGTAGGCGAAGGCGCTTGCTCTGGTAAGGCACCATCGGCCGTAGCCCGCATGAACGCACTGGACGTACCGCTCGACGTGGTCGTTGCCAGCATGAGCTTCAACAGCACAATGACCGCACTTTGCAAGGATGGGAGAGTGGATCGGTACAACAGTTCGATGCGTTTCAATCGCTGCTCATCCTCCATATCTTCCCTCTGTGGCGCTGGCGTTCGCTCCGTAGAATCGCTCAATGTCATGGCAGCGAGTTCAGATTGCAACGTAGGTGCTGTAGGGTCATGTGTTCCATACAGATCGTCCATAAGCTCTTGGCGTACACACCACATCTGCCACAATCCAGTATCGACGTACATGTGGGACTGGTACAGCGAGATGGCTTCTTGCATACTTAGCGGCATGGCTGAGCCACGCGACACACCCGACGCAAAAGGCAGTACATAAGGCCGGCTTTGGTCGGTCTGGAACTTTTGACGGCCGACTTTGAGTGGCGGAGCTGCTGCCGCTTTGGCCGCCGCCAGACGCTCTTCATCCAGCATGGAGGGAAGAAGGTGAGACGACGACGCGTCTTTGCCATTCACAGGTAGTGGCTGTGTAGTCGATGCTAGGCGCTCCCCCGGCACAAGTTCCTGCTGGTCTTCAGCATCGATCAACGCGGGATACTTTGCCATCCATTCCTGTCGGAACTGAAGTACATCGTTGGGCGTCACGACACTTTGGCGGGATAAAGCTGAGCGCGGCGCGAGACCTTCACGGCGACGGACGAGCGCCTTGCACCGTGCAATGTCTTCGGTGCCGCCCAGGACGGCCAGCAGAGCTTTCCACAAGAGCAGGACCAATTTTTTGACGGGAAACCCCTTGATACTCTTTTCTCGTAGATTGGCCACCAACTCAAACAGATAGATCGGCATGGGCGGGTCCAGTGTCACTGTGGGTCAGTCGTACAAGAGCGACATACTGAGTGTATCAGCAAGGTCCACGTCACCACGGTGCATTTCTGTGATCATGTACAGCTGAGATAGGTGCATCGTTACTTCCATATTGATTTCATCCAAGTACTCTGCCTTGTCCTGGGCTGTCATCACAAAGGTATCGCCGTGATCACTCGACTGCGCCGGGATGGAGTCTGGGAGACCACTTAGCCAGTCGTGACGCCAGCAGGCACGTTTAAAGGCCACATAGATGTCCTCGAGACCTTGCAGGTCAAGCACCATTTTCGTGTTCTCGCGAATCCAATGAACCTGGTCTGCCTCGCTCTGTGTCTCGCCAAACGAGCCTTGCAAGTGGTATAACAGCGCTAGCGACGCGGAAATTCGTGCATCTCGATCTTCCAGATCCAGAGACGACAGGAGCCGCTGTAAGATGTGTCGTCGCGCTCTGGAGTCCAATGAAACCCAAGCTGTGCACGGTCAGTGAGAAAAAGAACATACCGCCTATATTGGAATCCATGCCCAGCGACGACCATTTGGATTGCGCCCATTGTTCCCAATGCACACGATTCTCAATGATAGAAGGCGCCTCTACGTAGGCATAGAACTCTTCGAGTTCATTTTCAAGGACATCTGTGTCATCCTCAATGGAGAAAGCAAGGGAGGGTGAGGGGTCGCCATCAGCGATAGACCCGCCCGTGCCTGGTTTCTTTTTTGGTGCAGGCGAGGTACGTGTCTCTGTACCCGCCGCCGCGTTCTGGGGTTGGTCCATCCCACGCGACCTGTCGTGGAGATTGACAGCCAGCGACCTGGCGGCGTGGTACACGCCTAGGGACGCCTCGTCCGAGCGGGGTACTATCACGTGATGAGATTCGGGCGTGGCACCAGTGCCTGAGTAACGTCGGACGGACGTGCAGACAGAGGCGACCCAAGGTTCTCTTGCTTTCTGTCCGTGCGCCGGCAATGCGATTGTTCGCGTGCGTGGTGTTTTGTCTTTGCAGTTTGCATGCTGCCTTCGCAGCTTCCGCGACAGGTCATCGTGTGATGGCCATTGTGGAAGACAGCGAACAGGCATCGTACTCAACGTACTTTGATTCACTCCTTGCGCGTGGCTATGACCTGAGCATCGCTGCACCTTCTGCATGGAAAGAGGAAGACGACCTCTTTGTGCATGGGGAGCGCATGTATGACCATATTGTCATGCTTGCGCCACACCTGAAAAAGTTGCCTACGGGTCTTGAGCCCCAGACTTTGGTCGAATTTCTGCAGAAGGGGGGGAATATGTTGGTCGCCCTCTCGCCGCAACTCACAGAGGCGTGGCGCGATTTTGCCCGTGAGTTTGGTCTCGACTTTGGCGAGCGTGGCATGAAGCTGGTCGATCACTTCGGTTACGATACCGCTTTGGACTTGGGCGATCACTCAGCTGTGCGTGTGGGCGGCAACGTGAAGGAGCGTGGCTCGCTGGCTGCTGGTGGTATTGTGCCGAATGCTGCTGTATTCTCCGACAAGACACGCATGTCTGAAGACTCGCTGCTTTTCCGTGGAATCGCACATTGGGTGGGCCCGAATCCGTTGGCCTTCCCCCTCTTGCTGCCTCCCCTGACAGCGTACCAAAGTGATGTGCCCAAGGTCACCGGTGAGCCCTCCGCGTTCACGGCATCCAACATTAACAAACTGGAGGCACTGCACGATATGACGGATTTGCTCACTGGCGCGGATGCCCATTCCGAAGATGCTACGGCCTCGCTGGCGTCGGCCGTGCAGCTGCGTGATAACTCCGCGCGTGCTGTGTTTGTTGGCAGCTTGGAGCTCTTCCAGAACGACCTTTACGGGGACGCATCACGCCCGCTTCAACGCTCATTTGTGGATGATCTCACCGCTTGGACCTTCCAAGAGTCCAGTGTGCTACGCATTGCCAGCAACTCGCATCAACGCGTTCGCCTACATGAACACGATGTGCGTCCTGACTATGAAGAGCAGGACAATGTCGTTTCCATGTACCGCATTAAAGATATTGTGAAGTATGCCTTGACATTGGAGGCGTTCGATGGGGCTCGCTGGGGCCCTGCGCCGAACGATCTCGACCTCCAGCTCTCTGCAATCATGCTGGATCCCTACGTGACCGAGCCTTTGCATGCTGTGTCAAGCAATGCAAACTCGACTACCTACACGACGACACTGCGTTTGCCAGACCGCCATGGTGTATTTACACTGCGTGTCAACTGGAAGAGGCCTGGATGGACATATATTCGTAAGGATGATGTTATTCCAGTGCGACCTTTCAACCATGATGAGTATCCTCGCATGGTCAGCAGCTCATGGCCATATATTTCGGGTGCCCTGTCGACAATGACTGCCTTTGTTGTATTTGTCGCTCTGTGGTTCACACTTCCTGTGACAAAGGCGCCTGTTACCAAGACCAAGAAACAGTAATGCGTAGCTGTATGTTCATATGAGAATCTTATCTGCCTAGCTTATGTCCATACCAAGGCACACGATGCAGGCGTCCAGTGGGGCGCTTGTTCTACACCAGCCAGATGCCATCCTAGTGAAGGAATATGCGTTATGGCTGGGCTGGGTGAGGGCGCCCAAGACGAGACCAAAGCCAACACAGAAGCACGTGGGGTCTCCGTATGTGATACGAGTTTGACATGCATAGCCTGCTGCCATGCGTCCAGGAAGGGAGCTTGTGAAGCTGGGGAGGTGGCGGGCTTCTCTGTGGGAGAAAGCACCGCCACACCGCAAGACAAGCCATCGTGCTGTTGGATATGATATGTGCACTGCACACCATGAGCAATCCATGTACCTTTAGCAACCTTAGGCTGCACGTCTTCTCCAGGCATACGTGCCGTAAGCTGCCATTCAGATAAAGACTGCTTCGGCAGACCATCCGAGGCGACGTGCACGATGAGTAGGGGGATATCATTCAAGGGCTGACCTAACCAAGCATCATCAGGTACTGTTTGGGTATGTGCATGAATTTCTTCACTAGGTGGCGTTGACCACAGTTGCTTGAGCGTATCCGCCCAGGCATCCGTGTCAGCAGAGGGAGTAGCCACCCAGCATAGTCCCCCTTCGATGTACCCATGCATGTCCCACTCACGCACAGCCAGTGCAATCCGGCGCTGATGCTGGAGCGCAAAGGCCAACTGGTGGGGTACATTCGTAGGGACATCCAAACTGATAGGCTCCATACCAATCTGACCGGCCATGTAGATCCTGCCATGCGTTCCAACAGCCTGTGAATAAGGTCCAATGTTGGCAGGAGCCCAAAAACTCCGGCTCTGCACATGCAAGCAACGGTGATCGGGAGGCGATGAGGGTCGGCATACCACAGCATCTAAGAGAATACGGGCGCCGAGCCCAGCCGGCAACGCAATACATGCACGCGAAGGCGGCGCTGCGCCGAAATGTGTGCGGTAGATGGCATTCAAAGGGCCAAAGTACGTTTGTGAGGAAAGGTAAACATTCATGTGTACAATGTCGGTGGTTTGAAGATGACGCACTGCTAGAGTCTTTTGCAGTTTGGTGAAGACTTGTTTCACTTCATCTTCGAACGAGAGTGCCTCCTCAGATGCAGCAATATCTGCCACAACTAGCCAGTCGCCTTTGTCATATACAGACAACATAGGCTGCCAAGGCGCCGGTGAAGAGATTACGATGGGGGAGGAGGGAAAAGATGGTATACGATCCGCAATGGCGTCAATATACATCTCGCCAGTGGGATCCAACGCTGGAGGAACAGGCATGCATGCCTTGGCCACGTCCGCCCCATAAGTCTCTTTATCTTCCCCATGCATACGCGGGAATTTGAGGTAGCTCACGCTCGCAAACGCAGCATCGGAATGAACAACAACCTCTTTCTCATCACTGTGGTTAGATAAGTACAGAACATACATAGTAAGGTGCTTTTGAAAGATCGGAGCGTCCAAAGTCAATGTTTCATATTCACCACCTTCGCCACATACATGCGCGCCGTAAAGCTCATGAAGTTGCTCTAACTTGGGTGTCATCATTGCAAGTGTACGTCCTAGATCACGTTCTGTTAGCCCGATCCCTGCCACCTTAATAAGAATAGCCTCCAGACCAGCCGACGTCATATCGTGCAAAAGAGTGCTCTGATTTCGCTGCCAGAGATAAGCAAGAGGTTGAAGTTGTAATTCGGGGCGAAGAGCCACATGCTCAACACGGACACGTTGATAGTTGGAGAGAATGGCGCCGACACTCACGCCCTCGACATCTGGGTGATGCTGCTTCACATCCAGGAGCAAGTGAAATAGGTCTTCTGTCTCATCAGTTTGGTCTTCATTTTGTGTATGGGTAGGTTTCCGAGACCCGTAAATAGCACCTTGGTTCTTTGGTGCGCCTTGGATGGGACGACGGTACAAAGGCACACCTAGCGCTTGTGCTACGGCGTGCACAGCGTCATGGCCCACAGTTTGGTACATGTACGAATCAATTTCATCTGATGGTGAGAGATAGATTGCGTACCTTTGCCAGTGGGCGGTGTAAGTGTGGCTACTGCGACAATCTCATGGCCTTGCTGGGCACAATAACAGAGGTTGAAGCAACTATCCTTCCCACCAGAGAGCAGGCCCACGACCTTCATGAGGGAAGTTCACGAACCAATGCCTCTCAGAGCCTCCACTTGTCAAAAAGCGCGCCAATTTTTGAGCACATCTTCTCCTTTGACAGGCCATGCGATCGCTAGCGCTTCGTCGCAGCGGGTGGCTGGCACATCCACCGATCGCGCTCTATTTACCATTAGTCCGGTATCGCTCGACACACGGCCATCGAAATGGACCACCGAGGCGAGATACGAAGCGCCCTAAGCGTCCACGGCCCAAGCCGTTGGCGCCGTTGGAGCTGACCACCAAACCCAAGCGCATCTCGCCCAAAGAGCTCTCAGCGATCCTCGAGGATGTGATGGAGGACTATGCCAAAACACGCGCTACCATCCGGCAATATCACAGCTGGAATATATCCCCTACAGTAATGGCTATCGTACGTGAGGCGATACAAACCCGTGATGCACGACTCACATCTCCTCATGAAGACATTTGGGCATGGCTTTTGCATGTATGGTCCAAGTCGGCCAAACAGCAGGACGCAGAGCTGTGGCCTACTATGGCCTCTCTATGCTCTGCATACGAGCAGCAAGGAGACGATGCACTCACGCGGGCTTGCGCACAGTCGTTCTTATCGTGGCTGCAACGCGAAATATATCAGACGATCCGAATGTCTTCTGTCCCTGACTTTAAAGCCCAATTGATGCGCGATGTTCACCTTCAGCTTGTATTGCTACGTTCCACGACGGATTTGCGTGCGCCTGCCTTGCAGTATTCGCATGCTCGTTCTCTTACGCGGCAATTGCATTTACATGTGGGCCCTACCAACTCGGGGAAAACCTATGGCGCCTTAGTGGCGCTCTCGCGAGCGAAAACGGGCATTTACGCTGGCCCTTTGCGACTGCTAGCGCATGAGGTTTGGGATCGTCTCAATCATGGCACAGTTGCCCCGAGCGTACCACCTCGAGCCTGCAATCTTCGTACAGGGGAGGAGGTACGTGTGGTGGATGAGCATGCGGGCCTTGTCGCCTGCACAGTAGAGATGGCAGATGTGACGCGGTCCTATGATGTGGCCGTGATTGATGAGATCCAAATGATTGCGGATCCACAGCGTGGATTTGCTTGGACGCAAGCTGTCCTAGGTCTCCCAGCTAAGGAACTGCATCTCTGTGGGGAAGCGAGTGCAGTACCGCTCCTTCGTCAGCTAGCTAAGCTTTGTGGCGATGATTTGCACGTGCACGAATATCAGCGTCTGACACCGCTGGAGGTGGCGTCGCACAGCCTGCGTGGGGATTTGTCGAAAATTGAGCGCGGGGATTGTGTCGTGGCGTTTAGTCGCAGTGCCATTTTCCAGCTGAAGGAACAGATTGAAGCGAAGACTGGTCTGCAATGTGCGGTAGCCTATGGCGCTTTGCCGCCTGAGACGAAGAGCGAGCAGGCCAAGCTTTTTAACGCAGGCAAATTGGATGTGATGGTAGCCAGTGATGCGATCGGGATGGGCCTCAACTTGCGCATAAAACGTGTGGTGTTTGATACCCTAAGCAAGTGGAACGGAACAGAGCGAGTCCCTCTTTCTCTCTCGCAAATCAAGCAGATTGCGGGGCGTGCAGGCAGGTATGGGACGTCGCGTGACGAAGCTACGTCGCCGTCAGGCTTGGTCCTTACGCGGCATGAGGACGAAATGGACAATCTGCGTGCCGCACTGGCCGCGCCTGTGCGTCCCATTACGCATGCTTCCCTTCAGCCGACAACACAACAAATGGAGACTTTGTCGCTGATGCTGCCCCATACCACGTCGTCACGCTCATCCCGGCGTCGACCGTCTTCGACAGAGACGACAGTATCTACGTTGCTTGATGATGTCAAGGCGCTAGCGCGCCTGGATGTCCAGTCGTTTACCCTTGCTGACTTTGAGACGCAGAAGCGAATGTCGCCGATCATTGAAGCGCGTGGGCGTGATCGGTTGACCCAAGCCGAAAAAGAGAAATGGGCCAATACCCCTGTGAACTTTCGCGATGAGCGTGCGGTGGAATGGGTCGGCAATGCCATTGAGCTCTACGCACAAGGGTCGCTGGTAGAGTTTGAGGCGTGTGCGGAGAATTTGGGCACAATGGAAGCTGAAGAAGCGGTAGCTATTGAGCATGAGGAAGCCAAAGCACGGCAGGCAGCGGCCCAGACTACAGCACCCGTCGCTGTGTATGCGACGCAGGATGAGTCGGTCCTGAATATTCATACCCTCATGCTCCTCGAGTCACTTCATCGTACGCTGACGCTCTACTTGTGGCTTGGCTTTCGTTTTCCTCTCGCGTTCTGTTTCCGAGCGGATGTGGAAGCACGTAAGCTACGGACCGAAGCCTCGATTCAGTTCTGCCTGGAAGCCATTCGCGTGCGACGAGCACGTCGTCTGACGCGGCTCGGGCGTGGTGAGGAAGCAAAGAAATGGTTACGCAAGCATTTACCATCGTCTTCGTCGTAGATAGAGTACACAGATGCTATGGCAAACCTATGAGGATGCCCATGGGTCCGCCTTGCGCCAATCCCATGAGTGAACCAAGGTGCCTTTGACAGGCATTTTGATACGTTCGCCACGAATAGGCTCTTCCACTTCGTCGACGTGGCCCTCGGCCTGCGCGGCGCGACGTGCCGCCTCCATTTGAGCTGCCAAATGGAAACGCAGACGCTCGAGCGATGCATGTAAAATGGAGTTGGCTCCGCGGTACCGACTGACCATCACACTGGGCGTATCGCGATGACGAACAGACATCATGGTGCCTGTAAGCATTGTGCGACTAGCGGCTGTGCCGTGGTATACTTGCTCGGTATGATGATCGTCCAGCACAGCAGGAGGATCTTCCAGTCGTGAGAATACACGCTGCATATCGGGGTACATGAGCATACGGGCACCATGGTACAAATGCGATGCATGACGGTACCCCAGAATCGGGAACTGACCGCCAGCAGGCGGTACCAAGGAAATATCGCGGCCTTGGGGATGCACGGGTGTGAAGATCGGCGCTGCGGTCGCCGCATGTGTCTCTTCATCCACGCCATCCTTGGCCGGTGGGATGGTAATCAACAAGCTCGGGCCAGGCGCTGTGGCGGGCGCCGTGGGATGCACATCGACGCAGCCATGGATTGAGTCGTTTGGTACATATCGAAGTGGATCAGCAATGGAATGAGCAAGGCGTCGTCGCTTGTAGGCTGCGTTCATGGAAGACGTAGACGTTGGGTTGGCATGGTGAGAACGAGCCAGGGATGTGAGGTATACAGGAGAGCGAGTGACTGGGTCGTCGGCCATAGCATCCATGGCATGCATAAATGCATCGAGGGACGATGTCGTAGATCGGTTGGAGGAAAGAGGCGTGGACTTGGCCCATTGCATACACTTTTCCAGCGAGGGGAAATCTGACCGCGCTTCCTGACTCTCGGCCAAGACGCCAGCGTAGACGTCTGCAGGCCGACGCCATACTCGACGCACGCCATCCTCACATACTTCCTCAGCAGGCGGTACACCCTGGACACTGATCGCGCGAGGCGTGGGTCGGATGGGCACATCCTTCGTAGACGTGGAGGCAGAGGTGGGTGGTGGGGGCGATTCGGCCTTGGGAGGCGGCGTGGGCCCGCGATCCAAGCGTGGTAGGGGCGGGAGGAACGAGGGAATGTACGTAGGAGCATCCGTAGGTGTGGGGGGAGAGGAGGTGCTGGGGGAGGATGGGGTCGCAAGGTATGCAGCCTCTTGCCAGACCAAGTCCTCTTCGAGGCATTCGTCGACGGCTTGGCGGACTTCTAGCTCGGCCTCGACACCTACGTCCGCGGGCCGATAGCTCATCGGAATGGGCTCCGCCATCGTCTTGGATGGGACAGCTGTATTGAATTGCCCAAGATGCGTCTGCAGCGCTTGGACAGAGGCTGGCCAAATGTCGTTGGTCGACCGCTTCCAGATACCTTCATCGTGCGCCCACTCTAGCAGCTCGTCCATAGAACCTGCTCCCATGACTTCTTCCATCGCCATAGATATGTCCCATAAATTCACTGTAGCACGTCCCGCCTCGTTAGCTAGTGTCGTAGCTGTTCGAGCTAGCAAGGCCATGTACCGCTGCATGATTTCGGCCACTACATGGCAAGCATGCGCACTAGATCCCTGAAAGCCACAGGCAGCAAGTATGGCAAAAGCATTGAGATGCATATGGGACATGGCCGCATCGGCCGCTGGCCGTATACGCGCCTCGCCCTTACGTAGTCCCACTACGTCGCGGGCCATACGTTGCTAAGCGAATAGAGAACCAGAGTGCGCCACGGCGACTCACGCACCCCGTGGCCGCTTACATAACCCGTCTCTCCTGGTGGAGGATACATATTTTAAACCTACAACCGGATGAAACCATTACTTAAGATCGTGATCCAATGTCTCGAGCGCACCGTGGGAGCGCAAGACGCACATGTTTTGCATACTGTACTTGCCCTTCCGGCCATGATCACCGAGGTTCTTCCCGCCCATGACAATGTTGAGCTCGGCACGAGCCTCCGAGTAGCGGCCCATACTGATATACAGACGGCCCAGTTCGTAGTGGCAGAAGTAGAGCATGTAATGATCGTATTCACACGTAGCGCCATTCTCAGCCACATACTTGAAGCTAGCCTCTGCCTTCGCAGCCGCTGCCTTGACATCCACGACGCGGTGCTCACGATCATACTTGACGTGCTTCTCCGGGAACGCCAAGTTGCGCAAGATCACACCGTGGAGGAAGTGCGCCAAGCACAGGTCGTCAGCCACAGCATGCGAGTCAGCTTCGAGGCGCGCAATTTCGCGCTCGACAGTCGGGAGGGAGCGACGTGATAGAGCCCGTGGCGAGGCCGTGGTGTAGCAGTGCGTGATATAGGCCAATTCCATCGCAGGAAGGAGCAAGTAGCCGTACTCGATCATCTTGCGTGCCTTACGAGCCGCAAACTTCTCTAGCGGGATACTCTTGCCCGCAATCTTCTGTGTCATCGAAGGAACGCGCTCCATAATCTCCTTCGCCTCTTCCTGCGCCGAAGGATCGCCAGTTTGGTACAACGCAGCAGCACGGCCATAGTTGTACAAGGCCTTGGACCAGTTGTTTTCGTTCGCAAGGACAGTGAAGCACTTGTACGCTTCGGGCCAGTCGTTCAATGACATGTTGCACAACGACATGTCCCAGTAGCAGATATGCTTGAGCTGAATGTATTCTTCTTGGACGTCGCGTGCCTGCTTGAAGCACTCTACCGCCTTGGCTGAGAGGGCTTGCGTGGAGTACAAACGACCATGGAAGTACAGGAAAAACACACCTTCAGGATAACGCTGCAAATGGTAGTCCAGGACCTTTTCCGCAAAGTCGATATCGACGTTCGGCACAGGTACAAAGGTCGACACGACCAAATGGTAGCACAACATGGTCATATCGCAAATCGGGCTGCGAATACCTTCAGTCTCAATCGTGCGCTTGGGCTGACGATCGTTGGGCTCCGAGCTCCAGCCAGTAGCCCGCGAGAGAAGATCGAGACCAACCTTGACACTGCCTTCGTAGCCAAACACCTCCATGATTTTCAGGACCTTGGAGGGCAGCAGACCGAGAATCAAACTAATACAGCCAGAGCCAAGGAAGACACCACTGCGGAAATCTTCATCGGAGGTGCGACTGTTTGTCTTGTCTTCCCATTCGATGTACTTGAGCAAGCTGCGGTATTCACCATAGGCTGAACGCAGATGCAGGGCCTCAGCGAGCGAGCCAAGCAAGTCGCCCGAGTAGGCAATACCCAGCACGGCCTTGAGAAGCGAGCATTCAGCTGCTACGAGCTCAGCATGCTTTTCCAAGGTAGTCATGGACGCAATCCATGTTACCGAAGGGCCGGCACCACGCACAAAGCGGCCAATGGAAGCGAAGGCCGAAGACTTTTTGCGGAGCAAATTGGCGATATGCAGCGAGTCTTTGCAGTGAGAAATGGCTGTACCCAGATCCTGGTGTTCGTACGTCATGATGGCCTTGATGGTCGAGAGAATAGCATAGCCCACCGCATAGTACATACGGCTCTCTGACTTGCCTTCAATGAGCTCGTACGCATCCAGCATACGACTGTTGAGGAAAAGGTGCAGAGCCTTGCGAGCTGTCTCAATATCCTCATGCATCTCCGCATCCGATTGCGTCACGTCGGCAAACGTCAGCTTGCTTACACGCTCAGAGCGACTCTTGGCTTGGCTCGCAAGCAGCTGCGAGTCGTGTCGACGTGTCGACGAAGCCTTCGGCTTGGCCGATACGGCCGCAACGCCTGCACCAGCGCCTGCACCCGCACCAATGCCAGCAGCGGCAGCAGCGGCAGTGGCACGTGAAGAGGGGCGTTGTGAGGTGGCAGGCGCCGAACGAGTGTTCGCGCTGGCATCGTAAAACTCATCCTCGTCGTCCTCCCCGTCGTCCATACCTGCGGGAGGAGCCGCCATAGCGCGCGACGATGGGCGACCATTGGCATTGCCTACAGGTGCAGCGGAGCGAGAGGCGCGACGCGCGCGACGAACAGGTTCATCCATAGGAGGCGACAAGGCTTCTCCGCCACGGGACGCGCGTTGAGGACGTGGCTTGTCGTCGTCGTCGTATGTCTCAGGCACACGTGAAGAGCGACGACGACGAGGCGCTTCTTCGACGTCGGCCTCACGACGCGAAGGACGCGGTTCACGCCGTGCGTCGGTCCGCGAACGCGGCATGTCGTCATCATACACATCCTCCCGACGTGAAGGGCGGCGTGTGCGAGTGCGAGGCTCCGCCGCTTCTTCGTCAAGAGGCTGTGCGCGCGAGGAGCGACGTGCACGACGCTCTAAAGGCTCGTCAGGCACGACGCCACGTGAGCGCGACGATCGCTGTGCACGTGGCGGCTCTTCGTATGTCGTCGGCGGAGCACGGCGTGAACGCGAGCGAATGGGGGGCTGTTCGACCAAGGCGTCTTGATCGAGGGGTGCGCGCGAGGAGCGACGCTCATGCATACTGGTTTTACGGCTGGGACGTGCCATGGCACTTTCCTCGCCGATAGGGCGGCGGGTCGACGAGCGACGAGCCATGTCCGTTTGGCGCAATGCCTGATCCGTCAAGGACACAGGATCGCTCATGCAAGAGGAATGAATACGATAAGAACGAGTGCCTTCCAAGATGGTCCGTGCCGAGCTACGATTGAGCTGTACCTCTGACCCACGCGGAGAAACAAGGTCTGGAGAACGTTGAGATGGACGTACAGGCATGCACCCTTCGGACAAGTAGGGTCACAGGACGCCCGTGCTACTCACGACCCACGTCCTTGCAGAAGTGCGCGGTGCGAAACGTTGGGGAAAGAAGAATATTGAACCAATCATATTGTCTTATACGTGCGCGCTGCGCAGAAGTGGAGATACACTGCGTTGGATATGCGGGGAAATTCACTGCCAATCAAGCGATGTTCGTTTTATTTTTAAAAAAATTGTGGAAGAGGTCTACGGTATCACAGCGCTAGATAGGAATTGCACTTATAGCCTACAAAAGCTTACCCCATGAGGTGCCCTTTACACGGACATTTTCACCCAGACGGGCATTCTGCACAATCGTGTATGCCTCACCCGGGGCCACGTACGTAGCTGCATCTGTACGCACACGCATCGAAGGCTCGGTAGACAGCTCAGTGGGGAACGACACACCCGTCGGCGTTGTCGGCTCATCCGTCTCAGACGCAGATGTAGCAGAGTCCATGCGGTATTTCAACATGGAGGTATGCGGCGGCTTCACAGCCGTGGACGCGGCGGTATCACGCGCTGCGAGCTCGTAGCCGCCCGAAAGCACACCCACGCGCATCATTGAGAGGAGGTTGTGCGCAGCGTTCGAGTGCTCGTACACGCCACCCGAGAACGCCACCGAGGCATCCTTGCCAATGCGCTGCGCAATAAACTCTCGGCCACCAGGATGCTCATCCATAAAGTTGGACATGTCGTGAATGTAGCCATGCACAACAATCAGCGGGCGCGTCTTGGCCTGCTCCACAAAGTCGTCCCAGGTAATCACCGGCAGATCCTGCGGGCGCGTAGCAAACTTGAGCTTGGATGATTCATCATACGCGTCTGCCAGCTGCATTGCAAGACGACCCTTGCGGATTTCATTGTCAGGGAAGCGCTTCAGGTTGGTCGCCAGGCCCAACTTGGACATGATCCAAATAAACCACTTAGTAGGGTCGTATTGGTACCACTTAATCGCATTGCGGAAGTCCATAGGGAATTCGTGGTGGAAGTTGTGGTAGCCCTCGCCTACCGTGCACAGAGCGGTAATCACATTGTCACGCGGCGAGTTCTTGCGATCAAACGTAGCTTCGCCAAGGTAGTGAGCTAAGGAATTGATACAGAACGTAGAGTGGTGCACAAATACAAGTCGGGCGATAGCAGCGTAGAAGAAGCCACCCTTCCAGTCACCCCAGCCAAGGCCCGCCACCAAGGTCGGGAACACAAAGCCCCAGAATAGGATCAGGGGAATGTAGTACTTGTGCTGGAACTTCACCACAGGGTTCTTACGGAGATCCGAAATGTCCACGGGACCAGGCTTGCGGCGTGGCTTGACAATCATCCAGCCAATGTGCGCCCACACAAGACCAGTGTGGGCGCCGTAGGGGTCCAAGTCCGTGTCGGTGTATCGGTGGTGCGAACGGTGGCCACGCGCCCACCAGTGAATCGAACCTTCCACAGAGCCCGAACCCATACACATCAATGCGTACTCCAGAGGGCGGCTAGCTGTGTACGCACGATGCGACCAGAGACGATGATAGCCGGCCGTAATGCCGAGACCCGTCATGTAGTAATACACAATCGCCCAAATCAAGGTGTTGCGTTGAATATGGACCGTGAAGAGACCATAGATAGCCAACGCAGGCGTTATAGTAAGCACCAAGAAGGAGATCCATTGCAACTCGTTCAAAATATTGGACCATCGGAAAGGCGGGAGGACCTTCTGAGACGCAAGTGTTCGCTGAACGAAGGAGTTGCGAACAGTCGACTCGCCATCCGACGAGATGTCGCTCAAGTCAGAGAGCTCCGACAAGTCGGACGCCACTAAACGGCTCCTGTAATCGCCCGGCATGGTTGATTGAGGACAAACTTGGGCACACGTACAAAGCCTTGCCACAATGGAGCCATGTGGAGGTCTTGGTTGACGAACTCACGTTGACACGTGGGTTTGTTTCTTAAAACCACAAGAGACACGTCGATAAGGAAACAATTTGTCATCAATTTCAAATAAAAAGGAGGCGCTGCCGCCACTGTCCCAACAGAATAGGAGGCTGACCCCACCTTGCGACAGAGGACAAAAGCCAACCAAGAGGTAGGAAGCTAGTGTGGATTAAGAATAATTACTCCGCAAAACGATATAGAGTGATAGGCGCAGGGTTGAAAGATTCAGGCAGACACATGGTGGTCCCACGCAATATTGGTGGGATGCATTTCTAAGCGCTCGCTTTTCGTTCCAAAAAGGTGGTCCCAAAACATCGTCTGCTTTCCGTAATTAAAAGTGCGACCCCAACCATAACGGTGATGCAGGTCGTGGTCCTCGATAGCGATATTAAACTGAGCGGGGAAGAAAAATCCCGTCAGTGCACTGGTGTAGTAAAGACGAATACCTGAATGACCAACCGTCTCTACAGCGATAAGAAACAGTGACCAGAAGTAGAGGGTATCAAAGGGAAGAGGAAGCAAAAGAAAAGCTAGAGTAGGTGCCCCGATTATGTCGAATACATTCTGGATTTCATCAGCGTAGGCAGTGAGGAAAGGGTTTGGATGCTTGGTTGTGTGATGTTTCTTGTGAAATTTCCAGAGTAGTTCGGCTTCATGTGTCATACGATGGAACCAGTAGTAAATGAAGTCTAGCGTCAGTGTAAAGACGAAAAGCTGTATAAGGAGCCAGGGGGATAAAGATGGCAATGCGTCTCTGTCATACGTGGCCAAAAAAAAGCAGAAGCAGGCGCAAATAAACGACGTGTGTAAAGTCTGATAAGATCCCTCCCACGGCTGTTTGAGGAACCGTATCTCTAGGTACTTCTGCGTCGAGATACCCGTATTTTTCCACATTAGAACTAACATCACGGAGTGATGTTCCAGCAAACCAAGCCGAGTGAATGACGAGCAATGGGTACAAAGTGTAGCCAGGAATAGACAGGCCAGTGAATTTCATAAAAATAATTCGCAGGAACATAGGGAAGGCAGCAAGAGGCGCATACTTGGAGAAGTAGGCCCACGGCGTAACGATGGGAATCTTCCCCTGGGGCGAAGTTTTCACTTTATCTCTCCTAGGGACGAAAGAGTCAATCACATATTTGCCGATAGAGTGGAGCAAAGACAATTCACTGTGTAAGTTAGAACGCCATTGATCTGCATTAGGCCTAGGTCTTGGATCTGGGTCGACAACAAGCTGCATAGCGTGTTATGAGAGGCAGAATTAGGATTCGCATCTATTTATTAGTTCGTCCTATTTCATTAACTATTTTCACATGAACTATTCTTAAGATGGCCAGTGGAGTTAAGGCCATATGAGCAAATCAGAATATCTGTGTGCTCCACAACCCTGCAGGTATTCGCTTGTGCAGATCTATAGAGCTACAGCGATTTCAGGTGCAAAGGGCATAGTACAAACGCAGTGGACATGCAGACTAGAAACAAGATAGGGATAACACCTATGTATCAAAGTAGAGTATGCGAATAAGAACAATCATAGAAAGGGAGGATGCCCGCTATTCAGGTAGACATGCAACATGTAAGTAAAAGTGAATCCATCACACTTTTAGAAGCCAAAGCTGAACGACTGGCCGAGGAACTCGCCAGAGAAGCAGAACACAATGCCGAAGAAGCTATCTTCACCACACTGACGGTTGTCGATGCTCTTCGTTGCGGTGACACTGACCTGCGTACCGCTCACGGTAGCTGTCATCACAGGAGCCACGGTCGAAGAAGAACCCTTGGAGGAGACCGTCGCAGACTGGGAAGGCCTCACACTTGATGGAAGAGTCACGAATGAGGTGGTCCTAGCAGAGGTTGGGACAAGAGCAGCGACCGACGAGTCACTCGAGGGAGAGGAGTGCGACAAGCTCGACGAAGACGCCTTCGATGATGAGGAAGCAGCTGAAATCGATTGCGACGCGGAAGTGCTAGGCGCCGAGGTTACCTGTCTTGTCTGCACCGGCTAAGGCGCCACTGTCGTACCCGACTTACACTCGACGAGCTGGTAGAGTTCAAAGCAACAGCTGCCTTCAGACCGGCCTGGGTAGCAAAGCCAAAGCGGTTGTTGCCCTGGTCAAAGATGACCGATGCCATCTGGAAGAATACATCGCCAACGACCCAAGCATTCATGGGCAGGTTGTCAATACCTGACACGGACAGTACACACTTGCCGCCACTCGTACCGAATTGCAACTGCGAGTTGCCCAGCGTAAAGTCCTTGCCGGCATAGTTCATGGTCACCTTGGGAGGCCAGTTGCAGCCGTACAGACCACTAAGCAGGCCCTAAACGGTAGCAACAGTCACACCAGGCAAACTTTGCAGGAACTGACAAACTTGCGACGTGGGGCCCATGATAAGAGTGGGGCCCGAGTCAACAACAATGTTGATCTGCTGGCCGTTGATAGTGGCAGGCACTACATAGAAGCCCAGGGACGGGTCGAAACTCCGCCATACGATATCACCAGTGTACTGCGAGTTATCGAGGCCACCAATAAAGAGAGACGAGCCAGTACCGGGACGAAGAGTGAACTGGAACACACCCTGGTCAACGATTTTCGCCTTACGAAGGGCCGCGAAGATAGGAAGGTATTGCGGAGGGAAGGCCTGGACGTTCGGGAGAGCGAGACCACTAATACCCACATTCGGGCACTCACTGGAGGGCATAAACTGCGTAGTCGAAAGACCAATGGCCACGTCCGTGGCGTTCGAGTTGGCAAGCTTGGCATTGTCTACGTAAATGGAGCCGCTAGCCGTTGTATCATCACCATACGCAGCATTGAAACGGTCCGCTGTACGCCTAGACGTTGTCGTTAGGCGGGATGTATGGCCAGGCCAAGCCGGTCGTGTGGCCCCAATGGCGATTTAAAGTGCTGTCACAGGCACTTCCGTCTTGGGCTTGCGTTGGCAATTGTGAGTGCGTTTGCCATCACAGAAGTCAATGGACTGGTGACAGGTATGCCGATGGCACAGCGCCTGTATGAACACCTCGGAAAGTACGGTATGCTTTCTGTGTGAGCGCTGATCATGGTCGTGCCATTCAACACGGCCACAGCGCAGCTGGTCGATGCGTCGCGTGTCGTGTATGCCTTCTCGCGCGACGGCGCACTCCCGCTAGCGTAGATTCGATCGCGTGTGAATGGAAAGACACATACGCCGATCTATGCCCGAAACCCAATCCCATGAGCGGCGTAAGTATCTGATATCGATAGCACTGCCCAAATAAAATACAAAAATGTCCTCCACCGGGGGCTTTTTACTTGTGGAACATCGTCATTTCCAGCCAACGAAGC